TGGAATTACCGCGGCTGCTGGCACCAGACTTGCCCTCCAATTGTTCCTCGATAAGTGGTTTAAATTGTTCTCATTCCAATTACAAGACCAAAGGCCCTGTATCGTTATTTATTGTCACTACCTCCCCGTGTCAGGATTGGGTAATTTGCGCGCCTGCTGCCTTCCTTGGATGTGGTAGCCGTTTCTCAGGCTCCCTCTCCGGAATCGAACCCTAATTCCCCGTTACCCGTTGATACCATGGTAGGCCTCTATCCTACCATCGACAGTTGATAGGGCAGAAATTTGAATGAACCAGCGCCAGCACAAAGGCAATGCGCTTCGAGAAGTTATCATGAATCACCAAAAAGTCCGAAGACATTGGTTTTTTATCTAATAAATACATCCCAGACGGGATTTTACGCATGTATTAGCTCTAGAATTACCACGGTTATCCATGTAGTAATGCACTATCAAATAAACGATAACTGATTTAATGAGCCATTCGCAGTTTCACTGTATAGATTGCTTATACTTAGACATGCATGGCTTAATCTTTGAGACAAGCATATGACTACTGGCAGGATCAACCAGATAACTATCTTCAACAGTCGAGAGACTGCCTAGTTTCCGAAGAAACATAGTTTTTCAAAGTTCGTGTTTCCACCCAGTCTCTGCACTGTCAGTTGTTACACTGCCAACACATCAACTGCATCCAATTGCCTTTTTGAGTTCCCCAGTTATAGTCCGCTAAGCAAAGCGTAGCATCAATAACTTGAGAGGAGGTTTCTGTCTACAAATCACGACTAAAGCCGGCTACCTGTAGCAGTATGCCCCCGAGTGTTTTCCTGTAAATTCTTGCCATCGGCTAGTAATCCACAGAACCCATCAGTGCTTTATATAGCGCAGTGCTTGTAAAGACCGTTCAGGTAAACACCTTTGTAAGGTTGTGCTTGAGATTTCGTCGTTAAACGAATCAACTCTTTCCACAACCAAACTCGGCTGCGTTTGAAAAGAAACCAGACTGACCGTTTCCGATTTCATCTTTTGCTTTTTCAAGCTTTTTTATTTTCTTTTCATAAAGGTCATTTTGGCATTATTGAAGTCATACTTTTGTAATCGTGGGATAATACCCAAAAAATGCAATATGTGGACACGGCCAAATTCTTACCCCTCCGTGTAACTAAGGTAAGGTCACACCTGTGAACTTCTGTAGAGCAGCTGATATCTACAGCCTTTTGAATTTCCATACTATAATCTAATGCTAGAAGAATTGATCAGTGTATAAACTTCGTTATTCATAGGTTTTCTGTTGAGATTATGGAGCTCAAAATCCAGTTCAAAAACCACGTCTCAACGCTCCCAATTTGCACAACAGGAGTGGTCATATTTTGTGTTTGGAGAGATTATAAGTCAGAAATAACGCAAGCATTCAAGTAGTTCATCATACTCAACAGGCCATGCTTCGGCTCAACGTGATAGGACAATCGTTTGAGTCATGTCTTACCCCCCATGGCTATGCGTCACATAATTAGATCGTATACCTCACGATACTCTACAAACTTTTTCGCTGCACAAAAAATAATTTTTGGGGAACCAGACAAATTGTTAACAAATAAAAGCTATAGCATTCAGTGCTTTTAATGCCTAAAGAGTTCTTTACATTTCATTGAGCATCGAGGAGTCAGTTGTTGTAGTGCAGTCGAGCACATTACGCGAGTCACAGCCAACGCACCACGTACATAATGACCGGACCTATCATTACGCTGTTGATGCCTAGGAGGTTTTGATGAGAGTGCTTATAGAGGAGCCAAACAGTGAGCAATTTGGTGTATATTGCAACGGGTGCACATTGTTAGCTTATCGAAGCACCGAGATCGGTCTAGAGCTTCATCGGGATCGGTTCTAAAAAGTATTCAGAGTATTTTTCATAATTTTGAGTCCTTTTATTAGCTACCGTTCAACCCATTGAGATTCAAGCTGATGGCCCGGCGGGCATCATTGTGTTTTCGAACGCAAAATGAGAGTAATATAGCTGATTGAGCTACATACCTAATGAACAGCTGAAATCTTTCGAAACTTTACAATTCACTGTTCTCTTTTCATTTCTGATCATTCTACCAAGTCTCCGGACTCTCCCCCGACCGAAACCCAATCGATTTAAGCAAGCTGCTTAGTAACCTGCCACCTTCACCGATGCCTGTGCAACATTCACATTTCAACGAGTATACAGACGTTCGCCTAGTTGGAAACTTTGCTGTGCTTCCGTTGAGGACCAGAGTTAGAGGGCCAGCGTATCCAACGGACGATTACGACGTGTTGGATGAGGTCGTGGACTTGTTCCGCGTAAACTCATTCTTCCGAAACTTTGAGATTCTCGGCCCTGCAGATAGAACACTTATCTATGGAATTCTGTTTATCAGCGAGTGCTTGGCTAAAATTAAATCTAGCACCTCGCTCAATGAGGCGAACAAACAGCTCAATGTTATTGCTACAGACAACTTCTCGATTCCAGGCGAGCCGGCCTTCCCTTTGAATTCCATTTACACTCCTCCTTCTGACCGGAACGATGCGGAGTTTTTGCGAACCTACCTTTCGCAATTTCGCCAGGAGCTTGCTAGTCGCCTGCTAGCGCGTGTTTATAGCGACCCTCAGGAGCCGCCTTCAAAGTACTGGTTGGCTTTCAGCCGCAAACGGTTTATGAACTTGGCTTTGAAATAAAAGTATTTATCTTAAGACCGGTCTTTTTCTTTCCTCGACTTGCTTGAAATAATGCGGGGCGACCTGGCGAATCCATTCTGGCTCGACCACCAAAACGCCACGCATAAACTCTCTAGACGTCAGTGCCAGTTCGTGGAACAGCACATATTTTGGCAGTGGTTTGCGGGAGTGCAAGGAGCTAGAAGGGTGTATCCAGACGCTCTGCTTAGTTCCTTGGGTTATGTAGAAGTCTCCGCTTTTAGAAAGCCGTGCAGTATAGGCGAAGTAGCCTGCCAGTAGTGCCTTTTGAATTGCATTAGGATCATTGGCCTGAGCATCTGATATGATTCCTGCTCTTTCGCAAAGCCGGAAGAGCTGTTTTCGAACATCTCTCACTCTTTTCATCGTGCGGTGTTGGACGAAATGATCGCGGCACCATTGGTACGAGAAGTTGGATGCGGACCATTGGAACCACACTTGAAGTAAAGTAAAATGATCACCCTCAGGTTGACTGAGAGAATTGTGAGCAAAATCAGCTTCCTCCTTTTTACCTCGTGGGCGGTAAAACAGGTTGCCTAGCTCACCGACCATCGCTATGATGGTAATTATCTCATCGGAGCAGCCCAATGTGCCTGAAGCAATCAAAACTTTCGCCAGCATTGGATCTGCTGGAAACTCTGCCATTTGCCTACCCAGCTTTGTTAGCTTGCCAGCGCCATTTACGGCACCTAGCTGGTACAGTGTCTGCATGGCTTTTACGAGTGCTTCAGGGGTCGGCATGTCAAGGAGTTGGAACTCAAAGACATTGGAAACCCCAAACGACATCAACAGAAGTACAATAGCGGCCAAGTTGACCCTCAAAACTTCTGGTCGCGACTCGGGTTGCAACAGATCTTCATAAGCTTGTCTTGTGTATAAACGGAAACACTTTCCCGGACAGACGCGACCTGCACGTCCAGCTCTTTGGTTGGCGCTTGCTTGCGAGCACTCTTTGGTCACTAGCGATTCCATCATTGTCCTCGGGTTGTATTCTTTCTCTTTTACCAGACCAGGGTCAACGACATACACAATGCCGTCTATAGTCAAACTCGTCTCAGCGATATTTGTTGCCAAAACAACTTTTCTTGCTCCATTAGGCGTTGGTTCAAAAATTCGGGCCTGTTGCTCTGACGGAAGGTTCGCATAGATAGGACAGATCAGTAGATCTTTGATGCTATTTCCGAGTCGTAGTTTAGTTTCCTGTAAACTCTCAGCCATATTCTCAATGTCTTCTTGACCTGGCAAAAACACGAGAATGTCGCCTAAATCTTGAGTCAAATGAATCTGAAACACTGTCATTATGGCTGCCTGGAGATAGTTCGCTTCAGGTTGTTTAACATATAAGATATCAACCGGGAACCGTCGACCAGGAACAACGTAGACAGGGGCATGGCCAAAATAAGAAGAGAATCGGTCGGAGTTGATAGTTGCCGATGAAATAATTACTTTGAGTTCTGGTCGCACCGTACAAATATCCCTGATCAAAGCAAGAAGAACATCAGTTTGCAGCGTGCGCTCGTGAGCCTCATCAATCATAACAGCCGAGAACTTGGACATTTCAGAGTCTGTTAGGAACTCTCGCATTAACATGCCGTCGGTCATGTACTGTATTCTAGTTTCTTTGCTGGTATTATCATCAAATCGGATTGTGTAGCCTACTTTCCCTCCAAGCCTAACGTTCATCTCTTGAGCGACGCGTGTAGCCACTGACATTGCCGCGATTCGACGGGGCTGTGTGCATGCTATTTTTCCGTGCTCTGCATATCCATCCTCGTACAAAAATTGTGGTATTTTTGTAGTTTTGCCAGATCCTGTTTCTCCAGCAACAATAACGATTTGGTTATGCTTGACGAGGTCCATCAGCTGTTTGCGATGTAACATCACAGGTAGCTTGGAGTCGTCTTCAACGTCTTGTTCAGGAATTGTTTCTGTTTCATCAAACTCAATTGCTTGATCCGAGTCGTATTCATATCCACTCTCGTCTTCGGATTCTGGCTCGAGCTCGGGCTTGGGTTTGTCCTCGACTTTTCTTTTGACTCGGTTTAGTTGCTGCTCTTCCCATGATTCGTTTTCTAGGTTGAAGGAAGCAAGCATATCTTTTTTCATAGTGAACTCCTCTTGCTCTCTTTGGGACAAGTTCTCCCATCCATATTTCTCAATGTCTTGTTCAAAAATCTGTACTTCCTTTCGTAACCGATCATAACGAATTTTTGGGACATTTTTGTTCTTGAATATAGAATCTGGATGCATAATGCTGTACAATTTTGGAGCCAGCGTCTTTAAACCAAGCTCTTCCAAAGAGTTTTCGAGGTCTTTCACTGAGGCAGCATCTTTGGCTTTTGCCATGCAAAAATCTATCGCATCGTCGTCAACAGCACCCAAAACATCTAAGATTCCCGACTTTATGCTTTCTCGAAGCCCCATATTCAGCCGGACACCAAATGCCTAATTCCCAGAAATCGCGAAATGGGACTTACACAATCACAAACCACAATGTCTGACGAGGCGTTCATCAAGGCTGAGAAGGATTATAGCCAGACGCTTGATAAGGAGTTGCCTGAGATTGCTAGTTTATCACTGAAAGATAGCCAAGATGCGGTTGAAAAGCTGTTAGCGCTCGAGAAAAAAGTGCGACAAGCGAGTGACCTGGCATCGAGTAAACGAGTTCTCAGCGAAATTGTCAAAGTGCTCCGCAATGCCGGCGATTGGAAGCAGATGAACGAGACCGTACAACTCTTGAGTAAGAAGCACGGTCAGTTGAAAACTGCGGTGGCGAGTTTGATTCAGGAGGTGATTGCCGGGCTCGACGACGCTCCGAGTCTTGCCACAAAAATCGAGACGATCGATAACGTGAGAACCATCTGCGAGGGCAAGATCTACTTGGAAATGGAGCATGCTCGAGTCACGCGGATGCTGGCGCAGATCAAAGAGGATGAAGGTGATATATCTGCTGCCGCAGACCTGCTGGGTGAGTTGCAAGTCGAGACATTTGGGTCGATGGACATGCGGGAAAAGACTGAGTTCATTCTCAAGCAAATGGAGCTTTACATCAAAAAGGGTGATTTTACTTTTGCAGCGATTGTTTCCCGCAAAATCCTGCCCCGGTATTTTGACAAAGAAGAGGTCCATGACCAAAAACTGCGCTACTACGAGCTAAGCGTTGAAATCGCCTTGCATGACAACAAGTATCTAGAAACATGCCAGGACTATCGTCACATCTATGATACTCCTGTCATCCAGGCCGATGAGAAGCGCAAACAGACAGTGTTGACAAATATGGTCCTCTTTGCGATTTTGGCGCCCCATGACAATTTACGCAATGATCTGCTGCACAAACTTGCATTAGAAAGTGATCTTCCTCAGCTACCTGTTTACGAACAGCTTGTTCGGATGTTTACTACTCTTGAACTTATCCGCTGGCCGAAGGTTGAAGAGGTGTACGGAGATAAGCTCAAGACGTTCTGGGTGTTTGATGTAACTGACGCAGAGTCTGGAGCCGCAAGCACACAGCGGTGGCAAGACCTTAGGCAGCGTGTTATTGAGCACAATATTCTTGTTATTGCCAAGTTTTACACGCGGATTACTATTGCTGGCCTTGCCGAGCTTCTTGATCTAACGCCCAGTGAGGCGGAAAAAATTTTGGCCAAGCTGGTCACTAGTGGTATGGTATATGCTCGCATCAACAGACCCCAGCGTATTGTTTCCTTTGCCAAAACAAAAGATACAAATGACGTTCTTAACGAGTGGAGCTACAATACGGGCAAATTGCTTGAACATGTAGAGACCATTGGCCATTTGATCGCTAAAGAGGAAATGATGCTTGGAATTCGTACAAAATTAGAATAAATATATTAAGTTTTAGCAGATGATCTCTTTTTAGCGCTCTCTTTCAGGTCGTCCCACCGGCTTTTGAGTTTGATAATTTGGACATTGAGCCGGTCGTTTTCGGCTCTCAAACGGTCCGTTTCCTCTGTATGTTCATCGATGAGTCTCTGCTCGCGTAGTGCTAGCTCTCGCTGGAGCCGTTGGATGCCACTTTTGAACGCTTGTTGCTGGGCTCGATTGGCGGCTTCAAGAGCATGTACTCGTGCTCCCAAATCAATTGACCGGATATCGTGGTCGGTAGGACGACCTGTTTGAGTACCGACAAGGTAAAAGCTTTCTGAGGGATCTGTGCCTCTAGCTGCCAAAAGTGCCTGATCGAACGCACGGGAATAAGCGGCGGCAGCTTTGGACTGCAAATCGCTAAACGCATCTTCTACCGATGGCAGGAGGCTTGCGACAGACGAGAATGCTGTTGTTTGCGAAGAAGGAGTGGAGGAAACAGAAGGTAGCCCTCCCGGCATACTCAATTGAGCCGCGGGGACTCTTGCCGCAGCAAGCTGGCTGGTGATCTGGCTGGTGATCTGGCTCTGACTTGGCACAATTGCCGCGACTGCTGCTGCAACTTTCTTCGCATCTTGTTTGGCTTTACCGCTTGCTAAATATTTCGCTCTGCGTCGCTGTTGTTCGGCCATATCTACCAAGACTCTAGTGGCAGGATTAGAGGGCGACTCCTCCGCGGCACTGTCAAAAAATTTCGCGGCCTCCTCATGTAGACCAGCAGCTTTGGTATAATCTCCGCTCATTGTGGCGGTGTCTGCGGACTTCATCGCATGATACGCTTTGTCTAAAGCTGCGCCCTCCATGATTTTACCCAGCTTGGACGTTCTGGCTTACTTATTAGCGTTTTTTTAAAGTGGCCTGAAAGCGCGATTTTGCTGGACAAAGCACGCTGGAACCTGCTTTGAACCGCCAAGAAGATGACGGTGTGGGACGACTTGGAGGACATAATGGCTACGAAAACGACCGACGTGATGCAAGTTGGCCAGATCATCGATCTTTATTTAGACGTCCTGGCTGAGTCCTTGGCGCTAAGTCGATTCAAGTGTGCGCACGCACTGAGGGGGGCTGATATATTCCTGGAATCCGATGTTATGCAGGCCCATACAACCTATTGCCGGCGCCGACTCGTAGCGTTGCTAACCACCAAAATTGACCAACCTTCGGAATACATGGCCAGTTTGGGGGCCATCGTGTTGAAGGATATTGAGCAATACTCGGCCCCGGTTGGTCAAATGGTCGCAGAAAGTGGAGCAGTCCCGCAGGTCGTGGCTACGCTCTGGTTGTTCAGGCATACCGACAGGAGCACGACTCTAATTTACACAGGGATCTTGTACAGACTGTGTATAACCAAGAACCTTCCTGTGTCTGATCTGCACTCCTTGACGTATGACTTGATTGAATATTTATATTTTCGCGTTTGTGAAAACGAGGATGACCCGGAGGACGCAGACGATGATACTCTCTTATTATTGCTTGCATTGAACGAACAGTATGCTGCGCAATCCGTTCGCGAAAACAAAGTGGTTAATGTTTTAAAGTCGAATCTGCTAAAATATCGTGCCGTGGGAGGAAAAATTGTTTTACTTGCCAACAGAACGTCTTCAACTCCCACCAAGGTGCTGGTTTGCAAGTTCCTGTACTATATTTTCACGACCCCCGAAACCCTCAACTTCATCTACACCAATGACTTGAAGGTGCTTGTTGAGGTGCTCCTGCGAGAGCTGTCTGACTTGTCTACCGAAGCTGACGACCTGCGTCAAATGTACCTTCGGGTTTTGCATGTGTTACTAGAAAACACCACCATTTTCGAGGAAAAATTCAAACAAAGCGACATTGTCAGCGTGCTCCGGAGTTCAGCCGAGTCTTCTTCGGGCGAAACCCGTCGAATAGCGGAACGATGTTTAAATATTGAATGGCTACAATGGAGCCGCCACGGCTCGTGCGTTAGCATAAGTTCCGAAGAAGCATCTCGTCTTGGCAGCGACAGTGAGCACTCGTCAGAGGAAGAAGATTCACCAGGCCCTAGCCCAAGCCGCACTCGCAGCCCACTTCCTTCTCCACCTTATCCCGTAACTCTCCGGGGTAAACCCTTACCGCCACCGCCTCGCAGTAGTAAAATACGGCCCTCGTCGGCGACTAATGTTGCTCTAGCCGGCTCCAATTTGCCGCCTCCGCCTCCGCCGCAACGACTCCGTAAACAGACCTGACGATCCTTACTAAAATCTACTCACTATGCATGCTCCCTGCAGAATCATAAGTTAACCTGACCCTAGCGAATCAGCCCTACTAACATAATGCTCAGAACAGTGGCTAAACAAGGACTGCTGAGAGCGGGGATCGCTTCGGCATTGCGCTTCCACAGCTACAAGGCAGCTGTTTTCGGAGACAAAGGGCGGATGGATATTGTGGAAAAACAGTCCCGGCCGTTGAAGCAGGGCGAAGCACGACTCAAGATGGAGTGCTGCGGCGTCTGCCACACGGACTTGCACATCCGGGAGGGCGAGTTCGGTGAAGTCAAAGGCACGGTTGGTGGCCATGAAGGTATCGGTATTGTTGAGGAAGTTGCCCCCGATGTGACTTCATTAGCCCCCGGAGACAGGGCCTCAGTGGCCTGGCTTGCCTCTGCATGCGGACATTGCGAATATTGCTTGTCTGGCAATGAGAACGTCTGTCCTGATATCAAGATGTCCGGCTACACTACTGACGGCGGTATGGCCGAAGAGTGCTACGTCAAGGCCAATTATGCGGTTAAAGTGCCTGATGGTCTCGATTCGGGCCTAGCGTCTTCGATTAGCTGTGCCGGAGTCACTAGCTACAAGGCAATCAAAGTATCAAATATCAAACCGGGCCAATGGCTTGCAATCTACGGTATGGGTGGACTGGGCAATCTTGCTCTACAGTACGCCAAGAACGCCTTTGGAGCCAAGGTTATAGCTGTGGATGTATTGCAGAAACAGCTCGACTTTGCCAAAAGCTGCGGTGCCGACGTCGTGATCAATTCGAAGGAGGAGGATGCGGTTGCCAAAATCAAAGAGGTCACTAACGGGCTGGGTGCTAATGCCGCGGTCGTGCCGGCCACTTCGCTGATTGCATTCGAAAATGCCGTCAACTGCGTCCGTCCGTTGGGTCGAGCCGTGTTGGTTGGGGTGATCCAGGACAAGTTGCCGCTCAACATCCCATACGTCGTTTTGAGCGGTATTGAGGTTGTAGGGTCTGTTGTTGGAACTCGACTAGACCTAGCAGAGGCCTTCGAGCTGGCCCGCAGCGGCGTTGTCCGGCCCAAGGTTGCCCCTCGCAAGCTCGAGGAAGTCAACACTATTATGGACGAGCTCCGTGATGGCAAAGTCACTGGTCGCATGGCGATTTATTTTTAGTTTCCTTAGTCTAATTGTTCCTTTTAATCTGCTCTAGTCGTTTTACTCGCTATCATCTGTTGCTCTAGCCTCTCCCCCACACCCGTTATCTGACCTAGCCCCATGTCCCAAAGCCCTGTCAAGCTTGGGCCGTGTTTATCTACGTGACTCTTTAACATGGTTTTGGTGCGTATGCTGGCGCGAAGGCCAGTGAGCACCGTGCTAAGATGTAAACAGTACTCTACCGACAGTGCAGCAGTTATTGAGGAGCGGTATCAGGCCCATCAGTCGATTGATGAGAAAATGGCCACAGGGCTATTGATTCAACAACGAGCCATGGAGCCTAAACGGCCGCTGCAGCTACACAGGCTGGTGCGATTCAAGGACATGAATCCTGTTCCCGAAAAGGCACTGCTAGCAAATGCTAGAGAAGCAATTGGCGAGATCACTGTGACGCTAGCCCAACGCCTGGAAGCTCTACGAGCTCTACCGTATATGGTGGTGCTGAACCCGTATATCTCGCGGATTTATCATATTTACTACAGTTCATTCCGAGTGATGAATTCCATGAGCCCGCCTCGGAACCTGGAGGAGAACCGCAATATCGTGGCTATTTTAGAGTCGCTGGTCGACGCTCACATGCACACAATTCCTACCCTAGCCAAGGGCTTCAGCGAAGCACGCAAGTTCTTAAAGCCGGACCACATTGACAAAGTTTTGCACGCGAATCTGCAAGGCCGAATGGCTGCTAGACTTCTTGCCGAACACCACATTGCTTTGAGCGACCCGATCGGGCCTAATTTCGTGGGGTCAATTCAAACTGATCTGAACCCTGCCACGCTCATCAAGCAATGTGCTGAGGTTGTGGGCGACATTTGCAACCTCAAGTACGGCGTTGTGCCGGACGTTGTTTTTGAGTTAGGGGAGGAGGTAAAAATTGCCTACGTTCCTGTGCATCTGGAATATATTTGCACCGAGCTGCTAAAGAACTCTTTCAGAGCCGTGTGCGAAAATAATACTGCTACCAAGCATCCAATTGTTGTGACGGTGATTCCAACGGGCAATGGAGTTATCATTCGGTTTAGAGACCGCGGCGGAGGCATTCTGCCCGAGATCGAGAAAAACATCTTCCACTTCTCCTATACAACATTCGAGAACGACCAAGAAAACCCAATTGGCGAGCTCGAAATCCACTCCGGATCGACCATTGCCGGACTAGGGTATGGCCTGCCTCTGAGTCGGTCCTATGCAGAGTTCTTCGGGGGCAAGCTGCAAGTTCAGAGCTACTACGGGTGGGGAACAGACGTTTATCTAACACTAAAATCCCCAATGGTTAGTGGTTATCATCGCGAGGTCCAGCTATAGTCTATATACTAACCCCTATCAGAAGTTAGAAAAACCCGCTGCCTGGGGCGAACCAACCACCTGACCAGAGCATTCCAGGGCAAGGGTACTATAGCAGGTATATTCCCACCTATGAGATAATGGTTGATTTCTCACCACAAATCATAATTTAAAAATGAACGCTCTCCGGCAGTCTGTTGTCTCTAGTGTGCGTCGTGCCACTGTTGCGTCTACCCGTCGTGCCTTGTCTATGTCTGCTATCGCTCGTGGCCATGCCGGCAAGGATGTTGCTCCAAGCGACCTCAAGACCTCGCTCAAGCTCGAGGAGGCTACCGGCGCTGACGCCCTTCTTGGCCCTGGTGGCAAGCCTGGCCAGCTCCCTACCTCTTTCGAGATCGCTACTGGTTTGGAACGCCTCGAGTTGCTCGGTGCTCTTGAGGGTATCGATGTTTTCGACGAGGCTCCTCTGACCCAGGAGCGCAAGGGCACTCCCGACGACCCCGTTATCGTCGACAGCTATGACCGCATTCGCTACGTTGGTTGCACTGGGTTCCCTACCGGTTCCCAGGAGGTCAACTGGCTCAGGGTCGAAGAGGGCAAGATCTCTCGCGACTGGGAGTCTGGCTGCTGCTATACTCTTAACTACCTTGGCCCCAAGGATGCTCACCACTAAATACTACCAAGCTTGTAGTTAGTTTATTTTTCACGCTAATTGGCCAGTCTTCCGCTTCCCTTCCCTTGCTCACCTGATTGCTTATGTAGGCCGGGTCCTGGCCGTTTATTGGCTAACCGGGTAGTGGGATGCTGGATTACTGTCTAGCCAGCTATATGCTGTCAGATAGCGAGTTATAAAGATGTTTTTGGACTCGTAATATTAAACAAACCCAGCGGCTTCAAAAAGCCTCCAGCGACTCCATCGTCCTGTCAGCAGATCAGACCGAGGCACCACTACGCACCGCTCACCGGGCCAAGCCAGTCAAGCAGCCAGCGATGCATGGGGAGACGCCGGCAAGTCATCAGGCTTAATCTTAAAATAGTAAACCACAGGGTTTTTATCCTCAGATCTACCAAATGCAAACCTTAGTTATTATTAGCTCAGGGACCGCTGGGAAGCTGGAAATCAGCGGGGGAGCCAACATCGCATTGCATAGCGGTGCGAGTGATGTAATCTTTTAGCTCGTTTAGGAAGGCGGCAGAAACCAACTCAATGCTCGCGACATGAAAAAATTAACTCGCAGGGCATGCGTACGCCTGGCGGCACTCAAACAAAATGATTCCGGCTAATAAATCTCAACGGAATGTACGGCTAACTATTTTTAGTATGAAGATCTCTGGCGGGTGAAAAAGATTTTAGAAGTCCTTCAGGGTTGGGGGTCCGTTGACCACAGATGCCCCTACCCTGCACAGCCATCATTCAGAGACATTAACCTTTTACGTTTTCATTGTTCGACGCATTTGGTCAGATTACGCGTCAAATATTCATGTACTCATGTAAAGCTCGCAAAATAAACTTTATTTGGCGCCATTGCGCTGCATGACGTTCCCTTTCCTAAGGAGCTGCCGGTTGTTTACGTGTTCCCTTAACCGTACCCTACTGCCCGAAGCCCTTTTTAGTCCCACGCAATGCCCCCTCTGATTTCGTACATATAAACTATCAGCCGCTTATCTGGACACTCTCGTAACACACACCATGAAGTTAGCTGCTAGTCTCGCGTTCGCTTCGCTTTATGCAATGAGCATTGCTGCTGATATCCCCAACTGTGGTGATAACCTGCCCGCCTGTCCCGAGGAGTACCCATGCTGCTCGGTCGACGGCACTTGCGGTAATGGCTATGTCTGCCTTGGCGGTTGCGACCCTAAATTCTCTTTCGCGACCGATTCGTGTATGCCGCTGCCTGTGTGCCAGTCCGGCAAGACCACCTTCACCTCCACCGACCAGATTACCCCTTACGCCGACTACATGGGTGATGCGGAAAAAATGCCCTGGTCTTACCTGGGCAACATCACCACTGAAAACGGTGTCCTGCGTGCTCAGATGTTCCCCAACACCGGCGGCACTGCTATCTCTTCCTCCAACCTCGTCTGGTACGGTAAGGTTTCCATCACATTCAAGACTTCTTACAGTCCCGGTGTCGTGTCTGACATGATCCTGTTGTCCAGCGTCAAGGATGAGATCGACTACGAGTTTGTTGGCTCCGATATGACCACCGCCCAGACCAACTACTACTGGCAGGGTGCTCTCGTTTACACCAAGGGCCAGAAGACCCCCGTCTCCAGCAACACCATGGACAATTTCCACACCTACACTATCGACTGGCAAGAGGACCAGATCAACTGGATCATTGACGGCCAGACCGTCCGCACTCTCAACAAGCAGGATACTTATGATGCCACTTCCAACACCTACGCCTATCCTCAGACTCCCGCTCGCGTGCAGTTCGGTTTGTGGCCTGGTGGAGCCTCGAGCCAGCCCGAGGGTACTCGCCAGTGGGCCGGTGGTGATATCAACTGGAACATGGGCGATCCTGGCTACTATTATGTTGATGTTGAGTCTGTTGAGATCGACTGCTACGACCCCCCCGCTGGCACCACTCAGACCGGCAACAAGGCCTACGTCTACACTAATAAAGCCGGTCTCCAGAGCGATGTTGAGATTACCAACAACTCCACTATTTTGCTCAGCACCGACGGTACCGGAACCAACCCTCTGGGCTCCAAGGCTAACAGCAACAGCGGTAACGACACTTCCTCCGACACCTCTGGTGGCATTCTCTCAGGCATTCTTACTTCCAGCCACTCTTCTTCCTCCGTTGCTCCTTCTTCGAGCGCTGCTAACTCTTCTACTGCTGCTTCTTCCAGCATGCAGAGCTCCAGCGCCTCAAACTCCTCTAGTGTTGTCTCCAGCACCGAAGCTAAGAGCAGCTCCGCTGCGGCCAGCTCTTCTGAGGCTGCTTCCTCTGCAGACGAAACCAGCACTTCGGTTTCCTCTGCAGCCCCCAAGACTACTGGCCCCAAGACCGCCACTCCCACTTTGACTGCCGCTGAAACCACCTCCCAGGCTTCTGCCTCCAGCAAGGCTGCTAATGCTGCTCAGGCAGTTGGTCCCTTGGCTGCTCTTTTCGCCGTTGTCCCCGCTGCGCTCCTGCTCTAATTCGATGGTCATTGTGTACATTATCTAGAAAATTAAGTTTATAACTATACCTTTTTTTTAATCTATTTCGACAGTGCAGGGCTATCCGCGAGGCCCTTTTCTTGTTGACACAAGAGGATATTTTCCAGTGCTTTGACAACTTTTTTCATAAAAGCAACATCTCCAGGAGAGAAAGTGCAAGATGCTGATGAGAAACTGCACATAATGAACCCTCCCCAACGCACATATACAACATTATCTGTAACATTTGTTTCTGGCTGTGGTTTAGTCTCTTCGAAAGTGAACTCATCATCGGTCATACTTGTACACGATGACGGCGAATTGACTGCGTTGGACTTGTTAACAACGGTGGCTGGGGTCCTGCGAAAGGGAATCAATAAAACACTAGGGTATTCCGCACTGCCCTCACAGTCCTGAAAACAGTTGGCGGTGTACTTGAGACCAAACTTGGAACTCAAGGCCGAGAGCAGTACTTTTTTGTCAAGTTCAGGCTCATAAACACCACTGTTGCTTCCAACTTTTCGGATTTGGATTTGCTTTTTAACCAGCCGTTTGGGCAGTCGCTCGAAGGCTGCGCTTTCGTCCTCGTGATGAGCATTTTTGAAAGTAGTAAACACTTGTTCATCAACTAAATAGCGGCTTCGGGCGCGAATTTCAACAACATATACAACATCGAGCCCAAGTGTTCTAGCGGTGATGTGACATGCTTTGACAAACGCTTGACGGAAACTGCGACACTTTAACAAAGACTCAAACACTTGATACGGCTGTAAAACAACCTGGCCGCCAAGAGGCTGGAAGCAGGATGCCATTCCCGGCTTCGTGTGTGTCAAACAAAAGTCAGGGACTCCGCTATCACCGTCGACCGTAAGAGGCGTATCCGTCTGAGACTCCAGGTCGGTTGTACTTTCTCTTGGATCTGAAGTAGCTGGCCAATCGATTCTAGGCCTAGGAAGCTCTGCGTTGACTTCGATATGTTCCATTACTTTTTCAGCGGCAAATTGCAATGCTTGTATTAGTCCACGGGGGACCTGAGTCCGAAGGTAGGGATCGAACATGGACAAAACACCAACTGCTGTACCATTTGAATTTGAAATCAGCGGAACACCTGCGTAAAACTTCAGAAAAGGTGGTCCATGAACCAGGGGGTTGAATTGGGTTCTCCAATCCGAGCTAGCATCGAGCAGGGCAAAGTGGTCTTTAGATAAAAGTGCATGGCCGTCAATTGACAATTTTCTGGAAATAATTCTGATTTCAGAGCCTAAACCAATCTGAAAGCACACATATTGGCAATTCGCATCAACGATCGAGATACATGCGCAGCTCAGACGATGTTGGGCCATAATCGGCCGAAGCATAGAGTCAAACCACTCTTTTTGCTTGACTATTTCTCGGCGGTCAATCAATCGTGCAACAGCCTGAAGGCGTTCTGCCTCGTTAGCTGATTCTGGCGGAGACATATGGCCGTACCCGTTGAAGCAGACAGGACGGGCGATGTTGCTCAAGTTTTGGGTGCCTTTCTGGTACATTTCAATCCAGTCATGCCACGTTTGGTCAAGTGCCCCAAAGGTACCGGTGGCTGTGTTTAGTTTTGTTCCTGATTTCATGCTGCTAACCGTGCTAGTATGGACACTGCTGCTCGCCCGCTTCAACCAGGAGTTTCCATCGGAAGCTTTTCTGGTCCGGGACGGGCGACGAAACGGCAACGACAGTACGCGGCGAATTGAGTTCACAGTCGAATCTTCAGTCATTATAGTGAATAAGTTAATTAGGATGGTAATTTATTTACTCCACCGTATTTAATGCCATTCATGCAGTGGGACTAATCGAACAGCGGTTTCGCTATTTCCTTTTTTGTAGCATCTGCATGACTTTTCCGTTTCATGGCACGTTTACGCCCTTCGGAATTACCATGGAACTTATGCGATAGGTGTTTGAATGCTTGTTTCGGGTCCAACAAATTCCCTTGGTCGTCGCGGTGCTCGAGTTCAACAACAGGTTGGTAATCCTCGAATTGCCGTCTTGCAAGTTCAAGTTCTTCTTTGGCGTTTTGTTTATCTTGGGCTTCAAGATATTCAGACCGTTTTTTAGAAGGCAGATGGTCAATGGATTCCTGTTGTTGTCGCAGTTCAAAATCACGTTGAAGACGCTGTGTTGCGACTTTTTGCAGCCATTCTTTGTTCTTGCGTTTTTTGCGATCATTTTCGGGCTTGACAACGCCTTTACTTTTCAACAAACTCAAAGTGGCAGCTAAACCGTTGGATACGAGTTCATTTTCGAGTTCAGTTTCTTCAATAACAGCGGGTTCCTCGAAGGTCTCGACGACCGGTTCTACAGCAGGAGCTGGAGGTTCTTCTAGTCTTTTACGCATTGAAAAAAGAAAATCAGTTGTACTACTGATAATAATTCCTTCTTTGGATGGTGTATCAGTCGTTGATTCTTCTGTGACTAGTTTCGCGATTTCCTCGGGGGCTTGGATCTTTAGCTTGTTCTTTCTGTTCTGACCCAGAATTTGGTGCAAATCTTCTTCTTCATCATCAATTGAAAACGTAGAGGGTAATTTATAATCTTCCTCGTCAACAACTCTTTTATTGAGAGACTTTCTTTTCTTTGTTTTGAATTTCACTTTTTTGAAATCAGACTCGGTTTGTATTACAGGTCGATCCTCTTTCTCTAGTGGGTCGAAAGTACCCTCGAATCTGTCATTGGATATTGAAAGTGGTTCGGTCTCTGGCTGCTTAGGTGCGCTTTTGGTTTTTGGAATAGGCTTGGCTGTTGGTATCGTTTCTGGTACTGGCTCTGGAGGTACGCTGGGGCTCGACTCAGGCTCTGATTCCGATTGGGCGATTGAGTTGACCGCTTTTACTTTAGCCAACCAGTTCAAATTCGATGCTTTTGGTTCGACTCTCGTCGCTTTATGATGGCGGATCCGGTTCTCCATTTCTTCAATTTTGGCTTGTGTAGAAATAGCAGCAGCCGCCTTTTCGGCATCTTTTTCCCGCTGCTTCCACGCTTTAACATCATCAATCTCAGCAGCCTTCTCGGTCAGGATCGGACGGAGCCCGAGAGATATCCTGAGAGCATTTGTTTGCTCCAAGGAAATAGTTTGTTCCATGACAAAAAGTCCCAGACGACCCTCAGGTACAAAATAGGTCAGAGTTGATAGAATACTTTCGAAATAAGTCTTTTGCAGGTCTGTTTACGCAAACAGTTAATAAATCCGAGACTGAAGGCTCACATTTTGCCTCACCTTCTCGAGAGTTGTACAAAATAGGCGGCTGGCGGATCCGGCAATGCATGAAGGGAACATCTACAGCGCAAAATGCCGCGAGAGCCTTGGGGGTCATTACACTTGGACTAGCAAGAATCGAAAGCCAAGGCAGGGACTGCGCTTGGTTCAAGCGCAATTGCGTCCCAGCCAATTCTCGCCATATCCTCGGTGCCACTTTTGTTTGTGAGGATTTACATTGTACAAGCACATTGAATTCAGCTGAAGCACTGTGCCAAGAACCCAACAAGTCAATTCCATTATCGGCTGCTCCGCCAACTTTCGTTAAATCACCAAGACCATACTGGCCAAGGGCCTTTGCTAGAACGGCTTTGGTGGTATATTCAAACAAAGTACCTCGGAAAAGGTAACTAGTTTGGTTGGCTTGTGAAGCAAAAGAGTATCTCACAAAGGAATCGAGATCAGTGTGATATTTTCGAAATGGCGCCAGGTTCCTAGCGTGTTGACATACCATTTGTCATTAGAGTATGTCGAGCGAGGTGGGCTCACCAGGTAACCTGGCCATTGAGGAGCCCGAAATCCAGAATGGAGGCAAAATTGAGCCGCTATCCAAGTCCAGTAACGCAGAGGGCTCTCTGGAGCCTCGAACACCGGTCCGGAACCGTCCGGTGTCAGTAGGAATGAGCCCTAAAAGCCCTGCTCCAAGTGCCGGTGTGACTCAGATCGCCCGCGACATTGAGTCTCAAGTTGACAGAATGCAAGAGATACTGGCCTCCTACGAGAGCGATTTGAATTCTCGATTGGATCAAATAGTTAATAGACTAAAGGATTGAATGTATCTATCAAGTTACTAATGCCGGCGAAGAGGCGAGTTCGGAAAAAGCCCCAGACGATTCGAGCTATAGCTGCTCAATCTAAAGGCACAATGCTTGCTAACGAGGTGGAGGCTGTTTTTGAGCCTCTCGAGTTGGGTGACAACCCGGAATTCCAGCGAATTGCCGCCAGGTTCACCGCTCAAGATAAAGATCAAGCCCCGGTGAAATTTGAACAGGAGACGGTTGAAGAGGTTCCTAGCAAAAAACGAAGAACAAAAATCTCTCTGGCCACTTTGAAGGAACACACCGGGCGGCCAGAGCTTGTACAATTGTGGGACGCTGACGCCAAAGATCCGCTGTTCCTGATCCAATTGAAAAGCGCTCCGGGGGTCGTTCAAGTGCCCCCTACATGGCAAAGTTCGTTTTTCAAGTCACGATTTTACCGTCGACCAGCCTACAGGCTTCCCCAGAATATTTCAGATACAGGAATCATGGATTTACGAGACGTCTACGAAGACGAGCAAGAAACGCTCACGCAAAAGAGCCGGCAGCGTGTCCAGCCCAAACTAGGAAAGCTCGATGTTGATTTCCGGAAATTGCATGCCGCGTTCTTCAAATTTCAGCAGAAGCCAAGACTCTCAAGCTTTGGATCAGTATACGACCCCTCCAAGCAACAAGCGGCAGACGTTAATTTTGATCAGTTCACACCAGGCGTGCTGTCTGACCGACTGAGAGGAGCACTAGGACTAGGACCGCATGATGAGCCACCATGGGCAAAGACACAAGAGAAAATAGGCCTTCCCACTGCTACGAAGCATGAACATTGGGGCGAGATGAATCTCGACAGCGAGTCTGAACAGTCCGAGTCTGATCTGGAACCCGAACAAGAAGAACAGCCCCAGCCGGAGCCTGAAAAAGATGACGAGCCCAAATACGAGCCTGATTCAGAGTCGGAACCGGAGCTGCCCACAGAGTCTGCTTCAAACAGACAACTGTACGTTGAACTGCAAGAGTCTTCAACCGAAGGAGCTCTGGGTCCTTCTAAAAAGTATAACCTACCTTAATTTATTTAGAATGCTTTTCTGCGATTTTCTTGGCAGCTTCGATACTTCCACCCGATTGCCTGACCTGTTCCAGAGTCTCTTCATCCAGCGAAGACACCAAAAGGGGCATTCCTTCCATTAACAGCATCGTAATGAGACCCATAAACACCATAGGTTGCTTAATCAAGGCCCAGAAACTGAACCCAGGCCGCTGTACAACTGTTTGGTGCTTCTTATATCCAGTAAACGCTAGTGGGTAAGCGTCAGACGGACCGACGTCGGTTAGCGCGTGGCCATACAGAAGCTTGTTGGCTAACAATCCCTCCTCGGAGATGGTTAATTTGTAGCGATAATCGTACGAAACAATAGGCGAGTCCACAGTAACGAGGTACTGGCCTGCCTGTATGTTGTGGAAAGTGAAGTTGCCTCCCGCGGTGATGTATTGCAGGTCCTGCTGCCCAGTTAGCACATCTTCCAGCCTCACAGTGACACCAGAAACCCATTCGGGCCGTAAATTAGCCACATAACCATCAACAGCATAGCATGCTGCCGTAGATATCCAGCCCAACATCGCCAGAAGGCCCAACATGGTGAGTGGTGATTAATAAAGCGGGTTACGAGTCAAGTGCATAGTTTATATTATATACTGCTTTCTAGAGCTGGAAAGCGGCAGAGGACTTGGCCATGGTTGGAGACGAACGTGCAACGGAGTTTGTGAGGTAGAAGTTGTCAACAACGCTGCGCAGAGGAGCCTTGGTAGAAGAGGCACTGAGCGCACCCAGCTGCTTAGCGGCCAACTCGCCCAAGACGGAGGGCTCCAAAGCGTCCAAAGAAAGCAAGTTAGGAGCAATCTCGGAAATGCGGTCGCGCAACTCCACGATGTTTTCATAGGGCAGAGGAACGCTAAGGACGTCGCTGAGAGCCTTGATGATCTTCCAGTCCTCACGGGCAGCACCAGGAGGTGCAACGGCGGCGCGGGTAGCTTGAGCACGGCCCTCAGTGTTGACGTAGATGGCATTCTTTTCGGTGTATGCAGCACCGGGCAAAATAACGTCGGCAAGAGGCGCACCAACATCACCATTGTGGCCCTGGTAGATGACGAAGGCGTCCTTGGGCAGGTCCTTGGACTTGATCTCATCAGCACCGAGCAAATAAACAATCTTGGGGGTGGTGGCAGCGACCTCAGCGTTGGGGACAGCAAAACCAACGTCATAAGCACCGGCACGCGAGGCAGCACGCTGAAGAACGGACAAACCATTCCACTCTTCGTTGATGACATTCTTGTTGGCAGATGCGAACTCACCCAGAGCTTTGTAAATAACCGCAGCGTCACCGCTCTCAGCAATGCCAGAACCGGCAATGATCAAGGGACGCTTGGCGGCTTTGAGAGCCTTTCCAAAGTCGCCCTTCAAAGCCTTGGTTAAGCTTGTAGCATCAGATCCGAGGGCCTCGTACTCAAAGGTGGAGTTGAAGTCGGGGCCAACCAGACCAATGCGGACCTCGTTGTCGAGCCAGTGCTTGCGGATACGGGCATTCATAACGGCAGCCTCCAGACGAGGGTTGGTGCCGACAAGAAGAATAACATCGGCGCTCTCAATACCGTCAATAGTAGCATTGAAAAGGTAGTTTGAGCGGAAGTCAGTAACAGCAGCCAGCGGCTTGTCACCCTCAGCAAAGTCGTGAGCCAAGTTTTCAGAACCGAGACGGTTGGCCAAGTCTTTAAGGGCGACTGTGGACTCAACGTCCACGAGATCACCAATGACAGCCTTGAACTCGTTCTCCTTAGGCTGCAGCTGCTCGAATTTTGACTGAATCAACAACAGCACGTCCTCCCAAGACGCCTGCTTGAAAACACCCTCCTCCTTGATCAGAGGAACGGTAAGGCGCTGAGTGTTCAAACCGTCAACGGCGAAACGCGTCTTGTCGGAAATCCATTCCTCATTGACGTCGTCGTTAAGGCGGGGAAGAACTCGCAAAACGGACTGACCGCGAGAGTCGACCCGGATATTCGAGCCAACAGCGTCAAGAACGTCAATAGACTCAGTCTTTTTAAGCTCCCAGGGACGGGCCTTGAAAGCATATGGCTTGTTTGTCAGAGCACCAACGGGACACAAATCGATGACATTACCAGACATCTCAGAGTTGAGGTTGCGGGACAAATAGGTACCGATTTGCATGTCGTTACCACGACCGGTGGTACCGAGCTCGGGGGCGCCAGCAATATCGTTGGCAAAACGAACGCAACGAGTGCACTGGATGCAGCGGTTCATAGATGTCTTGATGAGAGGACCGATGTCCTTGTCCTCCACCGCGCGCTTTCCGGCGATCTCGTGGAACCGGCCGCGATCAGAACCATAGCGCAGAGTTTGCTCCTGCAAGTCGCACTCACCACCCTGGTCACAGACGGGGCAGTCCAGGGGATGGTTCGCCAGAATCATCTCGGTAACACCCTCACGGGCCTTTTTAACCCGCTCGGTGTCGGTGCGTACAACTTGGCCCGGAGCCACGGGGAACGCGCACGACGCAACCGGCTTGGGGGCACGCTCCAAGTCAACAAGACACATACGACAGTTACCAGCAATAGCTAGTTTTTCGTGGTAGCAGTATCTGGGCACCTGGACACCGGCCTTTTCAATGGCCTGGATGAGGGCCGAGCCTGCTTCAATAGAGACCTCACGACCATCTACAGTCAGTGTGACCTCTGCTGCACGGAACGGAGTCGTGGAAAACGTCCGCAGCGCCTGCCGCGCTGCCAGTCTCGATCTGGCAAGCATTTGGTGATGGTAAGCTAGTAAACGATTAGTGAGAATGTGATTGGTAGTTGAGGCAGGGTAAGCTGGGAGGTTGGCCTGCCAGAAAAAAAATTGGTTGGCTCTGCCCTGGGCGGGAGGGGGTGACAAATCGGCGGCTCCCGAAGTTTTCGATCTTTAATTGTTCATGGCCACTTATTGTGAGGGTACGAAATAGGCAGAAGACACTTGGTGGCTTTTGTGCACACTCTTTTACCCTTCTATCATGTGGCCTAGATCGAGTGTGCCTCAACTGGTGCTGTGGATTGTTACATGAAGCTTTGCCTTTACCGGGGGTACGACATAACTATGTATTTTGTAATTTTTTCGCCTAGCCAAAACCACGTCCGGGACTTTTTCACGACTTTTTCACGAGACTGCATGATCGCTAAGCAAAGCCTTTGACTGGGCCTTGGGTGAACGCAGAGCCCTGCACGAGAATGCACCCGGATACGAATCTTCCGGTGGGACAGGGCGAAATTTCGGGGGAGCAGCCAGTAAAAATACGAGAGCAGCAGCCAAATAGCACTCTAGTAACTAAACAAACATTTCTAGGCTTCGTCACATCGCCGCTCGACCTTTGCAGCTCCCTGCAAACCGCCTCTGGAGATTCCACTATGGTGCAAGCGATTGATGTCACATCACGTGACTGGGGTATGCGTAGGTATTAAATGTGCAGAGACCGATGACTCTTGAAAACTTGCTGAAAGCGCTGCTGCAATAATTGAACTTTGCCTCCACCTCTAGAAAACAATGTCATCAGTGGAAGTGGCAAATTCAAACCATGCTGTCGAGCAAATTGTCACGAGTGTGGCCCAAAAGGTTTTCTCGGTCAGGTCCCTTGCGGAGCCTAATGAGAAAATCACCTCACTTTCGGCACAAAACGATCCGGTGGGCGAGGTAGCGGCATACCTCGATGAGTTTCCTCTCGAGGACGGCGAAACTGCGGCTCTTCTCACTCCAGTTTCTGGACTGTTCAATGGCCTCACCAGCTTTGGCGCTCTTTCCGCAAAGCCTGTAGTCTTCCACACAGTCGTTGGCACAGATTACGGCTACATTTCTGCTTTGCGCCACTCTGGATTTGTCTTTTTGCAAAGTTTCGGTCCTGAAGATGCTCAGGATACTGCCTTGGCCGCCCATTTGGTCGCTCGGCTCTTGGGCAAGCCAGTGGTCCATTTTTACGAAAATGTAGAGCGTGCAGTACCAATCCGCTGGTCTCCTGAAGCCATAGGTGCCTCTCTTGCCGCAATTGCTACATCTGATGTCGACCCTGAAACCAGCGAGGACCCAAAGGAGCCGGTACTGGAGACACCCTCCACCGCCATCGGAAAGGCTCTCTCCGTTGCGGGGCTCGCGGCATATGAATACCGCGGTGATGCCAACGCAAAGAATGCTCTGGTTGTTCTTGGAAGTACCCAGGCTTTAGCCGAAGCGGTTGCTAATACCTCCCAGGTTGGTGCCCTTTATATCCGCGTTTATCAGCCGTTCGACGCCGCACAGCTTCTTGCAGAATTGCCCAAATCAGTCTCTAGGTTGGCCCTTTGTGAGCAGATTGCAAACCCCACTACTGCTTTTCTTCCAATCGCACAGGATATCCTTACTGCACCCGCAACGTCGTTGGCTGCTTTCGACCATATCGCTACTTTCCGTCTTGGTGCGGTCCCTGCACTTTCTGATATCATCGGCAACCTCGAGGCTGGTAATTCTGAACAGGGCCTGTTGATTGGCTCTCCTCTTGGCCAGACTACCGAAAGTGACAACTCCTCTTCCGTCGCTGCTGCTATCGCCTCCGAGACTGCTTATTTCAAAGTTTTGAAACAGCTCTTCCCCAACGTCGATTTGCTTAATATGACAAAAGAAGCTACCACTGGCCTGGATACCGTTCCAGAGTATGGCTTTGGTGCTTTCCTCGCGTCGGAGAAAGAGCACGCCGAAGTCAAACATAAGCTTCTAGCCGACGCCAAAGCTGGAAAGTTCAGCCAGGAAATTGTATCCTCTATCTCTAAATGGGCTTTGGGTGATAACAGTGTTGCTGTGATTGAACCTCTTCAAAACTCTGCTGAGCTGGCCGAGTACAAGAGCCAGATTACTCCTGCCACCCCTTGGCTGGTGGGTAGCGATACCTGGTCCTACGATTTCGGTACTTCTGGTGTTCATCATGTTTTGGCATCCAGAAAAAACATCAACATGCTTGTCATCGATTCAAAACCTCAGTCCGCAGTTATTACGTCGCGTCAACGCAAGAAGGACATCGGCCTTTATGCTATGAGCTTTGGCAACGTCTACGTCGCTTCTGTTGCTATTTACGCATCTTACACACAACTCCTCCAGGCTTTCTTGGAAGCAGCCTCTTTCAATGGTCCATCTATTGTTGTTGCATATCTGCCTCATGAGGGAAAGACGGATCCTTTGGCAGTTCTTAAAGAGACTAAGCGTGCTGTCGATACTGGATACTGGCCATTGTATCGATATGATCCTCGCAACGACACTGATGCTTTTAAGCTTGACTCTTTCACAATTCGCAAGAATCTTGAGGACTTTTTGGCTCGTGAGAATAAGCTTACCTTACTTGCCAACAAGACGCCCCAGATTGCTCGTGATTTGCAAGCCAGTTATAGTGCCAATGTCCGCCGTGAGCAACTGAAAAGCGCACGTGAGGCTTATGATAAGCTTCTTGCTGGTTTGAGTGGTCCACCCGTACTTGTTTTGTTCGCTTCGGACGGTGGTCAGGCTGAGATGGTTGGTCGTCGTCTGGCTCGCCGTGCTAAGGGCCGTGGCCTCAAGGCTAGCGTCGCTGCTTTCGACGATATCGAGGCTGATGATCTTGCCAAGGAGACCAATGTTGTTTTCATCACTTCCACTGCTGGTCAGGGTGAGTTCCCTCAAAACGGTCGTGAACTTTGGGAGCAGCTCAAGGGCGGCAGTGATTTGGACCTTTCAAACGTGAAGGTAGGCGTTTTTGGTATGGGTGACAGTCAGTACTGGCCCCGCAAAGAAGACAAACTCTACTATAACAAGCCCTCGCATGATCTTTGGAATCGCTTAACCAAAATGTTGGGTGCCCAAGAGCTGGTTGAGCTTGGTCAGGGTGATGACCAGGATGCCGATGGATGGGCAACTGGCTATAATGATTGGGAGGCCAAGCTCTGGGAGGCTCTTGGTGTCGCTAATGTGCAAGGTGAAGATGAGCCTGCTCCGCGCACAAACGAGGATATTAAGCTTGGATCCAATTATCTTCGCGGTACCATCGCCGAGGGTCTTAAGGACAAGTCTACTGGAGCTATCAGCGCTGATGATCAGCAATTAACCAAATTCCATGGTATCTACATGCAGGATGATCGTGACGTTCGTGATGAGCGCAAGGCCCGTGGCCTGGAGCCTGCATACTCTTTCATGGTTCGTGTACGTTTACCTGGCTGTGTCGCCACTCCTGAACAGTGGCTCAAGATTGACGAGCTCTCTGATTCTCGTGGCAATGGTACTTTCAAGATCACCACCCGTGGTACTTTCCAGCTTCATGGCGTCATTAAGGAGGATCTCAAGCCAGCTATTCGAGGCATGAATGCTGTTCTTATGGATACCGTCGCTGCTTGCGGTGATGTAGACCGCAATGTTGTTGCTGCTGCTACTCCTCATAACGCTGCTGTCCATCGCCAGGTCTATGAAGTTTGTAATGAGATCTCCGAACATTTATTGCCTCGCACCACCGCTTACTACGAGATTTGGCTCGAGGGTGAAGATGCCTCTGATGGACCAGGCTTTGCAGAGGCCTGGGATAACCGCAAGGACGGCTGTACCAAGAAGCCCAAGAAGCAGTTGGTTAGCCAAAGTGCCATAGAGGACGTTGAGCCTCTCTACGGCAATGTTTATCTCCCGCGGAAGTTCAAGATCAATGTTGCTGTTCCCCCATACAACGATGTCGATGTTTACGGCCATGATATCGGCCTCATTGCCATTGTTGATAATGATGATAAGACTGTCACCGGCTTCAACGTTCTGGTTGGTGGTGGCATGGGTACTACTCACAACAACAAGAAAACTTACCCCCGTACTGGTTCGCTCATTGGCTACGCTTCCCGCGAAAAGATCACGGAAGTCTGTGAGAAGGTCATGCTTGTTCAGCGTGATAACGGTGACCGTACAAACCGAAAGCATGCTCGCCTAAAGTACACTGTTGATGATATGACACCTGAGGGTTTCAAAGCCGAGGTCGAGAAGTACTTGGGTTACCCTCTGGAGCCTGCTCGTCAACACCCTACTTTCAAGACCAATGTAGATACCTACGGTTGGGTTCGTGATGAGGAGGGCTTCAATCACTTTACTACCTTTGTTGAGAACGGGCGTGTTGAAGATACTCCTGAACTGCAGTTCCGGGCTGGTTTCCGCGAGATTGCCAAGGTTATGCAGGGTTCCAAGGCTGAATTCCGCCTCACTGCTAACCAGCACATCCTTGTTGCCAACATCTCTGATGAGCAAAAACCCATCATTGATAAACTGCTTGTGAAATACAAGCTCGACAATCTGGCATTCAGTGGTCTCCGTCTTTCTTCTGCTGCTTGTGTTGCGTTCCCCACTTGTGGGTTGGCTATGGCTGAAAGTGAGCGTTACCTTCCGGTTCTTGTTACCAAGCTTGAGTCCGCTCTGGAAGAGTATGGTCTTCGTCATGATTCTGTCACAATGCGCATGACTGGTTGCCCTAATGGTTGTGCTCGTCCTTGGTTGGCTGAGGTTGCTTTGGTCGGAAAGGCTTATGGTGCCTACAACTTGTATCTGGGAGGTGGCCACGTCGGTGAACGTTTGAACAAGCTCTACCGCTCGTCTTTGAAGGAGGAGGAAATTCTTGAAACTCTTTTGCCTTTGTTCAAGTCTTGGTCGTTGGAGCGCAAAGATAGCGAACCATTCGGTGACTTTGTTATTCGTAAGGGTGTCATCTCTGCCACTCGCGAGGGCAAAGACTGGTGGGAGAATGTTGAGCCTGGTTTGGAGTAATGTCTAGAAAAAAATACATAATGCGTGAATATCTACTGGAGTTTTCTTGGCTGAGGTCTTTCCATGTAAAGAGTCAGAAGCCAGCCAGCAAAGTAGTTTACAAGATGGTGCATCATGAAAGTGTGCATCGCACCGTAAACAAGCGCATAGGTTGCCATATAGATCAGGCAGGCGTATGTGAAACGTTTCAATAATACATTGTCGCAGGGAGGGGGTATGGGACTTGGATGCTGCGACAAAAAGTATACGAGGATCACGATCGGAGCCGCGGCCACAATGTTGCGGTAGGTCGAGAAAGCCAATGACCACTCGAAGTTGATATTATGCGCCCAGACGACAAGGATAGGGCCATCAATGGCGCACGTCCAAAGGAACAGCATTGAAAACGTGTACTGCCATGAATCGGCATCAACCGTTTTTGATAGCAAAAATACAGTGACAGCAATGAACACAACCTGATAAGGAATGAAAAATAATGCCGAAAGCCAGAATAAGTTGCCAATAATGTATACAGCGGGGTTTTTCAGGGACTGAGGCACGGGCGGACCACGGCAACCTCGACAAGCAGCGTTCTGAAGCCAGCCATTTGCAAATACGATTGCGGAGAGTACCTGGTGGACTAGCATGAGAGCTGCCGTTGCCATGACAAGGAGCAAAGGCGGAATCCAGAATAAAAGTGGCTCATCAACTCCAACTAGCATGTCATGAATGTCAAATGTTTGCCTCTGCAGTGCATGGATATTGTACCGTTCACTTGGCATTTGTAAAGACCTGATCAGATTCCGCAATGGACGCCAGCATAGCGCCAAATGAGTCACTGCGAGTCCTTTTGCAATGTGAAGAAGATATTTTTCCGTGAAAATAGACAAACTATCCGAAAACGAAATGTGTTTGTTTGCGTGGAAAGCTCTTAGCTGAATGAAAACACAAATCAATACGACTGCAAGGGGGTACGTGGCCAGAGATGCGCGGTAGTTGATTGCCAAGTTTGAAAGGGTCGCCCACCAGTCCACTTTGATACGAGCGATATGGCTGGGGCCGCTACTGCAGATTTCGGGAGCGAAGATCTGAAGATAAAGACCACGCGAGTCATCAAAGGGCATGTACGGTGATTCAGAATACCAAACAATGCGTGCTGTATTGCCAACATACCACCGCGACTCACGAGCGGTCCATGACCGGATCGCCAAGGGGATGTCGTTGGCACCAGCATGTGAGGGTTGGCACTGAGGAAGAACCTCAACTTGTAAACTCAACAAACTTGATTTGATAGTAGGGAGAGAGATATTAGTGTATCTTTCTATCAGCGGAACGGATATTCCGGTGAGAACAGTCCAAAGCAAAGAGCTGTGGTGAGCTGCTTGAGCGACTGGAATAACAAGACCATTTGAATCTTGTTTGGGGTTGACTTCGAAAAAGCCAACGGGTGTTTCGAAATAAGCCGCCTTTTCGGTTCGGTCGTGCCACACCAGTGTATCGTTCTCCGTCAACGAATCAATTGGAGATTTGAAGGCAGACTTGAGAGCCTGCATTCTTTGTGTTACAGGGATGGTTCGTTCTGGGCTTTTTGAGTCAACAATCTTGTAGAGACTGTCTACGATTACACTTCGAAGCTCGGCACACCACATAATTGCTAGATGGTCAATTCCTCGCCAGACCTTTGGAATAGAGTACGTGAACGCAGACAAGCCGTGAGTGACTGGAATCAGGGAATCCACCGGCGTTGAATCAGGAACGACCATGTGATCAATATGACCACCCGAGATCGAAACAAGAGTTGTATTCTCCATCGGACTGTGCTTTTCGGAATAGCAGTTTCTCCAATACTGGTTTACACTGTCGTACACCATTGTGACGTCTTTGTCCAAAGTCAGAGGCGGGAAAATATGAGGGGTACTGAGAGTGAAAATGGTATTGATACTACCTGGAATGTAGTTATCCAGGGTGACTGCAGTTCTGGCGACTATCCCACCCATTGAGTGGCATAGCACGATAACCGAGGAGGGCACGACAGCGAGATTCCCATGCTGCGCATAAAGACCGAGAATATGGCTGATAGCATCATTCACATACGCAGCCTCGTCAACGATGGTTTTGCCATGTAATGCAGACATATCCTCGCTGAAATGCAGCAGGAAAAAGTCGAAAGGGGTTTCGGTGCCCAACTCTTCGCCCAGGTTGATGGCTAGCGCAGCTAACGATCGACCCTGAGAATGAGAACCAGCATTGCCAGGAATAAATATGACAGGAGTTCCTCCTAGGGTGTGAGGACCGGTATAAACTTTCGATACTCCGCCCTCTTGATACAAGTAAGTTCTGTAGCGGGTGGAGACTTTTGACGACGGGCTCTGAACATTAATCTCAACGGAGGAGGGCCTGGAATATGACATTGAGCATGTGTTTGGCTCGTAGTAAACGTCCAAAAAGGACAGTGCAGTAACCAGAAACAGCAGCGCGCCAGCAAACAGCACGTACTTTGGACTGTGAGCCATTGTTGTCTCGAGCAAACGTTAGCGGGGTCTAAAATTTTCTCTCCAGCCTTTTTGGTGGGCCAGATCGCTGGATGTTGTGCCTACGCCTTGAGGATTGGCACAAACGTTGAGCTAATTGAGGGAACCCAGTTCGACGACGAGGGAATCTGGTTTGCGACTAAGCAACCGTATTGATTTCGACAGTTTTTCAGCGACCATATGGGGTAAGGGCACGGGTGGCTCACATGGGTTCCAGCCACCGATTGATTGGCACGTTTGGTGGGGTGAGCGTTTGGGGCGAGATTCAGGTTGATATTGTTGTTCCTGGCCTCGTTTTGTGCATTGGACGATAAATATCAGCAGTATACGTCGTCTGTGGGCTGCTGTGTCGATTTTTAGAATCTGTCCAGTCTGCATGACAATCCTCGCGGCCACAGACACCTCCTTACCCTAAAGTAATCATACATACAATGTTGAGATAGGAATAGAGGGACTTACGCTTTGTAAGCAGACAGAAGGGTTTTTTTCTGGATAATTTCCCTGGTTTGAAATTTTCGTTGTAGTTGAGTCCCATGTCGAAGTATATTGGTAAAACAGCACTTGGATTTGCTAGAACTTGGCACCATATTGATGTTGCCCGAGATCCCCGCCCGCTCGGTCGTTTAGCCACTGCTATTGCAACCGCGTTGATAGGCAAACACAAACCTGTTTATTATCCTGGCTCGGACTGCGGAGACTACGTTGTGGCGACAAACTGTCAGTTTATTTATGCTACTGGTAAAAAGGACCAATTTAAGCTGTACCGGCGGCATAGCGGCCGGCCTGGTAATCTTCACGAAACGACGCTGGCTGATCTGAAAAACCGCAAAGGTGGCGGTGAAGTTCTTCGCAGAGCCGTTTCTGGTATGCTTCCCAAGAACCAGCTTCGCCAGCGTCGTCTTGAGCGGTTACGGACGGTGGAAGATGGCAACAATCCCTGGGCACAGAACATCACCGCTTTCCACGACGAGGCGGTTAAGAGCGAGTCCCAAACAGCTTGAAAACAAAAAAATTTGAAAAGCAAGTTACAATTTGTATATAAATAATGCACGATTTTCCTCATCTCAAGACTTGTCGCTCGGAACGAGCGTTTCCCGTAACAGAATGCGCTGACGCACTAGCAACGCTGCAACATTGGATTTCATTCGCAGATCCGCAATGCGTTCATCTATCAGCTTGTTGATCTGGTCCACAGTTTCCTGCTTGTCTCGCGGGCCCGTAGCTCTGTTCACCATAAGTGTAAACAAATATCTCCCAACCTGGCGGAATATCTCCAAGTCTACCTTTAGTCATGGTGTTGGAGGCGACAATGATTGTGCTCGATTCGAGCGAGTACATGCGCAATGGAGACTATTTACCGACGCGGTTTGAGGCGCAGCTTGATGCTGCGAACACTGTTTTCATGACCAAGCTGCAAGCCAACCCGGAGTCGACGGTTGGTTTGATGACGATGGGCGGCGAGGTGAAGACGACTTTCATCAACAATTTCAGCACATTTTTGGCCGGAATCCGCGACACCAAGATCACCGGCAAGTCGCGGCTGGCGGCCAGTATTCAAATTGCTGCGCTGTCTCTCAAGCATAGACAGAACAAGCACCAGCGCCAGCGTATAGTAGTATTTCTTGGATCTCCGATCGAGGACGGTGAACGAGAGCTTGTTCAACTGGCAAAACGCATGAAAAAGAACAATATTGCCATTGACGTCGTCAGCTTTGGCCAGGAGGCGGATAACGAGTCCAAGCTAGATCAGTTTATCGCTGCGGTCAATTCCAACGACAACTCTCACTTGCTCACCGTGCCGCCCGGTCCGCATGTTCTGTCTGATGTGGTTCGCCAAAGTCCGATCCTCAGGGACGGCAGTTCTCAGCCCGCCAATGCATATGTTGATGACGATCTTGGCTTCGATGCTGCGGATGACCCTGAGCTGGCCCTCGCGTTGAGAATGTCTCTTGAAGAGGAAAGATTACGCCAACGCCAGCAGGAGCAGCAGCAGGAGCAGCAGGAATCCCAACCGGATCAGTCTAAAAGCTCTGATGCCCAGACCTCGGAAGCAGCGCCGGCCGTCGCCGAAGAGTCTCAAGATGTTGTCATGGAAAATGACTCTGAAAAAGAGTAGTTAACTAAATAGTTCTAAAATTATGCGATTCCAGAACAATTCCCGGGCGGGGCAGCGTCTGGAAACCTAAGGCGTACCGGGGCCCTCGCCGAGCGGGGAACCCCGCAGTGCACGAAACTTCATCGGCGAAATCCACCAAGTCATCGGCGGGTTTATGTATGATTTTACAAAATGACTGTTTTAAGCTCCCATAATATTTTTCCAAACCCAACCTCAACAGCTCAACATGACCCGTGCTAGGCTCGACCGTGTTGAAAGAGGGTTGTTGACCCCTATCACATGGCAGCGGAGCGACTATGTAAGCAATGACTGAGAGTATATTTAACACATATCACCACTAAGTGCCCAAGAAGAACCCGGCATGGACGCCACATTAGAAGTTATGCCTACATTACAACCCACGATTGAGCGCAAGCCAATCAACTTTGGTAACATTGCTCTTGGTGCCGCTCTCAATTTGTTTGAGGTGACTACTCTTGGCCAGCCGTTTGAGGTTGTCAAGACGACGATGGCCGCAAACCGAGGCGATAGATTCCCGCAGGCGATTGCCCGAATCTGGGGCCGCGGTGGTATCTTTGGCTTCTGGCAGGGTCTTATTCCCTGGGCCTGGATCGAGGCCTCGACAAAGGGCGCGGTTCTGCTGTTCACATCAAGCGAGGTCGAATACTACTCAAAAGTCGCCGGCGCAAACAATTTCGTCTCAGGAATGGCCGGCGGTATGGTAGGCGGTGTTGCTCAAGCATATCTGAGTGTTGGTTTCTGTACGTGCATGAAGACTGTCGAGATCACGCGTCAAAAGCAAGCTGCTGTTGGTGTCACGCCGCCATCGACCTTCCGAGTGTTTCTGGATATTTATCAGAAAGAAGGAATCCGCGGAATTAACAAGGGTGTCAATGCCGTAGCTGTGCGTCAATGCACCAACTGGGGTTCCCGTTTCGGTATCTCCCGCTTAGCTGAAGATGCCATCCGCAAGGCCACCGGAAAAACCTCATCCGATCAGGGCACTCCCTCACTTAGTGCAGGTGAAAAGGTTCTGGCTTCTGCCATCGGTGGTGGTCTCTCCACGTGGAATCAGCCTATCGAAGTGGCTCGAATTGAAATGCAATCCCGCACTGAGGACCCAAACCGGCCCAAAAAACTTACCACCGGCTCGGCTATTCGCTACATCTACTCCCAGAACGGTTTGAAGGGTCTATACCGCGGTGTCACTCCCCGTATTGGTCTAGGCGTGTGGCAAACTATCTGTATGGTTGCTTTTGGTGATATTGCCAAAGAATGGATCTCGAAAATTACCCATGAAAAACCAACAGGCCACTAAGCTTCGGCCCCTCGCTCGCTTATGCTCTGCTCTTCCCTATAATATTATTTTCAGTCGGTATCTCAAATACTATAATTTTTTTCTCTCTTCAACCTATGGTGCTATGTCGGTAGACTTTCTTTGGCAGGGATCTCAGGCTTTGAACCGAATTTGTCGTACAGATAGAGTCCGAAAAAAGTTATGGCGATGCCCCAGCCTTGTGCAGTAGAAACCTGCTGGCCGAACCAAAAAATAGCCACTGTAATGACGACAATTCGTTTGAAAAGAGATGCAATAGAATAAGAAACAGTGGATATTGAGCCGAGCACCACAAAGGCCAAGAGATTTTGGGAGAAGTGCGAGAATCCGTTGAGAGTGAACAGAGTCAACAACAGTTTGAATGAACCAGTCGACGCGACACCATACTGAATCATGCGAATACCGTCCGAAAAAAACCAGATCGGCATGGTCAAAAAAAATGCAATTGTGTTACACCAGCACAACACAGTCATTTTATCAAGCTTGGGGGCATTATTGGCCGCACTGCCCGTGGTAAGCAGCCGCTTGGAATACATATTTTGCGTCACAAACACCATTGTTGCGGCCAGCGCATACAAGATCGCGAATGGACGTGCCATGAACCCAGCTCCGCACGTCATAATAACACCAAGCATCAGCGGACACAACGCTGCGTACGTAGCCCAGCTGTACTTGGCTCTCAAGAAAATTGTTTGGGCCAAAACTGTGAACAATGGCGACAGCGATTTGATCGCATGCACCAGAGATACAGGGATTTCTGACATGGACATGAAGCTCAAAATATGTCCAACAAGCTGGAAACAGGCCATCGGCCCCGTGGATTGCACAATATACTTATTAGGGGCAGGAACACCAGAGGTTCCAACCATGTCACGGGGGAACCAAAACGTGATCTCGGGCCGAATCCTCGCCAGAGTGCAAAAAAGACTGCTGAACGCCACGGCATACACAAATTGAGCCATCGTGAGAGTCACTGGGTAGTTGAACTCATCCAAAATCGCCTTGGCAATGTTGTTTGAAATGGCAGAACACAGGTACCACGCTAGACACATCACAACCAACGAAACGCTTATGGGCGGAGCGAGCTGTTTTGCAACCTCCTGTGTTTGCTCACTGAAAGATTTCGAGCGTATTCTCTCTCCGCTACGGTGGTGAGCATGGCGCGGGATATGATGGTGCGAAGGATGGTCCTGGACTTTCACATGGGCATGCTCCAACGAGAGTGCAGGGCGGTGTCTCGTCGGTGTGCTGATATCGGGAAATTTAACAGTGTCTTCGCCTATAGGACCTCCACTTTGGTCCCAATGCATCCCACTTCCAGAAGCTACATTGGTCATGATCGTTGTGTCCTCGTGGTTAAAACTTTAACCAGGGTGAGTTAATGACAAAAAAATATGCTGCACCAGAGTTCACGTAATGTTAGATTGTCGGGTTTTTCGCTGACTGCCGTGTTGGGACGTTTCATCCGCCTGCCTGCCCGCCTGCCCCTTGCCCCTTGCAAGTCTGACGGAAGAATTAATAAACGTGTCAGCCCTTGCCCAACTTTCAGTACAAGTAAATGAACTGAGCTTAACAGCTTGGCTACTTTGTGGATGAAATACGCTGTTATCGTTGACGCGGGCTCCTCAGGCTCTCGTGTTTATGTGTATACCTGGCCAGACCCCGCCCAGTATCTCGAAGCTGTGGGTAAAAGCTCGGCAGTTGCCAAAACACTACTGCCTATAGAAACAAAACCCGAATGGGTCTACAAGGTGAAACCGGGGATTTCGAGTTTCGCTGGCAAAACAGATGAGATTTGGAGGTCACATTTGCTTGCTTTAGTTGAAAAGGCCCACCAGGCTGTCCCTAAACAAGACCGCCCATACACCCCGTTTTATTTTTTGGCCACTGCTGGTTTACGGTTGACCCCAGAACCTGAGAGAAAGAAAATCCTGGATACCGTATGCAGTGAGGTAAGAAAACACACCTCTTTTTACTTGCCTGAATGTGAGACTCACGTTGCAATGATCGACGGTCAGACTGAAGGACTATATGGCTGGCTCGGTCTAAATTATTTGGTGCACACTCACCTGAATCTGGAATGGTCCGATTTTACAAAAACTTATGGATTCATGGATATGGGAGGAGCCTCTGCTCAAGTCGCATTTGCCCCGTCTCTTTCGGAGGCAGAGCGTCACCATGACGATCTCTATACCATTAACGTCCGCACCATCGGTGGTGATCCGGTCAATTGGAAAGTTTTCGTAACAACTTGGCTAGGGTTTGGTGCAAATCAGGCTCAATCCCGTTATCGCCAAAGTATTTTGGAGTCTCTGGATGAAAAGTACTGGGAGCCGCTCAAAAATGGCGCCCCTTTAGTTGCGCCTGATCCTTGCCTACAACCAGCAGCAATGGATGTGCAAATGCAAAAACTTGAAGGATACGATCAACCTCAGGAGGTTGTCTATTTCGGCACAGGTGACTATGACGCCTGCAAAACAGCGTTGGAGCCTCTTCTCAACTCTGGAATCCCTTGTAAGGATGAGCCTTGTTTATTTAATGGAATTCATGTACCAGCATTTGATCTGGAGCATGACAAGTTCGTTGGTGTCTCGGAGTATTGGTATTCTACCAGCGATCTATTTGCCCTAGATGGTAAAATGGATTACGCTACATTTGTAGACCGAACACAGAACTTTTGCACTACTAATTGGCGTGATATCGCAGACAAATATGACCACGGTGATTTTGGAACGAATTTCGATCTAGAAACTCTCAAAAAGGCGTGCTTCAAAGCTTCTTGGGTTCTGGAGATCTTGACCAAGGGTTTCAATTTCCCTCTAGACCCGAAAGATCCCGCCTCGAAGCATAACTTTTTAGATACCTTCCAAAGTGCTTCTGATATTGGAGGTAAAGACCTAACGTGGACTTTAGGGCGTGCAGTGCTATACGCTTCTAGTCAGATTGAAGCTGCTGATACTTACAAGGTAGGGTACGCCGGGTACGAGCAGGATTGGGTTTCTGGGGGTGAACTACCCGGTGTAATGTCTAATGAAGAGTATTTTGCTGCTACTTCAGGATATTCGAAACTTTGGCTTTTTCCTATGTTAGGCGTGTTTCTTTTTCTATATGCAGTTCTCGCCGGTCGTACAGGAACAAAATACCTACCTGCATTCGTTCGAAACAGACTCGGTCAGTATGCGAAGATCCCAAAATCACCGTCCTTGCCGGTTTTTGAGTCGGCAAATGACATCCCTCTACAAGAATATCCACACACAACAAGCTGGACCCCTCCGAGCAGAGTTAGTTCCCGCATAAATATGCGCGACTGGGAGAATCAATGACTCTAGATAACTAAATTTCTATTCGATTTGGACTACACTAGCATTGCTACGGAATCCTGCACTAATTGCTATGGCAACGTGATACATGTTTCATGACGCTTATCACGTGCGGCGTACTGCCGCGCATCTTTCGTGAAAACACTGAATTGTCTGGCGTATAAATATTTCAAATGATGTAAATTAATCAAGCTGTAATTCCGGTTTCACCCATCATTGTGAAATCGATAATAAACGAGTGAAAAATATAACACAAACCTGATTGAGCATTTATAAAAACCGATCTCAAAGCGTTAGCAGTGTAAATCCCGCTTCCGCCCAAAGGTCCCGTGACCAAGAGAAAACCTACAGGTCTCTCTGTAAACATCTCACATCGAGCTGAATAACTGTTATGGGGACAATTGAAAGCACCTAAAATGTGGGTTTCACGAATAGGTACTGGTATCGATCAGTTCAGCTTCACCAAATCATAGGGACAAATCTCGGATCAATGGTTTATTTTTTCCCTCGAACTGGAGCTCTAATGGTCAATGTTCATCTCTCAAATCGCCGAGTCGCTGATCATCCAAGGCTAAATCAGCTAAAACGGCATCCTTTGCGGTCAGAGAACTACTATCACAGTGAAGTATTTTATGCTCATTTTTATCCTATTGCTTGTTAGTTTTGTTAGTTATGTTAGCTTGTGCTGTTGAGTTTTTGTGAAGGATAAACTGGACCGCTAAGGATGTGCATCCAGGCAACTATAACATCTTGCATTCCCCCACATCACTGGTGCAGCAGCCACCCCCCCCCCCCATCAGACCCTGAACCTGCACACCATGTTCGCAAACGCCTGAGGTAGAGCTCCAGCCGGACCAAGCAAAACATAGCCACTTTCCCCTGCATCCCAGCTTTGATTAGGGAGAATAAGTGCTATGTTCTATAGCACCGGGGTTGGCGGACTTTAGGAAAGTTCACTGAGCGCACTCGTAATCGCAGCATGCGGCAGGTTATGCACCAGCAGGCAGTAATTAGCCCTATGCCTCCTCCGCACCTCGATCTCTCGTATTAGGTTGTTTCTCAATGATTTGAACTCTCTAAATGTCAAGAATGGTCGAGCAGATAAAAAAGAATTTGTTTGAATTTGTTTCCAGACATCATTGCCAAGTCTGGACCCGTTTAGTCCTCTACGCTGAGGCAAATCCATCGAGCGGGGTTTAGTCCGTGCCGATCCTTACGACTCAGGAAATGATTACTTCTCGATATACATAAAAGGCACCCTAAGGCAAGTTTTGGTACAACTTTTACGCCCATGCTCAATCCATTCCGTTTGCTAGCACTAACCTTCTTCGCTGACCCTTCTTTTGATCAACAAGTCAAGGATGGTTCTGTGACCTCACTCCCGTCAATTGGAAATATACCCGGGATTTTTGGTCAACCCCAACTCCCTGCCAATTTCATCTCTGAAGGGCTATCTAATCCAGGTACTTGGCCCTCGCTTCCGAGCTTTAATATCCCACCTTCTATTTTCTCTTGGGTTGGTGACAACCACCAGTACCCACAGACTCCTGCCAAGGACCCATTTTACGACCCCCCACGCTCGACATACGAAAACCTCAATAATGGTGACGTTATAGCGATTCGCCCAGTGGGTTTGGATGCTGTATTCCCTGAGCTATCAAGAGCTTATCAGATTTCCTACCGTTCAGAATCGGCTACTGGCAATGCGACTGTAGACGTGACGACGGTTATGATTCCCAAGAACTACGATGGGAAGCACGTTGTCTCTTGGCAAGACTGGGAAGACTCAAACAACTTGAAATGTGCTCCATCATACCTGTTTGAAGCTGGACTCCGTGACCCGACCGTAGATCTCATGCTACTACAGGGCTGGGCTTTGAATGTGCCTGATCATGAAGGTTTGAGCTCTGCTTTCGCCGTTGGATATAAATCTGGTAAGGCTACTCTCGATTCAATTCGTGCTTTGAAGAACGCTGCTTCTCAAATCAACTTGAGCTACGAAGACGTTGGTCTGTACGGTTACTCAGGCGGTTCCATTGCCACTGGCTTCGCTATCGAACTCCAGCCTACCTACGCCCCCGATGTTCAAATCAAAGCCGCATCCATGGGTGGTGTTGTTGCAAGTCTGAATACTACCTTTTACACTATCAACAAGGGTATATTTGCTGGATTCGCGTTTGGTGGTCTCTATGGTCTCGCTACTGGGTACGGCGTCTATGACATTCTTGAAGAGAACCTTAAAGCTGATTCGAGGGCCCGCGCAAACGAGGTTCTTGACCACTGCTTCACCTGGGATCTTTTGAACTATATTGGCGAGAACGTTTTCGATTACACTACCTTGGGCGCTCAGGCTGTTAACGTTCCTGCTATCCAATATGCTCTTGAAAGAGAGCATATGGGATTCGCGGTCCCTAAGGTTCCTATTTTCATCCATCAAGGTGCAAGCGACGAAATCGCTCCTGTTGGAAAAGTCGACGATCTCGTGGACTTTTACTGCCAAAATGGAGTCCATGTTATCTATGAGCGTGACAACGGAGTTGGTCATATCCTAGAAATGGTTGTGGGTGTTGCGAACGTTATTCAGTACTTCCAAAAGGTATTCAATGACGACTATGTTCCTCCCAGTTGCTCCAATTATCAGCAAGCTATTAGCAACGATCATTTGGACCAAGCCTCTCCTGACAACAAACAGGCACTTGATCGTGCCATTCTTGGTGACTACTCCGGCTATGGTCTGCAGAACGTTGCAGCTTTCTAATCGTTATATTTACTACCTATGCTTTTATAATTCGCGTATTTTAGTTTAAATGGTTCTATAAATCCTTGGACTTGGCAAACTATATCGAGAATTCAGTGATATTGGCTATTGGCATTTTAGCCAGCTAAAACTTCTTATACAGTCCCTAGTTGTATGGCACCAGCCTGTTGATTCCTACGAACCATACCTTGTACAGCTAAAAGTGGCACATCGTATGAATACGAGAATGTATAATGCTAACACATGTTAAAGTGAAACTCGAACTTTGCCCGCTTTAGCTGAATGTACAAGTGGGGTTGACCAGGCGGTTGGCTCACTGCGGGGGGATATTATCTCATGCATTTCCCCGCATTGCCTGTGCAGGACAAGTTCAGGGCACATGCGTGCCGCCGTATCGGTAAAAGCTGAACGGGATTAACTTGAATGGAATATTGCATGAACCATTGGATTCAGCAAATAAGAATCAACCAGATTTGTTACGGCTATTTCAGAACACTGGAAATTGATGTTTCTCCTTTGCCGGTCCTTCTTCAGGTGTTGTCATAGTACCTGGGTGACGTACAGATTCCAGGTTTTTGTTCTTGAGCAAGTCACGCTGGTCATGTTGTTGTCTGCGCCCTGCATAACCTCAGTTTACGCATATGAGGTTTTTGCACGGGTAAACACTATCAGAAAGGTACAGAACGAACAAAAAGCTTTAAATTCCTTGGACAGAAGCACAAGAATGCATTCAACTTATCTATAAGCATGATTCCGGATCTACACTAGCGATCACCGAGAGCCAGTCATCGTACGGCACCAGCTGATGAAGGGTTAATATCTTCCTCGATTTTAACAAGAGGTCACCACGATGTGTATAATAAGACACCGAAATAGCCATCGAGTACACCAACGTTCTGATGTTGAACCCGATTCGACTGTTAGCATTGACCTTTTTTGCTGACCCTTCTTTTAATCAAAAGGTTAAAGATGGCTCTGTGACCTCACTACCGTCAATCGGTGGTATACCCGGAATTTCCGGTCAACCTTCGCTTCCTGCCAATTTCATTTCTGAAGGGCTATCTGAGCCCGGTACTTGGCCCTCTCTCCCGAGCTTCGATATCCCACCTTCTATTTTCTCTTGGGTTGGTGACAATCACCAGTACCCACAGACTCCTGCCAAGGACCCATTTTACGACCCCCCACTCTCGACATACCAAAACCTCAAGAATGGCGACGTTATAGCGATTCGCCCAGTAGGTTTGAAGGCTTTATTCCCTGAGCTATCAAGAGCTTATCAGATTTCCTACCGTTCAGAATCGGCCACTGGCAATCCTACCGTGGATGTAACAACAGTGTTGATTCCTAAGAACTACGACGGGAAGCACGTTGTCTCTTGGCAAGACTGGGAAGACTCAAACAACTTGAAGTGTGCTCCATCATACCTGTTTGAAGCAGGTATTCGTGATCCCACAGTGGATTTGATGATGCTGCAGGGTTGGGCTTTGAATGTACCCGATCATGAAGGTTTAAACTCTGCTTTTGCTGCTGGATATAAATCTGGTAAGGCTACTCTCGACTCAATTCGTGCTTTGAAGAACGCTGCTTCTCAAATCAACTTGAGCTACGAAGAAGTTGGTCTGTACGGTTATTCGGGCGGTTCTATTGCAACTGGCTTCGCTATCGAACTTCAGCCTTCCTATGCCCCAGACGTTCAGATCAAGGCTGCATCCATGGGGGGTGTTGTAGCAAGTCTGAATGCTACCTTTTATACTATCAACAAGAGTCTGTTCGCTGGATTCGCCTTTGCTGGTCTCTATGGCCTTGCTACCGAATATGGTTTCTACGAAACTTTAGAGGCGAACATCAAAGCTGACTCGAGAAATCGAGCAAACGAGGTTCTTGATCATTGCCTCATCTGGGATATTCTAAACTATGTTGGTGAAGACGTTTTCGATTACACTACCTTAGGTCCTCAGGCAGTGAATGTCCCTGCTATCAAGGACACCCTCGAAAGAGAGCATATGGGGTTCGCGGTTCCTAAGGTTCCTATTTTTATCCATCAAGGTGCAAGCGACGAAATCGCTCCTGTTGGAAAAGTCGACGATCTCGTGAACTTTTACTGCCAGAATGGCGTTGATGTCATCTATGAGCGCGACAACGGAGTTGGTCACATTATTGAAATGGTTGTGGGTGTTGCGAACGTTATTCAGTACTTCCAAAAGGTATTCAATGACAACTACGTTCCTCCTAGCTGCTCCAATTACCAGCAAGCTGTTAGCAACAATAATTTGAACCAAGCTTCTCCTAGCGACAAACAGGCACTCAACCGCGCTATTCTCGGTGACTACTCTGGATATGGCCTGCAGAGAGCTCCGCTGTTTTAATTTTAGTTGTGTTATTATATTGTAAACTTATCTGTACGATCATTAGACGTTGGGCAAGCTCTTTAGTGCATGGCTATGTTACTTCACCATCAGGAGGAGTTTGCTTGTTAATCTGATATTCGAACTAGGCGTTCTCTAGCATATACGAGTATCACATCAAAGGAAAGTATACTAACTATAGCGTTCTGAATGTTTCGACCTGATCGTGATTCGACAGTTTTACTACCTGCTTATCGCACCGATTCAACTAGCAGGAATTCCCAGGGGTAATCAACCTACGTACCATAATCAGGTACCATAGGAAAGTTAATTCAAAAACTTAAAACTAGTAACACAATAGTCCAAGATATAATACCCGGGAGTTTAAGCAATGGATTTTCAAGTTTTAAAGCTAAAACTCCTGGATTTTGACGAATCGTTCCTAGCGCTGAGTCAAACGCACGTCGATGGCGAATGAGAGATCAAACGAAATAGTGCTGTCGGATAGCGATGAGGAGCTTGATTTCTCTAGCTTGAGCTCTGTGAATGCTTCAGAAAAAGTAGTTATTGATCTATCGAGTGATGACATCGATCCAAGTGGTATAGTGCCGCCTCAGCCGAGGAAAACCGCAGATTCTCGGCCTGCTAGCTCGGCACCTCGCATGGTACAGACAAAATTACCGTTTGTCTCTAGCAGTCCAGTGGGAGTGACTATAAGAAGCTCTCCTGTATCAAGCAGAGACTCAAACTCCATAACTGGAACGCGCATTTTCGATCTTTCATCCCAACCGCCGGACGAGACCCCTACTCATCATGCTATAGACTATGAGAAAGCGAAAGCTTTTGTATACCCTGTGGACTACCCCGTAAGAGACTACCAAAGGAACATTATTCGCAAAGCATTGCTCAAGAACGTTATGTGTGCGCTCCCAACAGGCTTGGGAAAGACATTTATTGCAAGCATTGTGATGCTCAATTGGTTCAGATGGACGAAGGATGCGAAGATTATTTTTGTGGCCCCTACAAGACCTCTTGTAAGCCAGCAAGTTACTAGTTTCCTTGAAATTTCGGGAGTTTCGGTGAATACTACATGTGCTTTTATTCAGGATCTAGTAAAAAGGAACCAAAGAGCCGAGCAATGGCAGACAAAACGCGTTTTTTTCGCAACCCCCCAAACAGTTGTGAATGATATCAATGCTGGACTGTTGGATCCCCAAAGCGTGGTTTGTCTCGTTGTCGATGAAGCGCATCGTGCAACCGGTAACCATAGCTATGTGGAGCTTGTGAAGCTGCTGGACGAGAACAAATCTTTTAGGATTTTGGCATTAACAGCTACACCATCTGGTCATTTTGAAGGCGTCCAGGAAGTGATTGATAATTTGCATATCTCGCATACGGAGTTTAGATCTGATTCCTCGCTTGACCTGCGTCCATATCTGCACAACAAAAAGGTCGAAAGAATTGTAACACCATTTTCAAAAGAGCAGCAGGAATTGATTGAATTGGTTGGTGATCTGTTGACACCGTTTATGCCAACTCTGTTGAATAACAAAGTCATTTACAACCGCGACCCGACATCGTTACATCATTTCCAGCTGTTGGAGGGTCTGAAAAAATACAGTGCTAGCCCAGCGGCTCGATCAGGGTCTCCAATTGTATTCCAAGTTCGAGCTGCAGCTAAAATCGTGCTGTCTGTGCTTTATGCTATGGGACTTTTGAAGACACATGGGATATACCCGTTTTACGAGCGAATGCGTACACTGCAAGCAGAATATGACGATAAAAAAGGAAAAGCTGGCAAAAATTTGACCAAAATGGTCACGGATAAAGCCTTTCAAAGGATTATGCAAACTTGCCAACAGCTGATTTACGAGCCCTCTGGACAAAGACGACTGGATTTCTTTGGCCATCCTAAACTTGAAAGACTGGTGGAAATCGTCAAGAACTTCTTTTTAACTGCCGGGGCAAGTGGGCTGATGATTATTTTTGCTGAGTTTCGCGATTCTGCGGCCGAAATCATGTGGGTTCTTAAGAACCACTGCAGCGACTATGTTGAGCCTAGCCTGTTTGTTGGACAAGCTAGTAAACAGGGAGGTGTTTCCGTGAAAGGAATGAGCCAAAAGGAACAGCGACAAATTATAGACAAGTTCAAAACTGGAGAGATCAATGTGCTAATCGCTACGTCTATTGCAGAAGAAGGGCTAGATATTGGACAGGTTCAGTGCATTGTTTGCTACGATCAGTCTCAAAGTCCTATCCGAAGCATTCAACGAATGGGACGCACTGGACGCAAAGGAGACGGATCCGTGTATTTGTTGATGACGGAAAAAGAAAAAGATAAAAACATACTTGCAGTGCAAGGTCACAAACATATTCAAAAATTGGTGGAGACCAGCTCAGCGGGAGGCAAAATGCTGGTCTACCACGAGTCTTCTCGCATCATTCCTGCCGAATGCTCACCTAAATACGAGGAAATCAAAATCACTGTCCCACAGGAGAATCTTGACGCGCTATCTGCAGGTGATATATTAGACGCAATGAGGGCATTTATACCTAGAAAGCGCACTACAACGAAGCGGAAGCGTGCAGAAAGTCCTGAAGAAGAAAAGCCGCAACAAAAGCAGTTCACTACGGCATTCGACGCGTGGAAATCCGAAGACATGACCACCTCTGCGGATTTACCCTGAAGTCCTCTCCTGGCGGCGACCCTATTTAATCTTCATAATCTACTGAACCTGTCATCTTTGTGCAAGGGCATTACGCATATCAGTGAGGATTCGTCCGAGATTGTGTTTTTGCTGGTTGAAAATTTAACCATGACTACTCTTAGGGGACTCTTGTTTCTCTAAGGAATATTTGGAAAACTAACCCTCTGGGTTTCGCAGATAGCTATATTGTAGGTGCGATAGGCTATATGCAGAGCCACGGGGGCTTGTAGCCTGTAAACTAACTCTAGTATATTTCCCCGAGTTTATCGCCACAGAGTTCTGCTCAAAGTTTCCATACCAAGGTAGACTTTAGTATAGTTTGATTACAGTTGGCCCCAGGGTTGTTATGGACGTGCGTGTACGGCAGACCGGAGCATATTACTACGATGATCGGAGTGAATAACACTAAAACCAGCAATCTACCATAAATACGTAACTACAAGTACAGCAGGAGCTATTTTAACAACTCACCCACCAATTTCACCGTTGAAGCACTACAAGGCGGCTGGCCAACCCCCCTAACCCCAACCCGCGCACCACCGCAAAGGGGTGGTGGTTCCAGGAGGTGTATAGATCGTGTCGCGGAGGCCCTTCTCTTCTCCCCCATCTTTTGTCACCCGAAGAGACAAGTGCACTTTCCCTTTTGACTCGAGAACTTGGACTGAATTGAAGGCGTTCAAGCTCTTTGGAATATAAAAAGGATTGTAACTCAAAGCCCACAACAGGAAAGCATACAGCTCTTTGGCATTTCCTTGTTTACTAGACCCCACTTGACAGAACTTGGTGACTACCAGCACATATTCACTCGCTGCTTCCAAGCCACCGAAAAAGAGACTTTTTGAATCCCGTATTCAGAAGAACTCAATCGTCTGAGCTAATTTTTCAATCCGGACTGCACGGCTAAGCTATAAATTTCAGTCGTGCCCCCCCGCTCGCGCCCTCTTTCGAAATGGAATACTCCTCGTCGGCGGCTCTACCAACGCGCGATACGTTCGCTGCTCCTGGCCCGGCTCCACTGCCTCCAGTAAGGGCTCCAGGTATTTCTCGACTTGGGCTGCCCTCCAAACCGGTTCGTCAGGGCTGGGTTCAAATCAAGGAGGACGGCTCAATGAAATGGATATGGACCAAAAAGTATCTTGTGCTCCAAGACAGCATGCTGTATTTTTTCCGCAACGAGTCGGCAACTTCGGCTGGTATCACCATCCCCCTGAACACTGTGTCTTCTATCACCCGCTCCGACGCCAAACCTTATTGCTTTGAAATTATTCGAAATGCCAACTTAAAATCCATGTATGTTGCATGCAAAAGTGATACTGAATGCTACACTTGGATTGATGATATTTATACTAATGTTCCTTCGACTGGTGTATCAAAACCGATCAATTTCACCCACAATGTTCATGTTGGCTTTGACTCTACTTCTGGAGAGTTCACAGGCTTGCCCACCGAGTGGGCTCGCTTGCTTAAATCGTCTGCTATCACCACAGAAGACTTCAACAAAAACCCACAGGCTGTTGTTGATGTTCTTACTTTTTATCAGTCTAATATGGTTCAGGACGAGCTTTCGGGAGCTATGGCGGACACATCAATCAAGTCCAGTACAAGCAATGACAGCATTGGTAATATCGTCAATCCAAACAATCATGGGCTGACTCCGACCCCGCCGCCGGTCCCTTTGAGCCAACAGTCTTCAGTTGCTTCAGGTCTCAGTGACCGCCAGCAGTGGGCCTCATTGTCTGCTACATCGTTCACCAATACTCGTAGAGCTCCTCCTCCTCCTGTTCCTGTTTCTAATGGTAGTGTTACATCAATTTCGCCAGCTCCTCGAGTCAACCCGGCACCGCCTACCCCGTTGCAAACTTCAGCCAGCTCTACTTCTAATTCCTCATCCTCGTCGATCCATGAAATCGCACTGACACCTACTCGCAGGGCTCCGCCTCCGCCGGTTGCAGATATCGCTCCTCTTAACTTGCGGAAGGCTAATCAAAGCTCGCCTGGTGTTCATATTCCTATGACGCCAACTGGCGCTCCAAAAACGCCGGCGCCGCCAGCATCTGCTCCCGCTCTCCGTCAACAAACAGAAAGCTTAGGAGCGTCCCCAACATCAAATATGCAGGTATCTCGCACGGTTTCACCCCCATCGTCGAAAACGGCACCTCCTCATAATCCTTACAGCCAACCGGCTCAGCGATATACTTCACCGGTATCAAAACCTCCTCAGCCACTTTTCCGAGCGCCCCCTCCTGCGAACCCCTATCGACAAAGGCCGCAGGGACCTGCTATTCCTGTGTCGGGATCCCAGGGAAACATTGTTCAGGCTCCATCTCACCCATTCCAAGGTGTACCCTCCGCTGTAACGTCTTCTGCACCGGTTATAACACCGCCACAGGCTCCTAAGCAGCAGTATCCTCGCGTGCAGCCTCAAGCAGCCCCGGCCGCCAAGTCGAACCCGGCGGCATCTGCGGCGGCGGCGGCTGCGGCTGCTGCTTTAGAGGGTGCTGGAAAGGGTCCTGTTAAAGAGAAGCGTATCTCGACCATGACAGAGGCCCAGATTATGCAAAAGATGCGATCGGTGGTTTCCAGTGAGAATCCAACTGCACTTTACCAGAAGCTCAAGAAGGTCGGACAAGGTGCCAGTGGATCTGTGTATGTTGCCCGGCCGTTGGGAAAACTAGCCCAGACCCACCGTCAAGTTGCCATTAAGCAGATTGATCTGTCCAACCAGCCCCGCAAAGAGCTCATTGTGAATGAGATTACGGTTATGCGGGAGAGTCAGCACCCCAACATTGTGAATTTCCTAGAGGCATACCTTCGTGGATCTAACGACTTATGGGTTGTCATGGAATACATGGAGGGCGGCCCTCTCACAGATGTGATTGAGAACAATACTATGACTGAGCAGCAGATAGCTACTATTTGTCGTGAGACATGTAGGGGGCTGCAGCACCTGCACTCCAAGTCGATTATTCACCGCGATATCAAGTCAGACAACATGCTGCTGGACAGCCAAGGACACGTGAAGATCACTGATTTCGGATTCTGTGCCAAACTCACTGACCAAAAGAATAAGCGGGCCACCATGGTGGGCACCCCGTACTGGATGGCTCCCGAGGTTGTGAAGCAGAAGGAGTATGGTGCCAAAGTCGACGTTTGGTCACTCGGCATCATGGCCATTGAGATGATTGAGAGTGAACCTCCGTACCTGAACGAAGAGCCGCTTAAGGCGCTCTATCTGATTGCATCCAATGGCACTCCCAAACTGAAACACCCTGACCGGTTGTCTCGTGAGCTCAAAAGCTTTTTGAGTGTGTGCTTGTGCGTAGAGGTTTCTTACCGCGCAAGTACCACTGAGCTTTTGAATCATGACTTCCTCCAGAAGGGATGCAGCATCGAAACGTTACCGCCATTGCTTGCCTATAAAAAAAAGCCGTAAACCCTGCCTAAAGGCATTATTTATACACACGCTCTTTACTTATGTACGATCATTCCAGCATTCGATCAGCAAGGAATAGCCTCCATGGGGCACATGTGGCACACTCGTCGTGTGCACGGTGTGAGTGTGAGCTCTGTGACTGAGAAGATTTAGTGACACGCTGAACGAAGATTGGAGTGATGGATGAAAGCGATGGTTGATAAATATTGATATTTATGTAGATGCAAATAATTTAGAGAGGGTTGGTAACGGCGAGCTTCAAAACGCCAGTCTCAGCATCCCAGCTCTTAACACGAATGTGGGTCAAATCGGGAATGACAATGTCGGCGCCAGCGGCCTTGACCTTGTCGGCACCATAAGTAGTAGCCATGCCGACAACAAAGGCACCAGCGTCCTTGCCAGCGCGGATACCAGCGGGGGCATCCTCAAAAACAAGGAAGTGGTGAGCCAGGTCGAGGTCCTTGTGGCCCTTCATGTAGCCTTCGGGATGGGGCTTGCCCTCGACAATGTGCTCAGCGGTAACAAAGACCTCGGGGGGAGTAATCTCCAAAAAGTCACTGAGCCATGAGGTAGCCATCACGGTGGTGCCTGAAGTAACGATACCCCATTGAGAAGCAGGCAACTCACTCAAAAACTTGTGCACACCAGGAACAGGTTTGGCAATGTGCTTCCAGCGCTGAGGAATGGTGGCCTCGAACTTGGCAGACATCTCTTTGTTGGCAAGCTCGGGCTTCCACATGCGCAGGATGTCGAGAGTGCGGCGGCCGTGCGAGGTGCGCAGCAGCTCCTCAGCGTCAATGTCGTAGGTGGCACCAAAGTCGCGCCAGAATGCCTCAACGCAGTCAGTGGAAAGCATGAGTGTGCCGTCAAGATCAAAGAGACAGCCGGAGGTGCTGATCTCAACCTCATGGGCCTCAGGGTGAGTAGAGGTGATCTGGGTAAAGTACTTGGAAGAGGTAGTGGCACTCATTTTTGATTCAAAAGATTGTAACAGTGTTTGTTGGAAACTGGCCAATGCGCAGGGTCTTTTATAGTTCGGTGTGGGTTCGGCATTGATCGATATCCATCGCCGTTACCGCTACCCAGGTGACGTCATGCATATTATTACCGAAGCAACGGGCCCACATTGGCAACCGAGAAGGCTCTAGTCAACGGTCGATCTTTTAGTTATGTGACTGAGGAGACTTCAACAGACAGTTAATATTCTGCCGCACTCACGAAACGTTCAATATCGATTTTCCCAACTATTTTAGTGGTTCCCTCCTGTTCGCCGCACTGCAATTTGACGTTTTGAGACAATATGCAGGATGATGTCAGTGCCTTATGCGGTTTTGGGACTGTTTTTACTTGCAGAATTGTACTTTTCCATGTGGTAATGCGATTAGATTATTTTTTAATTTAAACTCAAAGAATTCAGACGTCACACCAGGTTTACACGTCGAAAGTTCTATCAGGATATTTAAACTCGAGTTGAGTGATGAGCTTCGGGTCCAGTCTGCAAAACTCGTGAAAGCTCATTTTTTCCGAATTACTGTGTTATCACCTAATAGGAAAAAAAATCTGCAACGTCACAGTGAAAAAAACCCCTTCCAGTAAGTCACGTGATATACGTCAGAGCAGTTGCCGACGCCCCCTGTTTTTGGTGTTTTGGCTGATCCAGCGGTGATAAAGTAATTTTTAAATAGTTAAAAATTAATTTTGTATCCTCTTTTTAGATATTTGACTGGATCTAAAGTTGTGTAACTCAGAAGCAGGCGCATATCGTTCAGTTGCTCTTATCGGCTCTATCAGCACATGTGCGGGCGATTCCAAGCTCGATAACAGGTAACCACCTCCAGCGCTAAAGTGACATTGAGACAGCGGCGAGCTAAGTAGAGCTCAAAGCAAATCAAATATAAAATTACACCAATTACCCCTAGACTTGCTAAATTGAATTATAAGTCAATATTTTATCCAGAAGCTTCTGGTTTATCTTCCTAGCGCTGTGGGTCTGCTGGCGGTTGTCACCAGCTTCTGGACTTGCATCGGCCTGGCGATATTACCCTAGCCCACACGAAAAGCACCTCCCTGGGCTAGGCGTAGCGTTTGGTGTGTTGGTATGCGCATTGACGTAGCCTGCTGTTAACTTTGTTGGGCGAGCTTCTTTGAATACTTGCGATGTTTCATACGGGGTTTTCAGCGCGCAAGACACGTTTGTGAAGGGATGAGTTAGAGTTTTCTAATCGTCTAGGCGCCCACACAAATCTTCTTGACACCAACTCATCGGGACTCACCAACATGAACGTGCTAACGTGATTATTAACTGTCCACAGCAATACCGTAGCAACAGATATTCACATGAGATTTGGTATGTATTGAGTAAGAACCAGGTTTCAAAGACTGCGTGTGTTACATTCGAGCGGCTTGATGGAAATCAGCCAGCACGGCATTTAGCGCTAGCTTCGATCAGCCAATTTTGATAACTATTCAAAGTAACCCTCAATTAAAATGTAACTGGTAAGATTTAATTAAACTCATTTTCCAGGACTCGAAGCTGGAAATGAAATTTAAATTTCACTCCCGGGATGACTAACGCTGCTCAATAATGCTCAGAAAACTGTTCGCTGCTCAGGCTGCTCCAGCCTCGACAGTTAATCGTGCTCTTTCCGAAAGTTTGAGCACCCGCAGTATTTATGACAATGATAGCTTCAACCCCGAGCATATGTTGCACTGTATGTTTACCCGCAACAACACCATACTAACCCTGTCTCGACGAGTTCAAAAGTACAAGCCCTCCGCGGAGGTTGCCAACAAGGGCCCCAACTACTTGGATCAAGCTGCTCTTATTGACATTGTTCGCCCCCAACAGGAAGTTATTCTCACAGTGTCCACTGGCCAGCTCGGGTTCAAGGGCACCAAAAAGAGCACATATGACGCGGCCTTCCAAACGTCTGCTCGCATGTTTGAGCTCATGGAACAAAAGGGCTTGCTCAACAAAAACATTGAACTTGTTACTCGTAACTTTGGACAGAACCGCACTGCATTTTTTAGCGTTCTTTTCGGCAAAGAGGGTACCAAGGTGCGTCCTTTGATCAAGCGTGTCACTGACGGCACTCGTATCAAATTTGGTGGTGATCGCAGTCCTAACAAGCGCCGCGTTTGATGTGCTATGTGCGGCTATCTCATGTATATATACATTGTCAAGTAGACACTAATTTTCTTTGTCTGCCCAGGTGGATTTTTTTCTTGCTTTTCTAATCACAAAATGAGCCTAAAGTCGACGTTGGCTCAGCTTGATTTAGCGGCGCCAAGGTTCGCCCTGGCACCTCAGGCGGTGACAATCCTGTCTGCGCCTGACGAATTTTATTCGCAGTTGAAAGCCCGTATTCTGGGTGCTCAAAGGCGCATATTCTTGGCCACTTTGTATATTGGCAAATCCGAAGATGAGCTGATCAGTGTTTTAGACCAAAGCTTGCAGAAAAATAATGCTTTGGATGTACATATTCTTACAGATGGGCTTCGAGGGACTAGAGAGGCGCCGCAAAAGAGCACTGCTTCACTGCTAGCTCCTCTAGTAGCCAAGTACCCGGCACGCGTGCATGTGTCGATGTATCAAACGCCAGCGTTGAATGGCCTTGCCAAACTAATGGTTCCTCAGCGATTCAACGAAGGATGGGGGCTTCAGCACATGAAATTGTATGGATTCGACGATGATATCGTGCTGTCTGGAGCTAACTTGTCGAAAGACTACTTCACCAACCGCCAGGACAGGTACATTGCCATCTCAAACAAAGAGGTGACCGAGTACTTTTACCAATTGCACAAAGCAGTGTCATATTTGAGCTACCAGCTGCAACACGAGGACCGGAGCAGGGGTCCGTCGGACAATTTCAAGCTGGTTTGGACCTCAGACTGTCCTAGTCCAGCCGATCCAAAAGGGTATAGGAAGGAAGCGTCGAGAATATTGGCGCCATTGCTGAAACCAGATACCAAGGTGTCGCCTGCAGATGACAAGGGTACTTATTTGTATCCGATCGCCCAGTTCACGCCGTTGATTGGCGATACCGCCAGCAACGAACTCAAGGCCATGGGATTGCTAACAAAAATGCTCAAGGGTAACTTTGATTGGACGCTCACGGCTGGGTATTTCAATATCTCGGAAAGGCTTCAGGAGGGGCTTTTAAAATCTACTCCTGGGACTGCGAAAGTAATTACAGCAGGCGAGAAAGCCAACGGGTTCTACCAATCTAAAGGCGTGTCTTCGCAAATCCCAGACCTGTACTCCATGCTGGCAAAGCGGTTTATCAAAAAGGCAGAACACATCCAGCCACGGATCCAGATGCTAGAGTGGGAAAATGGTCAGTACAACAAGCCTAATGGGTGGTCGTACCATGCCAAAGGGCTATGGGTTATGCCTCGAGGCGAATCGCCCGTACTGACGGTGATTGGCTCGTCGAACTTCACAAAACGAGCCTATGCACACGATCTCGAAGCTGGAGCAGTGCTTGTCACTGGATCACCCGAACTGAGGGCCAAAATGGCAGCAGAGGTTGCCAACCTCGAAAAGCATACCACCCCCAAAACGTCACGTGACTACAACAAGCGGCCGACCCTTATCCAAAGACTATTTGTAAGGCTGATGGGAAACAAGCTGTGATCACAGAAGACCCCCCGGTTTTTGGTCGAATATAATGCGCAACCGAAGAGGCCAGTCGGCCGCTGCATCAGCAGGGACACTGTCGGGCTCGTCTGAGGCATTGAACGATACGTGGAATCAGGTGCGAAGCAAAGTCAAGCAGGCCCAGCAGGTGCTAAATACACTGGTTATTCCCGGCAATATACCAACGAATTCGGATCTAAAATCACTGGAGGATCAGGACTTGGACGAGCTCAAGACTGCTCTGGATCAGTCGCGAGCTGAACATGTACAAAACTTACAGTTGTGGGAGCAGTGCGGCCAGCATTTGCAAGACGCGCTGGACGCAACCGTGCTCACAGTCTATTTACGGAACGAGCCTGAAACAAAGAAGAGGCGCCGAACTACGACCGGGTCGACTGCGGCAACGCCTGCAGCGGCGTCCTCAGGGAATGAGCTGGCAATTGGCGCCAAGGTTGCATTTCGGCTGCCAGGGACTAAGGCGCCTGATGATGAATGGATTCTCTGCGAGGTTATCAAGGTTCTTCAAGAGGGACAACGCTACGAAGTCCAGGATCCCGAACCGGACGAAAAACACCAGGCGGGCAAGATTTACAGGGCAAGTGTGCGGGACATGATTGCCCTCCCAGCCAGGGGTGCCAATTTGCCGGCTCTGGCAGCCGGGACGACTGTTTTAGCCCAGTACCCAGAAACCACTGCGTTTTACCGGGCGGAGGTTACGTCCTGTAACTCTCAAAAGTGTTTATTAGTGTTTGAAGGCGAAGAAGAAACCGGCAAACAAACTGAAGTGGATCGACATTTAGTTCTCGGATTATAAACTGTACATACGAGAAAGTGGAAAAAACGAATATGTAGCGGGAAAAAGAAGACAAACTGCTTTAGCTGCTTCGCTCCAGAGGAGGAGGATAGCGGGCGTAAGTCACCACGAGGTCCTGACCACCGTATCTATAACCATTGAAGCTTTCTATCGCGACGGCCGCCATGGAGTTGCCCAGAAGCTTTACGAGACCACTGCCGGAAGGACGGCCGTCAGGGAAACGCTGTATTTCGGCTTGTTCTACCACACCGACGGTGCGGAACAGATCAACCAGGTCGGTGTCGGTGGTTTGCCAGGGCAAGTTACTGACGTGGATCGTGTTGGAGGGAACACCGTGACCAGATGCGGATGCAAAGCTTGAGTGCACGGGGCGGCGGAAAGAGCCGCGGGTGGGTTGCTTTTTGGCGAACGAGCCGGATTCGGACATTCGTTCAGATAAGGGCCGATCGAGACGGACTTCAATGACACGGCCATCAACCTCCTTGCCATTGAGAGTCTCAATAGCCTCGTCGGCAGCCTCTTTTGTTTCATACACGACTGTGCCGTAGCCCTTGGAGCGGCGTTGGTCGCCGACAGGCACATCAGCTCTAATCACGGGGCCAGCCGCTCGGGCGAAATCTTTGAGGTCCTGCCATGCCATGGACCAGGGCAGGTTCCCAAAGAACACAGTGGTGCCCTTTTCGTTGGCGGCGAATCTATTGTAGAAAGGTTTCCCAGAATCGTCGCCGTCGGTGGCGGAAGACGGGTTGGGACGGGCCGGACGAAGGTAGGTCGTGCGTCCCTCCAAGGTATCTTCGTTCAGATCGCCAATCACCTTTTCAGCATCTTCAGGGGTAGCGAATTCGGCGATAGCAGCGCCGCGGGGAAGCCCCTTGTAATTGTACAACAGCTCTATCGAAACTGGTTCAACGCTTCGAGACACATACTCCTTCAAATCCTCTTCAGTGGTGTTGTAGGAAAGATTTCCAATATACACCTTGCGCTGCTGCGGTGTTTCCATATTTACAAACTCGACAACCATATCACCAGAGTTGTGATGAGGAAAATTTCCCAATTAAAAATCAAGCCAACAAATCCTCCCAAGCTTGTTTCCGAATGGCTGTACGCACTGCTATAGTAGACGGAGAGTTGGACACAGCAGGCTTAATTAAATGGGCGAAAACTCCCAAAGCCGGAGCCATTGTTTTCTTTGGTGGGACAACAAGAGACAATTGCGATGATAAGACGGTGGTCTCGCTAGCATACGAAGCGTACATTCCACGAGCCGAGAAGACTCTGCGCGAGATTGCCCTTAAGGCGTCAGAGATGCCGGGTGTGCACAATGTAGCTATCGAACACCGGATTGGAACCGTGCCCGTTTGTGAAGAGAGTGTGGCAATTGTGGTGGCCACCTCCCACCGTCATCAAGGCTGGGAGGCAGCCAAAGATGTCCTCGAGAAAGTCAAAGAGTCCTTGGAGATCTGGAAGCGTGAGGTATTTGACGACGGAAAGAGCCAATGGGTCGAGGGCGTAGCCCGTAAAGGTTAAGATTTTATTTAATTAGTTAGCTCGATATATCTTTTGAATATAGTCCGAGTAGGACGGTCCCCCCGCCCCATCTTCGATCATGTGGGCAACAACACTATGTTCTGCGCCATCGAGACCCTCGCGAGCGAGCTGGAGCGGACACCAGGGGCGGCCAACGTGCTCAGCAAGCTGTGCACACAGTTCGCGAGTGTGGCGGGAGATGTCAGAATCGAGCACGGGCAGTTCGTCCAAATAGGGCGAGACTTGGTCCAAACTCTCGGCTCCAAGCAAATCGCGTACAAGAGCCGGCGGTACCGTACTCGTAACAAACAGCAGAAACTTGAGACCGTTAAAAATAAGGTAGCATCCGCCAGTGCTCAGCGCCGACAGCTTGGCCTCCAACATAGGCAATGTTGTCAGATCAATGCCGTCTTGGACATCAAACAGCTCGTGAACAGGGTATATCCGCGGGTATAAATATAATGAGAGCTGGGCAACCGTCATACGCTCGATTAAACGAGCCGAGTGGGTCCGGCTGTCGGACATGTAGGTTCGCGGGCTGAATGCTGGACATTTTATAAGAGCGAGGCTCATTGGAAGCAGGGGACGGAGCTGTGTGGGAACAACAAGGTACCCACTAGGCATATTGGTACCGGAATTGGTTCTTGCTGCAGTGAAAATTTCCCGAATCTTTTCAACAATAGCCGTGCGAAGCATTGCCAAAGGCTTGGCAAACATCTGAGCAGTAGTTTGTCGGGCGATGGCCGCAACAACAACATCAGAGTCAACAAACCGCAAAACAGCTTTAAACATATCAGTGACTCCTGATACAATATTACAAACCCGGAGACGACGAGTCCCCCATGGAGTGGTGTACAGGACGGCACATTGAACATGAACGTCCAGTTTTGGATCCAGCGACCCATCATAAACGATTGTTGCCAAGACATTAGTTGCAGAATCCATAAGTCCTAACTCTGGAGCCCAGACCTTTTCGATCTGGAGACCGTTAGAGGTTCGGAACTTCAGAGCTGTCTGGGTAGCGACTAACGGCTCGGCACATGCCTCCACAAAATCAACCATGAACGCTCGTGCATCTCGTTGGCCAACATATTGTGGGTAAACCAGGTGACGACCACCAGAAGCTTGAGCAACAAAGCCAAAGTTTGTGAGATCGCTGTAACCAGTGGGGAAAGCGAAAAGATCAAAACCAATACCACATTTACTGTACTCTTTGGCCATATCAGTATACCAGGTAGCCGTAGGTAGAAACAGTTCTTTTGCCAGCTGATGCGAATCAGCCTGGGTGTTTGAGGGAGGTGTATACAACCCACTGTCACGACGAACCAGTTTGCCAGGCGCCATTGACGGGAACGTGGTGCAAATTGCAGAGATCCGCCCACCAGCCTCACCCAAAGCATCTTGACCTACTTTAAGTAAAGTTCCAAAACACGAATGATTTGGAGCGTTTGGGAACAAGTTTGGCAGGTTGTCCAGCAAAGACGACATACCTTCAAACGCCTCTTCTGGATTGACAAACAAGTCAGGAGGAACCACGGGATCCTGCAAATTGTTATCTTGAAGCATCTCAAGCTGACCAGAGGCATTGAACCGGAAAAAAATGATCGACTGATGAAAGGCAACGATGGCAACTTGGGTGTCGGGCAGGAGACAGCCCTCTCCTGGGGTTTTGTCGAGTCCGTACAACGCTTGGCGAATAGCTTCAGCAGCAACGTGCACCAGCCCCTTTTTGACCGAGTCGCGGGACGTATCAATGGCAAACAGGTGCCTTAGTTTACTGCCAGTTCCGTAGGACGGCGGCAGCTCCATGTCATAAGTTCCCACTGACAGTTCGGGACGTGACTGCCAATCGATTCTGCGGCCAGTAGCATCTGTTTGTTCGAAATAATAGTCGGGAGTTCTGTTCACAAACTGGCACATGTTGCAAACAAACTTCGACCCCCCACTAGCAAACTGCATACTTGGATTCATGAATGTCCGGCAGCGAGCACAGCGTGGAGGCTCATCCTGGCTGAAATCCGCAATTGGAACTTCCGCTCGAGCGAATGGACGAGCCATCACGGCCAAAGGCAGTTTTGTGGCTTCGCGGAGCTTGGCACTAGCGGGCACATTGTACATTGACATGCGCAGGAAGTCCGGGCCGGAAATTCCCTGATCAATTACCTGATAGCTTGTGTCCCCAAGAGGCGGATTGGTGTGCTCAGAAGTCTTGAATAAGGGTGGAACACCGAGGGTTTGCTGGGCGATGATTCTTTCGTGTGGCAGAACAGGTACAGGCTCTTGGGTATTACTTCCAAAAGACAGAATTCTAGGCGCGTCTGTCGCAGAACTAGCAAGAGGAGCCGTCTGGTACTGCTGTCGAGGCGGGACTGGCTCTGAAACATGCAGGTTCGCCATCCCACCCAGCGGCCCGTATCCTGCCCCTCCCATCGGCACCTGGACAGGCGCTCCTCCATGTGGCACATAAGGCACCTCGGGCGCATACGGAGCCTCCTGGGAGTACGTGGGACCGGCTGCTGCCCGCTCTAGCGTGTGGTAGGCCCGGCGTGGCTTCACCATTCAGTTGGGACGAATCTGACTTTCCAACCCTGAGACACCTACTTATGGGAGTTGTTGGTCTTTTGAAGTGTCTGAAAGGGATTGGAAAGCTGCGGACGCTGGAGGATTTGGAGGGCTTGTGTTTAGGAGTTGATGGATATGGATGGCTTCACAGAGCGGTACTCACGTGTGCGGAAGATCTTGTCCACAATCGCCCCACGACGCGTTACCTAGAGTATATTGACCGGCGGGTTGCTCAATTCGAGCGAGCAGGCGTGAAACTTTATTTTGTTTTCGACGGAGCGTCCTTACCTATGAAAAAACGCGTTGACGCGCAACGTGCGGCACTCCGAGCCGACGCCAAAGCCAAGCATTCCTTGTCGGGATCGGCCTCCCATGCACACCGCGCGGTAGACGTGACGACCGACATGGCCTCGTGTGTTTGTGCGTACTTGCGGGCCAAAAAGATCCCGTATGTTGTGGCACCGTACGAAGCAGACCCCCAGCTCGTGTATTTAGAGCTCAATGGCCATGTTAATGGCCTGCTTTCCGAGGACAGTGACTTACTTATTTTTGGCGCCCGCAAGCTGTACACAAAACTGGACCAGTCTGGCTCGTGCATTGAGATAGATATCGACCGGCTCAAGTCATCACCATTGGGCTCACTGGCAGGACCTAATCAGGGATCCCTGTTGAGATTACTGGCCATAATCAGTGGCTGCGATTACAGCCCTGGAATTACTGGGTACGGCCCTATAAAAGCTGCGGCTCTTGTATCCCGACACCGTGATTTAGATGCAATTCTTGCTGCCGTTGTCAGAGATGGAAAGACGGTTCCAATCGAGTTCAGAGAGACCGCTCGTCGGGCTGATCTAGCATTCCGATACCAGAGGGTTTTCGACCCTGTGACACGGACCCTGGTTACGCTCAATGCCATTGAAACAGAGATTGAAGACGAGATTATTGGACCCAATATGGAATCCACAGATGCCTTGAGAATCGCCAGAGGAGTATGGTGCCCACAAACTCAGCGTATTCTTGCTGTACCTGTACATGTTCAGAAATTTCTTTCCCGCGTGAGCCGCCAGCCGCTTGCACCACTTCAATCAAAGCAAACGATTGAGAAGAAGGTTGAAAGAGTCTTAGGGATTAAGGGTACAGCGCTATCTCCATTTTTCAGTCCCAGACCGGCACCGTCGGCCCGCTGTGTGAATGCATACGAAAGTCCGCTAAAAAAGTCGACCGCATCTGAAAACGTTGCTCTCAAAGAGAATATCGCACCCGTTGTACCCATGATAATTGAAACTAGCGCGCCTCTGAAACAGAGTGTCACGCCCTTCAAAACTAACCCCCAGGTCGTTCCTCTAATAACGCCCAAGGCAGAGCCCACAACGCCAAAGAAAGAGTATCCGACTCCCCGAAGAATCGATTTCAAAAGGTTTGCATATAACCCTCAATAGTTTATAGGATCTTACTGATCTATGAATTACAGAACTCGGCCAAGTTCGGTAGATGAAATGCGTTGTTGCTCAGGGGCAACTTTACGTAGTGCTTTTCCGCGGGTGATGTCACTAAGGACATTGGCCATAGATGGTACACCAGCAGGGACGCCAGGGATGCCGGCAGGAGCGGCAGGAGCTGGCGGAGCAGGAGGCGCTGCAGGCGGAGCCATAGGCGGCGCAGGCGCCGCAGGCGGCACACTTGTGGGCGCCATGGGAGGAGCAGGTGGAGGAGGGGGTACCGAACCTGGCGCTTCGGAGATCGGCGCTTCTTGTGTACCTGCGGGAGCTTCAAAAGAAGACATTGGAGGGGCGGGCGGGGCTTCGAAAGAAGGCACAGGCGGAGCGGGCGGAGCGTCGAAGGAAGGTACAGGAGGAGCAGGAGCTTCGAAGGAAGGAGCCGGAGCAGCTTCGAAAGAAGGTACCGGGGGAGCAGGAGCTTCGAAGGAAGGAGCAGGAGGAGCTTCGAAAGAAGGTACCGGGGGAGCAGGAGCTTCGAAGGAAGGAGCAGGAGGAGCTTCGAAAGAAGGTACCGGGGGAGCAGGAGCTTCGAAGGAAGGAGCTGGAGCAGCTTCGAAAGAAGGTACGGGGGGAGCAGGAGGAGCTTCGAACGACGGCGCAGCAGGAGCAGGAGGAGCTTCGAACGACGGCACAGTAGAAGCCTCTGCTTGAGAGAAAACAGCCGACACAGGAGCTTCAGAAGCAGGAGCTTCAGGAACAGGTGTCATGGTTTCTCGTGCGTCCTTGAACTCAGACTCGAAATCAAACTCTTGCTGGTCTGGCAGAGCTTCAACAGAAGGGGCTACCGGCGGAGCCACAGGGGGGGCCACGGGCACCGGCGGAATCGTTGCCTCTGCAATCGCAGGTATAACGTCTGCAGCAGGCGCAGCAAACTCGGGAGCCGATGCAGCAGCACCAGTTATAGGTACATCAGTATCAACAGAAACAGTGGGTGCTGCTCCAGTTGGCTGAGGTCGCTGTGGGCCCATACTGCCAAAAAGTAACGATGCAAGCTGAGCAGGGGTTGCAGCACCTCGAGGCTGTTCATCATCGCTTTCTTCTTCACTCACACCCCATTCTTCATCGTCATCATTAGCAAATGATCGTGGAGGAGCAGGAGCACGAGCAGCAGGGGCAGAAGCAGCAGGAGCAGAAACCGCTCCGGCGGCAGAAGAGGCACCCATACTAGCAGCGAAGGGATTGTAGTCCTGCTCTACAGGCTCTCGGTCTTTACTTGCCAGAGTGGATGCTGCAGAAGGCTGTGTTTCAATCTTAGGGGGTGCTGTGGTTGTCAACGGTGGCTGGGCCTTAGGCACTGCCGGAACAGGGCTAGCGGTTGTACGGACACTTGAGGTAGCTTTAGGAACCTTCACAGTAGAAGTAGTTACAGGGACCTTAGGCTCAGCCTTGGGTGCAGCCTTCGGTTCGTCTTTAGGTTCTTCACTGAGTGCCTTTTCCTGCAGTTCTAGCTCTTCATACTGTTTCTGCAAAGCAGCTAGCCGACGTTCCTTTTCTTGGTTTGCAGCCTTTTTTCTCTCCTCTAGCTGTTGGATATGCTTGCGTTTTTCTTCTAATTGCTGCATGATCTTCTTTTCTTCTTCGTCCTCTTGGTAAGCCGTAGACTTTTGCGTCACAGGCTCCTGAACAGATTCTGCCTCAACCTGAGGTGGGCCAGGTGGTTTGGGAGTCTCCTGCAGCACTTGTTCGGGAGCTTGTTTCTTTTCCTCGTTGGAAACTTCTTTAGGTGCAGACGCCTCTTTAGGAGCATCCTTAGCTTCAGCTTTGGAATCACGATGTATACCACGCTTGGCCATACTATCGTTGAGTTTGCGACGGGCCTCAGCACGAATACGAGCAATTCTTTCAGCAGGAGTCTCCTTTGCAGGCGGAGTAGCTGAAGAAGCAGGTGTACTGACAGGCGACGCCGAAGCCACCGGGCCAGGCTCCGTTCTGGCCGGTTGAGCGGAACTTACAGGTTCAGGGGTGGAAGTCGCACTCGTTGATAAAGATGGTTTACGCAACTCCAAGATAAACCGCTTAACGTCCTCTTCAACACCGACGGCTTCTTCCCAACGACGGCGATCACGATCAGCTTGCTCATCTACGCCAGCACGAAGCTGACGATCCAAATCCCGCTTCGTAGACATGACACTTTCCTCGAGTGCCCGCAACGATTGTTCATTGGTATCACGCTGCTTTTGAGCATTCTGCCCTTCCTCGACAAGCTCTTTCTCAAACTCCTCAAAAGCTGTCGCAGCATTACCCTGAGACGATCTTCCAGTAATTGCAGACATTCTAGCCCGCAACTCAGCGCGGCGACGAGCAGCTGCGCGATCGGCTTCAGTTATAGTCCCGTCGGGACCAGTTCCTGGAATGGACACACCGGGGTTGGCTTTCTCGAATTTCTTACGCATCAACTCGATCTTGGCATTGGCAATCTCCTGCTCCACACTGCGAATACTAGTAGTTAGTTGGGGAAGTGTATCGGTAAGTTGTTCAAGCCGTACAATTAGCTGTTGACGGTCGACTGATCCGCCATTCACCCCACCAGCTGGAGGTGTAGCATCAAGCTCGGCTTGAATGGATCGAATTTTGAGTTTGAGCTCATCAATTGCCCGAAGATTACCATGGTCGATGGAGCTGTCACGATCACGGGTTTCCTCATCACGAATATTGAGAGCCTCTATCTTGATTTTAGCCTCACGTACCTCCTTGGCAAGCTGAGCAACATCTGATGGGCTCGATTTTGAAGATGTCGATGTAGATGCATTTTTAGGGGGCGCTCGATGCCTAGCTGCTGAAATATAACCCCCGACGTCATTGTCATCGTTTTTGAACACAGTAGCATCCTTCTTTAAGACAGGCTTGTTATCCTTGAAGGAACGCTGCTTGAGATAGGAGACCTGACCTGTAGACGAGCGGACAGGTTGCTTCAAATGCTCCCTCATCTGGTCCAAAGAATCCTGAAGATGTTTCGAGCTGGGTGGAATGAGCTCCGGAGGCAGACGGTTTGGAATTTCATAGCCATTGAGCTTGCGGTAAATAAGATGCATTGCAACCGCAAACTCGTCCCGGCCAAGTTTGCCCTTGTCATTTTGATCACACAATGTCCATATACGTTCCAACGAGCTGCGATCAAGACCAGATTTTGTAAAGATTTCGATCGCAGTGCCCCCGTCGATCATGCCTTGCCGAGAACGATCCCATTCGTTGAAAATGTTGTCATAAACCTGCTTCTCTTGCTTTGAGATCGCAGCAGATACCGTTGCATTACCCTGCAACGCTGAGGCTGAACTAGTCGATGCCTGAGGTGTGAACTGACTAGAAAAGCCATCTAAACCAGGCGTCGAGGCATTGATAAAGCCCCACTGTCCAGGTTTGCCGGTCGGCATTGGCGTCAGTCCAACAGGGCCAGTGGACTGAGCTTGAAGTGGCTGCTGTGCAGACTGTGACATTTGATTTTGCAATTGCGGCGCTTGGTAGCTTTGATAAGGTTGTTGATAGCCACCGGTGATTTGAGGCTGCAGACCGCCAGTTATTTGAGGCTGAAGGCCGCCAGTGATCTGGGGCTGAAGGCCACCGGTGATCTGGGGCTGAAATCCACCGGTGAGTTGGGGCATCAACCCGCCTGTGACCTGGGATTGTAAACCACCAGTAATCTGGGGTTGCAAACCCGTAGACTGGGGTTGTGGGGCCTGCTGGTAACCGCCAGTTAATTGAGACCGCAAACTGTTGGTCTGTTGAGGTTGGAGGTAACCGGTAGACTGCGGTTGAACAAACCCGGTTGATTGGTTCTGAATATACGACTGCTGGGGCTGAGCATAGCCAGTTGACTGAGGTTGAGCATAACCAGTTGACTGGGGTTGAGCATAACCACCAGTAGCTTGAGATTGTAGAGGCTGGAAAGCCTGGGCAAAGCCACCTGTAATCTGCGCTTGCAGCTGCTGGGGCAGCTGTTGGTACCCCGCGGACTGACCGGTTTGCTGTCGCAGTTGATCGAAGGCATTCGAACTCGTATTGCGAGTATCCGGAGCAGCAAAAGAAATTATGTCAACCATATCACCGACCTCGCGACGAATTGTAGGATGAACATCCTGAGGAACAGGCTCTCCTCGAAGCACCTTGGCGCAGAGGTACATGGCCAAACAAAATTCGGGAAAAAGAAGTTGACCGGAACGAGTTGTGTCTGCAATCTGCCAGATATCACCCAGTGTAGCTGACGGCAAGTTCGAGCGCATAAGAATCAGCCTGGCGGTTTGCCCACTCAAGGCAAGTTCACCGGGCTGCAGCGAGGCCGAAAATAACTGGCCAAAGTTCTGCTGATCCTGCTGGGTAATAAAACTAAGCCGCTTCGAGGGCACTGCGGTGGAGTTTGAGGTTGCAGTCATATCCGCAGAGGCAGTCATACCCGTAGGGATGGGTGCTAGCGGGGTCATTTGAGGAGCCATTTGCGGAGCCTGCTGCTGAGCGGGAGCACTGTACATTTGACCCGGCATAGGGGGTTGCATTTGCTGGTTAGCCTGGCCGTAGAATTGGCCCGACCCGTATGGATACATTTGTGCCGGTATACAAAAAGTACTAATAGAAGGGTCTTTGTAACCGGTGCCAGCTATAGTGTGTTTAGTAGAGGGGCTGGGAGAGTTGCTGACACCCCCTGGAGCTTGGTCAGAACTGGAGGGTAACTCCTACAGCGCGGAGTCACACGACGATCATCGTTATGTGGCACGGTAGATATTTTAGAATGCAAACTACATAATGGGAGCTTTACAGAGGCAGGGTCTAGAGACTAATGTGCACCAGCCTTGAGAAACTCCCTAGAAACCCAAGAGGTTAATTCACAGCATACTTTCTAGTCCACTCGCGAGCGTTTGCGTCAAATTTAGCACGGTTTTCTTTGTAAAGGTCGGCGATTTCGGTTACAAGCGGGTCATCAGGATTAGGATCGTCCAGAAGCGAGCAAATAGAAAGAAGAACCTTGGGAATAGTTAATGCTGGTGACCACTTATCTTTGAGGATGTCTAAACAGATGGACCCGTTAGCATTGATATTAGGATGGTAGATGCGGGTTTTGAATGCCACCTTCGGTGGCTTGAAAGGGTAGTCTGGCGGGAAATGAATGTCTAAAAAGAACAAGCCTTGTGAGTAGGGGCTGTCGCTGGGGCCAACAATCGTGGCTTGCCAGTGGTAAAGATCATCTCCGGTCGGACCGGCTGAGCATGAAGAAGGAGGATCTCTGATTGTTAGTGCTGCTATTCTGCAAAGTGTTGTTTGCCACTTACCTTTGAATTTCCTGGAGCTCTTTGTTGATGCGTTTGAGAGCCATCTCAAATTACGTGTGTGTTAGAGTTTCTACAGAAATGCCCACTTGAGTTATATAACATGGGCTAGGGTACCGAGGCTCCGACGCCTGGGTGAAGGTTCTGGTCAAAAACACCGTAGGGTCGAGGACACGAGGGGCGTTAGAAGTATAGACGGGGTAGTGGGACTATAGACAGCGGACTAAGCAGAGGAGAAAAAAACTCCTCAGAGACAGCACTTATGCTTGTCAATTATCGGCGAGCCGCAGAGAGCCCGCCCAGAAAAAAGGGGCATCGAAGACGTTGAAAGGCGCCCCCATTCATGACGGGTCGCTAACGTAGTAAACCAATTAGAATTCAATTGTCGGCAACGACTATAAATATCAAATATATACAGTGCAACAAAAACTGTTTCGCCTTCGTTCATATATTGGGGTCCACTTGCCTCATGGAGGCTTCGTCCTGTTCGGCGTACTTGCCGAAGCGGACGCTGCGCAGGAAAACAGCAAGTTAAAAAACCCCACCTTGCCGTAAATACAACCACGCAAATTTCAACTCTAACTAAAATTATAATCTCTTAAGTAAATCTGCCCGAAACTTTAGTTCCGCATTTACAGGTTTTAGCTTTTTTTTACGACGCCTTGGCGCAGAGCCTACACAGCTCACAACCGCGCACATGCAGCCAGGACCTGTATTCCCACGACACCAGGTACAGGTATGCATGGGTTGCTTAGACAACATGCAAGAATCACCTTACTTTCGGAACCAAACGAGATTACGTCACTGATATTTTAATATCTGAGAAAAACGAGAGCCACTTGCAAACTTCATTCACGGTTAAGGTGAAACCTATACCCTTTCCAGTTTCTTCTTTTGATCACTTTTCTTAGCAATGGAGAACGCGTTCATGTACGGGCCGCCCGCCTTGGATGTTGACTATTGCAAGCTTTTTATGGACTCGCTAGAGCCATCGAAGGAGGATTCTGCCGCGGGGGTCACAGACCACCAAATGTTCATTCCCAGCCCCCAGACGATGTTGAATTCCAGCGCAGATCCATTCCAACTAACTCAGCCTGCCCCAATTAAAGAGGAACCAGAAGAGAATGGCTTTGGTCACTACTTTGGCCTCAACAATGATATGTGGTCCGGACCAAGTGATTCGTCGCCTAGCGACCAATCCATCTCGGTCGATGTTATGGATATGCTTGGATCCAAACGCAGTAACAACTCGTCCCCTGGACAATCCATGAATCCAAGCGGTGTCTTGTTTTATCCATCGCCTACCCATATTCAAGGCGTCTCGCCACCGCACCTCCAACAGTCCACGAACTACGCTGCCCCCTTACAAATGTCTCAGACAGCCCACCATATCGGCAATGGTGCTCATCAGTTGAATTCACCTCCTATGGCTCAAACCTATGGCTCACCATTAGGGGCAAATCACAGATCGCCAGTTGAGCCTCACAAGCTCCCAGCGCCTACTGTCTCGAAAAATTTTACCAAGAATTCTGTGACAAAACGTCCAAATGTTGTTGTTTCTGGTGTCTCTAAACCACCCGCAACTATTGCTGGTGCGACAAGCCCCGGCCGTCAACGCAAGTCCAAGTCCACACACAACTTGATTGAGAAGAGATATCGGAATAACATAAACGACAAGATCAACGTTCTGCGGGACTGTGTGCCGTTCCTCAGAGATCTTTCGAACGCTACTGAAAGCACCAACGGAGACGGTGCCCCCCAGCCTCGTCTCAATAAAGCCACTGTCTTGACCAAGGCTGCAGAATATATTCGTCAACTCCAGCAGCGAAATAATGCCTTGACGAAGGAATTGAATGCTCTCCGTGCACAACAGGGACTCGATACTAATCAAATGCCGCCACTGAGATCACCGCAAAATGAGGCAGAGTCTTCGTTGTATATGGATGAATATGGCCGTCCTCCCTCAGCGTCGAGCATGTCCTCAGTTTCGAGTTCCGGAACGCACTTTTCCTCTACTACGAAAATGGCCGCAACTTGTGTTGTCGGTGGTGCTTTGGCGATGGGCGGAATGCTTGGAAACGACGACCTTCGTGGTCTCGCCGCTGTCGAGCTCAATCTGCCCTTCGCTCCCACACACACATTGGGCTCTTTCCTGAAAGTTGCTTCGGCAATTTCGCTACTCGGGACTGCTATTTCACTCTCTCAGGATAGACAGGCTGCTTCTCGGCCCAAAGCTACTAAACACTATAGTAGCTTGCAGGAGCACCGTCAAAATGCGTACGAGACTGCCTGCCAGATGCTCAACACTCCTGCAGATGCAAGTACTCTTGGCATGATATGGAGACTGCTTGTGGCTATCGTTCAAGTTATTGTCTTTTCGCTTATGGGTGAGAGTATGCTAAACGCGTTCATGGAGCTCAGTGGTATCGATGCCCGCCAACGACGATCTATGATTATGCAGGCATCAGATACCCAACTTGTTGGTGGCAGTCGAGCGGGAACGTCGAAGCTTCACCTTCTCTATTTGCTTGTATCGCAAAATTTGCTTCCTGCTACCCCCCGTCGGTACATGATCCAGTCTATGCAAGCCCAAGAACTCGGCCGCAATTCTATTTTGAGACCACTCTTTAATGCTATCGCTTCCAGGCTTTGGCGCAAGGCCTCGCAAAGCTCAAGCGGAGCTCGCGACTCGTCGCCTTGCCCCACCTATTTAAATGAGCTTGCCGCCCTTGACTACAATGAAGTCATGACGCCCCGCACTCGTAAATGGCTTGGCTGGGTATGCGATAGTCTTAGTATTCCCAACTCTCGGGACTACAGCTCGCTTGTATCAGATCATTCGTTGACTACGGCGTTGGATATTCTCGCCGCTGCCAACGCAATCCAGGGTCAGAACACCGCTCTCGAGCAGTACCTGGTTGACGACGATAGAGCCAAGGCGCTCAAGAACCTGAGAAAGGTTGACACAATGACGCCTCCTACCACTTGGACGATGTTGCGAAGTGAGCTCTTGCAGGTAGTGATCAATGGAGCTTCTGACACCAACAAAGTCTGCAATGTTTTGCAGGAGGCTCAGGCAATGCTTCGCAAATACTCGATGTGTTCGCCTGAGACTGTGACAACATTGCGAGCTATTATGCTGCTTCACCATCACAGACAAGGATCGCCAGAAAGCCAAGAGTATGCTCGACAGCTTGCGACCCAAATTTTGGTCAAAAAAGATACCGTCGCAAGCTCAGCAGACATTTTGTGTGTGTTCTTCATGCTTCGTGAGCTGGCAAAGGAACCCCACACTGAATCCGCAGCCAATCTCTCCGACGCAGCGTTTGTCTGCCGCCAGTGGTTCGGTAAAGACGAATGCGCAGGCGACTTTGGTCTGGGATTGAGCGCCCGCCGTCGTCTTATCCGCGAGTCTATCGCAATGGCTAGAGTCTTTGCTCAAGTTTAAATTATACATATATATATTCGAGCCAGTGGTGGCTCAATAGATTGATTCCGATAATAACCCGCTTAATAATCATATTTTTTTATTATTAACTCTCCCACCATAGATCTTCTTCCCAGAAACTGGCATCTCACCACAGTCGGTCTCGAACTTCTACCAGTTGAACGCAATGAGCGACGCTAGGGTCTCGGACGCTCGAGCATGGCCCAATGCTCAAGTGTCTATGTCGCAATCCTCTTTAGCGAGCTCTCCATCGAACCAGGGCACGTTACCGGGTCGAGCCGGACGGCCTGACTCCGCATTACTGCAGGCGACGGCAGCGGCGACGGCAGCGTCGAAATCACGTCCCCAACTCAAAGTTACTACATCGCAAGCGAATATAGCTGCAGTGCAGCCTGGTCCTCGTCGTATCTGGGTGAAAAGAGCCGGCATGACCCCAACTAGTCTCCTGGTTGAGGCAGATGATCTCGTGGACGATCTCAAAATGAAGATACTTGCCAAGTACCCCACATCATTGTTGCGAACCTGTGATCCAGCAGATCTGGTAGTTTCTATCCCGGGAGATATAGCAAAGATGCTTAGGACTCCCGTAAGCACCGCGTCGTTCGCTTCCCCGAGCGTGGCGCAACGCAAGCTATCGTCTTCATCAAATTCGCGTCCCCGAGCGCAGTCGATTACAACTGGCAAAACATTCAAGTCGCCACTGGCTTCACCACAGTTGCCTTGTGCCATCGAACTAGAGCCAGATGAGTTGATTGTGCCGCTCATCGACAAATACTTTCCTGATGGAATGTCCATGTCTGAAGCACTGGATATTAGTCCAACTAGCATACCATCTGGTCAAAGTGGAACCTCTTCCTTAGCACCTGCTGGACCGCTTTCCCGCGCAGGCAGCTTGGCCACTCTGAGCAGGGCAAGATGCCCCACCTCCATGGCTCCGCCCCCTCTACTTTCCCAAACGCAAACGGCAGCAGCAGCAGCAGCAGCAGCCGCAAAGCCCAAACTCATATCCAGTCCCTCATCCACTCAACTCGTAAAGCGGGCGGTTGGTTCACAGCCTGAGAAAAAACCCACTGACCAGGCTCAAAGCGCAGGTGCTAGTGGGGGTGTTTTGCTTTTGCCACGGCAGTTAACTCTTTCTATGAAAAAAGAAGTAACTGCAGACTCAGAACCTGTTTCTCCAGCTCATACCGAGACAAAGGACTCCGAGAAACAGGACGGAAGCAAAAAAGAAGACCAAAAGCAAGAGGGGTTGCTGGAGCTTCGCCAAATGTACAAGAAACTCCCCTCTGCTCAGGCGAGCGTTGTAGTGCCCCAGGTGAATGTTCTGATTGTTGAAGACAACGAAATCAATCAGAAAATTTTAGAAACGGCCCTACGACGGAACAAAGTGCGCTGCTCGATTGCTAAGAACGGCCGTGACGCTGTAGCAAAGTGGAGAGAAGGCGGTTTCCATATTATTTTAATGGATCTGCAATTGCCAGTCATGTCTGGACTGGAGGCATCCAAAGAAATCCGCCGACTCGAAACTGTCAATCGTATTGGTGCCTTTAGCGCGACGTCAGATTCCAAAAACCCTCCAGCACAAGAACAAGACAAAATCGATCATAAGCTGTTCAAGAGCCCGGTAATTATTGTAGCGCTGACTGCGTCCTCGAGCGCAGAAGATCGCTCGGAAGCCTTGAGAGCTGGTTGCAACGATTTCTTAACCAAGCCGGTAAACCTCGAGTGGCTCCAGCAAAAGCTACTTGAGTGGGGCTGCATGCAGGCCCTCATCGATTTCGAGGGATGGAAAAACTGGTACGTTTTGGAGTCTGGCACTCCTAAAGCCGGCAATTCGCTCTTCCGCAAAACAGTCACTGCGCCCTCTGCTCCTAACGAGATCCCGCGGCCTCAATCTCCTCGCGCGCCCTCTGTCGGCAGGTCCGGACGCGCTCTCGAAAGGAACGCCCCTCGATCTCGCTCTAGTTCTACACGTCGTAGTAAGTAGCTTTGTATATTTATGAACCTTATCTTGTCTGCCCGGGGTGTCTGTTTGTCATCGCCATGGTCAGGCTGAAAACCCGATATCTGCTTTTTGAGCTCCTTTTCCCCGACAGTTTAGACCTTGCACATCCTCATGAATCCCTGAGACAAACCAAATCCAAAATCGAGTATCGTAAAGTAGCTGACGCCTTCAAACAGGCGGTTTTGGAGCATTCAGGCGAACAAGGCTTGGGAAGCGTGCAGAGCTCGTTATTAGTGAAGTACTTTAGCCCTGCTACAATGACGGGGGTTTTAAGAGTGAGCCGAGAATACTATCGAATTGTTCAGGCCTCACTGTCGTATATCACAGAGATCGACAACCAACGGGTAATTGTCAAGATTGCAAAAGTTTCCGGCACCATCAAGAAAAGTCAACAGGCTGCCATTGCCAAAGACAAGGCATATATTGATATTATTGCAGCTGACACCGCTTCTACAATCGGCTACAACTAGTTTTTAATAAATATTTATTCGTACTTATCCTCGATCCGTTCGAATTCCACAGGGCCTGCGGATTTTTCGTCCAGTTTCGGTCGGTAAATCTGGCGAGCTGCTTGCTCAGCGGCAAACAGAGGCTCGTCGTACAAACCTTTGCTTCCGGTGGACTTTCCAAACAGCCGAGAATCGAACTGGGCGTCGCCAGTGAGTGCTGGCTTATGGCCAAGAGCTGCTGCCTCTGAAATGTCGCGCTCTTTCAAAGCCTTTTTCAACCGGGAAGATCGATCTTTTTCGCGTTCACTTTCACCATCATCAAGGGGTCTCTTGCGAGCTTTCTGGGCTAATAGTTTCAGTCGTAGCTCCTTAGCTTCTTGGGCCTTTAATTGCCGCTGCTGTGCGGCTTCATTTCGTTCGTTTACTTCTTGACGAGCCTTGCTTTCTGCCTCGTATAAAGCTTCAGCCAGTTGTGCTTGGCGATCACCTGCTTGAACTGCAGATTCATCAAACCTTCCGTCGGCTGCAACCCGTTTTTCCACATCAATAACAAAGCCCTTATTGTTCTTCCACCCCGAAACACTTGGCGGAATATACCACTGTCTTTGTTCCTCGGCAGTTAATTTGGGCGGGGCTGCTTTAAGCACTGGAGCAGGCGGAGATGGAGGCCGGGCCGGGGCTTTAACGTGTTTATGGCGAGCTGGTTCCAAAGGATCGTACTGAACGTCGACAATTTTCAGAGTGCGTTCTCGTGCAGATTCATTGACGTGCGCCGCTGGGGTGTATTTAACAATCGATGGGCCTGATTTTTCTTTGGTCTTTGTTCCTAGTTTTTTATCGAGAATCGCATCTATTGCCGCCTGAGTCCGATCTCTCGTTTCGTTCACCACTTCGGTTGGTGGACGTGCCAGACCGCTCTCGGGTCGTACAACTACCAGTTTATTTGCTGCAGGAACAACAATTTGGGTTTCGGGGTTCTTCAGTGCCCCAGCAGTCGCAACTGCTACCGATACGTTACTTTTAACCGCCCGCTTTGGCCGGGGTAACAAGTCGTTGATCGAATTCATGATTAGCTCATGCGGCTCAATGCAGCCTAAGTAGTTTAGTTCAGAAAGACCTCACTAACAAAAAACCCACTTACCATGAATACTAGCTACGAAGAAGAATACAAAGCAGCGATGTTTGCTTGCGAGCAGGCGCAGGCGAGCGCCATGAATCTTGCTGCAAAACTAGAGCTCCTTCGCGCCCAGAACATCGAGCTGCGCAAATTGATCCTGGAAGAAACCGAGAAGGGCGAGAAGATTGTCAATGATATTTTGAATCTCAAGCTAATTACCGGTGTTTTTCTAAGCGAGCTTTCTGAAGCAAACATGTCTTGGAACGACCGAATGCGCGTGTACGATCCAGCGACCCGCCCGCAATATCCATTGCCTAAAATCGGCCGACCTATAGTCTCTTAATTTGAATTATTGTTAAGTAAGGGGTTTGTTGACTTCCAACATATGGTGTTTGGACACAACCACAGAAAGGCCCGCAGGCTTGCCCAGCAGGTGCAGACCAACTTGCCTGATCTGGATATAGATCTCGCCTCAATCGAGGATGCTACGGCGCATAGCACTATGTTATCGGAAGATGAGCAGCGGGAGCGAATAATGCAACAAAACGATCGCCGCGAACGCTATGAACTAGCCTGCATGAAGCTAGAGGTTGCATTCAACAACGAAATGGGACCTCATACTGCGCTACAAAACGAATTGGAAGAGATCAGACGTCAAAACACCCAGAGAAGTGAGCTGTGCCGCCAGCATAGAGAAGAAGTGTTTGCCCTCGAGAAAAGTGTTGTGGCCGCGAACGCTGTGTGGAATGCTCGGGTTGTCGCCAACGGTCAGGCATTGACCTCTGAAATTGATTTAACAAAACCTCTCGGCTTGAAACGCAAAACTTTTGGTACGAGATCACCACTCAAAGAAGCTAGTCTGAATGGTCGCTGGCGCGTTCAAGAACCCGAGGGCACTTATAAATGATTCGGCGGGGCTCTCTTTGTCATGGACAACCTCCGTCGAATCTTCGATACGGCGTGTGTCTTGTCTACTTTTCTCTCCAAAAGATCTGATTACCGCCCTGACGCAAACAAGATCGCACATGCTGTATCCCAGCAACTTAATCAAGAGGTATCGTTGGACGACTTGAGCAGGATCAAGTATTTGCTTCCGGACGAGATTGTGTTTGACTACGAAGACATCGTATTTGATGCAGTTAACGATAGAAGTGAGCCGCAGAAAGTGTTGCTCTTCCAATTCGTGGATACAGTCAAAGATGCTGAAAATCCAGGATCCTTGTTGGCCAAAATCACTCAACGAAAAGAAAGGTTTCAGCGAGCGGCCAGTCAGTTCATGTCTCGCAGATCATGGGACGACCTTGTGGAGGGTGCAAAGTCAATGTACCCACGTTCAAACCCAAATATATCTATGGAAATTGGCCCATTGAAAGGCGAAAGTATGGACGAAATTATAGACTCGTTGGATGAAGAATTAGCGGCCAAGCGAACTGTGCCGCCTAGACCAAGCAGCTATGCACCTACACCGTCCAGATATGAACAATTGCTCTCTCAGTTTGGAATCGAAAAACTTTATTCGCACCAGGCACAAGCCATTGAGTTCATTGAAGAAGGTAAAAACGTTATCATAACCACTTCAACGGCCTCTGGAAAGTCTCTGGTTTTTCAAATGCCAATTGTTGATTGTCTTCAGTCGGGTGAGGGCACAGCCATGTATTTATCCCCCACAAAAGCTCTTGCACAAGACCAGTTGAGATCGTTCAGAAATCTGCTTGATGAGGACCTTGTTTACGCTTTCGATGGTGATACACCCGCAAACGACCGCCAGGGTATTATAGAAGAGGGCAGACTGATCCTGTGCAACCCGGATATTTTACACTGTACAATACTTCCGCAATGGCAAAAATGGCAGCGTTTTTTAGAGAATTTGCGTTTTGTCGTGCTCGATGAGTTGCATTGTTACCAGGGGGTGTTTGGAGCTCACACGGCCATGGTGTTTAGACGCTTGCGTCGTTTATGTTTCGACCTAGGCAACGATCAGCTTCAGTTTATTGCATGCTCGGCAACAATAGATAAGCCGCTCCATTTTTTTTCTCAAATTACAGGTCTTGAAGAAGAACAGATTCGAATGGTTGACAATGACGGTTCACCAGCGGGAAAGAAGCATTTCTTATTTATAAATACCCCTCACCTGGTTGAAGATGATCCATCCAGTGGGAGGGCGCTTCCTATGACTATTGCAGTTCCTTTGTTGATTCGATTGGTCTCGAGTGGACTGCGGGTAATTGCATTTTGTCGGGTTCGTAAAGTTTGTGAGCTTATGATGAGATCGATTCGAGAACAGTTGAGGGACCAAGATAACGGTGAAGAGATCTTGAGCTGTATAATGAGCTACAGAGGAGGGTATGCACCCGAAAAACGTCGTGAGATTGAGCGTGAGATGTTTTGTGGAAAACTCAGGGCTGTAATTGCCACTTCAGCTTTGGAAATAGGTATTGACATCGGAAACCTCGATGCTGCTGTTTTGGTGGGGTTTCCGTATTCTTTGGCTAGCTTTCGTCAACAAGTTGGGCGTGTTGGTCGCCGCAGTACTGATTCGCTTGTGGCGATCGTTGCGGATGGCTCAGTTCTCGACCGCACTTTTGTCAACGACCCAGATAGGATCTTTACTGATAGAGACCCTTTGATTCCTTTACCAATAGAACCCGCGATTGTTTCGAGCCATTTGGACTGTGCGGCATATGAATTAGCCCTGACCGAGGAAGATGGTGAGGTGTTTCCGCTGTGGGAAAGCCTGAAGCATTCTCTGGAATTCGAAGACGGCCAATACCATACTTCAAAGTATCGCCCTGCTGAAAAAGTCAGTCTTAGGGTTGCCGACTCTACAGATATAGCTGTGGTGAATGTGACAGGTGGTAATTGCGAGATTCTAGAAATGATAGAGTTCAGCAGAATCGGATTCACAATATACGAAGGTGCCATTTTCCACCATCAAGGTAAACCGTACATTGTAGTGAAGCTCAATACGGATGAAAACTATGCACACGTTATCGAAACAAAAGTTCAATGGACAACGCGACAACGAGACTTTACGGATGTTGACCCGCTAAGCTCGCAAAAATATAAAACCCTGAACGATGCTTTATGTGCCATTGGCAAAGTTCAGGTAGCAACAACAGTATTTGGGTATTTCAAAGTCGACCGAAGAAACAAAATTATAGAGGCAGTGGACGTGTACTTGCCCCCATTTGAGGCCAAGCGAGCCGGCATTTGGATGAATTTGTCAATTGCTGTTCTAGAAACCATTACTGAAAAAAACCTCAATGCGGCCGCTGCGATACATGCCGCAGAGCATTTGATCATAAGCATGATTCCCCGATTTGTTGTAACGTCTCCTGGGGATCTCGGGACAGAATGTAAGGCTCCTGAGAAGGAGCTGGCAAAGAAGGCGACGGGAAGAATTCGCCTTGCTCGTTTGATCATTTTTGAGAGACGTGGCGGTGAAGCAGGAAATGGAACTGTTGAAAAAGTTTATGAATGCTTAGATCAAATACTTGATGCCTGCTGTGAGCGTATTGATGCATGCCCCTGTACTCATGGATGTCTGGATTGTATTGCCATGAGCGGATGTACCGAGAATAACATTGTTTTGTCGAAACCCGGGGCACAAGTCATATTACGCATGTTGATGAACCATCCGATCGACGATGTCCCTGATGGCCCTGAACCCAACTTCGAGGCAAGCGATATCATCACCGTGCAGGCGGTGCAGGCACATCCAGTAGTGAATATTAAAAAAGAAGAGTAATTTCAATTAAATATCTATGAGCTTGTCATTTTCGAACTCGTTCAAACTTTCTAACGCGGGGCTGTCCATGGGTTGATTGTGTCCAAAAGATGTTGTTGGACCACCCAGTGACGGTCTGGGTGGGTGAGCAAACATCATTGAATGTTGTCGAGACATTTGGTTCTGCGGGCGAGTAGGCGTTGGAGGCGGTGCATTTTTGCGGAGATTGGTTGTCTTTAGACGGGGTAACAATGCTGGTGACTGCTCAAGTTTCATAGGTTTGGCGATGCGGAAAAGAGATGCAGCAGGTTTGAGGTAGACGGTGCTTAGATGGCCCAAACGTAGTTCTAGCTCCTCCAGGCATGCCTCGTCGATGACAATATTTTCACATGTAATTGCTGGAAGATGAGTGGTAACGATGTCACGGGTTTTGCCTGCATCAGCGGACAAAAGCCGCCAGTACATGAATGCCCGATCCCGAACATCCGGGCTGGTATCTACGGTCGTAGCGATTTCAAAAATGCGCGGAACCAACATTTTAGCCCTGACGGGATACGCAAGGAATAGTTTAATAGCAGCAGTTAGCAGAGTGAGCTGCAAATCTGAGGATGATGCACTGGCGAACGCACTTTTACATTCTTCCGACAATATCGCTGGTGCATCTTGAACGATGCTAGGATATTGGCCACACAGCCAAATGAACACAGTTCTGGCCTTGACATCGGACCAAATCGTGTCTTTCAAGCTAACAATATCGTCCACAACATGGATAAACTTGTCAGGATATCTGCGCAGAATTTGTAGCATAGCGACAATACCCTCCTGGGCATTGTAGTCCGTGCCTTTCATTGAATTACGCATGATCACTCGGACACAGGAGTCTGCGGCCTCGGGGATTGTAGTGGCAAGACGACCGATTGTTTTGATGGCTCTTCGCGACGTGGTCTCATCTTCTTGTCCGATACAAGTTTCAAGCTCAAAGATGACATCACTATAATTCTTCGGACTTGAAAGCAGCAGCAAAACCTCGATTTTCGAGATCTTGATGTACACTGGATCGGCCGATTTGATCACAAACGGACTAGTGTCGAGATGGACGAGATCGGGCCGATGTTGTAATAGCATGATACAATTTCTGAGCATAACGTACTGGATTTCAGCAGGTTTGGCTAGCAGCAGCAGAATTGCCTGATCGATTGACTCGCCAAACCGCGGGACTTCTGTTTCGAGATCCGCCGCGTAATTACTTAGAAACAGCAATGTACGCATAGCAGCGGTAATAACAGCAGCATTGGCATGCTTTAGTCGGGGCATGATCATCTTTATCAGTCTAATCGCCTTTATACTTGATTGTGGGACATACTCCATGATAGCATTCAGCAAATAAACTTGAGACCACTCGTTGCAGTCGGGCAGAATTTTGGCGAATTGGAACACCGTAAACTCATCAATAGTCAGGACAATACTCTTGTGGTGGGAAGTGAGCTCATTCAGAGCAGCAACTGCCGCAGCTACGACCGAGGGATTCTGGTCTACCAACATGTGATTGAGACTCTTCAAGAGCTCATTGGACATCGGCCCCTTGGGGTCGGCAGACCAGGCTTTGGCGACAGCAAATACAGCAGTCTTACGCACGTATGCGTCTTGGTCTTTGAGCATTGCTAGCGATCTTTTACACGTGAGCTCAGCAAACGGCTTCAGTGGTACCGAGGATACCGTTCTCAAAGCCAGGGCCCTGACCAACGGCGAAGAACTGTCAAAATCGTTCTCTAGAATATCTAGAGCGTTGCTTGCTAAAACAGGGCGTGATTTGGCGTAGGTTTCAAGGTACAAGAAGCACATTTTCTTGATTTCTAGATCATCCACAGCCATACACCGCACGATCTCATTGAACAGGTTGATCATATCCGTATTATTGATCGTCATGTTCACAATGACTTTTCGGAGTGCAGCCCGCTTTGTTTTATGGTTCTTGTCCTTTTTGTCAACCGCCAAATCGGCCCTCAGCTCGGCTGCGCTAGCCGCTCGATCGCTCATTGTGTAAGCCGGATGGGTTGGATGGGCAAATACAGGGGAGTGAAATAGAGCTATAATTAGGCGATTGCAGCAGCATAACTGACGGAGCTATCATGCCGACTACTTACATGAGAGCTTTGAGCATAATGAAGCCACTCAAAGTGGATTTGACTATTACAAGTCTCAGCGAGACGTACCAACACACTAAGCGGCCGGTGCCCACACACTGTGTTGCCGGTCTCCTGAATATATTTATTCCAACTGTCCGCGTTGCCGGTTGATGCAATTTTCATGCCCTCTTGGTCCAAATCACGGATGCTTTCCCAGATCGGTCGACCCAGAGGAGACGGGTGCTGCTTGACAGGCGCTAAATGGTCGGTACCAGCAGGGCTATAGCGGGTATAACCGAACCTGGAGCCCCAATGACAGAAATCTGAGCTGACGATAAAAGCAATTTGCGGATTATCGAAATAGGGGGTGAGTAATTGGACAAAGTCCTGTTCGGCGGCAGACGAAAGGTCGCCAAACACTAGTGGAACAAAAGTTGCTTTTGAATTGGTGTATTTTAACATTGGCAGATGCATTTCCAACGAGTGCTCTTCGTCGTCAGTGTCTATATCCAGATAGTCAACCCCTTGACTATTGAGTTTCCGAGTGATTTGGGTGTCCACTGCCACCGTACCTAACGGAGTCTCATATCCAGCGTATTTGGACGTTCGCACGCCCTTGAAATATTGACAATGGGAAGGACCCATCACAAAAACTGTCGTAATGTTCGGATCCAGACATTTATAGGTATGCGCTAAGGTGGCACCGCAGTAGGTATAGCCAGCATGTGGGCCTACGCCAAAGCGTCCAAAGCGAGGCGAATCGACAGTATTGAACCAATTTTCAATCTGGGTCTGTAATTGGCGCTTGTTAGCGGAATACCAACTACCGCCGTGGGTTGCTGGCCGAATCGACGCCATTAATGATGTGAGGTGCTTAAAGGTAATTACATCAGGAAAAACGGGAGGGTCTCAAATATGGAATTTTTTCTTTTGTAAATGATCATTTATGAACAAAACTAATCAAAGTCCTCGCCCTCTTCTTCTTCGCTATTATAGTCATCGCCATCAACCTGTTTCGTCTCGGCCTCCGACTTCTCCATAAGTTTAAGCAGCTCGGCATCGTCAGTCTCGGTGACGGCCTTGGGAGCCATCTTGACCTTGAGTTCGCCACCGGCAGCGACGATAGACTCTTTGATTTTCTCAATAGCCTGCTCAAGCACCTCGACGGCCTTGTTCTTATCGAGGGCCAGCGACGTAAGAACGAACAGCGGGGCGGCCACGAGCTTGATTTTAACCGGCACCAGTTCAGTGCCAGCGGCCTCACCGGCACGCAGAGCCTCTTTGATAGCGTCAATACCCTCGTAGCTGAAGCAGGTAACTTCGATGTCTGCCCGGACCTTGACGGGGTTGGGGGTCATTTTATGCGAAATCTGGGCAATGAGGTCGTGGTAAACCTCCATACTGGGGGGCGTGATGCCCTCAAAGACCTGGTCCGGGTTGGTGATGACCAGTTTGAAGCCGTCGTAGGCGTGGCCGTACTTGCGGGCCAACGGCCACGCATAGGTCTCGTACAGGCTCTCGAGAGCAACCTGGTGCTTTTCGGCGATGTGGCGCAGAATAGAGTGCACAGCCTTGGACTTGGAGTAGCGCTCCTCGCACAGAATAGCATCCTCAGGAATAACTTTTCGCTTGGACAAATCGATGTAGCCCTTGTCCTTATCGACACGCAGAACAACAGCAACCTCATTGCGTCCCACGCGAATTAGCTTTTGGATAGAGCGGAACCGGCGGCGAGACAACTCGCTCAGCAGGATCATACCCTCGATCTCGTCGTACTCAAGCAGCTTGACATATGCTCCCATATCGGCAATCTCCTTGACGTTGACCATCACAAGGTCGTCAACTTCGGGGTACTTTTGCTCGTAGAAACGGCAGGTACTGGTGTTCACTTCCGACATCCTATTCTATTGTAACTTAGGCCGACGGCGACTTTGCAGTTTTTTTGCTAACCAGGAAGGTGTCTGACTAAAAAAGGTTTTTGGGTGGGCCAATTTTTCAGGAGAGTCACTTTATAGAAGTTTCTAATGATAAATACAATTATTGAGCCTTGAAGTGTCGCAGGATCTCCAGGGCCTTGGTGAGTTCGGCAACGGCTGTATCAATGTCGTCGTAATTCAGCGCTGAAATTGCGTACTTGGCGTGCTTTTGGGCTGAGGTCGTTGTGGCCGCCTCGGCCATCACACTCTTCATATTAATAGCCTTGTGCTTGGCTGGTTTGCTGGGGTGCGCAGACGGCGCCGCTGGGGCTTGTGAGCGTGCCGCCTGCTGGGGCTGGGTGAAGTCTGTCTGGTCGGGCTTTTTGGGCGGTGCGTCGTAGTCAAAGGGCACCGATGGGGTGGCGCCAGGCGTTCTTGGAAGCCCTAAGTCGTTCGGCTGGGCATCTGGAATGGCAGGGAGCGAAACATCGGGAGGGGTCGCTGGAGTGGACGGCAACGAAATAGGGTTCTCTGCTGGAGTCTCTGGAAGTTGCAGCTCGCTGTCGGCCGGTTCACTGTCTTCGTCTTGAGGGCCGTCTTCGAGTTTGGCCTCGACTTGGTCCTCGACTTGGTTTTGGGGCTCCTCTTGGGTAGGATCTCTGCCTTCTTTCAGTGCCCGGAGAATTCGTGCAGCTTGGAATTTCGCATACTTGATCTGCTGCTTCACCGCTTCATCAGGCTCCTCCCAGATCTGTTGCAAATCGAAGAAATTGACCGCCGCCAAAAACGTCTGGGCAGTAGCTTTGGTAGCTCGACGCTCATCAACCGCCTTGGCTGCTCGCTCAAAAATTGACGAAGCAAAATTGGTGGCGTATGCCTTGCCAACTTCATCGTTCGAGATAATCTCCAAAGCTTCCGGTTTCGACAGAGCCTCGCTCTCTTTTGCCGTCTCAATCTCGCCCAACAAATCGGTAGCAAATTGCTTCACCTGCTCGTCGCTCTGGTGCAATTTCGTGGCCAGCACTTGCTGCACTGCATAAAGCTTGCAAAAGTACGCGATAATTGGGTCCTTTTGCTCCAATTCGGCCGCCCGTAACAGCGTCGTTTTAACAAACGACACACTACCAGGAACACTCATGAGGGTAAGCATGGGTTAGGCCCGATTGCCTTGTTTGAAGGGAGACCAAGTAAACTGTCCAGGCCCAGCAGGCAATGTCGAAATTATTGGCGAAATAATCTTCTAGGACGCCAGCGGTGTTTCGAACCGGCAATTCGGCCAGAATCCGCAACCGTATTTTCCAGCTCACGTGACCACCCAACACGCTTCTACACGCATTTAGCCAAAACCTGGCGGGTTCATTACGTGACGGATTTTCTCGATTGGAAAAGGTTGCGCAACCCGATCAGAGAGCCAGTCAACAGTTCGGGAGTACCAACGCCTGGATTATTTTCTTGAAAGTCGCACAAATTAGCTGTTGCCATGAGTGATCCAGCAGCTGCCGCAGCTGCCGCCGCCGTGGCGGCCGCGTCCGCAGTAGGGGCCTCCACACCTCGCAGCTCCGGCTCGCAGTGCCCGGACGATATGTCTACACAACCAGATAACGGCTCTCAATTGAAACACGATCGGGGCACACAGTCCCCTCATGGTAATATGGCCACAGCGGAGAAGGATTCCTCGTTCTACGGTAGCCAGCCTCCGGGCACCGTTCACACACCACGTCGTCCAAGCGGGCTTTCCAGTCCCCACGGGACTCATTTCGACGGTAGGCGACCGAACAACGGTGTCTATGTCGCTACTTACTCCAATGTCGATGTTTTGGAGTACGAGGTCGACGGAATGTCTGTTATGCGTCGAGCTCGGGACTCCGCGTTGAACGCTACCCAGATCCTTAAACTCGCCGGTGTTGACAAGTCAAAGCGCACTAAAATTCTCGATCGCGAAATCACGGGTGATTTCGAAAAGGTCCAAGGTGGCTACGGCAAATACCAGGGAACATGGGTCCCCTTCGAGCGCGGCGTGGCACTATGCAAACAATACTCTGTCTATGAAACGCTGATGCCATTGTTGAACTTCGAAATGTCGGCTCATCAGCTCCAGCAAACTCCTACCAAAGAGCAGGCCCAGGCAGCCAAACGCAATTTTGCTCAAATGCAAGCTGCCGCCGCAGCAGCTCAACCCCCTCATCCTGTATTTCCTCAATCTCACCGTTCGCCCTTGGCCAACCATGCGATGGAGGCTATGAACTCGTTGATTCCACACCACAGCGGGGAACCGCAGTCAAAGAGGATCAACACAAACACGCCAAGCGGGCACTTGCAATCAGATGAGCAATCAATACCGCCATCTTCTCAGCCTCTGCCCCCGTTATACGATAATGAACCAAATTTTGAACAATCGAGAGATATCGTGACTGATTTATTCTTAAACATGGGAGATGAGCAAACTTTATCTGATCTTCTTAAAGATCGCCCTCAACCTATTTTGGTTGACGTCCCCATAGACGACTCTGGCCATACGGCGCTCCACTGGGCAGCGGCACTAGGTAGACTTGGACTGGTCCAGGACTTAATCGCTCATGGTGCGGATCCTCGTCGTGGAAATCATGCCGGCGAGACACCTTTAATCCGAGCAGTGCTGGTAACTAACACCTCGGACATGTCTTCTTTCAGTAATCTCTTGGACTTGATTTACCCCGCTCTTTATATTGCCGACAATTCTGGCCGTACGGTTCTACATCATATTGCTTTAACCGCTGGAATCAAAGGACGCAGTGACGCCTCGCGGTACTATCTGGAAACCCTTCTCGAATGGGTAGTTCGGCGAGGTGAAAACAGCAAACAGAACGCTTACAGTCTTCGTCGGGTAATTGAAGAGCTTGTGAATGTCCAGGATTATTACGGGGATACTGCTTTGAATATTGCTGCTCGTATGGGCAACCGAGCAATTTACAGACAGTTACTTGATGTTGGGGCAAACCCGAACATCTTTAACCGTGCCCGTTTGCGACCGTTGGACTTTATTAACCTGCAGCCCAACTATGCAGTACCCGCGGTCACTCAAATCACCAGCGACGGGAAGGTAATTGCTGGTCTTGATGCCAAAGCGCGGTCAGAAGAGTTGCCATTGACCAGCGCAGCTCTCTCTGGAGTTGAGAAACGCAAAGAACTACGCGATATGGTCGGAGACCTGCTTGGGTCGCTCGAGCGTGATTTCGAGAGAGAAATGTCTTCAAAGCAACAGCTTATTGATAGTGTCCATGCCCAATTGAATGAAGCCACTCAGCGTTTGAACAAAGTTAAAGCAGAAGTCAGCGAGGTCAAGGGAGTCAAAGAGCGTATCAATACTCTCGAAACCGCTTATTCTACTCTCGAAGATGTTATTAATACCGAAGAAAAGAAATTTTCAGAACAAGAACGTCGCGAAGGCCGCCAGGTTGTTGGGGTTGACGATCGTAATTGGGATGCCGACCAGCCATTCCGCGTGGACATGGAAGAAGAGTATCCCCCTATATTGCTAAAGGCTCGGATCAATGCTTACCGAGCTAACGAGGACAAGTTGATTTCTTTGCGGAACCAACTCAAACGCCGATCCACAGTTCTAGAGGACAAGTTCCGGGAGGTTGTGTCACTCTGTACTGGTGTCGAAGTGAGCCAAGTCGACACGCTACTGGAGGGTCTCGTTCAAGCAGTGGAAAGTGACACTGGAAGTATCGATTCTAGCCGGTTGTCGCTTTTCTTGAACAAAATAGACAGCCTTCCAAATGGCGTGCAAACTGGTACAAAGAACGAGGAAACAGAAGAAAAACCTACAGCGATGTCCACAAACAACAGCAAGAATTCTGCCGCCGCTGCTGCTGCCGCTGCTGCCGCCGCTGCTGCCGCCAACGCTGCCGCCGCCGCATCTACTCCATTAGCGGAGTCTGCTCACACTGAGCCGTCAGCCGCCTAATGATTCATATATATTATTTTTGGTCTCTGCCCTTTGCCGGTCTCAGCTTTATGTCTTATTTTAAAGCTTTGAGCAGGATGCAACGCTTCGGCGTCGTATAGGGCTACATTAAAAGTTGCTTTATTGAGTGCGACTACTCCAACGTGGTGTAGCTGCAATTTAAAAGCAAACATCAAATGTCATGTATATTTATTTTGTAGCCAAAGAGTCATGACTTCGGTTTTGATAAGTCCCTTTTTTTTTTATTTTCTTTTTCTTTTTCTTCAACGGAAATTACTAGGAAAAATACAAAAATCATAATCATAAACAAAATGCGTCAACATTAGAAATCCTCATCAAGAGCGAAGCCGTTAGACTCCTCCTTGTGTTTGCTCATAACACCGGCCTTTTGGTAGTCGGAGACACGCTTCTCAAAGAAGTTGGTCTTACCGGACAAAGAAATGTTCTCCATAAAGTCGAACGGGTTGGTGGAATTGTAGATTTTGTTGAGGCCGAGAGCAACAAGCAGACGGTCGGCAACAAACTCAATGTACTGGCACATAAGTTTGGAGTTCATGCCAAGCAGGGAGACGGGCAGAGCCTCAGTCAAGAACTCCTGCTCGATGGCAACCGCCTCGGTGATGATGCGCTCGACGATCTCTTTCTTGGGACGGTTCACGAGATGAGAGTAAAGCAAGCAGGCAAAATCGGTATGCATACCCTCGTCACGAGAAATCAGCTCGTTGGAGAAGGTGAGACCGGGCATGAGGCCACGCTTCTTGAGCCAGAAGATGGATGCGAAAGAACCCGAGAAGAAGATACCCTCGACGGCAGCGAACGCAACAAGACGCTCAGCAAAAGTAGAGGTCTCGTCACTGATCCACTTGAGAGCCCAGTTCGCCTTCTTCGCAATGCAGGGAATAGTGTCGATGGCGCGGAACAGGTGGTCGGCTTCCTTAGGGTCCTTGATGTAGGTATCAATGAGGAGGGAGTAGGTCTCAGAGTGAATGTTCTCGATCATAATCTGGAAACCGTAGAAACACTTGGCCTCGGGGATCTGGACCTCGCCGGAGAAACGCTCGACGAGATTTTCATTGACGATACCGTCAGAGGCGGCAAAGAAGGCGAGAACGCGAGAAATAAAGTAGCGCTCATTTTCGTTCATGCGGTTCTCCCAATCGTGCATGTCCTTGCCAAGATCAATCTCTTCAGCAGTCCAGAAAGAAGCCTCGGCCCTCTTGTAGGCGCTCCAAATCTCGTGGTACTTGATAGGGAAGAGCACGAAGCGGCCGGGGTTCTCCTTGAGGATGGGCTCATCCTTCTCACAGTCTTGGAGACGGCGACGTTCAGCGTGGTGGGCCTCATCAATAGGACGGGCAAGGGCCTCGTCGACAGCAGACCTCTTGGGCTCAGAGACCAGTGCCTGCTTCGCGCCGTTACGAGCCTCGAGCTGGGCTCGCAAGTCAGGCACATCGCCTTTCGAAAGGTCGAGGTCAGTGAGGGCAGCTGCTGCTTTCTTGGAGGGTGTCTGATCGATAGCCATGGTGTTTAGTTGTGGTCACAAGTGATGGAAGAAAAAGTGGGAAGGACACTCGATTATATAGCTAGCGCGTCGGAGGTAGGGTAGATCTGCGGCGCCACTGCGGGCATCAACAATGGACGCGATACGGGCTCTTCGAGGCTCGTAAAAACCACGAACGTGCCAGAATTCTATGATACCAATGCTCTGCTATATTTAAGATCCAAAACTCGATACTTTTCACACATTAAGGAGACTAAACACCCCCTACAAAACGCGTAGCAATAATGCAGGTTAGTCACCTGGCACGCGTTGCAATTTAGCTGCAGCGTTGCTAGAGACTCCGTTAATTAGCGGTTTTTGTGTAAGTTTTAAGGAGTCTGAAATGCGTATATTGTCAAGCCTAAACCATGCTCTCGGTCCTTTTGCTAGCCATTTTTCTATGATTCACGTATCACGCCGAATTTGATCATCCTGTATTTACCGTCCACCGACCTGGGTTCGCTGCATTCCACATGCATGATCTAGCTTGAATCCAGGTCCGAGCTGCTGTAAACACCAACCAATTGGCCAGCGGTTTGGCTAACATGCCTGCAATAGCACTTTAATCTCCGTGAAGATATCTCCACGAAAAATAAAAAAACACTTGCAAGACCGTTCAGGCAAAAAACGCCCCTGCACACCGAAATATCTCGGACTGCGGCTGTAAACACAGCTGACCAGGCACCAGCAGATGTTTGTAGAAAAGAGAAATGCATATATATATATATAAACTATTTTTGCACTAATAGAAATGAGACGAGCCTAAACTGCTCAAAAATATAAAAAAAATTAGGGCAAAATGCGTCAGTGGCTCAGGTGCTGCTGCGAGCCCACTCTGCTCGAAGAGCTCGACGCTCTTGAAGCATTTTCTGCCAAGCCTCATCATCGTCATCGTCGTCATCGTCGTCTGGTGAGGTTACAATGCGCATCATCGACGGGCGGTTGAGAGCTCTTGGCTCAGGCTGGGGGCTCTGCTGGCCGGAGGGAGGCGTCTGAGGCATGACTCCCATTGATTCAAGCCGCTCATTGCTCGAAAACGACTGCGGAGAATAAGGTGCTCTTCCTAAATCGAGGCTCTGCCTTTGCCCGAATGGATACGCAGTGGGAGCACCGTTGAATGAACGAATTGAAGCTGGGCGTGCACTATGAGGCGGCATCCCGCTACCGAAAATAGTGCTGGCTCGCTGGGAGGCCATTCCTTGCGGCAGCGGAGGGTGGGGACCGGAGTTTCCATTGATCTGGTTAAAAAGCTGAAATTGCATTTCGGCAAGTTGCTGCAGTTGCATTTGGATATCTGCAATGGCCATGTCGGACTCGACGCTTCCCACCCCACCCGGAGCGAGAGCAGGCATTGACTTTCGCCGGGCTTTAGCATCTTCTTCTTTGGAAATGGCCGCAACTAGGCCTCTAGAAACTCGTTTTTCTTCTGTATTGAACACTCGAGGTAAAGGAGGGAGCTCATCGCCAGACTTCTGACGAGCATGCCCACCGCGAATTCCACCAAGCATGCTGCTGCTGCTAGGCGATAAAGCATTATTGGTATCGCCCAGTGCCAATTCTGATCCAATCGACATACTAGAGCGAGCCCGAGGCATTCCTCTTCTCTGGGGCATGGTCAGACTTCGGAGAGCGGCTAAGGGAACGTCGTCTAAATCATCCTCGTCGTCTTCTAATGTGTCGAATGTGGTTGTATTGTCAAGCGTAGCACTGGAAGCGCTTGTTGGAATGCCGGGACGGCCATTACCAATCACTTTTGTCATTTGTTGCCGGTAAACACTAAGCTGAGCATCTTGCTGTTGCCTGCGGCGGGCCTGCTCACGCTTGCGCTCTTTCTCGTCGCTAGCAATAAGTCCGTCGGCCTCGCCATCCGATTCCTCATCTGTCTCATGATCTCCTCCGGTCTTTTTCCGACCCGGAGACTTTGCAAGCGAGTCCTCGCGGTGGAGCATCTCCAAACTCGAGAGCGATTTGCGGTAATTCTGATAGCGATCCATAGTCATGGTAATGCTGGGTGAAATAGTAGGTAGTACATCTGCAGAACCCCGGCGGACTCCGCGTGAGGCCATTTGCTTTGTTCTCTCAAAGGGCAAAATGTCGTCGTCTTCGCCGTCTAGGGCACGAAGTTTGGGCAGAGCGCTCCTTTGGGAGGCTGAACGGACCGATTTATGGTATGCTTCTGTATCAAAGTCATCCTCCTCCTGGATGCTTCTGCGCATGAACGTGGAATAAGGCTTTGCTGGTCCGCTGAACTGAAGACTGGCTGTGGCTTGCAGGGCCTCTGTGCTCGACACTGGCGACTCTTCAGTGAGCTTGTTTGTATTGAAGGACGACGGAACGCTGGAAACCCTGCTAGACTCAAGGTCCTCCTGCCAACTCGACGATTCAGGCGGCATGGAGCCCGTCAGTGGTCCCGTCATAAAAGCATCGGAATCGCCGACCACAGGGCTGTTTTGAATGCTGCCGTCATCACTGTCGCTCAGATCAACAGTGTTCAGGGGAGCAAATTTGGCTGTTCGGGCTAATAAAGCCGGCATGTCTAGTGGAACCAGGTCTAAAGGAGGGTCGAGAAATATAGACGGGCGGCTTTGGTAAACACCAAGTTCAGATGCTGATGCATCAGCACTGACTCCTGAGGCATTAGCATCGAGTTCCTGGCTGTTTCCGCATGTAAACCCTAGCCCCTGTTCGACGGTTTGAGAGGCTTTGGAGTGGGTTCTTCTAGCAAAAACCTCTCGATGCAGTTTAATCGAGAAATATTTAGACATTGTGGTATAATCTCGTCGATAGTGGGCCAATTCGTCAGGTTTTTCGGTTCGCTGTCAAAAATAGATTCTTCTGTTAGTGTATCCCCCTCACCGCGGCGAACCAAACTTTCCTCCCGGGTCTGCTTACACTTGTCCGGGTTAGGACAACGGACGGCTAACATACCTTTATAAGAGTGCCTAAACTTACCGAGATGGCTAGACGATAGATACTCTTAATCCAGTAGAGTGCAAAGCAGTGTAGATCCAATAAACTAGCAAGTCGTAGGCTGAATTTAAGGAGGACTGGGTCCGCCCCTGTTTCAGAGAAGTTTGGTTTGCGAAAACAACCTCGCTCTATCAAAACAACTGAAAACATCTATTTAGCCAGCAGAGCTGCCAAGTCCAGTAGACAATGCCCAGCACACACAAGATCCGGCCGGAAGATTCACCAAGCCATACTTACGATAAAATGTGGAATGAACCCAAAATGTTTGGATGATGGTCATCTAGAGTTGCCGCGTCCAAGTGTCTTTAAGAAACGCAAGCTCTCAATTTTCTCCGCGATTAGTGTTATTTATCATCTGCAGTATTTGAAAAAAGTTTCATAGATGAGGCTTCAATGCAAGCGGCAGCCCGTTGCAGAGGCTTTTACTGTAGTTCCACACAAAGAGGCTACCATCTCGGCTCGTTCTGCCTGTTATCCACTTACTTGTCGTGCCAACTCGATACTTGAGACATATTCTCACTTTTGAATTGTGTAACCTAAACTATTTTCTGATCTAATGTAAATGTTTGAAACAAACACGGGATGCAGTGCGCGTGCTTAAGCTCAACGTTGCTGGCAATATCCATCCCTTGCAACGCGCGAGATCATACGTTAATTGTTCAAACAAATATGTTCTGTAGCAAAGCCTGTACCTGTATCTTCTCTACCAGCTAAAAGCTTCTTCATAGTAGTGAACCTCGCCATACTCGACGTGCTCCATGTACTTGCATACAGCTGCAGAAATAGTGTCCATCATTCCAGGCGGCCCGCAAGCGGCTACGCACACACTACCCTTTGACTGATTGAAGAATGTCCTCACAGTATTAGCGAGATCAATCCGAGATTCAATAATGAGCTCATCCAAGTCGTCACTCTTCTCGGTGCTCAAAGACTCACTCGATGTCTCAAAGCAGTCTTTCTTGGGATAGTTTCCCTGGGTATCGTCAGATCGACTGTCATCCAAACCGGCCTTCTCCAGCTCATCCAGTCGTGATGAAAGCACTTCACTAGACGCAAACGGATTTTCACGCTCATAGACAAGCGTATCGTCTGGTGAAACAGACTTCATATAGCTCGAGTTATCAAATTCAGACTGAGAATGATTTCTCGAATTATACTGGTCGCACCATTCCGTATCGCGAGATCCATGTCTACTTACTCGTTGAGAGGTGGAAGCGCTTTGTGTAGGTTCGTAGTCTACAACCACGTTTTCTCCAGACGCAACTCCAGCTTGTTCAGGAAATCTAAGCAAATTTTGGCCTCTCTCGGCCTTTGTGTAAAGTGAAATTTCAACCGATCCTGATTCTTTTAGCCGAAGTATGATGTCCCTTGCAATAGCAAATAGTTTTCTCGAGTGGGCAATCCAAATAACGTGTATGTGTTTGTGATGCTTGACAGCATTGTCACGAACCATTCTCTCAACATAGCCCAATATACCAGTGATTCCAATACCACCTGCAATCAGTAGTCCCTCGTCGTAATTGAATACGGGCGCTGAGACTCCGTAGGGACCCTCAACTACGACTGGAATTGTGACAGGCGTGGTCTCACTACAGCCTCGATCAATAAGACTTTTGCACAGCTCTTTGGTCATCCCGTTCCGTGCTCTAACAAGTAAGATCATGCCATCACCATTGGGGGTTGCCCCAACCACTGAAAAAGGGTGTCCATTTATGAACCAATATCGGTGAGGATATAGATAGACGTACTGGCCTGGATAGAATGGCCATTTGACGGGTAGCCTGATTGACAGTCGGGCTATTTCACCATTGTATACATTCACAGATGCATAGCTGCTGCGATGGCTACCAGCGAGGGGAGGGAAAACCGTTCTGAAATTGAAAATAGTTACTCTGGCAAGTCTCAAAAACCAGTCGGCTGCCCAAATGGCAAAGGCAATATAAAGTGGTTCCTTGTAACCAATGTGATTCAAGTGGTACACTGAGCACATTAAGCCGGCAAATCCACATGTAATATGAAGGAAATGGAAGATACCGTAGAATCTGTTTCTTACCATGGCCGAGCCGATCATTATGGCCATTAGAAACATGGCTGCAACACCGTACCGATAAAGAAGCGTCGGGTAAAAGTACTTGACTAGCGATGCATGATAAGAGGCAGAAAAAATGTGTTTTGTAACCGAATGCACAATCAAGAGAGTATAGCTGATTCGTGCAATTGCTCTGTGGAAAACATTGAAACGCTGGTAAGACCAACCCGTCGCCCAGATCAGTATATTGTTGCGCATTCCAAAGAGAACAAACAGTGGGATCAGAATGGTGCCCATGATACCTGATCTATCTGAACTGAATCGCATCATTTCTTTCCATCTTGTCTCGAAAAACGGGTCATCGTCCATAAAGGTATACGGGGTTAACATGAAAATGAGACAGAGCAAGAAAAAAACCAGAATCACAACTGTTTCAAAGCGGGATGCCAACGACATAGTTATCCATTTGAATTGAAATCGTACCATGTGTCGCTGGCCGAAAAGAGCCGGCCAAAAGAATCTTCGCTGAAGCCATCGATAGTATCTGGAATGTCGCCTTTGTAACATTGAATGAGGACCGACCAGAAACACAGCCAATTTCGACATGAATCTCCAGATTGCGGCAATCACGGCAATCCCCAACCAATAAACATATAGACTCAAGCTGTACCTTACAGAAACATCTTTCTGCGAAAGCAGGTGGACCTCTGCTTCGTACGCCCGCTCAAACGACTCATCGGAAACTACTCTCTGAGGTTTGATTTTCGCAATCGTGAGCAGATCACCCACCAGATCTTCCTGTCCGTTTAAAGTGCAGTACATCAACGAGAAGCGACCCCAAGCAGAACCCATGTCAGTAGAGTTCATTTTAGTAGCCCGGTTGATACAGTCCTCGACGGTTGCCTTGATTTGATCGCTACCACAAATGCATGCATAATCACCATAGACACATTCTGGATAGTAGAGCTGTGCTGCTTTACCACAGGCCATGCCAACAATCCACGACTGCGGCCACATAGCCCAGCAGTATGGCAGGAACAGAAGAGCGAACAGAACCCGCATAATGAGCACGGATTGTCGCCCGTTTCTGTGGTGCTTATAAACTAGACCTAGAAAAACTTTAAAAAAACAAACTTTTTGCTGCTATGGGTGTTATTTCAAACTTTGAGTCAAGTACTTCAACTTAGAGCCACGAGACCCTGTAAACCCCTACCCCTTAGCAGAAAGGTGCATGCCTGCACGTATTGGGCAATTGCGATGTACATTGAAACTTACAAGAGCTTACAAAGTGTTAACATTGTGGAAAATCTTGAGGTTGGTGGTGATCTTGGCAGACATGGTCTTCTCACCCTCACGGACCCAGACACGGGGGTCGAAGTACTTCTTGTTGGGCTTGTCCTCGCCGTCGGGGTTACCAACAGAAGACATGAGGTAGTCCTTCTTGTTGAGAATGTAGTCACGGATACCGGTCAAGTATGCGTACTGGCAGTCAGTGTCGACATTGACCTTAACAACACCGTTCTTGATAGCGGTATCGAAGTCAGACTGCTCAGAGCCGGAGCCACCATGGAAGACCAAGTATAGAGGGTGCTTCTTGCTGCTCTTGGTCTGCTCCTTGGCGTAAACCTGGTGCTTGCCAAGCAACTCGGGGTGGAGACGGACATTGCCGGGCTTGTAGACACCGTGGACATTACCGAATGCGGCGGCAATGGAGAAGTTGGGAGAGATGGGAGCCAACGCCTCGTAGACAGCAAACACCTCCTCGGGCTGAGTGTAAAGACGAGAAGAGTCAACACCGGTGTTGTCAACACCATCCTCCTCACCACCGGTGATACCAATCTCCATCTCGAGCCACTGGTTCATCTTAGCGGCGCGCTGGAAGTAGCGCTTGGTCTCAGCAATGTTGTCGGCGTGGTCCTCCTCAGAAAGGTCAATCATGTGGGAGGAGAACAGAGGCTCGCCATGGATCTTGTAGTAGGCCTCGTCGGCGTCAAGCATACCGTCGAGCCAAGGAAGCAGTTTCTTGGCGCAGTGGTCACTGTGGAGAACAACGGGGATGTTGTAGCTAGGAGCCAAGCTGCGAGCATAGTGAGCAAAGGCAATGGCACCAGCGATGGAAGCCTCCTGGTTTTTGTTGTCAACACCCTTACCAGCGAAGAAGGCAGCACCACCCTGGGAAACCTGGAGGATAATAGGAGCCTTGCTGTCACGAGCAGCCTCGAGAGCAGCAACCACAGTGGACGACGAAGTGACGTTGATAGCGGGGATAGCGAAGCCTTTCTCCTGTGCGTAGTCAAAGAGACGGCGGACATCATCGCCTACAATGACACCAGTTTTACGAGAAAGAACATCTTGAACACCCATTGTTGGAAATATGTTTTGTTGAGGAAACCAATCTGACCACGCAGGCCGAAGATTATATATTCGTTGATGCAGGCACCCCAGGCAGGGTAGGGTAAGTGAGTTGTGCCGTTGTTGCTCGGGCGTGTCAACGAACAGGCAGGTACAACGATGCGCCTTGAGTGCTTATCGATAACGTGATTCTGCAGTAAACCCGGAACCCGGCAGATGAGCGATAGTTTATGGCGAAATCGGCTTGATTTACCCACACTCGCTCTTGTCCATCGGGTAAGGGCACCGTTGGCAGCGGGCAGTTACGGGTCTCAGGTCTCCTCCGATCCTATTTATTAACGCAAATGTCACCTGGCTATTTAGTCAGCGCTTGGAAAAGAAAAAAAAGCGTTATTAACGAACTCGTTCCTGCTTTGTCATCATGTATCGCCATCTTACGAGATCTCGCCCATGACCGAGATCTCCAGCATGATTACACATATCCCAAGTAGGCAGCAGTTGAGGCCCTTGCTGCTTCCTGAGATTGCTTCATAGTACAGCAAGTGCATCCTGGACGCAAGATTTCAAAAAAGTACATCTGGTAATCCTAACTCAATTTTGCTCAACACAGTCCGTTTCGAACCGAATTCTTCCTTGATGTCGACACTTTCTATCTGAATGCTCCTTTCGAACTTTTCACTCCGGTGACCCGGGAAATCCGGCCACAGATGGTGCCGGCCCATGTACGCAGAGAGGCGCAGGCAGCAGGATGCTGCCAAACCCCTCTGGGAATGTCTCAATCGCCCCCTGCACCCTGCAAACACCTAAATTTAGTAATTTGCCCTAACCCTTATATACCGGAGAGGGTGACTTAGCCAGATAAACTAAAGCTTCTGATAACCTTACGTGTGTAAAGCATTTCCAGTATATTATCGAGACAGAGTGTATATCTGACTCGCTCCATTTGGTTTCTTCGATCGCACTAATTTCTTATTGAAACCGCTAGTTGATTTTTCATCTGCGTCCCCGCACCGGCCCACTTTACCTTCGCAATCTCCACGTGCAATATATCATTCCCTCGAGTGCTGCCCCACACTTTTGAATTTCTTTTTGGTTTTACTCTGAGACCCACTCTATCTGTTCGCTGTCTCGACAAGCCGAACTAGAAATGCGTTTGGTCAATAAACTTTTGCGCAGCCCTTCGGGTGCTCTTCATGACGACCAGACTCCGCCCCAGACGCCTATGACTCCTGGAACACCCGGCTTCGACACCGACTCTGCCCCATTTATGCGTCCAGCTGATGTGAACGTGCGCCACATATCTGGCATTTTCCAGCCTGCCGCACTGTCCTCACGGGGCATCCTTCCGAAGACGGTCGTTGAAAAACCGCTCCTTCCTGAGGCTTCAAAGGAAACACCTCCTGAGATGCTTCCTATCTTGTCACAACTTGCTGCCCACAACGTCAGACCTTACCATGAGGGTTACTTTATGTTGCTGTCTGATTTGAACAATGACGGCAAGGCCCCGGCCAACCGCCAGTGGGAGGAGGTATTTGGAACTCTACGCGGAACACAGTTAGCCACTTGGAACGCGACCGAACTTGAACAAAAAGGTGCCGATGCACACCCTCACTACATTAACATTGACGATGCCACGTTCAAGTCGGTTCCCAAACTGCCCAGTCCCGGCGGCGAGCTCTCAAACATTATCGTTCTCAGTACCACTATGAAAAATCGTTATCTTATGCAGTTTTCATCTGCCCAAGCTTATCAGACGTGGACGTCGGCTTTGAGGCTGGCCATGTTTGAGCGCACCTCTCTGCAGGAAGCGTACACCGGCGCTTTACTTTCGTGCAAGGGCACACAGCTCAACGGTATTCGCTCTCTCCTGGGTCCGACCAAAGTCCGCCGTGATGGCTGGTGTTCGGTCCGTTTCGGCGCAGGTATGCCCTGGCGTCGTGTTTGGTTTATGGCTACACCTGGTCCTCTTCTCACGGCCAAAGAACACAAACAAGCAAGCGTTCCTGGCTTGCCTGAGCTCTCCAAAAAGGAGCGTGCCAACTACGGTCGCATTGCTTTCTACGAGTCTGCCAAGAATCTCAAGAAGCCTTTGGCGATTATTGTACGGGCCCATAGTGCATATGCTTTGTTTCCAGAGAAGGCTATCCTCATGGATATGTCTTCATTGTTAAAGATTGAAGGCCATGTTATTTTTGCTGGCGAAGAGAAAGAAGCAAAACTGTCCATGGTTCATGTCATGCCCGATCCTCGACCTTGCATCCAAGGGTTTGAGATTCTTATCCGTTTCCTGATTCCTGTATTTGATGTGTTCAACTTGTACGGCCGCCCGCAGCGGTTGAATGCCGATAAAGCAGATATGCGGTCGTTGCTATTTGCAATGCCCACATTGCCTCATGTGTACTACTGTGATATTGCTGATGTCCAAATGCTGCTTTCACAGTCTGGATGGGAGAACTGGGATTGCAAGATCTGGATCGATAAGATCCGGGAATTGCTCGCTCGTAAGATTGCTACAGGGTACCGTGGTTTAGGCAATATTCATGACTTCAGTTCTGACCATTCTAGTATTGGTGCCGGAAGCTTTGCGGAGAGCTCTAATGACAAGACCCGAGCTGCCCGAGCAGTTTCCCAGCCAGGCCGTATGAATGTACCGAACCTCCAGGCGTCCTCATCAGACTCGTTGCCCCAAAGCATTGATTCTCACTCTACGGGGTCTCATATGGCTTTAGGTCAATCTCAAGAGAATCTCATAAAGGAGGTTCGTGCGAAGCCAGCAGGCACATACAATGCGTATGGTGGTCAGCCCCAGAATACCCGCAACCAGACTCAGTTTGGTGCGAACCAGCAGCAGGCACCTGCTCGTCCCCTTCAGGTTTATCCCAAAATTGCTCCTTCGGGACGGGTGGCTCCTCCGCCGCCAAGCGATATCAGGCAACCCAAGAGGCCCAGTGGGTCTCGGCCAATGCCGGGGCATGAACGCTCTCAATCTGAAGGACAAGACCCCAACACGCTTATCATTGCGCCTGGGAGTGGCCCATTGACACCTACTTTCAATAACGATTCCTGGGCTGCGAAACCTGAGAATCGTAACTCGGAAGTATCTGTTTCTGAGTCGTTCCAGTCAGCATCTGACACTCTGGACCAAAACAGGCCTAATACTGCATCTACCTCGTCTGTCAACGTATTTGACCCTGGCTACCGTCGTCCGACGGCGAATACGGCCGACCCTGCGGTTGCTAACGAGGCGAAAGATAGAGCCAAGCACAATTCGTATGCGCAATACTCGGATTATATTGAGACGTATATCCCAAACCAGGGAAAGACGACAACTAATGATGCGGCGGCTCAGCGGCCTGCTTTGTTGGAAATCAAAAAGGTTGAACCCGATGTGTCGCATGCGCCGATGCCTACGACGCCTGTTAACGTGATGTCTCCACCTTTGAGCTTCGATAGCCCTTCGGCGATCAGCCAGGCTCGGAACACCGAGTCGCCGACCTCTGCTGCCCCTGCTTCTACGTTCCAGAACCCTTACGGGACTCGAAATTACGGGGGCGCGTCGTCGTCCGACTTGGTCGCACCGCGTTCTCAGCAGCAGCAGCGTCGTCCGTCTGGACCTCGCGACCCAACTGCTCAACTTCAGCAATCGCCGCAGCGAAAGTATCCCAATACACAGGCACCTCAGACTGCTCAGCCTATGCGTGTCCAGCCTGCGATGCAGCAGCAACAGCAGCAGCAGCCCTCACTGGGTCAGGTATTCGGTCAGCTTTTGAGTCAACCGAAAATGTCTGGCGTGGCTCGTCCGCATAGCCCTGGTCCTCAGGGCAGTTATGGCGCACACCCTCCTCAGCATGGAAGCCCCGGTCAGCAAGCTCCTCTGGGAAACCCTGGGTACAATCCTTATGCGCAGTACTCACAGCCTCCAATTCAAAGCGTGCCGAATCCTTATGCGCAGTACTCACAACCTCCAGTTCAAAGTCAACCCAAGCAACAGGGGCCCTATCCTGGACGGCCTAATGCCCCGCCACTCATGCAGCAACCCACGCATTCTCACGAGAACCTGGGTGGCCGCCGGGGACCCCCTCAGCAGGGCCCCTATGGCACGCATGTGTATGCTCAGGCCCAGCCCCGGCCTCATCCTCCTGGTGCACGCCGGGGGGTGCCATCGAGTCCGTCCCACCGGCCCGTTGCCAAGGGACAAATGCCGCCAGGATCAACGTATAGCCATCGCAGCGACGGACCGTATGCAGCGGTCCCCAGGAGCTGATAAGGCGTTACGAACTTGATGATATTTATGGGAATAGCGAGTTTCACATTTTCTTCTTTTTAAACTAAATATTGAGAACCCATGTTCACTGTTCGAGTTCGACTGTTGACGTTCAACTGTTCAATTTGTTCGACTTGTTCAACTGTTCGACTGTTCGCTACCGTTAGGATATTCGACTGTCACTCGAGTCTGTTTCCTAAAGTAGACTAGCATTTTAGTCATCTCCTAGAGAACCTACAAAAGATAGTCAGCAAGAAAAAGGCCGCTCTTTACATGGTTGAGACAGTCACCGGCGGCACTAAACTACCATCTCGATGGGCAGATGCTGCGAAAAGCGATGATCCGAAACGAACACCAGTAGTCGAGCCAAAGACGCCCAGCAAAGCGAATTCAGGACCTCGTCACAGCCCCAGACGCACGCCGGATAAGGGCCCACATAATAACCGTCGCCAGAGTAACGACGGCCCCAGTCTCAAAGACAGGCTAACGCTGCCCACGGACAGACCCAAGCCCAGCGAGGCGCCCCACAAGAGCCCCAGAAAGCATAACACGCCCCGCCAACGACGACATGACCCCGCATCTACCGCATCTTCCAAGCCACCACCATCGGACGCAGCAGCTGCGCCAACTACCGAATGGAATTTTGATGAAAACGAGGACTTCGACTGGGCGGACGAGGCATGACAGACAATTATATAAAATAAACCGCGTATAATAATAAACATTTAAGATAACCTATGCAACCAGCTCAGGCTCCTTGTTGTGCCGGCGGCGCCGTTCAAGTAACGTAGCTCCTTCAAGATGCAAATCAAAGAACTCAGGTTGGTGGACTGCTCGAGCTGCTCTTGCCGTCTCGCGTTCCCGCTCCCGCTCCCGCTCCCGTTCACGTTCCTGATCTTGACGTGACTTCCTAGGAGTCTGTCTGCTGAGCGACGCTTGACGGACGTCGGCAACCAAGTCCTCCACCATTCCCTCTTCAACCTCTTCCTCTTCTTCTTCAACAATACTTGGTACTCCTGTGGCTCGTTTAGCTGCTTCCTCCTCCATGCGGTACACGGCGTTGGAAACATCAAACGCATCCTTGAGAGCACCCTTGATGGCTGGGTCACGTTTACGACGCTCGTCAATGGCTTGCCCAGCACGGGCGCTCACCTCAGAGCTTTCGACCACCGGCACGGTGCCATCCTGGGTGACCCAAGGGTGCTGGAGGAATTCGTCAATCGTCAATCGTTTCTCTGGGTCGACAGTAAGAAGTTTGCTCACCAGGTCTTTTGCAGATGTGCTAATGTCATCCCACCAGGGGCTCAAAAATGTGTATTGTCCCTTGGCGACTTTGTGGGTGAGTACCTCGATGGACTCATCGTAGAACGGCGGGAAGCCACAGAGCACGGTGTACAGGACGCAGCCAAGAGCCCACATGTCGACTGATTTAGAATAACGCTCGTCTTTGACGATTTCTGGCGCGGTGTAGCCAACTGTGCCGCACGGCGTCATTGTTTTGTTATCCCAAATGATTTTCGACAGCCCAAAGTCGGCCAGCTTCACGACACCAATCCCACCGGCACCTTTTCCAGGTATAAACTCTCCCTCATCCTCTTTCGATGAGTCGTCTCCAGCTCTGAAAACTCTTTTCTTTGAGGGAACAAAGTCTGTTGGGGCATACAATAAGTTTTCTGGTTTGATATCTCTGTGAACCACTCCAGCGACTTCATGCAAGTGTCTGACGGCATGGGCTACTTGAACGATGACATGGCGGCTGAGATCCTCACTAAAGTACGTCAAACGAACGATTTGATGGAACAGCTCGCCGCCAGAAACCAGCTCGAGGACAATAAAATAGCGCTCGTCACTTTCAAGGAATGCATACATCTTAACAATATTCTCGTGATCGAGCTGGCGCATGATTGCCGCTTCCTTGAGAACTGCCGCTCTTTGAGTATGCGTGAGGCGAGTTTTGGATACAACCTTAATTGCTCGGTACTGCTGTGTGTGGGTATCGATCGCCTTGTATACAACAGAAAAGGCACCGTCGCCCATTTTCTCCAACAGTTGATACTGTTCAAGACCCGGATACTGGGGCATGTGGCTTCTCGCGCGGGATTCCTCCTCGACGATTTTCTTGGCCGCTGAGGAATAGTTGGCGGACTTGCTGATGGGGACACTTTTGGCAGGCTCGAGTCGCTGTGAGTTGGACCCGTTGGTTCCTCCAGATGCAGGAGACGTGCTCGCTCGACGATCATTTGATACATTACTTGCTGCACTTCGACTGGTGGACAACTCGTTGCCGTTGGATGAGCGCGCCGACGAAGTGTTGGCCTGTTTGCCTTGGCGAATGAAGTTTCTCAGATTATCAAAAACAGCCATTTTGGAGCAGACTTGTGTTGCCGATCGGAAAGTAAAATTAGTTCAATAAGTAGGTAAGGAAACCTTGCCAGAAATCAGCGCGAAACGAAACGGCACGCCAAAAAAAAGAACAAGGTACTGTCGAGAGGTCAATCACTGCGCTTGAGTAAATTACCTCGTCAATTAGATCAGTATAACTCTGCGATTATACCTATTAGCTCTCCGTTAAGCTTTTTGTCAAGAACAACCCCACGAAAGGAGGTGAAATGGAAATGTGGGTGAGGAGAAAGAAGGGCCTGGGGTGTTAAGAGAGTTGATTACAACGCCCGCGGTCCCTCAGATGGTGCATGATGATGTCGTATCCCGGTGATAGGCAATAGTGGGTCGAGATGAGGCCGGTTTGCGTGGCCAGTTTAGCGTGCAGGGTATTATGAACATTCAGAGAGCTGTAAATCCCATTTATAGTGGGTGACCAGCCGAAATTCGTGTCTGCACCGCACCAAGCATGGACAAAACACCCTGCTTGTATGACGTCATTATACACTAGCTTCGCAACTTTGCATTCAGGGTAGAAGGTGGCGGTGGGCCGTATGGACCTTCGATTCAGGACATGGAATTAGAATCAGTGCATTCCTGCGGGATTGCAGAAAGCTGATATTTTTACCGCACGAACAAATATAGAAGATCGACCCAGCCCCGCGCGCATCCACCCGCACGCTGGGATCAGCGGGGCCGTGGAGAAATTACCCGCCAAAGTTTATAAAATAGTTTGGAATAAGCTTTATCTAAAAATCTCGGTCAATCATCTATCTCCATTGCTTGCTCAGATTGACTACTTGCCTGCTCGACCTCTGGAGCCTTGGCATCGCCAGAGGCCGCGCCAGCGGGTATTGCTGCGTCGTCGTCTATTTCATCTTCTGCATCGACGCTTGTACCTTTTTGTTTTGCCTCCAGCTGCTGCTGCTTCATTGCCTCCACCAGCTGCTGGACCTGGCCGACAAACGCGCCCATATGGAGCTGTTCCAACGCCGCGGTGATGTCGGCCGGTCCCACGATTTTGCGGCCAGATCGGTCGGCAATTCGGTTTGCTTCGGCTGAAATGTAGCTAATAAATACCGTGCAACTGCGCAGGAGGGCAGTCACTCCGTCTTTTGGCAGCGGCGTTTTCTCAGGAAGCACCTCCTTGGCCAGCTTCAAAATCGACTGCCGCGGCAGTAGCAGGTCCTGAATGCCGTACACGGGTCTCTCCTCTAGCGGAGCCCCCGACGAGTTGACGGGCTTGAACCCGTCTGGATACTTTTTCCACCCCTTTGGCGGCATAGTCAGCAAATGAAGCGGGACAGGGTTTTGGATTAATTTAAATGAAGATTATTCGGATCCAAGGACGTGTCCTGGACCGTTGCTGGCAGCAATGCTACTTCCTGGCTGGGAGATGGGCAGAATGTTGCCGACGCTTTGGGTTCGCAGTTGACGGGCCTCCACTTCGGTGACCCAGGTGACGATGTAGCTCAAAATAGCGATGACCGGGGTGATTTTCGACTCGATCCACTCAACCACGTTGGTCGAGGGCTCAATGAGGAAGTTAATATAGCCCATTCCATACGCGTAGCCCACAAGCAGCCCCAACACATGGCCCAATAAACTAGAACTAGGAAAGACGATCGCTGATAGCACCAGTGGGATTAAAGGGGTAGCCCATGTCAACATGGGGATTCGGCCGGCCAGGGTGATTTTAGGATTCACTTCGTGCTGTTTCCATGCAAAGTAGGCCAGCCAGGTGAATACCCAGCCAGATGCGCCGGCCACAGCAGTATCGCTGCCTAAAATGATCATAATTATGCAGTATGCGATACCAGCCAGCACGGCCGTAACGTTCAGTACAATGCCCGTGCGCACGGTTCCGTGCACCGACTCGTACATGCCCAGCAGGGGTATGAACGAGACCAAGTTCACCAGCAAATGAAGAAAGCTCAGGTGAAAGAGCGGGTACATGGATATTCTTCCGATCTCCAACTCCAGCAGCGCATCTCGATTCAGCACATTCGCGTCACGCCAGCGGCCGGACGTGTCGCCAAAATACAAAAAGGCTAGAAATACAATCATGCCCGTAGTCAGAGCAGGCGGCTTGCTTTTAGCAAGATGAAGGGCCTTGGCGCCGATTTCCTTGACGTCAACGGCAACCATCCCTGATTTGTCAGTGGGTGAATTTTCATGGCTGTTTGAACTATTTACAAAAGTAGGTAGGTGCTAGAACTTTTTTAGGGTTTTTTGAGGGGGCTTGACAGTGTCAGTTACTTCTGCTGAGAGTGTGCGCTAGCAGCAGCCTGAGCTTCAGCCTCCTTGCGGGCCATAGTAGCCGCCAACTCCTCGGGAGTAGGACCACCCTGAGTAACGTACTTGTTGATAGTCATCTTGTGTTCCTTCATGATCTCGGCTTCACGCTTCTTCTCCTCCTCGAGCATCTTGTCGCCATGCTCCTTCAGGTACTTTTGGAACTGCTGGTAACCTTTCTGGCCCTCGATACGCACATAGTCCTGGGGCATCAGGTCAGGGTTCTTTGGAGCGACACCAAGCATTTTGCTTGCCCAGGCGCCCTGCGAGCCAGAGTGGGTCTTTTTCCAGTTCTCGCGCGAGATCTTGTCCCTACGCTCAAACTCCCGGATGACGTCCTTGTTCTCGTAGCTCTTGAGAACGGGACGGACATCCTTGATGGGCTGAGCACCGATCCACTCGAGCAAAGGAATCAAACGAATAAGTTCCTGGTCATCGGGGTTGCCCTTCCAAGGAGGCACAACAAGGGCATTGTCCCGCTGCAGAGAAACAGCGTTCTCGTCGACATCAACCACCACAACCTTGGACAGATCGCGGTTCAAGTGGCTCAGATCCTTGATAACCTTGCCATCCTTGAAACGAGAAGCTTCGCGGAACAACGAGTACGAGATAGACGCACGGTAAGGATCAAGCTTAAGAATGATTTCTTGATCGAATGCCTGGTATTTGGACGAGAAAATAACCACCTCGTAGTACTGGGCAAGGTAGCCTAAGAAGTAATCAACGCCAGGGCGTTTAGCAGTACGCCAGCCATGCTCACGTGTCCACTCAGACTTGACAAGAAAGTCGTCCAGCGCCAAAACCAGGGTCATAGGACGGCCATAGGGGGCGGGGAGAGGGTCCGGGAGCAGCTTCTCAAAGGCAGGATCGTTGAAGTAATCAAAGGTGCCACCGATGCGACCCTTGATACGCTGCCAAATAGAGCCAGGGGCCCAGTCATTAGGAACATCCGGGTTATGTTTGGCCTCATTCTCATCGAGAGGCCTAGCACTGTACCCCAAGGCGGCCAGGATCGAAAAGCCACTGACCAGGTAAAAGTAGTTGTTGCGGCGTGTGCGGTTCTCCATCGTAGACTGCTCCTCACGGGCTTTGCGGGCCGTTTCTGCCCACTTTTTGCGGGTCTCCTCCTGGCTCTCCTCAGACCCTTCCTGAGATCCTTCCTGGCTGCCCTCGGTCTTGGGCTTTGTGGACTCGACATCAATACCAGCAGAGGCAAGGAGGTCATCGTTCAAAAGAGACTCGGGTTTCTTGCCCTCGTCCTTCTTCGCCGACATAAACCTCAAAGGTGCGGCTCGACGCGGAACTATCGCCGCCCGGTATCTCAGACATGAGCGAAGCATTTTTTTGAAAGTTTGAAAATCCCGTTGACTAATCAGCCATCATAAATACACTGACAGCGAGGACTGGGACAGATCGGGGTCGACCCGCGCAAAACGCCGTGTCTCAACCAGCCAGTACCAGCCGCTAGCCGAATATATCAAATATAGCCCCAAATTTTTTCCAACCACCACTCATGCATGGCCGTAGCCACGCTTATATAACCAGGCAACCCCATGCATGCCTGAATCGCTTAGTTTGTTTAGGGTTGCTTCATTCAATCAACAATGCCGATATGGTCCCGTCGCCCGTCGAATGTGGCGGTGCTACAGCAGACGTACAGTGAGGCCTATGAGAACTCGCTGCAGAGCATTCTCAAAGAGTCGAATTTTGAGTACGAGGACTCGCTGTCGCAGTGGTCAGTCACTCTTGAAGGAATCAACAATGGGTTGGCTGCTGTTGAAGGCTCGCCGTTGCGGAGTGCCCAGGAGATGTCATTGATGAGCTCCATCAAGGACATCGAGCGCCAGTGCAAAGAACGAATGGACTTCTTGCGAACCAAGCTCTACAATCCAGACCAGGCAACCAATCCCTACCGCAATGGTGGAGGCCACGCTTCCACCTCTGGTTCAATTCGGGGTGCCCGCTCCGTCCCGCGTGTTGCCGTAGGCTCCAAAACCAGAAGCGACGAGTCGGTTCGTTCAGACGTTCCCGCAGTTGCCAAACCACACCAGAAATCCGCGTCAGAGGGAACATTCCACCCCATGCCAAGCGTGAGCGACATGCCGTATGGCATGTACCGCGCCAAACAATCCGCACTCACAAAGACTCTTAATCAACTCCAGATTAACTCCAATGAACGCACGGAATCGTCTCTTTCGGTTGGAGCCAAACCTGTTTCACAGCAATCTGCGGCTCCTCCCCTGCCCGCTCAGCGAACCATGCTCAAGACGTTAAGATCTGGCAACACCGAGCGGAGGAAAAAGCAATCCACCCAGTCTGCATCAACAGCGGCTACTGCTGCCTGGAAAGCTCCGGCAGCCTCCAATACCAAATTAGTGCTCCAAGCGGCCAGAGAGAAGCAAGAGCGTCAACAGGAGCTTATAATGCGGACCGCGCAGCAGGCCGTGAATTCGCGCGAACCCCAGAGTAGAATCAAGCGGTCGCCTCCCAGTGAACATTTATCCCAATTTAGTGGCTTTGAAGGAGCGTTTTCTAATGAACTGCCCGGCCGCGACCGATCAGAGTCGCCCAAGCCTCAACGGCCTGCCTCGCCGGCTCAATCACAGCAGCAGCAACAGAAGCCCAGACCTACTAATCGCTATGTTGTAACCACGAGTCATGTTGGTGCCAAACGTACCCAGGCCAGTCATATTATTTCGCCAAACCCGCGTCCCCCACAGCCCGAGACATCCAAAGCCGAGAAACCGAAACCAGCAGAGGCCAAACCCGATAAAGCAGACCCGGACGATGAAGATCTTGATGAATGGGATCTCATGGCTCGAAGCAAGATCAAGGAGCTTCGTGGCGTCGACGAAAACGCTGCGATGCAAATCATCTCTGAAATTGTCCTCAAGGGCGACCCAGTCCACTGGGATGATATTGCTGGTCTGGACAAGGCGAAAACATCTTTAAAAGAGACGGTTGTTTATCCGTTCCTGCGTCCAGACCTCTTTAGTGGGTTGCGTGAACCCGCACTCGGCATGCTGCTCTTCGGTCCCCCCGGAACCGGCAAAACTATGCTGGCCCGCGCGGTAGCCACCGAATCCAAGTCTACATTCTTTTCTATTTCTGCATCCTCGTTGACATCCAAATACATGGGTGAATCCGAGAAATTGGTACGTGCATTATTCCAAATGGCCAAAGCATTGGCACCGTCGATCATTTTCGTCGACGAAATTGACAGCATTCTTACCCAGCGAGCCGATTCTGGTGAGCATGAAGCCTCACGCCGAATCAAGAACGAGTTCCTGGTTCAGTGGAGTGACTTGCAGGCTGCAGCCGCTGGCAAGAACTCCTCAGAGAACCTTCGACGCGTTCTGGTGCTTGGTGCAACTAACTTACCTTGGGCAATCGACGAAGCGGCCCGTCGCCGTTTCGTTCGGCGTCAATATATCCCCTTACCTGAAGCGGCGACCCGGAAACAGCATCTGGAAAAGCTCTTGTCTCACCAAAAGCACGCTCTCACTCCCGAAGACATCGATGCCCTCGTGACAAAGACCGAAGGCTACTCGGGAAGCGATGTGACTGCTTTGGCCAAAGACGCCGCAATGGGACCGCTTCGGGCTTTAGGTGAGGCATTGTTAACGACAAACCCTGACCAGATCAGACCTATGAACATAACTGACTTTGAAGATAGTATGAAGACTATCAAACCTTCAGTATCCCCCGAGGGCCTGCTGGCCTTCGAGCAGTGGGCAAGTCTTTATGGATCGTCAGGTGCTTAATTCATTATTTCTTTTTTTGTACTTTTTTGTTGTTTTCATGACCTCTTTTTTATTATAAATTATTCGTCGATCGTTGCTTCTTTCCGGGCCTTGAGGCGGCGGTACTCATCGATAACACTTTGCCGCTCGGTCTCGAGCAGTTCACGACGAGCCAGCGATCCGGCCGACTTGGGCACGTTGCTGAGCCTCTTAAGCTTGGGGAGCTCAGGCGGGCGGTCTGCGACTTCGCCAAACTTGGGTCGGGCCTTTTGGAGATGGGCCCACGGATCAGGCGAAGTGTCGCGCTTTCCACTCTTCCAGTTGTCGGCATCCAGATCAGCTTGGTCGTCGTCATCGGTGCGGCCTCGACGCTTGTCTAAACGTACTTTATATTCAGCACGTAGTCTCTCTGCTTTTGCCTTTTGCTTCTGCGACGTCTTGGCGGCTTTCGCGTCGTTCACACCTTTGGCCATTGGAAGCGGCACTGCTTCGTTGACCCGGCGTGAAAAGTCAGCCATAGACTCTCCTTTACGTATTTTCAGCGCCGGCTTTATTTCTTTAGGCGTATTTTGCTTTTCTTCCGCCCGCTGCTTGGCGTGAGCCTGCCACTTCATCAGCGTCCTAAACGCCCGCGGGGCATCGGCACTCAGCTCATCTTTCGGAACCTTCCGCCGCTTTTTGTTGATAAAAACGTCTGGACCATTATCAAACTCGGCCTGCTTGGGCTTTGGGCCCTTGAATTTCTTCTTCTCTGGACCGGCCATGGAAAATAGAAATAAATTTCGATTACTTAATTTTTTTACTTTTTCAAGTCTACTGAAAAATGGGGAAGAGGTCGCGAAAACAGCAGGCAATTTTAGACACAAAGCAACGGAAACGCCAGCATTTAGATAATGATCTGTCGAGCGACTGGAATGCGTTTGCTGGCGAAGAGGATGTGGACCTGGAGAGCGTGCCTCGCTTTTTCAATGAAGACGAAGCTAACGAGGCTCTACCTATAATTGTCGGCGGTAAAGTCAAGCGGGTTTATCACGAGGATAAGGAAAGCAGTTCTGAGTCCGAGCCTGAGTCTGAGGAGGCAGAACCTCAAGAATCATTTGGCGGGTTCCAGGACAAAACGCCAGAGCCTGAGCCAGAACCCGAAGAGACTGAGCTGCCTCTAGTGGAGATCAAAGAACTTATTGCAGAATACGCAGAGGCCATCAGTGAGAATCCCGAAGAGAATCTTGGAAAGATCCGCGAACTTCAAAGAATGGCAGCGAAAAGCCATAAAGCTCGAACTCGCCAGGTTATCATTATTTCTCTTTTGAGAATCTATAAAGATGTGATCCCGGGCTATCGTATCCGCCCATTGAATGACGAGCAAATGAAAGAAAAAGCAACAAAAGAGACCCGCCAGTTACGGGATTTCGAACAACTACTACTAGCTTTGTACAGATCGTATGTTGATCTGGTCACTCTGTTCTTCAAACAGGGCAAAGGAGAGATCCACGGCAAAAAATACGCGCTGGCAGCAACGTGTGTCTATGTTGCATGCCAGTTTCTGCAGTCTGTTCCGTTTTTCAACTTCAGGTCAGACTGGATCAAGCTCATTATCGAAAAGCTGTCCTCGCAGCGGGTCGATCAGGGGTTCAATGAGAGCATTCAGTGCTTGCGTGAGGTGTTTGAAGAGGACAATGAGGGTCATGTTAGTTTCGAGATCGTTCAAGCTATGGCTAAAATGATCAAGCACCGTCGCTATAAAGTCGATTCGCGCGTCATTGGTACGTTGATTCACCTTCGTCTTCTTACCGAGCTTGTCGGTCGGGCAGATCTGGAACGGATGATCAAAGAAAAACCGAAAGATGTGGTCAGAAAAAAGGACCGAGTCCATTTGACCCGCAAACAACGCAAACAGCGGAAAGAGCAGAAGGAAATTGACGAGGAAATGCGCAAAGCCGAGACAGCTGTTTCGGCGGAAATGAGAGAAAGAATGCAGGCTCAGACCTTGAAACTTGTGTTTGTACTCTACTTTAACATTCTCAAAGAGCGTTCCCGGACGCTTATGCCCGCGACCCTCGAGGGGTTGGCCAAGTTTGCCCATCTTATCAACGCTGATCTCTTTGGCGACCTACTGGAAGTTCTGAGGGAAATTCTCAGTGAACAGCCTGAGGACGACCCGAACACCCGCCAAACGCTTTTGTGTGTCTGCACTGCGTTTGCTTTGCTGTCAGGCCAGGTTGGTGACAGCATCAACCTCGACTTGTCGTTCTTCATCAACAGCCTGTACAACGTGCTCTATCCCATGGCATTGAGCCCAAACATCGAGCAGAGTCACAAACATTTAGAGTCAAGCCACAAGGGCAAGCTCACCAGTGAAACCGATATGCTCGTTCGTTCGCTGCAGGCTTTGTTTGCCAAACAAAGTATGGCCAGTCGCCCGCGCGTGCTAGCATTCACTAAGCGGCTGGCCATGTGCGCTCTACAATTCACTGAGCGGACGGCGCTGGTGACCTGCAACGTTATGGATATGATGATCAGAAAGCACCCGTTCGTCAAGGGCATCTACACTACCACAGACCGCGTCGCCAGAGGAGTCTACAACCCCACTGCTGATCTCCCGGAGCACAGCAACGCTGAGGTCTCCACTATCTGGGAGACGGCCATCCTCCGCCATCACTACAGCCCCAAGGTTGCTGCAGCAGCCGAAAAACTGAGCCAAACGCGAGAGTAGTTTTGTACTAATATTTAAACTTGTGCATATACAATCTATTTCGTCGATCTGGACCACTTAGTCATGTACAAGTATTTGATTTCCAAATGGGCCGACCCGGTTTTTGCAGTGGTTATTGGCCTAGTTGCGTTTAAACAGTACGAGTTCAAAGAGGGCGGACCTACTTTGCTGCAGCTGCTCCAAGAAAAGTACGCAAAGGACTCTGACAATAAGACTAATTAAGCAAAAACTCCCACAGGCCGTCGCCCATGTCGTGAGCAGCAACAGTAACGAGATAACGGTCAGATGCTTCTTGGTCGAGGAGCTTGAAAGACTCGGAGCTGGACGGATAAAGCCTCTGCCATTGACGGAGAACATCGAATGCTTCGTCACGCCATGATGTGAACGATTCCAAAGTTAAGAAGGTACTTTGAGCAGTTCTTTCGCCCCATACACCCCAGGTAACTGCAGTTGGTTCTTTAGGGGCATTACTTTCGACGTCATCTTTCTCGTTGGCGGCGAAATAAGTCATGCTTTCGTTGCCTAGCTTGGTCTTGAGCTTGTTCCAGTTTTCTGAGCTACACAAAAACTCAACAAAAGCCTTTTGGTAGACTTTTCCGTCCGGAGGACCCCAACCAAATATTCTATCAGTGGATTTTGCCCCCGAGACGGAGGGCTGGGAGGAGAGGGTCCAGAAGCCCTTCTCGTTCAATGCAATAAGCTCTTCTTGAATCAAAGAAGTTTCAGCGTTCAGCGGCTGATCACTGAAAGGAATAACTTTAATTTCGTTTGTAATATGGCCAACAAACATACGAGAAATATCCTCGGACTTGGTGGGTTTACCCCACATTTCGTTAGGACTATCGTTGTCTGCACCATGGATCACCGGGCCATAGCCATCGATCTCACCGAAAGCAGCGCTCCGGGGATCCGAATATCTACCGTTTGTAAAGTCGTCCCAGGTTGCCAAACTCTCAACCGATGATGGGAGCTCCTCCCGCTCGTTGCGAAGCATATGAACCATGTTGCACTTGGTGACGATTTCTGCGACAGACTTCTCCAAATTGAGAGTATAGAAATGGACTCCCTGCGTGCCGGATTCGTGCAGCTTTTGCAGGATGTCACAGATGATTTTGACGCCGGCCGCCTTGACCTGCACGTCATCTTTTGTGTCAATGTGATCGAAATGCTGCAGAACACAAGGCGGAATATTAGCAGAACTCAATTTGGCCGATCTCAGCAGCGAAGGATAGGAATTGATGGGCATCAACCCCGGAATTATAGGCATAGAATTTAACACGCCAGATGGGTGCTCCCGGCACTGCTTTTCGTATGCGATAAACTTTTCAGCGTCATAGAATAACTGAGTGATAATAAAATCAGCACCGGCCTGTACTTTTTCCACCAAAAAAGGCATATCCTTCTCCACACTCTGCTCACTCACTGCACCATCTGCGTGCCCTTCTGCGTAACCTGCGACACCGATACAGAAGTAATCACCGTATTCTTTGCGGATATAGGCTACCAAATCTTTGGCGCAGTGCAATTCACTCTGCTGCTTGTATTCGGCACGAGGCGGGTCTCCTCGCAAAGCCAAAACATTACGAATACCGGCAGCTTTGGCAGTTGCCAGCGCATGATCAAGAATCTCTCTATCCATATTCGTACAAGTAAGATGTAATACCGTAGGTACGCCAATTTCTCGTTGGAAGCGCGTAGCCAGCTGTAACGTCTGCTCCGCCGATGCACCTCCAGTAGCCCAAGTGACGCTAACAAAGAGCGCACCAAGGTCCACCAACCGACGGCAGCGGCCTATTAAATTCTCCACGCCCTGCTCTGTTTTTGGTGGGAAAAATTCGCAGCAAAAGTACTTTTCGTCTGCACTTAACGATCCTACTAATTCGGTCACCGTTTTGGTCATTGCTAAGCTTTGGGACTGCACGTTGAGCTTTTGTGTCCGGGCTGATCCATTGATGTCAGAGTCGCTTTTTGTGGACGAGACTCCACCAGGATCTCCGTACAATCCTGATGATATCGGTGCAGCACCCAGTCAAGAGGAGCTGATGAAGAACGTGCAATCGAGCTACGATGCGGTGCGAGAAGCTGCACGGGCAAGAGACGAGATGTTAGTGCCAAAGCTAGAATCGCTGCCGTTTGTGGCAGAAATCGTCCGCGAACTTTTGTCCGAAGACCACTTGGCCGTAATGGCAAGGGGATTGGGGCTGCACGAGGTGGCTGCCACCTTGATTATGATCACAGATGTAGCCGGAACGCAAAGGACGAAAACTTCAGAGATTCCATTTGATAAAGAAAACCTCGTTTTGGTGATTGGGGCTACGCAGCGGGACATTGAGCTCATCCAATCCGAACTAGATCGTCTATCAAACGTCGATCTCTCCACCAGAGGATTGGTCTCTTTGACCGCGGAAACTTCTGCCCCAAAGCGCACTTTACTGTACAATAGTGGTGGTGTTTTTTCCGTAACAACTCGAATTCTGGTGGTTGATATGCTAACTGGTGCAATTCCGACCGACATGATTACTGGTGTAATTGTTCTCAACGCCGAGAGGGTCGACGATACAAGCAACGAAGCTTTTATTTTGCGGCTTCTAAGATCAAAAAATCCGCATGCTTTCATCAAAGCTTTATCTGATTGTCCGGATCGTATCTCGCCAGGTTTAAATGGTTTATCAATGAGACTGCGTAGTCTTGGGGTTCCCAAAATAGCATTGTGGCCCAGATTCCATTTACAGGTTAGCGAGTGTCTGGGCAATCGTCAGATAAACGAATGCATCGTTGAATTATCTGAATCAATGAAGCTAATGCAAGCTCAAGTCACCGAATTACTTCAAGCCTGTATCTCTGATATCAAACGTCGTGTACCTACCGTTGATACTGAGTCGTGGACTGTGGATGCTGCAATGAAAACTGATTTGGCAAGGACCGTTCGTGTTACATTGTACTCTCAATGGCACCGCATCTCCCAAGATGGCCAACGAAGTGTTGACGATTTAGCCACTTTGCAAGATCTGCTCTCTGCTATCACACATTATCATCCGGTCGAACTACTGCGGTTCCTTCAAACATATTGGTATACTCGCTCATTGGATGTCCGAAATATCTCACCCTGGCTGCTATCTCCACAGGCAGAGGCTCTTCGAGAGCTGGCCATAGAAAGGGTGCAAATAAGAGAGGTTCTTCCCAAATTAGAGTACCTTATGACGACCCTACAGGAGTTAGAGGGCCAACCTCGAGTTTTGATTGTGGTAAGTGATTTGGCTACTGTAAATCTAGTCCAACGCTATCTCGAAAACGGGTCGAACTACTTGGCTCAGCTCGAACAAGAGTACAACGCCTGGAAAGTTAGGGCAGAGAAGACTGAACCTCGCGAGGAGACTCCAGAACCTGTTGATGAGCGCAGAGGCAAACGACGGAGAGTTAGAGGCACCAGCCGGTTTACAGAAGGCCGCGCAGCTTCCACTCCCGAAGCAAAAGAAGGGTCACCAGTCGAAGTCACAAGTATTCAGGAAGTCAAAACTGAGCTGGAGTTTCACCCAGTAGTTGTCACACACTCTAATGTTGACACTCTTCATGCCATTCATCCAGATGTCATCGTCGTGTACGATCTTGACATGGTATTTACTAGGGCCATCGAGATGTACCGCGCTAGTACCAAACGGGATCCCAGCATTTACTTTATGTATTATCGTAATTCCATTGAGGAAATGCGGTATTTGACAGCACTGCGGCGAGAAAAAGATGCATTCACAAATCTCATTCGAGAAAAGGGAACAATGCCCATGGTCATTATCGATCCTAGCGAAGCACAGATTGGGAATGATGGGCCCAGAGTTATCTCCACCCGTATCGGTGGACGGGTCCAAAGTCGTGTGGTTATGGAAAAACCGCGAGTCATTGTTGACGCTCGAGAATTCAGATCATCGCTCCCATTCCTGGTATGGCAAGCGCGTATCGATGTTTTGCCCTTGACTCTTTTGGTAGGAGACTATATCGTTACTCCTGAAATATGTGTGGAGCGGAAAACGGTCACTGATCTGATTAGCTCCTTTCAAGACGGTCGTCTTTATGCCCAATGTGAGTCAATGTTTAGACATTATAAAACGCCAGTGTTACTGATTGAGTTTGGCAGCGATCGATCGTTCTCTTTGGAGCCCTTCAAAGAGATTCGAACGGCTTCTCTTGAACGGCAGTCGAGCATACATGGCAATCTGGCTTTGTTACTGTTGAAGTTTCCAAAACTCAAACTTATTTGGAGCGCATCCCCCAGACACACGGCAGAGATCTTCATGTCCCTCAAAGCATCAGCCGACGAACCTGACCCGGTTCAGTGTGTGCAGGCTGGACAAGAAGTTGTAATGAATGAGGCTGCTCAGGACATGCTCCAGGCCATCCCGGGAGTCACCCAACAAAACTCAAGGCTGATTATGGCCAAAGTCAACTCGCTGGTCGAGTTGGTCGAGATGGATGTCGATGATCTGGCTCCTATCGTAGGCAGAGAAGTCGCTGTCAAAATGGTACGCTTCATGAGAGAAGGTGAGTAAAGATTAATTTAAAAATTATATATAAGTGCGGCAGTCTAGTCGGATTGTTTTCGTTTAGCACCCATGTTAGCAGCTGTGTATAGGATACTGTCATCATAAAGTGTGCTGAGTAGTCTCACGACATTCTTCTCCATTTCACCAGCCATCATGTTGCCCAGCAAGTGCTCAACCGTGGGGAAAACGCCCAGGCTGTACATGGGCATCGACATCCGGGCCTTACGATAAAGAGTCTGCAAGATGTCGACGCCATGACGAGTGACTAACTGGAAAGGCCGCATTTGTTCCATGTTTTCTGGTCCATTTTGAGGACGAGACGGGTCGGGCATACCTGGTTGAGGAGGCATGCCAGGCTGACGAGGAACACTCTGAGGATTAGCTGATATAACGACCATAGCCATAAAGTTTATAGCACGAAGGAGGCGGTTACCAAAGTGATCTCGCGAAGCAAGCCACTGGGCAGCGATATTAACCCCGCGCCAAGGCGTGGGTGCATCATCAGGTTGGTCCTCGTCGTTTGGAATCATCGACACGAGGGTGTCGGCTGATAAAGCAGACAGTAACAGGAATGGTCTGCGGGAATCCATTTCACGAGCAGCCGGTCGGAAACGAGAAGATGGCATGACGGACACAGCGAGGGAGAACATTTTAGTCAAAAACTCACAAGGCTCCAAATGTGGTCTGCCATTAAGGTAACGCTTGATTAGGACACGGTAATCGGGATCTGTGATTGTATCTCGTAAAACGGCCTCAATAATCTCACGATTAGATGCTCGTGCTGTTAGTTTGCAAAACACATCCACCGCGTTTCCAATTGAACGGTGGACTTCCATATCACACTCAGCAAACTCAACATCACCTTCGGAAGTATAAGGACTCTCTTGAACAGAGAAGGACAAAAGGAACAGAATTAAAACAAGGGTGTGTTTGGGGTCAGTAAGTATCCAGTGCAAAGAAATGTTTGAGAGGAGCACAAGCAAATCTTTGCAAAGGTCCAAAGTCCGGATTTCGTGGTCCAAAAGACAAGGGTTTTCTGCCAAGGCATATAGAAGCGACCAGAGTAAAGATTGGAAGTTGGGCTTGCGAGCAATCAAGGGGCGATTAGGCTCTGCAAATGATAAGTTGCGAAGGACACAGGTTGCTGCCAACAAACGAGAACAAGCAGCGCCCACAAAGAATTCGTTTTGCTCGTCTTGATGGGGCTGTAACGATTGAAGTTCCTCTTCGATTCGCTCGTATCTCTTTGTGTAATTCACAAAGCCGAAAGCCGGCATTGGTTTACCTGCCTTTTCAGCCTCGAGGCCTTTTCGGACACTAGCAGCTGCAACATGCTCAGCGCGGATTCTCTGGCTTTGAAGCAAGTTTTCTGCCTTTTTGGCGGCAACATCCTTGTCGTGTTTGTGCCAACGCTTTGCAGTTTCAATAGTTTCGCTAACGCCTTCAACATGAACGGTTACCGGCTCCAACTCAGAGCCTGTGGTAGATGAAACAGACACAACAATGTCCTCTCTCTTGGCTTCACGAAGCTTGAGCGAAGAAAAGATTCTGTCACCCACAGACCAAATTTGCTCGTCGTCGGTCGGGGCATCCACGCTCATAACCCCGCGGTGGGGTTTATTTATTTTACTGCGATCTCCCAGAAGCGGTTCCAATATAAGCTGAACAACTTCACACAGATTCGCAAGCAGGAATGGACAATGCTGCAGCGAGATGTGAACATGAGGGTCCGTAGTAACCACGATTAACTTGTCTAGTGCCTGGCGGACCTCCGCAACATCACGAGAAGCAAGCGACATCTTGATGGCTCGTAAATCCACAGTAGCCAAATCGAAAGGGAACGCGACGTCAGGTCGCCAGTTTTCGATCTCGGTACCCAAAAGCACCAAAGAACGCAAATCCCTACCGCCATACCGGGTTCTTTGTTTAACATGAGGAATATAGGCATCATCTTTAACGTCCACTTCAAATAACTTATCACGGTCATAAAGCCGTCTGTCGCCATTACCACCATTTTCAACTGCACCTTTTTGCTTGCCGTAACGCGGGTGTAGATTCATTTCACGCATGGCTTTAGCAATGCGGGCTCGTGTCCTCCATCCAGCAGACGCACCTGTCACATCTCCACGTGAATTAGGATCTGAATTCGATGGTGGGACACCATTTGGACGCACTCGGCCCAAAATATGGGGAGGGAACAGAGGGGGGATAGGATGGCCGCGAGCTCTAGCCAGAGCTTGAGCACGAGCACGGAGACGCAATGTACGAATCGCCGCAAACATGTCTGCCTGGCGACGCCCTGGACCGATATCTTGGCCACGGCGCATGTGTGATCGGACTACTGTTGTCGTAATGAGCAAGCGCTGGCGGAATGCGGCAGATTCCATATAGGCGAGCTCGAACGGAAGCAGTAACTTGACATATATATTGATCAACGCAATGACATTCCTTGTGGTAAGAGGGACTTGGAGGTGGTTTGCAATTTTCAGCCATTTCAAACGTTTACTGGTACCAGTAAACCCACCGCAGGCTTGTACCGACACAAACAACACATAGAGGTTGATTCTTCGTCCATCGACTACAGGACGACCTGCAGCACCATTAGTTTGAGTTTCCATAAACTTTCCTAGCACATAAGAGAAGAGTTCAGGGGGGATTTCACGGTATGGGAAGCGCACAGAACCTGGGGTTGGGACACCGACCTTTCCAAGAGCGTGAGCAAGTAAAGGTGAACGTTTTTGCGCGGGTACTTCGTCAACTTTGGCCAACAATGCACGGGCATCAATTTCAGTGTCTTCGTTAGAAGATAGCAGCATGTAAACTGCTAAAAGTGACATTCGCACCGCCTCAGCAGCAGCTTTGGGATTAGGTTGACGAACACGGCGGCGTTTCAAAGGAGGCGGCATACCAGGATGGCCCATTGGAGTAGCAGTGACAACTCCGCCAACATTGGTGAGACCGCCGACTGGTCCTCCGGGGACGCCAGCACTAACTTGACCTTGGAGTCTTCGAACGGCCGCTGCCTGCCCTACATTTTGAGGAGGCACCATACCACCTAAAGAATCCTGGCCACCTTGAGCCTGGGCAGCTCGAGCTAGTTGCCTTTGACGAAGCTGCTGTGCGTGTGCCAATTGAGCGCGGGTATCCATCTGTCCTCTTGCCGCAGCGGCGGCTGCAGTGGCCGGGTCTGGCGACTGCGGGGTGCCATCAGGATGAGGAGCTCGCCAGTTTTGCGACATGTAGCCAGCTAATGTCATTTGTGGGCCTCCTGGACCAGGAACACTATTCTGTTGAACGGGGCTCTGTGCCATACCTGGTGGTACACCTTGACGGGGTCGAGCTCTCATTTGAGCTTGTTGGACCTGTTTAGGTGGTTGTTGCTGCATGGGCTGCTGTGGTTGCCACCCCATTCGCGACTGTTGCTGTTGCGATGGTTGAGGTGGCTGCTGAGGCTGCGAGGGCATACCACGAAGAGCCATTTCACTTTTCGGGCTTACTGGCGAAATCAGTCGCCGTGGGGGCTGCTGGCCCATTCTGCCATTCGACATGGGCATATCGGAACCAGGCATTCCGTATTGGTTTTGGTTCATTCCATGGTTCATTGGCATGGGTTGGCCGGGTATTCCTTGAGGCATATTGAAGGCTTGCGACATATCTTGTCTCGGTAGTTGTATTCTTCCCGGATGCATTCTCTGACGTGAAACCGTCTGCTGGCGAGGCGGAGGGGCCTGCTGCATCATAGGGTGACCCTGGGGGCTTCCAGGGCCCTGCTGTCCGCCAGGACCTGGAGTCTGGCCCTGGATACCCATGCCTTGTGGACCAGGTGTCCGTTGGGGGCCCTGAGCCTGTTGAGGCAGCTGAGAACCTTGCGGACCACCCTGAGGGCCTCTGGTGTTCTGGGCCTGACCAGCATTCTGGCCGGGCATCGAGCGGGGCGGGGCCTGATCACCGTACGGTTGGTGGAGCTGGTGCTGGGGCGGCTGACCGGGCTGAAGAGGCTGTCCGGGCATCATACCCATCTGCATATGTGGTGAACCAGGAATCATAGGGGAATTGTCGAATCCGTTGTGTTTGCCAGGCACCGGCATGTTTGGCATGTGCGGCGTCATATGAGGTACCTGTGGGGTGCCGCTATGGGGCTTCGAAGGGTCAGTGACGCTGATTTCACCGAGTTGCGGGGGCATAGGAGAGGCATGGGCAGTTCGAGCAGCTGCGGGCGCGTTTGCAAAGTCCTGCGAGCCAAGTCCCGGGTCCCAACGCGCGTCTGGATCGAACGCGCCCGACAAATCAGGTTTGCCCCTCTGATCGCCCGCCAAGTCAACATCCAGGAACACCAAGTCGGCGTCTGTTCCGTCCCCAAGGCCAGACGTAAAGTCGGCGTCAAAGTACGGAGATTCAAACTCTCCTGACATGCTTTCCCGTTTGGTTGTGAGACGAAGTGGTCGTTCGCTTAGATAACGGATTGCCTATATGGGCTAGGTTGGCGGGGGAGGCTAGAAGGCTGCATTGAAGGCCAATGCTAGGTCAGTAATTTGCCGGCGTGTGTTTGGGATGCTCAAAAAGCACTTTTGTCTGCCCAACCTAGCTGGCCTGGCCCGCAAAGCCTGCTATGGCTTGCAACCCAGGGTCAGGGCAAACCCTCGCAATGGTCATCGTTTCCAGCAAGACTTTGGTGCTGTACCGAGTGTGCGGTCTGTGGGCCGTGGCGCTGTTTCTGCTCAAAAACCCATTGGTTATTTACTCTAACTTGGTTGTGGTTGTACTGGGCCAAGCTCTGGACATGCCGAACACCTACGCGGGCTCGGGGGACCAGTTGGCCGGCCTGGTAGCCGTGCTGATTGCATTTCTGGCTTTAGAGGACTTTATCGTGCTGTTCACTGAGGACCCCGGAGAGCACTGGCGAGGATCTGTTCCTTTGCGTCTATTAGGGTACTTTATTCTGACTATGGCGAGCTATCTGGGCTTCAAACCCCTGAGGAACAGCCTGACGTTCACGTATGTTTTCCTGGAGATGGTTATGAACTTCCTGCTGTATCTCGTGCTGCGAAACGAGCTGAATGAGACGACACGCCGGATCATTCGCGAAGAACGGGGTCAGAACCCCGACCTAGCTGAGGGTGCTTTGTAGTTTGTTTTTAAAAAAAGAGAAAGCGTTTTTTGTGAGACGCCATCGATAACGCCTTGTAGTCTTCGATTTCCTGCCAGCAGTCGCGTCCGAACTGGCACCCGGCCATGTTGACGAGAAAATCGCGGTCCTTGCGACTGTAAAAGAACCGTGGATCGTCGGCCCGCTCAGCACAGGCGCCCGGCGGAAACGCGTTGAACTGACGCAACGGAGCGAATGCAATACGGCTTCTTATCCATGCATGATTTTTGTAGAGGTGCTCCAGAGCAGCCTGCTCGCCATGGACCCATTCCATGTGCTTTTGTTCGTACATAACCGGGTCCCACCAAACGTCCAGGAGCATCTCAGACCACTCCGATCTACGGATAAAGAAAGAGCCCAAAGAGAAGCCGCCACAGTCTTGGGTAATGATCATGTCGATCGGCTGCGTATTGTCGACAAACGGCACGTCGATTTCCATGTTTGTTGGGTTGTAGTACGTCAAGTTTCGTTCCAGTCTGTCCAGGTGGTTGAACAGCAACGAATCGAGGCTTTTTTGAGGCTCCATGATATACGACTCCAAATCAAGCCACCAGAACCACTCTGCTCGAGGGAACTGACGCATACTCTGGCGAATGAGGTCTACTTTTTGCCAGGACTCTCTCCATTCGTGAGCGTACCGTCGTTTGGCAATCATGTCTTTAATGGCCAGATGATAGCCATGGCGAGAGACGTAATCTTTCTTGTTGGCGATTGATGTGCGTTCCAAGTCCCATTCCTTGGCTCCTTTCCACTGCTGCACTCCGCCGCCTTTATTAGCCCCCAGCACCACGACATACTTTGACCCGCCAATCACCACGTGTGGAACGCCCGGTAACCGGTTGAAAAACGACAGAGTAACAAGCAACGCAAAAATGAATATTATCAGCTTTCTTCTAAGTAAACAGAAGCCTATTTGCCGGCCCAGTTGGCGTACCATGGGCTTGTACCGCGTCCACAGTCCGCGAGATCTGGGCTTCATGGTAAGTCAGCACAAAAAAAAAATCCGTAAGGAACGTAGGTGTTTTATGTACATACAGTATTAAAGTTTATTTGAGCAAACGATCAAACGCAGGCATAAGGGTCTGGGCCATGGCAAAACTAAAGACCAGCTTGGGGCCCGTGGTGAGCAATTTGGGCACAAGACCCTTGAAGAACGCGCTGAAGCCCTCGTTGCGGGCCATATCGCGCAGAATCTTGAACCCGCTCTCTGGGTTGTCGAAATGGCGGTTCTGGATGCGAGTCTTGATAACGTCGAGAGGTGCCGACACAATCAGAGACGCACTGGCGCCGAAAATCGACGCAATAGTGTTCTGGACGAAAGTGGCCTTGGAGTAATCTTGCAAGCCAAGAACGTACTCTTTGGCGAACGAGTTGCCTCCAAACAGAGCGAAAGAGCCGGGAGCGTTACGGGCCATAGTCCAGCCCCAGCCGCGGTAGAGACCAAAGCCCTCATCAGCCAAGATCTTGAAAAATCCGCGACCCTTGAAAGACTCGGGATTGGTCTGACGCTTGATCTTGAGGACATCCAAAGGCAGCAAAACAACCTCACCGATACCGACGATCGAACCAGCAGTAGCGGATAGCAAAGCCTTGCCGGTCTTGGGGCCAAACAGGTTGGTGAAAGTAGAGGCATAGTTCTGGGTCAAAAAGTCGTTAACAACGGGCTGACCACCATACTTGTACACACGCTGGAGAACCTTGTAGCCAGCGGCATATCCCAGGCCAGGGAAAAGACTGAGAAGACGCGAACCCATTGGTTTTGACGCAGAATCTCTGAAAATGACCTGATTAAATTTGGCAACCGAAGCAACGCGGCCGTGGTTGGACATGAGACGCTTTGAAATAGTGTCGACGGGGTGGAAGACCAGCAGCTCGGTCAAACCGGCAGTCGCAGAGCCCAAAACACGGGCAGTCGCACTCTGTTTAGAGTCGGCAGTAAGAGCGGGTGCCATTTTTCAAGATGGATGAGTCACGGGATTTTCACTGGTATTATGGGTGGCTGAACACTGAGGTAATTAAGAGGAGCAGTGACTTTTGATATAGTACGCTTATATTGAAACTGTGTAAAATGTGCATTTTAGAGACCCAGGATAGTCTGTAGCTATGTACCCAGGTGATTCACCTTCGTTTGCTGGGCACGTCGCTTAAACAACATGCATACCCTGCACATGGCATGTGCACGAAAATCAACATTGTTGAAAGCATCATACCACCGATAACAATGCTATCATTCAATCGTTCTTTGCTCTTACTTTTACTTTATTCCCCTTCTTTTCAACTCAGGCAACTCTATATGGACCTTCCGTTTGGTCCCTGACTCAGCTATGGACGAGATCAAGCAGGACTTTCTCGAGTCTCTGGGGGAACTCACGTTCAACTCACGGCCAATAATCCAAACACTGACGACTATTGCCGATGAGAACAAAGAGTTCGCGCCAGCAGTCGTCGAGGCTGTTCAGCAGCACATTCTCGCTAGCCCGCCGCCGCTGAAGCTGCCGGCTATCTACCTCATGGACTCCATTTGCAAAAACATTCGCGTTCCTTACGTTGATTTATTTGCTTCAAAAGTGTATCAGATATTTAGCGACTCATTTAGCGCCGTTCCCGAACCTATAAGAGTTAAGCTCGGCGAACTGTTTCGAACTTGGACTATTCCAGGCTCCGATGGCGAACCGCTGTTCCCGCACGAGATCTTGCGCCAGATCGACAACTTTTTGGGCAGAGCCCGCAATCAGTCCAATCAGTCCAAGCCCAGTCGCGGCGTGCTCAACCAGACCGTTCTTCTGGTCGAGGTTAACAGAACCCTGAAGGAGGCAGATGCCCTGGAGAGTGGCCGCGAAGCCGACCAGATCCGCGGGGTATTGACCCGTCTACAAGCAGCATTGTCTGCTCCGGGCGTGGATCCGTCGATTTTCTTGAGCATCCAGCAGCAGCTGGACAATTTCCATGGCCGCATACAGCATCTTGCTGGCCGGGCAAGAAAACGTGGTGGCGGCGGTCCTGTGCGAAATGGCAACAGCAACAAACGGTCTAAAGGGTCGAATGGGCGAAATGAACGTAATGATATCACCGGGTCTAATCAAGTTCCATTAGGGCCCCGGAAGCCTGTCTTGGAAGGCATTGACTTTGCCAAGCTTGCCCAGTCTATTAACGTGCTGAAAGAAAAGCCAGCAGAGCCGGCAGAGCCAGCCACTCCAGATCTGCCATCACTACTGAGCAACCTGCAAAAGTCAGGTTTGGTGACCCTCACGGCTACCGTCGAACTATCTACTGCAGGGTTGGCTGCACCGCACCCCGAACTTATTGCTAAACTGTACGGAGACCGACCCGTACAATGTGCAACCTGCGGTATGAGATTCATTGACGACGAGGCCGGTCGGGCAGCGAAGGAGCGGGAAATGGACTGGCATTTCCGAGTCAACAAAGAAATACAACAAGGTCGATCCCGTAATCGCGTTTGGTACCTGACTCTAGACGAATGGGTCGCATACAGAGATGAGCAGGAGGTCGAAGGTACAACCCAAGACATTAAACCGACCGAGGACGTTGTTGATCTTGAGGCCGAGGCCCTCAAGTACGTACCTGTACCCACAGACACTTCGCAGACCGCCTGTCCAGTGTGTCAAGACAAATTCAACGCAGTCTACTCCGAAGGCGCAGAGGAATGGGTCTGGATCAACGCTGTAGAAGTGAACGGAACTTATTTTAACGCGACGTGCTATGCTGATCCTAACAACCAGCAGGTAGTTGCCCAAGTTTTAAATAGCTAGTATTTATGCATCATAGCAGGAACCAGTTAATAAAGAAAACTCTATGTTAACATGTTTATTTCTTCTCGATAGCCTCAACAATGGCCGTCCAAACTTCGCCTGGCTTCTGGGTGGCATCAACACCGCTCCAGAGAGATTTTTCCTTGTAGTAACCGACGACGGGCTCGGTCTGCTCGTGGTACGACACAAGACGCTTCTTCAGAGCTTCGACGTTGTCGTCTGTGCGCTGGATGAGGTCTTCGCCGGTAACGTCGTCCTTGCCCTCGACCTTGGGAGGGTTGAACTCCTTGTGGTAGGAGCGGCCCGAGGCGGGGTGGATGAGGCGGCCCTCGATACGGGCAACAAGACGCTCGTCGGGGATCTCGAGTTCGACAACGTTCTTCAGGGGGCTGCCCCGTTCCTCAAGCATAGAGTCCAGGGCCTCAGCCTGGGGGATTGTGCGGGGAAAGCCGTCGAGAATGAAACCGTTCCTGCAGGCGGGGTTTTCCTCGAGCTCGGAGTTGATCATGCCAACCATGATATCGTCGCTAACAAGTCCACCGGCATCCATGATCTCCTTGGCCTTCTTGCCGAGCTCGGTACCCTGAGACACCTGGGAGCGCAGCATGTCGCCAGTAGCCAGGTGGCAGGCGCAGTACTTCTCGACCAAGTTAGGGGCCTGGGTGCCCTTACCAGCACCAGGAGGGCCAATAAGGATCATGCGGATAGCAAGCGGAACGTCGACCTCGGATTTTTCAGCGGACGAGGCCTCGGACGCCGGTTCTGAAGCCTTTTCGGCCTCGGGGGTGGACTTGTCCTCTTCAGGGTACTGGTTGGGATGGAAGCGTTTGGAATATTGACGGTTACGACGAGACTCCTCGTTCTCTTGCGCACGTCGATACAGCTCGGGGTTTACACCCAACAACTTGAGAAAAGATTCCATGGTTGAAGTTGACAAATCAGAGCACGGTTGCGGGGAGATTTACAGATTGGAACTCGGCATGCAGCATGCACAATTCTCGACCCGCGAAGCTCCGATCGAAGCCCGAGGCCACAGGAAGCAACCAACTTTAATTATCCAAAAGCCCCTCGATGTGGGTAACCCATTCCCTTGTTGTCCAGCTCGAGCTGATTGAGCTATCAACAAGCCCGTTAGTTACTGCCGTGGGGCTGACGTGAATCCCGTTTTGGCGGCCGAGCTTAACATAGTGCTTGAGGTGGGCAATGGTAAGCGGACCTCTATTAGCTGGGGTTCCAGGCATAATATTGACGCTCTGGAGAATTCTGGAGTGATCAATGCAGACTCTGCCGGCAATTTCGCCGAGTGCACTCAAAAGGTCGTTGCGGCTCTTGTCAACCACTGCCTCGTCGTAGAACCGCGGGCTCTCGTCGAAAAGCGCCTTGCTGAATTGCCAAAATCTCTCGGGGCTCTCAATACCAACTGCAATAGCGTACTCGTGGAGAATGGCTCCCTGAGGATGCCACGGCTGCACCTGGTGGTTGAACGTCCACGACACTCGGCCGGGGTACTGCGCCTCGACCTCTGGAATGACCTGCGAATAGACACAATCAAAGAGCTTACGGCTGTAGGGGCAGATATAATCAAGCCAAAGCTCGATCTCGACCTGAACTTCTCGGCCAACGGTGTGGGATGCGTAAATCATTGCGGTTGTTGGGAGATCGCAATTAGAGTTTGCTATTTACAGTTATTTGGACTCGGGCTCTACGGATTTTTTTTGAGACACCTTGTCGAAAATTGCCATTCCACCGGCGATCATACTGCCCATATCGCCGAGATTTTGCGGAATCACGACCGTGTTGGACTCCTTGGCCAGCTTGCCGAACGCATCAACATAACGATCCGCCACTTGCAATGAAACAGCGTCCCGGCCCTGTGGAGAAGCAGCAATAGCATCAGCAACCTGGCGGATACCTTGAGCCGTAGCCTCGGCGGCCAAAATAATACTCTGTTTGGTACCCTCGGCTTTATTGATGGCGGCCTGACGATGACCCTCGGACTCGAGAATTTCAGCTCTTTTGGACCGCTCCGCACTGACCTGGCGGTGCATTGCTTCCAAAACCTCGTTCGGGGGGTGGATATCCTTAATTTCGTATCTTAGGCAAGTAATACCCCATTCCTTGGCCGCCTCGTTGATGGCTGCGGTGATATTCAGATTCAGCTGCTGGCGTTCTCGCAAAACATGGTCTAGCGTGAGCTGGCCAATCTCAGAACGCATGGTGGTCTGAGCAAGCTGTGAAATAGCGTACTCCGCGTCCTCGACCCCGTAACTCGCCTTATAAGCGTCGAAGATCCGAACGTATAGAATTCCGTCCATTTCTAGTGTCACGTTGTCCGACGTGATTGCGCTTTGCCGCGGCACCTCGACCGCATTCTCCTTTAGAGACTTGACATAGGCGATTTTATCCAGAAATGGCACCAAAACCGCCAGCCCAGGCTGGAGAATCCGGTTGAACCGACCCATTCGCTCAACCACCCAGGCTTGTTGCTGGGGAACAAACTTGACCACAGTGTTGATGGGCAAACTACGCTGTTGGAAATAGTTCATGGTGTTTGTCGACGCAAACCGTACGGCCGCAAACCGTCCAGCGCCGCCACTCTGTATCACTCGCGAGAGCATCATGACAAAGCCAAGGTAAGAACTACGGGCGGACTACATAGATTGTAAAGAGGCCGCGTAATCGGCGACTAAGAATGCAACATCGAGGCTCTGAGACAGACTGAGGCGGGGATCGCATACCGTGTCGTAACGAACTGTTAATTCTTCGTCCTCGAGATTCTGCGATCCACCAATGCACTCAGTCACCGGATCGCCAGTCAGTTCCAGGTGAACACCGTTGAGTTCCTGGCCGTGTAACTTGTGAATCCGCAGGGCGTGTTTTAATTCGGTCATGATGTCGTCAACGTAACGCGTCTTGAGTTTCGTGATGGGCGAGACCTTGGTGTTGCCGTGACATGGGTCAGACACCCAAACCACTCGGTGTTTTGATTTGCGAACAGCTTCAATCTGGGCAGGCAGCTTGGATTCAATCTTGTCTGCGCCATAGCGTGTAATTAAGGTGACTCGGCCATCCTCGAAATCAGGATCAACAATGTCCAGTAGCTGAACCAGCTCGCTGACTTCCATGGAGGGTCCTACCTTGATTCCAATGGGGTTGCGCAGCCCACGGAAGAACTCTACATGTGCACCATCAAGCTGACGCGTGCGGTCACCAATCCACACGAAATGGGCCGAGGTGTTGTACCACTTCTCATTATACTGACGAGTCAATGTCTGTTCGTATTCTAGCAACAAGGCTTCGTGGGATGTGAAAAAGTCAACACTGCTCAAAGCATCGCTATTGTCGCCAACTGTCTTCATGAACTGTAGGCCCTCAGAGATCTTGTCCACGACCTCTTGATAGCGTGCTCTTGTAGCGTCATGCTGCACATGACTGAGGTCCCAGTGATTGGGGTGATGTAAATTGGCAAACCCGTTGGTAAGGGACGACCGAATAAAGTTGAGTGTTGCTGCCGAGTGGAAATAAGATTCTACAAGTCGCTTGGGATCGGGCGTACGATCAGACGGTTCGAATCCATTGATGTTGTCGCCTCTGAAAGATGAAATTTCTCCGTAGCCTTCCACGACCTCGGTGAGCTTTGATCTCGGCTTAGCGTACTGTCCAGCAATACGTCCAATACGCAAAATAGGCACGTGTGTACCCCAAATTAGCACCAGAGACATTTGCAGGAGGATTTTGAGTTTGGCTTCGATCTGATCTGGGTTACAATAATCGAACAGCTCGGCGCAGTCACCGCCTTGCAAGACGAATCGCTCACCACGAGATGCTTCAGCAAGCTGCGTTCTCAGCTTTTCAATCTCATTGGCATGTACCAAGGGTGGCAGGCTTTCGAGTTTAGCCAGAGCTGCTTCGAGAGCCTTCTCGTTACCGTACAAAACGTCCTGGGTTACAGGCTTGGATTGCCAAGACGACGGATCCCACCCGAGATTGGGGCGAGGCTTGCGACTGAAATCGTTGGAACCGGTCCTGACTTTTGCCGCGGCTTGTGCACCAAGTGACGCTTCCGGCTTGACCGGTTCTTGAACTAATACTTTGGGTGACATATGACTCAGACAATACTGCTGACGGATTAAGTACCTATGTAGGTTAATGCGTAGTTATGATTTAGGTGGGGGGATTTCAGTTCTCCAAGTGCACGCAGAGTATGGGAGCTGAGAATTGAAATGAGATTGCGGCGACACTATTGTTTTAACATGATGATCTATCACGTGATCTAAGATACAAGGTGGAGGTCGTAAAAATTATGCCCAACACTGTAATTGGACTGGATAAAGGACAGTAATAGTCTCCATTATTGCACAGATAGATACCATAGAAACACTCTGCGAAAAAGCTAGTTGATTCTTGACATCGATGCACGGGGCTGCACGGCCCTGTTGATATGACTTCACGTGCTTTGATACGATAGATATGTTGGAGCTATAAAATCTGTAAAAAAGTAATGAATATCAATGGCTCCTCCTCCAACAGCAGCCACTGCTACTCGCAACACAATTGACTCTCTGCCCCGTGAACCGTCGTCCGACATCAAGACTCAACCCCTTGTAGACGTTGACGCACTCCTCGGCAAAGTCGCTGGTTACGAAGAGATTATCAGACACTACTTCTCACTTATTCCTGCACAACATGCCCGCAACTATGAGTACGCGCACCTCAAAGCCGGCTTTCCCGAACCGGCCACCCCGTGGCAGCCACTCGAAGAAATTCCCATCCCCCAGGATCGTGGCCTATTTGCGGACCCCGAGTACAAGGAATTATTCGCGGCTGCCACCAATGTTGAGCATATCAATCCCACATTTGGTACAATTCTCCACGGAGTCGTTTTGTCCAAGTTGAATGACGAGCAAAAGGATCAGCTCGCCCGTCTGGTGTCCTTCCGTGGGGTTGTATTTTTCCGCGACCAAAAAGAGATAGGTGTTGACGAGCTACTTGAGCTCGGAAAATACTATGGGCCTCTTCAGCGTACGGGAAGCACTGCTGTCCCTGTTGGAGCTGTCGAGAACGAAGAGCTTTATAGCATCCACGTTGTTGATGCCACTGAGAAACCGGTCCAGAAAACACTGTCTCAAACCGATTTATGGCATAGTGACGTTTCTTTCGAAATTCAACCTGCATCGTATACATTTTTGAAGCTTTTGCAGGGCCCCCTGTAGGTGGTGACACTTACTGGAACAGTTCATATGCGACTTACGACGAGGTTTCCCGTCCCCTGGCAGAGTACCTCGAGAAACTCACGGCTAGCCATTCATCTCAATGGCAAGTTGATGCTGTGAGAGATTCTGGGTTTCGACCCCGACGTGAGGCCGTTAACAATTCCCACCCTATCGTGCGCACGCACCCTGTCACAGGCCTGAAATCGGTTTACGTGAACCCACTTTTCACCAGCAAGATCGACGGTGTCTCGAAGCAGGAAAGCAATGCTATCCTCAATTATATTTACCAGGTACTGACTACCAACATCGCCGATAGCGTACGTTGGAAATGGAGGAAGAACGATATTGCCGTTTGGGACAACCGCGTAACCAACCATGCTGGATCCTACGGGACGTATCCTCACTACCGACATGCTATTCGTGTGACGGTCACTGGCGAAACACCAACCTTCAACGGAGGCATGTCACAACGCGATTTCTACACTGAAAAACTCAAAGATCTAACTATATAGCGAATTCCCATATACCTACCTGCATGACTCAGTACGGATCACATCCACGACAACGGCTTTGGGTACGGCCAGGCAGCAAACGTGGTGGCAATTGGTTGATTGTTATTCATGGCGGTGCCTGGCGCGATCCAAAGCAGTCTGAGAAGAGCGGACAATTCTGTGCCAATAGTCTGGCGGCGCTATTTGAAGGGGTTGCAAGCGTGACTTATCGGCTGGCCCCCGAATACAAGTTCCCAACCCAGCCAGAGGACGTTCGGGACGCCATTGACTACTTGCACAAAGAGTATGCATTTGAAAAGATAGTTTTAGCCGGTCACTCGGCCGGAGCTTACATTTCAGGCGAGATCACTGCTTGGGATTGGTGTCCAGTTCCAGTGGCCCTTGTGGTCGGCATTGAGGGCATTTACAATCTTCTGGATTTACTCAAGGAATACCCTGATTACACGGACATGATTGCTGATTGCTTTGGCCATGCGCATGAGACTATGGTGAGGGCTGATCCAGACTGGAGCTCGGTTCCACTGTGTGCGGTTCACAGCGTTGAAGACGAGCTTTTAACTCTGCGACAGCCCGAATTGGTTAGCTCCGAGATTATAAAACTGCCGCACGGAAAACATGACGAGGTCTTTGAGACAATTGACTTGCTGCCTCGCGTCAGAGAGCGAATTCTCAGTGCACTGTAAATATTATTTGACCGACTGTCATGTCGGCAACATAGCTTTTATTATTTCACTAGTAACAAACCACGCCAAACCACTAAGCCCCCAAACTTAACCGCCCCCAGCACGTCTTTTGGAACCTCGGTGCTAGGTCCATGGGTAAGGGTGCAAACCGCTTATTAGTGGTGTGAGAGGTGTGGGGTAAAGACACTTATAACACACCAGTTGACCGCACTGCCGATTTAAAAAAGAAAAAAATGTCTACTCCTGTGAAATTGCCACCTGTGTCGGACTTGTTGCCGTACACAGAGCCCGACTATTACCAGGGCTTCTACACCACATACTTCAATGAGACGCACTTTGCTCTTCGGGATGAGGTCCGGGAGTTTGTCAATGAGTTCATTGTGCCCTATGTTGACGAGTGGGATGTCGCCGGCGAGGTCGATCCTAACCTTTATCGCGAATTCGGTCGCCGTGGTTACTTGTGCGCTCTTGCTGGTGTCCGCGAGTACCCCACAGAGTACACGGACATCCGCATCAAGTCTGTGCCTCCCGAGAAGTTCGACCCGTTCCACGAGATAATCATCATTGACGAAGTTTGCCGCGCTGGTTCTGGTGGTGTCTGCTGGTTCTTGATGGGCGGCTACAATATCTCTGTTCCCGCCATCTTCAAGTTTGGTTCTCCTGCTCTCAAGCGTCGGGTTTTGCCTGATATTCTCGCTGGTAAGAAGCGGAGCTGTCTGGCCATCACTGAGCCAGATGCTGGTTCTGACGTCGCCAACCTCACTACCACCGCCACATTGAGTGAGGATGGCAAGCATTACCTGGTTACCGGTACCAAGAAGTGGATCACCAATGGTATCTTTTCTGACTACTTTGTAACTGCCACTCGTACGGGCAAGAAGGGCATGGGTGGAATCACTATGCTTTTCATCGAGCGTGACTCTCAGACTGTTGATACTCGCAAAATCATGACCCAGGGCATGCGGGGTTCAGGCACCACCTTGCTCAATTTCGACGAGACCAAGGTGCCTGTTGCCGATGTCATCGGTGAGGTTAACGGCGGCTTCAAGTCCATTATGGCCAATTTCAACCATGAGCGTCTTGGCATCATTGCCCAGGCCACTCGGTTCAGCCGTGTTCTTCTCCAGGCCTCGCTGGAGTGGGCTCTTGAGCGCGAGACCTTCGGCACCAAGCTCATTAACCACGCGGTTATTCGTTCCAAGTTCGGTGTGATGGCTGGCCGCATCGAAGGTGTCCAGGCCTGGTTCAATGACCTCGTTCTCCAGTACAAGTACATGGATGATCAGGAGGCCATGGTTCGCCTTGGTGGCCCCATTGCTGCTTGCAAGGCCCTGGTCACTCAGACCATGGAGCTTTGTGCTCGTGAGGCGTCTCAGATCTACGGCGGTCTCTCCTACACTCAAGGCGGTAAAGGCGGCACGGTCGAGCGGCTGTACCGTGAGGTCCGTGCATTCGCTATTCCTGGCGGCTCCGAGGAGATCATGATTGATCTGGGCGTCCGCCAGACCCTCAAAGATCTCAAAAAGTACGAGCAATCTTTGAAGAAGCAGACTAAGCTTTAAATAGTTATATGTTTGAATGATGCACATGCTATATATGCGAGAAAAAACTGCCTTTTTCCCCATCTTCTAGATACCTCTATCTTACATACATTTCTCCCAGCGATACCGGCATCTAAGATTTAGTCACTATGACATTTACCGGTGAACAGGAGCCCGATTATTTACGGGAAATATTAACATCTAGGGTGTACGATGTTGTGAAAGAGACTCCGTGTGAGCTTGCGGTGGGTTCGTCGGAACGGACCGGCACCAATGTTTATTTGAAGCGAGAGGACCTTCAGCCAGTCTTCAGCTTTAAATTGCGAGGTGCCTACAATATGATGGCCCAGCTGCCTGAAGACAAGCGATGGAAGGGCGTAATTTCCTGTTCAGCAGGCAATCATGCTCAGGGTGTAGCTTATTCGGCCCGCCATTTGAATATTCCGGCTACAATCGTTATGCCGTTAGCGACGCCTAGCATCAAGGTAGAAAATGTCAGACGTCTGGGCGCACAAGTTGTTCTTTATGGTGATGATTTCGATTCAGCCAAGGCAGAATGTGCCAGACTCGAAAAATTGCATGGTTTGCAGTACATTCCGCCTTTCGATGACCCTCTAGTAATTGCTGGCCAAGGAACTATTGGTGTTGAAATACTGCGTCAGGTAGATCTCAGCAAACTCAAGGCTATTTTCTGTGCGATTGGAGGTGGAGGCATGGCTGCTGGTATTTCAGCCTATGTAAAACGCATTGCCCCTCACATCAAGGTTTACGGCGTTGAGACTTTCGACGCTGATGCCATGGACCGGTCGCTCAAAGGCGGCGAACGCGTGACGCTGAAAGAGGCTGGATTGTTTGCTGACGGCACCGCAGTTAAAATTGTTGGCGAAGAGACGTTCAGAGTATGCCAGAAGTACCTTGATGGTGTTGTGAAAGTCAATACTGACGAGATCTGCGCAGCCATTAATGACGTTTTCCTAGACACTCGCAGCGTTGTTGAACCCTCTGGTGCTATGGCTCTAGCAGGAATCAAAAAGTACCTAGAGGCTGCGGGGCCCGAAGCTCTGGGTGACCAGAATGCATACTGTGCAGTGTTGTCGGGTGCAAACATGAACTTTGACCGCCTGAGGTTTGTGACTGAACGAAGCAGACTTGGTGCAGGAAAAGAGGTGTTTTTCATCGTCGAAATGCCCGAAAAGCCGGGAATGTTCCGTAAATTGATCGGTGCTATTCATCCTCGAGCTGTCACCGAATTTGCATACCGTTACCGATCCCCGGACTTTGCGCGAGTTTATATTTCATTCAGTGTGGGCGACCGAAGCGAGGTTGCGGAAATCATTTCTGAAATCACAAATTCTGGCATGAAAGCTCATGATATGAGCGATAACGATCTGGCAAAGAGCCACTGCCGCTATATGGTGGGAGGCTCAGCGGACCTGGCAGAGGAACGATTATTTAGCTTTGAGTTTCCTGAGCGACCCGGTGCGCTGTTCAAGTTTTTGGAGAATCTCAAAACCACCTCCAACATCTCGCTATTCCACTACCGGGACAACGGCTCAGACATTGCCAGGGTCCTGGTAGGCATCATACCTAGTGCTGACGAGAACATTGACAAGTTCGCTAAGCGAATCGGGTACAGCTACGAGGATGTTACCGATAACGTCGCATACCAGCTATTCTTAAAGTGAGCCTTTATGTAGGGGTATTAACAAAAACAGCCCAACACCCTATGGGTGGGAACCATTCAAATTGGGCCAATTATGTCACCAAGAAAGTAAATGTCGTCGTCGTTGGTGCGTGCGCTGCGCAACATCTGGCGCATCGGTCCGCGTGAATACATTCGTCAGATGAACGGTATTGGTGACAGCAAGTACGGACGTCTTGTTGGGACCGACGTTTTTGGCAACAAGTACTTTGAAAACGACAAGGAGGATGAGATCTATGGCCGCACCCGGTGGATTGAATACCCTACTCGGTTATACGAGGTCAGCACTATTTCGCCTGGATGGCATGCATGGCTCACCCAGCGGGCCGATACACCACCCAACGAGCTTGCTGCTGCTCAAAAGGCCATCCAGGCCGTGCCTGGTCCTACCACGGCCACTATCCAGACTTACACTGGCACTACTGGTGCCTATGTTCCTTACAGCACAGTCAAGCCGAAGGTTCAGAAGTGGACTTGGTCCCCCAAGGTCGCTGAGCGGATCTAGGCAGCATTATATATAGGTTTAATTATCCTTTCTAGTTCTCGTCGTTTTCGGCCGCGTTTTTGGGCCCAGCGTCGCCAGAGGCGAAAGTCGCAGCGACAATCAGCGGGAAAACGGCTGTAACTTCGCAGTAGATTTTGACGTGCTCGGCATCGGCCTTGATCTTACCCCACGAAATGGCCTCGTCGGGTCGGGCACCGGCATCGGAGCCATCAAACTCTTGGGCAGTGTTGATATAGACGGCATAGTCGGCACCATTGCGCATCAAACAAGCATTGGCAATGTGATGCTTTACAATGCCACCACCGAGAATGATCATACCGGCTCTCGCGGCATTCATCGCCATGGTGTTGATGCGACGAATGTCCTCGACAAGATCGACGCGCATATGCTGCTCCTCCTTGAAGGTATGGAAAAACAACATATCGCCAAGCGAGCCATCGGTCAGGGCAGGGCAGAAGACCGGGATCTGGTTCTTGTGAGCCCAGTACAACACCGACTCTTCATTGTTGATCTCTTTGCCCAGGCGATCGATCACCTTGGACGGGGTCCAGTTGATGCCCTGCGTGTTTTGTTCCTCACACATTGTTTGCAGAATAGGCATAACCCACTCCTCGAACTGGCAGTAGTTATCGTTAGGCACAATCAAGTTACCGATCCGGTTCAGTCCCTTGTCACGCAAGCTGGATCCCTTGAGACTGAACTCGCCCATATAGGTAGGAGCCATACACTTGATGAGATCCTCCTCGATACCTCCGCCCGTTGTCACAATAGCAGAAACCAGTTTGTGCTTTACAAGGTACCGGATGGTCGATCGCATGCCACTTGAGATAAGGTTCGAGGTGTAGCCGAGGAAAATCGTGGTCCGCACCCGGTTTCCGTCGTCGTCTTTACCTTCCCACGTGCGCATTTTGTCGATAATTTCAGCGCCCCGGGCAATTCCCGACGCCTGGAAGCCCATGGTGCGCATGCCATCAATAAGCGTCCGGGCCGAGGCATTTTTAGCAGTGTCGGCATCAAAGTCAATTCCATCAACAACAGCTCCATCGAACGCCTCAGACTTTTTGAGAACAGCATCGGCTGCCAACTGCGGGGTATCGCTCATTTTTTCCCCGTTGGATTTTAACAGTGAAAAACTCCCGGCCCCCGCTTAGATAAAGCTGGCCAGAGATCCGCTATGGGCGACCAAGAAGTTTCCGGTAAGAGCTGCTGGATTTGCTTGGCAACCGAGACGGACGAGCCGCCAGGCGGGGCAGGCAAGGCACACAATTGGCGCAAAATATGCAATTGTAATTTGTATGCTCACGAAGAGTGTCTCATATACTGGGCGGTGACCCAGGACAACGAAACAAAGTGCTGCTGTCCGCAATGCCAAACTCCGATAAGAATTCGAAAACAAAGCTCAACCTTCCTGTCTTTACGGCAAGTACTTGATAAGATTATATCTGGGCTCTGTGGAGGCGCATTGACTGGAGCCGTTCTGGGGTGCTTGGGCGGCGCCCTTTCCGCGGGCACGTATGCTTTGCTCTATGGGACTGGTGCGTCGTACATCAACTTATTGTGTTCTCCTGCTCAAAGATATAGGATTTTGGGGCCGTTCGTTGAAGCCGTGCGAGCGGATGTGCGACCCATTGGACTATCGCTTGGTGGTCTCCTTCGGCGAGCGTTTTTGATCCCGCAGATCCCATTGGCGCTAGTGGCTAGTGCTTCGAGAAAGAGATGGGCTACTTTCTATCTAACCTTGCTGCCCTATTTCGCGTCATCTGAGTTGGGCCGCTTAGAGCCCTTCCAGCGCAGCCTGCTGCTCGTGGTTGCTCTGCGGCACGTTCACCGTGTATTTTATGATGTGGTAGTCGGCCGTACACTTCACGCAGCGGCAAGAGTCATTAAAGGCGTGTCATCGGAAGAAGACGCCGGTGTTGATTTGGGCGAGGAGATGAGAGTGTTCGAAGAGGCCCTGGAACGAGCAATGGTACCGTTGGAGAACGAGCAGCTGCCCGAAGACCAGGATCCAGAAATGCGTGAGCGGCTGTTAAACCTGAATGTACTTGTTCCTGATGGGCCCGAGCTTGATTTTGCTGAACTGCACGACATTGCTGGCGAAATGAGACAGGTGTTCCGGAACAACCGCCCCGAGCCTCGCCCGGTCGACGAGGCTGGAGCTGCCGATTGGGTGTTGGGGACTCAATCTGCTATTAAAAATATTGCATATCCTCTTTTGCTTCCCTATGCTGGTGTTGCTGTTGCCAGACTGTTACGATTTATTCCTTTCCTGCGGCATGCTCCGATTTTTGAGCTGAACTTAGCAGGAAGCGTTATCGTGGTGCTGGTGCGAGATGCAGTCAACGTCGTTACAGCCCTCTACAGAATCAAGCAATCGGCCACCTTCCGGGTGCTGAATTATAACGAAAGCGACACCAGCGAGGCGAACTGGGTCGAAAAACTGGCCAAGGCTCTTACCCCGCACTTCCAGTTTGAGATCCAGGCCCGCTTTGAGTAGAATTGTTTATTTAAATAATTACGCGACGGTGGAAATATACGCCCCCAGGTATCTGTCGAACTTTTCGCAGCGAATAGGCATTTCCAGCGTGTAAAACGGGTTTTTCATCACGTAGTCCGAGTACAGGTGGTGGATTCGGGAGGCTATGCTGTCGATGCCGTACTGCTGGCGGTCGGTGAGGATCATGAACTTGATTCCGGTCTGGGACTGGAATATATGCAAAGAAAACGAAGGCGTTTCCATCACCGTGAGCCCCGACGAGCCAGCGACCGGAGAGATTCTCGTGGTGATGGCATGGACAGAGTGCAACGTCCCCGCGATCACAAGGTAGTCATTTGAGTCGAGCTTGCTCAACGAGTCGCCGAAATCCCGCTGAAATATAAGCCCGCCAGCCTTGTTGAGAATGTATATGCTTTTCACGCCCATGGCAATCGATTCTGCTGACGCGACTACGCTTGGCCGACAGGCGTTGTAAGCTCTACACCCCTTGACGCAGCCGTGCGCTACACACGGGGGCCCGCATGAGGGCCGGACGTGGTGGGGGAGCTGATTGCACCTAGTAGAGCATTAGTGTAGCATTTGAGCTAGTTGCAAGCGAAACTCCAATTGAGCAAGGTTTGGCGTGGTCGGTACGGGGGAAGGGGGTGGTGCGGCCGGGTAACCAGGCCGGTAGAATAGTGCTTTTGTCATCGTGATCAGGATCCCCTTATAATGGTCACTGAGGTAAGTAAATGAAGAGCGCGACAACAGACGAATTGTTAGCGAAAGCAGAAACGAGAGCGCGACACTAACCGCAGAGAGAACGTAACACATTTCTTGCACGGCTCTGTGAGCAGGCCGAGCGCTACGACGAGATGGTCACCTACATGAAAGAGGTGGCCAAAGAGGCCAAGGAAATCACCGTAGACGAGCGCAACCTTCTTTCGGTTGCTTATAAGAACGTGATTGGCACTCGTCGTGCCAGCTGGCGTCTTATTGTGTCGATTGAGCAGAAGGAAGAGCAAAAAGGTAACTCAAAGCACCTGGAGCAGGTCACCGCTTATAAGCGAAAGATCGAGAAGGAGCTTGAGGATATCTGCAACGAGGTGCTATCTTTCGTTGAGGAGTACCTGCTCCCTTATGCCAGCGATGGCGAGTCCAAGGTCTTTTACTACAAACTCATGGGCGATTATCACCGCTACCTTGCTGAATTCGCCCATACTGACAAAAAGCAAGGAGCGGCGGAGGCTGCTCACAAGGCCTACCAGAAGGCTAGCGAGATTGCCCAAGAAGTCCTCTCCCCTACTCACCCTATCCGTCTTGGTTTGGCCCTGAACTACAGTGTCTTCTACTATGAGATTCTCAACTCTGCCAGCAAGGCTTGCGAGTTGGCCAAGCAGGCATTCGACGATGCCATCTCTGAGCTCGACTCTTTACCTGAGGAGCTGTACCGTGACTCGACTCTGATCATGCAGCTTCTCCGCGATAACTTGTCCTACTGGGCATCCACCGAGCAGCAGGATACCACCGAGGCCACTGAGGCTGCTGCTGGAGCGGCTGCTTCGGAGCATGTGGCTCCTGATGCAAGTAAGGCGTAGATTTTGGCAGATAGGTATATTTTTGTTTCTAAACTATAAATAGGATCAGCTAGCGAGTGCCGGAGGAAGTTAACAAGAGCCGGAAGAAGCTAGCTCGAGGTCGAGCCGGGCTCTAAGTTGGTCCCTCGTCGGCCTCGTGCCCAGAACCACCACGTCGATATTTGATTTACCACAAAGCAGCACGCCGTGTTGTAGCGGTGCGTTTTTTAGCTTGAGAATGGCGCCGGGCTGGGGTAGGTCGCCATCGAGCGTATCAAGAAGAACCAGGAAGCGCTGAGCACCCCCTAGATCCTCAACAACGTACTTGTATACCGGTAATGCCGTTGATTTGTATTGCTTTTCGGGGGTCTCGTCGCCTTCTTCTGGGGCAACTTTACGGCCCGACTCCACCAGCGGCTCCAACTGGCTACTCACGGATCGGCTAATATTCAACATGTCTACAACCTTTACCACGATTGTCTCGTTCAGCAAACGCGACCCGTCGTCCTGTGGCAGCCTGCTTTGCGCTAAACTGTCGCAGCCGGGCGGGCATTCGAACATCGCGTCAGCAGGATGTAGAATCTACTATGTGATATTTTTAAGGCAGTCTATAAAGAGGGCTGGCGGGCAGCATTGAGGGTGTTGCGACGCGAGATGGAGATCTGCTGGGCCATCTCGGCCAGGTTGATATGGCTGGCCACCCGTGCCTGATCGAGACTGGCGGTGTTCTCGTTTGCAGCGCGACCAATGTCCTGGGAGATGTTGGTAGCCTTGTCGAGGGCGCCGATGACAGCACCGCGAACAGCACGGTCCTCGAGAATGGCCAGACCGTTGATGGTGGTGCCGCCGGGAGTGCAAACGTCGCCCCGCAGCGAAGCAGGATGACGGCCAGTAACCTGGGCCATGTGACCGGCACCCAGGACCACTTGAGCAGCCATGGTCTGGGCGGTTTCAAGAGGCAGACCCGATTTGACAGCGCCATCAATCAGGGCCTCCATGAACAAATAAGTAAATGCTGGGGCCGAGCCGCACAGAGCGACGCATGCATCCTGCTTGCTCTCCTCGACCATGACAAACTTGCCGGTCTGGTTAAAGAGCCACTCGACAGCCAAAGTGATGGGAGAGTCAGGGTGGTACTCGCCCTGGTAAGAAAGAGCGGTCATACCCTGGCCGCACTGGGCTGCGGTGTTTGTGGTTGCCCGAACAATGAAGGTGTTGACACTGGTGAACTGGCGGATGCTCTCAATCGAGGTGCCGGCCAGCAAACTAATGAGAATAGTAAAGTGAGAGTAGTGCAAACGGTTCAAAATATCCTGTGCCATGTACGGCTTGAAGCCAAGCACTACCACATTCGACTCGTCAATAACCTTCTGGTTATCGGTGACAACAGTGACCTTGTCGCCGAACCGTTCCTGCAAACGAACGCGGCTCTTCGCAGTGCGCACACTAACGACAAATCGGCCAGGCACTATGGCGTCCGGGAGGTTCTGGGCCTTTGCAGCCTCTGCGCCAGCGATCGCAGCAGCGAGCACCGCAGTACCCATTTTGCCGCTGCCCAAGAATCCAAGAGTGTATCCGTTCTCCAAAACCATTGCTAACGATAGTGCTTTTTGTGTGTTTTGCCCTCTAAAACGTTCTGTCAGGAGGTTATTGGGATAACTAATCGAATGCGAACCACAAGCTAATTCGCCTTGCCCGGATTCCAGCAGATCTTTGTCAACTTTAAATCACCCGAAATTCCAGCTATCTGCGTGACGTCATGGCAGGTAAATCTGCCCTGAACCCACACAACAGCCATGAGCTATTGCTGGGATGGATTGGCGGGTCCGCGAACGGCCGGTTAATTTCCGGCTCTCCGTCAAATACCGCCGCACTATTAAGTTTTATTTTTTTTCAGACCACAAATCAGGCCCCACCCGCCGCGGCAGCTCGCCTCCGACGAAATCGCTCGAACTGTGGGCTTGCCCCTACCCTCTGGTGACTTTTTCGGGCAGTTTGCAGTGTCTTTTTCCTCTTGGGAAAAATTAGGTTACCCGGCATTGCATAATTAAATTGGTTTAGCAATCGAGCTGCCACTTTTGTGAAAGCAGTTCAACTAGTGGCTCTGAATATACACTATACCGCCCCGTAGTGTGCAAACATGACCAGCTCCGGACCAACAGTCTCCGTTGACCCCCAGCGGCCGCCCGTAGCTCCGTCGGAGACCCCGCAGTCCCTCCGCAAATATCCAGAACTGTTTGGCCAGCTGGGGGTACATGAAGCCCCCACGCTGTATCCCACCATGGAAGAGTTTGCTGATCCTCATAAATTTCTGCAATCAAACATTGCTTTTGGAGAAAAATACGGCATCCTGAAAGTTGTCCCCCCACACTCTTGGAAACCAGGATTCTCGCTTGACCCAGAGACGTACAAGTTCACCTGTAGGAGGCAGGAGATATCTTTACTGGGCGTTGTTAATCGCACGGCGAAAAACTACTCAGATCGGCTCAGGGCCTTTCATGCGATGGCAGGTCGAACAGTGGGTTCTGTTCCTGCCCTCGACATCAAGGCTGTTCCATACTATGATTTGAATCACTGTGTTCAATCTATGGGTGGAGTAGCGTCTGTTGAGAACCAAAATCGCTGGCCAGAAGTGGCTTTTTCGCTGGGTCTAAATATGGCCAATGCCATGACTTTGAGACAAATCTATTTTGTTGATATCGAACCGTTCGAAAGATACTGTCAACAAACTCGTACACGACTAGAATTTCTGTTTGAAGAGGAGAGCGTAGAGGGCAGCGAAGAAGACGAAGAAGACGATGATGAAGACGAAGACGAGGGAGCTAGCGACGGCACAAAGCACGAGCTGAGAGATTTCGAGGAAATACCCCCCTACGATCCTGACGAAACCTGCATGATCTGCCATAGAACTGACACGCAAATCGGCTGTTGTCGATGTCAGTCCTACGCTCATGTCCGTTGTATTGCTACATCATCCCCAGGTCTTCAAACTTTACCAAAATGGTACTGCCCAAAATGCCTTGCTGAGCCATTAAGGTTTTATTTCAGCAAGGGTAAAAGCTACACTCTGAACGAGTTTAAAGATCGCGCCGACAAGTTCAGAGCGACCCTTCTTAAGTCACTTGGTTCAGAGAACCTTCCCAAAGATGCGCTAGAAGCTGTACTCGAAAAAGAATTCTGGAGTATAGTTGAGGGCTCTCGCTCTAATGTCGTTGTTGATTACGGGGCCGAGATTCGTTGCGACGAAGAAGGATCGGGATTCCCCACCAAAGGATCATATAAAGACGATCCCTGGAACCTGAACAATCTCCCGTTCGTCAAGGAGTCTCTATTCAGATACCTCGATGAATCTATTTCGGGCGTGACTGTTCCATGGGCGTACGTTGGCATGATCTTCAGTGCGTTTTGTTGGCACACTGAAGACAACTTTTGCTACTCGATCAATTATCAGCATTTCGGTGATCCCAAGACATGGTACGGGATTCCGGCCCGCAGTGCCTCCCACTTTGAGAAACTCAGCGAATGGCTTGCCCCAGAAGCCTTCAAAGAGGCCCCTGATTTGTTGAATGAACGGTCTTGTCTCGTCTCACCCCGCACGCTTACTTCTCATGGAATCCCCGTATTTGGGGCCAATCAGCGCCCAGGAGAGTTCATTGTGACTTTCCCCAATGTGTATCATGCAGGATTCAATCAAGGCTACAATTTCAACGAAGCAGTCAATTATACCCCGCCCGACTGGGTGCCCTATGGATTCTTGGCCTTGGAGGTTTATCGCACAAGAAAGCATGTCCCCACGTTTTGCCACGAATCTGTTGTGATGCGGACAGTCCGCTTTGAACAGAGCAAAGAGATTCTTGGTGCCGTTCTGCCGTATTTCGCGCGAATGGTCAAACACGAAATCGAGAAACGTACAAAGTACCGGCGTCTAAGTGGAAGGCACTGTAACGAAAAACTCGTGACACAACGGGCAGTGGATATGGCAATCCAGAATCCCACCTACAAATGCGTCTCATGCAAAACAATACCTTACTTGAGCCGAGTTTACACTGAATCGGACCGGTACTACTGCACTGAATGTGCCATCAGCTCTTTCCAATCTCGGGATGCCAGAATCTATGGAATCTTTGAGACTTTGTGCTCCGACAATTCCTTGCGGGCACTGATTTCAGATACTAAAAAAGCAATCTTGAAATAGTCCCCATGTATATAATACCTATTTATTCACCGCCGCCGCCGGCTGAGATCGTTGCATTTGTCATGAGCGCCGAGTTGACGCAAAAAACCCACGAGCTTAAGCTTGCTGATTCTCAGCCTGTAGAGAACGAAGAGGTCGATTCTGCCTCTGAAAACGAGGCTGGCGAGGCCACCGGAGACAAGAAGAAGAAAAAGAAGAAGAACAGCAAGAAGAAGAAGAAGAAGGGTCCGCCCAGCACCGGCATTTCCCACCAGTTCCAGAAGGGCGTTTATCCTGAGGGCGAGATTTGTGAATATGCCGTCACCGAGAGTTTGAATCGCATGACTTCTGAGGAGAAGCGTGCGCTGGAGATCGATCACCAACAGCAGTACAATGATCTGCGGAAGGCCGCTGAGGTCCACCGCCAGGTTCGTACCTACGCCCGCAACAACATCAAACCGGGTATGCTTATGACCGATATTGCCGAGATGATTGAAAACTCTACCCAAAGTCTTGCCGAGGGCGATACTTGGAAGTCTGCTGGTACTGGTTTCCCAACCGGTTTGTCTTTGAATGATTGTGCTGCGCATTGGACACCTAATAAGGGAGACAAGACAATTCTGCAGGAATCTGACGTTCTCAAGGTCGACTTTGGTGTCCATGTGAACGGCAACATCATTGATTCCGCCTGGACCATGACCTTCCAGGACCAGTACGATCCCCTGGTGGCTGCTGTTTCGGCCGCTACCAACGAAGGTGTAAAGCAGGCCGGCATCGATGTTCGTCTTGGTGATATTGGTGCTGCTATTCAAGAAGTTATGGAGTCGTATGAGGTCGAGATCAATGGCAAGACCTACCCCGTGAAGGCCATCAAGAACCTCTGCGGCCATAATATTGCCCCCTATACAATTCATTCCGGCAAATCCGTGCCCATTGTGGCCAGTCCCGACCAAACCAAAATGGAAGAGGGTGAAGTCTTTGCTATCGAGACATTTGGCTCCACTGGCCGCGGTTATGTGGTTGGCCAGGGTGAGGTTTCTCACTATGCTCGTTCGGGCACAGCTGGCCACCAGACGCTTCGTTTGGCCTCGGCAAAGCAACTGCTCAATGTCATTGACAACACATTCGGCACTCTGCCTTTCTGTCGCCGATATCTTGACAAGATTGGCCAGGACAAGTATCTTTTGGCACTGAACAATTTGGTCAAAGCCGGCGTCGTTACGGATTATCCTCCTCTAATGGATGCGCCGAACTCTTATACTGCCCAGCTAGAGCATACGATTATCCTTCGGCCTACGTGCAAAGAGGTACTGTCAAGAGGTAATGACTATTAGACACAAAAAAATTAACCGAGGGCCTACATAGCACGCTAAACTTAGAAAAGTTTCCAACCAAGTAAAAAGGCAATCAAAGCAATAACAGCAACGACGGGCAGAGGGACGCCAGCGACAACCTCTTCAGACTGTCGGGTAGCCACACCAGAGGAGGAATAAGACTCACCGGTAGATCGTTTGCTCACGCCATTGTCGTTGAGAGAGCTTCCGGAAGCCAAATTCTTCTCCTGCTTGCCACCGGTGTGTTGCCTGGAGTCAGTGGGGGCTTGTTTACCACCCACATGCTCTGCGGGAAGTTTACCGGCTTCTTGTTTGCCACCGACGTTTTGCTTGCCGCCTATGTCTTGCCTACCACCAACATTTTGCTTGCCGCCCACATCTTGCTTGCCGCCCACATCTTGCTTGCCGCCCACGTGCGAATTGCCAACGGACTTGGGAGGACCAACATTTTGGCTCTGGCTGGCAACGTGCTGCTTTTCGGGCTTGTTCCCAGAATCAGGTTTATCACTGAGGCCGAGACCGCCTGCCTGATAAGCGGCGGCAGCAGCAACTGCACCCAAGGCACTTGCGGAGACGCCAGCTTCCAGCTCCTCGCTTTCTTCGGGGGCCTTGGAGCCGGAGTGCTGAGACTTGGACTCAGGCTCCTTGTTGTCCTTCACCTTGGACTTATCGAGTCCTGTAGAGCCGGAGGGACCGGTCTGGCTGTAAGAAGAGTCGTCACGAGACAGAATAGGGCCAGTCTTTGCGTCACCCAAAGATACTATGTCGCTCTTCTCAGGTACGCCTTTGACTCCTGACAGATCGGTGCTGCCTTCGCCATTGTCATGCACAGACAATGCCGTCTGGTCAGCAACAAGAGAGTCATCAGCGCTGGCATCCCCGGCAACCGATTTGCTCACAGACTGGTGGTCGTAGTCTGCACCGGTAATGCCGGCAAAGTGCTGGGGTGACGAGGGCGTTTTTGCGGTGGAGGAGGACCCAGACGCAGCCGACTTGGCACTGTTGAAGTCATACTTGACCTTGATACGAGTTTCATCGATGCCCTTCTTGTCACCCGACTCCAATTTGTGCCAGAGTTCAGCCATGTCTGGCTTGTCGCCCAATTCCGCCGGGTCGACCTTTGCGGTCAAAATGAGAAACTTATCCTTCGACGGCTCAGAAGTAGCTTTGGCCTGACGACTAATTGCAACCTCAATACTCTCACCGGCGCCCACCACGGAAGCATTTGGCCGGACGGTGTACATTTTGGGTGACGTAGTCTTGACCTTGTAGGTCAGGGCCTGACCTGTTTTGTTCACAAGGTGCAATGCCACGGTCTGCAATTCGCTGAGGGGTTCTGCTGTTAGTATTCTGTCAGGTAAGTGCGGGCAAATGTTTGGGTGCAGCAAAAGCACTCTTGTGGGCAGCCCGCCCGAAAAGTCCGCGAGCCATGCGCTTCCAAAGGCTGACAATTCACGATTACGTTCGGCACGCCCACCCATTCGCCCTTTTCCCACTCGCTACTTACCTCCAAAAACAAGTTCCTTGGGTTCGATATCCATTGCTACGGTAGGAAAGAGAGGCTGATTACCGATGTCCCCCAGTTTCCTTCTGTAGGCATCGCGTTACTCAGCAGCGAGAATGCGGCGGTTGCTGAGTGGGGGGGGGGTGATAGGCAAGCTGGAGGAGGGTGGAAAAGTGCGGGACGAAATCAATCTGAGTCGCAGATCGCAGTATTTGTCCGTTGTGCTGACGAGAATTTGTAATAGTTGTATCTAAACTATTTAGTATCCCGCGACAGTGTCGTATCTTCGCTTGATGACGTCACGAGAGACCTTGCTGGAGATGGGGTTCGACCCGAGGGTCGTAGACAGAGCTCTGGAACATAGCGATGAGCTTGGGGCTGCAATTGACTGGATTGAAAACCACCCAGACAGTGCGGACGCTGAGGAAAGCGTGCAGGTTCAACCGGCGGTCGCCCCCGAGGAACAAGCACCAACCGAAAGCAGACCAGTGGAGGAGCGGTTGGCAGAACTGCAGGCCAAAGCAGCCAAACGCCGAAAGGAAGCTGAGATGCAAGATGCTGAGGAGAGACGTCGCAACGAGGAAATTTCCCGCAAAAACCAGCAGCAGGCACGGGACGCTAAACGAGACCTGGAAGTGAAACAAGCTCAGAAACAGGCTGCCCAGCGGCGGAAAGAGGCTCTTGAAGATAAACTGTATAAGGAGCAGCTGCGCAAACAGATTGAGCAAGATAAAAGAGAACGACTGGCAAAGGCTGGCAAGCTCGACACCTCCCCTCCTCCTCCAGCGGCTGCGGCTGTGCCGGCGCCTAAACCGGTTGTCACTGGTGACGTTCGAGTCCGAATCAAGTATGAAGATCAGACAATCACCAAAACGTTCGGCCAGGAGTTCACTGTGGCTCAATTGGGCGATGCGGTAGGCGAGGAGTTTGGTCTCAGCCAATTCGTCCTCACCACGACCTATCCCGCTCTTAGTATCGACCCACAGGGCGATACTCGTACGCTTCGCGAAGCCCAGCTCGCCAATGCCAACATTGTGGTTAAATTAGCTTGAAACTCTCCGTAGGTCCGCTAAGTGTATAGGGCAAGGGTTGCAGTCGCGAGAAGTTACTGGATTCGCTCTTCCCATATTCTTGTCATCATGGCTAGACAGTACGATGCGGGCTGGGACGAGATGATCCGGCCCATGAGCACAGTGCGTATCACAAACACACCCGAAAATAAACGAAAACGGCGGCTGGATGACCGACGGGGTCCCTGGTCTTTCCCTGCTCCGCCCTCGCCCACCGCAGGTCTGCACCACAAAAGAGCCCGAACAGAAAAAGGTCTTGCTGTGGCGGTTCCGCTGGCAAGACGCCTGGAGCTGCTAGAGACCCAGGAGCTGGTCTCCCTTGTTTCCCAGCTGTGCGAGATCCATCCGGAGATCGTGGCTACGGTCAACCGCCTTGCCCCGCCCATCACTATGGAGAGAGCACTCGCATGTTTGGAGGGCTATCTCAAGCGCGTCACAGACGCTTTACCTTACAAGGGCGACCAAGCCAATGACTATGCCTATTTGCGGGTCCAGGAGCCTTTGAACAAGTTTTTCACCGCCCTGGCAGACTACACCGGGGCGTTTTTGCCACCCCATGAGTTCCAGCCCGTCCAGGCGCTCGAATTTTTGGACGGTGCTACGACTCTGGTTCACAGACTGCCCGTGTGGTCCTCTGAAGTCAACAACCACCTCCGCAACCGCGCGTACGAGGAACTGGGCGTCGCATGGACGTCTATGCTACGAGTCGTAGCATCCAATTCACCCTTAGGCCTCCCGGCTACTTGGGAATCGCGCATCCGTCGTCATAATGAAAGATCAAACGGTCGCCTGAACCTCACCATTGAAGTTTTGGACGAGCTGGCCCCTAACTGTGCGCCCACAAGTCATGTGTCTACTGCAGTCGCTTGGGCTGGCTGAACCAAGGCATTTCTGCCCGCATATTTCCTCGCCGCCCCTCTATTTAACAAGCACAAGTGCATGCATAAATTATTTTCTGTAGTCTAGCTGACCTTAGATCTTAGAATGAAATCTCCTAATCCCCACTTAGCATCTTGGCTCCTTGACTATAACCTAACCACCTCCTCCTCAATCTAGGTTTGCCATGTTTGAGTTGAGCAGCAAACAATTGCTGTACTTTACGAGCATTTTCGTGTCGTTAGGGGTGTTTCTATTTGGCTATGATCAGGGTGTGATGAGCGGCGTCATTACCGGTGTGTATTTCAAGGACTATTTCGATCAGCCGTCGCGGTCGCTTATCGGCACCATGGTGTCGGTTCTAGAGATCGGCGCTCTGGTATCATCGCTGGTGGTGGGACGACTAGGTGACATTCTCGGTCGCAGACGAACAATTCTTTGGGGAGCCGTCATTTTCGTCATCGGCGGCACTTTCCAGACCCTCGCGCCGACTATGACGTATATGATTATCGGTCGGGTTATTTCCGGCCTGGGTGTAGGTATGCTGTCGACAATTGTGCCGGTGTACCAGTCCGAAATTTCCCCACCACACAACCGCGGAAAGCTTGCCTGTATCGAATTCACGGGCAACATTGTGGGCTACTGCGTTTCGGTTTGGGTCGACTACTTCTGCTCGTTCATTGAGGGCGACCTTTCATGGCGCCTTCCTTTATTTATACAATGTTTGATGGGAGCCCTGCTGGTTGCTGGCTCGTTGGTGATTGTAGAAACGCCAAGATGGCTGATCAACCATGATAGAGACACTGAGGGTATGCATGTGTTATCAAGACTCTATGGCGATGGAACTGGAGAGTGTCAAGTTGCCCGGGCCCAGTTCCAGGAAATCAAAGAAACTGTGCTTCTCCATCGAATGGAGGGCAAACATTCCTACGCATACATGTGGCGAAGGTATCGCAAACGAGTTCTTATCGCCATGTCTTCTCAAGCGTTCGCCCAACTCGACGGTATCAACGTCATTTCATACTACGCCCCGCTAGTTTTCGAGCAGGCCGGATGGGTAGGTCGCTCTGCTATTCTCATGACAGGAATCAATGGTATTATTTATGTTTTAAGCACTATACCTCCGTGGTATCTTGTCGATAGATGGGGTCGTCGAAAGATCCTGATTTCAGGCGGAATTGTCATGGCAATTTCTTTGACTATGATTTCCTATTTCATGTTTTTGCAGGTTTCTTCTACGCCGTCTTTCGTCGTGTTGTTTGTGATTGTATACAACGCATTTTTCGGCTACTCATGGGGACCCATTCCTTGGCTATATCCACCCGAGATTCTGCCCTTGTCAATCCGGGCGAAAGGTGCGTCTTTGTCCACTGCATCTAACTGGGCCTTCAACTTTCTTGTTGGGCTTGTCACCCCCGTTTTGCAGAGCTCAATGGGCTGGTCTATGTATTTATTACCGGCGTTTTTCTCCCTGTGTTCCGTCATCCTGGTCTACTTCGTATATCCTGAGACCAAGGGTGTTACACTCGAGGAAATGGACTCAATCTTTGACGATCGGACTCATCGGTCAAATACCTCGCTACGATCTGATATAGAGCCAATGCTCCCAGATCGTGCTCATTCGCCCACCCGCCCCAGCGCTGCCCAAATGGCTCGTAGTGGAAGCGGGAATTATCGGCGTCTGAGTACTAGCAGTGCTTTAAGTGATAGCTAATGCAAAATAAGTATTATAGTTCAAGCGTTCAATTCGTTCCAATCTAAAAACCGCACTGGGTCCAGCCCATGACGATAATCTATGATGACTTTTGCAACTTCAAGGGGATCAAACTCTGTGCTGACTTTTTCTAGTTCACAGATTTGCTTCGCTAGGCCTTTTCGAAACTCTTTGGGGTCTCCAACAACTGCCTCCGATAAATGCCGCAACGTTTCTTGTTTAGAAATATTGAAATCGGATGCATGAACATCTGGGCAAGTGTCGTCTCTGCAGGTTTTACCTGATGCCTCTGTTTTGCAGTAGAGTCGATCGCTAGACACGTACCTGCTATTGTACTTTGGTGCAAACACGTTTGCAAACGGCGAAAATCGATGTGATGAGAAAATATGCAAAGGACTGGAGTATGCGAAATCGCACACTTTGGGCTGTGTATTTGTATTAACGGAGACTTGTCCCGTTTCTGTGCCCATCTCAATAGTTAGCTCAGTGTCAGATTCATCTGAGGATTCAAGTTCTTCCTTTTTCACAGCTTTCAGCTGGATCTGTTTGCTAGCGAGAACCCGGTCTCGACTTTCCAACGTACTCAGCTGTACACTTAATTGCTTTGCGGCATTTTGGGCCTCCTTTAAAGTCTGAGTTTGTGCTGCAATTGTATTTTGAAGCCGATTCAGCTCGACTCGATTGGCCTCGATTGAAGATGTCAACTGGTCGATCTTGAACTCCCCGACTTGCGACTCAATTTTTTGCCGACGCTGAGCTATCAATTCCCTTTGAGAAAGAACTTCTTGAAGTTTTGCCTCAACTGAGCCTTTATCCCTCATTATTTTAATTTTTTCTTCCAGTTCCCGGATCCTGGACTGCACATCATCCACGGTACTAAGTTCTCCTGAATCCGCAGATCGAGACCGCTCACTAGGAGTTGAAGACGACACTTCATCAATTTCCATTTCATCCTCATCCTCACTATCCGAAACTTCTATTACCATTTCTTTCGACCAACGATCAGCTCCAAACCTATCCGAGGGCTTAGGAGGCTCAACAGGCGGTGTTGACCTTGGGGAAGCTACCACGGGCTTTGGAGATTCGTAAATTTGAGTGGGCATTCTATAGGGCAGTTTTAATTCTTTGAACATCAATGCTAGCGTTTGTGGAGCTATGCTCGTTCGCTGCAAAATTTCCTTGAAAGAGAGCCCGAGAAACACCAAGTCGTAAACGGCGCCACGAGCTTGGGCAGCTAACTCTTCTCGTTTCTGCGCCTCCTCTTCGCGCTGCCGCTTCTTGGCAAGCAATTCTGCCCGTAATTCATCTGCTGTTCTTAGCATCCTGCCAGAGAAATTCCGACGAAGTGCTGAATAAACGGCTAGTTGATGCTGACACACTTAACCCCTATAAAGTCTAATTAAATATTAAGGATTAGGAAGCCGCCTAAAACATGCAACGAACTTATCACCAGAGTTACGTTCGACTTTCTTACCTTCCTCAGTGTCTGAAGTCATGATCTTAACACAATCATCCTGAGCCTCCCACTTTTTGGACAAACGTTCAAACAGTGGATGTGCCTCCAAATGCTCAACCATCCAATCATGCAGATCTTTAACATCGGTAATCGTATAAATGATGCCACCAGGTTGTAGCACGTAGGCATACTCACTTGAGAGTGTGGTTGTGACAATACGAGCTTTGTGTTTTCGTTGCTTAAAGTGCGGATCAGGGAAGCAGAAGAAGATTTTTTCAAGCTGTCCTTTCTCAAAGAAATTAGGAAGGAATTTCATCGCATTTCCACGCAAAACCGAGATGTTACCGTAGCCCTTGCTGTCAATATTCTGTTGGCGAAGCGCAATGATACGGTCCTCCACATAGTTGGTTACTTGCACTCGGATCTCCATCCCCAGAATCAGCTTATCAGGCAGCATAGGCGAAAGAGACACTAAAAGACCGCCAAAACCACAGCCAATATCAGCAACCGTGGGCTTTCCCAGTTCCGGTCTCTCTCGTAACACAGGGTACAATTTAGTCCAATCCATATCGCTTGGTTTTCGCGGGTATTCTAGATTATGATCGCTGAAAGGGTTTGAATGGGCCCGCTGACGATAGTACCGTTTCCGGGGGAGCTGGACATCGCTCTCAGCAGGTACATCGAATTCAACATTTTGAACCCGTTTCCGCTTTTCCTCTTGGGCTTTCCGGTACTGCTCACGTTTATACTCCGTCGACATAATTTTTCAAAAAAAAAAAAAGTCCGCGTCTGACAAAGCGTAAATATAGTATACAGTGCGCTAATTAGTTAAATACATCGTCATTATCGACGTCTTCGAGGGCACTGAACGATGCAAAATGGATCGGACGATGCAATTGATCGTAAAAAGTAAGGGGAACGCCAATTTGCATGTGGTACCGCATTTTTTCGCTCCAAGCAGCTCCCAAGAACGAGTAGTTCCACATTTTGTCTTGCGGAAGATAGAAGCCTCCTTGAAACTTATCTGTGAGCATGATTTGGCCTGTTTTGGCCATACCTGGTTCAAAAGTGGAAATATCCGCCGCACCAGGCTCGGAAAACTGGCGACCCCACGCGATGCCTTCTGCAGTAGGCTGGTAGGGATGTAGTGTAACAGATCCAGGCGTAAACGAGGCTACTACAAGAAGATCTTCAACACCAAAGTACCTGCTAAAGTTCGAGAGTGTTGTAGCAGATAACTCTGTTTCTACTGGCTGAACGACAAGCAGACCAACGAGTTCGAGTTCGAGTTCGTCATCGTCAATTTCGGGTGTTTTTTGAGGTAGATTGACAACAGTGGTGCTACCAAGCTGGGGTGTAATCGCAAAATAGCTCACTTCGTACACCAACGAGTGTCCTTTGGACTTGTTAGCATACAAAAAGGCCGCTGTTTGAGTGCGCAAGTCTCCAGCCATGATGAACTGGCAAACCAAGTTGCGAGGGAAGACAAAAGTGCGATTGGTCTCGTCCAGAACACCTTGTTCCACATAGAGCTGCTTGACGCGACTGTACAGTTGTGTACACGCAATTGCTCTTGCTCTCCAGTCCGTACGCGACAAGAATGTCTGTTGTTCGTACTGGCTCGTAGTAACAACAACCATTTCGTCACCATGCACAGTATGGCCAACTGTCTTGAGAGCAGTTTGCTGTGTTCCTGCTTCAGGCGCTGCTTCAACCGCTTCGATCTGGCTCTGACGTTCTTGAGATGGTGCTTTTATGGGCTGGCCTAATATCAAATCCCTGATTTCTGTTTGAGTCAAGGCTTGGATATTCACATTATTTTTGCGGCCATAGTCATTGAGAATCAAATCACTCATATCGTTCTCAACCTTAATCCACTGTTCCGTCGTAAGAGAGGGCCACAAGTGATGTGATTGAGTTATAGTCGCGGACGTAGGGCGAAGAATCATCTTTGCTCTTTCGGGGTGAAGATGTAGTCCGCGCAGCAAGAGAATCAGTCGACTAAAAGCAGTATGAGGGCTGGTTTTGGTTAGCCAATCGTCATACAAATTAAACAAAACCATTTTGAGCTCAGTGGCCTTCCCAACCAACTCCGAGATTTGAGGAAGGTGAAGGGTAGCTCTGAATGGGAAGTTCAGCTCACTTGGACGAATAGCAACATTTGGAAAGTCCAGCATGTGCACTTCGAGAGGATCCAAGAGCCCTTTGGAAGCAATGATCAATTGAGAAGGAAGCTCTTCCTTGGGAAGTGACCTGAGTAAAGCTCCAACTTCTTCGGCAGTTCTCCATTTTGCAAGTGCTCCTAGTCGCTTCTGACCAGCCCACGTGGATGCAGGAATGATCTTCAAAAACAACTGACCCGTACGCGGGTTGATGATCTGAACTGCACCATTGATCGGACGGGTGCTCAGATTTCCTTCAGTAGTTTGATAGGTGTACGCGCGATAGACCACACTGTCATCAACGAAGAACTGCGTTTTCGTGAACATGTCGCTATAATTCGAAGAATTGAGGAAGGACTGCTGGGGCTGAGCCTGGTACAGCTGAAGACCCTTGCGAATACGCTCCCTTAAAACGTAAAGAGCAGGGTTTACTTGCATCAACTTGGACAAAGCCTGTTGAAAAAGAGGTTTCAAGCCTGGGATCCAGTTTCCGTAGGCATCATACACATTGTATGCCAAATCAATGCAGACGACCACACCTGTGGCAGAAGGATATTGCGAAACACCGTCAGATGTGTAATCCAAATACTTTGCACGAGTATAGCGAGTAATATCATGCGAATCATAATCACCATAACGGAGCTGGACATCAATCCAATACTTTGTGGTCGTAGTCAGATCCATTTGGTCACGCTTGTCATGCAATAACGACGGTTTGGAAACATTCCATCGATAAGCGGCAGTGAGAACCACATCTGCAGTTGACGACGACATCTTGTACGACTTGCGCGGGTGGATAGGTTGCTTTGTTACCGTATCGATCTGCAGGGAGTCCATTTCACGGTCGAGAATTTGGCAAAGATCCATAACTAAACTCTCGTGAATTTTTTGCCATAAATGAGCGCGGAAAATCTGGATCAAAGAAATTTTGAGCGTCGGAATTTTACCGTGCAAAAATATGCCAGTCAAGTCTAGTTGAACCATGAAGCCCACGTAAACATTCGCTCGATTGATAGTTGGTGACCACCAGAGCGTGAATCGACGGTTAGGAATCTGGCTAAGACCGGATCTCTGCGCATTGGTGAGCTTTTTGAATCGCATAGAATCTTCAAAACCACTCTGCCGCTCCCAGAACAGACCCTCCCAGGAATCAAATCCGGTAGCTTTGAATAGCGTATGCTCCAGAATGGTTTCAATTCCACCAAGAGCTTGAATAACATCAGCGCGATAAGCATTGAGATTCCACAATTTTCCATCATGCCGCTGATTATTCCACCAAAATGGGTGATACTTGTCGAGCCAATACATACGAAAAGCACCTCGACAGCGATACCCTTTGTCGTAGGCTAGAGTATGACGATCCTTCTGGAAAAGAGTGTTGATTCTAGGCAAACCACGGTCCCATGCATCTTCAAGATCCTCAAGTTGAATCCGACGGTTCGACTCCTGTGCCTCTTGCCGCTTTTGGGCATACTCTGCCCAAACCCGTTGAGAGTCAACAAGTTCGGACTGCCAAGACGGAAGGTACCGGAAGATATTAGGGATGGGGGCTTCCTCACGGTGGGCCATGCCGGCTCTGAAGTGTGTAATTCCAGTTGATGTCTGCTGGCTCCATCTCAAATCACTAGCCGGGATCAAGATGTGGGATGCGCTAAGCATACCTAGACCACCAAGTTCTTTTGGAGAGTAGAAAACACAAGGCGGGAATCTTGACGGCATTTTTGAGTTCAAACCAAGCTTGACCCTTGTCTGAATCCGGGTCTCACATCTTACTAGGACATCAAGTAGCTCGGAAGTGGCCACTGCTGCCTCTCTGTAAAATGAGACGAATGCAATAAGCGCAGTATTCCACTTGTCAATCACCTTGGAGAAAGTTGTAGAGCCCGAAGTCATCAATATTTGACGGACACGATTGTTAAAACGATCGATAGCATCTGAAGACACACGAACTTGAGCGTAAGCAGTGCGTTCCTGAGTTGCGGGATCCACAAGGGGCCAGACAGCATCTTGGCCAGCTCCTGATCCAGAGCTTCCCCGTGGAGCAATACGGACATCGAACCCATGCATAGTGAACAGTATAGCTGGGTTCTCTGGACTCTTTACAGAAACGAGCTGGTCAGTGACACCAACGATAGATGGAGGAAGTCGATTTTGAACATGCCAAAGAACAGCCCTTCCAACGTTCACGTCGGGACGCACAAGCTTCATCCGCAAGTTTCGAGGCCAACTTTTCGGTGTAGGGAAATCTGCCAAGTTGTAAGGCTCTGGATGTGCATTCAAAAGTGCTGAAATTAGATCATCCGCCTCAGACTCATCGAAAGCAAACAGCATGTGGACTTGATCAAAGTATCGACAATATGCCCTCACTGGGTGATCTTCCTCAACAGCCGCAGATGTGAAGGACATGAACCTGTTGGGTCTCTTTGGTGAACCAGCAATCTCGTGAGCTCTTGGAAGACCAAGAATAAGTAAATCAACCATAATCCCATAATATTGAATCACAAAAGGTGCAAACTGAATTCCACGGAGAACTCCATAGCGGTTCACCATCGACATGTCCTTGAAAGCTAGTGCAACATTCATTTTGGCAGTAATGTAGTCGGCGATACTTGGATCTACAATCAAGCGGAGCAGTCGGTTCAGCAGCGACAAATCAATTTTCTCGACGAGCCCACTCAATTTAAATTGAGCATGGACAGCTTGCTGTGAGTTCTTTGGCAACATTTGGCTTATACCTTGAGCCCAATCGTGGACAAGAATAGGTGCAATCTCACCGTCACCAGGCTTGATCCAATTAGGGAAGAGCTGGCGTCGATCAGCTTCAAACCACAAATAATGGTCGAGATAGGAGTCAACAACCTTTTCTTGTGGGTCAATAGTGTAAACCGGCTGTGTGTGAGAGTACATATCCATGAGATCCACTTGAACTTCTTTAAACACACGTTGGGTCAAGAGAGCTCGCTTGATACGAGTTAAACATTCATGTGGGTTGTCATAAGCTTGTTCAATAAGGGCCAACTCTTCACGCTGTGCCTGATTTAAGCGAGCACTTAGACTGTAAGCGCTACGCAAATGTTCAAGAGCGAGAACTAGCAGCTTCGTATCATGTTTGTAACTAACAGGAGGGAAAGGTATTGGCTCAAATTCACGCTGTTCAAGCCAATGAACTACCGTGCTAAACATTTTGACAGCTGAGTTCGGCGAAATATAAGGGCCGTCCGCAATATAGGCATTTTGCCTCTCTTGTTCTGCTTTGAACCACAGACGTGTAAGCCGGCCAAGGTTCTTTTTAGCAACCGCTTTATCGACTGTTGCACCTTTGCTGATGCGTTCCCTATTAAAGTGAGTGACCTGGATCCAGTGATCTGCCTTAGCTTTCACATAACGTAAAATGATCGCCTCGATAGGAGCTGGCAAACCCGGAACTTTCCATGGAATACTAGCTTTCCAGCATCTCCAAGCTTCACTAAGGTGCTGAAGAATTGTCTTTGTTTTGTTTTGACGGATTCCCTCGGGCATCATATCCAAGATGTCATGGAGAACTGCGGCGCGCAGCTCTAAATCGTAGTGAGAATCAACGCGCTGCTTTGTGACCGTCTTTGTAACACCTTTAGAAACACGACCCTCAAACTGGCGAGCTAAAAGATTACCTAGCCAACGCTCAAGTAATGGAAGTGTGCCTCTGAGCCATGCAAGCCATACTCGCCAAGCTGGTTGCCAGATACCACATCCAGGACCTTTGCCAACGCCATCTGCATTGAATCGCTCATAGATCAAATGTTTGAGATCTTTACAAGCACGAATTTGATGCATAACCTTGTATTTGTATCTGTACAGTCCGGTCAGCTGTCCGATGTGAGTAAAGATGTAGTGGATACCATCTGCCAGCTCGTAAGCATCGATCTGACCGAGACGAAACAGAATGTGAGTGTCTAGAACCAACTTGATGATCTTTAGAAGTTCGCGTACCATATGGAATGAATGACCAAATCGCGATCGCTTGCGTTCCTTCGTGGTTAAAGTTTTCGTCGGTTTCAAGTTGAAGTTATAATCCAAATGTAAAAATGTCAAGCCACGACGGTGGATGAGCAATTGCAAAATTGTAAACCCTTGTCTGACTAGTTGTATCCCAGCCTCTAGCCAGTCAAGATCTGTTTGTTTGAAGAATTTGGTCTGTTTCAAATGGCGCAGAAGGTGCCTAGGGCCGCTAGAATAATTCTTGTGATGCAATTGAAGCAAGACCTGTTGCTTCCGTAGCCTTTGGTGCGAAACACGTACCTTGACTGGTATTTGTCTTTTTGGTCTACCCTGATACCAATGTTTGACGAGTGCAACATCCTGAGCCCGAATCTTGTGTCCGTTGCGTGTGTCAAAGGGGAACGGGGCTTTAAGTAGTTCAATGCCCTTTGTATCAGCCTGGAACTCATCTAGTAATGGTGTAACTTGTTCACCAAAGAGTTCAGGGTTCATTTTCCGCGGTCGACGAGGGATTTTGTTGATTTCAGGGGCTAGCTCGAAATCGCCAGAATTAGTTGCAATATCCAGTTGGTTCTGGTATTTGGACAGCTTAACTTTGCGTGGACGTGAATTGTACAAATGAGGAAAGGCAATCTGGTGCTCTGTTTTCAGTGGAGCTCTAAAAATTATGCGGTCGGGAGCATTGAATTCGCTGATATCATCGTTGTCAGGCTCAAAGAGCGGCTCAAACTTGGGACCACCAGGCAATGCAACATTAAGAGCTTTTGCGGTTTCAAGACTTTCCTCATCAAATAAATAATCATCGGGTTTTCCAGTCAACATAGGTTTTGACAAAGAATAATACTCAGTCTGTTTGCGAAGATCCAGAGTCCATTTCTTTCCGTTTTCCATGCCGTCAAAAAGTCCTTCAACTCCAATGTAGTTGTCTTCATCTATGATTCCATTTGGAGTGTCGATTCCAGCGAAATTTTCTTTCCAATCTAGAGGCGGTTCCTCGTCCTCGAATGGAGGGAAGCGTACGCGCTTAAAGTGGTGCCTATCACGTTTTTCTCGTCTCATCAGCGTCCACATGGCAGCCCATTGAGCTCTGTACTCGGGTTCGCATACGAAAGGCACTTGATCTACAACTGTCAACGCGCCCGATACATGATAAACAACAGGGACCTTTTTCTCGGCCTCCCAGGGCTGTGGCATATTTTCCAACAGTTTTAGAATGGCATAGGGCAAAAACTTGAGGGCACCAAGATACGATCGCTTGTCTGCCTGAGCTCCAGGCCCGGTATTTGAGTAGCCCAAATTTTTGACAATCTGACGAATGTGTTCAGGTTGGATCTTGGTGCCTTTTCGCTTCTTTTGCTTGGCACGCTTGCCTCTTTTGGCCTTTTCTAGCTGCCATTTACGCTTCAATTTCTCTAATTTAGCATCATTGTGCGAGGTTGGCGGAGGCGGAGGAGGAGGAGGGGGGAGGGAGTCTGATTCCATACCCGGCGGCGGCGGCGGTGCAGCATGGGGGACTCCTGGTGGTGGCGGCGGCGGCGGTAGTGGTTTCTTTTTGGTACCAGGTATCTCGAACCCGTTTGGGCGGGACGGTGGACCCTTTGGCGTCGTTGAACCCGACCATCCTGGCGGCGGCGGCGGCCCTGACATTAGGTAACAATGAAAAAAAGTTGCGGAGTTATTATGGAGCTAATCGCAGTTAATGAACCAAATAGTTTGACGATATTTTAAATCCCCAAACTCCCAAAGAGATCTCACAATGGGACGTCGAAAAAAAAAAATATGTTTCTAGAGATCCCAGTCGTTTCCACCTTACTTAATATGGCCAGCATGACCTCGAAGTTAAAGCGCAAGAGCGGCCGCAAAGCGAACAAGAATGCGGGCAAGGTGGACGACAATGCCAATTCTGCACCATTGAATGCGCCTACGCCTATTCCCCAGGTTGCTATTGATGCGATATCACCGAAGAGTAGTGGCGTGAACCTAGCCAAGATATCTCCCCCACAACCAGCAGGCCCAGCAACCACCTCGCAGCAAGTAGTTTCTGGGAAGGAGCAAGCAATGGTTACTTCGAACGTCCCAAAAGAATCTGCTCAAGGGCAGCCTGGAGCGTCGATCAGTATCCCAACAACCCACTCAACAACTCAGAAAGAAGGTCACGAGGGCTTGGATCGAGGCTCTGTGCTGAACGCTAGCAATCTACGAAGCATGTCTGTATCGCCTGGAGCTCAGTCGAGATCAAAGTACCACACAATTGTTGACCCCAGTGAATTCAGGCACATGGTAGCTCCGTTAAGGCCGACAAAGTCCGCTGATACCGACAACGAGAGCGAACAATCGAGTTCCTACGACCACTCATCGCGCCCTCATCACCACCATCACCACCACCACCACCACCACAATAACCATCATCACAGTACCCACAGCTTGCCGAGCTGGGCTCCTCGCCCGGGCATGTCTCGGAGCAACTCTCTGGCCCAGCTAGCCCGTGAGCATAGACAGAGTTTACGGGGCGACCCAAACGACACGTGGGCCTTCTACAACCCGGAGGGGCTTGTTACCTCGCCTTCCAGACCAACCACCCCGCCTCAGCACAGTGTCGAGCACCTCGCGTTCACAGGAGAGAACTCCAATCTTCTATATCGAACAGGCTCTCGGTTATTCACTGAGCGTGTGGAAAGCAGTGGCCATGTATGGTACTTGGACGATGCACAAAAGTCAAGGCGGACATCCGAAGCTAGCAATTCAAGTGATGAGACCCGCAGTGACGATGACATTTTCCGGGTGATTTCCCGCCCATCGTCCCGGCCTTCATCTCGCCCTCCATCAGTACCGGTTTCGCGTATGCAATCGAGACGGAACTCTGCGTCGTCGTGCCAGTTCTCAGTTCTGGGCTCAGAAGATAGTGGCGCCGAGAGCGATGTTAGCTCAGTCTACAGCGCGGAAAGCGACGATGATTTCGGGGCCAGCATTACGCAGGAAGTAATTGCCAGAGTGGTTGATTTTATGCTCGGGCTACCTGAAAACTCATCAAACGGCATCCGTGCCTTGCTACGATCAGACATTCCCCAGGATCCAATCGAAAAACGGAGGTTCCGCGAGGCAGGCAGTGTCGGAGACCCGGCCTGGCTGCTAGGGGTTGCCGTTATGATCAAAGATTTTTTAAAATAATTGTTTAAATAAGAAAGATACATCAATAAATAAGACGGACAGCCTTTAGTGGCTCGGTATTGTTCTCCTTGTGCTTCGGCGGAGTGACAGCTTCCTTGACTGACGTCGATATCTGGAGTTCGCCAAAGTCTGCGAGCTCGCTGTCGACCGGGTCGAAATGACTTAGTACAGGTGACGGAGGCGGTGCCTTGGGTGGTGAGCATGTAGTGAGCGTGGTTAACATTTCGATTGCTTCTGTTAGGACCACCATGTGGTTATGGTGACAGTGGCCACTACCCCCGCCTTTTAAATCAACAGAAGCACGGAGATATGCGGCTTGGCGCCACGGCACATTCTGTGCATAAGCGATTTATCCGGGGGCACACTGACAGCTGGCAGACTACAGGGCCCGCGGTGTAGTCATGTCTGTTGTGATTACCGGGAACATGCACTATTTGCCTTACTATTTGCTTGCAAGACTTTCGACCCAAGTGTTCTTTTAGAAAATGCCGTGCGCTTCTATTTCCGGCGCTATTTTCTAACCCACGGGCAGCTACATCCCGAGGTCTTACCCTTGCCCCACCTTCAGCGCACCCCCTGTAGTGCTCGCAGCCTTGAGGTCTTTCAGCTTGGCGCGAATTGGCAGGATAACGGCCCAGTTGTTTTGTGGTATCACCCTTGCATCGGGCAGTAGTCTTCATATTATGGATCGCTGTCCCTGTGTGGAGATTTCGATCGATATTGCGGCTGTTGCATCGATCGGCTATAGAAGAACGGTGATTCGCCGATACTTGGCCGCGACCTAGCCCCACCCAGGCTGCATAATCGTATATGTCTGCTAAGTCATTATATTATCTGGACGGATGTCTAAATCACGTGCCTGCCCAGCGCCGCCGGTGTCACGTAAAAAAATAGTCAGCGTCGATCACGTGCCGAATGTCAAATGTTCCTCGCGGCGGTGGATCAAACTCTAATGGTAGCCACGCTTGAGTTTTATGAGTATGTCCGTGTCCAATTCGCGGCGACGTGTTCTTGCTCCAGTCGATCGGTTCATTAGTTTCTTTGACGATATCCGAAGCAGTCTTCACGTTAGATCCGCTCTGGATTTTGTTGTATTCTTGAATCAGTTCGTCTTCAAGATCGACCTTGGGCTTTTTGCGGGCCCCATTGAGCAGCGCTCCGTAGCGCCAGCGCTGTAGAGCATCATACGCCTCCGAGGAAGCATGCACATCAACGCATACCATGTATCCCGCGTAGATTTTTTCCCATTCGTTCTTCAGTGCTTCCAGTTGGCTAGTACTGTGGAGAGCGACAAATTGTTCGCGTAGAATCTTGGCCAAGTGATGAGCTGTACCGGCGTGTGTCCAGAACCCATCATGCACAGCTGCGATCTCATGACCCGATTTTCTCATCGCTGTGGCAGTCAAAAGCAAGTGTGCGGCATCCAAACTGTGAATATAGTTGGCAGGTAGTGCGCGAAGTTGTTTCAGCTTGTCTGTCGTGACTGGATGAAATGGTGACTGTATGTAAAATGCTTGCAATGGCGTGCGAATGGCCATGAGCTCGCTACGGCCGTAGGCTTGAACAACTGGAAGCCCCAAAGGTGTTGTCCATTTGAGTGAGGCAGTTCCAACTGGTATATCAGCTCTTCTTGCCATGAGTATTCGTTGAGCCATTCGTTTGAGCCAGCTCTGCACGCTTGACACATCGGCCGTTTCTTTTGCAATAGCACGAGCTAGGAGCTGGCGGGTTCTTCTTGCTTTTCCTTTGAATTCGTTAACATCAGTTTCATCAGTTTCAGTAGCCTCGGGTGTAGAGGGTACTTTAAGGTCCTTATGCAATACCTTAGTTGCCGGCGACAAGCTCTGGCCATAGACGCTTGCAAAGACGGCTTGCTTGACAAAAGATCGTTCAGTGTTTATCCCTTCCCTGTCGATGGATTTTGCAAGCTTGGTGTAGAAATCCTGAGGGTCTTTTTCAGATGTCATATTAACTGCATGTGCACCTTCTTTGGAGTAACAGAGCGCTGCATAGTGCTGCAGGCCATTACAGGTCCCATCTTGGACTATAGCCAGATGACTGGAAAAGTTAGCAGGGTCCTGACTTGACAGAGCTTTATCAATTTCGATGCAAACAGCTAGAGTCTGGAATGGTTTGGATGCCGTTTGCCACCAACTTGTCGTCAGTGGCTTGGCAGCGCTCTGTCGAATGTCCTCGAGACAAGACTTGGCCCACTCGATACGACGTTCGTAGGTGGTAGCAGTTCCTTTGCCGTAAACGTTCGCTAGGTGAATGTATAATGCGTCCAGCCCCTGGGCTCCCAGTTTTCTGCTGTTCCAGAACTGAAATAATGCCCGCATGCTATCGCTGCCCATGAACGAAAACTTGGAGCCCACCATGGGATACACTCGGCCTCTAAAATCTTGGTAAAGTGGTAGCCAGAATTTTTGGCCGGCCGCCAGAGAATTGGCAATTTTTAAAGCGTTTTCATACTGAGAGCGCTCGAATATTGTCTCTGGTTTATCATCAGCTGCAGGCAAGTCGCTTAGGTGTGTTTTGGCCTCGAACATCGCTTTGACAACCTCCAAAACTCTGCCGTTCACCGCCCATTCTCTGCTTGCTAAACTTTCGAGTCCATCGAGATTCTTCGCCATTGAATCTGTCTTTAACGCGTCATCGACATGGACTCGCTGCTCATTTGCTTGACTGTTTGCAACTGGGAGAAAAGTTTGGCCCTTGGACAGAATATATCCTCCATCTCGAAAGGTTCTCCAACGGCTCGGGGGAATAAGCATTGGTAGATGTGAGAAGGAGTCTGGTTGGATGTGTGGAACAAGGAGAGACAGCGCGGGGTTGATTTTAACAATGCCCCGCTTGTTTTTGCCTTCCATAAAAAAAGTGTTCCAAAATGCAGGGCGCTCCGACTTCCCTGGTGCATGCGGGTTTCTTTGATCTATCGTGCACTTGTGCAATGCTTGTCGAATGTAGACTGAGCCAACACTGATATGGTCTTTGGCAGTCCACCGTTTAGCACCGAGTAATGCCCATAAATAGTGAGATCTCGCGTACACAGCTTTGAGATTATTTCGTTTGGCCACTTCCTTTAGAAGGTGTGCCTCAATTTCAAAGCCTGTTCGACGACACAGGGACGTCAAGCTCTGGGGAAACCGGGTCGACAGCATTTGAGCGGTCATTCTCACCAAAACAGTAGCGACAATTGCGGGGATTTGGTCTGAAATGATAGATAAACAATCGAACCCATTGATCTGTTGGAATTTCAAGGCTTTTTTCCACCTTTGCATCAGAAACTCCAACTCCTGGGGCACGGCTAGAGGGTTCTCCAACTGGGCTTCTCGTGATAAGTTGAATTTTTCGGCAGCTGCATCAAACTCTTTTCGCTCGGACTCACTCATTGAGTCATAAAGCTCATAGTAGTTGTCGCTGGGATAGCCAGGGATCTGCTGGGCAAGAATTTCGAGTGCTGGAAGGCTGTGATCTGCTCGAGGAAGCTCCATCGCGCGAAGCAGAGGGCGAAGCCTGGTACCCAGATCGAGCTTGCGCTCAAAAATTTGCACCCATTCCGTCAAAGGTGTGCTTTCGGAAGCCAATGAGGAAGCAGTGGCTATACAGCACTCGTCGAATGTGGCGGGATCAAGTGAAGCCTGCACTGAAGCCAACGCGTCGACTGGAGATGCATTTGAAGCCAACAAAGATTTGAGTCGAGAAACAGCTTTCGCAGCTGAGTCTCCCTGGTTCGACAGAATGTCTACACGCGGAATACGCTTCCTTGTTGTTCGCGGAAGCGTGGTTAATGGGCCCCGCACATATTGATACCGCGATGGACACCATCTGAACATTCAGACTTAGGTAACTAGGGCGGGCAGGTGCCGGGCTTGAGAAAAGACGACGAGAGAGAAGAAAGCAGAGGAAATAAGATTAGAAAAAAAAAACAAGAAAGTAAATAGGTATAGTTCTACAATAGAAAGCCCAAGTGCCGTTTGTCGAATCACGATTCCAATGCCAAGTCCAGCTCTGGCGGTACATAGAAGATACTGGCTCTCAGTTTTTCAGCAAAGCCAGGTATTTTATGTGCAAGCAACTCGTTAAGGAATGGCACGAGCTCTCTATCGCGGGTATATTCGTCCGCATGGAGCAGGACATGCTCTATAACGCGATCACGGTAAATATTCGCACTTTGGGCCATACGTAGAGGGATTGAGTGCAATTCAGGATTGGCTATGAGCTCATTCATAGACTGTGATAAGCGGTTGAGCACCTGGGCCGCACCCGGTAAGTGTGACGCTCCTATCAAGCTGCGGGCGGCAGCTGCTCCGGGCGGGTATTGGAGTATGTACATCCAGCCACTGCAGTCTCCTCCGCCTGATTCGGCGATTTGCATGGCAAATGCGGCATCTAAAGCGGCAGATACTTGTTTTACGACATTCGGCAGTGATTCTGGCCAAGGAAGGTGGAGAAGCTTCTGCCAAACATGGGTTCCCGATGCGTTTGTGATAGTTTCGACCACCTGGGCGAGCATTTCATCAAGAATTTGCTGCCGCACGCTTTGGGATCCCACATCCAGAAGCTTCTGCAAGACGTAGCAGGCAAATGCGTTGAGGGACAAGGTTGCAACTTGGCCCTTGACTTTCAAAAACACCTCGTTCTCCACAAAGCTTGGGTCGCTAACTTCAAGCATGCGTTGCACAACGAAGTTTCCGAATCTACTGGATACCATTTGAGACATTCGTGCAATGATCTCGCGCTGCAAAGCTGCCCGTTGGGAGGGGGATGCGTTTTTTAGCATCTGCTGGAGGTTCAAAGAGGCCTGTTGATCTGAGGCCAACGTGCGGCCCAGCAACGAATCAACATTTGCTAGATACTTTTTGGTAATGCCCAGATTTGGGGGAGAAGATGACTGAGTTCTTTGATTGGTTGCTTGGGTGGAGTCGGAAGCGATCGGGTGGATTGAGGCATGGCTGGGTTGGCGAGGAGCCTGGAAAGTGGACGGGTCTGACTTTGACCGGTTTTGGCTTGAATTGGCATCCGGTTGCAGGTCGGCAACTTTAAAGTCAGAGGGTGAAGGATCTGTGAATGCGGTGTTCGGGAGGCCTGCAGCCGGTGCACGCTCTGCCGGCCCGCCGATCTCTTGCAAAAACAACGTATCTCGAGGAAGCGGGGTGGAGATCTGGTCCAGGGCCGTGGTCAGGTGGGCTTTGCGGGTCGAATCAGTGGAACGGCGAGCCCACTGGAACATTTTTCCTGGACGGGTGATCAGTTCGGAGGACCAAGTAGCTGGCACGCCAGGCCGGCGAGGTGGAGCATCGTGAGGCTCGGGCGAAGCGTCTTCAAAGTCGTTTGCGATCGCAGCAGTTTCGTTATCGGGTGTGGCAGTGCATATGGTTTGCGAATTCGAGGTAGCAATGGTGTCGTTTGGTATGGGGATGTCCATTTACTTGTGGATCAGCGCACATAGAAACTGGGACTAAGTGTGTGAGGCAGTGACACGTGTGCCGCTGCTGTTTAGAAGTGGTGGGGTTACTAGTTTCAACAAAAATACCCAGGGTGTGTGTGAATGGTGCGCCGTTATTTGGTAAGTTCATTCTTATGTGGATGGAGGCAGATGCCGACATTGCCGCAGATGTAAGGGTTTCATGCCGGCTTATTTTCCAGATTTCCCTAGATTGTTTTTCCCTCCATTAGAAAGCGAGAATAGCCGAACTGTTGTTGATTAGTAAGCAGATCTGCCCATCCCTTGGACCGAGTCACGTCCGGTGTTTGCAGGAGCCAGGCAACGCCAAGCAGCGTCTTGGAGTGTGGGGTGCTGAACAGCCCACAAAATCTCTCAATCTTCTTATCCGGGAATATGTGGTGGCTACAGGCAAAGTTCGAATTACAAGCTGCTTTACGCTAATGCCCGAAGGTATATCCCCGCGCTCAGGTGATGTACGTGCTCGGTAAGTCGAGCCGTATAGGGATGATTACGCATAGACAGTAAATGTTGCGGGTCAACAGCCACGCGACAGGGTCTAGTTGCTGTAGCAAGCCGATGGGTTGTTGAGTAATCCGCGAATCACTGATTCACCAAGACCCATGCCGGCGGCATGTGCAAACTGCTGCATGCCCCTCCATGTCTCCCCCACCCAACAAGCTCTACATATGTGGGAGGTGCTGCAAGGTAGGGCACTAGTAATTTTGAACAAGTTGGGAAAAAATAAACAGGTGATATTATAGCCTGTTGGAGCCTCCGGTAGAGTGAGCGAAAAGCTAAAGCCGGCGGCAATGTCGGTGCCTGACGTGATTAGCACATGATTTCCCGCTTTCTCGACGCTTCTCCGCATCTTTTTCCGAAGATCCCAACTAGAGAGCAGGGTTTAGGGGCATTGCAAGGAAGCCGACATAGAAGAAAGGTAAGTGTATGCTGGGCTATACTACGCAATGTGTGCCCTGTCACGGCGTGAATGCAGAGAATCTTTAGAACAAGCAGGGGTGACGCCGGTTGATCAAGCAGAGCGAACCCCACTTTTTATCCGCTCACGAGGAAACCATTGGCGAGACCCCCGCGAATACAGCTTTGTAGCGTTTCGTGGGATATTCAAGCCGTGGAACAAGCGCAAGCAGCTATATAAAGACACCACATACTAATCAAATGGTCAGGTTTGCTGAGGTCGGATCAGCACAGAGCTACGTCAGATGTTGATCAACTTGCAACAGGCATATGGTAGCCCCACGGCATCGTCAGAGTGTTTTTAGTTACATGCAATGATCGGCTCAAAATCGAATTGTTACGGGTGCTAGTTGCTCTGGGCACACAGAAACTGGGTAATATCATTAGGTGTGCATTGGCAGGGTCACAAGGTGCATGCATGATATGTATTCTCAGCACGCAGCAAAAAATGTTTATCCAGCATGTTTCACTCGGCTTCTGCATTGATCTGTCCAGGTGTGCGCTTATCAATAAGAAAGTGTTTGGTGCCCCATCCATGTGAAGAAACAATTTTTACCTGAGCTTCCCGGTCCACGATAAGCTTCGCCCAAGGTAAACGGCGGGAGCTATTTCCGTGATCCGTCTCACCAACGCTACCGCATGTAACCAGGTCTACGCGAAAGCTAAATAACGATGCGGAATTGTTGATTTGAGGCTATAATCCCCGCTCTGCTTAAAGCTAAGCTTGTTGAGTCTTCTACGTGAGTCGGTTGCAGGTCCTTATGGCTTTTTCTTTTTTTTGGTGCGAGGTGCGTATATGTTCGAGCGAGGTACCCTCGCCCCTCTGCAGTGGGCTGCATGATGACAAAACCCGGTTTACTCGTGCATACGTGAAAGCCCAGCGTCTCGGTTATCCGAGATTCATAGAAAATGGGGATAATATTTTGCTTCAAAATTGAAAATTCATACTACTCTACCCCTTAGTGGCTGGGATTGGCGTCCCTTGTTGTCTTATTCATATTGCCGTAGCGACCACCCGGCTGGTTTTTCCGCTCCTCCCACTGCTCCGCGCCAAGACCGTCCAGCCAGCTCCGACAGCACCTGATAAAAATGAATATCGCTGAAAATATACGTGTACATGAAAGTTTACGACCATTGGCTGGCTCCAAGATTTTAGGTTCCTGAAAGCGCTTCAGCATAAGTGCTCATGAAGTTATTTCGGAACCAAAACTCGCTACCTCGCCAGATTGGCTAATCCGCGTGCCTGTATGTAGGATAAGCGATGATCTGCGGGCAAGTCCTCGACGCAAAACAGCAAACATGAGTTCCGTATTTAAATGACTCCTGGAACTATTCATGTATATCGCAGTCTAGTTGAACTCAAATTTTCACTACCTAAATACACAAACACTCAAATACCCTTACATTGAATTCAGTGCGGGACGAATCTGCGTGATTTTGTGTGCATGAACCTAACCCACATCTACAGGCTTTTCCTGCCCTTGGCTGCTTGTTTATGCATAAGGTTTTAGCCGCCTCACCGTCTTAGCCATGCAAACGCGAAAATGCTCTGCTCGTTCATGCACAATCTCTAGCCCAGGCATTAAAGCGAATGACAAAAAGATTTATATATGCAAGCGTCCGCATGGCCCGGCTCCGCACTCTGACCAAGTATACAGAATCTGTTTTGCCCTGGGTTTCTACCGTTAATAACGTTGTCCGCGCTTCTTTTGAGTTCATATCCCGTTTGCAGCATTCTGGGGCCTATTATGGACTTTCATTCAGGCACTCATGATGGAAGGCTTTCGCACTCCCATTTAGCCACCAAGGCACAGAGGACTCCTCTTCAGAATGATGTCTACAGGGAAAGCGAGAGCCCTGCCGAAACGACGGCGGAATTGGGTGACCCTGAAGACTCCCTTGACGATTTTTTAACCCGACAAGACCCATCCATGATTCAATACGAGTCTAGCTATCATGACCCATCTACTTGGAACGAGGGCCTCACCGTACCCGCTATGATCCCCGTAACAAACGAGCACCTCGCCTATTCTAGATCTCCACGCTTACCTAGTATTGCTTCCCTCTTCAACTCGGGAAATTTGGCGCCCATAGAGTCTCCACCGGTTTCTCCGTCTGCCCTGCCAGCCAACCCAGCAACCTATCGACCTCGAAGGCCCAAGTCTGGGATACCATATCGCCTGTTTTCAGCCACCTCGCGAAGGCTGTCAGGAGCGGGTATGGCTGCTGCTGCCTCTACTGCAGTAGGCTATTCTTACCGTGATTCGGTGCCCGAGAAAACGACACGATACTCCCACGATTCAATTGGAAGCACATTGTCTCCGGACCTCCACAGTGACACATCGGTGCCCTCTAAGAACTCGCTAGGGCCTGATGGGCTGTCACAGTCCTCAGACCATTTAACGCAGCATGCCTCCACATCGGCCGGATCCGATGCTGATATCAAGGCTATTATTTCTCCGAGCAGGGCTCCGGTGGCTAGCTCAGCCACAGACCTCCCTTTGACAGGAGGTCTCATTGCTCCCCTGGAACATGAGCGGTTGGTCGAGCCCGTCGTTTTGACAGACACGACTGGCATCTTATGGATGGACTTTGAGTACAAACTAAAAAAGAAAAGGTGGCGGTACCGGGTTCGTATCAGCAACTTGGAGGCTGACATCCCGGAGAACGCGCTCTCCGCCGATTTCAAGCGCCAGAATTGTATCTATCCGCACGCAATGGTACCCAAGCAAGACTATATTGGCCACAGACAAAACTATGAAATGACATGCAATGACCTGGGGTGGCGTTTATCATATTTGAATCCCAGCATCCAAAACCAGCGCGGCCTGATCCAGCGTGCCGTCGACTCGTACCGAAACTCCAGCTCGGACCCTTCTGTGCGATCTCGTCGGGCTCGCAAACTGCTCTCCAAAGGTGGGAAGCAAAACTTTTGAAAGCTCATCGAGGTTTTCTGCATAATGAGTGCTTTATCGATCTCGCAAAAGTTGATCGCAAAAATAAGACACCACTAGCAGTAAGATTCTCTAAAAGTAAAAAACAGAAAACCTCATCAAAAAGAGGCAACAATCCTGCAACAAAAAGCTCTTCTTTAAGCTCCACCTTTGATAAAGGCGCCCGATTCAAGATCTCACCGCATATGTGTGATTCCTGAAACATAATGTTTCGGAGGTGCTGGCAATTTTACAGATACCTAGCATTTACTCTAATGGCATCCCTATCAAGCCTAGGTATTTATCGTAAGTCGCTTGCTTTCCGAGTGGTGGCATCCAACTAACCCCATGGCGCCCTCTTCTATAAAGTAATGTTGAAAATCTATTAGCAAATATTCGACTCAGCAGCTGGTCCTCTAAAGGGCGGCGCTCTGTCTCTATCGCAGAATCTGCACTGCGGTATGCTGCATAACATCAGTCGGAGTTGGTTCGACTGTTCGGTACCTTACCCTATTCCGAAACCCAGGCCGGGGGGTATGCTTCTCTTAGGGGTGTCCGGGGGTGTTGGACGAGCACGGTAACTTGCTTTGGTATGATGCCTCTACACCCGTGCTGCATTCCCAATACCCTGGCTGGTTTGTTTCCTTAGCAATCTCTGCCGCAATCTCGCGATATCTTGCATCACAACTATAATATTGTTCTTTTTTGCGCGGTTGAGCAAAGGATAAAATTGTTACGGATCGATTACTTGTAATATTATTCGAAGACGACTGCCCACTGACTCCGACCCATGTTCCGCAGGCGATCTAGACAGTACGACCGCTACCGCGAAGTAAACCAAGGAATTTCGACTCCGGCAGCGGCGGCTGCTGCTGCTGCTTCTACCCAGCGTCTCTCGTCCTCGGCGGCTGCCGAAGCGCTCAGACGCCACTCTTTGACACAGTCTGATCAGACCGCAATGGCCCAGTTTGACGCAAATGCTGCTCGCGGTGGGATGCGTCGCTCGGCGTCCATGACCCTAGCTGAGAGCCAGTACGCTCGTCGTACGTCTTTCTCCTCGCCCCAGGAGTCAGCTAGGACTAATTCTCTTACCCGCCGCAATTCTCTTACCTCCCACACAACCGTAAACAGAGACCAGACTGGTCGTACCATGTCCCTTACCACAACAACCGTTCGCCAACTCGGGTCCTTCCAGCTGGTGTCCACCAAAGAAACGCCGGTGCGAGCTCCAAGGACATCTCAGTCCCACGGCTCGCTGCGGACTCAATACCAAAACCAGCCCACCGCAAGCTTCCAGGAGTCAATAAACTCGTTCGATAGCGAGCTTTCGGTGGTTCGCGAAGAGCCGGAGTTCTTGGACCGAATATCTGAGTCTCCACAGCCGGGACCTAAGGATCTTCCGCGAGATCAACGCGAACAATCGCGAGGCCGACAACCCGCTGCGGTTGCTGCCGCTGGGATGGTTGCATCTTCGCCGCTTGTCAATGTCACAAACGCGCTGGACTCGGTTCATGAGGGAGACGAAACAATCGATGCCGATACCACAATTGATTCTTTCATCGAAGCCGAGACCACCGCAGACCACATAATTGATTTGGAGAATCAGCTGCGTCTAGAGAACATTCCAGACACTACTGCTGAGGCCCCTGAGCAGTTCTTGATGCCCGACACGGCATCACGTTCGCGTAGTCGCTCACCGATGAAACCGGCCCTGCGTGAACGCAAAAATAGCACTGCAAGCAACACCTCCGAACGCCGAAACACCCACGTGTCGTTCGAAACTGCTCATACTGAAGAATACGTTTATGACGCCTACGACTATGATGACTATGAAGAGACTGGGCATAACCTGAGTGCTTTGGCTGATCTAGATGCAAATGGTAATACGCATGTGACTACGGTTACTGCTGCAGCCTTAGCTGCAGCCAAGGCCAAGCAGCTGCAGCAACAGCAGCAACAGCAGCAGCAGCAGCGAAGCGCGCCAACTTCGGCTCAGCGTCAGGCTCAGCGTCGTGCTGCACAGGCAGCAGCTCGTGCCTCGCCTGCCAAGCAGCAAAGTCCTCGTAATTTGCGCCTATCGCCCGTTAGCACCGCTGCTGCCGCGGCGGCATCTAGCCATAATAATGTCCAAAGCCAGGAGGCTCCCAGCCACACTCCCGACAGTGAAGGTGACTCGGTTTATTCTGATGCTGAGGATGAGTTTCCAAAGGAGCAACCCCAAAGACGACCAATGCGTCAAGGTCTCGAGCAGAAACAGCTCAGTGCTAGACCTAATCCTGCTCCTGATTCCGCCGCCGCTAGAGCTCTGGCTGCTGCAGCTGCAATCAGCAACTCTAATGGTCATCTCCCGACCTCGATTCCTCGTCAGTCAAGTATTCGCACATCTGTCTATAAGCCACGTGTCGAAGCGGCGCCGAGCGAGGTAGACAGTGAGACTGTTGGACACCATTATCGTGTTTTGCTTGATGATGCTGCAAGTATTACTTCAGATTCATCGTTCAAACGTGATAGACGCACCTCCACTCAAAGCTCGCCAGTTCGCCAGGATAATATCCCGCAGCGAAACCCCCAGCGCATGGCCACCACACTCCGGGGCCAAGATAGACTCTCCTCTTTGACAGGACGATCTAAAAGACCTGATATGGTTCCACCTTCGCCTGCTGGTGGCTTCCGCTCGTACTCCTTGCGAAACCAAGCTCGACCAGACCCTGCACAACTCATGGCCGATGCTAATTCAAATACCGCCTTGGGTGCTCCTCCGGCTGTAAGACCTGGCGGCGGTCTTTTTTCTTTGCGTGGTGACGCACCTAATATGCGGACTACTCGTAGAACTTCTGTGTCTGGTTCTATTACAACCCCTACTCAAAGCACTCAGCAGGCATCTCGATTTGTCTCCCGTTTTTCCCGCGATAGTGATAGTGAAGATGAAGCTTTCACCGCCGCGATTAACAGTATTAGTAGTGAGCGTGAACAAAGAAGGGGTTTCAAGAGTATGTTCGCCCACAATGAGAATGTCAAGACTCCTCAACGTTACAGTTCCGCGCCAGAACCTCGTCAGAAACGCGGGTTTTTCAAACGATTATTTAGTCGTGGTTAGTTAAGATATATCAAAATGCATTTTTTTTTTGTAATTCGGCTATTTCACTAATCTTCAAGCAGAGATCGATCAGAGGAGGTGACATTTGTGTCGAGATCGAGTCCATCCATGCTCTTGTCGAGTTCGTCGATACGGCGACGGACTTCGCCAGCCATGCGATAACCATCAGAAATAAGGCCATCAACCACTGACCGCAAGGCAAGAACTGGTGATCTATATGATGCGCCACCTGCGAGATCCATAAGTGCTCTAAGAGTCTCGGAGAAAAAGTCCTCCAAGGTTTCGTCCGCGAGAACGACCATACGGAATGAAGGAAGAGAAAGTCCTGCCGGTCTTGTTTCCGGTTTCTCTTCGGTGTCTGATTCTTCATTGAAATCAATAAGATCCATGTGGTGCGTGACATTAACTGTCTCGCCGTCGAGTTTAGCCTGCGCTGCGGCTCGTTGTATAAAGCCTGAAACAGCAGAAAGGTATCGTACACTTTGTTGTTGTCGAATTTCGTCTTGAGCAGCAGCCATTCGATCGGGGTCTTCGATGGTGACTTTGTTCAATTCCAGCTGGGATTTTCGATCGAGCAGGCCATCTTGCTGAGAAAATGGTCGCATGAATAGAAGCATAGCCTCTGACATGGCCAGAATCCCATTCTCATCGATAACATTGTTTTCCTTGGCAAAAAGCTCAAAAAAGCAATTCATAGCATCCATGAGGTTACCTGAGTAAAGCCCGTCAACCCCCGCCACGACATCGGCAAGCGACAACTCGTCTCTAGATTTATGGTCCCAGTTTTTGAAGAGGCGACGAATGAAGTCATTACGTTCCAGCTCTTTGCGTGAAATGTATTTGGGTTGCATTGACAAGCAAATGCCACTGAGGAAAGTCAAAAACTGGCTGAAAGAGAGGTTTTGCGTATGGCCACCGAGTCCTGGCCGTTGCTCTTGTACAGAAGCATAAAATTTGTCATAAATAAGGGAGGTTTGGTCCACAGTCAAATGGGATGTCTTGGGGAGGTTGCGGAGCTGGGTCCGTTTGGCAAACGTCTCGATTTCAGTTAAAATCTGGCTTTCATTCTTGGCACGATAACCTCGAATCATCTTGTCGGTAATAACAGAGAATTCACGGAATGCAATAACCATAAGTTCCTGGAATTTTGTAACTGGCGGCTTACCTGGGCGGGCAGGGAATCCGCATGGCTGGTCTAAAGTATCAAAGTAGTTGCGTAGGACCTCGACAATTTTGGTATTATCCTCTGCAGCAAGAATTACCTCCCCATTCACTTTGAAAATAGCCAATGCCACTTGGAACAGGACCCTGGAGCCTTCAAGGAAAAATATGTCCATAATACGGAATGCGTAAACCAGTGGCATGGCATTAATGAACAAAGATAAAAACCAGGGCAAAGACACAACAGACAGGGGAACTTCTCGCTTCTGCATGTGAACGTACAGCATAGGCATGGTCCTCTCCATTAGTTTCTCCAAGACCTTCTGGTCCAGTAGGGTACCGTACATGGTCCGAGAATAATAACCGGGAAGCATATTATTGCAGAGTATATTTAATGTCCAAAACGCTTGCTCTTCGGTTTGGTAAATCAAAAGAGCAGCTGCAACAATGTTCATTGCCTGACAGTAGCCTACTTCGGGATTTTTCCAACTGTAAGCAGTCAAAACCCGGCGAAGCTTGTCAATGCCCTCTGGAGATTGGTATCCTTGGTATTCCGGTAATGATCTATTGAGGTCTTTTTCAATCTCCTCAATAGCTAATGATGCCTGACCAGTGTATTCCAAGAGCATTGATTCGTAGAAGTTTGGAGACCGGAGGCGGTGGTACACAGCACCGGAACACTCTTCCCAGATTTCGCCTCGCAACCGATTAGGTAGACCGACTCGAATAAGCTTGTAAAATCCCGGTTGGCAAATCAGCGTAATATTACGTCCGTGGCTCTGAAAGTATTCAGCCCAAAGTCGAACTTTAGCACGGTCTCTTAACTTTTTGGCATCACCAGGAAACCCAAAAGTTCTTCCTAATCCACCCTCTGGCGGTTGCGGCTTGGACGCTTCGTCGTTGGGCGTGGTACGCTTCCATTCTAAAAAGTCGACCATGTACTCGGAGTAGAAGGTGGTTGAAAACTTCCGCGCCTGCTTTGCCAACGGCAGGTTGGTGCGTAAATTCTGCTTGAACATAGCACAGAATTCTTCGCACCCAGAAATAAGCCCATTGAAATTCACAATGATCGCATGACCAGGATACAGCTCGATCTGTAAAGCAAACAAATAATTTCGGGACGGCAGCCGTTCCACTCGCCGCACTACGACAAGTGGTAAAGCAAAACAGCACGCCCGAGCGTTCTTGTGGCACTCAAATAGCAGAAAAGACTCTGAGAGCGTGAGATCACCCTCGAACGTTGGGCCGGTCATTGGGCCGCCTGATTCAATGGCAACCAGCTGTACAGGGACGGTCTGCATAGGCGTTTCAGGCTCAGGCAGTTTGTACTTTGCCCTGAACAGCTCATCTTTGGTCTGTTCCCTTGAATATATGCCGCCTGTGTCCGAATTGTCAAACAGCTGGACTGCTCGGGCCCGCAGATTGGCGAACAGGCTCATTGCTGATTAACCAAGGGGGTGGACCGGCGTTTGGTAGTTCCAATTCGGCAGGAGGGGGAATTGAGAGGAGGCAGCGAAATATTTTATTACGCGAAACAAACTTTTTGTGGGACAATCTTGTCGACCGGGGGCATGTCTTTTTGTGAACCGCAGCCGGGAGAGTTTTGCAGCGCTTGTGATAGTTAATTAGATAACCTTTGTTGATATTGGCATTGGTCAAGCTCAACGGATCTGGATCATGTAATAGGGCGAATAGCGGAGGAGGGGTTGAATGCGACCACACTGCGCCGGGCGGTGACGAGCAGCCCACCCGTGGACAAATGTAAACTCAAATATTGTTCTAACGTAATTATTCAATTCGTTTACTCCCGGTACTCTCCCCCGGGCTGACGCGAATCCATAACTTCCGTGCATATAATGCACACCCCGCAAACTCCCCCACATTGGCCACTGCACTCTCCCACGATCTGCCTCATTTGATTTTTTTCTCCGCGCACTTTTCCAGTTATGCCTCCAGCCAAGGCACAGAAAAGGGATGCCACGGAGCTCACCAAGAAATTCAAGTGCTCTCAATGCGATAGGACGTTCACCCGGGCAGAGCACCGGGCCCGACACGAACTGAGCCATAGTGACCGACGACCGTTCCGATGCAAAGAGTGCTCGAGCACGTTTGTTCGACGTGATTTGCTGCTCAGGCATAACCGGACTGTCCATGCCCCGCCCGAGGTCAAGTCCGCCAAGGCACATAGCCGGGCGGCCTCTCGCCAAGAAGCACAACAACATCTCATGGCAGCTCACGCACCCCCACCTTCGAAACCAGAGCTATATGGTCCAAATCAGATGGGAATATATGGCCGAACACCGGCTCACATGTATGCCCAGGCTGGGGCGTGGCACCAGAATGGTGCAAATGGCACAAACGGAATGACTGCCACCACACCTGGGCCCGCGCCAAATCAAGGTGTGATGTACTATGGCTCCACTCCTCAGGCCCAGGCGAAAAATGGTGATTCCTCTCGTCAACTGCAAGAAGTGTCCACTGCAATGTTCATGACCGAAATGCATAACTCCCCAATCGCGATGCCCAAATCCCAACCGGCCACCCCGGGTGCATCAGGGGGCCCTTTAGCGCCTCTAGTTGCACCGCCTTTACCGCAGCAAGGAAATATGGGAATTCCCGTGCAATCTAACGGTGTGATGAACAGCCAGTCATCCATGCCTCTTTTACAACCTTTCAACAGGGTTATAAGCTCAGAGAGCGGGCAGTCCTATTCGAACGCCGATTCCGCCATGGCGGCTATGCGGCAAGAGCAGCTCCCTCCGCTCACATCTAAAGAAATTCAGGCGATATCTCAAGTTTTCACCGAAGGATTCAAAATGAACAATTTGGACATGACCCAGGAGGGGGGCCCCTTCTCCTATGATACCCACAACACAGTCGGTGCAGCAAGTGTCGAAGCAGAGAACAGTATACGAAGTTCAGACGATATTGCTTCTCTTGACGAAATCGATATTATCACTATTCCTCAGCTTGAGCCTGAGATGGACATTTTACACCTGACAAGAGACCTTCGCCAACATCCGTCGGCTTTCGGCGGAGTTGGTATGATCCCTTCAAGAGGCCAGCTGGCTCGTTATTTGGCAGTGTATTTCAATTTTGTTCACCCATTGTTACCTTTATTACACCCGCAGTCGTTTCAGTGCAGCCAAGCCCCTCCGGCTTTAATATACGCAATCTGTGCATTGGGTGCTACCACCTGTCACGAAAAATCGATGGCGCAGCTTTTGAGTTATAACTGTCGTCTTCTTGTCACAATCACTTCCCAAAAGGAACAGAACGATCGGCTCACCTCTGTGCCGTTGGGGATCACTCAAGCCATGTGTTTACTACTACTTATTGCGACATTCAGTGGTGACCGGGGCGCTCTAGACCTGGCAAGTAATCTGTCAGTGAATCTGATTCAGAACAGTTTGGCAATGGTCCAAGACGTGCATGTTTTGAAATCCCCCCGGGGCAACACACCGCGTTCAACCTGGATTCAACGTGAGGAGATCATTCGCGCATTCTGGATGGCATTCGTTACCATTGGCCTGCTACATGCTCACTGTGGGCTGCCTATTTGCTTGCCCCAGGAGCGGATCCCTCCAGATATGCCCCTTCCGGCGTGCGAAGTTCTTTGGAATGCTACATTCACTCGGGAAGAAGATTGGCAGTACTACTACGATCACTTCACATCTGAGCAGCCCCAAACAACTTTTGGAGAACTCATGGAACATATTAAGAACGGTAAAACTAATGAGTTCCCCAGCAGTCTGTCCCCTTTTGCCCTCCGGGTTCTTGCGGTCTCTATCTCTTTACTTCCAAACAAAGACCTCGTACAAAACGGAATCTTGCTTTGGGCACACACAACAAGTGATATTGCCCCAGGACGTGGTCAGGGTGGTCTATCTACCAGAGCAGGAAGACCCTATTCACAAATGGTGTCAGCTATGGGGCTTAGAGACCCCGCTATGAACAGCGGATCACGCCTTATCAATGCCATTAATGCCAGCCTGCACCCGCTAATTTTGACAACCTATGCCATGATCGACAGCTCTTTCATCTCCACTGTTGTAGACATGACGCTGTGGCGGAGCAACTTGGGCCACCTAGACGCACAAGCCATTGCCCAAGCAGCCTACGACCTAGCCTCCAGACCCATGGATACGTCCCAACTTACACGGCTGTTGCCAATGGCTGTTCGCACGGTTGACTTAATTACGTCTATGATAGCTTTGGGTCCGCATCTGTTGGCGGTTGTCATGGCAGCACCTATGTCTCTGTACATTTCACATCTGTTTATTCTCACTATCGAAGAGGTAATTGTCACAGTCGTGTGGTTCCATCGAATCAGCAGACTACCTCGATCTTCGCTTACCCCCGATCAGCTTCGAGTGCTGGCCTGGACCGAGATGGCCTCGCAAAAAGTTGGCATTCACCCCATTGAGAACTCTATGGGAATTGGCATTGCTGATGCAGCAGCCCGTTGCTACGAAGCAGTAAAGCCGTGGGTCACATGCGAAATCATAGCTGTCTCAATCCGGATCCTGATAAGTCACCTAACTGCGTAGCTAACGAAATGCTTAATTTCATGGGATGTGTTTTATGTCCCCTAACCTTAAAACAAGAGCTTTTACTCAATGACTATGTCTAGCATAAATGATATATAGCCGTAAAACCGATAAGGTTATTATTTTTAGGCGGTCTTGGTAGCACGGGCGTGGGCGTTGGTAACCTTGACACCCAAAGCCCTGGCACGCTCAACAATGGCGGCCCGGTTGCGGACAGAGACGTTGTGGGCGATCTCAGCGGCATAAGTCTTGGACTGGACGAGCAAAAGTTCGAGCTCAGAGATGTTGGAGACCAAGAAAGCCTTGTGGCCGGAGGGCATGAGGTGACGAGTGCGCTTGTTGGAGCCGTAGCCGATCTTGGGCATGCGGATGGTACCACGGAAACGGCGGCGGACGGCCGAATCGATACCCTTGGGCTTGCGCCAGGACTCACCAACGCGCTTGTAGCGGTCAGAATGGTGACGCTTGAACTGCTTGGCGTGCTTCTTCACGATCTTAGGATGGGGCAGAGCGGCCGTCATTAGTCTGGTTTGGAAATCGACTTGCGAGTTGCATCTATGTCAAATCGCATGGTGATCCCAGCAGCCCTGAGCCCTAATGTTGATGAGTAATCAGAAGTACTTCAGACGACGCATGGTGGGGTGGAGTGGGATAACCGGGAGAATTAAGACCGAATTAAGAACTGCCACCAATGGCTGCAATGGCCCCGATTCCAGATACACTTGAACCTGAACAAAAGAAGAACGACTTAGTCCCCGGCATAGAGTTCGACACCCTAACCCTCAAGCAATGTACTTAAGCCGGCTCCCTGTCCTCTGACTCAGCAGGCCTCCACAATGGGTTCATATCTGGCCCCTCAGGTCAAATACCAACGAGGAGAGCCCAGCGGCAAAGACAACTTGATCGAGTTATATCATTTGACAGAAATTGCTAATTCCGTTGCGCGCCAGGACCCGGTCACCGGTGCCAAACGCAAGCTACGGAAGTCCTACAAAAACCACATTGCGGACCTGCCTGGAAAGCACACAATTCCGACCAGGGGAGAGACGGTTTGGTCACTTGTGGAACTCGCGCACATGCCTGCTCCAACCCGAGTAGACATGCCGGATTTGAATCTCGGTCTCCTGAATAATTTGCGCTTCGAAAAGGCACCCGCCACAGGCGTTCCTGGCTTCGACCCCAAGCTTCTGGCGACAGCAACCCCTCAAAACGGCGACATTTACGCTTATTCGGCAGCACCTTCGCCAGCAGACAGAAAGGACCGCAAAAAGCGTAAGGAAGTAGGCCCCTTGCCGGCCGAGAAGCGCCGCAAGCTTTAGTATTCTTACTTATATTTATAATGAACTTTGAATTTTAAAAAAATACTAAAGTATATTAAACATACGAATGTTTCTACCTCTAATATTATGCTCAAGAGCCGTTAGCAGACGCGGCGTGGTGGCTGTTTCGGTGGATCTTGGACTTCAACCGCTTGAAAGGGTTGTGTGACTTGTGGGAAGAAGCAGACTCAGCAATTGAGTTGAGCTCCATGCTGTCGATCTTCCGCGTCGGTTGGCGGGGAATAGACAAGGGTACAGTGCTAGGACGACGCGAATCGCCAATCTGGTACACCGGCGTGACTTGCATGACGTTTTCTGAGGTATCTTGATCACTGGTTGCACTCTTACTGCGGGTCAACGTGTGCGAGTGATGTGATGACTCTGATCGCACCCGACGGAGCGGGTTGTAGTGTTCGATTGGTCCCTTGATTACAACAGCCTTATCCTTGTGACGGCGGAATCGATTACCGATAATAGCATAAGAGTGGCCCACCAGGACCCGTAAAATATCCTTCTTCAAGTGGTTCAGAAGATCAAGCTTATTCCACATTTTGTTGGTGTAGTAGATCTCGGGCAAAGGAATCGTGACTTCTTGAAGATCAAGCAGGTTGCTCCGAGAACGTCCCTTATAAGACACTGTAAGCTTCATGGCGTGAATCTTAAACTCAATCAAGTTCATGTACGAAGATGCGCGGCTCATCATTTCGTCAACGTCAGGCGCTGTTCCACTGCGACGCAGCAAGTTTTGACTGGTGCCATGCTTGAAGAACTTGCCAAACCGACCCAGCACCTTTTCCCGGGTGACCGTCGAGTTCGTATCAGATGCAGCATTTGATTGAGTATCACTAAGTTCGGTATCAAGATCCAAATCATCGTCGTCTTCGTCGTCACTAACGTTATCGTCACTGCTGTAGTCGTCCAGGTCTTTAACCGTCTGGCTTTGAGCTGTTAATTTCTTATCCTTGCTCTCCTTGCGCACAGGGAAAGCGAAATTCATGAGTAAATCAACAATATGCTGCTCCAATTGAAGTCTCAATGGCTGGACCTTTATGGAAACATCGTCATAGATGGGAATACCACCAACCGGCTCCAAAGATGTCCAACGAACCGAAATTTGAGGACGGGTCTTGTCAAATGTGCCGAAAGGCGAAAGAATCTCTGGGTACAAGGAGTTGGGAAGTAAATTCCAGCCCTGGAACATGCCCACTTTAACTTGGTTCATAGCAAATCTGTTCTCGCTGCTCACCTTGGAGTAGTGCAAGTGTGCCATAGCAAAATCCAAGAACGACTTTCCACGCTCATCGAGAATATGTCCAATGACTTCGTCAACCAAAACGGATATCTTCTTGTAGTTCACTGCATTGGGTCGTATACTTTGCTGAACACCTGCGGAAAATGCATTGGTCAACACCATCAACTCGAGTGTAGCTCGATGATATTCGGTTTCAATATAGGCCAATCGCCGTGCAGAGGTCCCGCGGATGTTTCCACGACTCTTCACAAGATACTTCGTCCGATAAGTATAGAGTTGGTTGACCTGGTCCTGGCGTTGACGAATCTGAGCAATCATTTGCTCCGATCCACCAGAAAAGTCTGTGGACAAAACTACCCGATCAATGACATCTGTGTAACTCTGTTGAATAGGATCGTGATATGCAAGAAGATCAGTGGCGATCATATATGCAGTGAAGAACTGCACAGAGTCCGCGGCAATCACAAGTTGAGGCAGATCGACGGTGATCAAAGTTTCAATACTGGAATCTTCCATGCATGCTTTCGAAATGTCTTTGAAGCGCGAGTGATCGAAACGAATGTTGATTTTGCGCTTTTTACCACTGTCGGTGGTTGTGCAACCTGAGGCATTCTTGCGAGAATAGTGCAGAGGGTTGGGAGAGTCCAGGCGGACACCAAGATCTGTATGTTTCACGATCATAAAGTTTTCTAGCACATCAGAATTGTAGCATTGATCAATCGACAGCCATGGTGTCTGATGTTTTTCCAGAAGTGGATCCGCGTTACTCAGAACAAATGACTTCACTGATACTGCACCGACGTCAAACAGTGTTTGATCCTTCTCGCTGTAAACCAATCCAGCAGCCTGATCAAAGACACAACCAACACGACGAGCAAGTTTGTGGCATGGCGTATGAGGCTCATCTTCATCAAAGATGTTAACAACGCGAACATCAATATCGCGAGCAAACATTTGCAGATACTTGGATGGGTTCTTCTCACTGATAAACTGGATCTGTGGTGTTATGAGACGAACAAGATGCGAGGAAAGAAGCTCAGATCCCTCCATAACATCCGTAATCTCACGAATTAGCGCGCGAAGACGAGAATCCGCCGTGCGATACTGTGAGTTGTAGTGGACGCGCTCATCATCAAACTTGGCCTCCTCCTTGACTTCAGCATTGGCTGCTTCAGTCTTCGTACCCTTGGAATGGAGATTATCCAGGAGTTCTTCAAGCTCACTGATTGCGTTATAGAATCGAGCATGGCGCAATTTTTGCTGATAGGAGAATGCAACTTTGAGTCGTAAAATACGATCACGAACACGATTGTTCCAACGAGCATGCATTGCATACACAATGTAGCGATTATCAAAGGCGTAGTGCGACGTGGGTGATGCCAAGTCGTCCGATTCGGCCATGTGGAAACGAGACTTGAAGGGCAGGCGAAACTGAGGAGCAGTGAGTCGTTCCGGTATTTCGTCACCTTCTTTGAATCCTTCATCGACAGGTGCATCGTTGTCTTGAGCAGTACGTACCGCTGAACCACCCTTATCTCCGTGTTCAGTGAGTGAGCCTTCGGCACTTTCAGCATCATCCTCCGGACTAGTTTTTTCGCGGTCTTGCGTATCCTTCTCTGTGAAAACCTGTCGTTGGCCAGGAAGCTGGCAAGCGCTTTGAGTACCCTCTTCAGACTTGCGATAAGCATCGTGACCGTAATCAATTAAAACATCGAGCCTTCCAATTGCCTTCTTTATTTGCTCAATGATCTGCTTGGCACGCTCAATGCGGTCAAGTACAGCTTGCGAGCGGGGCTGGTCCTCTAAACTGTGCATATTTTCGGTAGCATCCGCCAATCTTTCCTTGAGCTCATCACGTTGCAAAGTTAACAAACCACCTTGGATCTTACCAGGGTGCTGGTTCTGCAACATACAGTCATGGACCATCTCACCACCAAACTTGAGATACTTTTGACCTTCATGCCAGAGATACTTGGTATGAGAATGATCTGTTTGGCGCATGTAAGTGAAATGGGGGATATACATGAAAGGCAAAACCTCCACTTCGAAATTATCATTCCTGGTAATACGACCGAGGAGGATGCCAACATCTGTAAAATCGTCTATACTGGCCCATTCGTGATTGCTCATACTCTCAGGCTGGAAAGATGAAGGCATTGCTGAGTCTTGATTTAGACTCGATGGTGCAGACGAGGGCGGCCGCACTGAAACTCCATCGATACTTTGCTCATACAAGCTGTTTGTCCCAGGAACACCCGCTCCACGCGTTTGTTTGCGGTTTGCCTGTCCGCCTGATGTCCGCACCTTGCCCAGAAGTGTACGGATATCAATATTTTCCACGTCGACCTGTCCGAGATACATCCGCATCTTCCAATGCTTAGAGCCGCGAATAGGCTCACGTCTTGAATGCAAATCCAGAACAAAAGATGTCGCACGCGCCTTAGCACCTGAATAGGTGTAGCTATGGTGCACAGCACGACCTGTACGACCTTCAACAAACGATAACACGAGCGGTTTCAAGGCAAGCTGGTACTGTACACCACGAAGTGTTGCTGAGAACTTGGCCTTCTTTGGTTTGAGTTCACCGGGGAATAACTTGCCCTGACGAATTGGCGGCCACAGTGTACTCTTGAACTGACCAAGCCAGGTTTGGAAATGATGGAACGCAGCAACAGTAAGATGTACTGTGTTGAACCCTGAAGATTCCATAGAGTGGATGTTAAGAGCAAGATACATGAACTCTGAACGGAACCCACGATAACAATCATGATGTTCGACATCCTTGATATATTCAGGCATCGACAGGTGAACATCCCAGTGGGGCATGAACTTATTGGTCCGCTCCAGTGAATTAGGCACTTTTTGTTCGAACATCATACCAAGCTTCCATTGAATTTTATTTCCGAAACGCATAATGACCTTGGCAGATTCGTACATGGCGCTATAGTCTGTACGCCAGAAATCAGCACGCTCGCCAGGGAGTCTTCTAAGATAATCAGATTCCCACGTGAGATAGTTAGGAATAACGAACTCAAATGTATCAGAGCTTACAACAATGAGATCTTTGGGGTCATCTTTTCTGTTAAGCTCAACCAAGACGTTCTTACGCCATACGAACGCGAAACCAGCATTATGATCGGCCAGCTCGTAAGGACTCCTGCCTCCTTTAAGCAAAAAGTACAAAGGAGAATCGCCGAGTTCGAAAGTAAAGCGGGCATGAAGAACCAATCTGATCTTATCCCACCATCCAACAGGAGCTGAAGGATCAATTGGGGGTTTTGTGAACCCACCAAAGCCTTGCTGCAACGCAGCAAACGCAGGTTTATATGCCGGACACCAACAGATACGAGTCGGCCAGATGGATCGGGAGACAAACTTTAGGTCTGTGAACATTTTGATAGGTGCCAAAGTACGATGGATCTCTAGAACATTGACGCTACGCGTGTTCATTTCCGACGGAGGAACAGGCTGGACGGGGACAAACAGGCGACGGATGGAGCGGTCTTCGGTCTGGAGCTGTTCCGCAATGATGAAGTTACCATGGATGCGCAAAGCAGTTCCTGCAGGATCCTGGTTGTCAGCCAAAGCTGGGAAATGCAGTAAGGGTAACGGGAAATCGAACAAATCCATACGAGCACCACCGTAAGCCTTCATATCAAAATGCAAAGGTACAAAAATGGAATATCTGAAATCTTTCGGTACACCCTTTCCGACATCATGCATGAACTGCTTTGTGGAATCCATGTCGGGAAACTCTGACCGAGTGATACGCAAATCGGTATTCATGAACGCAAGAGACCAAATAGGAGGTGCATCACTGTAGTTAACAATCATTTCCTCCTCGCAAGTAACGGGGTCCATAACATCATCTGCAAAGTCATGACGACGATTGATAACACCCTGGCGCTGCTTATTACGATTGTGATTGATACTGCGGTACCAAGAACGCTCAAAGTAGCGGTGGAGTCTCTCATAAGCTTCATCAACAGAGCATTGGCCATTGAGACCAGTGCTAGGGTGATCTTCAAACTGCCATTGAACTTCCTGCTGACGCAAGTGCTTAAAGCGTGATGAAGTCCAGAAACGGTGCCAAGGATGATTTACATGCGTGTTGCCAAAATCAAGAGGGGCATCTATCAAGCGCTTAAAGAAGTATCCAACGTCACCAGAGTCACCGCGTTTAGGGCTTGGGGGTGATGTTGCCCGGGAGTTCGCCTGAGATTCTGCGGGAGTCAATGGTTCAGAATCCTCGCTTAAAGGAGTGTCATCATTTGGTTCCTTAACACGGACGGTGGGCTTAGTCTCTTCCTTGCTTTCAAGCTTTTCCAGGTAGCTCCGAATATGGTCCTTGATCTGTTTCTCAAACATCTTCTCTAACATGAATCTAACCTCGGCCTCCACGCGGCCAACCTGGAAAATGAGACCAAGATCTGCCTCGAACTTGTCATCTTCCATTTGCAACTGAAGACGGTTCGTACGAATAAACACGTTGGGAATGTTTGGTAACTTCGAGTGCTCCTTCGGGTCCAAAGTGAACAGGGGGTCGGAGAGTTTCGTTTGCTTCATCAAGGTCCTCACAGCCTTTGCCATGGTGATGGAGTTATCGATAATGCGGTAGAGCTTGAATCGGAAGGGGATGTTAATACGCATAGTGCTAATTTCGGCTTGAATTTTGTTCTCAAGTTTCTTGAGGACATCAAACTGAAGCTTCACATTGACAAAGGAGAAAACAATGCACCATGCGGAGCGGTAGAATGGATAGCGGGAGTACAAACGGAGAGACTTGGAGGTAAGCACAGGATTTTGCCTCCTTGCTATCTCAAATTTGGCATCCGTGAGCTCAAGCATGATACGGTTCTCATTGGGTAGGTCAACCTTGAAACGAACGTTGCCCATATTTCCCGTGAGAGTGCGAACGTCGGGTTGCATCTCGGCTAGATTATTGCCGCCATCTGCAACCACAGTTTCACTACCACCAGCTGACGAACGACGCCGAGCTTCTTCTGCAACTTCCATCTTTTCTGTCTCCTTAGCCCGCAGATCGGAGCCCATAGCCACATCGACAACCTCACGAATGACCATAACAGCCAATAATTGATTAATGTTGATATCAGCGACAAGCTTTGGCAAGTCGTAAGTGATAGCCATTGTGGGATCACCGCGCTCTGTCTTGGTCATAACGCTTAGCATGAAACTAGGCATCTCAAGAAGCAAAGCCTGTCTTGCAGCCTGCTCGTCGACAACCTCCATTCGAGCATTGTAATCTTCGCTAACACGAGACAATGCAAGCTCAGTGACTTCGAGTTGAATACGACGACCATCTGTGAAGGCATCAGGTGCTTTGCTCTCGGCATCCCGTACATAGTTGGCTTGCACACGACCGACTGCAACTTCCAATCCCAGCAGACTATTCTTTTGGTTTCTGAACCTGTCACTTGCAACGGCAATTTTAGCACCATCCAGAGTGAACTGCACCTCAGTGAGGAATACAGGGAGCTTCCGCAAAGGAGAGCCTGACTTTTTCTTGTGTCCACGCATTTTCGATTTGGCGCGGCTCTCCAAAGAGCGCTGTCCCACTGTAAGATACAGGATGCGAACTTTTTCAAAGATTTCCGACTGTAACAACTGAAACTGGACGTTGCCCATCCAAGCCTCGACCTTAACAGAGAGCTCAGGACGAGTGACAGCAGTAACGCGGCATCCTGTACTGTTAAAGTTGCAAATACCAAAGTGGGGGATACGTTTGGAGTGGTAGTAAGCTTCGACTTGAGAGCTTTCCAGGGTACCATTAACCTTGTAGTAACTATCAGGCTCTGCAGTGGGGTCGGCAACTTCGGTGAATACATGTGTCGAATTCAAATTACCACCAATACGAGAGCAAGAAACAATAAACATGGACTCCTCATTGTCGACAACCAGACGCATAGCCGGCTCAAGCACCAACAGACTGCAGTCAATATGAGGCAAGAGGTTCTGGAATGGAACGAGAATACGAGCCGACTTTCTAGAGCCTTTCTTTTTATGAGCTGCAACAGCCTCCGCAAATGTTTCAGTTTTCTTTTTACCGAAAAACTGCTCAATTACCTTTAGGTGATGTGTTTCGATATTAACACTAGGTGACTGAACGTTGGCGCTAAGGCGAATCAGCGATTTGTTAGCTCCCCCGGTAGACTGCACCATTTGCAAGGTTCCGCTAAAAACGTTTCCATGAGCTATAATAGTCACCATGGGTACGTAAACGACCTCTTCTCTCACTTTACCGTTGTCGATGGCTAATTTGAGAGAGGTAAGACTGAAAATGGACTGGTGCCCAACTGCATCAGGTGAACCGAACAAGAGTTTGAACCCGGGACTCTCAGTGCTCATGCGACGAACATCGAAACTAAAGTCATTCAAAGACATCGATACAGTGACTTGGCGGTCATGAAGCATGACTTTTTTCTTGAGCGGGACGTTTGAAACTGTGACTGACTGAAGCTTGAACTCGATAAGCTTTACCAGACGCAAGACAGCCATGCCAATCCAAGCAATTTCGCGGCGATGCTCGAGTTTCGATTTTGACTCAGCTGTTTCAGCGCTGCCGTTAGGCTCGGGGCTCGAGCCGTCTGCTTTGCCATTGGGTTTGGCCTCAGAACTTTCTCCGTTGGGTTTACTATCTTCATGCTCATCTTTGATGTCTGCCGGCTCAGTGCTCGTTTTCGCGGTCGTAGGTTTGGGGTCCTGTGGTTCATCTGAGGACAGCTCGGCGGTTTTGATTTTGGCAAGAATCTGCAGGAAACGTTCGCAATTGATGTTCACGATACCGCCCTGTAAACCGAATTGGAGCTCCTTAAGACTCAATTGCTCCTTGTTGAGCACACCAGAGAACGTCAAAGACAAAGAATCGAGCACTTGGTGAGGATCCTCGTCGTCGAGCGATGTAGCAATGTACACATCGGCCAGTTGCAGACGAGAAATGATCTTCATTTCACCGGGTTTGAGCTCGTATGAATCGAGAGTTTCAACGGTGCGAGTTCGTGTTGCACTTTTGTGATTCAAGCTGCGGCCATCCATTCTATACGAAGAGTATCCCACGACCAATGTAGCAACATCTGTATAAGTGACCGATAACGACCCGAAGTTAATATCAATGACCTTCAAACGAGGCAGCAGCCATTGGGCCATGCGGAAAAGCTGTTTATTAGACTTTGGCACCAATTGGATGGTCTGGTGTTCATTGAAGAAATCCTTGGTCTCTTTGCGAGAGGGCATGTCGGCGCCGTTCTTGGGCTTCTTCTTGGCTTTCTTACTCTCCTCAAGAGGGAATCGATTTGAAGATAGCGTTTTGGTGTCAATAACCACCTCGCAGTTGTTGACATGCAAAGAAATCCATCCTGGGCGAGCAACCGTAGGTCGGTGGAACGAAATGCCGAGTTTCCCAATGTGCACTTCGACTCCCGTCTTGGGATGGAAAACAATATGCTTTAGACTGAAATATCCTATCCGTTTGATGGAGATGCCCGTAAAGATTCGCAAGATGGCGAAAACTACTAGGGTCGCCAGATAGAGAACAGCAAATATCGTAACTAGCTGCGATAACACCATCAATTGCAGCTTGCCGTAGCGCTCAAACACTGACAGTTGGTTGGCGCTTGACATGCTGGAGAGCAATGGATAGGTTGATTAGAAGGGCAGAAATGGCAAGAGAGTTTAGAGAGCTGAGGTAAGGTCAGGCTTGTGCGTGCATAGGATTTCTGGAGGCCAGGTTGGGGGATGTGCAGGCTGATCTGGGGAGTGTGTTGTAACTGGTTGTAGGTTATGGAAGAGGCTGCGTATGGAGGTCTAGTTATTTCGGTAATTGCTCGCGGTGGCTCACTGAGACCGCAAGTGTATTCTGGAGAACGCCCCAAGCCCTTACCACCATGCTTATTGTACAGGGCAAAGGTTGTCTCCGCTGGGTTTTGGCACCTGATAAAAGTCGCGCATACACCTGTCTAGGATAAGGTGATCCGATCGTGTTTTATTGGCGATCTCTCGGCCCACTCATGCCAGAGGTGCGTGATGGCTTTGGCCCTGGCCAGGCATCCCCTCTCCCGAAAAACAGCATGTTGGCACCGGTTCTGCAAGGCACTGAAAGTGCTGCATGGCTGGCGAATGGAAACGCATGGTTGGGTGTAAAAGGGGTGTAGGGCAAACTGGTCCGAAAGGTTGCTTTTTACCCATCCAACCCCTCTGAGTCGGTTGTTAGTCAGCGATGGGAGATCTGGCGGAGGGTGAAAAAAAAAACTTCGTAAGGGAGTTGTCAAACTTACTCTGTTGAAAAAAAAAATGGCTCCAAAGAAGAAGGGACAGCGCATGGCTCTTGGTGAGTTCATCAGTGAGTTCGGTGATGCTGCCGATTCGTCTTCCTGGGCTGACGACGAGATGCCCTCTGTCGCCGCCGTGTCCGATGATATGTGGAGCGGCTCCAGTTCGGGGTGGGGCGGAAGGCCTACTCGTCTGATGCGCGAGGCAGTTCCTGTTCCTACCTCTCCTCCCTACACTGCTCGGTTGATCAGTTTACCGTATGAAATCAACGAGACTGTTATTTCCCAATTCTTCGTTGATCAAGGGCTGGCTGTGTCCAGTGTCCGTCTGCCCAAAGATGTCGAGGCCGGCCGCATCCGTGGCTATGGCTTTGTTGAGTTTGATGACCGTGAGTCGCTTGTCCAGGCTCTGGGATGCGAGGGTAAGATGCTTGGCGGCCGTGCTCTCCGTATTGCTGTTGCCGAAAACCGTATGGGTGGTGAGCGCGATCGCACTGATGATGACTGGCGCTCTGGTCGCCGTGGGCCTTTGCCTCCTTTGGAGCACGGTGGTCGTGGTGGCGGCTTTGGTCGTCGTGGCGGTTTCGATGAGCCCGAGCTCGACTGGAGCGCTCGTCGTGAGCCCCGTGAGCGCGAGCCTCGCGAGTTCCGCGGCGGTGACCGCGGTGGATTCGGTGACCGTGGCGGATTCGGTGGCCGTGGGCCCCGCCCCCCTCGCGATGAGCCTGATCTTGACTGGTCTGCTCGCCGCGAGCCTGCCTTCACCCGCCCTCCTCGTGCCAATCGTCCTCCTCGCGCGGCAGAGCCCGAGCTCGACTGGTCCGCTCGTAAGACTCTCCCTGAGCTGCCGAACAAGGCCAAAAGCCAAACCCAACAGCCTCGCCGCAACGACGGCCGCTCTCGTAACTTTGAAGAGTGGGGACGGGCTGCTCCTGGTGCCGGCAACGCTAACGCACCGGCTGCTGCAGCTACCACCAGTGGCACTAAAGACATTACGAAGGGCTTTGCCGTGCTGAGCACCGATGACGAGCCTCAAGAATCTGTCAGAGCTACCCCTGCTACAGCTGTGAAATCGACTCCTGCGGTGCCGGCTACCGTTGAGACTTCTGCTCCTGCCGAGCAACCTGCTGAGGGATCTTGGTCTGTTACCAGCTCCGGTCGTCATTAAAAGTAAAAAAGATGTTGTCTGCCAAGTTTCTACGGCTGGTCTAGGTGTTTCTCTCGCCCGTCTTTTGTTTTAGTTGCTATATGCTATATATTAAATTTCTTCGCCATAAATGTGCTCATTTACCCACCCTTACCCTCAGCGAGCAAACATTACCCACACCATCAACGGGTTTTTTTCCCTTCTTTCAACTTAGTCATGGGAAACAATAGTTCGAAACCAGGCCAGAGGCGCAATGAATTAACGCCTGGTTTCTCTAGAACCGATACGCAGACCTCCACGAAGAGTGGAAGGTCTATAAGATCACATAAATCAAACAAGTCACGAAGATCGCTCAGTGCGGGCGATGACGGGAGTGGTGGCGGACGGGCTGCTGCGGCTGCGGCGCTAGCTTCGGGCCCATCGCATGGTAGCGGGTCGTTAGAAGCAAGTGCACCGACGTCAATTCCTGCTTCTTCAAATATGGGGTCGGCGATGGCGCACTCTGTCGGCGCAAACGAATCAACCGATGGTTACCCGTTCCCCAATGTTCCGCGCAGTCTGCAAGTTCACGAGGCCAAAGAGCCTATTCTTATGTATCGTGACAAGGATGGTAATATCACGAACTCGCTCACTCCTTACTCGGAGAGCGGGCCTGCTGCGAGCGGAGGCACGCCCAACGCTGCCAGCAACCCCAGTGCAAGCAAAGACACCTCGACCGCTACGAGCGCCAACTCGACGTCCACATCGCTTGGAGTGCCATCTACACCGGGAGCAAAGCCCGGAGCGATTGATATGCCGGCAGCTTTGACCCCTAATATCAATGGTGAGCTGCCGTTTGCTGGGGGCCTGACCCCACGAACCCCTGGAGCCAGTCAGCTGATTGGCGGACCTAGCGGTCTCATTAATTTGGACGATACTATACAGTTGCTACTGGATGCAGGATTTTCAGGCAAGACCACGCGCTCATTCTGCTTAAAATCGTCTGAGATTGCCGTCATTTGCCAAGCCGCTCGTGAGGTATTTTTGTCCCAGCCGACCCTGCTGGAGCTAAGCCCACCTGTCAAGGTGGTTGGGGATGTACATGGTCAGTACGGAGATTTGTTACGATTGTTCAACATGTGTGGATTCCCTCCGGAGTCGAATTATTTATTTTTGGGCGATTATGTGGATCGAGGCAAGCAGTCCCTCGAGACCATTGTACTGTTGCTTTGCTACAAAATCAAGTACCCGGAAAATTTCTTTATTCTGCGAGGCAACCACGAGTGTGCGAGCGTGACGCGTATCTACGGGTTCTACGACGAGTGCAAGCGGCGGTCAAGCGTCAAAACGTGGAGAATGTTTGTCGACACTTTCAACACCTTGCCAATCGCCGCCGTGGTTGCTCAAAAAATCTTTTGCGTGCACGGTGGCTTGAGCCCATCGCTAACAAGCATCAACGACATTCGCAGCATTGAACGGCCGACCGATGTGCCCGATTACGGGTTGCTGAACGACCTTCTGTGGAGTGACCCAACAGACTCGCCGAATGAGTGGGAGGATAACGAGAGAGGTGTTTCTTATTGTTACAACAAGGTTGCAATTAACAAGTTTTTGAGCCGCTTTGGTTTCGACCTTGTGTGCCGGGCACACATGGTTGTCGAAGACGGCTACGAGTTCTTCAACGACCGCTCGCTCGTCACAGTGTTCAGCGCACCAAACTACTGCGGTGAGTTCGATAACTGGGGTGCCGCCATGTCGGTTAGCGAGGAACTCTTGTGCTCTTTCGAGCTGCTCAAGCCGCTGGACTCGGCTGCCCTTAAAGAGGAAATGCGCCGCGAAAAGGAGGTGCGCAGAACGTCGCTTGCAACGACGCCTTCGTAAATAACATTGCATTTTTCCAAAACCCTATTTAATATCTGAATAAAGTACCTGGCATACTTTGTCTAAAGGCAAATCCCGAACCGCAGCCGAATGAGCAAATAAATAGTCCCCGTCGATCTTAGCGTCGAGATCGGTGATGGTTTCTGGTCGTATTGGATCGAAAGTAAGTACCTCGATATTGTAGCTTGTTAATGCAACGTAAATGTACATGAGCAACACCAGGACAAACGCTGGCACCGTCAGTGCCCACCACCGGGAGGGGTAGTAGTATATTTGTATTGATTCGAGCCATGCCTGGGGTGTGAATGCCCATATAATGTAGATTATCAAAACCACCGAGGCAGTGAGGTAGTATGCGAATCCAAAATACTCCGTAGACAGCGGCACCTCCTCGGTTACGTGTGATTGTTTCGCCAGCTCGTCGTTGGCATCTCGTATGTCCATGACTAAGTCCACCCGTCAGCGCGGTTAGCGGTAGTTAGCGGTAGGCCATAGACAGGGTGCAGAGGCAGGACGCTGGGTGTGCATTGGGCAGTTGGCTGCCATTTGCCAGGGTTGCTGTAGGCATATTGGCAGGCAGCCAACCCGCATAACACGTAGTTGGTATGATAGCTATCTGGTCCGCACCCCGGTTTATCTCGCAGGCCCCCACGGTCAGCCTGACAGCACATCAAGTTATAGCTTTGCAGTCCGTCTCTGTCCCACAGCTCGGTGATTCCTTCGTCAATTGACTCCACCAATGCCCAACAGCCGCCCACCCAGTGGCCGTAACACCCGTCGACCAGTTTGTTAATCCGCCCGCTGAACCCAGGAACCACGTGCTGCTGACGGGCGACTAGCCAGGAAATAAAACCAGGCAAGTCAATTGTTTCAGCAATGTTCAAGTCGGGGATAAGATGCAGTGTGGCCAAAGCACAAAACGCATAGCCTCCGTGCGCTTCGGCTAGAGGCTGGTTTCCAAAGCCCCCTTCGTAGGTTTGACAAGTTTTAATGTAAGTAGCAACATTTTCAGTTAGCTTTTTGTCCATAATTTTCAGAATTGATGCAACAGAGAGCGCGCAGTACGTAGCTCGAGGGTCGGTTTCACCGTGCAGACACATTTTGAAAGACCCATCGGGTTGTTTCAGGGTTAACAGCCACTCGCATAACTTTTTTCTGTCAATCTTGCTCCATGCTGCGGGAGAGGTGTGCGCAAGAGCCATAATGGAAGCATAAGTGCAAGCCAAATGGGCGGGCTGACCGAATCCACCACCAAACCCACCATCCGGATGCTGGCACTTGAGAAGAGTCGCCTCAATTTCACCTCTCAATTCACTTGTGTCTACTCCCATAAGCGCCAGCCCATTGACTGCCCAAAACACCATCCATGGACGGGAAGCGTCAAGAGAAATGAACCCCGAGGACAAATTGCCCAGCATCCCTCTAAGAAACTTGACATGTTTGTCTCTGAAAAACACAAACAGCTCGGGATTATCCTCTTGCTCAAGTAAGGGCACACACAAGTCCTCGGTTTCGCGCTGCTCTCGAAGCGTCCTCGTTTCCAACATTTAAAAATCCACTGATTCGTCTTAGTAACTTTGGTTCACGGGGCTGAGACAGGATATATGTCGAGCAGTTTGGCGTATGCACAGTATTACTATGCATTAGGGAACTACGACAAGGCCTTAGGATTAGCAAAAGAGGGATTGAGATATTTGAATGGGCTGATGGGGAGCGGTGCTGTGGAGAACCCCAAGCAGCGGATGACCGCCGCCTTGAAGGTGTACGACATGATTGAAAAGCGCGAGCTGCTGGCCAAGGAAAAGTCAATAGAGCTCGTAACCTCTAAAATAGGCTCCATTATCGCGCTGCCGGATTGGGCGTGGCAATTGGAGTACCTGGGCATTGCGGATTTCCAAGATGAATATGTCGACGAAATGGAATCGTGGGACAGCGACCTCAAAATCCAATGGGTTCCGTCAGAATTTACGGCTATGGATGTCCCGAACGACGAGATAGTTCAAAGTTCGCTTGGTGATTGCTCGGTCGTGGCTGGTCTTATTGCGATGAATTCTCACGGAACGTCACTAGCTTTATGCCGCATCTATCCGCAAGTCAATGGCACAGCTGTTTTATCGCCATCAGGCAAGTACCTGGTCTGTGTTACGACAATGGCAACCACCAGAGTTGTTGAGATCAGCGACAAGAGACCTGTATCCCGAGGGTCTCGTCCGCTCCACCTGACCACAAGTAAAGGATCGGCGTGGCCCTTTTTGCTTGAAAAGTCCTACATGAAGCTAATGGGCGGCTACACGTTCTCGGGAAGCCATGCTGCGATCGACGTGTATCGGTTAATTGGCTGGCTGCCATTCACTACCATTCTCACCAATTGGGCAGCTGAAAATCCTGGCAAATCGCTGGCAGATCTGTTTGGCAAGTGGAAGCAAGACTGGACTAATGGCCAACTGATTTTGTGTTTGGGAACTGGCCCTGATGTTGTCGAGCCTCTAGTACCGAATCACGATTATGCCATTGTTAGCATGGCCAAAGACAAAGCCAAGGTCGTTAATCCATGGGTTAGCGGCACTGGCAGTCGGTGGTATACCTGGGATGAAATTTCCAGCTTGTTCAGCATGCTCTATTTGAATTTTGACAAATGCAAATGGGCCCACAGGCACGTGGCACACGCGATCATGTCTGTCAACCGCCTCACTGAAAAAAAATACGATCTCGGTGCATATCCCCAGTATACTGCGCACAATGTGTCCGATGAACCGGTCCCAGTTATGGCTTATGCAGGAGTTAAACGGGATTTTGATTTCAAAGGGTTTTTGAGTTTGCAGGCGTTTTCATGTGACCACAAAGTTTACTCTCCTCAGATGGCAGAGCTTTTGGGCAAGAGCACAGAAACAAATACTCTGTATACTGATCTCAGTGTGATTATACCGCCCAAAAGTAGTGTTACGTTTGTTGTTCATTCTAAAGAGCTCAAGGGAGATAAGGATCTGGCCGTGTTTGTGTTTGAGGCCTTGACCGATAAACCAGTTCATTTTCTCAAACCTGTTAAAAGTATGGAAGCCTCCATTGAGGGCAGCTGGGCTGTAGACCGGGCATGTTCACTGACGGACGCTAGCTTGGGTGACAACTCTCAATTTTACGTTGACCTTGACACACATGCATCCCAACTGGACATTTACTATATTCCAAAATGCGACAACATTGCGTCTCTATACAGTCAGCTTGCTGTTTTCTACGGAGATCCTTCTTCGACCACGGCAATTCCAGCACCGGACGTGTCCCGTGCTTTAGCGGTCAATGCAGTGTATAATCGATGCAGCACAAGCATACGATTGACACGCTTGTCTCCTGGTCGATACATTGTCATTCCTGGGTTATCGCAGCCCGCCAGTGGGGATTACTCGCTAATAGCTTCATGTGATGTGCCTGTTCGTATTGGCAAATCGTCACCAGTGCACTCTGGGCTGTTTGAACGACAATACGTATGCCGTGGCCCAGACGTCGAGGTACAATTTTCCACACCGCAACCCTGCGATATACATTTTCAAATTGATTCCGAAGTCGAAGCCCGACTCTGTGTTTACGACGCGCAGGGACAGCCATTGGCCGCCAGCAACAACTCGGAATTCAAATGCGGGCGTTCGTTTTTGCAAATAAACTCTAACCTCGGGTTTTGCAAAGTCGAGCACTCCCGCGGGCCCGACTTAGTCCTCCAAGCTTTCGCTACATTTCCCGTGGACCTGAAATCTGCTGACCAACCGTAAACAATGGTCTCCAAAAAAATCGCACCGCAGCTGGATCTGCGGATACGGAAAACGCCACTAAAGGAGCGGCTGCTGTCGCTTCCTTTTGACTATTATTTATCTCTTTCGGAATGGTGGGCTACCAAAACCTGGAATGAGCCTGCAATTGCTGTCGCCGTCGGCGGCCTGGCCAACGCCGTGATGATGGCTTGCAGCTCATTGTATGTGCCTTTCGACGGCGTTTTTCAGCAAAACCCCCGATCACGGCCCGCCCTGGCGTGTGCACTTGTCCTTTTTCTCGGGTCCTCTGTTAACATGATCGTGTCGCTCAAGATCACCAAAAAATACTCGCTGCTGGCTCAGCCGGTAGACGAGCGGCCCAAAAGTAACAACACTACGCTTGATGATGACGTGTGGGTGCTCAACACCTGGCGACCCGACACTTTATGGTTTTACACTCTACAAACGTTTTCGCCGGTCCACGCGCTAGCAGCATGGTTTGCTCCCGCGATGGCCGCAGTTTTGATTAATGTGGGCTTGTCGGCGTTGTTGTTTGTGGTTTCCATGTCCTTCCAGTCGCTGGTTAATGACAGATTTATTGTTGACTCGAACGTCATGAAAGAATACACTTGCAAAGTGGTTTATCCTGCTACCAGCGTAGCCACACGAGATGTGTCTGTTCAGACCGACCGCGCAAAAGTGCTGGCTGGGCCTTCAACGCCACGACGAGAGTTCATCCAACGGGACGTCCGAACACCGCACACGCCGCTGCGGAGCCCCACACACAGTCCGATGCGTACTCCTATGCGCACTCCGCTGCGCGCTTTACCGACCAAAAAAACATCGTTGAGAACATCCTTTGCCCCTAATCTTCCGCATACTCCTCGTCAATAGAAAAGCAAATAAATACCTAGAGGTCATCCCATCCAAACACCGCCTCACGCAATTTCTTGGCACCCCAAGACAGCCATCCTATCTCTTTCTCCAACGACTCCGGGGCATGAATAGATAGGTGCGGGAGAGTCACGCCGTGTTTCTCCTTGTGTTTGAATAGTGACGTGGCGGGCGCTTTTATCACCAGCTTGGCCGGATCGCTCACGCTGGGGGCTGAGCTGGGAGGTGACGGCTCTACAACCGGTTGAGGCTCTGGGAGCTTTCCAGTGATCGACTTGTCGAGGATGGAAGACACATCCGCCAAAATCGACGTATCGCTCTCATCAACAAGTAGTGAGTTATATGCAGAGGGAGCAGGCACGCCATCACCTCCATCAGCCAAAACCGCACCAACAACAAATTCTCCGGGAAGCATGCGGCCGTTCTCGCCAACTGCACGTTCAGCAGCCTGGCGGTCTTTGTAGCGTAGTCTAAGCCAATTACGGCCACACTCAATGGCCGGTGGGGTCGACGTATTGGGAGAAGCACTAACGACGTTGGACGAATTCTCAATGATGGTGCCGAATTGCGAGAAATGCTGAATTACAGCCATAGTCATCCCGGCTGGGAACCCAAACACCAAGACAGCAGTGTCCTGGTGCGCGGCTGTATCGCGAGACGGAGTGACAGCAGGTTTAGACTCGGTCTTGAAAGATATCTCGCTTAAATCTTTGGTCCTGTTGATGTGAATCGACTCACTTGGTGGCAAATCAGCGTCAGCTGGCTTGCGAAGGGTTTTCGGTGCACCAAACGATGAGCCCTGTGCAGAGAATATCGAGCCGGAAACCGAGGTCCGTCGAAACGAGGACGGCATCTCTTCGCCTGTCTCAAAGGACGACCGCGTCGTTCCGCTATTTAGATGCGTAGGCACAAACCGTTTACCGTCGCCGGCCCAAGCAGGAAGAGGCTGGGTCATGATTAGTGATCGCCAAAATCGCGATTGTACATATATAGCAGTTTTAGCATTTTAAGCGACCTAGTTGATTAAGGAAGCCTTTTCATATAGCATATCCACAACACTTGACATGTGTTTGACAGTCTCGAGACCCAGCTCGTATGTTTTATCAGGCGACGGCTCAGGATACACATAGAGCCAGCCATTACCTTGGTCAAGCACGCCGTAGAACACCTTGTCGAGGATCATCAGGCTTAGTTTTTCTTCGATCTGTCGTGTTTCCAACCCCAGCTCTTCGGCAATATGCTCAATCTCTACGCATTCGTAAGGCTCAATGACTTTGACGAGATTGTCCTGGAGCATTTTGTCGTACATGGCGCTGAGGTGAGACCGAATGAATGGATCAGCAGTGAGCACATCACGGTATTGAGCAAGCACCTTGTCAAACTCAGACAACGACCGGTTCCGGTTCGCGGAGGCCATAGCTCGCATCGCATCGATGTCCCGACCAGCGTACTGCTTGACAGTCTTATTAGCAACGAGCTGGTCCACATCATCAGTCAAATTGAGCATAATCTTGACCAAAAAGAGATACCGTAAAACGTCGACCGCCCGCGGATCGTTCTGGCCAGCATACCCTTCGAAGGCTTCATAAAAGTACGAAAACGCCGTCTTGTAGTCACCGTCCTCGGCCTGCAGAACACCCGACACCGTGTCGAGCTCGGCTTGTGTTTTCGGTGGACAGTAAATACTGTTGGCACTGGTTCGCGCCGACGTGAGACTTGCCCGCGCCTTGGGCAAATTGCGCAAAGCGTGATAAACCTTCGCTTCCAGCAGTTGGACCTCTACAAGCATCATCTTGTCGTCCAACTTTTTCAATTCACGCAACAAGTCACCGATAAGTTTGATAGCTTGCGTGTACGACTGCTTTTCCGATAAAAGCGCCACCAGCCTCACCTGGAGACCCTGGCGGAGGAAGCTGCGGTTCTCAGCAATCGCCCAATCAACACACTCATTGATAGTAGCAATCTGAATGTCAACGCTATCGGGGATCTTGCCCATTGCGTCGACTAGCGAACGAATGATCTTGGCCGTCTTACTCTTGGCGTAGCCCGAAGTGACTTCTCGTGCAGTGGTCACCAGTTCTCGCACCTTTTCTGCATCTTTCTGTTCGACATAATACTTTCCTAGCACTTCAAATGCCTTCTCTTGTTCTTGCACTTTCTTATCGTCCTTGCCTGGATCACTGCGGACAATTCTTTGCGCTTCCTGGACGTCGACAGTCATGATGACAAAGGATAAATCACAGTGTCCTCAAACCGCCAAAATATAGTGGTTTATAGTTGAATTGTATCTACCATTTATTGAGTTCTGCACGAGCCAGACTATCCAAAAGATCGGACAGTCTGTTGCTGGCAACAAATACATTATAGAGCTTGGAGTTTTCCTCGGCGACAACAACCGCCATTTCCAGGGACTTTTCATACAAATTAGCGGCATCCAGAATGCGGATAGCCTCCAATATTAGGATTGGGACGTACTTGATCCACAGAGATGCCTGTCTAGATGCCTTGCTTGCCTCAGGACCGAGAATTGTGGCGGCCCTCTGCGTGGCCTCTGCCACAGTGGTAGCTTGTTCAGGTGTGGGGTGTTCAACCGCCTCCCACCTTGCAATCGCATCAAAGGCTTGGATCAAAACCGCATAGTGTTCAAGATCGGCTTTTAGGTTGGGCGAGATCCCCGTGGCCTGTTGGGCGACATCGTCCAGGCCAGTAACATCACTCAATCGTCGCAACGCGGCAATTTCGCCATGTCGCAGCAGGGCATCCGCAACAACGGCCACAGTCTCTGCAGTGCTATCCCAAAGCTGTGCTTCCCTGAGCCATTCGATAGCAGCAATTAATTGTTGGGCATGTTGGCCCACTTGCTCAGTCTCAATTTCGTCATGTACATCATCTTCGACAAACATGTCAGAGTTCTGTTGCAAAATAAGGTTCGCAGCTGTCTTGATACTTTCTTTGATGGGCAAGTCGAACTTGGACGCAATTTGTAGTTGCAGTTGCCGCTGGGGGGCTGCTGCAATCTGAGCGAGAACCCGGCCATATACCTCGGCCATAGCTTGCTTGGGCAAAAATCTAACATAGCCTGGAATCCAATGCCACTTCTCCAACATCTCAAGATACGAAATGTAGGCATCAATCACCAACTCTGAATCTTTGGCAGCGACACCCTGCGGGGCTACCAGAGCCAAGTGAGCAGCAATTCGAACATAACTTGGATCAGCAGATACGGTATCTGGAGCACTGGCCAGCAGATTGATTTCCTTTGCTACCTCTGCTTCAAGCTCGCCGATTTTGTCGGAGATCACTGCACCCATTACTCGGTAGATGAACTCGTTACTTAAAGGCAGTTTCGCCAAAGCCGCAAAAACGTCATCAAAGGACTTGTAAGGGCACACAGGAAGGGCAAGTTTGATTTTTTCGCTAGAGAAACGTTCAGAACATACCAAGGAGTTCAGCATCACGATAAACTGCTGCTCCCAGGTTGTGCAAAGTGGCAGGGCTGATTGGACATCTCCGGCCAGAAATCCATAGACTGCTCTTTCGGCGATAGTAATATTAGATGTAGTGGAAACGGCAAAACACGTTGCGGCAGTTAACGCAGTTATTTGAGCCTCTAGTAGAGCTTTGAGCTGCCAATTGTTTGTTGACGAGCAGACTCGCGCGGCCTTTTTGCGTTTCCCAGCAAGGAGAAGATCGAAGATGTAATTAAACACAGTGGCATCTGCCTCGGCATCACTTGCGTCAATAGCAGCTCCTTCTCGTACCGGCGCATCTAGATCCAGCATTCTAATTGAACCACCTTGACCAGCCCTCACCTGCGTGGTTGTGTGAAGCCATTTCGTTGCGGTAAAGTCCGACGGCTCGGCAGGCGTGATTTGCATTTCCATGAGCCATGCGAGTACTTGGGAATGCCGCCCAGATTCTGTGTGGTTTATGCTCGCCTGTACTGTCTGCACCAGCGACCACAACCGAGCCTCGCGTTCCAGCGCAATAAACTCGGGGTTCTCGGCACCCTGCTGTTGGTTCACCTGGACCGCCTGCTTTCGCACTGCCTCCTGAAATGCCTCGGCAAGCACGGCTCCGTTATCTGTCCTTTGAACAGCCTCCGCGAACTCGTCCACTTCCATGTTGACAAACCAGTTTTTCTTTTTGGGATTCTGAGATTTGGAGGTTTGGTCACGTGATCATTAGGCCCGGACTCTATTATCTACAACGTACTTAGAGCAGCTACCATTTTATTTGCCGCGTGCACATGCCATGGCATGATTGTTAGGCTTGTGCACACGCCGTTATACTCAGCCAAGCTGGCAAGGCGTCTGTACTGTCCCAGAACCTGTTTCATGATGCTAGTTGGCTGCTGGGCCTGAGCGTAAACGAGCACAACCTCGAGCAGCTGGTACCCCTTGAGAGCGGCGGGAACAAGCGGTTTGATCAGAACTCCCGTCACCAGCGGCGGTGCACTTATGCCCCAGGTTTGACTCTGGTTTTTGAACACAATGCCATGTGTCTCGTCGAGCGCGGCAACAATTACATTGTCGTTGCGGCCCTCTGCTGCACTTGCACTCGTTGGTGTGGTTGGAGTGGCTGGTGCAGCGGGCGATGCTGGGCGTCCAGACGACTTGAACTCGGTCATGCTGACATGCGGGAAGAGCACTTCTCCCTCGTGGACATTCAAAGGCCGCGTTTGGGGTAAATGCAAAAGATAAGGGAAGGCCAATTGTGTTTGCTGTTCCCATCGTACATCTGCAACTCGGCGCCAGATCCCAACCTCGGCTGCATCCATGTATCCACATTTGATGATGGACACAGTCCAACGGGCATTCCGGGGCGAGTCTCCAATTGAGGCGCACAGTTGGCCCGTGCGTCGCCAAATGTCCGACAAAACAGAGTCCAAGTTCCGCAGCGTACGGTCAACATGTGGTTCTCCTGTGGGTCCAGCCACGGGATTTCCTGGATCACTGTTCGACAAGCCGAGTACAGGTGAGCTGGCTCGGGTTCGTAAGAGGCCCGCCAGACGCAGAACTTCCACCTTGGTCACATTTGCCCACTGATCCGTCCAGGCTACCGTAACCCATCGTCTGTCGGGTGTAATGGCGTAGCACACATGCATCATTGGATCATCGTCTAAAATTTGCGACGGGGGTCGAGGCTGGAATTTGATCGAAATAGAGTGCGGTGCAAGCCGTGCAAGTGAAAACGCTGGCAAATAGAAAGGTCCGCCATAGTTTATGGTGGTATGAGGTACCCACCTGTCGTACAAAAGTAAAGCGTACTTCATAAGTCGGTACTGAGATGTTGGCGCCTCAGCTCCCTCTTTTGACACAAATGAGTCGATTGAGCACAAAACCCATCTCACTTGAGGAAAAGTAGCCCTTATAGCTCTAAAGCCCCGTGCCAGTGGTAGCAGTGATGTTCGAGGGCTCGGTGGAAATGCCATCACGATGACTACCTTGGTGTCAGAGTCTAGCTCTTGTAATTGGCGTTTTAAATAGGAGCACGATGTTTCGAATAGGTCCCCAACAGTATCCGGACTAGTATAGTCTAGGTCGGTTGAGATATTCAAAATTCCATTCACTACCGAAGCAAATGTAGGCAACTCCATTTTACCTAGATGGCAGCTCTCGTACATCTCCTTCAGTGCTCGCATACCTATCCTTGCATGATTAACAACCCTGGGCGAGGCAAGAGTCAAAACAATAAGTGAAATATCCCTCTGCTCATTGTTGGGTTGCAATCCGAATGCCCTCCAAAATCTCAAAATTGATGCGCGGGCTTTATGGGGCTGATCACCTCGCGTTACTGAATACAAAGGAGGCGAGAGAAGAGTGAAGCTCTCGGTCTTTGTCTTTGGACTAGAAGGTAATGGCACAACTGATGTAACTGGGGCCACGCTAGGAGAAGATGTTTTGCTGCCTTCTGGACTATGCACCCGTGATCCAACTCGGCTCGACGGTCGGCTAGGAACTCTACCGATTCGTGTAGCATTGGTCCACGAACCAGGGGTGGCAGAGGCCGCTGGCTGCGTTTCTGCATCGATCGACGTCACCGAGCCTCGAGTACTGGGCGCAGCATCATTATCAATCATAGCCGGAACACTGCCAGACGCCTCGGCAATCGTCACACTTCGAAGGTCAGGATATATTCCTCGAAGACGAATACGATCTGCTTCGGAAATTGGCTCAAGCTCTCCCATATTTGGCGCAAGCTTGAGCATTGATTCAAGTCCACTACCATCAAAGACAACTTGGGCCATAAGATATTGAAGATCGTCGATGGAGATGTTATCGGCTGAAACAAGGCCCGACTGGTTGGTCAGGGCGCTGATCCATGCGTCGGATACGGAATTCGAGATTTCCGCGTATCCTTTACGGCCAGCGGATTTATAGTATCCGTGTTCAATATCGAAATTTTCATCTTGGATATCGTACATTTCGGCATCTCCGGTGCTGTCTTCTTGTTCGTTTTCCTCATCCTCTTCATCCTCTTCGTCTTCCTCCAATTCTTCATCGTCAGCTTCATCGACATCATTATCATTATCGGGGTCGTAATTTTCATCCATCATTTCTGTATCCTCAAGAAGCTCTCGCTTTTGGGGTTCTTCGTTCGACGTACTTGGCGAATCTCGAAGTTTTTCGTCCTCTTCTTCTTTAACAAAAGTAAAGTACCGGCCACCTTGTGTGTATTTAGCATCCAGCGAATCTTGAGGAAATCGCAGCGCTGAAAAGGAGCTTTTGCCCTCATCCTCGATCTGCACCTCTTCGACAACATTAGCTTCGATCTGTGGCTCGTCAGTGATTGCCTCGGGTAATTGTTCAGGCTCTTCTTTTAGATTTTCTTCATTTTCAAGTGGAGCATCGTAAAAGTTGAAATCGGCAACTGTAATATCTTCCTCGTCCCACCCGTCCGATGTAGGGCTCCAGTCACGCACCGGGGACGGATCGCCTGGTGTGGGATATACAGGGTGTTCATTTGCTGGTACAACTGAATCTGGAGGAACCGACGCTGCTGCTGCTCTCGCAGCTGCAGCCGCAATTGATATAGGAGCAGCAGGGCTTTCATGGTTGACCGCGGACGGCGTTGGAGGAGGAGGGGGTACAGATGCAGTTGCCAGAACCGGCCGCCTTGATCTGAATGTACTTTGTTGCAAAAAGCCCCTAGTAGCTAGAGGAAACGCCTCTGCAGCTGGTTCAACACTGGATTGCGCGGTATTGGGTGCATTGTTTTTGGCATTTGCCAAAGCTTCCTGCATGCAAAGCATGTTGTCACCCAGTGCAGTGAATTCGTCAGGTTCGTTTAGCCAGCTTAGGCCTGCCTGATAGTTTCCACCGGCAATTGTCATTACAAGGGCTGCGGGCCACAGAAAATCCTTACCATCCAGAGCAACTCGGACCCAAGGAGACTCATCGAGGGCAGAGGCATCGATGGTAAAGTGTACAACCCTTTGCACTACTGACAGGAAACGACGGCTCATCATTGGAGAGGGGACAGAGGATGCCTCGACCAAAAGGGCTTGACGGCCAGAAGGGATCAGCCACACTGTTTTGGACTCTTTTCCTTGAGCGGGGATGAGGTTGGCCCTCTCAGCGGTTAGTCGTAGGTTGAGCTCACCAGTGCTAGTGACTGCAGCCTTTATATGCAATAATGATCCATCGTCTGTAGATATGAGGCTTGTTTTGCCAAACGGCTGCAGTGGCGGAGATACTTGAGACAAATACGCGATACAGCGGCCCTCGATGGCAGTGAGGAACGGCCAAGGCCGGGGGATGTGTTCTTCTGAGGCGAGGTATTCCGGTTTAAGTGTACCGCTTGATACAACTGTCATTTTGAACTGACTAGGTGGGACGGGCAGTTCGTTTTCTAGAGAGAATACCCACAGCTCTCGACCAGATGTCGAGACCAAACAGCTGGGGTCATCGTAGCGCATAGCAGCCTCGACCATTTGAGCCATAATCGTATCCTCATTGCTTGGTCTTGCCGCATAAACCTTATAAGCGACTGTTGATATTCTGGCGGCCTCAAACCAATTTCCAACCACCTTCTCTGTCGGCACGACCATGCTGACAGGGAAGGTTGCAGAGATGGATGAGCGCGGTGACTTTTGTGGAGGCAGTTTTGATTCAATTGCCTGCGTATCTGTTGAGTGTTGGAGGTATTTTAAGCTTGATTTTTGGTTGTATTCTGTTGATATGTTGTGGGGTGTTACGAAGGTTGATTAGACGGCGTAGTTTATTAGGCTAGAACACTACCGATGAATCGAGATCGAACTCAAAGCGAAATTAAGGGGATGCAGACGCAACAAGGAAAGGCGAGAAAAATAGAGTAAAGGAGCAGAGGTAGAGAGAAAAGATGAACAACAGAAGAGAGGGCACTACCCAACAGAGGACACTACGGCAGGGTGGTAACGGAAACAGAGCAAACAAACGACCTTTGCCCAAACATAGCAACAATTAGACTACAAACGAAAGCAAGACAGGCTGCGTATTGAAAGTGGACGAAAATAAATAGTTGATGCACAGAAGCCGATTCTTCTTACCGATATGCACAGACGCGCAGAACGATGCTCTTTACCAGGCAACCATGCACAGCCAGTCTGCACCTATAAACAGTGCAAAGCACTAATTACTGAATCGCAACAATTGATTGACCAAAGGCCCCGCAGATCTATTAAAAAACAACCACGAATGGCACCGATTGGCGGAGAAGGCTGGGCCAGCTTACCGAAGCGGCTCAACAGGGTAAAAATTTAGAATCATCTACAGAATCAGCTATACATCAAAAACTAGATGAAGTTGAACGCCAATGCTGGCGAATTGTTGTCATAAATAGCAAACTATAGCTTGCGCTAGGTGAGAGAATCGGGACGTGGACAAAATAAATATACCCTTTAGCGACCGGCCGGCCTAGGAGATTCGACCCGGAGACCAGTTGCCGGGTCAATAATCTCTAGAGCCCGCCGAGCGCGGAGAGTGGCCGCGAGCGGAGTCTGCATACTTGTGGTGCGGACTTCCCGCGGTACGAACTCTGGCGAACGCACCGAATTCGACTGGATATTGGCGTAGGAGCGAGGAGCTAGCGGTTCCGTGGGGGCCAGAGCCGGACAGAATAGCATGTCATCTTCCGGATCGAAGCCGCGGCCGGCGTCCATGCGGCATTTGGACGAATGGCTCAGTGACGATCGGGAGAACGTCGGAGACGTCGACGATGGACGGGACGTCTCGGAGAAGTACGAGCCATTCGAAGAGGTTGGCGAGGCGGAGTAAGAGAGATTCATTGATGGGGAGAGGAAGAGGTTCGATGACAAAGCAGGGTGGGATGCTCTTATCGAGGTAAAGCGGGTCGCCACACTATATCCGGTTAACTAAGATGTTACCAAACAGATGATTACCCAAAAAAGGGTATGCGGTGGTGTTCGAGATACACATACCAGGGTAAGGGCAGAAACGGAGAGGTAATTAAATAACGTCAAATTAAACTATAAAATACAGAGCGAATATCGGCCTAGCTGTTGGAACTGTTGGATATTTCAAAGGGCAATTTTGGGAGGGGCTTCGTCAACAGATCAGTCCGGCGTGGGCTGGACTTCAAGGGACCAAGCTGGGAAACCGCCGGCAGACAGTTACCCTCGGGCTCGAAAGCCTGCGGGCTCACTGTGGGCGGCGATTCGTTAGAGTCATTCAGCACCGAGCTTAGCCACAGGGAGGTTTGCGAGGATCGAACGGAGGACGACCCAGATGCGACAGACATGTGACCAGAGCTTTCGACGGACGACACGCTGCATCTATCACGACTCTGCCTATTTGAGAAGGAAGAAGGGGCACGAAGCGGTGACGCACCGTCAAGGGCTGATGATGTAGACGTCGGAGATGCCGGAGGCGCGTTTGATGCAAAGTGTAGAGCTGCCGATTCGTCTGTTGAGTGCGGCCTGGACGGGAGTGGATGTGTGCTACTGGGGGCCGCTGTAGTCCAAAGTGGATACGACGCGTGTGAAGGGGCCGCTGGAGCCGCTGGGGCTGCTGGGGCTGCTGGAGCTGCTGGGGCTGCTGGAGCTGCTGGGGCCGTCGGAGCGGTAGCAGAATGCTGGCCTTGGAAATACACCTGGGGCTGCCCTCCCACTGCAGCTGAAATTGGAACCTGGACGAGTCCCTGGCCAGAAGTATGTGCATAAGTATACCCAGGAGCTGGAGCAGGCTGTTGTGACATGGGTTGCCCACTCATAATTCCTCCCATCATCATCATAGGCACACCCCCAGCCGTCGTTTGCTGGGCTGGGTGATACTGCGAAGTAGCATCGGATGATACAGGTGTAGCCATTGGCATGACCATGACCGGATGCGGAGGCAGCGGCTTTTGTGGGGTCCCGTTCGCGCCAGCCATGGGAGCATCCTGAGTCGGGGTGGGTTGATAATAAGGTTGGCGCTGAGGTTGCCCAGAGGTTGCTGCAACTGGCGTTGATTGGGGTTGCTGCTGGAGCTGTGGCAGTTGCTGCTGTTGTGGCTGCTGCTGTTGTGGCTGCTGCTGTTGTGGCTGCTGCTGTAGGGCATCAAAGGCAGCGCGCCGTGTCTTGGATCCAATGGCTATTGCCGTGCCGTTCGACTGCACGATATGGCCTTCCTTGGCGTGCACAGTGTACACGTGTTGGCGAAGGTTGTCCAGCCTTGAAAACGAGCGGCCACAGAAGCACACGAACGGCCTTTCCCCGGTGTGCTTTCGGATGTGACGGGCCAAGTGTTCGCTTCTAGAAAACGTCATATTGCAGTCGTCATAGCCTGTGCATTGAAAGACTTTGACTTTAGATTTTGGTCTGTGCTGGGGCCGCAGCACCACCATGTGGCTACTGGGCGTATCGCTGTGTGAAAGGGACGTATCTGAGGAGCGGTTGGAATCAATGGGCTGGGCGGCGAGGGCGGCCGGGCTATCTTGGGGAGATGCCGGCCCGGGCGTACCTTCTACACTCATGGTTTGGGGTAATACGAGAAACGCCGGCGCTCACAGGAAATAAAAAGGAAAAATATAAACAAGAATACCACAGAGAAGCTGGCCCGGAGACGAACCTTGGATGTCTTTTCAAAAACAGGGAATCAGACGCAGGTCGGGCTGGGCGTTATATCAAAGAAAGCCGTAATAACAATCCGGTCACAAGTACGAGACTTTACCCCAAGTCAGAGCAGGACTTGCTTTCAGGTTTTTTTTTAGAAGCAGAGCGTGGCCAAGGGCGAGCGCACAGGTTCTGGTGGGTTTGAGCTCTGGGGGAGGCCAAAATAAATAGTTAGCCTACCTGAAACAAAACTGTTTACTATTGCGACCCTAATGTCCGGTATTCAACCAAAACTAGTAGTGTCTAGGTAACAAATAGAAAGTAGACAACTGACGAAGCAGGTACTAAGAGTTGATAGTGCATGAGGAAGTGGGGAGTGGGATGGTGGGCAAGGGTTGGGGTCTTGCACAAAAGCAGGTCGATCAGTAGAACGGGGAGGAAAGAGGGGCTTGATGGGGCGGCACTAGTGCCCGGGCGGCTGCGATTATGCTCTGGAGGCCCTTTCACCCGGCGGATCTACACTGAATGGGCGTACGAGCGCGTTATGCGGGCGAAAGGATATTCAGCGAGACATTAAAGTTTATTCGCGCAGTGCACTTTAAGATGACCCTAAACTATCTTTTAGCGCTCACCTAGCCGGGATCAGGCATGACTGCGAGGATTTACAGCTTCGGACAGTTTGTTCCAAGTTAATGAGCTACCCGTCAGGCATATTAGAAACATTAGAAACGACTGACGGCGCCCCGCTGCACTCTGCCCTGATCCGACAGCACGAGGGGAGTAGCGTTGGCAGCTGCAGGAAGGGCTGTTGGGGAGAGATGGCTCGAACCACAAACCTGCACTAGTGCAGTCGATAAGAGCTAAGCCGAGGATGAAGGTTGTATGAGAGAGGCGATGGATTTCACTCGTGCAGGAGGGTTATTTTTTGGCCTGCCAAGCCCCCGAACCAGGCACGATGTGCCAAAATACAAGGCCTACCAGTGATCGACAGGCCAAGATGCATGCAAGATGGCGTATTTACATGACGGTGTGAGACATCGCGCTGTGGTGTTTGGCGTGGAAAGCCACACCTTCAGACGGCACTGCGGCCACACCACGGCTGCCAGCACGAGTCCCGCACTGCCCGGCTATCGCCAGCGTGCCGTCCTGCTGATCATATGAACACTCGGCTTTAGACATCCCGGCATGCAAAATTCCCTGCCCTACCCCTCCGCCCATCAGCGAGCGCTCAGTCAATCGAGTCGGATCAATGCACTATCGATTCGGTCTGGACGTCCTCGCCACTGCTAACCGCCCCCTGATTGCTTCGCAATGCCTAGGGCCTGCCAACAAACCTTAAAATGAAAAAGATGACAAATGAGCCTTCCTTTGCTTGCTGCAGGGGCGCACAACGCAGATAGTGGGGTTGCTAGGAACCATATCCGGGCCCTGCATAAGCGGCCACTGATCCTCTCTTTGGAAGAGGGAAAGCAGGGTCCCACCGTGCCGCAGTTTTGTGCAGAGGTAAACGGGACATTGGCTCGAGAAAAGTGCGGAATCATATGTATTTCCAAGCTATATATTAACATGAGCAGCCCTGGGGCTCCTCGTTTTCGACATTCACGTCCACCAGGCCAGCCTGCTGTTCGGTTTGCGGTGCAATATCCATATCGACGAGTTCGTTAGCAATCTTCTTAAATAAGGGTCTGCAGTTGTGTCCGTTTTTTGCGCTGGTCTCCATAAACATTGCGCCCAGAGCTTTTGCCTTTTCTTCGCCCTCCTGGGTGGTTACCTGGCGGGCGGACGTGAGGTCGCACTTGTTGCCGACGAGCACAATGAGGGCCTGGCCCTGGCGGTCCGCTTGAACCTCGTCAATCCACTTTGAGGCGTCGTCGAACGTTTTGCGGTCCGTGATGTCGTATACGACCACCGCCACGTTGGACTCGCGAATGTACGATGGCACGAGCGACCGGAACCGTTCCTGGCCCGCGGTATCCCACAGCTGGAGCCGGATAGTACGGTCGGGCAAGTACATTGTTTTGGACATGAAATCAATGCCAATAGTGGCCTTGTACTGGGTATCGAAATGGTCGTCCATGAATCGGGACAGCAGCGATGTTTTGCCGACGCTTTGCTCACCGAGAAAGACCAGCCTTTGTTAGTATTTAATCTCGCCTCAGATTGCGGCCGCTCGCCGTATTCTGCATCGGTTCCGCCGCCGCCACTCGTTCACTTACTTGTACTTTTCGACGACTTCTCGTGACATTGCTGAGTAACCGGAGGGGGTCGCCGAAAGGTTAAGAGTCTAGACGGTGGCCGGTGCCCCAGCCTTGGTTTATTTCGCGTTCGTAGAGGCGGCAGACTTTCCAGAACGCCTCGTCGTGATCGTCCTGGGTGTTGTGGGCCAGTTCATGGCAGAGAACTTTCTTGACCTCATTGAAGTTGCAGAACCCCATATAATCGTCGGTTCTGATCCGCAGCTCGATCATCTCTCCCCGATTGCGGTTTAATCCTAGCCGTCGCTCTTTGGATCCGGTATTCAGCGCCGGGTCCAGTTCCGACAACACGTTAACCTTGAGTTTGTATTTTTCCATGAGAACTCGCACTCCGAGATCGTCTTTGATCCGCTGCAGATAATCGAGAGCGCCCTGACTATCGCCGTAGGGCAGTGCCTTTATTTCGTGGAAAGTGTATTCGGTTGGTGCGGTGGTGACAGCGGGGGCACGTTTTCTAGCCGCCAAACTGGCCACTGCCTGCTCTCTGCGGGCTTCTTGTCGGATGTACGCATTGGCCGACGAGGCAATTTCATCGGACTTTTGCTGCGAGCTGCCCAAAACCATGATCTTGGTCGGGGTCTTGCCACCAACTGGATCGGAGATTTTGGCCTCGGGATTCAGTACGATCCGTTTGCCGTTTGCCAGAAACGACTGTCCTGAGGCGGGAACATGGAATTGCTTCTCGATCAGCCCTTGTAATTCTTTTATTGAAAGGTTATCGTCAACCTCTAGACTGACTTTACGGAAAGTGACTTGCATGACAAACCGGGATCGCGACTGTATATTTAAGCTTCTCGAACATGTCTAAGCATCTATTTCCACTTAAACCAGCTAACACTCTGACACTCTAAACGCTGAGCATTCTAACAATCTACCCACAGCACCTAGCCAACATCTAGCCAGCCCCTAAACAGCCCCTAAACAGCCCCTAAACAGCCCTCAAACAGCACCTAACCAGCAGTCACCCCCGTAATCTCGACTATACAGCGGACACCCCACACCCGTTAGTCATGGACCTTAACAAAGTCGGCGAACACTATGTCCAATTGATGGTCGCTGGCGGTGACAACAAAGCACGCGTGCTGCTGCTTGATAAAGAAACCACCGGCATGCTCTCATTGATCAGCTCGCAGTCGACCCTGCTCAAAAATGACATCTTTCTAGTGGACCATCTGGCCAATGCATCGCGCCAGAAAATGCGCCACCTCGACTGCATCTGTTTCGTACGGCCCGTGAGCGAAAACATCGAGAAACTGGTCGAGGAGTTACGGTCACCAAGGTACTCAAAGTACACTCTTCTGTTTTCGAATTTCGTCAAAAAGTCCCATCTCGAACGCCTGGCAGAAGCTGACGACCATGAAGCAGTGGTTAAAGTCCAAGAACTGTTTTGTGATTATTATACTATCAATCGCGACTTTTTCAGCGCTAATTGTGATTATATTTATGGTGTGGAACGCGATAGCTGGACCCCGTCGGGTCTGGACAGAAGCGTCGAGAGCTTGATGTCAGTGCTACTCAGCCTCAAAATAAAACCTCTGATTCGGTTCGAAGAAAATTCAGCAATGAGCAGACGGCTGGCCGCAGAGCTCAATCGACAGATCCAACAGCAGGAGGGAGTCTTTGATTTCCCGTCGCGCGACACTCCTCCCATCGTTTTGATTGTGGATCGTCGAAACGACCCCTACACACCTCTTCTTAATCACTGGACGTATCAAGCAATGGTTGGTGAAATTATTGGCATTCAAAATAACCGTGTGCTTTTGGATCAGGTTCCAGAGATCGCCGAGGAACTCCAAGAGGTGGTTCTTTCTCAGGGACAAGATAGCTTTTTCGCCGAAGCAATGTATCTTAATTTCGGCGATCTGGGCGAGAGGATCCGAGACTACGTCCAGCAATACCAATCAAAAACCCAGTCTTCACGACAGATCCAGACGGTGGCTGACATGAAGCGGTTTGTTGAAGAATATCCTGAATTCCGAAAACTCAGTGGTAATGTTTCCAAGCATGTGACCCTGGTTGGCGAGCTGTCCCGCCAGGTTGAGGCAAACAATCTACTGGCTGTAAGCGAGTTCGAGCAAAATCTCGCGTGCTCAGAGAACCACACTAGAGACGCACGCCAGTTGCAGGAGTTTGTCTCCAGCCCAGCGATTCCGGTCCACCTCAAGTACAGACTCCTGGCGCTATACGCACTCAGATACGAGCAGCATGGCCAAAATGCTATTCATGGCGTTTTACAACAGATCCAGCCCGCCAACGAAACGCTCCGAACCGGTGTGGTCAAGCTGATCCAACAGTATGCTGGTGAGTCGTTCCGAGGTGCTGGCAGCACTTCAAACGGGGTTGCTGAAGCTGGAGGATCTTTTCTCCGCAAGGCTCAGGCTGGTCTGAAAAACCTCAGCCTCAAAGGTGTCGACAACGTATTCACACAACACAAGTCTGGGCTGGAAAACGCTCTGCTCCTCCTGGCCAAGGGCCGTCTGAGCAAAACCCGCTACCCGTTCTTCAATCCCGGAGACGGCAGTCTTCCTCAGTGGGCGATCCATGGCGAGGAGACCGAGCACCCTCAGGACGTAATTGTGTTCATGGTTGGCGGAGCCACCTACGAGGAGGCCCGCGCAGTGGCAGAGGCCAACGCCGGGCCCGGCAGGATGAGGGTCGTTTTCGGCGGCACCTCTGTAAACCACGATCTTCTCTCTCAAGTCGCGCAACTAACCTGGTAATTTGCTAAACCACCTAACTCTCTATATGCAACCTAGCTACCTACTCTGCGGTTTTCAGGGTATGTCTTTCCATGGGACGTGTCCGTTTGTCAGCTTCATCCAACATGTCGGTCACCACGTACAAACAGGGTGACGCGATGGGCTCTGATACGCTAGACAAAATGACGGTGTATCAGAACTGTATTGCGTCGTTCAACAGCCGCAAAGTAAGTGCCCGGGAGGCACGGTCCAACCTGAGCAAGCTGCTGAAGCTGCTGTACCATGGTGAGACGTTTCCTCAAGAGGAGGCTACCGAGCTGTTCTACACTATTTCCAAGCTTTTCCAGAAGCCGAGCCCCGGTCTGCGCCAGTCGACTTACTTGGTTTTGCGCGAACTGAGGCCCTCTGTTGACTCTACGCTCATGCTTGTTGCCGCAATCATGAAGGATGTCCAGGGAGGACCCGGGCAGGTATACAGGCCGGACGCTTTGAGGACATTGGTGAACATTGTGGACGAGTCGCAGCTTGAATCTATCGACCGGCTTATGCGTATGGCTATTGTCGACAAGGACGGCTCTATTTCCAGCGCGGCCTTGGTTTCCGCGTACCATTTGCTGCCCATTTCAAAAGAATCGGTTAGACGATGGACCACTGAGATCCAAGAGGCTCTTCACGCCAACAAGGTCTACATGTCAGCTGCTCAGGCTCATACTGGAATTGACACCCGTAATCCCCAGTCGGCTATTGTCCAGTACCATGCTTTGGGTCTTCTTTACCGTCTTCGTTCTCATGATCGCATGGCCCTGCTCAAAATGATCCAAGATATGGCCTCGGCCAGTATGAGTATGCGCAGTCCGCAAGCCTTGGTTCTTTTGATTCGGTTCATTGCTGGTATTGTTGATGACGATCCCAAGCTCCGTCCTACGTTTGTGCAATTCCTGGAATCTTGGTTGAAGCATCGTAGCGACATGGTCAACATCGAGGCTGCCAAGGCAATTCTCGGTATGTCTACACTTTTGCCTGCCGAAGCAACCGCGGTTGTTGATGTTTTGCGCGTGTTCTTGGGATCTCCTCGGGCGCCCTCTCGGTTTGCTGCCGTCCGTCTTTTGAACCGCTTTGCTATGCAACGCCCCGATCTTGTGGCCTCCTGCAACTCAGAGCTTGAAAATTTGATCACAGATCGTAATGAGTCTGTGGCAATTTATGCCATTACTGCTCTTTTGAAAACCGGTACTGAGTCGAGCGTCGAAAGACTCATCGAACAGGTCGGCGGTCTTATGAACGATATTGCCGACGACTTGCGGGCGATTGTTGTTGATGCTATTCGTTCACTTGCCCTCAAGTTCCCTGCCAAGCACCGCATCGTTCTGACATTCTTTGCAGAGCAGCTGGAACACTTGGCAAGTCTCTCTCTTAAAACTACTGTTGTGGACGCATTGACCGACATTATGGCGGCTAATCCGGAGAGCCGTGATGAGGTTCTCAGTCAACTTGCCGACTTTATCGAAGACTGTGAGTTCCCCGACCTTATGGTTCGTGTTTTGCATGTTTTAGGTCAGGAGGGCCCCCTGGCAGCCAACCCTACCCAGTATGTCCGAGCCATTTACAACCGAGTTGTGCTTGAAAACTCGCTGGTGCGGGCAGCAGCGGTCTCTGCTCTTGGCAAGTTTGTTTTGGTTGAAGACCATGACCTGCAGCAGAGTTTGAAGGTGCTCCTTCGCCGCTGTCTTAATGACGAGACTGATGAGGTTCGTGACCGTGCTGCTTTGGCGCTGGGTGTCTTCGATGACGGCCCCGAGGTTGCTCAGGCGTTCTTCAAGCCTCCTGTCCGTCTTGAACTAGTCAGTCTCGAGGACGCCTTGCTCGACTACATGTCTGACCCCAGTCAGTTCAGCCATGCGTTCGATGCCAGCAGTATCCGTCGCTTGACTGAACGTGAGCGTAAATCACAAAAGACCACAGTTGTGGAAGAGAAGCCGCTTGCTGCTCCCAAACCGAGCACTCCGGTTCCTCAACCCGAAGACAGTTTACGTACTGTTCAGGCCCGCCTTGTGGAGGAAATGCCCGAGTTCTCAAGCTACGGCAATCTGCTGCACACTTCTGCTCCTCAGTCGCTTACCGAGGATGGTGTAGAGTACCAGGTTGTTTCTCGCACGCATGTCTACGGTGACCGCTTGGTTGTCCAGCTTGAGGTGCAAAACACCTTCGAGATGTACCTGGAGAACGTCGAAGCGGTTCTTGATTTTGAGGAGCTTGAACTTGCATGTGAGGCAGCTACTGTCATTGAAAAACTGCCGCCCCACAGCCAGGACACACTCTACGTTATTTTCGAGCGCGCGTCAGTCGTCCTGGGCGCTGTGCCTCTGCGTCTGCGCTTCATTGTTAAAGAAGACGAGTCCGACCCCGATGCCCAAGAAGAGGAGTACGAGATCAACGATCTTGAGCTCCTTCCTGGCGACTACATCACTCCGTCCTACATTGGCTCCTTCGACCACCAGTGGGACGAGCTGCCCGAGGAGGAAACCGTCACACAACAGCTGCCTGCTGCTCGCACTCTTCCCGACGCAGTTTCTCTATTATCCACCCGGCTTGGCCTCATGGCTGTTGATGGCTCTGACGCGGTCGAGCCTGACGCCGGTACGCATACTCTTAAACTATTTGGCCGCAGCGTCGATGGCGTCCCCGTGGCCGCTATGGTGCGTCTACTGCGTACCGCCCGTTCCGGAGTCGCCGGCAAGTTCATTTTCCGCTCTAACGACGCCGACTTGCTTGCTGCTGTAGCGGAAAACTTCTAGGCTATAAAATTTATAAAAAATCCTATTTCCAAACAGAACCCCCCAAAAAAAAATCATTTAAATATGACGGCCATGACATAAGCGAAGAGATTGTGAATTTTTCAAAAAGATGCCCCCTAAGAAGCAAGTTCAAGAGACGAAGATCCCCCTTGGTCGACCCGGTAATAACCTTAAAAGTGGTATCGTTGGTTTAGCTAACGTAGGTAAGTCCACATTCTTCCAGGCCATCACCCGCTGCCCTCTGGGTAACCCCGCAAACTATCCGTTTGCAACTATCGATCCCGAGGAGGCCCGGGTTATTGTGCCCAGTCCTCGCTTTGACAAGCTGTGCGAGATGTACAAGCCTGCGAGTGAGGTCCCCGCATTCTTGACCATTTACGATATTGCTGGTCTTACACGTGGTGCCCATGCTGGTGAGGGTCTCGGTAATGCCTTCCTGTCGAACATCCGTGCTGTTGATGCCATTTACCAGGTTGTCCGCTGCTTTGACGATGCTGAGATTATCCACATTGAGGGCGACGTCAACCCTGTTCGTGATTTGCAGATCATCAACGACGAGCTGCGTCTCAAAGATATCGAGTTCTCGAAAAAGTATCGTGAGAACGTTGAGAAGACCGCCAAGCGCGGTGGCCAGTCCATGGAGGTCAAGAAGGCCAAGGACGAGCTTGATATGATCGACAAGATCATTGAGCACCTCGAGTCCGGCAAGCGTGTTCACAACGGCGTTTGGTCCCCCAAGGAGGTTGAGCTCATCAACAGCATGCTGCTTTTGACAGCCAAGCCCTCCATCTACCTGGTTAATCTCAGCGAGCGCGACTACATCCGCAAGAAGAATAAGCATTTGCTCGGCATCAAGCAGTGGGTCGACGAGAACTCCCCTGGTGATTTGATCATCCCCATCTCCGTTTCTCTTGAGGAGCGTCTTTCTCACATGGAGACCGACGAGGAGCGTGCTGCTGAGCTCGAGAAGCTCGGTACACAGTCTGCCCTCAACAAGATTATCATCACTATGCGTCAGGCGCTTGGTCTGATCTCTTTCTTCACTTCCGGTCCCGACGAGGTCCGCGAGTGGACCATTCGTGAAGGAACTAAGGCGCCGGCCGCCGCCGGAGTCATTCACGGTGACCTGCAAAAGACATTCATTCTTGCCCAGGTCCAGCGTTACGAGGACCTGGTTGAGTGTGGTGATGAGGCCGCCGTTAAAGCCGCTGGTAAGCTCATGCAGAAGGGTAAAGAGTATGTTGTTGAAGATGGCGATGTTATTTACTTCCGTGCTGCTGCTGGTAAAAACTAAATACTTATATAGTTGATGATGCCAAAGCCCGCCAGGCAGTTTTTGAACCTGGAGAATAAAAGACAGCCCGCTGAGCATTCTCCGGGGTGACAACTGCGGCATAGGCGTCGCTCAATTGTTGACAGCTGATATTCGAGGTACTTGCCGACACCCGAAGAGCTTGCTTCGGGTCAACTCTCTTCCACAGGGCGTACGCCGCCGGGTTACGGAAGAGGGCCCGATGGAACGGTTCTTGGCTGTTTTCCAGACGTGACAAGACCAGTGGAACTGAGTACTCTTTGTCGGTTGCCAACTCAGCGACCGACTGCCCATTGATTTCATCTCGGATTGCATCCACAACATCCTGATCGTTGCCCAAAAGCCCAATAACACCCAGCAGTAGCACCATTCTCAAGTTTGAGCCATGGGTGCCCATGCTGTCATAGATATTGTCAATAGCAACCTGCCTCTCATCATCGCCACCATGAGCCCACAATACTTGAACAAGTAGGACCACGACGTCTTGAGCTTGGTCCGAGAATTCCAACGCAGCGGTAAACAGATCCAGAGCTTCATCAAATTCGTTCAAAAAGTAGTGTGCCAATCCCTGCACAAGCATGGCACAAAGATGAACGTTTTCATCAGCATCACCTTCCAAACTAGCTTGGGCCTCTGCTTTAGCGGTTTCAAAATCATTTGTGGCAAGGTATAAGCGAGCCAAATGGCTATGGGTATTTGGGGAGGGCGGAATATCAGACATTCGAGAGATAGCCTCATGGTAATCACCAGAGCGTTCCAGAAGAAGCCCCATAACCAACAAAGCCTGCTCAAGTTCAGGTTGCAGCCTTAGCAATTGTTCCAAAGCTCCGATTCCATTTCCGCTTGGCTTTTGGCCTGTTTCCTTGCTTTCGTGGAAAGTGGCCAAGCCAAACAAAAGCTTAGATACCTTGCTGGGGCCAGGAGAAACCAAATATGCGTGCTCAAACAAACCACTAATATGGGAAGAAGACTTTTCACCCTGCAAGAACTCGAGGATTGCTTGACCCAGCCAAGCAGTTTCAGCATCAGGATCAACTGTCAAAGCACGATCAAATGCTTCTGAGGCTAGCTCAACATCCGATTGGTCAAGGTATAACATGCCCAAGTTTGCCCAAGCTGTGGATGATCGACCATTGAGACTCAGACTTCGAATGAAGCAGTGCTGGGCAACTCGAGGGTTACTGGTAGCCACAACGACACCATAGAGGTTCCAGAATGAGGAATTATGAGGTTCCAAAGTCAAGGCACGCTTCAGCTGTTCAATCGCATTTGACTTCTGTCCTAAACGATGGTATCCAGAAGCTAGATTGTAGCAAGCAGCGGCTTTACCACCCCGGGTTGGACCTGCCAATTCTAACGCTTGCTCAAGAGCGAGGATCATCAAATTCTCCACGCTACTCGGGCAAGTAGCATCCAGCGCTAGAGCAATCGTGTCCAGTACGCCAGGATCAATACGATCAGCATGCCCTTGAGCTTGTAAAACAACATCACAAGCTAAGGCAACACCATTCCACATACTATGGGACTCGGGATTGAGCTGCAAGTACTCAGCCGCGGTTTCCAAAGCTTGGCGCGCATGATCAACCGCATCACCAAGACGATATGTTGAGAGGAAGTAGGTACTCGCTTTGATGTGGTTGTTGACGAGGGCGCCTATGAGTGCAACACTATCGGGAGCAAGTTCCATAGCACGTTTCAAGCTGTTTACTGCCTCACTGAACTGGAGGGTCTCTCCCTGTGCCAAACTCAACATGTAGAGGGCAGAAAAGCTTGACGAGTCCAATTCTAGAGCACGGCCCAAGGCTTTATTAGCACTGCCATAGCGACCAGAATGAATATAAGCTTCACTTAACCCGACCCAAGAATTGGCATCAGTGGGGGCTAACCGCAAACAGTGTTGGAAGTATTTCACAGCGGCACTGTAGTCACGTTGAGCCAGAGACACAATGCCCATCGCACGGTAAGGCCATGCAGGAATACTGCCACGATCACTTTCCAGTAAACGTGCAGCGACAATCTCAACGAGATCCCACTCACCATCATCAGCGAACTTGGTAGCCAGCTTCTCGGCGGCGATAGACTCGGCTGCATCGATTTCGAGGGCCGTGTAAAAGCACTTTTGGGCTCTGACCCAATCTCCTTGGCTGTCGTAGAACAAACCCAAGTAAGTGAAAGCCGGCGCATAGCTGGGTGATTCTTGAAGGGTTGCAACAAACATATCAAAGGCAGCTTGACCGTTGCCCTCGAGCCAATAAGAATAACCCATCCTCCATTTCATTTGGGCACGAACCTCCTGAATATATTGAGAGGTACCATTGAGCTGGCTTAGTCCTGACTCTAGAAGTTCTCGGCCTCGTTCATGATTTCCCTTTTCAATTTCACAGCGTGCCAAGGGGTTAATGGCTTGAACCATATCTGGATGCTTTTCAACGACTGTCTGAAGAGTTTTTATTGCCTCATCGGCGTGACCTTGCTCCATTCGGATCAAAGCTAATCCTACCTGAGCCTCGATATGAAGGTCAGTTTGGGGACTGCTAAGAACGTGATCAAATAGTGATTCTGCAAGACTGAAATGCTTAGGAGCTTGATAGTAAACATACGCAGTACCAAGGATGAGCGAAAGATGTGTTTTTGTGCTTGACAGGTCAATACCTTGAGACTCTTGTTTAGATTGAAGTAAACGGCGAGCTTCGTTAGCCAACTGAGCTGCTTGTTCCCAATCGCCACTTAAAGCATTGAAATCAGCATACATCCGCAAAGCCAAGACGCTGTCTTTTGCACCAGCCTTGAGTGCTTCAGAGAAGTGAGTAGAGATCTCTTGATGCGTCCATTGCTCCTCTCCTTCAGGCACCGGGAAAGGTGATAGCGACGAATGCAGAAATGCGTTGAAGCCCAGAGCCAAACCCTCGTCGGGGAAATACTCCATAAACTTGTCAATAGTCTCTCTATCCAGCTGGTCATAGGTAGCGATATCTGCCCATTCCCAGTGGATATTATAAGCTAGAGGCGAAGAGCCTGGCTGGAACAGAACAGCACCATCCGCCAAATCACGGATTTCAGAAACCAATGGAGCCTTTTTAGCCGGGGTTTGAACTTCCAGTTGAGCAAGCAATAAATTCATGAGATCGATTTCACAATCACGACGAGCATTATCATCATCTGTAACTGCAAGTAGATCTCTGTATAATTTGGCGAGCTCACTGCCAGCGTAGACCGCACGTTGTTCTGCGAGCACTTTTTCGTGCGTCATTGAAATACTTGTTCTTGCCCGCGCCTTGATTTTCGAAAGTTTTTCATCAAGGCTTTTCTTTTCTTCTTTGGTGAGCTTCTGTAGGGCCAGAGCTGGAGGGAGAATGCGTCCCTTGAGAAACTCGTAAATTGGAGATCCCGGTAGTTGTAACTTCAGCAGTTCAGTCTTTGCAGCAGTGTCATTCGAAGATCTTATCTTTTGTGAAACTTGGGACAGTTCATTTGAAGCTGCCGTGATGTCCTCAGTTACCTCGTATGCGTTCACGATTTTGACAAAAGTAGCCAACATCTTACGATAATTTTTCATATCGGAATAAACCAAAATCAAACCTTTCAGCGGGTACAGAGATTCTGGCTGCAACTTAGACGCCTTTGCAAGTGCCTTCTCTGCTGGCTCCTGTTTACCGAGCCTCTGATAGCAGGTGCCCTTCAACAAAAGGCTGTTGAAATTCTCCTCGACCAACTCCTCATAATCCAGTACAAGCTCTAAAGCCCTTTGAGCATCTCCTTCGGCCAGCGCAGCTCGCGCTTCCTTCAAAGTGGCCATCAAAACGGTCCAGTGAAGCCAAGGGTTTTTAGGTAATGGATTCAGCGCCAACGGAGTTTTTGAAAGCCAACGCGATTCTGGCGCAGGTTTTCGGCCATACACTCACCCATCTCATAGAGCTCGTACGGCAAATTATGATGGGCGTATTCAAGTCGATTGCTGCGGGGCTCGAGCAGACGCTGGGGCGTATAAACCAACAGCGGTACGGCGGCCAGCTGGGACTCGAGCTCAAACAGGGCTTGCAAGAATACAAATCGACGTACGCGAAGGCAATTGTGCGAGTCATTGACCGTATTGAGGCGTATGCCACGCGCAATGTGTTCAAGCTGGACGAATCGCTCGTGGACGAGGGGTATTTTCGTCTCGAGCCGTTTTCGCAGATCGATTACTCGCGATCAGGACGTCAATTGGACGCCGAAATTACCGAATCCGAGCAGTCGCTGGCCGACGAGATTGCTGCTCTGCAACAGACACGCCTCCTGAATGCGCAAATAGACCGCTGTCTCTCCTCTGCGGATCGCCTAGCCAACGCTCAGCCAGAAGCTGTGCCGGACGTTTCTGAGCTCGAGCCTTTAGCTCAACAGCTTCGGAACCTCACACACAGCCTGAAAACCGCACCGCCTCCAGCCCACTCGGTAGACCAAGAGTTTTTGCAAAGTATCCTATGGGCATCTTAAGGGCATGTAACGTCATTAATACATACCGTCTAACATAAATTATTTATCTAACAAAAAAAAGTGAGAAAAACAGGACTTGATGGACCCCGTTTAGAGATCCATTGGCATCATCTGGTCGTCGTCGGCAGGGGCTGGAGTGGCTTCTTCCTCGGCGTCCTCGTCTTCGAAATCGACGTCGAAAAAGTCGTCATCTGAGCCCACAACCGCTTCGTAGAGTTTGCGAGCCTGCTCAACCATGCCATCGTAACTGATTTCATTCAGCTGAGGAGGCACTTCCAGCACAGTTTTGAAGCCTTGCAAGGGTTTGGGCTCACAAGGGCTGCCCGACGACGCCTGCGTGTAGCCGAGCTTGAACAGGTATTGGAGCTTCTGTTTGGGCACAAAGTTCTGCATGCTCTGGCCCAATCTGACCGACGATACAACAGGGGTGCCGTCCGGTCGGAAGGCGACGTCGTTTTCGCTGAGAGGCCCCAGATCAAAGTCGGTCGTCGACTCCCGAAGAATGGACGCCTCCAGCCGCTCTAGTGCATCGCCCAGGTCCTTGCGTGCCCGTACAAGGTCCTTTTCGTTAGTGCTCAAGTACCAGCACGAATATCCCGCGGGCACCTGGCCTGATCCGGGACCGTAAACGACGGTGTGTACGGCTTGTTCGTTGTCTCCAGCCAGTGTACCTGGCGGGAACACAACGACTGCAGCACTTTCATGTTCAGCGAACCACTCTTTACATTCATTGCTCACCACTGCGACCAGTCGCGTGGTGTGCTGGTCGGCCAGTTGCACGGAGCGTAGCGGCCGAACAGGCGAGGGTTGTGAAGGCGACAAGAATACCTTTTCAGCCACTTGGACCCGCGATCCGTCGCTCAAAGTGGCGATATTGCTACTCTCATCGAAGGCTGTCAGCTGGACCCCTAATTTGTAGGTCGCCCCAGCAACTGCCGCCGACCGACAAAACCCTTGGGCCAGTTCACCTCCCGATCCATACATCGAATACAACACTGGGAAGTGGCCGTAAATATCCAGGGATAGCAGGTACCGACGAATTCGGGTCAACGCCAGCGAAGCTGGAACATGAATAGTGTCGCAGAGGCCAATTGCCACCACAAGCTCGGTAATCTGCTGTTCCTCCAATTTGAACTTGGCCGACATAAACTCATCGGCAGGAACGCCACCAAGTGACTTGTACATTTCCTCGTCAATTTTCCATTCGGCAATGAACTTGATGAACTTCATGAGATTGCGCTTGGTGGTAGCGGAGAGAGTTTGGTCGGTGAAAATCTCTTGTTTGTTGCCCGACACTTTCTCGAAGCTGTCTCGTTGATACGTGTGGAATTGACCCAAGGGTTTGAATTCAAGGTATTTAAAAACCCGCGATTTGATCAGGACATCCAGCATGTCACTCTTGGCAAACAGAATGTGAGGGGCCAGATCCACCAGGTAGCGTTTGGTATCCATTGGTCGCGGAACATAGAGCTGTGCATTCATGTTCAGATTATCTGCGCCATTTGCTACATCGTTGAGCCAGTGTTGGAGCTCTTTCATGTTCAAACACGCAGAGGTATCTCCGTAGAAAGAGTTTGCATCAATGTGCAAAACGTTTGTTCCCTGCCAGGCAAGCGCGGCGGCAAGGACGCTTTCTACGAGACCAGTGCCGCAGATCAAAACGTCGCAAGTTTCAGGCACTGTTTCGATAGTAGGACGGTCGACACCTGCCAGCGGTGGCACAACGGATCCTCTACGAGTGGCGCTTTTGGCAGAATAGGAAGACATTGGCAGCCACGAGTATGTTCACAGTGAAGATAGAACTAGCAAAGTTCTATTCAAGGTTCTTTCGCGTGTAATTAGTTGGTTTTATGTCCACCAACTGTTAATTTACGCGACCTAGCAAGGCGGGGAGGTGCAGATTTTTATTGATGACAAAGTGGGCCGACGGAAGAGGCAACCACTACTTATTCGAAATGGTGACTGAGAGAGGGCGGAACAAAATTTTTACTTGCACATAGAAGGGTTGAGGTAAGCAAGACAAGGCCAAATACCTCCACGTGACCTGGGGTATACGCACCAGAAAGAAATGCCGTGGAAACGACAAAACTCTTTGAACCTTCAATTAATCCAACCACAATCATAATTTGGTAGTTTTCCACCGCAGGCTTCAATGCTATCACGCAGGTCGTCCTCACTACGAATTGCGGCAAACCAGAGAACCTACTAGCACCTACACTTGAATTATCAATCCCAAAGTCCAATTGACCTTCATGAGCCGTTGGAAACCCGTACTACCAAGTTCTTTACATGTAGCAGTGAAAACAGATGGTAGATGGAGCAACCCAACCTGCGGGCGTCTTATAAGCGAACCCTAAAATTCCGACTGATCAGAATATAGATGTGTGGGACTTTTGTCAACATAGCGACCAGAATGAGAAACACTAATGAGAACCGGAAAAAAATCAATGCAAAACTTTTGCATTTCGACCCTCGCCGTGCCTCTTGGTCTTTATCATCCACCAACGGGCCTATCTGGCCATTAGTCATACAACTTTTTCTCCAAACAGTGTTAGGGCTTAGGGCATACAAAGTCCAAAAGTTCATCACTCTAAGTATCGACTCGACGATCCCGCTTCACCACAGATATGCCTACTCGTCTCTCTAAAACCCGCAAGTCGCGCGGCCACGTTTCTGCCGGTCACGGTCGTATTGGCAAGCACCGCAAGAACCCAGGTGGTCGTGGTATGGCTGGTGGTCAGCACCATCACCGTACTAACTTGGACAAGTACCATCCTGGTTACTTTGGTAAACTCGGTTTCCGTCACTTCCACCTCCTCCGCAACCGTCAGTGGCGCCCTGTTCTGAACGTGGACAAGCTCTGGACTCTTGTCCCCGCTGAGGACCGCGAGAAGTATCTTTCTTCTCCCAACCCCCAGGCTGCCCCCATCATCGATACTCTGGCTGCTGGCTACGGCAAGGTCTTGGGCAAGGGCCGCATCCCCGATGTCCCCGTCATTGTCCGTGCTCGCTTCGTTTCTGAGCTTGCTGAGAAGAAGATCAAGGCTGCCGGTGGTGCCGTCGAGCTCATCGCCTAAATAATTCCTGATATCATATCTAACAAAAAAAACCTAGCACTTTAACCTTTTTCTTATGGCATGCGGGCTTTGAACCCGTCTTCAGCTGCTTGATAGATGCCTGTGCCCTTATTGTTGATAAGAGTTGGAGTGTTATCGCAGGACTGATCGGTTTCAGATACAATTTCGCGATTCACTGCCCGCACCGAGTGAGCATAAGTAGGGTGTTTGTCGAAGTACGAGCCGAGACAAACCCCTGTTTCATTTTGACCACCCCAAGTGCCATTGTGACCAGCAACTACTTTGTATTTCCCGCCAGCTTGATCAATTCCAACTTCGTAGGTTTGGGCCAGCGTGATCTGGTCGGTAGCGAGAGTCAATGCTAGGGCGTAGCCATGTTCTCGAGAGAACGAATCAGAAGTCAGCTCTTTTGAGTTGGTTTTCACAAAAGTGCTCCGACCCTCGGCGTCAAAAGCAAGAATCCGACTGTCTTCCAAAACGCTCGAATGGCTCACGGTTTGAGCCGACTCAACATAATAAGATTTACCGTGTAATAATAGATCCGCAGAGTTTCGCAGAGTGTGGCTAACTTGAATGATTTGAGTTGTGGGTAACTGCACGATCTGCGGGCTGTCTTTGCGATAGGTTTGATGGGTTCCTCCAGTGCCTTGGGCGCCGGGTTCCTCCCAAGTCAATAGTGCAACACTGATCAACCAGTCCTTTCCAATCTGCTTCTGACTGTACCCATTTCCTACACGGATACCAATGGGAGTATCGGAGTCCCAAAGGCGAGGCAAAAAGGGAGTGATATCGATATAGTACGCGGGCACGTCGAAGGTGCGTAACCCCATAATCGGAGTCCACAGACGAGGCTCGAAACCTCCAGTATAGATTTGAGGAAAGGGATCTGCGTACCCTGCAAGACGGCCATCTACGTACACTTCGACAAGTCGCGTTGCTCCTCCATCGCCTGAATACTTCATGTACCAGAACTCCTCACCTGCATTGCCGCTGGCGTGAACCTGCAGAACAGCCCTTACAGTGTCTTGGCTGAGTTTGTTCACGACCAATTCCTCATTCGTAGGGAAACTGAGCAAGGGCGATACTGCTTTAATCTCTGTGGGAGGTTCTTCAGCGTACCAGCTTGACTCCTGGATCTGTACCTTGGAGTCTCCTGTTTTGTAGTAGAAAGCAGTCAAGGTCGTATTGAAGTGGCCAGTATACACATCATTCATGATATTATTCAATTGAACCGTCAGCTTCCGGGGAGAGCTCAGCAAAGGCAATGCAAACGACATGTCTTTGGTGAAACTCGAGGTTATCGCAGAGAGGTTACCCGGCTCCGGGGTGGAGGGCCGCCAGACCTCTACGTCGTCGAGGTAGATATGCGCCAGACGATCGTACTGGCGGCCGAAACTGTCGAATTGTAAGTAGAACTTGACGTGGTCGAAGTCGACATCTGGCGGATTGTAACTGCGCACGAAGTCATGTCCCCAGGAGTTCTCAATGACCTCTTGGAACAGCACCTGAGAAGCTACTACTGGGCCAAAGTTCGGCGTAGGAATGTAGTATTCTGTCACAAGAACAGGTTCTGAGCTCAATTGAGTATCGGAACCCCACCAAAGCAGGTAATTCAAGACGCCACAGATCCAGGTGATGCCGTGCCGTGTCATTTGGTAATGGCAAGTTAGTGCTTGTGCATCTATCATATGTAAATTCAAACAGGCGGCGATCGGAAAATTCGGGCTAAAACGTGCTTTCACTCTGTAAAAATATTCGCCTTTGACATCCTCAGGCTCACAAAACTATTCACCCCCCCAAAGTCGCGCACCCAACCAACCCACGTTGTTTCCCTTTAGTCATGTGGACAGTGGAATCGGCCATTCCTGGAGATCTGAAAGAGCGTATCGCACGGCTCGCCGCCAATAATGCGCCGCCGTTCGCATACATGGCCGCATTTTTAGAGATCGTGTCCCGACTGAAAACCCAAAAACGCACCGGCTGGATCGATCGCGACGTTCCTCAACCGGAATCGATTGCAGACCATATGTACCGCATGGGGGTGATTTCAATGCTGTCTGGCCGGAGCGACCTCGATATTGGGCGCTGTGTTCAGATCGCGCTTGTTCACGATATTGCGGAAAGTATTGTGGGAGATATCACGCCCTACGCGGATGTGACCAAGGAAGAAAAGCACCGACGCGAACTTGAAGCGATTATTTACATTCGCGATTTGGTCTCAAACTTCAACAAGCAGGCCGGCGAGCTGATCTACGACTTGTGGAACCAGTACGAAAACCAGACTTCCCCAGAAGCTGTGCTTGTGAAAGATATCGACAAGTTTGAGCTCCTTGTCCAGGCCTCCGAATACCAGATCATGCATCCCAAAATCGACCTTAGCGAGTTCCGTGCCGTCAAAGACCTCATTAAAACTGACGAGGTTAAAGAGTGGGCCGAAGGTCTTGAAAGTTACACGAATATCAACATCTAATACATGCAAAGCCTATGCACCAAATATCAGTTTAGCCAATTGATGTCTGAGGATGATTGCAAGAATTCCCCAGGCGAATTGTAGCGATAGTAAAACCATTGTCAAGTGGTCCTCGCGCAGGGGACCGATATGCACTAGTGTCAGGTTGATGAGGGTCATGTTTGACACCTCCATTTTGCTGGCGTCCTCCCAGACTCTGATGAGACGGAACTTGGCCAGGGCGCGCAGAACGGTCTTTACCGCACTGTTGCACTTGGAAACATCGGCCCGCGATGGCTCCAGCTTGCCCGTTTTCTCGTTATATACAGGCATACGATGACGAGGACAAGGCACGAGATGAAACAACTGAGGGAGTGAATACAAAAAGTTGAAAATCTGGGGGCCACAGAAACTCAATAAAGTTTTGGAGAAATGGCCAAGAATTCCCACCACTGCAAACACCATCCCGGCAAAGTAGCAATATGTATCACCCACGAACCCGCGAGCGGGCCACCAATTGTACTTGAGTAATGGCAGCGATGCCAGGACAAACGGAAGCATGATATATGTGCTGAGGAGATGATTGTCCATTACAGGGCATGGAGGACCTGAAATGTATAAATAGTCGTTGATTAGAACACACACCCCGAGTACAACTGACTGGCCGACCTCAAGCCCGTTGAGTCCAGCGTATATGTTGATGCAGTTGGTGCAGAAGATGGAGAAGGCACCCATATAGGCGTAATATAAGAAGCCCAGGTCAATGGTCGAACCCATTTCGAGGAACGGCGGCAGCACAATACTGGTCTTACCCCAGTTGACATAGTACACCATGAGCATAGGGATGGCTGCGATTGCTGGCAAAAAGAACTTGTGGCGCCATCTAAGATCAAATAAATCATCAGCAACTCCAAGCATCAGCATGGACTGAATGCTCAAGATCGCACTCAGATACGCGGCCAATTTGTGGTGGGGGAACTGCCCGTCCGAAAACGTGTCTGTCAGGTGGTGGTAGAAGGCAAAGGGAATAAACAACAGCAGCGAGAACAGATAAAAGACCCCTGTGATCAGACCCAACGTCTCGGGGAGCAATGGCCGGTCCTTTTTGAGAACATCCCGGCCACTGAACCCGACTTTGATCATGGACGGAGAGGCTACGGGCAGCATTTTAGCAACAACAACTGCATTTGCGACGCCAAACCCAAACGAAGACACCAGCGCCCTACGCTGGGTATTGAATATTAGAGCCAGCCCCACCAGAAACGCGGCAGTCTTCAACATAGTCCACGTGCTGCTATCGAGTCAAGAGTGATAAATCGACGTTCGTTACATAAACGATTATGCCCACATCAGGGCGGTTAGATCCACAATTTGGACAGCGATCTGCGTTTCCAATTGAGTCAGATATCGTTGCCACTGAGGGAGAGCCAACTAACGGAGTGGAATATGTTCTGAAAGTGCGCCAAGAGGCCGAGGAGATGGCTCAGAGGGTGATTGATTCTGAGCCGGCAGTCAAAAGAATAGCCAAGCGACCGGCATCAACTACGCCGGTGCTTGATTATGACGAGAGTGCCGACTATAAAGTGTTTGAGTATACGAAGCAGGCGCTTGGGGTTGAGGGAGGACGCACTTTACTGGAGCTGTACGCACGAGGGAGAGAAGTTGTCAACAACAAGGACATTGAACCCTGCGATTGCGATAGTCAAGCTACATGGAAAGAATATATACAGGAAAACCCACCCTTGACTCTAGATCACAGCTCGAATCTTCGGGTTATAAAGTACTTGGCCCGCTGGGGTCGTCAAAGGTGGACGGTCAGTATGGCTCACTGGGCCTGGATAACGGTGATTCGTTTACCAGAGGTTCTGACTGCAGACGAGATTGCACTTTTACGAGATTTGGTGAGAGCAGACGAGACTGAAGAAGAGGACATTAGGCAGTTTCTCGATGCAATCCGCCGCATAGCCGTGGACCAGTTTGGCCAAGCCGACCTTAGAAAACAATAAATATTACCGACGTTTCCGAGGAACGTCGGGTTTAGCCGCCATCATGCGTTTAAGATTAGAAGCAGCCTGCGAAGTATCCAAGTTAGTAGTGGCCTGCCGTTGGCGAGAAACGTCCCTTTGCTGTTTCCATGTTGGATCCAGATTCATGATACGCATATGCTCGTCAAATTCACTAGCAGGTATAAGTTCGCCAGTGTAAGGTGATCTGAGCTTGATCTCGTTGTTTTTGGGCTGCAGGGCTTTGACCTGGACGTCTTCTTTTCGAAGAGGCCGATTGTCGATTTTCTCAGCGTCCGTAAACACCACTGTCTCAATTACAACGAAATCTTGCCAGTCAATTCTCGAAAACTCGTTGCGTTCTTGCTCTTTTCTTTGTAGTTGTATTTTATCCTGCTCATTTCGTAGCTTCAGTTCTTCAGCTCGATCCGTAGCCTTTTCCAAAACGTTGGCATTTAAAAGACCACGTACTCGATCAGGGATTTTCAAAATTGTGTACTGATCAACGTATGCTTTGAAAAGTGCATTTAACGAGTGTGTGGGTGCCAAAAACGCGAACTGAGCTTGTTCTGGCAACGCTTTAGGAAACTCGGGATCCTTCGATGTGTACAGTGCTGTGAGTTTGATCACCTTGAGATATTTACTGGAAATAGCCGGCTGATCCACAACAAACATCAGGGGCTCGACAGAGACCTGCTTTTTTGGCTCTTCCTCCAATTGTTCATCTCCGGCGCTTTCACCCTCATTGTTCAACCGCCATTGGTACCACTCATAGAAAGGGTCAGCAGGATTCAAGAAGCTGAACAGCCTCGGCTTTGTCAAAAGCAGCCTCCGGGGTGTACTTCCATCTCCTTGTCTAATAACAGCGACCGTTTTGTCAATAACTGTTCGCACATCCGGGGGAGGAACTATCGCTGGTTCCATGACTCAGCTAGGAGGAGCACGCGGAGAGCTAAGTAGCCCAGGCCATCAACCTTAGGGCGTAGGGCAGACAAAGGTCACGATTTGTAACTCAATATCCGCTTACCCCAGGCGGTGACGAGTCTCGACACGGATATGTCTAATCTCGCCGTTTCGTACGCTGCCGTTATTCTGGCCGATTCCGATTTGGAGATCACCGCCGATAAGCTTATTGCCCTCACTGAGGCTGCCAAAATTGAGGGTGTCGAGCCCATCTTTGCCCAGCTTTACGCTAAGGCTATTGGCTCTGTCAACACCAAGGAGCTTTTGACCGCTTTCGCTTCCGCTGCTTCCGCTGGCCCCGTTGCCGGTGGTGCTGTTGCTGCTGCTGGTGGTGCTGGTGCCGCCGCTGAGGCCGAGGCCGAGCCCGAGAAGGAGGAAGAGGAGTCCGATGGCGACATGGGCATGGGTCTGTTCGACTAAACTATTCCTTTCACCCTTTAAATAGCATAATCTCTGCTTTATTTTAAGCTATAACAATAGAATCGCTCTCCGGTGCAGCAGACTTGTCATCATGACGCTGTTTGAGCAGGTTCAGCGCCGGCAGGCTGCTGGCGCGCGGTCGCGACCAGAGCCCATTGATTTTGACCGAACATTGCTGCTGGCGCCCCTCGTGTTGATGCATTTTGTTCTTGCATACCTGGTTCGGCTGCAGTATTCACAAGAAGTGTCTCTAAGTATAGCCCTCAGCGAATCATGGGTTTCGATTCCGGTGTTTTGGGCACTGCTATCACTTCCTAGATCGTACTTTAACTCCAAACTTTCTCAAGCACTGCAGGTGGTCGCGGGAACGTGTTTGGGCAGCTACCTGGTGTACATTGCCAACGAGGAGGGCTACTACGCGACGATGAAGAAGGCGCCCCCTCTCGGCGCTCTGTTTGCCTGGTTATTTATCGAACTCTACTGGTACAACGCTGTTATCTGTCTTTTAGCAGTATCCGGTTATTTATGGGTTACGGGGTATTCTCTTTAAATAGTTTCGTTATAAAGTCTAATTATTGAATCAGGCCGGCTGATCATAAACATTACTATTAACTCTTTGGACCACAGATGTTCCATCGTAGTCAGAGCTTTGGTTGCTGCTAGCTTCTGATCCAACAGTTGCTGAAGCAGTAGCCGCAGCAGTAGCCGTAGCCGCAGCAGCTACGGCCGATAACGATTGCTCGGCTGAACCGTCTTTGTCGCCAACAAATTTACACGGAGAACCCACAATTTCGTGGTTCAGAGCCTGGTCAAATGTCGGAGGTGTATCTTCTTGAGCGTCGGTACTGCCACTATCGTATCCAGGTAGGTTTATACTCTCTTGCACACAGTGACGACTCAGCAGCACAAACGGCGTGTCGATTTTAACCTCAAAATGACTTCGCTTCTCATCGCCCTCATCATAGCGAGAGACCCGCAAGCCGACAATAAGACGATGTTTGATTTTGACATAAGGAGAGACCATATCTGGCTCCAAAAAGCGTTTTTCTCCGTTGCGGCCACGTCCATAAGCTTGGGGCAAGGCGTGAATGGGTCTGTCGGAGTCTGTGGCCATAACAAGATCGCATTGGATGTGAGTGGGTTCGGTAGGGTGAAGGAGAGTACCCATTCGGGATGCAGAAGGAGGTGAATCTTCATTCAAGTTCTGCGTGGGAGCACTTATCTGCACTAGCCCCAGTCTCAGCGAGTGATCGTTTGTGTGAATACTATAATCCGTGGAGAACAGATACGACACAGATTCTAAGGCGTATACTCGAATCTGATGTACCATTACGTCCAGGCCAGGCATCGGAAGCAAGGAAATTGACAGCCTTACCGGCTCATTGAGAACAACGTATCTTTGATCAAGACTCACGCTGTATACCAAGCGTTCATCCCAAACTCTCGACAAAACGACGCCGTGGGAGGAAGACGGGTCTTCCGCGGCAGCGGGGGGAGCGCGGCAAACCTCGATTTCTAGTTTGCCCGTGACGTTAGGATTGAAAGCTCCTGCTCGCACTACGCGGGCAGCCAAAAAGTGTTTCACATGACCATTGGGCACATTCGATGTTTCCGGGCAACTAGAGTCCATAATAATCCCAAAATGGAATACGTATTCACCGGCAGGGTATAGCACACTGTCACTAGCCACGGGAGGATAGCGGACTTTACGCACAGGCTCTTCGAGCGGAGCAAACAGGGGCAAGCCATTCTGCAGCGACGTTTTGCTGCTATGTATGACTCTGTTGGTTTTACTTTGACGCACATTTGTAGGTTCGTTGCGCAAAATTGCAGTGTTGGCACCATACTGGTCTTGAATCACTGTGGAGGCGCTTTGGTCGAATTTGGCCATCGACTCTTGGTGGTTACGTTTTACCGCCTCAGACGGTACAAAATCCCAATAATGTTGGGCAAGATAGACCACATCCTCCAGTTCTGCTGCTGTAGGCAGTGGAGCGTCGACCAGCACGGTTGGCTGGGGGACAAGGGTCCAGACGGTACGGGAGACCGTGTAGAGGACAAGGCTCAGCTGTTTTATACGGGTTGGTTTTGACAATTTGAGAACAACAGAGCCTCTAAGAACGGCCCCAGAGGACGAACTGGCTGATGTAGACTCCTCGAAGGTGGGTAGGTCCTCGTCGCTAGGGGGGGATCTTAAGTGCCCGCCCGAGGAATCCCCCGAAACAGGCTGCTGGGGAGGCGGGCTCGCACGATGGGAGGCGCTTCCACCGCGGTTAGCGGGTCTTCTACGACCAAAAAGGTTCCCGCCTCGGTTCGCCGGCAAGAAAACTACAGGTTCTTGCAGGCCAATTGCGATATCGACATTCCCACTGTGTGAGGTGTTCACTGACCGAGGTATTCCTATTGAGTGGCGGAAAATGCTATTCGTGGCCGGCTGGGCCGGCATTGACATATAATACGCTGTTTAAAAGCCGATAGAGCGTTGGTGCGTCTGAAATAACCACCTAAACGGCCGTGGTCTGCGCAGTGTTGTAAGGGTGAAGGGGGGGTGCGCTTGGCTTTTCTGAAATTTTTCCCAACCACACAGGCCTTCCTGCACGAGGGTAAGGGTAAAGTGCACGCGGGCACTTGAGATTGTGGGGCCTGAGGGAATGATAATCCAACCATAGCGTACACAGGGGATTTGAAAAACGTAACAAGACTGACTATTCTGAGATATGGGTAGTTGGGATGAACTAGAATTTTGGGGCTTCAGTCTCTGTCTTGAAAGTGCAAGGTGTCGTGGTTTAGATCTGGTGCAAACATAGATGCTATTAATATTCATGAGTGTGTTAGGAATATTGGTAGCGGTCCACTTGAACTATGCAAAGCATTCTACTCGGGGGTTTGTGATACGGCCAATTGTTAACACTGTATGCCACATGTTTCATGTGAACTGCTACATGGTGAAAAAGTGAGTAGTACATGACTCTAGTAGACAATTGTATCACTGACCTTATACACAGACATAGTCTGCCAATCGAGATCCAAACTCTAAGCGGAGGTCTTCGAAGCATATAATCATCGAACGCGGTACGTTTGAATAACAAGACTCGTCACTAGCATAAAGGCATTTTTGAGGGGTAGAGGTACCAAATGCTTCTTTTGCCAATGATGCTTATCGCAGTTGAACTAGGATGCCTCTTTTGCTGATATCAGTTAGAGTGGTCATAGTCAATTAAAGTAGTGTCAAGGAGCCAAAACAAGCCAGAAACCATCCTCTGACGCATGATAAAGCTATACCAAAAATTAAACATAGAAGAACAGCGAGCTTCGTTGTCAAAGATGCCGCCGACGACGAGTCAAACAATTGATATTGTTACACCCACTATTGCTTCTACACGGCTTCCTCTACTTGTGAGCTTTTCACACTTATAACAGATCGGATGCAAAGTGGAGTATTCGGAGAATAGCGGAGCGGAATTAGAAATAAATACACTACGGAACTTCAAAAGAAAGAGGCTCATGGAGTCCTTTCAAATCAACCTTGAAACCATCCGAAAACCAATTCAGTCAACAGGTACACGCCCAGACCCCCATTTTGGTTCATCCAAGATTACGGTTGAGTTCAATGACATAAATGCGCGACTTCATGCTTCAGGTACAGGTTCCGTAAAAATAGGCATAGGTGCGCGGTAGCTCGAGCAAATTAACCGGAATAGAGCGCATTTACACCATCTTGCCTTGGAATAACACTGTCTGACCTTAGGAAGTTAATAATTAGTTCCAATGATAGCTGATTTGAATAGGAATAACTTAGTTACTTCGTTTCCAACTCTATTCAATTACGGTTCATTCGAATAAAGTTATATTGGCGAAGCTATTGACACAACTGTGGTGTCGGGCCTTCAGAAATTGTCGTCGTTAACGTGCTCGGTTCCTTCAAAAGCTGAGATCAGGTCTTCAATGGGACCGTCAAATGTGGCAGGCTTGGCAATTTTAACACCAAGGACACAGGCCGTCAATGTGAAAAGATACAAAAAGTTCATAAATGGTTAGGAGTCAAAATAGAATGGCTAACAGAGACAAGCTATATACTCTAAACCTCAGGCCTCGGGCCCTTACCCTCAGGCTTTGTCCTACATTTGGGCACACTCTGAGCTTGAGTATTTGAAAAGCTACCTAGTGTCAATAGTAGTTCATTCTTATATGTACTCAATAGCCAGTCGTTCCGAAATGTAGCTTTCGGGTATTGCGCTAGTCGGTATACCGACTCAAAACTTCTGCGCGCAATACACAGCATTTTCGTGGCAATCCCACTGAACCAGTAGAACTAAACTAGTAATTTCAACCCGCAACGCGCCAGAGAGAGTCCAAAGCTATTTACTAGGCCGTTGCAACCCAGGAATTTCAGTCCGAAATTAGGTCAGCGAGTCCAAGCTTGACACAAATGACATCGCTCAAGTCGTTCATCAAGGCGGTCCGCGCGGCCAAAACTGCGGCAGATGAACGCACAGTGATTCAAAAGGAAAGCGCCAAGATTCGCACGTCATTTAGAGATGATAGAACTTCGCATGCCACGCGACGTAGCAACGTGGCAAAGCTCCTTTACCTGTTTACCCTGGGTGAACGCACCCATTTCGGCCAGGTTGAATGCCTGAAACTGCTGGCTTCCCCCCATTTCACAGACAAGCGTCTAGGATACCTGGGTACGATGCTTTTACTGGACGAGAACCAGGAAGTCCTCATGCTTATCACGAACTCACTCGACAATGATCTCCTGCATCCAAACCAGTACGTGGTTTCGCTTGCCCTCTGTACTCTAGCGAATATTGCCTCAGGATCTATGTCCCGTGATTTATTCCCGCGCGTTGAAAAGCTCATTACAGCGAGTAATCCATACCTCAAAAAGAAGGCAGCATTGTGTGCTCTACGCATCATTCGCCGAGTTCCTGAACTCGAGGAGATGTTTGTTGAGCACGGTAAAGCTCTTTTGACCGAGTCCAACCACGGTGTTTTGCTTTGTGGCGCTAGTTTGGCCATCGATATGATCGACAACAACCCGGTGTTGGCCAACGACTTTGCCGAGATCTTACCAGGCTTGATTTCCACCCTCAAGACTCTCTCGACCACGGGTTACTCGCCTACGTTTGATGTCCAAGGTGTGCCTGATCCGTTTTTACAAACCCGACTCATCAGATTGCTCAGGGCAATGGGTCAAGACAACCAGCCATTGAGCGAACAGATGACAGATATTCTTGCGGCCATTGCATCCAATACTGATGGCGCTAAAAACGTTGGTAACGCCGTCTTGTACGAAGCAGTTCTGGCTATTTTTGCTATCGAGGCCGATTCCGGTCTGCGTGTTTTGGGCATCAATATCCTCGGTACATTCTTATCAAACAAGGACAATAATACCCGTTATGTTGCTCTGAACACCTTGCTCAAGGTAGTGGGTATAGAACCAGCTGCTGTGCAGCGCCACCGAGCAACGATTGTAGAGTGTTTCCAGGACCCAGATATTTCGATTCGACGAAGAGCTCTTGAGCTGTCGTACGCCTTGATCAACCAATCGAATGTAAGAGTGATGGTACGCGAACTCTTGACGTTTATGGAAGATTGTGACCCTGAGTTCAAACCCCAGCTTGTGTCTCAGATCGCTTTGGCCAGTGAGAGGTTTGCACCGAACAAGCGCTGGCATATTGACACGCTGATGCGCACCTTTGCTCTAGCAGGTAATCACACAAAAGAAAACGTCCTCAGTGCATTCATTTTACTAGTGATTGATGCCCCGGATCTTCAGCTCTATGCTGCTCAAAAGCTGTATCGCCAGGTTCGCGCAGATCTTAGCCAACAGGGTCTTCTTATTGTCGCGCTCTGGGTCCTCGGTGAGTACTGTGACATCTTGTTGCAGGCTGGATCATTCAATGATGACGAGGGCTCTGTTGATATCAACGAATCACTTCTCGTTGAGCTAGTTGAAAATATATTGGCAAGCCCCTTTGCGACGCAGGTAGTCCAGGAGTACGCTATCAATGCTGCAGTCAAGTTCAGTGTGCGTATGAAGGGTGCTCCAGAATTTGATCGTATCCGGCGTCTTTTGGGCCCCTTTGCTCACTCGCTTGATCCCGAGCTACAACAGAGGGCAATTGAGTATAAAGTGCTCATGGTTCAGGATAAGCTTCGCCGTGGTGTTTTTGAACGTATGCCTGCGCCTGAATTTGGTGAGGATCTTGAAACTCAGCATGCAAAGGCCATGTCCAAGGCACTTGTTCGTCGTAGACGCCGGCCCATTGCTCCCGGCGCCAAGCCTGCAGTTTCGGAGGCGCCGGTTAGCGACTTGCTTGATTTGGGTGACAGTGCTACGCCTGTTGCTGCACCTTCTAGTGACTTGCTAGCCGATATCTTCGGCTCGTCGCCTGCTCCCACCGCGCCCTCTCCGGCTCCGGCTCCGGCTCCGGCAAACCCCGCTGCCAAAGATATTTTGGATCTGTTTGGATCGACACCTGCTGCGCCTACGCCTGCGCCTGCTGCTTCTGTACCTCCCGTCCCTAGCGGCCCCCCGGCTTATTCGAGCAGTCACCTCGTTTTGCACATTTCTGGAAGCAAAGAGTCTAGCGGAGTAGCCAAGCTCAGGGCAGTTTTCACTGCCACTTCTCCGGTCGAGAATATTGTGATGCAAGTTGCTGTCCCGAAATCGCAAAAGCTGGCGCTGCAGCCGCTGGCAAAACCAGATTTGGCCGCCGGAGAGTCTACGGAACAGCTCATCAAGATCACAGGCCCCGAAGGAGCAGCCCTCAGACTCCGGTTGCGTATTTCATACGTGGGCGGTGGTCAAAATATCCAAGAACAGGTTGACTACAACGGTCTGCCTCAGGGATTGTTTTAATTATAAGCATATTCTAGCTAAAATGTCGCCTTACTTGAGTCGTCTGCTCTCACAATCAGTTTAGTCAGATGCCAGATAACCGCAGAGTGGAGTTGATTGTGCCCTACGTGCACCGGCCGGAGAAAACGGGACGGTCGCCAACTTCAGCGTTCAGTTCAACCTTGCCAATGGCTGCCATGTTTATGAGATCGCGAATTCTCTCGTGGTGTGCCCTTTTCACCGCCATGCAGGTCTACCTGAACGAGCCTGAAGAGCGGTCGCCAGATGCTCAGCCGGGCTGGATGTCGTTGATTATTGCAGTGCTTGGTGTTGGAACAAGCTACATGGACTTTGTCGGCAAACGTCCTGTGCCCAAACAAGCTGCTGCCAAGGCTGCGGAGACGGTGGTAGAGGCGGCCAAGGAGACTATACACAAACTAGTAAACTAGCTAAACTAAAAACTACATCAATCTTCATACGGACATTCTTCAGCAGTATGACCGTCTCTTTCGCACAGTCCGCACCATAGATCGCGGCCGGCTGCTGCATCGCTCGGTTTAGAGGCCGTTTGGGGTACTGCCGCTGCGGCTGGCGTACTTTTAGGAGCATCCTCCTTGGGGGCATCATCTTTAGGGGTGATAGACAGTCTTTCAATCTCAGCCTCCAGTTCAGACTCTCGAACCACCTTGGCCTCAAGGGCCTGTTCAAGGCGGCTGATTTCAGAGCTGGCATTAGAGACCTGCTCTAGTTCAGCAAGAAGCATTTTCGACTGAGACCTTGATTTCTGCAGCTCGGACTTGACTGCTGCCAATTCCGACTTGAGACTCGACACCTGCACTTTATCTTCAGGCTCTTCGCTAGGGGAAGAGCGGCCGTTCTTTTCACACTCAGCCTTTTTAGACTCCAACTCGATCTTGACAGAAACAAGCTCTGCTTTAAGGGGTGCCAGCTCTTCTCTGTTAGCTTCCAGCTCATGTTTGGTTTCCTCAAGGGTCTTGGTGGTGGCTTCAAGCTGATTTTTGGTGGCCCTTAACTCGACGGTTGCCAAGCCCAGCTGCTCGCGTGTCTCGTCAAGCTCTTTTCTGAGCTCGGCAACCGAACTGTTATCTGTGTCAACAGTTCCAGCGCGTAGCATTTCAAGCTCTTTACGCTGGACACGCTCTTTGTCGCGTAACTCGTCGAGTTCAGAAATGCTCTCCCTCATTTCGTTGAGCATTTTCTCTTGTGTTTCGAGCTGTTGAAGAACTGCATCCAACTCTTCATCACCCAGGCGAGACGATCTGGTTTTCTCCAGTTCTTCCTGCGCGGCCTCGAGTTGCTCTCTCTGCTCTCTGAGACGCTCTGATTCAGAAAGCATCTGGTTCTGCATAGCTGCCAAAGCGGTTCGCTGGGTCTCAATTTCTTCGTTCAGTCCAGAGTTCTGACTTTGCAGTTTGTGTTCGTATTCATCAGCCATTGCCTGTAATTTCTCCTCGTAATTATCGGCAATGGCATTACGGTCCATCTCAAGCTGCGAAATTGTCATACGGAACTCGTCTCGCTTTTGTTCGTGCGCCTGACGCATGGACTGTATTTTTTGATCTTTTTCCTCCAACAGCTTGTGCAGGTCATCGTCAGAAGCCTTGGGGTCAGAGGCGGCCAGCTGAGCCTTGAGCCGGTCGCATTCGGCACTCCGCTCGGCCAACAGCTTTTCCAATTGGTCAATTTCGGCCGGGGCAGCAACATTTTTGCGTTCGCTCAGTGTGCTTGCAGGCGACAGCGCGCTATCGGGGGACGCATCGAACACGTTTCGGCTGATCACGCTCTGTACATTCGCGCTAACCAGCTGCGAATAGGACACAAACAAGCCAGTGCCGGGCACTTCAGTGGAAAAATACTTGCGGCCGTTGTGCTCGCCGGAATGTTTACCGTAGGTGGTCGCGTTGGGTCCCGTAAGCTCGACGCCAGCGTACTCTATGAGTTTACCGTCAATACGACCCATCCATCTCAGGATGGCCGGCTGGCCCTGAGGCAAAACCACCTCATTTCCAACTCTGATCGCCATTTAATCAAGAAATATCAATTCCTGGGCCTCCACCGCCTGACACAGCCTCCCAAAATTATATGAAACGGAAAGTTGGAGGTTAATAATCGGACATGTCGCTTTTATTGGATCAGAGATTGGTGGGCGAGGTTGCAGAGTACTGTCCTGCCCAGTTTATGAACTACTATACATGTCTCAGCAAGGGCGATGTTACGCAGTGCTTTGATGAGCAGAGGGCGCTGGCGGCATGCGCCAAAACCACGGCCCCTTCGTTTGTCAAAATCATCACCAACTGCAAGACGCAAATGGACACCTACGAAAGCTGTATTAGGGCGAACCCGGAATTCAAGACACAGTGCTTCGACAAGCTAACTGAAATGCGGGAGTGCATGACCAAAGTGTTGGGTTAGTAGAGCTCAATTTCAATTTTCTGGAAATACTTACGGATCCCGGTGGGAAACAGGACGTGGGAGGCCCACTAGACGGTTATACGTCTTCTGCTTCTCTACACGAACACAAAACCGCCCCTTTCTGTTTTCTACGCATCGCAAGTGGTATCCCGGCCCGGATATTTCGGTTTGTTTATCGAGTCGAACGAAAAAGCATCAGCAAACGACTACTTGTGACTCCCGGCTTGTACCGGACAGACATAACTCTGTCTAAAGCGCGAGAAATGGACACTTAGGAGAGGGAATAAGACACTTAGTACCAGCGGCTGCTGGTAAAGCACGGGGTAATGTAGTAGACGCGTATAAAGGTTGTTTTGTCAGGATGACAAAATTGACGACTAGTAAACTAAATAAATACACTAGGACTCTATGCGAGGTGTGGAGGAAGAAGGAAATTAGGAATGAAGTTCTTAATGTGGTACAGGTGACCACAGTTTTTGCAGGTCATAACGCCCTGCTCGATTTGGGTCTCCAGGAGCAGCGAGTGCAAATCGCGGAGCAGCTGCTCGTTTTCGGCAGCTTGGGCATCTTCGATGGTTGGTTTCTGTGGCGGCAGCGAGCTGTTTCCGAGCTCAGCAGCCACCTCCACCAGGGCATCCCAATCGAGTTTTTGGAGCATGTGAGCAATGAACTCTGGGTCGAAATCGATTTCTTTTTGAACCAGCTGGCACTCGGAGTATTTCAGAGGGAATGCATCAGAAGAGCGAGCACAAGACTGAACGGCACACTGCACAAAGTTTGTAGTTAAAAACTTCATTGACAAGTTGTGATGAATAATCTGATCTCGCGATACGGTGAAATTTAGACTTTTCAACTAAGATTCTCGTTTTTTTCCGGGACTCTAATACTTTGTTATTGTTTGGTGGTTGCAACATCCATTAACTCCCGGCACAAACCCCAGAGCAATCGCCTCAGTGCTTGAGTTTCACCAGACTCCACTCTACGTTTTGGATCGACACTTCAGAACTAGCAGATTCATCATAATCGTACCACTCCCCGTCAATCAACTCCACTTCATCAAATTTGGCTGCGCTGTGAGCCGATTCGCATTTGAATAACCCGTCGGGAACAAACTCGATCAGCCTCAGACCCCGAACATCGAAGGTTGCCATGTTGACAGACTTAGCATCCTCCGAACTATATCCATTCTTGCTCACGCTGTGTACGAGAATAGTGCCCGTGCGTTTACACATTTTGCACTTCATAACGAAACTAAATTCACCGCGAGTGTGTTCGGCCTCGACCTTCTCGTGGGCATTGAAATCAACAGGCTTGGGATTCTCCTCGTGGCACCCCTCGCACTCGACCCGGAATTTGAACTGATAATACTCTGTTTGACTGTCCCGGAAATGCAAGTTCGTGACGCCCTCCAGCTCGGCTTTTAATTCAAGTCCAATCATGTCAGCAAGTAGGAACCTCACCTGAGACGATGTTAAAGTGCTGGACACGATCAGCTCGGTGGAGAGCGGTGCGCTCGTTTTCAAGTCACTCTAAATATGTCCCGGAACACACAAATTTTTTGGATATCGACTTGAACGACCAAGAAATGTTTGGCATACCCCGAGTTGAGTCTACCCGGCTGCAGGCAGCTGCTCGACGGATCGCCGAGTATTTTATGGTGTACGATGCCATAGACCAGACTCTTTTGGAGCACGAAGCACAACTAGACTTTGGCGACGGTGACACTGCGTCCATTGTTGACGTCGATGCGGCCGAACTCGGTAAATTGGATCGAGAGAACGTTAGCGGTGTCCGTCAGTATTTATTCAATTCGTACCAGCTTCAAAAGCGTGGACAGCTGTCTGATTTTATTGAAGATCTGGAACGAATACCCCAGCAGGGGCTGCTTCCGCGGGAAGAAGTGCAAGCGCGGCTGGACCACTTATTGCGACAAAGTGACCCCAATCTGAGCGAGGTGGCCAAGCTGCTGGCCGGAAAGGGCGTGCCTAACCTGAGCATGCTCAACAAAATGATGAAATCTCTGCTGGATCGAGGATATTATCAGCCCTGCCAGGTGGTGCTTGATTCCCTGTTGATGAGCAGAGAAACACTCAACATGCAAACACTAGCAATTGCCTTATCCTTAGCTACGTTGGGGGCAAAAAAGACCGTTTTTTATTCCTATGCTCTGGTGGCCATGCCCGACTCGGCAACCGATTCTGCTCTTGCCAGCCGCTTTGGTGACATTTCCGCACCCAGTGAAGAGCTCATTGAGTCTCTGGCATTCGGGTTTGCTAAATTCCAAGACGCAGAAAATTTGGATAGGGTGCTGGACTGGGCAAAGCTGCACAATGTCTTATCGCTGCGGGCCCTCCGTACCAACATGCGAGCTGCCCTCCAGTGGCAGGACGAACCCCGCGCCAACAAAACTATCAGCATCTTAACAAAACTCGGCACCGTTCCTGAGGAATTCACCGCAATGGCAACCAAAATCAGCTCTTTAAATACCTAATAATACAAATACGTCGGTGGCAATCTTGCATGCAATCATAGCGATTCCTGCATAAACAATGAATTTGGTGAAAACCTCGACGTCATAATGGAGACGAGGGATCTCGATAGCGTTCTGTGCACGTGGGGGTGTTTGAACCCCTGATCTTGGTTTGCTCTCCCGGTAGGCTTGAGCCTCATACACATCGACGATGTTCTGGGGCCCCACAGAGTCGCTACGACCATGGGTACGTCTAACAGTACGGATCATCGTAGCAATTTGTTTGGGGGAGTCGGGAATAAGATCGTCGGGTAGATCGCCGGGGACTCTGTCGTATTCGGTGGCCTTGAGGTAGTTACGTCGTGGCAGAGCGAACCCGTGGGTCTGGACAAATCTCCAGACTGGTGGAAGGACTCTCAAAAGCGTTCGCTTGGCAATCAGACGCCAAACGATGATCATAGCCACGCCCAACACAAACCGCGTAGCAGCCTGCCAAGTACCCTTGTAAACGAACTCTGGCCATCCAGAACCCGTTCGAGCATAGTGGAGGGCTGCGCTTAGTTCCAGTCCAAATACAACCGATAAGAAAGCAACACTATCGTCGTAGCAAGGGCAAGGATCAACGGGTTGGGGATGGAAAATGATCATTGCGGCAGTTGCAAGTCCTAAAAGTGATAGGTTCAGCCATGGGAACGATGGCTGACCGTGGAGAGCGGCATGAAACCACTTGACAGCTTGGCAACTCATCAGCCAGGCAATCCAGCCAAAAACCAGCCCAGACACAACGTCAATGAACCCATGCATGCCTGTATAGAGCCGGCCTGACACGATGGAGATACCCAAGATAGTGCAGATCCAATAAACTACGGTGGGTGGGTTGTTTTCAACCATGAAAACCAGAATTACCGACAGCGCATTACACGAATGCGTAGACGGGAATCCATATTCCTGGACAGCCGAGCCGCTGGTGGAGATGCGGTGCAACGGAGGTGACCGCGGGCGGGGCAGACACAAAAGATCCTTGACATACCCGGTAATATAAACGCCGATTGCCAAAACAGTAATGACGCTCTCTCCAATTGGCATGTGGCCATACCAGCAGAAAACGGGCAGCATGATCATATAGAACGTGTGGGTACCTAAGTTGGCCGTGGACGCAAAGTAAGTGTCCAAAAATGGCGTGCGGACCGACTTCTGGATCCGCGCTAGTAAATCGGTTTCTTTCCGCACATATTCAAGAGCACACTGGCGAAATTTGAAGCGCACTGGGCCCATACGGCATCTGTAGTGGTCCGCGGTATTTGTTCCAGCGTCCTGCATGGGGGGTGTCTATCTAAGCCTCCAGCTGCCAAGATACTGAAATAGAATTGTGCAGTCTGTTGGTTGGGACCAAATGAAAACACAATTTTTTTGAAAAGACAGTTTTCAGAATTGTTGGCCGGGCATTGCCGCGTGTTCCAGTTAACTGGACTGTTCATCTAATTTTTCACCGCCTGCGATCTCTTCACTTTTTTTTTTTCCTTTCCCCAGAATATCCAAACCCTCTTCCACGAACTGTCCTCGCCCTAAAAACCGTTCGATTAGTCTTGTTGACATAAGGGTGTTTCATAAAGGACCATGGATATCCGTGCGAAACGACAGTCCATGCTGGGACAACCGTACGGTGCTTCAAGCAGCTCACTAAAATTATCTGGAGCTTTAAAGCCTGGAGCTCCGCGTCAAGTCGATCAACCAGATAAGCGCATCAAGCTCGTGTGTGTGGGCGACGGCGGCATTGGTAAGACGTCGCTGTTAAGCCGTTATATTAGCGGCGAGTTCCCTAAAGATTACGTTCCAACCGTGTTTGAGAATTATATTCGGAATATTTCTTTCAATGGGCTCAAGGTGGAGCTAGCATTGTGGGACACCGCTGGTCAAGAAGAGTACGATCGACTAAGATCACTATCGTATCCGGAATCCGATGCCATTGTACTATGCTATTCATGTGACAGTGTAATTTCCTTAGAAAACGTGATTGATCGGTGGTTCCCTGAAGTAAACCTCTATTGTCCGGGTACTCCGGTGGTCTTAGTGGGTCTCAAATCCGATTTGGCGTCTCAGCAGGTATCTTTCGAGGCCGGTCAGATTGTAGCCGATCAACTAGGTGCTTATAGTCATATTTGGTGTTCAGCAAAGCAAGGAAGTAAAGTTCAGGACGTTTTTGAAGACGCAATGCGCGCAGTTTTGAGTCCTGATGCTCCAGCAGCTACTGCCTCCCCTGCTCCGGCGCCCAAGTCCAAGCCCAAGCCCATTGAAGCAAGTGTGGAAGCAAGGCGCAAACCGAAAGAGTCAAAAAGGCGCAAGCGTTGCTTAATCTGTTGAGTCAGTTTTGGTCTGCACCGCCCACAACTCTTCCATTTCTATGTATTCTTGGCCTACAGCGACGACCTGTTGGATTGTGTCACTCAATGTTTGAATATTGTGCGAGAATTCCGCCAATTGTCTCTCGATCTCCTCCATGAACCTCTCTTTCTGTTCTTCAAAGTACTCTAGGCCTTCCATGAAGTTTTCTGACTCAGCCTGTCGTCAACTATATGGATATTGATGAACTTCTTGAAGGACTAAGTGACAGTGGTGATGATCAAACAACTCAAGTTGTTGGTCCAGTAGCGGAGGATTCGCCAGCAGAGTTGACGGTTAGGATCGACGAGATGCTCGAGCCTCTGGGCAACCAGCTGAAGGAGTGCTATGCGCCTCGATTCCCCGAATTACAGGCTCTGGTTCCTGATCTCGAGGAATTTTGCCATATAATTAAACTGCTTGGCCCTGAATTAACCCCCAATTCCCAAGCGCTGGAAGATATCGTAGGGAAACAAAGGGCCATGGTAGTCCAGATGAGTATGGCAGAGACCCCCGGGCGTGAGTTAACCGACTCGGAGTGGGGGCAATTACAACAAATTTTGGACAACGTTTTTGACTTGATGCAAAAACGTGAACAGGCTATGCAAACCTTAGCCCAAGAGCTCAGCTCTCATGCACCCAATCTGCTCGGAATCGTGCGGTTGTCAACTGCAGTCAGACTCGTGGCATACAGAGGGGGTCTTGCAGAACTGGCAAGCACGCCCTCAGCCAACCTGATTTCACTAGGTGCCCCCAAGGCATCGTCGGTTGGTGGATCAATGGTTCGCCAAGGTTTTATATACAACGACCCGCTTGTTCGTGGTGTGCCCTTGCATCACAAGCGACAAGCCGTACGCATGGTAAGTGCCAAAGTGGTGCTGGCTGCTCGTATGGATTTGGCCAAGAGCAGTACAGACGGATCCCAGGGCAGGCTCTGGAGAGGCCAGATTCTAGATCGGCTCGAAAAGCTTTCTCGGGCCCCAATTAGTGCGCAGGATCGCGCGATTACCATTCGAGAAGATAAGCCCTCCAAGAAAAGAGGCGGAAGACGAGCTCGCCGATTTAAACTTCAGCTCACACCGACCGAGTTGCAGCGGCAGCGTGATCGTCTTGCATTTGGCTCTTCAAAGGGTGATTATGGTGTTTAATTTAAAGATATATTAATTTTGATTGTTTTGTGCAGGCGACCATAGATGCAGAGAGTTGTCGTCGGCGACCGATGCGATCAGTTCCCGGGCGGGGTTCCAAGCCACATCAGCGACCGGCGCTGTATGGCCGTTATGAGAAAAGAAGCATTCGAGTTTTGACACGTCCCAGATTTTGGCTGTTGTGTCTTGGGATCCAGACAGCAAAGCTGCCGACCGCGAAGGGTGCCAGCTTAACGCGACGACCGCATCGGTGTGGCCGGTTAGTTTATGAATCATGGCCCCCGAATTACGAATGTCCCATAACTCAATCTCGCCCGTGCCAGTCCCGACTGAAACGAGGTTTTGGTTTACGGGATGGCAGGCAACGGCAAGCCCGCCGGACCCAAACGTGGCCAGCGACTCTTCTCCGCGCCAATCACGCAACCCTACAACGTCGTCAGCGGCGAACACTGCCATATGCGATTGATGAGGATGGAAAACAACCGAGTTGACCGCGGTTGGATGTTCGTAGAGTGTGATAGAGTCGAGTTTCCCTGTGGACGAGTTGTACTTTCGAATGTCCCATGCCGCGACTTTGCCATCGTTGGCACCCGTAATTAAGAAAGACTCGTGAGTTGTGCTCCAATCGAGACCGAAGCCCTCGGAAGTGTGGGCTTGCAGCTCAATGTCAGGTTTACAGATCCCGCACGGGTTATTTGGAAAGTGCGTTAAATCATAGACGGCAGCCTGGCCGGTCGATGAAATCGTAGCAATCAGATTCTGGTTTTGGGGCATATACCGAGCCCTATTGACCTCTCCAGAGTGATCAATTCGTTGAAATACCTTAACGTCCGCCGACCGCTGAGGCATATACCCCCCGACTGTTTTGAGCTCCGGGTTGTAATTTTCAAGCAAATTGAACGGCTGCTCAGAAAAAGTAACCCGGGCACAGCGGAGATATTCAGGCATTTGTCCCACTGTGCGTGTGCCCAACAACAAGTTCTGGGAAACCTGGTGGTCAGGTCCCGACGTGACGTCTGGGAGCCACTGCACCGTCGGTGAGGGCCACGGCAGCGTTGCCGTTATGAGCGTCTTGTATATATACGGTGCGTTTTTCTTCCAAGCGAGAAAAACTGGCGAGACCGTCGCGTCCACAGGCTCCATAGTCGCGGTTTCCATTACGCGTTGTGAAATTCTCAGCCGGCTTAATTACCCTTACTCAGCTAGAGGAGGCAAACTATCAAATGAGCTCTGTGTACGAATGGTCCGAGACCGAGAGTCAGAGCGAGGATGAGTCTGTAGTTGTCGAGCGCAAGATTCCTGTTCTCTCGATTACCCGGAGAATTCTGATCAATCTGGCGATTCCTTTCATCAACGGCATTATGCTCGGCTTTGGCGAGATCTTTGCCCACGAAATTGGGGTTGCCTACGGCTGGAGGCAAAGCAGAGTAAGTATTCGTGGCCTAACGGCGGTTTTTGCCCCGGGTTTGATAGGCCTTGTGGGGTTGCTACTACTCCGGCACTCTCAAGCATTATACTAACTAGACATATGACCCCACCAGCCCATTGTACGCGAACCGGCGTCGTTGGTTGTGGTTTTTCTGAGCTTCGTCATCCTCAAACAAGGCTCAGCCTAGCACAGATTGTGCCCTGCATCGTTGTTTTAAGTTAGCCGATCTTTTGGTTGGCCTTCGGGATTATCGGGACACGTCGCGCTCCCGGTACTCGGTTGAGGTTGCTGGCATGGGATTCGCTGTAGTGCACATATACACCGGTACATTTTCATAGCATTTATCCTTTGCCATGATTTAAATTGCTTAACACTGTACTTTCTCCTGCAGCCGCGAGGGGCCGCGAAAACTGGGCAGGGGAAGCACGCCATGCAGTGGCAACCAACGACGATCCCAATTGCGTAGATTCCCAGCCGGAAAGCTGCTAAATGCTGCCAGACTCCGATTTTTACGGAGGTTAAAAGCCTATAGTCTACGAGCGGTGCGGTCGGGGATGTTGTGGGCTTTTTTTGCCGTCCACTCCTCGCGTTATGCAGGCTCATCTGCAGCACGCTCACGAACATGCATATGTGCCTAACTTTCTTGCTCGCTTGTCACGTGTTGAGATGTGGGTAGCATATCCCCAGATAATATAAAAGGAGAAAGTGGCCATTGCTTTCGATCACATTTACAGAATGGGTTTAGGCGAGAAATTCCACCACGCAGCTGAGAAGCTCCAGCAGATGGGCAACAAGAACAACAACGACGACTCCTTTGGAGACTCGAACAATGATTCGTACGGGTCGAACCGCAACGACGACTCCTATGGTAACAAGAACAATTCTTCGTCGTTCGGAGGTTCCAACAATGACTCGTATGGCTCCGGTGGTAACAACAATACCTCGTCCTTTGGCGGCTCGAACAACGATTCCTACGGCTCTGGAGGCAACAACAATTCCTCGTCGTTCGGTGGATCCAACAATGACTCGTATGGCTCCGGTGGTAACAACAACTCGTCCTTGGGCGGCTCGAACAACGACTCTTACGGCTCCGGTGGTAACAACAATACCTCGTCCTTTGGCGGCTCGAACAACGATTCCTACGGCTCTGGAGGCAACAACAATTCCTCGTCGTTCGGTGGATCCAACAATGACTCGTATGGCTCCGGCGGTAACAACAACCCGTCGTTTGGCGGCTCAAACAATGACTCGTATGGCTCCGGTGGTAACAACAACTCCTCCTTTGGCGGCTCGAACAACGATTCCTACGGCTCTGGAGGCAACAACAACTCGTCCTTCGGCGGCGGCTCAAACAACGATTCCTACGGCTCTGGAGGCAACAACAACTCGTCCTTCGGCGGCGGCTCAAACAACGACTCTTATGGCTCCGGCGGTAACAACAACCCGTCGTTTGGCGGCTCAAACAATGACTCGTACGGCTCTGGAGGCAACAACGACTCCTACGGCTCGGGCAACAACAACGACTCCTACGGCGGTGGTAACAGTGGCTCCTACGGCGGCGGCAACAACAACTCGTATGGCGGCAACAATGATAATTATTAAATAGTTTAGTTGTTACTTTTATTATTGCTCTTCTCCTTGTCGGTTATTATCGTGATCGTTACCAGGGGCTGACGGTGCGGGCATGTGGGACGTCAAGCCAGGTCCAAAGCGAGCATGGATTGGAGGCCCCGGCTGCAATTGAGCCCCAAGTGTAGGCGTAGCAGCTTGGGCCACTACAGTTTGCGGTTGATTCTGGTAAGGAACATGGGGGGTTGTATGATAGCTGAAGGGGTGTTCATGGGCTGCGTAAACTGCGGTACGCCGAATGCAGGAACAGACCATGCCTGGGGTGGGGGTTGACTAAACGACACCACGGATATCATGCGCTCGATATCATCGGGCACAACCCTCAGACTCAAAAAGGGCACGAAATTTTGGCTGATCTGGCCAGTTATGGCAGGGTTGTTCATCAAATCGTTTAACAGTTGTGGGATAGGCGGGTATTGACGCTGGAGATTGTCGTATGCTGCCACTGCGTCAGTCAACAATGCAGAAAAATGCGCCAAGGGACGTACATGCGAAATGCGGGGGCGGAGTCTAGGCTGGGGGTTGATGGTCTGGAGTACAAGATCCGAAGCCAGCAAAATGCCGTTGGCCATGTTTCTGGTATCGTTGGTTAGAGGAACGGCCTGTATGAGGCGCCGCACATAGTCCAGTTCTGATCGCACAAACTTGTCGACATTGCCATTAGCCGTCTTGAAAGGTATCACCCAGTTCGAGACTATCAAATTCGCCTGAACAATATGCTGGAGCCGCTTTCCCCTTGTTGTGCCCAATATTTGCTGGTCAGGAACAGTGTTGACAAGATCAATCGCTCGTTGAAGATCTTCCGCGGTTATCTGGGTCTGGTTATCCAGATTCAGAGCTGAACAGCGGTTTATCCACTTTAGCAGTGCGATCAAACTTGTCAAAATTGTGGCCACAGACTTCATCTCCTGCACAGAGACGCCTAGGCTCTGCGCCTGTTTCCAGAGATTTTCTGCCTCTTCCACGGCAGCAGGCAGAGTAATGCTCGATATCTCAAGACTCTTCATGAGACTTTGCAGACCTTCAACAACCACCCGGGTGCTTCTTATTACCGACACTACGCGACTGTCGGCTTCCGGGTAGGGAGGCATTGGCAGCAGGTGCCTTTCCGCTATCTCTCTGGCTTGCTCGCCATTTGTCCACGCCATAGTCGCCAACCAGTCTGCTCCTTGGGGGTACTTCTTGCTCAACAACGCTGCAACCCCACGGAGTGACTGAATAGAGTTGATGGTTGCCGCCGCAAATTCCCCAATCTGCCAATTGTCCTTCAGGTATGTGAGCACTCCATAGTCGGGCTCAGTTAATACACTTGAAAACATGCCAAGAACTCCTTCGAGGTCTGAATGAGCCACAACGAGACCATTCTCTAAATTCAGACGCTGATAGTCTTTCAAATCGTATGCTGTTCCATCGACTTCAATCCATAACAAATGACGGAGTTCTCCCGAGTTGAGAGTCGCGGTTAGCAAGCCATTGTGGCGATGAACGGAAAGACCGCTGCTTTTTACATATACCAGTTCTTCTGAAAGCTTTTGCCAAGTGTCCTTGATATCTTGACGGACTGCGTTCAAGAGCTCCTGCGAGGGATTAGAGCGTGCCAAATTATACAGCAGGTGTTCAACGCAAATAGTTGCTCGCGGCAAAGAAGATAGGCCTTGCCATACCGGCCAAAAGCTAGATGATTCAACAATGTTATATCCGTGATCGAAATTCATAAACAGTGCATTGGGGAAAATAAATACAAGCTCACCGCGGCTCTGGTCGGCGGCATAAACGGGCACTTGAGAGCCCAAACGCTGAGGATCCATCGCGTTGCTAAGAAGCAAAGATCCGGCTTTCACACGAAACTCGCTAGGTACACAATACCAAGTTCTAGGGCCCCCATCATGTACCAAGGAAATCTTGGTGGTATGCCCTGAGAACAGCCAGGGAGTTGATGAAAAAATAGATCCGACTTCAGCCGTGGGGGGATCGTCTTCAATATCTTCATTGATATAAGAGTACAAACACCAAGGAGAATATGTAATATCATGCAAAAGAAGTGTTTTGTCGTCGTTGGGTGTTCCGTCCTGCTGCATTAACCTGGGGAGGGTTCTAGGGTCTTGGGCCATTAGAGCTTTGTGAGTGATCGCAGTACTGGATCCCATAGTATTCCAAAAAGTTGTCTCATTCAAGTCAATTGCGGAGGTTCCTTGACGATGCCGCGCAGGATGGCTCAGAAGACCCCGCAAAAGCGTTGCTGACGACTTTTGGCTACAGTAGGTTGCATGGTTGACTGCAGGACTCAATTTTGATATCGTTATATCAAATGGTAAAGTGAACGCAGGGTCGGGGTCATTCAACCCGTAAACAAGTGGATTTTGTAGGTCTTGTATAGGCACTCCGTTCTCTTTGAGAAAGTCGTCGAATGGGGCGATGTACCGCCGATAAAACAATTTTAGCCGTTGATGAAACAATTTTGGATAGTTTCCACCGACCCCTAGCTCATCCCACACGAACGGCCACGTTTGGGTGCGGCCCACTGTTATGAAACCTCCTCTGGAAATCACTGCGAAATGAAATGCGTAAAGATCCACGGCGTGACGAGAAGTAGCCAGAGCGGGGACCTCCTGTGGCTTTTGCTGTCTAGAGTGAAAATGCCTCAGTGCATTAACGTACTTTTCTCCAAGTTCAGTATCAACCTCCGGTGGAATATTGATAGCCTGGCGTTGGGATCGAAACGGAATGGAATTCCAATCTATCGTGGATGGCTTGGAAAAATAATCTGGCGGTAAAGCCACTTTCACGATACCATGGCTCTTACCGATTGGTTCAATAGTGGACAGAAACGCTGCAAAGTCCACCATATCGGCATCTGTGGCTTGCACCTCTGGTGCAGATCTTACGTTTGCGAGGTGTGTACGAGATCCAAGGTTCGTAGCATGCTTTTTTTGCAGCTCACTGTACAGAGGGGTCTTGAAACGGTTGGTCGGTCGAGACTTTTTCTTTTCGGGCACCACGACTTCAGGTGCGCCTGCCGTAACGGCTTCCGGGTCCGCTGTGGGGCTCTCCGGTTGGGGTTTGAGGGGCGGACCGACTTCAGACAGCACCGCAAACCGCGCAGGTTTACGTGGTCGTGTTTGGTTGAGCCCCGCGCTACCGTTCCCCCCATTCCCCGCCGCCAATGGACCATTTACTGGTGTAAACCCCATGGTTAAATCGGGCAAAGGGTGAGGCGCTTAGCTAAAGGCGTCCCAGAGGGAATCATTCAAATTATAGGGTTGATTATTTATGAAGACCCCCCGGCTGGGTCATTGGATGTGTTCCGGGATCTCGAATTGCGGGAAACAATGGCCTCGCGACGTACACATGTGATCCATTTTGATAGGAGAGTCGTGGTGCTCGAAAAGCAGCCATAAAAACTTGAGGGTGCTTCCGGTCCAAGACGGGTTCATTGCGTCGGTTGTTTTACCATTGAACGCATTTTGAAGCATGCAAAAAGATCCGTCTTCGAGTTGGGTCCATTCTCGAAGAGCATCGAACATTTCCCACCCCCATTCTCTGTACGTGGGATCGGCGGTGATTCTATACATCTCAAACAGTGCCTCGAAGACTCCTGAGGACTGAATGTTGCGGGGATCGACTGTTTTGAAATCGACTTCAGAATAAGGGTCTGTGCTAAAGGCGATTCTGTAAGGGGCGATTCCAGACTTGGACTGAAGCCAAGTTGCAGCGCACGATCTCAGCATCTCAAGGCCCAAACGGTATCGTTCTTCCTGTTTCGGCGTGACGCCGGCAATTTTCACTCTGCGATACCACTTTCCATCGGTAGAGTGAAAGACCAAGAGCCCAGCGAGCGAACAAGCATCCTGGTCGGTGATGAATTCCCGAAGGGCGCTTGAATCACCGTTGGGCATGGAACCCAAAAACTTGTAGCGATTCGGAGACGTCACCTCGACAAGCTGCTTTTGAATGCTGTCCAAAATTTCATCGGCCATATCATGAACAGCCTCCTGTGAATAGCTGGTCAAGATATCCTGTCTCAAGATGTTGCCGTAGTACGACCCCTGACCCATATTGTAGTGCACGCTTTTGCCGATGAACTTGCCCGTATCCCTATTGATTCTGTCGGGAATAAAGACTTTTTCAGCTGCTTGAGACGCAATGTAGCGAGTAAACCGTGTAGCCGCCTCGAAGTACTTGTTATTCAAAGTGAGGTTTCCAAGGTAATGCAGCTCGAGCTGCATAGAGCCGGCTTCAGAGATAGGGACCTCTTTCGGGCCCCCCAGTTGCAGGGTTTTGAGGTTGATCATAGTCGCAGGAATACCGTTGGTTGTGTTTATAGCTGGAAGCAGTCTTTCGGCCAACTCGATCGCCTTCTTGGCATAGTACTCATCCTTCGAAGTAGCGTATGCTCCCAAAAGGCCACCAACACCGCGTGACATTGCCTCATAAACATTTACAGTAACATCCATTTCCTTGAACACTGTTGTGCGAAGATGCTCTCGGATCTTCTTCACCTCATCAGACATGCCTGCCATCATAACGGTGTCTATACTGTCTAGCAGAGTCCAGCCCACCCCGGACGTTTTGCGGCCCTTTCGGGAGAGCGGCATGTACATGTCACTTCCAAAGGCGTTGGTGCTATAGGCCATCCAACTAGATTTGATAGCTCTTTCAACTGCACGTTGTTTTTCGCGAGTATCCCGCATCGCCTGCAGAGGATCTACCTGCTGGAGAGATTTTCGGTTCTCATCGTAGATAGGAACAGGCTCAGAGCTGAAATGATCGGTGCTTGGTACGAAACTAGTAGCTCGGAAAAGCATGATACCCAAAACTATCAAAAGTGCCAGCAGGGCCCATCTTGCGTATGCCCTACCGATCATGAAGGGATGAGGATCACCTAAGGCGGGATTTTAGGGGGTGCCTTTATGCGTCGTGGAGGGAATTTATTTGCCCATCACTGCGGCAATTTGTCCTGTTTATCAGGGGGGTTTTTGGTCTCTTGAAACAGTCAAGGTTATATAGATAGTGCCGTATTCTCCAGTCAAGCTCTGCTTCCAGAGATACCTGTGGCTCTTTTTACCCTTACCCTTCGCTTGCTTAAACCCGCGACGTGCGTGTGGTAGGTTCGTTATACCTCAAACTATGGGACTTGCAGAAGACGCTGAACGATTGTACGAAGGATTGAAGACTGCCGGAGTGATTGGAAACAACAACAACCAAGGTTCCAATCAGGGCTACGATAACAATGGCCAAAACCAAGGGCATGGTGGCTTGATGGAGATGGCTAGCGAGTACTTGACCCACGGCCAGGGACAGAACCAGGGCAACCAGGGATATGGCGGTGGCAATCAGGGCTACGATAACCAGGGCTACGATAACCAGGGCTACGGCAGCAACAATGGAGGCTATGGCCAGAACAACGATGGCTATAGTGGTCAAGGTCAAGCCTCAGGCAAGCAAGGTGGAATGGGTGGATTGTTGAATATGGCCATGCACAAATACGAAGAGTATAGCCAGGGCAAGAACCACCAAGGTCAAGGCCAACCTAGCACCGAGGCTGGAAACTTTGGACGCAACGACGGCCGTACTGATGGCGGCGACTTTGGTTACGGTCGCAACGAAGGCCGTACCGACGGCGGTGACTTTGGGTCTGGTCGCCACGAGGGCCGCCACGAGGGCCGTCACGAGGGCCGCAATGATAGCGGCAACTTTGGCGGTGATTCCGGCTACGGAAACGATGGCCGCAACAATCGCAATGACGGTGGTAATTTCGGTTACGGGAACGACGGTCGAAGCAATCGCAACGATGGCGGTGATTTCGGTTACGGAAACGATGGCCGAAGCAACCGCAATGACGGCGGCAACTTTGGCTACGGAAACAACAGCCAAGGCAACCGCAATGACGGCGGCAACTTTGGTTATGGAAACGATGGCCGAAGCGATCGCAATGATGGCGGCAACTTTGGCTACGGAAACGATAACCGAGGCGGCAATCGCAACGACGGCGGCAGCTGTGGCTATGGAGATGATAACCGTAGTGGGGGCAATTTCGGCCGCGATGATCAAAATAGTGGCTATGGAAATGACAACTATGGTCGCAATGATAACTCTGGCTATGGCCAGAACAACAATGACGGCTACGGCCAGGGCGGTGGCTACAATTCAGGATACTAAAATTCGTAAATTCAGATCAGCCTGCCCTCATTATATCATAGTGCCTTAGTCATTTCCCTCATTACTTATGACTGATTCAGTAAGCGAGACAGTGAAGCAGGTTGAGGATCTCAAGGTCGAAGACAAGCAACAAAAAATCACTCCGTGGGAGGTCGCGGGAGCCACACAGGACGGCGTTGATCAAGGTATTGATTATGACAAGCTTGTGAAAGAGTTTGGCTCGAAGCGCATCTCTGAGGAGACGTTGGCACGGTTTGAAAAATTAACCGGACACCGCCCTCACTTGTTGCTGCGGCGCGGCATGTTCTTCAGTGAGCGCGACTTGGATTCGATTTTGGATCGCTACGAACAAAAGAAGCCGTTTTTCCTCTACACCGGCCGGGGACCCAGCTCCGACTCCATGCACCTGGGTCATATGATTCCCTTTACGTTTACTAAATGGTTGCAGGACGTTTTCGACGTGCCCTTGGTTATTGAGATGACCGATGACGAAAAGTTCCTGTTCAAGCCGACGCTTACTTTAGAACAGACATACGGCTTCTACAAGGACAATGCCAAGGACATTATTGCCGTTGGTTTTGATCCCAAAAAGACCTTTATGTTCAGTGATCTGGACTTTATGGGCGGTGCCTTCTATCGTAATGTCGTCAAGGTGTCCCGCCAAATCACAACCTCCACGGCCAGAGCGGTGTTTGGGTTCAAGGACAGCGATCCGATCGGCCGTCTGCATTTCGCATCTATCCAAATTTCCTCCAGTTTTTCAAACTCGTTCGAGCATTTATTCGGCACCAACGCCAGCATCCCTTGCTTGATTCCTTGTGCCATTGACCAGGACCCTTACTTCCGCGTCGCCCGTGACGTTGCATTCAAGCTCCGCTACCCCAAGCCGGCCTTGATCCACTCCAAGTTCTTCCCCGCACTGCAGGGCCCGTCGTCTAAGATGAGTGCATCTAGCGAAACGTCTGCCATCTTCATGACCGACACAGCCAACCAGGTCAAGAAGAAGATCAACAAGTACGCCTTCTCTGGCGGCCAGGTCTCGGTGGAGGAGCAGCGTCGGCTGGGCGGCAACTGCGATGTTGATGTTGCCTTCCAGTACATTTCGTTCTTCCTGGAGGACGATGCGGAGCTCGAGGGTATCCGTCAAAAATACACCAGCGGCGAGCTGTTGACCGGAGAGCTCAAGGCAATCGCAATCAAGTTGCTGCAGGAGTTTATTACCTCGTTCCAGGACCGCAGAGCCAAGGTTACGGACGAGGACGTCATGCATTTTGCCGACACTAAACGCCGGTACGAATGGGGCAATGGACAATTCAGTAACGGGGTGAACTAAGTAAAAGAAATAGTGACTATTAGTTTTTTCGGGATTTGATGTGGTTGACGAGCTGCTCAATGGTGATAACCTTAATGTTGTGGGCCTTGGCAAACTCGAGGCAGTCATCGCGGCGGGACATCAAGCCGTCGGAGTCACGAACAACCTCGCAAATAACACCGACAGGTGCCTGGCCGGTCAAACGGCACAAATCAACCGCAGCCTCGGTATGTCCTTGGCGAGCAACAACACCGCCATCGTCGGCTCGCAGAGGACAAAGGTGGCCAGGGCGATTGAACTGAGAGGCCTGGGTGGTGGGATCAGCCAACTTGCGGGACGTCAGAGCTCGATCGTGTGCGGAGATACCCGTAGAAGTGCCCTCCTTGAAATCACAGGTGACGGTGTACGCTGTTTTGTGCAGGTCGTCACCACGGGGCACCATCAGGGGCAGTTTCAGGCGGTCGGCAATCTCGTTGGTTAACGGAGCGCAGACATAACCCGAGGAGTGCTTGACCAGGAAGGCCATTTTTTCGGTGGTGATTTGCTCGGCGGCAATAATAAGATCTCCCTCGTTTTCGCGGGACTCGTCGTCAAGCACAATGAGGAATTCGCCATTCTTGAACGCAGCCAGAGCGTCCTCGACAGTGTCAAACAGGTGCTTTGCCTCAGACATAGTGCAGAACTGAAACTGCGGGAGAATGACGTGAGCTTTATAACCGAGCTAAATTTTTCACGACTGCCGCACGGCTAGTTGTTGCAAACTCTTTTTATTTCTTTTCAGCTAAAGAAAGAGGCTATCGCTAAGTTGGTGGGGTGCCAAAACTAATTTATAGGATCGTCCCGCACGCAGCAGGCCATGCACCATGACCAATGGTTTGTCACGGCCGGCCGCTCCAACGGCCAGAACGGTCGTATAGCCCACGCAGGTATGAGAATGTGCTTTTGCGGGGGTTGGGGTACATTTCAGGCACAGAGCGAGCAATCCCGCATGGGAATTCATAAAATCTCACTAATTATACTTTCCGTAACCCCCCGTTTATGCTGTCTTCCGCAGTGATCCCCTTAGTAACATGAACCGTATTTTTGGCACCAAATCAGCCGCCCCAAAACCTACTCTGAACGAGGCTATAGGCGGTCTTGAGGAGCGTATTTCTTCTCTGGATGTTCGGCTAGCCAAGCTCAATGGTGAATTGACGAGCTATCAGCAAAAAATGGCCAACATGCGGGACGGGCCTGGAAAGAACGCCATCAAACAACGAGCGCTCAAAGTGCTCAAGCAACGCAAACAAATTGAGGTGCAAAGAGATCAATTACAAGCTCAGAGCTGGAATATGGAACAGGCCTCTATGACCAGCGAGAATCTACGCAATACAATGGCCACGCTCGACGCTATGAAGACAGCAAACAAAGAACTCAAAAAGCAGTACGGAAAGGTCAATGTAGACAAAATTGAGGAGCTCCAGGACGAAATGGCTGATCTTATGGATATGGCGGACGAACTACAGGATACAATGAGTCGTAATTATAGTGTGGCCGATGAAGTTGACGAAGCCGAGCTCGATGCCGAGCTCGAGGCGTTGGGCGAGGAATTGGAGTTTGAACAAGCTGAGCCGTCTTATTTACAAGAAGAGATGCCCACCTTTGTGGACGAACAGCAAGAGCCTGCGGTTGCCAATGCTGCCCAGTGATTTTTTTCTTAGTGTTTGCGGGCTGCAAACAAATAGTTGCCTCCCTGCTTGCCAATGGTTCGGTTGAGCACATTTCCACACACATCATTGCTCCGCGGTCCAAAGCGCACCCATGATTGCACTCCAGGCACAAACATGCAGCCTTCCGAAGATACAAACTGCATATCGGGCTGTTCGTCAATGAACCGGCGCAGCTCACCCTCATTAATATACTTTGACCAGGTGTGGGTTCCTATTGGTACCATTTTCATGAGATGCTCGGCCACGAGAATAGTGGTCAAGTACGAAACTGCTGTGCGATTGATGGTGCTCATGAAAATGTATCCTCCGGGATTGAGCAGATCCAGCGCAGCCCTAAGGGTGGCCGGTGGATCGTCCAGATGCTCCAGCACCTCGAACATGGTAATTACGTCGAATTTGTGGCCGGGATCCAATGACTCCACAGTCGACTGCTTATAGCTCAGATGAGATAGTTTGGGGTCCAATTTCTTATGCTGCTTGGCAACTTTAATAACTTCAGGTGTAACGTCAATCCCCAAAACGCTTTTCACGTAGGGCCTACGGGCCAGCGACTCGCTCAGCAAGCCACCTCCACAGCCGATGTCCAGCACCATCAGCTTTTTCGCAGGCTCTTTAAACTGGGATCTCATGTTGGGTGGCAATAAATCCAGCGAATAACCTGGCACGTTGGCACTGGTCTCCTTCAATGTGTGGGCAATGTAGTCCATACGCATCCAGTTCATTTTGTTAAGCACGCGTTGCGGGCCGTTAGGATCCCACCAAGATTGAGCGAGCTCGGCAAAATGCGCCATTTCAGACGCATTTCCCGATCTGACCGCTGCCGCGGTACTGAATTTCGACACCCTCCAAATCGGGCTATAAACCTTGTTCATGATGACCAAGCGGGAAAGTTGATTTCTCTTACCACGATGGATGAGGACGATTTGGAGCTGAATGTGGCAGATAGTATTATCAGTACGCGTCAGAAGCGAGCGAATGCTGGGAACAGATTGAAGACGCTGTTGCAAATGCAGGAGCCGCTTGATGGTGAGGACGACATTTTCGCAGAGGTCGAGGACGATCAGGAATTCGACATCGAGACGGCCCAAACGGTTGAAGAGACGGTTGAAGGTGAGTCTGAAAATGGCAATGATGATGACGACGACGAGCCAGAAGGTGGCGACGACAATTTCAGTGATTCTTCTGACTCCAGCATCGAAAATGACGAGGAGCCAGAAGATGCTGGAGAGCAGGCGCTGGCCAAACAACAAAAGGAAGCCCTCAAAGAGAAAAAGAAGGCAGAGAAGCGAAAGATGTTTGAAATCAAGACCCGCAACAATGCTCCGAAACCAGCCAAAGCTCGTAAGTTTGTGGCAAAGGCCGAAAGCCTGTTAGACTCGGAAAGACGTGTATCCAAACGTGCACTTGCTATTCAAAACAAAGAACGGGTAATTGAAAGATTGCGGGAAAATGAAAGACGAAAGGCAGAGTACGTTTCGCCGGTGATCAAGAAGGCGCCCAAACTTACTCAAGAACAACGACTCGAAGAAGCCAAAATCACTGAAATGAAAAACACTGCGTCCTTGCATCATTTTGTCGAGGTCGAGGAGTACCGGAAGCAGCAGCAACGTCTAATGTGGGCAAACAGACGACCGAAGCTGTCAAAATTCATCAGATACAGCAGTCATTCTTTATTGGAGTACCCGACAATCATTGAGGTTGAAGTCAAAGAGGAACGGCCGCTCACGCCTGATTCGGAACCTGAAAAGCAGTCAGAATCTCAACAGGTTAATCTCGAGTCCCGGGCCGAATCCCGAGAGCCTGAATCCCAAGAGCCCGAGTCCCAAGAGCCCGAGTCCCAAGAGCCCGAGTCTGAGCTTTCTGAACGGTTCGAGTCTGAGCCTCCGGAAGAAGCCCCTCACGAAGAACCCGAGCCTATCGAAGCCACTGAACCCGAAACAATAAACCAAGCTGAAGATGGCACTGCAGAGCCTGAAGCAAATGCAGACTTTGAAATCAAAGAGGAACTCCCAGACGACGCTACTCTGATGCAACGAGCGATAGAGATGGAACGCATTAGGGAATTGGAAAAACAAGAGGAGGAGGAAGAGAAAGAGGAGGAGGAAATCCGTGAAGTCGAAGGTCCTCCTACTATCTCTACGTTCAACTCTATTACCATGCACGATTTCCCCGATTCGGCATACAACAAGCACACCGTCAAAGGTGTGTATTTCGGGGAGCAGGTTCTGAGGTCATCTGCAGTCCCACCAAAGCGTATTTGTGCAATCACTGGCAACATTGCCCGCTACCTTGACCCGGAATCCGGCATCGCCTACTACTCCCCCAAGACGTTCGACATTCTTAACATGATCCGGAACTACGAAGTTGCCTGGAGCAACGAACTAGGCGGCGTGTACCTAGGCCTTCGTGGCGGCCAACGCCATGCCAGTGGAGTCCCCGAAGGATTCGACTAAATATTTATATATATGCTTTTTAAGGCAGCCCATAGCCGAACGTGAGCATGATGGGTTTGACGTAATAGTTTTGGAAGTTGTTTTCGACAATTTCCTCTTGGCCGACGGGAACGCCGGTCCAGTTGACGTTCAAAACCGTCTCTCCAGAGCCCTGATCGAAGTCCAGTTGGATCGTAGCAAAGTGGCGCTCTTTCCAATCCCGCAGTCGCCATGTCATGACAATCTGCTTGTTCTCCTCGAGCTTGACAACTTTGCCAACAATGTTGCCGTTGAAAAGAGAATAGTTGGTTCCCTCTTTGGCCTCAATATCCGGAGAGGCTCTGGTCCAGGCGGCCACCATCGCCTTGTCCAAAAATGCCTTGTAGAGCTGTTCAGCTGACGCAGTGAAAGTAGGCTTCAGCTTGAGGGTGGTGGTATTGTACGTAGAGCTGCCGGTGACATTTTTGTCTTCATCGGCGTGGGCTAATGGCTGCAGAGCCTGTGCAGCGGCCTTTTGATCTTGGTGCTGGATATCCTTACCGTGGGTTTCAATCAGGTCAACACCGAACGCGACAAGCTTTTTGCGCAGCTGGGGAACAAGCTTTTCGCGAACAAGAGCCTTGACGGGCGCCTTGTCGGAGGTCTCATCGTCAATGCTGATGTTGAACTGGAACTCGTCCTCCTCGGTGTCGTAGGCAATCTCTGGGATCTTGATACGACCAGTGGCATCCACATCGCCGCAGCTGCCTGCATACTCGAGTTCCATATGCAAATCATAGAGCGAGATAACTTTGCCCTTGCGCTGGCAAACATCAACATCGCCCTCGACGTTGCGCACCTTCGTAACCTTGACAGAGGCCTGGTCGTTTTCAGCCGACGTCTCGGGAAGCTGGGCATTGAAGTAGTCGCGAGACCACTGAATGCAGTTCTTATCGACCCAGTGCCAGTTATTAGGATTGTGCAAAACCATCGTTATACGATCAACTGAACAGTTGGAACCTCCCAACCAGACACCTCAGGGGGCCCCTATATTAATACGCAGCCAGTATGCTCGAAAGTTCTCTGCATGGCGGCGGCTGAAGCAGGTAAAACGACAGTTTGATAGAATCTGCGAGTAACGAATATATACTGGAGGTAGAATATGAAATGTACTAGTAAAAATTCCCACCCATTTCCTGAGTTTGCTCGGGGTTAAACTGGCTTTTCTGGTCCGGATCGGATGCGTCAGGGTCCAAGATCCCTAACTTCTGCATTAGCGAGTCCGGGACTTCGCCGTGGGGCGGCTGAGCGTCGAAATTGATCATGGCGGCCATGATGGCCTCGGCCTCGTTGTTTGCGGCAGAAAAACTTGCGTCAAATCTTGCAAGAATGCTTTCAACCGTTTGACTGACCGGCAGTGCGTCCGTAACGAACCCTAGCCCTCCAAACTGGTGGTCTTCGTCTATGGGCAGGACCTTTGAGACGCCCTGGAGGAACCAGATTTTCTCTTTATTGGATGTGCAGTACTCTCTGACGATCTGGTAGTAAGCACCGACGATTTTTTGTGCCCACTCGTCTCCGTCGGCTAGCATTTTCACAATGGTGCCATCCATGAGCGCCGGGAACGAGAATACCCGCAGGATGTAGTCAGACTTGTGTTTCTGGTTAAGCAGCTTGTCCAGGTATGCTAGCGACGGGAAGTATGGAGAGGACGTCGACACGGGGTATAGGTCTTCGAGCAATGGGTGGCAACAGCGCAGGTCAGACTCGAGATCAACCGGCAGGGACAGTTGGGTGTTGGCCAAGTCCAATAAATCAATGCCCATGTACGAGTAAAACTTGGACGTAGGCGGCAGCACACCCACAGCAAGAAGGATAATTGCTGCACCACGAACATGATGCAACCAAGTCGCCGCCGGTAAACTGCACAGGCTCATTTCCGTGGGCAGCGAGGCGTTGGCCATGGCATCAAGAATCATGAGCACCGACGCTGCCACTAACGCGTCGAGGTTTTCGGGGTTCACGTTCTGAACCTCCTCACGAATTAGACGCAAACTTTCGCTTCTATGGGTGACCACGGCATTCTCCCAAGTTTTGGAATCCTCCAACGTCCGCAGGTGGGTGGCCGAAAACATTAGGACCGAGTGCATAAGGAAGGGAAAGCGCACACCAAGCTGGGGCACGTCGATTGCCCAAATGTCCCGTGTAAAAATGCCCGCCGTGGCTATGGTCTCCGCGACGGTTATCACAAAGTGATGCAAAAGTTGGAGATCAGTCATTTGCAGCCCGTATTTAAGTACGCACCGCGATTCTACATACCGACATTCCAGTCGCAAATGAATACAATTGCGGCACTTGGGGTGGAGTTCATCGCACTTCACCCGGCGCCGCTTGCATGTTATGCAGCCATTTCGCGACTTTGTGTGCGGGCGCCGTTTTTTAGATCCCGCTCCGGAGGAACCTTCTGGAGAATCATTCGGCACCGAGTCTTCGTCTTTGACGGCTGGCGAGTACGCCATCGTTGGTGGCATTCAACAAAACAGTGACCGAATGTCGGATAATCCTAATTGTATTGCAAACAACTCGTTTGCTGGGGTGGAGGCAAAAGACAGATAGAATTAAACTGGCGATTACGTACACCCCAGTATCCGTCGTTTCTTTGCAGCTACCTGCATAGGGCGGTACATAGGACAGTTTTGGCGTCGACTGGCAAAAAAAACCGCAGAAAATCCGTGGGCTTTATAGATCCTTGCGCTCAGTTCCGGGAATCTCTAGAACGAGATCGGCACCGTACAAGCCAGCAGGGGTGTGGAAGCCGGGCTTGAAGTCTCCTTTAAGAGCCCGCTGGGCGATGATTACGGACGAAATCGCAGTCAGGCTGTAGCCACTGATCGTCTTCAAGTAAGCCCGGGCTTCTTGCGTGCCGTCAGAGGCAACCGCCAGAAACTGTGCTGATCCAGACTTGCGCTCCTCGACACCGTCCCCTTTCACAAACCGCCCAATGAGGCTTTGTAGCGCCCATCGCACAGGCCCAATGTTGAACACAGGTGAAATGTAAGAGCCGATACGGGCAGCCTGGGGTGACATACTGGCCATGAATACCGTGACGTTGTTGATCTTGGTCGTGTGGTAGGCAGAAGATACGTCTCCCCACGGAAAGTTGATCATGGTGTATTCCTCATCGTTAGGGTACTTGACATCCTCGACGAGTGCACCAAACGGAACGCTGACAATCTTGCCGTCTTTGCGGATCTTGCTTCCACCGCCAATCATCTCGACCATGGTCTTGGCAGTACCTGCAGAAAGTCCACCCTTGAAGCTGATGTACAATTTCAATTGAGTTGCAGATGGCAGCTTGTTGGCAACATATGCCGAGATACAATCGGAGGGCACCACGTCCATCCCCACACTCGGCATAGCCAAGATGCCAGCCGCCCTGATCTCTGCATCCCGTGAAGCCACTGCTTCAATCACGGTGTATTCGCCCGTGATGTCGAGATAGTGAGTTCTCGTCTTGATGCAGACATCAACCATGGGTCTTGATGTCACCGAATAAGGCCCGGCACAATGCAAAACTACCGAAACGTTTTCCAGGGCTTTTTCGGCATCGGCAGGGTTGTCAAGAGAAAAGACCTTGAACGGAACGCCGAACTGCTCGGCGATTTCCTTGCTTTTTTCCTCGTTACGACCACCAGCAATGTATGCTTGGCCGATTTCTGTCAAACGCTCGCAAATAAGCTTGCCCGTATAGCCGTACGCTCCGTAGACCAGCAATTCTGATTTAGATGACATGGTAGGTGGAGAAGTCGTTTTCCCAAACGGCCGTGCGATTAAATTAGTCAAAATAGTGTTAGTTAAGGTCTACTTGAAACACATAAATTTAGCAGTGATCGATCCGTGGCGTCCGGTTTTAGCTTTCTGCTGTTATGCGTCTTGGTCTCGGTAGACAGCTCGCCAAGTGGGCTCGGGAGGATCGTCCTCCTTCGTACGTAAGTCATTGCGAGGTTCAAGTTCCACCATCTGCCGACGCTGAATGTCGCCAACGGATAAATCCAGGCCCTTCAGCCCAGAGTATTACGGGTTTATCGATCCCGCAAAACAGAAATTCAACAGCGAGCACGACAAGGAGAACCCATGGGCAACGTTTGAGATCCCCACTAAAGAAATGATCCAAGCCAAAATACTGGAACTTCGTAAAGCTCAATTAGAAAATAAATATTTTAAATAAGTTTAGCTTTCTTTCGAATGCAGTTTCTTTCGTAGCATGGGTCGAATCCGGCGATCCCATTTACTCTTGGCTTTCGCCTTCGCCTGCCACAGTGTTCCGCGGAAACTCTTTGTATACACGCGATCCTCTTCCCATTCTTGGCGGTCCATAAAGTTTTTGTAGAGATCAAGGTTCACGTCTTCGTTCTTGATCATTTTGGTTTTAAAATACAGCTTGTGCAGAACGAAAACTGCAAAGAATACAAAAATGGGACAATACAACCCCAAAAAGACAAGCACGTGGAATCCTTTTCTGGCAAGCATCTCTGGAACTCCTGCAAAGAGTGCCAAGAATAAGCAAATACAGCCGCACACTATAGACGCGTACGGTTGCAAAGGCGCTCGGTAGGGATACTCTTCACTGTCACGATCCAGCGAGGGGTGGTTCTGAACAACTCTGTAGAACTTGTAGTAGGTCAAACATAGCACGGACCACTGCAGCCAAATCGAAGTGACGACCCACTCAGCCAGAAAAGTATAGTATGAAGCTGCATTTGCACCGGCGGTAATGTAGGCCGTCAAGGCAAAGAGCGACGAAACAGACACGGCTATAATTAGCACTCCATTCCTCGTCGTTGTGGAAACCCGTCTCCATACCATTCCTAGTTGCCCCAATCCATGGAGCACTCTGGATGCGACAAACAGGTGGCCCGCGGCAGCTAGCACACCGATATAAATAAAGAAAGCAGCGGCTGCGAATGCGGCATAGCAAACATTCTGCTGCAAGAAAGCCACGATCCATACAGACTTGACAGTAACACCGGAAAACGCTTTCCATTCGCTCACTCCTATGCCACACCTGCTTCCAGTTTTCACAGTTTCTTCAAAGTACGAAGTGAGAGATCCCAGCATGCCATCGCCTGAATTCACCACAAATAGAACAATAAAAAGTGATAATAAGAATACGATACCAATTCGATACGGTAGGATTTTCATAGATCCTGGTACGACTCTGCGAGGATTGCGGATTTCGGCCGTGGGGACAAAAATTACATCCGCACCCGTGAATCCAAATGCCGATACGAACCAAGCCATCCAAAACCCTAAAAATCTGCCAGTACTTCCACCAATTTCCCGCTGCCCAAATACTGTCTTCAACGGACCGTGACTGATGCCGTCGGTTGTACCATATGACCAATACGTTGCACCAATATAGTTATGTAGAGGCCCAACATGGCCCGTATCCAAAAGCAAATTGAACATGTTGAGGACGGCAATGAGAAGCAAGCTGATGAAAGCGGTGAAGGCCATTATACGACCCCACACGCGGACATACAAGAAGTTGACACCAACTACGAGCATGACAATAAAAGTGAGCCATACCATGCTGCTGTGATCAGGCTGGTTGAGAATGGGGAAAAACGAGAATAGCGATACCGTCAAAATAACTTCATAGGCGACCCGCAGGCACGACTGCAGCCAGTACGAGAAGCCGAATGCAGTGGCTAGCGAGCGGTCAAATATCATATTTATGATGCCTGTATAGCCAGCATTATGAGGCACTAGAGCAACCATTTCAGCCAGGCCTCCCATCATGAGATAAAACATTACTCCAGACATGAGAAAAGTCAAGAGTGTAAACACAGGGCCACTGATCCACAGCCCCTTCGCTGCATCCTTGAAAAATGCTAGCCCAATATAGCCACCCAAAACAACCATATAAAAGTCACGAGGCCGAATATCACGGCGCAACCCACTGCGGGGCATTGAAAAAAGCGGGTCGTCAATAAAATCTAGATCCAGCGTTGCCAGCGATTCAACATCGTGACCGGAGAATATAGAACCCTTTCTAGCCGAAACATCGTCCTGGTTATAGTCACTTTCACCCTTACCAAGGAGTTCCACATACCCATGGGGGATCCGGTCGGGGGCGTTAAACAGCCGCTTGTGGGTGAGATGGGACCGAGCAATGAGATCCTGGGCGACTTTTTTGTTATACTCGTCGTAGTCTGTCAATTGGGTTTTTGCTGCCATTTGATTGACGACCTCCAAAGCGTCTTCTAGTTTGACATCGACCTCCTGGTCGTCGAGACAAACGCTAGAGGCGACATCGTCGTCGATGATCTCCACAAAATCAGCCTCCGAGGCACTACCGATGTGCACCGAGCTGTCCTCATATTGGTCTATTCTCCCTGGTTCTGGAAAGAGGTTTTTCCACGGCGCATCTGGAGGCATACCGATAAGAGGTGGTAATCTGCTGAGGTAATCGGAGATGGGGAAAGGTGTCGCCACAGTTCGAACATCAATTACGCCACACGAAAACGTGGCGCGAAAATTGAGCGAATCCCCCCGGGTTTCAGCCAGTAGGAAGCGCCTTAAAGAAATGTTTGAAAACTGGAGCCATGAGGTTTGCAAAATCGAGTATATTGATCTATAGAAAGCAATAATCAAAACAAGGGCTTGAAAACAATTAAACGGAGATTTTATATACAGAATCAAGCGCTTTAAGCGGTAGCCTTTTTCAGGTAGGCAATGAGGTCCTGGCGATCAGCCTCCTTCTTGAGACCAGCAAAGGCCATCTTGTTGCCGGGAATGAACTTCTTGGGGTTCTCGATGTACTTGTCGATCTCCTCCTCGTTCCAGGTGGGGCCCTTGCTCTTCATAGCGTCGGAGAAAGAGAAGCCGTCCTTGGTACCAGCTTTGCGGCCGAAGAGACCGTGCAAGTTGGGACCGACCTTGTCACCGCCGTTAGCCTCAACGGTGTGGCACTGCATGCAGCGAGTCTTGAACAACTTAGCACCCTTCTTATCGGAACCAGCCATTTTGAATAATGTGTGTGTGAAAAAAAATGTTCAGGAGGCTCAGGGCGTATATATAAGCAGTGAGTCGCTCGGTTCATGCAGACGTCTGACTAAGCGATCATCTGAAAGGATCCACCGGGCGAGAATGTTCCGGTCCATTGGAGGAGTGGGGCTGGTTGTATGTGGAATAGAAAGGCTCCTTGGTGGGTTTACAAGCTATACCACTGGGGTGGCCGTTTAGATGCTTCCAAACAAGCACATTCGTGTACTTACGGACCGAGACGTCGTGCATGTATGCGTCATGTACCTTACTTTCCTTCCGATCTCATTGGACCAAGAGTTGGGCAAACCTCACGATGATTGCCATTGGTGCGTGTTGTATATCGGTAGATACATAGCAATACCTGGGTCTAACAGTCAAATGGTGGGCGATGTTGCTCGCACAGTTGATTCTCACCCACGATCAATTTTGCTTTCTCGGCTAAACTCGGCTAAACTCGGAAGGCTCGCTGTCCCCAGTTTGCACAAACATCGCCGCACTTCTCCCTTCTACCCCGGCACACACAAGTCGGGGGGGGGCCCAGGTTCCGCCGCCGATTGTTAATATAGGGCAAGGGTGGTTTTACCGCTTCCCTGGCATAGCTTGCAGTGGACGACGCCGACGTGAGTAATCATCCCCTGCCAATTAAGTTGATTAGTTTGCTACTAAAAATCCCCTGTCTGATGGCTTTGCCTGGAGACGGGGGAAGGCAACTTGTGTAACTACTCAATGTGTCTGCAAGGGTAAATAAATTACTTTGGGAATGTATCGTTTTGGTACGGCCCCTATCTAGCCACTCCCACGACCACCAGTTTTCTACTGGGTTCTCTTCCTGTGCCCTAGATTAGTAAATTTCAGGGTAACCCAAACATCAGCCAAAGCAATATCTCTTACGAGTGCGGTGACATAACGCCTTGCTGTTGATAAGGGTAGGCCTCTCTACTTGCTACAGGAATAGCTGGAGTTGTACACCTAACGATAGTTTAGCCTTATGCGTCTAAGTTTTTGTGACCCGCCCACTTTGCCCACTGCTATAGGTGGCAGCCGAGTCTGCTATTATTACCATGTATATTTTTCAGACCCACATCATGGCCCGCCGATTAACCCGTACCCTTATACAGTAATTTGCCTCAAGAAATACCTTGAGCAGCTGCTCAGGGGGTAAATCGCGCTCCTCCGAGTATTCTAACAGAGAAAAATGAACGACTTGCCCACCAAGTACGACTTTGATTTCGTGTCTTGTCGCCCATCAGTCGCGGTCGAAAAGAAGCGTTAGATTACATGCAGTACACTGCATATTCTGACTACGTAAAGTGACAAATTTCGTTCAGCCAATATAGCAGTGGGGTAGTCTGAGAAATCACCTCCTCCTAAGCACGCAACATCAAACGCTCCAACTCACGCACTTTTCCACACGGCACAATCATTTCGTTTCGAAACCCAGCCTTCCTGAGGATACAACGTTAATCTTCCCAAGCGTATATTTTATTTTTCCCAGATGGAGTTAAAAAAATCGTTCCGAAAAAGGTTTGCAAATATGCAAATCAAGGCCAAGCAGAGCACAGACTTTTTGAACCTAAAGTCGGGGCTTCTTACTCCAAATACCCCTGTGGATCCAACTGGCCAGGACTTCTTTTCCTTCCCTCCCGAAAGTAACAGCGCCGTTACCTCGCTGGACCGACGAAAGTCTAGAACCAGCTCGGTCTCTTCTTCTGCCAACGAGCGGCAGTCCCGCCTGAGCCACCCAAGCTCCTACGAAGCTCTGTCTGCTCGAGTTTCCTCGCAGCAGGCTCCAAAACTCAGTTCCAGCGATCGCTCGAGCGGTGTCGACTCGTCGCTCAAGAGCGGCAAAAATGACGTCTTCATCACCGAGCAGAGCTCTAGCGAATTCGATGACGAAGTCGCCGATGAGATGGCTGAGAAAATTCTGTCCGTTGTCTCAAGCAGGCGAGCATCAAACAGTTGGTGTCTTAGTTGATGTTCGGGCCTCTGTGGTTTTCTTCGCTGCAGCAGCCTACTCCTAGGCCTGCTTCCGACGGCCCTCACTGCACGACTACCGCATACGTTCTTTCATTTCTGCTCTGAGTGCTGCTTTAAGGCAGGTCGTTCTTTATAATTTTTTGCATGCCGACTTCGGTTGATGTTTTTGCCCTTTACATTGCATACGTGGGCATCATATCAGTAACGACGTAAATATACGAATCCCTTATGTTTTCTCTACCTAGTAGGGAAGTACAATCGCAGAGTCGATTTGTTTTGGATCAACCGGAGTACCCCGAGCCACGGCGCTATTTGTGATCCGTGCGAAGTTGGTCCGAAACATCACTCTGTCCACTTGCTGCACTCTACTTTTTTCTACTCATTTTTTGATTGACTTTTTCCTACCGTGGCTATCCTCTCCATCAATGCCCATATATCCCCTTTCCCGCGCTGAACTTAGTTAACTAAGCTGAAAATTCAATGCTGGAGTACCATGGAAAACTAGTCCTGGCGCCCATGGTGCGGGTCAGCGAGCTACCCATGCGTGCTCTATCCATAAAATACGGATGTGACCTGGTATGGGGGCCTGAAATTGTTGACAAGAAGATGATCCACATGAAGCGCATTTGGAACGATCGATTGCAGTGTGTTGATTTCGTGCAAAAGTCGGATGAAAAATTGGTTTTCAGAACTAACCCGGCTCTGGAAAAGTCTCGTTTGGTGTTCCAAATGGGCACTGCAGACTCCAAACTCGCTGTGGAGGCTGCAAAAGTTGTCGCCGCCGACGTCGGGGCTATCGACGTTAACAGTGGCTGTCCTAAGCATTTCAGTGTCCATGGCGGAATGGGTGCTGCCCTGCTACGAACCCCAGATAAGCTTGTGGATATATTGACTTCTCTCGTCGAAGAAGTAGGCAAACCATTCGGTATCCCTATCAGCGTCAAGATCCGGATTCTCGAAGACGCTGAAAAGACATATGGCCTTGTCAGGCGTCTTGTAATGACAGGAATTTCTTGTCTTACTGTGCACTGTCGTACGACTCCTATGCGTCCGCGTGAACCTGCCATTTACACTTACTTGGAGGGGATCGCTCAGATCTGTCACGAGGCCGGTATCTGCTGCTACGTTAACGGTGACGTGGGGTGCAGAGACAACCTGCAGCTGTTCATGAAGAACTATGGTGTGGATGGAGCCATGATAGCTCGGGGGGCAGAGGCTAATCCGTCATGTTTCCAGACCGGCCCGCTCGCTCCCTGGCTGGATGTGTGCAAAGAGTTTTTGAAAATGTGTAAAAAATACGAATACACAAACTCTCATGCCAAATTCTGTCTAACCAAAATGATACCCGGCAAAGATCCGCTCTACCAACAGATCGCTCAAGCCAAGAGCTTAGACGAGATGGAGGCCATGCTTGACAACCCTCTGATCAAGGAACAGATCAAGAGTAGCAAAACATCAACCGCAGTATCTGTCTAAATAGGGCGTAAAATATTTATTTGTTTTTTTTATATTCAATTTGTGTCAACACCAAATGTACCTCAGATGGATGGATTCGTGAATTTTCTTCGTCACAGAAAAAAAAAAGGTGTGTAATTTTTTCGACAAGTGATCAGAGGATAGCAGGCCTCTGTATAAAAAATGTACAGTATGCTTCTTGTTTTGGGTGTCGCTTAACACCTAGTATGTTTGCTTTAGCGTTTCTCCTCACCGGGGGCAACCATGCGCTTCAAAACACACCAGCCACCAGCGACACCAGTCAAAAGAGCAGACGATATAAGCATGGGACGGACACCCTTGGAAAGACGGAAAAGAGCACCGGTAATAGCGCCAGCAGCGAGCGAATTAGCGTCCTCATGAGTTCCGCCGCGAGCGTAGTCAATAGAGCTGTTGATGACGTTGTAGAGAATGGCAAGCACACCAGACGTGTTGCCGAGATAAGGACCACGACGAGTAACAGAGTTGAGGACTGTGTTGAGACGGAGTTTGGCGCTTCCCATATCAGCGCTCTTGCGCATACCCTCAGCAAGACCATAGAGACCACCAACACTCAAACCAACCAAGTAAACGGCACCGGTACCATAAGATAGATCCTCGGTCCAACCACGGGAAGCAATCAAACCGTCTGCCCGCTGCGAATTAGACTCGAGATCGAGGTACTCCAGGCCGCCACTGCCCAGGCCGGCCATGGGGTGCAGTTTGGAAGCATCGAATCCAGCAGGGAGAACGGAAGGAGCCGCAACCTGGTGGCTTCTGTTTGTCTCGGCAACAGGAGCAGGGGCGGTCTCCTCTTTCGGGCTACTGCTGAACCACATTCTTTTTTTTCGAAAAAGGTTTTCAAGTTTTCAGCTGAGTCACTTTTGTCCCAGGCTTTCTGCTCTTTGAATTATTCATCGGCTCCGTTTCGTGGAGTCGGCGTTCGATAGTGTTCTCATTTAATTGTTCATATATAACAGGTTGGAGTCGTCTTGGGCTCCAGGAACAGCTGTGTCTAGTATGCTGCTCCTTTACCACCCTTCCGATAGTAGTCACTAACTGCATGCAGTGTTCGGTCTTCGTCAATGTAAATGCCGTTCATCACCGATCGCGGAACGTCTCTAGTATGTTTGTGGCCCTTTCGGCTCAATGACTTGAGTACAGAATCGGGCATTCCAAATTCTGCGCTTACTTCCTCTGGAAGAAGCTGATGGTGCAGGCGGGGGAAACAGACGGCTTCAAGGAGTGAGAGATTGTACCCGTAAATGCGGACGATGCCCTCAAAGACCGCCGTCAGGATTCTTGATCCACCCGCAGCGCCAATCACAAGCTCCAGCTTGCCATCGTTTATAATGATGGTGGGACACATTGACGAGAGAGGCCGTTTGCCCGCTTCAATGTAATTGTAGATACTGGGAACAAGTTCAAAGAAGTTGTCAGTTGTAGGCTGCGAGAAATCGTCCATTTCGTTATTCAAAATGATTCCGGTCACAGGATCAGCTAGAAGAGAGCCAAACGGTGTGTTTACCGTTGTAGTCATGGCAACTGCAAACCCATCTTTATCGACAATTGAAAAGTGTGCTGTGCCGTGTGGATCATTGTTTTGGTATGCTGGCTTGTAGTCTCTCCATGAAGGTAAGGTGTGACTGTCTGAGATATTTCTGATAACCTCATCAGCCCACTCCTGAGTCGTGATCTCTGTAGCTCTAGGATTGTCAACGTAGAGAGGATCTCCCAGCTCAGATCTTGCCGCCGCCATCCATTTCATAGTTTCAATCAGTCGTTGAGTGTCAACGGGAGAAAGATCAGCACTCGATTCTGTGAGCAATTGCTCAATCAGGCGCAACCCCGAGATCATAGCCGGGCCCGATGTGGGATTCGGAGTGGTGTGCACAACTCTGCCCATGAATGTAGTATTTAGCGGAGTTCGAATTTCCACTTTGTAGTTAGCGATATCCTCGGTAGTGATAATGCCGTGTGCCCATTGAGCCGTCCTGGCAAGATGGGGGGCAATTGGACCTTCAGGGTCATAAAAAACACGGGCACCACCCTGGGCAATCAGTCGTAGTGTTTTTGCTAGATTCGGACGTTTGATCAGAGAAGGATGCGAGCTCGTCTTATTATCAGGGAAAAGCCAACCCCAGCCACCATTTTCGAAATAGAAATCTTGGTACTTTTCGATTAGCGGCAAATAAGTGAATGCCGACTCGTCCATTTCGAATCCTAGCTCATTGATTTCTGCAACAGGTTCAACAAGATCTGCCCACTCAATATTCCCCGATCCGAACATTGTGTAGAGTGTGTCTAACCCGGCAAGTTCACCTGGTACACCAACCGCCAGGCCACCGAACAATGACAGTTTCGGATTCTTGTCAAACATGTGTTTGTGGGCGCCTTTGGGGGCAGTTTCACGGCAATCAATCTCAACCACAGTTCCGTTTGGTGTTCGGATCAAGATATGGCCACCCCCACCGATTCCTGAGCTCTGGGAGTTAATTGAACCAATACAAAGCGCGACTGTGACAGCTGCATCCGCAGCATTGCCACCCTTGCGGAGGATTTCGACACCCTTCTGCGAACAGAGCTCTACATCGCTGGCCACGGCACCATTTTCGCCAGTAACGTCAAGACGGGCATCCGGTGTGAATGTTCCTTTTTTTTGTCCGGACTCACCTACAATGAGTCCAATTCCAAATACTAGTAAAAGTATTGACACGCCGGCCAGGGCAGCGGTTAAAGCATACGACCTCCGACGCTCCGGTAGAGCCCATTTAGGAAGGACGGCCATTACAAATCACCTAGGTCGAGGAGCGTAGATAAATAGATGTTTGGGAGAAGGCTTAGAATGAAAACAAAGGACCATAGAGCATCTATTTAGGCTACATAAAGAAGTAGAGTGGGAAGAACAAATAACAGGAGACAATCGAACATGACACGGAAACTTGTATTTTTCACGTCCGAAAGAGACCCGAAACATTGAACTGTACAGCATTCTCTATATATACCGTATTCGCGTGCAGACAACCGCATCGAAGAAGACCCTTGCCCAAACATAGTTGAGGGATAGGCAAAGTCCCAACACCACCTAACCCTGTGAATATACGAAAACGATTGGCTATTGAAAAGGTCCAAAAACTGGAAATAATCCCAGGCGGCTTGTGTAAGCCAATAAGAGACGAGTATTCCGGCGCGGAGCCCTCGCAAGGGCTTACATATGATGAGATTTACACGTGTAACATCAGGCACGCATGAGAAATTTGAGGGCCGCCACAATATAAATATAGCCCACCCACCCGTGATCGTGCCCTCATAAACAACAATGTCTGGTCGTGGAAAAGGTGGAAAAGGTCTTGGAAAAGGCGGCGCCAAGCGTCATCGCAAGATTTTGCGTGATAACATTCAGGGTATCACCAAGCCTGCTATTCGTCGTCTTGCCCGCCGTGGTGGTGTCAAGCGTATCTCTGCTCTCATCTACGAGGAGACCCGTAACGTCCTCAAGTCTTTCCTTGAGCAAGTCATCCGTGATGCCGTCACCTACACTGAGCACGCCAAGCGTAAGACCGTCACCTCTCTCGACGTTGTCTATGCTCTGAAGCGCAATGGCCGCACCCTTTACGGTTTCGGTGGTTAATTTATTTCATATTTCTTTCATATCTATTTCTTTGTCAAGTATACCCATATTACACAATACATATTTTCGGACTCAGACGGATGGTGGTAGTGGATGGGTCCCCACTGCTTGCTGTCAATATTTCGGCTCAATCGCTGGCCTATTTGTTATTTACTGCTCGAGATCAACCAACCGAACCTGGCCGAACGTTAGCAACAATGCGATCCCGGTTAAACGGCTTACAACGTTGATCTTCGGCAATGGTTGAGGCCTGCATGTGATCTGTCTGCAGCTAGGAACAGACGAGACCTTAGAAACTGAATCACGCACATATTCGAGACGGCATCAATAGAACCAAAAATACCAACCTGCCTACATGGCTGCCCACTACTTCACACCAGATCGTCTTTTACCCTTAACTACATACTACTTTATCAGCATCGCAGCTCAACCACACTCAACGAAATACCCCAATGGCACGAAAAATATCGACAACCCGCTGACTAACCGCATAGCATTTAGACCCAGCTCATCCGAGCTGTGAGATTGTCAAGTTAATTTCCCGATTGTTTCTTCAAGTATCGAGATTTTGACCACACTAATGAGCGGCACACAATACGACACGAAAAGTCTACCAAGTCACTTCATTGGTCTCAACACTGTTGAGAATGCTGAGCCTTCCGCGGTCCGCGAATTTGTCAAAGAACGCGGTGGCCATACGGTGATCACAAGTGTCCTTATCGCAAACAATGGTATTGCTGCGGTCAAGGAGATCCGTTCTGTTCGCAAGTGGGCCTACCAGACCTTTGGGGATGAACGCGCTATCTCCTTCACCGTAATGGCTACTCCCGAGGATCTGGCTGCCAATGCCGAGTACATTCGGATGGCTGACCAGGTTGTCCAGGTCCCTGGTGGTACCAACAATAATAACTACGCTAACGTCGAACTCATTGTCGAGGTCGCTGAAGAATCAAATGTGCAGGCTGTCTGGGCTGGATGGGGTCACGCAAGTGAGAATCCCCTCTTGCCGGAGTCTTTGGCCAGATCGCCAAAGAAAATCGTCTTCATTGGTCCCCCTGGCTCTGCGATGCGATCATTGGGCGACAAAATCTCCTCAACAATCGTTGCACAGCATGCTCGTGTCCCTTGTATTCCCTGGTCAGGTACTGGCGTCGACGAGGTTCACACCGACGCCAAAACTGGCTTGGTTTCCGTTGATGAGGAAATTTATGCCAAGGGATGCAGCATTTCTGCTGAGGATGGTCTTGAGAAGGCAAAGAAAATTGGTCTTCCTGTCATGATCAAGGCTTCCGAGGGAGGAGGAGGCAAAGGTATCCGCAAGGTCGAGCGCGAAGAGGACTTTTTGTCTTTGTACCGTCAGGTCGAATCGGAGATTCCTGGCTCGCCTATTTTTATCATGAAGTTGGCAGGTAGTGCCCGTCATTTGGAGGTCCAGTTGCTTGCAGATCAATACGGAAATAACATTTCTTTGTTCGGTCGTGACTGTTCAGTCCAGCGCCGTCACCAGAAGATCATCGAGGAGGCTCCTGTAGAAATTGCCCCTCGTGACACTTTCAAGCAGATGGAAGAGGCAGCCGTCCGCCTTGGTCGCTTAGTTGGATACGTTTCAGCAGGCACTGTCGAGTATCTGTATTCGCATGAAGAAGATAAATTCTACTTCCTAGAGCTCAACCCCCGTCTGCAGGTCGAACATCCAACCACTGAGATGGTTACAGGAGTTAACCTACCTGCTGCACAGCTTCAAATCGCTATGGGTATCCCTCTTGACTATATCACAGATATCCGTATGTTCTATGGTGCTGACCCGTTGTCTAAGCGTCGTATTGACTTTGATTTTTCTGACCCTGAGAGTCTCAAATACCAGAAGCGCCCTACGCCCAAGGGTCATACCACTGCGTGCCGTATCACCAGTGAGGACCCTGGCCAGGGATTCAAACCCTCAGGTGGTACTGTTCATGAGCTGAACTTCAGATCAAGTTCCAACGTCTGGGGTTACTTTTCGGTAGGAAGCCGTGGTAACATCCACACTTTCAGCGATTCTCAGTTCGGACATATTTTTGCATTCGGCGAAACCCGTGAGGCTTCCCGTAGATCTATGGTTGTTGCTCTGAAAGAATTGAGTATTCAGGGTGATTTCCGCACCACAGACGAATACATCATTGGCCTGCTCGAGACGAAGGCCTTTGAAAGCAACACTATCACCACTGGCTGGCTTGATGAACTCATTTCTCAGCGCCTCACTGCAGAACGTCCTGATAAGATGCTGGCAATTCTGTGCGGTGCTGCCACTAAAGCTCACCTCGAGTCACAGTCTCTCATCAAACAGTTTATTAAAGCTCTGGAACGCGGTCAGGCACCCTCAAAAGATTTACTCAAATCAGTTTTCCAGATCGATTTCATTTACGAGGGTGAACAGTTCCGCTTTACTGCTACGCGCTCCTCACCTGAGAACTATAATCTGTTCCTCAACGGTTCTCGCGTTGAAGTGGCTGTTCGTGCTTTCAATGATGGTGGACTTCTTGTGTTTATTGGTGGCAAATCCCACACTATTTACTTCAAGCAGGAAGTTGGTGGAATGCGTATGTCTGTTGACTCCAAGACATGTCTTCTTGAGGTTGAGAATGACCCCACCCAATTACGCTCACCTTCTCCAGGCAAGCTTGTCCGGTATCTCAAAGAAAGCGGTGATCATATCAAGGCAGGTGATGAATATGCTGAAGTTGAGGTCATGAAGATGTACATGCCTCTTGTCGCACAAGAAGATGGTATCGTCCAACCCATCAAGCAGCCTGGAGCCACTCTGGAAGCTGGTGATTTGATTGCCATCTTGCAACTTGATGATCCCTCCAAGGTCAAACGTGCAGTTCCCTTCTCTGGCCAGCTCCCTGATTTCGGTTCTGCCCATGTGAGCAGCGATAAGCCTGAATCTCGCTACACAGCTATCATGAAGACCATGCAGGATGTTCTTTCAGGTTATGATAACCAGATTATTCTTAACCAGTCATTCCGTGAGCTGATCGATTTGTTGCGTGAGCCTGATTTGCCATATGGTTTGTGGAACCGTCGTGCCTCGTCTTTGCATTCGCGTGTACCACCTGCTCTTGATGCTACACTTACAGAAATCATCGAAAAGGCACACAGCCGTAAGCATGACTTCCCCGCTAAACTGGTCTCCAAAACTCTTTTGAAGTGGGCTCCATCTAGTACTGAGGCTGAGCGGACTATCTACATGGATACTATTGCTCCATTGATGGAGGTTGCTAAAGAGTTTATGGAAGGTCTTGAGGTTCATGTTTATCAAACCATGGCCAAGATTCTCGATGATTATTACGAGTCTGAGCGTCGCTTCTACATCCCTGCTAGTGTTCGTGAAGAGGAAGTTGTCCACCAGCTGCGTGAGGAGCACAAATCTGATTTGACTGCCGTTTACCAGATTGTGTTTTCGCATTCTCGCATCGGTGCTAAGAACAACTTGCTCACCCTCGTCTTCAACGAGCTTCTTTCTACTCGCTTTGATATTGCTGCGGTTGCTGAGTACGTGCGTCCTTCGCTCCGCCGTATTGCTGAGCTCGATGGTCGAGCTACAGCTAAGGTGGTTCTGAAGGCTCGTGAGATCACAATCAAATGCTCTGTTCCATCTCTTCGGGAACAAACTGAGCAGATGGAGCACATTTTGAAGTCTAGTGTTATGGAGTCTGTTTACGGAACTAGCGATCGTTGTCACCGTCGCACTCCTGATTTGAACATCATTCGCGAGCTTATTCAGTCAAAGTATTCGGTCAATGATGTTCTGTTCCAGTTTTCTCAGTCTCCTGACAAGTACATTGTTCTAGCTGCTCTTGAGGTCTACGCTCGTCGTATTAATCGTGCTTACCGGATCGGAAAGCTTGATTATCACCTCGAGAATGGCCCCGCTTGTATTGGCTATGAATTTGAGCTCCGCGACTCGGTTGCGAGCTTGTACACAACTTCCATCAATGGCCTGGAAACCCCTGGTAGGGTTCATAGCTCTCCATCGTCGGCTAACTTGCGTGGCAATACCCCCCCACCCTCTACCTCAATTATGCGCCATGGTGCTTTGGTTCCTGGTGATCTGGATGATATAGAGGATGCGATTTTGCGTGCAACCAGTGTGCTCCCCAAGGCTTCGTCGCTTGGCACCCGTCCTCGTGCTCTATCTGACCCGCCTGCTCCTCTCAGATCTAAGGCGCCTCCTGCTAATCTGATCAACACCTGTAACATTGTATGCTTCGAGCCCACTGAGAGTGAAGAGAGCGACGACGAGATTGTTGAGGCTCTCGGTGAGAGTGTTCGTGCTTTGACTAGCGACCTACTTGCCGTTGCTGTTCGTCGCATCACCATCGTCATCCAATACGCTGTAGGCACTTCGCCCAAGTACTTCACTTTCCAGGGCCCTGATTACAACGAGAATAAGACGTTGCGTCACGTTAACCCTCCTCTTGCGTTCCAGCTTGAGCTGGGGCGCTTGGCCAATTTCCGCATTTCTCCTGCGTTCAGTGAAAACCGTCAAATCCATGTCTATCGTGCAACTGCGCGTAACGATCCTGCCGACAAGCGCTTGTTTGTGCGTGCGATCGTTACTCCTGAGCGTCTTCAAGAGGAAATTTCAACTCCTGAGTACTTGACTTCTGAGTCCTACAAGTTGATGAGCGATGTCTTGGATACGTTGCAGGTTATTGATGTTCAAGGAACCGATTTGAACCACATTTTCATTTCCTTCACTGCTGTGTTCACTTTGAACCCCCTGGAGATCCAGGCAGCGTTTGGCGGTTTCTTGGAGCGTTTCGGTCGTCGTTTGTGGGGCCTCCGTGTTACTAGCGCCGAGGTTCGCATCGTGATTTCCGATAAGGCATCAGGCCAGCAGTTCCCTCTTCGTGCTTTCATTAATAACAGCTCAGGATTCGTTGTCACTAGTGATCTTTACACTGAGGTGCTTACCGATTCTGGTGAGTGGGTTTACAAGACTATTAGTGGCAAGCCGGGTCCCATGCATCTGCGTCCTGTTTTGTCGCTCTATGCTACCAAGGAGGATCTTGAACTGCGTCGTTACCAGGCTAACGAGAAGGGAACGACATATGTTTATGACTTCCCTGACTTGTTCCGTGAAGCTTTTACAACAGAATGGGACCAATCTGGTCAGTCCGCGCCCAAAGACTTGTTCCAATGTGTTGAACTGATTCTCGATGAAAGCGGAGAAAAGCTGACTGAGGTTGATCGCGAACCTGGCGCTAACAATGTTGGTATGGTCGCTTGGAAGTGTGTTGCCAAGACACCAGCTCATCCCGATGGTCGTCAGTTCTTGATTGTCGCCAACGACATCACCTATAAGATTGGTTCATTTGGTCCTCAGGAGGACAAGGTGTTTGCCAAGGTGACAGAGCTGGCCCGTCAGATGGGTGTTCCTCGAATCTATGTGTCTGCAAATTCCGGTGCACGTATTGGTGTTGCAGAGGAGCTTGTTTCGAAATTCCGCGTTTCATGGCGTGATGAACAGGATCAGTCTCGTGGTTTTGACTATCTTTACTTGAGTCCTGAGGACTGGCAGTCCGCCGAGCAGGCTCCCCGTCCAGTTGTGTCGTGCACTCGGGTAGTAGAGAATGGTGAGGAACGCTACAAGATCGACTATATCGTCGGTCTTGAAGATGGCTTGGGTGTTGAGTGTTTGAAGGGCTCTGGCCTCATTGCTGGCTTAACCTCCAAGGCTTACCAGGACATCTTCACTGTGACCCTCGTTACCTGCCGCTCAGTGGGTATTGGTGCCTACTTGGTTCGTCTTGGACAGCGCGCCATTCAAATCGAAGGCAAGTCTATTCTTTTGACCGGCTTCCAGGCTATCAATAAGTTGCTTGGAAGGGAGGTGTATACCTCCAATGATCAACTAGGTGGTACCAAGATCATGTACCGCAATGGTGTTTCTCATTTGGTAGCTGAGGATGACTATGCTGGTGTCTTGCAGACTGTTCAATGGCTGAGCTATGTTCCAGCTAAGAGAGATGCTGGAATTGTATTGGCCCCTACCAGCGATACCTGGGACCGTGAAGTCGAGGTTATCCCCGATGGAAGCCCCATGTTTGACGTTCGTGACATGATTGCTGGTCGCGAGGTGAATGGTGACTTTGAGTATGGTTTGTTTGACAAGGATTCGTTCATCGAAACTTTAGCAGGCTGGGCCAAGGGTGTTGTTGTCGGACGTGCTCGTCTGGGTGGCTTGCCGTTCGGTATCATTGGTGTCGAGGGTCGTACCACGGAATCGATTGTTCCTGCAGATCCTGCCAACCCTACCTCGACAGAGCTTGTTGTGCCCGAAGCTGGCCAGGTTTGGTACCCCAACTCCGCGTTCAAGACTGCTCAGGCTATCAACGATTTCAACTTTGGTGAGCAGTTGCCGTTGATGATCCTTGCCAACTGGCGTGGTTTCTCTGGTGGTCAGCGTGATATGTACCATGAGGTTCTCAAGTACGGATCCTTCATTGTTGATGCTCTTGTGGCCTACAAGCAGCCCATTTTCGTTTACATTCCTCCTCATGGTGAGTTGCGTGGTGGCTCTTGGGTTGTTGTTGACCCCACTATCAACCCTGAAATGATGGAGATGTACGCCGACCCGGATGCCCGTGCTGGTGTTCTTGAGCCTGAAGGTGTTGTTGGCATCCGCTTCCGCCGCAACAAGCTTGTTCAGGTTATGAAGCGTTTGGACAATACTTATGCTGAGCTCTGCGAAGAGCTGAACCAGGATGGTCTCGAGGAAAGCGAGCGCCAGGAGCTGCGTGCTAAGGTTGACAGGCGTGAAAAGGAGCTTCTCCCTATCTATCAGCAAGTCAGTGTTCAGTTTGCCGAACTCCACGATCGCCCTGGCCGTATGCAGGCCAAGGACTGTATCAGAGATGTCATTGAGTGGGCCGAGTCTCGCCGCTTCTTCTTCTGGCGTGCTCGCAGACGCTTCCATGACATTTCAATCCGGCGCCGTATTTTGGCAGTCGCTCCGGAAATGCCCAAGATCGAGATTTCTGCTCGTATCAATGGTTTACTGGCTGGCGCTGGCATCAGTTACGACGACGATCGCGCTATTACTGAGTTCTTGGATGCTAACGCTGCCGCCGTTACCACTATGGTATCTGAGATTGAACAGCAGACTCAGTCCAAGGCATTCACCAAGGCTCTGCGTAATCCTTCGGCTCGCGACGCTCTCAAACAAGCGCTTAAGGGCCTGTCGGAGGCAGATCGCCAGGCATTGCTCGAGTAAATACATAACAAGCCGATTTTATAAAGATTCATTACAACTTAAACACGATTCAGCTGGTCGGGGTTTCCCAACCAGTTGCGTTCTCATCACTTAAAAAAAAAAATTTCCCTAGTCGAATTTTCATGTCATCAATGAAAGATTTAGACAAAAACGATCAGCACTATTTCGACTCGTATGATCACTTTAGCATCCATGAAGAGATGTTAAAAGACCGTGTTCGCACTCTAGCGTATCGTGATGCTATCATGCGCAACCGTGATCTATTCAAAGACAAGGTTGTTCTTGATGTTGGCTGCGGGTCAGGCATTTTGTCGATGTTTGCAGCTCGCGCGGGCGCCAAAAAGGTTATTGGTGTCGACAGAAGTCAAATCATTCACATGGCTCGTAAGATTGTCGAAGTCAATGGCCTATCTGACACTATTACTTTGATTCAGGGCCAAATGGAGGAGGTCAAGCTGCCGGTTCCTAAGGTTGATATTATCATTTCCGAGTGGATGGGCTACTTTTTGCTTTTCGAATCCATGTTGGATACTGTCCTATATGCCCGTGACCACTATCTTGTTGAAGGTGGCTTGATTCTGCCAGACCGCACTACTTTACTCATGGCTGCCATCGAAGATGCCGAGTACAAGGATGAGAAAGTTGGCTACTGGGATGACGTTTACGGCTTTGACTATACTCCATTCAAGGACATTGTGACTGAGGAGCCCATTGTTGACATTGTTGAGTCTAAAGCCGTTATTTCAAACTCGGTTGAGATCGGCTCTATTGATCTGTATACTGTCAAGAAAGAGGACCTGGCTTACCGACACCGCTTCGACCTGACTTTTGATCGTAGCGATACCTGCCATGCCCTAGTTTCTTGGTTCGATATCGATTTCGCCCAGAGACTTCCCAACCCCGTGTCCTTCTCCACGGGTCCTTTCGACAAACCCACCCACTGGAAACAGACTGTCGTATATACACCCACTGAATTGCAGGTGAATGCAGGTGACCGTTTAGTAGGTGAGATTCATATTGCGCCGAACTCGAGAAACCCGCGCAATATCGATATTGGCTTGGCATATACTTTTACTCCTCAGAACCGTGGCCCTGATGCTATGGAGCTTACAAACTACGTGATGCGCTAAAGTGTGGTCGTGACAGTCATAGACTGAGAATGTATCAGTACTGTGGGTGGGAGATCGTTGGTGAGTAGCTCAAGCAGTCTAATGTAGTTGGCTGCTGATGCTTGTGACTGTGCTGTGCCGCTAGATGGGGCAGGAAGGGTAGTAAAGATGACAGTAGAATCCTTTGAATAGGATCTCATAAGATAGTTAATGATAAGGTGCTGTGCTTTCGCCGGCAGTTCGTCAAAGTTCAGTTTCAATTTCCCGGCTTTGGGAACAATCGAGCTCCGCGGTCCGTCTTCAGGAGGAGGAGTTCCTTCGATAGCAGAGCCTGTGACAGCAGCACTGGAGTCAAGACGATCGACATCAAAGCGCGGCCTATCAGTAAACGATGGAATTTCTTCTTCGTTCGATCCCTCCTGTTCTTGACTATCGCGTCTTTCGTTTTCAGTATCAGATTCTGAATCAGAGGTGTCTTGACTGTCATCGTCAGTGTCGAATGACATCAAGTCCTGTCTTCTCCAATGTGTTGACTGCATGGAGTGTGAAACACCCATCTGCTGTAGTTCAGACATGGTCCAGCGTCTCGCAAGTGGTTTACCGGGTGATATAAACTGGCTCTGGCCAGCAGATGGGCGCCGATGGAGCGTGCTGTGGAAACGAATATCGCGTGGATTAGTTCTAACTTCACATAACTTTCCCCACCATCTAGAACCTTTGAGAGCCTTTCCAATTTCACCAGTAGAATCAGGTGCACCGCGCACAATCACACTGTACGCCAAGTTATTTTGATCGAGGCTGCACACCACTGTCTCCGCTGGAATTCGAAGCTTCTCTAACAATTCAGCAATACGTTCCCGTTCACTTGCAACCTGGTTAATTTTCTCGACAAACGCAATGACTCGCAGTTTTTGCGTCTTATGCCAGGCGGGAACTGTGTGTAGAATGGCACCGAGTTGTAGAATCATCGTATAGGTATCAAAATTGATAGACATCCCACTGGCTCTACCATCTGCGTCGACAATTTGCGCAGACATCTGAATCGGGTAAAGGTCTATGTAGCCAAGGGTTCCAGCGAGACCATCATCATGAAAACGGGTAGTAGTGGGTATATCGAGGTTCAAAAAACCTTTAGCGATGGCCACATTCGTCCGCAGCATTAACAAATCTTCAATAACATTAACCCAGGCACTCATTCCCATGTGGCTTTCTTTACGGCACGAGTCGGTGGGCAGCTCTTCCGAACTGTTGGTTTGAGAATTAATGGGCGGTCGTTCGTCATAGAATCCAAGGACTGTGATATTTGGACGCATACCACCTAGTCCGGAGGCCAAAAACACATTTCGTACACCCCAAACAATGTCTTCACTTGCGTTGACCTGTACAAATGCTTTGATATTACACGCGTCCCTCAGCTTTGTCCAAGCGATTCTCTGAGCACGAATTTCTGGGATAACTTTCTTGAAATCATTCGTGACAATAACATGACCCAAGACAAAAAGCCCACCTTTCTTCAAGTGGTTGCAAAACTTGATCAAGCTCCAGGAAGTACGAGGGTCATCAACCAGCAGCAGGATCTGGGGTCGCCAATATTTGACATGATCATCACGGAGCCGCAAGAGATATTTGCGAACCTGGTGGTAAATCAGCGTCTGTGAGACATCACCCCAAGGCTTTGGCGGCGAATAAAAATGAATCAAGCAGAAAAGTGCCAGTCCAAGTGCAACCATAAACATGGCTGCCCAGCCGTCGGCAATGCCCATGGTAATCACCGACAAAACACTTCCAACAAAAGCGGTTGTGGCGCTGAAATAACGGAACGACGGACGGAAATTAGGTGCGCTTGAAATATCTAACAAGAAGCATGCGAGATTCGTCACGACAAACGTCATCAAAAATGCCATGGTGATGAAGATAGCGATCTTGTTGATATCCAAGAAGATGGTGAGTTGGGTCAAAAAGTAAGTGACAAAAATGGCCAGCAACGGGTTGTCGTTCGTTATGGTACCTTTGCTGAAAATATGGATGAAAGGTAGAATGTTATCACGCGAAATTGCCTGCAAAAGCTTGGCCGCTCCGATGATACCCATCAATGCAGAGAAAAGAGTTGTAGCAAATTCACCCAAAATCACAAGGATTGGGCTGATATTGCTATTACGCATAATTTCAATGTCCTGGTAAAGAAGGTCTCTGGATGCGCAACCAGAGATGGCGAGCACGACCGATAGGTAAAGAACGATAGTGAGCCAAATACCGTTCAAAGTACCTTTAGGGATACTTTTTGACGGTGTCTTAAGATCACCAGACATACTGGACCCTGCGAAAATACCCGCAGTGGCAGGGAACAGAATGCCAAAGAGATCTTGGAAGTTTTCTCGGCCCTTGATCTCACTGCCGGCGGCTCCTTTTGTGAAGCGAGGCATGAGATTGTCTTTGAAAGTATCCCAGCTTGGTCCCGTGTACCAAGCTTGGAAAGTATCACTGAAATAGGGTCCCACAAGTAAGGCCGAGATGGGAATCGAGGCAGTGGCTACAATCAGGACCACAAACAACAGCTTGGAGGACCTAGCAAACAAAGAAGGGCCAACAAAGCAAATAAAAGTGCAGAAAAACAACAAAATGGTTTCATATGTGAACGTCCACCAATAAGATTCCGGAAGAACTTTGAGGATCGCTCCAGACTTTGATCCGAAATTATTGATTAGGGGGACGCAGAAACCGACAACATTGAGACCAGCGTTCAGAACTTGACCGATGTAGAAAATCACGCCAATGCTACCACCGAATTCAGGCCCTAGTGATCTGGAAATCATGTAGTACGCACCTCCACCTCTCACCACACCATTTGTCGCAATGGCTGAAACGGACAGAGTTGTGAGAATGTTGATTGTATAGGAGATCAAAAGCAGGAGAACAGTTCCCAAGAATCCAGCCTGTCCAATAATGAATCCAAAACGCAAGAACATAAGAATTGAGAGCACATTGAGAGTTGTGGGGATAAACACGCCCTCGAAAGTGCCCAGCTTCTCGCTAGCGTCCACTGGAGGTGGTGCCGTTCCATAAGACTGTTTCGAAAGTTCGCGTGGATTTGGAGTGTCGGCGAATTGAACATCACGTTCATGCAGAGGCAGTAGCGGAGCACGCTCTGCACTGGATGCCACAGATTGCATATCTATCTGCCCGCCGTGTGATGATGTATAATGTCAGAGGTGAAACTGGGAGATAACAAGGCAAAAATTAAAAGTTAATATAAATACAAAAAAACGAAATTAGGTTAGCACGCCGTTGGGCTCAGACCTTTTCAAAAGCGAAAACAGCATACACAGCGCAGGCCTCTAGCTGCTCCTCACCAATTGCGAACGTTCCGTCCCGGTTCAAAATCTTGGAATCCTCAGCGACCTTTTTGACATCACGGTCACGAACTGCTTGGTGGAAAAACTTCATGAATGTTTGGTGTCGCTCTAGTTTCAAGTTATACTCCTGGGCAAGCTTCACAAAGCCCTCAAAAGGCACAACGTACTCTGGTACGTCTTCGACGGCTTCAGTTAGATGAAACATATATCTGTTTCCCCAAAGGGTTTCAAAAGTTCCCGTAGGATTGGCCTCTTCGAAAGAGATCCTGTAGATGGAGTTCCCCCATTGCTTTTTGCCCAATTTAAGGTTTCGGACCAGCTGCTCAGAATCAGGAATGGTGCCAATAAACTTACCCCCACGCTTTAAAACCCGGGAAATATTAGCCAGGGCGTTTCTCAATCGTTCTTCGGTTTCAAATGCATAGTGGAAGGCGAATTGACAGCTGACGACGTCGACAGGGAAAGCGTCAGGATGCACAATGTCTTCCAAACGGTCCAAGAAAGGGTCACCTACACAGAAGTCAACCCAAAAACACTTGGACCGCATATGAGCGAATCGGTCTTTGGCGTGCTCAATTGAGATATCAGCAATGTCGACTCCAATGAGACCATCAATGCCTGCTTTAAGCCATTTGAGAAGGTCACCGCCTTTCCCACAGCCCAGATCCAGCGCAACATCATGAGGACGCGAATACATGTCAATCAGGAGCGATTTTACAAAGTTATTGAACGAACGCACCCCGAAGATGGTTGACTTTTTGCGCTCCTGGGTGCTGTTGTTGGGCCGTGAGTTATAGTGTTGCCTGACCGCATACTTGTCTGTCTCCCCGCCATTTTCCTGCTTTCGAGAAAAACTACCATCTGCTGAAGAGTCTCTAATCGATGGGACCTCAGAAGGGGCTCTAGAGCTTACTGGCGTTCCAGACTTTGACTCGTTCTTCGATCCGTTTTTGCTGTCCACAGCCTTCTCCTCTTCAGCATCTAAATTGGGCTTTTTGGGTAACGAGCTCGGCCGCGGAGGCGATTCCTGCCAAGTATCCCTTGCTGGGTCGTACATGGTAGAAAAGTTGAAATTTGAGTAATCCTTTCGTCCCAAGAGCTCTGTTTTTTTTTTTTTTTTGACTTCTGCCCTGATCTCCAAATGAGTGGACTGAATGGGTTTGTACAGCTGAGGCTTGACTTTGAAGCCGACTCGAAGGTCTCGCAAACAATATTTTTGAAAGAACATGGCTCAAGAGACGATGAAGACTACTCTAGTGTATTCGCTGCCAACCTCCCTAGAGACACCACACTTGACAATATCAAAGACATTGTCCAGACTTGCACATCAACGATGCCTCGCAAATTTGTTAGACTTGGTGATACGTATGGACTGATCTGCTGTGTCGATGATGCAGCCAGAGATAAGCTCCTGGAGTGGTGCAAGAAAAAGGGCAAGAAAAGTAGTGTCGAGTTTGAGACGTACGGCCCAAGAGGCTCCGAGGCATACAAAATTCGCAATAGTGCGAGATTCCCCGACGAAGAAATTCTCCAGAAGAGTATCGACGAGTTCATGGAGGCCTACGACGATGAGGAAGAACAGGCCAGGCTGGAGACCGCTCGCCAAGGCCTACTAGTCGACGAGGACGGGTTCACAATGGTCGTCAGCTCCAAACGCAAGGCATTGTCTGATATCCCAGCTCCGGCTCCCGCCAAAAGAAACAAGTCTCTTTCGAAAGACGACTTTTACCGATTCCAGCTTCGGGACAAGAGAAAACGTGAAGTCAACGATCTACTCAAAAAGTACCAAGAAGACAAGGCCAAGGTCGAGGAGCTTAAGCGCAAAAAGCATTTCAAGCCATATTAATTATTTAAAGTTTCGCGTATGCACACCACATATATATATGCCTGTCTTCTAGTAATTGCCTTTAGTCAGCTATTAGCAAGCCATCCTCACGAGAGGTGATATAAGCGCAAGATCCCACACTTCCTCACAACTCACGTACCATGTCCATGCTTCGCTCCACTGTTTCGAAATTCCAGCAGCCTCTTCGCGCTCAATTATTCCACTCCAGTGCTCGGGTTTTCTACGCGTACCCCGTTGACAAGAATGGCAAGCCCTTGAATGCTTTCATGCGGTTCTCCAAGGAAAAGCGCCAGGACGTGATTTCTAGCAACCCGGCTTTCAAAGTCACCGAGATCGCTTCCAAGGTCGGTTCTTTGTGGAAGGAATTGACCGACAGCCAGCGCCAGCGGTACCTCGATGAGGCCAAGAGTGCTCTCGAGGAATACAAGAACCGCCTCACCAAGTAGTTTGCAAAATTAGCGCTGTATACTTTCAATTAGCTATATTTCGTAAAAGTCTTTCGCGGCCGATTTGCGTGATCAACGCGTTACACACTCAACTCGGTCGCGTAGTTTCCTCGCCTCGCCTCCCTCTTCCCCCACCCCAGCCCCCCAGCCACGGCTGACGGTGGGCAGGGTGTTAGTCTTCCGAGCATTATACCCCAGAGCCGGCGTGAAATTCCGAGCCCTTGCCCTCGACCAATAAATTGTCAATCCCCAGACAAACCTCAAAACCCAACCAACTTCTATACGCAATGAGCCGTGCCATCGTAAACCGTTCCGCTCGTCTCTTCTCGACTAGCCGTGCTGCTTTCCGTACCGAGACTGACGCCTTCGGCCCTATCGAGGTCGAGGACGACAAGTACTGGGGTGCTCAGACCCAGCGATCTCTGCAGAACTTCAAGATTGGCGGTCCCCGTGAGCGTCTTCCCGAGCCCCTCATTCGCTCCTTTGGTATCTTGAAAAAGGCTGCCGCTGAGGTGAACGAGACTTACGGTCTTGACCCCAAAATCGCCGACGCTATCAAGACTGCTGCCCAAGAGGTTGCTGATGGCAAGCTCACAGCTCACTTCCCTTTGGTTGTTTTCCAGACCGGTTCTGGTACCCAATCCAATATGAACTCTAACGAGGTCATCTCCAATCGTGCTATTGAGCTGCTTGGTGGTGTGCTCGGCTCCAAAAAGCCTGTCCACCCCAACGACCACGTCAACATGTCTCAATCCTCTAACGATACCTTCCCCACGGTTATGCACATTGCCGCCGTCACTGAGATTGAGAAGACTTTGATCCCCGCTCTCAAAGATCTGCATGAGGCTATTCTCGCCAAGTCAAAGGAGTTCGAGCACATCATCAAGATCGGCCGCACCCATCTCCAGGATGCTACTCCTTTGACCCTGGGCCAGGAGTTCAGCGGTTATGCTGCCCAGCTTGAGAATGGCATTGCCCGTGTTAAGGACACCCTGCCCCGTCTTTACTATCTTGCTCAGGGTGGTACCGCCGTCGGCACAGGTTTGAACACCCGTAAGGGTTTCGCTGAGGCCGTTGCGGAGCGCGTTTCTGTTGCTACTGGCTTGCCTTTCAAGACTGCACCCAACAAGTTTGAGGCTTTGGCCGCTCACGATGCTATCGTTGAGGCATCTGGTGCTTTGAACACCGTCGCCGTGTCTCTGTTCAAGATTGCCAACGATATCCGTTACCTTGGCTCTGGTCCTCGTTGCGGTTACGGCGAACTCAAGCTGCCTGAGAACGAGCCCGGCTCCTCTATCATGCCTGGTAAGGTCAACCCTACCCAGAACGAGGCTTTGACCATGGTCTGCACTCAGGTGTTCGGCAACCACGCCGCCATCACCTTTGCAGGTGCATCCGGACAGTTCGAGCTCAATGTTTTCAAGCCCGTCATGATCCAGAACTTGCTGAGCTCCGTTCGCCTGCTCGCTGATGGCTGCAACTCCTTCCGCAGCCACTGTGTTGTGGGTATCGAGGCTGACGAGAAACGCATCAGCACTCTCCTGCACGAGTCCCTGATGTTGGTTACTGCCCTCAACCCCAAGATCGGTTACGACAAGGCTTCTCAGGTCGCTAAGAACGCTCACAAGAAGGGTCTCACTCTCAAGGCTTCTGCCCTTGAGCTCGGTGTTTTGACCTCTGAGGAATTCGACGAGTGGGTGCGCCCCGAGAACATGATTTCTCCTAAATAAATTTCTTTAGTGTTATGATGTCTCTGACATTCTAATATAGAGCGAGTGCAATTGCACAGCGAGCGGGAATGTACACGTAGATGCTGTTCGAGCGATCGTTCCACGGCTCTGGTTTGGTGAAATACTCGGTCGATTTATCAAGGCGATTGTGGCCATGGAACTCTTCGTCGTCTGTCGACAGTACGACCTTGTAGGTTCCGGCGGCCTCTACACCCAAACGATAGTCACTGAACGACTGGTTAGGGTTGAAGTTGAACACGAACAAAACGCCAGCACGTTCAAAGGCAAGAACCTTGTCACCGTTATGTTTGAGTGAAACGTAAGCCTGAGGAGCCTTGAGCCATTGGTACTTGGACTCGGTATGCTGCAAGGCAGCATCGAAGTTGTTCAAGTACTGATAAAGCAGCAAGTGGTCATCGATCAGGTTGAATTGACGTCTAGCGTAGTGGTAAGATTCGCCATTACCCTCACGAGGGAAATCAAGCCACTCTGGATGGCCAAACTCATTACCCTCAAAGTTCAAATAGCCCTCACCACCCAGCGTGTGAGTCAAGAATCGAATCATCTTGTGCAACATCACACCGCGATCGATCTCCAAGCATGGCTCAGCAAGAACAGACATGTGGGTATACATGAGCTTGTCCATGAGCCAGAATGCCAGAGTTTTGTCACCAACCAAGGCTTGATCATGGGACTCACAGTAGGCGATTGTCAACTCCATGTGCCGGCGGTTGGTCAGAATATAAACGATATGGCCGAGATCCCACTCATCATCACTCTTTTCTTTCAAAAGATTGATCCAGGTGTCGGGAATCGCCATTGCCAATCTGTAGTCGAAACCAATGCCACCAATTGAAGCAGGTAAACAGAGGGTCGGCATGCCAGACACGTCTTCAGCAATGGACACATACTTGGGATTCAGCTTTTTAATCAGGCGGTTAGCCAACATCAAATAGCAAATAGCTTGGTCGTCGACTGAGTGGCCAAAATACTCGTGATATCCTCCGCTGAACCCGGTTCCGATACCGTGGTGAGTATAGAGCATTGAAGTGACACCATCGAATCTAAACCCATCAAACTGGTAAACATCGATATAGAATCTCAAGTTGGAAAGTAAGAACCTCAAAACCTCGTGGCTGCCGTAGTTGAACAACCGAGAATCCCAGAGATCATGAGAGCCTTTACCTCCAGCATGGAAATACTGATATTCGGTGCCATCAAACATATTGAGGCCATCTAGAACGTTCTTTGACGCATGGGAATGGACCACGTCCAAAAGAACCACGATTCCCATACCATGTGCAACATCAATTAGCTCCATCAAGTCCTCAGGCGGGCCATAACGAGACGATGCGGAGAAAAATGACGAGACCTGGTAGCCGAAAGAACCGTAATATGCATGCTCCATAATGGCCATAAGCTGGATGGCATTATAGCCCAACTTGTGAATATGAGGTAGCAAGTTCTTTGTAAACTCTTTATAGGTGCCGATTCGTGGCTCCGGAGTGGAGATGCCGACATGGGCCTCATAAATCTTTATACCGCCTTTACTGAGATCAATGCTCGGTCTCGGGTTCTTGAAGACATACGGCTCAGGAGGGTTCCAGAAAATACCGTCGTAAACAGGGGACACCTTCGTGTCCTGTTCTACACGGCGAATCCAGGCAGGAATACGGTCAATTACCTCACCTCCAGGCAGAGTCATAACAATTTTGACTTTAGAGTGATGTGAAATAGCCGGGCGGCCATCCACAGGGGGCAATCTAATTTCCCAAGTTCCGAATTGGTTGATTTGGGTCATGGGATGAGACTCCCGGTTCCAATTGTTGAAATCACCCATCAAAGCAGCCTTGACAGGGTTCGGAGCCCATTCACGATAAACAATTGTTCCGTCGTCTTCAACCTGGAACCCGTAGTACTCGTATCCCAAGGCGAATTTCTCAATTCCGCCCTCTGTCTCATCCAGCACGTTGAGCCAGTTGCCCATCAAAGCGATCCGCCGCTCAATTTCATGGCGGTGCGGCTCTAGGTATGGGTCGATCTTTAGAATATCGCTCACCTTGCTATCTTGTGTGTGTCCAGTCATTTTGATATACCTCGCTCGCCAACTGTGTTCTTACGCCGAGTTGCTAAGTGGGTGAAGAGTGGGCTGACTTACCCAACATCAAATATAGGCTTGCTGCACGAGAGCCGATTGAAGGGCCGATGAATTTGCCACAAATCTTGTCTCAAAAAGAGAAAGAAAATTTTGTGAAATTACAGCGTGATATAGTGAAGGTGCATTTGGTTGAAGATGAAGACAAAGGCCTGATCCTACCTGCGATTCGAGGACTCTCGAACCCGGACCTTGTAGACGTGCTTGAGTGGTATAGCGATAGGGTAAAGCTGTTTCACCCCGAGGAGCCACTTTTTGACGATCACACAGCGTTGAATGAGCATATTTCTGCGTTCTACGCCCAGATTGATCGGAATACTGGCTGCGCCATATTGACGGACGCGGCAAGAAAGAACGCAATTGTGCTCCAGGCAGAATTGCCGCAATTTGAATGGTTTTGCATTGGAATTTTCAAAACCAATTCGCTAAGTGACTTGCTCGATGCCAAGTTCTCCGGCTACGAGATTTTCACCAGGTCTTGGCTCGAAGAGCCCTCCGAGGTCTCAGGAGACAGCGAACTGAGCGATTACTGGAACTTGTACGATAATGACGACCAAGAGGAAGACGAGGACGAAGATTCTCACGCATACGGTACGATGAAACCTTCTGATCTTCCATTGGGCGAGCTGGACGTAAAAATCCACCGGCAGATTCATTCACTTTGGATTCTGTACGATAATTGTGGTCTTTCGTTTTCAGCCTTTGTCTCGGATCTTAGTGCGGCTCTAGGCGTCGAAAGCTTAGCCAAATCGTGCTCGAATGGGCCATTGCATAGCTATGTCCAAACCAGCATACCCAATTTCGTGAGCACGCTCACTCAATTTGGATTCTCCCAAGATTCAGTGCACAAGGCTATTTTCCATTGCTCGAAAACTATTAATTCTGCCGAACTACAGTTGCTTCTACCATCTGGTTCATTTTGACGCATGGACATGCAGGCCGGATGTATATAAAATTAAGTAATCACCAACAGATTTTTTTTTCAATCGCACAAATGTCGTCGTTGGCCGCTCAGTTAGCGGGCATTCACGCCAACAATAATGCGACAATTCTGGACAAATCAAAGAGAAAAAAGGTACATAGTGTCTCGTTGGTTTTCGACTCAAAAGAGGCCGTGACCCAGGACTTTGAGACCATTTACTCTGTCTGTCTCGAGGGGTTCCGAGAGCTCGAAACAATCGACAGACGCTTTTCAATGTTTGCGAATTCGCTCTTTTCAGAAACATCTATCCGTTTTGATCGTATGGTCCAGCATGATGACCGCGAAAATGCCCTCAATGCTGCGGTAAATAAGTTTTTCATGCTGGTTGCCAATTATCTCCATCTCCGTCCGGCTCTTTTGGCACTTGAATGGCTGGTCCGCCGTTTCCACGTCCAGCTACACAATGCAGAGCAATTTCTGCTTTGTGCCTTGCCTTGGTATGATACCCCGGCGTTCGTTCGAGTTCTGGATGTTCTCCCTCAGAACGGTATTCCTGCCCTGTTCTCCTTTTTGGGCCCCGCAAAGGCTTCTTTGCACTCCCCAAGTAAAAATGCGCTTGTTAGAGTGCTCTCAAAGGACAAACAGCTTTTCGATCTGCTAAATTCCTATGTTTTAGAGTGCGTGCAGACTGAAATGGCTTATAGCAGACAGCTGGTCTTCTGGTCCTCAATGTCCATCTATACCATTATGGCCTTTAAGGAGACTAATGATCCAGAAGTTGTTGACCGTGTGCTCCCTGTGATTTCGAAATTGCTTTCGTCTCCACTTGCTGCCCCTCAGGTCGCCGCATATATGGTTCTCACTGTACTCTGCTCCCAGTATCCGCTCGCAGACGATATTTCGGCTGCTGCTATTGCAACTATCGTCAGTAGCTGGCACAAAACTACAGTCAGTCAGGGATTATCTTGTATCTCCCAGCTCGTTCGCTATTCTACCTCTGCGAAGGAGCCTTTCCCTAAACAAGTATGGGACGAGCTCGATAAGATCCAGAACCTGACCCAACAGGTTCTCACTTTGGGTAAATCCCATCAGATCAATGCCTTTATTGTCAAGTGGGTAGTCTCTGGTTTGGAATATGAGACCGTTGGTCACATTCCCCAGGTGAATACTGTGTTGTCCGAATTGACTGTTGATCCGGAAGCTTTGGCTTCGGTCCTCGAAGCATTGTTCCAGTTCATTAAGAAAAACCTAGTGGACCCCCAATCCCTTGATGCTTGTGTCAATATCATTGAGACGAACATCGATTCCGATGCCTTTAAAACGGCCTTGAATGCAGCCTCCACGTCCGTTGACAAACTTGAGCTCCACTTGGGTGTTTCTATCACCCGCCCGGAAGCTGAACACATGGACGAGGATGTCGTGATGAGTGATCCTAAGGTTTCCGAGACCTCGTTCGATGGTGTGACCCGTGAGGCCATTATTGAAGAGAGCGAAAACCTTGAGATGTCCTCAAGACAGTCATTCCTTGATGGTGAGCCTTTTACAGATCTCGCAAATCTCTGGATTAAAGCCTCTGCTATTTCCACATTTACACCATCTGAGCTTGCACAATTGATTTGCATTTCTCCGCAAGCTGAGCCCTCTTTTTTCGCTGCCATTGCTCTGGGTCCCTACCCCGTTGTTAGCCGTGTTGCAGCGGCCAAGATGCTTCAATCAAGAATTGAGAATACAGAATCTCAAGACTTCCAGGGCCTTCTTGTTGTGCTCTTGTCTTTGCTTTCTGATAAGGAGCGGTCGATCCGCGAACCTGCTGCGGCTTCTATCAGATTCATTGGTGAGCACCCTCCTGCTAAAAACACCAATATTTGGGGATATGAGACACTTTATGGAGCTGTGAGCTCTGATTTAGTATGGCTCTCTCGCCAAGATCAAAAGGTAATCTACAAATTTTTGCTCTCGCATTTGCATGAGTGCATCTTGGACCCTGAGCAGATCTTGGCAATTTCAAGCAGCCTTGTCAACAAGAGTGCTGCTTTTAGTGAACTTGTAGCTGTTAATGCCGCTTATTCACCTGTTGTATCCATCACTTCCTTCGCCCTGACTGTTCTCAGCAATCGCAAACTCAAAACTCCTGTGGCTGGCTTGTCTCCTTTATTTGAAAGTTACCTCAAGAACCGCAATACTGTTTGGAGTGAAAGAGCTGCTACTGCTCGCATCTCTTTATCTGATATTGATAGTGCTGTTTGTGGTAGCGTCTCAGGTGCTGATCCCGTTGGAATTCTGTTTTTGCAGAACGCTCTCAAGAGCGGAGACAATGAAATCTCCCAGGCTGCTGGTCAGCGTATTTTAACACTTTGGAGAAATAAGCAACTGAAGGCTGATGCAGAGAATACATTTTTGTCTACTCTGTTCAGCATTGCTTCTGATGAACGATCAAGTCACGATCCCACTGATCTCCTGTCTGCCCTTCCGCTCAGCACTGACAATTTTTCTGTCTTACTTAGCCAGTCGCAGCTTCAGAGCACTTCAACAGCAACTGCAGATGTGCGCCGTCGTCATCGCAGATCTTCCGCCTCGCTCTCTTTGAACCCTGGTACTGTGGCAGCTGTTGCACAATCTCACTTGCATCGGCTGACATTGGTCCTTGAACTGCTCGACAGTAAGACAGATGATATTTCTGAACCTACAGCACTTTTCAGTCCGTTGTTTAGTTTGCTTGACGAACTCGCCGTTCTTGGAAATGAGTCCAATCTCCCTGTTCTTTACACGCAGGAACTTTTGGCCAACTGTCTCATTCATTTGGTCGAAAAAGTCAACGCTAATGTCAGCTCAGGTGCCCGTGTACCCGATCTTTCTTCCGTTCGTGTTGATGTCACTGTTTCTTGCATCAGAACGTCTCAATCGCCTCAGGTCCAGAACCGTCTTCTGCTTCTTATTGCCGCTTTGGCTTCCCTTTGCCCTGACATTGTTCTGCACAGCGTTATGCCCATTTTTACTTTCATGGGTGCAACCACTGTTCGTTTGGATAATGACTACAGCGCCCATGTTATTGAACAGACCATTTCAAAAGTTGTCCCGGCCTTGGTTGCTTGTGGTGATAAGCAGAATGAAATTGAGATCGCACTTCTTAGTTTCGTCGCTGCTTTCCCCCACGTTCCTAGACATCGTCGTAACAAGCTCTACAGTGCTTTGATCAAGACACTTGGCCCCGAAGAGAGTCTGTACAAGTTCCTCTTGCTGCTTGCTCTCAAGTTTGCTGAGGCACGTACTCGGAAACGTAGCTCTGATGCTAAGGCGTTGGTTCATTTCACTACGACCTTCCTGCGCTCGTATTCTATCTCCCAGCAGCTGCTTTCTCTTGAACAGTTCTTGGAGTATCTTGCCGAGGCAAAGATTCGTGAAGAAAATTCTGACAGTTCAAGCTCTGCCATGGAAAGTGGAAAAGATAATATACCCGTCTCACTTTTCGGTCAAGATGGTCTTTCTCCTCACATGAAGCCGTTCTTGTTTGAGTTCTTAACCTTGAGTGTCGGCAATGACCAGACGATTTCCGGTACACGTCCCCTGCGTGTCCAGATCGCTCATGCCGGCGCTTTCAGCGACGAGAACCTAGGTCATTGTACACGTATGATTGACTTGCTGCTCGAAAACCAGACAGGTGCTGGCTCGCGTGATGCTTCATTTGATCTGTTATCGAAATGCCTAGAGCTGTTGCCGGTTGCAAAATTTGTCGAAGTTGTTACTCCATTGGTTCACTCGGCTTCCAGTACATTGGTAAAGGAACGGTCACTGGCGTTGATTGCTTCAAAATTCGAGTACGAGCTCGCCAGTGATATTTCGGCTCAACAGGCAGCGTTGTCTACACTGAATATGCTTGAGGCCACTTTGGGTTCAACTGGCGGTCTGTTGGCTGGTACCTTAGATGATATTGATCTCTTGGTTGTCAAGTACGGCCGCTACTTCGAGCCCGAGCGTCTTTTGAAGCTGTTGGATGTTCTTGCTGGCCCTTACGGCCTGCTCAATGAGGACACCCATGTTCTGGTTTCAGCTGTTTGCTGCATCAACTCAGCTTGCCAACATCTGGGTGCACGCATGATTGGCCACTTTTCTCGCATTCTTCCTATTTTGTTCAGCAAGTGTGAGCATGTCATCCAGGAGAACTCTACCGATGAGAAGTCAATCATGCTCCAATATGCTACCTTTGCCCTGGTGTCTGGCTTGATTCAGCGTATTCCATCATTCATGGGATCGGTCTCTAAACGTGTTATGGAGCTTGTATTGATGTCTAAGATTGATCGGGGACCCCTTGAAAATCTCATGGCGCTCATTGTTGAAAAGATTGATGCCCAAACTGTTATGGGTGCTTTCATTTCTACCTGGGACAACGCAGTACAGGGTGGTTTACCCGCTATTGATTTGTTCCTACGCCACTTTGACTCGGTTATTGAACAGAGTCCGAAGAAGGATATTGCCGCCAAAGCCTCGCCCCTTATCACGTTGCTGTTGCGCTGCTTTGGTGTTCGCGCTGTGGGACGATTCAATCCTAATGAAGTGAACCACATCGAGTCTCGCGTTGTTTCGTCGGGTGTTGCTGTGGTTTTGAAGCTCAATGATAAAGTTTTCCGTTCCTTGTTTGTTCGCATGGCCCGCTGGGCATTCGAGGGTGAAAGCGCAGGTGTCGCCAGTATGGCTGAACCTTTACGCCATGTGGTATTCTTGAAATTCTTGGTTCGTCTACTTGGTGATCTCAAGTCCATTGTCACAAACTATTTTGGCTATGTGTTGGAACCTATCACGAAGATTCTTGCTACCGAGTCAGACGATGGCTACGGTGTTCATGACCTGACCCGCAAGCTCATCTACCAGTCTCTTATCCTATCTTTTGCTAGTGATCACGATGATTTCTGGCAGTCTCCTTCTCGTTTCGATCTTATTTTGGATGGTCTGCTTGTCAAGCTTGATCAGGAGCATATCATTCACGGTGCTCTGCTGGTCAAGGCACTTGTTGGTCTGGCTGAGACATGCTCTTCCCAGCAACATCGCAAAAACATCAACGATGGTTTAGCTGCTCGTGTTGTGCCTAGCTGCTCTTCGCCTACTAAGATTTGGGCCATCAAGACTCTTAGTAGTCTTTACACCAAGCTCGGAGAGGAGTGGATCGCAGTGTTGCCTCAGTTTGTGCCCCTTATTGCAGAGTTGCTGGATGATGATGATGAACAGGTTGAGATGGAGGTGCGCAAGAAGCTTGTTCCTGTCATCGAGGACGTTTTGGGTGAGTCTTTAGATAAGTATCTGTCGTAGGTTAAGAACGCTAATTAGATGTTGTATGAGAAAACCAGAGATGAACGAAGATGCCCAGGTTGTAAAGCCTCGCCTGAATTCTAAATCAACAACTGGGATGAAACGTCGAAAAAGAAACGTACTATCGAATATAATAATCGGGTTAGTGTGAGTATATACAGTCCGCGCTGCGGTATGTGCAGAGCTTTTTTAGAAACAGTCTGGTGTCGAGAAATTGATTAACCCTGGCGTTGTTTATGCTTGGGGTTTGATTTGCAGTAAACGTAAACGCGGCCCTTGCGGCGAACAATGTAGCAGTGAGCGCAGTACTTCTTGACAGAGGCTCCAACTTTCATACCACGAGAAGGAACAGCAAGACTAGTGGGCTGGGCACGCATAGGTGCAGCAAAAAGGTGCTTCACAGGAGGACGGACGAGAGCCCGCTTCGAAGCAGACAAAAGAAGGTTCAGCATCTCTTAAGTGGAAAGCGACAAAAATTGGATCGCTAAAAAAAGCTGACAAATATGGGTGGCCTCGACACCCTCAGGGGGTATTGGTATGATTGACCGAGCCGCGATATGAGGGCGCCGGGCGCGACCAGTGGTGGATTGCTAATCGTGGGCAAAGAACCCCGCTGGAAGGCAAAGTAGTTTGAAGTGTGGTAGAGATACGACAACATGAGCTGGAAAGGATTTCAACGCGGGGTTGTGCGTGCACCCCAGCAATTTCGCCAAAAGATGAACATGGGCCATATCACCAAGGATGAAGTGTACATTGACGCAGAGAGGCGATTCACTGCGATTGAGAACTCGACCAAGCGCCTCCACGAGGAATCTAAGCGGTACTGGAAGGGAATCCAGGGCATGCTAGATCACCAGATCGAGTTTTCGAAGGCAATTGAAGAGATCTACAAGCCGATTTCTGGCCGACAGAGCGACCCCAACTCGACCAAGCCCGAGGGCAACCCTGAGGGTATCGAGGCCTGCCAGCAGTACCGTCAACTCGTAACAGAGCTTCAAGAGATCCTCAAACCGGAGCTGGAGCTGATTGAGACCAAGATTCTCCAGCCCGCCGATGAGCTGCTTGAGTTGACCAAAGGTATCAAGAAGATGCTAACCAAGCGGGCCCACAAGCAGCTGGATCTCGATCGATACACGCTGTCGGTCAAGAAGCTGCAGGACAAGAAAGAGCGCTCTGTGAAGGAAGAGGAGAAACTGTATAAAGCAGAGAATGATTTGGAAATGGCCACCCAGGAATACGAATATTACAATGAGCTTCTTAAAGACGAGTTGCCCAAACTTTTCGGCCTTGAAGCTGATTTCATTCGCCCTCTTTTCCAGTCTCTTTACTACATGCAACTGAACATTTTCTATACTCTATTCAATCGGATGGAAGAAATGAAGATTTCCTATTTTGACCTGAACGCGGAAATCGTCGAGCAGTTCGAACGTAAGCGTGGTGATGTTAAGGAGCGTACCGAAGAGATTGATTTGACCCATTTCAGAGTTGGACACCAAAAGTACAAGCTTGAACAAACTAAACGGCGATTCGGGAAAGACACTGCTTCTCAGGATGGAGCCCCTCCTACCTCCCCGGTGTCTGCAGCCTCCGGGACTCCTCCGGTTTATGCAGCATCTCCTGTCGGAGCTGGGCAACCGGTTCCGCCGGCTCAACCAGCGTATGGACAACCGGCGTACGGACAACCGGCGTACGGACAGCCAGGATACGGGCAACCGGCGTATGGGCAACCAGCTTACGGTCAGCCTGTTTCCCAACCTTATGCGCAACCAGCATACGGGCAGCCCCCCGTGGCCTATGCGCAGCAGCCTGCTACTACTACGAATGGGTATCCCTTGGAGAAGCAGGAATATGCGCCGGTGGGTGCGGCTGCTCCCGCGGCGGTACCTGCCCCAGCAGCAGCAGCAGCAGCAGCAGCTGCCGCACCCGCTGTCGAGTATTGCACAGCATTATATGATTACACGGCACAGGCTGCGGGCGACTTGTCGTTCCGTGCTGGAGATAAAATCCAGGTCCTTCAGCGCACTGATGCCAATGGTTGGTGGACAGGAGTTTTGAACGGGCAGCAAGGCATTTTCCCAGGAAACTACGTGAGTTTGAGTTAGGCTAATTATTATGGACAGCTACTGAATTGAACCAAATTTTTGTAAAAGGCCCTCCTTTTTTTTTAAAGCCCCCTCCCTTTTTTTTAGTCCTAGGTGGGGGGGTGTAATTAGGTTTAGTGTTTTGCAGCGACTAATCTATGTATGTATACACAAATTGGCTGAAAAAATCGGCGCGCAGATTCTTGTGCGCGGCCAGGATCTGAGTACCTACTAAAAATAAACAACCAATACCATTTCTAGGGGTCAAACTAACCGCTCAGTCTCCCTGTAAGCCCGGCATACCACCATAGTCAAGCATACCTCTGTTTCCTGGGCACTGGACTCCTGCAGCCGGCAGGGACTCGCAGATCATTGTTTACCGAAGTGGTCATAGTCCATGCGCTTTTGGACGTCACGTGTCCCAAAACGGATGCATGACCGGCCGGTGACTAAGCAAACAGTGAGGAAGAGAGGGGCGGGAAAAAAAGAAAAACTTGTTAATTTAACACGAGCGATATCGTATCTGTCAACAAACGCTGTACTAAAACCACCAAGCCACTAAGATCCATTCACATTCATTTGCATACAGCCATCAATTATGCCGGAGGCCACTTTATCTTCGTCTCCCTCTAAGCATTTAACCTCATGGTGGAGGTCGTTCAAGCAACGGGACGAATCCAATGAGTCTAGCTCATCCCTTGCGAGTCGTCCGCATCTGCCTCACATGTCACAGTCCAGCAGTGCTATCACGAAAGAGAGAAGTATTTCCGACCCGCCTGTAGAGGTTTCGAACCAAGGACGCAAGGTTACGATTCCGAGAGCAGTGCTAGATTCACCTATTTTCGGAGTGCCTCTTGCCACGTCAATCAAGTACGCTAGCGTGAGAATCTCGCTCACTGATAAAGAAGGTGAATCTTTCGTCTATGGGTACGTTCCAGTGGTGGTTGCAAAGACTGCAATGTTTATCAAAAAAGAGGGCAAGACTGTTGATGGAATATTCAGAGTTTCTGGCTCTACCCGAAGAGTTAACGTACTCAAGGACGTGTTCAATCTTGCCCCTCGTTTCGGAAAAGATGTCGACTGGCAGGGGTTCAATGTCCACGATGCGTCAAGCCTTTTGCGTCGTTACTTTAGTAGCCTGCCAGAATCTATTATCCCCCTCAAAGGCTATGACACGTTCAGAGCACCTATTCTCGAGGCACCCCAGCTCAGAGCTTACATGGAAAATCAAGCAACTCTACTGAACCCCGCTTTGGCCGAAGGGGTTGAGGAGATTCATATGGACTCGACTATAGAGGCCCAAACTCAAGAGGCCATTGTGAAATATCAAAGACTCATTTTCACATTGCCTCCAATCAATTTGCACTTGCTTGTCTATCTGCTGGATCTTTTGTCGGTGGTTGCATCTAATTCCGAGCTTAATCGAATGCCTGCCTACAATCTATCAGCGGTTTTCCAGCCGACAATCCTTGCCAACCCGCAACACACGAATGTTGAGGAGTATCTAGTTTCTCGTCTTGCTGTCGAGTTCATTATTATACATGCGAGACCAATTTTGCAGAAGGTCGAGGAACTTGCCCGCGAAGAGCATGAGAAACTCAAGGAATTGCAAGGAAAACCCCAAGCACATACTAAAGAACCCGTGGAAGAGCAGCCACAGTTATCGGTGCCCGAGATCATCACCCCCGCAGAAACACCTACTAATGAAGAGGTATTTCCAGCAAAGCTTACCGTGTCCGGGCTTCAAGAAGATGCAAATGAACCATCGGAACCTAAACGCCACCGCAGGCGTCATTCCAAGAGCCTGAGCTCAGTCCCTCCTGCATCGAATGACAGTAACCGTCAGCAACCAGGATGGAATCGACGCAAACCAACTTCCACGGAAGAGCCAACGAATGAGAGCACCACAAGCTTGGCTGGAGCACAGAGTAGCACCACCACAGCATCATTCGAAGAAGGCGACGACGCAGTCGCTCCAAGGCCCCGAAAAGAATCGCTCAAGTCGCGCTGGCGCCGTTCGCTCATGATTCTGAGGCCTAGTGACGAAGACGACTCAGCCGGTCTGAGTCCGAGCATGAGCTGGTTCAAGGCTAAGAGAAACCGAGATGACACTCCGCTCTCACAATCACCCACCTCTTGAATACGCGAACTGAACTTAGATCTCTAGATTCTTATTTATACTCATTTGCTAAACAAACATTCTCTAGCACCCACTCAGATGCCATGTCTAACGCCCCTGCCCACGGTCTGTCAGCACTCACCATGGCGGGAACAGATGTAGAGTTCGGCGTGACGTCGATTCTCAACACGAAACAGTTTTCATGGGTATTCCTGGTGGAATGCATCATGATAGTGCTACTGAGCTTATTTATTGTTTTTTATTTCAATCAATTCGCCAGCCTTATCATTTCAAAGGCTGCCGGTTGGTATCTTTGGAAATACCATCAAATGACCTTTGTTGTTGGATCGCTGCAAATATCCATACTGGGCGGCCAAATATTTGTGAAAAATGTCAAGTTTATATACAAGGATCATGCAATATCAATTGTTCATGCCACCTTACATTGGCGGTTTTGGCTTCGTCGGTCGCGAGTCGCAGCGCTTTTCGCGCAAGACTTGGATGAAATGAAAAAGCCAGCCTGTCAGTTATGTTGCGAAATTCATGGTGCTGAGATTTTCGTTTTCAACCGATCTGTCGCCTACGATAACATTGAGGACCTCGTGAATGGGATTATCAAGCCGCAACGAGTAATTGGCAAGGAAATTGGATACTTTGAGGAATTCTTACTGCGCCTTCTACCACTGGAGATCAAAGTACGTCGCTCGTCAGTTGTCATGGGCAATGTAGATACCGAGTCTTTGCTGGTATTGACGAGCAAACACATGGATTGTATTATTGACGTCGATAGAGCCTCAAACGACTATGATCGCTATATGATTTTGGCAAAAACATTCTGGGAAAGACCCAAAATAACGTTGCATCCAAATTTGGACTATCATAAGTCTAGAGGTAATGTGTTCGCACCAAGCAATGGGCCTTGGTTCAGACTCGGTAAGGTGAGGAAAAGAGATTCGAGTGCATGGCGCGGATTGAACAGATACAACGACGCAGAAGGTGACGATGAAGTAGGAGAGATGGACTCTAATACTGCTGAGTATGCTAGGGTGTCTACTGTGTTTGAGGCAGAGGAGATGATGCTGGAACATTTCTTGGATGTTGTTGGCCCGAACGTCGAATCAGAGACTCCTCTTCCGGCCCCACTATTTCATACAAATATTGTTTTCACATCTGCAAGCATTAATTATGGACCTTGGACAGATAGACAACGGTTGGAGCTGGTCAACGCCTTTTTCCCTCAGGTGTGTGTGGACGCCAAACCTGCTGCGAACATCCACAAAGCGGGGACCATGCGTGAAGCTCCCAAAATGAGAATCACTTTCGATTTTGTCAACCAGTTTAACTTGCACATTCCAATACGCGAGCCTTCGAAAGATATGCAGTGGATACATCACTTGATCAACTCTCAAGCGGCAAACACCACGCGCGCTTACGGGTGGATTGATATCAGTGCTGATCAAGGATCTAATGGTGAGGTCGAAATAGATTTGCTCGCTCATGAATATGGCTATCGTAATGTGTTCAAACTATTCTTGGATAAGCTCCAGGTACGAACATCGGTAAATCACGACCTGGCTATCAAAACGAAAAATCACACGATTTCCTTAGTACAAATTGTTCCTCTCAAATGGAATGGTTTACAGAAATGGGATATATTGTTCAAATCCATGGACCTTGACTTCTTTTTCCTTCGTGAGCAGGCAACTCTTCTTATTGATTATTTCAAAGACATATCTTCTCCACAGGATGTCGACTACAGCCATTTCGTCCCGGCAGTTTACAGCTTCAAATGGTCTGCTGATAATCTAAAACTGTGGTTAAATGTCAACAGTCAAAACATTATCAACAATCCCACGAGTTTAGAAGAAAACACTTACCTCGTTTTCAGAACGAAAGCGATCGGTTTAACATTGGACCTTTCTGCAGATCAGGTGCGCCCACTAACGAACACCTCGAAAATCACTTTGGCCACGGATTTGCTTGATTTGGAAGTGAGTGCCCCGCCATGGCATATGCTGCATTCCTTTCTTGAGTCAAACCATCTGGGTAGAGTTTACGATTTCCGAGTTGACCTCTCGTATACTTACAACTGTGTCGAAGACAGTAAGAATGCAGAGACTGAAATTATCAACGTTTATGGGCGTGACTTCACTCTGATTGCTCACGGCTTTGCTATTAATTATTTGATGACTATCCGTGAAAACTATTTCGGCCAAAATTACCATTTTCAAACTAGTGAGGAATATTACGAAAAACTGACAAAAAATGACGTCTTCAGTGAAGAATACGAGTTTTCAAGATATGATCCTGACCTTGATGTCCAGATGCATTTTGATGTCCAGAACTGTTGCCTTGTGCTTCCGGCATATTTATACTCTGCGAAAGCATGTATCGCTCTTCATTTCGCCAACTTGGCGGCAGAAATGAGATTCACCAACTACTACATGGATCTACAAGCGGAACTGTCTCCTATGACAGGTTATTTACACAAAGAACTCGAATTAGAGCTTGTCCTAGATTTGGCTAAACCTGAGCTTTCCGATTTTGACGACACATCGGTGGCATTCGTTAGTGAATTCATTGTTACCGCGCATCGAATGTTTGGTTTACCCCCGAGTGAGCCAACATATGTCTGCTGCTGGAACATTGAGCTGGGAGATGTTATTTTGGATGGACCCTTCGATATGCTGGATATATTGGGCCGTATCGTGGTGTTCGCTGGACACTCTTTCAAAGGTATTGAAAATAAACCAATTACGGAGGAACCGGACCTGTTTGATGTTACGTTCCTTTGTGTTGATGTCAAATCATTTGCTTTGAACCTCCATTCAAGTGATAACACTCGGATTGAGTACCATACCTCGGCCATCTCACTGCGTAAAAATGATTATGCAAACGAGAGATATAGCCGCAGGTTGACCGCATCCATCCCCAATATCGAGCTACGAGGGTTTCACAAGGGCGAACTTGTATTATTGCTACAGACGTCTGCTGCTTGCAGTGTTTTTTCCCATGCAAAGGAGCCCTTGCGGCAGTACCAGATGCAGCAGGAGCATATTGCACTACATGACATGCTTTTCCACCGATGTCCGTTCTTGTTGGATAGATGGCATCGTTCAAACCCACCTTACAGTACCAAGCCCGCCGATCATATTGTGCCAGCAGTCTCTTTACCGCCCCTCCCACCTCAACTAACGCAAGAACTGGTTGCAAATGCGAACCCACAGTCAATTGCTCTAGATTTTCAGTACGACAGATTATCCAAGTTTTCTGCGTCTTCAAGATCACACTATTCTGGATCCAACTCAAATTTGTTCTCTTCAAATGATAGCTGCTCGAGCAGTGATATATCAGAATCCAGCTCCAGAGTGAAAGCCAAATTTGAACCAGCTAAGTTCGCATTTAATTCCAAAGAGAAATTTTTCGGGTTTTTACCTCCAGAAGGTTTTCACGAGCCGGAAATGAAACAGGGTGACCATGATTTTGATCTTAATGGTCATGAATCGTACCCGGGAGCTCCATCGCTTCCTAAATTTGACGAATCGTTGATATATGATGACATTGTTTTTGAATTAGGGCCTTTGACTGCTACAGTTTTGCCTCAAACCATCCAGCTTATTGATGCAGTTAGTCTTCACTTGAATAATGTCGATTTAACTGCCGCATTTGATAAAATGCACTGCAGAGTAGTTCAAGTGTTGGCTAAAGAGGATGATAAGCAGTGCTTCAGAGCCCTGGTATCTACGGAAGCTGTCGATATCAAGCTGGGCATGGCGAAAAATACACAGCACGGCACGAGTAGCGGGCAAGATGAGCCAATGGACATCTGTCTTGAACCGAATCACGTTTTATTGAGTCTTGAAAAACTGAATATTATGGTTCAAATTGGCCCTAGTAAAGTTCCGAATGTCGTTGATATAGGGCTTGATGTTCTAAGCCTAAGCGTCAATACATCACAGGACGCCTTGACAAGAAATGCGGTGTCACTTCGAGTGAACCAGCTTGCGGGCTGGTTCGTTTTGGATAACGAAGACTCTGTTGGTCAAATTCACACAGATAATATCGATCTTTTTTGGGCTGAAAAGCAGTTGGGCTGGGTGACCCGTTATATTTTGGAACTTGTTTGCGAGATCGATAAGCTCAAAAAGCTAACGGTTTCCAAAACTTCCGAACACAAAAAAATGGCGTATGCGATGCTGGAGGTCGCACGTGCGAGTGAACGACATAATGTTGAGCAGGACTCTTACGTACTTTCAAGGCCGTTTGGAAGTGCTCAGAGCCAGAACCACACACGCTCACATATCAGTTGGCGCATCTCCGTAAGATTGAGACATTTGCTAAACCTATTGCCAAGCTCAGAAATCCAAGAGATTGAGCGCACTATTGAGAACCGCACTTACGAGGTACCTTCTGATGCTAAAAAACAAGTCATGGATATTTTTAGTCGCTGGCGAAGCTGGGAGCAAACAGAAGATCTTGATTCAGCTCTCGTATTCACACACACTTTTGGAGAGCGTCCCAAAAGATGGGATAGAACAGCAGTTGCTATTCGTTGCGGTATCGATAGTATAACTACCAGATTGAACTATGGAGACCATACTGAGGATTTCTTCATCTTGGACTACACGAATATGCATGGTTCATTCAAACCTGCGGCGGCAACGGTTTTTACAAGTCTTATGATAACATGCGCAAGGGCGCGGACTCACTTGAGTACTCGCACAATGAAGCCAATTGCAACGGTTGCCAAAACAATAGCAGAATTTGAGCACCCTGAGTTACTCAGAGAACTATTCAACCCGAAGCGCTCTACTGACCTCAAACCCCGCCAAAGCAGTGCACGTGCTGTAAAAGGTTTCGTGTTAGGTTTTATCCAGGATTTCGGATTCGAAGCTTCACTACGTTCCTTCGGTGCTGAGTTGCAATGTAAACAAGTGCAAGCCTTGAGTACATTCATATCTTCGAGCACTCAGTGGTATCACACTACAATTGCTGCGATGGCTTCATCTTGCCTGAGTGCGGTAAATTCGACTGGCACTGATCTTTTCGACTATATTTTAGATTCAGTCAATGTAGGCCTTATTGGCTGGGAGGCGTACACGCGGGTTGTGTCCAATGTCGGTGAGCTATCACTCGTTTCAAATGCTCATATCACAGAGTTTTGCAACTTGGTCAATAACTTTTTTGAAACTGATTTGGAAGATTTCAAAAAGTTTTTAGCCATTATACACGAAACTCGCTCTAAATTGATGACAGGCTTCAGCGAAGACACTTCTACGGGATCACGTTCAGACAGCACCCGCACTATGGATGGAACTCACGACAAGGAGCACGTACCTATACATTTCAATTTGGATGTGACAACAATTACAATCAAGACTGTTCTCTTAGAGAGTCTGAGAGCCGCACTTACAGGGGAGCACCTCGTTGTCCGATCACGCCAGCCAGATCATGCCACCACTTTGGCCGATATTCATCTAGATAGAGGTGTGTTAGGGATGCTTTATGGGGCTGGCAGTCCAGTTGTGAGTGTTGAACTGCTGGACGTTAGCAATATTATTCGATATGAACCAGAACTTCATGCTTTGGATTTGTTGAACTCCGTAAAGTTGGCTAAACTGGATACAATGGAGCTTCTATGGTTTCTGGATCTTTTGAAAGAGGAAAATATTGCCGCTGAGATCGAACAAGTTATGAGTACGTTCAATTCGATTGCGACCAAGTACGCAGATGCACTCGAGTCGCTTCCAAGCGAAGAAAACCTGAAGGATAATGTCACGTCAGACTCACAACAACTTTCAAGTTACTCTGTGAGGATTGATGAGGCGCAGCTGTCGTTGCCTTTGAGTGATGCTACATTCATCTTCATTGCACGCTACATGACCGGCCACTTTTTCAACTTCAAACGCGATGACCGTGATAAACCGTTTGCGTGTCCGGTAGAGCTATTCGGCTCACTAGATGAGCTGCGGGTGGAGCTTCTGTCCAAACTTGGTGGTTTGCCATCAACTCCCCAGACACCTGTTGTATCGAATTCGTCGAGTCACCAGCCTCCTGTACTAGCTGTACAGCTTACTGCTGCATACAATCACGAAAAAGATCTTCAAAAGCTTGAAATATCAAGCAACTATTGCAAGCTCGTTTTGGATCCTGTCAGAGCAGTTTCTATTTCTCGCGCTGTCACAAAGCTTCAGTCTAGATCCACATTTTTCGAGACGATTGACAAGTCTGAGGTTAAACATGATAGGGACAGCGCAGAGCAAAGTATTCCGACCTTTTTTGAGAGTCTGAGCGCTGTTTTTGCTCTAAAAAATCAATCATTCACCTGGCAGACGAGAAACGGTGGAGGAATCGTAGTTGGGAACGAGGCCCTCAATATTCGACAGAATGGTTTAACCGCACGTATGGATATGCATGAGTTCTATATTCAGCCTGACTCTTCTCATTCGCAATATGGTAGCAAGATAGCTCTCCCCAGCTTAGCTTTGTCTGTGGTGGTTCTACAAAATGAGGACGAGCATTTCGTATACATCAACAACAGTGGTGAATCTTTGAATATCGACGTATCTGCAGCGGTTGTTCCACTTCTTGTAGGATTGGCTGATTCGGTTGATGAAGCGAAAAGACTCTATTCCGAGGGGCTATCGGACGAGAGCATGGATGAGAAACCTGACAAACCTCCTCAAGTTAGATCACCGATCCGACTTCCTTTTTCTTTGCACGGATTAAGCTCTATTTCTAGGGCACGGATTCGTCTATTTGAGGAGTATGGAAGCTTCAACACGCCTTCCCTTGAATTACACAGTCCCGCTGCTAAGGTAACGGTTGACTATCGAAGGAAGACAATCCCACTGAGGGATGTACTCAACATCGACATCAGCATTTCAGAGTCATCGAATACAATATATCCAAAAGCGCTACAGGAGCTAAGAAACATGGTCAGGAATATCGAGTATCAACTTGCACATCGTCATGTTCATGTGGAGCCTCATAGAACAATGGCTTCAACTATTTCTCCACAAAGTCCTCGTACTCCCACCAAACCCAGAAAGTTGCGGATCCGGACAGATATTGCACAACATGCACCAACGCTTTCAACACCTGTTTCATCGAGTGTGGAGGACTTCCATGTTCTACTATCTGCTATCGAGTATACCATTTTTGTGAACTTCTCTGCTCAACAACTAGAGTTGTCTTGTGAACCTTTTGCGAAGGTTGCGACAACACTATTGTATGATGGAATTACCGTAGTGCTGACTTCTCCGCTGGACGAGTTGTCCAACCAGTACCTGGCTCTATCTGGCTCAGTAAGAGGTGCAAAAGTTGCGCTTCGACATATATTTTCACATGAGAGGTCTATTGAAGCCGGCATTGGCACGTTATCGTTCACGGTGATTCACCGTCAGCGGAGCAACACACCAATAGAGATAGGTCTGTCAACTGCGGACCCGGAGTTCAGTCTCAAGGTTAGCAAAATTAATGATATCAGGTCTTTCATTGATATCTGGACCCCAGTCACATCTTTGCCGAATACTGATGTGGTTTCTCCAGCCAGCCCTAAAGCACCTCAGTCTTCTCCCACTGGCTCAACACATATACAAACTTACCGCAAGGCCATGGCATCCATTGCATTCCAGTGGTCACTGGTGTGGCATGTTCGAAATGTAAAAGGTTATATCGACTTGGGACAGTCTGTAGGAAAGGCTGAACTTACACTGGATTGGTTTTGGTTGAGCTCATTGAAGAAGTCTCAGCGACGCCAGTATTTCGCAGGTGGTATTGGTGCTATTGTTGTCTCTTGTGAAGGACGTGTGGGAGGTGCGTTAGACGTGAAAGGAACGAATGCGCACCTGACCGTCGAATTTGGCGAGGACCTATACCAAACGCCTCAAGTTCTGTTTGTGGCAGGAATACCATCGTTCGATGCTTATTTGAGTCTAGATTTCAATCCGTTCCTCGCACTGCGTGTTGCTAAATCATCGATCGCAATCGGAAACACCCAAAGACCGTCGTTGGATTATGACGAGCTAGAGATATCTTTCCAATGCGAGAGTGCCTCTGCAACTTTCACTGCTTTGGCTGCCAGCCATCTGTACGATATGGCCGATTTGGTAGGTACTTTCAAGATGCCTAGTAGCACGGTTCCCCTTGATGATGGTGGGGATGATCTTATTGCACTCAAGCGTCGTGAAATCAATGACAGAACCCTCAATCTTCTCACAAGACTCAAGGTCAAACTTAACTTGAAGCTAGGTGAGACCGTCTTATACGTGTTTCCGTCTGATCTTAGCGAAAGTACTGCTATGTGTGTGTCCTCTGGAGGTATGCACATCTTTTTCACACAGTGGCTGGATCAAAACGGACTTCACTCCGAGTTCAATTTTGAGACTCATCGATTGTTGTTATCTTTAGCAGCAATGCAAACATCATTCTCAGCAGCGGATGTGACCAGCCTGCAGGTTGACTCCTTTTTCAAAGCGGCGGCTAGCTCCTCGAAGAATAACATTGTTACCATTCCCAAATGCAAAATGTTCATGTATGCACTGCTTAAACCTAACGGGCGACACGTATGCTACACTTTTTCATCTGATTTTATGGGAACTGTGGAAGTCGGTTGGAACTTGGGCTCTGTTGCGTTCATTCGCGAGATTTCAAGTGTTCACTCCAAAGCCTGGGATGTTCGCAAGAAAATATACCTAGCATCTTTGGATCCCAGTGAGCGCGCGAAGGTGGGAGGAATTTTCGTGTCACAACCAACTACGCCAGCTCGTCCTCGTTCAGCTGATAGTCAAGACTATCTTGCTGACGACAAAAATAGCATGATGAGCCTAGAAGATTTCGAGGTTTCCCGCAAACTCTTTGAAGCGTTGATTAACTCAGATCTGCGCTTTGCGGAGATTCCCAAGTACCATCATATTGAATCTCCTCGAATCAATATACCCCAGCTGCACGACATGGGCGAGGCTACACCGCCAGTGGAGTGGATTGGGCTGGATCGTCACAAATTGCCGGAGGCTATACATTGGTATCCTGTGCGTGCACTAAACGGAATCATTTTTGAAGTCGAGCAGATTTACGGCGGCGTTATTGAGCGGATGTAATGAGAATTTTAAAGAAATATATATATGTTGTTCGAGCGAACCCACTATGGACCTAAGTAATTTTGTACAAGGAAGAGCGAAATTTTAAGGCGTGAAAGAGAGCCGTTAGGTTCGGATTTGGAGAAATAAGTTGATTCCTTCAAGGGAAGTGGCCACGACGAGGCCCGAAATATTCTCCCTCCGCAAGATGGAGACGCACAGCGTACTCAGTTCCGATTTGATTGCCTTCACTGTCCAAGATGGGTAGACCAGCATCTAGATTTTCATACATGACGTTGCTTCCCCACCAGCCAGCCGCACCACCAATTGCAGCAAAGTGTTTATAGCCTGTAGAGAAGAACATGATGAGAGCACCATAAGCCACACCAACGCGCATGGCACCTAGAATAACATAGTTATACTTGGCCCACCAGATAGGGGCACGGCGCTTGATCCAATAATTGAAAATGAAACTGAGGTAGAAGTTCGGAATCCAATAGCCGAAATTGTAAGGGGCAAAAGTGGAGATAATACCGGCAACCCAAAGCAGTTCATTGATGTTGTAAAGCCAGTCTAAAGCTTTGGTCATGCGAGTCAAGAAGCGACGAGCAAGCCAGAATGGAATTGGGAAAAACGCTCCGATGAGGAAAGTGTACTTCATACTAGGATACAGCGTATCAAACACACGTTTTGGACCAATGGTACCCCAAATCACACCTGCATTGAAGAAAGTGCGGGAGGACTGGCAGGTGAATTTCTGGACGTTTTCGGGGTCGCAGAAACCAGGAATACCACCATTAAGCTGCCAGAAGATAAGGCCAACCTGAACAAAAGTGACGACAATCACGGAGAGCATCTGGACGCGGAACAAAGCCCGAGGAGGAATACCGGTGTAGTGAGCTTGGACCTGGTTGGTGATATAATTATCAGTCTGGGACGAAAACTCAGTGGCATAGGACTTGGCAATCATCAAAGCGTTTCCGTTGCCAGGCATAATATAACCGATAATAAGTTCAATAAGAACATTAATTTGGAAGCTCTGGTTGGTAACTGAGTACAACAAACCGAAGGGAATGGTGAAGATCAAAGCCAGAACTGCGCCGAACACAATTGTCCAGACTGGAGTCTGAGTAAACTTGTAGTATTCAACGGTACCGACAGCCATACCGAATGATCCCAAGAGGATCACAAGGAACCACCATTCGGGAACTTCCCTATACTTCTGCTGAGCACGCGAGAAACGGTCATGATGCGATTTAAGACCCTCAGAAGGATGGAGCAAGCTATGGCCAAACATCTTCACAGACTTCAACATGATACCACCATAATTCAAAATAGCGTAAACGACCATTGCAGGGTAGATCATGAAGAAAGAGCCGTAGACAACAAGATTGCCCGCTGTGTAATATGGCAAAGAGTACTTCTGATATTTGGCCTCGTCCAGCTTTCCTTGAGCATCAAGTACCTTTGTGACAGAGAATGGCTTAGCCTCATTGTTGAACAAAGAATTAGAGTTGATGGGTAGGTAGCCGGTGTTGCAAACATTTGTGTACCAAATGACAAGAATCGCAAACATACCAATGAAGGAACCAAACATCATATTTGCAGTTGAGTAAAAGGGAGTGATCATACCACTTTGGTCCATAGTATTCCAGTCGAAAGTAGTAATAGGATGCAAGGATAGACCGTTAACCATACCTGTCATGGCTTGTAGGTCAACATTCCTAGGGGAGATCCAAGCTGGCCAATCGAACATTTGCAAGAAAGGCAAAAGGAAGTTGGTGACCCAGTACCAACAGAAGCTGAAGACTGAAAAGATAACAAAGCATTCCCAGCGCTTAATACGCCAGCCGTTAATAGGGGTACGATCCTCATTTTCCATGAGAGCGCGGTTCAGGGCAATGGTAGGCAATACCGAGAACCACACGCACTGCTCAGGATAAACCAGGAAAGTGCGCATAATACCAGCAATACCGAACCCCATCATTTGAGAGGACAAGGTAAACATAATCATATAGCCGAAACCACCACCTGTGAACCCATAGAAGTTATCGTTCTGCTGAGCAGTAATTGTGTACTGAGAGTAAGGTGCACCAAGAGAGACAGATACAGCTAAAGAGCAAAGTGTTTGCTCTTTAAAGCTCCATGGGCCAGGGTTGAAATCAATCTTTTTCCCAGGCCAGATAGGGATCTTGAAGTTCGGTAGGCGAGCCCATCCCTGACCCCAGCACACGATAAGTAGCTGGATGGCACTGAGAGAAATAGAAATCTGGGGGAAACGATTAAAGAAGAATGTAGCAAGACAAGAACCTGCGCAAGCAAGGAATAAACCAATGACGTATACACGAAGAGTTTCGCAATAGTCACCTGGTTCATCAATGGGACGCGTTACAGCACGAACCTCAGGATAAACCGACCAATCTTTCACAAGAAAAGCCTCAAACCTCACAAGCTGTTCCCATTCGGTTTCTGATTGGTTTTCTAGCGGACCTTCGGGTAGGCGCTTGAGAAGCTCAAGCGTTTGACGGTCAATAGAGGGGTCATCGTCATGATCAATGGCAGCATTACGAACCACCTCTAAAGCTTGCTCGAAATTCAAGTCATTCATATGGCCTGAAATGAAGACCAGGTCGTCATCTTTGAATGAACCGTCGAAACGGTCGTTGATGTGACGGAGGTCGTCAACATCTACGACCACACCGTTGGGGGCGGTTTCAAAGCCTTTAGTGACGTAGACAGTCTTTTCTTTGTCGATGGAGTCACTCAAGCTTGTTTGTGACATTGCTGGTTGTGAAGACCGCAAGAATTTTAATTAGGACGCGGACGCAGGAGGTTTAGAACAATCTCAACAAGGTTAATCAGACGCCAAATAAAGCTTCAGACTCAATATGAGGGCAGCTTCTAGATCCTTCGCCTTGAATGAGTTAATGATACTGGCCACTTATGTAGTTTCCGTATAACATGCGCGAATGCACGGTAGTGCCGTCCCATGCTGACCCGTGCAGACCGCTGCATGCCACGGCTCCGCACAACGCAGCCCGACTTGCACTTTGGGAAGGAATAAACTTTGGCGGATATCAAATTAACTCTCGTATCTAAATAATATAGTTAGCAACTACGTAGCAATGACATTTTGTTGTGCGAGTAATCAAAAGTCTAACATTGGCCTTATCAGCGGACGGCATCCATGCTATGCGAGCACCTGTTATCAACGTGGAGCCGCGTGATTTTTGAGGTTGGCGACACACCTCATCGTATCCACTCACACGTACTTTGTGTGCAGTATTTCACTTCGAAAAAACATGATCCCTCAAAGTACATAGCTTTACGTAGCCCCTAAGACCGAATATTGCACACAACTATATAGAGACTGAATATGAACACAAGGGCCCTACGATCGACCCCAGAAAGATGCGTAATCTGCGAACATACATTTCAGCAGGCTGATATGGGTCGAGCGAAATATACTAGTTGCGATTTGAGGTTATCGCTAAACGCTAGCAGGCACACCAATATATAAAACAGACGTACATATGTTCACCAGGCGAGGATTTATAAGAAATAACAGCTCTGAGAATGTAGGAGGTTTTTGAGCCAAGCAACATGTTTAAGAAGTGGGTATGCCGTGCATTTGTCTGGTTGAGCACTTGCCGGTGGCTTTCATCTGCGAACCGATATCACGATAATAGAATTTAGAATTTACGCAATATTTGAAGCTTATACCAACAATAATGCTTATATTCCACCCCTTGAAGTGCTCGGACAGGCCTGGGTGCTCTAGTATTAATTTTGTGCACCATTCCCCACCCTTGCCTATTCACGTGATAACGCGACCGAGCATGATGTCTTGCGTGACTCAAGTGGCTGGCAGCTGCACATAGCATTTTCGCTTAATTGGCTCACGGCGGTCTGCTATATGGCTTAACTGTGATTCGTTGGAGTTTTGATTTCTGAGAGCTATAGTTACGGACATAGTCCAGATAATGTGACAAGTGCTTAAGATGGTCTATGTTGGATGAAAAAAAGTTGAGACAAGAATATCGTCTTATGATCCAGCCGGGAAAAAGCAGAAATAAAAAATATGTAACAACGGCCATGCTTGTTCATATAGATGGAACGGAGCATTATCGTGGCCAAGTGGCTTTAACATCGTATTGATTGAAGTTGGCTGAGTGTATTCAATAGCACTAGTATTGTCCGCCAGGAGGGTTGTCCAGCAAGCACGTTTCTTTTACATGGTCGTTCCGACACTAGCACGTTTGCAGTGGAAGAAACGAGTAGTGTACTGCCCAAAACGTTGAATAGTTGAGTCAAAAACCATCCTCCTGTGTAATCTGTCATTGTTTCGCCGAAGAACGTATGTAACGCCTGGTCACTCCGGGTGGTGTCGTAGAACAAACATCTCGGCGATGAAGCAATTTTGTAGCTGAGATAGTTTCTCATGTACAGAGTAATTTTTTCATTGTTTTTCAGAGGAACCATTAATCTAACCTGCTATCCCTTTTGCTGGAAGTCGGCTTGTTACGAGCAGTAGGGCATACCGACGTGGTAGCTTCAGTGATTGAATCAACGGAGTTTCTACTAATTAACTCACAATAGATGTTCTTAAGCTCATTCAAGAAAAGGTTGTATTTTAGATGCGACCGAGTGAACCGGCCAGAGCCGTGTTTTGCAGGCATCCGTGCCGCGCGTTATCACTATGCAGGGTTCTACCTCGGGGACCTCAACATCGGCACCCCAAACGCCAGGGAAGCGCCAAAGAAACAATAGCACAGGGAAAAAATTATATGAATTCTACTGATATTAAATTGAAGGTATGAAAAATAAGTCTTATGCTGGGACCATGGAAATGTGAGGATAAATCTGCTGAACGCACGCTTATTTTTTCAAGAGGCTTAATGAATTCCGATCAACTCTCGCTATATCTGACGAGCCAGCTCTCTCACTGGTCGCTTTTATCGTTGGGCTATGTTCTATGATAGCTGCTGGTTGTAACACTAGCCTTATGCGGATGGTCCGGGTCCCAAATTGGGGGCACACTCACACGGAATGCAATATAGTGTTTGAAACGAGCATATTGAAAGTATACATTTAGGCAGTCTATATCAAAACATGGTTTTGCTGTAGTTCACACAGCTGACCCATTACTACAGGCTGAACTCCCAACGATCCCTCAGCAGGCACGGCCCGGGAAGGATTGCATTCTATGATGGATGGGCCAGCAGCCTAGGACGCGGAAAAGGGCTACGGCTTAGAGAAGATATACTCAATAGAGATTTAAAAGTAAATTTAATGCTGAACCCTATAAAACAGAGCGCGAGTTAATTACAAAAAATGAATTCGTGCTACTTATTTAAGGGGGATCATTTTAGAGAAAGCAGCGTTGGCGTTGGGGTTCTTACGCTTGACAGGCTTGTAGGTAATAGAGAACTCACCAAGGTACTTGCCAACCATCTCGGGGCGGATGTCAACAGCGTTGAAGACCTTACCGTTGTAGACACCGACAACATTGCCAATCATCTCGGGGACGACCATGCAGTTACGGAGGTGGGTCTTGACAGGGGCGGGCTTGGCATCGGGACCAGCCTCGGCCTTGACCTTGCGGAGCTTAGCCATGAAGCGGAGGGTCTTAGCATTGAGACCACTCTTGAACTTTCTACGGCCACGGGAGTGGAGCAGGGGAACAAAGTCCTCAGTGCTCATGTTGATGAGATCGGCAACATCAACACCACGGTAAGAGAACTTCTTCAAAGTCTTGCGGCGGCGCTGCTGAGTATCGTTATCAGCCATATTGAAGGTTGAGTATTTCCAGTCCCGGTCGCGAGTGTATTGGCCTACTAGAGGGCCCGATCGCGTGACTGTACAGCCCTAAAGCCCTATGCTACATATAAGAGATTACATAGAGCTTACACAGAACTTAGTCATTACTCGGATCAAACCCTAAATAGATGTACACCGCCTGCCTCTCGTACCCTGGTTAATTCGACATAAATTAGAGGTTGTGCATTCATTTGAGTAGCATATTCATAGGGTAGTGAGGAATCCAAAGCGTTCAAGCTAATATCGTTCTGTGAACACAGTAGCCTTGTGTTCCCACTTCATCCATTCTTGTAGGCTTACTTGAGACCCTGATCCATGGAAGCTCCTGGTTCAAGAAATGGCTCCGACCAGGGCTTGCAGAAGAGTTTGAGTGATGATTATGAAGGCCTGACCGTCTCGAGTGCAGCATCATCGAGTAGGTTTGGTAGTCCTGCGCTTGAATCCCAAACCAAATGGGCAGATGAAGTATCGGCCTTGATGGCTATGGAGGAATTTGTTGTCCAGGGTATTTCTGATATACTCAAGGATGGGTCTGTTGAAAGTTTGGAACAAGTGCCACGAAAGCTGATAAAATATTCCGAGCTTTTGGCTCAGCAAGGGCGCGGCAAACCGCTTTGGTCTCGTATAAAACACGAAATCGGAAGTTCATTAATTGCAACAAGCCAAACCATTGTCAATCTGGGCCAGAACGATCATTTTATTATTGACGCGGTAGCAATTTTGAATCGGACTCGGCTGGTGCTTTCAGTTCTGTCCAAAATCTACTCATTAGTTTCAGGTTCTTCCGCAAAAGATGCGCGCTTTTTGAATATGGGTGTTATTACGGATGTTGTTCTTGGTCATGAGGAAATAATTGACCGCTTGTGCGCAGTCTACGTGGAGGCCATTGATCTTATCATTGAAGATACGGAGTTGCAGATTCCGATTGACAGCATGGTGAACCTCTCCGGTTTCTTTTCAGGAGAGAGTCTAAAAACATTCCTTCAATTGATCCAAAATAGGGTCATAACAAGCGCGAAAGAGCTGCTGGAGAAACAACAGTCACTTTTTTCAGGTGAGCGTAAGGATCGATTGTTACTTCGGCATTGTCAGCTCTTGACTAGTTGGATCCACACGCTAGAGCATGCCTGGAATAAAGTAGGATTGGGCAAAGTAACGGCAAACCAGGAAGTTCTGGAGGTGATTGTTAGCTCAGCTATCACAGAGGCCAATCTTATTCTTTTTGGCTGCCTCCCAGCTGTTTTAATTCGCAACAATGCAAAAGCGTTGACCGCCTACCAAAGATTGATTTCAACAATGAAAGGCTCTGTCGCTACTAGTGACCAGTTTGTTAGAAGAGCTCTGGGACAAGCATGTACCCAGATCGTTAACTCAGGTCTCAAACCGATCGAGAGGGCGGCTATCTTCCAAAGGCTGCATGCTCTCCTCGTGCGATGCCCAGCACCAGATAGTCGATCTTATCAGCCCTTTGAAATGTGGACCAAGGCTTTGGAAGAGACCGATGTTGATACAGCCAAAATAGGCAGAGATCTGGCTCGGTACGTTCTTTTTGAAATTGGTTCACCGCGAGGTATGAATTCTATCTCTAAAAGAAACAAGCGGGTATTGAATGCTGGTGACTTGGTCTCATCCCTGAATGAAGACTCTAAAAAGAAGTTTGTGAGTGAACTCTTGAACAGTCTCAAAGCGCTTTTGTTGCCTCGTCCAGATGGCAAAACTGTTGACATTGATCAAGAACACCAGAAATTGATTGTGGCCACTCTGGACAAAATCGATCGTAAATACGGTTATTTTGCAAAAATCATATTGAGTGATTGTCAGGTCAGTGCGAGCCTCGATGAATGTGCATTAATTGGTAACCGCTCCGCTTGGCATTTGGACTATCAATTGTCTACCGTAACTGGTACAAAAGTCCAGAATCAATACGAGGAGTTGTACACTGACAGAAAGGCTGTCATTTCTGAGGCACTTTCCTCGACCCAGATTTTTTTCGGTGGTGACTCCTTCTTTGTCTCTAACGTTCAGTTAGCCATACTGAAACATCTCGAAAGCTCCACAAATACCTACAAAACCCTTGTTCAACAGTTACCCTTTGAGCGTTCTGAAATTAGAAATGCTCTAGTTGATCTGCTGAGCGGTAGAGCCGAGCTTATCCTCTGGCATTCCCACCTGCCAGGTAAAACCTTCAAGCGTGACGATGTTTTCGCGTTGAATCCAAATCCTATGCCAAAATCCAAGTTCTTATACCGCTTACGAGTCGCAGACCATGATTTGCCAGAGGAGGACTGAGCGCAGGCACCCTAGGTCCTCTCACATAATTTATTCTCCTTTCCGTTTCAATTTTTTCTACTGAAAGATAAATATATATCGACAAAAACAAGACAGATTTATTCTGCTTCAAAAATAGCATATGCGTTCGCGAGAACAGTCTCCACAACACGACCCTGAATAGCCATTTCACCCACGTTCGAATAGTCTGTTGCCATAAGAGTGGGACCCCAGACAATACCAAGATTTGTGATATTCATACGGTTAATAGACTCCCGCTCCTGAACACGATAAAGATGGAACACGAGGTACCGCAGGGTCGTATAGTTTGCATCAGGCAGCTTGTTTATGATCGCATGAATGGAATCACGACGGCGAATATCGTCACTGATATTTGCAGCATTGATAAACTCGCGGTGGAACTCACGCGTGAGAAGCGGATCGGGGAGTTCACGGAAATACTGCTTCAAAGCAGATGCTACGCTGTGGATATCATTTACGACGGCATTTGGTCGCAGCAGATCGACAGCTGCCGAATCAGCATCGAATTCTCTTTTGATTTCCTGAACTTGCACAGAATTACCATTAGTTCGATAAATACCCTCCACTTCCAAACCAAAATTGTCAATAGCTTGAACGCATTGATAAACCACTCTTGGAACTGTACCCTCTTCCTGGTCCAGCAGATCTTCAAGGGGTGTCCCATAAACTGGCGTCGATCTGGTGGGAGATTCCTGGGCGGGTGGTTCGGGAGCAGCGTCAGTCACCTCAATTGTAGGTGTAGCCACCGGAGGAGGCACTGGGACCGCATTTGAAGAGCTGGTCAAATCATTCACGCTCGTATTCGCCGCAGGTGATACCATAGCATTGGGTTGAGTTGGAGAAGTTTCCAATGGCCGTCCACCACGTGGTGCCAATATTGGGCCTGTTTTAGCAGTTCCGGAACCCACGATGGAGGACTTGGAGGGTATAGTACTGGCAGTGCTCGCCACAGAGGTCTTACGTTCGCGACTTGCATTAACAATGATAGGACCAGCGATATTGGAACTGGGCGTCTTGACCGTGAAACCGGAGGGTGCACTGATATTAGTTGACCCAGCACTGATCGGGCCACCACCTCCACCATAACGGCCACCAGAAAGAGAGGGATGCTTTCGGTTCGTGATTGGAGGTCGATTTAGAGATGCTTTCGTTTTAGGCAACGCCAACACGTAGTTGTAAAAATCGAGCTCCGAGTCCATTTTGCACGCCATCTCTTTGACCGTCAGGTTAGCAGTGGGGGAATTTTTTGGTTTCATCGGTGCGATAACAAAGCCGCGATTGAGTTGAAGCGTCTCCAAAAGGTTTGCGTAGCGGAGCACCTGGAGGTTTAAAGCCTGGTCACATTCTAGAATCAGACTTTGCAGTGTTTTGACTGAGTCAACGCGTAGTTTTGAAACAAGTTCCCTGCGCATGCGTAACGCAGTGTCAACCTTATTTTGGTAGTCGACTTCAGCGATTGTCATTTTCTTGTGAAGCTCATCTTCGCTCTTGTTTTTGAACCCCAATTTACCTTTGCTGGGATCTCCCTGGCGGGAACGCTCGAGATCTTCACAAGACTGGTCGTACTTGGCCCGAGCTCGCTCAGCTTGGGTCTCGGCTTCTTGGAGATTGCGCTCGTTGCGCAGAGCTACTTCCTTAGCCGTTTTGCGCTGGCGATCGATTGAACGCACCAATTCCAGTAATTCATCGTGGATCCGGTGCATTGAATCAATGAAATTATTACCAGCATCACCTACCCTGTCGGTGCTTTTGATGATGTCGAGAATCTGTGTTTGAAATGTACCAGTTCGATTATCGGAACGCTTGAAAGTGTCTGTTGCACCACGTGCAGCTTTCTTGAGCTGCTGTGAATGATCGTTCTCAATAGTGGCAGCTTTCTTGATGTATGCTGCAAACTCTTTACAGGAGTGGATAGATTGCTTTAGACGAGACAGCAGAGCCTCCGGGCCAGAGTCGGAAAGTAAAATCTCTCGTAAATTAGAATCAGTGAGGAGGTAGCTGGAGTTTGCAGGGGTTACCGGTTGAGCCGGCACTACCATTGTGCCATCGGACGCGTTCTGCTCCTCCAGAGAAATAGTCTTGGTAACAGGTAAATCACTTGGCCCAGACATTATACGCAGAGGAATTCTCTTTGAAATCTAAATAAGTCCGTGGTATCCGTTTGGGGTACTCGAGCTCACCTATGTTTTGGAACCTCGGGTCAGGCGTGGTCTTGCGTGGCTGATGAGAGGGAGGGAAAGGTGGCTTACTGGCTTTGTGAGGGAACGGAAGTGGGGAGAATAGAGTGTTGCCAACTCGCAAAAAAAAGACTGCTAATACGCGCGGCAAGGTAGTCCGTCGAGTATTATGATGTTAAAAAGCTGTGCTAGGGGTTATTTTTCTCGACTACTATTTTTATGCCAATATAAACATACGAAGAACTGTCGCGCTTATGATGACACACGTAACCCTTGTGACTCACAAAGCGTGGGAACTTGGGGTGAATAGTGAATATTAAAAGTAGAGCTAGTCGTGATTGATTAGAGAGACAAGAATACGAAAATTTGGAAGGAAAACGGCGCTACTTTTTTGGTTCTAATGCCCCCACATTTTCGGATCAATACCCCGGGGCATGATTACGAAACTTGGGCGGCTGTCGAAAAATTAATTTCGAACGCACGATGTCGGAGAAATTGACCAAAAAGCAAAAAAAGGCCTTGCAGTTCAAGAAAGGTGCACCTGAAAAGGAAATTGTAAAAGAGCAAGATGCTACTGTTGAAAAAAAACGTAAACGTGAGGAAGAGGCGCCAGCGAAAAAGAAAGCTCCCCCCAGATTTATTTTATTTGTCGGCAACCTGCCCTATGATCTGAAGGAAGAAGAGCTTAAAGAACACTTTAAGACCGCTAATCCCTCCAATGTGAGGATGCGGAAAGGTTTTGCGTTTATGGAGTTCGAAGGCAACGAGGCATCGAAGAATCTACACATCGCTTTGAGATTCCATCACTCTACTTTGAAATACAGAAAGATTAACGTCGAGTTGACCGCAGGCGGTGGTGGCAACTCTGCAAAACGCCGCAAGAAGCTGGATCAGAAGAATGCTGCTTTGCAGGATGAACTCACAGAACGAATTGAGCAGGAAAAGAAAACGAAACTTAATACAAAGTCGGGTTCCACCGAAGAAAGTTCGAAGGCCGCCGCCTCAGATTTCGGAAATATTCATCCAGACAGACTTCGACAAATCAAAAAGTAAACTTATTCTGCACCTGAACTTGTTTCTACAACCCCCTCTTGCTATTTGTATAACTATTCTAACAGATTCACTACCCAGCCATCTTCGACTAGTAAGCAGTCCGATTGAACCACAACAACCCCTGATTAGCATTGGAGGATGCACAAGTATATTGAAACAGATAATGACGACGACGGATTTGGAACAGTGGATTTCAAGTCTTCAGTTCTCTCTCAAATGAGTACACCTCAAAGAAACCGGCAGCTGGCGCAGCACACAGAGAACTTCAACGATGATTTTGCTGATGATTTCAATGACTTGACATTGTCTAAAGGTGATACAATCAAACGTGTACCCACTGCGTTTTCTACAAGTAAAAACGGGACCTTGAAAATGCTCGCAAGCTTCAGGCAGGACCCCAATCGCACTCTCAGCGGTCGCCCTAGTGAGTTTGAATCCACTCCTACTCTGGGTGACAGTGATTTCGAGGACGGGTTTGATGGATTAGATGATGGAGTCAAGCTTAAAATGCGCTTTGCCCCTTATTGTTCTGATGGCTACATAACGGATGGCGACTCTCCGGCGCGAATGTCCATGTCCTCTTCGGCTTCTTCTATCAGTAGTTTGGATAATCCCATTGAAGAAGAAGACTTTGTCTGGGAAGAGAAAGATAGCAATACCCAAGATGACCTCCTTTCACGTTTTCAAGCACGAGAACGAAGGGCCAGGCTGCAGGATCTACGTGACTTTGCTGCACCTTCCCTGAGTCGCGCCCCAGCGACAATTCGTTGGGCTCAGCATACTTCTGAAGAAGAAAGTGATGATATAGCCCGTGGAATTGATCTGAACGCGCTTGATTTTTCTAGAGGCACAATTAACAAGAATATCATTTTTGGTTACAAGCAGCAACTCGAACAGCAGCGAAATGAGATGGCTACGCACATGGCAGATATAAATCGAAGATTGCGTAGTGTGCAATCCATTGCTCAGCTCCCAGATCTAAAGTCAAGCCGATTGAGGTCTGCCAAATCAATGATGGAACTACCATCGACCAAGGCAAGTCAGCGGCCCCAGGATCCAATCGTCAGGCGACCCGAGCTACGGCCATTGACACAATACATTGAGCCAGAGCGACCAGTTGTTCCCAAGAAATCGAGATCAAAGCCAGACACTTCGTCCAAAGCTGGTCTTCATGACCGACGCCGACGAAAGATCGGATTGATCAGAAACCCTGCCACTAACGGCATACCACAGCAGAGCGAGCTCAATGGTATGATATTTAATCCTGCGGCTGGTCAATGGGAAGGCAATGAGGGCGACGTGCAAAGGTTCGACAATGCTCTTGCTAAAAAACCCACACTGATCTCTAAAGAATCAGCCGCTGCTGTGTCTAAGCTCAAAAGCATCAATGGGGGCATGTGTTTTGATAAGAAAAACCTCTGTTGGGTTCAACAGGGTGATGATCACGAGGACCCCGATCCGTTCGCTGGAATTGATGAGCTTGATGTAAACGGCATGCCCGGTACGCGGGACCCTAGTTTTGGATCCAGCATCGGAAGAGGGGAGAATGCAGAGCAGAGCACGTTCGAGGTATCACGCGAAATGCGAATCCGCTGGCGAAAAAACGATGAGCGATTTAACCGGAAGTTTGGACGATGGATTGGACGCAGCGATCTAGATCTGTCACCAGCATATGATGTTTATAAAATGGTTTATGATTAACACCATAAAGTATTTCTCAACACTTATTTATACCAAAATGAACTATACTAGACATATTTTGAACAAATTATCCCCGCCAACCCATATTTCTTTCTTTTATCTAATGTCGAACCCAAGCTGCGAGCTTACGCGCCGTGCATAATCATACTTGTATTGTGTAGCGTAGAGAATGGGCGGCACTCAGATGGTGACTGTAGCAAGATTCGCTAGATCAAATTATTCCAGGGAGCACTCAGTAGAAGCATAGAGACTTAAGCCAATGATGGACGAATTGGCCGGATGAAAATTTTTTAATCGTAGGATTTTCTACATTGCATTTACAGGAAGACAGTAACACAGGCCTTGGCGGTGATAAAGCCCTTGCCCCGATAGCGGCACGGTGCTGCAAAGTTGTGTCATGTCGCCGTGTGTGACACTGTGTTCCAGGCCAATTGTCGATAAATGGTTAAGAACACCAATTGAAGTGCATTATCTTAGTTCTAAGTCTATGCTAGTCCTCCTAATCATGCCGGACCCAACGCAATTCAACCCCAGCCCCTCGCGGGCTATCATGATCCCCGATGTGAACATCATGTAATCTCATCGTATTCTCTACAACCCCGCCTGGGAGTATATGTACGCTGCGACGACAGCACAGCGAGAGCCAAGTATGGATTCAGGAGCCGTGGGCGGGCTCATATCAGATGTAGGGGAGTGGATGGACTTCTTGAACAGTTTGGAGTCGCTTTTGGCCGCTGCCGAGGCGCAGACCAGCTCTGGGTCGGCGGAACCATCTCTAGTATCCCAAGCACAAGAGCTAGTTCGTGGGAAGAGAAAGCTGCTGCGAAGACGACTTTTGGAGGGCTCTCAAAGTACCACTTCAGCGGTTGTAGATTCTGCAACAGAATCTTCTTTTGACTTGGAACCGCTGGAAATGGGTAGCACGAGGTCAGTTTTTACGACGAATATTGATGTGGACGTTCTTGGAAGTTTTGATACTACACAGATCATTAAGGCAAATCGTGATTCAAGCTCATCTCAAGGGTTTGTGGACGCTTTTCGGCAAATTGCATTACAGATCAATCCGACTCTGGATTCCAATAGTACCTCGACTCTGAAACCAGCAAAGAACACCGAAGCGCTTGAAAGTTCAATTCCACGACCTCTCTCAAACAATATGATCGTGCTACATGAAATGAGAATGCATTATTTCAACCGATCTTATCCGATTTGGCGAAAGCTTTTCACACACAGTACGCAGTCCCGCAAGCTTCTGCGCTCAAGACCGAAGGATTTACGACGTATGACGTCTGCCATTTCGCCCAAAATGACATACTTTGCACTGTGCTCATCATCGCAGTATTTTATTTATCGCATAGCCACCGACTTCAATGACCCACCCGAATTAATTTATAATGGCCCTGTCAAATCGGCATCAGAGGACACACACTATTTTGTATCTATGAACGAAAGGTGGGTTGCATTCGCATCAGTTGAAGGCCATATTTTTATTGTCTGTCTTGCGACGGGAAATATCATATACAAGGACGACAGTGACTTCAACATACAGGCCCTTGACGTCTCCCTCAAAGGATCTTTTGTGGTATACACAATTCTGAGCACCGACAAAACAACCCTCAAAAAGCAGCCTATGATTTGTATATTATGTGCCAATGTTGCTGGAGCAGATGATGATGCATTCTCGCATATTGACACAGTGACTTTTACAAGCCCTTATTCTGATATGATCAAGACTATAAAGGTATCTCCTGATGAGACGTTCCTCATGTGTGGAACTGATGAAGAGTCTAGACTGTTCGGTGTATCTCTCCTAGACCCTCGACAACCTCGAATCTTGCTGCGCTCTAGTCGTAAAGTCAGTGACGATCCTGAATACGAAGGTATCACTGACATAGAGTTCTTTGACGACTCCAGGTCGCTGTTAGTCACCTCTGTTTCGCAGGGGTGCCCGCCAGTTATTTTTGATACTAAAATTTCAAATGGTCAGAGACGCGGAAGCTCTTCATCTCACACTACGACAAATATTCCCTCGGTCGTCATGAGAATTGACAAGTTTGGATCCAAAATTCACAGGGCTTTACCCTCTCCCGTATGGCGAGGTGCTGCTTTTGTTGACAAAAGTGGTGCTGTATACATATTAGCCTCCTCCAGGCTGGCCACAGAGTCCAGGAAGTTCACGGTATGCCTCGAGGTTGCGGCTTCAAATACAAAGTTCAAGGCCGCTTCGATTCAATGGTCACCTGATGGTACTGTATTGGTTGCAGTCGACCGAAAGGGAGTGTTCCAGGCTGCTGATTTCGGAGCTGGTCTTCCTGGATCCAGTGGTATGTCAAAAGCTAGAGCGCTGAGTTGAGATGAGATAGGTTTATTAGGTCCATATGCTAGAAAAAAACGTTCTTAAAATACACTGCGCGTACGATACTCTATAAGCTTACGCTCAATTTCGTGAGGTTCGCGCTCAAGTGCTTCACTGACCTGCAGTTGAAGCTCTTTGCTTAGTCGACGAAACTCTTCGCAGAGATCGCCATCAATGGCCTTTTTTGGAGGCGCATAGTAACCACGATATGTTAAGTGATCCCGGCCTGCGAGATTTTTAAAGCTCAGCTTTGAACTCCTCATCTCTTGCTCGAGTTTTTGCAGGAACTTAGCATCCTGCGACGACATGATGGGTATAAATCCTCCAATAGTCCCATTTATACCCACCCAAATAATTGCTTCGAATCCTCCAGTTGTGAAAGATGCCCGGTGTAATCCAATAGGTATGTCACCGACGTAAAAGTGGCATAGCAGCTCAAGTTTATAGGGACAGCCATTGGCCACTTGCTCTTTGCTAATAATCACATCTTTGGAGAGGTTTGAAACAGATTTTGGGCAACGCAAGATTGCTAGATTACCGCTGCGGTCACCCACAGCTACTGTATCGTAGTCTAGAAGCGTCAGCGAAGTAATCGATCTTGCGATGGGCTCATCTGCGAATGGCAAGAGTTTGAACTCCTCAATACTATCGATAACTTCTTTCTCAACCATCACAAATGTGACTGATCGCTTGATGTCGCCGACTACAATACGATCTTTCGTCACAGCTAAAGCTCGAATGTCTTTTGAGTTCTTGATAACACAGGCTCCTCTTCGTAGAAGTTGTTTTTTTCCGATATCAAACAAAACAACACTATCTCCAGTTCCTGCTAATAGTAGTCCTTTGTATCCCACGAGTGCATGTGCCACCGAGGGTATACTTGTGGAGTGCACGAGTTCAAGACCAGTTCCAAATGGGCTTCCCGAATACTCATAGATGCTGATACATGGATCAGTGTATAATACTGGTGTACCTGGCTTCAAATTGACGACTTTTGCTGTAGAGAGCACCAAGTATTCCTTGCTTCGAGATTGAAACCGACAGTTGCAGATAGACAGCCCCATAACTCCATCAATATGGGTTCTCGAAAGAACTGAATCTGTCTTCACCGCGTCAACAACTTCAATAGACGTCTGGTTCTTAGTGGTACAGAGCGTGTAAAAGTAAGCTGTCAAGGAGTTCGTAATAAACTTTCGCGGAGTTTTGGATAGTTGAATATGTCGTTGGTGTATGTTCTCCCTTTTGCTGTCAACCTGCAAAATTACGAGTGAACTATCCGTAACCGCCACAGTACCTTTTGGACAATCAGCACTGGAGAAAGGAGCGGCACTTATTAGCCGTGCATAGGAGATAGGCACCAGGTCAGCGCCGCTTGTTGAGGAGGTGTGAACCCAGGCTTTTGTACATAGAGCAACAACTTGAAGGTTTGTTTCAGAAGTCCAGGTGCGGTCAATTGTAACCTTGTACGGGCCCAAGAATCTGGATCGAGCATCGCCTAGATCACCTGAGACACTGTCGAATGACGTGACAATATACATGCCATTGTCCAGGCCGATGTGCACACTGAATTCAGTATTGATTTCACTTATGGCAACAGAGGATACTGGGGCTGAAATACCCTGAACACTTAAAGTTTCAAGGGTTGATCCTGGCGCGAGAGACAGTAAACGAACGGTTTCATCAGAACAGCCAACAGCAGCAAAAAATCCCCGCAAACGACCCTTTTGCACTGGTGCTATACCGAGGGCAGTAACTGGTGATGGCATTTTCTGTCGACGTGAGTACTCAATAAGCATTCCTTCAGTGTCGCTTTCAAAGTAAACAATCTCAGCAGTCGACAATGCCAAGATGACTTGGGTGTTATTGGCAGCGCACATTAAGATCGTGGATTGGCTTGGTGGTTTCCATTCTGTCACGTTCGAATCCTTGCTTATATGTACCAATCCATTCGCATGAACTTGGACCAAACTGGACAGTCCTACTTGTTGAACAGCTAAGGTCGACACATTCTTAACCAAACCGGAATCAGAGACCTCAGTTACTTCGTCTCCGATCGAAAGCACAAGCGTTTCATTGGCAAAAGACAAAACAATGTATTTATCATATTCGTCGGAGTACTGAGTTTTGGTCGTGAATACCGCAAGAGGTTGTGCAGGCAGAGGTGAACTAATGAGCTCTGAAACCTCTATTCCATACTGGACGGCGTTAAAAAATGAGTATTCGCCGGTGCCAGATACGGCATAGATTTGAGGTGTTTCGTCCTTACGAACATTCAGAACAGCACTTGAAGACGTAGCATTCAACGACGGCAATTCATCGACGACCGTGATATTTTCCAGTTGCAAAGGTTCGTAAGTTTTTGTTTCTTCAGATTCTGAGGAATATATTGGGACATCATCATCCTCGCCCAATGTGTTGAACTGATACAATAGATGGTTTCCAGAATCAACCGCACAGAACAAAAAGCCAGCCTTAAAGATACTTAAGAACGACGAAGGTGGACAGGCACCAAACTGTTGAAGCTCCATTTTTGCTAGAGCCTTGCGTCCACCCCAACGAGCGGTGAACTCATCATCGGGCAGTACAAAGCTAAGCTTGAACAATGTGCCGGAGCGATCTTGTAGTAAAACAAAAAAAGACCCATTTAATTTGTGCGTGACCGACGAAACAATATAGTTTGTGTCATTATCGGGAACGTGTGGTAATTTGAGCAGCACGGAATCCTGGCCCGGGTGGAAATATTGTATGAACCCGTCGAAGCAAACCAATACACCCGAGGGCCCATCGATACCACCTGGAAGAGCAATTAATAGACCAGCTGAAAACTCTAGGGGCATTGTCCACTTGCGCACGATATGATTTAATCCGAGATCAAGCTCATACAAAACCAGCCGTTTAGCGGCCGGCTGCGAGCCTTCTGCATAAGATCCTTCAAGCGCAGCGAAAGTTGGATTCTCATAACCGACATCGAGACCTACAAGATCGTAACAAATTGAGTTGATTGCGGTGTTTTCCAGTGGCGAACTGACGGAGAGCGTACCATCCTCAGATCTATTGAGAACATAAACAAGCTTACCTTTCTCAATTGCACCGACCATTGCGGCTCTTCCTTTGGGATCACAGGCCAACAGTTCTCCAGGAATAGTTCTACGAATGCCCGACTTGCCAAAAGGTTCGTTTTTCAATGCGACGAACTGGTTTTCTTTGGAGTTGTAGGTCAACACAGACAGTCTACCAGAGTCTGTTGTCATTAATAAATAATTGTGACCAGCAGCGGCGATTTTGAAGGTCGCCAGACTTCTTACAGTGGCCATAACGTTGACTCTATGAACGAGTACTAGTTTACCTGAATCCAGATCAGGGCGCAGTAACTCTAACCAGGAACCACGGGCCAACACAATTTGCTGAGCCTTGGTGCCTTCTATAAACTGACCACCTACCGATGCTGATATTGATGAAGGTCGTTGCAACGTTAAAGAATAAAGAACTGGAGAGTCGCTCATACTGAGCTGGGCGATGGTTTGGGGGACCTCTTTCGCGATCGTGATTATATAATATAAGCCATCTCTCGAAGATATGAATTAGGGCTTTAGGGCATACTTGGGGGTCACGCAGAGCGAACTACTGACTCTCCACGCAAGCTGCGGACAGGTCTATCCATAGTCAAAATGAGCGCCAACATGTCTCAGAAGCGCAAGCACGTCGCTGACGGTGTTTTCTACGCCGAGTTGAACGAGTTCTTCACTCGTGAGCTTTCCGAGGAGGGCTACTCCGGTGTTGAGGTCCGCAAGACCCCTACCAAGACCGAGATCGTTGTCCGCGCTGCTCACACCCAGGCCGTTTTGGGTGAGAACGGTCGCCGCATTCGTGAGCTGACCTCTCTCCTTGAGAAGCGTTTTGCTATGCGTCCCAGCACCTTGGCCATCTTTGCTGAGCGTGTTCCCGAGCGTGGTCTCTCCGCCGTTGCCCAGTGCGAGTCTCTTCGCTACAAGCTGCTCAACGGTTTGGCCATCCGCCGTGCCGCTTACGGTGTCGTCCGTTACGTTATGGAGTCTGGCGCCAAGGGTGTTGAGGTTGTTGTCTCTGGTAAGCTGCGTGCTGCCCGTGCCAAGTCCATGAAGTTCCAGGACGGTTTCATGATCCACTCCGGTCAGCCCGTTCGCGACTTCATTGACACCGCTACCCGTCACGTTCTCCTCCGTCAGGGTGCTCTTGGTATCAAGGTCAAGATCATGCGTGATCCCGCCTCCAACGGTGCCCCTGGTACCCCCAAGGCTTCTCTTCCCGACTACATCCACATCTTGGCCCCCAAGGCCGAGAAGCCCGTTGGACCTCCCACTGTCATCCTGCACGACCAGCCTGCTGAGAAGGCCGTTGCTCAGGAGTCGCAGTAGATTATTTTCATACAGAATATGTAATGCAAACAACCCCTATCTGTAAATTGCCGTCGGATGCGACGTTGTGCTTTTTTTTTTTTGGGTTTTCTGCCTAGCCAAGAATGTATCGGAGCTATCTTTTATGCCAACCGCAGCAGCTTTCTTTAGGCCCTGGCCCGGTTACCTAACGGCTACTACCGCAAGAGGATCGGTGTCTCCTGACTCAGAACCTGGGAGGCTGAAGGAGGAATATAGGGGTGGCGTGAAAGGCCGTGGGTTAGCCATGCCATGGCTAGACTATGAGCTCGTAGTAAAATAATTTATCAAAATCAGAGCCGTGTATGCTGCCGATAACCATCTTTCCGAACTCGGCAACTTATGCCGATTCCCAAAAAAGCATTTGCCTCATTCATAAACCGCTCCCGAGACTGGTTGAGGGTTGCGGCCAACATGCAGCATTAATGCAGGCCAAGTTGGGACCAAAAGTTTTATATACTATCGCGGGGCAAACTAAGGTGTCTCACATATATACCTCAAGAAAAGACGGGAGTGCAAAGTCTTCACATAACACAGTGGTTTGACGGATTTATACGCTAACGACTTCTTGTTATTCACTTCTTTTTCCTTGTTTTATTTGCATTAAATGTTTGGCGGTAACAACGAAGACCACAGCCGCTGGAAGCAGCGCCTGCGCCGAGTTTTCAGACGGACGCCTTCAGACTTGCCAACTTCCTTTGGAAGCTCCTCCGCCCGGTCGACTCCCCGTGTGGATGAAAACGGGCAACTGGCCGTTGACGGTGTGCCACCGGAAGCATGCCATGTTTCTGCCGGCCGTCAGCTCGCTATTGCTGGTGGCAACGCAGAGGCTAGCCTCATAGCCCGCCTGGGTGTTGATCCGGTAACCGGCCAGACGAGCACTACCCTTGTTTACAAGACACTGGTAGAGCCTGACCGGGGCACTCGAGTCCCCAGCAAGCAAAAAGTTAGAAACTGGCTCAAGGATGTTCCCGACGACTTTGAAGTGGGACCGATTGATGCAGAGCCAGAAAACTGGGGCCAATTACCCGTATAATACCTCATCCTGTGCCCGTCTTTTGGACCTCACAACTCCGGTCCTACTATTGTCTTCCCCCACATCAGGTCACTGTCCAAAATTTTGCCTTACCTCGCCCTGCCCGAACACTGCATAAACCTAGTCTTTGTGGAAGCCTCCAAGTTTCATTTCAAGCTTCTGCCTGGCCAAGGCCTCATACGCACCGTTTATTATCTATTCACACCATGTCACCTCATGGCTCATTTATATAGCTATATATATACTGTTATTGATACCCTTTTTTCATATACTTGGCCTCTACAGTTTGGCTACTTCTGAGCGCCAAGGTTGAACACCACACCATTGACTGAGCTCAATGGCCATATCTCGGACACTGTTGACCTCTTCAACAGACGAGCCGTTGTTCACGGCCCCCTTGAGGTGGCCCTTGAGCTGGGGGTTGACGTCCTGGGGGACTAGACTGGCTACAACCACCAATGAGGTTTCTTTGGCACCCAAGATCTTGGTGAACGACAATAGGGGGCCGTACTCGTGCTTGATGATGAACCAGTTGAGATCAGGGTAGGCCGTGTGCAGCTGGTAGTGAATGCGCTTGGTGATTTTGCCATACACTTTGGCGAAAAAAGATTCACCAACTTTCTCAAAGTCGGTGTCGTCACTCCGCAAAGGTTCGTCTAACCGTAATTCTTCCGGAGTGACATTTTTGAGCTCCGTCAAGGAGTTAATAGTGCGGGGTAGGCCAATCAGAGCCGCCGCTTTTAACAGAGACTCCCGCATTTCGGAAGTTACACGTGCGTGGTCCTCCTTCGGGGTCACCTCCATAGCATACTTGTAGAGAGCCGGAATCTCCTGGGGGTGGTTGCACACGCTGAGAATGGCTGCAGAAAGATAGTGCCAGCTGCTGGAGAGATGGGGATAGGCCGCGAGCCTCGAAAGCCTTGACGAGGTCAGAATTGTCGTCATCTTGCAGTAACTTTACCAATTAAACACCGTTTGTCCTAACGTAAACTCTGCCTTCGGCCGTTTGTGGAGATATCGTAAGCCGGGGTAAACCGTGTTGGGGCGAGGTTTTGCCTAGTTTTCTTTTTAGGTAACACCACAAGCAGCTGCTGCCAGCCAGGAAAATATGCGAGTTCCCGGCCCTGTCAAGGCAGTATTTGACCAGTTCCCGCTGAAAGAGTACCCTGAAATTTCCAATCATTCTGCAGCAAACGAGCGGGACGTCCGATTATTTGTTTATAATGTGGGGCCTGATCACATTGCCATGGATCCAAATGGGCTGGCTGTGCAAACATTGATGAAAGTGCTGGGCAAAGACGTCGAAGTGGCGCTGGGGTCGCCGTATATGACGAAAAATGAGAAGCTGCCCTTGTTAGTCTTGAGCGGCGGGAAACGAGACGGTTCGGGAGTCTACAGTGGGCTTGACGAAATACTTGGGTTTTTGGTGGGAGAGGAGGAAAAACTGGATGGAGAAATGGAACTATTCAAAGTAATGCTTGATAAATGGCTCAATGAGGCATGGCTAGCTACTATTTTGAGCGAGGACTATGAAAAGCAGTGTCTGACGGTATACTCGTCCGATCGAGATCGGTCGCAGCCTTGGCCAGCAAATCGAATAATAACAAACCAACTACTTGATCATTTGGGTGCCCAGGGTAGGCACAGGGTCGTAAGGCATTTCAATTCACATACGACGTCTATGGCTCTGCACTCGCTAGCCACCAAGCTTGGCGATGCTAAGTTTTTCAGCGTGGGTCAACTTGCTTGTGGAGGCAACCTGGGCCTTTTGGACATTCTCGTCTACTCTTACATTTGGTCGATTTTCAAGCACATTCCTAACAGTGCCCTGGCATCTCTGGTTCCTCTTTCTTTGTCGGAGCACGCACGAAGAGTCCACCAGTACGTATATAACTCCAGCGAGTAGAGCAAATAATCATTTATTAATTAAGTTGTACCGCGCCATTGCGTTGGCCCAAGAATGCTTGCGATCCGCAGCACAAAAAGAAGCAAATATAGATAATTACTGCGCCAAAAATGGTGTTGGAAACCGCCTTGCCGTCCTCAGGGTCGTTGATGCTGCCCATGACCGCCTCATGATTTGAACGGAACAGCAGAGCCAAAGCAGATAGAATCACTACCGCGAATGCCGACAAAATAGTGCAAAACCATGCGGCAAATGGCTGAAAGGTTAGTATCCTTTGTCTCTCAAGCGTCTGCTATACTTACTCCAACCACTGGCTTCATTGTGTCTTTGGGCTCAGTCAGCAGCAGCCTTCAGCAGAGGTGTTATTCTAAGCCCCAGAGGGGTGTTGAGAGGCACGTTGAGAAACCCCTCTGCAACTTGGCCGAGCCATATAAAGGGGCGTCTCTTTATGTATCTAGACTGAGTGCTGTTTATCTCCAGTGCTCACGGGTTTCTCTGCCCACCGATCAGGCACGTACGTGCAGTAGACCGGCGGCAATCCGCAGGAACTAGACTTTCTCCGGCAGAAAGCAATTTGCACGGGCAATTCTTACGTAGTTTAATAAACTTTAAACCTCCACACATGAACCGAAAAACAAATTGGTCCGAGCGATCGAAAGAGGCAATCAACCCCAAAGGGGAGGGGAAATCCTAGAAAAATTGCCGTGAATCCCGCATCTAGGCCCCACAACGATTACTAGCGATTTCTAGCTGTGCAAAGCGCTGTTGCTATAGCTCCACACAGCAGATGGCTCCATGCTCCTGTTTTGCCCCCATGCACATATGCAATGCCTTTTTCTAGTCGGTTAGTAATCTGTCAAGATAGAATTGAGATCCAATCCGGAGCTGCAGGAATGAAATATAGACGAAAACATAGACGAGCTATACCATATCCGATCAACAGCAATATTTACACACTGCCGTAACAAATCCTATACTCTCCTACATTTATGATGACATACTTATCGCTCTGCACAGCACGACCCGAAGGTAGGCTTGGAAAAAGGGTTTTTGGTGCCTGATTACTTAAGAACGATCAAACCCACTTTTTGCTCCTAACCCCTTACCATCTTGTTTGAGTTGCATCAACCTTGACCATATCTTAAAAGTAGAACAATTTTTAAGGTAACCACGCTCTTTAATATTTTTTTTTCCCAGCGTCAAGGGTGTTCGGATATTTCTCAACTTGTTCGATCAAAGAGGATTATATTCTGTCAACGGCTCTTTTCTACAATCCAGTGTCCAGGAAACAACACGTCGGGGGCCACAACCAGAGATACACTGTTTACGCACTGCCGATGGAGGCGCCCGATACTATTTCGCATAATTCAACCAGACCTTCCTCAGTTGAGAGTTTAAATCAAATGTCAAGCGACACCGGTCCTATTTCACAACCTCGTACACTTTCTCGGGACCACCCTGTACCCCCCACGGAGATGACGGGTGCATCTTACGCCCGCTCAAACACCAGCCATGGATCCTCTGACGAAAAAGAATACATCAATCATGTACTACAGCCCATGAAACTGTCGCGAATCATGGATGATCTGCTGGAACTCAAGTTATTTTTGGAGACTGCTCCCGTGCACTTTTCCCCGCATGATGTTATCCACCGCTTTCGGTTGCACACTGAGGAAGACATTTCGTGTGTCCGCTGGAATAACGTGTTTTACATGACCGGCACGGATATCGTTCGCTGTCTAACCTACCGGTTTGCCGCTTTTGGTCGTGCCATCACCAACCGGAAAAAGTTCGAAGAGGGCATATTTTCTGATTTGCGCAACCTAAAGTGCAACGAGCACGCCAAGCTGGAGGGAGCAAAGTCAGAGTTTTTGGGGTTCCTTTACAAACACAACTGTATTCGGACTAAAAAGAAGCAAAAGGTGTTCCACTGGTACTCTATCCGCCATGACCAGCTGTTTATTGACGCTTTGGAACGTGATTTGAAGAAAGAGTCCTGTGCTTATCGCCACACCAGCGACCAGTCAGCTACCAAAGCCGTTTCTGAGCCCGCTCTCTCTTTCAAATATGACCACAAACAGACTTTACATGACCAGATGAGTGGTGCGATTACCGACTTGCCCAGTCCGCTGGCTCAAATCGTGAACGCAACCATGACTTCTTCGTCTAACGTTTTGGGTATGGATCAAAAGCCCGACTCTTCTGCAGACACTTCTAGGACCATGGCCCGTCTCAGAGGCTCCGATTCTTCGAATATCACCGTTGTTCAGGTCGCCCCCCACTCGGGTAGTCTTGCCGAAGGACACGGTGACGTCCAGTCTCGAATCATTACCCTTGATACCCACCAGTTACCCTCAATGGCGCTCCCCCCAGGGGTTGGTGCAACGCACGGGACTGATTATGCTCACGACTCTCACCAATCGTCTGGTGAGGGTTCGTTTAAACCTGACCCGTACAATGGCTCCTCGTATGCTGAACATGGAACGAAGCGACCTCATGATGATATCGAGAGCTATGGCGACGCACCTTTCAGCAAGTATGCTCGTCCAGTCGACCCGCCAACACGAGCGCCCGTTTCAAACGAAGATACCCCGTATCGGGCGATTCTCACTTTGCTGTCGGTAGGATCCAACTCGATGCGCAACGCACGATCCATCATTTCCGCACAACATGCTGTACGAACGCTGATCAGACATTTCCCCAACTTCCGCCCCGATTTAAGTGGCACCTCTCTGGGGATGATTCTGCTCAAAATCAAGGGGCTCTATCTTTCTGAAGAAGAGCTCTCTTATGTTGAAAATGCTTTGAGTCTGGTTGTATCAGCCAGAGAGCCATCTCTAGCCCCTAATCATCGGCCTGCTCATAACCCATATGTTGTTCCTATGGTGCCCCTAATTGAAAACGACTTGTGGCAACAGGACTCTTATGGTGGTGTTTATGAGCCCGAAGAAGAAACCTATCGATACGGTGCTTATGATCCGGCCCCCGTGCCAGGAGATTATTTGCCCGAGTACAACTATGAAGCCAGTTTGCCCAAAAAGGAGCTTTATGACTATGGTGCAGACCATGGTACACACCACAGCTATGCAGGACCGATGAGCTACGGCAATCATCCGTCGGCGCGGTACAGGCCCCACCCTGCGTACCCGGGAACGCCTGGGCAGTACGGGTATCCATACCGACAGTCAGGCCTAGTGCCGTATTACGACGACTACGCGGTACCCGAACCTGAACTCGACACTTGGGGCGGCCGGGGCTGGCATGTGCCTCCCAAATCCGGCCTTCGTCCCCCGGTTCGTCGACCGCAGTGGCCGCCTCGTCAAGATGATATCTGGCCCTAGCATGCACGGTGAGTTTATTTCTCGACTAGCGAGATATTTATTTCTTAGACATGTACTGATCTGTCTCATTTTCTACTCGCGGTAGTTTGTATATACAGTGTTGACATCGTCAAGCTCTTCTAAAGCGTCGATGAGTTTGTAGTGTTTGGTTTGCGTCTCCTCGTCGAGTTCGGCGACTGCCTGGTCAGGTTCAGGTTCGTAGGACAGTCCCATGTTGTCGATTTTGTAGTCCTTTTTAATTTCGTTTGCTACCACAGCGAGCTGCGAAGTCTCGGTATACAGAACAATTTCGCCGTCCTTCTCCACAACGTCCTCGGCACCCAGGTCGATAGCTTTCTCAAAGACCTCGTCAAAGTCCGCTCCTTCCCCGAGTTGGATCCAGCCTTTACGCTGGAACAAGAAGCTTGTGGGGGACAGGGAGCCCTTGAACCGCATGAAGGCAGCTCTGACCTGTTGTGCGGTGCGGTTTTTATTGTCCGTAAGGGTTTCAACAACGTATGCAACCCCGCCGGGGCCCACTCCTTCGTATGTGATTGAAACAGACTCCTCGGCAGCGCTTCCGGCACCTTTCGAGGCTCTGGCAATAGCACCTTCAATCACACGCTTGGGAATGCTCATTTTCAGGGCATTTTCAACCATGGTCGCGAGCCGGACATTCAGCGCAAGATCAGTGCCGCCGCCCTCTCTGGCGGCCACTGTGATCATGTTGGCCATTTTGGTGTTTGTGTTGGAGCGTTTAGCATCATTTCGAGCTTTAGTGTGCTTGATGTTCTGCCACTTGGAATGGCCTGCCCAAGCTCGAAAAGAACTGCTAAAGTAACGGCAATTCGCCCGCAGCATTTTTTGGCAGGATATTTCAACGACGGTTTGGGTTAATCAGCAGGACCACCTTTCAGTAAGGACGTTTAGAGCATGGCGTCCAAAAACTACGATGAAAGGACGCTCCTTGCGGTTATTGGAGACGAGGATACTGTGACAGGTATGCTTTTAGCTGGTATTGGCAATGTGTCTGAAGAGGACGGTTCGCGGAACTTTGTTGTTGTTGACTCTAAAATGACTGACGAGCAGCTTGCCGACCACTTCCAGACCTACACGACCCGTAAGGATATTGCGATTCTTTTGATCAACCAGCACATTGCCGAGCGTATCCGCTTCCAGGTCGATGCTTACACCCAGGCGTTCCCCGCCTTGCTGGAGATTCCCTCAAAGGACCATCCATACGACCCTGAAAAGGATTCTGTTTTGCGCCGTGTCCATAAGCTTTTTGGCGAGTAAAAGCGCTTATATAGCTAATTTATTTACAATTGCTCATTTGTGTTTGTTTTTCTTTTTGTTCTTCTTTGACTTTGTCGTCGAGGTTGGCGTGGGTACGCTTGAAGGCTCAGGGGTATGTTCGGGTTCGATTGACGTTGAGTTGACTTGGATTTCAGGAATATCTGGTTTGTCTGTAACCAGTTCTTGTTCCGATAACTCATTTGACTCTGGCTCAGGTTCGACTTGCTCTGAATCGTTAGTGTCTTCTAACGTGGGCTTTTCAGCCTCGAGCCCAACTGTTGGTTCTTCCTTGGCTTCAAGCTCTGTTTCTGACTGCGTTTCGGGCTGTGTTTCGGGAGCCAGTTCTGATGCTGGTTCTGTTAGTTCTGGTTCTGCGTCGGAACTGTGTTCTTTGGTTTCAGTGGTAGGCTCGGTAGTCTCTGCGTGCTTTGAAGTTTCAGAAGTGTCGGTGGGCTCTACAGTTTCAGTGGGCTCGGTGGGCTCTGCAGGCTCTGCGTGCTCCGAAGGTTCAGAAGTTTCCATGGTCTCAGCAGGCTCGGCGTGTTCTGAAGGTTCAGAAGTCTCTGTGGGCTGTGCAGGCTCGGCGGTCTCCGCGTGCTCAGCTGTTTCAGTGTGCTCTGAAGGTTCAGAAGTTTCCACAGTCTCAGAAGGCTCAGCGGTCTCAGCGGTCTCACCAGGCTCACTGGTCTCACCAGGGGCAATCTCAGCAGGCTCGGCGGTTTCAGCAGGCTCAGCAGGCTCAGCAGTCTCAGCAGTCTCAGCAGTCTCAGCAGTCTCAGCAGTCTCAGCAGTCTCAACAGTCTCAGCAGTCTTAGTCTTAGCAGGTTTAGTCTCAGCAGGCTCAGCAGGCTCAGCAGGCTCCGCTTCTGGTTGTACGGTCTCTGGCTTGGGAACCGCCTCAGACCTTTCCGTGTGGTGTGATGCTGTTTCTGCAGAATCAGAAACTGGCTTCGTACGCTCTGTGCCCTTCGGAGACTGATCACCACTATCCGCCGCGGACATTGGATCGCCTCGGGAGCTAGAAACTGTAGCCGTGCGGCTGCGACGAATAGCTGGCGGAAGCGTACGGGGATCAGCAGACAGGTAGTACGCCCGAACGCCAACTAGCCGGCGCTCTGTCTCACACGCTCTTAACCATTCAGGTCGAACAATCGGAATACTCATATCTTTAGCACGTTGGTACTGAAGTCCAGCTTCGGACGTAGCCACGAAATGAGTCGTGTCAAGCTTCACCAAATCTTGAAGGGGCTTGCAGCCCATTTTGGTAACGCTCTCCTCTAAATCTTCCCTTGTGATGCTTGAGCCACTGATATCACCCACACAAATAGTAAGTCCAGACAAATCGGTCATTTTATGCGTCTGGACCCTCACCATTTCTGATTCGTAGACGCCTGCTGAGGTGGCTAGAACCAGATGGAAGTTATATTCATTATCAATGGCGAGATTTGACAGTTTCGTTGAAGTGCGTTTTTCGGGATTAGGAATAGTTCCTAGTCGCTGGCCGTTTTTGTAAAGAGCCAGCGAATGCAAGGTGGCCGAGGCCACGTCGATAGGGTCCCATTCAAGAACCGCTGATGTTTGCGTGGTATTCTTCACTCTAAGAACAGGAACTTTGGGCGCGTTTACAGTGAATGCGTCCAGCATATTATTTTGTGTTTTCTCAAACGACACAGCGTCATCCTCTTCGCCCTGGATATCGCGCTCGCAGGTCAGACGCACAATTGATCCAGCTTTCACATCGCTAGGTAAAAGCAGTGTAGGAAATTCGATCAATTGGTGATCTTTGGTTATTAGTTGAGCCAACGACACATCTAATAGGCCAACTCGAAGATCAACTTGAACCTGGTTGCTCATGGTTCTTTTGAGGCAGCTGAGAAAAGTCACCATCGCCAACCTCCACGGCTGAATAAACTCGCGTTCGTCATGGGGTATTGGAAGCTTAGAACGGGTGTTGGGAGTATGGCCTAATTAGGCACAGCTAGCCAAATTAAGGGGTCGGGGTTCGGGTTATAGTGGGCTTACGACGCGAGGTTAATTTCCTCACTTTATCCACTTGACGAAAAAGTAAAAGACAAATGTTAAAGACCTTCGCGAGATCCTTTTCCTCGACCTCAAAACGTGCTGATCTTGCCAAGTTCACTGCCATTGGCCGTATCGGCAGCGACATTGAAATCTCCACCTCGAAGAACAATGTCCAATACGTCCGTTACCCCCTTGCTGTGCAGACCACCAAGTCCGAAACTTCCTGGTTCAACATTACTGTTTTCGACGAGCGCGCTATTGACTTCATGTCTCAATACCTGAACCGCGGCTCTACTGTCTATGTCGAGGCCGATGCGTCCATGTCCAACTACACCAGCACTGCTGGCGAGAACCGCCACTCTCTCCAGCTGGTTCAGTCTACCATCAGCCCCATCATCTACCGCAACAAGCGCGAGGACGTTGAAGGCGAGGCCAATGCTGAGGCTTAAAAAATTGTCACTTTGTGACGTTATAGGGCAGCTGTAGTTTTTTTTCCCTTTAATTTCGTTTCTTATATGTATATAGGTTGAAATCCTTGATGGGCTAGTTTCCAGGCCAAACCGCTAATTGCGGGCCGCATCCCATAAAATCATTTGTGAAATCTGGCATCCCAGTCGACCTACCCCCGCAGTTTGTTCCAGTCGTGTGCGGGCAGTATTTACCAACCATAACGGCCATGCGTGCAGTTGGGCGGTTTCGATTTCCAGCGCGACCTTGTGGGAATTCTGGAGATGGAAAGCAAATTCTTTGACTTCTGGCAGAAGCACTTCTTCACTACCAGCAGAAATAAAAATACCACGATTTGGTAAAGCTCTGGACCACAGATCGAGGTCATTGACCAACCCCGGACGGGTGTAATCTGCAGATTGAAGGCGCTTTGGTACATAGCTCTTGGCATACCGTGCTAATGCACGAGTAGACAAGTAGTCAATATTATCCTTGCTCGACACGCGACGTCTATTAAGATCCATGATTGGCGACATCAACACTGCGGCGTCCGGGCGGCGGCTGGGTGCATTGAGTTGACGTAGACCATCAAACGGCTGGGCCAGGTGCAGCAGCAGACTAAGACCGAGCGTAGCACCTCCGGCATGGCCAGATAGCACCAGAGTTTTACAATTGACCGCCGCCACTGTCTCATAGGTATCAATTACAGTTGACATTGCCTCCTGCCAGTCTTTGGCTTTAGAGACGTCGGCAACAAAAATGGCTGGATTGCAGAATCCCTGTTGATTCAAAGAAACAAGAAAATAGTAAAAGAATTCTAGGCTCCAATGCGCGGACTCTCCGCCAACGCCTGGACCAACGACATAGTAGATGATCACGTCGTTTTCGAGGTCTACTGGAGTTTTCCGAGACTCAACCCAAAATCCCGGCAGGTTTTGATCAGGATCCAGCGCATAGTGCTCAATATCTCCTAGTCCTTCGCGGGTGAACATGCTTTGACGATAATCGAACAGGGCTTCGGCAGTAGTTTGCCCAAACAAAGCTGGCCCCAGTTCGTGGAGATTGAAATTCTCTAGCAGACTTTTGGCAAAGATCGTTGCCGCAAACTCAAACGGAGTAGCCAACCGGCTATATCCACTGCGCCTGTCCCATGTTCGCACTTTAAAATTGAGGAAAAGGTTCCAGGGTACCGAGACGAACAAGTAGGGTATAATTCCAAATGCGAAATACAATGCGCCAAAGGGCCCTATTTGGGCGCCTACTTCAAGCAATGCCAACATCAGCCAAAACACCACATCGAACGAACTCCACGGACGCATTTTGAGGAGAATTAGTTTAGGTTGTGTCCAGGCATTCTTATTTTGTGGTGGTGCAGGACGAGTGCATGAGGCTCTGCATGGGGAGGGAGAAAGCAAACAGAACGAAAAAAAAGTGGTTAAAGCAAACTGTTTTTACATACTAGCTTTTTTTAATGTGATTCGATTAAGCCTTGGACTGCTCGAGAGCCTTCTTGACAGTGTCCAAGAAGATCTTGGCATGCTTCTCCTCGAAGAGCAAGCCGGGACGCAGACGGATACCCTGAGCACCGGTGCCGCCGACCAAAACACCGAGAGAGCGCATGTTGACGACGAACTGATCACGCTGAGCGCCGGAGGCCAAGTCAAAGGCGATGAAAGTGCCCTGGCCCTTGCCGCGGACGCGAGAGATCTTGCCGGTCTCGGACTGGATGGCAGTGAGACCCTTGTAGAGGTAATCACCAACCTCCTGGGCCTTGGCGGGCAAGTTGTTCTCAGCGACCTCGCGGAAAATGGCATTGGTGATCATGATGTGGGCGGGATCACCGCACCAGGTGTTGAACTGGCGGTAGGCCAGAGTGGGGCGGATTGCGGGATCACGGAAGAAGTAGCCGGCAGACTGGGCCTTCTTGGAGAAGGTGACCAAATCAGGCAAGCCATCGCCGTCGAGTCCCCAGTGCTCGTGGGCCCACATCTTGCCGGTGGCACCGACACCAGTCTGGACCTCGTCAACGATGAGCAAAACACCGTGCTTCTTGGTGACGTCGCGAAGACCCTTGAAGAAGTTGGGGGATGCGTGGTTGTCACCACCCTCGGACTGAATAGGCTCGACGATCACGGCAGCAACAGGAGACTCCCAGCCCTTGATGAGCTTCTCGACCTCCTCAAGGCAGCGCTTCTCCTCGGCAGTGTTGTACTCGACGTTCTGGTCAAGGGGGTACTTGAGTTGAGGGAACGGAGCCTTGGGCCAGTGGAAGGCGGGGATATCAAGCTTGTGGATAGGCTTTGAGCGAGTGCACGAAAGCGAAGCCATCAAGCGGCCGTGGAAGGCAGTCTCGAAAGACATGATAGCAAACGGCTTGGAGCCAGGAGCTTCGTTACGCATGCAAGACTCAAGCTCCTCGGGAGTGAAGTCGGCGTTACCACGCTTCTTGGCAGCCTGGTAGATGAAGGCAGCCTTGAAAGCGAGCTCGTTGGCGTCGGAGCCAGAAAGACCGGGCCACACCTCAGTCATGCCCTTGGGAGCGTACTTGAGGAGACCGGAGATCTGCTCGGCGTAGTTGGTAGAGGGGAAATTGCCGCTAGCAGGGCGGTTGACCAGAGCACTGATAGTCTTGGAGTCCTTGGCAGCCTCAATGAGGGTGGGGTTGTTGTAGCCAAGAGGAATCGAGGCGATCTGGGCGTAGCAATCGAGGAGAGTGTTTCCGTCGGCATCAACAATGTAGTTGCCGTTGGACTTCTCGTAATCGACCATGAAGGTCGTGGCAGCGGAATCAAAGACCTTGTTCAAAGCAGCAATTTTCTCTTTGCCAGTGGGACCAGGAATAGCCGTAGCCACTGCCGGAGCTGTGGGCTCGTTGGGGAAGGTCTTCTCGGCTAGCGAGGCATAGCCGCGAGAGACAGCACGAGTGCGAAGTGCACGCAAAACCGTTGTCTTGGTAGCGTTGCGGATCATATATTTGCTTGAGACTGAGATGCGTTGACAGTCCGCTAATCTGGGGTTTTTATAGCCCCCATGAACCCAATACCATCAGGGCGCGGGTTTAGAAAAATAACGTGCTGCACGTCCAACAGATTCAACGAGTTCTGGGAAGTTCGGGTATTGCGTTGAGGGTTTCAAGACGTTTGAAAAACGATTCGAACATTTAAAGTCTAAGCGGACACTATAATGCACTTTTCTCCAGTAGTATTGCCTTCTTTGGGCCCACCAACGCTGCACCTTATCAACGCTAAAATATGCAATGTTCCCAATCCAGTAGGTTGTTCCACTGCGAATCGACCCCGCATACAAAGTGTCAGTGAAATTTGCATTCAACAAGTCGGAATCGCCCCGAATCAACAGAATTGTAAACTAGCAACGTACCCAACAGTCGAAAACCTCCATTTTTTTGTTCCTAGGCCCAGCTTTGCCCCAACTCGACCGCTGAAAATTTACCCTCCCTTTAGCGAATGGCTGCGATAACGGCATTTGTGGGGTTGAAAAATCAGAACCCGTGACTGGTTGAAGGGGCTGTTTGGGGGGCTGTTTTTGCTTGATCTAGACAGGATTTGAGATTAGATTAAATTACAGGGATTATGGTGAACAAGTACTAAGCCTTTTGCCTTTTGGCAGTGAGATCAGACGGTTTCCCATCTGCGACGCGCTTGCCCTTTTTTAAATAATGCGCTAATGCCTTTTCCATGTAAGGAACAACGAAATGCCGGACCTTCTTCTTTCTTTCATCGGTCAGCTCGTCAGGAACTTCCAAGTTTTCACGCTTTAGCTCTTTTTCAACCAGCAAGCGGACAATATCATGTGCATGCCGCTTGCAGCGATCCCGGCCCAATTGGGGTTCGTAGCGCCAAACTATTTTGGGCACATACTTTGCAAGAAGAATGGTGTATCTTTTTTGCAGAGACACTGGCTTTTTACTGCCGTGCGGGGTGTCTTCGCCGGGAGTCGGAACGCTCGACGGGGGAGTCGATTCGGCTTCAACGTTGATTACTTCGGCAGCCACAGCGTCGGCAATGATCTTGTCCAAAATCTCTGCTTGCTTTTCGCGCTCCTCCCGTAGCAAAGCCTGCCGAGCAGCCTCGCGTTCTTTTTCGGCCTCCAGTTCGCGTTGGACTTCTCTCAAGCGCTTCAGTTCCCGCTGATCAGGGACTCGGTCGCTGGTTTCTTGCGTTTTCGCATTAATGTAGTAAACTGTGCGATTGCTAGAGGTTTTCTGTTCCCAGCCTGGTGGTAGGCGTGCTTGTGTATTGCGTGAAACCGGCGTGGGCTTGGGGCTGTCAGGCACACTGGCCGTGGTTTCAGTTTCCGAGGCCGCGTCTTTACTGGCATCACGCTCACGTCGGGGGATTCGATATGCCATTTGCAGGGCACTCCAGGCATCCAAAAGTTCTCTTGCCTGCTCCTGAACGCCAGAATCCTCTGCTGATTCGGCAATGCCCTTGACCACCCCTTCGATTTTGGAGGATGAGATTTTGTTTCTCGTCATCTGGGGCCAGCAAGCCAGAGTTTGCAACACCTTTTCAGCGAGTTTCTCCTCAGCATTATGCAAAGTCAAAAGCGAAGCAAAAATCTCATAGCCATGCATTCTCATGACTTCGATGTGAACTGACTGGTCCTGGGAAACGAAAATACGATCAACGAGCTTTCGAGAGAGCCAGGGCTCAGCCTTCTGTTGCATTAAAGCTGCCATAAGTCGCGAAACGTCTTGGACATCCAGGGGCTTCACCGGCAAACTTTCCGCTAGCTCTGCATCCAGATCTTTACGCTTCTGGTTTTTAGGGAACTGGGATTGCCACTCCTCTTCTTCTTCAATAGTGAGACCTAATGCATCTGCAACAAGCGGAGGCAAAGCAAGACCGTTTGTTTGTGTTTTGCCGCCCAACCAGCCGGTGCAGTTGGCTTCATAGCAGTAACAGGGTTGCGCAGCTGCGCCATAACGGTCAACATTGTAATCGAAGGTGATTTCTTCGCCGGCAGCGATATCGCGTTTGGCAAACAGCCCCATACGCAGCTTGGGACCCACAACCCACTTGTCGATATAGGCATTTGGCGAGCAAGAGTGATTGCAGAAGCGGGCGATGGACCCCTTGAGGGTTGCATCGATGAATTCGTCCTTTTGCAACATCATAAAGTAAAAGTGCGTGATACCCTGTTGTTCGTATTGCCTCTTACGACGCAGGAAACGTGCCTGGTCAACAACTTCGCCCGTATACTCGTAAATGAACCCATCAGCCTTGATGTCTGCCAGAGCACGTACACCAAACCCTTTGGGTCCCGCACCAAAAACATCGACCTGGGCATGCTGGTGTCGCTGGAAGCGACGATTGCCACAATCTCCTGAACACCCGCACCGATCACCAATACACTCGATGGACGTAAGGCGATTAATACAGTCCGAGTTGTCGCCGCACATAACCTCGTCTGAGCCGGCGGTTTTCCCACAGTCGCAGGTCATGATCTCGGTTTGACCCGAAGAACCTAGTGATTTCGTTGCATACGTGCACTCACGCAACGCCTCAAACGTCTTGGCCGCCTTATCAAGAGTGCTCGGCACGTCCAGGTACAGTTGCACCATTGATGGTTGGAGGAAGCTGACAAGTTTAGTCCCAAAACCTCAAACCGTCCTGATATAAGGTTGAGGCCACCACAATTACCCCTCGTAACTAAATTTTAGTAGTTTATAAACTGTGCTTTATGACCAAACAGACGTTGTAGCTGAAAAATTTGGCACCTTAAGTACCTCCTCCCAACTCGATGGTTGCTGACAATGACCGACCAGAAGTTTGTTGGCGAATTTATGGCGTCGCTGGCGCCGTTCCAGAAGAAATTGGACGATAATTACGAGGGCACGCACAAGAAACCTGTGGTTCTGGGTAGAATGAGCGCCGAACTAGAGCCATTACCTGCCCAGGAGCCCAAGCAAGTGAAGGTAGCGCTGCGGTCGATCCGTAACCCCAAGTTCAGTGTGGAGTACGAGGTTCCTGACACGGACTCGATTTTTGCGGTCAAAGAGCGTCTTTTGACAGACCCCAACGGGCCGCTGGTGGGCACCGAGTTCAATCTTGCGGGCATTCGATTCATGATCAAGAGCCGGGCTATTTCAGACACTCGGCAACTCCGAGAGCTTTCGAGCACCGAATTCACCGTGGTGCTACTTCACAGCAACGCCGACAATGTCCCGTCAAGTGGCCAGCTGTACTGGGCCGACGACTCTGTAATTGCCCCGGACGTGCAAACTCCCACCCCCGTGGCCGAGACGCCCGAGGTGGTTGAAGAGACGCCTAGCTTTCCTAGTGAAATGTGGGAGGAAATTGCCGCGGTGGTTGCAAAATACACAAAAGACAGCGCTAGTGTTGTCGACAAGCTCCGCAGAGCCGTAGAGTAGGATATGAAATTAATGAAAAATATATGTCGGGTTCGCATTAGGATTAAAAAATAAAAGGTGGGGGGTGCAAGGAGGCACTCAGTAGAGCCGTAAATGAGACCGCAGGCGCTGTCGCGGCCTAAACCGTGCGTATTCGTCGCGGTCGGAGGATTTCGGAGTGCCCGTTTTTGCTTCACGGCGGCGGTTGGCGACAAACTGATGTAGGACGGCGATTTCGCTATCCGACAGATGGCCAACCCCATTAGAACGCTTGAAGCACAGATAAAATAAAGATGTGGGATCCAAAAGCTTCCTGGGAAACGTTTGGACCGCTTGGAAGGCCTCCATGTCGTCGCTGAGGCGCAGAATCTGCGGCTCGGCCAGCTTCATGATGGCCAGGGAAATACGATAAAGAATCTTGGGGCCTTCAAAGAAGAAAACGTCCCATACTCTAAGTGTCGTTTCAATAGGGAGTACGCATACAAACATGCTCATGAACCAGCTTGCTGTACACAAACTGATGGGGGGTAGCTGGGAAATAAAGTTATCCTGAACCTGCTGATCGCCGCTCAAAGCGTTCCAAACTTTAGGAAGCCGATCTCTTACCGCAACCATGAGGATACCCTGGGTGATGTTGACCTGCTCCAGGTCGACTTCATGGAGACCTTGCAAGTAGTTGCTGGTGATGAGCACCATCATCCAAAAGGCCCGTTCTTCATCCATAAAGAGCAGTAGGTTGGCCCCTATAAAATTCAGACTCTGGCAGTAGCCGATTTTTGGTTGATAGATAGCGAAACATGTAAGAACTCGACGGAGTGCCATGATCTTCTCTGAATCAATGCCCGGAATGGCGCTCCGGAAAAACCTGTTGTCGGGGAACGTGCGATGCAAGTCCCGCTCGATATGTTCAGTGTCATTATTTTTGAGATCCTTCGTTTCCTCGCACAATCGTGCATATAATCCGGGGTGGGCGTTCAGTTTCTCGGGTCCTTTGGCATACCAAAACCACGCCGCACCTCGCCAGGAAGGTGGTATGCCCTTGCGGATATACCGGCGCAATTTCTCGCTACGGGGTGGGAATCTCAGGGGTACACCATCTGGACCGAGTGATAAGCCATAGTCCTTGATGAGTTCCAGCCATTTAGCTTCCCGTTGTTTCTGGTACCGACTGTACTCGGGGTACCACTTATTATACTCTGCCTCAGATACCTGCGCACTGCGTTTGCGGAATCCGTACTGATCGTAAGCATCGGGCACAGGCGGCATAGAAGGAGTGAGTGAGCTCACCGAGGCCACCTTCAACGAAGGCTGCCAGGTAGAGGACTGTACAGAGGCTGTTCTCGATGAGGCTGCAACAAGAGACATTGCAGCCTGAGGGGAGGGCACAGCAACGGTTGTTTGATAATCACTCGTGTCTTTATTATCGCGGGATCGTGCAATACTGTCTGCGTTCGCGGGTGGGGGTGAGGTACGAGCTTCCGAAGGGGGCGCCGAGCTGGGTTGCGACTCGAAGTCAAACGTCTTATCGGAAAGCTCAGTACTGCCTATGCTTGCATTTTCCCACCCTTGGCGAGTAGTTTTACTAGTGTCTACCGGGCTCTGAATAGGAACCGTGGCGGATATAAAGTTGGACTGCTTGATACCGACCACGGCGTTATCCTGGAAAGCTTGAGCTAATTCTTGGACCTGAACTGCTCCTATCCCTTCAATTGCAGGTGAACCTATCGGGGCTGGCTTTGCGACATCTGTTGCTACCGGCTCAAAGTCTGGTATTTGTCGTTCGGCAGTTTGCCGCTTTTTCACTGCGATAAAAGCAGCAGGCATCTGAATGGCTTGCTCCATACCGCCGGGACAATAGTCAATTCGTTTCTGTGAATGAATATGACCGAGAATGAATTACTGTCCCAACTTTACCAAGTGAACAAAAATAGTAACTTTGTAAAGAAACAGGAAAAAAAGTGCGACGATGGGTACAATGCAGGATGGAAAGAGGTTGGCTTTGTCAGCCGACATAGTAAGCTTTTCCGGAATCCTCAACCTGGGGGGCCGATAATACATCTAGAACACTGGATTTCAACGGCATTACTAGACAGTCAAGTCGCGGTCAGGACGTTATTTGGACCCTGCGAGATGTCCCTGACCAGCTGCTCTGCCATGGGTGCATAATCACCCGAGGGTTCTTTTTGACCGACATGGGCACTCTTCTCGCTACCAAAGACCAACCAATTGTGTTCTGGCCCATATGTGATCCCACTGGGCGACCGAAATTGTCGGAGTCGCCCTTGAGAAATCTCACTGGCTTCCCGTACCTCATTGCAAACCTACCTGGATGGCAAGAATGGAAGGACTATAGTCTTCATACAACTGTCGAGTCATTTGTGTGTGTAGTGTCAATTGCATTGGCGTTGACACTTGTTTTGCTATGTGTTGTTTTGTGCAAAGAACGGCCCTGGCGGCCTCTTTTAATTCTCGTTTCCGTGTTGTTTTCTGCCATTCACATGGCGTTGGTTCTAGACAATGTGATTAGCAGTTTGCGGTCTCAGTACGAACTGCAGGGAGGCTACTCACTAACTTGGCTGTTCAATGATATCTTGACCACGAAGATCCGAATAACAAACTTTGTTAGTTCGACCCTCTTGCTAGCTGCCCAACTCCAGCTCGTGGCATTGAGATTAGTGGACCGGAAAACAGAACGAGCAATTGTGTGGGGAGCAGGCGGTGCGTTTTTTATCGCTGCTACAACTCTGCTCGCTTTGGTCTGGTTTTATCGCTCCGATGATGCTATTCTCTTTGCATGTCAGTACCTTCTATCTATGGGTCTAGACGTTCTCTATTTTTTGATGGCCGTTTTATACGCCCTTTCGCACCAACAAGCTGCTTTCAATCGGGACATGTTTATTTATACGCTTTTCGCTCTTGCTGGAGCTGCTCTCCCTGTGGCATTGTACATGGCAGACATCCTGGGCTGGTGGACGGCTAGAAGTGTTGACCACGTTTGTTCGTTTTCCACGGTTGCTGCTCTAGTTTTAGCAGACATCTGGGCTAGCCATCTGGACCGATACCGCACCAAACAAGCCCACGGAAACATCATGGGCCGCCGCCTCTACAACCCGGACAAAGAACTTGTTTTCACCGAATCGGACGAGCATACACTGCTGGCCAGTGAACAGGGCTCTTCAAAAACAGCACAGGATTCTCCTCCACGCACCGCTTCGGCCCCCGTTCATACACACAACAGACTTGTTCCGCCTGAGCGGCCAGCGACCACGTAGTATTTATTTCAAGACTTTTTAAGTGATATTACTGAATCATACATAAATGTGAAGGGGGCAGATTACAGGAACGCTAAACCAGCCATAGCAGCTAAAGCGGCGCCAACAGGCATCTGTGTGGGCACGGCGGCGTTCTTCTTCTTGCCGGAGCTAGAAGCAGCAGTGGCCGAGGCGGACTGAGAAGATGAAGAGGCGGCGGAAGTGGAAGCAGCGGACGAGGAGGAGGCATCGGTCTGAATTTTACGTTCAGGAACGTTGTACTGCCAATTAGTAGTGTAGGTCAATTCAACCGAGCCGCTTTGGGTATTGCCCGCAACATCTTCGATGGTGTAATTGTTTTTGATGTTGCTGATATCGATGAGATGGCCGATATTACGGTTACCACCGCCATTCTGGAGCATATCCGGGGCAGGGCAGTCGGGGAGATCAAAGTCATCGATAATGGTATCAAGGCCAGAACACGAAGGAGGACTGACGGTGTTGTTGGGGCTGGGTTGCGTTGTATTAGGGAGGGAGATCTGAGAAAGCTTGCTCTTGAGGTTGACGTAGTCTTGCTTGTACTGAACGTCGCCGTTATCGTCAATATCGACCAGACCATACTGGTTGGCCTCCTCAGCATACTCATAAACGAGGCCACCAGAGAAAACATTACCAAGACCCTGCGGGTCGTAGAGACCCTCAGTGACCTCATTGAACTCACGAGGCTCGGGTTTGTTGCAGCCGTACTCGGAGAAGAATACCGGGATAGAGCTGTTGCCAAAGTTACTTTTCATTGTCCCGTAGCCAGAGCTTTCCCAATCATTATTACCGCACCATTCATAGGAGTTGAGACCGTAAAAGTCGGCGGTAGAAGCCTCGTCACCGCACTGCAAATAATTCCACAGGGTGTAGCGGTACTCCTCAATGGAAGCAGCCGAGTAACCAACGGGGATAGTACGGTTAGCATGCAGGTTAATATACTGCTTTACGTCACGCTGAACAGCGCGGAGGTACTTGGGCACGTCCTGGTCAGAATCCTGGTTAACAACCTCGTTGCCCGCAAAGAAACCAAGCAGGTTGGGGTAGTATTTGAACGCATCAACCAGACCGAACACATTGTTCAGGTAGCCCTCATTGTAGGAGTTGCCCGGGTCCTGACGCGTCAATGACTGGTACGGGTTGTTGAGATCAACTATGACATAGATACCAGCATCGTTGAAGATACTCATGCACTCGTCATGGTTGAGCCAGGGAGAAACCGAATAGACACGAATAGTATTAGCGCCAAGCTTCTGGAGAGCATAGGCATCACGCAGACAAATCTGACCGTTAGACAGCACGTCTGAGTCCCCGTTCACCTGAAATGAAGACGAACCACCAATCTGGTAGTCGACGCCAACAATCGTGAACTGCTTGCCCATTTTGTTATAGTCCTCATCGACCTGGTAAAACTTGTTTCCAATCTGGACAACAGGGAGCACCGCTTGGGCGCCAGCGAGTAGTGCCAATGCAATCGCGTTGAAAAGCATGTAGGAATGAACTGAGCCTGACTTAGATTACGAGGTGATTGGAATGCATACCTCCTAGCACCCCCGCTTAGAGTGGGTGATTTTCCCAAACGACGTCAGTTCTAACCCTTGACCAGCATTTTCCTGAGGATCTAAAAATAGTAGGCACAGGATGGCCGGGCAAAAGACGGCGGGGCAAAGGATGGCGGTGGTCGGAGAGCGACGCTCGTACAGTGGGGATATTTGCACAATAAGGTTTATCGGTAGCATCCCTGACTGGAGCGAGCCAGCGCTCGGTGTCGAGTGGGACGATCCCGCTCGTGGGAAGCACAGTGGAGAGCTGCACGGAGTGTCGTATTTCGAGTGCAGGATAGCTGGATCCGGTAGTTTTGTGAAGGTGTCGCGTGAACCTGACCGAAGTCAGTCGCTAGATGAGGCTCTGTGCGATCGATATGTCTCGAGACACGAGATCTCCGAGCCACATATTAGCCGGTCCAAAACCTTGCAAACAGTTGGGGCAGAGAAGCACTTACTGCGAACGTCGCATGTCGACAAACTGCAGTTAGTCTCTTTGGCCGGCTGCTGCATCAGCCGGTTTCAATTGGCCCATCAATTGACATCGCTGGCTCGCCTAGATTTGAGCAACAACCTCTTTGAATCTATCGGGGATCTTTGCGACATTCTTGCAAGTATGAATGTACAGTCGCTCAATTTGTCTGGCAATCGGTTCGTTCCGGGTGGGAAGCCGGTGAACTCTGTCACAGAGCTAGACTTGTCTCGTACGTTGTTAGGTCGTGAAGAAACCAGTCAAGTTCTCGCAAGCTTCCCTAATACAACTACGCTCAGTCTAGCATCTAATATGCTTCAGATGTGGCCTGACATCAAGGTCCAGAGACTCGATATTTCCGACAACCTGCTGTGTTCGATCCCAGAGCTCGACCTCGAGGAACTCAATGTCATGGGTAACCCCCTTGTTCAAATCCCCGTGATGCGAATGCATACTTTATTTATTGATACATTGCCTGGCGGATGGGCTGACACCGTCAAGCTGAAATGCCGAGATTTACGGCTGGGCCCGCCGTTCGGAGACCAGCCGGTTTTTATTATTGGCCACTGTGCATCTCTACAAGCAGTCAACGGCACAAAAATTACCAGCCAAGAACGAACCGACGCTGAAATTTATACCCTGCGTCAGGCAGCCAGCGGAAGACACGAGCTAGACGCTGATCGCTTTGCCGTTCTGTCGTCGCTATACGGCACACCAGCTGTACGCCCGTTCTCACGATCCATACTTGCCAGGCAATTAAGACTTGCTATTGAAGGTACTACGTTTGAGATTGTGAATGATGCTGGGGTCCAGAGACTGATAATTATGGCGTCACAGCGACTTAACAAGCCACTTCTCGGTCTTACTCTTTCCTTCCGGGGCGAGCACATTCGCACTGGAACGGTTGGTGACCATTTTAAAGGTGGGGAATCTGTAGAGCTGATATATACTTAGATTTGCGGGCCAAGATTCCAAATACCGTCGCCCAAAAACAAAATAACCGTCACACCAATGCCCTTGTTAAGTTTGGTGATATCATCCGTGGACATTTCTAAACGACCAATTGCCAGTGCATGCTCTTTGCCCTCTGCGTAAATAGCCACCAGTTGTCCTTTTTCATAGCTTACAGGCATCTCTGCCCCGGCAGAAGTCAGCCCGGGGCACATGATGTTGGCACCGCCTAAAATGAACTTGATGGCGCCTCTGTCGACGCGAACCCAGGGGAATGTGTCTTTGGGGAGTTTGTGAACGAGTCTCAACGACGGGATCAAGTCGTCGTCGTGCTGCTGGAGAAAAACAAGCTCTCCATCAGCAGTGTACAGGCTCAGTCGATCTTGGCATTTGACCTGTGTGAGCTGCGACTTTTTGGGAACCACCTCGTCGATATGCTCCTCAATGTTAGGGAACTGGTCTACAAATCGTGTACGCAAACTCCGCTGGACCGACGACTTGATATTGGACCGAGAACTGATATCGTCTCTGGTGAACTTTTTGAACATATGACGTAAGGGGCCGGGTGAACTGTGGAAATGTAAAATTGTATAAAATCGAGTTCTAAACTAGTAAGTATAGCCGATCATGAGCGGGACTGGAGCAGCAGCCTCTTCGTCGGTCGGAGCAGCAGCCTTGCGGGCTTCCTCGGCGGCCTTGAGCTCGTCGAGAAGCGCGAGCTGTTCACGCTTTTGGTTGATAAAGTACGGCATGGTATAGTCGCGGAGATTGAACCGCCACGAGAGCTCCTCGACAACGTCAGGGCGGATGAGCTCGTAGCAAGTGTAGAGAGTAGCGACGTAACATTCCTTGTTACCAATGTCCACAAAGTAGCGCAGCAGGTCTTCGGAAACCTCGGTCTTTCCCGACAGGGCAGCCGTGCGGATCGAATCGGCCCACAGCTTGTCTTCCTTGGACAGGGAGATTGACTTGCTCCATTTCTTGTTCTTGGCATAGAGGTGGGCGGCGATCTGACGGAACTGAATGAGCTCGTGCTTCTCGAGACGCTGAGCCAGGTCGATCGGATCGTACTTGTCGAACGCATCAACCGAGTCCCGCAGTGACTTGGCGTCTTCCTCCTCGATCAGCAGATCGTGGTACGCGCTGTTGACCGAAGACAAGTTCTTGTCCTGGACTGCAACCAAGAACGACTTGATCATGGGCAGGTTATCGCTCTTCTGGAACATGCGGACAACTCGCTCAACGTCAATACGGGGAGTCAAAGCTGCAAGCAGATCAGAAATCAGCTGAGGCTGCTCAGACATATAGAACGAGATTGCCTTATAGTAGATCTCCAAGTTGGCCACCTTGACGACAATATCTTTGAACGAGTTGTGGTCGAATGCGTCTGCTGCATGCTCGATCATGGCCAAGGAGGCATTATCAAACTCGTCATAGTGGCAGTACAAGAACACCAGCTCGGGCCACAAGTGGGCAGCCTCACAGGCACGAATGACCTTGGGGATGTTGATACGAGACCAGAACAGATTGAGGTGCTCCATCAGCTTCTCAGGGTGATACTTGGAGAACACCACAGCAAGCTCAGTGAACATACCCATGTGAGCGCGCTCAAGACCAAGACCCTGCTCCAAAAGAGAAATAAGCTCCTCAATGGCGCCCATGTACTCGTAGCGGCTCACAAGGCCGTGCATCTCCTCGGCGTGAACGATAAGGTTGAGACCACAGATCTGAGCGAGCTTGAACTCCTTCTTGTCCAAACAAGCCTCGTTAACCTCTTTCCAAACCTTAACAGATGAAGCCTTGCGAGCAGCATCAACAGCAGCTTGGTACTCACCAAGGTGGACCAAGGTAGTGGCAAGCTTGGCCCAATTGGAGATAGATGAGTACAGCTTCTTCGCAGCCTGGTGCTGCTCACGCTCAACAAGCTTATCACCAACAGCCTCAACATCAGCAACATTGGGACCATCAACAAGCTCATTCAGCTCGGAGGTGCGGCCAAGAGTAGCGTAGCAGACCATCAGCTGTCCATCAACCAGGGGCTCCCGCAGAGAGCGACGGGCCATTTTGAGATAGTCAACGAGCTCATCATCCTTACCAGCGCGCTCAGCAATCTCAATAACTTCAGCAAAGTTACTGGGATCCTGGGCTTTGATGTAGGACGACAGAGAGTCCGAGACACGTAATCCGGCGAGCTGAGCCTTTGCCAATGCACTGTAAAGCTCAGGAGTTTCATACTTTTCAGCATAATCAGACGCCCGATCGAGAGACATGATATGCTCCGTCAGAACTCGCATACCATCAACGTTGCGGTCAGCCTTGTTGTAGACCTGCAGGGCCTCCTCGTTAAGGTCATGATCCAGACACAGCTGAGCGATCTCATCCACATCGTACTTGTCGAGTCGCTCAATAAGGTTTGAGACCTTGGACTTTTCAGCCTTGATGGCAGTAAGAATCAACAGGTTCTGCAGATTCTCATTCTCACTGAAAGGAGAAGGCTCCAGAATAATCTTCTCCAGCAACTCGATAAGCTCACCAGGCAAATCGGCACCCATAAACGCCTTTACGACGATAGCAACGTTTTCAGCATTCTGACTTTCGGGAACGGCAACGGCGACAACTTGATCAACAAGTTGGCGACGGTGGACGTTACCCTCGCTGAGAACAGAAGCCCACAAATCGATATCACCACGGTTCACCAAGTAGCGAGCCTGGTGCTTGAACATGGAGTTTTCGTTGGTAATATTGATAAGCTCTTGATCGTTCTGGCCCCGCTCGTAGGCAATGACAGCGAGGTAGGGATCACGGCTTTCACAGTATGCACCAACAACCAAAGGGTTGTACAAAGTGTTCTCGCGCAAGAACTTTTCAGGGTTGTTGTTCGAATCAATGTAGACCTTTGCCAAAGTATCATAGACAGCTGGCTCCTGCGAGCCACCAGCAATGGTCTTCTCGAGCAAAGGCAGCAAAAGCTTGAGACGGTTACGTTTCTCGACTTCAGCAACAAGCGGCTCAATGGGAACTTGGCCAACAACGGAGTCCAGTAAATCCTTGATACGCTGCTCGTCTGCGTCAACATCCAGCAAACCAGCAATAACCTGGGGTGTGCTAGAGGGGTTGACCTGTTGAACATAGACCTGGATGAACTGGAACTGCTGGTTCTGGTACAAATACAAAACCAACTCGTGAACGAAGCCGTGTTTATCACACAAGGTGATCAGCGGCAGCTGATCAGCCAAGCGGGCATCTTTGAGGAAGTTCTTGACTTTCTCGGGGTTGTAAACGCGATTGTCACTCACAATGCGCTGAATTTCCGAGAACTGGCCAATTGAAGCGGCCGCGGTGATGTACTTGAAAACAACGGCAGGGTCCTCGGTCAAGTTCACGATAGATTGAAGGAAGTAGTACAGACCTTCGGCGGTCTTGAACTCTTCAAATAGAGCAACCAGCTTCATTGCTCCCACCAGATCAGCATATTTGATGGCCACCTGAATGACGGTCTGCAGGTTCTGTTTGACGTTCACGCGAAGCATTTCACGAAGAACCTCAACAGTTTGCTCGACGGTCAAAGAAGCGAAGAACTGCAACAGCCAATCCTGAGGCAAAGTATGAGCATGAACAATGACACGCTTGATATCCTTGATATCATCGTAGTTCTCAAGAGCGCGCTGGTAAAGCTCGGCCTTCTCAGCCAGGCTGGCAATGCGATGACGGTCGTAGTGGCTGAACATCTGGTTGCCCAAAATTGCATCAGCGACCTGAGGAGCATTCATCAAATTGGTTTCAAGAAGGCGGGTCTGCAGGTGTGCGTGCTGAGGAGAGTTATCCTTGAGGGCGTCCAACAGGAAAGCCGTAGCCTGCTGAACTAGGTTCTGACCCAAGAACACATCTACGATACGATCCATATTGAGCTCATTAGCAGTGGCAGGGTTGGCAACCAGCGATTGAGCAAACTCTGCAGCCTTGTCGGGGTTTGAACGAACAATATTTTGCAAAAGGAGAGCGTAGTCGGGCTTGTAGCCGACCTTTTCGCAATAGGGCATGATCTTGTCGAACTCACCAAGCTCAGCAAAACCGGCAACAACCTTAAGAGGAACATTGGCACGCAAATAAATAGCCAAAGCCAATGTGACATCATAGGGACGGATCAGGTCACCTAGCTCTTCACTGGGAGTCAGCTTATTCTCGCGAATCCATTTCTCCAAGAGCTGCTTACGATCCTGCTGAAGAACCGGAGTGGCAAGCTCAATTGACTCATGCTTGTTGAGGGTACCACGGTCCAAGAGTGAGGAGAAGTACTGAAGGATAGGGGAGACTTCTCCAGGAGGAGCCTGAACGTTTTTGAGGCGCTGGATGGTGTTTTGGGTGCGCAAAATACCTCTTGGAGAGGATGCGGCAATTTTCGCGGCCTCGCTGTATTGACCCTGAGACAAGAGAAGCTCGAACTGCTGAGTGTACATGCTATCGGCACCAGAGAGACCGGCGCGAGAGGCAAGGGCCAGAGCCAAAGCAGGGTTGCCGTTGTTGAGAATATACTGAACGATGTTGTCCTCATTAACCTCAACAGACAAAACCTGACCGCCACGGTTGATAACCATAATACCACGGTCCTCAGTCTTGCAGGTAACAAACACTTGCTGGCTCGAGAGGCGGTTCATAAAGATAGCAGCACCAGAGTCAAGATCGTAGAGGTGGATAAAACCCATACGAGTCACGACGAAGATGATACCATACTTTTGAATGACCTGGCAAGCGACTGGGAAGTCGGTAGCGAATTCAGGAGGGAAGAACATATCGACCTGCTTCTTTTGGTAGACGGGTTGGCCATCCTGGTGATCAATCTCGATAACGTGCAACTTTGCACCCTGCTCGGTACGGTTGACGAAGGTAAAGAGATCGGCCGGAATTGAGCCACCCTCGAGTTGGAGAGTACCAAAGCCGGCAGCATGGCCTTCAATAGCCTGCGACATTTGGCGCTCATGGGAGAAAAGCTGGATACGTCCGACAATGCGGCCACCTTGCTCCGAGATACCGGTGAGCACGGTCCACTTGCCGGAGCCGTTGATCTCGTAATTGATAAGCTGAGCCCCCGCCATGGTGGCATGGACGTCGGTGACCTTGACGGGAGAGGCCTGAGACGCGTCCAAAATATCCCAGTGATAAATGGAACGGGCAGTAATCAGACCCAGAGTCGAGGGCGACACCCACTTCCAAAACGTGATGGGCTCGGTCATGGTGGTGTTCTTGAGGCGCTGCTTGGTCGCGAGATTGACAACCTGAACAACTGTGTCTTGGGCCCGGAGGGCGACGATCATCTCATTGGGGCACATGATGGCCGAATCAGCGGTCATGGCCTTGCGGGTGACTTCGTTGGCGTTCTTGAGGTCGATAATGGCGACCTGGTTCCCCGCGGCGGACTCCTCACGTACACACACGAAGCGGTCGCTTTCGAGCGTGCAGGTGTTGAAACCCACTGCCGAGTCGGGCACGCCAACTGCCGACAGCTTCAAATTCTCTTGGAACTTGATCGGTAGGTCGGCCATGGTTAGCAAGTGAGGTGGCTCAAATGTTTGGTCAGCCGGGCTTTTGACGAGTGCGGCCGCGACAGAGCGCTGGTCACGTGACACAAAAATAAGAACCCCCCTGGTTCGTCAAACCATTCGGGCGCAGTTTGAATGGGTTCAATTGGAATTGCATTCGAGAATTGCTTGCAGCGATATCTAGTACGGCCTCCATTTTGGATTCTTATCTCATCAATGGAGCGCCTTCGGGAGCTGCACGAGTTCTTTCGATGGCCCTGGTCGGACGTCAGAATAACTAACGACGTGACGCAGGCCCGAGACTTTCTAGCGCTAGAAGTCACTTTTCTCAATTTATGTAGATCATCTCTGGCGCTGGGGCTAGCTGCAGCCGCGGTGTACTTCCGTCGCCTCGATTCGTCGGAGCCCGACACCGCTCCGTTTGAGCTCGCAATGGTGTTTGCCCTCGCTGCAGTCGCTGTCATTACACCTCTAGTGGCCCTTTACAACTACATCCATGCCATAGTGGGCTTTAGGAACCTGGGCACCCGTTTCAGTAATACAGACATCTTCTGGGTGTTCGCAATCGTCGCTGTCATTCTGGCTCTCATTCTCAACTCCTATCAATACACAGTCCAAGGAGACAGTCTTGGGGATATGGCAATAGGGACTGCTTAATTTATATACAATGTTTTTATGAGTGCTCGGGCAGAGGGTAGGTCATGTGTCCGTTGGGCAAGAAACGTACCCGACGAGCATGTTTACGGTCGTCACGGCTGGCACCATAGCGGTAACCGACGTTACCGACCTTGGCATCTGTGAATCTGAACAGTGAGCGCTCGCCCTCTAGCTGTGGAGCAATGAAAGACACTTCTTTCTTGGTTGATCCCTCGGCGTGGTGATCGCCCTCCTGGGTCAGTTTTTCCAGGGTCACGGCGGCAGGCTCGATACCGAGAATCTTTGCAGCATCAACAGGCCCAAAGGGCTCGCTCTCGGCAATAGACTGGAACCGCTGGGTCTGGACTTCTTTGGGGATAGGAATTTCCGTCAGATCGTCGACGGGCCGCTCGGGCACACCGTTCTGGTCGGTACGGATCTCATCAAACATGGCTCGCATGTGGCGGGCCATTTTCTTCATCTCGGTTGTGATTGCGTTCTGGTTAGTATGCTCAGGAAGAAAGGGTTATTTAGAACCATGGGTGTGTCTTAAAGACTAATCGTTTCAAACATCACAGCCAATAGAACAAAATATAAAATAATAGTGTTCGAAAACTTACCTTTGATTCAAGATCCTGGTGGACCTCATTAAGTCGAATCACAGCCTCAACTCGGGGCACAGCGATACCGTACTTGAAAGAAAGCTGCTGCGAGGTAGCTCCTTTCGAGAGCTCGGCCAATAACGCGGCCTTGAGATCCGCGCCAATCAGGCGGTTGGATCGCGTGTACTTGTTTTCAGCAAACGGCTGGTTTGTCGGCTCGCAGTTGGTTGCAGCGAAAACTTGGGGCCAGTCGACCAACCGCTTTCCCTGACGGTGCCAGCTTTTGATAGGCCACGCAGGCAGGTAGCTGCTACGGTTATTGAACTTGGCATACGCAGGCGTAGTTGCCAGGGGGTTCTTGGTGTAGTAGCCCTTGAAGTTCTTGCGGCCAAGAAACTTTTGCAAGTCTCTTCGTCCAACCGTCATTTTTCACTGGTCTGAATAAGCGAAAACTCGAGGGCACGATTTGGGAGTTATGAGCACAAAGGAGGGGAAAGGGAGCGGTTCAGCAAGAGCTCATAAAGACCACAAACGGCAAGCTGCAGCAAACTAGTCTAAATAAAAACCCGTAATATGTCCTACACTAAAAGCGGTAAGGGTGGTCTGCCACCAGGTTACTAAACAGGCCAGCCTGCAAACGAATTTGTTCTTTTTCGAGAAAGTCCTCTTTCAGCTTCTCATCACGCTTGGCGAACTCGTCAGACGCTTGGTCGAAGTCGATTTTCTCCAGCCCCGCATGCTTGGCCTCGAGCTCCTCCTCCTTGGCCAGGTCAATCTCACCCAGAAGAGCGAGATTCTCACCTCGGATGATAAGCACTCCTCGGTCTGCCTCGGCATATTTGCCCTCTAGATAAATACGCTCCACGGTTTCTTGAACTACGAGGTTTCCGTAGCTGTCGAAGCTCCTGAGCACACCAAACAACGTGCGGCCATTTCTGAGCGACAGCGTCACCTTTTCTGAACAGTTAGTCGCAATCCATACTGACCCTCCAGGTAAAAAAACTTACTATCAACCAGTTCAAGCAGCGATGCTGCCGTTGTAAATACCTGAAGAGGCATCAAACCATCATCGATGTCGTTCATGATGGATACTGGCCTGCTGATTAATTGACGTCTGTTGAGACCAGATGGTAGTAGAGAATAAAAATGTATGTAGAACTAGTGAGCAGCCTCCTTGGAAGGGGACGCAAAGCAGCGGGAGTAGAAGGTTTCCCATGTCTCGATTGCCTCTTTCTGGACTTCGATTCCTGACTCGACCAGCAGTTCAATGGAACTGCGGAGATCCGTGAAGTTCTGGTAGCTCAGGCTTGCTAATTCTTTGACAATCAGACTAGCCACCTCGTTGGATTGCGTCCGCAGCTCCTCGTACTTTTGCTTGGCCTGGGCCAGGTCCTGCACCAATACCTCGTGACGGTCATTTTGCGTACGACCTTGACGCATCATTTTGTCAACAGCCTGCTGTTTCTTTTCCACATCGGTTTGGGCAGCCTGGGCCTGGGCGGTGATTCGCTGACGTGAATCAAGCGCACTCCGAACACTGCCGACTTGACGCAGCTGCTCCTCCAACTGGTTGCCAACCGACAACATCTCCTGCTGCCGGTGGCGGGCAATGTTGGCCGCGATCTTCTCGTGAACGTCGGCAAAGTGCTGTAAAACAGTACCCAGGCGTTTGGTAGGTTCAAGCACTGCTAGTGCCGACGTCACATTCGAAAACTCATCCAGGGCATCACTCAGCTCCTTGCGTTGGTTGAGTAGCGATTCGTAAACTCGGTAGGTAGTCCGTAAATCATGCTCGATGCGATCCAGGCGTGCTCTTTGTTCTTGCAACCAGATATCCGGCTCTTCGATCCTGCCCAAAAGTGACGACATGAACCCAGAAGACGCTACAGCTTCAATCTCATCTTCGGTAATAATACGTGTTTTCAAGTACTCGGAGAAGTCAGAATGAGTTAAAAACGCTTCTAGATCATCGTCGGCATAAAGATGCGGGTGCCGGACAATGTGGCGAAGCATCTGCTCTAGAGCCAGCCGGCGGTTCTCGATAAACTCATCGTTGAACCGCCCAACAACTTGCTTGTCGGGAGGGGGCGGCACAATCACACCAGGATGATTATGCCGCAATGCACGGTAAAGCCAGCGGAAGTCCCTATAACGTCTTTGCACAGCAGAGTCTGGAGGGTATTTGGCATAGTCGGTCGTGGTCGAGACCGTGTATTCCGTATGGGCACTGGCCAGGTCGCCAACACGACTAGGATCACCAACATGAATAGTGAAACTGGCTTGTGGCCTCTCGAGTACATAAGGGTCGGTGAGAGCCTGAGGAGCCGGTGCTGCCTTTGCAGCGGGGGCCGCAGTGGCCACCTCCGCGTCTTCCTTGGTATCTGTCACATGAACTTGAGACATTGCGAGCCGAACTTCATCGGTTTCATCAACATTCGCAAGTGGAACCTCGTCAAAGTCTTTCAATTTTCTATCTTTCGGTGCTGTGCCCAGCATCGATGCCCCAAGGGGATCAATATTGGCTTCGGACCCCTGGCTATCTGAGGGGTCGATGGTAATGACCTTCTTCTGCAAAGCCTTTCCCTTTGTTCTTCGCGGCAGTTCTGCTTTGCGCTGTGGAGATTTGGGCTCCTCATTCTGAGAGCTTGTCGATATCTCGGAATCGCCGTACGGTGATTTCTGTTGGACAAAATGCATGTGCTTTGACGGACCATCAGAAGTCGCAGTTAGCATAGAGAGTGGATCATCTTTCTGCTCGTCCCTGCTCAAGCCAGCACCTAATGGGTCATCAATTGACGATGCTGGAGCCGCAAAAGGGTTGTCGTAACCAGCCTTATCTTCGTCCTCTGACAGAGCCGCCCCCCATGGCGATTGAGCATGGTCCTCAAATGGGGCTGCTCCACCACCTAGCGTCGTCGATATAGGCACATGTTGACCCCATGGGGAGTCGTCTTCCTCTAGAAAATTCGACATGTTGTGATGGATACGGATACCTGCTTTCCCACGTATATGTCAGCGACAATGATGGGGTTGGGCCTGTCCACTATAGATGACTACTCAAAGTCAGAAAGGGCTATTTAGGGGAAGTTACCGACACTTTGCTCAATCTTTGACAAAAAAATAGCAGCACAAGAGGAAGCCTATGAGACACCAAACACAGGTACAACAGCAACGACCTATATCGATCGTTGAGCGCATTAAATAAATCGTAGGTCACATTCTATAGCCATGTTGAAAGCACGAAAGGCACCTCGGGAGTTACATCTCAGCTGGCCGTCTCGCCGTAAAGCGAAAAGAGCTTAATAAATATTAATAGATAAATGCCAGCTGGCTCAACAACGAGTTCTCGCAGGACACAATCTAACATAGCCGAGCGAAGTCGACTGCAGGCTACAGACTTGGTGGAGTGATCGGCATTGGAGATAATTATTCCGACATCCAGTAATTCGTACTGGGCAGATAGAAGCTGCGTTAGCGAGGTTAGGGGTCAGTGCATACTAAAGCGATATTTGTTGAGCCCTGCCAAGTGTCTATTAACCCTACATTGGAGCGAATACGAGTTCGTTACAGACTATGCACAGGCGACCGAACGCCGCTCTTTGGGAGCATAAAAGCTACTGGGTGCCAACAGGTGCGGGCGGGACATAGTATCCAGCCATCACCTGTGAATACCTGTGGCCTTAACTGTAAGTAAATTCCGATGGCTCTGGCCTGCATCGTAATGGACACTGGAAAAGGGTTTTGACCTCTAAGGGTACCCGCTGCCAATCGTTTCGAACTAAGCGATGCAATTGTTCGAAATCAAGCATTACTATGAGTAGGGGTTGGCAAACTTTTGCTCAAAACTTGATGTATATTACATAGTAAAATCTTTTGAATATACGACCCATTTTCCGAGGATTTTTTTGACTTGAATTAGCACCCAGAAAACATTCGGGAGAACTCCGTCACCACACCGTGGGGTTAGGGCCGAGTGAGGCTCACTTACAGCTTAGAGTCATGCACTTGTCTAAGCCCGCTAGGCTGCACGGCTTCAGTCGAGAATTTGACTTCAAATACCTTTGCACATACACACTCTACACTCTAGGTTAGCAACATATTTCTCCGGACCATCGGCAGGTTCAGCCGATGCCAATAAGTGGGCCTCCATCACCAGACCCGCCTGAACGCATGCGTTCCCAGCGACAGCAAGGGTCCCAGATCTTTCAAGGTTAGGGGGAAAGAAGCCACTCCGTGCGGTAGAACAATCTCTATGTAGTAATATGTTCTTATTCGCGTTAATTTGAAAAGTCGGTGTGCTAATCTTAGCGCTCGAGGCTCCAAGTAAACTTTGGCAACCTGGTGTTCGGGCGTTTCCAGGACACAAGAGGTGGAACGATCGCTAACGGGGATCTACCCATGTTTTGATCTCCGCGAGCTTGCCACCCGAGTCGACGGTCGATTTTCATGCATGTGAACTTTCCTGCATAGACATGCATGCATCAACCAAGCAATCTTATAACCGCCAACTCATGTCGTTAACTGCTTGCCTTGAGATACCAAATTTCGGAGGCGCATATATACAGCCGATAACAACAGCAAGGTCCTGGTGCCAATCGTTCCTTTGTTTGGATTTTAATTTCTGCTTGGGCAAAATATTTTTTTAACTCTCGTTGTTAGCCGCTGACACCTAGACGCCTGAGAAAATCGAAACTGTAACACAGCTACTCTCTTGTTAGCCAACGCCCGAAAAGTTCTTGTTTCTGGTATAAATTGTTGAACCGAAAAGCTCTGCCGAATAGAGGCTGTATTGTGAGAGTGTTTCATGACCACCAACTATACATCTCCCCTCCAGACAATTATCACCCCACGGAGTCAACCTTCACATTTCAAAGTTCGCAACCTTCCAATGAGTTGCAAAACAATTGACAAGTACGACATTGGTTCGACCATTTCAAACCCGGTGTATCAGGATAGTTCTGCGCCGATCGCAGATGCTGATTTGGAAATAGTGGAGTGGATGTGCTGCCAATGTGCATACTTTGAATACCCCGCCCTTAGGTTCGATTGCGCAAGGTGCCATCACGATCTCTGTCCATACTGTCCTCGCCGCAGAAAATGTGACGAGAAACATTCCGACGAGTAACACTCTCGTTTGTCCATGCATATCATTTATTCTATTTTATCTCTCTATCCGGCATATAATTTAACATAATCTCACATTCACTTGCTTCCCTCTTCCTCCAAATCTAATCGAGCGATCACATCAGAAATCGCACCAATACTTTCCTGCAGTTTTCGCATTCCTGACACGGCGATGTGAAGCCCATCAAAAGCAAAACATGTGGGGGCTGGGAAGTTTAGGTTTTGAACAGAGGCTAACCGCGGATATCGCTGGGAAAAGTGTGTGAGTACAATATTTTCTGCCATCATGTCTCGACCTACGCCCAAAGCCTCAGAAATTGTTGAGTGTCTCTTTGCAATAGCGTCATCGAGCAATTCATCCTCATGAGTAGCTTCATGAATGAGAACATTACAGTTTCTGGCCAGTTGAGCAAAGTACTTGTTTGGCCTGGTATCTCCTGAGTAGGCTACGCGGAAGGTCTCGCCATCTGGCAAATCATAGTCTAAAACACAGCTGTAGCTTCTATCACAGTGCACTGCACGACATGTTTGGAGCGAGAAACCTAGATTTTGGAAGATTTCAGTCGGTAAATTCCGGTCAGAATCCTTATTTGAGTATCCTGAGCCCACAATGAAACTTTCCAAATCAACAAAGTTGAGTCGGTTGAGATCCACTTCCTCGACATCAATACTCTCCCAAGCAGAAGCGAACTTGTAGATAGCTGCAGGACCCAGCAAATTTAAGGAGCCCTTGTTCTCGGCTTGCCAATGACGAATAAAAGTTAGGAGGCCAAGATGGTGATCGGCATGCATGTGACTGATGTAAACGGTATCGATTTCGTGAAGTCTTTTGCGCAGGCCATCTGGGCCATACAGCCGCTTTAAAGTGTTGAGTGCTCCTTCACCGCAGTCAAAAAGCAATGCTCTCGCACCATTCGTGGTCGGGACTCGAACTAGGGTGCTTGACACGTTTCGGTAGTTGGATGGAGCAGATGAACCAGTGCCAAGAGTTACCACGGTTGGTTCAGTATCCTTTAAATTGTTTTTGGGAGAGCATTCATTTTCTTCCTCACCCTCGTTTGCAACATATTTCACAGAATCACTAGTTGCGTATCCAGTTACGTCGTTTTGCTTGACTGGAATAAACGGGGCAGGTAACAATGCTTGGGCTTTTGCTTCATACGGGCGAGGTACAGAATCGGGAATAACTTGCCTCAAAGCATTTTGGAGCTTGAGAAGCTTCGTTAATGTCATATAATCCGGCGAGGTGGACGGATGCGAAACAAAATGGTGAGCATTGGGGTATTTAGCGGCAATGCTCGCTAGATCAGCGCTGTTGACGTTGACATCACTGCCTAAAAAGTAATAAATTCCGGAAACATTAACATCGTACTCACTTTCACCGTCACGCTTGCGCTTCAACTGTAAATCCCATTTGTGATTTGAAGCTGCCTGGACATGACCTTGAGTAGGCAGATCGAGTATAAGAACCCGACAAGGTGTAGGCGAAGGGCCTACAACTTCATGGGGCTCGACTTTGCGGCCTTCAGGAGTTACCACAGACTCTCCGCTGCTTAATTTTCCGTACATGGCCCCTGCAGGCACGCCCAAAGCCTTTGCCTTAGAAACAAGAAACTTCCCTCGACTCGGCAGTAACTGCACAATAAAGCTAGCCGATTCTGAGCCGTTAGAACCTAGAATAACAGACTCCACAGATATGTTCTCGTCTCGGAAAGAACTTGGACTGGCAGGGCTCAGATCAAGCGGAGTATGGAAAGTAAAGTGCTTCCAGCTTGCAATCATTCGGTTGGTTTTTTCATACAGCCCACCATGGATCTCCGATATTTTATGAACTTCTGCCAAAGACAGAAGATATCCAGGCAATCCACTCACCTGGGACCAGCGTAAAGACCCCGATAAAAAGATTCCACTGAGTTTGGTGCTTTTAGTCTTGTGCTGGACCAAAGACCGTTGGAAGCCTTCGCCCAACTGCCCAAAAATATATCTCTTGCCGTCTTTGGTCTGTAACAACACACTCGGGTGGCGAACATCACTACAGCTGTGCGTGAGCACAGTTATCGCCGGTTGCATTCTGTTGATGCGGGCAGCGAGCATGCACTTAGTCACTTTAAAAAAAATAGACACAGTATTTAGGCGCAGGCTGGGCAGTCCAAACCGGCTAGCTGATACTAAATAATCAAATAAAATAAGACAACACCCTATGCAATTTTTTTACTGGCCGAGACAAATCCTGATCCTTTGATGGTCAGCATCAACCCATCAGATTCCTCTCTAACAGTGGCTTGAGTGCCCATGAACGATTTGATCTCTCTTAAAAGCTGAACAGTACTGGCATCCATCATTTGCTTGCCAATCAAGAGTCTACCAACGTCCTCTTTGCCCAGAGCCATCATGACGAGCACCAGTGGGAGTTCAAGCCGTCCGACGGCACCTCTCATGGCCAATTCAGTGAGTAGCTGTCGACCTGCCTGCGCACCGAGTTCTTCGGGCACGCTACCAGCGTCGGCCACTGCCTGAGTTCCCACCGGCCAGCCAGAGCGAGTTTCAGCCACCAATGTGATACCAAAACCAGGGCTCAATCCGCTTTCGTCTCCACGGGTAGCATCAGAATAGACAAACGTTTCCACCTGGGCAGGCTTGAGCACAGCTCTGGCGGCTTCAATCACACGGTTAACAGAAGCAGGACTGACGCGGGTAGAGTACGCAATACCGCGGATCTTGTTCACTTGGATCAGATTCTGGGCATGGATTGTGGATGGCTGTAATACCTGGAAAGGCATGCGAAGAATGACTTCTCCTCCGCCTTTGGGAGCTGATCCTCGCTTTACAATACGCAATTCGGAGTCTAGAATACCGAATTTCTCAAGAGTTGGGAACAAAACTGTCCGGATTGCATCGACGCCCGCGTCTAAAGGTGCAGTTGTGATTCCTTTTAAAGTAATGGTCAACGGCTTCTTGCCAAACGGTCCAAGCCAAAGCAGCGGCTCAATAAAGTACCCGACAGCCCGTGTTAATGGCGCGTTGTGAGTGTGGGTACCACCAATAATAAGTCCTGGAGTATAAATAACCGTAGTACCAGTATAAGAGATCTCAAAGACGGATCCATTGGTGATAGCCTCGAGAAGACGAAGGAAAGAGACCTCATAGTCTCTCAAACCAGGATTCATGTCGTCGGGTCTGATACCTGTGATTTTGATCGGGGTTCCACTGAGCGTGGCCAGCGTCAAACGCTGTCTAAAATGGTCTTCACCTGAAAAGACCAGCATTTTTTGAGATTTTCAGAGCAGTATGAAAAAAAAATTGAGTAAGCATGAAACTTTAAAACTCGGCAGAAAACACAGCGATTGCTACAGGAACTGTTTGCCCAAGAGTGCTAAACTACGTCTTTTGAATAAAACTTCAGTTAAAATCAGGCTAGAAACAAGAACCGTTCGAAACAACCGAGGATTTGAACAACCCGTACCCAGCACATGTCCGTATAAATACCACCGCCTATTTTCTTTCCCCCCAAGGCCTGGTGACTAAGTATGTCGAAACGCCAGATGCCCATGGCCTCGGGGCCACAAAAGCGAATGCGGGACGACGGGACAGCAACGCCCAGTGGAAATCAAGCAGGCAGTGGTGGAGGCAGCAGTGGATTAAGTGGCATCGATCCTGACCAACTCACCGATGTCTTGTTGTCAGCTGGTGTAGATTTGCAAGAGGAGACATCACACCTCAGCAACAGTCTCAACAACGACGGGTCTGCCGCCGGAGGCGCACCAGCTCAACCAGTTGTTGACGTAAACAATCTTTTTTTGGACTATACAAACCTCAGCCGGCTGGTAGAACGCACCGCCAAAGAACAAGGACTGCGACCCTTGCTCGACTCAGAGAACCCCGAAGTGGCTGGCTTGTTATCTGCGGCTTGTGAAGAGTGGATCGCGGAGGTTTTGACTACCACCGCACTGTATTCACGGCACCGTAGACTTTCTCAAAACGACCAAACCAGTACGGTTGGACGCGCGTTGCGTCAGCTGGTTCACCAAGACAAAGAAGCAGAGCAGCGGCACCAGCAGCAAAAGATATCAATGGGAATTGGATCTTCAGGAGACTCGAAATCGAAAGAGTCGGAGGAAACTATGCACAGGGCGGCCAATGATACCGCATTAATGATGACAGCTAGTAAGAAGAGATACTCGTGGCTATCTGGAGGCTCCGCGGGAGCTGCTCATGCGGCGCCTGCCCCGCGCACTAGAGAGTCCGAAACCACGCGATTCAAGGAAGTCAAAGAAGAACAGGCTATTGTACTACGCGATCTACTGGCCGCTTTGGAAGAGAAGCACATGGGCGTCAAAAAGATACTCATCAAAGGCTACGCTCGTGCTCGTGATTGAAAGGAAACCCAGGAGACATCTAACTTGTTTTTATTTTATTGAATTGACGCTGGTCCGTCTTTTTTCACCCATAGTGACGACTTGTTCTTAGGTATTTTAATAGGCATTCTACTTCCTCTATGACTAAGCAAGCCCACGCATCCTCCGCTTGTTTACAATGTTCAATCTCGCGGAAACATATCGCGAGTTTATGGATAATGCCGATAGTTTGGTTGGCACGCCCAGTACTGCTCTGGAACATATAGTGGAAGTGCTTGCTGTTGACCCAGAAATGGTTATTGATGAGGATACCTGGCAGGCGGTTTTAGATCTCCATGGCGACGCGAGCCAAGATCAAGATCAATTGGTAGATCTGGTTATCTCTGGCCTCGACTCTTCGCTTAAACTCTTGAGAGAAGCAATGGCGGCTGTCGATACCGACAGGCTCATCACGTTACGTGAAATGCTGGAGAAATACGCGTTTCAGGCTCACTGGCTGTTGTGTCGTGCTGAGGAACAAATATCACCTGTAACGGCATTACCAGGAACAAGAGGCGAACAAGGTAGTGAGGTCCTTGCCGAATCACTTTCTCGTCGTCCCCGATCAGCTGGACCTGTCGGTGTTAGATGCAATTTGATTTTAGCCGCGTTCACTAGAGTGGTTTCTTCTGGCCTGGAGGCAGTTCTTCCGACGCGCACAGAGAGGGACGCTTTTGCTATTCTTTATATGCGCCCATCGATGCGTATTCTGGAGCATGAAATTGTCGCGAAGGACGCAGAGCTGCGGCGCCATGCTATCAAGGCGATTTGCATTGGTATTAAGCGCCAATCACAGCTTCCTTTCGTCGAGCTCCAAGTCGTTCAGCTCCTGTGTTATTATGAGCATATCGCGGAAGTGATTGTTGAGCTCATTGTTGTTTTAAAAGAACAATACGACCATCGCGCTCTTTTTGAGTCTATGCTAAAAAGTTTGACTAAAGACTGGACGAATCAAGACACCGGCCCGAAGAATGTCGCTGCGTTTATATCCAAGCTGGCTGGCACAGCACCCGATCTTATTCTTGAGCAGCAGAAGGAGATAATTTCATTCGGCGACTCTAATAGTCAGCCATTAAGGTCGGCAGTTGTCGAGGTGTTGACAACCGTCGTGATCTATTTGTTATCACAAGATGCCAGTGCTGAAGATGCTGAAAGCAGATTAGAAAAGATCAAGGAGCTGATGGAACTAGTTATGACTCGGACGAATGACGTGTCGCACTTCGTTAGGTCTAAAGCGGTACAATGTCTCACGTTGGTAGTGAACTCGCAATTGCGGATCAACCATTTGAGAGCAGAGATATCTGCTCATGCTGTGATGAAGTGCAAGGACCGATCTCAGTTGGTACGCCGCAATGCTTTCCGGTTGATGACTGCTTTGGTCGAGACCCATCCGTTCCGCCTCGGAAATGGTCGCTTGTGTTTGGCATCATGGCGGAGTAACCTTGAAAAACTTGAGAATGAACTAGAGAGTTTTATCGAGGAGAGTACACAGGAGCTTATCAACTTAAGTATGGAGACTGCTCATGACATTGAAAGTGTTTCGCAAGACAAGGATACCTCTATGGTTGAAGAATCTGAGCCAGAGTTGGACGTAACAGAGGTCGATGCTGAGGCTGAAGTTGAAACTCTGAGAAGTGAGGACCCCCTGCCAATGAACGCCGAGCGAGCTTCGGAGGTAGTTTCGGCTTTAGAGCTTCAAATCAAATATCACAGAGATGCTGTGAAATTCATTGAGCATGTCGTCGACTGCATCGACACTGCATACGCTTTGCTCGGTTCGAGATCTAAAGCGGATCTGATTGATGCTATGGACTTCTTTTACGTTTGCAAAATGTACGGCGTTGAAGAGGCTGACAAGGGTATACGCACTAGCGTTCACCTTGTGTGGGTTACAGCCAACAATGATGAAGATGCAGCAGTTTTGAACAAACTTGTTTGGTTGTACACAGAGTTGTATTTTACGCCGCCCCAAGCGTTGGCACTTCATGAAGCTGCCCTCTATGTGGCGGGTAATCTAATTGAACTGGCGATCGGTTCCGATTTGAACGGTCTTTCTTCTTTGGAGAAGCTTTTCTCTCTTGCTGAAGAGAGCGGATCGATCACCCCACCGGTTGTCGCTTTGCTCTGGCGCATATATGGCAGTGACCAGCCGTCGATCACTCCCGAACGCAGAAGAGGTGCAGCCATAATTCTGGGAATGCTAGCCAAAGACAAGCCTGAAAACGCTCGGATGGGCTCCCACGTACTCGTAGAGATAGGGCTTGGTGATTTGGCGAAAATTGACATAGAATTGGCCAGGTACACTGCGATTATTCTTTCTAGGCTCCAGACTGAGCAAGAATGGAAGCAATCGACGCCACCTGCCCGCCTCGAAGCTAGCCACGAGATCTTCCAAAAGCTTGGCGAGCTTCTGCTTTTACCGAATCCGGATGAAAAATGGTTTGCGTTTGCTCAGGCTGCTCTTCGCACTATCAACAATCTTTGCGAAGAGGCCGTTGTGGTATTTGACACTCTACTCCGGGCCTTTCATGAAGCAGGTAAGGAGACTGACGACCCTGAGTTGGAACAGCAGCTGTTCTGCCAGGAGATATTTGTGGCAGGAGAGATAGCACTAAATCTTGCTATCGACTTGGATCGTAGCGAGTTGATGTTTAAACGCCGTTTCCGGGAAGAAGCCTTGGCCAAAAACACCGAAACGAACGATAACAGTGAAGAAGACGATCTCAAAATGGTTGGTGGCAGCACGGAAGACGATTTTTCAGAAGCGGTACGAGAAATACGAGAAAGGGAGCTTCTTTTCTCCGATCGCGCCATGCTAGGGCTGTATGCACGTATGGTTGTCGATCTTTGCGCCACAGAAGTTGGAACGCCTCATTCGGAAAAAGTGGGTATCTGTCTGTCGCTGTCGCTGCCTAAATTCATGCTTGTGAGCAGCATATTTGCTGAAAAACAGCTTCCGTTGATGATGCAGCTCGCCGAAGGATCGTCCCGACCAGTTATCAGGGCGAACCTTGTTGTGGCGATGGGCGATTTGGCCATGTGCTTCAATCCGTTGATCGACAAACACACCGAGTTTCTGTACGGAAGACTCAGCGATCCGCACAAGGAAGTCCAGCGCACGGCAATGACCACCCTAACCAACCTTATTTTGAAAGGACAGATCAAGGTTAAGGGTCAGATTGTGGGGATGGCGAGGGCGCTGGAGTCGAAGGATGAGGAGATCTCGCGATTGGCACATGTTTTCTTTGCCGAGTACAGTACAAAGGACAATGCTATTTATAATTCGTTCTTGGACATTCTAAGTGGACTGTCTGTAGATACCGACCTGTCCGACGCTGCCGGTGAACGCATTGTCAAGTACATTAGTGCATATGTTACGAAAGAGAGGCAAATCAAACAGCTTGAAGAGCGATTATTGCAACGCCTTGATAGGTGTGCCACAGAGAAACAATGGAATTACACCTGCTACGCTTTGAATTCTCTCAAAGGTGATCGGGATGATGCAGTATCCGAGAAAATTGCAGCAGGGTTTAAAACGGTAGAAAAGGTTGAGGATGCGCCAAAAATTAACGAAGACGCTGAAGACGTGCACGAACAACCGTTCGCACCGGCACCGAGCACTCCGACTCGTAGTCCGGGGGTACAGGAGCCCTAAATATTACCTTTGTGAGCACATAGCATGATGATCTACAGACACTGCAGCATAATTTATGGTTGATTTGTCACGCCAGCAGGTCTAGAGCGACATACGAGTCCTGTGGCAAACGGGCTGCATGCTGCATTTGCAAAACTATATGCACGGCGTGGTTAGGCGAGTAAAAATTTTCTATCTCCACAAAATGTTTTTCGAGATCCCAGGCGTTAATAATTGGTATATAACTGGAGTGGGTGTGCTGCTGAGCCGCATAAGCACTCTTCCGAGGAGGCATCTTAGTAACCCGAATAGGTTTTTTCTTCTTATTTCATCACTATTGCGAACAGAAAAGGTATGGACCAGCTGCAAGAGTTAGCAGGATTTTTGGAATGTGGACAGGAGAACGTTCAGGAGATTGCCCTTGAGAATTTGCTGCCGTACACCCGGAGTGACATTGGCAAGCATCATATTTTTAAGGCAAATGATTACGGTGCGGTTAGAAGTTTGAAGAAGTTAGCAGTGAGGGCCAAGTTTCAACGGAACGCCCTAAGTGCGTTGGTTAATTTGTGCGATGATAAGGACGTTCGGGACTTTATTGCTTCAGACCATAAAGCGTTGGAGTATTATTCGTCGGGCATTCTAGAGAATTCACCCAACGTGGGGCTGTTTTGTATGTTGTTGGCTAACTTAGCCCATTCGGAGGAAACCATCGATTATTTATTGGCTAAAGGCGGCATCCGTCTAAAAAGCCTTATTGACCAGTTTGTTAATGACGCCTCACCTGCCTACGATTACCTTGCATTCTTTTTCGGCGAGTCAGCGCGCAGCCGGCAAGGTGCCGCATTCTGGGCGGACGAGGAGCTGCCCCTGGCAAAGATCGTGCCCCAGATTGTTTTTGAGTCCGTCACCCGGAGAGCAGGCGTAGTGGCCACTGTGAAAAACACTTTGTTTGAGGTAAAGTTCCATGAGAAGGTCATCGAATCGGGCGCAATCGAGTACATTATGATCGCTCTCAAGGGACCGGAACCCTTGGACGAGGAAGACACCGCCAAGCTTCCGGATATTGTTAGATCGGAAATCGGCGACGATAAAAAGCGAGAGGACGACCCCAACAGGCAGCTTACTCTGGTTGAGTGCCTCCTATTACTTTCCTCTTCGAAAGAGGGCCGCGAAGCTCTCCGCAACAAAAGTGCTTATTTTATTATTCGTGAACTCCATCTGGCTACGCAAAACGTCGGCGTCCAGGACGCCTGCGAGCGTTTCGTCAATATGGTAATGCGTGGAGAGCCCGCAGAGGCCCGGCTCAACGAAATTGAGTCTGAGGAAGAGGAGGTTGTTGAGGTCGTCTAACAAACGCCCAGAAATTATCGCCAAGACGCTCGTTAGCCTCGTCATGGCCCCACCCGTATATATTAGCAATCATGGTTTGCGATTGCTGTAAAAGATGCATCATTTTCTCACCTGCTTCTCCGTAGTCACTCTCTGATAACACCAAGTGCTCTGGAACACTCTTCAATAGCGACTCTGCCTTGTCTTGGTTCGGCATGTTTACAATTACTGCCCCAGACACGTAGACTGGGAACGTGAGCTTTGACCACTGCTGCGTATAGAATTCTGTAGACCCAGAGTACGAGTGCAGACACACCGCTGGTAACGAAAACTGTCTCACCGAGTCAAACAGTGGTCCCGGCGCTTGGACACCATGCAGCGAGACGGGTCTTTTCAATTCCTGGGCTATTGCTAGTTGTCTCTCGAGGACAAGCCTTTGGTGGGATATTTGCACTCTGAATCGGCTCAATCGCTCGTTGATTCGCACTCGGAATGCCTTATCAAGGCCCACTTCTCCTACTAGCGCCGTAGGCTCGTTTACTAAGAGCTGCTTGATGTAGTTTAAATAGGAGTCCATACTCATTGGTTCTGGCAGGCTTTCGATTTCCTCCAGTTCCGGTGCTGGCGTAAAGACTCGTTGATAGTGATCGACTTTAGAGCCGCCGGTCGATAGCAGGTAGCTCCACCACGGATGCAAGCCAAAGGCCACAATGACGTTAGGAAACTTGCTGCACTCCTTCACGTGCTCGATATCGTCGGGCCTGGTGCTCATCACACACAGAGTAGCATCCATTGCGGGTATTTCGCCCAGCTTGGAAGGCACTTCTGCCGGATGGCAATGAGCGTCATAAAGCATAGTGATTACTGTATGTACATGAGACAAAATAATGGGCTAGAACTGAAAGGTCGTAGAGGTTCTTGATTTTAATGGCAGTTGCCTGGCGGTTAATCGAATGACAGTGCCGCGGAACGGGTCTAAGCAGATACTCTATCTGACTCGATCAGACTAGGCAAATCTTTACCGCCCAACCGGACAATAGTAGATCTGAGCATACGAGCATCTGAGTCCAGTGCTCTTTTGATCTGACGCTGCACCGACGGCGACGAGTCGAACTTGAGGTAGAAGTGTGCGGCGATTATGTGACTCTGGCGGTTTTGGTTCCAGATACGAGGCAGAGGACGCACCCCCCAATTTTCTACCTGGCGAATAACGCCTCTGTTCTTCAACACCAGTCCACCAATATGCTTCACAACCTCCGCTGCCTCTTTGGTGTGGTTCTCTGATGCGCACCGTGCGATTCCAACAAGCTCGTAAAGCATGGTTACTAAGTTTTTTTCACCGCGAGAGTCAAATATCTGAGGTAAGATATGCCTGAGGTAAGATGAGGTGCTAGGCGCATGGGCACGAGAAGATGCACATGAGGAGATAAACATAGGAAGAGGAGATACAAATGAAAGGCTATCGTAGCAGCATACAGGTTAGTATATAATGAGCTCAGCTCTAATAAAAAGAAGTGTTAGTGTATCATGAAGGGATCTCTGCTACAAGGAACGGGATAACCATGTCTTCTAGGCAGGAGCTGAGATGGATCTGGCGGTTGGCAAAGTCTTCAAACATTCGCACAGTTTGGTTCCACTCAGCCAGAGAGCGTGAGCCGTAGTTGTAGTACAGGAGCTCGCTTGCTTTGCTCATGCCCCGCTGCTGTGGCAGCGAGCACAAAGGCTCAGACTCGAACGGCAGGCGCGGCAGTGTAAGCTTCCGCTTGGCGCTGCTGTTGCTACCAGAGCTGGAGCGCCGGGCCGAATGAGCAAGGACAAAGCGGTACGGGGAGCGCTGGATTATAGGTCGTCTTTCGAGTAACTGCGGCGGAGCGGGAACGTCCAATGGGCTCACTGAATCCTCCTTGGCCGTTTCCTTTTCAGACTTTCTTCTGCGGAATACCTGCCACCTGCGGGTCTTGGTTTCTTTTTTCTCCTCGCTGCTCGGCTCGACTTCAACTTCTTGCTTGTCGTTCATGGAGGTTTCGTGCATGCTCGCCATTGAAGAATAAGAAGAGCTTCGACTGTTCTGACGACTCTGCGACCCCTGACCACCATTCCCATAGTAGGCCACATTATCGAATATATCGAACGGATAGGCCCGATGGTGACCATCCTCAGCCGAACCATTTTGATTCGCACCACTGTACACGATTTGAATCAATCGGCCAGGAACCGGAGACATCGGGCTTGGATCATGGTTCTGCGGCGCTCTGGAAGCAGAGTTGAAACACTGGTTGTATGTATCTTTCAACCGGATGGCCAAAAGTGATCTAGCGGCCGAGTGGTACGAAGCCCAGTCGGTCTGGGCGATGAAATCCGATGACGGGCCGGCAGATACAATGCGGAATACCAACAGCCTATGATAGTAGGAACGAACAAGTGGATTCCAATGACAGAAATAACGCTCCCAAACCGGTTCACTCAAAATCCACAACGTAACATCCCCCAACAGCGACGAACTGTGAGGGCAGAACAGCAGGGACATCGGGCCATGGTGCGGAGGAAGTTTGTTTTGCAGTCGGTTCAAAACACGAGAATGCGGCGGAGGATTAGGTGCAACTTCTAGCTTCATCGTACCCGAGCGTTCCGGCAGCATGGATGCCAAGACGGCCGGGTCATACTTTTGACGAGTAGAGTCTGCATTAGCCGCCGCAAGGGCATCGTACATTTCGCTGGTAAACTTGGGTGAAGATAGCGAGGTTCCTGTCTTTGACAGTTGCTGCAAGCTTTCGGACGACGAGTAATGAGACGTAAGGGTCGAAGAAGATGCGTTGGTAGTGAGCGTAGTGCTTACCGACGAGTCGCTGGAGAAATGAGACATTTTGCTCAGGTCGTAATCGTAAGGCATAGGAATGTATGGCAGCAGGGGGACGGCTGAAGTTTCACGCCCAGGGAGGTGTCCCCAGATGTTGAACAAAAGTGCCAGCGATCTGATTTCGGTGTGACAGTTTTCGCTTGTGATCATACGCTGGCAGACATGAATCCAAAATAGCCAATCCACTGCCTCGTGAAGATGATGCGTCTGTTGTCGTACAGACCGGGGATGGTACAAAGTCAAGCTGGCAATCCATTCTTCCACCAAGTCGCACAGTGACACGCATGCATTCATGTTATACACGCAGATGCTCTTGGCAATAAGCTGAAAAATCCTGTCGAATTGTAAAGCATAAGGCTTCCAGAACGGCAAGCACTCGTTGTCGTTGTGCAAAATCTCCCGGATGCTCGTCAAGATCCGCAACCGGTCCACCCGGGAAATACGTCGGGACACGGAAGGTGATCGATTTGGAACCCCATCAATCACAGGATATGGTGCTGAGATATCGGGCATTACATTATTCGCCGATTGCGAGGGCACTGCGGGGGCAATTTGAGCTTCTAGGAAATCCAGAATTGCTGCTTGGAGGTGGAAGATACCGGGGGCGGCCAAATGCGCATGCAGCCAATTTTCACTTTCAGGGAGAGATAATACCGATAACAGAGAGTAGTAATGCTTGAAGAATGAAGCAAAGACCTCAGTGCTTGCGTCCCACCTTCGGGACCACGCCCCGTATAACTCGGGAACCGCGGCGATTGGTTTTTTAATGATCGCTACCGTATGGCCTACCAGAGGCTGACAGTGGAGCGGGAATGCTGATTTGAGAGAACTTATGGATGGGTCCGAAGAAGGCGGCAACGAGGCGTGAGCAAGTCTGTCTAAAGACGATTGCTTAACACGCAATAAATAAAGCAAAGGTTCAGCAATCCCTGGACAATAGAAAAAACCATAGGCAAGTACTTTTCCTAGGAACGCACCCATCGCCAAGGAGACTGCTGACCCAACTGCAACCCTCTCGACTGCATGGACGACGGTTGATTCGAGCAACTTTTCGTATTCGAGAGGTGCACTGAGCCATTCTGGGCGGGCCATAAGAAACGAAACAGCCTCATAGTAGGCCCCTCTTTCCGCGGATGATGCCGAAGTCACGTCGTCCAGCAATCGGGCCCACCACTGTTGAAACACGTGTAGTCGGGCAGACAATGCAGCCGGCTGCGACGGCCCGGATGCCGACAAATTAGTACGTAGGAACGGTAAAAGCCTTACTCGAATAACATTTGTTTTCATAGCTCCTGATTTCGAAACAAATCTTGTGTAGGCAGCGCTTAAAGCAGCTAGCTCCGGGCTGGCGTGGCGCTTGCCTGCCTCATCGTCCTCATGAAGGATCTCCAATGGGTTGTGCTGCTCAAATGAGGCCAATAACATGCTGGATCTGTTGGAGAAAGACGACAGAGTGGCCGTATCTGGAGAACTGAAGCTTGGCTCAGAGGCCGGCTCCTCGCTTGAAGGAATGGAGCCAACAGACTTTGAAGGCGACCTGCGCTTTCGACGGGACAGCATTTATTTTTCCTTATTGGCGATAAGAATAGAACAATGGCAATGCTCTCACGTTTGGCCAAAAGTTTGTGCTCACGAATTCTATCAAAAGGCGAGTTGAGGTTCCGTAGTCCTTTTTTAAACTCTGGTCAGCACAAAAGCAAGCCTGCAGCACGCTACAAGCACTCCGTCTGAGTTTTGTCTTAGCCTGCATGTTGGGACCTTTTCTAACCCTGTGGGTGAGGGCTACTTGCTAAAACTGCATGGCAAACGACCAATAATAGACTATAAGAAAGAGATTGAACGACCAGCAAATTAATATAACTAGAATATTCACAAAAGGCAAAATTCGGAATCACGGAGTCGCCAAGCTGAAACACGAGCCCACCTTTTAAATGAGGGGCTATGGGTGTACTGCTATCCAGCCTCCGTGCGTCATCGGCGGTGTGGTTTGGACTGTATTTTTGGCTGGCCTCCGCCAACTAGATAGAGGATCCCTAGCTCCAGTAATTATGCGAGGCTGAGAGAATTGTTGCAAAAGACCCAGAATATTTATTATTATATTAACCCGATAATCCACTCATTTAAATCGCATATCGGCTTGGTAAACTGTTTCACAATACTCCGATTGAAAAAAAAAGCAATCGGATGTAACAACCTCACGTCGCCCACTGCTCGGGTCTGCCACTACCCTACCTCTGCGCGCTGCACCTAATCTATTTCTTAGTTTTCCTCGCCGACCCTAACCTGAGCGGTCATCGCGTGCATGGGAACCTGACCCTCCGAAATGACGGGGCTTTTCTTGTTGGCCTTGAATCAGAACGTGACCCACGCCGCCAAAATTCACTAGATGTGGCGGCAATTATCCGCCAGTGCAAGCACAATCGGCTCCCACCCCGCTTCTTGTAGTGCCCTCAAAAAATAAACTTCCAGACGGCTCAGCTCGGGCAAACCGGAGGCCTTGTTGAGAGTTAGTCAATTTGCTTACTGCCCTGCAGCATTGAGTTCGCTTTCCCAATTAAGTAATTCGTTAACGCTCTGTGCATTATCATGGAAAATCATCCAGTTGGGCGGTTAACCATGATCGAAATGGAGCTTTTTTTTCAAAGATACCTTAAATATTCGAGCAGCTAAGCATCGGCCCAGACTATATCCTGGACCAACCCAGCCCCGAGATACATATACTTATTAAACTACAGAAACGGGGACTTGCTCTGGCAATCAAAACATGGCTCTCTAGAGTGGCCTGGCCCCCAGCCACCAAGATTCGGGGTCTCAGACCACACCTTGGGTTCCTCTAGACCCCTTAGGCTGACACCTTCTTCCCATTGCCCTTGACTCGCCGCTTGCGGTGTGCAGGCTTGAATGTGACAAGTTTCTTGGCCTCGTTAATGTCCGCTAGACCGAATTGACGAATCCGCTTGAGGCGGAGCTCAGTGTCGGTCGGATCGGTGGCAAAGCGCTTGTGTCGTTTCAGCCGCTGCTCCAATTCGTCGATAACCCGCTGCTGGGCTTCGGCCTGGCTCATTTCCGGCTCTTCGGGCTCTGCAGGCTCCTCGACCTCCGCTGCCTGCGTGGTCTCGGCTTGAGCAGTCTCTCTGTCTGCAGTCGAGCTGGGGCCCTCTTCTCCGGGCTGCTCGCCTCCAGCAGCTTCCACTGGCACCGTAGAATCGCCCGTCGAGTTGTCCTCTGCCGCAGGCTCAGTCGCGTCTCCAGAGACTGCGTCACCGGCCGGCTCGCCCTTCGCGGCATCGTCCGCCTCGAGTCGATTCACAAGCTCCGATTTGGTGCCAGATAGCGGCAGGTCTCGCTCCTTCAGCAGCTCCTTGAGCTCGCTAACCTTAAGCTTCGTGTAGTCTGTCATTTTCGGCCGATGTGTAAGCTGGAGATTTCGCTGGATATATATATGCTTTTCCTAAGTAGGGCTTGATGCTACTATTTTATTATACGCTCAGAGTCATTGAACTGACAGAATGTCTATGCTAAACACAATTGTACCCCGCCATTAGGCTCCCAACGCTACATCTTTCCTCGGATCCTTCATTCCCCCACCTCCCTTTGTAATCCCCACAATCGCAACTATGGGGAAAGCATTTCAGGTTATTGACGAGAACAAAACGTTCAGTAGCGATCTCGCGAATTACTTCAAGGATGGGAATCTTGCTGAGAGTGGTCTGAACTACCACCTGGTCTCGGTCTTCGGGTCGCAGAGCACCGGCAAGTCGACGCTTCTCAACGCACTGTTCGACACGGAGTTCGGAGTTATGGACGAAAAAGCGCGAGGACAAACAACAAAAGGAATCTGGATGGGTGCCGCATCCCAAAAGTCTTCTAATTCCAAGGCCGATATCATTATATTAGACGTTGAAGGCACAGATGGGCGGGAACGCGGTGAGGACCAAGACTTTGAGCGTAAAGCAGCTCTCTTCGCTCTCGCTACTAGTGAAGTGCTCATTGTGAATATGTGGGAATCCCAAGTCGGCCTCTACCAGGGCGCAAACATGGGTCTGCTCAAAACTGTGTTCGAAGTCAACTTGTCCTTGTTCCAGGCCGCCAACAAGAAATCTCCGAAATCTCGCATCTTGTTTGTTATTCGTGACTTTTTGGGCAACACTCCTCTGGAGAACCTCGCAGAGACTTTGCTGGCGGATCTAAGCAAGCATTGGCATAGCCTGGCCAAACCCAGCCCGGAGCTGGAAAACTCGAAAATTTCTGACTTTTTTGACATTGACTTCTCGACTCTGCCCCACAAAGTTCTCCTTCCAGAAAAATTCTCTGAAGCAGTCGATCACTTGAGAGAACGGTTCCTGGACGAGACCCACAAAGAGTTCGTCTTCCATGAGGATTATCACAGAAACGTTCCATTGGATGGCTGGCCAATGTACGCCGGCCAAATCTGGGAACAAATTGAGCTCAATAAGGACCTGGATCTGCCCACCCAGCAGATTTTAGTCGCCCGTTTCCGCTGTGTCGATATTGCAAACCAAGCATGGGCACAGTTCAACAGCGACCTTGAGCAGTTGGACGCTCCTTTCGGCACAGACACTTTGATCGAGAACTTTGGGCCTCCTCTTGGTTCTATTCGCACTAAAGCATTACACACTTATGACGAACTAGCGAGTCGCTACACTAAAACTATCTACGCTGAGAATCGATTTGAGCTTCTGGGCAAGATTGACGGACTCCTCACCAGCTATTATCGCTCCCAGCTGGCCGCAATCCAAACGTCTGTTTTAGCTATTTTCTGGGCCTCTCTTTCGAAGCGCGATCCATCGGTGCCGTTTCACAAATCATTGCTTGCGGTTGAGATGTTTGCCAAAGAAAGCTATCACGCGGCTGCCCTCGAAGCTACAATTGACAAGGACTTTTATTCCTTCTCAGTTGAAGAAGCAACTTTTTTTGACGTTCTGAGCAGCGAGGTTTCAAAAGCCCGAAAACAAGAGATGGCTACTATTGCAACAAAACTAGGCAAGCAAGTAAAACGTCAGCTTGGGGCAAAGCTTCCTGCCATTCTTACTTCTGCCGATGAAAATACCTGGGATAAGGTTCAGAAACTAATGGAAACCGAAATCTCAGCTATTCTTGTCCCCTATGATGGTGGAAGCGATTTCCACCTCGGTGGTGATGCTAAAGACAATGCTCAAGGTAAAGGGACCGTTGAAAAAGCCGCATGGGCAGCCCTAGATGCTCAACTGAAAGATTACACTCGTGAAGAATGGCTTATGGCTCGATTAAGGGATCGATTTGAGGACAAGTTCAGGTATGACGCAGAGGGTATTCCTGTAGTTTGGACGCAAGGGGACGATGTCCAGGCAGCGTATATTCGCTCACGCGATCATGCCTTGCTGCTTCTTCCCGTCCTCTCGAGCGCCAAATTACAAGACGGTACTGTTCTGCGTAAGCCAGAGCATCTCAGTTCTGAAAATGACGATGAGATAGACTATGAAGAGCTTGTGGACCCAGCGACGGCCGAGTCATTGAGAGCGCAGTTCAAGCGGTTCGCTGACACTGCATTTGTTGATGCTAAACGTGCAGTAGCCCAGTCTGCGTCCCATGTGCCTTACTACATGTGGCTGGTCGTTTTGGTTCTTGGCTGGAACGAGTTCATGATGGTGCTCAGAAACCCGCTGCTGGTTGTTCTACTGCTCATGCTTGGTACGGGTGCTTATTTTGTGGTTTCAATGAATCTTGGAGGTCCAGTATTATCTGTGGCTGATGCAATGATTCAAAGAGTCACCGAAGAAGCCAAGAAACGTGCTCGCGAATACTTGATTGAACAAGACAACCGGGAGGTACCTATTGAGCTCCAAGATTTATCCAAAAAGGAGAACCCCAGGCAGGAAGAAACCACTCCGGCCAGCGAATAGACTATAGTCCCCGCGTTTTTTTCGTATTTGCAATAGTTTCGCAATATTTTATAGACCCTGCATTGGGGCCTGCATGTTTAAGGGCCGTCTACCCTGAAGCCTGCATCGAACTCCACTCTTACAAGTGGGAACTTACGATATTGCAGAATCTGCCCACTGATCAACCGCCATGCACCAATCGTCTATTGCCGCCTATCTGGCGGCCTTTTGTTTGGAGGCGCTAGCAATTGCCACCTGCCAGCAGTCGCTGAGCGCGCCGTGGCTCAAATCAGAGACTGAGAGCATCAGCCTAACCAAGCGGTGTATCCAGGGCTTTTGCGAGAGCTTCCCGCCACCGCAGTACTGCTATTCTAATTCTTCGTTCTGCGGCAGCTGGAAGACCTGTGGCTTCCTGACGGCACTGTCCTTTATTCTTAATGCAGCGGTCCTGCTAGTGCTTGCTTTCAGCCTTCTATTCAAGCGTCGAAAAAAGACGGTGGTCCTTGTTCGAAACCTCCTTTTTGTGTCGATCATATTTCAGCTGGTTACCCTGGTGGGCCTGCCTATAGTCGTCGATTCGGCCGACCTGTTTCGCAAGCAAGATTGGCAGTGGGCGGGCGGCTACTACATGCTTCTTTCGTCCGCAACCTGCGGATTGTTTCTGCTTTGTGAGATGATGGTGTTTCGTAGCATTGTCAAGCTCCACGACGATCATGAAATGGATAGTGATGAGGAGGACTCACATTTTAGTGAGACCCTCGACCAGGTCTCAATTGACGAAAACGTGCCCGAGGAGCAGCTTGACTTTTATATATTCAATAAGCAAGCTCGTCGCTCGGCACTGAACAGATATACATGACCCTATTTATCGATGTAAACAAGAGCCTTGTAGCTTTGAGACTTAACGACGCACAGATCAAATATAAGCGTGCGGGGTAGCAAACCTACTCCCAATAATATGTTCCCCATGACCCTGTACACTCTCATCATACCTTATCCACCCCACCAACAGTGGTGTCCAACACCTTTATTAGACTTTCCCCACAGTCCAGAACCCTGTGGGTCTGAGCGGACGGTTGCAACATGTGAACCCTAGCCCACAATTTTGGTAGCTAATTTGGGACAATATTTACACATAACATCTCACTTGACGGATCTTGGACGCTGCAGCCTTCACGCTAAAATTCAGCTTGGTACTAGAGACGTACGACTATGACACGATACGCTGAGATAGGTGCTGATGACCCTGTTCAGGAAGAGAACTCGTTCTCCGAGAACGAGGCAGACGTTCTGGAGGAACCACAAACAACGAAATCCCAAATCCGAATGAGGCCTATTGACGACGAAAACGAGTTTGATTTCGAGGTGGCACCAATGCCTTCTGCTGTTTTGAGATCGCCTGCTCGCGGCGACATCGACGATACGCTAGACTTGGTTCAAACACCAGATGTGACCGCAATTGAGGCAGATGCTGCCTCGCCCACCAGGTCTTTCAAACACCTTGGAGCATATGTGTCCTCGCCTGAGCGTCACCAGGAAATAAGTGAGGAAAACGCCTACCTTTCTCCCATGCAGGCGGCCTCGGGGTCGCCCAAACGCATGGTGCGCTCGGAGTCGGAAATCCAGTATTTCGACGAAAACGCTCAGCATCTTCCTTCTGAGCTCGCAAATATTGTGGAATACAACGAAGATGACATCCATCATCCGGTACCTACTTCTGGTCGTCCAGATATATATGAGCTCGACCCGGGCCAGTTCTTCCCCGAGGACGATCCTGTTAATGATCCCAGTGACGAAGAAATCGATCCCGACACTGTTTTGAACGATACATCTAGAGCAACGGCTGGATTTGGTAATATTATCCAACCGACAAGAGTTGAGTACCAAGCTGCTGAAGAACCAGATGAAGATATCAGTGCCATGTACCCAGACGCCGTGTTCTACCCAGCTCCGGTACCCGCCCAGCTTCGTTTACCACCATTGCTCTCTCGACGGACAAATAAGGCTGCAGTTTGGAGAAGAAAGCGCTCGTCTCGTGTATTTGACGGTATGATGTCCGATAGCCAATCCATGTGGGGCATCAGCCCTCTAACTGCCGAACTATCTGCTGTTCGAATCAGCGAAAGCGGTGAACTTCACAACCCTGATAACTCTGCAGAAATGTACGCGGCAGAGGATGATCTGGAGAGTGTTGTTCCCGACTCTGATAGTGAGCGAGCTACGATTCTGAGTGACAGCAACAGCTACCAGGATCTAGGAGACTTTTATCGAGATGGCAACAATAAGAACGCTAAAACCACAAAGTTTAAAAAGAAAAGCAAGTTCTGGGTCCAAAAGAGCTGGCAAAACTTCACACATAAAAGCGGAGAGCCCATGGAACCAGGTGATGATGGCGATGACGGTATTGGCGAGCTTGATGAGATTTATCAGCCCAAGGATGAGAACGATCTGGCATTCACGCGCTTCGACAAACATGTCATTGATCAACATACCAAATTGTTCCAGTCTGGCGGTGTGTATGGCAATATCAGAGCCGCCGCCGACGGCAACCCGCCATCTCTTATTGAAGAGATAGAAATTCGCCGGGCAGGCCGCAAAATTCAGCATCAAGTAATGCTCAAAGAATCAGATATGCTAGAGCATAGTCGTCATGGGTTTGCAGTTCACCCTGTGGATCAAGTGCATCAGCCCAGTCTCTTGGAGCTACAGTTGCTTGCCGACCACGATTACTCTAACCGCAGAGAGTGGCATATGCAGGCGTCAAAGAAGGTAGCAAACCGGGCTCATCCAGACGAGACGCTACAACAGCGCAGGCTCCGCCTGAAAACCGAGCGAGCCAACGGTTCCAATTCTAGAGAGCCTCCACAAGAGAGTCTGGCAGCCCGTAAAGCGCGGCTCCGACGTGGCCGCCAGGCCATGTCTAATACCATCAGCCAGACCAGTATCCCTGATAATGCATCCATGGTGCCTGGTCCCGAGAACACCCCAGCGCTTGAGAACGAGAATTTCGATATGGTTCGTGCTGTAGCTTTGCATATGTAAAAGACATATTTATTTTTTTGCCTAACTCAGAAGATCTGTGAATTCACAAAGTTCAAAGGCCCTAATTTTCTTGTTCTAGGTAAACCCAACATAGACACCAATAAGCTACTACTCGCAAGTTTCCGAATTGCCTCTCGGTGGCCCAGTTGGCTAAGGCGCGAGACTGTAATGTTTCCTCATTGATATCTTGAGATCGGGTGTTCGACTCACCCCCGAGAGAATTTTTTTTAAATCATTTTTTGGACCATTGAGTTTTGCTAATTTTTAAAATATCCCTAGTAGTTTTCCAAGAAAAGTTTAAAGTTCATGCCATCTCGGGCTTTCCCGTCTCTGCAACCCAACATGCTTATGAAAAGAGCCCTCCGAAAGTCTGTGGCAGAGAAGCTTTCGCAATTGACGGCTCAGACGATTAAAACAGAAAGTATTGCTAATGCCAATTCGTTAGCGAGCCTTCCAGAATATATGGAAGCACAGAATATTGCAGTTTACTTGCATATGGACGATGGAGAAGCCAGGACAGACACAATCATCACTAAAATATTTGATGATGGAAAATCACTGTTTTTGCCGAAAATTGTGCCTTTGAAAAATATGGAGCCCCAATTTCCGAATCAGAAAACACATCTTGTTATGAAACATGTCAAGTCCCAGACTGAGATCGACGCATTAACCCCACAAGGACGATATAGGCTGAGAGAGCCCGAGAAGGGGGAGAACTGCTTTGCCAGGGGTGGTCTGGACCTGATAATTTTGCCAGCTGTGGCCTACACTAAAACCTGCCAGAGGTTAGGACACGGTAAGGGATTTTACGACTCTTTTATTCAGGAGCATATAAAAGTGACTGGGAACAAGCCCAAATTGGTCGGAGTCGGATTGAGCCCTCAGCTGGTTGAAAGCATACCTACTGAAAGCCATGATGAGCATTTAGATGCGGTTGTAGTTGCTGGACATCTATATAAATAAATTAATTGTCTAGTGTGGACACCAGGGTGATGTTGTCACCTTTTAATAGGAGCTCGCCTAGATCGCGACGGTCGCCAGTTTTCTGATTAACCTCGACAGCCGAGCCAAGCACCAGGTTCATAAACTCGTCGAACCCTTCAATCACTCCTTCCATTCTGCACTCTGTTTGCTCAAAAAGCCAAACAGTTACCCGCGCTTGCCGCTCCATGTACGTGAAAAGAACATTGATTGGAGGCAGAATTTTGGCTGCGGAGAGACTCATGTGTAGTAAGCTAGAAGGAAGGCAGACTTAAATGGAGCGGTGTGAGGACAAAGGCCGAGCAAATTGCAGCCATCTGGGCAACCTCTTTTATATAATCCAATACAAACATTGGATCCGTAGATAATCTGTCTAAACATCCTCCTCGGTCCCACGTGATATTACTTGAGATTTGCGCAATCTGCGGCAATATGCACATGTGGATTTCGTATTTAGATTACCCATTTGGCTTTATGAATGGACCCGTATGACGGAAATCGGTAACTCTGATCTTTTGAATAAACGTGTTGCAATCATTGGGGCGGGTCCGAGCGGTGCAATTGCGTTAACTAGTTTTCTTCGACAAGGATTCAAGCATGTGACAGTGTTTGAGAAACGACCAGTCGCTGGCGGCACGTGGAGTCTTGATGAGGATCTAGGGTTCAAACCTGATAGTACTAAATTGCCAATTGGCAAGTCTAGAACTGAAGCTCAACCACCGACCGTTGTGCCTGAAGAGGCAGACAGTGCGACTTTTGCCCAACCTTTCTCCAAATGCAGCGACCCGAGAGAGTTACGTTACGACGAGAGTTCAATGTATCCCTCAGTGGAAACTAACATCTTGGCAGAATTCATGGCGTTTACAGAGAAACCATTCGAACGCCAGGTTGCTCCTTGCGCTCGAAAATATGGAAAGCAGCACGATTTTCGGACTCACAAAGTAGTCCGCAAGTACGTGCTTGAACTTTTCGAAGGCAAAGAAGAGTACTTGCAGTTCAATACTACAGTCGAAAAAGCACTTCAGTTGGATGGCCCTGGTTCGCAGTGGCATCTCACGCTACGTCGACACTGCTATGGCAGCACGACAGAAGAGTGGTGGACAGAGGATTTTGACTATCTGTATGCTGCAAGTGGCCGCTTCAGTGTACCACGTATTCCGCATATACCTGGTCTTGAAAGAGTACTCAAGCAGTTGCCAAGAGAATCGGTCATTCATACGAAGGTTTACCGAGACCCTGAGATATTTCGCAACAAGAACGTGTTGCTGGTCGGGGCATCATGGAGCAATGCAGATGTTGCACATGCTATTGCTGATATTGCCAACAAACCCGTGCACTTATCGTTCAATACAATCCTCCAGCATACAGTTCCTGCTTTCAAGCAACCGTTCATTGTTGCCCATACTGGCATCAAGCGTGTGACACTCAATTCCAATGGCAAATCTTTGAACGTCGAATTCAATTCTAAAGAGGTTATCAGTGGGATAGAAAAGGTTGTATTTGGAACAGGATACCATATTGCCTACCCTTACTTGGAAGAGTATTTGAATCTATATGGTGGGATCTGGCACGGTGAGAGGGCAACGAAAAATCTTTACTGGTCAACATGGTGGAAACACGATTCGTCGCTGGTAATTTCGTCAATTGTCACAGACGGAATCACCTGGCGAGCAATTGAAGCCCAAGCAAGAGCCACAGCTTACCTGTGGTCTGGGTTCCCTGGCTCTCAACCGTTCACCATTGAGGAAGCCGAGCAGTGGGAGAATGATCGTCGGAAATTAAATCTGAGAGATTTCCACTTGTGGTGGCCACAATACGCAGAATTTATCGCTGGGATCACAAAAGTGGGCACCGGTGGCACCCGATTCCCTGGCCAAGATATCGATACCCACTCCTATAACGATCTTTTCATCCGCTCTTTAACACTAAAAGGCGAGCAATGGGCTAGCGAGAGTGAAAAACGATGCAAAAACAAGCTTGCGCTTCAAACCTATGAGCAGACGTCCGAACAGCTGGAAGCCCGGAAAATCGTCGCTTAGTTTTCATGCAGGCACCTGCATGATACTCTGATTTTAGTCACCAGCAGAACAATGATAAATAGCTAACCCCTTTACCGGTTAATCATACAATGGCCACTCCAGCGCTCGCTACCCACCCGAAAATCATCTTGTTCACTGATTTTGACGGGACCGTTACTGCGCAAGACTCCAATGATTTCTTGACGGACAATCTGGGATTCGGTGTTAAAAAACGCAAGGAACTAGGCAAGCAAGTTATTGACGGCACTCTGCACTTTAGAGATGCATTCCAACAGATGCTGGATAGCATCGACACTCCTTTTGACAAGTGTGCCGAAGCCCTGCTAGAGAACATTGAATTAGATTCGGGCTTCAAGGATTTCTACTTCTGGTCACGCGAAAATAACGTGCCCGTGGTCGTTGTGTCTTCCGGCATGGAGCCACTGATTCGAAAGCTGCTGGCAAAATTGGTGGGTGATGCTGCGAACGATATTCAGATCATTGCTAACCACGTCGACGTCAAGCCAGACGGCTCCTGGAGTATTGTTTTCCGTGACCCGGAAAGCGGGTTTGGTCACGACAAGGCCAAATCAATCAGGCCCTATGCGGAGAAGTCGGACCGGCCGTTTTTGCTCTATGCTGGCGACGGCATTTCGGATTTGAGTGCTGCGAAGGAGACCGACTTGCTGTTCGCCAAAAATGGGTGCGATCTTGTTGACTACCTCGAGAAGAACAAAATCCCTTACAACGGATTTGATTCATACAATGACATTTCCAAGGCCATTAAAAAGCTGCACAATGAAGAGGTCGCCTTAGATGCACTACGCGGTTAGATTTATACATAGAATATAGATTATAAGTGTTAGGCACTACCAAGAAGCCGAGACATGCCGTCCTCTTCCTGCTCTGCAATTTCAAGAGCATCTTGCTGGCTGATTCGCCTAAACCCTTCACTTTTCGATGACTCTTGTAGTTCGCCCGCGATCAAGAGCTCATCGAGGATGTAATAGGCCTTTTGGAAGTTGAAAATGATGTCGAGCTCACAAACGTTGCCGTAGTATTTGTCCATCTGCTCGACATAGCGATGAATGACCTCTAATGCGATAAGCTCGTTATCGTCTGCCTCGATGCCTGCCACGAAAAACAAGGAAGCATAGCGGCGGTACACGATCTTCGAGTTCTTGTACTCGATGAAGTTGCACATCTTGTTCCGCCGGCCCAGCACCAAGGTGGTCACCTCCTTGACAATCTTGTTCTTTTCTTTCAAACTATAGGTCTCAAACCACTTTGACAACCGCACTTTGCCCTGCCGGGAAAGCAGCAGCATATACTGGAACGCCATTGAGTTCACGTCAGGTTGCTGACATCAACGCCGAAAGGGTGAAATAAATAAAGTTAGGTCAAGTCTACAAAGCACTGCTTCTTAGTTAAATCAACAATTTGGCTTTCGCTGGAATGCCATTGCCGGGCGGACTTGTAGAACTCCTCGGCCGTGATTTCCTCTACGCCAAGATCGTCAAAGTCCACTGGAGCGCACATCTTATCGGCCATCCGACGCTTTTCTGCGGCATCGGCCAATATACTGCGGACGTCGCCCTCCTTAGCTCTGCCTCCTAGTTTTCTTCCTCGTGGACGTGAAGCTTTCAGTACAGGGCGGGGTCTGGCCGAGCCACCAAGCCGCTGGCCAGCGCCAATAAATAGATCTCCTTTGAACCCTTTTGCTCTCATAGAAAACATCTCATTTTTGTAGGACTCGAACACGCTGAAAAACCGCGTATTGTGTGGTCCGACTGTGTTATGAGCCAGCTCGTGAAGCATGGTTTCTAAGACGCTCTCGAAATCAAGAAAACTGGTAGTATCATGAGAATACCGAAGCCTTAGGCTGATACAAATCCCTTTGCCGTAGTTTGTACCGTATAAATTAGGGTTTTTGGGGAAGAACTCAGTCAACTTGCCAACTTTCAGGCCATGCCTTCTCATAATGGGCTTGACGTACGACGCAACTTTATCAATTAATTCTTTAGCATACTCACGGTTTTCTTGGCGCTGTAAAACATGGACATCGCCGATTTCCATAGGTCCTTATGCCCAGAGCGGGAAAATTAAGACAGGAAATACAAAACGTAAACCTCCCATTCTACCCCAAGTCTTTTTTGTCGAATGGATTGGGATCGCTTTACTCAGGCCGTGAGTGGCGTGGCTTCGTCTGTTTCAAGCACAGTCAAGCAAGTCGGATCAGTAGTTTCTGATCAAGTGTACGGCACTGTGGCATCGATGTCTGATTTCGCTGCTCGGTCTCCGCCACCGCCCCCTCCCCCCAGCGACAGTTTCGTTGATAGAATGTATGACACCATTGCCGCCCACAAAAAGGTGTGCGCTGCAATGGCTACCGTTGTTACTGGCACTGCGTTATATATGGTGTACAGTGGCAATACGACAAAGAGAAGACGCCGCAGGTTGGCTTGTCGGGCCCAAGACGGTGGCCGTCATGAAGTGGTGCTTTTAGCCGGATCGCCAAGCGAACCCCTGGTGCGCCTGGTGGCCCAGGACTTGAATGTGCGTGGTTTTATTGTATACATTCTTTGTACGCCTGGAGAAGATGATCTGGTGGCCAGAGAAAAGTGTTCAGATATTCGCCCCTTGGTAGTTCCAAGTTATGATGCCCAAGCCATTAGCCAGGTTGCCAACCGGTTCGATGAAATTTTGAGTGCTCCCGTTGCTTCCTTTTCTGGTGCCACGCCGCATCGATTGAAGCTGGCTGCTGTGGTCCTCATTCCCGATCTATTTTATCCAGTTGGTCCTGTCGAAGCGCTCTCTCCCCAGGTTTGGAACCAGACATTGAATACCAAAGTCTTGATGCCCTTGAATATGCTTAGTGGTGGATTCCTCAACGTTGTTCGTCGTCACCAGGCCCGAATCATCTTCATGATGCCGTCTATCATGAGCTCTTTAGAGCCCGCTTTTCATGCCGCAGAATCATTGTGTGCGGCCGCAGTGGACTCGCTGGCGTTGACACTGTCCCGTGAATTAGAACCACAGGGTGTGCCGGTAATCCATCTCAAGCTTGGCTCTTTCGACACAGGCAATCGTCGGGTCAGCGAGCGTCAGATCATCAAAAATATGCGTGCTGATGTGCTGGCCTGGCCTGAACAGGTCCGCCATTTGTATGGCAACGCATATACTGGTTCAGCATACCTGCAAACTAATCGCACCAGAGGATCCAGACTGAGAGTGCTGCATCATGCTTTGTTCGACGCAATCACCGCTTCAACCCCGCGGGTGGTTTATGCCGGCCGTGGTAGCTACGCCTACGAGCTCTTTGCAAGAATGGTACCCGAGCGGCTTCTAACGTGGATTTTGGCACCTGGCGATAACGATCTAGAATAATCAAAGTGATTAATTACTTTTATATTTATAACTACACACTGCGTTCATTTGTCGAGACTCGTCGGGCCTGTCCTTCGCGACGGCGACCGCCGGCACTTGCCGAAGATGATACTGAAACTGCGTGGGATGCAGAGGTTGTTGTGCGCTTCAAATCGTTAATATACTCCGGCTTCGAAAGGACGTTCAGCTCACGAGCCATATACCGCTCGGAGCGCAGTCCAGTAACGACGGGGTCTTTGGGATCCATAGCCACGGTGAAGAACGGCGCATCGGGACTGGTGTGCTGATCGTCGCGACGAGGAATCGACAGATGCAACTGATGTACACAGTTGTTGAGGAAACGCAAGAACCTTGTGCGACGGTTTCCCCACATGGTCGAGTCCTCCATATTGACCCGAGGAGTAATCTGGAAATCGAGATTGATGCGGTCCAGATCAGGCAGATTGGTGACCTGGTACCAGGGGTTGGGCAGGTAGTCACGAGCATTCTCCTCCAGAAACTCGTCAATGAGCGCCTTGAGTCGTTCCACGTCGTCGAATGTGGTCTCAGGCAGGCCAAGAACCATGTGAATGTTGAAGCACTGCGGGGGTGACCGGCTAATGTTGTCAACAAACAGAGTGTTCAAAATCGAGTTTGAGACCTGGCGAATGACGTTGGTGCTACCGTCCTGGAAAACCGTATAGAGGAGGGAAATCTCTTTGACGGACATTCTCTGTAACCCAACGTTGGGCACACTGATCATGACGACATCACCGATATCACAAGGATGCTTAATGAACAAGTAAACACACGACGCTAAGATTTCTTGGCAAGTCGCAGAAAAGATAAATGATAGTGCAAGCAGAGAAGAGCCCAAAGTCGCCAGTACTGCTCCAACGCTCGGGGCAAGCATACCCACAAAAATAATAATAACAATCAGCAGACAGACAGCAATCAACAACCGGTTCAGCTTGCTGATAACACTATCGATATCGACCAGCGATTTTGCAATTGATTTATGCTCCTTGTGGATTTCAGTGAAGGCATCCTGCATGTTTTTCAAAGTCAACTTCCGTTTATCATGAGGATCGATAAGATCAAACATGCGGTAAGCTTCTGTTTTACGATCAGGGCCCAAAAGTTCTTCTAGATCACGTATCTCTAAAACGTCTGAGCTTTCCAAAACCAAAGACTTCCAAATACGCTCGGCCAAGACACGAGTGGTTATGCCGCGACTGAGCGCATCTTCAACAATCCGTGCGTTGGCCGGCCCTTCATCATCGAGAAGATCTCGGCGGAGCTTTCCAAATGCCATAGTGGTATCGTCGACTGCTTTGTTGATATTCTGGACAACCTTGGATTTCTTGAAGCGTTGGCCGTATTTTTCCCGCAAGTCCTCCTTGACAGCCAGAGAAGAAGACAGCAGCATTTTATCTTCTTGAGCAAACTCTGGAGAAGCAAGAGGGAAAAAGGAAAGAGCTATCTCGAAAAGAATGACCAGAATATTTCTCGCCGCTTTATCTCGTTGAATTCGTAAAGCCATCCGAGTGCGGTGGTAACTGGTGGACAGGGTATAAATAAAGATTTGCTCACACCAATATACAAGTGAGGAAACCAAAAACGCAGCCAAAACTTCGTTCAGCTTACGATGCCATTGCTGAACACCACGGGCTTCAGATGTTGCCTTGTGGTTATCACTGATAATGGGGTAAAATGTGATAAATGAAATAAAAGTCCATATAACAAAAGCATTGGGCCACTCCATAGCAACCGTAGCGTCGACATATTTGAAGAAACGAGGTGCAATGACAGAAATGACAAACCCAAAGAGTTCTGGAATGTAATGGGCAAAAATTCTCGAAACGAAAAATGAGCCCCACACGACTTCAATCCAAATAAAGAGCCACATGACTCGGGAGTGTCCGAGATAAAGTTTTTTGGATCCAAAGGCATCGGCTGCCAGAGGGATAAACACTAAAAGAGCGACAGGGAGCCAGTAAACAAATGACCTTGTAGCCAAACTTGAATTAACAACCTTACGGTAGTACTTTCGAAGCTTTGCCACGGAGCTAGAGCTCTGTGTATAGTCCTTGATAGCATGTCGTCTACGGCGGCGATCCTCGGCCTTCTCTTCTCCCAGACCGTATTCGTTTTGAGCCTCCTGAACATTCAATATGGACTCCTCTTCCGCAGGTTCATCTTCTTCTTTTATAGCGTCGAGTCGATCGTCCAGGGTCAGATCAACGTTCTTTGTTTTCTCGGAGGCCTTAGTTTCGTTCGACTTCTGACTGGTGCGACTTCCAATGGAGGAGCGCCGAGGAAGGAACGAGCGCAACGTGAACTTGCGTGTGAGTTCTTCCTCGCCAGGGGCGGGATGTGTTTGATGTGTTTGGCGGTTTGTGCTGGGGGCGGCATGTCCATAGCCCTCTTCAATTGCCGAAGCATTATAAAATGGGTCTCCTTTAGTCTCTTCAAGGCCGGCTTGGGTGTCGTCACTGCTTGAATTTGGAGAACGTAAAACCGCTGGTTCGGGTGCTGCGGCGGTTTGTTCTGAAGGCAAATCAATTGACTCTGAAATTGAGGACCGGTCGTAACTCTCACGTCCGGTTGCCTGTGGAGTCATAACTGTGAAGGCTGCGACTAGATCGCTGTTCAATAGAGGAGAGAAAAGTGGTTCTGTGAGTGTTTTTAGCCTGGAGCCCAGATTATGTCACCCCAGTAACATATGCCCATGACGTCAAACAGCCAAGGGCGGGGGCTAGGGCGTAGTTCCGAGAGTTCCGCGGTGGCTCAGTATAAGTTTTAACATCCTATAAGTAGCGTTCGATACGTTTGCAGTCCACCAATCCGGGGTACGAATAGTTTAGTGCTACATAAAAATCAAGCTCTTGGTGTTGGGCTGGAAATGCAGGGACCACAAGTCAGCCTAAAGATATTGTGAGCAAAAAGTGCCTAAACCGGTTAGCGTGGGCGTGGGATATCGGCGAAAGGGGCACATTTTGCTGCAGGTATTCAGGATCGGGTATTTATTCGCGCCTAGTTTTAACTTTTCAGCAATGCTGCGAAACTGTCCCCTTGACGGCAGTTAGCTATGCATAGTCCCCCAACCCTCGATCCAGGCAGGCATGTTTCATTTTCTCGTGAGTTAACTAATCATCCTCACCCACTCGGTTTACAGGTAGGTAAATAGACAGAAAATTTTTACTTTTTCTGTTTCTTGGTGGGGAAGATTAAAAACAACAAATTTTGATTCTGAGGATGTATATGCAGGACCAAAGTTAAGGAATTCTTCGTTTATGACCCGCTTTGTTTGTGAACAGATCTAACTCAAAGGTAAGTTTTTTTATGACGGGTCACAACGGCGTTTAAATGATGATATTTACCACTTTAGTCGTTCAGTGATAAAGCATGAGCAAGAACCGACAAACATGCATCACCATCTGACATTTGACGTCTAGTGGCCTTTTTTGCCAACGATTTTTTTTTGGCGGACCAACTAACTTAAGGTGGCATAGATTTTGATACTTCCGGGTGGAAGTGGTTAGCTCTGATAAAGTGCTAATTCTTTACGGATAAATGATGATACAACTTTTCAGTTCTGCTTCTGACCACAATTCATGAAGAGAACCTATACCAAGCTCTTTTATATCTGAATCCGTTTCATAGAATTTCGCTGTAGTAATATCTCTGCATGAAGTCCATAAAACTAAAAGGGCACACAATATGGGCATCAGCTGATTCAATGCCAGGTCTAAGTGTCTTGGCTCTGCCAGCCTGGGATTTGCGTGACGGCTCGCTCCTCCAATAGGTTTTAACATCAAGCAACAATTGTACTTGGATTGCCGTAAATTTGCTAGGATGCGTGCGCGGCGTTTGAGCACTTTGTTATATGGCCCAGATCCAACTGTATGCATCAACAGCCAGACACGGCGGCGGCCACGGCTCCGAACCCCCACCCGCGGTTGGATCCGCGGCTCTACATATTAATCTCTGAACGCAACGCAAGAGAGCAACTTCTCATTAGTGTCTAGAAATTTTGCAAGTTAGAATGCTCTTCGTGTCTCCTATTATCCGCCAGTAACACTTCGCTTCGGTTGTCTGTTAAGAGCCTTGCTCGCAGGCAACCTAGGCTTTTGCTTAGGCGACCATGCGGCATGCACGGGGAAAACTACTGATAACGCATACAAAGGAAATATCACCTCAATCACCACTAAAAGAGTAGGTAGAGGTGGCTTTTGTGGATTGGCATACTTTGAAATTGATGGTTTAGGTTGTCAACCTATTTTTTTCCCCGTACTTGCAGAGCGCCGTCTAGCCCTTACGCCTTGATAATGCACTCATCCCTAGCCTTCATGTGCTTACTCACTTATCAGTGCTTTGGCTTTAAAAGCACTTTCCTTTCGACTCCACACCCCACAAGTGGACTACGTCTTGAGCAACCATGTCAGAAAGATTCCAAGATGCCACTTTATCTGGTATTTTGGGTACAATTTCTATCTGTTTTTGGATATGTGCTCAATGTCCACAAGTCCTAGCTAACTACCGGCACAAACACGTTGATGGGATGTCACGCGAGTTCCTAGCGATCTGGTTTTTAGGCGACTTGACGGCATTGGCAGGATGTTTGATGACATCACAGCTTCTGTTCCAGACTCTTTTGGCCTCATATTACATATTTATGGATCTCGTCTTGGCCGCGCAGTACTATCTCTACTCATCAGCCGTCACCCAAGAGCTGATAGGCATAGAACCAGAAGACCTCTCTCTGGACAACTCAAACCGCCGGGACAGCAATGCAAAGTCCAGCTACACCCGTCGCATATTTGCTGCCACACCCTTTGTTGCTCTGTTTGGCACTGGCGAAGGCGCTCCGGTTGGCTACGCCCAAGAAGCTTTTGCGCACACTAGCGTCCAAGTCGGGGTGTACATTTCGTATTTTTCTGGAACATTGTACCTCGTCTCACGGCTGCCCCAAATTTTGCATAACTATAGACTCAAATCATGCGGATTGTCTGTCGCATTGGTATCCTGCGCCCTGATGGGTAACCTGTTTTATTCCCTATCTATTTGTTTATCGCCTGAAGCTCTAGGCCCTGATGGACATGAGTTTCTTCAAAATGAACTGCCATTCCTGATCGGGTCTGCCGGCACACTGATTCTGGACCTGTTTATCTTGGGCCAGTTCTTCTGGTACAGGACGTCTTCGCTAGAACCAGAAACCGACAGCACTGCTCGTTTGAGAGCTGCGGTTAACAGATCTCACCCAGACCATAAAAGGAAGCTGCTGCTCTCCCATCAATCTATTTATTCCGATCTCGAACTCCCCTAAATATCTATTCTTACATGAACTTCTGAAAATAAATAAGCGTTAAAAACTTTGGATATAGAAAAGTTCAGCAGTCTGTTGCGCATTCTCGTTCTGAACTTCCCCAAGAAGACTCATTAAATATCCAAACACAGCCGTTGTGCCTTCGTCGTATTGCCTGAAAGTTTTCTCAATGCTTGATGCGGGTATCCTTGCCGCCGAGGTGGCAAGGAAATACCGTAGGCCGTAGAGAACATGTTCCAAAGACTCTAAAAGCATCGAGTTGGTCTTGAAGGCATTGTACTGAAAATCATAAACGAATGGACTAAACGCCGCCAAAATCGGATGGCTTAGGCTAGGAGTCCCCTGTCGCACGAGACCAACAAACAAATTCCGCACAGAGTCTAGTATGACGTCCGGGGGACCGTTATTGTCCAGATTGAGCACCGAGTAAACTAAATCTTCATCCAGAGACCAGTCAGAAAATTTTAGAATACGTTTCTTGATCCACGATTTGATCAGATCCAGTGACTCGATACTTTCACGTCTCCACTCAATCCATTCATAGTGTGTGAGCGAGCAAAGCGTGTACAAAAGTTGTGCAATAGTGGAGATACATTTCTGGTTGGCCTCTTTGTCAAAGTATTGTCCATCCCAAGCTTGAGTACATGTATGCTCATATAGCACCTCGAGGTCTGTTTCCCTGAACCTCTGAAGTAGATTCTCATCGCGCCCCAGAGCACGAGTCACAATATGGACAATTAGCGCATACTCTGCGGATACTCCACCTATTGACTCTTGATGGTTTTGACGAATGTGTTTGAATATAAAGCTCTTGTCCGTGATAAACGTTCTGAATCCAAACTGTTCTGCATACCGTGGGGTTGTCATTAAAAACGGCGTCTCGCTTTTGTAGGGCCAATCAGTAAAAAGCTCACTTTCGGAATAGAACTCGTCTTCGTCTGGGATATCCCTTTCGTTTGGCAGAAAGGCTTGGACTGCATTATTGTCTTGAGCGGCAAGTTCCATAGCATGGGCAGACATGAACTGGGGCCCTTCATAGACTTTTTTAGCCTTGTTAACGACAAAATACTTGCGTCTTTGTGAAGCAAAAGCAACAGTTGTGGCCCATTGTAGCTGCACTTCAAAGTCACCTCGTACAATTCGCGCCCGCCCCGAGCCAGTACAGCTTTTCAAGTGCTTTCCACCACTCTTTGTAGTTTTAAAATAATCCTCATTGCATCTGCAACACTTGAATTCGGCTTTGTACAATTCCAGTCCCGGAAAGTAGTATTTGTAGTCGTCAATCTGGATTTCCATGGGATGTTTGAGTTGGGCGGTGATCCTTTTGAAGTCTCCAGCTAGGGCGCCGCATTGCTCAAATGCCTCATTCTGCAAAGTCCGGGGGTTGGCTATTTTCCCTTTGTTTGTGTCGATTATAATGCCTGGATCCGAGTAAAGCTTGAATCGACCAAACGTTTGAGCCATCGCTTCGCGCGTTTATCGGTTATCTAAGCGGACGCGCGTTGATCGAGTGGAGATTGCGAAGCTTCTGAAAATCAGGACTATTTTAGAATTAATTATGCTATTAGTGGAGTGCAATGACATAGTGTGGTGAGCTCAGGTAGGTGCATATTTCGAGCATGCCCTGATTCTGTGACCGTGTCGGTAAAAGAGAACTGGTATGGGTGCCAGCAGCACTGCGAGACAACCTAACAATGTGCCAGCCCACTGAATGCCTAAATTTTTGAACATTGCATTAGCAAACAGCGGGAATGAAGCACCCATTGCAGATCGTATGAATGTATTTGCTGCAATCGCCGATGCTGCTCTGAATCGATAGGTATCGACAATGTAACTGAAGATCGGGTTGAAGATGGCCATCAGACCAATACCAGTAGCGGTCAGGCCCAACAGTGGAGCAATCCAATGTACGTGTGGAGCATACGCACCTGTCCAGCACATCCAAAAGAGTCCAATTGGGAATATTACGCCGCCAAAAATCATCAGCGGCAACCTGTACTCAGGTACAATCGATAGATCAGTCTTGGCCAATCTTTTTCGGAAGAGGCGATCAAAGTAGAGAATATTCGCCGCGCAAGTAATGGCACTACCAACAAACACTGCCATATAAGGTAGACTAATGAGCTGGTCTGGCCAGTGATATTGAGCAAAAATCAGCGGGACCCCCTCCAAAAACATGTACAGGATCCCGTAAACAAAGCCATGATACAGGCTAACAAGCAGTAAAATAGGTTCTTGGAAAATCATTCTTATAGGCGTCAGAAGGACTTTTTGGAAAATTGCTTTGATATGAACCTGTGCATGGTCATGCTCGGCATAAATGAATGGATTTCCAGTTTCCTGTCTTAACACTCTAGCCTTGTGGGCTAAAACGACAGGATGATAAGACTCACTCAAGAAAAGCATCATCACAAGCGATAATGAAGCCATGATACCTGAAATGTACGATGTCCACCTCCACCCCAAAAAAGAGTAGGTGATGAAACCGCCTACTGCTGGCCCAACGCTCGGACCGCCCATAACGCAGAGGCCGAAGAATGCAGCGCCAATACCACGCACTCTGTAATGGAGAAAATCACCAAAGCATGCTGCTGTTGTAGCTAGCGGAGCAGACCCTAGGGCTCCTAAAGCGAACCGATAAAGCATCAGCTCATAATAATGGGATGCCGTGGCACACCAAAAGTTGAAAATAACAAATAAAATAGAAGAAACCACCAGTGGAGGTTTCCGCCCAAATATTTCTGAGATGGGACCCCAAATAATTGGCCCTACAGCAAATCCCATAACGTATAAAGAAATGCCCAACACGGCCGGCACTCTTCCAATATGATAAATCTCCTCCATCATTGGCACTGTCACTGAGTAGATAGAAGAGTCCCACGTAAGAATAAATGTAGCAAATGAAAGACAAAACCCATTGTAGATTTTTTTTCTCATTGGCCAATTCAAAGGATTCAATGGGTCATCGGGGCCATCAAAGCCCACACAATACGCAGTCATATCGCTCATTGTGGGAGGATACGGCCTGTTATTTCCCATTCGCATACTTACCTTGCCTACCGGTGAATTGTTATAAACTAGTGTCAAATAAGCATTCTCGTCGCTTGGCTGTTGAGCCTCGTGTAGTTCCAGGTCGGTGAAGTTCCAGGCAGATGGAGGATCTGGATGGGAGAGTGGTGCATCCAAGCCTGGCCCCGCTTTGACGTCGCGCTTCTCCGCCTCGTCATCGGAGCTTATCATCCAGAATAATTGTACTGGCGTCCGGGGGCACTCTGTAGATCAATGACTATAAAACAAAACCTTTTACCGCTGACTATAGGATTAGGGCATGCATGTTAACTGTGGAGTATCCACAGAAGTAGGGTAGCGGAAGGACAAACCTCCAGCCAAGTGCATGAGAGCTGCCAAGAGAAGAGCGGACGACGGCACGAATAGCTTGATAGCATCTTATATGCATCGAATAGCGATAAATATTCGTATTGACAGTCCTATATGGAGCTAGCTATTCCTTTATATGGCCAACAATACGCTTTCTCTATGGGAAAGGGTTGTCTCAACGACTTCCTCGGCCCGTTTAGACTGGCTTGGGAGGAAGGAAAATACCAACGTAACAGGCCGGGGGACGAATGTTATAGTAAGTATCACGAAATACGTACTTATATATGGCCACTAAAAAGATAAAGCGAGTTGAAAGTGAGTAAGACAATTAAAATAAAATGAGGAACTTACTCGATCTTTGGCGCGTAAGTGGAATATCTGCGAATAACATGCCCATACATGTAAAAGCAGACAGGGATTGGCGACAAAATCGCAGCAAGGCAGCCAAGTAACGTTCCGGCCCATTGGGTGCCGAGATTGTGGAACATGGCCGTGGCAAAAATAGGAAAGGCCGCACCCATTGACGCTCGAGTAAATGCGTTAGCCGCCAACGCGGATGCCGCTAACATAAGATAGGTATCGATCAAATAATTGAAAATCGGCAAGAAAATACCGATAAGTCCCGCACCGACAAAGGCAAGACCAATGGTCGGTACAATCCAATGGCAGTACTCGTGGTATGCACCGGTCCAGCAGAACCAGAAGATGCCGATGGGAAACAAAAAGCCACCGGCAATCATGCCCGGCAACCGCAACTCAGGGACCACTGCACGCCCGCTCTTGGCCAAATCACGCGCAAACTTCTTTTGGAAATAACAGAAGTCGATAACGGTGAAAATCAGCACACCACAGAAAAGCGAGAGGTAAGGCAGGTACAAGTTACCTTTGTGGAAACCGTATTTTGTGAAAACAATAGGGACGGCCTCCAACAAAAGGTACAAAATACCATAAACAAAACCGTGGTACAGCGACATGAGCAAAAGAATGGGCTCTCGGAACAACATTTTGATAGGAAGTGCAAGCACTCTGTGAACAATTGCGTACAAATCAACTTCAATACGCTCCTGAGCAGCAAAAATCATCTTGTTGCCTGTGCGCTCACGAAGCTCACGGGCCCTTGCGGTTAGAACAATGGGATGATAAGTCTCCTCACCAAAAAGGGCAAACACGACCGTTGCAAAGCTCGTCAAAATACCAGTAATGTAGAACACCCATCTCCAGCCCAGAAACGAATTAACAATATAACCACCGGCAACAGGAGCAAGTAGAGGGCCACCCATGACACACAGTGAGAACAAACTAATCGCACCGCCACGGGTTTTGGTTTGAAGCATATCGGCATATGCGGCAGCCACAATGACCAGGGGAGCCGAAGCAAACACGCCAGAGAAGAAACGGTAGAGCATCAGATGGTAAAAATGATCTGCTGTTGCTGTCCAGAATGTGAATGCAGCGTTGATGAATGTCGAAACAACAACAGGAACCTTACGGCCATAAATCTCGGACAAAGGACCCCACAGAATAGGGCCCGTAGCAAAACCAAGGACATAAAGAGAAACACCAAGAACTGCTACAGGGGTACCAACATGGAAAAGGTGCTCAATGTCGACGGTAGCAGATCCGTAGATAGAGGACCCCCACACAGCTGAAAACGTGGGAAGCACAAGCAACCCGCCTGTTCGGGCTTTGCGAAGAGCACTCCAGTTTAAAGGACACATAGGATCGTCAGGACCATCGAACTCGACCTTGTACTGATCTATGTCCTCAATCATTGGTGGGTATGGCTTGCCGCCCATCGAAGGCAGAGGATTGGAAAATGCTGATGCGCGGGTATAGACTTCGGCAAGGACTTCTTCACGTCCTTGGTCGGTTGCAGACTCACGAGTGACTGTGCGTCTGATGGCACTCAAGCCAGCGTCGTGATGGTCATCAGTGAACACCTGAGGACGCTCTTCGGAGTCGGCAGAGCTTGAACGTGAGCTTACCGAACTCGACGACAGCGACGGGACGGCTTGGATCAATGATTTATCTTCAGTTGCACTAGAGCTCATGGAAATTTCGAACAACACAAGTAAACCTCTAACTCTCTTTAAAAAACTCCGAACTGTATAAGTTTCACTTTTTTTCCAACAAGTGATCAAATGTTTGCTTAGAGCTGTTCACAAAGCGAAAGAGAGAAAAAAAATTGCTTAAATAAGGCTGTTTTGTTAAAGCGAGCTGCATGTATGCGTCAGGTGCAGGCACAGTTTTCACCGATCGGGCTGCACAGATTAATAGCTCCAGGGGGATGCGGTGTGCGGTTGTGGAAAGTGATTAGCGAAATAAAAAACCGGAGTTTATTTTTTCCCGAGTCCAATCAATATTGAAGTCGTGCACCTGCTATCTAGTTGCCCAAGCCACCAGACGAACCTTTTCCTTTAAATAGATACCCGAACCTTAGAGGTTAGGAGACCGGTTAGGAGACCCTGCCTACTCAATCTTAGGCGCATAGTAGGAATGCCTGCGGATAACATGACCATAGAGGAAGAAAATGACCGGAATGGGCACAAGGATTGCGGCAAGACAGCCGAGTAACGTTCCAGCCCATTGGACGCCGAGATTGTGGAACATGGCCGTGGCAAAGATAGGAAAGGCCGCACCCATTGACGCTCGAGTAAACGCATTAGCCGCCAACGCGGATGCCGCTAACATAAGATAGGTATCGATCAAATAATTGAAAATCGGCAAGAAAATACCGATAAGTCCCGCACCGACAAAGGCAAGACCAATGGTCGGTACAATCCAATGGCAGTACTCGTGGTATGCACCGGTCCAACAGAACCAGAAAATGCCGATAGGGAATAGGACTCCACCGGTCATCATGCCAGGCAGACGTAATTCAGGCAGTACGTGGCGTCCACTCTTGGCCAGATCACGTGCGAACTTCCTTTGAAAATAACAGAAGTCGATAATGGTGAAGACCACCACACCAACGAATAGCGAGAGATAAGGCAGGTACAAATTACCTTTGTGGAATCCGTAGTTTGTGAAAACAATAGGGACGGCTTCCAACAACAGGTACAGAATTCCGTAGACAAACCCGTGGTAGAGGGACATGAGGAGAAGAACGGGCTCTCTGCATAACATTTTGATAGGCAGAGCCAAGACCTTTTTAACAATTGCACTCAGATCAATTGAGATACGCTCTTGGGAAGCAAAAATCATCTGATTTCCAGTTCGCTCGCGGAGCTCGCGTGCTTTGCTGATCAAAATAACAGGGTGATACGTCTCAGGACCGAACAGAGCCATGAGAAGAGTTACAAATCCGGATAAAATACCACTAATGTAGAACACCCATCTCCATCCCAGGTATGAATTGACAATATATCCACCCACAACAGGAGCCAAAAAGGGGCCACCCATAACACATAGTGAGAACAAACTAATAGCTGCACCTCGGGCTTTGGTTGGCAACATGTCAGAATAAGCAGCTGCGACAACAACCAGAGGAGCTGAAGCGAAGACACCGGCAAAAAACCGGTAAAGCATTAGATGGTAAAAGTGATCGGCTGTAGCCGCCCAGAATGAAAATGCAGTGGTGAAAAATCCAGAAACAACAATAGGGAGCTTTCGACCATAAATCTCAGATAAAGGACCCCACAGAATAGGACCCGTAGCAAAGCCAAGGACATAAAGAGAAACACCAAGGACTGATACAGCTACGCCCACGTGGAATATGTGTTCGATATCGACGGTGGCAGCTCCGTAGATAGAGGAGCCCCATACGGCAGAAAATGTGGGGAGCACAAGCAGACCACCTGCTCGGATTTTGTACATTGTGCTCCAATTCAAAGGACACAGAGGATCGTCAGGGCCGTCGAACTCGACCTTGTACTGATCTATATCCTCAATAAGTGGTGGGTATGGCTTGCCGCCCATCGAAGGCAGAGGATTAGTGAAGCCTGATGTACGAGTGTAGACTTCGCTGAGGACTTCGTCGCGGCCCTGGTCTGTAGCAGACTCATGTGTGACCGTGCGCCTGATAGCACTCATGGGACCAGCCCGATCAGCAACAGTAAATGCCTGAGGGTCTTCATGGGAAGTGGCATCACTATCCAAACTTGGTGTTGGCACTGTACGTGTAAATGTCTTGTCGTTGGTTTCGCTAGAGCTCATTGCAAACTAGAACTGTATATGTCACTTTGCTATCCAAGTGTGGAAGGTATTCGTTTGTGTGAAGTGATCGAAGAAGTTCTCAATAGTTCTAAAGAGACAGGCAGATCGGATCTACAGGTTTATATATACTATGAAAAGACCAGGATGTGGGTGCGTACAGTCGCAGATTTACCGATCGGCCAAACAAATCAGAAGCACGTGACGCTAGATGCATAACTCTAGAAGATCATTAACCAAAGGGTAAAGGAATGCTAGTAGTGTGCTCATTTTTGCAGAACGGTGGTCGGAGACTAGCGGTGGCACACGCAAATTAAGTCCTACAAGTTACATGGACAGCGGGACTGTTGTTGTAGTGACCCTAACCCGTATGCAAAAAAGATGTGACCCCTCTTCAGACATGTATTTCCGGAGTCTCTCAGATCATACGCATTCAACACGCTCGGGATAGCATTGACACAGGAATTACAAGCCAGGTTATAGCTGGTTTATTCTTTGCAAAAATGCTGCAGCTACCGTTCGCCACTAAGTGTCATGCACGTTTTAAAACTAGCCGACCAGATCGAGGATCTACAAGGCGTGTTGCAAGTGTTCAGTTCGCCGAGGGCCCCACCTAAAACTGCGAAACAGTTTTATTGTGTGACCCATGTGTAACAGTTTTATTGTGTGACCCATGTGTAACAGGCTATATCGTTCATTGGCTCAGGCCATTTTGATCTATTTAATGCAGGATCTGCTTGTGACTGGCTCACCTACTTGAGCCGACATGGCCCGACTTCCCGCAAGTGTGTAAGCAAAACGGTTTTCAGCCTCCAAAGCCCCTCCTCGAGTAGCATGCGTTGGGCATCCGAGTTAGTAATTTGCGTAAACCGAAAGAAGGTTTGATGCTAGATGATCACTGAGGTATATCTCTGCATATGATTTCTGATTCTATATTTTCAATTCCGCAGTAGAGTCGATCTTGGCGAGGTGTGTCTGCGACCAACAATTGACATCGCACGTGTACACGCCTTGTACAAAACTACGTTCTCTTTAATGCATTCTCGCACAAACTAACTACATCAGCCAGTTGAACTAACCGCACACAGGGTGTTTTTTTCTCACCAAATATAAATTCGTGCTGACAAATTTTTCATTGCAAAAATGCCCCCTCGACCTTTAAGAGCAGGCATTCTGCTCAGTCGAAATCCTATTGTCACGAAAGAGCCGTCTGCATTCGTTAAAGCGTTCTATCACTACCAGGATGAGCTCGAGCGCCGGCTGATGTGGACTTTTCCCTGGTATTTTTATTTCAAGCGTGGTACTCTTAGCCAGCGTAAATTTGATTCGTTACAAAAAGGCCCTATGCCCCGTCACAAAGGGGTCTACTACCCCGAAGGCATTCCTGATGTCAAGCATAACCGTGAACGTCGGTCCAAACAGGTTGTTAACCTGCCTTCGCAGTCTGGCGACGGCGAAGGTGACAAGATCATCCCCCAAAGCCGCACGACCCAGGCAGATGAAAAGAAAGATGTCAGATCTCTGGAACGCAAGCTTGACTCCACGCTCTACCTTGTGATTAACAACAAAGAGTGGCGTCTTCCCTCTTTTGAAGTATCCGAGGAGGCTACCTCTTTGCACGAGGCTGCCGAAGCAGGCCTTCGTGAGCTTGGCGGATCAAACATAAACACTTGGACCGTCTCGTCTACTCCCGCAGCCGTCATTAAAGGCGAAGTCCCTGAGTTTGTGATCAAGTCCCATATTTTGCACGGACAGTTTACTCCCAAGGACTTTGACTTTGCTTGGCTCACCAAGGAAGAGATCAAAGAAAAGGTCAAGCCTGAATATTTTTCTTCTGTTGAAGCTTTGCTTTAACTTAATTAAGGGACATAGCCCCCCTTGTAAATAAACGATATAAAACCCCATTGGGACTATCCTGCTCTACTCTTTTTTAGGCTGTTGCATTTGGGCGAAAAACGCCTGCATGTCGCCTCCAGGGGGCATCATAGGCATCATAGGGAACGGCATCCCGGGCATTCCTGGGATAGGCATACCGGGCATGCCTGGCATGGGCATTCCTGGCATTCCTGGCATGGGCATTCCGGGCATAGGCATTCCTGGCATCCCGGGCATTTGTGGAGTGGATTGGGCACCAGCAGGAGGTACGTAGCCAGCACTGGGGTGGCTGACTTGCTGGACAGGGCGACGAGCTTGCGGGGCTTGGGTATGCGAGGATGAAGAGGCCGCTCCGGTGCCGATAATGATATCAGGCTCCTCCATTACTTGGCCAGCTTCCAGAGTTCCGTCTGTGCCGCCATGGCGAGCTGTCTTTGCCCACCTTCTTCCCGCCTCCGTGAGACGAGAAAGTGGAATTATTGACAGCCCCTTGCTGTAGTCGAAGCAATCACGAGGGCCGTAGCCCACACCCCACTTTGCTCTAACCATCGTACTAGTTTGGCGAGCCCGCTCGTCGAGTTTGCTCTTGACGTTTTCAGCGTCCGCGCGGGTATAAACTTTGATGAACGCATGATGCTTCTGCGGGTGATAAATAACGCTTTGCACAGGAACAAACTCTTCAATGATGCCTTTGGCAGCGGCCTCGTCATAGCCCGGGGGGATGCCCCCCACAAAAAGCGTGCGCGAGAGAACACAAATAGCATCCATCGGCACAAGAGTAGGATCGAAGCTGACGTTCTTTGGCGGCCGAGGAGAGTCGTCCCGGTCAGAGTCGGAATCCCTGTCCCTCTTTTCGGTACGGGAAGGTAGCCCTGGACTGCGAGATCTATCGCGGTTCATGGCTAATCTGGGGTCTCGGGACGATCCGCGACCGCGAGACGAAGATTTGGGCTGTGGCGCAGGAGTAGATTTGGAGGTTTGAGCTAACAAAGTTGCTAAAAGCGAGGGCTCACCAGACGTTGTAGCAGAAGCGCTCTGGGCCAGCGCAGCCTGCTGAGGGACTGGAGAAGCTACCGACTCTTTTGTTTTTGCTAAATTGGCCAACGTCTCCAAAATGGAGGCGGCATCAGCCTTGGGCTCAGCCTTGGGAAGCTTAAGCTCGGGACCATGAAGGATCTCTGCGGGGAGACCTGCCCAGGTGGCCGGCGGCGAGCCAGGGGGCGTAGTGGAGGTGAAGTGCTTGTCTCTGATTGCGTCAATCATACCAACGTCGAACGTCTCTGCACGAGTCCACAAGTCCAGGACCTTGCGCATTTTCTCTGACGCGTCGGAAGACTGCTGGCGGACAGCCAGAGAGTCGAAGATCGGCTGCAGAACGTCTGAAAGGTTTTTCAGGCCATCAGTGAACTGTATGCCTTTATTAGGGTCTTTACTGTTGTCTTTATAGGCTCTTGCCACCGCCTCAACTGCATATAGAGCGCCTAGTTTATGAGAAGTAGGTGTTTTTTTAATGTGGGAATATAATTTCTGTACTACCGCTGATTCGAGTTCTGGATGTTCGTAGGCTATGGCTGCGAGTCTCTTTATACGAGACCCGGAGACGCCCGGCGCCCTTTGATGAAGGAGCTCATCCAAAAGTTGCGAAAATTCCTCCATGTAGCTTGGTAAGCGGGAAGGAGGGAGCGGACACTAAGAGGCTGAACAGGCCTGGAGGGGGGGAATGGTGGGTTAGAAGTATGTGGGTAGAGAGACGGCGGACATATAATGTTAGGGCGGAATTAGTCTAAAATATTTCTTTCGCAAGCCCGTAATATAGTGTGCCTCCGGCTTGTCCATCGTTCCAATTTGTCATGATCTACTGCGGTGTGTGCACGCTGCCGCCAGAGTACTGTGAGTTTGGAGGCGCCCACAAGCGATGTAAAGAATGGCTGGAGAAAAACCACGCGGACATGTTCCAAAAGATATACCCCGTCGACGGTGTCGCGGCCGGTGTTTCCTCGCTGTCTGTCGAAAAGCAGGAAGAGATTGATCGGAAAGTCCAGAAGCAGGTAGCTCGGGAAGAGGCCAAGGCGGAGCGAGAGCTCGCAAAAAAGCTGTCCTCAAAGATTCTCGTCAAGCGGATTGAGCGTAACAAGCGCAAGCACATCATTGTTGTAGCGGGCCTGGAACAGATCGACGTGGAGATGAAAAAAATGGCCAAGACGTTTGCGTCCCGCTTCGCCACGGGGGCTTCGGTGACCAAATCGCCCGAGGGCAAAGACGAGATTGTTATTCAAGGCGACGTCGGCGAGGAGGTCGAAGAGTACCTCGTAGCATACCTGTCGAAGGAAGGTCTCAGTGACATCAAGGTCGAGCTCGTGGAGGACAAGAAACGCAAAAAGTAGATACTCGAATAATATACATGCAAAATAGCTAGTCAAACTTGATGACTTTTTTTAGTTGTTCGTAAACCAGGAAGATAATGGCGCTGGATGGAGCTGCGCGAGCGCATGTGAGCCCGCAGCCCTGGTACAGAGGTTTGAGACCGCCTCGAGAAGTCAGCTCGAAGAAGGTGCGGACAAATCCGTGATCGGGTCGACCCATGAGTCGTTGCGTTTGCATTTGCGACTTTACAGTGTCCGCGGGGAACAATGAAAAATTGTAGGCCATGCCTGCCACGGAGCCAGCGAGCATCGAGTGCCATGCCTTGGGGCTGTGGTCCTGGCTGTTTCTGTCGCCAGTGAGCAGCTGGATCACGGCTCTATAACTGCCGAACCATGCTGCCGAGCCGCCGGCCTCTCGAATTGCAGTGCCGGCCTGGCCCTTCCATAGCCCGCGGATCCCGTCGTGGGAAACGATGGTTTTGATCTGCTCCATGTTGGTTTTATGGCGGATTCCGGCAATTGCCGACACCTGTGTGTTGCATTTGAGCAGCTCGATCGGAGTCAAGACCACCGAAGCCACCAACCCGCCCATACACCCGCAGAGGAGTGCCTGTGGGGTTTCCGAGAGACCTAGGGGAGCGGTCATTTTTTCGAAAACGGAAAACGTGAAAAACAGAGTGGCATTTTCCGCCGCCGCCCCTGCCATAGGCAGAGCTATGCCCCGATACAGGCCCCTGACTCCTTCGTTGTGTATGGTTGTCCGAATACAGTCGATGGGTCCTGAATAGATAGGGCTGGCCGGGTTTTGGGTCTGCAGACGAACTTTGGTCGTATCAAAAGGATACTCTATCGTTTTACCCGCTGCTCCAGCAAGCGATCCGCATAGAACGTCGTCCATGCGATGGTTTCAAGATGTGAGTCACCCGAACTAACTATCTAATGAAATCTTAGGGCGAAGAAAGCCTGCAGGTTGGGAGGGTGGAAAAGGAGATGATAATCCAACGGTGATTCTGACCAAGCGAGGTCGGTCGGGGGTGGCGTAGGTGGAATTTACAAAAAAAGCATTGGGTGTTCTAAAGCACATGCGGCGTGCGGTTGATTCCTAATTCGCCTGCCAGAGCCGCCCCAAGCATCCTCACACCGCGTTCAACCGCCTGTTCGGAATCGCGGCTCTGGGACCTAAGGGGGCTGCTTACGATCAGAGCAACTTGACATCTCCTCCACAATGGCCGACAAATTGACAGAAGAACAGATTAGCGCATACAAGGAGGCATTCTCGCTATTTGACAAAGACCACGATGGCAAGATCTCGGCCAAGGAGCTGGGCACTGTGATGCGCTCCCTGGGCCAGACACCCAGCGAATCGGAAGTCGCCGACATGATCAACGAGATTGACATGGATAACGACGGCAGCGTCGATTTCCCGGAGTTCCTCACGATGATGGCGCGTAAGATCAAGGACACTGACACGGAAGAAGAAGTGCGCGAGGCCTTCCGCGTCTTTGACCGCAACGGAAACGGCTACATTTCCTCGGCCGAGCTTCGCCACGTCCTTATCTCGATTGGAGACAAGCTGACCGAGGAAGAGGCCGACGAGATGATTCGTGAGGCCGACGTGGATCAGGACGGCCAGATCAATTACGAAGAGTTCTCGCGTGTTCTTTGTTCGAAATAGACGTCGTGATCTTTCTTGAGAGAAAAAGTTTGGGGTCAACGCGCTTTAAACGCCGCACAAACAAAACACCTACACTTAATCACGTATTAGTTTAGCTGTCGTTTGCTCTGCTGGTCATATTTTGCAACTACACTATAGTGGCTCCATCCATGACTCGGGCATGGGCCTATAGATTTCAATTGTTCCGCTGGTCATTTCAGCGAGGTCGTAACGGCCCGGCTGCACGGCAGAACCACTCACGTTCTGTTCTACCACGTGGATAATCGAGTCGTCGACGTCGGTTACTACAGCAGTGTGGTGGGGGCCGGTTTCGGACCGGCCAGTTCTCGACGCGAACTTGGCCGACGTGAACTGGGCAATATCGCCCCGCATCATCGGGCCAGCACTCGACACCACCTCGCTGTCCACCTGCTTCAAAATTACTGCTCCGAATACGTAATTCTGTGCAGGCATTGCCCCGGCTTTTTTTACGGCCTCGGCAGCCAATGTCCAGCACTCTCCGTCTCCCACACGTATGCCACGTTGGTCCTCACACCATCGGGCAACTCTTTCACCATACCGTTCCTGGGACTCTTCGAGCTCGTCGTAGGACGGCTCAGGTGGTGCTCGTCCTTTTTGGCGGTCAACGGCAACCTCGCTCGGGCGGTTTGTAGGATAGCTGAATGTTAACGTCAAGACACTGAGATCTGGTTCTCGTGCTTTGACAACCAATTGCGATTTGCCCCCACCGTAGCTTGTATGGAACTGAATGTTCCGATTTTGTAGATACTTGGGTAGTTGTAGATTGTTCACTGGACCAGCATACCATTGTGTCTCGAGTTCGAGTTCGTCCTGCGGCTTCCCGGCAGTTGGTCGCGGGCCAAGTGGGGGGGCTGATCGGTTCGGTGGGAGAGGAGGAGCAGGTCGGCGTTCGCCTGTTGGTGCCATTGGTGCCGGTTGTGACGTTGGCGCTGGTGGTGCCGCAGAGCGAAGATTAGCGGGTTTACCTGGCACTTTTGGTTTGCTCAAAGACGGCGGCTTGGGTGGGGGTTTCTTGCCTTCAGGGGCTTTATTGGCGGCTCGCAAATGTGCTCTGCGATCGGCAATCTGCGACGCTAGATCGTTGTCCAGGCTAGCGTTAGCCATATGGCTTGTCACTTGCTCAACATGAGGAGGAGAAGCGGGAGGCAGTTCGGCTCGCGGCGGAGAATTGTGAGCTTGCGGACGGGACGGTAATCGGGGTGCCGAGTCCGATTGTCTCCTTTGTGGGAGCTGGGGTTCTGGGGTCTTTAGCACCTGGTCACGAGTCGGGTTAGGATTTCCAGCTTTAGGGGGAGGGGCGAAGGAACGTGGGTCAGGCAATTCTCTTTGCATTTGGATTTCTGGCTGGGCTGCTGGCTGTGCTGGCTGTGCTGGCTGTGCTGGCTGTGCTGGCTGTGCTGGCTGTGCTGGCTGTGCTGGTTGTGCTGGCTGTGCTGGCTGCACCGGTCGATAATAGCCTGCCGATTGGGCATAACCTGGCAATGAGTCGCTCGCTGTTTGATCCCCAGACCCCGTTGAAAGCTCAGTCGCTTGCTGAAACTGGTAGGCTGGCTGTCCATACACTGGGGCTTGGCCCTGGGCAGGTAAAGGTGCTGGAGGGGCTCCTGCATAAGCCGTCTGGGTAGGCGGTGGTGCAGGTACTTGCAATGCCGGCGACTGGCCGGGGTATGGCACCGGTGCAGGTGGTTGTGGAGGATAAGCCGACTGCGGCGTCGGTGCCGAATAAGCTGCAGGTGCCGCATACCCTGGATAGCCTGGCTGTGCTGGCTGTGCTGGAGGTTGTGCCTGACTGGGGTATGCAGGGAGTTGGGGTGCCCCAGGATTAGCGGGCGGAGGAGGGGGCTGAGGCTGACCGGGGTAGGCGGCCGGTTGAGGCGGTGCAGGCACAGGTGCCGGATAGACCCATTGCTGAGTATTAGGATCCCAAACCGGCTGCTGGACGGGCTGTTCCGGCTGTCCGGGCTGTCCAGGTGGTACTGTCTGTGCCGCCGGAACTGCTGCTGGTGCGCGAGGCGGCGCGGACGGCGCATCACCTCGCTTCGGAGGGGCTGCCCATTGGTGAGGATCAGACAGCTGGCTCAATGGCCGAGCCTCAATCCTGGTCGACTCGTCATTCCTCTTGCCACCCCCAGATATTCGCGATATCGTGTTCTTTCCATCAGCTCGTTTGCTGCGATACGACTCGCTATAGCCATTGAGCTTCGACTTCATCTCCCCAAATCTCATTTTGGTAGGTAAGCAGAATCACCACCGAGTCACCGGGTTTGGTATATACGTAAAGGGATAGAGTTTATAGGGGGGTATTTAAGAGCGATTTGTGCTTGGCATTTTGCCCAGACAGTATTTAATTTACGATTTGGAAAAGATTTCGGCCGAGTTTGCGCTGCAGATATTATTTCTGTCCGTGCATGGGCCTTTGTTTACATTATGGAATACACGCCCTTGGAGGTGATCGGACGAGGGTCGTTTGGCCAGATCCGCAAGGTGCAAAGAGAAGATGGAACGATCCTGGTGAGGAAAGAAATATCGTATAAAGCCATGAACCAAAAGGAGCGGACGCAGCTCATTGCGGAGTTTCGCATTCTCAAGGCCCTGGACCATCCAAACATTGTGAAATATTTGCACCACGAGCACGTTCCCGAGACCCACGAGGTTCATTTGTACATGGAGTACTGCGACGGCGGCGATCTTGCGAGTTTCATTCGGGAGTTGCAGCAAGAGCAGGCCCATTTGCCCGAGCGGGAGATCTGGCTGGTGTTCACCCAGCTCGTGCTGGCCCTGTACCGCTGCCACTACAACACAGTCGCGCCCGCCAGCACCGAGACGGGGGAGCCGCCAAGCACAATTCCTCAGTCGTTTGTACTGCACCGGGACATCAAGCCCGAGAACGTATTTATATCCGACTCGGTGATCAAGCTGGGGGACTTTGGCCTGGCCAAACTGCTTGACCGGGAAAACCCGCTGGCAAACACCTACGTCGGCACTCCTTACTACATGAGTCCTGAAGTGCTTGCAGATCAGCCGTCCACTCCGGCCTCCGACATATGGTCGCTGGGCTGTGTGATGTACGAGCTGTGCGCCCTGCAGCCGCCGTTTCGAGCCAAGTCGCACCTGCAGCTGTCGCAGAGAATCCGCGAGGGTAAATTCGCTCCCATCCCCGATATTTATTCCTCAACCCTTTCCAAGCTAATCAATGCCCTGTTGACGGTGACTCCGTCGTCACGACCCACATGTGCCACTCTGCTCAAGCTGGACGTCATCAGAGTGTACCGGCACGAGCTCGAGGTGCTGGCGCGAGAACGGGCGTTGGAGCGACGAGAGGCCCAGCTGGCTGCGGAAAAACGCACTTTCAAGGAACGCATAGAACGGGAGGTGCTGGCAATGTACCAAGACGAGCTGGCGGCGGCGATTGACGCAGAAGTCGAGCGGAGAATGAAACTAGCGAGAGCGACGCCGGAAGAAAGAGTGAGAGGTCCCCGCTCTCTGGAAAACCGCCGCGCTCTCGACGAACTTAATACCTCATGGGACACTAAATACTAGACTAATTTATCTCTTCACATTACCTTTCTCCAAGCCGAGATGCCGAACCCTTGCCCGAAAATGCGGGGTTGGAGGTTTATAAAGCACATCGCAGCTGGCGGTTGGATGCCATGAGTTACAGCAATCTTGAGTTCCACGAAGTGAGATTGTCTGAGGAGGGCGTTCTCCATGTTGAGATCAACCGTCCTGATCGCCTCAATGCCATGAACGAGCCGTGCTGGACCGAGTACGGCAAGATTTTTGCCCAGGCAGCCAGAGACTCGGATGTTCGCGCTGTGGTCGTGAACGGAGTGGGTAGAGCGTTCTGCGCTGGTCTGGACGTTGTGGACAGTGCGCAGGGCTTTGCTGAGCGCCAGCAGATGGACACTGCTCGTGCCGGACTGAAACTGGGTGAGCATATTCGTGATTTCCAGCTCGCCCTGCATCAGGCCCATCTGATCAACAAGCCGGTCATTGGCGTGGCCCACGGCCCCTGCATTGGCTTGGGCATTGATCTGCTCACCACATTCGACGTGCGCTTTGCCGCCAAGGACGCGCTATTCTCTGTGCGCGAAATCGTCATTGGCATGGCCGCTGATATCGGCACTCTGCAGCGGCTGCCCAAGATCGTTGGCAGCCTGGGATGGGTCAAGGATGTGTGCTTCAGTGGCCGCAACTTCCAGGTCGACGAGGCTATTGCCCAAGGCTTTATCCAGCGGGCGTACGACTCTCGTGACGATGCCGTTAACGCTGCTCTGGAATACGCCAAGGAGCTGTGCAAGTTCTCCCCCGTGGCTATGTGGGGCACCAAGCGCTCGATCAACTACGCCATTGACCACACGGTCAGTGAGTCGCTAGAGCAGATCGCTGATTATAACTCCTACGGACTACTGGGCGAAGACTTTGCTAAAGGAGCGATGAGTTTCCGCAGTAAAGAAAAACCTAAATACTCCAAACTCTAAGCCTTGACTAGTTTCTCATAGACCTCAAGATATTTCTCACGTGTTTTGTTGGCAACGTCCTCGGGGATCGACACCCCATCGACTCCCTTCAGGCCGTTGGCGACCAGCCAGTCCCGCACGTACTGCTTGTCGTACGAGTCCTGGCCCTGCCCGATTTTGTAGGAGTCCTTGGGCCAGAAACGAGAAGAGTCGGGCGTGAGCACCTCGTCGACAAGCACGACATTGCCGGACTCGTCTACACCGAACTCGAACTTCGTGTCGGCAATGATAATGCCCTTGGTCTGGGCGTAGTCGTGGGCCTTTTTGTACAGAGCCAGAGCAATTTGCTCGACCTTTGCAGCAAGATCTTTGCCAACAATCTCAGCAGCCTTTTCGGGCGAAATGTTCTCGTCATGCTCGCCCTGTTCTGCCTTGGTGGACGGCGTGTAGATAGGCGTCGGGAACGCCTGGCTCTCCTGTAGTCCTGCCGGCATCTGAGTGCCATGCACAGTGCCGGTCTTTTTGTACTCGTTCCAGGCAGATCCGGTGATATAGCCACGCACAATCACCTCGAGCGGTAAGATCTTGTACCGGTTGACAACCAGAGCCCTGTCCTTGAGCACAGCGGCAAGGTCACTGTCGGACTGAATTGACTCAGGGAGACAAGCAATCACATCGCCATGGTCGGCAAGGTGATTGGGCACGACGTCTTTCAGGTAGTCGAACCAGAACCGCGAAAGTGCCGTCAGCACCCGGCCCTTGTCCGGGATGCCATTGCCCAGAATGACGTCGTAGGCCGAGATGCGGTCCGTGGCAACAAACAGCAGCTTGTTGTCGGGTAGCTTGTACAGCTCCCGGACTTTGCCCTGCGCCAGCAGCGGCAGCTTTCCCTTGAGGTCAGACTTGTTCATTTTTTTGTGGAAAAAATCAGATCAGTCATCAGCTAGATATATGCAGTTAAATTAGATTCTAGGGGTCGAGGGAGAAGGAAGAGCCGCAGCCGCAGGCGGACGAGGTGTGCGGCGAGGTGACTTTGAATTGAGAGCCAATGAGCTCGGTGGCATAGTCGACGGTCGAGTCCTGGAGCAGCTTCAACGACTCGTGGTCGATGACGACCTGGGCCCCGTCCCGGGTGAATATACTGTCCGAGGAGGTGATGGTGTCCTTGTCTTTGAGGTCGAAAATGTACTGGAACCCGTGGCAGCCCCCGGACTCGACCTTGATGCGCAGGTGCAGATCAGGGCGGTTGTCGTCGTGCTTGATTTTGTTCAGTTTCGCCACTGCCGTCTCGGTCAGCGACACGCGCAGCAGCTTGCCGGCGTCGTTCTTGAACGGCTGCGCAACTATCGTAGCGTCGGCGCCCAGCGTCGAATGCACAAACCGGTGCGCCACACCCGGCGACCGTCGCAGCGTCTGCAGCAGTCGAAGTCGAAGCATGTCGTTTAGTAAGGAAACCCGCGGCTGAAGTAGCCAGGGCGAAATTTCAGAAAAGGGTTGCTTGGGCCCGTTTTGCAGGGTGTTCTGGAGCAGACACCTGGACACCCATAGCGGCCCACTTAGCCTACCGCCAAACAATCCCGCCAGCTACCCGCACTCCCCCGCAAATTCACCCCACTACCACTATTAACTAATATACGGGGGGGTAATTGCAGGGTGCTTACAGGGCGATAACCCAACAAAGATCTTTCCGGTAGACATGACAGCGGCATACATTGTGCGGTTTATATTGACGCCGCGGGAGTTTGAGAAGCTGAATGCACTGTGTCCGTTTGATTTGAGCAACCAGGTGTCGGCATTGCACCACAGCGAGAGCAAGAGTGCGCATGTGCACACGTTTGTTCGGCAGCACACCCGGCTGTTTCTGAAAACCTACGGGGTTGGGTTGCTTGTCCAGATGGCAATCTCGGCCAGGAACCCTGTCCTAGGCGGCTCGTTCCGTCCCAGCCGTCCTGCAATCATGATAACCAGCTTCTCGGCGGTTTATCGCGTGCTGAACCGGGTGCTTTCCAATTTAGCCCGAGCCCGTCTCGACGGAGTGTCTCGCAAGCGGGCAATCAAGATCGCCATTCCAATGGTCTCGGCCCTCATTGCCGGCTCGGTTTTCCGCATTTTGCCCGCCGGCCTACGCGACTATATCGCCCTTTACCTGGCCACCAAGGCGGCCGAATACGTCTACAACATGCTCGACGACCAGGGACGGTTCAACTGGAAACCCCGCATAGTGGGTTCGTGGATTCTGATTCCAATTGCCATGTCCCAGCTGTTTTACACCCTGATTTGCGAGCCCGACTGCTGTCCCCGCGTGTTTAGGGGCCTCATGCTGTCCGTGTCCCAGGCCTATATGCCGCAGCGGCCTGTGGGCTACCCTGACGGCAAGCACTGGCCCACCGAAAATGAGGTGCTCGCCAGTGTTGCGGAGATCTCGCGTCTCAAGTTCCCCAAATTCAAGTCGCGCATTCTCAGCCCAAACTGGCAGGTGCCGCCCACTCTGAGCGTGATTGCTCCGGTGCTCGAAATGGCCTTGCCCTCTAATACTACAATGACCGGTGCCCTGCTACACCCAATGAACCCTAATGAACGCACGTCGTTCTGGAGTGCCGTCAGTGCCGGCTATGGCTCGACAACTAAATACTTGCTTCCGCTATATCTGATTCTGGGCTTCACTCGCAGCTCCAGATCTTCAGGGACGATTCTCGCGTCAGCCATTGGCAACACCTTCCGCACAGCCACCTTCATTTCAATGTCGGTCGCGTCAGCATGGTCTGGCATTGCTTTATCACAGACTTTGCTGGGCACAAGAATGCTCCCGCACATGCGATTCAGAATCATTGGCTTCATGTCGGGTCTCTGGGCTTTCCTGGACCAGGTCAACGGCCGCCCCCGCGCCCTTTATGCCATCCGCATGGCTATCCTCAGCCAGTACAACATGCTCATCAAACGACGCGGTGGCAAGCCCTTGGTCAAGAATGGCTCCACGATTATTTTCTCTTTAGCTATGGCTGTCATCTTCGCTGTCTACAACACTGCTCCTGAGTCCATTTCGTCGGCTTTTATTCGTAAACTTTGCAACTGGGTCCAGACCGGTAGATATTCTGATCCCTCGCCGTTACCCCCCAGTGATAGTTCAAGGTAGGTCAATGTAATTGTGAGATAACTGCGTCCAGGCTTTTAGGGGCTGGCAGACGTTTGAATGTGTGGTTCAACGCCCGGCCGATGGTGGTTTCGAGGTCGCCGACTCTGGAAACACATAAATAATCCGGCTCGAACTGGTTGGCGACTTCTAGCTGATGGTTGTCCATTAAACTCTCGTTTGGAACGACAATTAGCGGGATCCCGGGGTGTCCTCGTAGTACGTCCAATATAGAGCCTGTTCCTGCGTGGGAAATAACAATGCTGGCGTTTTGGATCTTTTCAGTCAAATCAGCAAATGCAAACCCCGCGACCGATTGCAGCCTCCCCGGTCCGTTTTCGAACGCTGCTTTTGCGTGACCGTACTGCATTTCGATCGCACCAATCCCCTTGGAATTCAGCACCCTCACAACCCCAGGAGTTATACCACTAACAAGCTCATTGAACGGCACAGTGGCCCCCGTCAGCACCAGGCATGCCATGTCAGCGGATAGGAAATAAGGGGGATTTAACTATAGATATCTATACAGATTTCAAGTGGAAAGGCAAAAACTTGTATGAAGAAAAAAAGATGGAAAAACGGCGGCTAGTAACCAGCAGCGCCCGGAGCATTGGCGTCGCCCTTCAAGGAATCAATGAGCTCCTTGAAACGCTTTTTGTCGGCAGCCTTGACACCAACTGCGCCAGTGCCGATTTTCTCAATCAGAGTAGCGACCCGATCCCAGGTAGTGCCGGAGCCAACGCCCTCGTCGCGTTGCTTGATGAGCTCGGCGGCCTCCTCGCGAACCTTCTCAATGGCAGACTCCTTTTTGGTGTTGTAGTTTGTGTAGAAATCATCAATAGCCTTCTCGGCGTTCTTTCTGGTCTCGGCCTGGCGATCCGAGCTGGCCTTGTCGCGTCGCTCAACCTCCAACTGATGCTTGACCTTCCACTCCTGCACAAACTCGCTCTCGGCCAGGTCGAACCCGTAGCGATCGCCATTAGCCGCCGGTGTCTCGCTGCGAACCGAAAACTCCTCCTGAGCACTGTCCAGGTTCACGGCAGCCACTCCGTCAGTCGTCTCGTCAACGTCGGCGGTGTCCAAAGCTGGGTAATTGGACTGGAACTCCTCCTCGGACTCAACCTCGACATCGCCAAACTTGGCAGCTTCTTCTTCACCCAACATGGCCTTCTCCCGGCTCAGGAAATCGCCCTCAGGCGCCTCTCCATCGAAATCATCCAGCTTCGGATACTTGTCCATTATTGGAGGTGTGTTGGTAAGCAACGTCTTTCTGACCATGTCTTTTAATGCGGAAATTCTCAAGTCCAAACTGACGGGGTTGAATGAGACTCAGGAGTCGGTGACGTCGCTGTCGCAATGGATCATGTTCCACAAACGGCATGCCGCAACGTCTGCAGAGGTGTGGGCGGAGTACGTCACTGAGGCGCCCGTCAAGTCGAAACTGGCCCTCGTGTACCTGGCAAACGACGTTGTTCAGCAGGCGAAATCACGCAAAAAGGACGAATTTGTGCAGGCGTTTGCTACCGTTATACCCGAGGCTCTCGAACATGTCTACGGTGAAGTCGACAAGCCCGTCAAAGATCGCATCAACCGAGTGGTTAAAGTGTGGGCTGAGCGGTCGGTTCTACCGCAAAATGTCCAGCAAGATATCGAGGGCCGGCTAGGCAGCGAATCTGCCCTGGCGACTGTTTTGCCTGAACTGATGCCGGTGACCAAGTCCACTACGCAATACTTCAAGGCCCGCCAAGCGGCTGAAAAGGCTTCTGAGAAGGTCAAGAGTGAAATCAACCAGTTTGTGAGCAACTCCCAGAGCTCTGCTATCCAGGCACTGCAAACGGTGTCGCAATTAGAGCGCACACTCGAGCAATCGCAAAGCACAATCGACAAATGCAACGAGCTCAAGACGGCGGCAGTCCAGGCTCTTCAAGATCTTATCAACACACTTGAATCGCAGGAAATCGTGACATTGGAGTCCTCCAGCCGGGACCTGGAACTCAAAAAGGCCGAGCTGCTCTCCCAAATTGACGGTGACGACGAGCTCCCCTCGCCGAACGTCGAGCCCACAACGCCGCCGCCGGCCGCAGAGCCTGTTGAAGAGTATGTTCCCAGCGTCTACACAGCCAAAGATGCCCAAGCAAGCTACGCGGCTACTAATGATGACGACGAGGAAATCGCCTACGCAGAAAGCAGCGAGGACGAAGAGCCCGAAGCAAAAAAGCCCAAGCTCAACTTGGACCCCAAATTGGCTTCGTTTTTGGCCAGTATGGCTGGTAAATAGGTTTTATACAACTAATGTTTATTATAATTTAGCAGAAATGGCAACCAAGGCGATGATGGAGCCAATGACTGTAAGGGCAGGGACGGCAGTGTTGGGCTGCTTTTGTTTCTGGGCGGTCTTTGAGATTGGCTTGGGTTGAGCAACAGGACTCGCGACAGGTGCATGACCAGACGCTTGTTCCGAAGCCTCTGCTGACGACAACCGGTCAAGCAGCTGCTCGTTTTCTTTGGGCGCCGCGTCAACCTCGACATCTTGAATGTTGCCAAAGAAATCCGTGATGCGCACACTGGCAAGATCGTCTTGGAATAAATCATCTCGGATCCCCGGATGCGATGCAATTTCGACAGGGTCATAGTACCCAAACAGGTCCGCCAACGTGAGCTGCGATGTTTTGTTCACTTGCTCGAGGTACCCGAGGTTAATGGAAGTGAACTTGTCAATCAGCGACACTCCGACATCCGGGTCGGTATCGTCGGCGTATGAAGACTCGTCGAGCTGTGACGATCCCACGGCAATCACGTTTGGAGCGAAAAACTTGGAGTACATGGTGTTTGCCTCGCACGTGTCGATCATAAACAGCACCTCGTTGTAACGACGCTTTTCCCACATCTGGCCAAACGCATCGGCAATATCCCAGGCCCCAATTTCCTCGGCATCCTGGAATTTCAAGAAGTCGTTACCACCATGGCCCGTGAGGTAGACCAAAATGTTGGAGCTGGCGTCGGTATTGAGCCGCTTCGAACGAGGCATGTCGCTGTCCCAGCGGTCCGTCAACAGCCGAATGAAATTCTCAACTGTCACTTCGTAGCCGCGATAGTCTACCTCGATGTTCTCGCCGTACAGATCTAGCTTGTGATCGTGCACGTTGTAGACAGCGCCCGGAAAAGGATTTCGGGCATTACAGGCCACATCGTCGCTCAGCATCACAATCACCTGGTCGTCCGGGATCCCAAGGCGCTTCACCGTGCGATAGAACGACAGCACGTTCGCCATGTGTCTGTAGTTGAACCAGAACCGGCTGGTCGACACTAAAACGGCCCAGTTGTTGGTGTGCTTGGACACACGCAGTGGCGGACGTTCCTCGGCTACCGTCTCGGCTACCGTGCCATTATTTACTCCCTCTTCTTGCTGGGCTAAAGCCCCACAAACCGCCGCGACCACCCCGACAAGATATCCAACTCGCATAAGGTAATCAGGACGCAGGTCCGGGCAAGCGAGGATTTACTAATTAACTACAGCATAAGGTTCTAGGGCGTCGTATAGAATACCGTAGAGGCCGTTGTGCCATTGGCGGATTTGGGGCCATTCGGGTAGTGTTCTATGCATCATTTTGAGCCACCCGCCAACGATAAAGTCTGCGTAGCAGGGCAGGGCGCCGAGGACGAAGGGAGCGGTTGGGTCGGGGCGGAAAAGCGTGGCCAGCTGCTTGAGCATTGACTCGAGGCTGTCGAGCAGCTGTTTGCGGGCCTCGCCCTTGATCACAAACACGTCCCAGGAATCCACGTGGGCTCGCCGTGCGAATTCGGCTCTGATTTCGTCGATGAACTTGGGGTTGAACGGAAGATCGTCTGCCATAAGACCTGCATGGGTGCTGAACGCTGCGTCGACTTTCCGATTGAATGTCTCAAAGTTAGTGTACTCGGTGCCTCGGGGATCAGAGAGTGGGACCACGAACCCTTCGTCTTTGTGCCACTCAAAGTCTAGCTTGGCTTCAGGGAACAGCTTCTTGTCCGGTGCGTAGTGCTGTTCCAAGTGAGCGGCAATTTCAAACGAGTCCCCGACCTTGGCATTGAACTTGTGGTCGATCGCAACTGGTAGCGTATAGTAATCTGAACCGTCTGCAAACTTCCGAACGGCTGGCACGGCGAGCTCTTTTCGAACGGCCGCAATGTCGGGCAGCTGAACCCAGACTGTCTTGTACTCGGCTGTCTTGTAGTTTAGCGCATACCTAGCCTTCCACGGGTTCGGAGAGCAGCTATTCTCCTCCTCAGGAGGCCGCATCGCAATATCGTAGAACGTGATATCGGGCATTATGAGTAATCTCTGGGTTAGGTGGTTTAAAGCCAGGTAAATAAAATGTTTGGACTGATGCCATGCGTCAAATCTGCAATCTGGTCCTACATTTTGTCTAAGAAAGTGACTAGGATTGGTGAACGATTAAACCACGGTGATTGAACGAGGTGATTAAACCAGGGTGATTAAATGAGGGTGATTAAACTAAGATACAAAACCGGACAATTGAGCTCGGGATCAGTCAGTCTAGTATTTGGGCTTCTTTTTCCAGGAGTACTTATTCGCTCGGAATCACAGGTCGCAATCGCAGCTGGCTACCCCGCCGGCCTAAGAGTATAGTGAACAACAAATTTGCAATGGTGTGTGAGACGATCTGGCCGAGTGGTCTAAGGCGCAAGATTAAGGCTCTTGTCTCTTCGGAGGCGGGGGTTCGAATCCCCCGGTCGTCACCATTTTTTTTGGCACTATCAATTGCTGCTGTCTCCTGACATGAAACACTGATCTTTTTAACAATCAGAAACGACCGAATCTTTTGCTATATATGTACTAGTTTGAATACACCTGTTTACATGCACCTGTTTGAATACACCTGTTTACATGCACCTGTTTAAATACACTCGCCTACATGCACTCGGTCTATATGCGCATACAAACCATGACCTGACCCGAGCAGCCGCAAGCCGAGTGTCGAGCTGAAAGCCCAACAAGTGCCCTGGCTAGCTATCCACAAATCCAGTCTCCGCATAAGTAAACCGCTGGTTTCACGGCCCTCGATCTCGTCTACCCACATTACTGGGAGTCCTGACAAATCCCTCAATCTACAATAGGCTCACACTAGAACTCGGTGCCATCGCTTTAGGTCAAATGACAGAGGAGGCCACCACACATACCCGGCGTAAACAGCCCCTAATGCGCACTGTGGGAAAACACGGCAACCGCTCCTCGACGCGGCTGTCGAAAATGGGCCGTGGGAATAATGCGGCCGGAATTACCCCGTTGACGAAACTGACCGCAGACAACCCAATTGAAGGTGGCGCGCCAAGATTCCTGGGCGAGCGAACAAGGGAGAGATCATCAGACTCTTTGCCCCGAGTCCATTCCGCGGGCCGGTTAACTGGAAAGCACAACAACTCGACGGCAAAACTACATCGTAAAGCAAAGCATGCTGCTGATACCGTAGCACCTCGCAAGGCCGTGATCAATTTGGAGCACGAAGACTCGGACAATGATAGTAGTACCACCTACGAGGACACAGAAAGTGAAGGTGAGGGCTCAGTTGCTCTTGAAGCACCCCCCGCAGAACCCAAAGACCAGCCACAAAACTCGAGCACTACCAGCCTCAATTTGAACGAGACGCTGCCAAAAAGACCCGATCTCATGCGCCGCACCTCTTCGGGGCTCTCTGTTGGCATTAAAAACGTCGCACCCACCCCCCCACAGATCAGCACCGAGACGGTGGTTAGCGTTACATCGGCCGTCGACATGGCAAACGCTTTGAACTCGTTGTCGTCCAAATCCCAGTTCGTTGAGGAGGGCGACTTTGTCTCGCGAGCAATGACCCACAGCCACTCGGCAATCGATCTCAAGGGCATTGTCGGCGCCAACCCGTTGAGAACTCAGCAAAAGCTGCTTGTCAGACAACAGCAGTCCCGCAGCACACACGGCTTGTCGATGCCTGAGGCTGTAGAGGCACGAAGAGGCTACGAACGTGCCGTTAAAGAGTACATCAATGCTCGCCAACTCGCCAGCCCCGTGAAAGCAGCCTTGATCCGCGCAGTTAATCGCGGCACCACCCGCACTACGCCGGTCCCGCACAGCTTAGCAAATCCGGGTAGTACTGGCGAAGCGAGCGACTCACAGCTCAATATTGCTTCTTTATCGGCCACAACCGTCGATGAAATGGCCGGCCTCACCGTCGACGACCACAAAAACACCTTTTCCGGTCAAGCGCAACACATGTCAAACTATTTGCTGTCGAACCTCTGGAACGAAGGCTGGACTGACCCCGAAAAGGTCAACGTAGACGCCTCAAACACCGAGGACATCCAGTCTCAAGCCCAAAAGGTGTACCAGCGGATCTCCGCCCCACAATGGTCTGGCCGTCGCAGCTCAACTGTAAAACTGGTTTGAAACATTTTTATTTCTTATGTATTTAATACTTCTCCATTCACTGCACAGTTTCAGGCACCCTGAATCCTGTGATTTGGCCCCTATCATATACGTTTTGCAGCACCTCTTGGAGCTTGCCCGGCTCGTCCTTAATTGATTCGTAGAATTTGTACAGTTTGAGCGCAGCTTGCGCATCTTCAATTGAATCGTGGTTACCGGACTGGATCTGGTCATCGAATAAAACCCACATCAAGAACTTGAGACTCAATTTCCGAGGCCCAATCAGGCCCTTGTCTTGGAACAGCTCTACCGTATCAATGACCTGGTTTCTCGGGACTTGAATATTAATTGTGCGGAAATCATTAACCAGCGCGTGACCCACGAACCGGAACCCTAGATTGACCAGCAGCCATAATCGCACGATCGCGGTTTGCCGAGTGACGAGCGGATACGGCGACGTGTTTGGATCAAGATCTCCAGGCTCAATGCCCGAGAATTTCGTCAGGTAGTCCAGCACTGGTCCAGTGGTTGCTACTATGTCGTCAATGAAAGGTTTTGGTGGGACGCTGTTCCCATCCACCACCGACACTCTAGCAAGCGACAATATTTGCGGCCGAATTAGTGATTTGGTTCCGTCCGAATGGAGCTCGGCAATCTCTTTGCTCAACAAAACAAACTCGGCGTCCAGGGCCACCGTGGCGCCCGGTCTAATTTCCTCCGGGGTCAGCTGCAGCATATTGGGGCGGGTAGGTTGCTCCAGCAGCCGCCGGAGATCCATATTTTGCTTCCATCCCTCATAATCGAATTCACCAATGGGTGCCTTTGGCAGATCTGTGCGTGTATACACCAACATCAAAGGCTTTTTATAGCTTGGGCTGAAATCTTTGGCAATCCGCTCTTCCACTGGTCGCACCAAGAAATCATTAAACAAAAACCAGCTGTTATCGGTGGTCTTCACAAAAGCCACTGCGTGTCGATCTCTCCGATCTATCATTTCAGCAATATATCCTGCAAGTTTGTATTGCGGCTCATTAGAGTCCTCGACCTTGAACGACCTGCGATCGGCGCGCGTACCCAAAGAAAACTGTTCAGCCGGTGATCTCATGGGCTGGGCAGCTGCTTCCTGCACGCTCACAAAAATGACGTCGCTCGCGCTAGTCACTTGCCTCACGACGGCCATAGCATGCTGTTTATTACACTTTGGACACCATTGAGACATGTCCGTTGTGCGACTCAAGGCAGCATTCAGGCCCTTCAAATCAGCATACGCCGCCTCAAGAACCATCTGTCGTTCAACCGTATCAGCCCGATGGCCACAAGAGCCATACATTCGACATGTTACATCGAGTCCAACGACAGTGTGAAGCGAAGGCTCTGAAGAAACCGACTCCTCCTCAACAATATACTGCTCCATCAAAAAATCAAACAGCCCGGTAATCTGCTCTCGCAGCCCAAGTCCAGACGCAAGAAGAGCTTGGGCCTTGGGCGATGGGTGCGCTGCCAAGGTAGCCATAAAGTTCGAAGCTCGACACGGCCGACCCTCAGCTTTGTGCAACATATCAAACATCATCGCCAGTTCACATACGATTGGTATACTTTCATAGTTATGCTTCGCAAACAACTGCAGTGTGTGGTTGTGCAAAGGTGCACACCACCGCATAACTTGCATGAGCGAATTGCAAAATGTGTTTCCCCAAACTTGTGTCTCGAGACCAGCATGGCCGGTCTTGTTATAGAAACTGAAATCAAAGTCATGGACGCCAAACTTGCTGAAGTGAATCTGGAGCTGTCTATAAGCTACTGGCATTCGTCCAGCGACTTCTTGAATTGAAAGTCCCTTGACCTCGTTTGACAGGTAGCTGTTGGGTGACTGTTCGGACAGAAAGCGCGGCACAGCAATTGACGAACGTCTGATCGATTTGAGCATGGACACGTAGTTTGAAGCAGTGTTTCGCTTTTGCAGCTCAAAGTCTTGCGGAGGCGCCATTCCTACTTCAAAGATAAGCGGATCCGACCACGAGCTCAATAATTCCTGATGGTAAGGAGGCATCCCCACCGCCGACAACGGGGTAGTGTCTGTAACCTGTCGCAACCTTGCGGGGGGTCTGGTAGTTCAATATTCTTTGGGGTCGTGTAATTGTACGCATGGTTGCGGGTCCAGAAATGAATAGTACCATTCTGTTCGAGTAAAATCAGCGAGTCGCCCTGGGATGACAGGTCCAGTCCAATGAATGTACTCTGGGAAGCCACCGGATGGATAGAGAAGTTTGTTGGATTTCTCACGTCCATAAACTGGATCTGGCCAGGGCCTACCACCACACAGTTTGTTGGGGACTTGGGATGCATGCGCACAAACAGCCCCGGGCTCGATAGAGTCAACATGGGCAGAGTCTTGCGTAAACGTGCATCGTAAACGTAAACTATCTGGTCGGGTACCATGCCATAACGACGGGCACTCATGCCGCACGTCATAATGACCGACTTGCACACATCCATGTCCGTTATGGGGCCGGAATGGCAGCGCACCTCGTAGATAATATCAAAGGTGCTCTGATCACACACGACGACCCGACCGTCGCTGAGACCCAGAGCTACATTGAGCGAGCAGCGCTCCATAAACAAAATAGTGACATCTGCCGGGATATCTATCGTGAACGTACCGGTTTCCCTGGGAGGGTCGAAAGTCCGGCGGTTGACGCGACGGCCAGTTGCCAGCAGTATCTCATTGTCATTCACAAGCATGCGCATACCGACCGCTGCCGGATCAAAGGCCTTCAACTGGCCCGTGCGTTTGTGGCAGCTTACGCCCCCCGAAGAAAGAGAGTACACGTATTTGTCCGTGACCTGGAGATCGAGCACGGGAGTGCTGTGGGCCACAAACGACGTGTACGGCTTCATGTACGGTACCAGGTACGAAAAGACCCGTCCTGTGATATCTGCCACCCACACTAAATCTCTGTAGGGATCAAACACGGTTCGGCAAGGCCGATTGGGCGACAGGTCACAGCCTGTCTCCCTCCATCCGTCCATTGCTGACCGATTGTTGGTAAGCGAGTGCGAGGGCTGCCTGCTATGTACTAGGGAGAGCGAGCTATATATATTTCAATAAAAGTAGCGGGTTAGCATGAAACGGGGGATTGAGACGCCAAAAAGGCAGACGACGTAGACGACAGCCAGGCCGACAATCGGACTGAGCAGGTAGTCTGTGTGCTGCAAGAAGGGCACGTAGGAATACCCCACAAAGGTTACGACAAAGTACTGGCTCAAAGCCACCAGGTAGAGGGTGTTTCCCAGGAACATGCAGGTCCAGTTGTCGCGGTCTATGATGGGCAGAAGGACAAACTGCACGACGTAGAGCAGAACATAAATAATGAGGAACGCGTTGCAGTGAACGTCGAAGCAGTACGCCCACTCGAGCTTGGTTCCTGGGTTTTGGTTGGGACGGACGAGAAACTTACTGGCCACAAACCACAGAACGCTTGAAATGAGCACTCCCATGGCGAGAAAATCAACAATTACCATGTACAGAATTAGCTTGATGATCCCGCCGAACGTGGGCGTGTATGCTAGCCCCCAGGCCACTGCGGCGAGCACGAGCAGGAGCGTCAACAGCACAACAAACGAAGGGTCGTCTCGGGCCCACTGGTTTCTCGTTTGCTGTCTATAATACATTGATTTGAATACTTTTCGCGGTGCAATCACCGCATGGACCATTTCCCATATCGCGGTCTCAAAATCCAGCGTCGGGGGCTGCAACAGTAGCCGGACATATCGCGGAACGCGCATTGACAAAGCCAGATCAGAGAAGAGATTTTAAGGCCTCCAGTTTCGCACTTGAGGGACGGGGTTGGCAGGTAGCTGTATGGAATTTCTAAGGATAAATGCAAGGTCGTCTGAAACAAAGCCCCCAATAAAATAAAATCCGAGTAACATGTTCTCAGCCGTGAAAAAAAAAGCCCTACGTGGGGGTCGAACCCACAACCTTGTGATGACTTTTATCTCTTGCGAGTCTTAAGAGTCACACGCTCTACCGATTGAGCTAGCAAGGCTAGTTAGAAATGAAGCCCTACGTGGGGGTCGAACCCACAACCTTGTGATGACTATTATCTCTTGCGAGATTTAAGAGTCACACGCTCTACCGATTGAGCTAGCAAGGCCGATTTCTGCTCCTACTGTTTTACCAATCGTTATATTTGCCCTTCGTATTTTTATTTTTCGAAAACCTCTTCTTGTGTACAACTGGTAGGGGACCTAATTGCCCACGTCTATAGCAGCGCTGAAAATAGTCCGAATCCCCGATATCTTTACTCCAAGCTTTTCCCGGTGCCTTTATTAGCCCTCCAACTCCAATAGATAAGTTGTGTTTTTTTTTCAAGTTTCCTCAAGGTTAGTTATACCCTCTCCTCCAAAAGACTCGAGTGCGTCACTGTGCAACTGAGTCTTTTTCACACTGAAGATCACGGATCGTCGCAGATCATCGCCCGAGCTGACACACCACACCCTGATGCCAAAGGCAGGGAGAACTAAGCCATGTGACAATTGTCGGCGGCGTAAGACCCGCTGTGTCACAGACGGAGGTCCGAGATGCGCTTATTGTGCCAAGAACAACTGTGATTGTGTGTTCAGTGACCCCCCAAAGTCCACAATGGAGCCTTACACTTCGCGGATCGAGGTCAAGCCGTTGGAAGCCCCGCAAAGAAGTGAAAAGGGGCCTTCTTTCATACCGCCAGACTACAGTGGTGCGGCGTTAATTGGGGTTAGTGCAGACCAAGACCCTTATCTTGTACAGTTCTACAAACGTGGTCCAGATAACGTTTCACGCTTTGTTGACCAGGGCATCCATCTCGTGGAGAAGTCGGCTGATCCCTACAAATCCGCAGCTACGCCAGTAGCGTTTAGTGTCTTCAGAAAACCACAGGCCTCTGCGCAGTCGAAATACTTGACCCTCGACAAGTCTCGCGTTGATCTGGCCGTTGATCCATACCGCGAACGCCTGCTGGCTCTCTACTTCAAGTTCATCGACTGGACGTACCCGGCGGTTGATAAGCATACGTTTTATCAGAACTATTATTTCAAAAAAGACCAAATGCACACTGGGTTACTCTCCGGTATGCTGGCGATTGCGTGTATTTATTGGAAGTATGACAGCCAGCTCTGCGTCAAGCAGATGCCCAAGGCGCTGGCCGCCCAGCTCTGGGAGCAATGTGCCCTTTGTATTGATGGGGACATTCTTGCGCCAACTCTGGAGACTGTTCAAGCGCTTTTATTGTACCTGCAAAGAAGACTGGCCCGCGGTGACACAAACGAACAGCACGCTCAAGCCGTATGGCTCGGCAAGCTGGTGGCTGTTGCCCATTCGCTCGGCCTGCATCTCGACTGTACAAACTGGGCAGTTAGCGATCATGAGAAACAGGTTCGCCGTCGTCTCTGGGCACTCACTGTTTTCAACGACAAACTCATGTCTCTGGTCCTCGGCCGGCCAAGCTTGTTGCATCCATCACGATCGTCTGCTCGCCCGTTCGACAGCATACACCCACAAGAGCAGCTCTTTGTACAGCTGTGCAAACTTACTCAAATTGTGAGCGGGGTTATCGATGATCTTTACAGCCCCGAGCGGCGGTACGACCCCAATTATGATTCGTCCTCTCTGGAAGTTGTCAGGACGGTGGAGTCTTACTTGCAAGCTCTAGACACTTGGAACTCGCAGCTTCCTCATGATATGTCGACGATGCAGGGCCAGCCAGACGGTTATTGCCGAAATGGTGTACTGCATCTACTGGCGCTCACCGTCGAAGTTGACTTATGGCGGGTTCTTCTTGTACCGTCGAATATGAACCATCCTGATTTCGGGTATTGGCGAACAGGTGCTCGCAGCACCATTCAAAAAATCATTGTATATACCAGTGAGATCACTTACAGCCACTTGCATGCCTTTTGGCCGGCCACATGCCCGCAAGCGTTTTCCACACTTGCCCATTTCGTGTTTTACTACTATGTCCAAAGCAGCGCGGCCGAACAACAAGAACTCACAGACTCTTTAAGACGGTGGTTATGGGCCTTACGGGTCTTGGCCAACACTTGGCCAGATGGCACTGGTTTGGCCACCCTTCGCATGGATGCTGTGTTTCACATGGGCAAAACCAACGTCCAGATACCACCCCCACCCCCGCAGTCTCAACCAAAGCCCCAGCCTCAGTCGTTACCGCAGCGCCAGCCTGAACTTCAACCCCGCCCAACATTTTCACCATCACCAGGGGGCTCGGACACTTCGCCTCTGAGCGCTCAGGGCTCCCTTCACGGGTCAGTTAACGGACACCCACCCCATCCGGCTCAACCCCCACACCAGCACGCTCAAACGCTGTCGGAAAGAGCTAGCTTTTATTCTCAGTCCGCGCCTACGCCTTTCTATGATAGTATGCTTGAGCTAGACCCGCTGGTGAACCATGAAATCATTCCCCTCGAAGACCAGCGGCCGGGCTTTGCCCACCAGGAGTACTACGAGACCCAAGATCCAACAATCTACGAGAACATTAGTCTAGACGATCTCGTCAAAGACAGCTTGCACGATCTGCTCATGAAGAACATTTTCGACGAACACTATCAATAATTCTTAGCACTATATAACCCGGTCCCCCTCCCCCGCATTGGAAGTTAGTAATGGATTCTTTCTTCAAAGCCAACCGGGTGTACGCCGTCGCAGGAGCCTCTAGCAACCCATCGAAATTCGGATACAAGGTGTTAAAGTGGTACAAGGACCGCAACATTCCCGCCGTGCCCATCAATTTCCGCAAAGAAGTCATTCTTGAGATCCCATCAGTCGAGGACGTTACGCAAGTCCCGGTCAAGCCCGGCCAGGATGTGGCGATCAGCGTAGTTTCTCCGCCCGCAGTCACCCAGAAGATGCTGGAGAGCTTGGACAAGGCCCAAGGAAACGTCGAGGCCGTGTGGCTCCAGCCGGGCACTTACGACCAGGCCGTTTTGGCACTGGCCCAGGAGAAGGTTCCCAATGTCATTACCGACTGTATTCTCGTCAAGGGCGACAACTACCTGCCCAGTAAACTATAAATAATATTTTTTATGCATCAATTAGAACCTCGTAAGGAAACGGAGCAATGTCGCGGGTCGTGATGGGTGGAATATGCTCACGCTGAGTCTCGGCCGTCTGCAGCACCTTGAAGAGCGCTCGCTGCAGCGAAGCAGTGGTGTCTGCATTAGGATCCAACTGGACTTCGACCCGCCACTCCTCCCAGGAAACGTCCTGTGTCTTGGCGAACCAAGTGGCCTTTTTCACCTTGTGGTCTTGGAATTGCACTGTGAGCACTGCTCTGGTCTGGTCCCGCAGGGCCACTTCGAAATCACGTACTCGCTCGTTCAGAATCGCCATCGTCTCTGCATGGTCCACAAACGGGTACGATACGCCATTGGCTTGGCCCTGGCTCGGCTCTATACTGCCGAACATTCGCTGGAAAAATATAGTACAAAGAACCGCCTTGACGGCGTCTCCTGCGCTCGCTCGCTCGCTGGTCAGTTCGATCACAAACGTCACCATGACAAAGCGATCAGGCCGTGGGCTTTTTATAGTCCAGGGCACTGGCGATCTGTTTGATTATTGCGACGGTTTCTGGGATTCTCTCGTCGAACGCTTTCTTTTCAATTGGCCTGAATTTGCCCAAAACAAACTTGGTCACCGAGCGGCTGTCCATCGCGGGAGGAGCGCCGATGCCGACCCGAAGTCTGGGGAATTCGCCATATTTCACAATATCCTTCAGCCCATTGTGACCTCCAGCAGCCTTGGACGCAAGTTTGAACTTGACCTCCCCGGGCTCTAGGGCCATGTCGTCGTGCACAATGATGATCTTGATCTCCTCGCCCTTGACTTTATTCAGTACGTCCCGCAGAGCCTTGCCACTCTCATTCATGAAAGTGGAGCTCTCGGCGAAATAAACGTTGCGGTAGTTGCTGAATTCTCCAATAGTAGCATTCCCGGTTGAGTTGCTCGAGGCACCTCCTAGGTATCGGACGGCGGCTTGCAGCACCTCGTGGCCCGCGTTATGCCGAGTATTTGCATATTTTTGGGCGGGGTTTCCGATCGACAAAAACACCAGCTTGATTTTGTCTTTGTTTCGAGAAACAGACAGCTCGTGCAAAAACTTGTTTATAGGAACTTTCATGTAAAAAGCGTCTCGGGATCAGTGGAAAATGTTTGGTATTATGGGGGTATTAGATAATAGCTAGAATCGCGAAGAAGACTCCAAGTAGGTTGGCATTATGTAGAATACCCGAGTTAGATTCCGCTACCCCTGTACCAGTAGGAGGAATTTCCACCGGTCGTATAAGATCAGAGGAGATTTGTACAATCTGTGTCGAAGCAGGCACGATTGAAGGAGCTGGTTCCACCACGGGTGGAATCGGTGTTTCAACCGGCACAATTGAGTCTGATTCTGCGGGCAGAGGCGGCACTGGTACATAGATCAATGGTGTCTCAACAGGCACAACCGTATCTGGTGGAGGGATGTCTTCGCCTGGGGCACTGTAGGTTGGTGTAGCAGCAGGCGGAGGGGTGTCTTCGCCTGGGGGACTGTAGGTTGGTGTAGCAGCAGGCGGAGGAACCAATTCCACCGTAGGTGAGCTTGAAACAGCGTCCATCTTTGTCGATTCAGTCGAGGTTTCCAAGGGGGGGATATCAGAATGCGTCACAGTGGTGGTCAGGGACACGACGGGAATGGGGGTCAAACCCGTGTCGGATGGCAACGAGATAGGAGGAGTATCAGGGGGGTTTTGATGTTCTGTCGTGACTGGAACATTGGTCTCTGTTGTTTCCGGTGTGTGTTGTGGCAGTGGGGTAGTCTCTGGGCTTGTTGGGGGCTCCGTGTTTGGTACAATGCTCGTTGTCGAGCTTGTTGACGATGAGCTAGTCGTTGGTTCTATGCTAGTCGATGTTGGGCTCGTCGTGCTCGTCGTGCTCGTCGTGCTCGGTGTCGTACTAGTTGATGTTGGGCTCGGTGTCGTGCTCGTTGATGTTGTGCTCGGTGTCGTACTCGTGCTCGGTGTCGTACTCGTGCTTGGTGTCGTACTCGTGCTCGTCGTGCTCGTGCTCGGTGACTCCTTCTCTGTACATTTCGTGCAAATCGTAGATGTCGTCGTTACCAGACTGGACGGTGTTGCCTTCTCTGTACATTTCGTACAAATAGTCAATGTCGTCGTTTCTGTCCGTTCCGGCTCGGGACTCGATGAACTGGCCGGTGCAAGCGTCGGGCTTACAGGCGATGATGTGGCCTGCTGGCACCTAAGACAGTTCATTTTTGAACTGGTTGATTCTGGAGTTGACGAGGGATCACTGTAATCCCATGAGATCACCAAATCGTCGGTTGTAGTCGAGTATTCAGTCACTTCCCACTCTCTCGTGGTCGTGTAAAGCCTGGGCTTCGATGTCACACGAGGCACTGTCACATGCAATCCATCAGTATGGGTTGTCACTAGTACAGAGTACCAGGTAGTCAAAATTGGTCCAGGCGTCGATACCTCATCGTCATCCCAATTTAGCACGTACTCGTCAGATGTGGTAGAATATTCGGTGGTTGTCCAAGCTGTTGTTCTTGTATAAAGCCTTGGTGGTGGGGTGACATGAGGCAAAACCACTGTCTTTTCATCAGTATGTGTTGTAACGTAGACAGAGTACCAAGTGGTAACGATTGGAGTCAGTGCAGCTCTGAGCTCCATCAGTGCTGTTGAAGAAGCAGCGGCCTGCGAAAGTGATTCGATAGTCAGAGGACTGTCGTTATCATCACGGCTATCCCCTGGCACAACCCAGTCACCATACTGTTGAGCGCTAATTCCAGGCATGACTTCATCTTTCAATACGTCTGAGCTTAGATCGGTGGGGCTCGCTAAGGCAAGAGCCGCCAGCAGCGTGTGTACTAAGGACCACATTTCCTGTTTAAGAAAGCTGGGGACCCGCTTTATATAGCTCACTGCGGGCCTGGGCGCCGACTAGCGAAACACATGGGATTATTCGCGTTCCGGGCAACGTGCATGAAGCTTCGAACCAGGAGTCGCGCTCGCGTCTGTCCACGGAAGCCACCACAAGGAACAGGCAGGGTTCCAACCCGATAATAAGTTATGTAGGCCAAACTGGAGATCAATAACCCAATTGTATCGGCACTTTTCTTTTTTCCACCTACTCGTCGCACTATGTGCTAGCTGCTAGTCTCTGCAGGCGAATGCAATCGGGCGCTTTGTGCTCATTCTGTACCTCCTGATTAGGAAGTCCCACCAGCGGCCCGCTACATATAGTGCGTCAATCCGAACTCAGAGATAGGTTTTTTTTTTTGCTATAGACTAATAATTGATGTTCTTTATAAAATCTTGGGTTTTTTGCAAGTCAAATCAGCGGCAAAGACAACGTCCTTAGTTAGGACCGCTAAATCACCATCTCTCGCTGCTGCGGAGTGTGCAGTAAGCCAAAAACGAGCACCAACAACAAACAACTCATTCGGAATTGGTAGAAACTTTTGCATTGAACGGCTCCATTGCAATGAATTGCCTAGTTCCTTTTGCGACGGTAGCAGCAGCTAAGAATTATGCTAATTAATCTACGTAGTACTCCATTAAACCTTTTCATCGAACTCATCATGAATATCTTCCGCATTTTGGTCAGCCTTACGGCGTAGGAACCAGGATATGCCGAATTTGAGGCCTCCGACAATATTGGCGATCCGAAATAGCCACTGGAAAAATGACATACGACTGTCGGTCAGCGTGACGGAAATCGGCTCAAAGTCGTACTCGAAATAAATACCGGGCAAAACGCGAGGATTGACTGGAAGTGTTTCAACAGAATACTGGTGAGTGAACATCTCAACTCCAAAGCCCTGGACCACAGTAGGCACCAGGTTGAGCTTGTAAAAGTACCCCTGGTTCAATGAGGGGGCAGCGGCTGCAGTTTCGTCCAGCGGGTTCTGCATCGAAGGATAGTAAGGCCCAAATGATAACTCGTTGATTCCGTGGGAGGTGTTGAGCGCTGCTGCGGCTTTAAGACGACCGCCCCACGGGGCCGCGCGAATGAATATTTGGCCTCTGACTCTATTGGTGTTGAAGATGCCCGAGAACCGGCACCACTCCTCTTCGGGGCCAAGCACAGTGTGCCCAAACTGAGATGTCCAACCTGAGCCAATGAGAAAAAATGACGGCACCTCGTCGTCTCCTCGTAATGGTCGAATATCCAATAGACGTCCCATCAGCAAACGGTCACCAGACACGTCTGAGCTTCCGACCTCGAGCTGCAAACAAGGCGCGGCCACAGTCACGTCGAAATTAACCTGGAACGTGTCGGCCACGCCCTTGTGCACTGAAAACTCCGAGTCCTGGTGGGCGCCCATGAATGTGGTCGATTCCAGCCATAGCACTATGAGTGTTAAAATAAAAAACACTACCGTACTGGGCGACATCCGCGGCAATCGGAAGTTCTCCTCCTTAGGAAAAGCATCGAAATACCTGACCTGGACCATTGGTGTTACGTCAGACGGCCGGCCCCGCCTTTGTAGACGACGAGCCGATGGTAAAAGGGTGTAGAGTGTATTGAGACATAAATACTAGGGACTATAAAAGGCTTGTCTTGTCCAGCGGCGGCGTCTGTACTCACCAGGAGTTCCGTTTACACCGACGTCGTAGGCCCAAGGGCCATCGGCCGTAACGTTAGCGATGTGCCGGTCTTGTGTCCAGTACTCTGCGTCATAGTCAAGTATCCAAGGGTACTCTTCATTGAACAACCAATATTTCGGGGCTTCGACGTCGTCCAGCACGCGAGTTCCCTCAGGAGCTTGGGATGAGAGCCTCAGCGGCGAGTCGACAGAATAAATAGACTGGGTGTAGCAGCAAAAATCCCAGAGTTTGTCGGTCAAGCCCTGGCGCTGGACCTCGAATATCTCGACCTCACGAACGATTGGAGCCTCCTCGTCGACGTTGAACTGCGGCTTCAAGGCGGCCATGAGTTTAGGCAAAGCGGTAGAGTTTTTGAAAAGCGTCATTTCAACCTTCTTGAGGTCCTCGATTTTGCGTTTGACCTCAGGATGGGCTAATATAGCAGCACCCCAGCCCATTGAGCTGAAGAGGACCGGGAGCGAGACCAGTCCGGCAGCAGCAGCCGTGCCCAGAAAGGCACAAAGCACGAGCAAAAAGAGGGTGCACGACTCCTGGATATCCACAAAGTTGGCCGGGCCGGCCAGGAATGCATCGAGCTTGTCCACGCTGGCCACGAGGTTTTGGAGCGAGTTCTGACCCTGACGAATAGCCAGCAAAATATCGCGGTCTCGCTTGATTTTGGCCTGCTCGACCACCTCAGCCTGCTCCTCCACGCTATCAGGATTAGCGCTCACAGAGACACCACTGCCAAATGCGTTTACTTGCACCGGGAACTCGGGGATATCCAGCGGAAAGTGCTTGATGTAATTGGGAATGAAAACAAAGAGCAGCAAGCTCATAGATGGCAGGCAAGCAATAAGGGCAGGATGGAAACAAATGTACGTGTAAACCAGAAGAATCGACAGTGTAAACGCCGGGCTTGTCCACGAAAAAAACCGCGCAGGGTAGGCCTGAAGAGCCGAGGCAGCTTTAAACCTGCCACCCAAAATAGACAGGGAGCGCACAATTGCCGGGAAGCTGAGGTCTGGGATTTTTTCCATCTCCTTACGCACAAGCTTTGACGCAGCAACCCGCAACACGCCGTCAATAACCAGATCGGTGAAGTGCCCGTTTCCATCTCCACTGCCTACCTGTACAGCGGCCCCAGCCAGCACCGCAGAGTCTGCCGCGCGGGCAGGATTAGCAATTTGAACCGGCATTTTATTTCTATATCCGGTCACCAAGATTGGATTGCTCTGGCAAGTAAAATCCCTTGGTGATATGCGTATGGCTAAGCGTGCGCAGAGTGGGGTTACGGGCAACTAAGGCGGGGGCCATGGCCGGGTAATCACGATCACATGCTGCCAAAGGGGCACCGAAAGAGGTAACTTTTGCTGGTGGCATCTGCACTGATGGAATAAATTAGTTTAATTCAAAATTAAATAGCATTTTTCAAGGCATAAGTCATGACGATGGTCATTGAGATGGGCAAAAACGTGTACTGCGCAATCAGCACCACGGCAAGGCAGTTCAGAGGGCCCTCTTCGTAGTCGGCACCAAACACTAGTGCGGTAATATAGATCTGGATCGTCGCAGATGGCGTGCTGGAGGATGCAATGAGGACAATTGGTGCCATTGGGTCGTCGTGATCGATCCAATGAACCCGGCGGAGCTCTTCGACGAATGCAATTGCGATGATGGGTAAAATCACGAGCTTGAAAAGAACAAGACCCACGATGGTCCGCCAGAACTTTGCTGGCAGTCCGCGAACTTTCAACCGGGCAATGGTGCCTCCTAGCAGCATCAGTCCGAGCGGGACCTGGGCGTTACCGAAAAACCCCGTAAAGTCCATGATGAAATCCAAAGGTGGTCGGCCGTCGGGGGCATTGGGGATCCCAGATACGTGCTGGTCGGGATCGTCAACGAAAAGACGTCTTGTCCAGGGGATCATTGCAATGGCGAGTGCAACAATCAGGGTCATTGACTGCGGACGCTTCATGTTTTCAATAAACTCTCCAATGATTCTTGTGGTCATATTGCGAGACTTGAACCTTTTCCAGCCGTTTTTGAGGTTTTTGAACCGGGCAGTGGGCTGCCTTGCACGTTCGCTGTCTGCGTCTAGATCGGGCAGAAATTGCGAGGACTTTGAAAACCTACGACCGTATCCTGTGACGCTAACGGCATCGCCGGCAGCATTGAAACGAACGTGGTCGGGATTAAGAGGCTGAGGGGTGCCTTCTAGTGAGCTAATCTCCAACTTTTCATGGTCGATTGAGCTCTCGTCATGCACGGGCTCTGGGTTGAGATCTCGGAGGAACCGTTTCTGATCAAAGAAAATCAGGTGCTGGCCTCCGAAATTGAACATGGCAGAGATAAACACCACATTGAAAATGACACAATAGGCCACTCCTTTATTGGCCCAAGTCGACGAAAACATGCTGCCGTTTCCAATTGTCTGGACATACGCAATGGGCAAATCACCGCTGTTGTTGAATATACAGGCCATGAACAACCCGCCAACCCACATCTTGGGTATTGGGTTCAGCATCTTGAGGATAAGACCGCATAAAGCGCCCGCGGCGTAATAAATGTACCCCGTGAGAATGATCACCCCCATGATTTTGATGTCTGTGTCTTTCAAGCTTGCGACAATGTTGTGGAAAAAAAGACATGGAACCAGGTAGGTGAGGACGATTTGCGATATGACTCTTGATCCGTCCGGAGTTAAAATCTTTTGCTTGGCGAGCAGGAACCCCGTGCCGGCGGACAAGTAGATTTTGAAAAGCGGCTTGATCGCTATATAAATTGCCTGGCCCAACCCGAAATGATACGACATATTGGTCGGAAACAAATTGCCCCAGGTACGGATAAAATCACTTGACGGATCTGCAAGGTGATGACAGTGAGTGCATGTACGGCAGATAGCTCGTACATAAAGGGCCGATCGCGGGTCTAAGCAAGCAGCGAGTGGATCCAAATCCAAGCTCGGCCCTCAATGGGCCATGGACGAGTACGGGTCGCCTTTTCTGTCGCAACACACTGCGTCGTGGTTGATACAGCAGCTCGTGCGTGCATCACGCAATGCCGCCCGGCAGCAAGGCGTTCGCGATTCGATGCAGTGGATAAATCGAGCCGAAAAAACTCGAACAAACGTTTATAAACAAAATATAAACTCTACTTGATCTACGCCCGAGCTTATTCATATTAAACTCCGGGGCTGGCCTGCACTAAACCGCTCGCTTGCCTGTCAGCATGACTCGTCACGCTTAATACACAGTGTCGCGATTTCAAGCTCGTCTATTTGGTCGGCTTATCCGGTTTGCAAATAGAAGACGTTTGCCGAAAAGAATATCCCGGATGGCTGACTATTGGTATCAACAGAAGACAATCAGCCAGGTAACCCAAATGCTGCGGGGCATTAGAACCAGCCGGTCTCGAAGCCCCGACAACTTCTCTAGCAACGACCGGACGCCGCCCACTGAGAGAATTGTTATTTACCCTTCTTACTGCAGCCAGACGCTCAATTCTAGCGCTCCTTTCAATTTGCATGTCCGCGGCTGGCTGTACTCCCCTGGCGCAATGAGCAGGAAGAACCGGCTAATGATTGCCACCGCTGAACGGCTAGTAGGCAACCCAACAGTGGGATCACCGGGATTCGATGATGATGGCCTGCTCGATAAAGGTGCTACTAGCTCTACTGGGGACCTGCTGGTCGACATTGACTCGGACTACCCTACGATCGACAAAAAGCTGGCCGGGAGGTCCGCATCAAACAGCTGGGACAATTGCCAAGGAGCACCGCGGAGCCCGCTACGGGAGAGAATGGCCGCGGTACTGCACAAGTCCTTGGGTGATCGTGAAATTGCTATTGATATTGAAGGTGGGCTCGAGACGGAGCGCTATTACCTGGTGACGGACGAAGGCGGACGATTTAATACAACCTATCCGTTAACCTTTCAGCCAACAAGAGTGGTGGTTTCAAGCAGCGAAACCTCGAGCTCCGTGGATCCCATTGTCATTCAACCGCACGGAGTTACTGTGATTAGCGATATTGACGATACCATTCGACACACTGGAGTTACTGGGGGGAAGCGAGAGGTGTTGCAGAACGTCCTGGTTAAATCATTTGAGGATGTCAGACTTGACGGAATCTCTGAATGGTATCGTCACATGGAAGAACGGGGTGCAGTGTTTCATTACGTTTCGAATTCTCCCTGGCAACTGTACCAGCCCATCATTGAATTTTTGTCCTATGAGGACTTTCCGGTTGGAACACTACACCTCAAACAATACCAAGGTATCCTAAATGGACTTATGGAGCCGGTTGTGACCCGCAAAAAGACCACTTTGGAACGCATAGTCAAGGATTTCCCCAGCCGTCAGTTTATTCTCATTGGCGACTCGGGCGAAGCCGATCTCGAAGCATACGTACGGCTTGCTCTGGAATTTCCGTCACAAATTTTGGCTATTTATATACGGGACATTACCCTTCCTGTTGATGCTGATTTGTCCGAAGTGTTTCCCAGTGACAGTACCGAGGAAGAATCAGACCTTATAGATCTTTCCGAGCACAAAATCCCGCCTCCAATCCCCCCCAAACCAGCTCATCTTGTGCGACGAAAACCTGTGGCATCCTCCAATGCCCTTTTGGAGGAAGCTAAATGCTACAGCGAGCAGGAACATGCAAGAAGTTCAGGTGTGGGAGAAGCAATTATGGGTCTTGGTGTGCGCAATGCGGCCAAGGCTGCTGCTGCATCTGCCATTGACTGTGCCTCCAGAAAAATCTACAACACTGACGGTGATAAGCCGCCTCCGCTTCCTCCAAGAGTGCGCCAGGCCACCAACCAGACTGCCCCTATGGTGATCAGCTCGTCTCAGGACTATTGCGACTATGATCACGATAAAATGGATAGCGCTGAGAAACGTATATACATGTGGAAGCGCAGACTTCAAGCTGCGCGAAAGGCGCTTCCCGCCAATATTCAGATTCGGCTGTTCAGGACCGCCGCCGACGTCGAGGCTGAGAGCCTGAATCTGATCAAAAAAGAACGACTATTATAACTTAAAAAGAAAAGAAATCATAAATGTACTGGAATATATTCAAATAGAGCTGCTCCTAAAAAATCTCTTCCGTACTGATTGTTTATACACTTCCCAATCAGGACGCATTGCAGCAGCTAAAAACCAGACTCATCCAACTTGACCAACGCCCACAGTGCGAGTACTTGTCAGAGTCGAGATGGAGCGACTTTATCCTAATTTGGGTCAATCTCCACCGAGCCGACTGAATTTATCTAATGCGTTCAATACGTCCGGGTTCAAGACAGTCAACGACAAGGTTCTGATGGAGATGAATCTGCGCGCGCAGCGGCAACTTGAAGGGGTCTCCACGCCCAAAGCGAATATCTTTGACTATCAGCCTACAGTTGAAAGTCGTCGGCAGTCTCTTCGAAAGTCACCCAAGTCACCGGGACTGTCTAAAAGGTTTTCGCGGCTGCACTGCAGTCAATTCGCCCGCATGGAGTCCATTGAAACACATCCCAGTCTGAAGCTAAGGCGACCGGCAGCGAAACCAGTGAGTCCTACTAAAAAGGCAAACGTCCGTATTGCCAACGCTCCGGTATTATTTGGCCAGCCGGCCCCGCAGACTAAAGCGGAAGATCTCCAGGACAAGCGCCAAGGAGAAGGCCTTGGGAGTCCCTCGAAGCGGCGACGGACTGTTGTGAAGAATGAAAACGTCACTTATGAGCCGATCCAGACACCTCAACAACCAACCCGACGGCCAATGCAGACCGGATTTTTCCGGTCGAGGGGAACAGCCCAGGCCAGGCCAACTAGTACTAATTGCATCCAGTCACCGCCCAAGCGGCTTGTTCGAAGCCATACCAGCGCTCAATTGACCACGAGTCGATGCTCCGACGAGCTCCCGTCCTACGCCCGGCCCACCCAGGCAGCGCTTCGGAAATCCCACTCGACGCGGGCGTTGGCGGCCAGAGGGGACACCGTTTTGAACCAAATGCCAATCCCACCCAAGGAAGGACACAGCCCAACCGAAACCAGACGGCTGTTTGCAGGTCTCGAGCCCGCACCGCACATCCTGAATACCCGGAGCCGCGCCCGGAGACCGTGATTAATCTAACTCTAATGGTGGAAGCGCGAAACCTTTAGCAGTCCGCTCAGCAAGGATATCAAACATATATATATATATCTCCACACTATACGAAATACTATACCTGCATGAACTATCGGATAGCCGCATGAAATTCCAAAATTTTTTTAATCAGTATCGGCGGGGCCTAGATATAACGCGGCACAGGCACACTTTGGACAGCCACAAACCCCAAGACGAAAGGCTATTTTCACGAGCGGGCACCAAACATAATTAAGATTTGCACAGCCCAAGCCAGGATTCATCTGGACCAATGCATCGAAGATAGCGGACGGCCATTCGAGGTTAGGGTGGATGTATATCCTTACCCACGATACGCAGCGGAGGGTGTTTCGCGACGGACGGCGAAGATAGTAGAACCACGCTTGGCCGACGAGAATTTATCATCTGGAAATTGGTGCAGAACCGAGCCCAAACGGCTCTGGACGCGGTGCGGCGTAAAACCAGGCGCAAACCAGGCCGGAGCCGCCCCGGCACCGGAAGCCCGTTGCCTAAGACGGGGTGTCCGGTCGGCGAAAAGGGGGTGGAAACGAAAAAGCGGAGGGCAGGGTCCGCCATATACCCTAGCCCACACGAAAACCGGCCAATCAGTGTGGGTTTCTTGAAAATTTCTCGCAGATTATATAAATGCGCAACCCGGCCCTCCCAATTTTTTTCTCGTACATCCATCACAGTTAACAAAATGGCTGAGTCTAACTTCCTTGCCGATTTCCTTATGGGCGGTGTCTCTGCCGCCGTCTCCAAGACTGCTGCCGCTCCTATTGAGCGTGTCAAGCTTCTCATCCAGAACCAGGACGAGATGATCAAGCAGGGTCGTCTGTCCCACCGCTACACCGGTATCGTTGACTGCTTCAAGCGCACTGTTGCCGACGAGGGTGTCGCTTCTTTGTGGCGTGGTAACACCGCTAACGTTCTCCGTTACTTCCCCACTCAGGCCCTGAACTTTGCTTTCAAGGACAAGTTCAAGGCTATGTTCAAGGCCTCTCCTGCCGACTCTTACACCGCCAAGTTCTCCAAGAACATTGCCGCTGGTGGTGCCGCCGGTGCTACTTCTCTTTTGTTCGTCTACTCCCTTGACTACGCCCGTACCCGTCTTGCCAACGACGCCAAGTCCACCAAGGTTGGCGGTGGTGAGCGCCAGTTCAACGGTCTCGTCGACGTCTACAAGAAGACCATTGCTTCCGATGGCATTGCCGGTCTGTACCGTGGTTTCGGTCCCTCCGTCGTTGGTATCGTTGTCTACCGTGGTCTTTACTTCGGTCTCTACGACTCTCTTAAGCCTATTATCCTGGTTGGTCCTCTCGCCAACTCTCTCGGTGCCTCTTTCCTGTTGGGTTGGGCCGTTACCATCACCTCTGGTATCGCCTCTTACCCTCTCGATACCGTCCGTCGTCGTATGATGATGACCTCCGGTTCCGGCACCAAGTACAAGTCCTCTTTCGACGCCTTCCAGCAGATCGTCAAGGCCGAGGGCTTCATGACCCTCTTCAAGGGTTGCGGTGCTAACGTTCTCCGTGGTGTCGCCGGTGCCGGTGTCATTGCCCTTTACGACCAGCTCCAGGTCATCATGTTCGGCAAGAAGTACTAAATAATTTAGAATCGTTTTTAGAAATATGCTTTCTTGGCCCTAAATGAAACAATTAATCCCGTTTTTTTATGCTATATTTGAAGTGCTGATTACTCACTGCGACGATCCTTCCTCTGGACGACCACCGTTTTGTGCGGTTTTCGACTGGTTATTTTCTTTTGGGAAATTCGGAGCTTGAATATAGCTGACGCGCGCTCGTTGAACACCCGCACGGAGAAAGAAACCTCACCTGCTGCCCAGAAATGCCGGACTTAGAGCACCGCACAGTAAAGCGCAGACGGGCCGCCCTAGCCTGCGACTCTTGTCGGCGGAAAAAAGTACGCTGCGACTCTAACCGTCCCACATGCGATAATTGCGCCCACTCGAGAATAATGTGCGTTTACACGCAGCCTAGGCGTCGCAAGCTGGTCAATACGCCGAAACGCAGTGGCACCGCCACCCGACTGGACAGGATCGAATCTTTGATTTACGCCATCGCCCAACAAAACGGTGTGGACCTTCCCGGTTATCCAAACAACGGCAGCGCTGCTGCATCGTCAGATAATTCAGATGGAGAGTCAGATGACGCAAATCAAGACGACTGCGAAGACTCCCTGGACGAGTCAGACTCAATGGGCTCCAGACCGAACGCTTTGGCTTCGCTTGGTGACAACTGCTCGATGCTGAAGGAAGTTAACGACGACGGTCATTTTTACACGCATGCGTTGTCGGGAACGTTCCTCAGCCAAAACAGTTTGAAATGGCTCGAGAATAAAATTGACGACCCCGCATTATTTGAGCGACTGAGAGCGAGCATCCAGTCGCTGTTTGTACAGCAGCAGCATCGTCTTCACCTATACTCTGAGAATATTTTGAACCCAATGGCACTCGACCTCGAGTTTTTGCGCTCCGCTCTTCGGTATTTTGCCGCCGCCAATATCCCGTTCATTAATGTGTTATTAACCCCTCGCGAAGCCGAGGAATACTCCAAGAGTAAATGGGATGCCTTGTCGTTGTCTGACCGGTTTCTCGCTTGTTCTGCCACCTCCCTGATGGCATTTTGGATGGGCCGTGATGAAGTGTCGATGGATCTCAAGTACTCACAGGAATATTTGCAGCGCCAATCTCGTTTGTTTATGAGCCATGCCGGCAAATACGCTCAAACGCTTACTCTTGCGGTACCCAGCACCGCCAAAATCCGAGGTTATGCTATGTTCGTTATGGCGTTGGACAAACTCCAAATGCCGCCGGCAACTTCCTTCTATTCGATGCTCACCATGAACCTCGCTATGATTATGGGCATGAATCGAACAGAGACTTACAGGGGTATGTCGGAAGAGGCCAAAGAGCGACGAAAAATCGTCTGGTGGCTGGTGTATGTTCTCGAACGCGATATGGCTATCAAAATGGGCCGCCCGCCAATGATCCCAGATTCAGAAATCTCGGTAGAAATGCTAGATAGGCGGGAAGGCAACATCCAGAACGTCTGTATTTCAAATTTTATCCACCTCGCTCGAATCTATAGTAAGGTTTACCGGAAGCTATTCGCAGTTCCTGCTCAAACGAAATCAAGATCCCAACACTTTCTTGATATCATATCATTGTCACATGAACTGGACGCTTGGAAAGAAAAGCTCCCCCCGAATTTACAAATCACAGAGAATGGTGATTTTGTAACCGACTCAAACTCTATTTCTGACATGACAACGAAAAAGCTGGTGATCTGGATTCATACCTGTTATTATGAAGTCAGCACCACAATTCACCGAATCCCCGCTTTCTCGACCTCAGCTGTGCAGGCTTTCTTAAAGCGTCAACAAGATCCTAATCGAGCTGCCGCATCGGCGAGCCAGCCTAGTGGATCCACACCCACTGAAATCTCTTTATCTGATGAAGATATGGCTATTCTTCTGAATGCAAGAGACGTGTGTCGAGATGGTGCAAGGCAGATTCTACGCTGCGCAAAGCATATTTCTGCGGTCGGCTGTGGGTCCCTTGTGTCAGGTTCCATTTTGTTCTTGACCAGTGCGTTCATTACACTGTTTGCAACAAACATGACTGATCCCTTAGGCCCCTCGTCCATTGCTGACCGCGAGCTGATGCAGGAATACGTTCCCCTGTTCTCAATGCAAAAACTTGATTATATGTATGGCCAACACCCTGTCAGTGAATTCTGGTCGGTCATTGTCGAGATCCTTCACAGGTACCAGATCCAGGCTGCCCGAGGTGACAGTGACGAGCTTAAAGAAGAGGGCAAGCCGGACGCCGAAGTAACCCCACCAGTTGCTCCCATTAACAATCATCCAAACGTGCCGCCGTATCCGGGCTTCTCATCGAGCGATCCCAACTCCTTGCGACCCAATCACCAGTTGCCCCACGAACAAGCAAACGAACAGCAGCTGCCAGCACATGGTCAATTCAATTCGAACGATCCGTGGGTCCACGACTCGATACTTTTGGATCCCCAGGTCGAGGGAAATGTTAATTGGTTGATGCGGGACGCCTACGACGGAATATTTCAACAGCCTGGAGAAACCAACACTCCCAACTTTGGCGAGCTGGCTAGCGATATGTACATGATGTCCGGATTTTACGGTGTCTAATCTCGGAGAGTTTTCCTACTTATTATATCGTATAAATCTGTTTTATTCACACAGTGGCTTAAAAGACGCTGATTGGGATTTCTGCAACCTTTGCTGACTATGCTTAAAGTGGCGCCGAGACAGGTGCTGAAAGGCGCACTTTTTGGACGTCCAGGCGCTCTGAATGCGGTCAGGATGTCTCGTAGTGTGCTTCCATTAGTGAACAGCATGCCAGCTGTGCTATCTGTTCGTTTTTTTGGCGGCTCACCGTTGTGCGAACATGAGGACAAGCGAACTCGGCGGTGGGGCTCGTTGCGACGCCAGCAGAGATTGCGGCAAGTAAACCGCGATGCTGAGGAGTCAGAACCTGCTGCGCAAACCAAGCGGGCTGAAAACCGCCGAACCAACACGGACCCCAAGCAAGAACCCGATGAGGATGAGGAGCCCAGCGACGAGAAGCCCAAGGATGAGAAGCCCAAGGACAAGAAGGGCAAGAACGAGCCTAACGACTTGATCAATATCGAGATCAACGCAACGCATATTCTATGGGTTATCCTCGGTACAATCTTCATCTTTTCGTTCCTGTCTTCTGGAGAAACCGGCCACGAGGTCACTTACCAGGAGTTCCGTGCCAAGTATCTGGATCGTGGCGAGGTTACGAAGCTTCAGGTTATCAACAACAGCGTGGTTCGTGTTTTCACTCGTCAAAGCGGTGAAGCTGCTGCTTGCTACTTTACCATCGGATCTGTTGAAACTCTTGAGCGTCATCTCAAGGAAGCGCAGGATGCCCTCAACATTGCTCAACGTGACCGTATTCCCGTTGCCTACGTCGAGGAGGGTAATTTGGCTGCATTCTTGTTTGGACTTATCCCCACTTTGATGTTCTTGGGCTTCCTTGTTTGGATGGGCCGTAAAACCGCTCAGAGAGCTGGCGGCGGAGCCGGAGGGCCAGGCGGAGTTTTCGGTATTGGTAAAACTAAGGCCCAGCGGTTCAGTGCTACCAATGAGGTTAAGGTTCGTTTTGCAGATGTTGCCGGTATGGATGAGCCCAAGCTAGAAATCATGGAGTTTGTCCAGTTCCTCAAGAACCCGAAACGCTACGAAAGACTTGGTGCAAAGATTCCTCGTGGTGCCATTCTTTCAGGTGCTCCTGGTACCGGTAAGACTCTGCTCGCTAAGGCCACTGCTGGTGAGGCGGGCGTTCCTTTCTATGCCGTTTCAGGATCTGAATTCGTTGAAATGTTCAGCGGTGTTGGTGCATCACGCGTTCGCGACCTGTTCAAGAAGGCTAAAGCCGAGGCTCCTTCGATGATCTGGATCGATGAAATCGATGCTATTGGCAAATCGCGTTCAGGCCCCAATATTCGTGGCGGCAACGATGAGCGTGAGGCTACTTTGAATCAGCTGTTGGTCGAAATGGACGGGTTTGGTTCGAATGACCACGTCGTCGTTATGGCCGGTACCAATCGTGCCGATGTTCTTGACACGGCTTTGCTGCGTCCTGGTCGTTTTGATCGTCATATTCAGATTGATTTGCCCACTCTTGAGGGCCGCAAAGACATTTATGAGGTTCATCTCAAAAAAGTCAAGTATGATAAAGACATCGCCGAGTTGGCTGGTAAGCTTGCTGCTATGACACCTGGATTCTCTGGTGCCGACATTGCCAACTGCTGCAACGAGGCTGCGCTTGCAGCTGCCCGCAGCGGTTCGTCGCAGGTTGAAATGCCTCACTTTGAACAGGCAATTGATCGCGTTATCGCTGGTTTGGAGCGCCGCTCTCGCGTCCTTCCTACTGATAAGCGCAAGATTGTTGCATACCACGAAGCTGGCCACGCTGTATGTGGCTGGTTCCTGCGTTATGCCGATCCTCTTGTCAAGGTAACTATTGTGCCCCATGGTGCGGCTGCACTTGGTTACGCACAGCTTCTTCCCAGTGATAACAATATCACCACTGAAAATCGAATGATTGATCTGATGACTGTTGCATTGGGTGGACGTGTCTCTGAGGAGATTTTCTTCCCTTCAGTTACTGTTGGAGCTTCCGATGACTTTAAGCGTATCACAGGCATTGCCCGTGCGATGGTTTGTGACTATGGTATGTCACCGGAGATTGGAGCTGTTCGTCTTGAGCGCCAGCAGGGCTCTGTCGCCAAGGGTTACTCCGATCACACGGACTCTATCATTGACCAGGAGGTCAGCCGTATTATTGGCGATGCCCATAAGCGGTGCAAGGAGCTTCTTTCGTCGAAACGAGAGGCCGTGGAAGCTGTTGCTAAGGAGCTTCTCTCCAAAGAGGTCTTGACAAGAAACGACTTGGTCAGACTGCTTGGTGAGCGGCCTTTCAAGGAGAATGAACATGAGGCGTTTAAAAAGTATTTGGACAAGCAGTGACCCAAATATATTCTTTGTACAGATTGGTTGATTAAACAACTACATGATAAATGCTAAAATGCAAAATAGGAAACCAGGTTTAATGGAAATAGCTGCGTTTGAGGATGTGGATCCAGTTGACGAACGAGACGCCGACGCCGCCGACGACGACGACTTGGCAGCCAGCTCGGAATTGGTTGCACAGCTGGATCCAATTGAAGACTCGGGCGATCGGGATTTGAGTCGTGTGCTTTGGACAGGGTCAAATACAGGGGTTTCAGTTTGGTAAATAGGGGAGTCAGTGAAGGTATTGATAGCAGTAGTTAGGATTGTAACGTGCTGTGTGAGGTCTTGTGTTCCAGCTGTACCTTGATCAACGATCTGACCGTGGTCACCTGTTGTGACAGGTGCAATTGCAGTCTCGGTTGCATTCAAAGCATTGGAAGTGAGCTCCGTGGTGTGGTCATGCACGGTTGTGGAAGCTAGTTGGGTAGTATTAGCCAAGGCAGTAGAAGTGGATTCCTTAGTGTGATCATGCGTAGTTGTGGAGTTAGTTGTGGAAGTTAGTTGGGTAGTATCGGCCAGGGCAGTTGAACTGAGCTCGGTAGTGTGGTTATGCACATTTGTGGAAGTAGGTTGGGTGCTATTTACCGAGGTAGTGGAACTGGATAGAGTAAGAGTGGTAGAAACCGTGACTGTATGATTAGAGGTAACAGTAACACTCTCGGTTGTAGGCAGAGGTACAGTTGCCAGCTGGGTAACAGTCATAGGCTGAGGAGCTGTCTGAGTTACTGTAACCAACTGAGTTACAGTTACAGGTTCAACAACAGTGACGGGATCAGCTGCTGGGCAATTAGTAGGTAGTGCGTCGACGGTTTCAGTAGGTACCTCCTCCATTGTTGGAGTAGCACGAGTAACGTACGTCGTGGTATCATCACATACAGTTGTGTAGAAGGTTTGATAAACAGTAAAAACATCGCCAGAACCTCCATCGTCAGAACCTCCATCGCCAGAACCCCAATCGCCAGAACTCCCTTCGCCAGAACCTCCATCGCCTTGGGGCTGATCGGGTTGGCTGGGGTTGGCTTTATCAGTAGGGGGCTGCTCAGGTTGATTTTGACCGGGGGTGACAGCGGGCGAAGCAGGGGTAGTCGGAGCAGCAGGATTCGGATTGGTATAACCTGGATCAGGTTGAGGCTGAGGCTGGGCAGGCTCAGCTGGTGTAACAGCGGGGGGTTGACCACCCGGCGCAAAGTCCGGAGCGGTCGCAGTGAGCCAGTTGTCGGTATATGTGACAACTGGCCTATTGGGATCAACATTATAAGTTTGATCAGGATCGAAAGGCGCAGGATCTTGGGCAGCGCAAATCGCCAAAACTAACAGAAAGGTTGTTCTAAACATGTTGTGAAAATAAAGAAACACCACAACAAAATCCGAATTAAATAGGCACTGCGTCCTGCAGAACGTACATATTTATATGATATTTGAACATAAACTAATAATTAAGGGTGGGTTTGCAGGTGTGCATTCTATTCATCCATGTCACCAAAGACATCACCTCCACTGGGCGGAGATTCACGGTTACTTGGTTCTTGGAGATCATCATCATCATCATCGTCATTATGCCGTGTAGCCATGGAGCCAGCGCGCGCACGGTTGTGCGGAGGGTTACGCTCCCAGTCCTTGACTACGGATTCTGGGAAGGGCGACGCCTGAGCAGCCATGCTAATCAGCGTCGATGCAACAGCCGGGGATGTACCAAGACTAGAACTTAAAGAGACACGTCTACCGCGTCCCTTTGTCGCCAGAATACTGGTCTTAGAGATCGAACGCGCTGTAGTAAGTGGGATATCTTTGTGAGGAGTGGTCGGGGCAATTTCCACGGGGCTGGGGGAATCCTCGGGGCCAGGAGTCAACAAAGAGACATTTTGGCTCGAGGTGGCGGTAGCGGAGCCAGCAACTGGCGCCGCTGGGGTTGCTGTTTCTTCGTCCGATTTTTCGTCTTCCTCGTTCATACTGACGAGAATAGACGCCGCCTCAAGAAGCTGGACTTGCTGGTGCTTAGAGATCAAGAGCTTGGACGTCATGCTCCATTCGGGAGTATGCTCCCACAAATGCTTTGCTAGCGAAGAAACGTGCTTGTAGCCTTTGCCACAGGCTTGGCACTTGAGCTCCTCCTTGAGGCGGCCCGTCTCGCCCTCAGAAATGCGACGAGCAACAAACTTGCGCGATAGCTGGGGCACTCCGTTCACGGTCCGGAAGATGGGCGGGTTTGGCAGACTGGAGGCCACAAACTGATCTGAATCCGAACCCTCACGTGTGCTGGCAGAGGTGGCTCGAGGGACTGCTTGTGGGTCCGCAGACATTATGGCTTAAGCTTGTGTTTTAGTGCGGGGCTTTTGTGAAAACAGCTGCAGGCCAATTAAGTAAAAAGGGCGGACCTTCACTAGTAACAAGAAATCCAACGTCGAAAGAGTTGCGAAAAAAACTCCAACTCAAAAAACACTCAGTGTAGATGATTTTGGCTACAGATCACTCGTTCTGGCCACAATCTCTAGGTTGTGGTGTGGTTGGTGGATGATTCGATGTCTGGAGGAGGTATCCCAAATTTTTTTTTTTCCCTTCAAATTAGAGTGACCTCTTTTTTTTCCGGATTGTTACCCCTAAACACAACGTCACGTGGTCACTCACCGGTCGGGTTTTTCCATTTTGCCCGCATCTGCTTTGAGCTTCTATGCGAGTTATGTATAAATTTTTCGAAAAAATAAAGATTGAAGTGTATTTCTACACAATGCAGCTGCACATCAAGCCGCAAGTCGTTTCCGCTGCTGGCCAGCAACCTTCGCAGCTACCTGCTCGTGTGCAATGCTCTGCGGCTCAGGGCTTACCCAACGTGGAAAATTACAGTTAAAAACTGGGCCTCCGAAAGGGAGCACAAAGAGCCATCTAGTTGTTGAAAGTAGTGCGGGTACTCGATTTGGTGTTTACAAATTTAAAAGGTAGTTTTTTTTTTTTAATTACGACACCTACTATAGCTGAGATCTATGAGATCTAATAGAAAAGCTTTTTATGCAGTGGTGGCAGCGGCACCGGTATTCCAGTTGTCGTCCTCAGCCCAGTTAGAAGCACCGGCCTCAGGCTTGACATCCCAGTCCTCGGAGTAAGTGGGCTGGGCCTCAGCAAAGACAGTGGTGGCCTCAGCCTGGACCTCAGCAGTCTCCTCGGTAGCAGGAGCCTCGACCTCCTCAGGATCACGGTAGAAGTAGAGATCGGGCATGACAGACCACTCGGTGGTGCGGTCGGGGAGGGTGCCGCGGATGCGGAGGACCTCACGGGCAAGCAACCACCAGACGAGACCAAGGGAGTGCTTGGACTTGTTGTTGCAGGGGATGGCAACGTCGACGTACTCAACAGGGGAGTCAAGGTCGCAAAGAGCAATGACGGGGATGTTGGAGTACGAGGCCTCACGGATAGCCTGGGCATCAGTGCGAGGGTCGGTGACAATGATGAGGCGGGGCTCCTTGAAAGAGCGGGTGATGTAGTTGGTGAAGCTACCGGGGGTGAAACGGCCGGCAAGAGCAGTGGCACCGGTGTGGGAAGCGAACTTCAAGACAGCACGCTGACCGTAGGTACGGGCAGAGATGGCAACGATGTCGGCCGGGTTGGGAACGGCGGCGATAATACGGGCGGCCAAAACGATCTTCTCCCAGGTAGAGTCGAAGCGGATGACGGAAACGCCATCGGCACGCTTCTTATAAAGGTAGGGCTCATTGCGAACCTGAACGTTCTTAGCACCAAGGTGCACCTGAGCAGCAAGCAGCAGCTGAGCGTCGGCCTCAGTCAAGGGGAACATGATGATTGTCACTAGAGGTGCGTCGCTGCGGTTTGAGTGAGTATGCGATGGTCCGCTGACTATGGAAGCCCTGAGCCCTAATGAGGGAGCGCTCACCCACGTACCCTAGCCCACCCGAGACGTCACCAAAGGTAAACACTGAAGTAAATAAGTAGAATTCTGGTCAAGACTTGAAAGGAAAATATCTAGTAATTAATTTGGATTTGGCGGAATCATTTTTCCGCAATTGAAATTGCGCAGAAGCAATGGCTCGAGTACTAGTGTCACCTGCATCACTACGATGGGGCGAACCAGCTCGCTGTTTCACAAAGTGTATATAGTTGATAGCAGTGAACAATATTCAACAATCGAACATTCATTTTCAAATACACACAAGCATTTATCACCCGTTTTTTGGTTGCAGGCCATGCCTCCACTTTATGCACAAAAGCTATGATAATATAAACATTGATGCATCTCCCATCCACGCATGCTGAAAGAGAGCAAATTTAGTACTGTGCCTCCTCTGCCACCACCAAAACGGCACAGCAGACCCAGCATTTCCAGTAATTTATCATTGAGCCCATCACCATCGCCCAAAACCCAAGAAATTTCTCAAGATCCGTCGTTCATCGACTACACATTTCATCTGAACATCCCATCGTACATTGCCGGCATTGTAACTGTTTTATTATTCGGTGCAGGTGGCCGCTCTCCGGTCTCCTTGGTTGTTATTGCTAGTATTGGTGCGTTAATGCTCACGCGACCAACCAAGTCTGCCCCCACATCCAAATCGGTCAGCCTTAAACACCATGCTCTACCGTCCACTCCTCACCGAGCAAGGCGATCGCCGTCACCACAGCGGTTCGACGACGGCGAGATACACGCGTTTAGACCATACGCAGAGCGACGACCGTCTACTACTTCAGTTATATATAGCGGGGAGGATATCAAGAAGATAGACTAACAAAAGAGATGTCATGAATTTTTGATTTTAAATTTTACTTGGCTACTAAGGCCCTGTGACTAAATTAGTGGACCTCGCCCTTGGAACCAACCTCGAAAGAGACCTGCTTGCCGGTCAGCTTGTTGTAGACGACCTGGAAAGAGTCGATCTTGTAGTCAACAGCGGTAGCGTCCTTGGGGTCAAGGAAGATCTTGTACAGCTTGTTGCCGCCGACCTGGTAGCGGAGACGCTTGCCAATGATGTCGGTGGGGTAGACCAAGTCCTCGAGAATAGCGTCGTGGACGGCGGTAAGAGTGCGCGAGCGAGGACGCTTCTGGCTCTGCTTGGAGCGCTTGCGGCCGGGCTTGGGGAGGATGCGGCGCTCAGCCAAGAAGATGATGTGGCGGTCGGAGAACTTCTTCTCGAGCTCGCGAGTGAGACGCTGCTGCTTCTGCTGGGCCTTGTGGACGTAAGACAACAGAGGGACAGGAACAAAGATAACAATAGCAGACTTGCCCTGGCCGGTAGGGATCTCACGGGCGGACTTGAACTGCAGACCACGGATATCGGCCTTAAGGTCAGAAGATGTGCTCTCCAGCTCAACCAAAGCCTGGGCAATCTTAAGCTCCAGCTCGCTAGGGTCCGAGTTCAGAATTTTGTTGGCAGCGGACATTGGTGAAGTGACGGATGCCTGTGCGAGTGGTATTCTTCACGGTTGCGTGGGCGTGACTGTTATTAGGGCACAGATTAAGTTAGGGCTGAGCGGTGGGAGGAGTCGAGGAGGAAGTGAGAGCGAGCGAGGGCAAGGGTTGAGTGGTTCGAGCACACCACGAGTCACTCAGTGCGACGACGAGCAATCAGTAAGCGAACTCAATAGTTAAACTAAAAAAGATACATAATGAATGCAGCAAGAGCACCGTAAGAGACTTCTATGGCGGACGCCCCATTCTTCTTTTTGGAGCTGGTAGCGCTGCCAGAGGAACTAGCTGCGCCCTTGGAGCTGGATGCACCACTCTGAGAGCTTGATGCACCACCCTTGGAGTTGGCTGCAGAGGTGGTTTGTGAGCTGGACAATGAAGAGCTCTTGGCATTGGGGTCATCCAGACTGCTACCCCATTGAGTGGGGTTACCACTGAATCCAAGAGGCTTACCAGCACCATTCTTAAAGTAGTTGTTGGCAGCGTACTTAGGGGTAGAGGGAATGCCATAATTATCAGGGACCTCCCAGAAGTCGGCCGTGTAGCTGGGGCATTCAGCGGGCTGGCCATCAGTTTTGGCTCCACCATCACCAGAAGGATCCTGGGCATTGGCAAGGGCGTTCTTGAAATTATTGTAGTCCATCAGCTTGGTCACGCTATCCCCATCTATCTGGACCAATCCATAATGATTAGGCTCTTCAGAGTACTCGTAGACCAGCCCACCAGAGTAGACCGCACTCATCTTGTCCGAGTAAATGGCACCAACCTCGGGGAAGGTACGAGGGGAGTTGATGTTACAGCCATATTCGGACAAGAACAGCGGAATTGAGTAGTTGGAGTAATTTTCGACGTTCTGAGCATAACCAGAAATCTCGAAAGAAGACTTGTCACCACACCACGAATAATCATTCATGCCAAACATATCAATACGAGCCTCGGGATCGTCACCGCAGTTGAGGTATGCCATTTGCTGCCAACGATTGTCGGCAACATCAGCAGCGGAGTACCCAACAGGGATTGTGCGATCAGCCTGCTTGGAAATGTAGTGCTTCATATCGCGAACGACGGCCTTGATATAAGGGGCAGCAAGAGTGTTATTAGCAGCGTTAATAACCTCGTTGGCGGCGAAAAAGCCTAGGGTGTTGTTGTAGCCCTTGAACGCATCAATGGTTGCGAAAACGTGCTGCAAGTAGCCAGAGTTGTACGAGAGCTTGAGTGAATTCTCATCAGCTCGGTTCAAAGAGTTTTTGGGAGTATTTACATCCAGAATCAAGTAGATTCCAGCATCGTCGAGCATCTGCATGCACGAATCATGGTTGGCGGAGTTGTCAATGGTGTAAACACGGATGGCATTTACGCCCAGATCCTTGAAATAAGGCACATCACGCTTGCAGTTGGACTCATCTGCCAACGGGTCAGTAGCATTGGAGGCGCCACCGGGCTGATAGTCAATGCCTCGAATGTAAAAGCGCTCGTCTGAGCCCTGGGGATAAAAGGCATTTCCTCGGACTTCAATGGGCGGTAGAGCAGCAGCCGCCAGCGACAACACAGCCATCATAGAGAAAGACTTCATCTTTTTGTTTATTTTCCGGTGGACAAGATAGCAAAGAATGTAAAAAAAAAACCCAGACTAGGGTAGATTTGGTCGGCAAAACCTTGATTAACCCAAACGGGTTACCTAAATACTCCAGAGGAAAATCCCAGACACAGGGTAAGGGTGAGCAAGGCACAGTTTCTGCATGGAGCAAAACATCGAATACCCCGCCGGAATTTACTGTATCAGGGGGAGCGCTAGGGGGTTGTGCGCGTGAAAGTAACTTTAAAATTTGATTTAGAGACGCGTCTAAGCGTTTCTTTGGCCTAAGCTAATTATATATATCGATTGTCTAACAAGACACGTTTCCAAGCCCCGTTCTTGGCTGCTTGGCAAACGTGATCGCTATTCTTTGGTCTCTCCACCAGCGGCTTTCCTTTCGCGAGCTTGACGGATCTTCTCCTTGGCAGCTGCCAATCGTTTCTGTAAGTCTTCGGATCGTGCATCGAGCTCATCTACACCCGTGCGTTTGGGCCGACTGTTTGGTCGAGCAGGGGGAGGTCTAGTTTCTGTAGTATCATCACTTTGTAATTGAGAGCTCACGGGCTTTGTAGGTGGTAACTCGGACAATCCAGCATTGTCAGGTTTCACAGAACGATCGGAAACCCCAGCTTCTTGCGCAGAACGATCGGAAACTTCAGCTTCTTGCGGAGCCAGATCGCCTGATTTGTCGTCCTCAGATGTCTGCTTCTCTAGGGGCTCAATGGGCAAAGGCTCTTCGCTCTCTTGGGGTAAAGTTTTAGTTTCCAACTCCATGGATGTACCGGCTTCTGACGGAGCAGTATCCTCCTGCAATCCTAAATCACGTTTCTCGGAATTACCTTTGGTTGGTGAAGGCATATCTGCTGAAGAATCGGTCTCACTTGGTTTTGAGGCTTCAACTAAGTCCTTGAAATCTTCAGCTTCACCTAATGCTGGCTCATGAGATCTAGGAGGATGCTCTTCAGCTTCAACTGGATCAACGAGCTCCTCAGCCTTTTTCAATGCCGAATCGCAGGATCGTTTCTTTTCGTCCAACTTCGTCTCCGCGTGCTGAGTTTCTTTAGACTTCGGCTCGACTTCAGAAGCTGGTCCCTCAGTCTCTTTTGAAATAACTTCGACGGGATCAGCGTAGTCCTCGGCCTCTTGTAGTGCGTTATTTGTTTCTTCGAACTGAGCTGAAGCGGCATTTTCATCTTCCCCGTGATTCACATTATCTTTAGCTTCTTGTGAAACCATATCATCAGGTTCTGAGGCCTCAGGCACATGCTCAATTGTCCATAAATGGCTTGTTGTCGTAGACCACTTAGCCTTGGCAGCATCAGGCAGACGACGTTTGGGGCCCCGAAGTCTGGCACGCGGAGTTGGTGCCATAGCTATAAGTTGCGAGTCCGCATCTTCCTCGGCAAGTACTGGGGTGGGTTCAGCACCCTCGTCATTGCACGATTCTGAGGTAGGCTTTGACGGGCGCCTGCCAGGTGGTCCCTTGGACAGAGCTGCATTCAAATCAGCAAAGATTGACGACTTTAGCTGGCCAATACGACTACTAACCTGCGGTTTAGGTTTAGTAGGCACTTTTGGTGTTTCCTTTTCAAACACAGACTTGTCGACCTTTGTGGGTTCGATGTTATCGTCGGTGATCTTACGCATAGGCCGTCTGACAGGACGTTCAGGAGGAGGCTTAGTTGCAGCGGCCGAGCTGAATCTTTGGGCAAGCTCACTGATTGTCGCGCGTTTAGGTTCAGGCGATTTTTCATCTTTCTGTTTCGGATCAACCCCATCATCCGGGCTGCCCTGTTTTTCGGGTTTAGACGTTCGTTCCTCGACATCCAACGTTTCAGCGGCATCTTTCTGGTCTTGAGAGGAGGCTTCCTTGACCTTGGCGAGCTTTTCATCGAGTTTTGCGTTGACCCGAGATTTGAGTGCTTTATCAAGCTCTTCTGATTCATTCTGAGACTCTGGTTCTTTGTCGACCACCTTTGATTCAGTCTCGGTGATTTTAGCTTCCTCTGGTTCGTCTGTTGAAACAGGTTGCACATCAAGAGGTTCTGATTCAGGTTCCAGCTCTTTATCGAGGGGGTTTGATTCAGCCTCTAATTCTTGCTCTTTTTCAGGGTGTTCTGATTCAGGCTTCAGGTCTTTATCAAACGGTGCTGGTTCAGTCTTCAGGTCTTTATCAAGGGGTTCTAATTCAGTTTCTGGTTCCAAAGCTTTATCAAGAGCCTCCGGCTCAGACACATTCTCAACCTTATGCTTTGGTTCAACTGTTTCTGGCTCGGCCTCGTGTTTTTCTTCAACTACCTCTGGCTCGGCCTCATGTTTTGCTTCAAGAGCTTCTGGCTGGGACTTCAACTTACGTTTTGCTTCAAGAGCTTCAGACCCAGACTCATGCTCAACCTCTTGCTTTACTCCATGAGCTTCGGGCTCAACTTCAAGCTCAGCTTCTGGCAACTCTTCATTTGGTTCTTGGGAGCCCATCCCTTTATCAGGCAGCTCAGTTTGGGCCACGATTTTATCTTTCACATCAAACCTTTCGGCATCTGGCTCTTTGTTGGACACAGATTCATGGAGGCTTGACTTTTGAACTGATGACTCGTCAAGTTTCGATTCAACCTGTGGCTCCTTTGCCTGATCAGTTGGGTTACCTGCTAATGCTCCCGACGATGCATGCTCCTTCGACTCTGCAGGCCGAGACTGTGCTCCAGGCTCAGACACACTTGAATTTGCCTCAGTTGACTCGGAACCAGCAGCGACGAAATCGAAATCATCCAGATTAGATGTAACTTGTCCTTGGACAGCCTTAGATAGAGCAATTTCGTGCGCAGCAGTGTCCAAGACTTGACGTGTTTTTTGCTTCAATTCGCTATTGATAGCAGCATCTGACTCACTATTTTCTTGCAGAAGAATATCATCCTTGATGCTTTGAATTCTTGGGGGCAGATCCACCTTTTCGGCATCCTTGGCTGTCTCCTGAGTAGATACCCCCTTAACATCGGCAACAACAGTTTCGGCATCCTGATTCACCTCCTGGGCGGTCATAACGACGTGATCTGTATCACTTTTGATGGATTGTGCAGCTGAAACAATCTGTTCCGTATCATGCTGGAGCTCCGGGGTCACTTCAGATGCCGATTCGCTGGAGCTAGTGGGTTCACGCCGGGGACGCGTGGGCCGGCTTGTAGGGCGCGCAGGCGGTTCAATGGGTTGTTTTGGCGATTCAGACCTACTCTGGACAGGCTCTGCATCAACGTCTCCGAGTGACTGGCTGGTCTCGGACCGCTGAGGTCGCCTAGCTGGTCGTTCTGGAGCAGACATATAGGATGTTACTAAGGGAGGATTGCTCCGGATGTGAGGGATATTTAACTAGATACAAAACTAGAATACCAAACGGAAGATATCATTGTATACGTAGTAAGAGTCGCCCTCGGGAATAAGGTGGAAGACCTGAGAGTAGCCCTTAGGGGTCGGCTCGTCGTCAATCAAAAGCTTGCCAGTGACCATAACAATAACATCACGGTTACCAGGTGTGCCGGGCTGGGCATCGAGCGTGGCAATCTCGTGCTGGACTTTCTGGAAACCCAGAGAGGTGAGCTTCTCGACGATAGCCTGAGTGCCCTGAACCTGATCACGCTCAAAGGTCAGCATCGAGTGATCACGGTACAGAGGGGCCAGAGAGCCACGGTCCGCACTGAACTGGCTGTAGTAGTGGTTCACAAACTGCTGGGCAAGCCCTTGATAATCAAAAGACATTTGCTATGTGGAGTTGTTTTGTTGGTAGCTTTGGATTACTAGGTGCTCACGGTAATCAAGGTTTAGGGCAGCGAGCCGGCTCGACGAGTTCTTACTCAGCCATAGTTGAGCAGGCTGGATGGTTTCGATTGGAGACGATTTACTGGATGGGTATGGCGCCACATCGTCATGGTTAAAGGCCAATGTCAAATGGATTGAAGATATTGCCGAGTTTTATCGCGAGCGGGCCGCCATTGAGCGCGAACACGCGGCAAAACTGTCTGCCCTCACCGCGAAGCACTTTTCTAAGAAGGCGGCCCATGTTGCCAGCATAAGTGTGGGCGAGAAGCCGGCAAAGACCCCCGGTTCTCTTGAGAGCGCGTCTGCCACGGCATGGACCGAGGTCCTCAATCAAACAGAAGAGATTGCCAAAGACCACAAAGAATTGGCCGATCAGCTCGCCGTACAGATAGCCGATCAGCTCAGCGGTGTTCGCCAACGTTGCGAGAACTTGCAGTCGTACTACTCTGAATTCCATGGCCACATTGAAGAAGACCGGGATTCCGCGTATAATGCTGTTAAACGAGGCAAACCAGCGTACGATGAGGCGTGTCAAAGCATGGAGCATGCGCGGACCAAGAATAAAAAGGTCGAGCAGAAAGAAAACGACATGTACAATGCAAAGAGCAGCTATCTGATTGCTATTAATGTTGCCAATCGTATGAAGGACAAGTTTTATCATGACGATCTTCCCGAGGTGTTGGATGGTATGCAATTGTTGGCCGAGGCTCGAACTTGCCAAATGAATCGTATTTTGAAAATGGCTTGTGATACAGAGACCAGCCACTTGAATCACCGAATCAGTTGCCTCAAGAAGGCCCATGATGTGGTTGCTAAAAATACCCGGGGACTGGATACTGCCATGTTCATTGATCATAACAAAGTTCCTTGGCAGGACCCCACTGATTTCTATTTCCAACCCAGCCCAATTTGGCACGATGATGATACTTTCAAGACAGATGAGAACGGTCTCAAATATTTGAGAGGTCGATTGGCGACTGCCGAAGAGGGGGCTGAAAAGGCTGGCGATGTTTCAGAAGCAGCGTTGTCGAAGTTCGAGGCCGCCAAATCTGAGCTTGGCAAGCTTGATTTAGAGAGCATGAGTGGAACTGCACTCTCTCCCCTGTTGAATAACTTTGCCCGGTGTTTGCAGGATCTTATTCGGAGTGAAACTAAGCGTCTATCTTTTGAGGTCGAAATCGAGACCATTGAAGCAGCCACTGCGGGTTGCGACTTGTCGGGAGTTCCAATCACACGTACCAAAACTAAAAGAACCGTCTTTGGAAAGAAAAAAGAGGTGGTGGAGGTCATCCGGCCAATCACTAACCGTGATGGAAACCGCCTTGGCCTGCGATCTTTGCTTTCGCGCACCGCAAAGCATTTGGTCGTAAGCGGACCTGGCGTTAAAGTTTTGTACGATTTTGAAGCTGAAGGACCTGGTGAAATCACAGTGCTCGCTGGCGAAAAGCTGCCCCTGCTCGAGCCCGATAATGGCTCTGGCTGGATAAAAGTTCGCAGTGGCTTGGACACAGGTATTGTTCCATCTAGCTATGTCGAGGTTTTCAATAATGCAAGAGGTGGCTTGGACCCATTTAGTGACGTGGCCAGCAAGAATTCGAATGAAGGGGCTGGTGCCGGCGCCGCCCCTCCCGCTCCACCGCCTAGCCGGGGCAAGGCTTCGAGTACAACCATGACTGCTCTGTACGACTTCGATGGAGCGGACTTGTCACAACTTAGCATTCGAGCTGGCGATCAAATTACTGTCATTGAGGCTGACCCAGGTAACGGTTGGACTACTGGAGAGCTGAACGGCCAAAGGGGCATTTTCCCTACAAATTATGCCAACTGAGCTTTCGCAACTATTTAGCACAACTAACTTTCTACATACAGAGAGGCTCGATCAAAATCCTTTTGTTATGGACTCTGATCACGATAAAGAGTTTGATACGCGATTAATGCGCCAGATAATTGGGGTGAGCGACGAGAGTGAACTGCGCGCAGAGTGGAGTGAAGAACAGTTGACCCGAGCACGGTTTTCCCAGCTCCCACTAGCATCACCACCCCTAAGAGCATTTCAAAAAGAGACGTCGGCGCCCGGACTTACGTTCAGCAGCTTAATAGAATGTCCTCCTGAACTCGACTCTGTCCAATGGCTACCACCATCCAGGCATGAGGGGCCGGAGGGAGTGGGTGAATCGTGGGGTGTAAATGCGAAAGCTCCCAATCAAAAGGCCCATCACGCACGGAGACGGCGACTACGACATACCTGGGACAGATATCGATCATATTTGAAGCACAAAATGCACGACGCATAGCCAAACCTTTTGGTGCACCCACTGTTTGCGTCGGTTGCTGATTCTGGAGCCCGAGAAAGCATCTTGATTACCTTTTGAAATGGACAACGTCTTGGACTCTTATTTTATCATTGATACGGAAAGTTTTAACATCAAACCTGTAGCTTGGGCTGGTCAAGCGGTACCATTCGGAGCGGGTGTCGCACTGCAGTTATCATGTGAAAATCGTGCCTTATCCCAAAGTAACGGCAGGGAAGCGAGTAATGCTGGATTTGTAGCAGAATGTGTACGGCGTCATCCCTCAGAACTTGAGCTGGCTCTTACAGGTATGAATCAAGTAAATTTTTCGACCGATAAAGAAGCTAACATCAGCCACAACCAACGCTTTTGTGTGAAATAAAATGATCTTGAGGATCGAAGGTACATATTTATAACCGAGTGCGAGAGTGGCCCGAACGGCCAGGCTGGGCCAACTCACTAACTATGGTAACGCACCAACTAAATATATTTTTCAGAAAGGTGGGTCTAAACTCAACCCCGCGAGTAACTGCCTGCAGTACAACTCAATTGCGGGGCGCCCCGACTCTGGTAATTCGGTAACGCGTCCGCGAGGTTCCACAATTGAATGCGGAGCTACGACAGCGAACGGAGGTATTTTCGACCCTTTGCGAATTACCACACAATCCTTGATGATGGCAAACTCACCAATTTGGACGTCGGACTCTATAACAACGTGTGACCCAATGGTGGCCGCCTGAATTTTGGAGTTCTCACCCACATACACAAAGGAGCCAATTTTTAACGGATAAGCACGTTCCTCGCGAACTGGAGGAATCAAACTGCTGGAAGGCCCGAAAAAGCAGTAGCGCCCTATGGCTACAATAGGCTGCCCGTCGGGACTCATATCTCCACGAATTTCCACGGCATTTTCTATTTGTGTTTTACCCCCTATCACAATGAATTTTGAGCCCTTGATCTGGTTTGTTTTACAAATAACATTGCCCGAGTCGGTGGTCAAGTACCTTTGAGCTTGCATGCTCACGCCCGAGTGCTGGTTGAGTGCAGGGAGCGCTTAGTCAATGCGCGCGGCCAACGATCGTAAGCTTTGGTTAATATGCAAACCGACACGTCCACTTTTACCTTATTCACTCAAATGTTGGTAGAACTTTTATGTGATGTGCAAACCTACGATTGGGGCAAGCTAGGCAAGTCCAGTGCAGTTGCACGTTTTGCCGCAGCTCAATCTCCCGATTTCCATATTCAGGAGTCTACTCCATACGCGGAGCTGTGGATGGGCACCCACCCCAAGGCGCCCTCGCAGATCAAGGGCGGCAAGGAGAATCTGCGAGAGCTTGTTGCAGGCAATGACAAGCTGCTAGGCGAGAAGGTTGCTGCCAAATTCGGTGACCAGGAGATTCCCTTCTTATTTAAGGTTTTGTCTATTCGTAAAGCCTTGTCTATTCAGGCGCACCCGGATAAATTGTTGGCGCGTCAGCTTCATGCCCGAGACCCCAAGAATTATCCAGATGATAACCACAAACCTGAAATGGCAATTGCACTAACAGACTTTGAGGGTTTCTGTGGATTTCGTCCTGCGGCTGAGATCTCCTCATTCTTGAAGATTGTCCCCGAGTTTGCCGAACTTGCAGGGCAAGCAGGAACCGCTTTCTGCGCCGCAGTCGACAAAGATCCCAAGGGTGAGCATCGCGAAGAGCTCCAGGCGCTGTTTGGAGCTGTGATGGGCGCGCCTCAGACCACGATTGATCCGCTGGCCGAGGCACTGTCTGAGCGTGCGGCTCGTGAAAAGGAGCAGTTCTGCGGCTGCCATGGTGGACTTCCGCTTGCGGACTTGATTCAACGGGCAAGTGCCGACTTTCCCCGAGACGTTGGCGTGTTCTGCGGCGGTATGATGCTCAACTACTGCCGTCTCAAGAAGGGCGAAGCGATGTTCCTTAAAGCTAAAGACCCACACGCCTACATTTCTGGTGATATTATTGAGTGTATGGCGGCCAGCGACAATGTGGTGCGGGCCGGATTTACCCCCAAATTCAAGGACGTTCAAACACTGGTTGACATGTTGACCTTCGATACTGCTCCGGTGAGTGAGCAGAAAATGACCCCGGCGCCATTTGCTCGTGCGCATGGCGGAGAAGCACTCTACTTTGATCCTCCCATTGAGGAGTTTGGTGTTCTGCAGCTGACCACCGGCACAAAGTCCGCCGTCGACGCTTTGGAGGGCCCCTCTATCTTTATTGTCACTGAAGGACAAGGCACAGTCAAGGCAGGGGACGCTAGCATCAAATACACGGCCGGCTCTGTATTTTTTGTGGGTGCCGGGACCGCGGTAGAGCTCGAGGCGAGCGAGCACACTGTTTCATACCACGCAATTTGCGAAGTCTAGGTAATATATAATCATACATTCTGTTGAGATTTTTTCCATTTGAAGATGCGTCGTTTCAGATCGCCCGCCGATTTCTGGAATACATTAACTTTTCGGTCCCACTGCATGGCCTGGTAGTCGTCGCCGTGCTTGGCGACCAGAGCCTCGATCCACTCCTGTTCTCTGTCTGATTGATGGCGGGGTTTCGTGACACCGTTGGCAGCATATTCTTTGAGCTCATTGATGACCTCGCTCTTGTGTTCGCCGTTGAATCCTGTCCAGACCTCATCTTCGTCATCGCTTGCGTAGACGATCTCGGTCGATCCGTCCTCTTTAGTGACAATCTTGGCCTCTTTTATGGTCGACCGTTTGATGGGCTGAGAAATAGCCTCGTCCTGTACCCGCACATCCTTCTCGACACCTCCAGCGGGCTTTTGGAGCTTTGCAGTAAGCCCAAGCTTTTTGTAATTTTGGGCCAGTGTGAGGTTTTTGTCCCAATGCGCAGCAATCACTGGGTTGCCTTGCACATCCAGAGACTTGGTCTTCTTGTTTTTTCGGCCCCGTCGTGATTTCGTGTTCTCGCCAGCCTTGGCGGCTCGTCGACGCCGGATTCCGCTGGGCATTGAAAATTAAAAAAAAGAATTATGTAAGGAGCATCTATTTGACCACAGGAAAAGATTGGAATCGTATGCAATTTGTTTGTACATAGCTTTAACGGATAAGGTTAGACGCGTAGGCCATGGCAGGGACATTAGGATGAGGCTGGGCCTCGAATTGTTGTATATCAGGGTCCATGCTGCTGTCGAAGTTGATGTATGCACCGAGGTTCCCCACGGAGTCGCAGTAGTTTGGCGCGGAAAACACTGTGATCAGTCGGTTATCGTGCTCATAACTGTAGCCCTTATCGCGCACCTCGTGTGACCGGATGATGGCTTTGAGGTTGTTGGCATCCAAAAAGGCCTTGGTGACGTCGGGGCCGAACTGCAGACCAATGCCGCGTTTCGAAGGCTGGCGACCGGGCTGGTCTTGCGGGTCTGCCCAGAGCATCTCCATCATAATGCCCTTGTCGGCAGGCTGCTTGTGTTTGAAGCGATCAAAGCCTCTGATCTCGTCTAGTGTGACATCGTCTCTCGAGAACAGTCCGCCATGCACGATAAAGTATTGGTCGGCCAGGAGAGTGGCCAGAGGCAGCGTAGAGAACGACTCGGAGAACGACTTGAAAACGTTGTCGGTGTTGTATTTGGCCTTGCACTCACCAGCAAAGCCGTAAGTGATGTTCATGCTGTCGCTCTCGTGGTTACCACGGTTAATAAACAGATTGTTGGGCAGCAAAATCTTGAATAGGTAGAGAGTTAGAGCGATCTCGGTCGACCAAGACCCGCGATCCACAAAGTCGCCATTGAAAACATACGTGTGCTTGTCAGAGGGCCAGCCGTTTTTGTTGAAAATGTTCAGCAGGTCGTAGAACTGGCCGTGGGTGTCACCGCATACCGTGACCTTGTGATCCGGTTCAGGACGCGGCAATTCCACCATCGTGGGCTCGGAGCGGAAGAGCGCCATGGCCGCCTTGACAATTTGGAAGACCTTTCGGCGCGAGATCAGCTCGCCTCTCTTGAACAAGTCAACAATATTGAACACATAGTCTCTGGTCAGGGTTTCAACGTCCAAGGGAGCGAGCCCCGTCTTTTCCGTGTCGGGGATATGCTCCAAGTCCAACGTTTCAAAAATACTGGGGGGGTCTTCGATTTCGATAGCCCGCTGGAAGGCCTGCATGCGTAGAACTCGCTTGCATTCGACGATTTTGGACTTGATGGCCGGGTCGTTGGGGGCGTGTCTGGCAGCCTCGTTGTAGTCTTCGAGGGCCTTTTTGTAGTCGAGCACGCCAACGTGTGCGGTTGCTCGGCGGTAGTACGCTTTAATGTAGTTGGCGTCGATTGCGAGGGCCCGGTCGGCGTCAGAAATGGCCAGACCGTACTGCTCCATCTTGATGGCCGCCTGGGCCCGGTTGGAAAAATACACGGCGTTCGAGTCGTCCTGCTTGATCGCCTCGGTGTACAGCAGCGACGCCTTCTCGTACTCGCCTCGTTTCAGGCACTCGTTGCCCTGGTTTTTGTACTCTTCTGCACTGGTCATTACGAAACAACGGGGCACTGAGATATGACAAATTTCACGCCGCGACAAACTCTGCAACTCCACTCCGCGGTCGGGCGGCTTTTGCGATAAAGTCGAACTTGCCAGGAGCCCGTTTTGGGCATAGCGGTAGGGCCCGGAGCCTTGGAGGCGGAGGATATCAAGGGGTGTTATCATAGTACTTCGCGGGCGCTTCTCCAGAGGTGTCCTGTCCCGCGGTGTCTCCATTTATACCTACATTATATAAATTACTGTGCTTTTGTAGACTTTCTGTTTCGTCTTTTTGGCTTTTTGGCTTGGCCGTTCGCCGTGCCGTTCGCTGCTGGCGGCTTGCTGGCGGGCTCTTCGCTCATGAACTGCACCTGTTGAACAAACGGCTCGCTTCCGTCGGCCAGCCCGCGGATGCGCTGGAAGGTTAGGCCGCCGATCTTCTCCGTGGCGCTGCCTGCGTGCAGCTTGTCGACTGCAGCCAACGCTCGGTCGTCTCCGGTGTACAATTGCTGCAGCAGGGTCGCCAATGCCGCCATTTCCGCCCCGGAGTCGGGCTGCTGGTGGAGCACGGCCACACGGTGGAGCAGCTTGAGCGTGATGTCGAGCTTTTCCCGCTCCCGTGCGGCCCCCCTTTGCTCAGCAGCCTCGATCTCTTTTTCGCTGAAGGATCTCGTCTGCTTCTCCTGGATCTCGCTGTAGACGTCCAGCAAGTTCTGCTGGATCTTCAGCGGGATCTCGACCTCCTCTTTCTTGGACAGCGCCACTATCTGGTCCTCGTTGAGCGACCCCGGGGCCTGGGCCACGGTTTCCTCGTACTGCTGGAGCCTCCGCATTCGCTTTTGCAGGTTGCGTACCCGCTTCTGCAGAAAGTCTCCAAACTCGTCTTCCATAGGATTACAAAGTCGCCTGTGACGTGAGTTCGCTATCACAGTTTCGACAAGCACGCAGACACGCTCTGTGTGGAAGACTCTGTGATTTATTAGGACACGGGCGTAGTTTTCTGCGTCCAAGCGGTTCGGAGTTCGCTGTCTACACGGCCATTGAACAACCCCAGCAGTCGCAGCGACGGCATCGACAGCATCGATAGCATCGGCAGCACCGGCAGCCCGAGCACACTATCGCGCCCGCCGGCCCCCAATTACTGCTCTACATCCAAATCTACAATGCTACGAACTTGGGTACGACCGTCGGCCGCATATAACCCTCTTGCTACAGTCCGAAAAAAGTTTGTCATCTCAATCGCAACCATGAACGCAGCAAAGCAAGCAGCCGGCTACAAGGCCATAGACAACCATCTCCTTCCTTCGTTCAAGTACGTGGGCATTGGCTCCGGATCGACTGTGGTGTACTGCGTCGAACGCATTGCGCAGCTCCGCGAGAAAGTCCCCGAAATCAACTCCATGTACTTTGTTCCCACCGGCTACCAGTCGCGCCAATTGATTGTGGATGCCGGGCTTCCCCTGATGGAGATCGACCAGTTCTCTGCGGGCGAGCTCGACATTGTGTTCGATGGCGCCGACGAGGTCGACAGCCAACTCAACTGCATCAAAGGCGGCGGCGGCTGCCAGTTCCAGGAGAAGCTTGTGGGGAAATGCTCTAAAAAGTTCATTGCCGTGGTCGACGACTCCAAGATCTCCCAGCGGCTCGGTGAGCACTGGCTCCAGGGCATTCCAATCGAGGTCGTCCCCTCTGCGCACAAAAAGGTAGCCGTTGATCTCAAGCGTCTCGGTGCCTCGAAGGTTACTTTGCGTTCGGGCGGCAAATCCAAGGCCGGGCCTATGGTCACCGACAATGCCAATTTTGTGCTCGACGCCTACTTTGGTGAGATCGCTCCTGAAAGGGTTGCTGAGCTCGACCGCTCAATCAAGCTCCTGGTCGGGGTCGTCGAGACCGGCCTGTTCGATTACGCCGACGAGGTCTATATTGGCCGCACCAGCGGTCCTACTGAGATCCTCACTCGTAAATAAATAAATAAGAGACCTCATTTACATAAATCACTCAGAAACGCCAGGAACTTTTGCTGGTCCGCCATTGGCACATTGGGGTAGACCAGGGTGATCTCCATGTCGGCAAGCTTTCGGCGGTGCCGGGCCGCGAGGTGGCCTAGTTTTTCGTAGACTTTGGCGTCGAACTCGGCCAGCTTATCGTCGGTGACCCGCGCGGCCGCCAGGTTTTTCCGCTCCTGCCACCACTGGGCCTCGGCATGGCGCTGCTCTTTTAAAAGCTTGCCTATTTGCTCAATTAACGGCTCGCTCGCTTGTTTGCATACAAAGTCCCTCAGCTGCTCCGAGTAATTCACACTGCTCATCGTGGCTCGCTCGTGAGTAGGCTCGCTCGTGAGTAATCAATCCATCCCACCTACTATGGCGTCGGCGGTGTTCTTTCTTGATCAGAAAGGCAAGCCGCTATTGTCACGAAACTACCGTGGAGACATTCCCATGAGCGCGGTGGAAAAGTTCCCGCTGCTGCTCATGGAAGTAGAGGACGAAACGGCGGTCGTGCCGCCCTGTCTAAGCCACGAAGGTGTCAACTACCTCTACATCACCCACAACAATCTGTACTTGCTGGCGTTGACGAAACGCAATTCAAATGCAATGGAGATTTTGTTGTTTTTGCATCGACTCAAGGACGTTTTGATCGAATACTTCAAGGAGCTGGCCGAAGAAAGTATACGAGATAACTTTGTGGTAATTTACGAACTGCTGGACGAGATGATGGACTATGGATATCCGCAAATAACCGAAACCAAAATCCTCAAAGAGTACATCACTCAGCACTCGCGTATTTTCGAGCTCGTGGTGCCCCAGGCGCAGGCACGGCCCCCGGTTGCTGTCACCAACGCAGTTTCCTGGCGATCCGAGGGCATCACCTACCGCAAAAACGAGGCATTTTTGGATGTGGTCGAGAGCGTCAACATGCTGTGCTCCCCCACTGGCCAGGTTTTACGCTCAGAGATTTTGGGCAGTGTGCAAATGAAGTGTTATTTGTCCGGAATGCCCGAGCTTCGACTGGGCCTCAACGACCGAGTTATTTTTGATCACCAGGCAAATACCACCGGTAAACAGATGGCAACTGGCTCAGGAAAAAGCGGAGGACGCGCAATCGAAATGGAGGACGTTAAGTTCCACCAGTGTGTACGCCTGTCGCGCTTTGAAAGCGACCGTACTATTTCGTTCATCCCCCCCGACGGTGAGTTCGAGTTAATGTCTTACCGCCTTAATACAAACGTGAAACCTCTTATTTGGGTGGACTGTAAAGTTACCAAGCATGCGACTTCGCGTATTGAGATCCTTGTCAAAGTGAAGGGCCAGTTCAAAAAGAGATCAACCGCCAACAATGTCGAAATCACCATCCCTGTGCCCGACGACGCAGACTCACCCAAATTCAAAACTACTACGGGAACCGTAAAGTGGAGGCCTGAAAAATCCAGCATTGTTTGGAAGATCCGCCAGTTCGGCGGCGGAAGGGAGTTTGCCATGAGAGCCGAGCTCGGCTTGCCAGCCGTGCAGGCATCGGATGCCACGGAGTCAAAGCCGCCTATCCAGGTTACCTTCAACATCCCCTACTTCACAACGTCAGGTATTCAAGTTCGGTATCTCAAGATCATTGAGCCCAAGCTTCAATACCAATCTTATCCTTGGGTTCGCTATATCACAAAGAGTGGCGACGATTATGCCATTCGTATGAGTTCGTAAATATAAAAAAAGAACTATTTTTCTCTAAAACAAAAAGGGGTCGTAAATCGTAATCGTTAAAAGGGGTATGCAACCGTCAACTAGCCGCTGTAAAGCCGTCCGTCGAGCATGCGAAGGACCTTCGCTACGCTATTGACTTCAACCTGAGTACCTCTAGTTTGCAATGATGACACAAGTTGGCTGAAATCAGCAGAATTGAAGCGCTCGTGACGTGACAGTGTTTGGTAGGCCGCCTGGGCAGGAATAAATGTGCCATTCGCGGGAGCTGCTGCGCCTTTGGCCGCCAGGGTAGCACAAAACAACGTCGACATCGGGTCCTGCTGGCACTGAGTGCAGGTCCCTGGATTCCCACTGCACTCTTTCACTCCGATTTGGGAAGGAGCTGGCTGCATCTGTGGTCGCTCATCGAAAGATGGCGTCTGAATGCTCAAGTCAGTGACCAAGGGAAGATTGTCGCCCAGTGTTTCAATATCAGACATATTGGCTCGCTCCCGAGCAGCGGCCTCTGCACATACACAGGGGGTATTATCGGTGCAGAACCCACACCTTTCTTTCTCTTCAGGTCGCTCAAATCCTGGCGATGGCGCGTCGGGGGAAAACACATCCCCCCAGGACGGCGACTGAGGCAAACGCCGGGGCTGAGTTTTCTTGAACCGTTGAGTAAAGTCTGTTTCGAGCGAGCTAAGTCGACGGTGCAGTGGTACCGCAGGAGCAGCCCAATTCGTGTTGGTAAGGGCCAAACCATCGCATGGCGGAGGACCGCCGCACGGCTTTGTGTGGGAGCCCTTGGACACATTTGCAACAATTGAAGGGCGCCGAGAGCTAGAAATCAGCTGCTCAGGAGATCTCTTGGGTGTAGACGGATCCGGTAGCTTTTCATCCAGGACCTTATCCAGCATGTCGAGCGGAGATCGGCCAACGTTCTGGGTAGCTGCCGTTGCTGTAGTCGTGGCGGCCGGAGAAGCAACAATCATATAGGTGAATTGCGACGGCGAAAATCCAGCATCGTACGGCGATTGTCCAGGAGACATCGCCGATGCAGCAGGAGACATTGGCGGGGGGAAAGAAGCCGGCGGGGGCTGTTGGGCCATTCGGTTTTTGAGCAGCTCATTCTCTTGCATGAGTTGCCGGATCATGCTCGTCATGTTTTTATAATCGCTCGCATGGCGCCTTGATTCTTCGTTGAGTTTCTTTTCCAGATCCTGAATAGCAACTGCCCGCCTCTCGCGGAAGGCCCGTTGTGCTTCGCGATTCTGTGCTTTGCGTTTGTTCAACGGCGTTTCAGCCGACGGCTTACGTCCAGGCTTTGGTCGGGGTGGAAGAACATACTTTTTCTTCACTTGAAGCTTCACCACGCCGGCCGAGGCAGTTGCAGGCCCTGGTGTGGGTGTCGCCGAGCCGGCGTCGGGCGGGGTTTTTGCCACAAGAATGGGCTTGGGCGAAATGACCGAGGGGCTACTGGCCGTTGGGCTGGGTGACGCCGTCGCTACTGGCCGTGGCATCGTAGCGGGTGCGATTTCTGACATTTAAACAGTGCCAACTGGATGATGATAAAAAAGATAAGATGACTTTTTGTGATTGGATAAGTTTGATCATGCCTGCTGATTAAATTGATTGCATACAGGAGGGTAAATTGCCAAGAAGTCGTTTCGATGGACTTGTTTCAGCCAGGTCCATGGAGCTACACTTGAGAATAGTCGTATTCTGAGCCTCTGTCTTGTACCTAGAGGACGTGCGCTTTGCTAGGATAACTTGTCTCAAAAAAGTTTTTTATACGTTTTTCATACGGTGCTTGCTGATCGTTACGAAGATTATCATGCATAAACTCTCCTTCCCAATTTGCGATCGCATACCATGCTCGTTTTAGTAAGGCCCAAACGCCAAAAGCGATTGGAACGATACCGGACAGCACCATATAACTGCGTATACCGATAAATTACCTGCTTTTCCACACACCAGCTCGCCAGATATAACCCGCCGTCTCTGTCCGCTGACTTAGCATGCTGGGCCGCGAATCTCTCATCAGGCTAGGCGTTGGAAAGCGCATGCCGCTAATGATTCTCCAACAACAACGTGGGCTCATGTCTCGAGCAGCAAAGCAAATCAAAGAGAAGGTACCGGGGAGCGCAGCCACCCGGATGTTCCCCAAGTTTATGGCAAAATACGCTGCAAAAATCGGCGGGGCGCCAATGTCCCATCTCACCTCGTTTTTACTTATTCACGAGCTCACAGCCATTGTACCTTTGTTTGGAATATGGGGTGCGTTTTACTATTTGGATTATGTCCCACTAGGCATGCCCGATTGGCTAATTGAAAACGGCAGTGAGTTCATTAGGAAAATGGCCCAACGAAAGAACTGGGATATAATGCTTCATGCAGAAACAGGTGCCAAAATTGTTGCTCAGGGGGCCGCATCCTACGCTATTGTGAAGGCTGTTTTACCTCTACGTCTCATTTTCTCCCTGTGGTGCACGCCCTGGGTGGCTCGTCGCGTTGTCGGCCCGATCCTTGGTGCGTTTAAGCGGGCCAAAAAGACCAGCACAGGGCCCGATATAAAGCAGGGAATACTTCCAGAGACACTAAACAAGAAAAAAATTGAAAAAAAGCACGACATGCAGGACCAGCTGTAGATAAATTAATTTAAACCATCGCACATCCGTCAGGCCTCATGGTCACGTCTACTCCTGTATCGATCCAATCGATGTCGTACTTGAGAAAAAGCCGACCTTTTTTGGCATCCCCAACCACTTTGATCTCGATGCCGGGCGTTGGAGGACCCGCCAGTGTGTACTGTTTAGGACATTCACGGTAGTCACCATACGTGGTCTGAAAGATCGGCATCAATACTTTTGGGGTCCTGAACCCATGGATAACTTGGGATCCAGTTAGAATACGAATAACGTTGGCATCCTCGGTTCTCATGGATGTGCCGCCCAGATTGACGGTATGGATCAACCTCAAAGAACGGAACTGCGGCAGCATAGGCGAACTGATGGTGCCTCTTGACAAACGAACTTTATTCAATTGGAACTGCAATAGCTTGATGGTATTAAGCTCATCCGCCTGGCTTCGTAGTGACTCGAGAGCGATATCGTCCGTCACCAAAACGGTTGGCCGCACTATTTCAGTGGCCCGGAAAGGATCACTTATAGAGTGCTCCAGAAACACCAACGGTGCCTTTGCACTCAATGCTGTGAGCTGCATTAGCAATGCATAGGGGTGTTGGCAGGTCGGGAAAATAAGCACTTTGTCGTTGCGATTCCACATGCGATGGCCGAGAGCCCTGAGTTGGGAGGCAATAGACAAGCCAACTTCGGGCGACAGGAACTTTTGAAGCCCCCTCTGCTTGGAGTAGAACGAAATACTCGAAGGTTTGGCAATTGGCCGCTCCACAAGCTCATCATCTGTGGCAAGAGGAGCGTCTACGACCAAATCGTGAAGAGGAAATGCGCTTTTTGCTTCTTCCAATTCTTCGGGCTCGGTGTACAGAATACAAATATTGTAAAGCCCACAGGCAAACAGCATAGCCAGCGCCTCTATCCCCGCGGGAAGAGTGACAATGACCGAGGTGGTATTGCGTTTGGTCAACGCAGATCCTAACTTATGCACATGCATGGCGAAATCGAAATTACCATCGAGCTCACCGTTCGCATGATACTCGGAAATTTGAAAGCTCTCAGGCTCCCATAGCATTTCCAAGGTGAATTGCTCATAATGCTTCCCCAAGATCTCCCTTAGCAATGGCGTAGAGTGAGGGGTGTCGAGCGACCTGTAGACTCCACTTTCGCCCGGATTACGAACTGGAGGCGCAGATACCTGGTGCTTCAAAATGGATTGATCCACATCGGTTGGCGACCACTCCAAATAGAGATACAGCGTCACCAGCGCCAGAACGAGGATCAAGGTGATCATGCGATGAGTATGTCAGCCCACGGGACCCAAATACACTGATCGGCGCTGTGGTGGTTACATGCGATGTTTGTTGTACCGCCTGAAATATAAACAAGTGTAATATCCAAATATTAGATTCCGACTATAACATCTAGCTATGACTCTATTCAAACGTTCTGCTAAAAAACCTCGAGTGCGCGCTCATCATATGAGCGATGAGACAGTCAATGCCCAGGGAGTAGGCGGTTCTGCAGCTAAGGCCGCCGGATGTGGCAATGTCTCGACGATGCTAACGCTAGGTAAGGCGCTGCTTATAGTTAGCAAACCACTGTGTAGCAGCTCCGATGGCAGTGAGAAGAAGAAAAAGGCTCCGAAGGATCCTAACATGACACTCTCTCTGTTCTGCGGTGTGTCGCGATCCAACGGCGCGACTGATGGTAAAGCACCACCTACACGGCCCAAGACACCGCCTAAGGAAAAAGAAAGCAGTTCGTTCTGGCCCTTTGCCGAATCCGCTGCAAAGCCTGAACCTAGTGTAGCGACGCCTCCTCCGAAAGCCGAGGCCAAAGTCCCCTTAAAATCAGCTATGAAACCACAAGCTAACTCAATTGGCCTCGTTACTAAACCAGCACCTATTAAACCCACTAGCACCCGTGCGCCAAAGCTTCGCGAGGTTCCTGAACTTGTTATCCAGCCGTATTGGCGGCATATGGATCCTGCTGACGATCTTGATGTTGAAGATCTTTTACACGTTGACAGCGATGAGCACAAATCAGAGGAGCAGTCAGTGGGGGAAGGAAGCTCAGCAGAACTGCCATCCCCAGCGCCTTCTGACCAGCCCGACGGAACTGACGAGCCATCCGAGGCCAAAAAGACCAAAAAACTTAGTAGCAAGCAGCGGAAAGCTCTGAAGAAAAAAGAAAAAAACGCCGCTAAAAAGCAGAAATTCACTCCGCCAGAGTTCATAAAAGTTTAGCAAGTAATTCGTAGAACCTCCATATCAGCTTCGTCTGTTTAGTTTCCTCCTCACGTAATGGACTCGAGTCTGGTGAACGCTGTCCACGAATTATCCAGCCGTGGACTGGTGAAAGCAGCAAGATGGGCTGCTGAAGCACTTGACGGCATAGAAGTGGAAGTCGAAGCTACTGCGGCAACGCCGATCAAGCCCAGCACGCTGCTTGGAAAGGCGTATTTCGACAATCGCGAGTATAATCGATGCTGGCACTACCTGAATAAACAGCAATCGCTGGATTCTGTGGGCCAATTCTTGGCTATTTACGCGCGATATCTTGCTGGCGAGATAGAAAAAGAAAATAGCGACGATGGCACTTTTAAAACTGGCGCAGCGGGCTCGCAGAACCCCTATTTGGCTGGTCTGCTGCGCCAAGTAGAAATAAGTCAAGATCCTTTCCTTTTGTACCTAAAAGGGGTTCTACAGAGGCGAATGGGAGATGAGGATGGCGCAATAGACGCCTTGGTGCAAAGCATTTCCGGGTATAATTTCAATTGGAGCGCCTGGCAAGAGTTACTGGCGTGCTTGGGTAAACCAGGCGATTTTACCAAGATTCTGGCCCAGCTAAAGACTGACGATAAAATCGATAAGAATATGTTGAACTTTTTTATTGTTTACGGCAACCAGGAGTTCTTTTTGCCGCAAACGCGAAGTGTTCAGGCTTTGCTGGAACTCAAGTCCAAGTTCCCTTCTTTCGCATTCGTTGATATCCAACGTGCCCTCATCAGCATTCATAACCTCGATTATGATGATGCAGAAGTGATTTTTGCAAAAGTCCTTGAGGACGACCCCTACCGCCTTGACGACCTGGATCATTACTCGAATATGCTTTACGTCACAGAGCAGCAAGGTAAGTTGTCGAAACTCGCATACACCGTGGCAAAAACCGACAAGTTCCGAGCAGAATCATGTTTCATTATAGCCAATTATTACTCACTGAATGGAGAGCATGAGCGCGCCGTGACATATTACCAACGAGCTTTGATTTCGAGCCGACAGCATTTACCAGCTTGGACCCTCCTGGGCCACGAGTTTGTTGAGCTCAAAAATACCCACGCTGCAATTGAATGCTATCGTACTGCTGTTGATATTAATAAACGTGACTTCCGAGCATGGTACGGGCTGGGGCAAGCATACGAGGTGTTGGATCAATACCAATACGCCCAGTACTATTATCAAAACGCTTTGGGATTGCACCCGGGCGATGTTCGAATGTGGGCTGCGTTAGCCAATTCCTGTGAAAAGCTGCACCAGTACGATAAAGCAATTTCTATTTATGAGCAGGCCCTCCGCATAGCATCTGTGGACAGCTTCCTGAGCTACAAACTAGGCACTCTGTACGAGCTGATTGGGGACTCGTCCCAGGCCCTTAAATGCATGCAGGCATGCGTTGAACTTGATTCGGGTGAAGACCAAGATGCCGAACAGGATGAAGAGTGGGTTGGCCAAGCACATCTCTGGCTCGCCCGGCGCGCCTTGAAAAACGGAGCGTGGGAAGATGCCCATCGCCATGCCACGGCTGCAGAAGGAAACATCCAGCTGCTTGAAGACGCTCGGGCGATTGTGCGCGATGCGGCAAGTCGGCTACGGGTTCGAGGCAATGGCGAAATAGCATAAGTAAAAAAAAAGTTTAACAAGCTAATAAATAGGCGTCTCTGCGTCTTCATCGGCATTAGGCAATGGAGGCGACAACTTGTAGGCCGGGATCTGGTCAGTTCTAATACCAGAGCGCACAAGAACTCTTCGGAGCTGGCGGTTTTGCTCGGCAATGTCAACAATAAATCCGTAGACGGTCTGCATGACAACAGATTTCGGAGGCCCTGCACTGGATCCAGCAGAGCCTCCGCTGTTTATTGCTGGCACAAGCGAGCACATTTCTGAAAACAGCTGTTTGATGTGGTCTCGTCGTCGCTTTTCGCTGTTTATGTGGTTTTGACGCACCTGGTCCACGCTGAGGTATTCGCGTCGCCTTCTCGTGATATTGGACCCTTCTTCGCTGCTGCGGGAATTGGCGGGGCTATTAGGACTAAGTCCAGACGTCGAAGCAGGGATCGCGGTGGAAATCACCTCACTAATTTCGGGCGTCGTGGTGCTCATGATACTGCGACTTCGCTGGGCAGCCATATGTGCTTGAATAAGATTATCAACGCCTTTTTCTTCGGGCAATTTAGGTGGTTCCACAAACCCCTTATAAAAATCGCTGGATGCAGCCACTTGGAGTGACATCATGGGGTTCGGCTGTAGACCTCGAGGCATACCACCAGGTTGCACCTGAGGGTGAGCAAACTGTTGAGAAATGTGCTGCGGAACCATAGGCGCCGGGGTATACACAATTGGCGCTCGGGCGAGATTGTGCGGCACTTGAGAGGTCCGAGTCTGGGGTTGGTGCGCAACAAGATTATTGGGCTGTAATGAGGCAGTGCCACTTGAAAGTATATCTTTGATGTTTTGTCCGGTTCGATTGCGGGCCTGCGGAAGCTCCTCATCAGTCGGCTCAGGTGTGGGTGCATTCGCAGCGGATAGCAGAGGGTTGGGATTGAGGCCTGTCATTTTCTGTGTGGGCAAAACCATCTCGGGTTGTTGTGCGTGCCCTTCGACTTTGGCCCGCTTCGGGTTGCTACCCAACTCTTTAGTCGCTTTGGTCTTGGCAACCCGTTCCATAGGAACATACAGCCCAGTTGGCTGACGTCCGTTGTACATGGACAGATCGAGCCAGTGAACCTCATCCTTTCGAGCGGCCAATGGATCGACCAACACATGATCCAGGAACTCAGTGAACGCATTGTACTCTCGCTCGTTCAAAACCGCCTGCGGCTGTTCACCTGCCTCGGGTTCGGCCGAACTTTCGGGGCGACTCATGTTGCTGGCAAACTGGGCGTACGCCACGTCGAAATCGTCTGGAAAATCTTCGTCTTCTGGTTTGACCGCCATCCTCTCCTTCTTTATTTGCTCGGGACTTTCCTCGCTCTAGAAGGTGAACGTGATCACATGTGCAAATCCAGGGTGGGGGATTTCTATTGCATAGGGGTGCTGGGAGGGGTGCAAGCTCATCTCTAGAGTGGCCTTTTGTCAGCAGAATTTTTCAAAAAAATCCAACAAAGCTCCAATCGGTTTTTGAGAAGAGATGCCGCCTATTTCGAGCCCTGAGAATGTGCTCAAGCGGGCTGAGGAGCTTGTGAGTATGGAGAAGCCCAGCGCTGCTCTGGAGCTGCTCTACGATACGATTCTTTCCAAACGTACCCGGAACGTGTCGTTGACCTTCTTGGAGCCTATCGTTTTGCGGTTTGTTGAGCTTTCGGTCGACTTGCGCAAGGGAAAGATTGTCAAGGATGGTCTGCACCAGTACAAAAAGCTTGTCGTTCCCACAAGTGTGCCCTCTCTGCAGGCTGTGGTCGATAAGTTGCTTGTTCTCGCCGAGGAAAAAGTCACCTGTGCCCAGGAGAAGGCTGACCAGATCACCGTCGATGACGAGGATCTCGAAGCCGAGCAATCGCCTGAGGACCTGCTGATGTCCACCGTGTCGAGCGAGCAGACCAAGGACCGTACTGACCGTGAGCTTGTCACACCGTGGCTCAAGTTCTTGTGGGAGGCCTACCGCTCGGTTCTGGACGTTTTGCGTAACAGCTCCAAGCTCGAGACACTGTACTCGGAGGTTGTCACCCAGGCTTTCCAGTTTTGTTTGCGCTACCAGCGCAAGACTGAGTTCCGTCGTCTCTGTGATCTGTTGCGCAACCACTTGCAAATGGCCGCCCAGCAGTCCAAGCTGCCCAACCAAACCAACCCTGTCGACTTGACTGATCCCGATACTCTGCAGCTATTTTTGGACACTCGCTTCGAGCAGCTCGGCGTTGCTGTCAAACTCGAGCTCTGGCAAGAAGCTTTCCGCTCGGTCGAAGATGTCCACACTCTTTTGACGGCCAGCCGCCGTCCTATCAAGTTGGCAAACATGGCCAGCTACTATGAGACCTTGGCCCGCATTTTTGCTGTCGGCAACAACCACTTGTTCCATGCAGCTGCGTGGTCCAAGTACTACTCTATGGTTTATCACACTCGTCACTCTGCCCCCGAGGGTGAGTTGGAGCGTATTGCTTCCTACTTCTTGCTCTCTGTTTTGTGCATCCCCTCGTCCAACCGTGAGGACGTGGTTGAGAGCAGAAGCCACCGCCTCAGCACTCTTTTGAATCTTACCCAGGTCCCCACTCGGGAGCTGTTGATGCAATCCGCTATGGCCAAGAACGTTTTGCAGTATGTTCGTCCTGAGATCAAAGAGCTTTACCTGGTTCTCGAGACCAACTTCCACCCTCTCCTTCTCAAGGAGCGCCTGGAGCCCATTTTCGAAGTTGTTGGAAAAGTCAAGGCCTACCAGTCTTACGTCCAGCCCTTGCTGAAGGTTGTCATGGGTCGTTTGTTCAAGCAACTGTCTCAGGTTTACACTACTACTCGTTTAGAGCAGATTGTTGAGCTGGCTACCTTCCCTGCTCCGTTCAACCTGTCTAGATTCGATATTGAGCAGGAGCTTGTTCTTGGCGCTCATGCTAACCACTCTTACCGCATCCGCATTGATCATGAGCAGGGCTCTGTCACCTTTTTGGACTCTTTGTCCGAGTGCGGTAACAACTACGGCAACCAGATTCTCGAAGAGACTCCTAGCGATCTGATTTCTCAACAGCTACGCAAGCTTGCTGTGTGCTTGAACGAGGTTCTTCCTCAGGTCGATTCCCGTGTGGCTTCCAGCGCTGCCAGTGAGCATGCTTCTATTGTTGCCAATGCCCAGCGTAGCTTGGCTGATGAGAACGAGAAGTTCCTCAGTCGTCGTAAGCTACAGGAAGAGCGCAGTGCTGAAGCTAAGAAACAGCAGCAGGAGCGTGAGGCTGCGGCCGCCAAGGAACGCGCTGACCGTCTCGCTGCCGAGCGTGCTGCCGAGGAACAACGTCTGTTGAACGAAGCCCGTGAGCGCGAGGAGGAACGCATTCGTCGTGAGCGCCAGGCTATCCAGGACGAGCAAAAGCGCGCTCTTGCTGAGGAAATCAACGCCCGTGGTATCATCAAGGTCGATATGGAGAACCTTGATAACGTGGACAACGAGACTCTTCGTCGTATGCAGATTGAACAGCTAGAGCGTGATGATCAGGAACTGCGCGGCCGTATGACCGCCGTCGCCCGCCGTCACGATCATTTGGAGCGTGCCTATCGTAAAGAGGAGGCCGCCATCTGGATTGCTGATGGTAAGGAACAGGAGTCTCGCGATCGCGAGGCTTATGAGGAGCGCAAGAAGCTTCTTATCGAGTCGGCCAAGGCCCGGGCTGCCCAAAATTCTATCCTCAGGGAACGCTATGCTCGTATGGCTGGTGCGTTTGATAAGTATATGGAGGGTGTTAATGAACGTCGCCATGCTATTTATCTCGAAAAGAAGGCCAAGAACGATGCCCTTCTCGCGCAAGCTAAAGAAGCTCGTCGTGAACAAGTTCTCAAGGAGCGCGAGGCTGCTGCTGAAAAGGCCCGCCTCGAGGCCGAAGAGCAGGCCCGCATGGCTGCTGAGCGTACCGAGCGTGAGAAACGTATTGTGGAAGAGCGTGAAAAGATGGCTGCCGAAAGAGCCCGTCGTGCTGTAGACTCACCCCGGTCGACCCCCGATCCTGCCGCCCGCTCATCTCCCTTTGGCAATGCTCGACCCGCCGGGGCCGCCGGGGCCGCCAAGCCTGTTTCTTCGCCTTTCGGTAATGCCAGACCTGTGGAGGCCTCTAAGCCTGCTTCGTCGCCTTTCGGTAATGCCAAGCCTGTTAGCAGCTCGCCTTTCGGTAACGCTAAGCCTGTGAGCAAGTCGCCCTTCGGTAACGCCCGTCCGTCTCCCACGGGAGCAGGTGGGGCTCCTCGTTCCTCGCCGTTCGGTAGTGCCAAGCCTGTTGAAGGACGCAGCAATCCTTTCGGTAATGCCAAGCCTGCCGACACTGGTAACAGCAGCAACAGCAGTAGCACATCCCGCCCCTCAGGTGGCGCTTACCGCCCGCCTAGCCGTCGTTAAGTAAATATGTTTTATTGAAATGTATTCGAAAATATCAGAAAGTTCATCACTATGTGCGTATATATGGTTTTTCTCAGAAAGCCCAATTAAATATTAAATGAGGAAGGCTAAAAGCGCGAGCAGGCCAGGCACAGTAGCCACAGATGCTCCATTTTTAGCCGTAGTAGAAGAAGCGGCAGAAGAAGAAGCCGTAGCACTGGTAGTATTATCATTGCCCGAGTGGCTCTTGGTGTCAACAGCCAATCCACTCGACGCAGGATCGGCTGAGCTCAAAGTAGCCGCAAGTGAAGTGGGTTCCTCAGCCTTGATCTCGGCCGTGGGTCCGCGATAAATGTTTGCAAACAGAGGCGCAGTCGAGGTGACAAGAGCGTGGGTGGTGGTGGGAGCACCTGAAGTTGGAGCGTTAGCAGTGACGTTAATCTCACCAGGAATATAGTCGATGCTCTCCGAAAATGGGACAATAGTGTCATTAGCAGGAAGGGGGTTTTGGCGACGGCGCGACAAGTAGATCATCTTATTGGCGGTGTCAAATACTGTGTAGACATGGCGGAAGAAGACGTCACCAAGCAAATAGTTAGGCGAGCCAATAAGCGACAAAGAAGTTACATTAGCAGGGCCGTCGTTCATCCAAATGTATTCACCAGGAACAAACAGATCCTTGACGGCTATGTCGATCTCGAACTGACCCAGACGGAATGTCACCCAGCCTTCGAGGTTGCTGACGTCCTCTGTGGTATAGTAGGTCCCATATTTGGCGTACTCGGTGAGATTGTACTGGTCGCCGATTTTTTGATGAAACCGGGAGGCATCAGGCTCATGGGCGAACCAGTGTCAAGAAGAGCAGTGTTGACGACATCATAAGGATCACCATGGTTCAAAGCAAGCTCAGTGAAGGGAACACGATAGAAGTTGTCACGAGCCTGAATATGGTGGAAGCCATAGACCGGCCATTCGATCTCGTTGTGGTCCCATCCGCCCAGAATCAGCTTGCCCTCGTCGCCATGAAGATAGACAGAGAAAGCAGGCGACTCGGTGATGTTCTGATTGTACAAGGCCTCGGGTAGGGTGGTATAATTAGATGGCCCGGCACCTTCATAGTGGGGCCCCAACCCCAGGAGGCCCGGAGCTCCTGCTGCAGCGGCGAAACTTTCCACCACCCCGAAAATAAAGTTCTGGGCCAAATTGGAAGACTGCTTGGACAGCTCATACGTTGCCGCAGGAACCTCAACCGTGTCCTGACCCCAGTACCCCATATACTGCCCTGAGCCATAAGAGGCAAGAAGCGAGGTGTTGTATGCAACAAAGCTCTTTGAGTCGGAGGGATTGAATTGGGGTGCATCTTTGTAGGTGGTATCGGGACCATAAACCCAAGTGATTGGGGAGCCGGTATCGAGAAGCAGCTCGAGGTCTTGTGCAGGAGTTCCAATTTTCACTTTGGCATAATAAAAGTTGTAAGACGGAGTGAGGCTCACGTCAACGGAAGGCCCCGCGGGGTCGTCGGCGCCACGTTTGGCCAGCATTCGTGAAACCAGCGGGGAGACTGAATCCGAGGATAACGCCGATCCCCGACGCGCAGTGAACGGGAGCTCAACGGCAGCGAGAGCGATAGCTGCTTGGAAAAGAGCAGCTGCAAGCATCGTAAAGTGTATTGGCCAGTAAAGATTGGTGTGTGGTGTGATGGGTTATGGTCAAAGAAACAATCTCTTGATGTTCAAGCGCCTTGCTATTTACAAGAGGGCCTCTGCAGAAGGACTCCTATTTATATGACGGACTAAGCGAAGCTGCACTCCAGGAGGTGAGCGACCTGCATGATGACGTTGATTCTTCCACGCATCGCGGAAATAAGGGGGCTTGAAAAAATAGCCTAATTAGAGGTGACGTGGCTGCAATATTTTATTAAATCTGAAATCTTTATCGGTCTTCAAGCCCCCTTGAGTTGTTATATACAAATGGCACCCCCTGTTGGCAGCAATACCTAAAGGCTGTGCCCACTGAAGGAGGGTCCCGAGGCTCCCAGATGGAATGTGCGATTTCTGAAACACATCAGTTTCAGGTCGCTATAGATGTTATAGGTTGTCAGGTCGACTAACCGTTGTAGAATTCGATTGTTAGGCAATGGTATTAAATGTCAAACTAGGTGTTGATACATAGAGTCTAGCTAGCTTTATCCAACTCAGTGAAGGTTGTGCGTTTGAGTATCTTTTACGTGTCAAACAAGAAACACTATTCCCGAATAATTATGACTGTCAACTGCTCCGACTGGCTGTCACAACGGGTTGGTCTTATGCACGTTAAACTGGTTACACATGCCGGTATGTATCATGGTGGCAGGACTAAACTGGTTGTGCAGGCGACTTGGGTCCGCTAAGAATGTGAAATAAGATAGATTCGCGATAAATAAAAAAGTAGTTCAACATGGATTTCTATTGAATAAACTAAAAGACGTCCAAAAACTGGGCTTCTGGAGTCCTTAGTGGTGGGAACGCGCCTTATTTTTTCCCCTACATTTCCATGCTCGTTAATGCGTCCAGCCAGGGGTAGACGCTTGAATCGCGTTTTTTGAGCATGTGTGGGCCAAGGGATTGTGGAACCCTTAGTAATTCCCGGGCACACAAGAGAAGTGATTACGCAAGCAAAGATACCGATGACTAAGGGAGCACCACCCCCATACGCATCCGGTTACGGAAACGTTTAGTAACGCACGGAACCCAAAAGAAGCTCGAGTGGTCTCACATGCTTAGTCAGCAACAATCAGCAAACACCCTCGATACAAGCAAATATTACAAATACCTCGCTAGCGACAATCAAAGATTTCCGAGTGGCCTTCGGAACTAGGGTATTGCCTCTACAGCTACGGTCTGCATGAAGACGCATACTTCTTTTCGGGGCCCCGATTTTACGAAGAGACTCGTTGATTCAATTGGCGTGGTTATGTCTGGAAAAAGTTTGAATCCTAAAATTTGGAAATTCTGGCTAGTACTCTGCAAAAGCCCGAACTTAGCGGGCTGGGTTTCGTTGTCTGCACACTTGCCACTGGGTAGTTCGCAAGGACCCAGGCAGGGTACCGGCCCTACCCTTACATCAGAATACAAATTCCCATCAACAGTCCTTTGTTGGAGCCTGGGTATTCATATAAACGACATGTAACGTCACCTGAAACCTTTCATAAAGTGGCATAATATCTATTTTAAGTATGTTAAAGTAAGTTTGTCTCAGGTATCCATAGAGGGCTTATTTTCCGGCTCGGAATGGGTTTCCAGCCGGCCACGACACTTGCGATGCACATTACAACCAAACCTAGTCGCTGAGTAAAAGGGCAAGCTCTACTAACTTCACGATAAAAGATTTTCAGCGTGGCTTTTTGCCAATCGTTCCGGTCTTTCCACACATAACAGTCACATAAATGGGTAAATCCCCACGATTGCGTCAACCTGCCGGCCCACCCAAGTGCAAAAGACCTCGAATCCGGCCTCCAAACTCCGCCAGATCAGGGCGACATCGCCTGTGGAAAGCCGTTAGTAATTTGCTGCAAGCATACCAACCCTGAACCTTGCAGCAGATAAAAAAACCATACAAAAAGCTCGGATTCTGCTAATTTGGGGCTGTACTCCAATATACCACAGTCTCATATACAAAGTGTATTCGCTTGAGTGTTACAACTTGTCTATAGCCTATGAGCGAATTTTGGGATAAAGAGTCCGTGTTAAGTCAATCCACAGGTCTTTCTACCACACCGGATGTCTACAGAACTCCTGAAGTAGCGAACATCCAGGAAATTGCGCGCGAGCTAACGCGCATAACCACCCACAGTGGTTATGGCTCGCCGTTCGGTGATATAACAGATCCTGAACTAGACCCCTCATCGCCCGAGTTCTCTTCCATGAAGTGGGCGAAGAACATGCATCGTCTTATGTCCAGTGAGACTGAAACCCACCCCGAGCGCTCTCTTGGTGTTTCCTTCCGTAACCTACATGCATTCGGTTACACAATTGGTGATGCAGGTTACCAGTTAACTACTGGCAACGTGCCTATGACCCTTGTTCAAAAGATCGTTGGAACCATTACCTCTAGCAAGGAGCGAGTCGAAATCCTACATGATATGGACGGTGTTATCAACGCTGGTGAGCTTTTGCTTGTTCTTGGGCGTCCTGGTTCCGGTTGCTCCACTTTCCTTCGTACTATGGCACAGCAGACTTATGGATTCCACATCGACGAACACACCGAATTCAATTACTCGGGTGTCGATGCCGCGAGTATTCCTAAGCAGTTCCGTGGTGATGTCACTTATTCTGCCGAGTCTGAGTTGCATTTCCCCAACTTGACTGTCGGTGACACTTTGCTTTTCGCTGCTCGTATGAAGACTCCTCACCATCGTATCAATGGTGTGGATCGCATGACTTATGCTAAGCACATGCGTGATGTGGTTATGGCTACGTTTGGTCTCAGTCATACCGTGAACACTCGTGTAGGTAACGACTTGATTCGTGGTGTATCTGGTGGTGAGCGTAAACGTGTTTCTATTGCGGAGCTGGTGCTCTGCCAGTCTGTGTTCCAGTGTTGGGATAACTCTACACGTGGTTTAGACTCTGCAACCGCCCTAGAATTTGTCCGTTCGCTGCGAGTATCAAGTGATACATTCAAGGCTACCGCTGCTGTTGCCGTTTACCAAGCTTCTGATGAAATGTACGACTTGTTTGATAAAACAATTGTGCTTTATGAAGGATATCAGATTTATTATGGCCCCGTTAGCAAAGCTCGTAAGTTCTTTTACGATATGGGATGGCAGCCTAAACCTCGCCAGCCGACGCCTGATTTCCTGACTTCACTTTCTCAGCCTAGCGAACGTGAAACCCGTCCTGGTTTTGAAGAAAAAGTGCCTCGTACTCCTCAGGAGTTCAATGAGCGTTGGAGAGCATCAGATTTGTATGCCGAGTTGCAACAGGAGATGGATCAGTTCGACAGTGACTATCCTCCCGGTGGTGAACATGCCCAGAAGTTCCACCATGCTGCAACTCTTCGCAAGGATAAGAGACTTCCTCATCGTGCCGCTTACACTGTAGGCTGGTACGAACAGGTTCTTGGACTCACCTGGCGTGGTTTCAAACGTATGAGGGGCGATCCCACCATGCCAATTATCCAGGTCTTTGGAAATTTCGCCCTGGGTTTGATTATTTCTTCCATGTTCTACAACTTGCAGCAAACAAGTGAGTCATTCTATCACAGAACGGCAGTTATTTTCTTTTCTCTCTTGTTTAACGCCTTTTCAAGTGTCCTCGAAATTTTCAACCTGTATGAGAGTCGTGCTATCGTTCAAAAGCATCATCAATATGCACTATATCATCCAGCGTCTGATGCTATCGGGTCCATTCTTACCGATATGCCAGTGAAGATCGCTGTGGCTCTCAGTTTCAACATTGTCATGTATTTCCTCCCGAATTTGCGAAGATCCCCTGGAAATTTCTTCTTTTATCTCTTTGCGAACTTCTTGGGTTCATTGTTCATGTCACATTTGTTTCGTACCCTCGGTGCCATGACCAAGACATTGATGGAGGCGATGGTTCCCACCGAGCTGTTGCTTCTTGGCTTGGTTTTGTACACCGGATTTGTGTTGCCCACTCGAAATATGCATTTATGGAGTCGCTGGATGAACTATGTTGATCCGTTGGCTTACATTTACGAGGCGCTCATCACTAATGAGTTTTCTAATCGAAGGTTTACGTGCTCTCAGTATCTTCCTAGTGGCCCTGGATACGAAAATGTTCCTTTAAGCGAAAAGGTATGTGCTGTTAATGGTGCCAAACAAGGTCAAGATTATGTTCAGGGCAGTGATTATATCTGGGAGTCGTTCCGTTACAGAGAATCTCATCAATGGCGTAACATTGGTGTTATCCTTGGCTGGATCTTTTTCTTTTTGGGTACCTATCTTGTGGCTGTGTGGCTTAACCCGGGTGCTCGTACTAAGGGTGATATGCTTATCTTCCCACGCTCCGTTTTGCGCAAGATGAAGAAACAATGGAAGGCTGCTGGTTATGAGGGTGCTCCCACTAAGCAGCTAGTTGAGGGTAACACTGGTGATGATGATGTCGCGCTTGCTGGATCGGATGATATTTTCTGGTGGAAGGATCTCTGCTACGATATCGAGATCAAGGGCGAGCACCGACGTCTTTTGAATCACGTTTCGGGTTGGGTGAAGCCAGGTACTTTGACTGCTCTCATGGGTGCTTCCGGTGCTGGTAAAACCACACTCCTTGATACTCTTGCCAATCGTGTCACCATGGGTGTAGTCACTGGTCATGTTTTCGTTAATGGTACACCGCGTGATAACTCTTTCCAACGGTCGACCGGTTACGCCATGCAGCAAGATTTGCACTTGGAGACTTCTACTGTCCGTGAGTCGCTTGTTTTTGCTGCACTGATGCGCCAGCCTTGGAAAGATAGTTACGAGGAGAAGATTGCCTACGTTGATACAGTGCTGAAGGTTTTGGAGATGGAGACTTATGCTGATGCAGTCGTTGGTGTCCCCGGCAGTGGTCTCAATGTTGAACAGCGTAAGCGTTTGACTATTGGAGTTGAGTTGGCTGCTAAACCTAAGCTGCTTTTGTTCTTGGATGAGCCGACATCCGGTTTGGACTCTCAGACAGCTTGGTCGGTTTGCCAACTGATGAAGAAGCTGTCCAACGCAGGACAGGCCATTCTGTGTACGATTCACCAGCCTTCTGCGCTGTTGTTGCAACAGTTTGACCGTCTTTTGTTCTTGGCTCGCGGTGGACGGACCATTTATTTTGGTCCCATCGGTGACAATGCCGAAAAGCTTTGTGGCTACTTTGAAAAGTATGATGCAGACCCGTGCCCACCTGAGGCTAATCCTGCTGAATGGATGTTGCATGTTATTGGTGCAGCTCCTGGTTCACATGCCAAGCATGACTACGCGGACGTGTGGCTGTGGTCTGAGGAGCGTCGGGCGATGCGTGACGAAATCAACGAGCTCATTCGTCGCTTTGATGCCAAGCATGAAAATCGCAATGAGGATAAGGAGGCACACCGTGAGTTTGCTGCACCTTTGTGGTACCAGTTTTACCATCTTCTTAGACGCCAGTGGGCTATGGAGTGGCGATCACCCATCTACCTCTGGTCGAAGTTTATCCTCGCTGTGCTTGCCAGTCTGTTTAACGGTTTTACCTTTTTCAAGGCCGATAACACTCTTCAAGGTATGCAAAACCTTATGTTCTCAATTTTCATGTTCACCACTATCCAAACGACCCTTATTTACCAGTATCTTCCCTCGTTTGTCGCACAGCGTGCGCTTTACGAGACCCGTGAACGTCCTTCCAAGATTGTGTCGTGGAAAGCCTTCACAACTATGGTAGTTTTTGCGGAGATTCCTTGGCAAGTGTGGACGGGTACTTTTGCCTTCCTCTGTTGGTATTATCCCACTGGCCTCTACAACAATGCTAGTAGGGCCGGTCAGATGACCGAACGTGGTGGTCTGACATACTTTTATGTGATTCTTTACTACGTTTTTGCTCTGACCATGGGCCAGTTGTGTGTTGCCGGCATGGAAGACGATAATACCTCCGCTAACATTGCCATGTTGCTGTTCACTATCTCGCTAATGTTCTGTGGTGTCTTGTCTACTAAGGATGCGATGCCTGGATTTTGGAAATTCATGTATCGTGTCTCTCCATTCACGTATTGGGTTGGAGGCATGTTGGCCGTGGGTATTGCGAATGCACCCGTGAACTGCGCGGACTACGAAATGTTGAAGGTACCGGCTATTGATGGCCAGACCTGTGGTGACTATCTGCAGAGCTTTGCCACCAGGAACCATGGTAATATTGCCAATCCTCTGTCAACTGGAGTCTGCAATTACTGCAGAGTTGCTGATACCAACAGCTATTTGGCCAGCTTGAATATCAGTTATCACCTGCGTTGGCGCAATCTGGGCATTTTCATGGCATACATTGCTTTCAACATGATTGCATCCGGATTCATTTACTGGCTTGCCCGTGTTCCCAAGTCTTCCTCTCGAGTCAAGGTGGTTCCTATTGAGCCCGTTGACCAGGACGAGCATCTTGATGAGGAAAAAGCTGCTGGAAAAGAAGCACCCAAGGTCGTGCAGCTCCAAACCGGCAAGGACGCAGTTGCGATCCATCATGCCTACCTTGCCAAATTCCAAGGCACTAATTCGTCTAATTCGACTGTGAGTTCTGTGAGTGTTTGACAGAGCCAACCCCACCAGGAGTGGTTTCATACCCCAAATTCATCTAAATTTTACATACCGATATATAGAATCGAATCTGAAACATACCTCAATCATAATGCTGTTTGGACTAGAGAGATAGCTCAGTCAGAGTGCTGTTTGCCGGCCGGGTTTAAGATCTGTAGATTGCTATCGCTTATCAGGCACGTCTGGTAAGCTTGCATTGCTTTGCGGCGTGGGATGCAGAGGTTTCCCAACCCATGTGCACACCACCATACTGTCGGATAAAAAGCGTTTATTAAACTCACAACGACTACTAATTTCCTATGGAGGCCAAATGGACCCTCAATGGGTGGAAAGATGGGCATTGGCACGTGGGGGGTGGGGGATCGGTGTCTCTACCCTTGCTTGTAGTGGTGCTCTCTGATTGGGGTCATTTTTGAGACAATCACAATACATAGATTGAAAGTTACGCTACGAGTATACATAAAATTGTGAAGAAATTTCACAACGACAGCTTGGTGATCCGTTTCATGAGAGCAGGTGGTAGTGTGAAGTGACGACCTTAGGGTTCGCCACTAGGCTATTCACGCCAGAACTCCCGGAACATCAAAGTCTGAGGCGACTGAAATATATATTCAGTTTTGTACAAGACCACCAGCGAAAGTATAAACAGGCATATGCAGGAACAATTGTCATATGTCGGATGAAAATTCGGGCCATCCACCTGTTTGCAACCGAGCCGGACGGAAACGGCTCGTTTTTGTGCGTAGTCATGCGAGGCACAGGGAGGGAGCTTGGCTTAGTGGCGCCTCGAACAAGAGTGAACCACAGACGCCCCACCATCTGGCTCGTACTGCACATAGAGCCATATCGAATACGACATATATCCCATAGAGCATTCCGAATACACACTCATTAAATTGGTAGCAAGATCAACAATTTCCAGCCTCACGTTAATTCGTCGGTTCGGGGCCCAACAAACTTGCCCGATCCGTGGGCGCAAGACATACAGATTGGCACACAGATGGGGTAGGGTACATTATGGGAGGAACGGCGTCAAAACGAAACGGAGAAAACGGATTTTGCAGTTAGGCGATAATTTAAGACAAATACTATGGAATTTTATTGAATCCAGCCAGTGTACACATCCAACATTCTTCGCAGGCGCAAATCGTATTTATTACATAATATGCTTGCATGTGGTCGCATACAACCGCGAGGCCTAACCCTGGACACGCAGAGAATTTAGAATAAATACTCGCCGCCGCCAAGATGATATTTCAATTCACCGAAGCATAGGTTTGCAGTGTAAAAGCGAACTGTCTGATAGCTTCTACCTTGGTTCGGTAAATCAACAATGACTAAATCAGACGAAAAGGGCTCTGCTAGTTCTAGCGGAGGCTCTTTATCCAGTCCAGAGCTCTATACAAGTCCTGAGCATGAGCACATCCTTGAGCTGGCGCGAGAGCTCACACGGGTCTCAACTCGCAGCGGTTACGCATCTCCGTTTGGCGACACAAGCGATCCCGAGCTTGACCCCTCCTCTCCGGAGTTTTCATCTTTGAAGTGGTCTCAAAACGTTCATCGACTCATGTCCAGCGAATCTGACCAGCACCCTGAACGCTCGCTTGGTGTGTCTTTCCGCAATTTGCATGCGTATGGCCACTCGACTGGCGGTTCTGGTTACCAGCTCACTACAGGAAATCTAATGTATGCCACAGCTCAGATGGTTGTGGCGACAATGAACCCCAAAAAGGAAAAAGTGGACATTCTCTATGGTATGGATGGTGTTCTACAACCGGGCGAGCTTCTAGTTGTATTGGGGCGTCCTGGTTCTGGCTGCTCGACGTTTTTGCGTACACTTTCCCAGCAGACCTACGGGTTCAAAGTGGAGGATAAGACCGAGTTTAACTATAGTGGTGTCAGTGCGAATGATGTCTCCTCACGTTTCCGCGGTGATGTTACCTACTCGGCGGAATCTGAGTTGCACTTTCCAAATTTGACTGTCGGCGATACCCTGCTTTTTGCCTCTCGCATGAAGACCCCTGACAACCGCATCAATGGTGTAGATCGCATGACCTACGCACGCCATATGCGCGACGTTGTTATGGCAACGTTCGGTCTGACCCACACCATGAACACTCGTGTAGGTAACGACTTGATTCGCGGCGTTTCCGGCGGTGAGCGTAAGCGTGTCTCAATTGCAGAGTTGGTGCTTTGCCAATCTGTTTTCCAATGCTGGGACAATTCCACCCGTGGTCTTGACTCGGCTACTGCTTTGGAGTTTGTTCGATCTTTGCGTATCTCAAGTGATACTTTCAAATCTACTGCTGCTGTTGCCGTTTACCAGGCATCGGATGAGATGTACGACATGTTTGACAAAGTCGTTGTCCTCTACGAAGGTTACCAGATCTACTATGGTCCCGTGGCTAGAGCTCGTAAATTCTTTTACGATATGGGTTGGCAACCGAAGCCCCGTCAGCCTACTCCTGACTTTTTGACATCTCTTTCTCAACCAACTGAACGTGAAGCACGTCCTGGTTACGAAGAGAAGGTTCCTCGTACGCCGCAAGAGTTCAACGAGCGCTGGAGAAATTCCGAGCTTTATGCTGAACTGCAGCAAGAGATTGACGACTTCAACAGCAATTATCCTAGTGGTGGTGAGCATGCTCAGAAGTTCCAAGAATCTGCCGATTTGCGTAAAGACAAGCGCTTGCCTCACAAAGCGGCTTATACTGTCTCCTGGCACGAACAGGTGAAGGGTCTTGCCTGGCGCGGATTCAAGCGCATGCAAGGTGACCCAACGATGCCTTCTATTCAGGTATTTGGTAACTTCGCCATGGGCCTAATTATTTCATCCATTTTCTACAATATGCAACAGGTCACTGGATCGTTCTATCACCGTACCGCGGTCATCTTTTTTGCCCTTCTGTTTAATGCTTTCTCTTGCATGTTGGAAATTTTCGCTTTGTACGAGGCTCGTCCTATCGTGCAGAAACATCACCAGTATGCTCTTTATCACCCAGCGGCCGATGCGGTTGGTTCTATTACCACAGAAATGCCCATTAAGATTGCGACTGCTATCAGTTTTAATCTCGTGATGTATTTCATCCCCAATCTGCGTCGATCTCCTGGTAATTTCTTCTTTTATTTGTTTGCCAATTTCCTGGCCACTCTCACCATGTCGCATCTGTTCCGAACACTTGGTGCTATGACCAAAACACTCATGGAGGCCATGGTTCCCGCAAATCTTATCTTGCTTGGTTTGGTCCTGTTTACTGGTTTCGTTATTCCTACTCGTAACATGCATTTGTGGTGCCGTTGGATTAATTATGTCGATCCCTTGGCCTATATCTACGAGTCCCTACTTACGAATGAGTTTTCGAACCGTTTATTCAAGTGTACAAGTTTGCTCCCTGAAGGTCCTGCGTATTCTGATGTCCCAATGAGCCAGCGTATTTGTACAGTTCCTGGTTCCAAGGTCGGCGAGATGGAGGTTCAAGGTAGTGACTATATTTGGCAATCGTTCCGTTATAAACAAACTCATCAATGGCGTAACATTGGTGTTACGTTTGGTTGGATGTTTTTCTTCTTGGGCACTTATCTCTTGGCAGTTTGGGTTAATCCTGGCGCCCGTACCAAGGGTGAGGTTTTGATCTTTCCCCGCCGCATTCTGAACAAGATGAAGAAACAATGGAAGGCTGCTGGCCACGAGGGTGCTCCTACTAAGCAACTGGTTGACGGTGATACTGGTTCTCAGGATGTTGCTTTGGCTGCCTCTGATGATATTTTCTGGTGGAAAGATGTTTGCTACGATATCAAGATCAAGGGCGAGCCTCGTCGTTTACTAAACCACGTTTCGGGTTGGGTGAAGCCAGGTACTTTGACTGCTCTCATGGGTGCTTCCGGTGCTGGTAAAACCACACTCCTTGATACCCTCGCCAATCGTGTCACCATGGGTGTAGTCACTGGTCATGTTTTCGTTAATGGTACACCACGTGATAACTCTTTCCAACGGTCGACCGGTTACGCCATGCAGCAAGATTTGCACTTGGAGACTTCTACTGTCCGTGAGTCGCTTGTTTTTGCTGCACTGATGCGCCAGCCTTGGAAAGATAGTTACGAGGAGAAGATTGCCTACGTTGATACAGTGCTGAAGGTTTTGGAGATGGAGACTTATGCTGATGCAGTTGTTGGTGTCCCAGGCAATGGTCTCAATGTTGAACAGCGTAAGCGTTTGACTATTGGAGTTGAGTTGGCTGCTAAACCTAAGCTGCTTTTGTTCTTGGATGAGCCGACATCCGGTTTGGACTCTCAGACAGCTTGGTCGGTTTGCCAACTGATGAAGAAGCTATCCAACGCAGGACAGGCCATTTTATGTACGATTCACCAGCCTTCTGCGCTGTTGTTGCAACAGTTTGATCGTCTTTTGTTCTTGGCTCGTGGTGGCCGCACTGTTTACTTTGGTCCAATTGGCGAGAACGCGGAGGAGCTTTGTGGCTACTTCGAAAAGTATGGCGCGGACCCTTGTCCTCCAGATGCCAATCCTGCTGAATGGATGTTGCATGTTATTGGTGCGGCTCCCGGATCCCACGCCAATCAGGACTACGCTGACGTCTGGCTGTGGTCTGAGGAGCGCCAGGCTATGCGTGACGAAATCAACGAGCTCATTCGCCGGTTTGATGCCAAACATGAAAATCGCAACCCTGACAAGGAAGCGCATCGAGAGTTTGCTGCGCCTTTGTGGTATCAGTTCTGGCGTATGCTGCATCGTCAGTGGCAGATGGAGTGGCGCCAGCCTATGTACCTGTGGTCCAAGTTTTGGCTGTCAGTTATCACGTGTCTTTTCAATGGTTTTGCATTCTTCAAGGCCGATAACACTATTCAGGGCATGCAGAATCTGATGTTTTCGGTCTTCATGTTCACAACTCTTCAAAATGCTCTTATTTACCAGTACCTACCCTCGTTTGTCGCCCAACGTGCACTGTACGAGACTCGCGAGCGTCCATCTAAGATTTTATCCTGGAAGGCGTTCGCACCGGCAGTTATCATTGCGGAAATTCCTTGGCAAATCATTGTGGGCACTTTTGCGTTCCTATGTTGGTACTACCCTGCAGGCTTATACAACAACGCCAACTTTACTGGGGCCATGACGGAGCGTGGAGGTATGACGTACTTCTACGTTATCCTCTATTACATTTTCTCGATCACGATGGGTCAAGTGTGTGTCGCTGGTATGGATGACGATGATACATCAGCCAATATTGCTATGTTGCTGTTCACGATCACACTGATGTTCTGTGGTGTACTATCCACCAAGGAGGACATGCCTGGATTCTGGGTGTTTATGTATCGCGTATCACCAATGACATACTGGATCGGTGGTATGCTCGCTCTCGCTATTGCTAACGCCCCTGTGAATTGTGCGGACTATGAGTTCGTTAGAGCGCCAGCTGTTAACGGAATGAACTGTGGAGAATACCTTGGTCTGTATGCAAAGATGGGAGGTGGCCGGGTTGTTAATCCCGCGTCCACCACCGAATGCAACTACTGCCCTATTGCCGATACGAACATTTATCTTGCCAGCCTGGATATTTACTACCATCAGAGATGGCGTAATCTTGGTCTTTTCATTGTTTATATCGTTGTTAACATGGTTGGTGCCGTTTTCATTTACTGGCTCGCTCGTGTGCCCAAATCGTCTTCTCGTGTCAAATTGGTCCCGCTTGAGCCTCTTGACCAGGATGAGCACCAGGACGAGGCTACCGCCGATGGTCATCCCGCACCCGAAATTGTCAAGACGCAGAAAGGTAAGAACGCGATTGAGATCCACCACGAGCTGCAAGCCAGGTTTGGTGCTGATAAAAAGCATGCTTATGGTGCTGACAGTACCTCTTCGCCTCTGGACAACACCAGCATCAGTGAATCTTCCATTTCCAGTGTATCCGACTAAACCTTATAATATAATTTCTCAAATTTCTTACTCAAATTAACCATCGGAATTAGCAAAAGATTCTGCATGAAAGCTCGACCGTCTCATGCACCCTAACCCGAGCACACTGCCTTAAAAACGCAGAAATCTTGGAGCTGCGGGCTTTCTAGTGATCAACCATGTCTTTGTTCACGAGTATCGACACCGGAATTGCTGATGTTTTCCCGAAGCGTGACCATCCCCTTCGTCCGCAGGATCCCACAAACGGTGAGCCGGTAGAAACGAACAAATTCTATGGCAACATGCTCTTGGACAAGCGCACACTTTATGCGTTCCCGCATCCATTCAGTGTGTGGTGGACGGCCATTGATGATTTCTATGGTCTTGGTATTTCGCACACAACCGCATCACAACGGGTGTTTGGCCCCAATCCCAACTCCAATCCCGCTAGCTACTACTACAACCCTGTTGGCATTATGTCGCTGTGCCTGAGCGCTAATCAGTTCAATCACACGTCTCCTGCTTTCAGTACCAGCCAATGGGGACCTCTGTCTGTTGTAGCTAAACTGAGTCTCGGTGATGGACAGGTACAGTTTCCTATATTGAATGGAATGGGATTCGTAACTGGCGTGTACTCCAAGCTGAAGCCTGTTGTATCCTCGCAGATTGGTATCCGCAGTGTCGACAATGCAGCTGTTATTCGTGCTGGTTTGACTCGTCAAAAGGTGGTTCTTGAGAACGGTGTGACCTGGTTGGTCTATACAACCTCGCCGTCAGGAGCCAGCGTGTCTTTTGGCAAGCGTGATCCCAATCATCTAGACGCGAGCAGCGATGAAGATGGGCTTGTGGTTCAGGTAACAACTATTGGTGATGACTCCTGGGTGTCTACTATCGACAGTGCAGCGGGTGCTTATGGCACTGGGGTGAAACTAACTGGCGAGGTCAATTCAGATCAGACTAAGGCAACCTATCGTTTCGAGTACGCGATGGCCGGCTCTTCGACTGGTGGTGGTACATTGATCTATGCCTTGCCTCATCATTACGAATCTTTTACCTCCACTATGAACAACAAAGTCACAAAGTACAAGTTGAGTTCTACTGTGCTTGGAGACATGACAATGTGCGTTGCCACCAGCCTCGAGATGTTCGAAGATCTACCCAAAGATGTTGGATTCCTTCCATGGAATGTGAGCAAACCAGCTGGAGACAACAACTTTGCTCACGGCAACTACAGTAGTGACGACCTCAAACTCATTGCCCAGAGTGCGACTAACGAAACCAACGGTGACATAAAGGCACTCACCAATCTTTCTTCAATGTATTTTAGTGGCAAAGCAATGGACAAGTTTGCTCTTATTCTGCTTGTGGTGAAGTACATTGTGAAAGATGACAACTTTGCCCGCAACTTGGTTGACAAGTTGAAGTCTGCCTTTGAGACGTTCACCAAAAACCAACAGCAGACGCCGCTTGCCTATGATCAGCTCTACCACGGCCTTGTTTCACAAGCGGGCTGGAGTGATCCAGGTCAAGATTTCGGTAACACCTACTATAATGACCACCACTTCCACTACGGGTACTTTGTTCATGCTGCTGCTGTGCTAGGAAAAGTCGATGCAGAGCTAGGTGGCAGTTGGGCCAAGGATAACAAGCAGTGGGTCAACTCTCTTGTTCGTGACGTTGCTAACTTTGGCGATGATAAGACGTTCCCTATTTCTCGCTCCTTTGACTGGTTCCAAGGTCATTCCCTTGCCAAGGGCCTGTTTGCCTCTGGTGATGGTAAGGATGAGGAGTCTTCCTCGGAGGACTATCACTTTTACTACGGAATGAAACTTTGGGCGCAGGTGATTGGTGATACATCTATGGAACGCCGTGCGGACCTTATTCTTGCCATCGAGAGGCGAGCCATGGGCCACTACATGCTTTTCTCGTCCAACAACACAACCGAGCCTGCTCAAATTTTGCCCAACCGTGTGTCCGGTATCAAATTTGAAAACAAGATCGACCACACTACGTACTTTGGCACCAATTTGGAGTATATCCAGGGTATCCACATGATTCCGCTGACTCCGATTTCGCCCTACGTGCGACAACCGCAGTTTGTGCGTGAGGAATGGGACGCCGTAATTGGTGGTCTCGTAGACAACGTCGACAGCGGCTGGAAGGGTATCTTGCAGCTCAACCGCGCCATCATTGATCCGACGGCGTCGTGGTCATTCTTTTCTCAGGCCAATTTCCAGAATAAATGGTTGGATGATGGCCTCTCGAGAACCTGGGCTCTTGCGTTTTCCAAGGGCTTATTGTAAATAGTAGACAATGAGAAGCTGGTGAAGCTATTATATTTATATAGATAGATAGATAATATTAAGGCCTGTTGGGGGCTTCTTACCCATAAAGCTCCTGCCACTGAAGCAAATTTCTAGTCAGAGCTTCGAGGGACTGGATATTAGTTTTGTGTTGTATGCAAAGCGTTTCCATGGCATCGGCAGTGCTCTTGGCTCCGCGGCTTCGCTGATCATTTACAAAGGCGTCACGGGCCTCAGCTTCTTTCAGCATTTCGATCTGGGTACGTCCACTGAACTCAATGATCGCTTGAACCCGTTTGCGCATATCGGCCAGCGTTGAGCGCGGAGGGGGGATTCGTGGTTTGCACTTTTTAGATAGTTGGATGGGCGAAGGGACCGCGGCCTTTTTCGCTGGCGGGCCGCGTCGTTTTCCGGGGCCCTTTGGCTCCTGCTTTCTTTTCTTTCGCAGAGGCTCGGGTGATTCAGCCTCTTTAGTTTCCTCAGGCGAGGCTTCTCGCTTACTGCCGGCTTCTTCCTCTTTTGGCTCGGCCTCGGTCTCGGCTTTGGCCTCGGCTTCTCCCTCGTCCTCAACATCCTCGTCTTCAGCGTCACCATCGTCCTCGGAATCGGCGGGTGCCTCTTCTTCTCCATCGTCGGAAACATGGATTTGAGACTCGTTGCCTTCATCATCGTCTGATTCGGCCTTTTCAGCACCGCGGTGTGTCTTTCCCGATCCCCGCATTCGCTCAGCCTCCAGGGCCTCCTGAGCTGACTGCTCCAGCACGCGCTGTAGAATCACATCCTCGCGTGAATTGAGGGTACGGCGGCGTCTCTCGTCTGCAGAAGATCGTCGTTCCTTCTCATTCCCAATCTCAGGCTCGGAATCGGAAGCCGAGGAGGACCTCCGCATCCTCCCTTGTTTACGCTCGTAAGGTATATACCGCGAAGTACGACCATTAGGACGCACGACAATGATGTGGAGCTCAGGTTTGCATTTTTCACAGTAGTACACTTCGGGCACTTCGCTGGCTCTCGAAAACCCTACGCAGTACCCGTGCTGCCAAACGTGGCACTTGTCACACTGGATAAACAGGCCGGGATCCGCACCGCTTCTTTTGGCTGCCGCACTGAAGTGCAGGTCCTCGTTGCCGCATACACACCTCGTTACTTCGCCTTCGTCGTTGTCTTGTTTCCGCTTCCTGACCATTAATAAACGATGGAAAAAAGCCGCTGACTGAGCGCGCTTTATGGCACCCGTAGTGATCTAACTAACTGATGCTAAAAACGTGTCTATGGACCATGCTTTATCTTGAGGGCCGTAGGGAACAAGCGGTAGATTATAGATTAGAGGGATATCGCCGTGTTTTCGCAGCACCCCGCATTCCCAAGACTGAATGTAGATAGTGCCCTTTTTAGGGTTTTCAGACCCCCATGCCTGAGTGCTAAGGTTTGCCGACGTCAATAAGAAATATTGGGCTTGGTTGTCGGTTATTCCTGTGTACGTTTTGATGTGTGGGGCTGCCCGGTCTCGCGCATGCCTGAGGTTCTTCCACTGTCGGAGGTGAGGAGCCAAACGGTCGTACTGGTTGTCGTGGGCGGTCGTTTTGCGTTTGAGGTGAATTGATCCGCCACTTTGCCAGCCGTTCAGGGACTCTTGGATGTTTTGCATAGTGGGGTAAACAACTGCCAGTTCAGACAGTGGGCAATTGAGACAGGAGGCCAGTTTTGGCAAAAATTGCTGAGGCAGCGTTGCAATTGAAGAGATTTGACAGATGGACTCTTCCACATGAAGCTCAGCGAGCTCTTGCTTGAGCCTTCTCAACCCCCACCATGGTTTCAGGTGCTGACCGGGGACCGACGCAACCAGAGTATCATGTATGCCAGAAAAATTGTAATTTGTGAATGATTCTGCCAGTTTTGTTACAGCAGGGATGTTATAGGCCATAAGATAGCGAGTGAAGTCGCCTCTGAATCGTGAATGCGGGGTTGGTACGTCCTGGCGCTCAAGAAGCGGCGAGATCCACACCCCCTGGGTCATGTTTGCCCAGTCAAACTCAATCATATTTGCTGTATGTATGACAATTTGCAGGCGGGATGCCCCCACAAAGATCATAATTTTTGAGTGGTGTGTCGCGTACTGGTTTATCAAACGCACACCATGCAGATGCAAACGTATCTTGGAAGCATGCCTGGCACACTCTCGTTTGCCTGCTTCCAAGTCTTTCCCCTCTTGATTGGCACTAGCCTTGTATCCATATATCACATGCATATCAATGTCTGCGCTTGGGGGAAAATGGCTCACCACCCACGGCAAATCGTACATATAATTGAACATGTAGATAGTGTGCCAGGCTGTATTTGCCAGGAGATCGGCTAGCCCGACAGTATAGACCGAATAGCCATCCAAAGCTTCGATTTTCGTCAGCTTAAATGACATGCGATGCCACTCGACGCGCCCTGCAGTTTAGTAAACCTCTTCCACCCACAGCAAACCACCTCTTCTAACATGCAGGACCTTTTGAAATTATATGCTACCGGAACCCCAGCAATCGCTACAGGAGGCTTTTTGTTGGGTGGTCTTCCCCGCAAGGCACCCGCGCCGGGCATCCCTCTGCGGCCTTCGCGGCTGTCGTGTGCCGGCTTTGGCGGGGCCCATCTTTTGGGGGCCCTGATGATATATGACGGTGACGTCAAGAATGGCGCGGGCTTCTTGGCCGTCTGGGGATGGCTTTACGGACTGGCACACGCGGGCTCCTTCTTTAAACAACCAGGACTTTACGGTAAATCTGCCTCTTTGTTAGCAACTATGTCTGCAGCTGGCTACACTCTTCTGTTTCTTTACGCTCCGCCCACCAAGCCTATCGAGGTGCCCCAGACCGTGCCTGAGTAGTCAATGCATACTAGTAACAAAATTCAACGTACTTTTATTCCGTGAATGGCCCAGATTGGCATTTCGCCCAGACCCACTAAACTCGGAAATGCCCCAGACGGATTTGTCATGAAAACTGTCGATTTCAGCGACAGTGAAGATTCGGATGCTTTGCCCAAACAAAGATCGAGTGTCGCCTATGAGGAGATATTGAGACAGAGAAGGCGGCTGCCGATGTATAAGGGTCGAAAGGCAGTGACTGAGGCCGTGCTGGCCAGTCAAGTGACGGTTATCATTGGTGAGACCGGTTCGGGTAAATCAACGCAGCTGCCCCAGCTGTTGCTTGACGTAGACCCCAAACAGCGAATTGCTGTTACACAACCACGAAGAGTCGCTGCCATGAGCCTGGCCACCCGAGTTGCCGCCGAAATGCAGACAGGACTGGGGGAAAGAGTCGGGTACCAAGTGCGTTTTCAAGCCAAGCTTGGGCTCCAAACTGTTCTCAGATACGTCACGGACGGTATGCTCTTGCGTGAGATCATGATCGATCCGAATTTGAGACGCTACACTACGATTATTATTGACGAAGCCCACGAACGCACCGTAACGACTGATTTGTTGTTGGGGCTCTTGAAACAGATCCTGGCCAACCGGCCTCAGCTTAGGGTGGTTGTAATGTCTGCCACGCTAGATGCAGAAACTTTCTCAGAGTTTTTTGGCGGCGCCCGCATCCTTTATGTTGAAGGTAAAACTTATCCGGTTGAGCGCTTTTATCTCAAGGCCGAAGAATCGAATTTAGTCGAAGCAACTGTCAAGGCAGTTGAACAGGTCAATTCCACACAGCCGACGGGTGATGTACTTGTATTTCTTTCTGGCCAAGATGAGATTGAGGCCACTGCGGAGCAGCTTCACTCGCGGGCGCCCAATCGGCCCAATAATGTGCCCAAGATCTGGGCTGTACCCCTATACGCCGCTTTGCCCGAGCGTGCTCAGCAGAAAGCATTCGCAGAAACACCCGCTCGCACCCGTAAGGTTGTTTTGGCTACGAATATTGCCGAGACGTCTTTGACAATCCCCGGCATTCGATATGTCATTGATGGCGGACGCCGCAAGGTGCGGGTCTACCGATCAAAGCTAGGGCTGGACAGTTTACTACCGGTTTCTATTTCGCAAGCATCAGCAGCGCAGCGAATGGGCCGAGCTGGGCGTGAGGCTCCGGGCAAGTGCTTTAGGTTATATCTCGAGTCAGACTACATGAAAATGGCCCCCCACACAGAACCTGAGATTGCATTGTGTCCTGTTTCAGGGCCTGTTTTGACTTTGAAAAATGCAGGCGTTGATAACGTGTATGAGTTTCCGTGGATTCAAACGCCCAACCAGCGGTCCGTGGCCAATGCTTTGCTACAGCTATACGCGCTGGGCGCCCTTGATTCAGCCGGTAAAATCACCAAGTTCGGCAGCAAGATGTCTGTTTTACCCGTGGATCCAGCGCTTGCTGCCGTGCTTGTCCATGCTGTTGATCAGGAAGTGCATGTACGTGACGCCGTAATTGACATTGCTGCATGTCTAAATGTTCCAGACCTGCTGCTGACACCGCCTGTAGCCAAGCAAGGAGAGGTTGCGGAAGCCAGAGCAGAATTATTTCCTGCTGCAGCCCAATATGGCGATTTAATTTTGGTGAAACAAATATACGATGCCTACGAGTCTCTAGTAGCATCCGGTGCAGGCCGCCGCGATGTTCGCGATTGGTGTGCTCGTATCGCCGTCTCGCCGCGTGCCATGCAGTCGGTCAACCAAATCCGGGCGCAGTTGCGAAGATACTTACGCCTTACTCGCGAGCGCGATCAAGCGGACGAGGACACGATTGACTACGAGTTAATCATTAAGAGCTTCCTGCGAGGCTACCCCACCAACACTGCCGTGGGCCTGGCAGACCGCCGTTATCAATCTACAGTGAACAATCAGCCTATCAACATTCACCCTAGCAGCTCGCTTTTTGGACGTCGCTCAGCGGCAATTATGTACTTGGAGTATGTCTTTACCACTAAGGCCTACGCCCGAGTAGTCTCCCCGGTCGAGCTCGACTGGCTGAGAGAGGTTGCCCCTAATCTACTAGGTAGCAAATAGCTTCTATCACCCTAGTCTGCACTGGTATTGCATTTTCCCCGGCTAGCGGTTCGCCTTGAGCAGGATTTACGTCACACGCATGAAACATGCCACCCCAGCGCAATGCACTAAGTTGCGCAGTCTGCTTGCATACTGGGGCGGGTTTCCCAAAAGTTTACCGTTTCGCCTGTTCCTTGTTGAGAGAGCGCCTGCTCTACCCTCGCAACCCAACCCTAGCCTCGGATAGATTAGAGGTTACCCTGACCTTCACCGAACCGGGTCATGATTGTATGAGAGTCATATTATTTTGCGCCTGGTGGATCCGCGATAAGCAAGGTATTCAAGGCCACCAGACTCGTGGTATCGACAATAATCGTTGAGCTGTGGAAACCATTTTATCTCGTACCAATGGCTTGGCATTCTTGCTTTCCATACTGCCAGACTTTTTTTTTTCTTTTTTCCTCTACCGGTGCCGCCGAGCATGCAGATGGGTCTCAGGAATGCTACAGCAGGGGTTAGGGGCATCCACGGGTGAGGGCGATTGACATGCCGAATGCGGGAGCGAGCCCAAATGCTCGGGATGGCAAAAAAGTGTGTGCCCACCGATTAAAACCCGCTTCGCCGTCTGAAACAGGCTCGCACCTCGCGCACGGTGCCGAAAACCCAACAAAAGGTTGGGTCTGCTTAGTCAGAGCGATGCAGCAGGTTTCCAAGGATATCTTTATGCGCATGCACGCAATCAAAGTGGGTGTCCCAGAAGCAAAGGCCCTGCAGGGCCGCGCCCTGTGAAATTGCGAGTCGCATGGGGGCACGAGGGTTGTCTCCATGGTATTCTTGGCGGTTGTAGTTACTTTTTGAATGCCCTGCAGAATGATAATCGCCCCAACTATAATTAGATAAAACGACGAGCCCCACTTTGTTCGGGAAATAAACTCGATCTGCTAATGGTTAACTACCTCAATTAGACACCTGCTCAGCCGGGTCCAGGACGACTTGCTCACGCTCTCACCACCATGGCGTCAGCATGCAGCCTGTCGCGGGTGAGGGTAGAGTCAGGCTTGCGTTAGTCATATGCATGCTGCGACCCTTACCGCAAGCGCATCGTAGTAGATCTGTCATACAGGAAAAGAAACTCCGACTCCCTACCCTTACCCACATGATTGTGGAGTAGTGTTGTCCTAGGCTGCTGACGGTACATTTTCGTTATTGTATCCCTTCAGGACTCGCCATCGCTGAAGCAATCGATAAATCTTGAGTGCACCGCAGCACAACGGACTTGAATTATTCTGGTATATCTGACATATACCGCACAGATTGAAACGAGCGAGTTTTATCCACCGTCCTTCATTCAGTAACGAACCGCCCCTATTGTCCGGTTGCGGATTCGTTTCATTTGGTTAGTCTTCCACTGGCTCTTGGATTCGCCGCCCTTCGCCTCTTTTGAACTCTTGAAACTCAGAAAACACCACGGTTTCTCTTTGCAGTGCTCAGGACCTTTTCGATTAAGCAAAATTCCCAGTCTTGATCAAACCCACCTCTATGGCCTCAGCTCCCCATCCTCAACAACCGTATGGGGTCTCGCAGCATGCAATGAACTCGCAAAATGGAATGTCTAATGGAATGCACAACCCCGTCCCTGGCGCCTCTGTGGCGGGACACCCTAGTGCGATGCCCGCCCAGATGGCCGGTGGGATGCCCGAGGGCCAACAAATGCACATTTCTCCTGCCCAGCAGGCGGCGATGATTCAACAAATGCATCAGCCGATGATGGTTCAAATGCCCGCCGCTATGATTGGAGAGCAAATGGGCTCTCAGGGCCCTTATATGAAGAACCCGATGTACGTTATCGATCAGAACGTCTATGCTCAGATGATGCCTCAGATGCACCCCCAACATGTTCAAATGATGCAGCAAGCTAGTCAACAGCGTGCTGCTGGTATTCCAGGTCATCAGCAAACTCCGCAGCCTTCTCCTATGATCGGTACTCCTGGCATGGACCAGGGCCAAGTTGGCATGCAGCAAGTTCCTCAACAGATACCACAGCAAGTTCAGCAACAAATGGGGCATCAGATGGCCCACCCCCAGTCGGCACATCAAACTCCCATGATGCAGACCCCTGTTTTACAACACCAAATACTAGATCACCACCAGCAACAGCTTCAGGCTCAAGCTCAAGCCCACGCACATGCACAAGCTCAGGCTCAAGCCCAAGCCCAAGCCCAAGCACAAGCCCAAGCACAAGCACAAGCCCAAGCACAAGCCCAGGCACAAGCCCAGGCACAAGCCCAAGCACAGGCCCAGGCCCAAGCACAAGCCCAAGCTGCCCAAGCACAAGCCCAGGCACAAGCCCAGGCCCAAGCACAAGCACAAGCACAAGCACAAGCACAAGCACAAGCCCAAGCTCAGGCCCAAGCACAAGCCCAAGCCCAAGCCCAAGCACAAGCTCAGGCCCAGGCCCAAGCCCAGGCTCAGGCCCAAGCTCAAGCTGCACAAGCTCAAGCGGCTCAGGCTCAAGCTTTACAACACCACCAACAGCAGCAACAACAACAACAGCAGCAGCAGCAACAGCAACAGCAGCGACAGCAACAACAGCAACAGCAGCAACAGCAACCGCAGCAGCAAGCTCTGCCTTCTCAAGTTCACCAGATTAAACCTCAGGTTCACCCCCCTCGAAGTCAACAACACTCCCCTGCGCAGAAGCCCCGTCAGGTAGCTGAAGTGCGACGTCAGTCACAGCAGTATTCCACTCCAAACAGACCATCGTCTACTAATCAGGTCGAGTCGTCGGCGCAGGCGTCGGGTACTCGTAGGTCCTCTGAGGTCGAAGGGGTTTCGAAACAAGTCGAGAAAATGACAGCAGAAACTTGGGAGGCTCTTGGCCACCTTGCTGAAAATGTCGGTGAGTATGAAAAGGCAATCGAATGCTACGAAATGTCCCTCAAATATCAGCCAGTCACTCCAGAACTCTTAAACGCTCTGGGCGGCTGTTACCGTCAATGTGAACTCTATCCGAAAGCCATTGAATGCTTTCAGTCACTTCTCCAACTGAAAGGCAACTCTGGTGAAGTTTGGGCTGCTTTAGGACACTGCTATCTTATGGCCGACGAGCTCGGCAAAAGCTTTAGTGCCTATCAACAGGCACTGTACAATCGCGATATCAAAGACCCAAAGCTTTGGTATGGAATTGGAATTTTATATGACAGGTATGGCTCGTTGGAGTACGCCGAAGAAGCGTTTGCTCAGGTGTTTGAGATTGATCCAAATTTTGAAAAGGCCCATGAAGTCTATTTCAGATTGGGTATTATATACAAACAACAGAGCCGTTATGAGCAAGCACTTCAGTGCTTCCGTTATATCCTCAACACTCCGCCTGCTCCTCTGACTACCCCGGATTTGTGGTTCCAAATTGGACATGTTTACGAACAGCAGGGAAGTATCGACAAGGCGTTTGAAGCATACGAACGTGTTCTCGCCGAATCGCCAAACCATGCCAGCGTGCTTCAACAGCTTGGTTGGCTGGCTCATAAGAACAAAGATTATGACGCTGCTATCAGCTATTTGACTAGAAGCCTGGAATCAAGCCCATCCGCTCAGAGTTGGTATTTGCTCGGCCGTTGTTACATGAGCCAGCAGTCTTTCTCCAAGGCTTATGAAGCTTACCAACAAGCTGTCTATCGTGATGATCGCAATCCCACTTTCTGGTGCTCTATTGGTGTTTTGTATTATCAGATCAACCAGTACCGTGACGCTTTAGATGCATATTCTAGAGCTCTTGGCTTAAATCCCTATATCAGTGAGGCGTGGTATGATTTGGGAACCCTTTATGAGAGTTGCAACGGCCAGCTATCAGACGCGTTATATGCATACCAAAGAGCCTCCTGGCTTGATCCTTCCAACTGTCAAATTCAAAGTCGTTTGGAACATTTGCAGGCTCAAATGGGTGGTGCAGAGGTTCCATCTGGTCCACTTCCTGCTCCCCTGGGCCCTCAAGGTATCTATGCGGCCACATTTGCCGATCAGACCATGCCAGTAGGTTCAAATCTTCCTCCTCCACTTTCAGGACAGGTTTCAGGCACTCAAAATTCTGGCCAAGCGCAAACTGCTTTACCTCAGCCTCCTCAGCTTCAGGCACAGGCTGCTATTCAGGCTCAGGCTCAGGCGCAGGCTCAAGTTCTAGCCCAGGCACAGGCTCAGCCGCCATCTCAGGCACAAGCTCAAGTTCATCCACAGCAAGCTCAGGGGCAGCAGGCTCAGTCACAGCAGGCTCAGGATGCTCAGGCTCAGGATGCTCAGGCACAGCAGGCTCAGGCCCAGCAGGCTCAGGCCCAGCAGGCTCAGGTCCAGCAGGCTCAGGCCCAGCAGGCTCAGGCCCAGCAGGCTCAGGTCCAGCAGGCTCAGGTCCAGCAGGCTCAGGCTCAGCAGGCTCAGGCTCAGCAGGCGCAGGCGCAACAGGCTCAGGCGCAACAGGCTCAGGCGCAACAGGCTCAGGCGCAACAGGCTCAGATGCAACAGGCTCAGATGCAACAGGCTCAGATGCAACAGGCTCAGATGCAACAGGCTCAGGTGCAACAGGCTCAGGTACAGCAGACCCAGGCACAACAAGCCCAGGCCCAGCAGGCCCAGGAGGCCCACGATCAATATCATGCACCTGTCCAAGCACCTGTCCAAGTTCAACCTCCACAACCCATAGAGAACAAGGGGGCTCAAACATCAGCTGCTAAAGTCACTCAACAACCTATCACGCCCAAGATTGAGGATTCAGCAGCCGAGTCCAGCTCTTCGGCGAACCCTGAGGTTAAAGAACCGAAAGCATTACATGCTGAGAATCATCCGGGGCTCGCACAGCACGCGATCGTTTCATCGGAAAGCCCATCTTCAGAAACAGCACCTGACGCAAAACCGAGCCAGCAGGCTGTTGCATCTTCTGTGGAACAGAGCCCAGCGATTGCCGCCAAGACTGGGTTGGAGGGGTCGAAATCACCGGTGCCGGCGCCAGTGAGCAAGCCTACTCCTCAACCAGAGACCAGTGGCTCTAGTAGCAGTAACTCTGGCGGTGTACCGCAATCGGCCAGCGAGGCGAGCCCTGCTGTAGGGCCCGAAGAGTCTGTCAAAGAAGAGGTTGTCTCTGAAAGTTCCGGGAAACGACATAGTGAATTCGATGAGCCCGAGCCCAAAAGGGTATTTGTCGAGCCCAATTCAAATGGAACGCCTTTGAATAGCGGAACTCCAGTTGAGCCAGAGGTTCGTCCCGTGCAGGAAGACACAGACTATGACTGATTTCTTTTGTTTGATAAGTGCTTCGAAAATCTTAATACTATAGCATCAACTCTGTAGCAGAGTTAAAATATATCCCAGTTGTTAAATCCAGATTGCCAAGCATGCCATAGCATAGCAGCCGGCAGTGATAGAGCCGTAGGCTACCAGGACATCTTTGAGAGGTGCTGTGGGCAGGTCATGCGCATTGACAAGCTCATTACCCAACAACTCCACCAGCCCTGTGTAGAGCAAGATACCAGAGGACAAGCTATCGCAGATACCGGTTACGATCAATGCGGTCGGGGAATCTTCGTCGTACTGTTCTGACAGTGCGATTCCGATCAGAATTCCAACAGGGGTTGTGACGGCATAAAGAATGGCGAGGAGTTTTGGGACCCACGCTTTTGACTGGGGCCATTCAATTGAGGAGAGGCGGGCACCCAGGCCTAAACCCTCGAAAGTTTGATGGAATACGATTGCTAGGGCCAGTGCTCCACCTTTTTCAGTGGCGCCCAAACTCAAGCCAATAAATAACGAATGTAACACGATACCGATCTCTAGAACCAACAGACCAGAGATTTGAGTAGCGATTGAAATGTCAGGAACGATCTCGCTATCGAGTTTGGAGGGTGTTTCAATTGTGAGGGCCTGCCCATGTGAGTGAGAAATGCCCTTTTTGTACAAGTGACGCTGGCTAAAGATATCGCCGAGCACCGTCAAGAATAAGCCCACTAAACATAATGCAAATGCCCAGGGGTAGTTTTGCCAGCCTTCGGGTAAGATTTCTTCGGTAAGTGCGTCGTTTGCTGGCTCAAGTAGATGGAGGATGGCCGTTGAGATGATCACGCCGGTACCGAAGTGGCGCAGGACATAGAGCGACCTCGAGGAGAACGAAGAGACCACCGGGTAGATACAGGCCGCCAAGCTAGTTATGAAAATAACGGCTAAATAAATCAACTTCACAAACATGCTTCTATTACCAGGTCCTGCAAAACATTTATATAAATCTGGGACTGAGAACCTTACCGGACAGGAAGCTTCCCGAAGTGGCAAGAACTAATGGCTTTGCCCTCAATCCAGAAACTGATTCAAGATTATTATATATGTGAATTGAAATTTTTTGATGCCAGATTGTAACCCCAAGCAAAATAGGGGGGCCTGAGGTAGCGCCGATATGATACATCCGGGTAACCATTAGTCAAAAGGCATGGGATGTGTGGTAAGTTGACGCGTTGACATGACCTCAATCGAGCCGAAAAACTATGTTGGTTTTGATACCATCACGCGCCAAATTGAACGGCGCCTTCTAAAACGTGGATTCCAGCTTAACCTGATGGTAGTTGGACAGAGCGGTCTTGGCAAGTCGACGCTCATCAACACTCTATTTGCGTCGCAGATTGCGCATTCGCACGGGCGCAAAAGCGCGGACGAGCCGGTCGAGCGCACGCCTGAGATCCAGTCGGTGACGCATACTATAGTCGAGAACGACGTACGGTTGCAACTTACTGTTATCGACACCCCCGGGTACGGCGACCAGATGAACAACGACAAGTGCTGGGAGCCGATAGTCAAGTACATCAAGGACCAGCACTCGCTTTATTTGCGCAAAGAGCTGACAGCTCAGCGTGACAAGTATTTGAATGACACGCGTGTGCACTGTGTATTGTTCTTCATCCAGCCCAACGGTCACGGTCTCAAGCCGCTTGATGTGGTTGTGCTGAAAAAGCTCAGCGAGATTGCCAACGTTGTGCCAGTTATTGCCAAGTCTGATACTATGACTTTGGCGGAGCGTGAGAGTTTCAAAGCCAAGCTCCAGGCTGAGTTTGCCCAGTACAAGCTCCGTCTCTACCCCTATGCCAGTGATGAGTACGATGTCGAGGAGCGCGAGTACACGGAGACCATTCGCAACATGATTCCATTTGCGGTTGTTGGGTCTTCGGAAACCGCGACTATCGACGGCAAGGAGGTTCCTGTTCGTCACCACCGCTGGGGAACGGTCAACGTAGAGAACACCATGCACTGCGAGTTTGTGCATCTTCGCTCGTTCCTGATAACCACCCACCTGCAGGATCTCATCGACACCACTGCTCACACTCACTACGAGAGCTTCCGGTCCAAGCAACTACTTGCTCTTAAGGAAAATTCTGCTCCTCGCAAGCGTGTCGAGTCTAAATAAAGGCGATTCATCTAATTTATATATAGTGCTCTCAAGGTGTTCCAAAAAGTCTGTTCCGAAATAGTCTCACGTTAGCTAATCCGGCTCGAATAGGCATGTAAGGAATAGAGCGGCTCACATGGTGCGCTCTAAGCTGCTCGCCGAGTGCTCGCGGCTCCGCGCTTGAGCAGGGCACGTTCGAGCCGGTCGGCCGGGGGCCATAAATAAAGTTTAAACGGGAGAGCGCCGCGCATAGGTCGGCCTTACTGGGTGCTTATTGTTTGGGCTTCTGCAACCCAACCATGCAACCTGCTGCAGGCTCTGGGACCAAAACATTATTGAGCAAGCCGATACTTGGTCGTTTTCACCTCACTGCACAGCTAAATTTGAGGCAATGACGAGATCGTCTTGCTACACCACGCTTGTATATACGGCCGAGTACGTTCTGGGAGCAATGGCCCTGGGACACCGGCTGGCCAAGCTAGACGAACGCCCCAGAGTCGCACTTGTTACTCCTCAACTCAGCCATGAGGTCCGCGACCAATTAAGCACCATTTGGCGGCTCCACGAGGTTCCTGCGTTGACCACAGGCAGCAGTGAGGAGCTGACGCTTTTAGGCCGTCCAGAATTGGACGTGAGCGTCACCAAGATCTATGCTTGGACATTGCCCTATGATCAGGTTGTCTACCTGGATGCCGATACCCTTCCCCTAAAACCACTCAGCGACCTAGATGCGGAAATCGACCTAGGCTCAATTGCGGCTGCACCAGACGTCGGTTGGCCCGATATCTTTAATAGCGGTGTATTTGCCTGCCGCCCAGACACAGCCACGTTCGAGGGCCTCAAGGATCTGATCAAAACATCGACTTCGTTCGACGGCAGCGACCAGGGCCTGCTGAACGAGTTCTTTGCACAAGCTTGGAACAGACTGCCCTTTGTGTACAATGTGACTTTATCGGCCTCATACCAATACGAGCCTGCGTATCGGAGGTTCAAAAGCGACATTCGCGTGCTGCACTTTATTGGCAAGAACAAGCCCTGGAAGCCGGCCAGTCTTCAAGCTGACTCGGTGGCTGCCAATGAAATGATGTACTTGTGGAAAAAGGCTGCCATTGAAGCTGGTCTGTTCAAACACGATCTGCCTCCTGAAGCAGAGAGATCAACCATTGACTACGATCCCAAACGAATTATCCACCCCGACCCCCAGAGATGGGAAGGCGATCGGTTTGCTCCTATGCGTGGAGGTAAGCCTGAGGGTCGCCCATTTGCCCGGCCTGCAACTCCGGCTCCTGGGTCACCGATAATCAGCGACGAGGCGGAGTCTGACGAGGCTGAAGAGCCCGAGGCGTCCGATCAGGAGACCACCCCCGTTGTCTACGAAGAGAATGCATATGTTTTCCCGGTGTTTGGGCCCGAGGTTATCAAGCTGCCCTTTGAGCATCGCAGGAGAAAACCTGAGCGCGTGTTTTATTAGCAATAAATAATCAACATATCAGATATTTACTGGCACTGCCGTCGGCAGGATCGACGGAGAGAGCGGGGGTGCCGGCTCCTGTGCGGGCTGATCGGGCCCTACTGGGTCTGTCGGGTGATGCAAGCTGTAGCTGATGGTTCGCGGGAGGTCCCAAGTATAAATAACTGCCGTGCCGTTCATGACTTTTGCCACAGACAGGGCCGTTTGCTGGAGCAGCGAGGTAGCCTCTGTGTCGGGGGTTCCCAGGTCAATTGAATCGGGAGCGTGTGATGGAATAGGGAAATTAATGGCATAGAGCAGTAACTGAATCGAGAACACGATAGTGTCCCAGATCAACAGCCACACCCGGTTGACGGGCAGGACTCCGATGAACTCGACCATGACAATACCATGTAACCGGCCGTCGAAGCCCGGCTGCGGCAATTTGAACAGCACATGGGATACGAGGGAGGCCAGGTAGCTCAAAACAAACATGAGCAACACTGTGCGGCGGTTAGCTGGCGCAGCGGATCCTCGTAGTTCGTCGTACTGCGGAGACAGGCCGGAGTACTGCAGCAGCAAGTTGTACACGAGCCGGAATATTGAGAGGTCGTGCAGGTAGATCTGCAGTATCTGTACAATGCAAACCAGATTCAGGACATTGGCCATATGCTTTCGAAGCCTTGAATTTACCGCCTCTTCGACAATGTCCATTTAGTCAGCACACGACGGTTGGCGAGACAGGTGGGAGGAGGACACTAGAAACTACAATTACGAAACGGCTTTTGACGCTGCAGCCGCCAGGGACTCGTCGGCCAAAAATTCTGCAGAAGAGTAGCGGTCGCACGATTTCAAGGCACGCAGCAGGGCGGCACCGTGGGTTCCGCCACGCGCGGCGATTAAGTCGTGGTAGTAGTCAATCACCTCCGGATCAATGCCAATCCCGCGGTGGGCGGCCACGAGCTCCTGGGGCTCGATGGAGAAGGCAAAGTCGTCCGCCTCGGGACGCTTCTGTCGCAGTAATGACTGAATGGTTGCATAAGCGATTGGCCGGCCCGGCGGGGTCCAATTGGACGGCTTTGGCGGTGCAGGTGCTTCTGAAAACGCCGGCAACGAGTCTATGGCGACTACGGGGACCGGCTGGAGCATGGCGTGCAGCTCCTTGTTGTCGGGATCAAGTGCCCGCAGCTGGACCAGGGTCTCGCCCACGGGCTGCCCCAGCGCCTGCAGGCATTTGGCTTTACGCCAATAAACCTTGACTTTAACCTGAGGGGCCAGCGACTTGGTTACGGCAGCCTCGCAGTCGCTCAGCCCTGCCGACCAGCGGCCTAAATGGATCCAGCACGCGGCTCTGTTTGCCAGGCATACCCCGAAATCCGGATCCACCGCCAGCGCCCGTGTGAACAATTCCGCTGCCGCCTCCCAATTGCCTGCTGCGTACTCCTTATTCCCCTTTTCTTTAAATTCCATATCCAGTAGCCTACAATCAGCAGTGGTGCACAGAGCTGCTGCTTACCAAACCAGCCCAACTTTTTTGGAAGCGAAAAAAAATTGGTAAAAAAAATTATCGATTAGTAGGACGGTTTGGGTGGATTTTCGATTTGTAATTGACGCGTGATGCAGCGCCAACCTGGAGACCACCGGTTAAGCTACCTCTCGGATCGATACTCGTATTACCCTAACGGTGCACAAGGCAGTCCAACCTCAAACGGCCAACCGGCTGGTGCGGCTACAGGCCAGCCTGCGGCCGCGCCGCCGGCATACAGGTCACCCGGCGGTGCAGTCCGTCCCCCACCGCCGACTGGCCAGCCCGCCGCCCCTGGGTCGTACCACGGGTACATGCCGCAGGCCTATCAGTACCAGGGATCTCAACCTGCTGCTCAACCTGCTGCACAGGGTTATTCTGCTCGCACCGGCTATGGAGGTTACAACCAGCAGGCCGCTCCTGTGAACTCTCAGCAACCGGCCGCCATGTACGGCTACGGGAACGCATATGGCGGCCAGCCCGCGGCGGCGCAAATGGGATACGGGTATGGCTACCCTGCTGGACAGCCGGCTGCCGCACAAATGGGCTTCGGATACGGCCAACCTGCTGCAGCGGACCCGATGGCTGGCCCCTCGGCGAACGGTCAAGCGAACGAAGAGCGAATCGTCATGGCTCTGCAGAATATGTTCCCCACTGCTAGTGTTGCCACGTTGCGTACTGCTGTCAGGGTCCATCGCACGTTCCAGGGCGCGGCTGATTGGCTTCACTCTATGAAGCGCCAGGGCATGATGGACACTGCAGGCACGACGAAGCGCGAGGTCGAGCGTACTGGTATGTCGATCCGCGAAAAGTTCGCCCGTCCACAGGTCCCGGTTATGGGACCTGGTGTAGGAACGCCACCTCCGTCTTTCCAGCCCAAGAAAAAGCTGACCCGAAAGTTTGACGACGACTTCTCCGGCTCTGACGACTCAGACGGCGAAGAGGTCTACGACCAGCGCGGCCAGTACGAGTTCGAGCTGCGTGTCTTGCAGTTCTTGAATACTGCTCCTCAAGAATCTATCATTGATGTCACGGGCTGTACCGAGGATATGGCCGACGTGCTTATCAAAAAGCGTCCTTATCAAACTCTTGCCCAGGCGTCCAAGGTTGATGTCCCGAATCCTAATGCTCCTACCGATGGCAAACGACGACGTGGTGCTGTCAAAAAGAGCGCTGGTTCCAAAATCGTTGACGCCAGCTTGTCCACTTTGCGTGGTTATGAGGCTGTTGATTCGCTGATTCAAGAATGCGCCAAGCTCGGCAAAGATGTCCAAAGAGGTATTCGTGCGTGGGGCGTTGACATCAAAGGCCAAAACGAGTCAGAGCTTGAGATCACAGATGTCGAGGGCGCCGGCGGGTTCTTCAAAGAAAAGCCCGCATTGCTCGCCCCCGACGTTGAGCTCAAAAACTATCAGCAGGTTGGTATCAATTGGCTGCAATTGCTGTACCAGCGCGGACTCTCTTGTATTTTAGCCGACGAAATGGGTCTTGGTAAAACCTGTCAAGTCATTTCTTTCTTGGCCCACATTAAACAGAACGGTCAGCGGGGACCTCACTTGGTTGTGTGCCCTTCGTCTACTCTTGAAAATTGGCTCCGGGAGCTCAACCGTTTCTGCCCTGCTTTAACAGTTGAGCCTTACTACGGTTCTCAGAGCGAGCGTATGGAAATTCGAGAAGCTATTTTGTCGTCTGGTTCCAACTTTGATGTTATGGTTACTACCTATAATCTTGCCACTGGTGGCAAGCAGGACATGGGTTTCCTCAAATCGATGAGGTTCAACGTTTGTGTATACGATGAGGGTCACCTTCTAAAGAATTCGCAGTCCGAACGTTACAACAAACTTATGAAGTTGCGTGCAAACTTCCGCGTTTTACTTACTGGCACGCCCTTGCAGAACAACTTGCGAGAGCTTGTTTCTCTGCTTTCTTTCATTCTGCCCAACTTGTTTGAGCAGAACAAGGAAGATCTCTTGGAGGTGTTCAAGTTCAAGGCCAAGACGTCCGCCGCTGACCAGAAAGAGGAAAAGACGAGCGAAACAACGCGGTCACAGTTGTTGAGTGAGCAGCGTATCATCAAAGCCAAAACGATGATGACGCCCTTTGTTCTTCGTCGCCGCAAAGACCAGGTTTTGCAGCACCTGCCGCCCAAGTCTCACGAGGTGGTCACCTGCGAGATGACTGAGCGCCAGCGCCAGGTGTACAACGAGGAGCTTAATCGCAATAAAAAGAGCATCAAGGAGGCTAATGCCGAGGTAAAGGAAGGTGCCAAGGAGGAAAAGTCTTCTCGTAAGACAAGACAGGCCTCGATCGCGCTCGATAATGTGTTGATGCAATTGCGTAAGGGAGCTCTGCACCCCTTATTGTTCCGACGGTTATACGACGATAAAAAACTCAAGCTAATGTCGAAGGAAATCATGAACGAGGAAGTGTATAAAGATGCCAATCGGGATTATATTTTCGAGGATATGCAGGTCATGAATGACTTTGAGCTGCACAACTTGTGCTTGAAATTCCCCGTGACCATTGGCCAGCATCGTTTGCCTGAGGAAGAGTTTTTGGCTAGTGGTAAAGTCCAGAAGCTGCAGGAGCTGATTGTGCCGATGAAGAAGCGGGGCGACCGTTTACTGATTTTCTCGCAGTTCACCCAGGTGCTGGATATTCTTGAACGTGTTTTGACCAAGATGGAGTTCTCCTTTTTACGTATGGACGGACAGACGCCGGTTGAAATGCGCCAGGATATGATTGACAAGTACTATGCCGAGGAGGATATCACCGTGTTCCTGCTGTCGACTAAGGCAGGTGGTTTCGGTATCAACTTGGCATGTGCCAACGTTGTGATTATCTTTGACCTGAGTTTCAATCCTCACGATGACAAGCAGGCCGAAGACCGGGCCCACCGTGTTGGCCAGACCCGACCCGTCAAGGTTGTGCGCATGGTCACCAAGGATAGTATCGAGGAGTCGATCATGCAACTTGCTAACACCAAGCTGGCTTTGGATCGGCATGTCAGTGAGGAAAACGACGATGTTGATCCGGAAAGCGAGATACTGGTCGCTGATCTTGTTCTGGAGAACGCTCCCCAGACTGCTGCGTCGTCCCGTCTGCAGACTCCCGCTCCCGGCTCGCCCTCGGACTCCGAGCTCGATTCTTCGGGCGAAGTTTCTGAGGACGAAGACGAAGATGCTCGCACTACGGTCAAAGCGGAAAATGGTAACGCGTCCGCGGAAGATGCGACGAAGTTTCTAGTTACGCTCAAATATAAAGCCTAGCAAACTGTATTGGGCATATAGATTATGATTTATACTTATTTTACTTGTTGCTAAAAGGGTCAGTGCGAGGGCGACGCTCGGTGATTTTGTCGGCGTCGATGTGATCGTTCAGGTGAGCAGAGCGCGGGCCGCTGACGGGCACTGGCTGGGGCTTGAAGTTTTCTGTGGCCACAGAGCGTTCACGCGGAGCAAATAGGGCAATAGCACGGTCCTGTTCGCGGCGCTGGAAGTCGACGTAGTGCTCAGACTCTTTGAGGTTCTCGGCTTGCTTGCTGGCGGGAGTGACCATCTTGGTGATGGCTCCGTCAGTGTAGAAGCGGTCGTATGTGACGATGCCCACACCAGCCAAAACGGCAGCAGTCCACTTGACGTACGGTGTGAGCGGCTCGGCAGCTCCTTCCGCAGCGTGGTGGTTGGCACGCACTTGGGTGAATCGTGTGAATCCACGAGTCGACTTTGCAATGCGCAGCATTGGATTGGCTGACACAGCAGGAGCCAGTGAGCGACCTTTATACCCGAACCCGAGTGTCTCGGGCGAGAAAAAAACATTGGTTGAGCTGTAACAACGTACAATGTTGTTTGCTTGCGGGTCCAATGGGCGGGGTCAACTAGGGGTTGGTCACTGTGACGATTTGGGCGAGTTTACCGCTGTTTTGGGTGTCGACGGACCGGTGCTGGAGGTGGCCGGAGGCGGTAACCATACTCTTGTTTTATTACCGGATGGTGTTGCAATGGCCAGTGGCAGCAACGATGAAATGCAGCTTGGGGTTGTTGGTGATGGGACCTCGAAGTTTACCAAGGTGAGCCATCCTGACGGGTTGAGGTGGACGCATGTAGCTGCAGGATGGGCGTTTTCAGTATTTATTGACGAGCACGCGCAAGTATGGACATGCGGATCGGGGAAAAAAGGCGAACTAGCTACTGAAATAGAAAACCATGGGCTTGAGCGTGTTTACATGTTCAAAGCTGCGGTGGTAGCCGTGAAAACTGCAATGGCCCATACGCTAGTGTTGTTGGAGACCGGTCAAGTATACGGATGGGGTGCTTCAAGAAAAGGGCAGTTGGGAATTCATCAAGCAAAAGTAGTGGAGCCGGTGCTCGTTGGTTCCCACGCCCGTCAGATATCGGTGGGAAGAGACTTCAGTGTAGTGTTGCCCATGTCTGGAAAACCCATAATATTGGGGAACTTCCGAGGCCACATACCCGAAACCGACTCAAATCTATCTATTGTATCAGGATGGTCTTCTATTGCATTTGTCGGGGAACGCGTTGTTGTGACAGGCAACAACAGTCACGGTCAACAAGACGCACCGTTGATGGTGCATCCAGATCAGGTTGCCGCCGGCAGTGAACACTACTTGGCACTCAAAGACAACGCTATCGTGTCGTGGGGATGGGGCGAACATGGGAACTGCCCAGAACCTACTAGTGCTTCAGACGCTACATCTATCTTTGCCGGCTGTGCTACATCATATTATGTCTCAGACACTTCTTACCAGTAAAGTACAGAAAATAAAATTACCGGGAATATGTATTGGTCTGGAGTCTCTCTAGCACCGTAGTATCAAGGCATTTCTACTAAAAAAGATCTACCCGTTCGGTTTCAGTGCAATTATAAAGCAAAGAACCCTACCGCTTACTAGACGTTTCTTTGTGCAGGCCAGCGGGTAATATCATGTTTGGCATCGTGTGCGGTGGTCGTCCTGTTGACACCAATGTGCAACAGATTGAGCCGGTTAAATTTGTATACGTTATTCAAGAAGCCGCCAAAATCAACCACATGGCAATTTTTCTTCTTCCCGGTACAGCGTTACCGCCTGGATCAGCGGCTAGTGTGTATGCCCAGCTGCCTGGGAAGGACTTCAGTTTGCTCGGGGTGCTAACCGAGGAGAAGCAGTCGGCAATTTTCCGATTCAATATCCAGACCGAAGCGAACCACGGAACCGACGTAGATATGATGATGGATGATGTTGATGGCACAGCTGCCGTAGATCAGTTTGCGATCACAATTGGCATTTCCCTGGAGCCGCTCGAGCAGGCGGAGCTCCAGCTTGCTGCCGCCAAGCAGGCACAGGTGGCAGTCAAACAGCGGCTCATTATGCCCGCCAAGCCGGTGACTACGCCGGCCCCGGACCGGCCCGACGACATTGCGAGTCTGGCAAACAAGATCGTCACTAACGCTTACAACTATATGTCGAGCTTTGTTAGTCCTCAGGGCCAGGTGCCCATTAAGGCGTTCGACGAGTGGTGGAATAAGTTTAAAGCGAAATTAGCCGCCAATCCTTCGTTCCTGAATAATTTAGATTAATTTATAACCATTTTTGCTGACATATGATCAAGTGGTGGCTTTTGGCACTTTGGCAGGTAGTTATGGCATTTGAACCTTCGAACGAGTGGCAGGTAGTGCCTGAAGGAGAATCAATCCCCAAGGGGCTAGAAGTCAAGATGGATCTGGAATCTGGACAGCGATTGGCCCGCTTCGCAGACAAGCAAGCGCCAGGCCCAGCCCCGGTCGCTTTGGCTAAACCCACCCCCAATTCCGAGGTTGGCCGGCCCATTCTCGACTTGGAGCAGCTTGAGGAACTCGCCCACGACTTTGACCATGGTCAGCAGTTTATGGAACAATACGGAGCCCATCTCATAGAAGAGTACGAATCTGGGTTGGGTAAACGAGACCATGCCGGAAAAGTTCTTGGAGTTGCCGTTCGAAACAACCCGAATGCGGCGTCCGCACTCCTGTCACAAGACCCGGAGTTGACTCTGCGACTTGCCCAAAATTTCCAGGCTCAGGATATTTACATACTGGCCAACTTGGCCACTGCCCACTACGACCAAGTCAAGCCGGCCCTTGTCAAAGCTCAATCCCAGCTATCCTCCAAACCACTGTCAAGAGATATCAGCAAACAAGTTGTCCGTCTTGTTCGTGATATTGGTCATACAGATAAGCCTGCCATCGAAGACTGGGCTGGGGCGATTCAGCAGGCACTTCAACGTACAGGTGACGACATGGATGGGGTGCGGCTCGACTTGTTGAGGGTGTTGACGGAGATTGTTGAGAAGAAGGGCGAGTTTGAGGGAACAAATACCGAGGTTTCACGCGACTTTGTGTCGTGGTTGGCCGACCAGGCGGTCAGAGCATCGTCTTCAAGTGGGGTAAAGGGCCGTTCGGACAACGAGAATAATCCCACTTACGAGTTCCTGCAGTTGGTGAAACAGGTGCGTCATCGCGTTTACGGCAATCCGAAGGCCGCGAGACTCCATATGGACCTGTAAATATCTAGTGTTTTTATTTCAAATAGGTTATTTTCGGTCTTTGAAGGCGGCCCCACGTACCAATGCACTGTATTCTACTATTTTCCATCGGGTTCCCTCGTAAACCCATGTCCATGCACGCAAAGGCTGCTGCGCGTTAATAGGCCATTAAGTTACCTAATTGGGAAGCAAGTAAATAGAAGCCGGAGAAGACGAAACCCAGCACCCGTCGATGAGACGGCCTATATTCTGCTCGTGTAGCACACAAACACCTTCTTACCGAGAGGCCGCTGTTTTTTTTATCGCGATCTCCGGCCTTCAGCTGGTTTAGCGCCCGCAATCGGTGTGCCTTAATATAGCTCATGCACATGGGCTGGGGTCGCCAGCTAAAGACCGTGCAGATTGGCTAACTATATAACCAGAGGCGGCCACGCCCATCTAACCACCTCACATGAACTTCCTTCTTGGTCTTGCTACTTTTGCCTCCGCAGTTCTAGCTGCTCCAAACTCTATCATTCACCCTGGCTGGGGTGAAGTTATCAACGCTGGAAACCCGTTCAACATCACCTGGACACCCTCATCCGAGATTGCTTCCGTCAATCTCGTTCTCCGTGAGGGTGGCAAGGATGGTGCCGACAACCTCACTACTTTGTACACTATTGCCTCCGGTGTTACCAATAACGGCAATTACGAGTGGAGTGTACCGGGCAAGACCACCACCAACACCGACTACTCTATTATGATTGTCGACAGCGCCGACCCCGATAACCAGAGCACCACCAACTACTCTCCTTACTTTACTGTTCTGATTGAGGGAGCCGGTTGGACCAAGTCCAGCTCCGGCACTGCTGCTCCGTCTGGTTCGTCTGCTGCTTCCGGCTCTGCTTCGGCCTCGGCCTCCGATCCAGCTTCGGCCTCTGGCTCAGCCTCAGATTCGGCGTCCGGTTCTGCCAGTGGTTCTGGCCTTGCCTCGGACTCCGCTTCCGGTTCAGCCAGTGGCTCTAGTCTCGCCTCCAATTCAACTTCTGTTACTTCTTCAGGAGCCTCTTCAGGAGCTGTTTCTAGTGCTGTTTCGAGTGCTGCCTCCGGCTCCGGCGCCACTTCTGGCTCTAAGGCTACTTCCAAGGCTACCTCTGCCGCTGGTTCTGGCTCTGCTTCCGGCTCTGCTTCCGCCAGCTCTTCCAAGAGCTCTTCGAAGAGCTCCTCAGACAGCTCGGCCGCTGGCTCCAACGGTGCTGTTACTAAAGGCTTCTCTGTCGCTGCTGCTTTTGCCGGCCTCATTGCCTATCTCATTTAAGGATGCTGTCAACTCCCCAACCTTAAAAGCAGTCCCTCCTCTCATTGCATCGCTGGACGATCGCACTTTAATATAGCCTTTTTTATAGCGAATTCGACAATCGTAAACGTCAACAAGTGTCTAATACATTACAGACTGCTACGTATTTAAGCAGTGGCAGCCTTAAGGGCTTGAGCAATATCAGCAACAAGGTCGTCCTTGTCCTCGATGCCAACAGACAAACGAACAAGATTGTCATAGACACCGGACTCCTCACGCTGCTCCTTAGGGATGCCCGCATGGGTCATGGCGGCAGGCACTTCGCAGAGCGACTCAATGCCACCCAGAGACTCGGCAAGAGTGAAGATCTTGGCGGCGGCACAGAAGTCGGAAGCCTCCTTGGCGCCGCCCTTGATGCGGAAAGAGATCATGCCACCACCCAGGCCGTTACGGTGCTGGCGAGCAATGAGCTCAGCCTGAGGGTGCGATTTCAGGCCCGGGTAGGAGACGCTCTCGACCAGACCACCGAGCTGGGACTCGAGGTACTCGGCGATGGCCTGAGCGTTGGTCGACGCGGCCGCAGCACGCAAGTGCAGAGTCTTGACACCGCGGTGAGCGAGCCAGCTGTCAAAAGGCGAGGGAACAGCACCGATAGCGTTCTGCATGAAGCGGAGCTTCTCGTGCAGCCCATCGTCTTTCACGACAACAACACCCATAACGACGTCCGAGTGGCCGTTGATGTACTTGGTGACAGAGTGCATGACGATATCAGCACCGAGTTCCAAGGGATTCTGAACGTAAGGCGACAGGAACGTGTTGTCAACAACAAGGTAAATCTCCTGGCCAGCCTCGCGGCGCTCACGCACAGTCTTGGCGACAGCGGCAATGTCTGTGATAGTTAAAGTGGGGTTGGAGGGGCTCTCGATCCAGACTAAGCGCGTCTCGGGGGTAATGGCAGCAGCCAGATTGTTCTTGATGTCGGCGACCCAGCTCGTCTTGATGTTGTGAGCAGTGGCAACCCGGGCAAAGTAGCGGTAGGTGCCACCATAGACGTCAGAGATCGAGACGACATTGGCACCAACGGCCAGGGACTGAAGAATGTTGGCAGTAGCCGCTGATCCGGAGGAGTAGGCAAGACCGTACTTTCCCTTCTCAAGGGCAGCAATTACCTGCTCGAACTGCCCACGGTTCGGGTTGTCAGAGCGCGAATACTCAAAGTCGCCAACCGGCTGGGCCGCGGCCGCCTGAGCAAACGTCGTGGACAGCGAAATTGGCGGGATCACGGCGCCAGTCCTAGGGTCAGGCTCCGACCCAGTGTGCACAGCAGTAGTTCCAAAGTTGCTCATCGTAATGCCAGATTCAAACACTCAACGAAAATATGCGTCGATCAACAAATTACCTACGGCTGCATACTTTTATTTCTACTTGGGCTTTTTTCACCTTGTGGGCTGACGTCATTCTCGCAGATTTGTCATAGGGCAGGGTCTGAGACCTGTTTAGTAGATCGAGTGAAAAACACATCGCCGAAAATTCCCCCAACAGGCATTCATTGCGAGAGGCGTCATGGCACGTGCAAAGAAAAAAGATTTCGACAAGCAGAAGCTCAAAGTAGGCAAATCCAAGCAGCCGGCGTCGAACGCAACCTCCACTGCGTTCACTGCCCGGGCGATTTCTCTGCCCAACCAGGCCATTGGTAAAAAGGCCAGCTTGCAAACATACTTGAATTTGACCAAGCACCACAGCGTGCAAGCCAGGAAAGAGGCGGTTGCTCAATTACAGGACATTGCCCTGTCTTCTCCTCCCTCGCTCGCGTCTATTTGCCATGCCCTGGGTCCACTGATCCTGGACACCGAGAAAGATGTGCGGCAGCAGGTTCTTAAATTCATGAAGGCTATGCCAGAGTCGGCGTTTGCTGCGCACTCGAGCCTGCTTTTACTGTACATTCAGTCGGCAATGACCCACATCACCCCGTCAATCAGAGGTGAATCAACGTCGTTTCTAGATGTCTTGTGTGTCAATTGCCCGCAAGAGGTTGCTCGCCTCGGGTTCGCGAAAACATTGAGTCTGTTTTTCCCTCTGCTTGGCTGGCCATTGGAGGGAAACGCCCAGGCTAGCGCTGTGTCGACTGCTTTGGCATTCGGGAAAATGGCCGACAAAGTGAAACTCACACACCTCCAGTCACTTTATAAACTTCTGGAGCTGGGTCTTGCTGATCCGCCAGTCGTCGAGGAGCCTTTGTTTCATCCCGAGACCGCCAAGTTCATGATACCCAAGGTCAGTGAGCCATTTGCAAGACTTGGGTTCGGCACGACCCCCGAAAACGTTACAGAGGACCGCGACGCACGAGAAATCGTTGTTCACGGTGTCAAAGAACCTCTCATGAATGGCCTCACTGTCGTCACTAAAGAGGGTGGCGAGATCGGACGGGTTGCCGCCCGCATCACAGCGCTGGCGAAATAACCACAACAACAATACACTTACACTTTGCAATGATGCCAACCCCCCAGCGCCGCAGTAGTTTAGTTGTTCCGCGAGTGCGACCCCGCAAACAAGCGATCCGAACCGTTGATCCTGAGCCAGAGGCCGCCAAAGTATACGATGACTCCTCAGATCGGTGGCTCCTACTCAAGTCTCTGAAAGCGCGCGTGTCCTATTATTTCAAACGTCCGGCTTGACGTTTTTAGTTCTATTTAATCCTGTAATCTCGACGTGCTCCACAAGCTGACACACAATGGACACTTTCTACATTGTTTATTTCGTCGTCCACTTTTGTATCTCGATTCTCATTGATTCGGCCATCGTCCTGCCGGAGAGCCTCACGCATCCTCTGCAGAAGATGCTTCTGCAAACGCAAATCACCCAGAACCACGACCCTCTGCTCGTTGACAAGCCTGTTTGGCTACAAACATTTGTTTGGGTAGAGATCTTTCTGCAGGTTCCCTTCTTTGCTTGGGCTGCCTATGCTCTGGCTAAAAAGAACAAAAAGGCCTACATTGCCTGTCTCATCTACGGCGTCGAGGCATCCACTACGACCCTGGGCTGCCTGGGCGAGGTCGCAATGTGCTCGCTGGACATGGCTCGCAAAGCCAAGCTTTTCGCCATCTATTTCCCCACGTTTCTCATTCCGCTCTACATGACATACGACTTTGGCACGAGGCTGTGTCGAATTGTGGGTGAAAAGTCTAAGCTTGAATGAAAATCTAGTAAAAATGTCTATGCTTATAAGATACGTTGATAAATAAAAATGATGCTTCCAGAGTTGCGATATTATGAGACACGGGCGACATCAAGAGTGTCAAAAAGTCGACCAATTCCAATCAACAGGCATGTTAGCTAGTGAACCAGCAAGGATCTCATTGTTTTCTTGACGGTTACCTCGGGTGGCAGCGATTGTCTGCGGGGCGCCCTGGGGAAGCGAGGGCTGGGAAGGTTCAGACGAGAGACGAGAGTTCTCCAAAACATGCTTTGTGAACGCGGCTGAGCAGCCTGCGCACGAGCGAGATGGGTAGCCAAAAATGTTGAACTGTAAGGACTGATTCAAGGCAACAACGAACCTAGAATCACGCGAGCAGAATATTTCACCACACTTTCGGCAGTGGTGCCGCCGACCTAAAAGTGTGAAGGGGGCCATACACGACGCGCAGTTAGTACGAGCAGAGTCAGGCACCCAATGGTCTCGAGGAGGCGGTTGCATGGATTGACCCGCGTGGCGGATCATCAAAGACGAGTTGGATGCGGTATAAGCGTTTGCATCGGTGGGCCGTAAAACTGCTGGAATATAAAGAGGGGCCTTTCGTCCTCTGAGCTGTTTCAAAGGAGGAGTTGCTGAACGGTTGGGAGCGGCGCGGCTCAGATCGTCCAAGGCAGGCCGCATTGGGCGCCGGTAATCGTCTCTATGCAGCTGTAAGGATGTAGTGGATCCACAGCGAGATCTAGGGGTATGGGGCGGTGAGTTTTGGGCAGCCGGAGGAGCCGACTGGGTGCTGTGGACATTAATCTGCTCGATCTCCGCCGGAAGCTGTAACCGGGCGGGAGCATAGTTGAGTCCTGCCCGCTCGTGGTTTACTCGGGGCAGCACGGAGTCGGCAGGCGAATTACGCGAAGGACCAGAAGAAGTGGTCATAGACTCGAAGGGAATGCGCTCACCAATCACGACGGAGTTTCTCCGACTGGACACGGCGCTGGCAGGCGTTCTAATGCGTGCCCGGTCGTTAGGCTGAGCTGGCGGGCTTGAAGGCGGACTGGGGCAGCTACAGTTGCTGCAGGAGGTCCCCAGAATACTAGGCTCCGCATTGCTCTCTATCCGACTGGCTCCACGCCCATTGTGTTGGTGCTGTGAGGCGGGGAGTGGGTCGGGGGCGCCATGGCGAGTATGGCGGCATAACGAGGCCCGGGAAGAGAAGGAAGAAAGTGCCGACATAGGCTGGTGTGTGTGCGCAACCTGCGAGATATCCCTTTTCGCAAACATGGACTCGCTCTCTGAACAGACTGGCGATGGTCCCTGGCCCATATTGGTGGTCTGGCCCGCATCAGCGGAACAGGCATCCTCTACACTGGAATTAGGTGTATCAGTTGAGCCTGTCATCTTCTGCGGCGGCGAAAGTGTAGGCCCTTCCATCTCGATGCTCTCGGAAGATGAGGTAGGATGAGTGGATGATTTGCCTTGCAGCTGGTTGGTACTTTGGGTCTGAGTTACATTAGCATCTGCAGATACCGTAGGGCCACTAGGGTTTGGGTCATCTCCAGAAGGAGAACGTTGATTCGTTGGTGGCGTGGTGTCCGCAGCAACCGCCGCCAGGGATGCTTGGTCACCGCTGTGGGAGGCAGACTGTATCGGTAGAACGCGCATTTGCCTGCTGATCGACTCTATTGGATCACTGGATACTGGAGTGGGAGTCTTTTGTTTAGGACGCAATTTCGACACCGGCACAACGGTCGCCACGCCAGCATTGCGGGCTATATGCTGGGCGAGTTCAAGGGACGAGGTCAGGAGCGGTTCGCTCGGGTGAGCACTTTCTTTGCCCGCCGTTGGGCTCTGGACTGGACTGCCGCCTATATTTTTAGTATCGGGCGGCGTCAATGCATTCCGCATCTGCGGTTCTGTTTCCACGGCCATTGCGTTTACTTTCTTCGCACTTGCCGAGTGGTATTTGCCACGATCCAATTGGGTACGATAAGGTTCTAGGAAGGTAAGTATATATTTGGGGCATGTCATTTGTCATCGCTAAGTTGGCGCTGATTCAGACTGTATGTGTGTACCCTTCGCCCTACAGGATTTCAACGCACCTATCTGGCGGTTTCTATTGGGCGGGCGACCAGATCGAGGTAAGTGGGTCGATATGAAACACATTTGCACGTTGCTCTGAGGCACGATAGGTTCACCAATAGAAATAACACGCTAGATGGCGTTGGAATTGTTCAAAGCCGCTCAATATTTCCTTGTCGCTGCATTAAACCGCCTTATCCTGTGCCCCCGTCTAAATTGGCTAGTACCTGCATATGCCATCTTACGTTTACTCTAACACCACACGCAGGTAGGCTGTCCGATCGGTCTTTGTTGGCCCGATGCGTCCGTCCCATTTAAGTAGTATTCGATGAAGTGCGCAGCCAAAAGGTGTATGGAGTACAGTCCGGTCAGTTATCATAGGTCCATACGTCACAAGCGCTCACCTGTCTGCCCGGTGGGCTGCACATCCTGTACTCACTTTCTGGGCGATGCCTGTGCCAGACGTTCTGCAATTTGCCCTACCCCAGCCCAGTACGGTAATCCGGAAGCCATTACAGGGGATGCCCTTAAACATGTGATCTTTCAAATAACTCCAAACGCGGTGGCAATTAACCGACTTCAAAGGCAGCATCCGCATGTTCGCTAATCTGAGGTCTCTATTCACACCAGTTGCAGAAATCTCCTGCTTCTACATCTCAAAAAACTCAATGCTACTTGGGCCGGCAGGAGAGTGCATAAATCTGCTATGCGTTTCAAAGAGCGCGGTCAGCTCACGAAACTACCGCTCAAAAAGGTATGTTTCACATGTTGAAACTTTTTGGATCTACTCTAACTTTAGTCAAGTAAATAGTAACTTGCCCGCTAAGTACTGAAACGTTTTCTGTCGTGGACCCGATGCCTTTTTTCGTGCGAAGGCAGAGCGTGCGCGATACAATAAAAAAAGTAGTCTGGGTATGAAAGCACGGTCTCAAAACCCGAACTTGAACTGAGCTTTGGCCCCGCCAGCACGCTGGCGGCCCTGCCTGTCCCCACCGTGGGCTCCCTGCTGAGCCGCAAACTGTCGAAGCAGCTGCTCAATGTCAATGCCCATTCCGCCTGCGCCTCCAGATCCGCCTCCAAACCCTGGTGGGAAGCCAGCGCCGCCGCCGCTGGCGCCGCCGGTACCGCGACGACCAATGTCGTAATCTTTTCTCGTGTCTTCGTTCGATAAAACTTCGTATGCCTCGTTAATTTCTTGCATTTTAGCCATAACCTCGTCGGCCGACAGCTCGTCGCCTCGGTATTTGTCCGGGTGATACTGCTTGGATAATGCACGGTACGCCTTCTTGATCTCCTGCTTGTCGGCCTTTTCATCCACTCCAAGGACCTTGTACAAGTCCTTAGTAGGTGTCTGACCTCGTGGTCTCTGCATTTCAGCCTGGATCTCTTGGTACAGCTGAATCACCCGGTCGTCGGCTTTGCCGTGATGGATCAACGGATCCAGAAGCCTCAATGCACCATGCAAATTTCCCGACTGCCGCTCCAATTGAGCTTGTAAAAGCACAGCTGGTAAAAAGTCTGGATCTGTATCTCTCACGCGAGCACACACTTGAGCACCCCGATCCCATTCCTCTTTGGCGCTGTATGCCTCGCACCGCCGGTGCCTTAATTCGTCTAAAAGCATGCTTGTTTCACCATACGATCGAGGAACACCCAAATTGTCGCATGCACTAAATACCTGCGCCTCAACGTCCTTGTACTTCACCTTGAGCGGGTCGCCCGTTACGGACTTTTCCAATTTTCGTAGAAGCTTCGATGCAGTAGCACATTGTTTAGCGTCGGGGTCGTAGTTCAAGCAACGCCTCAACAGCTTCAACGCCTTTTCCCGCTCATTATCGAATAAAAACATAATTTCGGCTAATTTGGCCGTAGCATCAGCGTCGCCGCTCTCTTGCGACACAATTTCTTGCAGATCGGCAAACGCTTGGGGCACCTCGCCTGCAGACATTGCGCACTTGTAACGAAGCCTCCGGACAAACACAGCTCGTGGCGAGATTTTGAGGGCCTGGGTCGTCGAGGAAATGCAGTCAAGGTACTCTCCATTCTGATCATCTTGCTCAGCAGACTGGAACAGTTGACTGGCCAGTGTGGCATCCGATACTAAAGAGTCTACCCGTTTATCCGAGCACACCTCAGAATCTATGAGACACTTGTCCCAATTGCCCATCCGCAAATACAATTTTGCCCGGTAATATCTAGCGGCAGTGAACTCTGGATCGATGTCCAGGGCTGCAGAGAGGTCACCGAGCGCTTGCGGGTCGCGGCCTGCGGCTAAATTGGCAGTGGCACGCTTGTAAAAAGCTAGATGGTTCCGCGGATCATTGCGAATAGCTTCGTCAAACTCGCTGAGGTCCAGAGCAAATGCCACTGCGGCAAGCCCAGACGCCAGCACTGCTGTAAATTTCATAATCAAAGCTTCGGCAACCAGCTCAGGATTTGGAGTTTAAATAGGACAGTCACGTGTGAAATAAACAAATATACCAATTCATTAATAAAATAATCATTTTCTAGATAGTCAGATTGATCCGGGGGGTCTTTCTGCAGTGGGCAATGGCAAGCTGCCGGTCCACTGGGTTACCTGGCGCTGCAGCTCGTCGAACTCAGGCTGGATAGCTAGTGCGGCCTTGAAATCTCGGAGCTTGTTGGCATCAGGAGGCAGGGCCAGCTGAATTCTTGTGGATAGGTTAACAACCTTATCCAGCAATGCAGCAACGCGGTCGTAGTCACGAGCAGTAAAGCCTCGAGTGGTCATGGGTGTTGTACCCAGCCTTACTGCTCGAGGCAGAGACCATTTGTCGCCTGGAACAGCAGTTGGAGAAATAGCAATGTGCGCTCGCTCACAGGCAGCTTGAACTCGAGCTCCATCAACACCTTTGTTTGCCAGTGACACTACTACCATATGGATATCCGTGCCTCCAGACACAAGTTCGTAGCCTCGTCTCACAAGAGCTGCCTCCAACGATTTTGCATTTGACATTAGCTGTCTTTGGTAGGACTTGAAAGCGGCAGTCTTTGCCTGCCATAGTGCCACCGCCAACGCGGCAATCGTGTGGTTATGAGGGCCTCCTTGGTAGGCCGGGAAGACGCTGAAATTAATTAGTGATTCGTACTCCTTTTTGAAAAAAATCATGGCGCCACGAGGTCCGCGGAGGGTTTTATGAGTTGCAGTTGTAACAACATCGGCATACTCAAAGGGAGAGGGAATAAGGCTAGCAGCTACCTGACCGGCGGTATGGGCCATATCGACGACCAAGTAAGCGCCTACTTTTTGGCAGATTTCCTTCAGACGCTCATAATCAATGAGACGGCAGTACGAGGAAGCACCGGCAACAATTGCTTTGGGTCTAAAGCGTTGGGCGACATTTTCCAGATCATCATAATCGATGCGACCAGTGCTGAGATCGAGCTGGTACGGCAATGTTTCGAAATAGGTGGAAACGGCAGACACCTTGAGCTTGTCTGTTTGATATCCAAACGACATGTGTCCGCCATGGGTCAAAGACAAGCCCATTAGTCTGTCGTGAGGCTTGAGCAGCGCGTGATAGACTTGAATATTGGCAAACGAGCCAGACAAACACTGCACATTAACACCCCATGCTTCAGGGGACAGATCGTACAGAGCCAGAGCTCGTTCTTGACAAAGGATCTCCAGGCGATCGACAAAAACGTTTCCGCCGTAGTGCCTTCCTCCCGGATAACCTTCCGAGTATTTGTTGGCGAGCACCGATGATTGGGCTTCAAGAACGGCACGCGGCATGCAGTTCTCGCTTGCAATCAAATTGAGCCAGTGACGCTGGCGATTTTCTTCAGCGGCAATGAGAGCAGTGACCTCAACGTCTGCGGCGAGAGGCTGCAAAATGAGGCTGGCTTGTTCTTCATTCGGGGGGGTAGGAGCGCTTGTAGCCTGAAGAACAGACGGCGAGGAAGCTTTTCTTGCTTGGTCGGTTTCTTCTTCTTCTCTAGCTCGTTTCATTTGATGGAAATCCGCGACGTGTAATGGAAAAAAGGCCGTGTAAGAAGAGGTAAGGAAAGCGGTTAGAAATTTACGAGGATCTGAATCCCGGGTAACTCAGCCCGGGGACGATGGCATGACTTCCAGTCACTAGGTAAGTACCCGGGACCCTAAACCGCTTACCCGGGTACAGTCTTCCACATCCGCGAAATTTTTGGCTGTCGTTCACTCTGGCGACCCATTGAAACAAATACTCGGACTCACAATGCCCCAGCCGTCTGAGCCAGCCGCGTGGCCATAAGCTTCCGGTCGCGAAAAGCTTAACCCTGCGATCATCGTATCAGGCAACCCATCAGCCTATTTAGTAAGCTACAGCCGCGGTAGGAACAAGGAGCAACCCCGATCCAGACTTCCTATTCAGTCATTGGTCCGCAGTAATAGAAATGCACAACAGTCCTGCTCGCGAAAAAAGGATCCCGTTAGAAGTGGGCACACCGCAGTCCGCAGGTGATAGCGATAGCACAAGCGTTTCCTCGACTCCTATCTCGACCCCACTTTCCACGCCCATCGTGGCCACCGCAGGCATAACGGCATGGCTTGACACCACATTGGAGGAACTAGTGCAGCCTGAGCTGTTTGTCTCGTATCCGGCAAAAGACCCTGTCGATCTCGCCACCCAAATTATGACAACAAAGCAGCTAACTTGTCTTCCATTGACCAATGCGGAGGGCGATGTGGTTGAGTATTTGGACTACTCGCACCTCAACTGCTATCTTCTCCTAGTGCTCGGCCGGGTTGAGCCTGCCGGCAACCGTGCGGATTTCCATGCCCAAGCCGAACAAGTGCGAAAGGGAATCCCGTCCAGCGCTGAGTTCGCCGCCCAGCTAGGTGCCGTTGACCCCATCGTCCGTATGCCCGTGTCGTCGACTCTGTCTGCTGCTGTGCGTCAATTCGCCGCTGGCGTTCATCGTATTGCGTGCGTCGATACAAATGATCGCGTCGTGGGTGTGCTGTCCCAGCGGCGCATGGTCAAGTACGTTTGGACAAACATCAAAAAGTTCCCGCTCCTTGAGGCGTTTTTGGATAAGCCTCTTGGAGAGCTGCCTATCGGGACTTACCAGGAGATGATCACAGTTCAAGGAGACGCACCACTCCTAGATGCTCTTAGTCTTATGCACGACGAAACAGTCTCCAGCGTAGCAGTCGTTGATCGCGAAAAGAACCTGCTGGGCAACATCTCCGTTGCCGATGTGAGTCTGTTGACTCGTGGTGCCCAGACACCCCTATTGGCCCAGCCCTGTAAACATTTTTTGACGGTTATTCTCGAGAACCGTGGCCTTGTCGACGGCAAGGACGTTGTACCTGTTTTTTATGTTGATCGCCAAACCAAGCTTGGGCTTATTATTGCCAAAATGGTTGCCACAAAGGCACATCGCCTGTGGATCGTCGAACAACGCGATCCCGACGCCATCAGCAGCGGCAAACTTGTAGGGGTTGTTTCGCTCACAGATGTCCTCAATTTCCTTGCTCGTCAAGGCGGCTCCTTCCTCGACCCTGAGTCGGCCCGCCGCCACCGCCGCTCATCTTCCAGCTCTGTGCGATCGAACTCACGAGCAAGAATGGGTGCCAGTCCGCATAGCTCTCACATGCGACCCAGTCTACACAATTGAAAAGACCCACCCCTTCTTCTGAGGTCTGCTATTATACCTAAATGTGACGGTCCACCTCCTGTGCTGGCACAGGCTCTACTAGTCTCGTATTCCGTAAAACAACGTACGCTATTTTCTCTCCTGCCTTGCCCCTCTCTTTTTCCCCCAGCAGGCCGGCTAAAAGGCGCTGACTCAGGAAGCATCCTCATCAACTCTATCGCGTTTAACTTTCCCGCCCACCATGCCTCGTCGACGCCGGCCCACGTTCTCTGGACGTCCCGACGAGTCTTTGCCCGCTATGTCTCTGCCACGAGCTTCTATGGAGAGCGTCAGAACGGCCAATGAGCCCTTGCTGGGTAGCTACGCCGCCGGGTCGCTCCATTCGCATATCAACGAAAACAGCGATGAAGATTTGCTTGACCACCGCTCCCCGCGTAACCGCGCGCAAAGTCAGACAACTCAGTTCGTCAACCGCTGGTTGAGGCGTAACTCTACCGCACTGCGTTCGGGCCAGCCTGATCTGGAACAGATGCGGGACGAAGTTGTTGACCCCTTTGACAATTCTGGGCCTGCGGTGGCAGATTTTTCCGACAGCGAAAGTTTGAACTCGAAACCTTCGACTCGCCGTTCCAGCGTGGACTCAAGCATTGATGATGTGTGTATGCCTTTGGACTCTCCTGTTGAAGACTCTGTTTTGGAAATCGGACGCAAACAATGGCCGGATATTTCGGTTCTCAATGATTTTGTCTTGAAGGAAATGAAGGAACAAGAACTCACCGAAGCGGCAGAGCTTGTCAGCGAGGGCCTTCGTGATCGGTATGCTGTCAACGAAGCCGAAACTGACGGCCCTCTGCGTCCTCCCAGGTTCGTTCCTTGGGCAAAGCAGCGTTCAAACACTCCACGACCCTTGCAAAACATGGCAACTTATCGTTTCACATATTTCCGTGATGACTTGCCCGAGACTATTCATTCACCTACTATTTCCGGTTTGCTTAAGCCCGGTCAGAGCTTTGAAGATCTTTTTCCCCCGGTGGGCATCGAATGTAATGAGCAATCACCTCGCCCCCATGGATCAGCCTCTGCAGCCTCGGTAAATTTACAGCAAGGACATCCGCAGCCCTTACAACCCCAGACGACGGGGGCTTCTGCATCCGGAATGTCTGCACGGGATGTGCCGACTCCGGCGACTGCTGCTGCTTTACTGGAAGTCAATGGTCACCGAAGTTTGACCCAGAATGTCGCAGACCGTCAAGGTCGCACCACGCCAATTGGTTCTCCCAGAACAACTCCTGCTGTCGGTCCGCAAGGTCATGGCGCCCCTGCTCCTGGTCCCACTGCTGCCCCCACTACGAACGCTCCGCCTCAGCCTGTGGGAAGCGCTTCGTTAGTTGAGTCAAACCAAGCCCCCACCCCATTTTGGCTCGATATTCATGCCCCTACGGAGGATGAGATGAGAGCAATTGCCAAGTGCTTTGGAATCCACCCTTTGACCTGTGAAGATATTTTGCTCAAGGAAACACGCGAAAAGGTCGAGCTTTTCCGAAACTACTATTTCATCTGTTTTACCTCATTTGATGTGCGCACCGCAGTCAGCAGCCAACGCCGTCAGTCTCGACGACCCTCAATCTCAAACCAGTCACTTTCTTCGTGGTCCTCGAAGCAAGCACCGCGGAAAGATCGGTTGAAACCAGCAGCCATCTACATTATTACCTTCCACACAGGAGTTATCACTGTGCACTATTCTCCAACTCCACACACAATTAATGTACGACGACGAATCCGGTTGCTGAAAGACTATTTAAATTTCAGCTCGGACTGGATCTCCTATGCCCTCATAGATGATATTACAGACGGATTCGCCCCCATGATTGCGACAATTGAACAGGATGTCACATATATTGAAGATGAAATTTTGCGCATGCACGGCACTGAAACAGACGACGACAACGAAGACCATGGGCCAATTGGATCCGACGCATCGTTTTTGACCAAAACCTCCTCCACAGGCAAACGCGAGTGGCAGGCCAAGCATGGCATGTTACGAATGATTGGTGAAAGCCGGAAACGTGTCATGTCACTTATGGGCCTGTTGGCCAATAAAGCAGATGTCATCAAAGGCTTCTCCAAACGTGTCACTGAGCAGTGGAGTGGTGCACCTCGAAATGAAATCGCCATGTATCTCTCCGATATTCAGGATCATTTGGTCACCATGGTGCAAAGTCTGAATCACTACGAAAAGCTACTTGCGCGCTCGCATTCCAACTATCTTGCTCAGCTCAACATCGATATGACCAAAGCCAATAATGACATGAACGACGTACTCGGTAAGATCTCAGCTCTGGGTATGATCGTGCTACCGCTCAACGTGGTTACTGGGCTTTGGGGAATGAACGTACTCGTTCCTGGCCAACACGACGACAACTCGCTGCGTTGGTTCTATTCAATCATTGTTTGCATGATCACGAGTTCGATTGTTTTTTATTATATTATAAAACGATATGTGTAGATGGTTTTAGTTAAACTTTTTCTTCCCGCTTAACGTACACAACCTTGGCAGGGTGCTTGGGCAAAGTGACCATGGACTCAAAGTCGACCTCGGGCAGCTTTCCGCCCTCGGGGAGCGTCCACTTCATTTCACGCACAAACGTAGAGAAAATAGTACCGAGCTGAACGTAGGCGAATTGCTCGCCAATACAGCGATGGCGGCCAGCACCGAAAGGCAAGTAGGGAGAGGCGGCGCCCTTGGAGACTTCGCCAAACCCATAGTCGATGGTCTCTTCAGTATCCTTACGGGTATCCACCTCCAACCAACGCTCGGGAACAAAGTCATGGGCGTTCTTGAAGTAGTCCTCGTGCATCATAGAGTAGCCAGGGGAAACCATAACGTAGTGGCCCTTGGGAACAACGTAGTTGGTGTTGGGAATAGGCATAGGGCGCAGAACCTTGCGGAAAATCGAGTGCAGAGGAGAGTGCAGACGCAGAGTCTCTTTGATAACGGCAGTAAGGAAAGGCATCTCCTGAAGATCCTCGTAGGTAATGTCGTTAAGCTTACCATCGGCATCACGACCACACACACGCTCCTGCTCTTCGTACATCATCTCCTGGTACTGAGGCTTTTGACCAAGGTGGAGCAAAGCCCATGCAGAAGTAGAGGCAGAGGTGTGCTGACCACCCATCAGAATACCAATACACAAATTAGCGATCTGGCGATCGGTCAGCTTCTTGCCATCCTTATAGGTACAGTTGTTTATAATACCATCGATGAGGTCACGGTTGTGGACCTCGCCTTTCTCATCGCGACGACGGCGGTCGATAACCTCCAAGTACTGGTCAGAGATAGCCTTTTGGGCGTTATCACGAGCCCAGTAGTAGGGCAAAGGCAAGTTGGGGAAAACAAAATTGAGAGGCTTGAATCCCTTGTCTAGATCAGAGTAAAGCTGAGCAGTGTGAGCGCTGAACTTCGCCCGGACCTCGTCGCCCAGCAGACTGCGCGAGGCAGTGTAGATGGTCAACTCGGGAGTGGCACCGGTAACGACGGCCTCGCCGGATTTGTTGCCAAAGTATGTGGAGTTATCAAGGAACTGACGAACCTCCTCTACAATCTTGGGCACATACGAGCGGAACGAGTCCCGAGTTAAGGCAGCCTTGGCAAATTTCTTCTGCTCCATGAGGCGGTGATTGGGGCAATCGTAGACTACGCCCTCACCAAAAACAGGAGTCGTCAGATGCTTGTAGGCTTCCTCGGCAGAAACATCCGCAAGCTTGCCGTTGAGAACAAAATCGTGACCTTTAGGTCCAAGGTACACAGTCATGACACTGCCGCACATAACGAAGGCAAATTGGTCTCCGTACTTTTGACGGCAGTTCTCAAAGAACTCGTATGGTGCCATACCATAGGTCACCGCACTACCAATCCATGGGAAAAGGTAAGGCACAAGGGGCACGCGATGGGGGTACATCAGCTTGTACAGGAGCTGCTGCAGGAGGTTCAGGGCGATAACCAGAAAAACGAAGCCGGCAAACAATACGGGTGCACTGATGTATAAAGGAGCGGCATGTACCCACGCGCTCAGCACGCCAAAGTGCTGCATGCAGTGGTCCAGAACTTTTTCAATCGCCATGCTGGTAAGCAGAAAAACCGCGTAGAGTAGTGGCTTATGTAGCTGATGAGACACAACTTGGGCAGAACACCTGACCACACAGGGTGAAAAATCAGGTGATTTGGTACATGACGGCCGTTGAAAATAAAACATTGGGCACTCTGGATGCCCGTCTATAGGAAATATAAAAATTTAGAGGCCGGCAATGTTGCGATCGCACTCTGCAGCTCCTCATCGCACTGAGCCCCGGGAAATACGACATAACCCGACAACACAGTCAGCTGATCAAGACATGAACGTTATCCGCGGCAGGGCATACTCGTCGAGCACAAAGTAAGCACGCTTGATGCCGTCCCATGTAGTCCGCGGCATCTCGACGGGCATGGCCTCGTAGGATACGTCGAAGCCAAACTCGCGGACGTCGAATTCGACAACCTGCTTGTAAACATCATAGATAATCTGGCGGTCGGCGCCCAGGCCGTTGAAAAATGAAAATACGCCCTCAAAGTCCAGTAGCCCACACACTAGGTCGAAAAACTCAAGCATGTCGCTGTAGTGCTCGCTGAACGTGTCGTAGTAGATGCCGGCGAACGTTACGCCTTGGCTAAGCAGCTTGGCCAAAGTTTGTTTCCAGGGTCCTTCGAGAATCACGACATTCGGTTTGTCGTACCATCCGTCGGCCCTCATTTTAGCTAAAACAGTAGGGTGTGCTTCACAGATATAATGTTTCCCGGGCCCCAGTTCCTGAATAAAGCTGTCGATGATGCCCATACCAAACCCAACATTAAGCACATTGCGGCCGGGATGGGTGATAATTTCGGCACTACGCTTCATAATTGGAGTCTCCCAGTCCATCATAACACCGTCCTGTTGGTCGGTAACCAGCTTATCGTCTTCATACGCCAGGTTGGTTGTGAGGTAATCCTCTTGGTTACGCTCGGGCTCCGTAGTGCGGGTCTTTTTGCGGGGGTTCTCTTCTTTCTCAGCGCCTTCAGCGCCAGGGTTTACGGCGGCTTCTTCAGATGGCTCAGATTCCTCAGTCATGCGGCGTAGAAAGATCTCTGATCGCACACCGGCTTGGACAAACTTGACATATAAATCATTCAGCCCCCGCTCTCTGGCAATGCATCCAGGAGTCTTGTTTTCGCCATCAATTAGCATCCAACTAGCACCGTATTCGAAGAGCTGGTCAACCAATTGCCCGGCAAGCTCCTGCTGCTCCGGGGTTGCTGAGCGGCACAGAACATGCAACAGCCCGCTTTTTTTCTCAACCTCTCCAGCGTCTTCTCTCACGTCTCCCAGGAGCACGTTTGGTGGCATTCCGCCTTTTAAAAACAACCTCAGGTCGTCATATGCGGTTGCCGGATCTGACTTGAGCTCACAGATCGAAAAAATATCCATGACAAATTGTGAAATTTCATGCACCAGGGTTTTGTGTCTAAACCACCAGCCGGCATATCAAGTAGAACCATATAGATCTATATGCTGATAAAAACCTTAAAGCTCGTCATGGGCAACGTCGATGACATGGTCTGGAGAGCATGCAGCAGGGCTGAGCATATCGATGAAATAGCCGCACTTTTCGGGCTCCGAGACCCCGGTGATCTTGGTTTCTTCTCCGCATCGAACGGTAACCTCAGCGCGGCGAATGGGCCCGTTCCAGCACTGGGCACCGTTCTCAAACTCTAGGTAGAAGACGTCGTTGGCGAACTCGACTTTGGAGAACTTGCCAAGTTTGGTTGCTTGGCCATTACCGATCTGTCGCGCATCGCCAAAGAAGCAAACCTCATAATCGTACTCACCGACTTTGTTCTTGATGCAGGTTTCGCTCAGCGCTCTCAAGACATCGTCTTTACCAAAATTGAAAGCAAGCGTGTGCTCATCCTTGATGATTTGAGAGTTGAGATCGCTGAGCTCACGTTCAAGATCGCCAAGCCGCCTTTTGGCATCCTCTACCTTGGCGCTGGTGAAATCACGATTAGGGGCGGGGATACCTCCTGTCCACCCAAACACATCGGCCAGCCACTGGAGGGCGCCAGATATGATATTTTTGCTAGCAGGTCCCACGGCTGAAATTTCCGAGATCTCGTCCAAAATCTCGTTACCGTGACTGGTATCCAAAAGATCAAGGCTGGGGGAGAGCGCGCCAGCGGCAGTAATCTCTTCCCAGTCCCGAATTGCCTGCTTCACCGCTGGATCGTTGAAATTCGGATTGTAATCCTCTTTCATCTTACCAAGAACAGCATCAAGTTGTCTTTGGCGCTCCAGAGCAATAATCAGATCAGTCCGAAGCCGGGTCGATACCTCAGATAAACGCACGAGCTCTGCCTTGGCTTCCACGACTTTTTCATCCACCACGCTGACACCATGCTCAACAGCATCGGCCTCGGCCTCTTCAAGGTTCTCCTTGGCCTCTTGCACCTCTGCCTCCTTAGCTACCAGCTCCTGCTGTCGTTTCGTCAGTTCCTTTTCAAGCCACGCTTTCCGCTTTTCAGCCTCTTGGACCATTTCAGCGCGCTTCTTGAGACCCCGCTCTCGGGCTTCTTTTGCAACTTTCTGTCTCACAATGTAGTCCTCGTGGACCTCCTTGCAGCGGTCCTGGCAAACACCTTCCGGCTCATCACTGCCGTCGCAGCATAACTTGTAATCACAAACGCCGTCATTGACGAAACGTACAGGTATGTGTGCAGGAATATGGCCCTTGTTTTCACAGTAGAACTTGGTGTTGCCTACGCCAGCACAGGCACCGGTTCCTGGCTCGTCGCTACCGTCCGGACAGTCACAGTAGTCGTCGTTGACCCGATCAAAGGGAATGCGAATAGAAGGATGTCCTAAACAGGCCCACATCCCATCAGCATCAGGGACGTATTTGTCCTGATCTTGAGGCGCCACGCCTTTCAATGCTGTGGCCTGGGCGGCCAATAGAGCGACAGTTGTTGCAGCTAGAGTGTGCTTCATTGATGACAGAAGATGTCGGTGCTTGCAGCAGTCGAGGGAAGATTAACCTAGGATCGAGTGAAACCGAAATAGAGTTCGACGTAAACACGTTTCAAACCGTTAATTTAGGTTTTACACAATTATCCGCCGGCTACCCCGCCAATCCAGGGGGAATTGTTTAATGCTGTACACCGAGCCGGCTAATGCAAGTTGTACATGCAGATAGAAAATATGTATGTACCAACCAAATCAGATTCCGGACGTCGCGGCAATATTCTCTCAATGCATCGGTTTTAGTGGCAGTGGCAATGCTGCTTGCCACAGTGTATAGACGGTAGCCATAGTCCAGGGGGCTGCTGTAAAGTTTGCACGAAGATTGGAGTTTAACTTCGAAACTTCTTGAAATAGTTTCGACTGCATGTATTTTTTTCCGCAGATCTGCTAGGGAACAGTGGAATTTCTGGGGTTTAGAAGCTGTTCACTCAGGGCTTGCTCATTATACGAAAAAAATGTGCTCACGTATATTTGTAAAATAACCCAAAAAAAGTCGCACAGTGCACAGTGTCCCAAGTCTTATCCAAATAAACCTACTATATTGCGGAACCGACGTTTCATGTGCTAGTTTCCTTGCGTGGCTCGCATGCAGGTCCAGTTTGGGTCCTCCCACTGATAATCAAAAACCTCTTTTCAATTTACAAGTTTCAATTTGTGTTTAAGCCAGATTGAGTTTGAAGACGCTTCTTCTGCCGCTGAGATAAATTTTGCTATTTACTGGGTACTTCTATACAGCTTTATCTACTTGGAACGCATCAGATCGCTATGCCCGATCCAAATGTGCTAAGAGTGTATAAAAGCACAGGGGAAGATGCGAACGAGAACCCGGGCCAGGAATATGAATACTTGGAAGAACATCACCAACAGGGCGAAGTCCCTATAAATCACTACTTACCTCCTCAATCGTCGGGACAGCATTCGCATGACCAACGGCCGTCTCCACCGCGGCAACACCAGCACCCAGCTGAGGGGTCGCCACCTACTCCTGCTCAGCAGCTTTCATCAAACAATCCCGGTCCTTCCCGAATACCTGGCCAACAGTCTCCTTTATCCAATCCGTCGCGTCACTACCAGTTCCCCAAGTTTCCCAATGAAACACATCCTGGCCGTTACGACCCCAGAGCCCCAGCCCAAGACACTTCACAGAGACAAAGTTCAAATCAATCAGACGAAAGGAGAGGACGTTACGCTAGCTACGGCTACCCAATGGTCTCGATGCCTGCACCCTATAGAGGAGGCACCGTAGCACCTGTCGTGGAAGTAGATCCGGCCGGTCGAGCTTATTTATCTTATCCTGGTTACGAATATGAAGGCCAGATAAGCCAAGGGAACACCCCTGGTATGGTCAACCAACCGAATTTTGGCGGCCGACAACCAGGTCCGCAACCAATGTATGATATGCGCGATCCCTCAAGCTCCTACTATAACACTTCCTTGCCTGCGATGGCCCCACCCTATTATGGATCTCCGGTGCAATATGATCCAAGGATGTATGGTCATGATATATCGCCAGTGAGACTGTATCCTGGGGTTCCTCATCGGCCCCCAGTTCCACCGCTCAACTCGCGTCAAGGTATTCAACAATCCCAACCACGCAGAGGTCATCGACGGCAGCAGTCTCAACCAAGCACTGGAGCATCCAACCCGGTCAAGATGAAAGGAGTCAAAGATTACCCCTCTTTACAAGGACGTTTGCGGCTTCATCCTGATAGCCCCGGCCAGAAGGCCCTTCCCGGTTGGACTGGTAAAGTTACCACTCTAGCCTGGGAGGATGAGGGAACCCTCTGCATAATGGTCGAGGCAAACGGTATAGAAATCTCGCGCCGCTGTGACAATAATATGATTAATGGAACCAAACTTTTGAACTATGCGGGTTACACCCGTGGTCGGCGTGACGGGGTCCTCAAACACGAACAGGTTCGTCATGTTGTTAAAATAGGCTCAATGAACCTCAAAGGGGTCTGGATCCCATTTGAGCGAGCGATGGAAATGGTTCAGCGAGAGGACCTGCTGGACAGTTTGTATCCTCTCTTTGTTGCTGACCTAGAGGCTTTCTTGTATCACCCACTAAATTTAACCAGAACGTTGCAAGTTGTCCGAGCTGCTGAGGTGAAAAATCCTGTGTTCAGACTTTGGCGAGAATCGATCCCATTCAGAACGGACTCTAGCGGCGAAAATGAGGAAAATACAAGCGAAAGTGGCAGCGGAAGTAGCGGTGTCACACAAAGAGACTACTATTATAACTAATTGATTATAGAATTAATTTACAATACGGTAAAGTAGATCACACCTCGGAGTGCAAACCAACTTGCCAAATTTCGGCCTCATCTTCTTGAGAAATTCCGGCGGACTCCTGCTCGCGACGCGCGGCAGCGTGACGAAGAGCAACACGACGGACATACTCCGTGAGAGAGCGCTGCTGAGGACCAGCGACTACATCACGAGTTTGAGCACCCTGATACCATTCATCAAAGACAGCGGTGTCACGGTCAACGAAATCAAACACATCCAAGAAGGCTTGTTCGGCAGCCAGCTTCACAGGAATTGTAGTATCCCTGACAGCAGCAAATAATGGAACAATGAGATCATCTAATACCTCTGGAGTGAGATAGTGGCGACGGTGTTTAGCTACCGCGCGCAGAACCATCAATGCAAGGCGTCGGACATTGGGTGTGTGATCGTCCGTTTTCACAACGCAAGCTACGACAGCACTCATGTGGGTCGGATCCTCCGTCTGAAGCAAGTACTTGCCGAGACCTATCACGGCATTTTCACTTATTTCTGCATCGGTCGCTTGAGTGTGGCCAGCCAGAATGTTAGCAAAGTCCGGAGTGACAAACTGCTTCGCGTAAACCAGCAACGCGTTAGCAGTGAGAACTGCTAATAGTTTAGGAGCACCAATGACCTGCTTGACAATTGAAGAGCGACCCATAAGGGCTAAGGTGAGAGCTGCAATCTTGGCAACGGTGGCTTGCATGCGGACATTGGCTTCATTAAGATCAACCTCATCAATTAGCTCTAGAACATTTCCACGAAGTGGTTCTGACAAGTGCTGTCCTGCCTTGTGCAAAATCTCAAATAAGCTCTGCAGCATAGCCATACGAACACCCTCATCTTCAGCAGATCGGACACCAGCAATAATTTCTTTGGCCAAGGGATCAATACGTGTCTGCAAAGTAACAAGAGTACCCAAAGCTGTAGCTGCTCTGGTTCTAAGCAAAACGCTGGTCGGATCCGCCAATGACTTGGCAAAAGTACGCTGAAGCTGGGGCAGGAACGGTTTGAGATATTGAGGAATCCGTGCCAGCAACACATTCAAAGTGTACATAATTGCAGCCTTAACAGATGCGGGATAACGCTCACCAACCACACGAATTAGAGGACCAACAATCTGGGTAACCAAAGGTTTGAGGTTCTGCTCATCAGTACGTTCCACAACATCTGCAATAGCCAAAGCAGAAACCTCTTTGTCAGTAGTAGAACCCAGAGATAAGCCTTGCAAAAAGATGGGTAAAATGCATGAGACACCCTTGGGGAGATTGAAACCGGCGACAGGAGCCGATGTCATCTTAACAGCTTGGTGAGCAGCTGGTACGAGCTTAGCCAAATCACCCTTAGCCAGAGTAGATGTCAGTGCAGACAACAGAGCATGTGCGCCCTGAACCACACCAGCATCGCTATCTTCGAGAGATAGAATACCGAATGTAACCCAATCGGAGGCATAGTCAAGTGTGGCACCAGATCCAAGCTGTGTAGCAATGTGAGCAAGAACCGATGCACGTGTGGCTGACTCGGCAGCCTTGACTTTCTCGAGCAAATGAACTTCTGGAAGGGCAACTCCAAGAACTCGGTCCAGAGCAGTAGCATTAGCAGGAGAATCCGCCGTGTTGGAAACCTCCGCTGAAAGCAAAGCGTCTACGATCGATTCAAGTCGAGAGTAAAGAACATCACCAGCAACCTCACAAATGTCTGCCAAGCTTGAAGCCTTGAAGTCGGTAATAGGGGCTTCGATGAGCTTCGGAACAAGCGCGGGGAACACAACATCAGCACTAGTGCTCATCATTTCCTTCAGAGCAGCAAGAGCTCCATCATCACCAGCTTGCATCTGAGCAATGAGTTCAGGCAGCAAGTCTGATGCAACCTCACCAAGAGCCTCCTGAAGAGCGTCAAAGGCTTGAGATGCCGCTTCACGGACCGCTGTGACTGGATCGGTAAGACACCCACGAATAAGAGCGGTAAGAGCACGCTCATGCTCACGGAGCACATCAGTAGGTGTTGCAACAATAAGTTCCACAAGACCGACACAGATACCCTGGCGGGACTCGGGATCGCTAGCAAGCTCCTCAAGGGTAGGCAACAGCTGAACGAGTGCACCAGAAACACGACGTACAAGTTCTCCCAATGCACGGGCAGCGTTCGTCTGGGTTTCTTCGTGAGAAGAAGCCAAACGACGGACAAGCATGTGGGTTAATGGTGACAAGATCTCCTTGACAGTGCGAGGAGTGTTAGCAACAAGAGCCATCCAAACGTCCAAAGCGGAAGTACGCACCTGAGCGCTAACATCGGCACGGCAAATGAAGAGCGCGGCTAAAATCCGATCACGTCGTGTCTGACCAAGAGCTTCAACAAGAGTTTGATTAGCGGCACCGGCACCGCTTCCATCCTCAGCAGCAGTCTTGGAAATACCTGCAAGACGGAACATGAGATCACCAGTGAGCTCAACACTAGAGAGACGAATGCGGTATGAGGTATCAGAAAGACCGCGCTCAAGTTCAGGAAGCAACAAGTCAACAGCCTTGGCAGCATAATCTCTGACAATGAGTCGGCCCGCCTTAAGGGCGTTTTCACGGACCTCTTCAACAGAATCCGCAAGTCCCTGTAAAACTGCGGGCACAATTTGTGAGAGGTATGGTGTGAAAGAAGGTCCAAAAGCGGCAGGTAAGAATAAAAGCATAAGCACAAACGACTGGCGGATATGAGGTTGCGGGTTGGCACAGCTCTTGACAACAAGGGGCAAAAGTTCCTCGAGTTTGGCAACACCCAGGCCATGAGTAACCTCGGCGAGACCTTGAGCACAGCCCCAGCGATCGCCGATCTTTGTGGGATCGCGGAGAATCTCGAGCATATTGGGGATCACATCAGGGAACTGCTCTTCACCAAGCTTCTCAACTAATGCACCAAGTGCTTTACATGCAGTTGCGCATGTAGCGGGCACAGGGTCAGTCATAGCGACTTGCAGATCGGGCATGATCTCCGGTAAGTATGGAACCAGATCGGCACCATCTGTCAGAATAGACATATTACCCACAACTTGGCAGGCACGACGCTTGGTATTTGCCGAACGGTCCCGCATACCGCGTTTCACAACGTGAATCACTAGTGCCAAAGAAGGACTGTCAATGTAATGCACGAATTTTGTAGCGAGAAGAGCATCAAGAGCAGACTCGGTGTGACGAGTAGGATCGGAGATGGCATCTAGAAGCTGGGGTGTGATAGCTTTAATCTCAGCATTCTCAATAACATCACCGAACGTATGCAGAGAGTTCTTGGCGGCAGCTCGCACCTCTTTGTGGGTATCGTTTAACACCGCAACAATCTCGGGAACAATCGTAGAAAGAGAGGCAGACAACTGTTGGGGGTCCAAGTAGGCCATAGTACCAAGCAGCTCAACTGCTCCCTTCTTTCCACGCCAAGCAGTGTCATCAAGACGATTAATTGCCAAAGGAATAGACTTTGAGATACCGAATGTTGTAGTAACCTTCATGATGGAGCGAGCTGCTGTGGCAGCAGCTTCACGCACCGTGTTGTTCATGTCACCCAGACCTGCAAGAACTAGTGGTAGCAGCTCGAGTGCATATGGTTCAAATAGATTGTTCAAACGTTGTGACAAACAGTCTACGGCGAGCTGAGCACCTTCACGGCGAGCAGCTTCGCGCTTGTCTTCGCTGTATTCCTGAATTGTACGAATAACGCCATAATCGGTTAGAGCCACAAGACCCAACCCACCAACAAGACCTGCTAAACCGTACGCAGCACCTCTACGAGAGTCGGTCGAAGTGTTAGCACCAAGCGATTCAAGCAAACGAGTCATCAGAGGTGCAGGATCAATGCGAGAAGCAAGTGCTGAAAGAGCCTCACTAACTGATTGCTGGACGCGCTCAGAAGAATCAAGAGTATCTAACAGACGCTGCGCGATCGCTGGCAGCCTTGGATCGCTGGGGGCTAAGTGGCGAGCTTCTAAGCCGTACAATACCACATGCGCCTGCTGAGGTTTGTTGACAGTAACGAGGTTCTCGAACTTTGTGAGCAGCTCGTCTACACGCTCCGCACCATGACAAGCCACCAGATGAGCACCCAAAGTTTGAAGCTCAAAATCAACTTGATTGTTGGAGTCGCCGACAGCCTTGGCAACGAAATCACCTAGTTGCAACGGTTGTTCACCAGACAGGACGGGAACCAGAAGGTTTAGAGAGGTGGCTACACCACATCGAATAGGCCAAGGATCTTTGAAAGCTGTCTTGATCTCGAGGCCAAATTCATCAATCACCGGTTGAGGTGGCTCGCTTGCCACACGGAAAGCATCATAGAGCATATCAAGGATTGTCGTTAAAGTCTCCGGGCGAGAAGCTACTACCGCTGCTAATCCCTTCGCAACAGCATGGCGAACGTTTGTGCCCAGGAACGGGCGCAGAGACTCGGCTAGTTCAACAGCGTCATCAGGTAGACTCATTCCGCTCTCAGACCAAACATCTGCGGCTGCCTGGGGGGCATCCTCAGCAAAGCTTGCAATGTAGATTTCTGGTGCATATTTCCATGCGGTTAAATCGACTTCTTGATCAAGAATTTCAAGGGTCGCAACACGCACGTACGGGTTGTCGTCAACAACGGCAGAGAGCAAAGCAGATAATTCATCATTATCAAACAATACACCTTGGGCAATACGCTGCAAGCACTCCTTTACGTCCTTGGCCTTGTCCTTTCTAGATGAGAGAAGTTTCAACAAAGCAACAACTAAACCGTCGCGAGGGACGGTGGCCAATTCATCCGCATGGCTAGCAAGAACACTAAAGGTAAGCAAAAGCATTTCCTCTTGTGTTGGTGTTTTGAATGCTCGATTGCGGACAACTTTTGTGAGGAGGGGAAGCAGGTAAGCTAGAGTAACTGCATCAAATGGACGTTGATCACCCAGCATCTTGGCACGATAGAGAACTCTCACGGCGATGTCGTCAGCATTTGGAACAGAGATTAGGCCGAACGCAGAACACAATGCTTTGCCAGCATCCTCACGACGGTCAGTGAACCGGGCAGAAATGTTAGCTGTAAGAGCCTGAACGGTTCCTGCGACATCTGCCAGTGGAGCGGCCAGGCTGGAGCCCAGTTTGATCAACAAAGTGATTGCCCGAGGGAACCACACATTTTGGCCATTCTCTACGCCAGCTTTCGACAATGCAAGTATGACGGACAAAGCAAACTTATATCCAGCGGCGAATTTTTCAAGCCCGTTGCGGCGGACAGTTTGTTCCGCCATCATCGCGGTGTCTTCTTTAGAAAGCTTACCACCATTTTTAGCAGCGAGCTCTCGTCTCACTTCCGCTTCCCAGGCGTCAAGAGATTTGTCACGGCCACGTTCAGTTACATCCCGCTTTTTCATAACGGCCTTGGTCATAGCCAGCTCGCCAGGGGCCGTACGAAAGATTGTGATATCATCAGCTGTTACATCCACAGGTAACAAGCTACGCTCTAGGTATGAAACGATGTGAGGTGCATAAACTTGCGGCGCGACAAAAGCAAGAGTAGCGATAGCAGAAGCAGCTGCTGCGTGCCACTCGGTAGCGCCTTCGCCTGTAGCCGAGGAAGCATCCCAGACAAGCTCTAAAAGCTTCTCAACATTTTGAGATGCGACAGCGCCTGCATCGACCTGAGCACGAGCACACAAGCCTACCCATGTTTGAGGAAGCGCCTTTTGATGGTGGGCAGTGACAATAAGAGCCACAAGGGTGTTTTCGGCCAAAGCAGCAGGACGTCCAAAAGCTTTGATTACCGCACTAATCCTACTCCACTTGTCGGTGTGCGAACTCAGTTCCTGAGCCATGTAAACACCAAGTTCGGAGTTCTCTTGATAAACCTTACCAAGGGCAGATACCGACTCAGTCTGAGCAAGGCCTGCAGTTTGACTAGCCGCAAGATAGGTCATTGCACGGGTACTTTCAGGGGACTTGCGTTTTCCAGCAGCTTGAACACCGATTTGAAGGTCTTCACTAGCTGTCAGGCGCTCGTATACCCTGGGGTCGAAAAGCGCATCTCCATCATCAGCTCCCAGCAGAACACACGCATACCCAATAGCGATGCATTTAAAACTAATCGCAGCATTGACGTTACTTGCAATATCTTTGTATGCCTTTTTCAGCGCTGTTTCAATGTTGGGTGTCAGTTTAGCGGGCCCACTTGCAAGCGTCACGGCCCAAATACGACGTAGGGGGTTTCTTGAGTCTTGCAAGCCCTTGACAACAATAGATTCAGACTCCGGGAGCGCATTAACAACAGCTTTAGCAATTTCTGACACACCTGCTTCTGTGCTTACTTTAGTTGCGAATGATGATAAAGTGTCGATAACAGCAGGAAGAGCTGGAGAGATAGCCGAAGTGTATCTCGCTAACGAATGAGCATATAGAGCAGATTGGGCTGGGTTAGTGGCCTTTTTCGCATTGGTAGCGATTTTTGTGACAAGAGAATCGTCAATACCCCTAGACAGTAACAAGCCCAGAACTTCAGAAGCCTGCTGTCGAACCTGAGGGCTTGAGGAAGACAAATTGGACTGCAGAGACTGCTCTAATTTTTCAGCCAATGCGTTCATATTCAAATCCCGGGTTTGGTCTTTAATCACCGGTGGCAGAACTATCACCAGAGTAAGCTCAGCTGAGCGAAGCATAGCTCTACCATAAGCTGGCACCAATTGTTCGTCAAAGATTTGCTGGGGGATCAATGCCATAAACGGGCCAAGGGCTTGAATCACACTGTCCGTCAATGCAGGGTCCGCAGGGCCTAAAACACTGGCGATGTACGCAGCAACAAAGTCTGGAACAGCTTCGACACAAGCGGCTTCTATGGCGGGTGTTTCGGGTGCAATTACGGCAGCTCCATCTGCAAGAGCTCCTGCCAACAAACATGCCGCCAGCGACTTGTTTTTCAGTAAATCAAGAATAGGAGAAGCCCCGTGCCTGACAGCGTATTTGGTGCAAGCCGCCCGAGTTTGGCGCAGCGAAGTTTTGCATAGACGCGGGCGATTTGAGTCCATTGCCCGGAGCAGAAGTTTTGCCTGTACTGATAGGAGGTCTTGGGCGACCGGTCCTAAAGCCACCAATAGAGCGTTGGCCCATTCAAGCAATAAGGTAATTGCTGAGCTTCCGCCTGATTTGAGGGAAGTCTGCGCGGTCTCTATAAACTGTGAGACAACTTCAGAATTTTTTTCGGCGGCTTTTATCAGAACCTGAGCGGAGGTGTCTCTCAAAACTGCCGAATCCATAGCTGCGTGGGTGCTCAGGAGTGCCGGCACGATACCATCGAGATCAGAAGAGTCTTCAGTCAAAAGCTGCCTAAGAAAGGAGACCTTTCCAAAGGAGTTCAACGACTGGAAACTCATCGTTATACACCAAGTACACAATCGAGGTTTGGAAAGGGTTTTGAAAAAATCGTAATCTGAGATTCCCAAGTCAGACCCCAACGGTTACCCTACACCCCAGATTTTGAGTATATAACGATGACGGCAGGAATTTTGTCATCACAACTAAAACAACCGTTGATGAATGAGATGTCGAAATAGAAGTTCGCCGCGTTTGCTGGCTTGGACGGTGTCGACACTGGTCTCTCACCACCCTTAACCAGAGTTTTCTGAGGTTGATTCAAAGTTGGTTTTTGGTAGCTAGCTATTTAGTAGATTAGATTACAGCCCATGCAGGTAGGCGGCAAGAAAGTTCGGATCAATGTGAGAATGAATTTTAGCTTGTTATCTGAGCTCGCAATATGAGTATATAGTATCTTCAGCGTCCAATAATCGCCTTGATGGCCAAGTTGGTAAGGCGTAGCACTAGTAATGCTAAGATCACCGGTTCGAATCCGGTTTGAGGCAAATTTTTTTGGTCATCGTTTCTCGGTTTTTTTTGGTCTTGTATTGTCTTGTTTGACGAGGGAAACTGGTTAAAAGAAAATGCTTTTCTAAATAAATGAACCTGGGAAGGCCGTTGCTGCTATTAATAAATTTACAAAAATAAATATCACTGAGGACACACGGGCACATCATGGCGGAAGCAGCAGCGCTCATTGTAAGAGCAGGAACCAGTCTTGACCCAGTTCTGGCAAGGCTTGGACCGCCACTTGGGAGGGCGGTCGACGGTCTTGAGTTCCTGGGTGCCGTGGGCAAACTGGCATTTTTCACCGTAGGGGCAGTTGCCGCCCGTGCTCATGTAGGATGCACATAGCTCTGTTTTATAAAGCTCAGTGTTGGTGCTGGGACGACCGGACTTTTTCGGGGGTCTGCTGATTCCGGGGCCCGTAGACGAGTTGGAAGAAGTTGACGAGGTCGACGACGCAGACGAGCCAACAGGAGCGTGGCCAGAGCCAGCAGAGGCGTGCGGAGGGGTGTGCACGCCGACCGCCAAAGGCTTAGAGCCAGTGGGGGTGGAGAACCTTGATGGGGTGGTTGGCAGGCCGCTGGAAGAAGGGCCTGTGGCGTTGATGGGGCTTCCGACCGGAGCAACGACGGAGGAGCCTACTGCGCCAACTGGGGGAACCACGTGGTTCATTCCACCTAGTGCCAAGCCAGTAGGAGCAGCCGACGAAGCACCAGCGGGTGGAGGGGAGTGGGCAGCGGCGGAGGACGAAGCGTCGAGCCAGCCACCAAGATAGTTACGGTTGGCGGGGCCATGAACGTAGCCGGGCTGAGGCGGTGCCTGACCGGGGATCAACGAGGGTCCGGTCGATAGACCGCCAGGGATAGCAGGCTGGGGAGAAGCGACAGCTGCGGGGGCAGCCGCACCTGTGGGGGTCTGACGGTAGCCGAAGCCGTCGTCACGGGGGCCCCAAATTCCCCTGGTGACACCAGCACGATAAGCAGGAGATAGCAAGCTGCCTTTTGGCGCTGCGCCAGGAGCCATCAGGCCGACGTTGGGGACGCCAGGTGCAGCGGGCCCCGAAGCGGCAGCGGTGGCCGCCCCCGTGGGGGCAACTGTGGTCGGGGGTGCCGCAGGGGTACCTGCCTGGGGAGCCGGAGCCCACAACGAGCCAAAGTAATTCGAAACCTGGGGACCAGACGCCGAGGCGGCAGTGGCAGGAGGAGTTGCCGGCACAGAGCCCGGGGCCGACGGGGCCACTGACGAAGTTCCCGAAACCGGGGCGCTCTGGGCGGGGAAGAGCTTACTTTGAGGAAGATTCCACAAGTCACTCAGCGGAGCGCAAGAACGACTTTCGTTAAGTGTTGCAGACAGATCGGGTATGTGTCCATGCGAAGCGGTAGCCATCACTAAAAGTCGGGTTCAGAAATAGCACAAGAGGAGGGATGGGGGTCGCAGCTAACGAGCGCAAAAAAAAAGCACAACGAGTAAAAGTCCTGAATAAATACTAAGAAGATCCAATAACAGAAGTAACTAAAACCGGTAAATCTTTCGGGGTTCAGTCACTAGGTATATAAAGCTGGGGTTGGCAGGATTTTTTTGTTATCGTCGGAAACGAGTACTGGGATAGGTGGAAAAAAGGTAGAGAAAAAATATTGACTCAGCCAGGTTAAAGTGACCGACTAAGCAGGGTAGCGGTTGCATATGACGTCACGCCCTAGGGAGACGGTCGCAGGCAAGATATAGGCTTCTAGGTCGAGGGGGAAGTTAAGTTTGAGAAAAACGGCAGCCAGCGACCCGAAATCTCCGACACACGGACCCCGCGTGATTGCGACGCCTTGATCGAGCCGATCGATCCTGCCCCGCGGCAGCCAGCAATAGCCTAGGGTTTGCCCAGGCGGCCCAGGAAAAATACCACTTTCCATCAATAAATAATTGCATACTTAAAGGGCTACGGAAGAGTCTAGGTTGGTTTGTAGGCGGCCTTGGCGGTCCTGAGCCGGGCCTGCGGGCGTCGTCGATAGCACTCTCTCGCCCCGGAGAACGATGAGGCCTAGAGTGCGGGTCTGCTCGACGCCCTTGCGGGTTCGCGACACCTCTTGGGCATCGGCAATAACCAGGTTCATATAGCCGTCGAAAGCAAGTAGTTCACCGCTTACCTCCGAGTTGTCGGAGAGGAACACCCGTATTGGGCGATTGATCAGATCGGAGAGCTTGGTTTTGGCCATGTCGTTGTGGGGGCGGGCCAGTAGTGCAGATGTGGTTGCAGTGTAGAGCGCCAGGAAATGTCGAAACGCTTCCGAATCGAATCTACAAGTGCTTGTGCGGGATTGACTAAAAAAGACCACCCACCCCTTTGCAGGTTACATAATGTCTGAACTGAAACGCAAGCAGGAAGACGAGGATGAAGTGGCTGCCAAGGTGGCCAAGACGGGCGACGTAGTTTCAATCAATGAGGAGATTGCTGTTGCCGAGTCATTGAAGGAGTCGCCAGAGCCGGGCGCCGCCAGTGTCGAGGTCGAGGCGGACAAACCTAAAGAGGCTGCTGCCGCGCCCGAGACGGCCGCGTCTGCGCCGGCTGCTGAACCCAAAAAGACCGCCCGCTCCAAGTACGCCGACCTCGAGGGCGACAGCGAGGACAGCGAGGACAGCGAGGACGACGAGGACTTTGACGAGGGGGAGTTCGACGACGATCTCGACGAGGAAGAAGAGCTCTCTGAGGTCGAGGTCGAGGAGGGCTCGCGTCGGAGGACCCGCGTGGACTACAAAAAGGTCCTCGAGGAGATGGAGAAGGAAGAGGCCGCCAACCTCCAGGACGACGATGACAACGAGTTCGTAGCTAAAGAGTAGATTGTTTCTGTAGTGAAATTTTGATTTGATTTAGTTTGGTTTGATTTGGTTTGGTTTTTGTTCTTGGAAGGGTTTTGAATGGTAGGCTATTTAGATCGTCACTTTGCACGATAAGATTTAAAAAGGAAAAAAAAGAAAACAAACACGTGCGTATCTAGCAGCAGCTGCTCTTGCTTTCGTCGGGCTGCTGGGTAAAGGAAATAGTCTGTCCCTGAGAGGGCTTGATTTGCGCAAAGTCGGCCTGTAAAGTGGTCTGTTCAGCATGCTGGCGGTAGATTTCGGTGAGAATGTTTTGGAAGGCAAGCTCGACATTAGTAGCGTCCAAAGCAGACGTCTCAATAAACAGCAGCTTCTTCTCCTCGGCAAACTGGCGGGCCTCGTCAGTGGACACGGCGCGCAGGTGCTTGAGGTCGCACTTGTTGCCGACCAGCATAATTACAATTTGCGACACGGCGTGCTCGCGGAGCTCGTTCAGCCAGCGGTTGACGCCCTCGTATGTCTCTGGCTTGGAAATGTCGTACATGAGAAGCGCGCCGACCGCGCCACGGTAATATGCAGCCGTGATGGCCCGGTAGCGCTCCTGGCCCGCCGTATCCCAAATCTGGGCCTTGATGACCTTGCCGTCGACAGTGACAGTGCGAGTGGCAAACTCGACGCCAATAGTCGATTTGCTTTCCAGGTTGAATTCGTTACGGGTGAACCGGCCAAGAATGTTGGACTTGCCTACACCACTATCACCAATCAAGACAACTGCGTTAGTTACACGTTCGTTCCTTGCGGCCTCCGCCGCCCGCTCCACTTACTCTTGAATAAAAAGTCGTATTCGTCGGCCATAGTACTTTGGGAAACCTTCAAAGTCAGCCAAATCCCAAAAGCCACCAGCTGCCTCCCTTCCTCTTAGTAATGCTTGCTGCAGGGCTCCTGCGATTCAGCCTGCGGGTTTCTGGCGGGGTTGCACGCTGTGCAAGCGGCAATGTGCGCTGGAACGTTGTGAAAGTCGCCGGGGGATGGCAGGGACGCTGGTCACAAAGCGGCGCGGCCGGAGCCTCTCGGCCGGCGCCAAGATCGCCCCTTTATCCTGTTTTGGCCCTATCTGCTGTTGCATTCACGCAGTTTGACGAAACAGACGACTCCGAGCAGACGCGGGAAGCGAGAATGCTCATAAAAAGCAGAATGGAGGCCCAGGACAATCCGCCGGACTCGGTTGTGGGCAAAATATTCTGGGCTCTTCGGCATTACGTCTACGAGCCGGTGCGGGTATTTTTGCGGTTCGTTCACCTGCTGACCTTGTTTTTGCCGGTGCTGTTCCTGTGTCCAATTGTGTTCTTTGGAAGCAGCCATCCAGATATAGACTGCGACAGGACAGGTGCTCTGCTGTGGTACAAACTGGTTCGCTATGCCATGCAGTGGGCGGGGCCGTCTTTTATCAAATTAGGCCAATGGGCAGGCAGCAGAACTGATATTTTCCCTATGGGCCTGTGTCGCGAGTTTGGCGAATTGCACTCCAACGCTAAAAAACACGGGTTCTGGCATACCCAGTGGGTCGTAGAAAAGGTCACTGGCAAGTCCGTTGACGAGGTCTTTGATTTCATAGACCACAAACCTTTGGGCATTGGAGCAATGGGCCAAGTATACCGGGCCAGACTGAAGGGTGAGTCTAATGAAGTTGCTGTCAAAGTGTTACACCCCCATATCGACAGCATGGTTGACCGAGATCTCGCAATCATGATGTTCTTTGCGAAAATCATCAACGTGCTTCCGACAATGGAGTGGCTATCGCTTCCTGGAGAAGTCGAGACGTTCAGTACAATTATGAGATCCCAACTTGACTTGCGAATCGAGTCTGAAAATCTCCGTATTTTCCTGCACAATTTTGAGAACTATCCTGCAGTGTCTTTCCCCAGGCCTTATCCAGAATTAACTACTCGGATGCTGCTTGTTGAGGAGCTGGTACATGGTGTACCCATGTCCAAGATCCTTGAGTTTTGCCAGCATTCTAGTATGGACCGAAGACTGGCTCTGGTTGGATTGAATGCGTTCTTCAAAATGCTGCTGCTTGACAATTTCACTCATTCCGATCTTCATCCCGGAAACATTATTGTGCAGTACACGTCGCCTAAAGGTGATTTCGAAACAGCGAATGAGCGACTGAAGAAGGCAAAGACCAAGGCAGAATGGTCCCAAGTCATGCGAGAGCTCGAGGACAAAGGTTACGAACCACACATTTGCTTCATTGATGCTGGTCTCGTTACAGAACTCACAACAAAGAATCTGCGTAACTTTATCGATCTGTTCCGAGCCGTGGCTACTTTTGACGGCTACAGAGTCGGAGAGCTCATGGTTGAACGCTCTCGCACCCCCGAAACAGCTATTGATCCAGAAGTGTTTGCCCTCCGCGCTCAAAAGCTCGTGGACGAACTCAAGACCAAAACTTTTGCTCTAGGCAGTCTATCGCTGGGCGAACTTCTGGGCTCCATGATGGATATGGTTCGCCGGCATCACGTGCGAATGGAATCCGATTTCATCACCATTGTTTTGAGCAACCTACTTATCGAAGGCATAGGTCGTCAACTGGATCCCAGTCTTGATCTTTTCGAGTACGCACAGCCGGTCCTACGCCAAGTTAGCACTCAAGGACACCTTAGCAAAGAGGACTTTGTTCAAATGACCAAGGTGTGGGTGGTCGTCGAGGTTCGACGATTCATTCAGGCCAGTATCCAACAAATCCACAACTGCGTCAAATACGACCGCTTTTCTCCAAACGTATAATTTTAATTTTAACCCTCATACCACCCCCGCTGCCTATCGCGCTGCCGCCGTTGCTGTTGCCCTAGCCCAGAGCCGTTAAGCCATAGGTGTGCACGTGCGATCGTCATACAAAAAAGAAAAACACCCACACTACACTCGGGGCGGCATGAAATTTGCAAAGTCGCTCCTGCGCAACCAGGTGCCCGAGTGGAGCGAGTATTATATCGACTACAAGGCGCTTAAAAAGCTTGTCAACCAAGCCGCCGCGGCTCCAGAGGGCACTGAACGGGAAACCGCATCGCAGCCGTTCTTTTTCCAGCTCGATCGCAATGCTGAGATCGTCGATACTTTCTTCAATTCCCGTTTCGCAGAGTATATGAGACGGCTGAAGCACGTTACTGAGCGGCTGCCAAAGGGATCCCCATCCCCAACCGGATCATCTGCCCCCACACTCGATATCCGGCTCTTGGACGCGGATGAGCTGTCGGAGCTGGTCTCGGGGCTGCTGGAGTTGCGCTCCCAGTTCAGAAAGTTGGCTTGGTATGCCGAAGTTAACAAACGAGGGTTTGTAAAGATCCTCAAAAAGTTCGACAAGCATTGTCGTGCGCACACTCAAACCAGATACCTCACGTCCAAGATTTTCATCCTCCCGTTTGCAGATGGACAACAAGTTTCAGAGAAGATCAACCAGGCCAGCTCGATCTTGCAGGAAATCTCTCCGAATGTCGATTTGGAAAATGGGTTGGCAAACCTCAAGTTCGGCGCGTCCGCAGAGGCCTTGCCAATCGATGTGCCCGCCGAATTCGTTGCTGCCATTGACAATGGAGATGACGAAAAGCTCAAGTCGTTATTTGCTAGCTCGCCGATGCCGTCTCAAAAGACGTTGTCCAGACTTTTGCTGAGAGCTCTGGCAGGTAATAAAGCTATCGACACGGTCTTGGGCCACTATAACATCAAATCTTCTTGTGAGCTGCACAACCGCAATATTATACACAAGCTGGTGATTCAGTGTCGAAATCCCAGCAATTTACCCAAACTGAAAGCTGGCTTCCACCATCCATCTCCTAGCCTGCCGGATGAGGCTGAAGAGATCGATGTGGATGAAATTGCTCTAGGTAATCCCTATCAACAGCTAGTCAGATTGCTGGACCATTTGACAGAAGACATGCATGAAGCTGTGGTGGCTCTGGATGATATGATGCGTGCTCCGTTACACTATGCGGCGATTTACGGGCTGCCCCAAGTGTCAGAGATTTTGATATCCAAAATGTCGGAATGGGAGCTTTTGACGTCTTCTCAGGGTATTCTCAGCATGGAGTTCAAGGATGCCGAAGGACTTGGTCCAATTCACTATTCTGTTCGCAACAACCATCCGGTGACGACAGAAAAGATGCTCAAGGAAGGCGTCCCACCTACCGAGGCCACAAAATCAATCTTGAATCCATTCTTGTTGGTTGCAACACGTCTCAATTCAGTAAAAATGCTCAAAGCACTACTTGATTTCGGTCTTGACATCAACTACCAGAACTCAAAAGGCGAGTCGGCCCTATATACGGCTGCCAAATATAATTATTTGGCAAGTGCAAAACTCTTGATTGCTTCCAAGGCTGATCTTGAGCTTGAAGAGTATACTTTTGGCTGGACTGCTCTTTTCGTTGCTGCAGTAGATGGGTCAACTGAAATCGTCGATCTCCTGTTGGACGCAGGGTGTGTATCCACAGGTCTTGATCAATCGGGCTGGTCTGCAAAAGAGCATGCAGCCTTGAGAGGGCATATTAAGTTGTCAGAAAAACTCGAGTTACCTTCCGAATCGCCAACTCTAGTAGCAAAGCGAGAAACCACTCCCCCAGAAAGCGGAGCTTCGGATTCGCTAAAACAGCGGAGATCGACGGTTCCTAAAGACATTATCAAGTCTTTTGGTCATCGCTACTTGGAAGATCCAGATACTGTGATGGTTCTGGTCACACTAAGCAGCCACGATCTTCGCCAAACTCGACGTTGTGTGGAATTTGCTAGTCTCAACATGTCACAAGCCGGTTCAACAGAGTTGGATACGGCACTTTCACTGGTAGTCTCGTCAACTGGACATGGCGAACCGGTTGTCTTAGATCTGCCCGCTCCCGAATTTGGTGTTAGTACCGAAACAATCGCTTTTACAACTGCTGATCTGGCCAACACAGCAATCTATTTTGATTTGGTGCCCACATATTCGCCAAAGCGACCAGTGCTTGGTCGGGCAGTTGGAATGCTATCAAGCATTGTAAAGCCTGTTGGAAACATGGAAAACCTGAACGAGTCTATGGTGGTGCCCATTCTCGAACAGGGAACGCTGGCTATTCTGGGCACCGTCATGTTCAGCTTCCAAGTTGTGCGTCCATTCAAGCATGCAAGTGTTGGAATTGAAACCACGTCGACGTACTGGAAATCTTTGACCACCAGTCGTGTGATTGGACACCGAGGTCTTGGTAAAAATACCCTGTCCCAGCGATCGCTGCAGCTTGGAGAAAACACTGTTGAAAGCTTTATTCAAGCGGCCAATCTGGGGGCTTCGTACGTCGAGTTTGACGTGCAACTAACTCGGGACCTTGTTCCAGTTATTTATCACGACTTTGTTGTGGGTGATAGCGGCTTTGATATTCCAATGCACAACTTGTCACTGGAGCAGTTTATGAATATAAACATGCCACAGGCGACCCAAACTCAAGAGGAGAGCTCAAAGCCACGCCGATCAATGTCTTTATATGATTCTAGACAGTCATTTATGGAAATGCACAGAATGGCGCTAACCAAAGACTTCAAGGCCAAGGGGTTCAAAGGTAATGTGCGGGGCCATTCGATCCAGTCCAAGTTTGCGACTCTCGAAGAGCTGTTCAAGACCTTACCGGCTTCGGTCGGGTTCAATATTGAATGCAAATATCCAATGCTCGATGAGGCAGAAGCTGAGGATATGGACCAGATTGTACTTGAGAAGAACGTTTGGGTTGATACTGTTTTGAAGATGGTGTACGACCTCAAGGGGGACCGTGATATCATATTCTCTTCTTTCAACCCTGATATTTGTGTCTTGCTATCTCTCAAGCAGCCGTCAATCCCAGTATTGTTCCTGACTGAAGGCGGCACGGCACCTATGATGGACGTCCGGGCTTCCTCCTTACAAGAGGCCATTCGATTCGCTAAACGCTGGAACCTTCTTGGCATTGTATGTGAGTCCACACCCATTGTCGCGTGTCCCCGCTTGGCTCAGGTCGTCAAACAGTCCGGGCTGGTTTGCTTTACCTACGGCGTTCTCAACAACCAGCCTGACCTGGCCCGGCGGCAGCTCAAGGCCGGCGTCGATGCGGTGATCGTGGACTCTGTGCTTGCGGTTCGAAAAGAACTCACTTCCGACGAGGGAATTGTATTCTGATTGATAAATAACTAGAGGAATAGTTTAGGTTCGCTAACTGAAAGATTCACGGGGCTGCAAGAAGTCGGCCTCTCCGAAATCTGTGTCGTTCTGTGAATGCGACTTGAAGGCCGCCGGAACAAAGTAGGCCTGAACACTGGACATGCTGGTCGGCTTTTCAGGCAATGGTTCATCGACGTCTGTTCCGTAGGCGTCGTCTTCTTCCGCTTCGTCACGCGAGCGCTTCTGGGCCTTCGTACTCGCGTTTCTGGCAGCAACTCGCTGCTCGAGTTCTGTCTTGGGTCGAGATTGGCTGATGTCGAACTGCTGCTGAATACTGGCTCGGTCTAAAGGACCGACTACATCACCCTGGTACGATGGAAGGAAGCCCTGGGTCAAGTAGCCTTCACTAACAGCCTTGCGGGCCCGCATGCCTACATTTGCGAGCTGTACCTGCAATTCTGGGTCCAATGCAGGGGCTCTGGACGAGAGCCCGACTCCGCTGGGATTCAGCGGATAGTCACTGTGGAGTCGCTTAGCCGGAGTGGGTGGTGTCATGCTAACCTCAGCAAAGGTGATTGGAGGATGGTTGACTCGGTGTGAGAATTAGCCTGAGCAGAGTGAAGCCAGTGTAAACTGCGAATGAACGAATTTTTCAAGTATTTAAGCAGATCAGTTCAAGTCTCACTGTCCGACGCTAACTGGCAGTGCGTCGGCTGATTAACTCGCATAGGTGAACAAACATAGTCACTAAGGCCGGTCGCACCTCACGAATGAGACCGAGAGACCAGTTTTCTCCAAAATGCCATGGGTTAACTAGTGAGCCGCTCAAAAGCACCAATTCACTCGCCAAGAGCGCCAAATCGCCCGCGGCCACGGGGTAAGGACCTAACCCTGGACAATTTACGCGCAGCATAAACACCCTCGCCCCTTTCTAAAAATATAAAACAAGCATCGTTACCGCCCCGTGATCTCAGCTCCACCATGCCTGGTCAGCCACCGTACTATAACAGTTACGGGTACAACGAGGGATACGACGATGAGGAGGAGCAAGGGCGGCCTCAGGTGCGAATTGGCCGTTCTGACGAAACACCAACTCTGCTCTCGATGAACTTCCCCCAGGACAGCCCCTCTGCTCCCTCACCGGTTGCCTCAGGGAATCCCTATGTGAATGGACAGAGGACGTCTTACAATTTCGACACCCCGGACTATCCGACGTACAGCGGCTACGTCAGTAGCTACGACGACCCCCTCACTGGCTCAGTTTATGACCAGAGACCGTCTTTTGAACTCAACCAGCTGAATCCCGGCCAGCCTGAAAGTGCCGGGGCAGCTGCAGACTCCTCATGGCAGAACATGTACAGCTACCAGGACAACAATCATCTCTTAAGTCCTGTTTATTCTCCATCGCATGTGGTCAAAGATCCTGAATCCCAAAATTACATGGAGCCCGGCCGCTTGAATGTGTTTGGAATGTCCAATTCGGACGAGTATGCCGATCAGGAGGACGAACACTATGTGTTCCCCATTAACGGTGATGAATATGCTTTGAATACGTGGGGCGACGAAAGCACAGAAGTGGCTAGTGATACTGATGTCGAGGATACGGACAATGAATACGACAACAATGGACGCACAAATCCCCGAAAGGTTCAGCTTTTCCGGGGTAATCTTGTCCTTGATTGTCCTGTGAGTGATCGCTTGTTATCCCAGTATCCTGAACATCAGCCGGTTCGCGAGTTTACCCATATGCGTTACTCTGCTGCGACATGCGACCCTGCAGACTTTGTTGCAAACGATTTCACACTCCGTCAGCGATGCTACAGCTCGCCCAGAAGCACGGAGCTTTGCATTTGCATCACCATTTACAATGAAGACGACATTCTCCTGGCTCGCACCTTACAAGGCGTATTCAACAACATCCGTCATTTGTGCAGTAGATCACGATCAAAGGTGTGGGGTTCAGAGGCCTGGAAAAAGGTCGTTGTGGTTGTTGTTTCTGATGGCCGTGAAAAGCTCAACCCGAGAGCGAAGGCATTGATGGCAGCCCTGGGTGTATATCAAGAGGGGTTTGCTAAAAACATGGTCAACGACAAGCCTGTCGAGGGCCATATTTACGAGTATACGACAATGGTGCGAATTGCTAGCGCCAATGATACTGTGCGTTTGACTACTAAAAACGCTGTTCCTGTGCAAATGCTGTTTTGCCTCAAGGAGAAGAACAAAAAGAAAATCAACTCCCATCGATGGTTTTTCCAGGCGTTTGGGCCTATTTTACAGCCTAAAGTATGTGTGCTTCTGGATGCGGGTACTCGCCCTGGTAACCACGCTATTTATCATTTATGGAAGGCATTCGATAAAAACTCACAGATTGCTGGTGCTTGTGGAGAAATTGCTGCTGCCCTAGGAAAGGGCTACTCGAAACTGTTCAATCCGTTAGTTGCTGCACAGAATTTCGAGTACAAAATGTCTAATATTCTCGACAAGCCCTCTGAATCTGTTTTTGGCTTCATCACAGTTTTACCCGGTGCGTTCTCAGCATATCGTTATGAGGCGCTGCAAAACGATGCCAACGGTGAGGGCCCACTTGAAAAGTATTTCAAAGGAGAAAAGCTAGAAGGCCAGGGCGGTATCTTTTCGGCAAATATGTATCTCGCCGAAGATCGTATTCTTTGTTGGGAACTTGTTGCAAAACGCAACTGTAACTGGGTACTAAAGTACGTCAAATCGGCCAAGGCCCACACCGATGTGCCCGAGCATCTCAGTGAGTTGATTCTTCAGCGTCGTCGTTGGTTGAATGGCTCGTTTTTCGCGGCAATCTACGCGCAAGTCCACATGTTTGGTATTTGGCGTACGTCGCATTCTTTGGCTAGAAAATTGTGGATGCATATCGAGTTCCTGTACCAGGCAATCAGCTTGATTTTCTCTTGGTTTTCGATCGGTAACTTTTTCCTCGTTTTCAAGATTCTCACTGAGGCGGTTGGTGACCCGAGCATGGACTTTGCTCCGGGCCACGTCCTGTCGATTGTTCTCACTTGGGTCTACGTTTGCTGCCTGGTTACCATTTTCGTTCTTTCTTTGGGGAACAGACCAAAAGGCACACATTATTTCTATGATATTATCGCTGGCTTCTTTGCGGTGTTGATGGCGTACATCTGTTTCTCGGCTATCTACGTTGCCGTTCGAAGTGTCGAGTATGAAATTTGCAAAGACGGCGGGTTCAAGCCGCAAATGATGGTTTTGGATAAGACGTTCCGTGATTTAATCATCTCATTACTCTCGACTTATGCCCTTTATATTATTGCGTCCCTTATCTCTCTTGAGCCTTGGCATATGATCACGTCGTTCCTGCAGTATATTTTGCTCAGTCCCGCCTATATCAATGTTTTCAATGTGTATGCATTCTGCAATACTCACGATATTTCTTGGGGTACCAAAGGAGACGATAAAGTCAAACTTGACTTGGGTGTGGTCAAAGCGGACGAGAAAGGCAAAGCTGAAGTCGAGTTGCCCACAAGCTCTAGTGCGGTCGACCAGTATTATGTTGACGAGATCAATCTGCTCTCCTCACCGCCGCTCAAGGTCAAAGAGGAGCCTTCGGCCCAGGACCGTCACACTGACTACTATGCCTTCTTCCGTTCGAGTGTTGTGCTTATCTGGCTGTTTATGAACATTGCTCTTATTGCGGTTGTTCTCAATGTAGGTGGGTTTGAAGACATTACAAAAACAAGCTCTTCAACCGCTACAGCCACAGCGACTCCTGCTGCTACGGCAGCGGCTGCAATCAAACTAGCGGTGCGGGATACTTGTAAACCGGTCAACACTGCCACCACTCAAACGACTGAAATTTATTTGGCGGTGATTCTGTGGTCGGTTGCGGGTATGGCGGCCTACAGATTCGTGTGCTGTGTTTTGTTTTTGGCCCAGTGGGTCATTGGTCACTAGTTGTACTTTAAATAACTCTCTAGTGCCTGCTACTTGGCTATTGCTATCTGTGCTACCTTTGCGCGTACACCGTCAGTCTTCTGGCCGCCAGACCCGTACTTGTGGCCTTCTTTTGAGTATTTATGCCCTCGCTATCGACGACTTTCCAGATTACCTAAAATGAGAGCGGTTATTCAAAGAGTCAAACAGGCTTCAGTGACCGTCGACTCTCAAGTAACCGGCCAAATCGGACGAGGTCTACTGGTTCTTGTGGGAATATGCCCGGAAGATACCCCAGAAGATTGTGAAAAACTGGCCTCAAAACTGACCAAGATGCGACTTTGGCCTGACGAAAACAATGGACAATGGAGAAAATCCGTGGTAGATATAGGGGGAAAAGTACTATGTGTGAGTCAGTTTACATTGTATGCAACAGTGCAAAAAGGTACCAAGCCTGATTTCCACGGCGCGGCCAAGGGAGACGGTGCAATCGAACTGTATAATAAGGTCAAAGAACTTGTGGCCAAAGGTATGCCCAACGGAGAAAACGACGTTGCAGATGGCAAATTCGGTGCTATGATGGACGTGTCGTCAGTCAATGACGGTCCTGTGACGATTCAATATGACACCAAAGTATCCCGTAGCGGTAAATAGATTTATTCGGGCTTTGGTGCAGCCTTTTGGGTTTCGGCGTACTTCTTTTTGAAGATCTCCTCAACGGTTTGCAGTCCTTTCATTTTTTCGTTGACCAGCTTGTCGAGATCAACTAGATTCTTGTTCAGGGTCTCGCATTTACCCTCGAACAGCTTGATGGCATCTGCGGAGTTTTTCTCGACAAAGTAGTCAGTGCCTACATCGACAACATACTTGTCAATGTTTTTCATTTGTCCTGGAACATACAATGACGACGTGAGAGGCACAAGAATATCCTTCCCTTCCTGACCCTGGGACGAGGCTGTTTTCACCGAGTCGATACAGTCTCTGAATTTTACCTGGGCCTGGCGTAATTGCGTGAATGATTCTGATAAATGCTCTAGCTCTGCTTCGAGCTGCTGGCGCACTTCTGCCAACTGCTGGACAGAAAGGTCGTTGACGTCCATTGCAGGCTATTGACTAAGGCAGCGAGGGCTGAAAAAAAAAATATCACAGACCACCTTCACAGCCTTAGAGCGTCCGTTTTGTAAATGATTTCAATCGCTATTCCGGCGTCTTGTATAGGTGGTCAAACCTGCTACTCTTTGGAGCAGGCCACTTATACTCTATATGAGATATGTAGAGCTTGTATGCTCTTTGAAGTTAACGAGATCATCGTGTATGACATACCTGATGTCAAGGCTGCCGCAGAATCGGTAGAGCCCGTTGCTGCGAAAAAGATTGTGTTTGGAGAAGAGGAGCAGGAAGAACCAAAGCCCGTTGTTAGAGGATCAGCGCCGTCGTGGGAAGCAGTCGCAGCGGCCAACATGCTGCAGTATTTGGTTACTCCGATCTATCTTCGAAAGCAGTTATTTGGCGATCTGAAAATGTATAAAAAGGCCAAGAAATTGCCCCGGGTGCCTGGTCAAGAAGCGCTGCTTAACGGGAAACTAGTCCAGGGCGTCGCAATCAAGAAGAGCACGCCCAAGAAGAAGGGCAAGAAGTCGAAAAAGGAAAAACAGGACGCCCGGCTCACCCCATTTGTAAATATAGGATTCGACCATGTTTTTGAGCTCGAAGAACAGGTGCCAGTGCACAGCCAAGTCACAATTGACATGTCGACCAAAAAGCCAGTAGCCAGTGCCAACAAAAGCTATACAGTTCGGGCCGTGCGTCAATTCAGTAAGATTTTCACCGAATCAAGTGTGCCAGGAGGGTATACACATGCCATTTATGCCGCCTCGCAGCAGTTTACTGGGAAACCCGTGTCCCCGCCGATCCACGAAGTTACTCCTGTTCAAGTACAGGACTATGAGCGCCCATTGCTTGTGTTTGGCAAGTGGACCGAAGTCGAAGCGGCGGCCAAAGGCGACCACGAAATGCCTGCCGCCCCGCACGAGCTGTTTGACGCCAAGTTGCCCGGCAGCGAGACTGCACGACTTGAAGATTCAGTGATGATTTGTTTAGCACGTATCAGTAAGTAATATGTAAGAAGGTTCTATGTCGATTCGACAACTTCGACCAGCGAAACGGTTGCCTTTTCCGCCGGAGACAGAGGGGGTTCAGCCGAAGACTTCTTAACCAGAAGCTTGAGCTCGTCCATGGCCTTGTCAAGGCGGGAGACCTCATCCTTGTCGAGTCCACGGTAGATGAGGTCGTTAAGCTCACGAATGAGCTTGGACTTGGGGGACCACACGGGCATCATCTTGCGCTCCTGCTGCTCGAGTTTCTCCATTTTCTTAGCGTACTCAGCAGCGAGGGCGGCCCGGCGAGCCGCGAACTTGCGCTTGACTCGCATGGCCATTTCGACACTTTCGTAGTGGTCGGCCCAGTCCTTTTCGGAAATGCCCATACCAGCGGCCCAGCCGGGGTAGGGCTCCTCCTCGACGTCTTCGGCGATCATCTCGCGGACGACCTCCTGCACGTCGGTGTCGACGTCGAATTCGCGCGCAACGTCGTCGGCCGTCAAGTCACGGCCTAGGATTTCACGCACCTCGTCGGCCATCTCATCAGTGATGGAGACCCGGCGCTTCTGGATAGGCGCCGTGCAGTAATCCACGATACGAGGCATGGTTGGTTAGAGTGTGGGGTGAACTGGTGTTCGGGTAGTCGCTGTGATTGGGAAGAATTGGGGTTTGGAATTAAGAGACTGTAGAGTGTCTTGCTTCCAAGTTGTGGTGTGATGACTCTGGCAGTGACTTGTCCCTTTATATAGTAGAATCTGGGGTAGTGTGACCTTTGGGGGATAGCTACGTTGCTTATGCATGACCATGCACTACTCCGCATAGTGCCACGCAGTGCTCTCAGCGTCGCATGGCGTTCATGTTTGTGAAGGCGCGGCCAAGCCATAGCATAGCAGGACCAAAAAACCAACACTGGAGAGAACCGGTGGATATTCTTTAGCTGGAAACCAGAATAAATCACTCACGTCAGAGATCTTCCCCCAACGCGGGGGGTAGTGGTGGTGGCCTGCCTGCACAGGTCACGAGGTCCCCGTCTTGGTAAGAGATAGGCGGCGCCGACTTGAAACTGCCGGATCTGTGGCCAGCGAAACAGGCAGCAGCTGCGCCGGTTACCTGGATACTATATAGGTGAATTACTTTCATACTGTAGAAACTTTGTCCTGCCTGCAGTGAGTTTGACTCATTGTTTATACCAAGCACGCCACCTCTGGGGTGATCTGTCACGTCACTGACAGCAACATACCATCACGACGGGAATTTTGCGGGAGATCTAGCCAAAGGCGGATGACAAGATAGAGCCCGCTCCATCACCGATAATCAGCTGCCTGGTCGAACAAATCACAAGGGTGGTTCGGCTTTGGTCTACTGAGGTTAGGGTAAAGATGAGGTACGACCTGATCACAGGGTTAGGGGTTGATTATAAGTGCTTACATCAGATCACACTAAGCAAGTGGGTGGGCTCTCCGAAGGTCCTTAGTTAGTTTACCTAAAATTCCGAGGACCCTTTGGATATATTTAGTAGTTGAACGCAATCATGGAGATATGACTTTAGGAATTGCTGGGAACACTGCGGGTACCAAGAACAAAATTTTACACGCGTGCCACGCAAACAAAATTAGCGCTTAGGGGGCCGTTTAGCGTTCGGGTCTCAGCATTACCCGGCTGTCGCTTGTTTAATAAGAAATGCCTCTGATCACATTCCACACCAGTTTTAGAACCTCAACATGAACTTTCTTCATCTTGCCGCCTCTCTTCTCGTGACCGCCTCGAGCGTCAACGCTATGGGCGATCTCGGTTTCTGTATTGGAACCAAAGACAACTCTGGCGTCTGTAAATATACCGACGGCTACAAGGAGGACCTCCAAAAGCTCGCTCCCTACACCAACACTATTCGTTTCTACTCCACCTCCGACTGCAACACTCTCCAGTGGCTTGCTCCCGCGCTCGTTGCGGAGAACTTCAAAGCTGTTGTCGGTATTTGGCCCACTGACGATACCCACTACCAGATGGACAAGGATGCGGCCTCTACCTACCTCCCCCAGATGTCTATCGACAACGTTGTCGCTTTCACCGTTGGCTCTGAGGCGCTTTACCGCAAGGACTTGACCCCCCAGCAGCTGGCCGACAAGATCAGCGACTTTAAGAACTTTGTCTCCGGCATTAAAGACAAGGACGGCAAGTCTTACAGCTCTGTCCCCGTGGGTACTGCCGACTCTTGGAACGTGCTTGTTGACGGTTATAATGCCCCCGCCGTCCAGGCCTGCGACCTCGTCTTGGCTAACGCCTTCTCGTACTGGCAGGGTCAGGTCATGAACAACGCTTCCTACTCCTTCATTGACGATATTATGCAGGCTGTGCAACAGGTCCAGAGCATCAAGGGCACTGACGACATCGACTTCTGGGTCGGTGAGACCGGCTGGCCTACCGACGGTGGAAACTACGAGTCTGCTCAACCCTCTGTGGACAACGCCGAGACCTTCTGGCAGCAGGGCATCTGTGCTATTAGAGCTTGGGGCATCAACACCTTTGTTTTTGAGGGCTTTGACGAGGCTTGGAAGCCCCCTTCCACTGGCCAAAATGGCCAGGAGGTCCAGGGTGTCGAGCGCTTCTGGGGTGTCTACGATGCTAACGGAACCCTCAAGTACGATCTCAGCTGCAAGTTCTAATCCCCAGAGCTAAAAATTTAAACTCCCTATTATGTTGTAGCTATAGATATGGTAATCCCTTCTCCCCGTATAAATATTTCTAAGTATAAATCATTTCCAGGCCGTCTCGGAGAACGCAAATGTTGTTTTCCACCAGCACGAGCTTTTGCTGGCTATCGGAGCGCGACATACCTAGCAGAAGCAGCCCTTTGACCATATAAGACAGATAAACGTTTACACCGTTTTGCAACTTTGATAAACAGCTCAATTGCTGGGACCCCGACTGGGACTGCATGGAGCCATTTTTCGAGTACAGGTTGGCGAGATCAATCGAGACATCGATAAAGTCCGAGCAGATCTGGTAGGTTTCGACGTCTACAGGAGACGAATCGGTTGCCAGGTAGATTTTTGAGTTGGCGTCGAACAGAAACACCTTTTCGATCCCCGATCTCGCACAGAAAATGTCCAGCAACTGGGTGAGAGAGCTCAATTTGGGCACCAGCTTCTGCACAATTCGACTGAACGCCTCGACAATCGAGTGGTCGAAAATTGACGTCATGTGGAACGTCAAATCGGCATTGGTGATGTCCATGTCCGTCAGCTCGTCAGTGACTCGTTGGATAATATCCCGCTGCGTGTCTTGGCGGAAATCCTCATTCAGACCATCGACCTTGTGAATGAGCACCTCAAAGTGGATTTTGGGGTTCACTTTGTAGGCTGTTTCGACGATCTGGACCAGGTTCTGCAACGCCATCAAGTACTCGTCCTGGCTGTCGATCACGTAGATGATGGAGCTCACGTCCGAGTACAGGTGCGATTGGTCCTCTTGGTTGGCCTGAAATACATCCAGCTGGCCGGGCAATTCCTGAAGCTGGAACTTGACCAGGGAGTCCATGTTCTCCTCTGTTGGTCGCGACGTCGATTCTAAATACAGAGTCTCCAATGGCTGCATGTTGTGGAAAACAACCTGCCGGATAGACGACTTGCCGCCGCGGCGCAGCCCCATCAGCAAGATTTTCGGCGTTTCCATGTCCTTGTCCAACCCTGCGATCGATTGCTTAGTGTTGAAAACAGGGTGCAATTTCAGATTTGGGTCTGTTTCATAATCCACTAGTGGCTCATATTTAGCATCTTTCAAGTTTGGGGGTCTGAGAAACGAAGAGATTATTGAGGTTTTTTTTATTTTTTCTTATTTTTGGGCTTTTACCGTGCTTTGTTCGACCGGTCATCCAGAATTTTTGCTTGATTGCTTGCGCACTGGAGATTTGAATTGAATGATACCCATATGGCTTGACTGTGACCCCGGTCACGACGACGCTATTGCTCTATTATTAGCCTGCGCATTACCGTATTTTGATCTTATCGGCGTGTCCACTGTATACGGCAACGCAACGCTTGAAAATACCACCAACAACGCCATGTCGCTGCTCACGGCGTACCACCATGTCGATGTCCAGGTATTCCCCGGAGCCGAGAAGCCACTGGAGGGCTTTTTGCATGTTGCCACCGACATTCACGGAAGCCGAGGCCTGGACGGCACCCCGCTTCTTCCTATGGCCGTAGGCGTGCGGCAGCCAGATCACACCGCCGTGGCAGCCATGGCGGAGGCGATTCAGGCCCATCCCGGCGAGCTGGTCATTGTCGCTACCGGCCCGCTCACAAACATCGCTTTGCTGGCTCTCAACTACCCGGAGCTGATTCCGGGAATTCGCTTATTGTCTATTATGGGCGGCTCTATCGACATGGGGAACTGGACCAAGTGGGCCGAGTTCAATCTATGGTGCGACGCAAAGGCCTCGAAAATCGTCCTAGAGGACCCGGACCTGGGCACCAAGACGATCCTGGTACCTTTGAATGTTACGCACACGGTTATTGCTACTGAAGAGGTTCTGACTACGATCCAGAGAGGCCCTCACCACGATAAATACACAATGTTCCGCCAGATGATGTACGATCTGTTGACGTTTTTCGCCGACTCGTACCGCATCAAATTCGGATTCGACACGGGGCCCCCCGTCCACGACGTTCTGGCCGTCGCTGCCGTTCTACCCCTTCTATCTCAGCTAGCCGCGAACGACCCGCTAGCGCCCGCGACCTCTCATGATATTCCAGGGTTAGGGGCCGAGTTCTACCGAGCAAACTTGCATGTTACTACCAACGGTCCAAAACAAGGACAGATCATCCCCGAGAGAACAGAAAATCGTGGCACTTATATTCTTGATAAAATCGACCCGGCCGCTGTCTGGGGGCTTGTGTTTACCAGCATTGGCATCCTCGAGGGCTCCGCGTGATCCCGGGACGCCCCACCTGCCCCTATACCCGCCTGCATGTCGCCTCCAGAGGCAGATAATAAAACCTTATTTTATTGTAAACTATTCCAGTAGCCAGTCGCTTTTAACAACTCCAACTTTAGCTAGTTCGTCAAAGTCCCATTCGAGGCTGGTTTCCTCGGGTTCGCCATCGCCTAGAGCGCCAGGCTCTTCGGGTGGAGTCAGGAACGCAACCTGGGATTGTTTCACCAGATCGAGTTCTTGAAATACGGCTCGGAGATCCACTGCAGGTACTAGTGCTCTCCATGATGCCGAATTCGCCTCTGTTTCGATATTCCCCGGAAGTTCTCCAGATAACCGGACGGCTTCTACCGTGGTGTTGATTTCTTCAACCGGTACGTTCAGAATCGCCCCCAGGCCCGACAGGAAATACTTGAGCCCATCTCCCTTGGATAGCTGCTTAAGCCTTGCAGCGTTCGTAATCTTGGGTTCTTCTACTAGAAGAGGTGCTGCGGGTGTGATGTTGGTGCGCACTGGCGGCGGTGTGCCAACCTGCATTGAGCTTGTTTGTGATCCAGACGACTCTTGACGTGCAGCAAATTGCGATTGAGTCGCTGGAGGAGGTGCATTGAAGCCTGGTTGACCATACAGCTGTTGAGACTGGAAAGCGGGTGACACACCGCTTAGTGGCCGCGGCGCCTGCGCCTGCGGGATTGGAGCAGCAATCGGCATGTTCGGTGGCATATTGTGATCTGGCAAAGGTGCAGAAAGCGGCCCTCGATTGGGGTGTCCTGCCCCATGTTGTTGAAGTTGAGCTGGTGGTGGGCCTTGAGACGTCAGCCCCATATACGTTTGTTGAGCCTGCTTCGAGACCGAACGTTGATTGGAAGAGGCGACTTGTTGCATGAGAGTCAGGAACGGTGTCAAGTCTCTTCTTAATTGTGTCAAGGTGGTTGGAGTGCATAGATAAATACCCTTAGACTGCCGGTCGATGATATGGCGAAGCATGAGTTGGAGATGCACAAGCTGTCTTGTCCGCTCACGATCGCGGTTTGAATAGTAATAGAATATCGACAGTACGCTCATTCCGTTGCTGTTGACACTTTGCAGCACCTTATCGCCAGCCAACTGGTCACGAACCTGGGCCTTTTCGGCCTCTGTAAGAGAGTTTGTGTAGTCGTCCAAATTGAGTCCCTTTTTCAAAGCCTCTTCGTAAATCTTTCGCAGCTCTTCTCGATCTTTCTCAGTTACGGGGTTGACTGGACGAGCAGGTTGTGGAGTCAGAGACGTTCGGCCGATATTTGCAGCAGCAGCAGGAGCGGGAGGTTGACTTGCTGCTTTGCCGGTGACCAGGGGCACTTGTTGCGAGAGGTCCCAACGGTTTTGTGCTTGTTGCTCTTGCTGTTGTAGTAGTTGTTGGCGATACCGGGCTCTAGCTTGAGCTTGGTTAGCTTGGGCCTGGGCCTGTGCTTGGGCCTGAGCCTGAGCCTGTGCTTGAGCCTGAGCCTGTGCTTGAGCCTGTGCCTGAGCCTGTGCCTGAGCTTGAGCCTGGGCCTGAGCCTGTGCCTGAGCCTGTGCCTGAGCTTGAGCCTGGGCCTGAGCCTGTGCCTGAGCCTGAGCACGAGCACGAGCCGCCTGAGCCTGAGCTTGAGCCCGTGCCCGCGCTGCCTGAGCCTGCGCCTGTGCTTGAGCCTGAGCTTGAGCCTGAGCCTGAGCCTGAGCCTGGGCCTGAGCCTGGGCCTGAGCCTGAGCCTGAGCCTGAGCCTGAGCCTGAGCCTGGGCCTGAGCCTGAGCCTGGGCCTGAGCCTGAGCCTGAGCCTGAGCCTGAGCCTGAGCCTGAGCACGAGCTTGCGCCTGTTTATCGGCCTGGAGATGCAAATTATATTGCAATGTATACTGCTTTCTGAAACCATCTAAAGACTCTCTCGGAATTGTTCCGTTAACCACGAGAGCTTGAATGTCCTTGAGAGTCCTGGCATGCGCAGGGAGATTAGGGATTAGCTGCAACAGCTGGGGAGGAAGCGGGGCATCTTGGTTTGGGGCACCAGTGCCTCTGAACCCCTGCTGGCCCATCTGATTAGATGGATAGCGCTGTTGTTGGTTCTGAGGCGGCATACGGGGCATGCCAGACTGGGTAGATCCAGGCCCCGCTTGAGGATTAGATTGTTGGGGCGGTCTCGCGTAAGGCAGCTGCTGTCGATACATTTGGGGAGACGTTCGCTGAACCGACTGCTGAGGTTGAGAGCCCGTTTGGGGCATTTGGAACTGGGCGGACTGGCCTCCAGGGCCAGTGGCGGTTCGCATGGTGTGCTGGATCCGACTGTTGAGTTCGGTAATCTGCGATTTAAAACGAGACATATACTCCTCCTTGGAATTAGCCTTATCATAGACGAGATTTTCATAGCGGTGAGCCAACGCGACGATTTTGGTCTCGTCGTTGTACATTTCTTGCTGTCGAAGAGGCTGGAGAACCTTGACGAGATGGGCAATTGCCGCCCTCCGCTCGCCCTGAGAAACTACGCCTGGCCAAGAATCCATATCCATTAGACCCTGTTGATTTCCAGAGCCCCCGTTTGGACCTTGCGATTGGTTATAGTCCATTCCTCACTGCTCGCGAAACAACCTTTTCGTGTATGGGGATTGGGAGGATTGGATTAGGAAATTAATGGGCCTGCGCTCTGCTCTTGACATGCATGATTACTTATCCGAGTGTCTTGTGCGGAGGAGCCAACGAGTTGCTGATGGATATTGCATGATTCTATAGCGATTTAATTAAATAAAGTGGCATCGAGCGTGACACGAAGGCAAAAGTGCAGAGACCGAGGCAGAGAGCTGCAAGTAGACTGCACGGCAGAGTTTTTCGAACCGACTCGGCAGGCAGCGGGCGAGCGATTAAAATGTCCGTCAATTATAAGCTCGCAGCGAGCCAAGACGGCTGGGCGGACAAGCAGAGCGGGCGGGCGGAGCATGCTTTTTAGGCTGCGGATCGGATCAGCGAGTGCATGTTACTCAATAGGAGATCTAGGGGCAGATTAACTATGCCGTTTTAACAATAACTATAAAAGCCTTGGAGAGACACTTACTCGTCGTCGTCATCCTCCAAATCAGCGGCAGAAATGCCCGTAGGAGCAGACTGGATCTGGTTGTGACCCTGGAAAGGCTCGGCGTTGTGGCTAGCAAGCATATCGTTGCTGGCTTGTTGCCATTCCTGAGCCATGGATTTGGGCAGAGGAGGAGCGATCGCGCGGTAGCCTATGAAGAGGGCAGCGGCAGCACCAATACCAAGCAGAGCACCCCAGAAGATCTGGATAGGAGTGCCCTTGGGGTGGACAGGGCGACGGGGTCCCCATTCGCCGTAGGACACGTACCAAGCGGCACGCTTCTCGAGGGGAGTGAGCTCCTTCCAGTCGGCACGCTGGCGCTCGGCAAGCTGGGCGACGACGTCCTCGCGCTCACCCTCGGTCATGGTCTCCCAGCGGGTCTCGAGGCCACGGAGGGTCGGGTTGGAAATAGGAGTAGCAACGGTCGAAGCCAGACGGATCTGCTTGGCAGCACATAGCAAATTGCTGCGAGCAATAGGAGAAATCGAAGTCACCTGGCGGTACATTTGTTGGTGTGAGATTAGTATTGGGTGAGGAAAGAATTGCCCGGCTTAGAGGTTAGTAAAAAATGGTTGCGAGCGATTGGGCAAACTGGCCGCTTATGTAAATCAGGCTCAAGGTCATACCACTCGCTGGTAAACAGGGCAAGGGCAATGCTCCTACAGGAGAAAGGCGACGAGCCAGGCGTGAGCAGGGGCCTGTGGTAGCTGAATTTCTGCAGCAGAAAGAAATAAATTATGGCAGAGCGCGAAAAAGCTTGTGTCTCGGCCCCGCTTTGACCCCCCGCTGTGAGCAGCTCGTAATGCCTCGACCTCGAAATATGTGGGTGCCCTTGCCCTCTCAACAGCGTAATCACTGGAAATGTCTTTGGGCACAATCTACACCAAAATTGCCGCGGGGGAGGCCACACGTACACGCGCGCTTCTCCCCGAACGTCTGATCAAGTACTTTAAGATCAATGTGAAGGTATCTGATCCGGACGAGGTGTTCCCCGCAAAGTTCCCTATGAAGCTTGTTCCTGCCTTCCAGTTTCCTGACGGAACGCTGTTGTCCGAGTCGCTGCCAATTAACTTGTTTTTGCTCCAGCAGGTCGAAAACCACGGCGGGCTACTTGGCGACAACAGCCAGAAGGCGTGGGCTCAGAATTTGCAGTGGATGGAGTTCATCAACAACGATTTTATGCGTCCGTCGGGCCAGGTGTTTGGCATGATTGTTGGCCGCAAGCCGTTCAACCAGGACGTTTTCAATTTCTTTATGAACGAGCTTCGCAATGTTGCGGTGCCCGTAATCGAGAAGCACCTGGACGAATCCGAGTATCTGACGGGTTCTGCCGTCTCAATTGCCGACCTCTATGCTGCCACGATGTTCCTTCGACCCCTGGGTTATTTCATGGACGAGGAATGGCGCAGCCAATTGCCCCGCACTATGGAATGGTGGGAGAAGGTCTCCAAGCACCCCGTTTTCGACAACTTCTTTGCTGACCTACAGATGGTTGACAAGTTCACTCCTCCTAACTAGCTTTTTGCCGTAGCCTTCTCTATAGCTGCTTGAACTTTTGCGTATCCCTGGTGCAGTTTGCCGGTAAAGTGGTCTGCTAGCCGTCGGTCGGTGTCTACGCTTGACAAAAGGCCTCCGCACACTGTGCAGACCTGCAGTTTTTGGTGTGCCGAGAACCCCAGGCCTTCAAAAAGCGTTTTCACCGCTTGTTGTTTGGTGGTCAGGTTACGTTGGGCAGCTGCCAGCGCCGGGATTTGGGTGACCGCCCGGGCGATGACCCTGCACCTCGCTAATTCATTGATTTCATCCACGAGCAGCTCGTTTTCCGTCTCGGCCTCCACCAGGTCTCGCGTAGCGTCTTCGATCTGCGCGAGATCGTCGTCGGTCAGCTCTAGCTTTTTTGCAGCAGCCTCAATGGCTTCTCTCCGCTCTGCAATCACCAAATCAAGCTGCCGGTAAAACTCACGCTCAAACGCCGGGATTTTGTCCATTGAGCTGTACTCGCTGCGCAATCGCTCGCTGTGGATCCGCCCGCATGGTCCCAACACCAGCTTGGTCCCGGCAAACAGCTCGTGCACGCAAAAGTCTACGCAAAATGGGCGACACACTTTCGGGTCATTCAGTGACAGCCGTTGCGATTCAACCATGAGCTGTTCAAGCAGCTTCCGTTGTTCTGCCGCCATGTCGGCTGCAAGATGTGGTTATTCGTCCCAGTCAAGTTGGAAAACCTCGCGATCCTCAGTCCTCCGCTTAACTAATCATGCTATTTGGCCTGTTTTCAATTGTGCTCGCTTCTCCGGCACTTGCATGGTCGGTAACGAATGCCAAGGTGGGTATTGCGCTTCCAGGAGACCCTGGCGAGCTGGTGTCTCTAGCAGACGCAGGAGTCATCGAGCTCGGCCCCTCTCGCACGCTCAATGTCGCTTGGGAAATCCCAGAGGCTCCGCCATTGCCGCGGCAGAACGTGCTGCGTCTTTATAACGACAAATGCGATCATACCGTTTCGGCAAAAGTACGGGGTAAAAAGGCCAAGGCGGTTGTTGCCTACCACTCTCTGCCCGCCTGCTTGTCTGGCCCGGTCAAGGCTGACATTTATGTTGCCGGTGGCAGCGAAGGCCAGGCTGCTAGTTCTCGTGAAGTTTTTTCGCTGCAGGTCCAGGAAATCAGCACACCGGAACTGGATTCGCGTTACCAGCGCCCATTAGCCGTCGAGCCTGAAATCATTCACCAGTTCCGGCCGGAGCCCCGCATGGTCAAGGCGCCGGTGGCTCTTGTTTTTGTCGCCGTCATTGACATTTTATTTGTTACCATGGTCTCGCTGTGGGCGAAGAACGTCGGTATCAAGTTTGCTGCCTTGGACTTTACTCTGGCTCTGGCCGCCATCGAGTCCGTCTTTGTCGCGTACTTTATCTCGGCCTCGATCTTCACAGCATTATCAGCAGTCGCATGTCTTGCACCGTTGGCGTTTTTCACCGGCCAGCGTGCTTTGCGAAAAGAACACAGTCGGCGCAACGGCTCAAACTAGATGCCAGCTCTCATAGATACACAATCAGTTAGCGATTAAGCGCAGTCTGAACGGCCCAGAAGGCGCTACTAATCATCTATGTGAAGCCTAAAAGGCCTGGTGGTTTTAATAATCTATTTGAAGCCTAAAACGGCACAGTACTTGGCTCTAATAATCTATTTTGAAGCCTAAAAACCTGGCGGTCTAATCATCATTTTTGAAGCAGTCTAAATGACCAGGTACAAAACTATTCTAATCATCATCACTGTCTGGGTTGGCAACAAACAGTTTGATTCGGCCAACCTCCTCAACCACCGAGGTGCTTGAGCTGGATCGTCGAGAATCACTTGAAGGTACAACCAGTGGCACAGGGGTAGCAGACGTTGGGGTCCCAGGCACGGCCACGCTATCGTCGTCGTCGTCAATCTCAGACGCAAGCATACGCGGCTGAAGATGAGCATAACGGATATTCATGGCCCGCCGGAGGAACTCTTTTGGTACCGTGTAGGCGGCCTGTTTATTAGAGCCAACGCCAATGGGAAGACGAGCCGGTGACTTGTTAGTGTAGCTGCTGCCAACACTGCTCCGCAGATACTTGACATATGCAGACCCAGTGCCAATGCCCAAAGAAACCTCGTCTCTGCCGACGCTCTCGTCGCCCGCGGGTTGTGCAGGGACATCAAGCACCTGCTCTGTAGGAGTGTCAGGCATGACTGGAGGTGTGCTGGTGGGGCTCAACGCAGATTGCGGAGAGTGGGTGCGACCAGGACTGGAGAATCTGCTGTTTAGAGTATTGGGGTAGCTTGCGTCTCTCGGAAGTCTAGCCGATGACGAGGCAGGGCTCTGGGTGATTCCGGGGGACATCACCCGAATCGCTGTGGCCTGCTCAATCTCGACGGTTGCGTCGACAAAATCGTCCATGTCATCAGCAGCGCCAGTACTGTCGTCATCATTGCCGTAGTGGTCGTATATGTCGAATGCCTCGCGGGTATTGACGTTCAGAGGGTACACTTCACCCGAGGGCATTCGCTGATGACCAGAGGGGACGGGATCCAGCTGCTCCTCTGGGGGCTCGAACGACGACTCTGAAAAATGAAAGTTATTGTACATTTTCTCAAGCTCCTCTGCAGAACCGGCTGCAGACTGCTGGGGCTGTGTGTGATCAGCGAAATGAAGTGGCTCCTCCACAACCGACCTACGCGGCTGCCCAATAAGCGCTGAGGTCTGGCGAAAGTCTTGTCCCGACGCCTGCGTCGGAAGAGACTGCAGAGTCTCAAAAAATTGCTCGCCAGTGTACTCCTGGAACGACGATTTCGGCGGCTGCGGAGGCGGAGGAGAGGGGGTCGAGAAAACGTCCTGGTTGAGCCGTGCACGGTACGCGTTAGCATACGGAGAGGGCAGCGTCGAAGAAGGGTCCAGGGTAGTCGAAAAATCGCCGGATCCAAGCCCGGGCGACTCGCCAGAACCAACTGGCTTGCGGCTCACTGGCCGACGGGGTCGATTTGCCATTACTAAAATGCCCTACTTGGGACACAGGTTAAATTGGGTATTCGGTGCGAGCACGCATATAAATCTATAAACTGTTCCAGCTGTTACGCTCGGATAAAAATTGCTTAAATTTGTCCATTGCCTTGCCGCGGTGGCTGATTTTGTTCTTCTCTGGTTTAGCCATCTCGGCATAAGTTTCCGTGTAGCCCAGAGGTTCGAAACAAGCATCCCAACCGAAAGTCTGAGGGCCTCGCGGATCAACAATTGTGCCGGCAGTTTTACCCTGGAAGATGTGCACCTGGGATTCTGGTCCGTCGCAATAACCCACCGTGCATACAGCACTGCCCTGGCGGTTGTCGAAGCCGTCAAGCATGCGGGGCAGCTTTTCAGGCCCCAGTTGCTTCAAAAACCACTTGATGTACGGTCCCGGTAATTCCTGTCCCAGGGCGTCAAACTCCAGCGCCGTATCTTCAACCATTACCGGTCCTTTTACTATCTCGGCAGCCTGCTGAAGTTTGTGCGTAATGATCTGATTGTAGGTTCCCTGCAGCTCATCAAGGTCGATATTTTGGCTGGTGATAGCGTCCCCCAAAATCGCTTGCACCTCCGCAAGCTTGTTTTTATTTCCCGTCACAAACGTGATCATCGTCGAGTTCGGGAGGAAAAACGCGAGCTGACCCCCCCGGCAGCTTTGTCATCTTGCCACGTTGGAAATGGACTATACGATTGTCCCTGAAGTTGGCAGAGGTACGCAGCTGTCGGCCGAAGAGCTGAAAAAACAGCTCGAGAAGGGCAGTGATGAGGATAAGATTGCTGCGATGCGGAGTATTCTCACCCAGATGCTCAACGGCGATCCATTGCCCAGCCTGCTGATGCACATCATTCGGTTCGTGATGCCGTCGCGCAGCAAAAAGCTCAAGAAGATGCTGTTTTTCTACTGGGAAGTTGTTCCCAAATTGGGTCCTGATGGAAAACTCAAGCATGAGATGATTCTCGTCTGTAACGCTATTCGTAACGACCTCCAGCACCCCAACGAGTACATCCGCGGTGCTACGCTTCGTTTCCTGACAAAAATCCATGAAGTCGACTTGCTGGAGCCGCTGATTCCTACAGTCCGCCAGTGCTTGGAAAATCGGCACGCGTATGTCCGCAAAAATGCTGTTTTTGCCGTTCTTTCTATTGCCAAGCACACTGAGCTCATCCCGGACGCTGATGAGTTGTTGATTCAGCTTCTCGAGAGCGAAAGTGATGGCACTTGTCGCAGAAACGCGTTCTTGGCACTCAGTCGTTTGAATCGCGATGCCGCGTACGCGTATTTCAGCAAGCATTTCACGGAACTTGCCCAGCTCGACGACAGCGTTCAGCTGGCATTTATCGAGTTTATCCGCACAGATGCGGTGTCCCATCCTGACCACGTTCCCTCTTACACTCGTATTCTTGGTGAGCTTTTGCAGAGCGGCTCCGCCACGGTTCAGTACGATGCTGCCTCCGCCTTGGCGGCCCTGAATCCTACTCCTATCGTGTTGACTGAAGCTGCTGCCAAGTATGTTTCCATCGCTGTGCATGAGAGTAACAACAACATCAAAATTGTTGCTTTGAAGCGTGTTGAAGCGTTGAATAGCGCAGTGCCGGGCTTGTTCTCTGGCGTCATTATGGACGTTCTTCTTGTTCTCTCCACACCGGATGTGGATGTTAGAAAGCAGGCTCTGTCGCTTGCTCTTGACCTCGTAACCTCTCGGACCGTTGAAGACGTCATCCGTCTTCTTAAAAAGGAGCTGGCCGCTACTATGCAGACCAACTACGACCAGAATGCAGAGTACCGCCAGGCCATCATTGCTGCTATCCACAAATGTGCCGTGCAATTTAGAGAAGTCACGAACTCTGTGGTTGATTTGCTTTTGGAGTTCTTGGGCGATTTCAATACGGAGTCTGCTGTCGAAGTTGTCAAGTTCATCAAAGAGGTTGTTGCCGTCTTCCCCAAACTTCGCAAGGAGATCATGGCCAAACTGGTGGTGATCATCAACTCCATCCAGTCGTCCTCAGTGTTTTTGGGTGTCTTGTGGGTTCTTGGTGAGTACTCTCTTGATCAAGAAGATATTGAAAAGACATGGATTGCGCTTCGTGGTGCTATTGGTCCTTTGCCCATTCGCACCGACGCTGATCCTGAGAATGAGGAAGCAGCCACCGAATCAACCAAGCCCAGGGTTTTGGCTGATGGCACTTATGCTACAGAGTCTGCCTATGATGCACCATCCCATGAAGCTTCTGCCAAGTACCCTTTGCGTCATTTAATTCTCAAAGGAAAGTATTTCATGGCCGGTGCTCTTGCTGCTGCTTTCACCAAGCTTGTGCTGCGGGCAGAAAAGGTTTCCGCTCACAAGAGCCATGTCAATGGTATGCGTGCTGAGGCCGTGTTGGCAATGACGTCCATTCTCCGAGTAAGCGAGTCTTCTATTGACCAGGATTCTTATGATCGTATTTACAGCTGTATTCAGGTTCTGTTGGACGGCGGCGTTGTTGCCGACACCTTTTTGGAGGAGTCACACAAAGCTTTCGACTATATCACTGCCCAGCAGCGGGAGAAGAAGGCTGAGGCGGAGCGCAGCAAACAAGAAGCTTCTGCAACTGCTGTCGATCGGCCTGTTGAGCTTCGTTTGCTGGGTCCAACCGCAGCTGCTCCACCCACTGTAGCCGCAGCGTCAACTGACTCCAAGCCCGAGGACAAGATTGCCTCGCAGCTGAAGCAGGTGTACCAGCTGACTGGTTTCTCCGATCCGGTCTACGCAGAAGCACATGTTCGTGTTGAGCAATTTGATATCATTCTGGACGTCATGATCTTCAACCAGACTACTGACACTCTTCAGAATTTGGCGGTCGAGTTCTTCTCTTCCATTGAGGACGACGTTGTTGACCGGCCCGAGGAACAAAATGTCGCGCCCATGTCGTTCTATACGAGCCGCACTACAGTTCATGTTTCTGCCATGGAATCGCGCTGCCTGTTTGGTAACATTGTTTACCACGGCAAGACTGCTGCCGAGGCCACCTATATCATTTTGCACGACCTGCGTGTGAATGTTCTGGACTATGTCAAGCCTGCCACTGCCAGCGAGACCGAGTTCCGCTCTATGTGGACTGTGTTTGAGTGGGAGAACAAGGTATCTATTTCTTACGAGCATTCTTCTCTACAGGGCTACCTCAAGGAGATCATCGCGGCCACGCACATGCGCTGCCTCACGCCGGCTGCTCTGGACTCTGACGACTCTGACGACTGTCAGTTCCTGGCCGCTAACCTCTATGCTCGCTCTGTATTCGGCGAAGACGCTTTGGCTAATTTGAGCATTGAGAAGCGCGGGAAATTGGTGGTTGGCACGTTGAGAATTCGGGCCAAGACCAAGAACGCTGCTATTTCTATCGGCGATTTTGTCTCTGATCTTCGCGGCAACGCATAAAAAAATTTATATATCTTTAAAATAAAGAGTTTCACAAACCACACCGTTTTGGTGACAAAGTGAAATTTCACTTTTTTCCTTTGCTTACCTCATGCGTGCATTTTCTACGTCGGCCAGAGCAGCAGGCAAGACGGCGGTTTCCATCGTTCCGCCGGTGCATCACACGGTTAAGTTCCGTAAATCACAGCTGATGGACAAGTATGCGTCCCTGCAAATCCCCAGATCCAGCGTGACGTCGCCTAAATACCGCCCTCAGCGCACTTGCCAGGACCGGGTCCGTGAACACCATATTAATACTGTCGAGAGCGATATGATGCTCATCACGTACGCTCACAACCAGCAAGTTCTTGTTGGAAACAAGCCCCGCCCTCGCAAAGGCGACTCTCCCTACCAGTTGTACCAGCCTCAACGAGTTCCTTACGGCGGTACTCAGGCGACTAAAGATATCAAGGTCCGGAGCTGGCGTAATGTTCCAATGCTCGAAGCCATTACCATCAACTGTTTTGTCAAGCCAGCAACTATGAACCACGATTTGGCTGCTGCTGCCAAGGTCATGCTTCAGCAGATTACCGGCGAGAAGCCTACCAGCGTTTACGCTCGCACCAACGTTCCCTCCTGGACCCTGCGTCCTGGTATGCCCATGGGTGCCAAAATCAAGCTCACGGGCCAGCCCATGAACCAGTTTCTCACAACTCTGACTGAGATTGTGCTGCCTCGCTCCAAGACTTTCACTGGCGTCTCCAATTCTACCGGTGATCAAAATGGCAACATCACATTCTCGCTCACTGCGGACGATATTCGCCATTTCCCTGAAATCGAGGGCAATCTCGAGCTCTGGCCCCAGACTTTTGCTATTGATCTGTGCTTCCACACCTCTGCGCAGGTCGACCCGGAGGCTCGTACTCTTTTGAGCGCTTACGGCTTGCCCTTTGTAGGTAAGGAGCGTTACCCTGCCCGTTGGTAGTTTGTATATAATTTACGCTGTTGAAAAATCAAAATATTTTCCCAAAAAAGTCCCCGGTCCATTTACCTGGTTTCCGCCGTCGTGAATTTTTGCTGACTCAATGCGTATTGTCGTCGATAGCGACAGTGACAGCGACTTTGATGACACGCTGAATGCGCGTCGCAGGCTTCTTGCTGAGTTGTCGCAAGATGGCAATATGTCGTTTGGAGCCACTAGTGTCGAAAAGGTCGGTAATTTGCTCGACGAGCTAGTTCTGACGCCAGAACCGGTGCAACGGCGATACGAGGACCATTTGGCAGATGTAGCTCACGTCGAGCAGCTGCGAGACGATGTCAACAGTCGATCTATGAAGATGTGCAGTCAGGTTGATGAATCGCAACAATCTCGAGAGCAAAAGCGTCTTCAGCGCTTGCAGGAGATCCGACTGGGCAAGCAAAGGGCCAAGGAAATTGCGCAGGAGAAGGAGCGCATTGCCGCAGAGCTTGAGCGCCAGAAGCGGGAAAAAGAGCGACTGGAGCTCGAGAAACAAGAAGAAGCTCGTAGAGCCGAGCAGAGACGGCTCGATGAGCAGGCAGCCAAACTCAGGGCTGAACGAGACCGGCAAGAGGCTGAGCGAGCAGCCCAGGAAGCAGAGAAACAACGATTAGATGCTGAAAAGCAAGCAAGAGCAAAGGCTGAGCAAGAAGCCAAGGAAGCGGCCGAAAAGGCCAAAGAAAAGGCCGAGCAAGAAGCCAAAGAGGCTGCTGAAAAACAAGCCAAAGAGGCCGCCGAAAAGGCTTCTCAAGCTTCTGCGCAGGGCTTTACAAATTTGGATGATGTCAATAAAGAGTTTGCCCATTATAAGGACCTGATTGCATCATACAAGCGGGATCTTGTTGCTCCAGTGTCTGCTCAGCCAGCAGTGAAGGCAGGCTGTTTTGCCTACAAAACTAAAATCAAGACCAAGCTTGGCCAGCTAACATACACCAAGGAAAAAGTGGTCAGAACGCGGGCAGAGCTCAGAACCTTGTTTGGAGAATCCAAAGCCCAAGGTGATCTGGTTTACCGGTGGACGTTGAACTACTATGCCAAAGCCATGGTTTCGCACGCTGAAAGTCAAGCACATCTTGCCGTGCAGACTGCTGTACCATTAGCAATGGTGACAATCTTATTATGGTCGGATTACCCTGAGTTGGGTGAGTTTGTGATTGCTCGTCTTGTCAAAAAGTGCCCCCAGGTTATCGGCTACGGTTGCTCTATTGAGACTGAAGAAGGCCGAATTCGAATGGGATACAAACGTGAGGACGGCCGTTGGGAAACGCAGGAGGCCTATAGCGAGCGTATTTCCGCAATGACTGCTGTGTTCGCCGCGTTGACTCAAACAAAACTAGGCGTCAAGGAAAACATCAAGCATCCTTATCCCATCAAGCATTCCTGGGTATTTATTGCAAGACAACTCAACAAACCTACTGAACTGCTACTGAATGCCGATTACGCTGCAGTGGCCTCGTGGTGGGATATTTGCTGTGAACGGTTCCAGCTGGCGTTTGGCAAGCAGGCCAACAAGGTTCTGCACCTGGCTGCCAATGGCTGGACTGCTGTCTCTGCACAGCAGAAGTACCCTGCGGCCGCCCGTCTCCATCTTCTTGGTGAAGATTGGAATTCCAGTGGTAAACTCCAGCAGGCCTGGAAGCCATTAGCGTGATCTGACTTTTTTTATTAGGTAGACCAGTACAGTCGCTCGCAAGAGCAAGGTTAGAACAATTCCTCTTTGTAGATAAACGAAATATCCGTCGAGCATTTTATTGATCAAATCAAGTCGCCCAGCCCGGGGTCCAGTTTGTTGCAGGTCCTTGGCCAACTGCCTCATTTTTTTCCGCCGGGACTTCAAGCTCAAAAGATAGACAACGAATCTCATATCCCAGGCCTTCATTGTTGGCAAGAAAGCAGATTTAGGGAATACTCCAGGTTTCATAACTTCAAATAGATCCACTAGAACCCCTAAAGTCACCCCCCATACTCTATAAGGAGGGGGTGGAGGAGCGGGGACGTCTTGAGGGGCAGGCTCGATCTTATCAGGGTGCATTTCAATTGCAGAAAACAGCATATCGCCGATTTGCCAGCGCACAAATTTGGCCAAGAACGGAGGCAGGAACGAGAGCTTTACGCGGTCATTAACTGCCACATGCTCGTGCACGGAGTACTTTTCGTCGAAAAGACGGGAAATCGGATACCAAAAACAGGTTGCCACTTCAGACCATTGAGGGGACATGGGGGCATCGGGGTTGTTCAACACAAACACAAACGGACACAGAATTAGCGCCAGTCTTCGACCCCACGACACTTTGAGGGGACGCTGGTCTAGGGCACCAACGTAGAAACCGTCTTTTTCGAGATCAATTCCTACTTCTTCTTTTGCTTCCCGTACAGCAGTCTCAATATCCGTTTCACCAGGGTCCTGCCGCCCGCCAGGGACCGCAATATGGCCAGACCATCTATCACGGGGGTCTACGGTGCGCTTGATAAACAGCAGCTCTAACTCCGCGGCAGGGTCGAGACCGCTGATCCAGGTATCTAAATCAGGCCGCGAATACCCAGCAACGCGAATGATCAAAGCTATACAGGCCCGCTTGGGGCTAGTCTCAACCCGATGTTCTTCAAGGTTCTGGATAGTGCGGAGAGCATGCTGCATAATGGCCAATGGGAAGAGAGCGGGAAAAGTAAGTCACGACATGTGGGACATTTTGCGAGCGAATGGAACATAGACGGTGAAAAAGCTTGCCAAATTGAAAGATAAACAACCCATTGAGTGTCCTTCCCAGCATTCGCCAGACTCATGCATGTTTATTTTTATCCCATTTGTATTAAATTGACTCACGTAAGGTAAAAATTGCTTTGTTGACATATGGCCTACGGCGACTTTGAGCTGCTCTGCCATAGAGCAAACATTCCTTTATGCCCCCTGGTGGGCCCATACAACACTGTTGGTGGAGCGTTTACCCAGGGAGTGCTTCCACGGTGCTATGCGCGGTCAATCGATCTAGCAAACACCCTGGTGTTCAACGTGGGCAATGTGTTTTTACAATTCGGAACTTTTGTTGTGCTGGCAATTATTATATACAATTCGTATCAAAAGTATACGGCTGTTGGCAGACGTGAAATGCTGGACTTTTTCTATTTATTCACTTTTCTCACTTTGTGGTCCATGATTATCGACACCGGCGTCGTCGCTGCGGATGCCGGCGCCTACCCTTGGTTTGTAGCTGTCCAGATGGGCATATCGGGTGCTTTGTGTATGGAGCTGCTGTGTACTGGGCTAATAGGGTTCCAGCTGTGGGAGGATGGCATAGCAGCCAGTGTATGGGGTATCCGGACCTTGGCTACGCTTTGGGGAGTCGGCAACTTCATCACGGCGATCCTCACCTTCAAGTCGTGGGGTGGCCTGGATCCTCAGCACACGGTGGCACTTATGACCGTCAACTACGTTATCAATGCAGTGCTGTTGTTCCTCTATGTATGCATGATGCTCTACTTCACATCGGTGCTGCTTCGTGAGTGGTGGGCCTGCGGTGCGGTCGGACTCGGTGTCTTTTTCTTTGTGGCCGGCCAACTGCTCATGTACGCGTTTGGCTACGAGATCTGCGACAGTGTCAAGCACTACGTGGACGGCATTTTCTTTGCAACCGTCTGCAACATGTTCGCTGTGCTCATGATCTACAAGGCATGGGACATCACCACCTCCGAGGACTTGGAGTTTGTTGTTTCAAACACCGAGAGTGCCTGGGACCTCAAATCCGCACTCGCTGCTGACGACGTCTACGGCGATTATAACAGCGAGTACGCCATGTCGCATTACACAATGCCCGTGCCGGCTATGTAGATTGTTATTTTTATTATATCGGCCTCGTCCGCGCTCCCTTTTACTTAAGCAGACATGCCCGTCGATCCGAGAAATTTGGTGTCGATCCAGAACCGGCCGGAGAACATCCGCAATATCTGTATTCTGGCCCATGTGGATCACGGGAAAACATCGCTATCCGACACGTTGCTCGCCAGCAATGGCATTATTTCCCAGCAGATGCAGGGCCAAATCCGCTACTTGGATTCTCGGCCCGATGAGCAGCTGAGAGGAATTACCATGGAGGCGAGTGCTATTTCTCTGTATTTTAAAGCTGCACGGAAAGAGGCAGATCAGGAGGAGCCAGTTATCAAAGAGTATCTGGTCAATTTGATCGATGCTCCAGGCCACATCGATTTTGCGTCGGAGGTCTCGACGGCGTCCCGGCTTTGTGACGGCACAGTGATTTTAGTCGATGCCGTCGAGGGCGTGTGCTCGCAAACTGTTGTCGTTTTAAAACAAACCTGGGACGAAGAACTCAAGCCTGTGCTGGTCATCAATAAAATCGACCGCTTGATCTCTGAACTGCAGCTCTCGGCCGCAGAGGCTGCAACGCACTTGACGAAACTCGTTGAGCAAGTCAATGCGGTGATTGGGTCTTTTTATGCTGGAAAACGTATGGAGGAGGATCTTAAGTGGCGCGAGGCCCAGGAACAGCAAACAGATGCCACCGATTTCGAGGAACTCAGCGATGAAGACATTTACTTTACCCCACAGAAAAACAATGTTGTGTTTTGCAGTGCAATTGATGGATGGGGGTTCTCTATTTCTCAGTTTGCCGCTATCTACGAGCGCAAGCTAGGAGTGAAGCGTGAAAAGCTCGAACAGTTCCTGTGGGGAAACTACTACCTTGATCCTAAAACCAAAAAGGTCTCCAAGACCCCAGGAAAAGGAGCCAAAACTATGTTTGTGCAGTTCATTCTGGACAATATTTGGGCAGTTTATTCCGCAGTCAACAACCAGGACGTTGCTAAAATCGAGAAAATCGTTGGTGCTTTGAGCTTGAAAGTTTCTGAACGCGAGCTCAACTCTGGCGATGCCAAATACCTGCTATCCCACATGTTCAACCAATGGATCCCCGTATCAAGGTCTATTTTGTTGGCCGTAATTAACTGCATTCCGTCTCCCTTACAAGCTCAAGAGCAGCGTATGGATTTGGTACTGGAAGAATCTCCCGACAGTGAGCTTATAGATCAAACGGCAGTCGAAGCTATGCACAAATGTGACTCAAATGGCCCCGTCGTTACTTTTGTGTCGAAAGTTATGCAAGTACCCAAGAAGGATATCCCGCTGAGTATCACGGACAGACTCAGTGAACTCCGAATGCGCAGCGAACGCATCCGTCAAGAGGCTGCTGGAATCAAAATCGAAACCACAGAATCGAATCAAGAGGTTATCATTGGTGTCGCACGTGTTTATAGTGGCACAGTTGAAGTTGGACAGGAGCTCGATCTTTTAAGTCCCAAATACACCCCCAAGGATTCCAGTCGAGAGCATCGGAGCAGCGTAAAAATCACTGGTCTTTATATTTTGATGGGCCGCGATCTCGTTCCAGTTCATAAGGCATACCCAGGTAACATTATTGGCATCACAGGTCTTGATGGACATATAGTCAAGACCGGAACCCTGGTAAGTCCCGGGCTGCAAGGACCCAACTTTGCCCGAGGCCATCTCATCGCTAAACCCATTCTACGCGTTGCTGTAGAGCCGGTTGATCCTCGAAAGATTCCCGAGCTAGAAGCAGGGCTTGAGATGCTCAATATCTCGGACCCTAGTGTCGAGATTAGCATGAGTGATGCTGGTGAGTATATTTTGGCAACTGCTGGTGAGTTGCATTTAGAACGCTGTATCAAGGATTTGCAAGAACGATTTGCCAGAGTAGACCTCGATGTCTCACAACCCATCGTTCCTTATAGAGAGACAATTGTGGACGCAGGTGAGTGGGTGCCCGAGGAGGATTCAGAATACCAAGAGCGAGGTTTGGGAGGTTTCGAGGTAGGTGACTTGAAGGTTGAACTTCAGGTCGTGCCACTTCCCGACAAAGTTTTTGAATTTTTGACGGAAGGTGTCAGTGAAGATAAACTAGATGAGCATTCGGAAAAGTACATTGTGTCCGTTCTCACTGAACTTTTTGATCAAACAGGTATACCAGAATGGTCGCACATCGTCGACAAACTTGTATGTTTCGGACCCTGGCAAACAGGACCTAATTTACTGATTGATCTAACCGGTAAACTGCAGACCCGTGCGTTTGGCCAATCAAGCCGTGGCGTGTACGACGAGGGTTTGATTTCTGGATTCCAAGCTGCCGTTGCAAAGGGCCCCCTAGCTGGAGAGCCCGTTCAAGGCGTCGCATGTATTGTGCGCAAAGTCTCTAACGATGGCGACGCAGAAACCAACAGCAAATTGCTGCAGCGCCGTCTCATTTCGTTCTCCCGTCAGCTCATTTGGAAGTGTATGGAAGAGTGGTCCCCTCGTCTTCGTCTTGCAACCTACCTTTGTGATATCCAAGCCACTACCGAAGTGCTGGGCAAAGTATACGGTGTTGTAACCAGACGTCAAGGTAAAGTGATCAGTGAAGATCTGAAGGAGGGTACTCCGTTCTTTAATGTTCAAGCTTCCCTACCAGTTATCGAGTCATTCGGGTTCTCTGAGGAAATGAGAAAACGCACATCCGGTAATGCCAACCCCCAACTCGTATTTAACGGGTTCTCCACTCTTGATCTCGATCCGTTCTGGGTGCCCACCACCGAAGAAGAGCTTGAAGCGCTCGGCGAGACTGCGGATAGAGAAAATGTTGCGCTGACACATTTGCATGCCATTCGTCGTCGCAAGGGCATGCAAACGAGCGAAAAACTTGTAGAAAACGCCGAACAACTCCGTAGCAGACGTGGATAGTGAAGTACAAGGGTAAGGGTTGTGATTAAAGGTTATCTCCGCTCGCAATATTAGAGCCTTACATCGGTTCTGATTGCGAGATGGCGGTAGATGATGATAGGACGCCTCTTCTGGCGTCCGATAAAAAGCATTTAGGAGTTGTATCATCCATGTTTCTGATGGTGAACTACATCATAGGCACCGGTATCTTCAGCATTCCATCGGCAGTGTATCTGGCGGTGGGCAGCGTCGGCTGGAGTCTAGTGTTCTGGGTATTGGGTGGATTTGTGGCATACTGTGGATTCAATGTTTACTTTGAGTGGGGATTGGAGATGCCACGAAGTGGAGGTGAGAAGAACTACCTGGCCAGGCTCTTTCCGCAGCCGAAACACCTTTCTTTGGCGGTTTTCGCAATGTCGTCGTTTTTCCTGGGAAGTTCGGCTTCCAACTCGTTTTCTTTCGGTACCTATATTCAATTGGCTCTTGGTTCTGACTTTCCAGATACTAGCCGGTCGAAATGGATTGGATGTGGATTGATCTTTTGTGTTGGTGCTTTGTTCACAGTTGCACCTAGAGTCGGCAAGTTTGCGTTCAATATTCTGGGTGTAATCAAAATATTAATGCTGGTTTTTGTCGCAGGACTCGGTGTTTTGGTTTATTTTGACCTGTTGGAAGTCGCAGGTGGTAAGCCCGATAATTTCAAAGACGCTTTTAGGAGTGACGGGTTCGGAGGGGGTGCTTATAACTTGGCAATTGCTTTTCTTCGCGTGTCATATTCTTATCGAGGATGGGAAAGCCCGAATCATGTGATGGGCGAGGTCTATAGGCCTGAGAGAACGTTGGCGATTGCTGGTCCATTGGCTTTAGCTTGTAGCACATTCCTCTACTTTTTGAGCAATGTGGCATACTTCCTAGTAGTGCCAAAGGAGGATATACTCACATCCGGTAATGCGATAGCTGGTATTTTTTTCCAGCGGCTCTTTGGGCCTTTCGCATCAGCTCGCATCTTGTCTTTCTTTATTTGTTTGTCAAACTTGGGAAACATTCTTGCAGTGTGCTATTCTTCTTCACGAGTCATCTTAGAGCTTGGCAGGTTATACATTCTACCGGTGTCGAGCTTTTTTTCGACCCTAATGCCATTTGGTACCCCGTCAGGTGCTTTAGCCCTTCATGTGGTTGTAACCATTTGTACTCTCATCCTACCGCCGAGTGACGAGGTATACAACTTGGTAATTGATATGACAAGCTATCCAGCATCAATTTTTGCGTTGATAGTAACCGCTGGTCTCCTATACTTGCAGCTGAATGCTTCAAGGCTAGGGTGGAGACAGACTTCGATTCGTCATGAAGCCCCTATTCCGTTGACTATGGTATTTTTACTTGTCAATTTGGCCATGGTAGTGTTTGCATGGGTTCCTCCCTTGGACGACCAGAAAACGAAGCTGCCCTATTACACAAGCCCGCTATGTGCCCTTCTGGTCCTGTTCAGTGGTTATTTCTACTGGTTGTGGTGGCGTAACTCAGAGGGGGCAAAGAAGCTTGATCAACTGATTGACGAGTATGGCTATGCTCGCGAGGAGGCAGTTCTAAACATTGCATAGTATTTATTTCATATGATAGAGAGCGGCACAATGGGCTGGGATGTTCTTGGCCCCAGCACTTTTGTACAAGTGGATGGCTACAGCCAAACAACCTTGGCACATGAAAAAAACCCGCAAAAATTACTTGTATTTTTAGGTACTCGGCTCAACATGTTTGCAGATCAAACTCGACTGCATAGCTGCTTCGGGTGACCAAAAACTGCATACATGCGTGTGTAGAGTTCTGAAATGAGTGAAAAAAAGGTCGGAAAGTTGTTAGAGAATCAGCTGCCGGCCTAAAAGACCAAATCAGAAAAGGTGCTGTTTCGTTTCGTTTAGTTTCCATCGTCTAGAAGCGAAGGTATGTCACCAACCTTACAAGCTAACATTGGCTACGTGATTGTCAGCTGTCAAGGCTCAGACATATGCATACTCGTGTGTACGGTATTTTCCACAGTTGTAGTTGGAGTATTCGGTAAATATATGTAACCTAAGGTGAAAGTAGTCTGTTTCCTCGAGTCTAGGCAACATTGTGATCAACAGCGAGTCAAAAACAAGCTTTTCCAGGTCGTACATATTTGGAGGCAACACCATACTTCATGATTGAGCTCCCACTCACTCAATATCGTCCACAGGAGCATTTTGGTTGAGATCAGTTTCAATTTTTCAATGCACTGGGTAAGGGTGCATAACCTTATTGGATTCGGAGCGATGGCGACAAAACATTCAAATAATGAGCTGGTGACATCAATGATAGTCAGTTGCTTTCAGGTATACTTTTTACCAATATCACGAAAAAAAGAAATCTGTTTATGCTCCCACGTGGTCTAATAGTACCATGAGACAACGTTGAATCATCTGCATTTGAGTCACCATAATCCGCCTACTATCAACCAATCTATTGTCAGCGGCATATTGCCTACTTAAACAACGATTATCGCATGAGATTTCCGTATTCTGATTGCAAACGATGGAAGATTCAAAGAGTTTCACTCAGGAGCAACAGCTAGAATCCTTCACTAGTGAGTCCAGCCTTGAGAACGGAGGACCTGACCATCAAAAGCGGCTGAACAAGATATACCGTAAGCTCGACTGGCGTATTATCCCTCCACTATGGGGCCTCTACTTCTTATCTTCGCTAGGAGGTGGTGCGTATGGTAACTCTTTGACAATGAACAGTGGTGTTGGTCATTCTCTACCCCAAGTTCTCAAGTTGACCAGCTCTCATTTGTCTACTGCCAGCGCCTTAGAGTATGTGGGATACATTGTCTTTGATCTGCCCATGAACCTGATTATGTCTGTGGTTGCACCACACACCTGGATGTCTCGTATTGAAACATCTATTGGTCTTGTCTACGCCTGCTACACTGCTGTCAACAACAGTTCTGGTCTTATCGCTATCCGTTTTTTCACTGGTATGGCCACTGCAGGTATTTGGCCGGGTATGGCATACTATATTAGCATGTGGTATCCCCCACATCGTGCAGCAGCCAGAATTGGGTACTATTTCACTGCCGCACAGCTCTCCACCGCCGTAGCTGGTTTGATCGCCGCAGGATTCCAGAAAATGGACGGGACGCTCGGATACTACGGATGGCAATGGCTCTTTCTGATCTATGGTGTCGTCACCACTGCCTATGGTATATTAGTTGTATTCATTCTCCCTGATAGACCTCGGGGGTTGCGGGGGAATGAGCCGACCAACTGGTTCACTAAATTCTTTGAGTTCATGACTTACCATGGCTCTCCACCTCTGAACCCTGAAGAGGAGGAAATACATTATCAGGATATGAAAGAGCGTTATAATAAACGTCAAGTGTGGAACTTGCGTGATCTATGGGTAGTGTTAAAGGATGTTCGACTGTGGCCGCTTGTTCTCATGTACTTTGGGGTTGTTGGTACAGGTATTGCTATCATGGTTTACGCAACAACTATAATTCAGGCAATTGATCCCGGTCTGTCATCAATTGACCTCTCCTTACTTACTGCTCCAATCTGGCTGTTCGACCTCGCAGCTATCGTTCTCATCACCCCCATCTCAGATTTTCTCAAAAACTACCGTGCTCTCGTGTTTTCTTTCTCTACCATGATCATCATTGTTGGCATGTGTGTTACTACATGGGCACCTTACCAGTGGTCACAATACGGCGGTCTTCTGATCTGTGGTTTTGGCCTCGGCCCCACTGTGCCTATTACAATGGCTTGGGGCGCGGAGATTTTCCAAGCTCGTCATGGTGACCTGGGAGCCGCCGCTTCAACCGCACTTATTTCAGGACTGGGCAACTTGGGCTCTGTCTCAACCACTTATGCATTGTATTCTGGCTGGCCCGCCGATAAGGCCCACCATTATCGAAACTCCAACATTGTGATTATGGCACTACTTGGCTTCAGTATCTTCTCAGCCGCTTGTTGCACCTGGTTAAGATTCGCCCTTGGTGACTTTGGCAATCAACGACTTACGGATGTGACATTCTTAAAGTTCTTTAAACGGACTCTACGTCAAAACTGATAATAAAAAAATAAAACATAATCTTTTAAATGAAACTTAATCATACCCTTCAATGTTCTTATGTGCTTCAACCTCATCAGCGAGCCAGACATGTTCCATGATAGCTGAAGCGGATGGACGCGATCTATAGTCACGAACAAGAATTGATGTGATCAGCGCGCTACACTCAACGCTTAGATCATGGGGGATTCTAAGGGTAGCCTTCATGATCTCGTCCAGATTGTAGAACGGGTTCTCTTTGTACACAATTGTATAAAGCAGAATACCGAGCGCCCACACATCCTGTTGATACCCTTCATAGGGTAATCCTTCGAGCACTTCAGGAGCCGCATAATCAACCGTTCCAACGAAGACATCAAATGGACCCTGTTTTGTAAACGCGGCAGAGCCAAAGTCGATCAGTTTGATCACGCCGTTCAGGTCTACAATTATGTTTTCGTCTTTAATATCACGATGCACGATGCCAAGTTTGTGAAGGTGGTGGACAGCGCTGGCGACTTGGAAAAAGATTTCCTGGCACTCTTTCTCGGTCATCTTAGGTTTTGACTCAATGAGATCAAACAGATCAACTCCGGGATTGCCATGACAAACCATTTCAACATGATAGTACTTGTCGTCTTCGAAAAAGTCAATAAGCTCGATGATATTGGGATGCCAGTGGTCTCTGAGCATGTTCATAGTTTTGATTTCGTTGGGAATAGTACCCAGACGGCGATCCCTGGTCCATGTATCAACAAGAATGCGATCTTTGGCGATACATTTGAGAGCGACCTCGCCTTGCTGAGGCTCTTTGGTATTCAATACCAGTAGAACTTCACCATAAGCGCCTTCTCCCAATTTCCGTATGACCTTGAAATCTTCGAACTTGCGGACCCGCCGTAAGGATCCGACCCTTCTAAGGAGGACCGGCTTGGATGGTGAAGCTGGAGCAGCGTCACGAGTACTGACTTCGCCAGACTCTCCAAGATACTTTCCGGCTGGAGGCAGCATCGAAGTTGGGGTCATAGGGGAGGCCGAATCTTTGCTAGTTAATAGCGGTGTTGTCGCTTCACTAGATGATGGGGTACCCATGGGGGAAACAAGATCCGTAGTGGTCGAACCAGAAGGGGTAGCCGACATTCTTCGACTGATAGCGAGCAAGTTGGATTGAGAAGGAATGATGCATTGCTCTTCGCCAAGTGGAGGTCTTGAATAGCTCACCCAAAGTACCTGAGTTTCTTCGGAAATAGTTCGGACTTGAAGATCGACAAACAGCTCCTGACCATCTCTATTCAGAGCCGTAACACCATTGATGGGGTACGGATCGAAAAAGTTCTCAGCTGTTTTACTAGCAACCAATCGAAACAGATGCTCAGGTATAACGACACCAGGGGACATCAAGGGGACGTCGCAGATACGCTCAATCTCTTTACGATAGTGATTGAAACGTGGGAACAAAGCGTCCACACTCTGTCCGACTAATTCGAGACCCATACCAAGCATATTGTGAATCGCAGACAAATTGTAGCGGACGACATTCCACTTTTTATCCACAATCACAGCGCCAGCAATCGTTAAGGGAGCACGAATCTGGATTTTAAAGGATTCATTGTAAGAAACCAACAGAGGGACATTTCGGTCAGCGACAAGCGTCCAGTAATAGTGCAAATCGTGAGGTGATTTTGAAAACAGCCCCGGGAATGAATCCTGTTTTAAATGACTGAAAGCTGGCGGAGCATCGACCTTGTTGTCGACGATTTCAATGTAATCATGCTCCACTTCTTCAACGAGCCAAACGACGCATTTGTCGGATTTTTCGACCCAGAGAGAAGCCAAACCAGTGACATTGTTATTCTTCACAATATCCAAAAGTCGGCCACACATGCAAATAGAAGGAGGTTGTCTGTCGACTTCGTCAAGAATCCTGGCCCGCGCTCCTTCTGTGAAATAATCCACCATGGGGCGGTCCATAGCCTCATGTTGGGCGACGCCAAACATAAGACATGCAATATCATTTATGCCTAAAACTTTGAAAGGAGCGTGCGGGGTCGTGGTGAACACGGCGGCCCGTGTTGCGTACTTGTTCGGAATCTGACAGAGAGGGGTTGGGTCGTAAGCCGCCTTCGGCACAGAAAGGACAGTGTCGTCGGTGGGGAGGGTTGGACTAGCACTTTCAGGTTTGAATGTTTTCTGGAGCAACGGCATAGAAAAGTATGAGGAGCTTCGGCGGAACAGACGAGGTTTTTCCGGAATGGGCTTCTGTAAATCAACGATGGGAGTTGAGAGCAGCTCCAAGAGTTTCACACCGTCCGAAGACTTGGAAAGCTCTTCAACGTTGTCATTATATTCGGGCAAAATCCTGGACACAGACTTTAGCCAAGAGGAGGATTCTCTTCGGAAAAAATTCACCATCGGAACTGTCAAGCGTTGTTTTGTGGCATGTTCATCGGGCGGTGGTGCCTCGGCGACCACGGCTTCGGGATCGTATTCCAGGTCTAATGCACTTTGAATAACCCGGATATACGCCTCGATATTGTCGGGACCGTGGTCCTGTGCAATGGGAAAGTTGGCCATCTTACCCATAATAGGCACCATTGGAACGGTGTTAGTGGGGTTGCGTGTCTGAATGCGCTGTAAAACTCGCAAGACGCCATGCAATCTGGAGTGGACAAGCTGTGCAGTGTTCTGAGAATAAGTATAAGAGTAGAGGCTGCAAGCAATTGACTCCGAATCCACAGTAGACCTATCTGGCGGTAGATCAGGCAGGTATGGAGGCGGTGGTGAGGCCGCTCTTCGGGCACGGGTCTGGATGGTCAAGAGCTGGCGTTCACCGTCATCTTCGTCCTCAGACCCGATGCTAAACTTCTTGACCGGTGAAAATCTTGTCACATCTTCCTGTTGAACCAGTGAAAGCGCTCGGGGACGTCCTTGGTTCTCAGAGCCCATGCGATCTGCTTAGACAATAAGGGGAAAAAAGTTAAATATACTGCGAGAGCCCCCAGGGTATGGAACCTCCCAATGACTAAATGAGTAAACAAACGTTAAAATTTAGCCACTGCCAGTGTACCGCATAGGGTAGGTGTAGAACGGGCAGTTATTTTTTTCATTAGGGTAGCCAACCAAGTATCTATAAAACTATAACTCGAAATCGTCGTCGTCTTCAAGATCTGTACCCTCTTGGATTTCGGTGACGAGTTCTTTTTCCCGCTCACGAGCCTCCTCTGCCTCCTTGAGGTCAGCAGCGTGGTCTGGGCTCAAATAGCGCATAGCCTTGACGCTGTCATCGTGTAGGGCCATGCAGAATTTGATGCGTTCGTGGAACGTATACTGCGGCTCGGCAGTCGAGTAGATATCCGTGACTTCTTTAGACTGCATGTATCCGTACTGGTGGTTGATCTCTGCGTCGATGACACCATCACGGATCGCCTTGGCCACAATGTACTCTGCGCTCTCCTCGCCATCAAGGCAGAGTTTGATACAGATATCTTTGAGCGAGATGCGAGAGTAAGTAAGAGAAAGGATGCGAATTCCGGTTTTGATGACATTCTGTCTCAGACGGCAGGCGAGGGCGTAATTGTGGTCAGCTTTGAGAGCAGACGCCTCGGCAACCAGAACACTGCCAAACTGTTGAATATCACCTGCCCTAACGGCTCGGGTAAGTGCAAGGTAGGGAGCCAAAGAGCGACGGAACTCGGGCTTCTTGAACACCTCACGGTCGGGGATCTCACCCATCAGCAGCTCAATAACAATGCTCAACTTGTGGGCAGTTTGTAAAAAGCCAATAGACGCTGGAGACTGGGGGACCTTGCGGATTGCCGCTGTGATCTGCTCAAAAGCGCTAGAGTAGTCAAGCTGAATAGCGCTGACCCGCGACAGATAGTAGTAGTAGCGAGCCGCCAGCGAATTGCTGGCAGCAGGCGGGAAAGACGTCTTTGAAATAATACCGGCGGCCTGGGAAATCTTGTTGAGCAGCAAATAGCTACGCAGCAGGAGAATCACCAACATTCCCTGGGTCTCGGCGTCGTGGCGTAACGTGGCCGTGCGCAGACCGGCCATGAGCGGGGGAACGACATGCTCTAGATTGTCGGTAAGTTCCGCGGCCCGCACGTAGTAAAACCAGATTTTAGCCACAACAAAGTCGAGAGAGCGGCGGTCGTACTTGCGCAAATGTGCAAGCGCCGTCTGCGAGAAGGTGTAGAACTGATCGGGAACATCGCGATGCAGCAACCAGATCTGAACCAACAGATGCACATAGGCATCCGTTTCAGGGCTTGGCAGCTCAATTACCGCGTCCTCAGTACCGTCGCTCATTTTTGTCGCGACAGTGCCAGCTGCCTCGCCACTCGCCACCACCCGCAACAGCTCCTGGCCGGCAGGGTCGTTTTGCGGGTAGGTGCTCTTGATAATCTCGCCGAGCACCTCGGAGTCGAGCTGTCGACGTAGAGCCGGAAGTCCACGCAGAACCTTTAGCGTGAACCGCGCATCATACCCAGATAACGCCTTGTCGAGATAGACAAAGTTATGCTTTATTTCGTCTACTGGCCCGTTAGTCATGATGCTAAGCTGACTATCCTGGGATGGTGATAAATGTGGGTGATTTAAAGGGTAAGATAGCCAAGCCCAGGTTTATTCCTCGAAGCAAGCGAAAAAATCTAGAGAATATTGTGCAAACTGTGGTCGAGCAATCGTCCAACGCCAAGCAAGAGGACAGGGACGAGGAATTCACGATACCACAGTGGCGCTTAGAAAAAGAAGCACTAGTCCAGGAAAAAACCCCGGAGGTTACTCTTTCCTGGGAAGAAAAGCCATTGAGTGACATGTCAGAGCGTGATTGGAAAGTTATTGCTCGGGATTTCGGCATTGAGGCTTCAGAATTCACCCACCCGCTGAGATCATGGAATGACCTGCCAAACGAGATCAAGGACATTACTGCTAAACTGGGATATAAAGAACCAACACCTGTTCAACGAGCTACAATTCCACTGGGGCTAGAAGGGCGAGATATTGTGGGCATTGCAGAAACGGGCTCAGGAAAGACTGCGGGCTTTGTTATTCCTCTTGTTTCTGCGCCAACCCAAGGCATATATGGACTTGTACTGGCTCCTACACGTGAATTGGCCCAGCAGATATACAAGGAGACGCTCAAATTCACTGGTACATTAGGAATCAAAGCAGCATGCTTGGTTGGTGGTCATGACATTGAGTCTCAAGCCGATCTGGTAATCGGAGCACAAATTGTCATTGCCACCCCAGGCCGCCTACTTGATGCATTAGCACAGGAGATGTTGTCGTTGGCAAAATGTCGTATGCTGGTGCTGGACGAAGCAGATCGAATGGTCGATATGGGGTTTGAAGAGCAGGTCACTGAAATTGTACGATCGCTGCCGAAATCGAGACAGACACTGATGTTTTCAGCTACTTGGCCCCCAGTCATTGAAAAAATGGCCACGAATTTCCTCACAAACCCCGTGCGGGTTACTGTTGGCGGCGGGCCCCAGGCGAACTCTCGGGTCACCCAAATAATCGAACTAGTACAGCCCGGTGAGAAGCTTTCGAAACTGCAACAGATCATTGGAAGGAAAAGACCTGTTATTGTTTTTGTAAACCAAAAGGCAATTGTTGATCAAGTCGCTGAGGCTTTAAATCAAAGGGGAGTTTCTGCCGCACCGATGCATGGTGATCGAACACAGGAGCAGCGTGAAACCGCGTTAAATGATTTGCGTAGAGGCAAAACAGGCGTTCTTGTCGCTACTGATGTAGCCGGGCGTGGCATTGATATCCCCAACGTCCAGCTGGTTGTCAACTACGACATGCCCCGCCGCTTCGACGCTTATGTACATCGAATTGGCCGTACCGGACGCGCTGGACGCAGTGGTACGGCTGTTTCATTAGTGACCGACTCCGATTCGGCTCTTTTCCCTGACTTAAAGGCTGCTCTGCAAAAAAGCCGCTCCCCGATCCCCACCTTTCTCAAATAGATTTACATCACTTAATCATTTATCAATGTTGACCCAAACTCTGGTACCAGCTCCAGCCACTTTGCGGAGCCGTCGCACGCAGTTGGCTTATGACAAGGCCTCTAACCGTATCGCCTACGGAAGTGGTAAGAATGTTTATATTCGCAGCGTGGAAGACCCCACAAAATGTGTTGTTTACGAGAAACACATCAACCCTGTCACCGCGGTTGCGTTCTCTCCAACCGGAAGCTATGTTGTTTCTGGCGACCAGAACGGTGAAGCACATGTTTGGGGTTTGAATGGCGATGAGATTGTCCACAAAACCACTGTTCAGGCTACTAACGGCCGTATTAATAGCGTGGCTTGGGATTTCGAAACTAAACGTGTTTTCGCAGTTGGAAATGGTACGCAACGGTTCGGGCATGCTTTCATGTTTGATTCCGGAAATTCTGTTGGCGAGATCTCTGGCCACCCCTCCGAAGTCTATGGTGTAGCCCTTCGTCCGAGCCGACCTCCTCGGGCCGTCACGGTTGGCGAGGATGGCGCTTTGGTCTTCTACCACGGTGCGCCTTACAAGTTCGAAAAGACGGTCAAAAAGCACACTGGCTCCATTTGGGATGTAGCATATTCTCCCAGCGGTGAGAAGTTTGTATCTGTTGGCAGCGATCGCCAGGTGATTATTTACGATGGAAAAACTGGCGATTTCGAGACATTGATCGATACCAAGCACTCCGGATCAATTTTTGCTGTTTCCTGGAAAGACGACAACACAATTGTTACGGCTAGCGCGGATGCAACTGTCAAGTTGACTGACATCTCTACCAACAAGGTCTTGGAGTCTTGGGATTTGCCCAAGGAACTGGCAAACTTCCAGGTTGGTGTGGTTGCCGCTGGGGAGAAAGTGATTTCATTGGGTTTCAATGGTGATTTGTATTATTGGAAGCAAGGTGAGACTAAGCCGACGCGTGTTTTGCAGGGCCATCAGAAGGGCGTTTCAGCTCTCCTGGTTGCCGACAATATTTTCTCTTCGTCTTCAGATGGCAATGTTCTCAAGTGGACTGATGGGTTGGCTAAACGATTAGACGAAACTCACAACTGCCCGGTCGTTGGTCTGTTGAATTACAAGGACGAACTTGTGTCGGCAGGTTGGGACAAAACTCTGGCGACTTTGGAGGGCAAAACCGCGGCTACGTTGAGTGCTCAGCCTATCGCTTTGACTTCTGATGGCTCCACAGTTTATTCAGTTTCAGAGTCTGGGTTTGAGGTTGTTGGGGGCGATGCAGTAGCTATTGATCGCTGTGCAACCCTCGATGCCCATGACGGCTTGGTTGCAGTTGGCCACGAGCTTACTGTTAGCCTGTATCGGGATAGCAAGCTTGAGTTCGACTTCCCTGCTGGCCGCATGACAATCTCATGTGTAAAGTTTAGCCCCAATGGTGAGTACCTTGCTGTTGGTGACACTTCTGGTAAGATTGTTCTATATGACGCCAAGTCACATCAGATTGTTACTTCAAGATGGACGTTCCATTCTTCCAAGGTCACTTCGATCGCATGGCATAAGGATGGAGAGCGTGCTGTCACTGGTGCTCTCGATAATAACTTGTTTGTGTATTCCGTCAAGAAAGGGAAAACCCACAAAATCGAGGCTGCTCATCGTGACGGTGTGACGCAAGTTTCTTGGCTCAACGATGATATTGTCAGTGCTGGTAACGATGGAAGCATTAAGATTTGGACCCTATAGTCTTATATACAAACAATTTTTTTGTAATTAGATAGTTTACGTCGACATGACAGCGGCGACATGTTCGCATCTACCAATGCGAGATTCAACAAATTTCAGAGTTTCCTGAGACGCACCAGCATCGCGGGCGGCTGATAGTTCTTTTTTGAAAAACTCTGCACGATCAGGCTGATTGCAGGCCTGAGCTAGAGCCAGCAGATCGAATTTGTCGATGTGCTCAATGTGAGCTTTACGTTGGGTCCATAAATCTTCGATAGCGGCCAACGGGGTGGAGGCCAAGTGCTGGGATGCATTGAGGAATACGCGAATCGAGTCTACCCGCAAAGGTCCCTGGCGAGAAATCGCAGCCATGAGATCTTCAATATACGTTGATGTGGGCCAGCGTTTTGACATGAAACTCAACAAGGTGTTCAGGGCTACAACAGGACTACTGTCCAGGGGCAGTAATTTGCCCAAAGTTTCTCTTGCCTCTGCACTGTCGGTCTTGTACATATCCAAGAGAAAGCGCACGGCTGTGGATGTGAGGATTTGGAATTGAACGGGGGCAACATGGTTGGCCTTGGTCGAGAATCTTTCGACGGCCTGGCGATAAATGTTGACAATCTGCATGGGGTCAGATGTGGCAGTAGCGACCTGTTCAAGATATTTCGACACCGAGGAAGGATGCAGTCTGATACGAGATTCGTCGGAAACCGCCGACTCGAAAAAGGCAGCCGAAAGTTCTGCATCTTGTGACTCAGTGAGAATACGGTTGTGCAAACGCGAAAACGTCTCCTCCCATTTCTTCACAGGATAATTGCGGCACATATGAGCATACAGCTCTGCAGCTTTGACGCTTTCTCCATAGCGCAGATAGCTGGTTGCCAGGGCGTCATCCAAAAGCACATGGTGTCCACGGCTGCGCACAGTGTCTTCATATGTTAATTCAATTTCGTCCAAAGAAACCGACTGCGGGTCAGCAAAGCGGATAAACGAGCCCACGACCTTGGGATCTTTGACGCGACTAGACAGTCCGGCAGGGAGCTGATCCTGCTCGGAGAGTTGGCGCCAAACTTTGGTGGCTTCGGCGTGACAGTTAAGAGTACCAAAAGCAGTCAATAAATATGTCAAAGCGAAAGTAGACAAATATGCTTTGCCGGCGAGAATATCCTCCACAATCTCCTCGAGGTAGCCCTTGAGCTCGGGATTTTGTTCATTGACGACATTGTGGCGTTTTGTTGAAATCAAAGGCCGCAAAACAACCATGCGCAAACGTAACGTGCTAAGAATAGCGTGCACAACGTCACTAGCGGGAATAGGCTCTTCGCTGCTTTCACGGAACTTTCGATAAATCGACATGATCTCTCGCACGTCTACAAGCTCAAGACATCCGTTCACTTTCGATTGCCGTTTCAAATCTTTATAGGGCTCCAGAGCCTCTCGGATCGGCGTGGATGCTTGTCCTTGGTTGTTAGATTTCGCCGGTCTGGGGCGTAACGTCGAGGTAGTAGTCTGGTCCAGGGCTTCTGCAACAGTCTGTTCAGCGGCTAAATCACTCTTTAATGCCAGTCTCACGCGGCCCATCAACGCCGGAACCCGCGGGGGAACAGCTGTGAACCTCAGCATACTTTTTACCTGAAAAAATCGTTCGATGAAAAAACACAGACCGCTGACTCAGATGTTACACTTTTATTGGATCTTCCAATCAGAAGACGCGAAAGCAGCCATAAAATTTAAATTCTAATGATCCCCTATCTATAGCTTGCGAAGAGCGTTAGCCAAGTCAGAAGCCATGGCGTTGCTGCGCTCGCTCTCATTGCTCAAGGCTGCGGCCAGGCCAGACGCTAGACTCGGCGCTCCTGCTTCGACTTTTTGGATGTAAGTTGTCGGAACCCAACCCGTTCTACCCGAAGCGTTCTTTCCTAGCGACCATCCATTGCCCGAGTCTTGTTCGACGGTGATCACTTCGCCCGCACTTACTCCCAACTCACCGGCATTGGTTCCGGGGAAATCGTACATGGCCTTGTACTGAGGAACTGCGGGCGGGGCAGGAGGTGCAGGAGGGGGCGGTGGAGGAGGCGGTGCTTGATGCTGCTGCGTAGACTGTCTTTGGGCAGGTGGCTGTGGCTGCCTCTGAACAGGCTGGGGAGCTTGTCGCTGTGCCGGTTGCGCCTGTGCGGGCCGTGGTTGCGCAGGCCGCGAGGCCTTCTTGCGTTTAGGAATTTCTTCACGTGGTGTGTTACCAGGAAGACCGCTTTGACCAACGTGAACAACACCACTCTTATAAGTATCGTAGAGGCCCTGTCCATCTTTGACGAACTTGATAGCTGCCACCTTGCCCGGCTTCTTGCAGTAAGAGATCTCTTGAGCTACCTTAACTTGGTGCTGCAACAACCCAATTAGCTCGGTTTTGAAAAGACACCACAAAAGCATGTCGCTGGTTTCTTTAGACTGTGTGCGGACTGCGAACCAATCATCTCTATACGTAGACGTCTCTATGCCTGTGATCAGGCTAACAGCAACCTGTCTCTCGATAGTATAGACAAGCTTGCCCTGAAGGATGTCACCACGGACAGTATAGAAAGTTGTCGGCGTCAAAATAAACGTACGGCTCAGCCTCTGAGCCGAACGACCCAGTTTTGAGAACAGCTGTTCGCCACGAGCAGAGAACAGAATGTTGCCCTGAATGCCAACCGACTGAACAAGATAACCGCCAGCAGACGAAGGATCGTTACACACAAGATAATCACCATACGCAGCACGCTCTCCGAGCATGGAGAAACGACGACGTTCTTTACGACCCGCATAGAACGAGTCATCAGGAGGAGGAATAGTTGGATCTTTCGCGATGCCAAGGTATGTCTTGCAAGCCTTTTGGAGAACCAAGATTGCTTCCATACGCCGCTTGAAGTGGCGACGCCAAGCACGTTGAATGCGGGAAGCCATATTGTGCCAATACATATCACGCATGTGCTCCAACGCAAACAGAGTTTCGGGGGTTTTGATGAAGACCTTTGAAACGCCCATTTGCCATTCAGAAGGCGGAGTACCTGTTGCTCGAAGAATCTCTAACGTAGCATCCCGATGACTTCCCTGCCAAATGTAGTCACCTGCGTAACCAGTCTTGGAAGAAAGTAGGTAAAAGCGCTCAACAAAGCTCTCAAATGGCTGACGAGAGGCGAAACCAGCACGGCGAATTCGGACGTTCTCTTTCAAACCAAGGTATTTGATTTGATGTAAAACCGCCTCGTCAACCAGCTCCGTTGGGGATCGGTTTCCGTTAGGCTTGATTGTACGAATATAAGAAGGACGGGACTTTGCCAAGGTGGTCATCAAGTCATTTGCACTTCGTTTGATCAGGTCGCTAGCAGTGGCTCTGCGTTTGCGTTTGCCTGCACTGGAATCTTCCTCCTCGAAAGCTTCGGGGAAAAGGCCAGCAAGGAAAGGATTAGATGTAGTAGCCAACAGACGAGTGAGTGATTTGCCCAACTGATCCTTGTTCTTGTCGGTCATGGCATCAACATTATAAGTGACATCACCAGCATAGTGCTTGATAATGAACTTGTTGGAACGGACCTGCAAGTGAGGGTTTGAAGTCAACATATTGAGTTTCATTCCGAAAGACTGATCCGCAGCATCGGAGTCGGCATGCGCAGTAGCACAAGCGTCGTTCAGAACAGCGAAGATTCCTGGAGGACGGATTTCTTCGATAAGATCACAAACAATCTTGTTGTTGAAATAATCAATGGGAGTCCATTGGATCTTTTCCTCAATGTACTCGTCCTGTTCAGCTTTCAACGTGAGCTGAATAAAAATTTGCTGTAGCTTCTCATTGACATAGTTGATACAGATCTGTTCAAAACTGTTGTGCTCAAAAATCTCGAAACCGTAAATATCCAGAATGCCGACCGACTTTTTGACCTCAATCTGGGTCAAGAGCGACTTGTTGACACGCTCGACAATCCAATCGAATAGCTTGGAGTAGACATGCTTTGCCAACGCATCCCGGACAGCAAGGGCCTGCACCCTGTTCAACGGAGACTCAAAGACCTCGCCACGGCCCATTCCACGACCTGTCTCTACAATTTTAGTCGTCAAAGCAGTAGCGAGAGCATTGGCATCAACATCTAGGAGGTATGCAGCGAAATTGGTCACCGACTGGTCACCGATGGAGGTTGAAGAGTCGTCGGCCTCAACGAAGGTGACGTTGCCAAGCCAGAGAATGGCGGAAAGCATCTTGAAGATATCATCTTGTTCCTGTTGGCTTAGACCAATGATACCCATTACCCGCAAAGTCTCGTTAAAGTCTTTAACATCGTCGATGCCGTTGACCGAAGTACAACCGGACTTGGAAGTGTAGGTGTATACGTCGGGCGTCTGAACACCATACATTTCCCGATAGCGCTGAGGCGCACCTTTTGTGTACTGGTAGAAAATGTGGAAGTTACGCTCATTACGAATTTGACCGACTACGCGGTTCTTCTCCAACAAGTAGTTTGTGATGTGGGCACCGGCCGGCTCGTTTTGGGCGTTGAACAGGATTTCCAAAAATTTGCCGTGGCGCGAGGAATTGTCGTTTCTGAGAGTCGTAGCACAGCCAAAAGACTCGAGAAGAGGGTTGGTGGCCAGAACCATGTCCTTGATTTTAGAGATCGTGGAAGTGGATTGGCCAGATACGGCAGCAATATACTGCATAATCCGTTTTGCAGCTTCGGTCTTGCCAGCTCCGGACTCACCACTGATAATCACGCATTGACTCTCGTCATAACTCTTCATGTTGTAGTACATGCTCTCAGCAATGGCGAAAACATGCGGCGGTACCTCAAGGCGGTTTTTGCCGCGGTAGGATTCCAAAACCTGTTCAGAATAGATACCCAGGTCACGGAAAGGGTTTACCGAGATCAACACATGTCCAATGTAAGTATAAATGAGACCGGAGAAGAATCGTTGTTTGAGATTGTCCAAAATGGCCTCATCGGTGACCTTGGATAGCAAAGTGAGATCGCTGACTCCCACTTCCTTCTTGCGGCCCGCCTCGAAAGTAGCCTTTTTCACGCCGCCACTGGTCGGACCAGTTGCTCCGCCGGCTGCGCGTCGTCCTGGTCTTCTAGTCAATCCCATCGTAGATGTCCGGTGAACGTCAAGAGAGATAAATTGGGTTCGGTGGCTGACCCAAGCTTAGTCGGCACAATGATGTAAATCCGACGTCAATCTCCGAGCTGCGCCACAGAGGTCCGGAGCGATGAAGAGGCCAGTGATTTTTATTTAAAGTTCATAAGTCGGTTGTGAATTTAAAGTATGTACATTAAAAAGGGCCGTCTTGACGGGCGAGAATTAGACCCCCTAGACTTTGCCCTCTTCGGCCAGTTTTCGCTTTTTCTCCATGATAAACTCGACTCTCAGGTCTTCAAACTTATCATTAGCTCCCCAGTAGGCCACACAGTCCAGCAGCTCCTTTTTGAGGTCGGCACATTTCCAGGGGAATAACAGCTGGTGGTTTTGGGCACACTCGCCGAATTTTATGAACTGGGTTTTACACTCTTCCTGCGCCTGGTCCTGGCAGCGCTTTCGGATCTCCGTCTCCTCGTACGGCGCTAAAAACCAAGCAGGGACTGGTGTCTCAGCGCTATTGCCAAAATCATCAGTGACGGGCATATTGGTTAGTAACCTGCGATGGACCAACAAGAAAGTGCTGCTGAGGAGCTGATACGCAAAGTCGACAATGCGGTGAAGGAGTTTGGGCTATTGAAACAAAGCATTAAGAATTACCCGTACCAGGTGCTGGTGGGCGATTCTCTTGAGGAAAAGCGGCAGGCTCTAGCCAGATTAGACGCCGTGCAGGCGCAGTATAAAGTACAATTAGACGAGCTGAACGCTGAAATTGAAAAGACAGAGGCAGCAGGGCTGGAATTTGAACGGATGGTCCATGACAAGTTTGTTTCTGATCGCGAAAGGCTGGCAAAGGCGAGCGCCAACAGCAGCAGGGCCGAGCTGATGGAGGCTCGACGGACTCTGGCCGACCTGCGGCAACGGCTCCAAGAAAAGTCGCGAGAAGTCGTGAATAGAGGCAAGGTACCTGGCGCTACTGCAGTTAACGCTGATGACGCGCTCTTGCTTGCCCTGTACGAGTCTCTCGGTGTGTCGTTGGAAAAGAGTGTTTCAGTGGAGAATCGCTGGAAAGCGATCCAGCAATTAACAAATTAAATGTAAACTATTTATTACAGAGGCGGTGGGACTGTCTCTAGTATGCTTTCAATCAGTAGTTCTGTGTTCCAGTTGCTGAACCATATTTTGGCTACTTCGAAATCGCCTCCCCATTGCAGGCTTGGTTCTTTTGATGGATCTTCGAGTTCAACTTTGATGGGCAGCATTTTGCGGGCTGCCAGGGAAATAATGCTTGGGGTGATAAACTTTAGGTCGCGTAAAAGGCAGATACTGCGAGCTAGCAGCTCCAGGTCTTTAGAGACGCGCGGAGACACTCCGGACTTGACCAGTCGGTTTGTGCGAATAAATACCATAATGTCTTGAATGTAACGAGCAATTTCCGGGATAATTGCGACTCCGGGAAGTTTTGCCCGCATGGTGACTAGTTGGTCCTGGAAACCTATTTTAGACGGCAAGGCCAGCATGCTGTTTTCAATTGATAGATCAATCTCTTCTCGAAATAACACAAGCTGTCTGAGCGGCCGTATTAACTTGTCGTAGGATCCAAGGAGAACTACTGTTGTGATGTCCAAAGATACCGGGCTCGGATCAGGTCTCACTAGGGAGTCCACAAAGTGGGTTTGTACGGTTGTGGTCAGAGTATCTGGGTTTTTTATTAATACGCTGGTCCCGGACGCATGTTTAAGGTCCATTGCTAGCCGTGGCCAAGTGGTTTCAGCACTTGCGTGAATAAGAGTACACCGGCGATTCAGCAGTCGCTCCAGAGTGGCGGTTATTTGAGCTTCGGCCACATTCAACTGCTTGCACACAATCAACACTAGGCGTTTGTGTAGAGCCGCTAGCAGACACGCTATAGCGATATCTTCCGGCACTAGATTATCTTCTAGCATCCATGTGAGCTGACAAAGACAAAGACCGCGCTTAGGTTTGGTAGGTTATATACGCTGGTCCATCGGACAGCTTGCCAGTATCTCGCGAGACCGCGGACTTTTTTTCCCGGCACTCTCTTGTGACGTTCTTTTTCTTTTGTACATATACCCTATTATTTTCCAGTTATCGGCCTCCGGGTGGGGTTGGGAGTGATCCCAAATATTCCGTCTCACCTAATTTTTTTCTCTTCAGAATGTTCAAAGCCCACGACATCGCTAAAAAGCAGCATCGTGAGCGTGCTCAGCCTCAGGCGCGCAAGAAATGGGGCCTCTTGGAGAAAAAGAAGGATTACCGGCTTCGGTCGCAGGATTTCCACCGCAAAGAGGCGCATCTGGCTCTGCTTCGATCCAAAGCCCAGCAGGCTAACAAGGACGAGTTCAACTTCAAAATGGTCAAAGCAAAGACTAACGACGGTGTGCTTGTGGCCTCCAGAGGTGCCGAGGTTCTCAATGATGAGCAAGTCAAACTTTTAAAGACTCAAGATGCAGGATACCTCCGAACTCTTATCAATAATGAGCAGTCGAAAATTGAGAAAGCAAAGGCTTCACTGCTCTTAGCAGGCAGCGGCAAGCACACACTATTTGTCGAAAACGAAGAAGAGCTCGAGAACTTTGACGCAGCTAAACACTTTGATACAGACAAACGACTCTTACACCGCCGCCAGAACCGTCTTCGATCCAGCCAGCTTACAGACGTAGACATTCAGCAGCCAGCTGAGACGTCCCTCAAAGATCTGCAAACTCTTCAGAAACGTCTTAGTCGCCGAGAAGAGCTGGACCTGGTGCAGCAAGAGCTGGCTCTGCAGCGCGAACTCATGAAGAAGGGCGACAAAAAGAAGATTGTCAACAAAGACGGCACCGTGACGTACAAGTGGAAGAAAGTTCGCAAGCGTTAGTTTATTTATCTTGAAGTATTATAATATTTACAAACAACAACTGAAATTGCCGTTGCCAAAAAATTTTTTAGAAACCCTCGGGAGGAACCCGGTTAGTGACCTTGGTGAACTTGGGCTGGCGATGGGCACCTTTACGATAGTTAATAGAGGTTTTGTTGAAGATCCAGTACTTGTCTTTGGCTGGCATTTCGCTCTCCTTTGGCAGCTCTTTGTCGAACCGCACGATCTTGTGAATAGTTAGGCCTTCGCTGGCCAGTCCCTTCGCAACAGTGGAAATGGTCTGGTCTACGGCTCGCAGACGGCTCCGTTGGCGAGCCTTTTGTGGCTGAGACATCTTGTAGGGGATTTTCCACAGGTATCCGCCCATGCGAACCGGTGATCCACGGAAAGGGCCAAGCATGATGAATACGAGAGGAGGAGGATGACAAAGCGGAGGTCCGATTCGTGCTAAGAGGGCCCGACGTCTGATACCAACTACACTATTCACATAGTTTGTGCACTTTTGTGAACCCTTTTTGTTGCCCTTTCTTGGCTACACCTATTTCACGAACCAATTGTTGTGAAGACCTGCGGTCTGTTGTGAAGTTAAACCTGGCACCTAGAATTCTAACGTTATTACTCAACCGCCACAATGGACATTGAAGCACAAGGCGGATATAAGGATGATCCGGAGTTCGACGAACTGACGGAGCGTCTCGCAGACGAGATCTTTGATATATCGGCCACAAACGGCAGGCTCTGGGCCCACTTGAGGGCTTCCAATCCCGACAAGGCTGCTGACCTTGCAGCCAAAAACCGGGCGCAGTTCCGGTCGCTAAAAGCCGACGTTGAGCGAATCCAGCAGTGGCCCAACAATTTGCCTGCTCAGAAATACACGCAGACGAAACTGGTGCGCGAATTCGCCGAAGCGTTCAGTGAGTTCCAGCGTATCCAAAAGCAGATCGCTCGCGGCGAACGCCAACTCGTGCAAGAAGCTCGTAAAATTAACCCCCCACCTGAGACTCCAGCATACAAGGATATTGACGGTGCTCCTGGAATTGAGCTCCAGCAGCAGCAGTCGTTCGAAGAGCAGCTCAGGCAGGATGAGGTGGCTTACCAGCAGGGCCTTATCGAAGAGCGACAAGAAGAGATTCGAGGCATTGAGCAGGGAATTGTCGAACTCAATGAAATTTTCACCAATCTGAGTAACGTTATTGCCGAACAGGGCTCTGTCATCGACAACATCGAAGCGAACATCTACTCGGTTGCCCAGAATACGCGCGATGGCGCAGGCGAGCTCGTAAAGGCTGCTCGGTGGCAGCGTCGCACTGGAGGCCGCATGCTCTGTTTTCTTATTATTTTACTGATTTTCGCCCTTGTGATTATTTTAAGCGTGCTAGCATAGCCCTCATCTAACTTATTCAAAAAACCTTACCTGTCGTCGCATCCCCGCTGTCGCCACGGACATGACAGCTGCAACAAGCCGTTGGCTATTTTTTCTATAGAATGTAATTGCGGCCTGGGTTCAAAAAGTCATGAGCATCGTGGGATTCACCAGTTGCATCCAGCCTTAGCCGCGGCGGAGCCCTCGTGACACCTCGAACCCAGTTTCCACTCGCTCGTCGTCCTCCATCGAGCAAAGGGTTAGGTGATCTTTGAGCGAGCTGCAGGGTACTGCTTGAGCGCGGAGGTGAACAGAATGGAGGCGACAGCGCGCACAACCGCCAAGAGTCGCGAATAAACCACTCCCCCGCCCACACCTTGTCACCAGCGACTAGGCCATTCTTCAAAACACCCGCACAGCCCCCATACCGTCCAACTCGAGACCCTGCCGCTGAAACAAATTGGTATTGCCGCTTAGATAACCGGCATCCTTGCTGCGAGTATCGTAGCAACTTACCTACCAGGAGGCAATTTTTTTCTTCTCTCCATCAACCCAAATCTGATTTAGAGTAGAACGTTTTTGCAGCCTCGACCACGACAATAATGGCCCCTGATCTGAATTTCTCCAAGGTAGCTGATACCATCAAATCCATTGTGATCCCTGATGATTCGGCCTCCAAGGAGTCGGGTGACAATGTTCAAGCTTCCTACTTCAAGTTTTTAGCGGCCAGCGCAGACGACGACTCGGACTCTGACACTGAGATTGACGACGAGTCGATGTACTCGGTTTCTACCGCAATTGACGACAAATTGGATCCAGAAGCAGAAGCGGAGAACCTGCGCTCCAAGCTGCGAACCATGATGGCGCCTGGGGACGAATACGACGGGTCTGTGCAAATCACTGATATCGTTCGTGAGCGTCTGGGCGCAACTGGTCAAGAGAAATTGCTTGGCCAAATTCCCGCCTGGCAACTTACCGACGTACTTTGCCAGGGCAAGTCACTGCTCTCTGCCAACAATATTTACTTTTACGCTCCATTGCCTTATACTGGGTCCCGTGTAATTATGGAAGGTACCCTTCGGAAGCGCTCCTCTAAGGGTATGGGCTTTACCCGTTATTGGTACATTCTCCGTCACGATGCTCTTGCCCACTATAATTCCGCTGCAGACCCTTATTTCCCTGCTGGAATTATCCCGTTGTACAACGTCAAGTACGTTGATCATCAGCCCAAGGAAAATGGTGAGCCGAGCAGCTCGATTTACATTGTCATGAACGATGATGAAACTGTTCACCTAAAGGCGGACTCTCCTAACTCCGCACATGAATGGGCTAAGGCTATCCAGAAAGCTATTTTTGTTGTGCGCAATAAGGGTGAGTATGCTAAGGTCGTGATTCCGTTTGAAAATGTTTTGACTGTATCTATCGTGCCGGTTTTGGACGTCGCCAAAAGCCTTCGCCTGGTGTATATTCCTGGCCCTGGCCTCAAAGCTCAAGAGACTGTCATGTTATTCTTTAGCAGGGGCGAAGACGCATTTAATGCCTTGGTGAAATACTGGAAGCTCAAGGTCGGTGAGGATAAAATTCAGACTGCTGGTGGACCGGAAAAACTGGCCCTCAAGAACCAATCAATTACTGTCACCAAGTCTGTGTTCAACTCTACTTACTTTTCCGGTCGTTGCCACAAACTTCCAGAGCACATCACTGAGCAGCTTTTCCGTGCCCCCAGGGACGATCCCTCGGCCACTACCATGATCTCGCAAAAGATTGTCGACACTGGTACATCGGTAGTTTCAGGTACCAGCAGTGTTGTCAAAGGTAGCTTGGGACTGTTCAGTTTGCACAAGGTAGTTGGATCTCACCTTAAGCAGGCTGCTACTGAATGGATTCCTGAACGAGAAAAGTCGATTTCTGCTAGTCAATCTGAGCGCCCCTCGGTTTCAGGTAGTCCGGTGCTTTCTCCTCAGATCACCAGTGATGTTGATATTGATGAAGCGGTAAGGCGAGCTGCTGCTGAAAGGTCAGGTATGGAGGACACGGACTTTACTGGCTCTGCAAAGGCTATGCTCAGCCGCATTTTCAACGCATCTGCCAGCATTGCTTATTCTGTCACCGATACTAAATGCAATCCTGAAGAGGACATGCACGTTATCACGGATGATGAGCGTGCTGAAGCCAATGAGCGTTTCCAGAGCCAGTTCTCCTTCAGCCGTCGTATCAGCTTGCTTTCGTACTACAAATGTTTGCTGCAACGGGGTAAAGGCCAGGCAATGTCCGGTCTTATTTTCTTGACGAACCGATATGTTTGTTGGCGTCGCGCTGTCGTTACCTCGAAAACCCGCATGATTCTGCCCATTGACGATGTTCAATCTGTCGAGATCTGCGAGAAGTCCAAGTTCGGTAATTTTGGTGTCCAGCTTCATATTCGCGGCTCCGACCCCATATATACTGAGTTGACGACCAAGGATGCCTGCGAATCTTTTGTTAAGTGTCTAACCAAACTAATGGAGGAAGAGGCCGAGCACAGCAAGAATCATACCGGTGATTCTAGTGACTCTTTAGACTTTGTCCGTTACCAGCTAATTCAGGCTCGTTTAGCCACTTATGAGGATCATCTTAGTGACAAAGTCCAGATGCGTATCCCTCCGTTGGTTGTCGATCCTTACTCCAGGGAGACTAACGAGTCGTTCTTGGTGAAACCTCAGGAGAAGTTACGTATCACCATTTTGACCATTGGTTCCCGTGGTGATGTTCAGCCGTATATCGCTCTGTGCCAGGGTTTGATGGCTGAGGGTCACATCTGCCGTATTTGTACCCATGCCGAGTTCCGGGACTTTGTGGAAGGTTACGGTATCGAGTTCCGGGAAGTCGCTGGTGATCCGAAAGCTTTGATGCAGATCATGATTGACCATGGGTCTTTCAGTTTGTCTTTCCTCAAGGAGGCAGCCAGCAAATTCCGTTCTTGGGTCACCGAGCTTCTGGAGTCTGCGTGGGTAGCCTGCCAGGATAGTGACGTGCTTATTGAGAGTCCTTCCGCTATGGCTGGTGTGCACATTGCTGAAGGTCTGGGAATCCCCTACTTCCGTGCATTCACAATGCCTTGGACACGTACTCACGCCTATCCTCATGCTTTCATTGTGCCTGATTCTAACCTCGGTGGATCTTACAACTACATGACCTATGTTATGTTTGAAAACATGATGTGGCGTGGTACCTCCCACCAAATCAACAAGTGGCGTAAAAAGACAATCGGTATTCGCGGTACTAGCCTCGAAGGTATGCGTCAACAGCAGATTCCGTTCTTGTACTGTGTCAGCCCTCACGTCCTTGTTCCCCCCATCGACGAGCCTGACTGGGTGCACTACACTGGCTACTGGCAGCTTGAACAAGATGATACGTACAAACCTCCTGAGGAGTTGGTTGCTTTCATGAAGAAAGCTCGCGATGATAAAGTGCCTTTGGTCTATATTGGATTTGGTTCTATTGTTGTTGATGATGTCGAAAAACTTACGAACGATGTCGTCTATGGTGTCGAGAAAGCCAAGGTTCGTGCCGTTGTTGTCAAGGGATGGGCCGAGCGCAGCTCGGATGGAACAAAGAAGGAGGGTGCCAAGACGCTTGCATCTAAATCCATTTACACCGTTGATGCTATCCCTCATCAGTGGCTGTTTCCGAAGGTTGATGCAGCTGTCCACCATGGTGGTAGCGGTACTACGGGCATGTCCTTGAGCTGCGGTATCCCTACTGTTATCAAGCCTTTCTTTGGTGATCAGTTCTTCTATGCACTGCGGGTGACTGATCTCGGCTGTGGTCTTGCCTTGAAGAAGATCACCGGCGACGGTTTGGCCAAGGTCTTGGTTGAGGCCACCAGCAACAAGAGCATCATTGAGCGTGCCAAGGTAATCGGAGAGCAAATCTCGCTTGAAAATGGTGTTGCCCGGGCCATCCAGTGTATTTACCGCGAGCTTCCTTATGCTCAATCCCTTGTTCGTCCCCGAAAAGATGTCGTGTATAATCCCCGCCGCATCGCTCCTACTCTCAGTCGCACTAGTGCAACAGGCGACGACGAGAAGAAGAAAAAGTGGTACAAAGGCGGCAGTCTTTTTGGACGTTGAAAGTTGAAATAGCTAATAAATTATGCAAAGTGAATACCTACTTGATGGAAAGCGTACAGGAGACGGAGGAAATCGGTCTGGTCGCACTTGCCCGCACGCATATCGCTCATCTGCGTTTGCTGGAGCACGCTTTCTATTTTCTTTTTGACGATAGCTGCGAGATCATCATCCGGAATCTCAGCTGCATCGTAGCCTTGATGATTAGGCCCGTTCTCGGCGATGAATGTGCGGTAGTTTTGCTCAAGAATCTGCAGCACGCTTGAAGACTTGAAGCCAGCAGAAATTGTACGATTCTTGCGAACAAAGCAGACTCGAAGAAGCCCGTCCCATTCGTTGTAGTCAACTGGAGGTCGAGGCGACTTGACTTCAATTCGTACCACCGACGACTCCACGTTGGGAGGGGGCCTGAAATTGCCTCTACCTACCTTCATGACATGCGTAACAGTTGCCCACATCTGCACGTTTGCAGAGAGACGACAGTACAAAGAATCACCGGGACGAGCGAGAAGACGGAGGGCAAACTCCCGCTGAAACATAAGAATTGAAACTCTGGGAGGTCGCGGAAGGTTCAACAGTTTAAACACAAGCGGCGACGAGATCTGGTAGGGTGTGTTAGAGATACAAATGTCGTGATAAGGTAAATCCATCTTGATACAGTCGCCCATTACAATATCCAATTTGCGTTCCAGCGGCTTTCCCTGCACACGTTTGGTGAGCTCGGCAGCCATTCTGGGATCCATTTCAACAGCCACAACCTTGCGAGCCTGCTCCAAAATGCGGATCGTCAAGTTACCTGTACCAGGACCGACTTCAAGAACCGTATCACTAGGCTTGATATCGGCCTTGTCGACAATGCCTTGGGCCACAAGTGGGTTTTTAAGAATATGCTGACCCAAATCAGTATTCATTTTGAAAACAGATGTCTTTGCATCTTTTTTGGCCGTGACTTTCCCCATTTTTGGATAAATGTGAGAAAAAAAAAAATTAACCACACAAGAAAAAATTAGGTCATCAACTCTTGGAAAATGGCTCGTCAGATCCGGCCAGTGCGACCAGTCGAGGAGCGACCTCCAATCGAGGTTCCCAAGCCTAATTTCAAAGGCAAAGGCAATCGTAGTGTATTTTTGATTATGCTGTCCATTCCGCTCGTCGCTGTGACAACTGCAGTGTTGTACAAACGGGTTCTAGTAGGACAGCCCAAACGGGTTCAGACAGGCGAATACACACCGGACGGCGGTTTGAGAATGTTTACCGAGGACGAAAGAGAAGATCGGGACTCGAAATCCTGGATGACACGGATCTTCGGTAGAGAAAAATAGATAAATTATTTCGTACATAAGCTCGAGCATCGTGGGGTAGGAATGCCGCTGTAGATTTGTTGGCAGCGAAGCTCCAATGAGGAAAAGCGCCGCGACAATGGTGCTATGCTCACGCTGGTTGGCGTTGGCGGTTGCAAACGGCTGGTTGGTTTAGGGACTGGTGCAGCGACGTGCTGAATGGTTCGCCGAGCGAACATACCTTTAATGATTTGCGTTGGTTTCATGAGCTTGCTGCGCGATTCTCTGGTCCGTGGAATATAGAGTGTGTTACCGTTTGTCGCTCCTTTACCTTTCAGTGGGCTGCTCGAGAAAAAGTCCAGCTCCTCTTCACTTGTGTCAAAGGAAATAGACGGCGAGTGACTATCGCTACCTGAAGTGAATGAGGGCGGTGAGGCAGGCAGAATCACAGGTAGAAAGGGTCCAAGTTTGGGTCGGGGTGGTTTCAGCCCTCTGAAAAGTGCAATGGCGTCACGGGCAGGTTTCTCTGGGGACTGGTCCCTGAAACCTCTCAGTTTAGCATAGTTTCGCACCCTCGGGTCACCAGATTCGGCGATAATGGGTATCCATGAATCATGAGTTAGGCGGCTATCGGTGGCTTCAAAGTCCTTGATCAAATTCCGGATTCGGGTATTGAGAAGCTCGAAATGGGCGGTTAAATCTTCAAAACTCTTGGGCAAATGTTCCTGGGCTCGGCTCTGTAAAATGTCCATACGGGTAGGAATAAATTGTACACTCTGCTGTAGAGCTTTGGTGAGTGATCGAAGACGGGACAACTTCTGATTCAGAACAATGTCCTCGTCGCAATAAATAGGCGCCTGTGGGGACGCCGAGTCTGGGATTTGTACCAAATTTCCCGGGGCCTGACTTTGAGTAGCTGTTTGGTTTACTACAGCCAGCCCCGTGCAGCATTCGTCTACTGTCGCGTCAATAGACGACAAGACGTTCGATATTTCGCTGATTTCAGCAGCCACGGCCATTTTTACTCCAAATGCCACTGTTTGCTCCAGGCAATCAAGTCGGATGCGACTTACCTGCGCAGTGCTCACATTGTTTACACTGTCGTCTCCTGACAGGTATCCGTCGTTATCATGGTATGACAGCCAAGTTGCGACATGATCGCTAAGTCGTTCGACCCTCTCTTTGATAGATTTCATGGTGCACCGGGCGTCGGTCAGTGTTTGGGCGTCCTTCAGCGTCTTGAACCGGTCCAGGCTCTCGTATGTAGCCCGTAAAGCAGCAATCACCTCTTCGGGTTCCTCGATCATACTGCTGTCAATATCGATAGCACAGGGTTCGGCTGCAGCTAGCCGGTCATCACAGCTCCGCAGCTCAGCAAGAAAGTCCATACCTCTTTTCAAAGCACAAACGAACAACTACGAGAGAGAATCAAAACAGTCCTGCGGAAATGTCCCAGCTTCTGCATGCGGGTGGGTGTAGGGTTTCTGCAGGGCCAGCAAATACCCCATCGAAGAATGGACACCGAAAGCGGATAAAAGTGGAACCAATGACTGTGTACATAGTTCTATAAAATGCGTTGAAGCAAAATAAATACTGTTGAATTGTGTGGTGGCGTGTGTCACCACTCTGTGACTGAGGTCTCGCTGATCAAAGAACCGCAGCCCGATTCGCCGATGGGAGCAGCGTGGTCAAGGCCCTTCATGATTTCGGGATTCCGTTTGACCAGGAACTCGTGGATCCGGTCATTGATAGCTGCAAACTCGAGCAGGAACGCATCATGGCCGTCGGGGCTCTGGATTTCATGCAGCTCGGAGTTTTTGAGATGTTCATGCATATACTCCTGTTCTGAGAAGGTAAAAAGTCCATCAGAGGGAATACCAATTACAAGGACCGGTTGTTCGATCGTTTCCAGCGCTTCCTCCACGGTGGCAGTGCGACCGCGAGAGACATCATGCGTGTCGAGTTTACGAGTGATTGCAATGTAGCAATTGGCATCAAACCGGTCAATGAAGCGCTGGCCCTGATAGCGGAGATAACTCTGGGCTGTAAAGTAGTGCTGGGCCGGTTTGGGACGGTATGCAACTGGCCTGTTGCTTCGAACGTTTCCGTGGTTGTGGACAGACCAGCGGTCCTCGCTGGTTTCGGTATCAGAAATATCTGGTGTATCGGATCCTTTGTGAACGTCGGGGTTCGGCACGTTGCGTCCAAACTTTGAATCAAAGGAATTGCGACTTCGGTAGGTCAAGAGCGCACTCATACGGGCTGCACTCAACCCCGCACTGGGCTGATCATTAATGTCATAATAGCCATCCTGGTACTTTGGATCGGCATATATGCTTTGCCGTTGGGCCTCACCCCAACTAATTCCCCACGCCGAGTGGTAGGCGCAAGAGGCAAGGACTACAGCACTGCGGACATACTCTTTGCCAAAGTAAAGGTACTCTAGGGCCATCATTCCGCCCATAGACCCTCCAATCACTACTGCAATTTGCTTTACACCGAGCCTGTCCAAAACCATTTTCTGCAGCCGCACATCATCCTTGATAGTGGTCAGGGGAAATTCAGGACCATAGACTTTACCCGTCGTGGGGTTTATTGTTACTGGAGAGGCAGTACCGTAGGGTGATCCTAGAGCATTCATGCAAACAATAAAGTAGCGGCTGGGATCAAATGCCCGACCAGCACCGAGGAGCGGGCCCCACCAGTCAGCGACATCGGCAGAACCGGAGAGGGCGTGGCACACCACCATCGCATTGTCTGCTTTCTCGTTGAGGGAGCCCCATGTTTTGTACGCAACCGGTACGTCTTTGAGTTCGTCGCCACCAATCTCCAAAGTGAGCGAGGGAATATGCATAATGCTCTGGCCCGCAATGAGCTCGGCGAACTTATTTGTTGGTTCCACAGTTTTCGCCATCAATTTGGTTATTTAATCGAGGGTAAATTTATAGCAACAGGAGGGGGTTCAGGATTCCTTGCAATCGAGTCCTTTCACTTGGTTGTGATTAATTATTTTCAAATGCCTTCAAAAGAAGAAAGCTTGAAACAAGCCGTTAGTGGGGATGACTTTTTCTTATCTGAGGCATCCCGCTGGTGACGTAATAGCACGGGGAAATTAAGCAGTTACCTAGACAACATAAACCTGCTGACCCACTGCTTCTCGAAAATCAAGAACACCATGAAGGCCGTAAATCAGTGTTTTGTGGCGGATGGCGACAGCGGGTTCATTGAGTCGTTTGGTCTCGCTAGTAAAGTGGTAGTGGTTGCTACAAAACCGGTCGTTTTCACTCACACGCAGTGCTCTCAAGCATCCCTCACTCTAGCCCAGGCCCTGAATCAACCAACTGCCGTGACCAGGTCAACTTTGAGCCACGAAGATTCGATCATGGTTCATGGAGGTGTGTGTACTCTATCACTCACCGCAGAAACTTTCCACCGAGCAGGCATTGAGGCTAAACTGCAGAGTGGTACACAAAAGTACGTCGCTCAGATCAAGCTTGACGGTGGAGCGGCCCATAAGCGACTGTTATGGGCTGCCGAAAACACGTTGACATCCACATTTGATTTCGACGTCCCGGGGGCTCAAACTACAGCTGCAACCAAGTCTGATCCCATCTTAACTCCTGCTTTTGACTGTCCAACAGACAAAGAAGGAGAGCAGGATTGGGCAAACACCATCCAAGAGTGGGTGGGCCTCGTCGGTATAGGCTCAATGCTTATTGGCGAAAACCACGGGGTTGAAACGGCAATCAGCGACTTTCACATAGAAGGTACGGCCGAGATTTTGCACATCACCGAGATTAGTGGCCTCCTGTTGCCTGATGAAATTGCCAAACTATGGGAAAAGGCCGACCTCTTGCTGGTTTCAAGCAGCGGTGATTGGCCGTTGGCATGGCAAAAGCTCCACGCTCCTAGCGACAATCTAACTAATCCTTGTTACGTGTTGGTAAGAGGAGACCAGAGCATAAAATCCTTAAAGTTCGTGCCCTGGCAAGATCTGTAGCATTAAATTGGGTGTATATTATGTGCATAATCATAACAGCTTTTCATCTTCTTCCTTCTCAGCAAGTTCTCTGTCGAGCGTCTCAGCAAGTTCTCTATCGAGGGCCTCGTTGATCTGCTGAGGAGTAGGCGAAGGTGGCCCGTCGTCGTCAAGCCGCGAGGTGCGGCGGTGCAAAAGATCGCAAAGTGCGCTGTTGGGGTTGGCGTAGAGATCGCGGAACTTGCCATGTTCAAGAACACGGCCCTCTCCAAGAACAATTACCTCTTCAGACTGAGCAATAGTAGATAGTCTGTGCGCAATCGAAATGGTCGTCGAGGACGACGCAATCAAGTTCTGCAGCGCCTCGTTGACGAGTCTTTCAGATTCTGTGTCTAAAGCGGAAGTTGCTTCATCAAGCACCAAAATGGCCGGCTTGGAAATTAAAGCTCGGGCAATCGCAATGCGTTGTTTCTGGCCTCCGCTCAACTGAGTACCTCGGGGTCCAACCGCCGTTTCAATTCCATCAGGAAAATCAGCTAAAAATGTACAATTGGCTAACCGTGCGGCCTCATAGACATCTTCTTTAGTGGCTTCGGGCTTGGCGTACCAAATGTTTTCAGCAACTGTTGCATTAAAAAGTACAGGCTCTTGGGACACGACACCAACGTGGCTCCTCAGAGAATAAGGGCTCATATCTGCAAGTTTTTGACCGCCGATGGAAATGAAACCGGACTGCGGGTCGTAAAACCTCAGCAGCATCGAAGTAATGGTGGATTTGCCTCCGCCAGAGGGCCCAACAAAACACACGTTGCTGCCCCCCTTGATGGTAAAGTTAAGATCATTGAATATTTTGACAGCCGGTCGGGTGGGGTATGCAAATCCGACATGATCGAACGTGATGTCTCCGTATGGAGATTTTACCAGTTCGCCTTTTGTGGAGGAGATCAGTGGTTTACGGTCTTCAATTTCAAATAATCGAGAGGCAGCACCCGCACCTTTCATGAGTTCAGAATAAAAGTTTCCTAAGCCAGAAACAGAGCTACCAGCGTATGCTGTATACATGATAAAGCTCGACAAAGCACCAAACGTCAGTGCTCCTGAAGATACCATGTTTGCACCCACTGCCAACAAGCCAATAATGACAATATTTCCCGTGAGACCCATAGTGCCATAGAAGACGCCCGAGGCACGAGCCTCCTGCATAGCGATTGAAAACACATTTCGAAGCTGATCGTTGTACAAATGAATCTCCTGACGCTCACCGCCAAACGATTGGGCAGTACGGACGTTGTTGAGACGTTCTTCACCTACCCGCGTCAACTGGCCCAGCGAATGCTGGAAATTTCGCGAGATTGTTCGCACTCGTCTACCATATAAGAACGTTCCGATCAAAACCGGTGGTAAGCAAATAGCAATGATTCCCGTGAGTTTCAAGGAGATATAGCTCATCATCGTAGCACCCATTACAGCGGCGATAAGCGAGCGCAGTCCATCCGCCATGTTCTGGGTAACGGCTCGAGAAACTACGTTGGCGTCGGTGCCCAGACGAGAAATAAGATCACCAGTTCGATTTGCATCAAAAAACTCTGCGTCTTGTTTGACAATGTTCCGGAACGTATGGCTCCGCAGCTTGCAAACTATCCGCTCTCCGATGCCTCTCATGGTGATGATCCGGAAATAAGTGGCAAAGGCACCAACAACGAAAACACCAGCTGTAGCGGCCAAAAAGGAATTCATAGGAACCCCAAGCACAACTTTCTCTTGGCTATCGTCGTTGACTGCGTCCAGAATTTTACCGATAACAAACGGCAGACTCAGAGATATGCCAGATGTGAAAATTAGCAGAAGAAACGCAATTGACAGCGCACCTTTCTCTTTCCGAGCTAGATCGAACAGCCTTGAAAATTCCTTGGACTCGTTTTTCTGATTCGAAGGCTGTAGTTTAGCTCGTAAATCGATCTTTTGCGCCGCCACTGCCCGTTCACTTGGCTGGAACGCATTGTTCCAACGCGGGAAACCGGCAGTAAACAGTCTGGTTTGTGCAAAGGCAAAAGTCGGCTGGATCCTCATGGTCGAAGCAATTCGAGGAGCTAGCAAGGAGCGGCCGCAGAGCGACCTCCCCATTAACCTGGCTTTGAACATCGGGTAAGTCAGCGAAGGGTGAGCCGGCTGCCGTTAAGATAGCGATCGTTAGAGCTAACCCCGGCTGAAATATGACTCTGGTTTACTGAGGATACACCATAGGCAAGAACGTTGCGATCTAAAAAGGGTTTTAAGTCTTCATCTAAATACTGGACATAGAGACCACCGGAGGCAGGCTCGTTCACAAACGAGTCAGAACAACGTGTTTATTTGTTGGCAGAGACCTTGAGAGGCTCGGGCTCGGACTGCTTGCCATTATCCCACTTGGCGAAACGGACCTCCAGAGTATCCTGACGGACAGCAGCGGCACGCTTGTCCTCCTTGAGGGCCTGACGGAGAATACGGCCAGCAATAGCGGCGTAGCGGTTGAAGCTGATTGTTAGTTTCCATTTACTCGATAAAGAACCGGGTATATACGTACCTCATGTTGGCGGGCTTGGGCATTTTGGATGAAGAATAGTTAGGTAAACGACCAATCACTTGTCATCTCGGGTTTCACCCTAAACCTGAAATCTTTCCAACTCGAAGAGCTCGGGCGGTTGAGCTGAAGATGGTGTGAATTCGACAGAGCGAGGTGTGATTTGGCAGTTTCCGCTCGTGATGACAGTGTGCCTGTCGTTTGCATGCAGATGTGCCGTATCGAGTTATACACTGCCAAAACTAGCCAACCGTTGAGCCACACCCGGCGACAACTAACGAGCGGCCTATATATTGCGTCAAGCACCGTAAAGTATCCAGATAAATGTACTATTTAAATCAAGCACTCTTCACCCAGGCAGCATCAGAAAATCGTAGTATCGCTGACCCCAAGTGTTCGAGCTCCTGCCCTAACTAAGCACTATACCATGTCCCTGCTGGATCACTACTGGACTCTGGCCAGCGACGATCCTTCGCAGCGTATAGAGGCTGCTGAAGCTCTGATCAAGGGGCTTCTGGATGCCGATTCTGAGAGTGATTGGGACTACGCGTTGAACCGGTTGATCACTGGTTTGTCTTCTACTCGCGGATCAGCCCGCCTTGGTTTTTCCATGGCACTAGCAGAGGTTCTCAACACCCGCAAATCCCATATTCCTATTTCAGAATACCTCGAGAAAACTTCAAAAGCTTTTGTCGTCACTGGTAGCATGAAGGGTGCCGAGGAAAGAGGACTGTTGTTTGGTAAACTTTTCGCGCTTCAGACGCTCGCTAAATCGCCCCTGTGGGAAAAGGCGTCACTACAAGACTTCAATGAGTTTGTTAATATGGCCTTGGCTCTTAGCTTGAAAAAGGTCTGGCTGCGTGAACCAGTTTTTTACGCGATTTGTGAGCTTGTTCAATCTCTGCAGGGCACGTTTAATTTTGATCGCGACGAAGCTCTCGAGTTTCTGTTCAAAAAGATCCATGAAAAAAACCTTACTGCTACTTGTGAGGGTATCGCCATTGCTCTGTCTGTATCTGCTGAAGAGCGATCAAAGTTCAACGATCTGGGCGAATGGAAAACCGGAAACCCTTTGGCCAAGGGCAACCTGGCAGATCTCGCCCGTATCCTGAAAGATCTACCGGTAAGCACCAGCGACTCTCAGCGTAGTAACTGGAAACCAAGTGTTCATTTTGTCTGGCATTTCTTGCTCAAGGAGTTTTCTCAAGCTGCCACCCCTAATGATGAAGGTCCGCCTCGTAAAAAGCACAAGAAAGATAAGAAGGATAAAAAAGGGAAGAAGGCAACCAAACAAGATGATGGTGTCATTGGTCTGGCTGAATTTTGGCGTGCTACCATTGACGATGGATTTTTCGCAAACTCTGCATCTCCGGAGCGAAAGATGTGGGGGTTTGAGATTTTCATCTTGGCAGTACCTCAGCAGGACAATGTGGCTGCGCTATTGACTCCGAATCTGACCCGATCACTAGCCAATCAGTTGGCCCAAAGCGATAGGTATCTCCACAAGATGGCCAAGCGTGTTGTCTCGGTTTTAATGGACATTAGTCGCTCTCAGCACACTAAGGCCGCTGCTATTGTAGAAACTTTGCTCTCTCACATGGAACACTTTGATCGTATTTCAAAATCAGCTCTTATTCATGACCTTATCCCCTTAGCCGCAGATCAAAATCGTCTCACCGCCATGTTTTTGAAGACGTTCAAGGAGAATAAGGAACAGCAGCCTAAAGCCCAGTCTGCACTAGACAGTATTATTCACATGATCAAGTCAAGTAAAAATGCGGATGATATTGCCTGGATCCGAGGTGTTTTAGATGAACTTGTTCCTATTGCCTATTTTGAGTCTGATTTACCTGAGAGCATGGTGGAAATGGTTCAACAGAGGATTACCTCCATCTTGTCTCATACTTTGGGGAGGATGATTGCACCAACCGGCTCTTGGCCCTACGAGGTTCTTAAAATCATTCTTGATTTGCAAAAGCGTGGCCGAGATACTCGTGTGACGTTTGAGGGAGAGATTCTGAAAACCAAACTCAAGGCGGAAGCCACTGTTGAGAAAATTCACAAGAAGCGAGTTTCATCTCCTCATGTGGATTCTCCGCAACTTCAAGCTTTCGAGTTGCTGTTTTCAATGGTGCTACTGCAGCTTTACTCCTCCAATACGGAGGCAGTCGCTTTGCTCGACGAGCTCCAGATGGTATATTCAAAGTTCGCCGGTCGCGAGCAGGTAGACGATGACGATGAGAGTTACGATGCGAGTCAGGTTCTTACTGAGGTTATTATTAGTTTCCTAGCTCAGCAGTCTGCGCTGCTGCGAAAGCTTTCCGAAGAGGTTTGGGCTTCATTCACAAACCAAATCACCACGGGTTCCTTGCAACTCTTGTACAACATTTTGAGTGCCCGCGAGAGTCTTGAAGGTCAGGAGGAGTTGTTCGACATCGAAGACGACGAGGTAGAAGCTGAGGGTGATGACGAGGGCGAAGAAGAAGACATGGAGGAGGAGGAGGAGGAGGAAGAAGACGAGGCCAGTGATTCGGAATCAGAAAGTGACGACGACGAAAGCGAAGGCGAAACCCCTGACGAAGAGAACGCCGTCGATGCTGAGGCCGAGAGAGCGCTTGCCCAAACTTTGGGTGTGAATCCTGATAATGACGACGATGACGAAGAAGAAGAAGATTCGATGGATGATGAACAAATGATCGCGTTAGACGGCCAGCTTGCGGCAATTTTCAAAGACAGACAAAAGCAGTTGAGTAAGTCCAAGGTACGCAAGCAGGAGGTGCAGAAAGCAAAACAGAATGTCACCTATCTCAAAAGTAGAGTTTTGGACTTGCTGGACATCTACGTGAGAAAGCAACCTACTAATCTGGATGGATTGAGCATGGCAATTCCGATCCTTGAAATGATTCGTACCACCAATGACCGACAAATTGGAGATAAGGCTCGAGAGTTTCTGAAAACCAAACTTTGTCGCAAAACTAATTATACACTAGACGGTGAAGAGGATTTGGAACTAGCCATCACTATTTTGCAAAGCGTGCTTGAAGAAGCTGCTGCGTCCACCTCAAAGGCCCATGGATTGGCCGCCAACCAGGTAGGTGTTTTGGTAACCAAGTTGCTTGTTTCATACGATGCTGGTCTTATAGAGATCGTGACTGCACAGTATATGCGTGCGCTGAATGAGTGGTTCAAGTCGCCCAAAAACCAGACCACACCAAACATGTTTATCGACATGATTAATTATCTTGCAAGCAAAAGAGGGAATTAAGCCACCACTTGGTTTAGAATCTATAAATTAGAGGACTTTTTTTTTCTAGATCACGTCGACACGTCTCGTAAAAACCTGTACAATAAGTACAAAGCTAATGTGTTTTCCTCAGGTGCACCGCTCAAAGCTAGCGTATCATCGTCAACAGTTTCAACTTTGACTTTTGTCACCCTTCTTATATTATCAATGAGAGTCTCAACAGCTTCCGAGCGAGCATTTTTAACTGGCACACACTGCCTAAGCTGTTCTTTGTGGGATTCACGTGCCACCTCATAAGCAGTGAGAAGTGCTGGTGGTACATTATTTGACAATAAAGGCAGTTGAAGCTTTTCTTGTGGCTTTGATGGGGGCTCTTCGACTTTCTGCTCCTTTTTTACTTGCGATCTCATGCCATCGTTGGATCTTCTTGGGGCTAAATCGCCCATTGAGGGGCGCTTTGGGATAGTTCGTTCTCGGGAAGACTGTGGGTCACGGATATCGATTTCCACACCAGGTGCCGGTTCAAACGGAGTAGATGTAGTTTTTCGCTGGGGATCCCTTAGATACGCCACGCCGAGGTGGTAAACAGCGATATGTAACGAGTCGGCAACCCCGGCGATGTAAACCAGACGGTCATCAGAATTGGGCAGCTTATTGTGGTCGGCACTAAGATGAGCGGCTGATTGGCGTTCAATTTCCTTGAAATGAGCCATTCGCGAGCCAATCAAGCGACCCATCATGGCATGGGGGATCAAAACGAGCAGGGTGTAAGGCTTGGAGTGAGAGTTACTGGCATCTTCAGGCTCTTCCAAAATTACGCGCGTGATCAACCCGACAAATTTTGCTACGCTCTCCGGAGTGCCTACTGCGTGCATAACGCGGTACTCGGTGTTAGCTGGACGGGAGATCCATGCTTCAAGGGAGCTCTTCCGCTGGGCGGCTCGTTCCTTGAGCTCCTGAAGTCGACGCGCTCCGTGGCCAAGAATTCGCGAGCAGTATTGAGACCTGACGAGAAATCTCAAGTGGAAACGCTCTCTGGGGTTGTCATCTTCCATTACGCTCTGCTTTCGAGACAGCAGGCCCGGGCCCTCGCTATAAGCGCGTTTCCTGGAACCGCTCTCACTCGAGCTACTTTCTGAGGAATTAGGGGACCCGGACAGACTGTGAGAAGAGTCGGACGGCTGGTTGTCGTGGGGGCTAGCTGCATCTTGTGTCATTTGAGGATCGATGCGAAGGACACTGAGTGGAACCTGAGCAGTCGAGAGGGATAAGGGAGGAGACGAGAAACAACAAGAAACCGTGGAGTTGGTGGGCTCTACACACGTGACAGATTGTGCTCGTCGATAAATAGTCTACAGTGAAAAGCCGTCAAAGATCAAAGGCTATGAGTCGCAGTAGTGTTCAGGAAGACTAAGCAGGAAGATCTGTTGAAACGAGGTTTATACCAATTTAACGATGTTTGGGACGGGGTAAATTGGGTTTTTGTGCATAAACTAAAAACTACAGACAGCCAATTGGACAGTGCTAGGGGGCCGCTTCTCCACGGCGGCTAGGGCAAAACCCATAAACCTTCCGAACTAATTTTGACTACGGCTGTGCCTTATGCAGCCTATGCTCTCGTAAGACGCATTCTGCAGTCACTCGGCCTAAACAAGCAGAACAACGTGTGGGTTGCAATTCCACGGAAGATATGCTTAAAAATTAAAAACAGCCTAGCGGCGATGAGAACAGGGAGTGGGAAATATCTTTATCGCACAGAGCAGAGAATACCGTGTTTGGCAATCGCCCCAATCTGAGCTGTTTCTGAGTCTTTGGAGCGGCTCAGTCGGCTGTGAACCCCCCAAGAGGACCCCGGGGCCAGCTTACGGAGCAACTGACACTACTGACAGATCTGCATGCTCACGAGACAGGACGTGGGCCTTCACTGGGTTATGTAACCGGCGAAAGTTAGTAAGGGAAATAATTACCCGCCGCCTGTTTTCACCGTCCTGAATGAATCATAAAAGCGATTCGGAGATAGACGATAAAGACTATCGCGAAAGCGAAGACGAGGATTTCAACCCCGATACCGTAGCACTAAATGATAGCGAAGGCGATAGTGATGACGACGAGGATAAAAGCGAGCCCATTCCTTCGTACGCCAGCATCGAGGGTTCTGGGCTGGTAAAGACGCGCTCGCAGCGTCTGAAGGAGGAGCCCGAGGTGGTGAACCGCGTGAAGGGCGAGACTACGGTAGACGTGAATGCCTTGTGGGCCGAAATGAACACACCCACCCAGTCTGCGGGCACGCCAACCACCGACAAGCCAGAAGCTGATCCCAAGCCTGAGCTGAAGCAAGAGTCGGTGGAGATCACCCGGACGTTCAAGTTTGCTGGCAAAGTTACCACCGAGACCAAAACGGTTCTCAAATCCAGTGCGGAGGGCCGCGCCTATTTGCAAGAACAAAAAGCGGACCCAACGTCCACGCCTTCCTCAGGATCCAACAGCTCGTCGACACCGCCACCAAAGAAGCGGCTGGGCCCCGCAAAACGAAAGCTCACGCTGCAGCAGGAATATGAAGCCGGCAAAGCTAAGAAAATCAATACCCTCCAAAAGAGTCAGCTGGACTGGCTCAATTTTGTCGATAAAGAGGGCATCCAGGACGATCTCAAGAAACACAATAAGGACGGTTACCTTGAAAAGCAAGGATTTTTGGCCCGAGTCGAGCATAACGTCGACCAGGATATACGTAGCCACCACCAAGCTCAGAATCAACGGCGGTTGTAAATAGAAAAAAATGCTAATGTTTTTTAATGCCTAATTACTTTTTAATTACAGTGGAAACCAAGCTCAGGACGCTGATGATACTCTCGCCCAAGACCAGGCCGCTGGAGAGAATAACCAGATGAGGCGATTCCTTGATGTTGTCGCCCTCGCTGAAGTGGAAAATCAGGCCGCCAACAAACCGAGCCAGAGTGAAGCTTGGTACGTTATACATACCAATGCCAATTGCCACACCTGAAGGAATCCACGGGGATTTGATCCTGAGCTTTAGTAGAGCCAAGCACATGGATATAAGACCGAGGACAAGAGCGAACGACGCAGCGTGATTGGGGAGCCCCTTTCCAACAACAAGACGAGCACAGTCGGTCCAGATGAATGCAGCGGGAATTCTGAACTCTTTGCCGGGAATACGGTATGCAGATGAGTATAGTTTGTAAACCAACGGGGACAGCACTATTGACCACAGCGTGCCGATGGTGATGCCAATGGTTTGGGCACTTGCAGAGGCCCCCAAAAGCCAACCAGTTTTGAACTCCTGCATCAGCTCTCCAGCCTGCTGAGCACCTGCTTCACTTACGGCGCCGGCAAGTATATTCCCCAGAACCGCGTATTTATGGTTGCGGAATAAAACACCAAATAGAAGCTGGCTAAGCTTGGCTATCGAAGAAACTGGGTTCAAGTCTGTATCACCGAGGGCCCGCACAGCAAGGAGCGAGAAAAAAGGAGCAATTACCACGGCTAGAATAAGGGTGGAAATGTGCTGCGACTGAAATACGAGCTTGTTGAGAAGCACGCAGATTGTGGAAGCGACAAGCAAGCCAATGAGGGCAATCTTCCGTTCATTGGGGTCACTTTCCACATCAGCATTTGGTTTTTGAACATCCACTCCACTTGAGGGCGTCGAAGCGGACTCGTTGTCGGCATAATCGGTTAGTCGAGTGAGCTCTTCCGAATCAACGGTTGGAGTACGCTGTGCCTGCACAGCTTCAATAATCATTCTGATCATCATATCTCCAAGCGAAACGAACGTGTCGGCCACCATGATTGCGATCGCTACCCACATGATCCAGCCCTGTGCACCGTCGGTCCAGTTGTCGACATCGCCCGGTGCCCATCCTTTTGCTTTGGACAACGGTCCTAGTATGGCCCAGCCCAGAATCGAGCCTAATAACATCGAGCTGGTGGTTGGCAATCCCATAATAATGCCCTGGCCAACATATGCCGGGGAAATGTCTAGTTTCCAGTTCCACCCCGCAGCCACCGGACCAAACATTGGCAAACCTTTGAGTATAGGTACAAACAACGATATCAGAGATACAGCTGCCGACAGTCCGAACATTGATGCCATAGTTTTAATGCTCTTTTTGTATTCTGTAGGATCACTGGGCTGGGGGTTTTCAGGCTCCCGGTCCAGCTGGTTGGAGCAGTCAATTGCCGGCAAGGGCTTTGCATGAAGAACACCAATCAATGACGCCGTGGCAATGCCACTGGGAAACTTGAGTTTCTGTGCAAGCACAATAGTTTTGCGCAAAAGCATGGCAGTAAATATGCCAAGAAACGCACATCCGAAAGACCAGACCAAGAGCTGCGGCACCGACAGCAGGGTCTGACCCTCATTGCGGTTGATGAGCTTTTCGATTGCAGGAATCGCACCGACAAACCCAAAAGATAACGGCCCACTGCCGACGGCGACGGCGACGCTTTGTATATAGACATGCTCCTGCGGGTTGAGCGGCCATCTAATGGCCCTATACCATGCGAACCCCAAAAGCGCCGCGGGCATAGACATCATAGAGACCCAACCAGTTTGCAGCCCGAACTGGAAATTGGCACATAGAATCAGAGTGCCAATCACCAGACCAATTAAGGTTGCCATTGGAGTAACCTGGGTCATGGCAGTTTACTAACCTCAGTCAGTCAGTTGACCTAATCAGATTCCACAATGTGATTCTTGCGTTTCAAGTAAGGTTTGGAGCAGTGTGAGGTTGTAATCAAGGTCCATAATTACATATTATGAAGCCGGAGGCGGGGTCGACGAAGACAGCCAAAGGATGGGTCATACAGGAATATGTTTTACCCGAAAGGCCAGTTTGGGGTGGTGGCAGGTTTCTTTGTGAAACAAGATGACAAGACAGTGCCAAAACGGTAAGGCAAGACCCATTGATGCAGAGATCTTGCAGCACACTGCATACCAACTATATTTAGTGAGTAACAAGTTTTTTCTATATATCGAAGCGACGCCAAGCGGAAGTACAAGTTCTGAAACCAGACCGCTTCTACCAGAAATGCACTACCGGCCAACGATTTCCGTCTCAGGACAGCATGCTACTATTGACAGCGAGCTACTAAAACCATATGAACAGTCCTTGTCAGGCGGGACAGTTCGGCGGCTTGTGTTCTCGTTTGCACTTGTCGGTTTGATTTCCGTCGGTTTATTCTACATTCTACTGGGCGTTTCGGTGCTATTAGCGAAGTTCGTACGACTGTTCCGCCGAAAGGAGTCAAAGCCTATCTCCCTGGCCTGAGCTTCCCGAAAATATTAAGGCTACTTAATTTACCGCACTCATACCCCCGGCGTCTCTGTCCCACATGACGCCTATTTGCGTTCCTTATTTATTTTTGCTTGTAGTCTGTAGCTTTACTCATCATGTGGAGATTCGCGCGTCAACTTGTGAAGCAGGCTGAAGATATTATTGCGCCCGAGTTCCAGGAAAACGGCCCTGTATACGGGTTCCGTGTTTTGCATGTCGAGCCCGACTCTGAGGCGAGCAGGGCCGGCATTGAGCCATTGTTTGATTTTTTGGTCGGAGTGAACGACAAACACCTCAGTGATTCGCGCCGTCACGAGCCTCAAGACAACGATAGCGTGCCGGTCGAGGAATTGAAGAAACTTCTTGGTGCAGAACCGTCTGCGATGCTCAGCATCTGGTCCATGAAGGGCAAAACCATCCGCCAGGTCCAAGTGCCCGTCAGACCCCAAGAGACTGGCTTCGGGCTTGGTTTGACCATGCAATGGACTCCCCTCAAGGTAGGTGACCATGTGTGGCATATTTTAAATGTATCGAACGGAAGTCCTGCCGATGAAGCTGGTCTCATTGGTGAAAAGGACTACGTGGTCGGTGCCGAGCAGGGATTATTAGAAGAGGGAGGTGAAAGTCTGCTGGCAAGGGTGGCTAGCCGATATGCAGAAGATGAGAAACACCAAGGGTTCGAGGTTTATGTTTACAACAGTGACTTTGACAACCTCAGACCGGTCAGGATTGTTCCTCGATTTGATCCAAAGGGCCAGCGGCTGCTTGGCTGCTCGGTCGGCTATGGATACCTGCACCGACTCCCGACAGGGTCAGGCGTACCGTCTCTTCCTGAACGCAGTGATGATACGTTTGTTCCTGCCGCACCACCAAGCATCGATCTGGCGGCAAACGTCAGCTCTTCCCACCATCACCGCCCGCGACCCGTCCATCATCACGGTCAGGATCAGGATTTGAGCGCGTATTTTGAGGAACAAACCACTAAAAGCCACCAAGTAGACGGTTACAACCCGTCCAACAAGGCTGCGGCAACAGCATCCGCAGATGTATTACCACCCCCACAATTGCATTCATAGGTTTATTATAAAAACTATTTGGTTTTTTTTCGTTCAAGGTAGTGTTGCAGGTTTTTTTACAACTCGTCGTGCTTGCCGCTGTCAGACTCGGACTCGAACTCGACGTCGGCGTCGGAGAGTTTCTCGAGCAACTCGGCAACGTTGATGTCGGAAGTGCTGTGAGTCTTGATGAACTCGGCCATGTCCTCCAAGGTGCGGGTACCCTCGTACAAAATGGGCTCCTTCTCGCCAGCGCGGAAGAAATAGATGGTGGGGTAGCTGCGGATCGGCAAGGGAACGTCGTTCTCGGTGTGGTCGAGCTTGGCAATCACGACATTGGAATCAGCAAAGGCCAGTCCAAGCTGGTCGTAGACGGGTGACATTTTCTTGCAGTAACCGCACCACGGGGCGTAAAACTCGACCAGAGCGTCCTTCTTGCCCTTTGTGACAACCGACTCGAACTCGTCGCCAACAAGAATGTAGACGGGGCCATCCTGGGACTCGGGAACGGGGGCAGACTTGAGCTTGGGCTTAAGCTCGCCGGCGACAAACTTCTTGAGGTAAGAAGCAACAGAGGCCTTGGTGAGCTTGTTGGTCTGGTCATGGGGGAACTTGAGGTTGGCCGCCATGTCATGGATGATCATGGCAGGGAACTTGTCCTCGAGACCGAGAATCTCAACATGGCCCTTATAGGCGGTGCCGTTAAGCCAAGCAGCATTGATAACGCCCTTGGTGGTCTTGAGCATAGGAGCGAGGTAGTCACCGACCTCCTTGAGCTCGGCTTCACTGGTGACGAAAACGTACAAGAGAGGAAGGCCAGACTCTGCGTAAGCCTGGAAATTATGAGGGGTCAGCTCAGTGAATGCAGCAAAAGCCTCAGAGTTCAGGAACTTGTCAACATCCTCGGCAGAGAAGTCACCGTCGTAAACAGCAGGCTCCTCACCCTTCTTGAACATAACCAAACCAGGGACCTTGGCACCGTACTTGGAGGCGAGCTTCTTGTCATCAGAGACACCAGCACGGAGACGCTCACGGTAGGTCTCGGCAGCGTCCTTGAACAGATCCTTCTTGTCCTGGCTCTTCTTGTCGAAGAAGGCCAATGCAACGTAGTCGCTGCTGTCAACAACTTCGTCAAGGTTCTTGGAGGTGATGTCAGTGAGCAGAGGAGTGTTCTGGCGACGCATGGCGCTCACAATAGAGTCAACCTGGCGACCACCTCGGAAGTCACTGTTGCTTTCGCCACGGAAAACCTTGAGTGTGGGGTATCCGGCAATGTTGTAATTGGCACAAAGAGCCTGATTCTCGGTACAATCAACCTTGGCGAGAACAATAGACTCATCCTTAAGAGTGGTGGCAGCCTTCTCGTACTCGGGAGCAAGGTTCTTGCAGTGGCCGCACCAGGGGGCGTAGAACTCGACCAACACCAGGGGGTTCTCGGCAAGCACAGACTCAAAGTTCTCGCTGTTCAGAACAAGAACATCGCTGGCGTCAGCAGAAGCCCCAGCAGCACGCACAGTACTGGCAAACAGTGCTACAGCAAAATTGGTCCACTTCATTTTTTGATTTGTGCCAGGTTGTAATAAGCCAACTTTTGATTATGCCACGCGCGTATTATCCAAGCGTGCAGACTCTGATCCTCCTTCACCGACCGGGGTTAGGTCTCTTACTAAAAACGCCAGTTGACCCGGCAGTTTAGCGAAATGATTGTCAAAGAAAAGGCGCGGAGATTTAGGTTGCAGTGCGCTGGTCTGGTGGCTAATCGAGCACACACATGGGGGTTGGGTATATTTTCCGCCCCCATACCGCACCAGCACATTTGCTGGGCCCCACTTCAACATCTAATCTAATCCTCCGCATTAGTCAACCGCCTTGACAATGGATACGCAAAGCAGAGCTCTCCAAAGCATTCGAGAGTTCCTGCAAAGCAAAACAAGCTACGATGTGCTGCCAGTTAGTTTCAAGATCGTCATGCTTGACACAAAGCTCACATTGAAGGGCACGCTTCTTACACTCCTGCAAAACGGCATCATATCCGCTCCGTTATGGGACTCCAACCAGTCAAGATTTGCCGGCTTGCTCAGTTCCCAGGACTTTATGAACGTTGCTCAATATTTAATTGACCGTCCAGAGAAGGCTGAAGAAATCAACACGATCACACTTGACCAGCTTGCTGAAATTGAAAGCACCATCGGCGCTCGCCAAATCGAAACATCCCGCATTCACCCATTCAAAAGCCTGTACGAGACTTGCCAACACATCGTGGAGTCAAAAGCCCACCGAGTGCCATTAATAGACACAGATCCGGAAACAGGGCGCGAAATCGTTGTTTCTGTCCTCACTCAATACCGGGTGTTACGGTTTGTTGCTCTGAATTGTAAAGAAACCCAAGATCTCAAGATCCCCATCAAGGACTTGAATCTGGCGACTCGCGAGAATCTACACACCGCCACAATGGATACTCAGCTGGCTGATGTTGTTGGTGCGTTTTCGAAATACGGCGTGTCGTGTGTGCCAATTGTAGATGAGAATAACAAGCTGCTCAACGTCTACGAAGCTTATGATGTTATGACCCTGATCAAAGGTAATGGATTCTCAGATTTCTCTCTTTCTATTGGCAAAGCTCTGATGCGCCGGCCTCAGGATTTCGAAGGCGTTATAACGTGTTCAGAACACGATTCGGTTGCTCACATCATGGAAACAATCAGACGATCACGGGTCCTTCGTTTGTGCATGGTTGACGAAGAAGGTAAGCTGCTAGGTCTAGTTACCTTGGTTGACATCCTCAATTATATCATGTTTGGGTAGACCTAGTAGATCGTCTCATTGTGTGCAGAACTCATGATCGACTGGTAGGTCACATTGCTTTCATCCTCACGGGGCGGGCGGAATAGTACCACGCCACAGGTGATGTTGTCTCGACTGCTCTTTTTTATTGCGTACTCGACTAGTTCCGACGCCATTTCCGATGCTGTTCCAAGATTTCGAGCTTTAGCAACCGCGTCCTGAGGCGTCATAACGTCCCATAGTCCATCTGAAGCGATAATAACAAACTCATCTTCATTGTTGATGTAGCCATAGTTCACAAACGGAATAGCACAAGCATACGGCTTGTATGCAAGATCACCAAGCGTGCGTGTCACAGCCAGACCGCCATACGGCCCAATAATCCGGCCGTCTTCACTCATCAAACATGTCTCACTTGCCAAGCGGTTGTGCTCCAGCATTTCCCTGCAATTGTGGTCATACGATATCACTTTGGCCACCCCATTTTGACAGAGCACTATGGTCGAGTCCCCCACGTTAGCAGCCACAAATTCTCTGCTTGTCTCACGCCATAAGAAAACACTAGCTGTGGTTCCTGTGCTAGCGTTACTCAAAAGAATAGCCCTGTTTGCATTGCTGAACGCCATGTGCAGGCAATTCTCCGGCCACCCGCAGTCTTCAACCGCCGCCTCTATGTACTTGTGTAAATTATCTCGGCACCAGCGCGCACTATAGTCACCGCCATGTCCGTCAAATACACCAACGTATTGATAGTCGTGGACTCGTTTGCGAGCGAATCTGTCTTCTTGTTCTTTACCGTTCGCGCTCTGGTGAATAGCCACTTGAGCAGGCATGTTGTCCCAAGACGAACTAACAACAAAGTATCTACTATATAAAGACCCGCTCTAACACACTCCCAAGCCAGACTGACCTCAGTCTAATTTGTGAGTGCGCCAGTTGCCTTCAGTGCAGCGGCAACGACACGGTGCATTCAGACCATGAGCAAGCTCAGAGGGCCCAAATACTCGATTCAAAAATAGGTAACAGTAAAAGGTACACGGGGTACCGTTTCAGTTGTTACACTGAAAAGAACAGATACTACACATGATCTTAGCCAAATGGCAAAGAGATTTGAAAAAGAACAGTGGCGGACTAAGGATTTTATACTTTTGCTTATGTCAGAGATCTGTAATCCCATCCCCCCCCCCTCCCCCCCCGTCTCGACATGTACCCAACACCGATTTCGACTGTGCTTATCTGCTTACTATGGTTAGCAAATTGGTCCAAGAATGGCTCAGACTCGATAAGAATCCTCAGAGTAGGGCAGAAATTGAGGATTTGGCCAAGCAGGATCCTGAAAAACTCGAGCATCTCATGTCTCCTCGCATTGCCTTCGGAACTGCCGGCCTCCGCGCATCTATGGAGCCGGGCTTTGGCCGCATGAACCATGTAACGGTGCTGCAGGCTTCCCAGGGCTTGGCCGTATATGTCGAGAAAAACGTAGAAGACGCCCATGCTCGAGGAATTGTAGTTGGCCATGACCATCGCCACCACTCAAAGGAGTTTGCGGCCTTGACGGTTCTGGCCTTCGCGTCCAGAGGATTCAAAGTGACCTTCCTGGGCCAGGTGCACACCCCAAGCGTACCTTTCGCTATCGATTTGAAGAGGGCCGCATGTGGAGTTATGATTACAGCGTCGCACAATCCGGCAAAAGATAATGGCTACAAGGTGTACTGGTCGAATGGCTGTCAAATCATCCCCCCGCACGACTCGGGAATCGCCGCGGCCATTCAGGACAACCTTGAGCCGTGGACTTGGGACATTGATAGTGTTTCGGAGATTCTGGATAATCCGGTTTCAATCACTGAGGAGTATTTCAAAAGTTATGACTCGCATACTTATACTGCAGTCGACACTGATCTCAAGTTCGTATACACGCCGATGCACGGTATTGGCTTGCCATACTTTGAGCAGGCAGCCAAGATGTTGGGCATAACGAACCAATGTGTGATTGTTAAAGAACAAGCGACCCCAGATCCGGACTTTTCAACGGTAAAGTTTCCTAATCCCGAGGAAAAAGGGGCGCTTGATCTTGCCTATAAATATGGCGATGAACACGGTGCAACAGTGGTTCTAGCCAACGATCCTGATGCTGATAGATTTTCGTGTGCTGTTAAAACTGAGCATGGCTGGCAGCAACTGAAAGGTGACGAAGTCGGTACGCTGCTTGCAGACTTTTTGATCAAGCACACCAAGGGAGTCGCCAAGGACAAAATCGCACTACTCAATTCAACTGTATCGAGCCAGGTGACTCGTCATTTAGCCGAGCATTACGGCTGCCATTATGAGGAGACTCTGACGGGGTTCAAGTGGCTGGGAAATAAGGCCATCGATCTCGAAAAAGAGGGCTACACTCCTGTGTTGGCTTATGAAGAGGCCCTCGGGTATATGTGTGGTGGAGTCCATGATAAAGATGGTGTTAGCGCGCTACATGTGTTTGTGCAGCTGCTTGCCTGTCTCCAAGGAGGAGCTTTGGCCGAGCTCGAGCGAATCTCTAAGCTTGTTGGGTACTTTTCGCAATACAATTCGTATTATACTGTTTCTAATCCTTCGCAAACTAATAAAGTTTTTGCAAGGATTCGAAGCAATGGTATCCCAACTAAGATTGGCGCCCTGGAGGTTGTTAAATGGAGAGATCTTACGACAGGGTACGACAGCGAACAGCCCGATCATAAGCCCGCTCTGCCAGTTTCCAAAAGCTCTGAGATGATCACTGCCGAAGTGAAGTACAAATCAGGTACTGCTCGCTTCTCTACGCGAGGGTCTGGCACAGAACCAAAGATCAAAGTATATATTGAGGCAAGAGCAGACAATGCAGAAGACGCTGAAGTTATTGCTAAAGGTGTTTGGGATATTCTTGGAAAAGAATGGTTTGAAAATTTGCCGTCGGCTTGATTGCATAGTTTGGTATCCCGCGTTTTGTGCTCTATCAAAAGTATCTTGGCGGTTTCAGTCATAAAGTAGTTAAATTAGGGAATAAGAAGATTCAGAGTTATCAACGTATTGTGTTCGAACTAAAGCAGGACCCAGTGGACTCTGGTGAATGGATTCTGGTAGGAGCTACGGCAGGTACTTGGGTCACACAAGTTCCATCACAAGAAATCAAAGGTGACATTCATGAGCGATCAGCAAAGCATATCAACTACGTACAATCATTATATCAGGGAAACTGTCTAAAAACTCGCAATCCGGTTTGTTCAGTGTATTCCGAGCCCGCAGCATGGCCATCTAGTGCTTGCATACAAAGAACCCCAATCCTTAAAAAAAGGGAGTTGGGCGGATTGAACAAAAACATCGTTTTCAACTCAGCCATCGTCGAGATCAAACATAGGCTCCACTACAATCACGACCCCTACAATTGCCTGGCCAAGCACTGCTATGATCAACTCCTGCAGATTGATCAAAAGATGATGTCGCCTGATTAGGGTTCAGATGTAGGGCTGGGTTGAGCTAATATAGGTTGGCCACCTTGCCATTCTAACATAACAAACCATACTAGAAACCATGTCAGAGACTGCTGTTGAGAATCCTACAGCTGGCTCCCCACTTGATGAGCCCGTGATTGTAGATGCCGTGGCAGACGCTGTGCCGAAACCAGCAACCACACCCGATGGGTCATTTACCACGCGTCAGTCCCGTGAGGAAGCCACGATTGAGGCACGTCAATTTGTTTACGATCAATCTTTTGGTACGCTCACTACCATCAACCAGAGCGGCAACTTTGAGGGCTTTCCTGCAGGTCAAATCGAGTACTACATTGACGATGCCGAACAAGATGCTACATTGCTGTTAATCGCGGTTGATATGTCTTCTGCCTTCCGCAACATCGGCAGTGGCTCGCCGTGCTCACTAGCAATTCGTACTGGCGACCAGCCAAACGGCGAGACGCCCCTCCATGCAGCCGCAGCCAAACGTATTATCCTATACGGAGAGTTTGACTATGTTGAGCCGAGCCTGAAGGTCAAAGCTGCTTTCTTTGCAGCGCACCCTGATGCTCTTGAATGGGCTCCTGGTATGCCGGGCTTTCACAAGACCCAATGGATAAGGTTCACTATCACCGGTATCCATTATATTGGTGGGTTTGGAGACCGCCATTACATCGGATCTCTTCCGGTCGACAAGTATGTCGACGCGCCGGTTAATGAGCGATGCAAGCATCCTGAATCAGATTCATTTTTATCTCGATTGTCCAGGATGACTTGGAGGTAGTTACGACCGCGAGTCTTTTGTAGACAAGCGAGTCAATGTAGTCATGTCATTAAGTTACGATAAAGTGCGATAAGGCACGTCGATGTTAAACGCATATCGAATAGGGGGGCACGTCAAGGTAGAACGCATATTGAAAATGGAGGCAAAGAGTATCTGTGAATTCCGTCGGCAGGTTATTTACAGGTTGAGGTAAGAGTTCGGTCTACGATATGGTCTTTAGCGTTTGTTTAAGAGCAGGGGGGTTTACAAAAAAAGTCGGCAGCCTCGGGGGCTTTCTACGGGGAGTTTAGATCACCAAAGGGGACTGCCAACGGTAGAGACAGAGGGGGTTAAATACTTTAGTAGAGCACGAACTTGGCCTTGCCGGAGGTGACGGAGACAGTGCAGCCGTTGGCACCACCGTTGTAAGAGCCATTCTCGTAGACACAGTTGCCAATGACATTGCCGCCATCAGAAACAATCTTGACGTTGAAGTTAGCAGGGGAGCGGTTGTTGGGGTTGGGGATGAGGGAGAGGTAAGTGACACCACTGGCCTGACCAGCACCAAAGTTAAGAGGAGCCCAGTTACCGACACCAGAGCCGGGGGTACCCCAGACACAGCCGTCCTCAACACTGACGCCAGCGTTGTTGACGTAGTACTGGGCAGAAGTGGGCTTGCCCTGCCACTGGTAGTAAGACTCCTGGACAACAACCGTAAGCAAGTTGCTGGAGCCAGCCTTGACCAGAGTAGGGATAACCATGTTCTCAGTACCGGGGTAGTCGGTGCGGCAGATAGCGACATCCTGGCTCAGCTCAGACTCAACGCTAGCAGTACCAGCGCCGGCCTCACAAAGGTTGTCAGTGTTGGTGTTAGTACGGTAGAGCTTGCCGCCCTTGCACTGCAAACCACCAACGGAAACACCACTAGCGGGCTGGTTAGAGGGCCACTGAGTCTTGGACATACCGGGCTGGCAGGCATAAGAGCAGTAAGCACCCTCAGTGCAAGAAGAACCGCTGGAGGAGCTGCCGCCGTTAAGGAACTGGATACCGGACCAACCGCCGAAGCCCAAGTAGTCGAGAGCAACGACACCGTTTCCGGCGGGGAAGTCAGAGCAGTCAATGACACCGTCCTGGAAGGCGCCACCGGAAGAGGAAGAGGTGGTCTGCTCAGTAGAAGCAGAAGAGGAGGCAGCGCTGCTGGCTGCGTTGTCACCGGCCTTGAGGAGGACAGACTCAACGGGAGCAGCGGCGGCTTGGGAAGTGGTAGCAGCGGGAGAAGCGGCGGCCTCGGAAGTGGTAGGAGCCGGAGCAGCAGCAGCCTGAGAGGTGGTCACAGGGGCAGCGGCGGCAGGGGCGGACTCGGTTTGAGGAGGCGCAGCGGCGACACCCTCGCTGATAATGTTGCCAGCCTGGTCAACCAGGATGGTCTGGTAGACGACCTCAGTAACGAGAGCACGCTTATGAGGAGCGTGCACGTGGTGTTCGAGAACAAGGTCGTCAGCCATGGCGTAGGCGGCCATGGACGCAATCAAAGTGGAAGCAAGAACGGACGATTTCATGATAAAGGAAGGACAAGATCTTGAGTTAGTAAAACTAGTTTTTTTGGACTAGCGGGTCGCAAAAATGTCTTGGATTACAATCAGGAGCAAAAGTGAGGGAGCGTTTGGCAGAGGGTTTACGCTTAGGAATGCAAAGTCGTGAGTGGGAGTAGTTGACGCGTTATTCACATTAGTCATCGTGTTTCAAAACCCCCCTTGGCAGAAGGGGTGTCTGAGGTGGGTCTGACATGGTGTGTGTGTGTCGAGCTCGAAAACCCTAGCCCATGACGCACACGAAGACGCCAGCACAGAAAACAGTAACTGGGCTGGGGTTTCAATAACTAAAACGGGACGGCTCCAGCCACAAATGGCAGTGAGGACCATCAATCCGTAAAGTTAACCACCATTCATCTCTAGGTTCATAGTACTAGTCTTCAAACACCACACAACGTGTAACTTGCTCTATGCAGCGCTTTGACATCCACATTACGTCTCACCACCCTGTTTCCAGGGTGACAGCCAGCCCTCCGGCCTAGTAAACAACATTGTTACCTAGACAGCGTGAGCGGACTGGAACCGAAGGTTGCATCCAAAAGTTGCGCCTGTATGTAAAATACCTCTTTCTTCAGAAATAAACCCGCAACAGGTCACCTTTTGAGGATAGTAGGAACACTCCAGTAAACAACCCGAATGCACCGTAGCAACGTGTGGAGCCGTCCGAGTGACGCCAAAACTTCAAAATCTCCGAAAATTATACAAACAAAATATTTCGCACACCGAAAATTGCGCTGAACTTACCGTTACTGAATATAAAAAAGGAAGGAATGGACGTAGTTGGGATTCAGTTGGCACCTCAAGTAATCACCTGTAATACTTATACTGGTCTCACAGCTTACGTAGGCGATTACATGCAGGCAAATTTTTTTCTGTAGGACCTGCATATGCATGCATTTATATTACTGGAAAGCTGTTGGCGTTATCGGTGAGCTCAGTGATTTAGTTTGGCCCGTGTCAATATATTGGCGCCGCAAAATGACAACACACACTACAAGGTACCCTACATCATATATATTGCAACGACCAGCGATTTTTATCGAGCAAACATGTTCAAATCTGTGGTCGTGTCACTCCACTCTGTAACGAACTTCCTACCCTACATGCAGCACTTTCGCCTCACGGAGCGATTTGTACTCGCAAAAGCTGGCTCTTTTCGGCCTGAACACAGCATGGTGACGCATGTTTGAGCTTTGATAACAACCTTATAGGTCCTTGAACCTTAACTTGTTTGAATGCAGGAGAACGACCCCTCTAGGGGTCTGGTTAAGCTCAACTGCTCCCCGACTTGGATCGGGGTTTATGTCAAACGGTAAGAGAGGTCCCGCACGAGAACCATCGGATGAAACGAGCGATTAATTTTCCAAAAATTACACGGCAAGAGCCTTGTCAGATGCTCAAAGAGCTCCCTACCTGATGTTGGAGGTCTCTTCTTTAGAGTTCACAGTGGGGTGGAGGTTCAGACAAACCGTGGCCAGTTCTGATCTGCCCCGGACAGCCGACTTCGTCAGAACTTTGTCACGGTGAAGGAAAATTAGTCATTGCATGAGATTACTCACTTCATAGTCATCAGACAGGACTCTTGGGGCGCCCCCCATCACATAATAGGGCTTTACGTTATAGGTGGTGGTGTTCCTCGACCGCGCGGTATAGAAACTACGCAGAAGGAGTAAACGGGCCAACCCCCCCACGAATCTCCAGAGGGGGTTAGGTGAAAAATTAGTCGGGCGAAAACCCTCCCCTTATAACCAATACACCTTTAAATATGTCTTCCGACGCTAAGATTGTTGAGCTTCCTAACGAGACCGAGAACCAGCCCATCGAGGAGGGTGCCACTGTGAACGTCATCTCGCGCAACGAGAAGAAGGCCCGCAAGCTGCTTAAGGGCACCGGCATCAAGAAGGTCGAGGGTGTCAACCGGGTTGTTCTGCGTCGCCGCGGCGGTTCTTCTTTCGTCATTAGCAACCCTGAGGTCTACCGCACCCCCAACGGCTCTTACATTGTCTTTGGCACTGCTCAGGTCCACCAGCAGGACTTTGCTCAGCAGCTCGCTCAGCTCGGCGGCCAGGCCGCTGCCGGTGCTGCTGGCGCCGACGACAAGTCTCCTGAGGCCATCAACGCTGACCTCGAGGCTGCTGTTTCCAAAATGCACGTCAACGGAGAGCCTGAGGAGGAGGACGACGCCGAGGTCGATGTTACCGGTCTCGACGAGGAGAAGCTCACCTTGGTTATGGAGCAAGCCAACGTTTCCAAGGCTAAGGCTGCCAAGGCTCTCCGTGAGAACAACGGCGATCTCGTCAACTCGCTTATGGCTCTCACCAGCTAAGCTCTTAAACCTGTTTTAAAGGAGGAAAAAAAAATAGCTTCATATATATGCACGCCTGTTTTCTCTTTTTAAATACACATAAATTGTTAAGGAGAGGCGTACTGCTTTGTCCACTCTTTGGCTGTTTCCAGCGCCTTCGGCTGGTTCTCTTTCCATTCAGCAGCGACGTCGTTAGCTAGCGGGTCGTCTGGATTGGGCGCGGCCAGTAGCGCCTGAATAGAAAGAAGAATGGTGCGAATCTGGAGAGCCGGGGACCAGTGGTCCTTAAGGACGTCTAGACAAATGCGACCCAGGCGGTCAATATTGGGGTGGTATATTTTGGTGAGAAACCGGATCCGCGGTGGCTCCATGGGGTAGTCCTGGGGCAGGAACAGCTCCAATTTGAAAATTCCGCCCTCATAGGGAGTCATTGCCGGGCCAGAAACCGTCACATCAAAGTAGCGCAGGTTATCATCGTGAGGCTGGGCTGTGATGCCTGGGACAGGATCGGTTAGAAGCATTTGCGTTTCCTTGACAATGCGCTTAGGAAGGGCCTGAGGTGCCGACATCGTAACAGAGCTAATCGAAATAAATCCTGCAATTCAGGGCGCAACAAATCCGTTTGTCAATTGAAGCTTCTGGTAAGACGCTAAAGTGAAACCCGTTTGCTGCTTACTGTAAAAAACCGCTTCTGCTTCGACCCGATATGCAGCCTCTGCCTCCGTCTACGGGTCCTACCGCGCGCGGGCGGTTTTTTGCCATTTCGCTAGGTATTATTTTAGGAGGCATTGCGACATATTATATGATGAGCGATTTTGAGCTTGTCAAACGGCTGGACGATCCGGCTAACCCAGAGCAGCGGCCGTTTAAGGTGTCTTTTAAACAGAGCGAACCATTGAGACTGAAACCCGAGGCTCAGGCTCGTCTTGATGCTGCTAAGAAGGCTCGGGAGGAGGCTGAATCGCCAAAGAGCTAGTTTGCTCCACGATCTCTGACCACAGGCGGTGGTCGATCTCTAATGGCGCCAGATCGAGCTTTTTTGCACAGTCGGTATCTACCGAAACAATTTCGTAGTTTCTAAATATATTCACAATTTGCGCGATTTGGGCTTGTAGGCAGGCCAGATCGGGGATTTTCCGAACACCGTTGACATGGCGGCGGAGGCCGGGTTGAATCATACAGCAGATGTGCTCAATGGCTTGGCTTAATTCCGGAACGCTCGTTGAATACGTCAGTGCCGGCTCGCTTGGGCCATCAAGCACCGGCAGCCGAGGATCAAATCTGGGCCGGTGTTTACGGTATGCCTTGTTTAGATCCTGGCTGTACTTGGTGCGGGTTGTATCGCAAGACACTTTCAAACGCTTCAAGTCCGTTCTGGCCTTGGCGATATCTTTTTCGATCTGGTTACATTCAGTCTGCTTGTTGGCAAGTTGGCGCTTAGTCTCGGCAATGAGCCGCAGAAGCCGCGCTCTCTCGGTGGCTAATTCAGACTTTCTAGAGTCAAGGAGATCTGCCTCTTGATTCGCACTCGTGCGTGAGCTCGAAAGCTCTTTCAACTCCTCTTGCGCGCTGCTCAACAGCCCATCGAGCTTGTTCACTACTGACATGTGACAACAAGAAACATGAACTGTACACAAAAAGAAGGGTAATACTCATTAACTAAGAGCTAATAAATAGCTAACTTATTTGCTGCCCTGGCTCTCCAAGTAGGAGTTGTAAGCACTAAGAGCCTCCTGGACCTGCTCCTGGAGAAGGTCTTCGCGGTCAACCAGCTCAATAAGCTCGTCATTATCCATGTCGAGAAGCATACCGGTAATCTTACCAGCGAGCTCTGCGTCATTGATAGACTTGTTCTGAAGGATTTTAGGGTAAAGGGCCTCACCAATGACCTGCTTCTTGGCCTCCTCGGGCACAGCAGCGACCACAGTGGCGAGAGACTCAGGCTTACCGGCGGTGGGGCCAGCAGGGTAGCCAGCGGCCGGGAAGTTACCGGGAGCGCCACCGGGGCCAGCCTGCCACTGGCCAACGGGGGCGGGGCCACGGGGCATGCCCATCATCTGGGGCTCAGGGAAAGGAACACGGCCGCCGGGGGGACCGTTGATGAAGCCAGGGTGCTGACCAGGGCCACCGTACATGACGGGACCACCCAAGAACTGGCCACGGAGACCGTTGGAGACGGCAGCCTGCTGCTGGAGACGGAGTTGGTTGCGAGCGCTGACCTGGTGACGGAGCTGAGACTGGCGCAGATCCTTGCGCTGGGCGAGCGCTACATAAAGGGGTTTGGAACCAAGCAGCTGCTGGTTCATTTCAGCAATAGCACGAGAAGCCTCCTCGGGAGCAGAGTAGCAGACAAAGCCGAAGCCGCGGGAGTGACCACTGTCGTCGGTCATGACCTTGGCAGAAGTGATGGTGCCGAAAGGAGCAAAGGCCTCCTTGAGCTTTTCGTCGTCGATAGAGTCATCAAGGTTCTTGATGTACAGATTAATACCCTGGTACTTAGTGTACTTCTCAAGACGAGCACTGTCGTGCTGCTGCTTGAGCTCGGTCTGACGCTCGAACTTGTTTTGGGCACGGCCAACGTAAAGCTTCTGGCCCTTGAAGTCGGTGTCATGGAGCTTGGAAACAGCCTCCTCAGCAGAATCGTGAGTGCTGTAGTTGACAAAACCGAAACCGCGGGACTTGCCCTCGGCGTCGGTGGAGATAACGGCAGAAGTGATGGTGCCGAAAGGAGTGAAGAGAGCCTCAAGCTCCTCCTGGGTAGTCTCGGTACCCAAGTTCTTGACGTAGACGTTGGTGAACTTGGCACGCTGGGAATCAGCCTCAGAAACCCGATCAGACTTGGCGATGTGGTGAGCAACATAGACCTCCTGGCCGTTAAGGTTCATGCCATTGACGACACGTATAGCCTTCTCAGCAGCCTCGGCCTCGGTGAAGTGGATGAACCCGTAGCCCATGGAATTGCCCTGGCGGTCGGTGACGACCTTGCAGGACAGAATCTCGCCAAAGGCATTGAAAGTATCGTGCAAAGCCTTGTTGTCGATAGTGGGGTCCAAGTTCTTGATGAAAATGTTGCCCTTACCGCTCTTACGAACACTAGGGTCTCGCTGAGACCACATGATGCGGCAGGAACGGCCATTAATGAGCTGGTAGTTAAGCTGGTCCATAGCGCGCTGAGCATCCTCGCTGTTATGGTAGTTGACGTAGGCATAACCAAGAGACTCACGGGTGACGGCATCGCGGCAGACACGGATAGAGGCAACAGATCCGATCTGGTTGAAGAGCTCGTACAGGTTGGCTTCGGAAGTGCCAGAGCTCAGCTCGCCAACAAACAAAGACGCGTTGCTCACACGGTTGGCATTAACCCCCTCAGAAGAAGCTTCAGCAGTCTTAGCAGAAGCACCCTCGGTGCTGGTAGCAGTGGCAGCGGCAGCAGAATCGGTGGCGGGTGCATCGGTTTTCTGATCGTTGAGGGACATCTGCTCAAGAGCCTTCTCAGCGGATTTGACAGAAGCGTCAGTCATTTCGAATTTTTTTGGTTTTTTGGTAAAAGGGAAGTAGCTTTTTTTTTTTTTTTGTTAAAAATTCGTAAATCCAAGAGACTTTGGGACTACGACTTTTGAGGAGGGGTTGAAAAAAAAAACCACCCCAAAAATTTTTATTAATGGCTGCCCGCAGCACTGGGATTTCGTGGGATGCTGACTGGAGGGTAACACTCCACACTTCGACTTTTTTCCACCACCACCACATGACATTTTCCGATAGAGGTTAGGGCCCGGATCGACAGTGTGTCGTATGATTGAAATTTTCAGTAGGCCAGTAAAAAACATATTTGTATATTATATATTATGTATTATTCGATTACTCTTCTCGTTTCTTCTTGTACATTGCCATAATTTTGCGTGAGGCCACCTTCACGGGCCAAGACCTACTCGCATAGGACCAGAGGTGCTTTTGCAGCTGTTCCCGATTTGGGGCATCGGCCACTTTTTTCTCGATAAAATCACCAATAGTCAACAGCTCTCGCTTCAGCAAAGCTCCATAGGTATTGCGATCAAGCCCATCTGGATTGCCTCGTTTGAGGAGTTTGAGATGGGACCGAACTGGGTCAAGTGCGCTCTTGCATTGCAGCTCATCCATTGACTCGAACTCTTTTTCGCCGCCGCTGGGCTCAGCCGTTGCAGATTTTTCAGATTTTTCAGGTTTCTTGGCTGCTGGCTTTGGGCGGTCCTTTCCAGCTTTGTCTTTAGCTGGACGGGGCTTTTTGGCCGGTCGAGCTGGGTGACTACCGTTGACACGACCACCTGCAGGTGAGTCTTGGCGAGGTGTTCCATCCTTGTCGACTTTACGTTTTCTTGATGATGTTGAGCCAACTGAAGCCGACGTTGACGGCCTTTGGGGGTCATCTTCGCCCTTGAGAACAAGCATCAAGTAGTCAACACGGCGACCGAGATGAACGGCACCCGGCACTGGATTCTTTTTCTTTTTGTCCGCAGCAGTGCTTGCACTGTCTCCACCCCCCGCAGGGGTGCCCTCTTTGCTTTCAGCAGGAACGGGTTCCGACTTGACTTTAGTGGCTTTGATATCATCCTTTGTCTCCAAGAAAAGCTTATCGCCCAGCTTGAGAGTGGGGTCATCACGGATCAAAGTCCAGGCTCCATATCCATATTTACGAACACCCATCAAAAGTCTTGAGTCGTCCTCAATGGTCCAGGGACAAGTCCAATCATTTACGGGTTTGACAGACTTGTTGAGGACCCAGCCTAAGTTACCTGCTGGTACGATCTCGCGAAGCAATTTCATATCTTGCGGTCTCTGAAGAATCAGCTCAGCATTGATATTCTTGACTTTGCGGAATTCAATAAGAATGGCCCGCTTCTCTTTCTTTTTCAAAAGCGACACCTTTGATGGCGCGGTTTGGGCACCGGGGGTGCCGTTGGCTCCCTCTTCTGGCTTGGCAGCATTATTAGCAGCAGCGGCAGCTACTGCTTGTTCAGCTTCCTTTTTCGCTTCAGCTTCGCGTTTTGTATGCTCGACATCCACTTCCTTTTTGGCGGTGGCCATGAGATCTGCCCAGGCCTCTTTGATGAGATCTGGCCGACGATTAGGCAAGTTACCGTCATTAAACAGCTTGGTCCACATCGAATCAATATCACCAAACCTCAAAATAGCTCTGTATAATGCTCGAATTTCTTTTTCGCTAAGTTCCTTTGCTGTAGCAGCATTTGCTCCAGCGTTGGCACCTTTGCGGTGTTTCTTCTTGTGGTCTTCTTCCTCGTCCTCCTTTTCGGTATCTTGACCAGACAAGTTCACAGTTGTTCTGCGTCGCTGTGACATTTCAATTTGTTCCTTGAGGAACTCTTCTTCTTTGCGTTTTCGCTCTTCCTCTTTGATCTTGGAGAGCTCAGCTTCAGGAATGATATCGTCCCAGGTAACATCCGCCTTGTAGTCAGTTACTTCGAATTGTTTCAAAAACTCTTCACCACCAAGATGTGATTCACCAAGATCTGGGGTTGTAACATGGTCCTCAGCATGGTCCAAAACATCATCAAGGTTCATGTTTTCAAGCTTGCGTTGATTATTATTTGCCTGGAACATATTTCCAGCACCAAACTTGAGAATTTCGCTGAGTTCGGAAGTCGATGGATCAGTTTTCTTTTGATATGACTTGTCAGTGATACCAAGCGAAATAACAGCATACTCGAGAATCATCTTTCGGCGAGCTCGCTCAAGAACCTGCTCCTCAACGGTATCTTTAGCCACGAATCGATAAACCATCACGTGCTTCTTCTGGCCGATACGATGGGCACGAGCCATGGCTTGTAAATCGGCCTGGGGATTCCAGTCTGAATCAAAAATGATAACAGTATCTGCAGTCATGAGATTGATACCTAGACCACCGGCACGAGTAGATAACAAGAAAACAAAATCGGGAGAGTCGGGTGCGTTGAAATGATCAATAGCTGCCCGTCTTGTCGCAGATGGAACTGTACCATCCAAGCGTTGGTACGGTAAACCACGTATACTCAAGTAATCAGCAAGGATGTCGAGCATTCGTACCATTTGCGAGAAAATAAGGACGCGGTGACCGTCTTTCCTGAGCCGGCCTAGAAGTTTGTCTAGAAGGACCATTTTACCAGAATTCATGATCATTCCACGAAGAATTTCCTCGCGGCTCTTACCACCATTTGGTTGAGACTCATTGAATTGATTCTCGGCGTTAGGGAACAAATAGGGATGATTCGATGCCTTCTTGAGCTCAGCCATGATATTCAGTAAACTCATTTGATTGCCACCATTAGGACCAGAGTTGAGTGCAGAATAGTTGCGTGAAATAATGTTCTTGTAATAATCAGTTTGCATATCCGATAATTCCACCCGCAAAATACGCTCAGTTTTCGAGGGCAAGGACTTTTCCACGTCTTTTTTGAGACGACGCAAAATAAATGGTTGGAGACGGCGATGCAAATCACGAATATACTCTTCCTGAACTTCATCGGGTTGCTCAAAGTCAATTTCTTGGTCGATGGTCAGCTGACCTGGCATCAAAAAATCAACTAGAGCTGCGAGCTCTTTGATATTGTTCTGCAATGGAGTACCTGTGATGAGCAAACGGTTGGCAACTTTGAACTCAGACAGAGACTCATAGAGCGCCGATTCAGCATTTTTCAAGCGATGAGCCTCATCGACGGCCAAGAACTGCCACTTGATGGATCCCAACTCGGACCTGTCCTTCAAAATGTACTCATAGGTAGTGATCAGAACATTAAACTTGGGCTTTTTATTGGCAGCATAAGGGTTGACATAGAATTCATAGTCAATAAGTGCCTTCCGAGCCTGTGTATTTCCGATATACATGATGTAGTTGACTTCAGGTGCCCAAAAGTCGAAAGTTTCCTGCCATGCTGTGATAGTGGATAATGGAACAACAACGAGATGGGGCCCGTTCTGCTTGCGACCGTAAATCAGCCATGACAAGAACGCTACCGTCTGCACCGTTTTGCCTAGACCCATTTCATCCGCCAAGATACCGTTCTCGTTACGAGACCACAGGAAGGCCATCCAGTTAATACCGGTCATTTGGAAATCACGAAGTATTCCACCTTTGATATATTCGGGCTGTTCAACCAATTTCTCGAATCTCGGGCGGTTATTGGGTGGGTATGTGACCGAATACTGGGGGGAGATCTTAGAGCTTTGGCGAGCAGTGAACTGATCTACCTGACTGGGTGCAATCTCAGCAATGGTACCGGCATCTTCCCAGGTACATTGGTCGTAGTTAAGATGCTTCCATTTGATGAAATACTGCAGGCCCATGCGACCGTCTTCCAGAGTCACACGATCAGACAGAACGATACGTTCAACCGTTTTGTATTCCTCGTGGGTATCATGGATACGTTCTCGCTCGATGTCCATAGCCTCAATATCTTCTCTGGTAGTCAGGTGGTCGGTACGGATTTCGTGATCCAAGATCACAAACTGGCGAATATAGTTTTCCAAGCGGCGATATCCTTTGTACTCCAAGAGGTCGCTATTCTTTTCCCAGGTATTGTGTAAATGGGAATAACCTTGCCATTTGATGTAGAATTCGAAATATTCTTTTGGGTTCTTGAAAACTGAATCGTCTTCAGGAGCATCGGGGAGTCTGCGATGGTCGAGGACCTGCTCTACAGCGTCAACAGCCTCGCCCTCAACGGGTTCGACCGTGTTTGAACGACGGCTACTTCTGTCACCACTGTCACTCAAGTCACTGTCGCTGTTGCTGTCGTCGTCGTTACCGCTGTCTAAAGCGTAGTTGATAGTTTTGGAATTACGGGTCGAAAACCGCATTGCCGGAGCATAATGAGAAAGCGCCTCGTCCTCAGGGTCAACGGACTTGCTTCTAGACTTTCTGTTCTTTGACTTGGTCGTTGACCCTCGTTTAGGGCGGTGAAACCCAAAGTCCTCCTCGTCTGTAGCATCTGCGTCGTCGTCACCTTCGCTCGCGCTTTCGTCCTCAACAGCTTTGCGGACACGGCGTCTGCCCGTGTTTTGCATTTCAGCGTCGCTGTTTTCATCACCACTGTCGTACATTTGGGGCATTTCATGCGACCTGCGGCTTCGTCTCAGCCCGTAGAGCTCGGGGTTACTGTATATTTCTTCCATGGCAGTAGGAGGCTGATCGGCTATTAGGCACAGAAGTAATTAACAAAATATAGATCTGCAGCACCAGTTCAGTTAAGATGGTTTGCACCGACTCTGATTTTCCAAATCGAAAACGTCGAAATACACAACGCTGCCCGGCGCTATCCAAAGGGGAAATACAAAGGTTGAAAAGTCAGCAGCAACGCCGTTGGAGGGATATATGATGTTCGCAATGGGCGTTCCACAGTAGTAAAGACGGGGTTGACGATCTTCTATGATGCTTTTAGGGCGGTTAACTGTGAAATAAGTTCAATAAATAAAGTGGAGACTCAAAGGTCTATAAATACAGTGCGTCTGTGGTTGGATAGGCCATAAATAGGGAAACAATGAAGCGCAATACCGACGAATGAGCTGGCAAAGCGACTCTACTGGCTGTAAAGCTCTTTGGACCAGTCTCAAAAGAGGTCGTGGAGATCATATAGATCAGCTCCATGTGGGCCCTAATATAAGCCATATCACAGTACAGAGAACACGGAAATGGCGATGAAACGGTTGCTAACACAGAAATTGGCACGCAAATTAGCAGATTAGGTGTTGTTTTGCATGGCTGCCAAGAGTGAGTGTGGGGTAGATGGGTTTCCCAGTCCTCAGCATACCCAGTCCGGAGTCTGGGTTCTCTGAGCATGACAAGATGCGCTAAACGTAGTAAACCGAACAAAACCGACATGAAAAGTTAACGGATACATTAGAACCAGCGAACAGAGCGCTACCCAGTGTCTTGAAGCCATTGCAGCTGCTTGTGGGGCACTTTCTGTACATGGAACACAGCAGACCCCAGCCAAACACAGAATAGAACTCAGATGAGCGAAAACCTGAGACGTTTTACGAGCTCAAACACTGACCTTGGCTCCAATATACGGGAGGTTTAGCCTCCTTGGGGCATCGACCAAGGCTAGCGCGAAACCGACTTATTTTCAAACATACGCGTTCCACTCGTCCACAGACACGACTAGAATGTGAGAAATACCACAATATGAAGCGTTCAAGTATAGTTGATTTAGCACATATCAGAGGGTTAATGGGAAAGAAAGTCGGGGGGTGAGGTGGTTTGGGTATCAACCCCTGAGTCAATATACGACGACAGGGTAACTTGAGTTGATTCGGGATTGGCCTGAGAAATACAGGCTTTCTTGAAGGAAACTAGGACCCTTAGACTATAGTACTAAAGATTGAGCAATTAGTTTGGATCTGCGCCAAGTTGGGGGTAGTCACGTGTGTAAGTGCCAGCACTTGCAGATTAACTAATTCCTACCGAATTGCACTATCGATTATGCTAATATACACGGTAACCCTCGTACGCACGTTGAATATACCCCTTATGTTCAGCCCGGCCAGGGCCCGACAATGTTCGAAAAATGCTTCGGAAGGGTTCCGGGTTTCAGCACTCAACATATTTATATACTGGAATAGGCTTCTTTTTATATAAATCAGTTAGAACGCCCTTGCGAGCGAGACGAGCTGACAATGCCGCCTGTTGCCCAGTTATGCTCAATCGGCATCTCATACGATCGTACCTTACATTGCCGGATAAAGACGCTGCGGGGTTATAGGATAGGGGAAGCAGGACGCGTTTTCGCTGGATAAAAACCAACAATGCTTAATCGGAACAAAAATATTCCTGGTGAGGAATTAGAAGAATGAAGCCGCTTCAATGGCCACCCCGCCTTCCCGCAATTGACCGATGCCGCAAGACTGCCCTAGACCATCGTCATGCTATGACTCTACAGCCAGTCAGCAGACTCGATGGGGCAAGTTTGTAGGAATGAGTAAGGAGGAATTGCCTGGATATAGCTGTTGTATATACCTTGAAATGTCGAAATGTTATCCAGAAATATGCTGTGCGCAACGGCGAAACTCAGCCGGGGCACCTCCGGCAGTCTCAGGGGATTTGCTTCATGTTCGATCTGCTTCCATTCAGCCCTTCCCATGCGCTCCAGCCTTCCCCAAAAACCTAGCCCATAATAATTGGGCAGTAACCCGTAACCTAATCCACCGAAACAAGTGTAGCCTCAAGCCTTTATCATCAAAACATTAGTGTTTCCCCGAAGCTTTCCTCCCCAGTCTTCTCCCAACATTTCGTTCCCTTAAGACGCCATTTGCGTAGACGTATCGACGTTTTTTTTTCTTGCTTGAGCTCTTTCAACAGTAAAGCTCCAAGCACAAGGCCAGAGTGATTTGCCGCACAACCCGATTTCACAGTTTTTGTGTGCGCCCCGACTCCCCTCCGTTGTGAGCCACCCTGTCAAAAGTATACCTGTTTGCACGGCGAGTGTGATACTGTTTTACTTGCGAGCAGCCCACGTCCAGCAGACTGCAAGCTCTTTATAGCGCCGCCTCTATCGTCATTACCCCACAAGGCAATCACCCTCTGACAACACAGAGTTAACGCTTTGTTTTTGCGCTTAAAAGATGCCAGAAATACTCAACGACAAATACGAGATCATCACAACCATCAACAAAGGCTCGTATGGTGTTGTAAGCCTGGTTAAAGACATCAGCTCAGGTGAGCATTACGCAGCCAAGTGCATCAGTAAACACCGGCCTGATCGATCTCGCTTCGCTTCCCTGGCCACAAACCGCCTTCTCTCGGAAAACCCCTCCGATAACCTTTCGAACTGTACTTCCAACTATGCGCTGTCAGACGCCCAAAGTATCATTGACGGTAGATACGAAATCCAAGTCCACAACCTGATTGGCAAACACCCCAACATCGTCTCGCTCGTTGACCATTTCGAGCTCGATGACAATTTGTACCTCATTCTTGAGTATTGCACTGGTGGCGATCTCTACGAAGCCATTCGCTCAGGGGGAGATATTTTCTACCCCCACCAGCGGATTCGTGACCTCATGAATCAACTCATTGACGTGGTTGAATTCTGTCATGGCCTCAATATTTATCATCGGGATATCAAGCCCGAAAATATCCTCATTTCTGCCGACGGCCTGTTCAAGCTGACCGACTGGGGTCTGGCCACCTCAGAGCTCAATTGCACGGAGTTCGAAGTGGGCTCCCGGCAGTATATGGCTCCTGAATGTTTTGGAACTACTGCCGAAAGCTACAACGCGGCAGCAGCTGATATTTGGGCTCTGGGAATTTGTCTTTTGAACGTTTTGTTTGAGCGCAATCCCTTCAAAGTTGCCAACCAGTCTGATCGACTGTTTACGGATTTTGCAGCGTCTCGCGAATCACTTTTCGATATTTTCCCAAGCATGTCGCAAGACGTGTTTGCGGTACTCAGACATTGTTTGACGATTGACCCTCAAAATCGATCGTTGTCTGGTATGCGTAAGGCCCTGGCCGAAGTACGCATTTGGTCGACCGAAGAAGAGTTTGAGCTCATTGCATCTGACAATGAGTTTGAGCCACCTGAGGTCGATGTTATGAATATTACCACCGAAGCGGACCGCCCTCCCTTGCGAGTGCCCACAGCTCTTGGTGTGTCCTTGACTCCAATTAAAGGCAAATGGGATTTGCGTATGCAGTTCACGCCGCCTGTTTCCAGAGCTGATTTCCATTTGCAACGCCCCAGTCGCTGCGTGCATGATCGTCTAACCGCCGGCAGCATTCTTGAAGAGGATGAAAACTTCCTAGATCAAGAGAGCCAGGATGATCGTTTCGATGCTACCAGCAGTGGCCGGACGCAGCTGACCAGTGATGACCATAGCCTGGACTCTGAGTCTTCTCACGAACATGATGATAGTATTTTCTGCATGGACGATCTCTCGCGTCCTTTATCTGATATTTCCGACCCTTCGACGCAAGGGTCGCCTGCTTTGCTGATTGAAAAATCTTTGGGTCCCACCGAGTCTGTTGCTGGCACAAACCTACCTGTTCCCTCGACCATGTTTGATCTTGACTTTGGTAACGAGGAGCTGGTCCCTCGGTCCTGGGCAGACGAAGACGAAGCTTTTTCTCAACACCAAAGCCTTCACTCCTTCGAGGTGACCTCTTCACGACGTTCTGATTTAGCCTTCTGATAAGTTATATTCTCGTATGTACATTGCATATATCTATTATTTTTTTTTTCGTCAATTTGTGATTACCGGCTCGGCAGATGGTCTGTGGAGATACTCGACATCTCTGATACAGTGGTACACGATTTTGTCACAGTCGCGGTCGAATCTGAACTCAAACGAGCCGGCAATGATAGGATATTCGTCGGGCATCATGCCCAGCGACTTGATAATCTGACCGGGTTGGAAAATGGACAACGGGTTGGAGAACGGGTCAATTGGCTGCGGGGTTGCTCTATCGGGTGAAATCGACCGCCAATTCACTTGCAGCTGCGGGTCTTTATCGTCTTTGTTCATATACATTGCTAGGATCATCAATTGCGACCGGTTTGGGAGTAGCAAAGATCGGGTCGCAAGCTGCAGCAACTTGACCATGGTGTTGTATGTTTTGAAGCCCGCGGCTTGAATCCCGTGAGTTTCGGGGAACAAGCAAAAGCAAATGTCCGGGTGGATGATTTCGTAGGGCAGGTTCTTGGTCAACAAAAGCGGAATATTGTCCTGGAGAACCTGGATTGTCGATCCTAGATTCGCTAGCCGCTCGTTCTTCTCGGGCTCAGTAGCGTAAAATCGAGTGAATGGCCGCTTAGCCGAACCAAAACGGTACCAATTGGCTCTTGTAAACCGGAGCATTGCTCCCTTCTATAATTTAACCAAAAAATACAGCCAAACACACTCAGCAGTTATGTAACGCGCGCCACAGACATTATATCAAGGGTGTGTTTACTAAAGACCGGAACTATACTATTCTAAGTAGCTTAAGCAGACCATTTTTTGAATTGGTTGATGAGACCACGGGTACTAGCGTCGTGGTCCTTGACATCACCAGGGGCCTCAATCTCCTTCTGGATCTTCTTGGCCAGCACCTTACCGAGCTCAACACCCCATTGGTCATAGGAGTTGATATTCCAGATAGCACCCTCCACGAAGGTGACGTGCTCGTAGTATGCGATCAACGCACCAAGAGTGGCGGGAGTGATTTTCTGGGCGAGAATTGAGGTGGTAGGACGGTTGCCCTTGAAGATCTTGTGGTTGACAAGAGCAGCGGGAGCACCCTCAGCCTGGACGGCAGCCTTGTCTTTGCCGATCATCAGAGCCTCAGCCTGAGCGAAGAAGTTCGAAGCCAACATATTCTGGTGTAAGTTGTTGGAGATAGGGTTGTGAGAGTTGGCAGACAGAATGAAATCAGCGGGGATCAACTTGGTGCCCTGGTGGACAAGCTGGAAGAAAGAGTGCTGAGCGTTGGTGCAGGGCTCACCAAACAGGATGGTGCCACTTTCGTAGTTGATAAAGTTAGAGTTGCGATCGACGCCTTTACCGTTAGACTCCATAGAAAGCTGCTGCAGGTAAGCAGGGAACCGGTGCAGGTACTGGTCGAAAGGAGCAACCAAATGGGTCTGAGCACCAAAGAAGTTGTTGTACCAGACACTGAGCAGAGCACCAATAACGGGAATGTTATCGGAAAGCTTGGTAGAGGTGAAGTGCTTGTCAACAGCCTCGGCGCCGCTCAGGAACTCGTCGAACTTGTCGAAACCGACGTACAAGGCAACAGAGAGACCAATAGACGACCAAACAGAGTAACGGCCACCGACCCAGTTCTCGAAACCAAACATGTTCTTAGGATCGATGCCGAACTTGGAGACCTCAGCCTCGTTGGTAGACAAAGCAGCAAAGTGCTTCTTGATGTCCTCGACCTTGGCACCCTTGGACAAGAACCACTCCTTGGCGCTGGTTGCGTTGGTGTGAGTCTCGGCAGTGGTGAAAGTCTTGGAGGCAATCAGGAACAGAGTAGTTTCGGGAGACAGGGGCTTCAGAACTTCGACCAGGTTAGTGCCATCAATGTTGGAAACAAAGTGCACGTTCAGAGGGCCAGAGTAGTGCTTGAGAGCCTCAGTAACCATAACGGGGCCGAGATCGGAGCCACCAATACCGATGTTAACGACATCGGTGATCTTTTTACCCGTGTAACCTGTCCACTTGCCTGAGCGGACGTCCTCGCTGAACTCTCTCATGTGCTCGCGAACCGCCTTGACCTCAGGCAAAACGTCCTTGCCGTCAACCTTCATGGGCGAGTTGCCGTGAGCACGGAGAGCGACGTGGTAGACAGCGCGGTTCTCGGTGGTGTTGATTTTTTCACCAGCAAACATGGCATCGCGGAGCTCCTCGACCCGGGCCTCCTTGGCGAGTTTGAGCAACAACTCGAAAACCTCGTCATTAACGATGTTCTTGGAGAAGTCAAACAGGATCTGCGAGTTGTCGTAGTTGGAGAAGGTGCGAGAGAACTTCTCGAATCGCTTGTTGTCCTTCTTGAACTCCTCGGGAACAGACAGAGTCTTGCCCTTGGCTTCGTACAGTTTCTTCAGCTCAGTCCAAGTAGAAAGGCTGGTTGTGGAAGAAATTGGCTTGAAATCGGTCATTCTGCAGAGTCAATTGCGGGTGAGCTTTTTAGAACAGGTGGTAAATCCGGCCTAAAGCTTGCTGGCTTGCTTATATATGTACACTCGTCGATCTCGACGTTGCCCGTAGTCCAGGTGAAGCCCTTGCCCTTGATTAGTAGCAACGTTGTGTTTGCCATACTGTAGGATGTGAGAGGTGATAAACCCCTGAACACCTAACTATAATTGAGCAGGAGGGAATATGTGGCATTTTATTACACAATTAGATCGTCCATCAGAATTGGCTGGCTGGCCTGAGAAAAGAAATCACTCATCAAAATGTCTTGTGTTGGTCCTCGGAGCACCGGCGTGGACAGTTCAACAGCATCACCGCAGTCCGATGCAAGCTGACTCATGGACCTGCTTGAACCATTGGGCTGCGCTAATAACCAAGCAAGTGCGTAGGAGAACTCGTCAATCAGAGCGACTCCCAGATCCGAATCGTTGATCAATGAGTACGAACTCTCGCCACGGCGTGAGCTGGCAAACGTGTAGACATTGGGTGCGCGAATTCTGTCAACCAGCGTCTCTGCCTGGCATGTATCAGACAATATCAGCATAGTGGAGTAGCGGCTTTTTAAATACATCTCATCAATTACCGCAGCCAGTTGCTCTGCAAACAGCAGCTCGCGATCCCGGAACTTCAAAAAGCCATTGCCCCCATGGCCGGTCAGATAAAGCACTATTTTCGACCTTGCATCGCCCAATAGCCTTTTACTGTTGGGCACTGCACCGTCATGACGGTTTCGAAGCACGTCCAACACCTGCTGCACACCAACCTGCTTGCCCCGATAGTCGGTGGGAACCCCCTTGTTTAAATTAACTTTATGGTCCGGGAGGGCGTACTGGTGGCCCAAAAATACATTGCGAGCGTCGCAGACGTGGGCGGCCGCATTCATAACTATGATATTCGAGGCCTTGAAACCCTGGCCACGCAGGGTCTGGTACATTGACAGCAGATTGGACGAGTGCCGATAGTCGTACCAGTATTGAGAGGAATTGACCAGCACTGCCCAGTTCTCTGCGTTCACCAGTGTCCAAAACCATACTATCAGCAAGCCTCTGATCATTGTGAAACTTCACCAGCGCACATTCATGCCGAGACTGCCTTGGCTGATGCATCGATTCAATGCACCCCAACCCCCTTCGACTGGTTCGTACGTCAGCATGGCTTTGAGCCGGGGGTCCAATCTACGGGTTGCCAGCAGCTTCTGGGGTTTTGGCTTGCTAAACAATGTCTTGTATGTGGTTATTTTGTCTGCTGCAATTGATTTAGTGGGTGCCACTACCCCTAAAGGCGTTGTATTACTGGCTGACGTCTTGCCCGCTTTGATCGCCAAAGTCTCTGCGCCGTTCTACATACACAGGGTCCCGTATCCTTTACGCATTTTTTGCTTAGTTGGTTTAAGCTTTGTCGGTATGCAGCTTGTTGCTGCCGGCAACTCGTTTTTGCCCATCATAACGGGCATTTGTCTAGCATCCCTGTCCTCGGGATTTGGCGAAATCACTTTTCTCGCGTTAACTCACTTTTACGACCGTAACGCGGTTCATGGGTTTAGCTCTGGAACAGGTGCGGCCGGTTTGGTGGGCAGCTTTCTTTTTATGTTAGCCACTACTGTGCTACATGTTTCGACCCGATGGACGTTAATCCTTTTCAGCATCTCACCATTTGCATTCTTGTTGGTATTTTTCAAACTCCTTCCGCCCCGCGATTATGTCCCCGTTGATGTCGATCTGAACAGTGATTCTGAACCCCAAATCAAAACCATTGACCGTATCAAGCCACTTGTTAGACCGTTCATCATCCCCCTCATGCTTGTGTACATTGGAGAGTACGTGATCAACCAGGGGATATCGCCTACTTTACTTTTTGACCTCAACGATATGCCTTTTGCGGCCTATCGGGATGCGTATGTTACTTATAGCACGCTCTACCAAGTTGGTGTTTTCATTTCAAGATCATCAGCACCGTGGGTTCGCATACATCAACTCTACCTGCCTGCCGCACTGCAATTGCTGAACGTCGGAATCTGCATTTTGCAGTCGATGTTCATGGTATTCCCTTCTATTTATATTCTCTTTATTCTTATGGTCTACGAGGGACTTTTGGGAGGTGCTGCCTATGTGAACACTTATATGCAGGTGACCGAAACGGTTCCAGCAAAGGAGCGTGAATTTGCAATGGCAACTGTAGGCATGAGTGATTCAGCCGGTATCACACTCGCGGGGCTCTTATCTCTCTGGCTCGAGCCCGCCCTGTGCCACTATCAAATGCGGCATGACAGGCCATGGTGCCAATTAACCTAAATCTGTACGGCTATATTTTTTCGATTTAATTCTCACGAGGAGCAACAAAGTCTTTAGCACGTTCCTTTTGCTTGACTTCTTTCGCAGCCTGGCGTTCCGCACGACGTTGCTCCTGTTTCTTTTGCTCTTTCTCCCGCTTGGACAAAAAGTATTCACCGCTCTCAATCTCGAGATCAACCTTGCGAGGCTGGGGTGCAGGGGGGAAGGGAGTGTACTCTTTCTTCTGGCGAACCTTGTGGGGAGCACGTCTGGCAACATTTCGCTTTTTGAACTGAGGAAGGAACCGGCTCCAATCTTCACCTGCCATTTCGGGCTTCTTTGCCAGCTCTCGCTTGATCATAAGCTCTTTGATGTGATAAATAGGATGGATGTTTTGCATGCAATCTTCGACAACTCTTCGGACCTCCTTCAAACCTTTATAAGTGCCCATAGCTGCCACAGTATTACCTTGGACGAGAATGTAACATTTGGTCACCAACTCAAGGGCCTTTAGCGTATTACCGTTCGGGCCAATGAGCCGTTGGCGGCGCTTAACAAAGCGTTCCTTGCTGCTCACAAAGCCGCCGATTTTGATGACGTCGCATACGATGTCGTCTTGGAGAATTTTCACCGCCTGAGGAAACGGCACACTGCGAGCCAGAAGCTTGATAAGGTCACGGGCCTTGAGAATAATTGCGGGATCATAAGTCTTACGAGTAGTTTTGACGGTCATAGAGCCTTCAACCAAGTCCAACTGGCAGGCGACGCCTTTTGCGTCGAGAGCTTTGGTCAAATCACCCCAGATCTGGCGGAGATAGGCCTCACGATACTTGGGGAAAAGACTTGCGAAGCTGGTTTCCTCGGTGAAAGGAGTTCCACATTTCAGATCGTCAGGACCAAAAGGCTCGATCCTCCATTTATCAACATCAGGGGTGTCCCAGGGCTTGTCCTTATTATTAGTGGAGGGCATTAATGTTAGACGGTTTTTTCTTCCAAGCGTAGATCTAGAAAAAATTATATAAGCGGGAGGATATTAGTCTTGGAGGGAAAATCGATCTGGGGCGGAGGCAGTAGTAGCAAAGAGGCAATGAAAAGTCTGGTTTACAAATGTAATGATTGAGCATGTTTGACGAAGGACACGGGCTATGAGCTACCAGACGCGTGAACTGAGCGATCTAGCTCTAGAGGCTTCGTACGGCCAAACTGCTTTGAGAGATCCGAGTCGCAACTCGCATTAAAGAGTATAGCGGCCGTAAATAAGTACTATGTAGAGGATAATGGCATTTTACTCAAATCCACGAATAAGAGGTTTTGCAAGTTCAGAACTCAGAAACACCCTTAGTCATCACAAAAGGACGATCATTCCAAAGAGACATTGCTAGGGGGTGTGGGTGCCCACTATTTTTAGAACTAGTGAAACAGGAAGACATAAAAATAGACTAACTCAAATGTTACAACAACCATAAGACAAAATGCGCTGCCCGCACTGTATTAGCTGCTACAGACTAGCACATAGAGTCACCACCGCGCTCGTCGGTAGTTAGCCGAATATACGATCAAGCGAACCGTACAGAGGTGAAACCAACCCCTGATTTTCACCTGCTTCTCGAGACGATCCCAAATAGCAATGAAAAGTGCTCGAGGCGCTCTCAAAGCAAGGAAACATTAAAATACAGTACTTATCCTCTATAGAAAGGTTAATTGGGCTATAATCTAGCTTCATGCTTCCCATCCCTGGTCCTCTCATTCCTCATTAAATGCTTACCCCAACCCATATGCATTATGTAGGTGCCGATCATGCTGCCTGCCACTGCTGGTAGCGTAATACTGGAAAGTTGCAGTCGGGTTTTAGATAGGATAAATGTGCCCGCAGCGTCTATTGTATCCAACCTGAAACCAAAAAAAGACGCCCACGCGGTAGCCACCATTCCCTTACGTGTGCTGCGTAAGTTGTGTTCAGCTTGGCGCAAGAGAAGAGTTAAACGTGCCAAAAACTACTGCTCCCAGGCTGTTCCCTTGCTTGTGCGTCTGAGCCGCAGTGAGCTGGTTGTGCAGGCAACCCCTTTGGGAAAAATGCAGCCATTTGCACTTAGTAAGCCAGGGAGCTTCTTGTGGCAGGATTCTTTTGCGAAGTGCATTCTTTTGAAATACTCGATCTTCGTCGTTGAGCATCAATTTGCCAAAGTTCCGCCGGGCCGTACTAGATCTTCAAAACCAGTACCGGCAGTTCCATTTTGTAAACTAGCGGGAATCACGGCCACTTTTCTTTCTTTACCGCGACGCGAACACGACCCAACGCCCTCGTCCCCCCTGAAACTGCGAGTCAGGAATATTTGCTATTAGTGCCAGGAACCAGTCCGACCGCTATCAAGTCTCGATATTGCTACTACTTCTACTGTTCTAATAATGACAACCTTGCCGCTAAAGCCTGGGGCTGTTCCCAGGATTCGCCATGACGACCTGGAGGACATATCGCTCTTCGAGCCCTCACCCGGACGCCGACATTCCAGTGGTAATACAAACACCGAGTTGTATTCGCCAGTCTCCTCAATCTCATCAGCAGATGATCACAGCGTTCTATCGAACGGAAGTAACCCAACGCTTGTCTCAGACAGCTCATCGTTGCGGTCTTCCCTTTCATCAATCTCTTCCCCCGCTCTGTTGAGTATGTGCGGGCCGTTTACATCGCGCCCCAGTGTACAGTCCAGTCCTGCTCTACCGCATCTTGATGAGCATCATGCCTTTGAGCAGAGCCATTTCCAGATGAAGCCCGACTTTCACTCGTTCACCGACAAAACGTCCATGGCCAGCCTATCTCGCCTTCCTGCTCGCCGCATGCGCACTCGTAAACAGCGTGAGCTTGACTATGAGAACGATTTGGGTGAGGATTTCTGGCTCCAGGATGGGCTGATGTTCAATGTGCCTATGTCGCCTGCGCTCTACATGCAACAAAAGCAACGCAAGAGTAGGCCCTCCTTTTCCACTCCACAGGGCCCCAAAAGCTCAAACGGTCACTACCACCGTCAAAAATCTGCGAACAAATGCGATAACCATGGACAAAGAAAGCCCCAGAACGGCCCCCATGACCCCCAGAGCAAACCACCTCGCCTCCCCCAACCGTCGAATCGTCGTAAGTCTGCCACTCGTAATAGCAATGCTACCCTGCCTAGTATCAAAGAAACCGATTCCCAAAATTCTACCAGGACAGCAGCTTATCATGACATGTCTGTGAGCTCTGAGGATTTGTCGCTGGCCAGTATGCTGGACCACTCTCTCAATTTTGATTATGCACAAGAAGTATCATTCACTTCGCCTTTATCTGTAAAGTCTCGATCTGCATCTCTACCCTGTCTCAATACCGATCTACCGCCGCCCTCTCCTATCATGTCGTCTTCGTCATCTCCCCGACGCACCTCTCTCACCCGGCCCGAGCATTTACCACCCAAAACGCCTGATGAAGAGAAGAAGCACCTCGATGAGTATGGCAAGATTATGGCCATGGCTGCTGAGCATGAAAAGAAGCGGCAAAGTGCCGAAGAAGCCAAGGCCCAAGCTCGCACTAACCAAATGCATGCCGACATTGATGTTTGGCAAGCTTGGCTCAAAAACCCTACCAGCGCTCCAAAGCGTTTGCGCCAACTCTGGTGGAGGGGTATCCCTCAGCGTGTGCGTGGTGATGTTTGGATTTCACAGGTAGGAAACTCATTAGAGGTCACTTTGGAAGGATGCACATTGTCTGGCAATGAGGCAGATATCGTGCAGGACTCGGCTCGTGTCTGGCCAGAGCTAGGCATTTTCCAGCCTGATCGACCTCTACATCGTAGTCTCATTCTGATTGTCCGCTCTTTCTTGGGCCTGCATCCCGGTCTCAAGTATCAGCGGGCACTATCTCTGATTGCCGGCTTGCTCTTACTTGAGCTTGACGAGGAAAAGGCACTTGTTGTCATGGCTAATATGCTTCACAAGAGCCTTCCTTTGGCTGTTATGATGGGCGACGAGCAAACGGCCACTGCCCATTACACGCCATATTACAAAGTGTTCAGAGCCAAGTTCGGTCGCCTGAACGACCACTTCAACAGCATCCGCATGGCTCCCAACCACTATCTCGATTCTATGATTAGCAACATGTTCACTGACCGGCTCGATGTCGACACAGCTGCTCACATTATCGACGTATTTTTGTTCGAAGGAGATGGCTTCTTACTACAGGCCGCACTCGGCTTAGTGCGTAGTAACGAGGCCTCCTTGTATCAATCCCGAAACGAAGTCATCGAGGCACTCGAGGCCAAGGTCACCATTTCAGATGAGGCTCTTTTCGATCATATTTCTCATTCTACCCGCTGATAAGCGTTGGGTTTTCCAAACTAATTCCACCCTATTCCAGGAAAAAACCTATGCCTGTTATCACAATAATCAACAGGATGATGAAGAGAGCTGTTAAATTTATATATATATATACTTTAGGCGCATATTAGCATGAGCCAGCAAATATCCTGCATATATCAACTTTATCTTTGCTAGTCATCAGTATTAATATTCTCTGTAGATCTAGTTCGATGCACTGAAAATTGCCGAGGAGCTGCAGGTGAACTGGCGTACGACGACTTAGTCCATAGCGACATCACGTTTGTAGCTAGCGAAGCCGCAGCAGCTGTTTTTTCAAAGTGACCTGCAAGAACATCAAGCTGCGCTTCGATCCCTGTTACAGTTGTTTTAATTTCGTTCAGGTGTAATAATAAATCTTCCTTTTCCTCAACTTTGCTGCTTGACATTCGACTATTCAATTATGGGCGCGAACCGTGGGCAAACTGCGGTTTTGTTGTGGTAGTATTAATGTTTAGACTCATTCAGCTGCGATTAATTATGGCTCAATTGTGCACATCAGAACAATCAGAATCAGAGACGACAGCTTTGGAGCGGCCAAGTCCGCGAACGTCTAGGCGCAACCGTTCCAAATGCAGGATGAACGCTTCCAGCACCAGGCGGAGGGCACCGGTTGTAATCACTAGTGAACCCCCCGCGAAAGAGAGCCTGGATCGAGATCGGCTGGAGCAAATATACAGCCAATCTTTAGCGCTTTCAGAAGCGTCGAAACGGCTCATTGATCTGGTCAAACCCTTACTTGACAGCAATTGCGTAGCAGCCGATGTCAATCCCCCCCGAGATCTGCAGCCAGCTGAAATGAGCGGGCAAGAGAGCCCCGTGCTAAAAAAACCCAGCAGAGCTCAGCGACAGCGTCGGCGACAAGGTCAGAATTACCAAAAAGTAGCAGACATGATGCTTTCGCCCAGAAAGCCGTACGTGCGTTTCACAAGCCCTACCTGAGTACATAGTCGATCTTGACAGGGACAATGGGACGGCTTGGGTGCCCAGAACGCTTGCGCTGCCTCCGATATTTTTCTACTTGAATACGGTATCTAAATCTCTGGAGTATTCCGAAGCTTGGCAAGAAATGCACCGCCTAAACGACGTCGAACGACCGTACGAGCCCCTCAGATATTCAAAATTTTTAACAGAACCCCAACCCACCACGCACCAAGGGATGCAGGTTTTTATTGCCGGGCGAGCCAAGATGGGCCCTCATCTTCCTTTTTTTTTCGGGAATCAAGGGCGGTGTTCTTCTGAGCGAACTCAACAATACAGCAGTAATAAGCAAGGTCACACCGCAGTAATCCCAGTTATATTCGGCTAAATACATGGAGAACCGGGATGAGAACCACATTCCAGGTACGGACTTTATCTTCAAGCAGGATATCAGAGAGAGTGATAACCTGCGCACTGATGGAGATATTGTGCTTGTACCGCAGCCGACCAATTCACCTAATGACCCTCTGAATTGGTCCAAGCCCCGCAAGTACTGGCATATGCTGTTAGTTTTGATCGTGACAGGATTGACTGCTGCGACATCTAATAGTGCCAGTGCTGCGCAGAATTCCTTAGTGGATGAGTATGGGTTCTCCTGGGGAGTTTTCAATACCGGTGCCGGAGTACTATTCATTGGCATCGGCTACTGGACTTTGTTAAGCTCGCCCAGTGTATTTCTATGGGGTAGCCGTATCAACTACATTGTTGGCTTGCTTCTAGGCATAATTGGTGCTGCATGGTATGCGAACGTCAAGACAAATAGCGATGCTATTTGGAGTCAACTTTTTGCTGGCGCTTCAGAAGCAGTGGCTGAAGCAGTCGCCCAGCTTTCGTTGACGCAGATTTTCTTTCAGCACCAGGCATCCGAAGCCCTTGGTTTGTACATTTTGGCGACATCAGTAGGCACATTTTTGGGGCCTATGATCGGTGGCTATGCCGCCGACAACCTAGGATGGCAGTGGGTGGGCTACCTTGGACTTATCACCTCCGGCTTTATGCTTGTGGTGGTTTACTTCGGTCTAGAGGAAACCTACTTTGATCGTAAACATTACGAACTCTGTCATCCTAGTCCGGTTGCGCAGCGTGCTGCTGCCCACACCGTTTTGGAAGATACAAATTTGGTTGGTGAGAAGAAAGCGCATGGAGAGAAACCAGGACAAGAAGAACATCACTTCCATCCGACTCTTATTCCCTCCTCGTTATCTGCCGAACAGAGTAGGATCACCACCACCTACGATGACTCTGTGATCAGCGATAGCCACTTGGAAAAGGCAGAGTATGTCGATCCGCCGAAATCGTACTGGAAACGTATTGCTCTTATCACTCCCGCGGTTAACTTGAAGGGCTGGGGATTCAAGCAGTATGCTCACCGTTTGTGGCTGACACTCCGCGTGTTCAGTTTTCCAGCTGTAATCTATTCCGGTCTGCAATGGGGTGCCCAAGACGCTTGGCTCACTTTCTATATTACGGCTGAGGACGACTACTGGGCAGATGCTCCTTGGCACTACAGCGATGCAGGTGTCGCGATAATGAATATTCCAACCCTAATTGGTGCTGTTATCGGCTGCTTCTACGGAAGTTACTGTGCGGATTGGTTCGTGTTGTGGATGGCTCACAGGAATAAAGGTGTGCGCGAGGCGGAAAGCCGTCTGTACTTTTTGCTATTGCCGGGACTTATTGCCCCAGCGGGTATGTTCTTATTTGGTATTGGAACCGAGCATGGCTGGTCATGGCCGCTACCTTACGTGGGACTTGGTTTCATCGGGTTCGGCTGGGGCTGTGCAGGTGATATCTCAATGAGCTACCTTGTCGACTGTTACCCAGAAATGGTTTTGGAGGGCATGGTTGGTGTATCTGTTATCAACAACACACTTGGTATGATCTTTTCTTTTGTCTGCGACACTTGGATGGATGCGTCCGGCCCTCAAAACACCTTCATTGCCATTGGCGTTTTGGAATTCTTTTTCATGGTAATCATGAGTATTCCTATGATCATCTGGGGTAAATCTTGCCGTAAATGGACAAGGGGGATGTACTACTCTTTCATCGACGCCCGCGACAACTTGGACAAGTATCCCCAAACCCGAGGCGATGTTTCTGCAGAGTCTTGTTCTGTCTCCTCCTGCACAGGTGAATCGGATTGTCCGACGACAGCTAAATAAAATTAATAGTGAGAAAATATTCCTATTTTTAGACTGAGATTAGTGGACTAGATGACGAGGTTCTGCTTGATAGCACCATCTATTGATTGTGGGCGAGCTGTGTGACCTTGGTCTCTGCACATGAAAGGAACCCTAGATGTGCGTTCAAGTTGGACGATCATTTATTCGATTCGGCGGTCGTGCGCGTATCAGCTTTCGTGACTCGAGAATACACTTATCTGCTAAGCTTTACTATGCGCTATAAACAATGCCATGTATACACTTCGGTGTCTAGCTAGTTCAATTTTTCTAGTCCATGCTTTCCATATTTGGCTACGGCAGCTGGCCAGCACGCCTGGGGGAACTATATAAGCACACGCTGTGATTCGTCAGCTTGTCGTCAGTATGATCCTTTGGGTTTTAATTTTGGGTATTCTACTGTTTGCGCTAACGTATGATTTCTATTTAAAGTGGAGCTTTACAGCCCAGGCCAAGCGGGCAGGATTGGAGCCCGTGCCGGTAGTCTTGGACTATCCATTGGGAATTCGCACTCTATTCAGATCATTGTCTGCGGTTAGAAGAAAAGAAAGCCTGGAGAAAATGATAGAAAATTTCCGTGCAAAGGAAAAGCTGACGTTCACTGAGGAAATCCTCGGTATGTTCATTGTAGTGACTCTTGATCCCGAAAATGTGAAAAGCATGCTGGCTACCAATTTCAAATCGTACAGTCTAGGCATCCGAGCCGACCAGCTAAATTGCTTCTTGGGTGATGGAATATTCACACTGTCTGGTGCTGGCTGGAAACACTCGCGCAATTTGCTGCGTCCGCAGTTTTCCCGAGAACAAGTGGCCCAGATCGATTCGATCAGAGAACATTTCAGCCATGTGGAGGCCGTTTTAGATCGTGAGGAGTTTGTCGACATTCAAACACTCTTTCACCACCTCACAATGGACACTGCAACCGAGTTTTTACTTGGAGAGAGCGTGGATTCGCTGCTTGATTCACAACGGGAGGTTTACGGCATGTCTTGTGCCCAGTTCGTAAAGGACTACACCGAGTGCGTGGAATGGTGCTTGACAAGGATTCAATTCGGTCCCTTGTTCCGATTTGTTTATCCCAAGTCGTTCCGCGAGGCAATTGCAAGAAGCCGGAAGTTTGTTGAATATTTCGTGGACAAAGCGTTGGCTAAGCCGATTGAGACAGAAAGCGAGTCGTACACTTTCATTTATGAACTCGCCAAGGTCACGAGAGACCGTGTTACTATTCGAGACCAAGCTCTCAACATTCTTATCGCTGGTCGTGATACTACTGCATCCTTACTGTCGTACTCTATTTGGCATTTAGCCCACCATCCCGAGGTGTATCGCAAGCTACGCAAGGAATTGATCGAGGCTTTTGGACCAGTTAGTACAAAGAGTGTTACTTTTGAAAAGCTCAAGAGCTGCACGTATTTGAAGCACGTCATTAACGAGGTCTTGAGACTAAACCCTGCTGTGCCTCGAAACATTCGCACCGCAGAAGTCGATACTCAGCTACCAAGAGGAGGAGGTCCAGATGGCCAGGATCCTGTTTTTATTGCCAAAGGAACAAATGTCATGTATGCTGTTCATGAAATGCATCGGCAGCCCGCGATTTGGGGAGAGGACGCGGAGGTTTTCCGGCCCGAACGCTGGGAGACGTTTCACCCCAAAGGCTGGGAGTACTTGCCGTTCAACGGCGGACCTCGTATCTGCTTGGGCCAGCAGTTTGCACTCACAGAAGCGTCATTTGTTCTTACCCGGATAGCCCAAAAGTACGATAGCATCGAGCTGCAGGACCCCGCTGCCCCATTGGTGAACGACGTCAACCTCACTGCAAGGGTCTATGGCGGTGTTTGGGTTAAAATGCATCAAGCTGACATCTAGACACATCCAGATGCCCTTCAAACTTTATCTAAATGAATCACGTAACTATTCTAGACCCCCTCCGCTCATCTCGTTAATGTGCCTGTCACGGCTGGGAGCACCTACATATATGATTACTTTGGGACACTGCATTAATTGCTGAGCTTCCCCTCCATGATGAAGCCGAGAGTAAGTAACACCGACAACGGGCAACAAAACACCACGCGGACGGCCATTAACAAAAGCTGATTATTATTGTCAGGCATGGAGAGTCTGAAGCCAACTGCGATAAGAGCGTCAATGGGCACACCCAGAACCATATGGTGCTGTTAACTAGCCGGGGTCGGACCCAGGCAAAAGAAGCTGGCGAGGAGATTGCCCAGATGATTAGGCCGGGCGAAAACGTTCGTGTCTACCGGTCACCATATATGCGTACTCGTCAGACGGAAGAAGAGATTCGATTGGTTTTGCGAAATCACGGGATCAAACCGAGCGTCATCGAGGAACCTCGACTAAGGGAACAGGACTTTGGAAACTTTCAAAACGCCCAGCGGATGACGGATATTATGAAGGAGCGTAGCATATACGGGTCATTTTTCTATCGCATTTTCAATGGCGAGTCTGCCGCGGACGTTTACGACCGCTGCGCAAGCTTTTGCAATTCACTGTACAGACATTTCACCATCCACGAGCCCGATGTGGTGATTTTGGTCTCTCATGGCATTTGGGGCCGGGTATTTTTAATGAAATGGTTCAAATGGAACTACGAGTATTTTGAAAACCTCAAAAACCTTCAGCATTGCGTTCCTATCGTTATGGAACGCAAGGACTCGCATTATGCGCTATTGAGCGACCTAGAAACATGGGAAGATCAGCAGCCTACGTCCAGTACAAATAAGGGGACCAGCCCCGATATCACAACAATTTAAATAAGTTAAATAATTTTAATTTACGTTTTTTTGCACGACCCTTCGCAGGTCTCTTTTCCGCAGCATCCACTGAAATCATTGTCTTTGCTCGGCCAAGGATTGTGTCCACGACCCCACCCCTTAGTGGAGTAGTAGTCCATAGGATATGTTCCATTTGGCATCCACAGAACTTGGTCCAAAGCTACCATTGCTTCGTAGGGCGTTAAAAGAGGCTTGGGGAAAGCATACCCCCAGTCGATACTCAAGCGAGGACAGGCCACCTGAACCCAACAGTCTATATCTGGAAACTGTGCCAAGCGCTGAGGAAAGATCTCCGAAAGCATGAGCATAACTGTTTCGATCTTGGCCTTGGCGAACTGATTCTGCAGGCGCTGGAGAGTCAACGGGTTTCCTTGTCTCCCAAGCGTTCCGAGAATCAATCCGACTTTTTTGGCATGTTTTGCCTCAATTATCGCTTGTCTTCGCACTGAACGCATTTCCTCGTGTCCATATTCCTCCAGCGTGAACTCACGATTATACGGGTCGTATTTGTAGGCTGGGATTTCGGGATTGTGTATCATGGCGCTCTCTAGATGGAAGCGACCATCACCAATGTAAACAATAGCGTCAACAGACTGGTCAAGATGTGCCGATGTACAGCCTAAAACCTCACCCTTAGACAAAGGCATGGCTTGAGGCGAGATCGCCGAGACCCCTCGCTGAGCTAGGGGTTCCGTGATCTGATGAAGTGTAGGATTGAACTGGATGGTGCTCACAAGAGCGATTTTTTTGTCTCCTAAATGATGCACTATTGTATTGATCAGATGTTCTTTGTCGATCTCAATAGTAACAAACACGTAAAGCACCTTGATTTTGGTAACGTCGATAGGAACAAGGCACGAGTGGGCATAATGAATGAGCATGTCGCAGTCCAAAGCGACAGCCGTGAAATCGTCTATACAGCATGCACCATAGGTAACGTCACCCATCACCACTGTTTCAACTTGACAGAATTGCTCGAGAATATCGGAAACAATGCAGGCATATATAAGTAGGCCCTCGGGCATTTGTACTGCAACTCGCTTGCTGTTGTTTTTGCGAATGTTCCACACGGTTTTGTGAATCTCAAAGTTGTAGTTTTTCGGTAAAAGCTGGATCGCAGCATTAAGCTCCTCGTCTTGAAGAATATCAGAGGGAATCTGGTTCACAGCTCTTCTCAGAGGCTTTTTGGAAACTGCACCCTGAAATTTGTCCGTAGGTCCATCCTTTCTGCCGACGAATCGCCGTCTGGCTTGTACTGGTTCAGCAGACATTGGAGAAAAAAAAATATTACGAAGCAGGGAGAAATTAATCACAAGCACCAACTGTGTTTAGACCAGTGCTAGCGAGTTAAGCAGTTGAGCGAGCGCGAATTGGCTTGAATTTTTGATATGATTACACCACAGTTTGAGGTGGATCAGGATCAAGACTTTATTTATGTGAAAATTCGTGCACCCTATATCAAAGCTAGCAATGTGGAATTCGAGGTAGTGGACGAGCGATTCGTATTCTCCTTGCAACCGTATTACCTCCGACTGACGTTTCCTGGCAAGTTGATCGAGGACGAAAGGCTAGAGTCCTCTTATGATTTGTCTACATCCACTATAAAATGCCGGGTCGCCAAAGCGGTTCCAGGTCAAGAGTTTGAAGACCTCGACATGCTCACAAAACTGTTAGCAAAAAAAGCACAAGTTAGCAAGCCTGTAATTGAGGAAGTGGGCGATAGTGCACAGTCGGCACAGCCACCGCAGGTTGACGAGATCGACTGGGAAGTAGAACAGGTTCTTCCTGAACCGAGTATTTCCGAGCAAAAATACGGATTCAATGACCAGTACAGCCAAATAATGGGAGTGGTGATTGAAGATGGACAGAACGATATCAATGAGATCCCTGAGCCCGAGAAAACTAGTATCCAGCAGCGACTACTGATCAATAGTACCGCTGATGAGCTCTTTGATATCGATCATTACCTTGCTGATCTGTACGATAGTCCGATGATTCAAGACTTTTTGGCTTGGGATCCTCCTTTGCTTGAATTGACCAACGCCGACAAAGACCGCATGTTGAAGCTGCCAAAAAGATCGTATATGATCAGCAACCCCAAGCATGTATATCTGGGTGTGGTCCAACTGCTTTTTGGCTTTTGTTACGATGATAGAACCAACTGCAGGGATCCGACTGTTGAATCTCCATGGACTATAGGCAAGCTTACTCCTCTGTTAAGCTGTCTCTATGGGTACTATGATCGCATGTTACCACTAGTCCGAGACTGCACCAAAAGGGCCCTGATATTTCCTCTCTACCGCCATTGGGATCTCACACTTGCGGTTTGGAAAGATGTGGTGTCAATTTTGAAACAGGGCCGTAAGGCTATTCTTGCTTGCTTTGTGAAGCTTCTGTCAATTTTTGAATCCGACATCAACGCATGCTACCGTCAAATATTCCTTGAAGATTATGCTGCCTGGATCCAATACTCTTCCGAAAAGGTTATAAGCAGTGTGACTACCGAGCTGGAATCGGCTCTGTCACGTCTCGCCAAACACGACATGGGATTCGACCTCGAGGAATACGAAGAGGCTGCTCAGGAGGCAATGCAAATGGATAATAACGAGTTATCAGTTACAGCTCCGGACTCGGATGACGAAGATTGATATACATACACACACATATATAAATTGTCTAAGTACCGCAGCACATATATATAGTTGTCAAAAAGACTTAAAAATGTAGGGCTTGACAGGCCCTTTTTTTGACCGTATTCAAAACTGACCTGCTTGATGAGGCTCCGGTGCCATCTGCCCAGGCTGCGTAGGCTGGATAGGTCCGGGGCCAGAGGTTTGACCTTGAGTAACCGCGACCACAGGCGCTGGAACATTCACCTGGCGAAGTTGCGGAGCAGGCAATAAGCCAGGCTGGACCTGAGGCTGCATAGGAGCGCCAGGTGGCATTGTGGCAGTTGGTGCCTGGGGTTGGTTAAGTGAAGCCATTTGCACCGGTGGAGACTGATGTGCCGACTGCTGCTGTTGTTGGATCATCGGAAAAGGTACGACTCCAGTTTGATGGATGCCGCCAGGCTGTCCCATGGGAACTGGAACGCTTGCCTGCTGCTGCCATCCACCTCGATTGTGATCGAGAATATAGTCCATATCATGCTTGCTGCGCTCAGAAGCCATATTCGCTAGAATAGCGGCACCCTCGTCGTGTCTTCCAGTAGCATACCATGAATGGCGGTTGATAGCTGCCTCTGAGCGATGTCTTGAGTGTCCCATGGTGCGCCTGCGAGAGTTTTGAGCGGCCACTACCGAGGCAGGAATATTAGAACCCGCCGCCACCGTCGTCGGTGTCTGGCGAAGAGGAGAGCGTGGACTAGGAATAGGTGGCGCAGCATTTCTGGCTACGGATTGCTCCAAGTGAGGCTGAGGGGGCCGCGCTCGCTGTTCTTGAGGGGTTGTCCTTGCTGCAGCTGGCGAGGCGTTGGCTCCGGAATCAGCGATATAAGACTTGCGCTTTTCAGTCTCGCGCTTTGGTGAAGAATTGGATCGTTCCCGTGTTTGGTTTGGTCGCCAGTGGTGGAATTGAATATTTGTTGGAGAAGTCATCACCCCTATTGGAGGGTTACCAGACCGAGCACCGCCAAAGCTGGGTACGGATGAGGTTGATGCACGTTGCATGTGTGTTCTGTAACGAGCAGGCGACCTATTATGATCTTCATAATTCACGATTTTAATTGTGGATGTGGTTGCGGGGGCAGCAGCGGCTGTCGAGCTCGGGCCCGCTGACACGGTTTGAGTGGGCGGTGGTTGTTGCTCGAGCTGCCGTATTTCTTCAGGCGTTCCAAAAAGCAAAGCAAGAGAGTTACTGGAAATTCCAGCTCTAATTGCAGTGTTTAATAGGTCCAAAGAGCGCTTACGGTGTTCTAAGCGGTAAAACTCTTGCTTGGTACGTTCTTGCTCCGCCTTGAACCTTAATGCTTCGGCTAACGTATCGTTGTTCACAGGGAAATCATTAAAACTTGAGCCTAAAAGAATACCGAGGCCCTGGCGAGGACTAGTCTGACGTGACTCTGACTGCTTAGCTTCAGTATCAGATAGCCCTTCGCCGGGGACGGTTGAAGGAGGGGAAGATAAGTGCTGGGAATGATCACCCTGGGTCATAACGTCCGAGGGACTGTTCGTCTGATTCGAAGCTATCGTTTGTTCTGTGAGTTCTGCCTTTTCGGGAGCGTTTGGTTGATTTTGCGAGGCGGATGCCTCTGCGGGGGGCGGACTCGTATTTGAATTGGGGGCGCCCGGACCATGTTTTGCCGCATCGTTATTGTTCTCTAGCTTTATTCTCGATTCTCCAGAGTTTTGCGGTGCTGGAGAACGTGCCATATCAGGGGACGGTGCAACTGGGAGAACCTTTGCCGGTGACCTACCCAGAGACGGTTGGTTGACCTGAGAAGTTGTGAGAGGCGTTAGGGGTTGTGTGGGAACCTGTTGATTTTGTACTTGACCCGAAGGTCGTCTTTGCAACGTGGAAGCGGTGGTACTGGGCAAACCTGAGCTTGTCGTGGCCAAGTCAGCACGAGCGCCGTCTCCACTACGGGACAAGGTAGGGGTGGGGCTAGGGGGGAAAGCGTCCAAAGTTGCGGTCTGTTCAATTGTGGTCATTGATGTAAAAATATCCGAGGAGATACCAATTAAGTTAGCAAATCGAATGGATGGGTCAGGGTGTCCTGCTATTCAGTGATGGCTTAGCTGGTCGCCGCGTGAGCAACAGCAACCAGTCAAGGGGGGAAGGGGAAAGGCGGAGTAGCACGGCCGGCAAGAAATGAGTACGATTTGTCCTCAATGAAGGATAAATATTACCTGCGTAGCAATTACAAGTTGTATTTTAGTGAGGGGGCTCGAAAAACACCAAAAAAATACCTGCTGGCGTTCCAGTTGTCCAGATACAAGATCTAGTAAGAGATGAGGATTCTCCCTTGTTTAGATCTGGTAGAATGCATAAAAATAAACATAGGGTAAGGGTGGTGGATTCGCGTCTGCCAAATCAAGGTCAAAGGGTCGCATATAGACAGAGCGTTTGGGCAAGGGGCCCCTAGGTGCCATTACCTAAACTAAAACTCAGATATATACGAAAAAAGTAGAAAAAAGCATATTTGCAATCAAGGGCTGGGGGCTTTGGGGCCATTGGCCCACTACAAGGGTCTCGCACTCTTTCGATTGGACCCCGGACACTGAACCCAGACGACTATTAATCAAGCTGCTGACTACTATTCAACGCGTAAATGTCGATTGTGTCGCTGCTGAACGTTAATGTTCTCAACAATCCGGCGAGATTCACAGATCCGTACGAGTTCGAGATCACTTTTGAGTGTCTTGAGCCTCTCAGAGAGGATCTGGAGTGGAAGCTCGTCTACGTAGGCTCGTCGACTTCATCAGAGCATGACCAAGAGCTCGACTCGCTACTAGTGGGCCCGGTGCCGGTCGGCGTTAACAAGTTTCTGTTTACAGCTGATCCACCTTCTCCAGATTTAATTCCCCAGTCGGAGCTGGTCTCTGTGACGGTGATGCTTCTTTCTTGCTCTTACCGCGAAAAGGAATTTGTGCAGGTTGGCTACTACGTGAACAACGAATACGATACGGAAGAGCTACGGGAAAATCCGCCCACAAGAGTGGTTTTGGATCATGTTGTGCGAAATATCCTGGCCGAGAAGCCACGGGTCACCAGATTTAACATCCCGTGGGATAACGAAGCTGTCGACGAGTACCCCCCTGAGCAGCCGGATGCAGATATCGATCTCGAGGAAGAGGACGAAGATGTGTATGGTAACGAAGAAGAGGATGCACAAGACGAGCTAATTGACGAGGAAGAAGCAGACGAAGTCGAAGTAGAGGGCGAGGACGAGGAAGAAGAGGAAGAAGAAGAAGAGGACGATGAAGAGGACGATGACGAAGAGGTGGAAACAGAGGAGCCCGAGGAGGAGCGCGAAGATGCTGAAGACTCGCAGTCTGCTAAACCAGCCGAGCCGACCGAGTCTTGAGCCCCGAAAAGCCGCAAATTTCAGCCGTGTTTCATATGGCCGTCTAACGCATACCACATACCTCTCTTGATTGGACTAACTGCTCATGTGTAGATGCCTGCTGTACAACATTTTCGTGTCCTAACCCTGTGGTATGCAGTGTACACGACGCTATGACAAGGGACTATTAGATATAAATCTATAGCTGGTGGTTAAATGAGCCGAGAAAAGTCTAATTGCCCAAAAAAATTAGCCTCCAGCCAGTTAAATACGACCTATGTCAGAGTTAAGCTCATATGCCCATTCAATGATGTGCATGCATGTGGGTTCGTCAGCGTTGCGGATATTTTTCGTTATAACTCGTAGCCAAGCCCAGAACAAGAGGACCAAAGCTTTCACCAAGAGAGAAAAAAGGTGCTGCTTGCTGGTGTTTAAGTTTTGTCAAATAAATCCTCAATTTGAACCAGTTAAAAATGGGTGGCAGCTCTAATGGCGAGGTTAACGAGAGCGATATTACCGTTCACGTGTCACCAGTCTCGCACGTTGAACAACCCGACAATACACTTCGTCGGCGGGATATCATATGGCGGAAAATTAAAAAGTATGCCGGCTTTATTGGTCCGGGCATGATGGTCTCAGTGGCCTACATGGACCCCGGAAATTACTCCACAGATACCTCTGCGGGGGCAGCGAAGCAGTTCCGACTGTTATTTGTGATCCTGCTGTCGACAATCATTGCCATGTATTTGCAAACTCTGGCAATCAAGATTGGTTGCGTCACAGGCAAAGATTTGGCCGTGAACTGCAGAAATCACCTCCCCAAATGGGTCGGTATATGCTTGTACATTTTCGCAGAGATCGCAATTATCGCTACAGATATTGCGGAGGTCATTGGTACTGCGATTGCACTGAATATCCTGCTACACATCCCCTTAATAGCAGGCGTGATTTTGACAATCGTCGATGTTATGTTAGTCTTATTGGCGTATCGCCCAGGCAAGGGTATAAAGGCCGTCCGGATTTTTGAAATTATGGTCACAATTCTGATTTTTGCAGTGGTTATTTGTTTCTGTGTGCTGCTCGGCAAAATCCCCCCTGCGAATGTCGGCCAAGTATTTCTTGGTTACCTCCCAAGCCACTATGTTATTGACAATGGCGGCGTGTACATGTCCGCGGGCATTTTGGGTGCTACCGTTATGCCCCATTCTCTTTATTTGGGCTCAGCAATGGCCGTGCCAAGAGCCAAGGATTATGATTTGAAGCATGGGTATGAAGGAGAAGTGGACGAGAAGGAGTTGGGCTACAACTATCAACCTAGCCAAGCTGCGATTCGCTACAGCTACCGGTACTCGGTTATTGAAATGGGAGTAACTTTGTGCTCGTTTGCTGTGTTTGTGAACTCGGCTATTCTTATCGTTGCTGGTGCCACCATGTATGGTAAGGAAGATGCTGATGGTGCGGATTTGTATACTCTCTACGATATGCTCAAATTGTATCTCAGCAAAGGGGCGGCCGTCACATTCATGGTAGCGCTTCTTTGCAGCGGCCAATCGGCTGGCGTTATCTGCACTATTGCTGGGCAAATCGTCAGCGAAGGACATTTGAACTGGCGGGTAAAGCCGTGGATTCGCCGTATTATTACCCGCCTCATCGCAATGACCCCCTGCATCGTTGTTGTTGCAGCCGTGGGCAAGCGGGGTCTCTCTGACGCCCTGAACTGGAGTCAGGTTGTCTTGACAATCACCCTGCCTTTTCTTGCCGCTCCGCTTGTTTACTTGACCAGCAACAAGTCGGTCATGAAAGTCGACACTGTCTCCTACGATATGGAGCTCACCGACTCTGAGAGTGCGACCGATGGTGATGCGTCGAAATCTCGTAAATATTACAACAATCATTGGATCACCACCATTCTGGGGGCTGCCATTTGCATTTTCATTTTGATAACAACTATTTATCTTCTTGTTCAAGTTGGACTTACTGGACAGGCGGGCTAGCCGTATTATATAGTATTGCTACCCATTTTATGCCGATATACAATTGGTGAACAAAATGAATAAAACACCAAGCGTTGTCCATGCTACGGTGACTCTCTTGCTGCCGTTCATAAATGCAGGCATTGCGACCATTTGGATACCGATTGTAGTCATGAACCCAGATACTCCTGCAACCATCAAACCTAACTCTAATGAAGAGTTCAAGTCAACAATCTTGTCTTTTAGCACATACTTTGCTGCCAATGCTCCCAGGGGCTGAGAGCCACCACATAGGACGATGGAGATGATCAGAGCCAATACTCGATTTCTCAACGCAACGTAGAGTGGAGAGGCGACCGAGAATGCCTCGGTGAAATTGTGCAATGCCAATGCCGTGAAAACTTGGAAGCCAAGTGAACTGTCCGCCTTGTTAGTTGCGTACAGTAGAAAGCCTTCAGGGAACTTGTGAACCGTGATGGCAATTGCGGTTTGAATGCCAATAGAGTAGAGCTGGCCACTCTCGGTAGTAACGTGGTGGTGATGAAACTCTGGATCTGCCTCGTCCTCGGGGCAATCTGTTTGTCTCATGTCACTATAAACCCCGAGCTCATTGTCAGCTTCTCCACAGGTGCAGTGGCTATCATGCACGTCTTTCGAGCACCTTTTTAGCGACAAGAACCCGCGACAAGAGCCCGGCTCATGGCATCGCAGAATCTTCGTGGTCGCCGTGAGCAGCATAGGCGGCGGTGCGATGGAAAACTGGCCGTGGTCAGGTAACTTGTAATGCTGATGAACACCGTGATGATGCACAAGAACACTGTTCTGATCAAGCAAATGCGAGTTCTCATCGAATCCCATCAGGTTTGCCATGCTGCGCCTAGACATCGGACCTCTAGGGTCCGTTTGAGTCCCCTCGTGGTCGATGCTGTGGCTGTGATAATGGGCATGCTGATGAGCTGCAGCTGGTTCAATGCTAGAATACGAGCGTGAATTTGATTGCTCTTGAGCAGACGCATGGTCTATGTCATGCGCACAATGGACGACACTTTTCGCCGTGACCAGGTGCACGAGTGCATTGAGCAGCCAGCAGAGCGATAACCCAACTGCAAAGGCCACAAACAAGTAGACATTGGCCTTTTGATCGTCCTCTAGCGCGGATTGAATGTATCCAAGCGCCTGAGGCAGGAGTTTGAACAGAGATGCCGCTAAAAGTGTGCCACCAGACAAACTGAAGGCTCGGCTTTGGAATCCTGTGCCCTCTAGAATGGAGAATTGGGCCTTGGGGAACAATTTGTTCCACACTACATCACAGCAGATAATTGAACAGCCTAATGCCGACGTTAGCGTACCGATTGCTAGGTAGAACCAAACGAGGTCCCGGGGTTCTTGCTCGGGCGCCGCCGATAGATCCATGTGAGTAGTAAGCAGTATAACGCAAGATCTAAGAGGATGTCGGCCCAAAATAGCGATATGTTCTTTTTTGCTTCTTTTAAGGTCTAGCTAGTAGCAAGCTATCTACGGTTGTAATGGCGGTCGCGGTCCCTGTCGCGGTTAGCGGGACGCCGCCGGCCACCTCGGCTGGGCAATCCAGGCGAGCGAGAGCGACGGCGCTCCTCGTTACCCCTACGGTGCATCCGGTCGCGGCGGCGGTCATCGTAGTCCTCAGCAGAGGGTGACTGAGTGTCTGATGGAGCACTCTGAGGGTTCGGGGCTGAATTCGAAGGCGCTGCATTGGCAGCTCCACCGGCCATCTGCCCTTGCATCATCTGTTGGTACATCTGCATCATGGGGTTCGCTGCACCGCCTTGCTGCATCATGTCTTGCATCTGCTGCATATAGGCTTGCATTTGCTGATAGTACTGGCTCATCATCGTAGGGTCCATTCCATATCCGTACATGTTGGCCTGAGGCATAGCAAAGCCGGCTCTGCCGTTGCGACCGTCATCACGGACGGCATCGCGGCCACGGGGCTCGGCACGCTTGACCTCGATAGGCTTGCCTTTGAGATCCAAAAACTTCTCTGCAACAATCGTCTCGACAGCATCTTCACTATCAAAAGTAACAAACCCAAATCCACGGGGCCGGCCGGTATCTTTGTCCATCATAAGTTGAGCATCAATAACCGTGCCGTACTGTTCGAAGAAAGTCTGGAAGTCGTTTTCGGTAACATCGGGGCCAACACCACCAACAAAGATCTTGGCAGTTTTTTCCTGTTCCTCACGAGGAATTGCTCGCTTAGGGTCAATAATTTTACCATCCAAAAAGTGCTCTCTAGCCAACACGACCGAGACAATTTTGGGGTCCTTGAACGTCAAGAACCCAAAGCCTCGAGAACGCCCGGTATTGTTATCACGCATAACAGTGCACTCTGTCACTTCACCGAACTGAGAGAAATAGTTTTTCATACTCTCGTCCGTGGTCTCCCAGTTGAGGCCGCCAATGAACATCTTACCCTCGTCCTTGGCAGGAATAAAGATTTTACCTGCTAAAAAGCCACCACCCTGCTCAGCAGGACGCAAATCCGATCCATGGGACCCTCCGACGGCTGCCTGCATTTGCTGGAGCTGTTGGAGTTGCTGGCTAAACGTGGATGGATCGAACCCAGCAGGCATGCCTGGCATGGTCGGCATACCCGGCATTACTGGCATACCAGCTGGCATTCCAGCCGCCATAGGGGCCGGAGCAGCTGCACCTGCAGCGCCAGGAATCGCTGCTGCTTGCGCAACAGCAGGAGCGGCAGAGGCCGGCTCAGCAGCTTGGGCTGAGGGCGCTGAAGCAGCCGCCGACGCACCGGCCAGCATAGCCAGCCGAGGATCTGAAGGGTTAGTGGGTGCAGAGGGCTCAGGAGCGCTCTGTGCTTGTGGGGCCGAGCTCTCGCTCTGTGCAGGAGCCTGGGTTTCGGCAGTCGAAGCCGCCACTTCTGGCTTGGCTTGTGTCTTATTGTCTTCCCCGCTATGGTCAGTATACTCAATTCAAAAAAACAAAAAATAAAAAAAAATAATTACTAAATGTCGTCGAAAAAATCGTCGTCCTCGTGGTTAGACATATTTCTTGGGTCTACACCTAGTGTATAATACGTTGGAGGAAAAGATGAACGGTGGCCTTGCGTTTTGTAATCAACATTTCTTGGGCCGGGTAACTGCGCGGTTAACGATTAATCTTCCTAAGAATTTTTTTAAAAATATAACGCAATAGATTGTTGCTCTATTTTAGTTCTACCTTGTTCGACAATTGCAACGGAACAAACAGCTTTTATCGTCCTGTATATACTACCATCTTAGTAACTAACCAGGACAGTCGTTTAAGATGAAATTCTTAATCTTGTTCGCTCAGGCTCATGAAAAGTTTCGCATACATGAACTTGAGGCACTTGCGGAAGTAGAAGGACTCGATGTTGATTTATCAGGCTATTCGGATGACTATCCGTACTTGGAAGTCGAGCTCGCCAGTGAACATGATGCAAAGCGGTTAGTGTCTCGCAGTTTTTTGATCCGCTCAGTCTACAGGGTTTTCGGCCAAGGATGGAGTTACGATGACGTTCATGCCCAAACAAAAGGCGAAAACTTCGAGTTCATGGGCGAAAAGTCGTTCAGGTTTGACTTTATGTGTTTCCAAGGGTCCCGGACGAAGGACCAACAAGTCGACATCATTAACGGTTTCCGTTATTTGAACTTGGCTGGTCCAGTTCGCATGAAAAAGCCTGATGTCGCTTTCACCTTGATTGAACAGTTTGGTCTACTTGAGAAAGAGCCCAAGTACATTTGGTTCACTAGCTTTGTGTCGGATTCAGACAGACACCAGATTGACGTCTACAACCTTAAAAAGAGGCCGTTTATTGGAACCACCTCGTTCGACGCGGAAATGGCCTTTGTCACATGTAATATGGCCAAGATCCAGAAAAACGATGTGGTTTATGACCCGTTTTCAGGCACAGGAAGCTTCCCAGTGGCTGCCGCATACTTAGAAGCCATTGTTTTCGGTTCCGACATTGACATCCGGTCGCTAAAAGGATACGACAAAAACTTCAAGTTCTATAATCGAGAGAAAAACCTTTGGGGTGTTTCGGTTATGGACTTTACCCACAATGCTCTTCGTAAGGATCTTGTCTTTGATGCCATCGTCTGTGATCCTCCCTACGGCGTTCGAGAGATCATCAAGGTCTGTGGATCCAAGAACCCAGAAAAGTTTGCTGGAAAAGAGAATGTGTTGATTGACAATGTGCCGGCTCATTTGCGGCCCGAATACATACATCCAAAAAGGCCGTACTCGTTGGATCTGCTGCTCAGTGATCTCCTGGAGTTTGCCGCTGCCCGACTCAAGGTAAAAGGCCGGCTATCATTCTGGATGCCGCTCGCTAGTGACGATCCGCTATCAGCACCCACCCACGCCAAACTGAGAATTGTTTCGAGCATTCCTCAGGCATTTAACAAGTGGCAGCGTTGGCTCATTACCTACGAAAAACGACCAGAGGGCGAGCTTGGCGAAACAAAATCAGTAGAATCTAAGCAGGCGTTCCGAGCGAAATATTTTTCAGGCTTTAAAGAGTAATTTTAAAATATTTATACACTAAAAAAATTGGGTGACTTCAGAAAATACTATCTAGATTCCATTGATTGTATATCCTCAAGGAAAATCGGTTGTCCCTATCAAATTCATCATAAGCCACAAGCAGTAGTACCCACCACTGCCTCTGTTCACCTGTATGTCCTTGCAAAAGTCCAAACACCGAACAGCCTCTTTTTTTTTTCTTCTCTAGTAGTATGAAGGTTGGGAAGTTTGCCTGGTAAAAATTTGTCATTGAAGTATGTCGAGCAGAATCAGTGCACCGTTCGTGGCAGCTATTGTCGGCGTGGCCACCGGGGTGTACATTTTCCAACCGTTGGTGCTGTAAGTATATACAAAAATATGGCTGCGATCTAGAACTAATTCAGCGAGCAGCTCCAAAAGGACGGCAATCTCAAGCCGCAGTACGAGAACGACGCCGCGCTGGTGGAGGAGCGTCTTGGAGATTTGACGGGCTCCGAGAAGAAGAAGAGTTGAGCACCCCCTCATTTTTAATAATTCAAATAGTAGATTATCGCTTTAACTGCGCATGCCAGCCAAGAAGTTCTGCTCCTTGATCTTCTTGCGGTTCAGCTCACGACGCTGCTTGCGAGCGGCCACGATGGGATCGGCTTCTAGTTTGGCCTTCTGAATCTCCGGATCAAGGACCTCCCATAGCCATGCTGGGTACTCTTCGTCTGCGAGAGCGACGGGGTCCTCGCCATTCTTGCGGACATTGCAGCCCTTCAAAACAGTGCCGGCCTGTACACTTGACACAACCTTTGGTTTTGCCACCTCTTTGCTCGCCTCATTGGCCGCCTCACTGCTGTAAAACCGGAGTTGTCTCGGCACCGTCCGAAGAAGTTGACGAAACATTGAAAAATGACCTTTGGTAATCAGAACCGGAGGTTTTTTTTTTTAAAGTTTCGAGGCTGGGAAGAAAAGAAAATATTTGACTTAGAATGGGTAAACATAAACGGGTTAAAAGGACGAATCGTGCGGACCCGTTAGCTCGGAAAACTGCCCAAGATGAGAAGATCGTAAACGAGAAAATCCTGCCGCTGTTGAATCAACTGAAGTCGCCCAAGCCTGCGGAACGGGCGGTTGCAATTGGTGCTATGAACGCTATGGCGGACGATCCAAAACTGCGAAGAATGCTAATGAAGGAGAAGGCTGTGCAGACTATCTTGGCACATACATTGACTGATTCTTCGCAGGAAATCACCTCCGAAAGTTACGGGTTCCTTCGTAACGTTGTTCTTGAAGAGGGTCGCGATGCGGCGATGTTTCTGTTTCGGCAAAACATTTTGGCTAGCTGGGTAGCTGCTGCACAAAAATTAACGGCTGCCTGGGATGTTTCGATGGAGACGTTGACTGGTCAAGACCGAGCAACGGTTCTTGAATTCGCAGAAAATTTGTTAAGCCTGTTGTCGGGGCTTGCCATGGCTGACGATCTCATTTACGATTCAATTATATCTAACGCCGCAAACGATGCTTTGATGCTTGCCTCAAAAGTTTTAAATACCGGTGCAAAGTCGTCTAGCGATGCCGCGATGGAGTTCCTGTACGTTCTTACTGAAGACAACCCGGAAGTTTCGGTTAAATTGCGCGAATTACCTTTGCGACAAGGTACAATCTCTTCCAAAGTATACTATATTGGAATTCAGTACAATCAAGCTGAAATTACCCAGACTTCATTATTGGATCTATTGAAAGAACTTGTCCAGGTTCTCCAGTCTGTCGATGCTTCTTCTTTGCAAAATGTTGAACTGGGCAACATCTCAGACCCACAGGAGCTGAAAGAAACTACTATCAAAATGGCTGCAGTCAGGTCCGAGATCAACGCAATCCAGGTTTGTTTCGAGCTCTTTGGTGCAATCACCGAGTCCCTGGTGGGCGGTGACGAGCTCGGCGCTCTACAATACGCTCGAGACACGGTAATTCCCATATGTTTGGAAGTCATTGACAGAACCGAGTTCACCTATCGCGTCGCAAGTGCTCTAAATAATATAGGCTGGACGCTGTATGCAGCATCTTCGGAATCCGACAGCCCAGAAACAGATTGGCGGGCTGCTGCCGAGCAAATCTGGAACAAAGTGGTCCATCTGGTAGGCAATGAAGATGTTGACATTGCTAGTGCAGCAGTTGGTGCTATGGGTGCAATGGCCCAAGAATATGGCGATAGCATAAACATCGAGTCAGATGTCGTTCAGCTTATATTCAGCCGTTGTGCCGCTCTCAAAACTGCAGACACTAAAGATGAGTATCTTCAGTATGTGCAGCCGGCCATTGTCTTCTTGGCCGTTGTTTCGGTGCGCACACAAAACCTTGAACTGATTGGCGCTTTGACGGACCTGTTATTGGAGATCATCATGGCAGGTAATGAGGTGCAACCTTCTCTGTTGATGGAGGCTCTGGATGCACTAATTGATTTATTCGCTGACAACGAGGCCCCTGCTCAGGGCATATACGTCGAGAAGAGCGTTCAACAGCAACTGAAACAAAGTTTACCGGCAGTCAAGCGTAGTCTCAAAGCTATTAACAAGTCTACTGCCCGCGGCTTGTGGGAGCAAGGCAATGAGGCTTTAATGAACATATCGAACTTTTTAGAGTACAAAAGCGAAGCTCTACAGTAGTTGAGGTATGCATTCAGAGAACATTGTCATTGTGCATAAATCGGTCAAAAATTATGGGGCATACCGTTTCAACCAGGCCATGTTGGAAGAGAAGCCATGCTGTAGCATAGAGTAGTTTTGGTGAGAATACAGTCCAAATAAATAGGTGCCCCTTCAAAAGAAGACATGCAAAACAGATGCTTGCCATAGCAATAGTATAAAACAGTTGGCGCACTGCAAAACGCATACGCAGGTCGGGGCATAAATCACGGTTGACCACGGCCCAATAAATCGGACCAACCCAGTTACTAACGAAAGTGAGTAGACCGACAAGCGTGACATTGTATGAGCCGACACCGTTGTATGCATTTCCTAGATCGACTGTGGCTAGCGAGTTTGAGCCACCGCTAGCAAAGAACAAAGAGTAGCCGATGCTCATGCAGATCAAAGTCGATGCAACACTGTTTGTTCTGATATCGGTCCGCTTCAAAAATCGCCTGAGTGCGTGCGACAAAAGTAACAGCGGGATATTGGATGGGCGGCTTTGAGTGACAAGAATCAACTCAAGCAACTCTACCGAAAGAGTTCCGTTCACTGTTTTGATGAGCGCTAAAAGTCCGCACATGATGTACACGATTTGCACGATACCATCCAACCTAGACTCCCTGAAAACAAACCTTGCTAAAAAGGAAGGAATATACTCACCTCCGTAGTAGGTAGTTGAAGCTTTGTACACAAGGGACCCAATAACAGCCAATGAACCCAGAAGGCCGCCCCTGAGACGACGGAAAAGATGGAAATACTCAACTAAAATAAGTAGCCAAAGGCTTGTGGAATGGTCCTGGAACATTCGCGTGAAATCGGGTCCTTCGGGCCATTTCTGACCAGGGTGGCGCCAGCCTCGGAAAACCCTGAGAATAACTAGCGACATCACCCACTCAAGTTTGTTGGTTTTGGTAGTGACTGAACCATAAACCAAAAGAGCCGAAGTGCACCAAAACCAGAATTGATGCTCCTCTTCCACCGTCGAGCTGCCAAACATAGATGAAGCATAAACAAGGCTGAAAACAAGCATTGCTGTCTTATCACGCAACTTTACATGAAGCCTCATTGTACACCACACGCTAACAATAGCGGAAAGAATCAGCAGCAAAACACCGGTGATCATGTATTTTTCAACGTATTCACTGGACGCTTGCATCAGCTCCCCCTGAGCAGACAACAGACCCTGCTCGGTGCACTCTACCTCCACACCACGGCCATCGAAATGGCTACAAAGATCTTTGAGTATCACTGACTGTTCAATTTCTGTCCACAAGCTTTTAACGGCCGGTATCAGAACACCCAAGCTATTCCTAGGTATAGGCAATCCCAAAAGAAGTGAGAGTGTGGGCACCAAATCAATTTGTTTTACACGATCGTAAAATGTAAAATCACTAGAATACGGCAATGGAGCATCTTGTTTCAAATCGAAACCCCTGGAAATCATAGCCAAAGCTGCCGAAGTCTCCCCGGCCGACGAACCTCCATGGTTCCCCACATCGTTCATTCCATGGTCTCCCATTACCACCAGCAAGGTACTCTCGTCCAAAGAGCCGTAGAGCATTTTGATAATTGAGTCCATTTCTTTTTGTTTCTCCTCCATGAAAGGACTTCTGGGTCCTCCTTTATGCCCGATATGATCAAGACCCAGATAATGCAAAATCAAGACATCCCATTTGTTGGTTGCTAGCTCTTCATCAAGATGTCTTGTGACATTATGATCGACTTCTGTGAAATCTGATACGTAGAAACTGGAGGTTCCGTCCGTGACATCGAAGATACCCGGAAATAGCTTGATCCACGTATCGTCGCCAAACATGTGCATACTTTTGCCCTGCTGTTTCAGCTGAGATATCCAAGAATCTTGATTTTTGAGCGTCGACGAAGTGTCAGATTCAGCAATGTTGAGGACAGCATCTAAAAAATTCGGCGTAGACCCGGTCGTGATACCTTTCAGCCTAGGCAGCGTAACTGTGGGGGGATTCGAGTAGGCTGTGAAGGGTAACGCGCAACCTTCACGAATCAAGCTGTGGATGGTCTCAAAGCTTGACTCGTTTGAAAACATGAAGTCACTTCGGAGGGCGTCGACAACCATAAACACCATGCGGTCGAATTTCGGCGGCACATCGATAGCTTTTTGGTTATAGCCGGGTTCTACTGTTTTTGACGGGAAAAATCCTCGAAGAAACAGTAGCAAGCCCGATACTTGCAACAGCAACGTCACGAGCCAAAGCATGGTTTCGCGCCAAGTAGTTCAGAATGCAGCGTCCTGTACGCAGTGACTAAGAGGAGCGGACAAAGGGCGGGGTTACAGCACGTGAAAGTTGGTTGCCGAAATGTGGAGTAGCAAGTTTGAGCTTTAGAGACGTGCTTTTCTCAGCAGCGCAGTTTTTCAAGAAGAATCTCTTCATTTTGCTGCTGTTCGCCGGAATTACCCACTTTTTTGGCTCCGGTTATTGGCTCTTCTCCCAGTCTTTGTCATTAGCGCCCAGTCTAATTATCCAAAGATGAGCGAACGACGCTCGTCAGTATACTCGAGCAGCAGCAGCAATGCGTCTAGTCCTCGTGAAGGAGGTTCTGGGCCATTTGGGCTGTATAACTCTGCCAACGACTCATCAATTGACAACAGTTCGGCTGCGCTGACGACGTCAGACTCCAACGCGAACCTATTCAAATTGCGGCACACCTCAAGCTTTGGTACATTTACCAGTCTTCAGGAGCCTATTGGGCCTGGTGAGCTACGCGAAGGTGAGATTTCCAGCTCTGACGGTCGAAAGGGTGAGAAAAAGGCGCGGTCACAAAAGCACAACTTTGCTGTGATTGGGGCCAAAATCACAGATGCGGCCAATCATGCCAAGAACAAAACGAAGGCCAAGGAAAGCAGCCCTGGGCAGTCTCTATTAAAGTCAAAAATGTTTCGCCAGTCTAAACCAGATTTGAAAGCCTTGCGTATGAAAACGGATTTAGGCATTTCGGTATCTCGTTCCTCGATGGAGAGGTCGCCCATGACGAAAACGTCCAAGCAGCTTGACCGAATTGCTGCTTTGAGTGGTTCGCCTGCTAATACTGCGTTAGCCACTCCAGGAAAACATCTTCACAACCACCACCACCATATCACATTCAGAAAGACACACTCCCCAGCTTCTATTTTGTCGTCCAGTGCCTCAAACTCCAAACTTGCGGACGAGGGTTCTCTTTATTCATTTCATGGAACTTCAAGCACACTTAACTTTCAGCTAGAGCCATTCAAGGGTCGTGACGACAGGGACCACTATATACCTACCTCTTGGGAGCTTATTCTGGCACAGGCCCAGGCCATTTTCACCAATGACGTGCAGAGACGGATTCCAATTGAAGATTTTAATCTTCTTGTCTCTATGCATTTTAGCGCCCATTTGCAAGCCCAATACACAGCTCTGGAGTGGATGGATAAACTTCAAGAACTGTTACTCTATGGAATGAGATGTCTTCCATCGCTATCGAAATATACAGGTGCAGAGATGTTGACGCAAACCGCCGATTCTTGGGAAAAGTTCTTCACCAAATTGTTACCCCGTTTGGAAGCTGTTTTCTTACCCGTTCAGTTGGAGATTGAGGGTATCACTGAACTTATTCGGAGCCCAGATGCAGCTCAAGAATATTGGGATCCTATCAATCGCAAGTACGGGCAAATTTCCATTCGGAAGTGCATTCTTACTGCCTACCGTGACACTATTATCGTTCCTGTCATCGACGTATTATCAACGGCATTGCGAGATAGTTGCAACTTCGATTCTCTTTTGAGCGCAGAAACCTCAACCACTGCTTCAAGGATCACTCAGTGTGTAAACACACTCGGAAGAATTCGCAGCAACGATGAACACCAGGTCAAGTTCGAAACTCTCATGGACACCGTTCGACTGTCTTGGGTGGCAACCCCAAGAACTGCCAAGGACCGCCGGGGACTCGTTCTCTGATCTTTCTTTTTATTTATATCATCATTATTATTTATATATACTCATAAGCGTCATCAGCTTCATTATTACTTGGAATCTGTCTTGAGATCACTGAGTCCATCTAGGATATCATTAAAGTGTTCTGGGGCACGGGGTCTTTTTGCTCGTGGGGGTTTTTCTAATAGTTTTGATAACGCCTTGGGGATACTGGACTGGTCAGTCTTGTCAGGATCGAGCCCGTGATCTTTCGCTTCATCGCGCTCTTGAACAGCCTTGTCCAGCCTTGCTCGCAGCTCACTATCTTTCAGTTTTTGTCCTCGTCTTTTGGACTTTTTCACCCCTTTTGTTCCGGTTATTTGCCCTTTGCTGCTTGCTTTCTTGGGCATCTTTTAGATATCAAACTGTAGATCGATTAACGAAAAAAATATACTTATGACAAATCTACCCTTGAAGGGTTTCTCGTATTTTTTTAATAGCTTCATGGTTCTTGAGCGCAGATAATGCAGCCTCTTGGGTGGCTTGTCTTTTAGAGGAGGCAGTAGCTTGAGAAAGAATCTGTCCAAGTGAAATGCATTGAACGGTTACTGCCGGTGCGTCGGGAACTACGCTGTACGTTGGTTTAGCCTCTTTTACGCCGCCGAGCTCCAAATACAACGCTTGTTTGGCGCCAGCTGCATCTTCAGAAACTGGATTTTCTTGTTTCACTTCGCTTTCACTCCAATCTGTAGTGACGGGTGCCGAACGAGGTTCTAATCGACGCTTAGCCGAAAGACGCTCAATTGCGTCTCGATTTTTTAATGCATCAGCTGCTGCTCTCAATCCCGCTTTTTTAGTATTATGATCCACACCTTGCCCAATGACTTCGCCGTTCACTACGCAGTTCACGGTGAAAGGGGGATCGACGTCTTTTGTGAGATACTCAGGGATTTGATCCTTACTACCAATCTTCTGATATAGCTCTGTTTTAGCCATGCGGTCAACTTCATTTTCCTGATTTGCTTTTGTAGTTTTGTCCTTCGCAATCTTGTCTAAGAATGGTGCATAGAGTTTAGTGAGCCACTGTTCAACAACCTCCAGCCCTTGATCAACGGCTAATCCACCAACATAAGCTTCGAACAAATCTGGGATGAGTTTGGTGCGAAGATGTGGTGGTGTATTAGGGGTGTCGTGGAACGAAACCTGGGTTTTAAGCTTCTCAGGCAGCTTGTATGCCATAGCGAGCTCCCAAAGCGTGGAGTTACACACCAAACTCGACTTTCTAACCGTCATCAACCCCTCATCGGCAAACGGAAACCTCTCATATAGCATACCACATACAATATAATCAAGTACTGAGTCACCTTTGAATTCCAAGCGCTCATTATGGGTTTGTAAAATCTCAGCTTTTGTCAAATGTTCAGCCATTTGAACTGCTGAGCTATGTGTGAAAACCTGTCGCCTTAGGCTCGCATCTTTTATTTTAGGAAGCTTTGGCGGCCAATGGTTCGAGTCTTCTTCATCATCCGAGGCAGATGGGGCTTCGGACTGCGATTGAGTGGTGGAAGAAGACATCGAGTTTCCGAGAGAAAACTTCATTTTTTTGAAGTTCTGGCTGTAAGTGCCCATTTTGGCGTCTACTATGTTGTCGATGAGAGACATTTTACCCTTTGCATAGCGTTGGAGCATTTTTTGTGCCAAAATGATCCGAGGACTCCGTAGGAGATCTTGTAGCTGTTCGTCAATGGTATTCTTTGCAATTTCTTCTAGATCTTCTTCTTTGAATGAGTCTTCTACTTTTGTCAACTCTCGGAACTTACGGCCTAATACAAGCATAATATGGTCGATTTCCTCCAGCTGCGAAATCGTAGGTGCCATCAAGTGAATAGTCAGCGACGGAATCTTTTGGGTTCATATTAGGCCCACGTGATGAGATTTGATTATTGTTCGTAAATAAGAATTGAGAATTAAAATAAGATATGTATAAGGTTTTAGGATAGGCGACCATGTCTGAGGTTATCCAGATTGTGCCGAGCGAGTACACGAGTCTTCATAGAGAAGAATGTGTTAATCTGCTCAAGAGTCTTATCCTTGGTCTCAGGCATGAAGACCAACTGGTAGAAGAAACCAATAACAGCGATTCCTCCGTAGAAACCGAGGGTGAGACCAGTATAAGTCATGGCATCCTTCATACGGTTGAAGTTGAAGGTAACGATGAACGACCAAAGATAAAGGAACATGGAACAGATAGCCATACCTTGCGAACGGGTTCGGATATCAAATGATTCGGAAGGCAAGACCCACGTAAGACAAGCGTAGGAACCAAAGAAGCCCATGTATAGAATGATTCCTGTCATGTAAACACCCAAGGCAGCAGCTTTGTTGGTATCGACATTGATCTGGTATCCGATACCGACAAGTAGAAGGCCAATAAAGAATCCAATGATGTTTTGTGCCCAGACACGGCGACCGAAACGATCCATATAAAGAATCGCAGGAATAGTTCCCACAAGCAGGGAACCACCACCGACCAGCGACATAAAAACGGAGCGGCGCTCATCGAAACCTATCTTGTTCATCAGGTTGGCCATATTATACATAACAGCATTAACACCAGTCAACTGACCAAGACCGACCATGATACTGGCATACACGAGGGCACGACGGTTGCGAGGGATAAGAACAAGTTCGAGCCAGCGCTGCCACATGGTCTCCTCAGCAGCCTGCTTCTCTTCTTTCTCAGCGTTACGCTGCATCTCCACAAACTCAACACGGTTTGCGCGGATCGAGATATCACGCAACCGTTTCCAAACCATCCAAGCTTCTCCGATCCGATTTTTGTGGACCAAGTAACGGGGCGATTCAGGCAAGAAGAACATACCGATAGCAAGAATTGTGGAGAATACAATCGAGGAGCCGACCATGTAGCGCCATCCGCCCACAGTATCGTAGAAAATAGCAGCAACTGCATAACCCAGAACCTCACCCAGCGCAATATTGAACTGGTACATGGAAACAATGTTACCACGTACATTCGGCGGGACACTTTCAGAAATATAGATACCAACACAACCGCCTTCGATACCAATGCCGATACCCAAAAGGAAACGACCGGCGTACATCATCTGGTAAGTATGAGAGCCAGCACACAAACCAGCACCCAGGGTGTACCACAAACAGGAAATAATGATAGACATACGACGTCCAAAGTACTTGTTCATGACTGGCATCATAAGAGAGCCAGCTACAGCACCAAGGGGCATCAGCGAAGAGACAAGCGACTGTTGATTAGAGTCGAGGTTGAGCGAGTCACGCATGCCAATAATGGCACCAGAGATGATAGACTGATCGAGACCAGACAGCAGACCAGCAGCAGCGGCAAAGCCACCAAGAATCCAAGTGATGTACTTCTTATTTTCGAAGTTTAGCTCATATTCCAGGGCGATGATACGATCGAACCATCCGCGGCGCTTGATCGTCTGATGGGCCTCCTCTTCCAAGGACTGGATGCGGCCTGACAGTTCACTCTCAGTGATACTTGCACCATCTTCGAACTCATCCAGATCCTTGCCGACTGCCTCATGGACATCGACCTCGTGTTTCTGATCACTGGTGATTACTTTTTCATCAACCTGGAGAGATGAATCTGAGGCTGCTTGCATTACGTCCCTGTGTGAAAATGCGGTATGTCTGATCAACCTTTATACTGGCTGCTACCCCAACCAGAATGCATTACCTCCAGCATGGTATGAGAGCATAAGGATTGCCACATGCAGGCAAAGAAAATTCGGTGTCGATCGCCATTGCATATTTCTGCGCCGCCTGCATAGGTCACATTCGCTGCAGTCCCAATGTTCCAAAAAAACAGCTCTGTTGGACACTATAGGTATAATTCCTGAATTAAAAACGCTATCCAAGTTTTCTGCTTGTTTTGACTATGTTAATATCGCTTGAAATTCCTTGATTGTCAGAGAATGATCAGCGATGTTCCCCTCTGGACGCACACTCAACGGATAATTTGGGCGTTTTTTCGCCAGGGCGAAAAATATTTGCTTGTACTCTGAGATAAATCTCCCTGTTTTGCGGAATGTTGTTCCAGCCAAGGTATATGCCAGGTGTTAAGACTAACTTTGTAGAGTTCTAGAAAATATGGCGGAGGTAGTCACGCCAGTGCAGCTTTGTGCAAACCTGCTGAGACTGCATTTATGCAAGACGACGTAAGATCGAGTCGCAACAATACGATAAGGATAATCGAAGCTTGATGCGAGAAAGCGCTATGGATCGTCTTTATCCGACCTTCGTATTTTGGCAGTTTTGTGGGAGCGGTGGCTCACCAATTATCAAAATTCCATATGCCAAGCTACCCCGTAACGCCTGCAACTCACAGTGTGGGCAAGGGTACGGAAAATCTTACCCCGCGGGGAAATAGGGCATGTCTGACGGAAACAAAATATTGTTGCCGATACCGGAAGATGAGAGATTGCTATTTGCGAGAATTAGGGGTAAATATGAATGGTTAAGTGGATTTATGTTGAGTTTTTGTTTTTATTATTGATCAGCAACCTAAAACCTACTCAACAAACAGACTAAGCAGCTGTGTGATGGGAATCCGGAGCTCCTAGTGTTGGGTTGTCTGATGAGGTGGGGGCTAGGCGTCAAGTTTCGAATTTTGCAGACAAGGACTCACAAATAAAGGCGGGTTTTCGCTATATTTAAATAATTTGGTGGTTTGTTTAGATGTTTGTCTGGTCACCGTATTCTGCTCATGAAAAACTGAGGTATGTGTTGGCCTTTGAAACCCCCACACCCCTTTCTTTTTCTCCAGCTCGATGGGGTCCACACAAGTTCCATGCGTCTGTCGAACATTTCCGGTTCGTAGCAGGCTTTGTGCTAATACAGTAATAATTAATGAAAGATGAGACACGTCAAGGCTTATGCCATTTGTGTCACCCTGGTGACATGGTGCCGGGTTTCCAGCAGTACTCGCGCGTAAGATGCGCGTTACAGATGCTACCGTGTCCAGCACAGTGCAGTGCTCATGCAGACTTGCTCCTGATTTTCAGATTTATTTGGTGCAATGAAAGCTTTTTTTTTGCTCGGAACTGCTTGAAAGATATATTTTGGAGTGCCACTAATGGGACTATCAATTTAAAGATGCTCTAAGGGTCCCAGGGATGCCGTATAAACAACGATAGAACTTGACAGGATGTCTTGCCCGTACCCTAATCTTGACCACTAGGGACACATCAAGTTTTCTCCACGATTAAAGAGTCCAGCTTGCTACCTGCACTTTGCACAGGGACCAATTCAGCCCGAATAAAAAAATATGGCGTACATAGCTTCAATTTTGAGTTTTACCACCAAATAATACCGATCAATTTTTGCACTCCGTTTCCGTGGCTTCGCAGCCCTTCGCGCTGCAGGTTAATTAGTTCACGTGGACCGTGCATTGTAGGGGCTCGATGAAAAACAAAATAAAAATAGAAACCGCGGTGGTTTTGAGAGCGAATTTTTTACGACGATACTCAAACAGCCTCGCCGGTATGTTTTAATTTATTTCTTATGTATTTTGGTTCAGTCTGTCCTTTATCTGGCTCGATATGATCACCGCACGATCTTGCTCACCCCCTTCCGAATTATTCCCAACTTGGTGCGGCATACCCCCTTGCATCAACCGCAGCCTACAGAAAGACTATATAAACCTATACCACAATCTGGAATTCTCACACCAGCTGGCTGGTGCCCCAGCGACTACTATCTTTTATCTTGAGCTGGACTCAAGGTCGCCATCAATTTAGGGACACTTTGGTGATGGATCCCAGGATCACCTGATAGTGGGACGTGGAAAACGACCATCGCGAGTCGGCTGCGCTAATAAAGAGTTCTTGGAAAGTTTTCAAAACTTGTTTTGACTTCGCCGCTGGATTGGCACGTTTCTGGGGAGTTGCGTGTCACAGGATTGTGGGGATTCTGCTGTTCAGCTCACAGAAGTCAAAAGGACTCGCACCCCTCGAGTGGTTCTACTTATTTATTTATTCTATACAACAACAATAAAAAAAATGAATCAAAAATGCAATGTATGCAATGTTCAATAAGATGGGTATTTCATTCTATTAACGTTGTGCTCGAGACTAGTAGCTAGCGTCTTCTTCAGCGACGTAAAGGTTGAGCTTGTCTTCGTCCTCATCCGTGTGCGGAGGTGCCTGGCCGCGTTTATAATGCAGTCCTTCAACAGGAATTGTGTCGCGGCCAAGGCAGAATCCCGGGTGAACTACGGTTAAAGTGACTGTGGCAATCAGAACCATTAGGCCATCCAGAACCAGGAAGAAGCGCTCTGTTGTCATCAGATAACCAGTCCATCCTTCGGACAGCTCAACCAAACGGTAGATCGAACGGATGTAAATGAACAAGATGGCCACACACAAAGCCGGAATAAAAAACTTGAACATCGGTCGCCGGCGTACGTGGGCGTACCTGGACTCGTATTCCGCCTCGTTGCTGGTCTTAATTTTCCAAATAACATAACTGAAGGCAAGAATAAAAATGGACATCATGACGACCTGTACGGCGATACCGGCCACCATGATCCACCCGCCTGTCCTGATTGTGTCGCGGTCATTGTCATCGTCACCTCCTGCCGCAGTACCGCCACCGGCTGCCTGAATAACAATAGATACGACATCGGCCACGATGAAAATAGCAGAATAGGTCATCGGCTTGAGGGGAGAAAATCTTTGCCCATAGATGGTGATGATTTTGGCCAGCTGATAATAGATGCCCGCCATGTGGAATGCAGGCGCGAGAATGGTGCCCACCAACTGTGCCTTATAGGCTTCTTTGTTCTGCAACTCGTAGTAGGATGCCACTCGTCCAGAGAATCCGGCTACTTCTAACCCGGTGGCACAGAACCAGCAAACTAAAAACCACCATTGCTTCGTCCATGTCCCGAAAAGGATCTGCAGAATGAACGTCAGGGAGTACATGACTAGCCCCACCATGTTGGCAGGTAGATTCGGCAAGTACTTGTACGACGAAGTTATAATCTCTGCGTGTGTATAGGACGGCATTTGGCAGTTGCTGAAAAAGCCTGGGAGAATCCGCATGCTTAATACTTCCCAGGTTTTTTGTTGTCGGCAGTACGCATGTATGGTGCAGATTTATGGCTAAATAAATCCCCTCACTCGGGGAACGTGTGGACCACACAGATCACTGAACAGGGAACTTTTACCGCTATCTAATCATCGAATTATAGTATGGTTGAAGCAACTGGCCCCCAAAATTACAGATGAGCCGCATCAAAAATATTCTGCTTCCTAATCTCCAACCTAAGGCTTAGATCCAGCTTACCTGCTTGCTTAGTTACAATAGTGCTAAAGTACCTGACACCACGACTTGACACAGAGAAATGTGTCGATCTGCAGATACCCGAGCGCTTGGTCAGCGTCTTAAATTCCCGCGCGGGCACAAGAACAAAACTAGTTGGCAGTGATGGGTCGCTATCAACTATATCCTTGATTGTTCTACTACACTTGGCCTTTTTGGGTTGCTCGCACAGATTGCAGAGACATCGTTTTTTTCTAAGATCAATCAGGGCAGGCATCCTAGCCGTGGAATTTTCCGCACAGCCCCGTTTGTCCTAACCCTGGCAGGTTAGCACGTCATGCAGATAATATGTGGATAATAAGCCCCATCGATAGAGAAGCTAATTCAGCGCGGATAATTGCTCACTCGCACCGGGAACAAGCACTTTATTCGTTCTGTGTAGTTACTTATTAATTGCCTCTAGCTATTGTAGTTTCTAGGTTTGTTATTGCGTCATCCCGCAGGTGTGCCTGTTGAACTTATCTCCGTGAAACATTCGACATGTCAAAAATAGGTCCGGGGGGCTTTGACTATCTCCTGAATTTCCAATGCATCGATGTAGTAGCATTTCTGCGCACGGGAGCACTTGACGATCCAACGTGAGCCACCTGATGAATCAAGGGGTGCCAGATCGCCCAATCACAATTATTGATTTTTGCTGAAATCCGTTCAATCTGTCGACCGTAACCGTTCGTAGCTTTATACTAGATGCTTGCGGCTCTGGGATTTAAAAAAAATGAAATTGATTCGCATGTTTTCAGCCCATGAGTTCGGAAGGACGCCTGCGTTCATGTAAAGTTTATGCAACCAGCAAGCATGTAGCCAGCAACCTAGCTATGGCTATATTTGATTGTATGTATGCTTTATCGAATAACAACATCATTATTATCATGATTTCGCTATCTTTTCAAGTAGCTGAGCTTGGCACTTAATTCAAATCGAAGGCATTAAACATAAAGTGTATCTATATGGTTTCTAGAAATAGGCCATCCAGAGCGAATCTGTGATAGCAAGGTTGCGTGGGTTCACCGCTGCCGAAATGAGATCAATAATGGTCTGGTTTGCAGGAATATTGAGCTGGCTGGATTGCGTCAGTGATGACGCCCGCTTAACGATCGCGTCCACATTCACTCGGACCATGTCACGCAATTGACTATCTTGGACCGAAGGACGTTGCTGCTGAGCGTACCAAGATATTAGCTCATCACGTACAAACACTGGTAGATACTGATCCAAGCTGAACTCAGGCTCAGTCAGACCCTTGGCAATAATCATAACCGACATAGCGTACAAGCCCTCTAATGTGGTGGGACCCATGAGCGTTTGGATATTTGGAGTCAACCTAAAAGCAACCGGCTCGCCATTGTTGAAAGCTGGAAGATTTTTGCTTGATGGCAACACTGGAAGCATCTCAGTAGCCCAGATGTTGCCACTACCCATATTGATTTGGAACTTGTGCGCAAATCTGTTGTTGATGCTCATCATGAACGTCATGAAAGTAATTCCGGCATATTGATAGGCAAACTGTTTGCGGAACAGCCAGAAATCTTCGAAAGAACAATACTGGTCGACAAAGAAATCCCTCATCACCGTATTGGGCACCAATGAAGCTTGGATGCCGCTCAAAATCTCCATCTTTACCGCCACAAGATCTGGTTTGGGTAAACGACTATCCGAAGACGCTCGCAGTTTCTCCGTCATATAATCGAAAGGAGCATCCCGTGATTGTCCACGAGCACGGCAGAACCGCTCATAGATTTGATACATCGAGATATAACGCGTATCGTCTTGAACAAGTCGAATGTGGTTACTCAGAGGAACAGCACAGGGCAAAGTGAACTGCAAGTGGCGTAATCTGGCCTCGTTACGCCGAAGCATAACATTGTTCAGAATGCGGAATAATTGGGTAACCCGCTCCTCACGACGACAATGCCGTGCTGCTGGGAATTGCACAGCAAATGGGTGTAATGAGCCATCATGGCCCCGCAGTGTAAAGCGACGGTAGCAGATACCATAACCTCTGACAATATCAACGCCTGGCAAGAAACGACCAATCTTAACAAAGTGCAAGTTGGTATCGGTTAATTGAAGGTTTTGACCAGGAACCTCCACATCTTCGAACTTCTGGTGATGGAACTCTGATAGTGGTGGTGATAGGGCTTCCAAGTTGATCTTGTCGGGACGCGCATCAAGCTTAGCTTCAATGCGATTACGCCATTGACGCAAGCGTACAACATAGGTTTCCAAATCAGGTTTGTCGGTAACAAAGTCTCTCTCGAATGCACCCTTGATGTGGGCCGGAACAACCCCTTCAACGAAACGAAGAATTGAAGCCTCGGTCGCGGGAGGAAGCTTCGCATCCCGTTGGCAATTCCAACGAGCCATGTACTGCATACCATCGTTCAAGAGCGCAACAATGAGTCGATAAGCATCTTCATCAGCAGGTGACCGGAATCGATGCGAAATCTGATCTACAAGAGTCTCCAGAGATAACAGCATCAATGGATATGCTGTCTTCAGCACGCTGTGAATTTCTTCTGCATACTCCCATGGCTGGCGAGGTTCTTCAGCCGTGGGCGTACTACCGGAACCGGCGGTGTTCGACTGATTGCCATTAGCTCCAGTGTGTCCACTTCCTGCTGGTGTAGAGGCAGGTGAGTTAACGGCTTGACCAATAGGTTGGTTTGTATTGGGACGAGCTGCCATAGCCTGTCGTTGAAGAATGTTGTACTCTTCACGCACTGTACGCAAATGGAAATGCAGGGCTTGTGGGAAAGTCTTTGCGATCTTGATCAGGATACGACGGGTGAGTTTAGCCTCACGGTGTGCCAGAGAAGTCAGCAATTGAGGAATGTAAGTAACCCAATACCAGACGGGCACTTCACCGCGGTAGCTTTCAAATGCCTGCGCGAGAGATCCCTTATCATCATCCAGACTGATCAGCCATAAGATTCGACCGAGAAGTTTACGTGCCTTGGCATTCTTGTACAATCCCGCAGCTTGGAGATAGCATGAAATGGCTGTGGAACCATAAAACGATTCTTCAGGATGATCTTTGAACCTTTTATCATTGAATTTACCCCATTCTGCCCATGCTTTGGGTAAGTAAACATCAATTTGAACGGCTGAGGCAAACGCTTCGTTAGCATTATCCTCACGTCCAAGCTTAGCAAGTGCCATTCCTTTCAAAGTGAAGAATTCAGACTTTTGAGCAGCACCAAAGTAAATCAGATTCGTGTTTGAGATAACCTCAAGACCAGTCGTCTCGTCGTTCAAGTTTTCACAGTGGCATTTAGCTTGCTCGCGGAGCTTTAAGAAGGCCTCCTGAATCTCAATATTAGGCAAAGCATAAATTCGCGTCAGCAAATTGATGCATACCTCAGGCATGTTCTGTTTCCGGGCAACGTGAGCGAATCTGTTGATTATCCAGGCAATCTCGTGATGGCCACGGAAAGCAGCCGAGTTGGTTGTCGATGTAGGACCAGGCGGCTGCGAAAGAGGCTGATAAACCTTGTTAATAACATTGAAGACGTGCTGCCTCCAAGTAACAAGGTCACCCCAAATATTGATATCATCCCATGGATTCGGCAAACGTTCGTGCCATGCTTGGAGGACTCCCTTTAGCTCCTGGCTCTTAACTTCTAAATTAAGACCAGTAGTAGAAGCCAAGGACGTATATACCTGAGAAGCTTCCATGAACTCGACGTACAATTGGAAGGTGTGCAGCAAAGGAATGTGGGCTCCTGTGATTCTACGAGGAAGACCATGCCATTTACGAAGAGCCAGCTGAATACCTTCATCGCAGCATTTCGAAAGAGCTTGTAAAGTATCTGTCTTCTGTGCGAATCCCTGTAAACACAAGAAAGTTTCGAAAACCTGACGACGTGGCGTCGGAACGTCCATCAAAGATTTCACACTCTGCTGCAAAGGCTCCTTGTCAGAAATCCAATCAGCGACCCGCCAACCACACTCCAAGAGCAAGTCGTTGAATCCTTCATGTTTGGCCAGCTCAGTAAGAATATCCCAATGCTGCAACTTTTCAGCACATAAAATCCAGTGGTCCTCCCAAAGGCCATATTCAGCCTCACCATAGGGAAGGACGCCTGATCGTGCCTTGATCTGGGCAGACTCATGCATCTGCATAGCTCTATTCCACATACCACACTGTTCGTACGATAGTGCAGCATTTGTAACATGGAATTTAGAGCGTGTGCGCCACAGCCCGTAGAACATATCATTTTCTTGAAGCTGTGCATAGAGTTCAGTGAGTGCATCCAGGTTGGTTTCGGCAATCTTGGCTGATTCAGTCCGGGGCAAAGCCTGAATAGACTCCAAAATTTGCAATCCAGCATACCAAGCATCAAAGTTGCCAGCAAGGTATCTCACAAGCTGAGGCGGGAGATGCTCAACCTGAGCAACAGCCTCCAAAATTGTCTGCACAACATTAGGGCGTAGGTCTGCCTGGCGAACATTGTATTCCCGGGCCATTAACGTTGCAATAGCTTGGATCAGGTCTTGGCGATCCTTGGAGGGCACCGCCGAATAAAGACGAGGGAAAACGTCTAACCAAACCTGATGCACTAACTCCTTGGATTGGCATTGAAGTTCTGCCAGCGGTAAGATGAAATCCGCCACTTTGGTCTCGGATGCACTTTTCATGAAAGCAGTCCGGCGAGTCAAAAACTCGGCAAGATCATCGCTGACCTCAGCAAATTCGGGTTCTGCTGGGTTGGTACGCTCCTTGCTGGCAGCGCCAAGTTCACTCGCCTCGCCCTCGGCTTCTTCACCAGGAATATCTGCCATATCAACATCTTCCTTGTTATCTTTACCATCACTCAAAGGAGACAAGTTAGTCTCCAAAATTGAAAACGGTGCGAATCGGAAAGTGTCCGTTTCAGGTAACCGGAGAGGGTGGCTCATAGCCGCAGTTCCATAAAATAATGCCAGGGCTTGATTTAACCATTGGAGATCTGCAAGCGGTTCCCAGTTTTGCTCTTGGAATACATAGAGCAAACGCTTGAGAACATTGTCTTCCAGAGAATCACTGAAAATGCTCAAGAGCTTTTTACGGATTTCGACGTCCCCGGTCGAGGCTCTTCCGGTGGTGCCTAACAAGAACGGCTGCTCAAGACGAGCGGGAAGTTCAGTCTTACGCAAGTGATCATCAGTGAAGACATCAATGATAAGCTCATAATAGGTATGAGCTAGTTCTCGGTCCTTAGGCGAGTCATAGGCCAGCATTTTTTGTAAAATGGCAGCCTTTTCCTTGATCGTAGGGAAGGGCTCGCTACGACTAAACACCCAAGAGCGAACCATTTGAATAATATGACGCGCAAGGCTATCATCAGGGATGCGTTCAATACACTGCGCAATAAGGGAGAGGAAAAATCTGCGCTGGTCACTCAAATGGGAAATGCGGCTTGCCAGGAGATCCATCATTTCAATGAGCAGTGCTACTGTGATTGGCTGCTCCTTCTCCTCTGGCACTGCCGCCACTGCTGCTGCTGCTCCATTGGCTGCTGGAGGTACATTTTGAGCTCCACCAGCTGGATTGGAAGAGCCAGGCACTGCGGCGGCCGCGGCCGCAGCGGCTGCAGCTGCTGCAGGAGGCACTTGGGTACGAATAGCGTTCTCTTCCAGAACTTCTTTCACCGACTTCGAAAAAGCCTTGATAATTTGAGAGAGAAGTGAGTCGATTGAGTCTGCGCGTAGTTTCATCGCGTGCTGGGCTAAAAGAACCCAGCATGGCGGCGGTACGGTGCTTCCCAAGTGCTCTTGGAGAGCATTAAACACAATCTGGAAGACAGGTTGAACCGCCAATTCCTCCGGTTCAAGCTCAGATGCTGGAATTGCAGCAAGAACTTTTTCAAGCGACGGCTTCAGCGTTTCGTGAACCTCAAGAACGGGAGACCGAAGAGTCTTCGCAAATAATCCGGCAAACTGATCCATGTTTTGCGTAATATATTCCGTATGCTTGTGTTTCAGAGCAAGACGAACCACTTCTAAAGCGTTGAGACAAGCTGTCAATGATTCAGTTGCACTTAGGTCGCTTTGAACAAGAGCTCTTTCCAAGAAATTGAGTCGGACCTCAGCTTCAGGCCAAATTCCAAGTAACCTATCCAAAGACTCGAGTATTTCGGGCCCTGCGCCAGTTGTAACAACACGCACATTGAGTGCACAAACATACCGCACAAGATAAGTTACGACAGCTTCCCGCTGCGGGGTTGGCACGGTGTATACCTTGGCGTCTGTTGTCTTGAGCTCTTCGATTGCACGAACTTCCCAATCAGCAAGCAAACCAGAGAGACCGAGGTCAAACGGTGTGACCGCAGAAGCGTTTGGTGGGGCTACCGACAACTTGGCAATCGCTGCGACAATGAATGGAACAAACTGGTGGCGGTACTCATAAAACAGAACTGGGTTCTTAGCCATGAACGTATAAATGTTGCTGACTTGAGCTGCATTGTGGCCATCCTCACTGAGAATTCGTCTTGGCCACTTAGCCCACATGCTGTTAGTGCGCGCTACTAGGACAGGTGCAAGAGTTTCTAGTGCCTGAGTGACGAGCGACTTAGCCTCAGGTTGGTGCGTCTTCAGTAGTACCACATAAATTTGGTTGACTATCTTGGGAAGTGAGTCAAATACAGATACGAACGTGGCGATGTAGACATAAGCACTCATTTTGGAGACAATATCTTCATGTCTGAGGAAGGACCAGCCAAACTTGATAGCATCCTTACGCACATCCGCAACCAGGGGCGAAGACGACTTGATAATCAGCACAGACATCTCTAGCAGAGCCAGCTGGAACTTATCAATCGTACTGGCAGGTCCTGTGGACGCTAGAGCCAGCCAAACCTCTTTGGAAACTAGATCCATGAAATTGCCATTAGCAGCTTTCTCAAAGAGCTCCAGAAGATTGCCCTTCCGCTTGATTTCGACGGTAAGAACAGGGTTGACGATTGCGTTCATAATATAAGTGCGTGCAGTAAGAGGCGAGGAAGGGCGTAAGACAAGCTCAAAAGCTTCTTTCAGCACAACGTTGCGGAGCTCAACATCGTGGCTTATGATCACTGTTTCATAGAGATAGTCTTGGACGCACCAGCTAATCTCTGCTCCGGCACTGTAGACAGCTCCGATTAAAGACAGGACAATTGAATGGTCATCGCTTGCTCTGGCATAGTCGATTATAAACTGCTGAAGTTCTTCGATGGCACTTCCGATTGCGAAGTGAAGCTGCGAAACAGGGGACAAGCGGGCAGTTGCGCCCATAAGCTCACCAATCAACCCAATTAGCTGTTGCGCAAGAGCTGACTGCTCTTTTATCCAGTCAAGGCCAGGTAAGCGATGCAGACAAAAGATGAGATTGCAGGCTGAAATACATTTAGTGTCATCAGGCTGATCGTTCAGCACAACCTCAACTAACTGATCGATATTCTCCCGAGTGTAAGCCTGAAGGTCTCTAGTTTCTTCCATATCGAAAAAGTCACAAAGCAGACGACCATACTGAGCATCCGTTAGTTTTGTCTTGAAATACAAGAAAGCATCTGGTGCTTGTCTGTTCAAAAACTTGGCGATAGGTGCTCGGAATGGAGATGTCTGAATACGGCGAACACTTCCTTCGATATAAACTAAAGCGTCGATGACACTAGGAATGAAGATGTGTGCGGTTGTAGGAAGCAAATGGAATACATTTAAAATTGCAACTCCAATCTTGACTCTCTCTTCACCTTCTAATGGACGAACAGAAACTAAAATCATTCTTTCAGATTCTGTCCAAGCCTTGAAGTGGTCGAGAAGCTTTTTACCAATTTCAACTTTGAAATAGTAAGTCAACAACTCCAGGAGACGAGCTAATCCTTCTAGTCCATTCAAAGTAAGACGCTTATGATCACTCAGGTTAACAAGGATTGGCCTAAGTCCGCTTTGAAGCAAATCTTTTGGCAGTCTTGAAGGCGACTTGGCTAAAACAGCGCCAAGGGCAGTGTGAGCAGCATCGACTGCCTTTTTGGAATTCGAGCAAAGCATTTTGAAGAATACGCCAATAATTTTTGCTCTCATTTGGGGGTTCTCCGTGGCTAAGTGATCCGATGTGGTTAAGGCAAGCGAGAGTAATTTGATACATACCACACGCAATTTGGTCAACTGTTGTTGAGTGTTGTACTCGGGCATACGGTGAGATGAAGTTAGACTCTCATCTTCTGCTTCAACAAGAGCCAAGGCCTCCTCAAGCAGACGGGTGAACTTGTCGTTAAACCGCAAGAACGTGTCTGGGAGTGCTAAGCAATAGCTAACAGCATCGATATAACCGATTTGCATAGGGAATGGAAGAGCACGCAAAGGTTTACCAAAGATAGGATTCAAAAAGACGTTTGTCACCTGTTTAATGATGGCAGTGACAGGGTGACCAACAACCTCCGCAAGCAACTCAAGTGCTTTCTTTGCAGTTTCACGAACAGCTGGATTCGGGCTCTCCACTTCATAAGCAAGCAAACTCGAAAGAGGCAGGAAAGGTCTTTGACTGATTTGCTCGTCGGTCAAAGGGCCATTGCAGCTGCGAATGGTGTGGTAAAGCAGCTCTGCCGCCTCCTCGCGTATTTTAGACGGGGCGTCGTCACTGACATCTTTGATACCAAAGAATAACGTACGGACAATCTCAACCTGGCGAGCTTGCAGCCAAGAGAGCGGAAGACCGAGCTCTATAATGATAGTCTTGAGACCAAGGCAAGCGCCAGCTTTGCGATAGAAAGGCTCTTCGAAGCAAGCGTGGATTAGTTTCGCGAAAACGGCTCGCAGCAAAGGATACCGGTACACACTAACAGATTCACCGCAAAGGGTCCGACCTGATGAATAAATAGTTCGCAAAGCCAGAAGACCGGCATCCTTAACGTGCTGGTTGAAATGGCTCAAAGCATACACAATCGCTGTCAAGAGAGTGCGCGTCTCGATATATGGGATGCCCTCGTGGTCTTCGAGTGAAAATGATCGCATAGCCCGACGCTTTTCAACTGTGAACTCACCAAGCTCAAGAACTGTGAGATGTTCTGTGAGATTAACAATAAGCTCATGAGCAGCGTCGCGGGTCTCATCAACAGACGCAGCAAAAAAGACAGCCTCAAGCAAACGTTCTGTAAGCTCATTTGCCATATTCCTGGCAACTAAGTTGCGATCTGATCCATCAGGAAGGGGTGGCGCCTCAGTGAAAGATGAGTACACGCCAGCTTTCACGCATGCTTGAACAATTGATCCGGCATTTTCTGGGAGAGGCGTTGTATCGATGAACTGCTTGATGACCACTGAAATCATATTAAAAGCTTGTTGACGGTAATGAGGGTTCATAAGAGGATTCTCAAGGATTTTCAAAGCTTGAGTCACTGCTGGGGTAACTCGCACCGGAAGCTCTTCACCGAGACCATCAAACGCTAACAAAACAGAGGTATCTTGGCTCATAGCAGACATACTCTCCAGATCTGTAGGTGCAGTTAGGAAAGCACGGTTTCGACCACCAAGTTTACCCAGAATGCGAAGAGTTGTGTGAGAATGTTGGTGTGTGTACGGCAGGGGCTTCAAATGCTTCCAGAGTGCCTGCATGACTTCGTCCAAAACAGGCTCAATAATAGGATCAAAATAGTTTGAGGTCAAATTGTCGACGCAGAGCTCTAAAGTTCGCAGACCCTGAGAAACTAGCTCGGGTGATCCGTTCAAAGCGGCTACCAGCGGTCGCATGAGGTACGAGAGGTGAGGGACCAGAAGCGATAATCTCACAGGCACGGTTAAACAGAGCTCCACATAAATATCACGTTCTTGAGCCACACGAGTTGTCTCGAGGCGCTTGTTGAGAGTTTCCAAAACAACGGGTAATAAAGGAAGCACCGCTTGATATAAGCTCTCAAAACGTCCACCTCCGATACTTCTGAACAGTGCACGAAGCAAATAGAAATATACAAAAGGTTCTTTTGCTGTGGAGGTCAGCTTCAGCGCCTCGACGATGATCTCAGTGAGATGAGGAAGCATGACCTGTTCATTAACTGCCGGGAACATGTTCAATGCAGTGAAGCATTGGCGGAAAAGCCTCATGAGCACATTAGTCTTTTTGGCAGTACCTTCGCCCATTTCTGGCATTTTCTTGATCAGGAACTCGAGCAGTGCAGCAGTGAAATTAGCAGAGGTGGTCTCAGAACCCAAGAAAAGATGGACAATGTGCAACAGCGCCGGGTTGTCGAAGATAGCCTCATAGAGGAACTGCAGTTCTGCTGAAATGATCTCATTGAAGGTTGCAGGATCAATATGAATATAAACTGTAGCAAAGGCTTCCATCATATCTTTCACATCCTTGTTCGATACAAGAGGAACGAGAGGTCCGCTATCATAGCGTTCATTATCAGAAGCGATTGGCAGGGCGAAAAACTGCTGGCCAACGATACCTTCTCGGAATAAACGCCGGAAAAGCGTGACATCATCATGTGTGCATGTCCGAGCAGCTTCCTGCCATTGTTGAAGAGAGATAGTAGGATGGGGTGGAGGTGGATTGCAACTCTTGAAACCAAACATGACTGTCTTGATAAATGTCATCAGGTTGCGGAAAATGAAACGAGCATCTTTGACATCGTGGTTGGGAACCTCAGCATGAAGTTTGATCGGCATCTCCATCATAAGATCAGTCCATGTAGGGTTTATCGATTCTGAATCGTTCGCATCCTCCATGTCGACATCATCGCCTTCTTTCTTTACTTCATCTCCATCAGTTTTCTCGGGCTTCTTCCCCATTTTAGCGATATTTGCCTTGGTGCCAGGAACAAGCTCCAAGTAAGTACGATTAAGAGTCTCGAAACGGTCAACAAAGGCTTTGAGAATTACCGTCATAATCTGACGACCCTCCTGCTTATCTGGCAATCCAATGATACGCTCCATAAAGTTTAAAAGCAGCTTCGCGCTCATTACTTGGAAAGATGTAGCCAAGGAATTGTCATGCATATTTCGGCAATACACTCGCACAGTTTTCCAAATCTGCGATATTGATAGCTCATTTCTGACATGATGGATAAGATCAGCCATAGTAGAGTAAGCCAGAGGCCGCAGAGTTTCGTAGGAGGTTAGGCCACTGCCAATCAACACGCGTTCTTCAAGCAAAACATCGACTTTGGAAATGAAGAATGTTCTGAAATCCGTAGCCAGGATATGCCTCATGGATACCAGCAGTTCTTTACGAGCGGAACTGAGTTCAGGAGGACAGTCCTTGAGCAAACGAACAACAAAATTAGGAACCAGGTTATAGTATTTTTGCAACAACCCCGAGAACGCGCGTAAGGCATACGCCAAGAAAGACATGACCTTAATTTGAGAGACAATGAAGTCATTATAAGCTGCGCGGTGCTTAATGGCTGGCGATACACCGGTAAAAATATCGCCCTTCAGAGCGGCAGCCTCATGTTCCTTTGCTTGTGGTTTAGCCTCGATACTGAGGATATCAATAATATAGGGGACAAATTCCGGAAGGGATGTGCTTGCAATTTGTTTGTGCGTCGAGTACAAAAGCACAATAATAATAGGGCACTCTGTGAGCACTTTGAAGCTTGCAGTGGCCTTAAACATTGGAGTCGAGCTGTTCGCACCCTCGCCTGGGGTTTCGACACCAACACTACCTGGAGGCGAGCCAGCATATGTCAGTGGGGACTGTCCACCTGGCTGGTTGTTGAAGAGCTCGTCGACCATGCGAGGGATGTTCTTAAAAATGGTAATAACAATGTCCAAAAACGGCTGAACTTGATCAACAAGAAGTCCCTTATAGGCTCTATGCAGATTCGTGACAATTTTCATACATAGAAACCCATTTTCCTCGTTGTCAACTTGGAAAATATCCATCACCGTTTGGAGGATCTCGACGGCAGCCGGACGAAGCGCATCGCTATACTGCAGACGAGACAGCACGTCAAGAAGACAGTAACGGAGCTGGTGCTCAGGTGCTTGTGCGACCATGCTGATGGGAACCGATTTGAGCAGCCGCAAAATCTCCGGTAGCACTCTGGTAGCGAACTGCTCACTGTCTGCCGTGACCTGGTGCAATTCTACCGAGTCGCGAAGATCTGTCGCGACATTTAATTTCGTTTTGTAGTCGCTTTGAGTGTCTGACAATCGCGCTATAAACCCGTCAATCGAAGCGCTCATCTTGGGGACGATATTTTCGAAGGCCGTGTGGTAGTGCAGTGGTGAGTTCTTTCCCCCTTCCTCAAAAATGAGATTTGGGAGGTTGGTCTTGGAGAACCTGCTGACAAAATCGTGTTTTCCACGTGATTTTCCGTACCCTGAAAACCTGGGTTCGTTTTCTGATGAGGGAGGGGGGGAAACTGCAAGAGTATTTGGATGAGAATGCTTGAGACAGAATAAATAAGTACATAAGACTACTTCTATTAGCGCCCAGCGGCACGTTGGGCATTTCGCTTCTGCTGCAGCATGTTCTTTTTGACTAGCTTCTTGCGTTCAGCGCGGGCCAGCGAGCGAGGATCAATCAACTCCTCGCCAGGCTTAGCCTTGTCTTCGTCGACCTCAACAAGCCATTGGTCGTCCAGTTTCTTATTGATACCACCATAGCCCCACTTGGGAACCCATTTCTGGGTCTCTTCGTCGTAAACAAGTTTGCCGTCCTTGGCCTTCTTCTGGATACCCTTCTTGGCAGCAAACTCTTCCCATCTCGTCTTGGCCTTGACCTTGGGAACAGGCTTTTCACGGGGAAGCATCCACACGGGTTCGGGAAGCTGGAACAAAACCATGGTAGAATCCTGGGTTCCCGAGGAGTTGATGCTGGCGGTGGTGGTTTTCACAGGCAGTTGAAGAATCTGGTTGATCAGGAGCTGGACATTGTCTCGGGATTTAGCAGTCAGAGACTCCTCCAAGTCGTCGCCCAGATCCAGTGGGTTCGTATCAGCAACAGCCAAGTTACCCAAATCGTAGCTAACGGGAATAGCTTTCTCTACTGCTGGTGTTTTGTTCATGTCAGTGCAGTGAAAAGTCAGAAAAAAATTTCGATTAAGTAACCCTATCTGCTTGCAGTGCGACGCTGATCTGAAGTAACTCGATAAACAACTTTATGAGTTTGAATTTCCAGCGAGATGTACAGAAATGGTACAGTATTTTGTTAGAATTGCTATCAGTTACGTCTTTAATGAGCGTTGGTCCGAGCATACTAGGTGTGATCTAGAGGAAGGCTGGAACAGTAAAGGGCCTGCAGGTGGCATATGAAGCCGATTTGCTGGGGGAGAGTGCTCTCCGTAACAAAATATATAACTGATGCGACAAATTGCTCCATATTATTGTACCCCTAGCTTTCATCGGCACTATTGTCAAACCGCTACTTGCCAGCGCGTACATATAAGATGGAAGCACAGTCTTGTGTCCTTTTGACAAGGATAATACATGTCTATCTCTGAAATTATAATCTCAGTTTCGTTTATTTAGAGGCTTAAATAAGTCTCACACACTTACGTATGCAACTTTACGGGTCATTAGTATAGTGGTAGTATGCCTGCTTCGGGTGACTGAAGCTCGTGGAGTAATTCCGCATTTGCAGGTGACCCCGGATCGAGCCCGGGATGACCCCTTTTTTTTGGCTGATTAATACGATATTTGATGAACCCCTATCTGTAAGATCTATGTAGGCGATCTATCCACTTATCACAACAGATGCGGGCACTTTCGTCTAATCTTCTCGGTTGTCCGTTAGATCAGTTTGCGTTTTTTTTTTTTTATGTACTTTAGTGCATACGTAGCCCGGTTGTCCAGCAGCGTTTCGGCGATGATCTTAATAATATCGTATCTTTCTTGGCATTCTAGCAAAAAACCAAAACTGGTTCAATGGGCACTTTCAGGTTCAAAGCAATCGGGAGACCCGGGGGAAAAAGGGAAACCGACGCTTAATAGCTGAATGGGCTTTCTTCTTTGCACTGCTATGCTTCAAGAGCTTGTTGTGATGAAATATTCAGGGATCTTTTGAAACACCTCTGACCAATTGTGCGGCATGCATCCTGCCGTTCGATCTAGGGTCTGCACGAGGCTGATATTTTTTGCAATGCCTATACATCCCGATGCAGTAAAATCTTGAGATCGAGCTACATTTGAATGACGAAAACGCGTTTCTGGGCTTGAGACTGGTTGTGATTTTTCGCATATGGAGAAAAAGGTCGGCAGAGGTGGTTTACAAGCCGTCTCGGTCTGGTTCACGGTCGCTATACGTACTTCCAGTAGATCACGCAGAATCAGAGTCCTGCAGGATCTCTGGGTCCCCGCAGGAATCCGGCATCAGCAGCCCCATCAGAATCAGTCTTTAAAATGGTGCCTTGAACCCCCTCCACGTATTTGGATCTCCGTTTCCAGGAACTCAGTAATGTTACGTCTTTTTTATTTGTTGCTAGCCACGCTAGTGGCAGCAGATGCCAGGGTTGATCTTTGGTACTGGCCCTGCTCAGAAATCATCATTTCAAACCAGGCCGTCGCAAAGCTGGCCACGTCGCCTTTATTTGACTTTCAGATCAAGGCGATGTGCCAAAACAGAGATGCTTTGATCAGTCTCTACCAATGCTTCGATGGACTGGGTGAGCTCATGCAAGATAAAATAGGGATTGATAAAGGAATCAAACTAAGTTGGGACTACATTAATTACGAGTGCAAGGAAGTCAATACAACTGTACTATACACTTATGATGAGATTAAGCCAATTTGGGAGAACAACAAGCCCACTCAGGACTTCTATACGGCTAATCAAACTGGCAGTGGCACATTCACCACCCCGCGCAACATGACAGACGGCCTGATGTGGGCGACTTTCGGTAAATACACAAACATTTGGACCTCCTTCGCCTACAGTGAAGCTACGGTCTACTATGTTATGGGCTGCATGTGCTTGGGTGTTATTTTCAACTTCATGAGCTGGATTACCCCCAAGCTTGCAGGCGCTGCTGCAAACTCTTGGCCCTCTCGTCAGGTTCGCCGTTATGTGACTATGCCCGCTACTTTTGGTCCTCGTGTTAGCTACTGGTTCTCCTTCTATGGTCAGCGGCTTCCTGTTATCATGCTTATCGGGTACTTTATTCTCTGTTTGGTTCTGTACTTTCCAACCTATGAGATTTATACCTACAAGTGGCTTCCTCACAGATACCAAATCTGGGGCTGGTTTATTGGTGTGAGGTCCGGCTACTTTTGCATGTACAAGTTACCGTACCTCTTCTTATTTGGTGGTCGCAACAATATTCTGATCTGGCTCACTGGCTGGGATATGAGCGTTTTCAACATCTGGCATAGGTGGATTGGACGATTGGCCACAATTGATGCCATTGTTCATTTCGTCGCCTGGAGTATCTACTACCAAACCACAATCGGTAAAACCTGGAAATTACTGTACTGGGTTGAAGGTGTCATTGCTATGATCGCGATGATTATCATGTGTGTTCAAGGATGGGTTTATATTCGCCGTTTCGCATACGACTTCTTTGTTCTGCTGCACATTGCTTTGGCTATTGTAACCATTGTTACGCTGTATTACCATGTGCTTTATGTTGATGAGACACTAGAGTTGTGTTATGCCGTGTTCGCCATTTGGGGCTTTGACCATGCCGCTCGTCTTGCCCGTCTTGTTATGCATGGCGTAAGTAACGCTACTGTGGTTGAAACTGCTGATGATTTCCTCACATTCACTGTTCCTCATAATGGCCCCATCAAAGCTTATGCCGGCTCGCATGTTTATATTCACATCTGTCATCCTCTATACTTTTGGCAGTCTCATCCTCTTTCTAGTCATGAAACGCCTGAGGGCATCAAGCTTGTTTGCCGTGTTCGCAATGGTCTCACCAAGAAGATCCGTGATATGGTGCGTAGTAAAGGTGGCGAGAGAAACTTCAAGATTCTCGTTGATGGCCCCTATGGTGTTCCTGTGAATACTGGAAGCTATGACGAGGTTGCCTACTATGCTGGTGGCATTGGTATCACCGCTATTTACTCTCACATCACGAAGCGTTTCAACTCTGCTACCAAGCAGCTCGCTTCCTTGCATTGGGTCATTCCTGATCGTCGTCCTCTTTTGGTCTTCGAGAAAGAGCTCAAGACCCTGGCAGCGAATAATGTCGCTGTTCATGTTCACATTGACCCTCTTCCAGGTGCCACAGTCGATGCCTTGCCCCCAATGACCGAAGAGCTTTCGTCTATATCTGAAATGAGCGATGATCTAAAATTAGCAATCGACACTGCAGAAAACTCCGTGACAGAAAACATTGGTGTTCAAGAGCACAATGGTCGGCCTGATCTCTCCACTCTTATCTCGGAGCAGATCCGCGAATCCCAGGGGTCGCTTCTTGTCATGTGCTGTGGTCCCAGTCCTATGAACCTCATGGCTCGCTCAACTGTTGCGAACAACCTTAACTTGACCCGAAACTACATTCAGTATTTCGATGAAGGTTTTGGCATGTAGTGATACCAATACCAGCTGTATAAGATCAGTAGTGATCAAAGTAAACTATGCATTGTAATCACATCACGTAGATGAAAAGTCAATATGTGACCATGATACGGAAACAAGAAAAGGGCAACCAAGAATAAATAAAACTATGAAAACATTTGTAAAACCGAAAAGACAATGTTGATAACAGCGCCAGCACCGACTACCATCATTTGTCTCCTGTTCAAGACATTCAGCTTTACAAGCACGAGCACGAAGACACCCAAGAACGCGCCAGCCAAAACAGCCAGCATGTCACGGACGTATTCGACAGCAAAAGGGGCATTAGCAGCATCATCGTCGATCCATTGGTCTTCGAGTTCAACGCCGCCATCTGTGCCGTAAAGCTCACCAAACTGCTGTCTGAGGTTGGCGATGTCTTCTTCTGAGAACCCCGTGGACCTCAATCGATCGAATCCTCGCAATTCAGGCTCGGCAGTGCGCTGTGGGGTGGGTGGTTCTGCGTCAGTGTCTTCGCCTCGTTCGATCTCTGCAGACGACATTATAGGGCCTATAGCGCAGTGCACATAGACGCGGTCTCTGGTTCCGACGACCTCGCGGGCGATATTCGTGGTGTTTTTCAGAACATGGCCGTTATAAATAAACCGTAGCCTTCTATTCAGAGTTGTCCCGCCACGATTGGACCGGACAGCATGGCGTAAATCTGCCAGTGTGACAGCAGAGACATCATCTGTTTCAAAAATAACATCATCGGACGACAGCCGAATCACAATTGTGATTTCCTTCGCCGCCAAATCGTTCGGGTTGTTCGGTGCGGGCGAAGAGGGATCCATGAAACTACGTCTTAGTCAGGGCAAGGGACCACTTGAAGAAAACCGGTGGTCGAGGCGTGGAGCTCCAGTTTTTCGAGAGTTAATAATTCTAGGCCGTTGAAACCAAGTGACCCAGTTTTGCACAGAAAATAAGTAAAAATAAGTTAGAGGCGACCACTCCGGGGGAGGCACGCTCGGCCCCCACCGGACTAGTGCATGTAGCCACAGCAAAACCTGTTTTAGACAGGTAGAAACGGACTGGCTCCACCAAACTTCAAATAAACCCGCAGATTTATAACCAAGTTATCGCCCCTCCCCACTATTCGTCGGAAGCTTTAACAACCGTCTCTGCAGCTCCAGTTTGGTCAGCAGTTCTCGCATCTGGGTATATCAGGTGCGACGTGTGTTTTGTCGAAATAAAGCACTATATAACGCTGCGTGTTCAGAGATACACATCATGGCGTTTTGGTCTATTGGATCAAGCGCGTTTCACAACGTTTCGGCAGTAGAAAAGGTCCTAGAGCGCAAGGAGTACACCCTCTATGACGTTTTGGCTGCTGAGGACGTGCTTCAGGAAGTTATGTCGATGGACAATAACGTGATTGATTATTTGCGGCAGCCTGCTATAATTTCGCAGCTGGTTGATATTGTTTTGGGAGAGGACGAGCAGGCTCTGGCCAAAGCGGCGTCAGACAAGGCCGAAAGCAACCAGCCGTCCTCGCCCAAGTCGGATGATGGCGCTTCGGCCGATGAGAGTGAGCTTGAACAGGACGAAACTTTGAATGAAGAGCCCGAAGATGTCGACTACATAAAGATTGCCTCTGAGGTTTTGAGCTGTGATGCTTGGGGTTTCATGGAGGCACTGGTTTCCGCCAAGGACAGCCTGGATCGGCTGTGGGGTTTGCTAGACGAGCCCGCCCACGCCTCCACAAAACAACTTGCATGCTTCACATCCATCATTGAGCACTTGCTCGAAAAACGCACTGACCAGATGCTAGACTACATGATACAGTTGCCCAAGTTCACCTCGTATTTTCTGCGGTACATTGATAACGCCCCGCTGGCAGACCTCTTGCTGAAAATCATTTCCACGGACCATCCCGATACCCCTAGTGGAATTATTGAGCTGCTATATGAGCAGGATTTGATTCCGCAGCTTATCGAGCGCTTGGGTCCGGATGTTGCGGATACCGAACAAGTCGCCGTGGGTGATTTCCTGAAGGCGTTTGTGACAATTTCTGGAGGTAACAAGACCGAAAACTGCTCTATCGGACCTAATGAGCTTAGTCGTAAGTTGGTTAGCGAGGAGTGTATTTCGAAGCTCATTGAAATCATGCTCCACGGAGGCTCGGGAATGTGCATTGCAGTGGGCGTCATCATTGAGATCATCCGCAAAAACAACTCCGACTATGACTATGTTCAGGTACTTTACACCACCGTCAAAAGCCATCCACCTACCGCTCGAGACAGCATTTATCTTGGCACTCTTGTCCGTCTGTTTGCCGATGCGATTCCCAAGTTCCAAAAGGTTTTGGAGAAGAAGAGTGATGAAACGATAGAGATGCCTTTGGGCAAGATCAAGCCGTTAGGATTCGAAAGATTCCGGATTTGTGAGTTGTATGCTGAATTGCTTCATTGTTCCAGCATGGCTCTCTTGAACGAGCCGAAAGGTGAGCAAATTGTTCGTGAGCGAGATTTGGACCGTAAGCGCCGATTCCATGCAAACGAGTTCAAGGAATCGGATGAAAAAGAACTCCAAACTATCCGAGAGGGCAAAAAAGGTGAGGGATGGAAACCTGAATCGCTTGACGAGGACGACGAATCTAGACCAAGCACCTCTGTCACCGAAAAGGATGACGACGAGGAGCCTGTGAGTCCGCTACCTCAACCGTCTAGCCCCAAAGCTTCGCCGCCATCTGCGTCTGCACCTCAGTCTCCTCAAGAAATGCAGATTGATTCCCCAGCCCCTGATGATATTTCCGAAGCGGCGCTGATCAAGCAGCTTGCCGCGCAGGAAGCTAATATTAGAGCCAGCCCAGTTATTGGTGATCGGCTGAAGCTTGCACTGGATGATAGTGGATGCATTTCGACTGTTTTCAGCATGCTTGTTGAGTATCCTTGGAACAACTTTTTGCATAATGTTGTTTTCGATATTGTACAGCAAATCTTCAACGGCTCTGTGCATGAGGGTTACAATAAATTCCTTGCTATTCATCTGTTCACGCGGGATAAAATCACCGAACAAATTGTTGCTGGCCAGCAGTCGAATGATGAGCACGAACGGGAACGGAACATCCGTCTTGGCTATGTTGGCCACCTGACACTTATTAGTGAGGAAGTTGTGAAGTTTGCCTCTGTGTTCCCTCCACGTACATTAAGCCCTGGCATCAGCGAGGCACTTGAGGCTCCGGAATGGCAGCACTATGTTGCCACCACCCTTTTGTATCTCCGCGACCAGTACAATACAGTGCTTGGTGGACAAAAGCCCGAGGGCTTGGACAGTTTCGAAGAGGATCGCTTTGACAGCGGGCTCGGAGAGTCAGAATACCAGCAGCGTCTCAACAATGACAAAAATGATGAGGACGAGGACGAGGACGAGGACGAGGACGAGGACGACGGCGAGGAAAGCGGAGAAGATGACGATCAGTTTTCACGGTATATGAATCGCCAGCTAACAAACGCTGCGGGCCACTACGGTTCCAGTGATGACGATGAAGACGAAGAGTGGGAAAGCCTTCCGCAAAGGACTATCGATGTCAAAGAGTTGGAAAATTCAGACGATGATTCGGGTGATAGCTCAGGCGACGACGATCTTTCGTTGGTCCGTAGCCGTAGTTATGGCCATTAGCAGCTTCCGAGTAGACCTCAGGTAGACTAAAAAAAAGAGTTATGTTTTAAAAGTAGAGAGGAGGTTTCGAATTAAAAAATCTTTGCCTTACCCCGAGCACCAACGGCGCGACGGCGAGCGGCACCTTTTTTCAATGTATGGGACTCAGGGCTGCTTTCTTTAGAGGGAGCTTCCTCCTCCTCGGGCTCCTCAGTCTTGGATGATCCAGTGAGCTTGTTCAAAAGCAGGAAGGGGAATGTGTCCCGGATAGTGGGAGTAGCCAATGCATTAACGTCTACAAGGCTCTCGGAGCCCTTGTGGTTGAAATACACCTCGCCGGTGGGAAGCACTGTGAACGTGCGGCCTCCATCCAGAGTGACCCGCTTCTCGGTCTCGACGATTCCGGAAGAAGAGCGGGCTTTATCGGTGGCCTCGTCAATGACCTCCTGCAGGAATTCACGTTTGCGGCGCGTGTCAATAACACGCAGGACGTAGTGGATACCCGTGGTGACAACGAGGATGAATGCCAACGCAAAGGCAACACCGGGGCGATAGCGGTTGAAGAGGTAGTTACCGTCCTTATGGGCGGGGAAGCCTTTCCTGAGGTAAAAATCGTAACGGCTGCGACCATCGCTACGAAGGATTTTGTGCACCAGACCCAGGCGAGCAAAACGCTGGGTAGCAGCGTTGCTGGGGTTCTTATCTGGGTGAATGGCCCGAGACAGCTTGCGGTAGGCCTTGGTGATGGTAGGCCCATCAGCATCAGCATCGATGCCGAGCCATGAGTAGAAAGTTACGTCCTCACCGAGATCAGCAATGATATTGTCCCGCAAAGAGAAGATTTCCAAGTCCTCTTTCGTGAAAGCCAGTGCCAGAATTGGCAAAAACAGCCAAAGCATCCACTTCATGGTTAAATGGTAATTAGGTAAGAGCCACGTCGTGAGACATTTAAGTGGAGGGCGTATTTGCGGGTTTATTTGGGCGGCAAAAACAGCAGATTTTTCTAAATAGTAGTGATAGACAGCCCAAAACAGAATCACGGCCAAAAACCAGGGGCGCGGTTGCCAGGGCCGCACTTACCCGGAAGTCTCCTGGATGATTTCATCGCCCAAAAAACACCTTCGCGTCGCGGTGGTTTTGCTTAGTCGCTTCTCTAGGTTTGGCGCCTGTTTTCGTTGATCCGGGTTTAGTCGCAAAAGAATCTGCTAACCAATGCCTCTATTGCAAATTGCCTCTACTAAAGCACCAGGCAGTGGTCTTCCGGTGGTTCTAATTGATTCGACGGCCGTAGCGCCGGGCGAGCTCCCCTCGGAATCGCTAATTCTCGATGCAGTGAGCTGGCTACCCCAGACCGACCATATCGTTATTTTCTTTGCTAGTGGTGCTCCTAAAACCCCTAATATGCCCTGGCTGCTGAAATCGTATCGCCTGCTATCCCGCGAGGCCAAGAAAAGAATACAAAGAGTGTTTATGGTCCACGAGCGGTGGTGGGTCAAGACGTTCACGTCGTTACTTGGGAATGTTGTTTCGCCCAAATTCCAGCGAAAACTTGTGCATATTCCTAATTTGAGCGAATTGGCGAAACACATCGACATCACTGTGCTGAACATCAGTCCCGCGGTGTACCTTTACGACCACTCCGTTCAGGAGATAATCTCTGTACCCAAGCATATCGAGCCGGTGTTTGGTCTATCGATCGATCATCCTCGTGGTAATATGGTTTATGATCATTGTATCCGATATTTGCACAGTGTCGAACCTCGCGAATTCCTCGACGATTCGTTCAAATCAACCAAGGGGTCTCCGCTCTCTCAAATTTTGATCCAAGCAGTCGCCAGAGGCCAGATGCTGAACTTGCAGGACTACGGGCCCCGAGTGGTTATATCGCTGGTCAAGTACTACTGGCTAGAACTCCGCCGGCCTATTCTGAGCCGCGGACTGCTTGCGGACCACGCCGAAAACCACCAGCGGGCATTACGGGAGCTCCCGTCGACCAACCACGCCGCTTTAGCCAAGTGCGTTGACTGGCTGCACCAATTACACAGAAGCGGGTTCGAGACTCAGCTCATTGTGACTGAAATTCTGCCCTTCCTCACGCAAAACCTCGACAGTGAGCCCGAGTTCCACGAGCTGCAGTTTTTGCATGTTTTGATCGAAGATTGGCCCCGGATTTCTCAGCCTGACCTGGCAAACCAAGCATTGCCCTCCCTTCCTCCTCGTCCCATCACACCTCCGCCCCGAAACTCAAGTTGGACCCGGTCTAGGTCCTTGTCGCCCCAACGAGGCAAGGCGCTGCAAGAGCTGCCGCTGCCCAATGCCAATCGAGTACTGCGGCCCAAAACCAGCCTGGCCAATATAAGAGGCCCCAAGATTGCAGAGATTGTTAAAACTTACGAAGAGCGACTGGACGATATGGGTTACTAGGCACTGAATTATCTCTATTTATTATGCTGACTCTTTTTTGTGGGGCTTTATCTGGCTTATCGCCCAAACCAGCCCAACACCTAACGCTCTCTTGCTCTCTATGTAGGATCGCAACAGTTACGCTAGATCACTATATTATTGTTAGAATCTCATCTGAACACTTCTCACGGCCAATCACTACACGCTGACTGCACGTGCTGCGAGTGTTATTGCCCTCCCGAAATCGGCCGTATGCAGCGCATTGGAATACGGGGCCCTGTGACGTGGTGCATTGGTGATGCAAAGATAGGGCATGCGTGGGCGGTAGAGAGAAATTGACCTGCGGAAATTGTGGAATTTAGCAGTGGCGCAACAAATAGCCCGAGAAGACAAAAAATTTGCTGCTGGTTTCTCCCGCAGTGGCCTCTTTCGCCCCCCCAGCTCCTATCTGGTGTGCTGCAGATAGTGAAAAAATTGCTTATGACAAATGCGAGACAAGAGGCACGTGATTTTCCACCACAGGGCCTATAAGTAAGGCTGAGGGAGAACCCCAGATTTCTTTCCATCCCCCCCTTTTATAAAAATGGTTTTGTCTAGTGTTTTGGGGTTCCCCCGTATTGGTGCTAAGCGTGAGCTCAAGAAGGCTACTGAGTCTTACTGGGCTGGCAAGAGCTCTGTTGAGGACCTGCTCAAGGTCGGCAAGGAGCTGCGCGCTCACAACTGGAAGCTCCAGAAGGATGCCGGTGTTGACTTGATTGCCTCCAACGATTTTTCCTACTACGACCAGATTTTGGACGCTTCTCTTCTTTTCAACGTCATCCCTGAGCGTTACCAGAAGTACAGCCTGCCCCAGATTGATACTCTTTTCGCTATGGGCCGTGGTTTGCAGCGCCCTGCCACTGATAGCACTCCTGCTGTCGATGTGCCTGCTTTGGAGATGGTCAAGTGGTTCGATTCTAACTACCACTACGTCCGTCCCACTTTCTCTCACTCCACCACATTCAAGCTCAACGGCCAGAAGCCTGTCGATGAGTACCTCGAGGCTAAGGAGCTCGGCATTGAGACCCGCCCCGTTTTGATTGGTCCCGTCTCTTACCTTGTTCTTGGCAAGGCTGACAAGGACTCTTTGGACCTTGAGCCCATCTCTCTCCTTGAGAAGCTCTTGCCCGTTTACGCTGAGGTTCTCCAGAAGCTTCTCGACGCTGGCGCCAAGTCTATCCAGATTGACGAGCCCGTCCTCGTTTTGGATCTCGACGAGAAGGTCAAGGCTGCTTTCAAGACTGCCTACTCTGTTCTTGCCGAGAAGGTCCCTGCCGCCAAGTTGATCCTCGCCACCTACTTTGGCGACGTTCGCCCCAACTTGGATGCCGTTAAGGGTCTCCCCGTTGCCGGTGTTCACTTTGACTTTGTCCGTGTTCCCGAGCAGCTCGATGCTGCCGTTGAGGCTCTTTCTGCTGAGCAGATTTTGTCCGTCGGTATCATTGATGGCCGTAATATTTGGAAGGCTGACCTCAACAAGGCTGTCAAGTTTGTTGAGTCTGCTATTGCCAAGGTTGGCAAGGAGCGCGTGATTGTTGCTACCTCCAGCTCTTTGCTTCACACTCCCGTCGACTTGGAGAATGAGACCAAGCTCGATGCCGAGATCAAGGACTGGTTCGCTTTCGCCACCCAGAAGCTTTCTGAGGTTGTTATTGTCACCAAGGCCGTCAACGGCGAGGACGTCAAGGCCGAGCTCGAGGCCAACGCCAAGAGCATCTCTGCCCGTGCTTCTTCTTCCATCACCAACGACGCTGCTGTTCAGAAGCGCGTTGCCGAGCTCGGCGAGAAGGACACCAAGCGTGCCTCTGCCTTTGCTGCCCGTCTTGAGGCCCAGAAGTCTTTGAACCTCCCTCTCTTCCCTACCACCACCATTGGTTCTTTCCCCCAGACCAAGGAGATCCGTGTTCAGCGCCAGAAATTGAACAAGGGTGAGATCACTGCTGAGCAGTACGAGAAGTTCATTGAGAAGGAGATCCAGGACGCCATCAAGTTCCAGGAGGAGGTTGGCCTCGATGTCTACGTCCACGGTGAGCCTGAGCGTAACGATATGGTCCAGTACTTTGGTGAGCAGCTCAAGGGTTTTGCCTTCACTCAGAACGGTTGGGTCCAGTCTTACGGTTCTCGTTACGTCCGTCCTCCCATCATCGTGGGTGACGTTTCTCGTCCTTCCCCCATGACTGTCAAGGAGTCCAAGTACGCCCAGTCTGTCTCGCCCAAGCCTATGAAGGGTATGCTTACTGGTCCCGTCACCATTTTGCGTTGGTCTTTCCCTCGTAACGATGTTTCTCAGAAGGTCCAGGCCCAGCAGCTTGCCTTTGCTCTCCGTGATGAGGTCAACGATCTTGAGGCTGCCGGTGTCACCGTGATCCAGGTCGATGAGCCTGCTATCCGTGAGGGTCTTCCTTTGCGCGAGGGTGAGGAGCGTTCTGCCTACGTTCAGTGGGCTCCTGAGTCGTTCCGCATTGCCACCTCTGGTGTCAAGGACTCTACTCAGATCCACTCGCACTTCTGCTACTCCGATCTCGACCCTGCCCACATCAAGGCCTTGGATGCCGATGTTGTTTCCATCGAGTTCTCCAAGAAGGACGACTCCAACTACATCCAGAACTTCTCTGACTACCCCAACCACATTGGCCTTGGTTTGTTCGACATCCACTCTCCTCGTGTCCCTCCTCAGTCCGAGTTCGAGAAGCGCATTGCTGACATTCTCGCTGTCTACCCCAAGGAGAACCTGTGGATCAACCCCGACTGTGGTCTCAAGACCCGCCAGTGGGATGAGTGCCGCAAGCAGCTCACCAACATGGTCAACGCGGCCAAGGTCTTCCGTGAGAAGTACGCTTAAACCACTTATTTTGGCGAGATAGTCTCTGGCTAGCTCTCTGAAAGCCACCCCAAAACAACCTGTTCAACACTTATTTATTTGTCCTCAACGGATATTTCTTTTCCATAGGTTACATAAGAACTAATGTTGCCTTCGTGACTTTTTTGCACCGTCCCCAGGAGGCTCGCGGTTTTTGTAGATTTTGATTTTTAAGTTTCGCGAGCCTTTGATGAGTCAGCAATGGACGAACCGGAGGCCAAACGGGTAAAGCTCGAGGACGAGGCCCAGGAGGTTAAGGAAGAAGTGGAGCAGAAGATTGACGAGCTCGAGAAACAGAACGAGGACGAAGATTCGCCGGACGTGTATACTCGGAAGTTTGACTTTGAGGGCGAGGAGTTCGAGTTCAAGGAGCGGCCAGCCGTTGTTGAAGAGCGGGAAGGTAAAATCGAGTTTCGCGTCGTGAATAACGATGGATCAGAGGAAGGGTTTCTGATTTTGACTGGATTGAAAAACATTTTCCAGAAACAGCTTCCGAAAATGCCTCGAGAGTACATTTCGCGGTTAGTTTACGACCGTAGTCACGTTTCGGTTGCAGTTGTGCGTAAACCGATGACCGTGGTTGGTGGAATTGCGTACCGGCCCTTTGAATCACACAAGTTTGCCGAGATTGTATTCTTTGCTATTTCGTCGACCGAGCAGGTCCGGGGTTACGGCGCCCATCTCATGAACCACTTTAAAGATTATGTGCGCAACACTACGCAGATTGAGCACTTTTTGACCTATGCGGACAACTACGCTATTGGATTCTTCAAAAAGCAAGGCTTTACAAAAGACATTACTTTGCCAAAACCTGTGTGGATGGGCTATATCAAGGACTATGAGGGAGGAACGCTAATGCAATGTACGATGGTGCCAAGAATACGTTATCTCGATGGCTCCAAGGTTCTCTTGTTGCAAAAAGTTGCGATTCAAAAGAAAATCAAAGAACTCTCCAAGTCTAATATCCGTCACAAGGGGCTAGCGCAGTTCAAGGGACCTAATGCTGTGACTGAAGTAGACCCCACGACGATCCCAGGAATTAAAGAGGCAGCGTGGACGGCTGAGATGGACGCACTGGCTCGTAAGCCTAAACGAAAAGGACACTTTATGGTCATTCAGCACATTTTGACCGAGGTGCAAAACCACCCGTCGGCATGGCCGTTTATGCAGCCTGTAAACCGAGCTGAGGTGCCCGATTATTACGACCTTATCCAGGAGCCTATGGATCTTTCCACAATGGAACAAAAGCTTGAAAAAGACCAGTATGACTCGATGGATTCGTTTGTGTACGACGCCAAATTGATCTTTGACAACTGCCGCAAGTATAACAGCGAGACCACGACATACTATAAGAACGCCACGAAGCTGGACAAGTTCTTTCAGCAAAAAGTCCGAGAGTTCCCTGAATTCGAGCATTTGGTCGAATAGACGAAGCTGCAGGCAGCTTCTACTTTTTACGAATAGTTTATAGCTTTTCACGTTTTTTTATATCTACTTACTGCCGCAATCCGGGTTCTTCTTCATCTCCTGTCGCACCCAAGCGCTCAACAACCTCCGCCATCTCGTCCTGCGTGTAGATATGGAAGCCGTTTTCTTTGGTGACCTTGGCAAGTTGGACATTTTTGGCCTCGAGCTTCTCCTCCATTACCTGCTTGAGAACCCTGAGCATGAGCATCTCGGCTTCGGCAAGAGTGATTCCCGAGTGGTAGTGCTGAAGAAGCTCGGCCTGGGCACCCTCCGAGCCGGATCCAATGGCCTTGGCCTCATAGTGGTAGAAGGTACCGGTGGGCTCAGTGTGATAGAGCTGTGGCCCGCGCTCGTCGACGCCGGCAATTAACAAAGCAACACCAAACGGACGGGACATGACTTGCTCCTCACCTTCACCGGCCTCACCGAACCGCAACGCCAGGTCGCAAACGCTCTGAGTAACCGACTCGACACTGATGGCCTCGTCAAAGTTAAAAGTGTGGGAAGTGGACTCGACGCGGGCGTGATCAATCATGGTGCGTGCATCCGCAGTCAGACCGCTCATGGCGCAGCCAATGTGGCGGTCAATTTCGTCGATCTTCTCAATGCTCGACGTCTCAAGCAGATTGGAGGTCACTCGTTTCTCAACACCGAGCAGCACACCTTCGCTGGTCTTGATTCCAATAGCTGTAGAACCAAGCTTAATAGCCTCTAACGAGTACTCAACTTGGAACAAGCGGCCCTCGGGCGAGAACGTCGACACACCACGGTCGTACTCACTTCTAGTAAGGAACATGCTTAGTGGCGTAAGCCGACGAGAAGGCTACATATAGTCGAGATGCTGCTCGCAACGTGGGTGCGATTTTAATAATTAGAGTAAATAAACAAATAACAACCTGGATATATCCAAGAATTTATTTGAAGATTAGTTCTGTTCCGCCTTGTCTCATTTCTCAATCTTTCCCGCTTACGCGAAATGGACGGGTTTATCGCGCGTTTGGCAGACGACACGACGCTTTTGGAAACAAAGCTAGCGCCAATGCCGGCCTATACGGTACTGCGACACGAACTGCCGCCCATCCCCCGTCTGCCAGATGACCGCGAAAGCCAAGAAGCGTACATTCTATACGATCTAATCTCTCTCCTGAGGGGTTGTGAGGGTGCTTATATTCATTTTGATAATGAAGGCGGCGGGTTCGAGCCTAATTCGTTGGTAGGTCGAATGCGAGGTCCAAATTTAAGAGTCCCTCGGGCTGTTGATAGCGCTCTACGCGATGTGGCCGACGAGATCGCTGAAACTGCCAGACACCATATGGCGGTTATTGCGTTTGCGGAGTACCTGTCTACTCCAAACCAAGGTCGAGTGAACCATGCTCTTTCCGCAGCATTAATGGCGTTGTGTCATAATTTCAACGAGCTTGTCGCGTCAATTGATCGGGAAACTCGCCAGACCGGCGAAACTTCTTTGCACACACTCTTACTATCTCTACTGCCGGCCAAAAAGGTTATGGAGCAGGCGTATCGACTCACTAGAGAGCTATTAGTTGAGATTAATGGAACCGAAGCCACGGGAAGCATTGGAGTCGAGCGAGTAAGCTTGAGAGGTGGTGCAGTGTTGACACTTTTGGCGCGTAGGCTGGAACGCCATAATGGAAACCCGGCCGCTCGTGAGCTGTACGGGGACTTGATCAAGGAGGCTTCGAAACCATATCTTGAAATGCTCACGCAATGGCTGTACAAAGGTATTATTGATGACCCTTACGAAGAGTTTATGATTGAAGAACAGGAAACAATTGCATCGGAATTGGTGCACCGGGACTCTCTCAACACGTATTGGGAAAAGCGATACGTTATCCGGGAAAACTATCTGCCTCTTTATTTATCTTCTCCTGACGTCGCCGAACAGGTTCTACTTGCAGGCAAGTATCTCAATGTTATCCAAGAATGCGGTGGTGATAGTATCGTGGAATGGTTGCCCAAAGCCGATATTCCTAAGTTTACTAGCATAGAAGATACTGGTCTGGCGCTAGCTGTATCTCAAGCATATCAGCGAGCGAACCAGACCTTGTTGCGGCTGTTGATCCATGACCATGATTTGTTAGCTCGACTGAAGTCTTTGAAGCACTATTACTTTTTTGACAAGAACGACGCATTCCCCTTGTTTTTGGAAACTGCCGCTAAAGAACTGGCCAGGCCTGTCCAAGATGTCTCGACACGCCGTTTGCAGTATTCGCTGGATATGGCCCTGGCCCAACCAGGATCAAGCTCGAGCCAGGAGGCGTTCGCTGATGAAGTACAAGTTGGTATGGCAGATGACTCTATCACTGACGCATTACTGCGAGTAGTCCAGGTCCGTGGTGATCGTGATTTCGACGAACTGATGGAGAGTAGCGTATCTGTGGGGAGTGAACCTGAGCTAAGTGCTCTCGAGTGCATTGTTCTCGATTTCGACATTCCTTTCCCCCAATCACTTGTGGTATCACGACCAGCGATTCTTTGTTATCAGTTTTTGTTTCGACATCTTTTGCGAATCAAAGTTGCCGAACAGATTCTCAATGGGTCCTGGATCAAAGTCAGCCGGCACTCTATCTGGAGACGCCAAAGTGAAAATGAAGAATTTGAGAAATGGAAATGGAGAGCTCTCGAGCTGCGCAGTAAAATGGTTACATTTGTCGAGCAACTACTCTATTACTGCACCGCTGATGTTATTGATCGCAACTCAACCGAGTTCTTTTCCGAGATCAACGACGCACTGACAGTCGACAGTCTGAAAACGAATCACATCAACTACCTTGATCGCTGTCTCACAGAGTGTATGCTTACTGCTGTGGAGTTTTTAGTGCCGCAACGGGATCTTTTGAAAACAATTCGTCAATTTGGCGAATGGCTCATTGCGCAGACCCCGCAGCTGGGGATCATCGATGCCACAAAGCTCACCACTCGAGAAAGGTCGCAAGTCATTCCTCAATTGACCGATGATGGGTTCTTGAGCAGTGAAGAGTATTTGGCCAAACTTGAGAACGATCTTGAGTATTTCTCGCATCAGTTCTCGCAGGGCTTGTTGCCGTTCTTCGATACCCTCAACATCGCGGCATACGACAGCAGTGCATTGAGATCGTTGCTAGCCCGTCTCGAGTCACTTGTCGATTCACCATAGAATCTGTATATTTAATTCAACAACCCCAGGCCAACACCGCAAACACCCTAACCCTGTACCAAGAGATCTGGGGTCGATTAAGTCACATCAAGTTTTCGTTCACCCCACCACATTCTAACAGGTAATGGTGAAGATTGACGGTAATGCCATTGCGAAAAGCGTTCGCGCCGATCTTGCCGTGCGTATTGATGATCTCAAAGCCAAGTATCCTGGTGCCTTGCCCAAGTTGGTGATTATCCAGGTTGGAGGTCGCAAAGACTCCACGACTTATGTGAATATGAAGAAGAAGGCGGCCGCTGAGGCGAACATTGTTTGCGATATTCTCAAGTTTGAGGAGAACATGACCGAGTCTGCTCTTTTGAGTGAAATCGAGGCACTCAATGAGGACCCTTCTGTCCACGGCATTCTTGTTCAGCTGCCTCTTCCTGACCACTTCGACGAGCGTACTGTCACCAATGCTGTGGCTGCAGCAAAGGATGTCGATGGCTTTGGCTCGGAAAACATTGGTGAGTTGTCCAAACGCGGTGGCAAGCCCGACTTTGTGCCCTGCACTCCTAAGGGTATTTTGCATCTTCTCAAGACCACTGGCGTCCAGCTTTCAGGCAAGTTTGTCGTTGTTCTTGGTCGTTCAGATATCGTCGGATCTCCTGTAGCTGCCCTGCTGCGTAAAGAGAATGCCACTGTCGTCGTGCTGCACTCCAAGAGTGAGAATGTTCCTGAACTCGTTAAGCTTGCTGATGTAGTTGTTGCCGCAATTGGCCAGCCCGAGTATGTCAAGGGCGAGTGGCTCAAGCAAGGTGCTGTTGTGATTGATGTTGGCACCAACTTTGTGGACGATGCTTCCAAACCCAAAGGCTACCGCTTGGTTGGAGATGTCGAATTCGCCTCCGCTGAGCCTGCAGCTTCTCATATTACTCCAGTTCCCGGTGGAGTTGGACCTATGACTGTCGCAATGCTTTTGGAAAATGTTTACATTGCTTGCCAGCGCGCTTTAGAGTCGGCTAATGCGCCTCGCAAGACGGTGCCCCTCGCGTTGGAGTTGCTTGACCCTGTCCCAAGCGATGTTGACATCTCCCGTGCCCAGAAGCCCAAGAAGATCACTCAAGTTGCCGAGGAGATGGGACTGTTGCCTAGCGAGGTTGAGCCTTTCGGTGACGTCAAGGCTAAGGTCCGCTTGTCGGTTTTGGATCGGCTCAAGGATCGCTCCAACGGTAAGTACGTACTCGTTGCAGGTATCACGCCCACCCCTCTTGGAGAGGGCAAATCTACCACAACTGTTGGTTTAGCTCAGGCTATGGGCGCTCATCTCGGAAAGCTGACATTTGCCAACGTCCGTCAGCCTTCAATGGGCCCTACTTTCGGCATCAAGGGTGGTGCCGCTGGTGGTGGTTATTCCCAGGTTATTCCTATGGATGAGTTCAACTTGCACGTTACCGGTGATATCCATGCTATTGGTGCTGCGACTAATTTGCTTGCTGCTGCCATTGACACTCGAATGTTCCACGAAAACACTCAAAAGGATGGTCCTTTGTACCGTCGCCTTGTTCCCGCCAAGAAGGGAAAGCGCGAATTCAGCAAGGTTATGTTCAAGCGTTTGCAAAAACTTGGCATCAACAAAACCAATCCCGATGACCTTGATGAGGACGAGATCCACCGTTTCGCACGTTTGGACATTGATCCTGCTACCATCACCTGGCGTCGTGTAGTTGACTGCAACGACCGTATGCTGCGTGGTGTAACTGTGGGTCAGGCTCCCACCGAAAAGGGTCAGACCCGTGAGACAGGTTTCGATATTACGGTTGCTTCCGAGTGTATGGCTGTTTTGACACTGTCCACCTCTCTGGCCGATATGCGTGAGCGTTTGGGCAACATGGTTGTTGCTTCCAGTAAACAGGGTGAGCCTATTACTGCTGATGATATCGGCTGCGGTGGTGCCCTTGCTGCTTTGATGAAGGATGCCATCAAGCCCAATATTATGCAGACACTCGAGGGTACACCTGTGTTTGTTCATGCCGGACCTTTTGCCAACATTTCTATTGGCGCCAACTCTGTCCTGGCTGATAAGATTGCCTTGAAGCTTGCTGGCGGCGTCAATGATGGCTACGTCATTACCGAGGCAGGCTTCGACTTCACAATGGGCGGTGAGCGTTTCCTTAATATCAAATGCCGTACCTCAGGGTTGTCTCCAGATGTCGTGGTGCTGGTCGCTACTGTTCGTGCTCTTAAGTCCCACGGCGGTGGCCCTAATGTCACCCCAGGTGCTCCTCTGCCCGAGGTCTACACACAGGAGAATGTCGACATTCTTCGTAAGGGTTGCGTCAACTTGGCCAAACAGATTGAAAATGTCCGCCAATATGGTCTCCCTGTTGTTGTTGCCATCAACCGCATGGCTAGCGACACTGATGCTGAGCACGCTGTTATTCGTGAGGAGGCACTCAAGGCTGGTGCCGAAGATGCTATTGTCTCCAATCACTGGGCCGAGGGTGGTAAAGGAGCTGTTGCTCTTGCCGAGGGTGTAGTCAAGGCTGCAAATGCCCCCAAGAAGGAGCAATTCCACTTCCTCTACGACGCTGAGGGTCTTGGTCCCGAGGAGAAACTGAATGCCATTGCTCAGAAAATGTACGGCGCTTCCCACGTCGAGTTGAGCCCCTTGGCCAAAGAGAAGATTGAGACCTATACTCGTCAAGGATTTGGCAACTTGCCCATCTGTGTTGCCAAGACTCAATACTCGTTGTCCCACGATCCTGCGTTGAAGGGTCGTCCCGAGGGCTTTGTGGTCCCGATTAGAGATGTCCGCGCCTCAGTGGGTGCTGGCTACCTCTATGCTCTGGCTGCTGAGATTATGACTATCCCTGGCCTCCCCACACATCCTGGTTTCCTCGATATTGAAGTCAAGGATGATGGTGAAATCGAGGGTATGTTCTAATCGTAAAAATAGTTATCAGCACTGCTTTCAACAGCATAAAAGTTATTTAGCAAGGTCAACCCTTGAAATATATGAGACTCTGATACCTGAAACTATCAAAGCATGACTACACCAACACCACCCGGTCCGTTGACTTGACCGCTTCTATCGATGCCGCCGCTAATAGGTTTCGTCTTGTAGTTGAACAGGTAATAATACAACAGACCATCGCCAGCACCGAATTTGAGGGAATCCAAAAAGAGAGGGTTGTCGAGGAGAGTGAGGGCATTGAAGACGTCGTAGCCTTGCTGCTTGGCCACAATCAAAGTGGCCTCGAACACCTTCTCCAAACGCTCCTGGCGAGCCTCGAAGGGCGCAGCCGTGGCATAATAGTAGGAATAAGCGACCTTGAGACTTGGGTACTTTTCGTTACCGAGAACAGTTGAGTCAATGCCGTAGTAGGACACAAAGTCGACAATTCTACCTTCAATTTCAACAACATATGCGTGGACAACTGGAGACACGAACCAATGCTTGAACTCCTCGGGAGAAAACACTTGCAAAGCATCGAATCGAGATAGGTATGCCTCCAGCAACTTCTGGACTTGAGAGAAATCCTTCTCTGTCATTTTGCGGAACCCCTCAAGGCTGGGCTCCTCGTCGAGCTTGTAACGCTCGATCTGCTCTTCCTCAGTGGAGCCGGGGGGTAAGTAAGAGAATCCAACCTCGTACAGTTTAGGCCAGTTGATAGTGCGATGGAAGTAGCGGCAGGTCGCGAACGGTGTAGGTAAAAGAGTACCGCCAGTATACAATGCTTGCCAAATATTTTTCAGGTTGACTTGGCGCGTGATCTCTTTAATCATTACTGGGGCCAAACGTTTGGACCGAAGTTTCTTATGCACACACAGGAAATTAATCTCGACAGCTTCGATTTTGGTACCACGCACAGCCAGCGTTACGGGAGTCGCCGAGATGAAAGCCACTAGCTTGTTACTAGTTTTGGCCCGCACACCGACGCTCCACTCCTTTTTCCACCCAGGGGGCTTGAGGGCCCACTTGAGAAAAGGAACAGAGTACTGGAAACGAAACTGCTCATCGTCGTCCTCGATGTAGTTGTGATATAATAGATCGTAAAGTTCCTCGAGCTCGCTGTCTTTTTCGACATCCAGGACACACCATTCAAAATCGCCAGGAAGTTGCTGAGGCTCCTTGGGTACTTTGTCGACAGTTTTGACTTCAATAACACCATCTTCATTTACAGATTCATTAAATGGCAGCACCGGTTGCGTCTTCCAGAACTTATGTTCGTCCATAGCTTTCGGAGTGTGGCGATCTGGTTTTTGAGAAGCGAGCATTTTCGAAAGGTTCTCAAGCAGCTTGCGTGTGGTCTCAGTATCGCTCGAATCCTTAGCTTTCTTTTCCTCCTTACCAGGCATCCTTAATTAGTGTTGGTCACTTAGGAGTGTGAGGCTTTCAATTAACCCCCACTGTGAAATTGTTAACACCCCACCCGAGCCGAACCTAACCCCGACCAGAGATTTTTTTTGGGTTGGTTTAAATCTTTGAAAGCAGGAAAAAGAAAAATTTCAGATCATTCAATCGTTGTTTGCATCAAATTTGAAAAATGATCTCGGCAACGAAATGGGTTCGCCGCGGCGTCGCTGCAGAATTCCCTGAAAAAATCGAGCTGGATGAGGACGAAATGACCAGAATCTCCAACCTGGCCCGTATGCAACTCGATGATGCCCGGCTGGACCTGGCTGAGGCTGAGGCCCAAGCTGGTGGTGCGATTGGCATTGATGAAGAGGCTGAAGAGAATGGAGAGGCTGAGGAGTCCAACGACGAGTCCACGGAAGAGCCTGTGGAGCAGCCCAAGGAAGCGGCTGATGACGACGATGATCTTGCAGAGTATAATATGGATGATTACGACGATGAGCCCGTCAACACAGCCATGAGCGCTATTGCCAATGTACGTGGCCTTGCGTATCATGCTCCTGATGAGCAGGATCAGTATTTAACTTTGCCTACTGAGCAGGAGCTCGAGGCGGAGCGAGAAGAACTTCAGATTTTACCCACGGACAACCTGATTTTGGCTGCTAAAACTGAAGACGACGTCTCTGTTATGGAGGTTTATGTTTATAATGAAGCAGCTGAGACTGATGTTGCTGCCCTTTACGTCCACCACGACTTTATGTTACCTACTTTCCCATTGTGCCTTGAGTGGCTTCCCTGCAAAGTTGGCGAGACGAAATCCAAAGCCAATTTGGTCGCTGTTGGTACATTTGAGCCCGAGATTGAGATTTGGAACCTGGACGTCGTTGATGGTGTTTTCCCGGTTGCAATCCTTGGCCAAAAGCCAGAGGATGCGAAGATTGTCGCTAAGGGAACAGGTAAGAAGAAGTCGAAGCTGAAGAAAGCCAATGATGAATATCACGTTGATGCGGTTCTTTCGTTGTCTTCCAATCCTCATTTTGTCAACCTTTTGGCAAGTGCTAGCGCAGATACCACGGTTAAATTGTGGGATCTTGAAACCACCAAAGCTGTCAAGTCATTTGGATATCACACCTCTAAGGTTTCGTCCGTCGCGTGGAATCCTTTGGAAGGTACCGTTTTGTTGTCCGGCGGTTACGACCATTATGCCCGGGTTGCTGACCTGCGTTCGGACGATTCTGCTCCTACTGTTCGAAACTTCCGCGTGGAAGGCGATGTTGAGAGTGTTAAATGGCACCCCAATGGTTACGAATTTTTTGCTGGTACTGACCGCGGTGTTGTATACAAATTTGATGCCCGGAAAGAAAGCCAGCCTCTTTGGAAGCTTCAAGCCCATGATAGTGAGATCACATCTTTCGATATCAATGCGTTTGTCAATGATTATATGGTGACTGGTTCAGTTGACAAGTCAATCAAGCTATGGAACCTGGCTGGAGACCGCCCCTCTATGCTTTTGAGCCGTGATCTGGATGTTGGCAAGGTGTTCTCAGTTGGATTCGGCCCTGAGAAGGAGACTGCTGGTCAATTGACCGTCGGTGGTAGTTCAGGAAAGCTCAAGGTGTGGAACACGTTCAGTAACAAGGCCGTTCGCTCACAAATGGCAAAGGACTACCGCTACACAGGAAATGGGGAACAAATCGCCGTCGCTGATGATGGGTTTGAGGATGAGAGCGATGACGATGATAATTAAATTTACGAGTTGATGTCTCGTTTATAGATATTTTAAAATATGTTAACCACGGTGACTTTGAAAATTACCTCTGTTCCGTATTATGCCAGTTGAATTGGTTTCATACGATAACAGTGACTAAATGGAATCTACTACGTCATGGACTGTTTCGGTTAAGTTCGGGAAAAACTTCAAGCTCACCAATGCCAAGTAACGTGCAGCCAAATTTGAGCTATGTTATACTCCCTATCTAATTAGTTTACCCTTGCGAAAACCTAACAAAAGCGTTTGCCCATTGTCTCTCTTTGGCACCTGTTTAATCCCACCTATTGCAAGTGACATATTTTTCAGCATGACGCAGGAGCTCTGAAGGTGGGGGCAGGTGAGCGATTTCGGCCGATAACACCCGATTACGTAACATTTCCAAGACCGCTCTTGAGCGGGGTAGGCGACGAGCGTGGATCGCAGTGACTAAAAGAGCTGGAACAACAAATGATATATTCCAAACAATTGACGCCTACGGCCGACAATGACGCGCTCGTCGCGCTCGCTTATCGAAAACTAGCGTGTTTTGTCATCCTCGCCCGCCAGCATAGAAAGGCGGGCAGAGGGCGCGGAGGCAGGGAAGTAATTGCTTTGTGAAACAGAGGCTATCGGCACCGGGGATACCCCAGAAACACGTCCGGCTGCTAGGGAGTCGTGTGAGAGCGTTCCGAGAACGCTTAAACCACCCTCGAAAATCTGCAGAGACCTGTCCGCATATGCGTCGTCCACAAACCAGCGCCTGTGATTGGCGGATTACTTGCCTAATCAAAGCTCAAATGACGCAGGGCGAGGGTTGTGTGCATGTGGGAGGCGACCTCGGAAGCGAGTCACCGCTGATTATATTACTCCCAAGAGGGCAGCCCTCCCGGTTTTTCTTTCTTGTCTACATCAACTGAAAGTTCGAAACTTACCCCACCTTTCATCGACTTTTCTTTTAATTACGAAATAAATAAAGCCGATGGAGTCTGAGGAATACGTACCTTTCAATTACCAGGAGGGTATCGACAACAAGTCGTGGGCCGGTGCTCTACCCAAGAAGCAGGGTCTGTATGATCCTGAGCTTGAGAAGGACGCCTGCGGTGTCGGTTTCAGCTGCCACATCAAAGGTAAGGTCTCGCACAAAATTGTTTCTGACGCAAAGCATCTTTTGTGCAATATGACCCACCGTGGTGCTGTCGGCGCCGACGCTCGCGACGGTGATGGTGCCGGTGTCATGACTTCCATCCCCCACAAGTTCATGGTTAAGGAGTTTGAGCGTGTAAACAACTTCAAGCTTCCTCCTCTTGGCCAGTACGCGGTTGGCAACGTCTTCTTCAAAAACGACGAAGCCATCCTCAACAATTCTCGAGCTACTTTTGAGCGCATCGCAAAGTCCCTTGGCCTTCGCGTTCTTGGATGGCGTGAAGTTCCCCGAGACTCTTCCATTCTCGGTCCTGCTGCTCTTTCGCGTGAGCCTTTGATTTTGCAACCAATAGTTGTCCTGGAGGCCGCTTATGGTTCTGGCGAAACCCCCCAAGTTGTCGCCGACTTTGAAAAGGAGTATGGAAAGCGCTTTGCTCGCCAATTGTACATACTTCGCAAGCAGTCTACCCATTCTATTGGTCTTCACAACTGGTTCTACATTTGTTCACTGTCTAACAAGAACATTGTCTACAAGGGACAGCTTTCTCCTGTTCAGGTCTACAATTACTACTACGATCTGGTCAATGTGGATTACGAGGTTCACTTCGCGCTTGTCCACTCCCGTTTCTCGACAAATACTTTCCCATCCTGGGATCGTGCTCAACCTCTCCGATGGGCTGCTCACAATGGTGAGATTAACACTCTCCGTGGTAACAAGAACTGGATGCGTGCTCGTGAGGGTGTTATGAACTCTGCTGAGTTCGGCGATATGCTTGATATGCTCTACCCCATCATCGAGGAAGGTGGCTCTGATTCGGCCGCTCTCGATAACGTCCTTGAGCTGTTGACCATTAACGGAGTCTTGTCTCTGCCCGAAGCCGTCATGGTGATGGTTCCCGAGGCTTGGCAAAACAACAAAAACATGGATCCTAAGAAGCGTGCTTTCTACGAGTGGGCCGCTTGTTTGATGGAACCCTGGGACGGTCCCGCATTGTTCACATTCTCCGACGGTCGTTACTGCGGTGCAAATCTCGACCGTAACGGCTTGCGCCCATGCCGTTACTACGTCACTAGCGACGACCGTATGATTTGCGCTTCAGAGGTTGGTGTCATGCCAATTGACCCAGAAACCGTTATTCAGAAGGGCCGCTTGCGTCCTGGTCGTATGTTGCTGGTCGACACCGTCGAGGGCCGCATTGTTGACGATCGTGAGCTCAAGCAGCAGGTCTCTAGCCGTGCAGACTTCAAATCATGGCTCAGTGCTAACTTGTTGACCCTTCCTGACCTGATGGAGCGTATCGAGTCCAAGCATAACATCATCGAACTTGCCCCTCATCTTGATGAATCCACCGTTCAGACCGACCCTCGTTTGAAGGCTTATGGCTACACTTTCGAGCAGGTCACTACAGTCTTGGCTCCTATGGCTAACGATGCTAAGGAGGCGCTTGGATCTATGGGTAACGATGCCGGTTTGGCTTGTCTGACTGTTCAGCCCAAGGTTATTTATGAATATTTCCGCCAGCTGTTTGCCCAGGTCACCAACCCTCCCATTGATCCTATTCGTGAGTCCATTGTCATGTCTCTCGAATGCTACATTGGTCCTCAGGGAAATATGCTTGAGATGAACCCTAAGCAGTGCAATCGCCTCAAGTTGACTAGCCCTATCCTCTCGATTGAGGAGTTTAACGCTCTCAAGCAGTTGCCACAGTTTTATCCCACTTGGACCATCGAATACGTTGATATCACTTTCTCCAGGGCTGAGGGCCCTGCTGGGTATACTCGAGCTCTTGACCGTATCTGTGCCGAGGCTTCTAAGGCTATTGCCAACCACAATAAGGTTGTTGTTCTTTCTGACCGTGCTGCTGGTCCAGACAGAATTGCCGTGTCTTCTTTGGTCGCAACCGCTGCAGTCCACCATTACCTTGTCAAGCAGAAAGAGCGCTCTCACGTCGCACTCGTCACTGAAACCGCTGAGGCGCGTGAGGTTCATCACATGTGTGTGCTTGTCGGTTATGGTGCCGACGCTATTTGCCCCTATCTTGCCATGGAGACTTTGCTTAAACTCAATCGCGAGGGTCTTTTGGCCAACAAGTTGACTTCCCAGCAGGTCATTGACAACTTCAAAACATCCATTGACAATGGTATTTTGAAGGTCATGTCCAAGATGGGTATTTCCACTTTGGCTTCTTACAAGGGTGCTCAGATCTTTGAAATCCTCGGTATCGATAACTCTGTTGTCGACCGATGCTTCACTGGAACTGCTTCTCGTATTCGCGGTGTCGGCTTTGAGTACATTGCTCTCGACGCTATGGCTTTGCACGAGCGTGCTTGGCCCTCGCGGGCTACCATCAAGCCAACCACTCTTGATGAGAGTGGTGAGTACCACTGGCGTGATGGTGGAGAGCCTCATATCAACGAGCCGCAAGCTATTGCCCAGCTTCAAGATGCTGTTCGTAATAAGAACGAGAAGGCTTACGACGCTTATGCCAAGAAAGAGCATGAAGCAGTCAAGAACTGTACTCTTCGTGGTCTATTGGACTTTGACTATGATTCTTCCACTGCCATCCCTATTGATCAGGTTGAGCCTTGGACTGAGATTGTCCGCCGTTTTGTGACTGGTGCCATGTCTTATGGTTCCATTTCTATGGAAGCCCACTCTACTCTTGCCGTTGCCATGAACCGCTTAGGGGGTAAATCTAACACCGGTGAAGGTGGTGAGGACCCTGAGCGCTCGCTTGTCAATGACAATGGTGATACCATGCGCTCTGCTATCAAGCAGGTTGCGTCTGGCCGTTTCGGTGTTACCGCTTATTACTTGTCCGATGCTGATGAGCTTCAGATCAAGATGGCACAGGGCGCTAAACCCGGTGAGGGTGGTGAGTTGCCTGGTAACAAGGTCACGAAGTCCATTGGTAAGACTCGTCGCTCCACCCCTGGTGTTGGTCTTATCTCACCACCTCCTCATCACGATATTTACTCGATTGAGGATCTCAAGCAGCTGATTTACGATCTCAAGTGCTCCAATCCTCGCTCTCGTGTTTCCGTCAAGCTTGTTTCCGAGGTTGGTGTCGGTATTATCGCTTCCGGCGTTGCCAAGGCCAAGGCCGACCACATTTTGATTTCTGGTCATGATGGTGGAACTGGTGCTTCTCGTCTTACTGGTATTAAATACGCTGGTTTGCCCTGGGAGCTTGGTCTTGCTGAGACCCATCAGACCCTGGTTCTGAATGATCTTCGTGGTCGTGTCATTGTTCAGGCTGATGGCCAGCTCCGTACTGGCCGTGATATCGCTGTCGCTTGTTTGCTGGGTGCTGAAGAGTGGGGTTTCGCCACTGCTCCTCTTATTGCCATGGGCTGCATTTACATGCGCAAGTGCCACAAGTCTTCCTGCCCTGTCGGTATTGCTACCCAGGATCCTTATTTGCGTAAGAAGTTTGCCGGTACCCCTGAGCACGTTATCAACTTCTTCTACTATATTACCCAGGAGCTGCGCCAGATTATGGCCCAGCTCGGTTTCCGTAATATTGATGAAATGGTTGGACATGCTGAGAAGCTCAAGGTGCGCGACGATTATCGCAATGTGAAGACCAAGAACATTGATCTCAGCCCATTGCTCACCCCCGCTCACACTTTGCGTCCTGGTGTTGCTACCCACAACATTCGCAAACAGGACCACCGCCTCCATGTCCGTGTTGATAACAAGCTCATCGATGAGTCTGAAATCACATTGGAGAAGGGCCTGCCTGTTCAAATCGACTGCCAAGTCGTGAACACAGACCGTGCTGTTGGTACAACGCTTTCTTACCGTGTGTCTAAGAAGTTCGGTGAGAACGGGTTGCCGGAAGATACGATCCATGTGAACGTTGTTGGTTCCGCAGGTCAGTCTTTCGGTGCCTTTGTCTGCAATGGTATCACCCTTGAACTTGAGGGCGATGCTAATGACTACGTTGGTAAGGGTCTTTCTGGTGGCCGGCTGATTGTGTATCCTCCTCAGAACTCTGTGTTCAAGAGTGAAGAGAACATCTTGATCGGTAACACCTGCTTGTATGGTGCGACTTCCGGTACCGCTTTCTTCCGTGGTATTGCTGCCGAGCGTTTTGCTGTTCGCAACTCTGGCGCAACTGCCGTTGTTGAGGGATGTGGTGACCATGGTTGTGAATACATGACCGGCGGTCGCGTTATCTGCTTGGGTACTACCGGCCGTAACTTCGCTGCTGGTATGTCTGGTGGTATTGCCTACGTTCTCGATGTTGCTCAGGAGTTTGCTCAGAACTGCAACACTGAGATGGTCGTAATGGAGCAGTTGACCGATCCCAAGGAGATTGCATACGTGCGTGGCCTCATTGAGGACCACCGTCACTACACCGGTTCTCCTTTGGCCGCTCGCGTTTTGACCGAGTTCAACCGTATCCTGCCCTTGTTTGTAAAGGTTATGCCCGTTGACTACAAGCGTGTTCTTGAAGAGGAAGAGGCCAAGTTGGCTGCTGCTAAGCGCACCGAGTTTGATTCATTCCTTCATCCATTCAAGGAGGATCCAAGTGCTGATGCCACCAATGGTGAGATCAAACGCATGAAGAAGAAGTCGACCTCGTTCCAGCTTGACCAAGGCCGCCACCTTCCAGACCTGCCCAAGAAGGCTGAGCCTAAGGTTGGTGACGTTGAGGATGCTATTCTCGATGTCAACGCCGAAAAATCTCGTTCTACTACTGCATTGAAGTTGGACAAGACTTGGGGCTTTACCAAGTACAAGCGTCGCAATGAAAAATATCGCAACGCTGTCACTCGCACCGACGATTGGAGTGAGATGAACAACCGTTTGTCTAAAGAGGAGCTCAAGTACCAGACTGCTCGCTGCATGGATTGCGGTGTTCCTTTCTGCCAATCCGAAACTGGATGTCCCGTGTCGAATGTTATTCCCAAGTGGAACGAGCTTGTTTTCAACGACCGCTGGTATGATGCGTTGCAGCGTCTGCTCATGACCAACAACTTCCCTGAGTTCACCGGCCGTGTCTGCCCTGCTCCTTGTGAAGGTGCATGCGTTCTCGGTATTACTGAGGAACCTGTAGGTATTAAGTCCGTGGAGTGTGCTATCATCGACTACGGTTTTGAACAGGGGTGGATCAAACCTGAGATCCCTGAGGTTCGCACCGGTAACACTGTCGCTATTATTGGGTCTGGCCCTGCAGGTCTGGCTTGTGCTGAGCAGCTCAACCGTGCTGGTCATAAGGTTACTGTTTACGAGCGTGCTGATCGCGCTGGGGGTCTGCTCATGTATGGTATTCCCAACATGAAGCTCGACAAGCGTATTGTTCAGCGCCGTGTTGATCTCTTAGCTGCCTCTGGCATCGATTTTGTCTTGAACACCGAGGTTGGCGTTGACATTACCATGGAAGAACTCAAGAGCAGCCACGATGCTGTCGTTGTTGCCGTCGGTTCTACCATTCCCCGTGATCTCCGCATTCCTGGCCGTGAGCTGCACAACATCAAGTACGCCATGGAGCTTCTCAAGTGGAACACTCAAGCTTTGCTCAATGAGACTTTGCCCGAAGTAGCTGAGACTATCCGTGGCAAGAATGTTGTTGTCATTGGTGGTGGTGATACTGGTAACGACTGCTTGGGTACATCTGTTCGCCATGGTGCCAAGTCCGTTACTAACTTCGAGCTTTTGCCTAAGCCTCCTGCTCAACGTGCTCGCGACAACCCTTGGCCTCAGTGGCCCAAGATTTTCCGCGTTGATTACGGTCACGCCGAAGTTGCTGCCCACTACGGTAAGGATCCTCGTGAGTACAGCATCATGTCTAAAGAGTTTATTGGCGATGGAGAGGGCAATGTCAAAGCCATCAAGACTGTCCGGGTTGAATGGAAGCAATCCGAGTCCGGTGCTTGGCAAATGTCCGAGGTCCCCAACTCCGAAGAGATTTTCGAGGCCGACCTTGTTCTGTTGTCCATGGGTTTCGTTGGTCCTGAGGCCAATGATCTTTCTGTTCCTCATGATTCGCGTGGAAACATTGTGGCTCAGGCCACTAACTACCACGTCGAGGACAACGTTTTCGCTGCTGGTGACTGCCGTCGCGGTCAGTCCCTGATTGTTTGGGGCATTCAGGAGGGTCGCCAGTGCGCCCGCAATGTTGATGATTTCCTTGTTGGCTCCACCCGCTTGCCCGGCAATGGTTCCATTGAGGTTCGCAACGTCAAAGACTTGGTTCACTCCTGCTGAGTTTTTATAAATAAATATACACATATCAAATTACATTTGCGTCATTATTACTTTTTTGACTTGTTGAAAGGTAAGATCAGACCTTCTTTTTCACGGTAGAGACGCACACGTTCTGCCAGCAGTTCGCGACGTGCTCGGTTTGCTGCTGGATCGGACATGTAAATAGGCTTGGTAGGCGAGTAGCCATCACAGTCAAGACCTAAATGAGCGCAGACCTGGCAGCTGGGCTTCGCTCTGTCACAAAGCTTGCGACGGACTTTGCAAGTCCAACAGCCAGGCACAGCTCGGCTGCGGCTAATTGTTGCGGGAGGGGTCGAAACCACTAAATCTGGGTGCCGAGTTGTTCGCTCAGCTTTTACGGGCGGCGTTGGAGCAATTACTTCGGATCTGGCTTGGATCTTTTTGGCGAGGTTCTTGCTCCGCTTAACGGGTGATTTCGAAACACCGTTTTTGCGTTTAGGCGGCCGTCCGGGTCGTTTGCGAGGTTTGACGGCCGGAACGTCCTCAGTGAGGTCAGCCAGGTATGCACCAAGGGGAGGGACTTCTTCAGCAGTGAGTTCAGGTTCAGGCTTGTCAGGGTTTGGAGGCGTCAGATGCAGTGAATTTGTGGGCTTCCAAGGGTCCTGCCAAAATGAATAATCATCAAGACCCTCAAGATCGTCACTTAGGGGGAATGCTGGAGGAATGCTGAAGTTGAAGGGCATACTATAACTAGGCACTGTTGGGATCAGCTGCAGAACATCCAATGGTTTCACTCTTAGTGGGGACGGACCAGGATTGAAAACAAGAGGTGTATCAAGCATGATCCCCGGTGTGTGCCCTGCCTCACGCATGATCGGGGTTGATGCTGCGGATAAAGCGGGGGCATCGAGCGATCCCATATCTTGACGCCAAAGACGGGAAGGATCTGGACTAGAAAAGATCGAAGGTAGTCTGAATTCCATTGTTTGGAACAACAAGAGTGTGCAATTCGGTATAAACACCACAAGACTATATAATTTACCACAACAGTGGAAACTCTGGCACCACAATTGAAAAATGTACGATTAGGTGATAGAAGTGCTTCAATTCGAGTTCAAAGCTGCAAGTTTCGCCCCAATTTGGTTTGGCTTTGTTTTCAGCATTTGAAAGTTCAAACCCTCGGCGCTCCCCACACCATGCAAGATCCTGCACATGAAGGGTGATGATATAAGACCCAGCCAGCTGACCCAGCCAGCTGTCACTTGGACTTGACATTATGAGCCAAATGGAACTGGCCAAGGAGTTGGATAAAAAGTTCCCTAGTTTGAAGGAAGACTTTGAGATCCCTACTTTCAAAAGTGCAGGTATCAAAGACTCTGATGAGCAACTAATCTATCTTTGTGGTAACTCTCTGGGTCTCATGCCCCGGGCCGTTCGAGATGCAATCAACAAAGATCTCGATGCCTGGCAAAGCCTGGCTGTTTTAGGCCATGGTAAAAGACCAGATGGATCCAATGGCTGGATGGAGGCTGTTGAAGAAGCCAATCCTATTTTGGCCGAGCTGGTTGGTGCCAAAGAAGACGAAGTGGCCTTCACCGGCACTTTGACTTCTAACCTGAACCAGCTTTTGGATACTTTTTACCGGCCAGAGGGGGAGCGTGTAAAGCTTCTTTTCGAGGACAAGGCCTTCCCGTCGGATAACTATTGTTTCCAGAACCAGGCCAGGCTCAAGGGTCAAAATCCTGATGAAGTGCTGATTCGTGTCGAACCCCGAGCCGGTGAAGCATTCCTGCGTAACGAGGACATTGTTGAAATAATCGAAAAGCAAGGTCACGAAGTTGCCGTTTGCATTTTCTCCGGAATCCAATATTACACAGGGCAAAAGTTTGACATCCCTGCGATAACTGCTGCCGCGAGAAAGGCCGGCTGTATTGTGGGGTGGGATCTTGCCCATGCGACAGGCAATGTTCCTTTGAAATTGCATGATTGGGGAGCTGATTTTGCAGTGGGATGCAGCTACAAGTATTTGAACGGTGGCTCCGGAAACATGGGATTCTTGTTTGTTAACAATAGACACTTTGGCGATGAGGAACTTGCTCGCCCCGCAGGCTGGTGGGGTGTTGGTCTTGATACACGGTTCAAAATGGAGTGGGAGTTCCGGCCAATTCGTGGTGCCAGAGGGTTCTGCCAGTCTTGTCCTAACTGGGCGGCCGCACCCTGCATTGTACCCTCGCTCAAGCTGTTTAGGAAAGCTGGAGGAATTGAGCAGTTACAGGCCCGCAGCAAAAGCCTGACCGGCCTGTTTGATAAGATGCTGCGTGCCTCCAGTCACTTTGGCAAAGACTTTGAACTTCTCACTCCAAGCGACCCGGATCAACGTGGGTCCCAGCTGACCCTGCTGTTCCGCCCAGGTATCATGCCTATTGTGTTTGATGAGCTTGTCAAGGCTGGCATTGTGGGTGATGAGCGCAATCCCGATGCGATCCGACTGGCTCCCACTGCTCTTTACAACACCCACGTCGAGGTTGTCCGAACTGTAGAAACACTAGAGCGCATTCTCAGTAATCTGTGATTTTTGCGTATAAACTACATAAACAAACCTAATCAGAATCGGAATCAGAGGAGCTATCCAAAGTGACATTTTGAATGCCCTCAGGGTTGCGCTCACGCCACTGCTTGATCCAATCCAAAATACGGTCGACGTTCGACTGGACCTCCTCGATCTTGTTCGACTCGAGCGGCACGATAATTTCCTCATCAAAGGACTCGCGAGCGTCGTTCAGAATAACCTCCATAATCTCGGCGTCGATGTTCTCCTCGATCTTCTTGCCTTCATAGTCGCGGGCCTTGAGACGGTCGTAAAGAATGGTGTTGTCGCTGCGGAGGACAATCACAAGGTCGATAAGGCGCTCAGGGAACACGTCACAGCAATGCCAGTCAATGATGTTGTTGCCCTTCTCCAAGTCGTCCTCCAAAAAGTCCAGCAGCTTCTCGTCGTCCACAATTTGTGAATTGCGCTCCTTGTCGAATCCAGCATACAGGTTGTTGGCTTTGGCCAGCTCGTTGACGTCAACAAGCTTCAGACCGCTATCTTGTTCAATTAGTAGCTGAGCATGACTAGACTTTCCGGTACCGGGCGTTCCGGTGATAATGATGTTGACCTGGCGCTTTAGGGTCATATTGGTGTGCTTCCTAAGTGTGTTTGTTACAAGGGTTGTGTGTGGGTGCCTGGACAAAGTGCTTGGCCCCAGCCATTAGACAGGGTAAGGGTAAGCCTCTTGGTGGGCTAAAAAGAATTATCTAAACAGGTTTTTTTTTTTTTTCCAAACCGACCCGAGTCAATATGCTTCGTAGACAAGCAAGACAAAGAAGAGAATATTTATACCAGCGGTCGCTCAAGCTGCAGGACAGCGTTGTTGCGAAAAAGCGCCAAATGCTCCGGGCAGCTATCGAATCAGGCCGTGAACTTCCCAAAGAACTGGCAGACGATGAAGACCTGCAGGCAGACTTCAAATTCGACCAATCTCTCAAGGAGGATGTTGACGACGAGTACAGCGAACTAAGTGGTATCCAGGATCCCAAGGTGGTTGTCACGACAAGCCGTGATCCGTCGGCAAGGCTGGCTCAGTTTGCCAAAGAGGTGAAGCTGCTTTTCCCCACAGCTGTGCGGGTGAACCGTGGTAATTCCGTATTGCCGTCGCTGGTTGGTGCTTGCCAGCGCTCGGCCTCAACAGACCTCCTGCTCATCCACGAACACCGCGGTGTCCCCACAGCGTTAACTGTTTCTCACTTCCCTCACGGCCCAACCGCCCAGTTCAGTTTGCACAATGTGGTTTTGCGTCATGACATCTTGAATGCTGGCAATCAAAGTGAAGCTTACCCACAACTTATTTTCGATAATTTCACCACCCCGCTTGGCCAGCGTGTGGTTACTATTCTGAAGCATTTGTTCCCTCCTGGAGCCAAAAAGGACTCGTCCAGAGTGATCACTTTTGCCAACCGCAATGACTACATCAGTGTCCGCCAACATGTATACGTTCGAACCCGTGAGGGTGTTGAGCTTGCTGAGGTCGGTCCTCGTTTTGAAATGCGTTTGTACAACCTCAAGCTCGGAACCATTGACAACAAGGATGCTGATACGGAATGGCAGTATAGAGGCTTTGTTCGCACCGCCAACCGCAAGGACTATTTGTAAACGTATTTTGATGATTTATTTAGACTTTAACGGAGTTCGCCTGAGGCCCTGTGTTCCCTGTTTCTTCAAGGTTCTGCTTGAGACGTTCTAAACAGCGGCTTGAGTCCATCCAAGCTGGAATCGAGAGCCGCTTCATTGCGACGTCAGATTTGGTTGCTGTCCGCGCAATGGTATCCCAGTTAATTGAGGAAACGTTGAGGAGCTTCAAGTTTTGTTCAGGAATATCTGGCTCAGGCGTTGTCTTGCCAGAGTCAGTTGAGGGAACGACCGCATCGCTCAGCTTGTCCACACAATCATCAAAACTTCCATCATCTGAGATCTCCTCAATACTCGGCATTTTATCAAGATTTAAGGAGTGGCCGGAATGAGAACTAGCGGGGCTATGGTCGGGACGGAAAAAAATAGGCTGGGGCCGTTCACGAAGAACCGGCTGTAAGCATTCGATATCGGTCTCCACACAACTAGTGTCTGAGCCACTGCTGGCATTTTCGTCAACCATTTTGCTCATCATCTGTGTAACCTGTGTCTTGACAACTTGTTCAATATATGAACAAGTCTCTGCACTCAGTGGAAGCGATGCGATTGAGGAGGCAGGTGAAGCGGGGGAACGAGGAGATGAGCGGTGGTCCGGTCTCAAAAATACTGGTTGTTGGACACGCCGGCTGTGTTGGGACAGCGGCGATGGTGTGCTTGGGGCATGGGGTCTGTACCGCGGCTGCGAAGCCCCCGTGGCTGGTCCTAAACTTCTGACATATTCCCACCCGTGAGCAGATTTCTCAGGGGGGATTGAATGAACCCAAGAATAGCTTGACGTTTCGGGGTACGCTACAGAGCAAGCCTTAGCTTCAACCTGAGACAAATACTCAGGGCTCTGTGACTCCTTGCTACGCTGTTTCCGAGAAAACAAATGTAACCGTTTAATATCCTCGAAAGCGTTGCTTAATCCCAGTTTTACCATTTACTTGGCCAGAAAAGTGTGTCTCCATGCAGCTCACCGTCGCCCTTTTATTTCGGATTAACTCCGCAGGTTCATGCAAGGCGATAGAGGAAGGTGTACCGTCGTGCATTAAAGTTGCAGAAACGGGATGTGGTGATTCCGGCAATAGGAAATTCACGCCACAAAGGAAAACGAAGATGCTTTTCAAGGCCAAAATTATTTATATGCCTATAGGGCAACTAGGAAGTTACAACATAAGCTGAAGAGGGTTCTCAATAACCTTCTTGAGAGCCTTCATCCATTCGGCACCAACAGCACCATCAACAACCTTGTGATCAAAAGAGGCAGTAACGGTCATAACGTCATCGAATGAGATGCCATTCTCGGACTCGGGGTCTTCAATAGCGCGACGCTCGACAGTGCCAACAGCAAGAATAGCCGCCTGAGGCGGATTGATGATAGCAGTGAACATGCTCACGGCAGGGTTCATGCCCATGTTCGAGATGGTGATAGTACCGCCCTGGTACTCCTCGGGCTTGAGTTTTCCATCACGCGCACGCTTAGCGAGCTCCTTGGTCTTGGATGAGATGGCAGCAAGGCCGAGTTGGTTGACGCCAGGAACCACCGGAGTAATAAGTCCAGTAGGCGTGGCAACGGCGACGGAAACATCAACGTTATCGTACTCGCGAATGACACCTTCAGCCTCCAAGTAAGCAGAGTTCACGGCAGAGACCTTCTTGCTAGCGATGGAAATAGCCTTGACAAGCAAATCATTTACAGAGAGACGATACTCACCGTCTGAAGAAGCATTGAGAGACTCACGCAGCTGCAGAAGCTTGCTCACAGACACCGTGCTGGTGACAATGTAGTCGGGGTTGATTTGCTTAGACTCGCGCAAGCGGTTGGCGATGGTCTTACGCATAGAAGTGATTGGAGTATCCGTGTAACCGTTTCCAGCCGCAGGAGCAGCAGACGCAGCAGCGGGAGCAGCAGTCTTCGAAGCGCTGGTCGAGGGCGTAAAGTTCTCAACGTCGCGAGCGATGATACGGCCGTTGGGGCCAGTGCCCTTAACGTCGGCCAAACGGATTCCCTTGTCGAGGGCAAGAGTCTTGGCGTAAGGAGAAGCTAAAACACGGTCAGAGGAAGAAGATTCCTCGGCAGAGGACTCAGACTTCTTGGGCTCAGACTTGGTCTTGGGCGCAGGATCAGACTCGGTCTTTTTAGATTCTTCTTCAGCAGCAGGAGCAGGGGCAGCCTTCCCAGCATCACCAGCATCCTCCAGAGTAAAGTCCTTGAAAGCTGCAACATCGTCAGCGTTTTCAACGTAGACACCAATGGCACGGCCAACAGGAACGTCCTTAGCACCTTCGGGGACAAGAATCTTAGCCAAAAAGCCCTCCTCTTGGAATTCAAAGTCCATAGTGGCCTTATCAGTCTCGATCTCGACCAGGACGTCGCCGGGGGCGAGCTCGTCGCCCTCAGCCTTTTTCCAGGCACCGACGTTACCCTGGGTCATGGTAGGAGACAAGGCAGGCATATCAATTACCACATGAGACGGGAAAGCTGGAAAGTTAGTATATATGAATCTTAAAATCCTTTGGATGGCCACAATGGCCGTCCTGGCGATCGCCGCTACGCCGTGCTGGCCACAACTTTGACAGATCGGTAAAATCAGGTGGGGAACAACTTACATTTTGAAGCAAACAGACGAATGAGCTGGGGGCTTACACGAGCCATCTGCAGGGTTCTGGTCGCAGCAGAAGCTCGGATCAGTCGAGCAGATTGCACAAAGGCGGACATCTGGTAGTAAGGAATCTCGAAAAGATTGGTCCCTTGCCCACTACGTTGGGGAGCACCGGTGGTCGGGCAAAGCCCTTACCCTTGATCAACCACAAGTATTTACTGGCATGGAGAGGTTCGTTGGATGAATTCGATCAGTGCTAAATAGTGTTATGCTAAGAAATAGTCCAGGCCTATTTTTGGTAGTCCCTTCGATGCGTTGAGGTTCCCGTACTCTGCTTCTTCCGGCCAGTCTACTAAAATGCCCTTTTTATCCAGCAGGTCCCGTGCAGTGGCCCAGGAGTAGCGGACAAGCGGGCCCCAGCCGAACAGCTTGTCCACATTATCGTTCAACCATCTCACTGTATTCGGATCAGAGGGATAACCCGAGCCGCAGTTTGTTACTTGAGCTTGTAGTGAAAAATCTCGTGTGACTTTCGCGCAGATCGATGCACAGCTTACGATAGGGTACTTCGAGTCGGCTTTTTTGGCAACGGTTATTATGGGACCGGGGAACCGTGCGCTCAGTTTGCGCTGGTACTTGTCAGGTGGGCCAACCGTATCGACATAAATTTCCGCTACTTCAATTCCGGCATCGAGCACTTTTTGGATCAGGTCCATCGTTGTGTCATGCGCCTGCTCGTTTAGGTTATAGGGCATGCCTGGTTTGAGCATCCCCGCTGAAATGTCGACTGCGGTCATGATGGTTGTGGCCCAGCCAACATTGTCCTGTAGTTCAGGGGACGTACACACTTGCTGCAATAATTCCTCTCGGCGTTCAGCAGTCAACACTTTAGAGTCGTCGAAACCAACTTTGGCAAGACGCGTTTTGAAAGAAATGGGACAGTAGGCTATACCATAGACCATAGGCCCCAACACCGGACCGCGACCGGCCTCGTCGACACCTAGTACAACAGGCTCCTTAATTGGCGGGCTATGGTGATAAGTGAATGTTTTCAGTATGTCTGAAGCCGGCAGTGATGGAGGCTTCCAATCTGCCATGGTCAACGCGACTTAGTCAGGGTGAGCGCTATATACATATATTATTTACACAAATTATTGACGACCTATTTGGTTGATCCCGCCGAAAGTTAAGACTTGATGGATTCGATCACTTCCTGTCAAAAGCATAACCAACCGATCGATTCCCAGACCCCATCCGCCAGTTGGTGGAAGACCCCACTCCATAGCCTGAACGTAGGGTAGATCAGCGACGGTTTCTAGACCCTGTTCCTTTGCTTGCTGCTTGAGCATCTCAAGTTGCTGCTCAGGATCGTTCTGTTCTTCGTAGGCGTTGACGTACTCCCGTCCGTTGATCATTAATTCGAAACGATGTGAAATCTGCCGAACTCGTCCGTTGATCTCAACACTACTTTGTTTTGCAAGTGGTGCCATTATAGCCGGATGGTTGATGATGAATGATGGGCTGATGCATTTGCTTTCAATAAAATGCCCACAAAGTCTATCTAGGAGCCTAGACTCTGTACCATCAACATCCAGACCATGCTCTTGGAGAATAGGTATCAGGTTATCTTTTGTGAGCTCAGCAGGTAAGGGATACCCCAATTCAGTTTCGATAGTTTCAAAGTAGTCGTAAACTGGCCATTCCTTGACAGATAGTATGCGGGCATTTTCTAGATATTCTGGAAAGCGACTCGTGACTGTTTCAGCAGTGGACACTAACAGCTCTTTGGTCAATTCCATAAGATCGCGTAGATTTGCAAATGCCATGTAGAACTCACACGTTGTAAATTCTGGATTATGTGTAGCGTCAATGCCCTCATTTCTGAACGATGGCCCAATCTCAAATACTTTGTCAAACCCCCCAATCACCAACCTTTTGAGCCATAGCTCAGGTGCAATACGGAGGCTAAGGTCCTCTTCTGTTACAAATGGAGTAGCGGTTGCACCGCCAGTTTGGTGTGACAGAATCGGGGTCTGGACATGGACAAACCCTCTGTCACGAAAAAAAGATTGAATGTGTGCGATCGCGGTATCGCGTGCCCTTAAGACCTGCCTCGCATCAGCAAACGATTTAAGTTCGGCAACTCTGTTATGTTGACGAACAATGCTCCCCGTAGTAGCGTCTAAGGGAGGATGCAAACAGGGTGAGAGTAAGGTTACGGGACCACTTGCCAACAGAGATAGTTCGCCAGATTGTGTACGCCAAGGTCTGCCACACACAGCAACTGAATCGCCAGGCCGCAGCAATTTTTGGTTATCCTGGTCGTTTTTCGAAAGCCCAGCCTTTTTAGCATTGACTACGACCTGAATCTTCTCCTCATCATTAACCACATCCAAGAACAATAATCCACGACCAGCCGCCCTGACACCCTGGATGCGACCCCTTATTTCAAACTGCGGTGTTTCAAGCGTTTGGGTGTGCTCGATATCCTTGAAGGTTTCCTTTATTTGTGCTAAAGGCAGTAAAGGTGCTCTTGGCGGAGGCAGGACCGGATACAGGGCGGATCGTCGGGGGTATTTTGCTAGCGCGTCATTACGTTCCTCAAAAGTAAACGTGAATTTGCGCGACTGTTTAATGCTACTATTCGAAAAAGGTCTACTTTTGGGCCAGTATACACACTTTTTCCAAGCTTGCACCATTTGTCATCTGCCAGTGTTTTCGATCTCATTGTTACTGAAATGTCGTTCGCTCAGGCACTGGTTAAAACACTGAGCCCAGACCCCTATGGCGAAAGCGGCATTGAAAAGATAATTGCACGTCGGCGTAGCAAAGGACTTGGTGTGGATATACTTTTGGGGCCCAATGACGCGCCAAAATACCCGCCCAGAGGTACCGAGGAACGGGTTCAATTGATTCAAAAAATTGAGTCGAATTTACCGTCAAGAGCATCACAGACACGAGCCATCTACTACTTATTACTTGATTATCCAGTTGAAGCAACCAACAACGAGTCTGTTGCTGCTTATTTCTCCAGTGAAATCAAACCCAGCCATGTCCAGACCCGGTTCGTTCAGGGACTTTGGCACCTTGACCACAACGAGCTTGAGCAGGCACTAGCATGTCTATGTGAACCATGGGAGGCGGAGGTTGCTAACAGCAGTGACTTCTATGCGTTCATTATGTCTGCATTAGCACCCGAGCCTCGGTTGTTGACTGCATTTATCGATGCAAAACAGCCCCCGCTCGACACAGAAGCCATGAACGTTTATGTTGATGCCTTGGCATCTCAAGGCCTCACTTTTGAAATCCTACAACTGAGCCGCACTCATAGAACATCTGAGCCGCTAAAGCAGCTCGGCCAATTTGCTTCAAACACATCTAATCGCCAAGCTGCGCTCTCAGTAGCTCAGCTACCTTGTGACGCAGATGAATGGCTAATTGTTCAAAACGAACTGGATAAGGCAATTGAAAAAGATGCAGACGGGCTTGCTGGCGAGCTTACAATGGTCAGAGCAATTCACACGGGCGATTTGCCCACGATTAGTCGCATGAAGCGTCTCACAGATAAATATGCACTAATTGCCAAGGGCACAGCAGAGTTGTAAATTGGTAAAAAGTTATCAACTAATTAGTAGGTTCAGGAAGGGGTTCGGGATGAGGAATTGCGGCGACAGCTGCCTTGATCGCGAGCCAAAGAGCATTGTCGGTGCCACTAGGCACCCAATTGTCGATTCTGACTTCAACCGACATTGTGATGTCCTGAATATAGCGAGATACCTCATAGCGACAACGTAAAAAGAGAGCATAAAGCACAAACTGACGCCATACCTTCTTGGGAGCACCCAATACGGTCAAGATCAAAACGATCAGCTGGCCGAACTCGACCTGTGCAGCAAACTTGGTGAACGGCTCTTTGTACTTCTCCACGACGTAGTTGATGCGCTGAGCAAGCCCACGCGGAGAAGTAGCATACATTGCCGGCAGCAAATAAGAGCGGTCACAAGTCAAAGCATGGAAGAACGAGAGAATGGCGAACGGTAGAGAGGCAAAGTAGCGCTCCTTGGTGAACAGCCACACGCCGGCCAGGTATAAATATTGCACGCTCTCATCACGGGGACGGATTTCATGGGGAAACTGACCGGTCGTGTATTTCTGATAGACAACGAGTCCCAAAGCAGCAGAGGCTGCCACAAAAACACCCCTGTACAAGAACCCAGGGAGGGGGCCATCAAAGACTAAGAAGCGGAGAACCATGTATGCCATGGTGAAAGTAACAACAGTGACATGGCTGATTGTGCAAGTCAATTCGGCCAACTTGGCTTTAAAACCAAGGGGTTTAGCGTCCTCGGCTTTGGCTTGCGGCGTGGACATTGGTTAGCAACTATTTGGTAGGTTTGGGAACAGGTCCGGGAATTGCGGCGACAGCTGCCTTGAACTTGAGCCAAATATCTTTGGCGGGGCCAGCAGGCACCAAATTGTCAATTCTGACTTCAACCGACTTTACGGCGCCCTGAGTGTAGCGAGATACCGAGTAGCGAGAACGGAAAAAGACAACATAAAGCAGCAATTGAATCCATGTACCCTTGCGAGCACGCAAGGCCGCCAGGATCAAAACGATCAGCTGGCCGAACTCGACCTGTGCAGCAACTTTGGTGAACGGCTCGTTGTACTTCTTCACGACGTGGTCAATGCGCTGAGCAAGCTCACGCGGAGGAGTAGCATACATTGCCGGCAGTAAATAGGAGCGGGCATAAGTCAAAGCATGGAAGAACGAGAAAATGGCGAACGGTAGAGGGGCAAAGTAGCGCTCCATGGTGAACAGCCACACGACGGCCAGGTACAAATAGTGCACGCTATCATCACGGGAAAGGATTGCAGGAGTAAGCTGACCGGTCGTATATTTCTGATAGACAATGAGTCCGAAAGCAGCAGAAGCTGCCACAAACACCATCTTGTACAGGAACCCAGGGAAGCGGCCACTGAAGAAGAGGCGAAGAAGCATGTATATCATGGTGAAAGTAACAACAGTGACATGGCTGGCGTACCATTTGAACTCGATTGTGCGAGTCAATTCAGCCAACTTGGCTTTAGAATCATGGGGTTTAGCGCCATCGGCTTTGGCTTGCGGCGTGGACATTAGTTATGACTTACAACTCCCAGCTGAGTTCTGTGGTTTTGGAGCTGTTCCGCGTGGGGCCGGTTCTTCGACGGGTCTGAACCTAACCCAGATCTGGAGGCAGCGCACGCCTGAGTGCCCAGGGAAAAAGTTACGATTTTTTGTTTATTTTCATATTTGCCATAATATATATTTGGGAAAAAAATCAGCGATTAAAAACGTTGGAGGGGGGATCTTAGAACTTGAACTTCCGGCCCTTCTTGTCGTCGCTCGATGGAACGGTAGCGGGCACGGGAGGAGCTTGAGCCTCCAGTTTGGCTTTGCGTGCCTCCAATTCTGCCCGCTGTCTTTCGAGCTGTTCCTTGATTTCCTTATGACGTGCAAAGAGATCTGCCTCGCTCTTCTTAAGTTTCTGTTCTTTCTCGGTAACCTTCTGTTGGAAAACAGCGCGCATCTCAGCTTCCATTTTAGCCAAGCGCTGCTCGTGCATTGCTCGTTCCTCCTCTTGACGCAGTGCAGGGTTAACTTCTCTGAAAACAGTGGAGTCCTGCTGGATGCCCATGCTAAGCATCTTCTGCGTACGGTAATTCTCATAGAGAGCGTTGGCCGTGTGCTCCCGGAGGTCTTCAAGATGGCTTCGCACGAGCAGTGATCGAAGCTTTACAAAATCACAATGCTCTTCATTGTCAACCTCAACAACACCCCAAGGATACTGGCGGCCACGAACGTTCCGGCCGTCCGGCGTAGCAACCAGTTCGGTAGATCCAATTACTGCAAAGGGGAATTTTGCAACAAGCTCAGCCGTTTCAGCCTGAGTTTCTTCATCATCGTCAGAATAGCGGGGTGGTTGGAAGATCTGGATCCCCTGATAAGCAATGTCAGTTCGAATCGTATTCTTAAACTGCTCCAGCTCGGCCTCGGTAAGAGTGTCCGATTTCGCGATGACCGGAATCAAGTTGACCTTCTGGTGTAGCTTGCGCATGACGTTGATATCCAATGGTTTCAGAGAATGACCAGTTGGTTCGATAAAGTAAAGACAAGCATGCACACGGTTGTCGGGAATACGGGAGCGGTTGACAGAGTTTTCAGCCTCCAAGTACTGGTCGTAGCGGCCATCGATTTCGTCAATAATGGGCTTCCAAGAGTTGCTGTTATTGACATAGTCGCCAAATCCTGGCGTGTCGATAACAGTAAGGCGTAGTTTGACGCCGTTCTCCTCGAGGTCAGCCGTGAACGGCTTGATGTCAACAGTGGACTTCAGGTCGCCGTCAGCTCGAACAGCAGACTGACTATCACCTCCTTGCAGTCTTGTTTCAAAAAGCGTTGTTAGCAGTGTAGTTTTACCCAGGCCACTTTCACCGACAACCATAACATTCAGGTTGAATCCTCTTTGAAGACTCTTTTGGTGCCACTGCTGAGGCAGGTTGCTGAAACCAACGAACCCGTTGAGCTTGCGACGAATAACAGATGCTTCAGTGGTAACACTTAGAGCACCTCCGTCGGGGCCATTGTGATTACCCGCCTGGGCGACCGCAACGCTAAGCGACTGAGCGTCGGCTACAACATCTTCACGATCAAGCTCACCATCGAGGGAGGGTACTTGGTGCGGGTGGAACCCGTTTGCTACACCATTTAATTCGGCTGCGGTTAGTATTCAGGTCATATGTTCGTCAAAGTTGTCGATCTTGAGTTGCGGACTCGGCTGCGCTTTCATGAGCGCGCAACCGCTCAAATAGACGAGATCAGGCGCACCTCTAATCCGGGGATCTCGACCAAAAGCCCTCGCATATTTGCGCGCAATTCAACAATAGATGTGTTCACTTACCTAGTCCTGTTGCCATGGTATGGGTAATGACGATACGTGCTGATGAAGGACGCGTTTCAGTAATTCAGACCCAACTTGAACCCTAACCTGGTTAATGCCCAAGCCCTTTGCCAGAATAATGCGAGGAGAGAACTAAATAAACGGTTAACAAAATATATGGCTACTTATCCGAGTCAGTTTTGGGCTTTTTAGGCGCATACTTGTCAGTAGCAGGCGCGGCACGTTTCGGTGCCTTCTTTTTTCGCGCCAATGTGCTGATATCTGTAGCCCCAGAAAGCATTTTATCAATAGCTCCGGCCATGGCATCGCGACCAATTAAATTGCTGGCAGCTGTGGCAACCGCGTCTCTATTTTCCTTGCTGGCCTTAATTTCCTGTTCAAAATCGTGTACTTTCTGCTCGAGCTCCTGGATGGTTTTCTCATCGGTCTTCACTTTCTTTGCAATATCCAATGCCGCCTTCAGATGCTTCAGGGCCTTTTCAGAGTCTTCAGCACTTTCTGCCTTGAACTCATATGCCAAACCGAGCATATAGTTGGCCTCCGAAAGCTCTTTTGATTCTTTATCGTGCAGCTTCTCCTTCAGCTGGAGGGCAGATTCGAAATCTTCGGCAGCCTGTGCATAATTGTCGTCCTCAATTGCAATCTCGCCTAAAAGAGCGTAGCTATTTGCCAGTTTGAGCTCTACGTCGCGTCCACCATCAGGTAGCTGTTTCTCGAAGAGCACCCGACAAAGATCAAGAATACGCCAGGCGGCTTCAAAATCAGACTCTTCTTCTTCTTCTTCTTCTTCGGCAGCGGGACCTTCTTGATCTTCGTCGCCCTCGTTCGTTGCATTGTCCTCAGCAGATGACTCGGCTCCTTCGACGCGTCCCTCTTCCTCTTGATCTTCTTCTTCCGCTTTCTCGTTCTCTTTCTCTTCCTCTTCATCAGCCTCAGGAGCAAACGAAAAGGCTTGGTTTTCTTCTTCCGGTTGCTCTACTGGAAGCTTGTTCTGGTCCACGGCCTCTGAGTTCAAGAGAGTGGAGTTGGCGATGGCGACTTGAAAAAGAGAATTGCCATACTCGTAAAGCAAATCAGGTGATTCTTCTCCGTGCTTCTCCGCATAACTAGCACAAGCATCTCCAAAAAGCTCTACCGCTTGCTCATAATCTTTCGTGGCGTACGCCTTTTTCGCAGAGCTAATTAAGGTATCCATGATTACGCGCTTCTTGGGCGATTGGAACTTATATAGCTGAAAAAAAAAAGCCAATTCTAAAAAGATGACTACGGAAGCAGTCTAGTGGATCTCAATTTGAACTTGTAGCATTCCTTTCAACCTCTATAATTATAAAATATTGAGTCTATTAGAGCCTTACCGCCGCTGTCCCAGATCTCTTCTGATCACATAATGGCTGGAGAAAAAAGACGACGGAAGAAGGTGAGAACAAACGACGCTTCATGGTCATCGTCGTCTGAAGATGAGATGGAAATTGATAATTCCAAGGAGATAGTACAGCGTGAAGACGAAATTAGCGAGCTGTCTGACTCTGATTTCTCTCAGCCGTCTGATGAAGAGCCTTCACATCAAGAGGAGAACCCGAGAACTCTGATCCATAAGGCTCCCGCGGCACCAGCCTCTGAAGATTTCAACCAGTTTCTTTTGAATATGGTCACTTCAGAATTCGGCGATGACTTGGAAGCCCTTCGCAAAGCCAACGACTTCGGGCCAGGATCTATTGAGCTGCTGATCTCTGGTCTTAAACAGGGCGTGAATATTTTCTCTCCTGAACAAAGAAAAATGCTTTTGGCAGACAAATAACCTTAATATATTGTGAAATGATACAGTTATGCTAGTTCGTTGTTTCCGATGCTTGCGTCCGAAAGAGCCTTGCGTAGTGAGATAGCAAACTCTTTACGAGCTGATTCCTCGTTTGTGCCTTGCCATACTTGTACCACCTCTTCCATTTCTTGAACAAGCTTGTCTGCTTCTTGCCATTTCTTCTCCTGGATCAACCGGCTCAATTTGAAGTCTACTTGGGTTTCATCGAGCTCCTGTGCCTTCGCAAGACACTCGGCAACTTCCTGCATTCGTTTTTTGACCAAACTGAGCTCAGAAAGCTTTTTCAACGCATCACTTTTCAGGGCGGGAGACACTCGGCTGGACACTTCCGCAAGTACCCTAGTTTGCTCGCTGTTAAACAAATCTAGATCACTTTTTAGCATATCAGTTTGAAATTTTATGCGCTTCTCCGACTTTTTTAGATCATTGAGCGACTTTTCCAGCTGGGCCATCACATCTTGTAGATGGGTGTCTATCTTGGCCATTAGGTCTACAGAAGCCGTGTGCAGCCCGGCAAGATCATCCACCTTGCAACCATCTAAGGCTATATCAATTGCACCATGCGACACCAACCCAGGGTCTTTGAAAAACTCCACCAGTTCCAGAGCACTGGCTTCCCTGGGAATGTTCATGTTGTAAGCGACGGCCGGCTAGCGGGATAACGCAGTAGTATTGTATGCATTTATGAATTTATACTTTGATTTATAAAGAAGACGCTGTTATTTTTGTTGGGTGATTTCAAAATTTGTTCTTAGGGTCAATTCTTGGTGGTCCCTTTAGTATAAAAGAACCACCGGGACTGATGCTCTCTATGAGATCTTCCACTGTGAGTTCCAGTACGCAGAAAACAATCAGGGACGTCTGTATCACCAGAGTTTTGGCCATTGACGAGTCCGAGGGTAAAGGCGACCACATTAGTATCAACAACAACACTGTAGATGTGTTGGCTCCAACAAAGGATATACGGCGGAGGTTCAAATTTGACTATGTTTCTGTGCTGCCCGATCTAAAGTATTGTGTGCATGCAGCCGAGTTGATACAACTGAATCAAAGTGTTGTCTTTATCGCATTCGGAGACCTCCTGGGTAGAAGCCGTATCGAGCCACTTGTGAGACACTTCAAGTCGCAACTTTCCTTTCCGTTAAGAGTATCAGTTACTAGAGTACACCCCGACAGAATTGAAAGTTTTGAAACGGCAGAAACTGAACGAAGGAGCACCCGTCGGTCTTCACAGACAACTGCGTGTGAGCTATCTACATGTGACAGCATAGAGGAGTGGCTGGGGCCACAAGGATATAGAGAGTTCCACCTCATAGTGACATTCGAGACTCTGCAAGGAGCCAAAGTAACGTTTGTTGAGGTGTCTTCGGCTCAGCCGAATCAATTGTCTCCCTCGAAACAAGAGATATTTGTGAACACCAGTTTATCCACTTTAGTCAATGTTTTGCGCCAAATCAATGAGGAGAAAAAGCATATTAGCTTTCGCGATTCCAAATTGACTATGGCGCTCCAGAAACCAATCCAAGAGTGCTCAGAGATATACTTTGTGGCGTTCATAACCAGCTCTTCCAGCCATACCAAGGAAACTCTAAGCACTCTTGGATACGTGCAGTCACTTTGCGACGAACCATACAATACTGTGGCAGTTGTTACTCCTGAGCGTGAGAATATTCGTGAGACCTTTCACAGTCTTGAAGAGAAGATCAAGTTTTGGCGTCAGCGGGCCTCTTCTGTCCAGGCTGAGAGTCAATTGAAAACATTGAGTCTCTCTGGACCTCATTCGGCTCCTGCTAGTCCTTTGGCGTTGCGATCAAAGCCATCATCGGATGAAGTGGACTGCCTCAGAGCACAAGTTATATACTTGAGGGCGAGACTCAAGCTATACGAGCTGCGTGCAGCTAAACAGAAAAAACAGAGAGCTAAAACAAAAGCCTTTGTTTATATTGCCATCCTGTGTCTTGTACTATGGCTATTACTGTCACCCATTTAATATGTAAAAAAAAAGGATATACACCCACGGCGGGACTCGAACCCGCAATCTTCAGATTAGAAGTCTGACGCGTTAGCCATTACGCTACGCGGGCATGATTTCACGTAATGACGATTGGTTACCAATTATACGGCTACCGCGAAAAAGCAGGCCCACTAAGTATGGACAACGTGCACAAATTAATCTGTATATTTCTCTGTGGTTCACTGTTCGAATTCGCTACCACCAGGTTGATAAGGAATTCCGACGTGGGTCCTTTTCCCGAATTATCAACTAGTGATCGCAAGCGAAATGAGCATGGGCAGAAAGTTCCTTATCTGATACTCTATCGCGCGAACACACCCAGACTCCCCAACCACTTAGGCAACTGGTCTTTCGATGCCTGACAGTTGAGCCACCCAACGTTATGCCTGTTTCGGCAACCACCGCAAAGCTCCACATAGGCAAGCTGCCAAATTTTTAAGTTCCGCTATTTTGCACACAATAGAGCTATCCATCAATTTAGTTTGGCCAGTCAAAGGTTATTTATAGCTTGCTTCCTTCCCCCCTGCACCACCTAAGCCCATTTCTAATCGCTCCTGATCACCGTTTGTTCCAGCTTACACTCGCCGATCATTGCACCGATTTCCCGCTTCGTCACGTGAAAACAGGCTCAACCATCGCGATGTTATCACGGCTTAGAATCGGAACCAAAAAGGGCGCAGTTCATGAGCCGACTAGTAAAGAAGAGCTTGATACAGTTCTTGCCGAAGGAATCTATCTGGAGCGTGCATTGCATGCCATGGATATGGTAATGGACGGCCAGCTGGACGAGGCTGAAAAATTGCTAGGAGAGGACAGCGTGTTCCATAAAATTGCTGCCGGCGTATTGTATTTCCTTGAGGCAGTTGCTGGATTCGAGCCAGAGGCGGTCCGAAAGGCAATTTCAACTCTTTCGGTGGCGGAATCGGCCGCCTCCAAAGCCAAGGATCAGGCGCTCACCAGGGGCATCAAGACCTCCTCGTTCCGGCCTGGTGCGGAGTACGAGATGGTATTGATCGAGTCGAATCTGCTAACAGCCGTTTCCATGTTCCTATCAGAAAGCGTTTTTGATGCTATTAAAGCCTTGTACAAGCTCCGAAAGACATACGGTGCGCTTGAGGACATCCGCAAACACGTGACCGATACCCAAACTGGGCAGTCTTTCCAACCATTGTGGTCCGACTATAATGGAACAGATATGGAGCGTTTCCGCAAAGTCTATGCAAACCGCACGGAGGTCGATCTTATTGAGGCGGTTAATGCGTACCCCCAAACCTCCATGGATGAGTATATCATCAGTGGTGTTGAGACATGCTCTGGCCTGATGCATGTTGTGCTATCTTCCATTCCCCCCAATTTGATTCGTCTTCTTTCTGTGGTTGGATTCAAGGGCGACCGTGAAATGGGATTGGGCTTATTGTGGAAAGTGACTGGAACCTACACGAATATTCACAGCAGCTTATCGTTGATTGCATTGCTCTTGTTCTTCGATGGGCCTCTGAATTACAAGGATATCCAGCTTTCTCCAGAGGAGGAGAAGGCTATTGATGAAAAGTACTGTGACTCCAACAGGGCGCCAACCCCCCTAACTACGGCTAGAATGACTCCTGGACAACTGAAACAGACCAAAGAGCGTTTGAAGGAGGCTCTTATAAGGACCCGCAAACATTACCCACGTGGATTGCTCTGGCAACTCCAATGGGGTAGGATGATTGCAGTCGAGAACCTTGAAGAGGGCACGGCCATACTAGAGAGCGACGAATGCGGTCCTTCACAGATTATTCAAATCGAGGCTCTTTTGGTTTTCGATCGCATCAACATGTTCCTCCCTTTGCATCGATACGAGGACGCGGCCAGAGATTATATCCGTTTGCTTAAAATCTCTACTTGGTCGCATGCCCTCTATTACTACATGGCCGCTGGATGCCACTTGGAATTGTATCGCAAGCTAGGTAACGGGCCCGAGGCCGAGGCTCATAAAGCTAAGGTCAACGACTACCTAGAGAAAGCTCCTGAAAAGGTAGTTGGTGCCCGCACTCTTATGGGCAAAACTATGCCTTTCGATCATTTTGTCGTCCGCAAGGTCAAACAAATCAAAGCCGCTGCCAAAAAGCATAATGTTTGCTTAGCAGATGCAGTCGGAACTTCTTTGATTTTGGAAGCCGGATACTTTTGGTATGCGCATGCTCGCACTCCCGAGAGCCTGATTGCAGAGTCTCTTGATATGCTTGCATACTCAGCCTCCAGCAAAGCCAAGGTACCCGAAGATGAAGAGAACAAGTTCACACGTGAATTGCTGACCAGTATTTATCTCCGCTTGCAGGGCAAGGCTGAGGAGGGATCCCGCCTGCTGGAAAACCTGCTCCCACGGGTTATTACGCCCGCGACCAACCCGCCTCCTTCAAAGGTATCTTATCACCCCGTGCAGGAGCCTTGGGCAGGTCCTGCCGCGCTTTATGAGCGAGCCATGTTTGAATGGGCCAAGAACGGGCGAAAAGGTGCACCTAATATCCGCCAATGGATAAAACTGCTCACCCAATGGGATGGAGACTACGAGCTAAGCACTCGTATCAACATTAGAGCCACTGCCGCCACAGACCGTTTGGACATTTACCGCCTCTAAATCTGCATCCGTCCGAATTCTATACACTACCAACATTTACAACCCGTTATAGATGTTTACTTCAAAATAAAATTCCTGTCGCGTAGCTTGGTCAGCGCCAATGCACGTCGAGGCGGCCATCGACGGCCCGCTCATTTTTGTTGGCGACACGCTGTCTGCCAAAATCAGCTTCACTCCACAGCGATCGAGGCGAAGGTCCAGTGGAACTGGACAATCCGACAGCACTCCTGTTCACTTGCTTGCCGGTTATGCAATTGTTCAAGGAACGTTTCGTTTAGGAGACCAGATACTACCCGAAAGCTTCGAAGCTACCCGTAATAGCGGGGTGGTTGTTGGAAACCATGGTGTAGAGTATGGATATGGGTCAATGCCGCAATCTGGTCTTCTTTCTAGCATGTGGGGTGGTTTGCGGAACTTGGTTGCGAAGCAGCCGGAGGACGACTTTGATGAGGCACAAGACATATATCCAGTTTTCAATACACCTCAGCAGCTGCTGTTTACGGATTTGGTTGTAAAACATCCGGTGAGTTTTGATTTTGTTGCCGAGTTGCCCTCTAACTTACCCCCAACTTACCGGTCGCGTGCGTTGTCGATTTCTTATCAACTTGTAATTGGGTTTCAGCATTTTGTCAATGATGCGCCAGAACCAACCCAATTGTTCCTTCCATTCAGGGTTTACCCATTGGGAGCTGCTTCATCGTTTGATCTAACCAAGCCATTGACGCCTGAGACAGCACCAACTACAAAATCGCAAACAATGCAAGATTTTATTGACAACTTTGTTAATGAATCACAGTCATCTAGCCCCGCAGAAAAGCCTGCTCAGCAGCTTTCTTATAATGTGGCTAAAAATGGCGAACAAATCGCTACTGTACATTTTGCCCGCTCTCCCGCTCGTATTGGCGATGCCATTGAGGCCGTCGTCGAACTTGCACAGCCATGCCTTCATCTCACCGCTCGCCTAGAGCTTTGTGAAGTCATCGATGAGGAGATTGCTGCTGGAGCAGCTCAGGCATATCAAACATTCACGCGCCAAACCATGGCCACAACTGCCCTCGACCGGGTAGCCCTGCATCTCCCGCTATTACATGGCACAACCCCACTATTGAATACCAAACAAATCCAATCATCATGGTCGTTGAGGCTGGAGTTTGTTGGCCTAGTCGGAACTTACTATTCCGACAGTAGCGAACAAGAAAAAATCGCCAAAGCCAGTCTCAATACTGAGGTATTCTCTTGCCGACTGCCTATTTCGGTGCTGGCACCGGACTCTGGCGGTCACGGCACCAGTAAAAGCTGGAGTATTCATTAGAATGCTTTTTTTCTACTGTACCATCTAATTCTATATGCATGATTAACGCCAAAACATCAGTTTATGGGGACTAGGAGGTGCTTCTTCTGCGGGTGGAGTAACTTCTTTTCCGTCTTGTTCAGAGTCGGACGTTTTGGTTGGTGTAGAGGGCAAATCTGGCGAAGCCGCGGACGGTTCGGGCATACTGTCATCAACTGTCTTTTCGCTGGTTGCCATTTCGCTGGTCGTCTTCTCGCTGGGCGCGGATCGCTTGAACAATCCACTGAAAAAGCCCTTGACTTTGTCTTCCTTAGGGGCAGAATATTGAGAGGGATCAGAAATAGCATCGATTCGAGCCCGGTTTTTAATAGTTGCCACATGTGCAGGCTCAATAATATCAAACAACTCGTCGTCAGTGAACTTGTTGAAAATTCTATAGTTGTTAGTGAGTTTCCATTGAGAGGCCCAAGCCAGATTGAATGCTTTAAGAGGGTTTGGTGCAAAGTCACGAGTGAAAATCTTGGGTGGCTCTGGGCCCAGTCGTTGTAAATATGCTTCGTATTTCACGCTGGCAAGCAGTCCGAGTAGATAGTCTTCAAACTGCTGTCGGATATAATCGTCGCTGCCCAGGTATCCCAGAGAGCGTGGTTGCCATTTATTATCACCATCCCATGATTTTACAACCGCGGATGCAATGGGCTGAATGAAAGCCTTGTCTGCTGAACTCAACGCGAGAGCAGATGTGAGCTCAGTATTCACAATGTCGACTGAGTTCTGATCAATATTCACGATAACATCAGCGTTCGCAGCCGTTAAGAACAGCTGATTAGTGCTGCCAAAAAGCCCGTACTGTGTTTCTTTCCTGGTAAGTTCATCTAGTTGTTGAAGAGGTACAAATGGGTTGAATATTCCACCTGCTGCAAACACATGAAGTGGAAGTCCCATAAACTTGAGCATCGAGTCGCGATTGCTACTCTGCATGTAAGTAGGTTTCACCAGATTAGTTTCATAGTTGCTTAGCAGTGGAGAGCCGCAGTCCTCCAAGTGATTCAGCAAATTAGGGATCAGTGAAATAAGAGCAAACTGAAAGGTGCATAGCAGGTCAGTGTCAGACCCATAGAACAGAATACGCTTCTCCATGAGCAGCGCCTTAAATATTACCATCACATTGACTCCAAACCTGTAAAAAAAGTCGCGCACATTGATTCCAACTTGGAAGTCACTATCCGACTGAGGAAGTGAGTACAAATGAACTAGATTCTCGTAGAACCTATCGATGATTGTTCGGTCATCGAACTGGCCTTGTTCAAAGTATGATCTTGTCACCACTGTCAGCTTCTCTTTGATAAGGCTAAACACAGGCTTACGCGCAACCACTACAATTGACTTGTGAACACTTGACCGTGTGGCATCTTTAGGTGCATGCTCCAAGTCTGCCGTGGCTACTTGCCGAGAACAAGAAACTGCAAAGAGCGTCGTCACGTCATTAAAGTCTGAAGAGTCAATGATATGTCCTTCCTCATCGCGTTCAGGAGTGGGATTTGGTCCACGATGTTGCCGCCGGTCATACAACAACGTAAAATAGCAGATACTTTCTTCAAATGAATGGCTACCATCTGGGAGGCTTTGGAAAGGCAGATATGGCCACAGGTCTGATTGATCACCATCGGGACCAACCCAATACTCGATCTCCGGACCTCGGGTGTGATGAAACCCAACAACGGCGACACCAAGAATCTCTGCGTCTTCGCTCAACGACGTAGCAACAGGCACTTGAACCTCTTTATGTTTGACCATGTTTTGTTTGATTACTCCTTGAGAAGATGGAGAGCCCTTTTGACCGACTTGGACGACTTGGACGCTGCTAGCAATGGATGGAGAAACAACGCTAGCCGCCCTACCAACCATCCGTACACGCTGAGTAGGGTGTGAAGGACATGGCGATGAAGTAGCTTCCTCTATCACCGTGTCTTCGGGATCGGCAAAGTATGTGTTCGGGTCGATGTTCGCTTTAAAGTCATCTTCAGTCGGGGCAACCAGAACCGGCTTGACAAAAACCGGACGCGATCCACCTACATACGTAACATTTTGAGTTTCGATGATCTCTACTCCATCATCGTCGTCGTCGTTATCCTGAAGCAAAAAGCCTTCTTCGTGCTGAGGAAGTGGGGAGGGTGCCAATTGAGGCGTATCCGCCTCTAGAGAACTAGGACCATTTTCAGACTCTGAGCCAACAATCTCAATACTTGCATTTGTATCTGGCTGTAAGGATTCGACGCCAGAATTGATGATGTCCGGAGTAGGTTCATCTTCAACTACCGCGTCATGCTGCGCCGTCGTAGATTTAGAGATAGACTTGGGCGATTTTTGCGTTGGCGACTCCAAAGAGCTGGACTCAAACTTCGGGCTCATTTCGGCTACAGGCTCAGGCTCAGGTTCTGCCGGCACCTCAGGGTTGTCTGACGTTTCGGATCGATGCAGTTCTCTGGCATTTTGTTCAGCGGTTGGTTCTAAACTAGACGGTTGTTCTTCTTCCAACTTTTGTTCATGGTTCTCACCCGCTGCGGCTGCCTCGTGTTCTGGCTCACCTTCTGGTTGAGTAGATCTTGCCTGTTTCGACTCTTCCAAAATGTCCCCGGATGTAGTATATTCACACGCATCATTCTCGTCGCGTGAATTATTTTCTTTTTGAGTATCTTCCTTAGATAGAATACCATCTTCGGCCGGCTTGGGGTCGGAATTCTGATGGGTTGACGAAGCCAATGGATCATTCGCGGGGTCAACCGTTGAATCGCGATCTGAGCTATCTACCGAGACACCTGGGCTAGAGTTCTTTTGGGCTGTGATACCTGCTTCATCTGAAGTGTCAGAAGTCTTGTTGGACTTCGAGGACTTGGACGATTTGGTATTGCTGCCAGCAGCTGCTGCCTCGAACTGTGCAACGCGACTGGCAACTGAACCTCGACCGCCTCGCGAGTTTTTATTGTTTTTACGTTTCGGGCCCATTTCTTTTCCTGTGTTTCTTCCCACTCGTCCAAAAAAAATACACAAGTCTCGGCAAATGAGTATGACACACGGGTTCTGGCGCTCGAAATGCTAATCAAGTGCTGACGCACAAACCCCCCTGCAGCGTAATTATCACAGCGGGAACAAATCGGGGTTATTTCATGAACTGCAGATAATATAACCATTTTATAATCCTGGTATCGAAACAGTAAGTCTGCATACTATTGCGACCATGCGAATTGTTAGAATCCATCAGATTTGTATGCTCAAAGGCAGGCTAGTTTGGAAAGATGCTCGGTGCTTGCATGTGTCTCAGAATCTGTTGTCGCGTTCGATACCGAATTTCAGGTTTTTTACAATGTCCGACCCAAAATTGTTATTTATATCAGACCAATAAGCGGTGTCTAATCAATATTCTCGATATCGTAGCGTTGGTTTGAAGTCTTCCCCGCTTCACATGAACGTTGTAATGGTCCTATCGGGCTACATTAGTCGCTTATATAGATGCCCAAACTATTTCCCTCATTAATTAAGCATCGTGGCGCAGCGGAAGCGCGCAGGGCTCATAACCCTGATGTCGCTGGATCGAAACCAGCCGATGCTACTATTTTTTTTTCAAATCGTACTCTTCAAAATCGTTTTTTTTTTAATAAAAGCTCTAAATTAATTCAACACCAGAAGTTATAGACCCTATACAACCAGCTCCTTTGAGCCAAAATGGCCTTTCGTTCAGCTTTAGCTGCCCGAGCCTCGTCAAGCTCAATATGTCGAGCACCAGTAAAAACGTCCATGTCTTTAGCTTTGACAAACCATGGTGTACGATACCAAAGCTTGTGTGCTGCATAGAAGCCGATTGTGACTGGCACGGAGAGGTACAATTTGAAAAATGCCTCAGCGTCAGGATAGTGAGAATCATCACCTGGAACTCTAACCGGATACAAAGAAATCCAGAACTCCAGGCAGATAATAAGTAGGTTACCCACGAAACCCATAAAAGCACCTGGGATGCCAACTACAGAGACAAACGAAAGTTGGTCCAAGTGGATCCCGTGATATTTGAGGCCAGCTCTATAACGAACATGCGACAAGCAGATAGATCCCCAAGTGAATAATGAAGACAGACCTGAGAATGCAAGGAACCAATCGAATACTTGGACATAGTCAGGAGTGGCACAGAGGAATGCCAACAAGCCAAAGCCAAGTGTCACAAGAGTAGCCACAAGTGGGCGACCCTGGCGATCAATATAGGCAAAGCAGCGGGGAGCATGGCCCTCAGTGGCCAAAGCTGCAAGGGTACGAGTACAACCATAGACCGAAGAGTTAGACACCGATAAAATGGCCAGCATGATGACGACGTTGAAGATGCTTGGAAGTGCATTAACACCAGAGTTGTAGATAGCAATGACAAAAGGAGAGGAGCGGGCATCGCTTCCTCCAAGTCTTGGGTCATTATAAGGCACCAACATCGACAGGACAGTCATGGAAACAATATAGAACAGGAGAATACGCCAGAACACCTGTTTTACAGCCTTTGGCAGATGCTTACTCGGGTTCTGGGTTTCAGCTGCTGCGAGACCGGCAAACTCTGATCCAGAAAACGCAAATGCAGAGTTAATGAGGGTTGAAACAAATCCTTTGAATCCGTGAGCGAACGCACCGGGATCATACCAATAGTGAGCACCATAATAATGGTGCTGTGGACCGCCGCCAGCAGCGATGATAATACCAAAAATACAAAATCCAACGACGGCAATAATTTTGATCAAGGACATCACGAATTCAGTCTCACCGTAGCCGCGCACGCCAAACAAGTTGATAGCAGCAATAACGGACCAGAACAATGCGATCCAGGCTGCTTTATTAACATTCACGGCTCCATTATTATCGTCTTTCCAGAAGTCGAGGGACATAGCAGTGGCAATGAGCTCAAGAGGGAATGTTACAAGCCACTGCAGGGCGTAGTTCCAACCCATGGCGAAGCCCCACGACGGATCAAGGAAGCGAGAGGAGTGAACGTAAAAAGAACCACCAACAGGATAGCGTACAGCCAACTCACCGAGGGAGTGCATAACACAGAATAATATAAGGCCGGTGACGACGAAAGAAATAATAATACCAGCGGGGCCACCTTGTTGAAAAGAAGCTCCGGAACCTACGAAAAGACCGGAGCCGATACAGCCGCCGATGGCAATCATAGTGATATGGCGGCCCTTTAAATTACGCTTGAGCGGCGAGTGTTCCATCTGGAGCTCGATAATCTCTTTTTGAGTCATTCCGGCCACCACTCCAGGGACGATAGCCGGCTTGAAACCATCAATGATACGACCGAAAAACCCAAGGTTTTCTGGGGTATGGTCGATAGATTCACCTTCTAGAGACGAGGTGGTTATGCCCGACTCATAGTCGACGTTCTTTTTCTCGTCCGGCATGTTGAGGGGAAACAGCAGTGCACAAGCGCTATATAACTCCGGTCTGCTTAAGCTGCATGGTTTTTTTCCCTATCCTGGTTAGGGTTCGCTCTTTGACAAGGGCTACCGACCATCAAGCTGTGGCGAATGGTAATGAACTCGGAGAACAAATGGTGAATCAAAAACAATAGTTAGTATCTGTAAACGGGTCTTTTTTGATTCCTCCGAGGTCTGTAGCTAAAACGCACGAGCCGCGCCGATAACGTGTAAAGACTCATTCTTCTGGGTTAGGTTGATCGTCGGATCAAGTCCGCGATTTCGAATTTTCCTGATCGCGGTGGATAAAATCAGGAGGAACAAGTTCATAAGCATGCAAAATATCCCACGGCTTTTTACCCATAATTACCTGAGGGTTATACTACGCTGCCATGCCGTATGTGCGCATCAACTGATAAGGGTAAGGATTGCTATGTCGTAATGCACCTATCCTACCCCCCTCGCGGTCCTTGCATCGACTCAACCACATAGCCGGCGGGGAATACCGCTAACCTCTAACGGCAGTCGAGAACGATGGTCTCGTTTAGGTATAATTGATGTGTAATATGTGGCTCAATTTATAGTTTAGCTACAACGGCGTCAACACCAGACTTCTCAACGCCCTGAGGGTCGACACCAATGTAGGTGACCTTGCCTTTATCAACAATGACAGCAAAGCGCTTGACTCGGACACCCATTCCTTTGTCAGTCAAGTCGAGGTCCAGCCCATTGGCCTTGGCGAACTGGCTGTTTGGATCAGACACGAACTTCACTTTGTCAGCGCCGTGGAGTGCCTTACCCCACGCAGACATGACGAACGGGTCGTTGGCAGAGAGGACAATGACCTCGTCAACACCCTTGGATTTGAGCTCGTTGATCTTCTCAAGGAAGGGGGGGATATGATTGGCTGTGCAAGTAGGCGTGAATGCACCAGGAACGGCAACCAGGACAACCTTCTTGCCAGCAATCTCCTTGTCGAGGTCCATGGAGATAGGAACACCACACGCGAGGACATCAGAGTCCTCAGGAGTGTAAGGGACGTAATTGAACTTGACGCCTTGGGGGAAAGTAGAGCCTTCAGAAACTGTCATTGCGTAGTTGATGTGTACTTTTCAGCATTGGCAAGCTGGGCCCAGTATTTATGTCACAGCGTGCGCCCTAACCACTAAAGGTGTGCCGAGATCTAGAACAAGGACTCTAGTCGCAAGTAAATAAATCTAGACGTAGATCAGCGTGAGATATTTATAGATTAGCGCAATTAAGTGGTTATTTGCGGTTCAGGTGGGTCTCCAGCCAGTACTCTCGCTTCCGCGGCCTCGTTACCGTCAGAGGCGTCATCACTAGCTCGGAGACTTCCGACTGGTCCAAGACTCGCGGATTCGCCGGATCGTAGTAGTCCAATTGACACAGGGGACAGTAAGAATGGTATTTTGTGAACCATTCGTCGATACAATGTTGGTGGAAAATGTGCTGGCATGATAATTGGCGGACTTTGTCGGACGCATCGAAATCAGCCAAGCACACAGAGCATGTCTTGTCAGGTTCAATTTCAGCAGTGGTTGCGGGCTTCGCTGCCTTTGCCGGAGGATCTAGATGACCGTGGTCATCGGCTTTTCCTGCCGGAGATGGCGACGGGGTGCTATGCTTGGCCGGCTTGTTCGCGAGCTCGTCAAACCGCTTCTCAGGAAACGCCTCTGCAATCTTGCCGGCATCTATAGTGCGAATTCGCATTTTCCGAATGGGAACCATTATTTCCTCAGTGTCGGACTCCTCTGGTGGGCGGCCCTTCACAATACGGATTAAAGCTTCAGCAACAAACACCGGAACGAAAAATATCATGCCGACAAGAGCTACTCCCAAGGCAACGGACCTTTCACAGGTATGCACTACAGCTTTCAGTACCTTTTTCGCTTTGAACATACCACCCTGCCCGGCCATGTCGGTTTGCAAACTTTCTTTGTTCTCCAAGGTTTTAAATGAATGCGGTTCAGGTATCACACGGCACCTATGCATAGGTCCGCAGGTGCCGTGCGTCGTCTACTGCTTACCCGATGAACATATCTGAGGACGCATCAATGCGTCGCCAGCCATGTAATCAATTGCTCGATCATAGATGTTGACATGAATTTTCCGTCATGTGCCAAATAGTACTACTCTCTATACCTCCTATCAGCGCCGGCTATTAAACTAGCTTCTGCTCAGTCATCAACTATTCACGTCTCTTCAATGGAACATCAACTACCGTTCTCAGATTTGACCGGCTTTTTGGTCAAATCAGATGGCGTCGAGTCGATGTCTTTCTTGGGGATACACCCTTTGGAAGGCTTAAAGGAGTGTGTCTATCTCTGCTCCGACAGTGGCGGATGGGGACCTGTCCTTTCCGATGGCGTCACCCTGACGAAATGCTTCACCTACTTGGTCATTCTGAATATGGCCAATGTGGTAGCTTTGTTTGGCACCACGGCACAGATGTGGGCGCTCCGTGACAAAGTTCCTGTAGACCTTGGTCCTAGTCTCAAATTGCGTTTCCAAGTTTTCCTCCAGATTGTTCAGATCGGGCTCCTTGCATGGCTTGCGGCAGCAAATTGGGTGATTGTTGAAGACTTTGACATTTCAGTGGTAGTGCCTATTATTTCGTGTTTGGTGGCTGTTTTTGTTGTTCTTTTGACAGTAAACGAGCGACACTACTACAATGTACCCTCAGCCTCACTTCTGTTTTACTGGCTATTTCGTTTCGGCGAATCAACATACTCAATGGTCAAGTTCCAACAGCCCCAGTTTGTGGGAATTTCCATTGTTGCGTTGATCTCCCTTGCTGTTGAACTCAAACCCCGCAAAAAGTCGGTTTACCAAGAATATATCGAGGAGAATATGCTCGACAACCCATACGATCAAGCAAACATATTTTCCAAATTGGCGTTCACTTGGATGACCCCGCTGATGCGCAAGGGCTACGAGACTTATTTGACGGCAGCTGATCTACCGTACCTGGCTGCCGAGGACCGTACCGTCAACTGCTCGTCCAAGTTCGAAGAGACTTGGGCTATCGAGACAGAGAAACAACGACCCTCGTTGCTCTGGGCAATCCTCAAGGCCTTCGGATCTCGCTACATGGTAGGTGGGTTCTTCAAACTTATCCAGGATGTGATGGCTTTTGTCCAGCCTCAGCTACTTCGTCTGTTGATTGCCTTTGTTGGAGAATACCAGCGAAGCGATGGCGATCTCCCTTTGACAAGAGGCTACTACATTGCTGGTATGATGTTTTTGGTGTCTCTTCTACAGACTGCCAGTCTTCATCAATACTTTGAGCGGTCGTTTGGTACCGGAATGAAGGTGCGGTCCGCATTGACAAACGCCATTTTCCGCAAGTCATTGGTTTTGTCTGGTGAAGAACGCGGTACTAAAACCACTGGTGATACTGTCAACTTGATGTCAATTGATACCCAGCGTTTACAGGCAATGTTCCCTTACGGTCATATTTTATGGTCAGGCCCATTCCAGATCATTTTGTGTCTGGCTAGTCTTTATGAGCTGATGGGCAACGCCATGTGGGCAGGTGTCATTGTAATGGTCATCATGCTGCCTCTGAACGCTCGCCTAGCGCAGGTTCAGAAGGGACTGCAAAAGCGACAGATGGAAACTAAGGACAAACGTACCCGTGCAACAAGTGAACTGCTGGCCAGTATCAAAAGCATCAAGTTTTATGCATGGGAGTTTGCATTTGGACAACGCCTTGATCATGTTCGTGACGCCGAACTTGCTAACCTTCGAAAGGTTGGTATCTTCAAGTCTGCCACTATGTTTATGTGGAATTTCGCTCCGTTCATGGTCTCGTGTGTAACTTTTGCATTCTATGTGTGGCTTAACGATGCTCCTTTGACAACTGAAATGGTGTTCCCTGCTATTGCCCTTTTCAATTTGCTCAACTTTCCCCTCGCCATGTTCCCAATGCTCATCAGCTCTGTCATTGAAGCGAACGTGGCTTCTGAGCGCATCACCAACTTCTTCATGGCCGAGGAGCTTCAAAAGAATGCTGTTCTGAGATTGCCCAAATGTGATAGACCAGGCGATGTTGCTGTGTCCTTGGAGAACTGCACCTATCTCTGGAGTAAAGACAAGCCCGCGCTGTCTGATATATCCTTGCAGGCTGCTAAAGGTGAACTCACTTGTATTGTGGGGCGTGTAGGCACCGGGAAATCATCTTTATTGCAAGCTATCATGGGTAATTTGCATAAGGATTCTGGAAATGCCGTGGTACATGGTTCTATTGCTTATGTGGCACAGACACCGTGGATTTTCAATGGTAGTGTGCGTGAAAACATCTTGTTTGGTTGTCGATACGACGAATCTATCTATAATGAGACCGTTCGAGCCTGTGCATTGAGTGATGATCTCGGTGTTTTGCCCGACGGTGACTCGACCATCGTTGGTGAGAAAGGAATCTCGCTCTCTGGTGGCCAGAAAGCTCGTATCTCTTTGGCCCGCGCTGTTTACGCTCGCGCTGATGTTTATCTGCTAGATGATCCTCTTAGTGCTGTTGACGAACATGTGGGCAGACATATTATTGAAAATATTCTTTGCTCTAAGGGTCTGCTCGCCACTAAGGCTGTCATCTTGGCAACCAATTCTATCCCTGTTTTGAGGCATGCTCAAGCTATTCATATGGTCAGTGACGGCAAAATCGTGCAACAAGGTGTATACAAGGATGTTGTGAGTATGGGACCTATCTCGAAGCTGCTCAAGGAGTTTGGCTCGAAAGTTTCTGACGAAGTAGAGTCTGCGAGCTCCTCAGCCTCGGTCTCGTCCAGAAAATCTCCTGATTCTAGTGAAGATAGCGAAGAACCCCCTGTGGCTCTCACGAGTGAGCCTAAGAATGATAATCATCTACGTCGCCGTGCAAGTATGCGCCGTCCTTCTGCTGCTTCCTTCAAACCTGAGCCTCCTCTGGAAGTTCGAAAGGAACATATGGAGCAAGGCAAAGTTGATTGGGGCGTTTATGTGGAGTATGCCAAAGTCGGTGGTTATGTGACAACCTTGTTGTTCATCTTCAATGTTTTATTGACTAACGGTACTGGTGTTATGGCAAACGTTTGGTTAAAGCACTGGTCTGAGGTCAATAGTGGTTCTGAGCATAACCCGAATGTTCGCTTCTACTTGTTGGTCTACCTTGGCCTTGGTATTGTACAAGCTTGCGGCAATGTCTCGCAGAATCTTTTGCTCTGGTTAGGTCTTGCTTTGAAGGCAGCAAAGACTCTACACAATCGTATGCTTCGTGCGATTCTTCGTGCTCCAATGTCCTTTTTCGAAACAACACCCCTTGGTCGGATCGTCAACCGTTTTTCTAACGACGTTTATAAGGTTGACCAAGAGTTGGCTACGTCCTTTTCGTCGCTATTCAACCAGCTGAGTCGTGTCATGTATACTTTCTTGGTTATTTCGTACGGCACGCCAGGGTTCATCTTCTTCGTCATTCCTTTAGCGCTCGTTTATCTTTACTACCAGCGATATTATTTATGGACCTCGCGTGAACTCAAGCGGTTGGATAGTGTCTCAAAGTCCCCTATTTTTGCTCAATTTCAGGAGACGCTTGATGGCATTGCCACCGTTCGTGCATTCAATCAGGAGGATCGGTTCAACTTTATCAATGAGCATTACTTGGATGTCAACAACCAGGCTTATTTCCCTTCGGTGAGTGCTAACCGATGGCTTGCTGTTCGCCTGGAAGTTATTGGTGCTATCATTATTCTGGCCGCAGCTACTCTGTCGGTAAGCTCCTTGCCCTCCGGTCGTATTTCAGCTGGTTTCATTGGTCTTGCCCTTTCGTATGCTCTGAACATCACACAATCCTTAAACTGGATTGTTCGCATGACTGTTGAAGTGGAAACCAATATCGTCAGTGTTGAGCGTATGCTTGAATATACCAATCTTCCTTCGGAGGCACCAGTGCATATTGCCGAAACACAACCTGCCGAGTCATGGCCTAGCGAAGGTGCTGTGCAGTTCAAAGAATACAGCTGCCGTTACCGTCCCGAGCTGCCTGTCATTCTCAAGAACATCAATCTGGATATCAAGCCTAGAGAGAAGATTGGCATTGTGGGTCGCACAGGTGCCGGTAAGTCATCATTGACTTTGGCCCTTTTCCGCATTATTGAAGCAACAACAGGGAATATCGATATTGACAGAGTTGACACCTCCAAGCTTGGCCTCTGGGATCTACGCTCTCATTTGAGCATCATCCCTCAAGACTCACAACTTTTTGAGGGTTCAATCCGAGACAATTTGGATCCGAACCATGATCACAGTGACGAGGAGCTTTGGAATGTTCTTGGCTTGTCTCACCTGAAAGAGTTCGTTCAAACTCGTGGTGGAGGCCTTGATGCCACTGTCACTGAGAGTGGTAACAACCTCTCGAATGGTCAACGGCAGCTTGTGTGCCTTGCCCGTGCAATGCTCACCAAGTCCAAAATTCTTGTTCTTGACGAGGCCACTGCAGCCGTTGATGTTGAGACTGACCAAATCGTTCAGCAGACTATTCGCAGCGAGTTCAAAGACCGCACAATCCTCACAATTGCCCACAGACTCAACACGATTATGGACAGCGACCGAATCATCGTTTTGAGCTTTGGCGAAGTAGCGGAGTTTGGCACACCAACCGAACTTCTTGCTAACAAGGATTCGCTGTTCTACAGCCTTTCCAAGCAAGGTGGATTTATTGGTTGAAGCTTTGATAGATACGGACCATATATAACAAGTAAGGAACCGGAGTTGTTTAAAATTGCTGTGTAGTTGGAGAGAAGGTTTGCGTTTGAGGCTCCATTTCAGCTTCTTCTTCTACGGGAACCACGTGATGATAGTCGAGAATTTCAGAGTAAATCATAACCTTCCAGGTTTCGATGGGGAGGTCGGCTCCGTTGAATGACCAGTCGAAAGGTTCATCAGCGACCGGCTCATCGTCTGGTTCATGATATGGTAGCAAGTATGGGTGGACCAGGGATTCAGCGGCGGTGATACGCTGGCGAGGATCAAACACCAGCATATGTTCCATGAGATCGACGACCTCACTTTCGGAATCGACGAATTTAGAAACAAGAGGCTGACGCTCACGTTTGGGCAGTGAGCGCACGAATCTCAAGGTATTTTCAGAGCCAATAGTATTAATTACCTCGTCCGGAGGAGTTCCCAAAAGCTCTGTGATGATGGAGAACTGATGTATATGATCCTGTCCAGGGAAAAGCGGCTTTCCTTGGATCATTTCAGCTAAAATACAGCCAGCAGACCAGATGTCTACTTCGGTGTCGTACTTTTGCCACGAGAGCATGATTTCGGGGGCTCTGTAGTGGCGGGTGGAAACGTAACCGGTCATTTGCGGGTCTTGAGTACGGGCAAGGCCGAAATCGCAAATCTTGAGGTCGCAGTTTTCATTGATTAGAATGTTAGAGGGTTTCAAGTCACGGTGGACCACGTTTGCCGAGTGCACGTACTTGAGAGCACGCATAATCTGGTACAAAAAGTACTTGACGAACTTTTTCTCCAGAGGACGTGAGGTGATGAGCTGGTGCAGGTCGGTTCCTAGCAGTTCAGTGACGAAATAGATGTCTTCTGATGGCGAAATGAAAATATCAGACAGTGAAATCACATTCTCGTGGCGGAGATGCTTCAGCAGTTTGACTTCACGGTAAGTGCGTTTAGCCAGCACTGCACTTGAGAAGGGCTTCATGATTTTTTGACGGCGACATTCTGGCCGGACAATTGATCGCGGGCAGAGCACACCAAACCAAAGGCGCCCATGCCGACCGGTACGAGTTCGGCATAGCGTCTGGTGATTTCAAAATGCGAACCAAACACGTCAACACGAACAAAGTCTGTCATGGTGCGGGTCCGAGTTTAGCAGGAGCAGTCTATGCTGTGGGCAACTGGAGGCAAAGAAACCTCACAAGCGGGGCCGAAAAAATAAGTGGGCGAAAAGAGGAGGTTTGTGCGACCTAATCAATAGGTAGCGGAGATTGAGAATATTCCTTCGGAAACAAATACTGAAACACGTTTATTTAACGTTCAAGCTGTCCAGACTGATGGCGCGGTGGAATTTGCAGAAACTCCAAGTACAAAAGCGTCAAAACAAAAATAGAGTGGGCCGGTATTGAGCTCAGCGACAAAATTAAGGTATGCGCTACGAGCAGAACAGGCTGGATTTAAAGCTTAGCCGAGCTTGCTTTCGTATAAAATCTCGGTAGGGGCACGAGTAAACTTAGCTAAGAATAGGCCCAGGATGAGGGTTATATCATAGTGGGTAATCAAACCGGGGGGAGGATCACCGGCGCTACACCCAGGTGTTGGGGTGGGGTGCCGCGAATGCAGCACTGGATACATGAAAAGGTTAATCTGCTAGATACGGGGGGTCTTTAGTGTTTGCATTTAGTGGGCTCTTCGATTTGCGTCAAAATCGCCATAATCCTCTACGCAACCGCCAAATGCAACCGGCCATGCGGGCTGACGTTATCCGTTTAATCAAGCGCGGCATCAACGCCGTATCCTTCGTTACAACCTACCAGATTGACAATGTGGAAAATACTGTTTAGCGGGCTTATTCTTATGTACACGATCTATTCGGCTTTACCTGAGCTGTGTACGTCGGTGACGCCAATCAACAATCATAATGTGCTGTTTGTAACTGCTCACCCGGACGATGAAGTGATGTTCTTCGGCCCGCTTCTGCGATACACCCTCAATCCCAAGTGGAACAACACGGTCAATTTGCTTTGTCTTTCGACAGGCGATGCAGACGGCCAGGGTGAAGTTCGTGTTAAGGAATTAGGCTACGCGGCCTACATGGTTGGTCTCCCCCCCGCTAACGTTTCGGTGGTTGATGAGCCCGCCCTGCAGGATTCGATGGATGCGCAGTGGGATCCGTCTGTGGTTTCTGAGGTTGTTGCAAAATATGCCAAGGAATTTGATTCGTCTATTTTCATCACGTTCGACGACTATGGCGTTTCTGGTCATCCTAACCACATCGCCGTGTCCAAGGGTGTTGAAAAATATGCAAATGAAGCAGCAGTTCCCGGAGATGAGCTATTAGTAGTGCAATTGCAGAGCGTACCCATTTACCGCAAGTACCTGTTTGTGATCGACGCTGCTTTCTCGCGGATCTTGGATATCATGGACGGTCGCGGCACAGTGTTTTCGGGACAGACCGACTACCACCGGGTTCGTCAGGCTATGACTTCTGGACATAAATCTCAAATGACTTGGTTCAGATATCTATATGTTTCATTTTCTCGTTACATGATTGCCAACTCGTTCGAATACAAACTTTTCCCCGTCAAAGAAGCTCAGCCAGAGGCAACACCAGCGGCAACGGCTGGCCACGATGATCTTTAAGAAATCCCCAAAAGATTATCGTCATCGTCATCTTCTCTGTACATTTCCAACTGCTCTTTCGTGGCGCCTTTGGCCCGTACATAATCTTGCAGTTCGAGTCTGACGTCGAGCCCCCGCCGAGCCCATTTCTCCATAACGGCAACCGCATCCAACGAGCGAGCTGTGTTGGTGAGCCCTTTGACAACACGTCTAAGAGCCGAAGTGGCTACAGCATTACGGTTCTCATCTCTGGGCAATGACATTATTGGTTCAATGCATTTCTCCATATCGTCGAACTGGTTTTTCCATTCTAAATATTCGAGACGAATACTCCACATTCCCAACGTGGCTTCAATCCCGTACTTTCCTGCCATAGCTGCCCATATTTGCTCAAAAAAGCCGGTCGGAAGCTCGGCCCGCGGCTCTGTCCTTAGCACAACCCATCGTAGAAGCTTTGTCCAAACTGGCTTGGCGGATTGACTTGCAATCGGGATATTATATCGCTTGATAATGTGGTCCATAAGCTCACATGCTCGAACGACCTGCTTATTGAAACAATAAGCGTCCACGATTGATGAAAGAGTGGACACTGACGGCCATAAAAGCGAGTCCCTGGATAACCGGGAGTTTTCTCCGAGCCACGCCATTTCAATAATGCGTTCGCACATGCCGATCTGTCCTTGGCGAGCAAACGCAAGTAAAACAAGCTCGTATGTTCGCGCGTTCGGCACCACCCCGTTGATCTCCATTTTGAGCAGGAGCTCTTGGACGTTATTTATGAGAGGAGGCAACCGGCTAACGCTGATTCGCTCCCAGTTCCCGATACGAGCGCCCTTTGGCCAGAACGCTGGGAACGCATCACATGTAGCCTGGATATACTGGTTCCATGCTACTACATCTCGTTCCACACCGTAAGCGTCCATTTCCGTCCACAGCTGAAGCACACCGTCGTAATCACCAGCCTTGAAGCAGCAGTTGATTAAAACGCCGTAGTCTTCGGTTGTTAGTTCATATCCAGCATCAGACATACTCTTTTTGAATTGCTTGGCCCGGGGCCACATTTTACTGGCGGTGGAAGCCCCGCTAGGTAAATGAGCTAAAAAGTCTGAACAGTGGCCGCGGTCAACTTTGCGCAGCACGTCATCGCCTTGATTCAATCCTTCACAAAAGCTGGTCCACGCAGCCTCGAAATCGCCCTTAATAACCGCCATGCTGAACCCTCTTAATCCTAGCTTGGAGAACTGCAAATGACCAGTAATTGCAGGCAAAGTCCATGGGTCGTTCTGTGGGAGAACATGCGAAGCTTGGGGGTACCGGCCAGTATCTACAATAAGATCTAGACAACTGGAAAGAGGTCCTGAAGTCGCGGCGGACGCCATATACCGCCGTGAAACGAGCAGACCCCGGCGATGCATGTAAGTGACAAAGCGGAGAACCAACCAAATATTTTTTTCACTTCAGACGTACGGACGAGACTTACTTTAAATATTCGTTTATTGAGGCCTAGACCTATCTACAGCTCTTATTCGAGTCCAAAAACTAGCAAGTTCACCCACCAAATTTTCAATTAGTCAATGTATTGATCTCGAAATGTCGTCGCCGCTAGATAAACTTCAGTTTTGTACGACCAATATAGTCGAACCACAAGAAGCAGTACTGCGACGATTAATCTCTGATATGGGCGGGGTGTGTAAAAAAAAGTTGGAAACAGCAACCCGGTTCTTGATTCTTGGTGATCTTGGAGGCAAGCGATGGACACCCAAGTATAATTTCGCGTTAGAGATGCGTCCTGATATTGTGCTACTGATTCCTGAAGCAATTGAAAAGCTCCATATGTTATGGATGGAGGGCCAAGACTTTGACGGTCGCCAAGAGCTTGAATCAATGAGGGTGCAGCCGTTCCAGGGCCTTCGTGTTAGCTTCACAAACTTGCCTGGTCCCGAACGTGATTTTCTCAAAACAGTTATTCGCGATGGAGGCGGAGAGCCGTTTGATTCCCTTATGCCCAAATGCCATATTTTGGTTAGTGGGCTTGATAAAGGACGCAAAGTTGACGTGGCCCGCGGCTCTTGGAATATTCCTGTTGTCGTTCCTGAATGGATTATCAAGTCCTTAGAACGAGGTGCAGCTTGGTCGCCAGAAATGTTTTTGATTGAAGTGCCTCCAGAAGATCGCAAAAAGTCTTTATGCTCCGAATCTGCCAGCATAGTTTTTACTTCGATGGCTGGTACCACCCCTTCCATCGCAAAGTCAGCCCGTTCACGGGTTTCTTCAAGTGCATGGGACTCTTTAATGGGTGCACCCGCAAAGCGAATGGCACTGAGCCGCCCAGAATCTAGTTCGGCCTCCCCTACCCCCCAGCCTGCTCCTAATGCTCAGGAGGGGCTTTTTGAAAACCTCACGTTTGCACTTTACGGCTTTGACGATCGTCAAAAAGCTATCCTGCAAAAGACATTAACTTCTCATGGAGCCGCAATTGATCAAGATGAGCACGACTACATGATTGTAAACTCTTCATGCTCTGAATGTCCAAAGACAGATGCACATATTATAACCGAATGGGCCATTGAAAGATCGCTGCACAAAAAGGCTAGAATACTCACTGATATTTGGGGTAAATTTATCAAGCACCGAAGCATTGCACAGTTTGAAGGTCTCAAAATCTGTATTTCGGGGTACTCTGGTGTCGAACTTTTGCATTTGACTCGTTTGATACCTCTAGTAGGAGGCGATTTTTGCGCGACGCTAACCTCTCAACGTGATCTTCTCATTTCAACACCGGACAGTAACAAGTTTAAACATGCGCAATCCTGGGATATTCCAATCGTAAACGAAAGATGGATATGGCAGTGCGCCGAACAAGGTGCTCTGCTGCCACTGAAAGAATTTCTATTAGAAGGCAGCACTTGTGAATCTTTAGCAAGAGTATCTGTTTCAGACCCTGCTATTGAGCCAGAGGTTGTAGAAGAACCGATTCCTTTGAAAGTACCTGCTGCAACAGAAGTGGGGATAGCATATGATGAAAGTGATAACGAACACATGGCCTCCAATTTCGTTCGGATTAAACCAGCCGTTAATGCTAGGCGTCGTATATAATATTATTTACATTAAGTCCTCAAGTAGGACCCCACAATGTTGACCAAAGCTCTACTTGGCAGAGCTTTACCATTTTCGGCCAAAGGAACCAGGCGTCTTGATACATCTTCTTTAGAAGTTGCTTTTTTGTTGCGTGAGCAAGGTTTGCCCTGATCATCAAAGTAGAGGCAGTTGAGCATTAAACAAACAGCGACCCCAAGCTCAGGCTCAGTTGTTACAACGTTGACAGAAGGCCCTTTGTTGGCGAACTCATTGTCGATACTGGCCAGTTTTGTCGCCAACTCACGGATTCCTTTTTTTTTAGTTGGTAATGACGTCAAGTCTAGATCATTGACCCCAATGGGTGCTGAAGAAATAGATAAATAAGAAGTCAGTTTCACTTGGTTGTCTGGAATAACCTCACCTTCTCCACTCATAGCCTCTATTTTAGAAATCAAATCGAACGCCGATAAGTCTCCATGTAATTCTGTATTATTCCAAAGCAGATTTGGTGTGAGTTTACCCGCCCAAAGCTCGTGATCATCTCCTGCGCCTTGGACATAAATATAGCCTGTCCTTTGACTCTGGCCATCTTGAACCTGTTCTGAGGCAGTACATAGTATAACAGGATGAAATTCCTCAAATGTGGGGGTTTCAAAAGGTAGCATGCCGCTTTGAGTGACCCAAATGGGGCGGAGAGGTTTCGAGACCCTATAACAGTTTTGATCGGGCACGATCCGCTTCAAAAGATCTACCCACCCGTCAATTCGGTCAATTATCTGCTGGAATTCACTTGAAGACAAAATATTACGGGGTAGAAATACCTCTTGGCTGTTGAACAGCGCTCGATTCAACACTGCGCACCAGATCGGAATGGTTTTGCTGAATGCATCAGGCATAGATTTACCACGGCGGGTACTATCTACTATTATTGCCCCTTTATGAAGCTCAATAAATGAAAGTAGGTGTAAATTGAGTCTTTTAACCGAGAAGTTCCACTGATTATTGTGTCCGTCAGTACTCTTGAAGTAGCAAGTCTCTCTAAGGTGTTCGGGGGGAATATACCAAAGCCCACATCGTTTGTTTGCAACCAGAGGTCTTTGGTATGCATTTTCTACAGCCAGTACAAACTCAGAGTCTGAGAGAATGCTCGCAACTCGATTTTTCACCGACCTTGACTCTCTTCGTATCTCAGCAGGTATAATCATAGTCTTAGATAAACAAATTTCATTCGAAATAAATGTACAAAAAACAATCGTTATATTGTTTTTGCAAACCTGAGACTAAATTATAAGTTGATCAACATGTGATGGAACGAAATCAACAGGTCAGGTTATACAACCTACTCTCTGTGCATAGCATATGACATCACAGAACGAGTGCATAAATAAACATAACATTAAACTATCTTTGACTTGCTAGGAGTTCAGATAAAGATTCAAAATCCGTTATTTTCTTTTCAAGCTCTTTATCGTGAATTTTTGCCGACACACGGGGCAAGCCGCGATCGAGAGTAATCTCGACCGTTCCCTGGGGTACTCGTTGGCGTAGAACAAGCTGATCGCCACGTTTAATCCACTGGTTGAATCCTAAAGCACGAACATCATTAAGCAAGTGATAGGTATTCAGTGCGGTACCCCAAAGTTCCAGATTAGTTCGGATGGACTTTGTCTTGTCAAGTAGTGCAAAATAATGATCGAATACCGGGTTTTCGACTAGCAAAGTGAATTTCTGGGTTTTTGATTTTCGATCGTACAAAATTTCAAGAAAGCGATGATGGAGAACAAACCCGTTCGGACTCCAAGTGATACCCCTCATTTTAAACTGATCCACCACTAGTTTCACTTGGTTTCTTGCTTGCTCCAATCTCGCTCTTGCGGTACTTTCCTTATCGTTACTGGCATTTTGTTGATTCATAACATCTTCCATCAAGCTATCACATCGCGCATTCTCTTCATGCAGGGTTTTCGCCTGAGCGTCGACTTCAACACGCAACTTTGACAGCTCTCTCTCTTTTTGTTCAATTTCTTTCATTACACTTGACAGTTTCGACGCAGTTACTGGACGCTGCTGAAGCAATTTCTCATATTCAGCAATGCGCGCCTTCAAGTTTCGCTCTCGTGCAGACAGAGTCTGATGTTGCATGAATTGGTGCTTTGTCTCTGAGAGTTTCACAGTTTCTTTATGGAGTAGCTCCTTAGCAGACTGAATCTCATCCTGAACAAGCTCAATCGAAGTAGCCTTATCAAGCTTGTCCTTGTATGTTTTGAGCAAGGGTTCTACCCCGGGCGCGACAGTAGAATCAGTGGCCATCTTCTCTAGCTGCGCCTCAAGTTGTTGTGCCCGTTTCTGCAATGAAACAATTGATTGAGCATAGCGGGTCCCAGACAGCTCAACCCTTACGTCCAATTGCTTGAGTTCTGTTGGGTCCAGCTCTGCTCCGATACGGGTCAACAATGCTTCAATACCAATAGCTGACGATGGTGGAGCTTTTCGGCTGCTGGAAGATCGAACTGGCGAAAGAGTACGACGCATAGGAGAGCTCGGAACCTCACGGCCTAGTCTGCGGGGCGTTTGCATGCTCAAACGAGGAGAGCGTGCTGCTGTGGGTGATCTAGGACTTGGCGACCTTGGGGTTCCAACCACAGATGATTTTGGTCCTAATTCAGGGATTTGCGATAATCGTATCATTTTCGATGGCGAATCTTGGGTATGCGGAGAGGGTTGACCATTGTTGTGTGCCAAAGAAGCTCTGGTCGGGCGGGCAAATGAAGGGCCACGGGATGAAGAAGAAGGACGAGTAGGTGATAAAGTTTGCGGTTCTGCGGACTGTCTTGAAGGAGACTCTATAGGTCTTCCACGCGTCTCAGGTGGAACTAGCGTAGTAAAAGATGATCTTGGTCGCACATGTCGTACAGGCGTGGCCATTGGCCTCCCATTAACTGGTAGTGGAGATGTAATAGTGAGTTCTGGAGTTCCCACTTCTTCAAAATGACGTTTATGGGGACTCACTGGTAGGTGGACCGCGGGTGCTTGCTCATCTGGATCCGGGTTAGCGAAGCTCATTGCGTCGTCACCAAAAATCATCACGGTGTCCGTTTCAAAATAGGGTTTCGGAGTTTGATTTCGAACATTGGGGGGGTTGGCTTGTGGGGACATGCCCATAGTCGTATCGCCAATTTGGTCCTCATCTTCATTAACACGCTCGGGGCTCGACATCAAGGATTCAGGCAAAGCGACTGGAGGGGAAAGCTGCAAATCCATCTCGAGATGTGCAGAAGGTGCAAGCGACTCTTTGGCGCGTAAACGTGGCGAACGGCGCACGGGGCTGCTTGGAGATGGACTTCGGTTCCGAGTCTTTCTGGGCGATTTACGCGTCGGAGTTTCGGGGGGCAAAATGATAGGCATCTCGTTCAATTCAACTGGCGAAAGAGCTGATGTCTGAGATTTCAAACGCGGCGAGCGCCTTGGTGAACTTGACATTTTGGTTCTTCGCGTTATGAGTTTTTAGGAAATCAAAGTGTAAACAATCAATACCTAATGTATAGGGTTTGGGCTGCAGTTGAGATGAGTTTTGAATAGTGAAAAAGCCTAGCCAAAATACAAAGTTTGGCGCTCTCCACAGGTACAGACTCTAATTTATCGATAGCTTGCCGCTTTATCCTTAGCTTTGCCTTCGGCAGAACGCGCCGATCATTTCAATGGTGATGATGTAATTTTTTTCAATCATGGAAAGTCTACGGTTTCAGGGTCCTGTGACGGCTTTGAAACTCGTTGGGGAGTTACTATTTGCCGGGATTGGTCGCTGTATCTATGTATACAAATGGAAAACTGGTGAGCTCTTATTTAAAAGACAAATGTTCTCATTACACAAGATCCATGGTATAGCAGCACTTGGAGACCAGATTGCACTTTGGGGTGCAAAGTCAGTTCTTTTTACCACCTTGGAAGAGACTGAGAATGGAGATATTCGCGAGCTGTCGGCTAATGACTGGGTTGTTTCCGTCGGCTTAAAATTGGGCATGGCTTTCATTCAAACAGCACATAATGAAGTTATCGAGTTTGATCTCGATGCGAAAAGAGTCAATCAAGTTCGAAAATGCTCGGAATGTTCAATATTGTACTCGGGCCAACTATATACCCAGTCTAATTTATGTGCAGCAGGCACTGTGCTTGGTGGTGTCGTTGTTTGGGATTACAATACAGAGCAGGTCAAATACAACTTCACTGATCACGAAGGGTCGATCTTCTATGTACAATTCTCCCCATGTGGCAAATTTTTGGCCTCATGCTCGGATGATCGGTCCATTATCGTTTGGGATTTGGAGACTGGCGAATTAATTGGCAGAGGTTGGGGCCATGCCTCTCGTATCTGGAGCTTAGATTTTGCCGACAACGGGTTAGTTATTAGTGTCTCAGAAGACTGTACGGCTCGTTTGTGGCAAGCTAATGTACAGAAAAAGTCCTTGGAGACAATTCAAGTCGTCCATGGTCACCAAGGCCGAAACATTTGGTGTTTATCTACAACAAAATTCGAGGGGGACACTGTCCTGGTTACCGGTGGTGGTGACGGCCGCATTAAGCTTCAAAACATTTCTCAACCGAAACATTTCCAAGAATGGTCTATCACTGATATTGTTGGACAGCCTGAAAAAGGCGAACATCTGAAAGATTACAAGCGTCTGGAAGACAGGATAGTATTGACAACTTCTGCAGGCAAAATATACACTCATGTTGACGGTGCATGGAGTCGACTTGATCATACTATCCTTGATGAATATTCGGTAGTCCGCTTGGTAGGTGACAGATTTGTTGTTGCCGCCCGCGATGGCAGATTCGTGGTTGTTTCCGACGGAATCTACCAATTCAAAGTTGAATTAGTTGGCAAATTGCTTGAGGCATTCCCTGTTACTATGGAGGATAATAAGCCCTGCCTTTTGTTACAGACTGAAAACAAAACAGAGCCCTACCGCATCGTTGATCTGAACGGTGAGACCCTGCAGACATTCGCACCAATTCAAAATTTCATGATTACTAGCGCACTCTATCACCGTGGCATGCTGTTTGTTGGTTCTCGAGCCGGTGGTGTTGCTGTTTCGAAGGGCAACGAATGGACTACTACCCGAAGGATTTTCCAGACCCAGGACACTATAACCTGTTTTGTTGCTATTAGCGAAAGAGTAATGATCTCCTGTCGAAGCGGACATTACGGCCTTTTTTCACCTGACACTCAGCTCACACCTTTTTACACTAACAAGCTTCAGCGAGGCAGCGTCGAGCGTATTCAGATTCAAGACGACGGTACGGTTCTCTTCTTCGGTTTCAAGACTGACAAATTCTTCATTTGGAATTCAACTCACGACTATGAGGTTGCATCCGAGGTTTGTGGTGGAGCCCATAGGGCGTGGTGCGCAGAAGTCAATCGGGCTGATGAATCTCAATTTGAGTTATATTTCACCAAAGCTGGGAAACTATCACTTATCTCAAAACCAGGAAATCAACATTTCAAACAAAGCATCTTACGGACAGGAACTCATGGAAGAGAAATTCGCGGCCTTGAGTTCAGTTTGGCTCACCAGGGTCTCCTGGCCTCAGCCTCCGAGGACACATGCGTCAATCTTGCTTTACTCGACAAGAATGATTTTATAGAAACGAAACTCTCTTTGAGGCACCATGTTTCCGGTATACAGGTCCTGCACTGGTCACTCTGTGGCAAATATTTATTAACTGGCGGTGGTCGTGAAGAGCTGATCTGGTGGAGAGTTGATGTTCACGACAAAGATGTCTACGCAATGGAAATTGCGCGCCTTCCAACTGTCTCAAAGTCTCCAGATCTGCGCATCATGGATTTTGACCTAGTTGAAACCTCTGAGGGCTCTTGGATTTTAGCTACCGGTTACTCTGACTCTACCTTGCGTTTGTGGCGATTTGAGAACGGAAGCTTCAGTCTTCTCGTGACTAAAAAATATCGAGAGTGCTGTATTCTCAATGTACATTTGATCGACGGATATCTATTGACTTCTGCAACCGATGGTCACCTTGTTTTATGGCACTGCCGTGACGGGAACATAGGTGAACCTTTGTTGAGACACCAGATCCACCAATCTGGAGTTCGCTGCTCTGCGGTTCAACTTATCGATGGAATGATTCATCACTATTCAGGAGGCGACGATAATGCACTGGTAGCAGTGACGGTGAATGCCCAACATGAAGTCACCGAAGTTTTCCGTCACAATGATGCACACTCCTCAACAATCAGCTCAATGGCTTTAACAGACGGCAAACTGTACACAACAGGCTGTGATCAGAAAGTGAGGCTTTGGAGCTTGGAGGGCCAGTTATTACAGAGCTTATACACATCAGTCGCTGATACAGGAACGCTTGCTTTACAGAATGACAAGTTGGTTGCTGGTGGTATGGGTTTAGCACTATTTCGTGTAGAATAAAACATTAGCTGTTATAATTTTTTTTTCAGGGGCACCTGATATCCAAGGGACGCGAGCCCGTTTGCTTAGTGATGACTTCGGCTCTCAAGAGTGTGCTGCTGGTGGGTGGAAGCGGTTTTCTCGGTTTACACTTGATCAATGAGTTTTGGCAACTAGAGCCGCGACCGGAAATTCATGTTTTTGATATTAGAGAGCTCCCAGATACTAGTGGCTACAAGTTTGATCGTTCCAAGATTGTTGTCCACGTAGGTGATTTGACCAAAGAAGAAGACGTCAAGGCGGCTCTTTCTGCATCCTCTCCTCAGATTGTCGTTCATTCAGCCTCACCCATTCATGGTATGGGGAAAGAAATCTACCATAAGGTCAATGTTGTGGGAACTAAAACTTTAATCAAGTGCTGCGAGGACGCCAAAGTGCCTGCTTTGATTTACACGTCTTCTGCGGGTGTTGTTTTCAACGGCGAGGACTTATTTGGTCCCGATGAGCGTCTCCCCTTCCCAAGTAAGGCTATGGATGCCTATAACTCCACCAAGCAGGAAGCTGAGGTTTTCGTACTGAAAGCGAACGGTGCACTCAAGACAGTAGCGCTTCGTCCTGCTGGTATCTTTGGTCCTGGTGACAGACAAATGATCCCTTCGCTAAGAACAATGGCAGAACGTGGTCAGCACAAAATCCAACTAGGTGACAACTTGAATCTTTTCGACGTGACGTACGTGGGCAATGTTGCATATTCGCATGTTTTGGCTGCCCAGAAGCTGATGGAGAACGCCCCTGGTGTTGCTGGGGAAGCCTTTTTCATCACTAATGACGAACCGATCTACTTCTGGTCTCTGGCGAAACAAATCTGGAAGCACGACGGTTACATTGCTGAGAGACAGTTTGTTATTCCCAAATCTTTGGGAGTAGTTCTAGGCTATCTTTCACAATGGGGGTGCGCTCTTGTTGGAAAAGAGCCCTCTTTTACTGCGTTCCGTGTGAGAACAGCCTGTGCGACCAGGTATTATAATATTTCAAAGGCTAAAGAGCGTCTTGGATACAGCCCGAAATGGTCATTGGACGAAGCAATCGAGGAGACACTCAAAGCTTGAATATACAGTAGGATGTAAAACCCTCAATATCATTCAAAATGCAGGCAACCCAAAGTTGAGACATAACAGAAACAGCGCGATCGCAACCAGGTGAACTTCGAAGTACGACGATGCACTAGATTCGTGAGCGTGCTCCACGGTGCTCGCTGATTCCCTAGTTGTTTCTTGGGGTTCCACAGGTGCTGTCTCGGTTGGGGTGATGCTACTAGTTAAAGCTTCCGCTGCTAATCGAGCTAGAGATGATTCGCGTGCTCTAGAAGATCGAATACTCTGCAGATTCTCTTTCATTCTCTGCAGTTGCTTTCTCCTAGTCTCTTCCTCAATCGACCAGCTGGACTGGGGCTGCTGCATTGCAGTCACACTGGCACGAATCGATGCATTCAGGTATCGAGAATCAGTAGGCGTGAGGTTTGTTTTGCTGGAGTTAGTCTTTGTGTTGTCCAGTGAGAGTTGGTTCAACCAGCGTCTCAGTTTAGCACCGGGGAGTTGAGGCACCGCCTCCGTTACTGTTGCAGATTGGGCAACTGGCTCGCTTTGATCCTTGTGGGTATGACTCGAAGGAGACCCGAGATCCTCGTACGAGCTAAAATCGACGCTGGCGGTGGAGTAGTCCAAGCTTTTCCAGGTATTACCCGTATGGGAATGACTTGGAGTAATTGAAGCAAAACTGAGATCTTCGTGAGAACTAGAGTTGGCGCTGGTGGGTGAGATTTCCAAGCTTTTCCAAGCCTGATCACTGCATTCATTGTTACGGAAGTTGCGAACGAAATGCGCCTTAGCATCCTCTGGACAAGTACCAAAACAACTGACTCCCGACGTCCAGAGAGCATCGCATTGGCAGTCCACGTCTTCTCCACAGCTCGCGATAATTTGATCAAACCGATCCAGGCACGCTCTTACCGAGCCCGGGTGGCAGTCTTCGGCGAAGCAGACCACAAACAGGCCAACTATAATCAAACTAGTAGCACTAATCAAAGGAAACATGTTAGTCTAATTGTAAAAAAATCCACTATAAACATATTTTACTGCGTTTTGTTGTGCCCGGCAGAAACGGTGACGGTCAATATGCAGGTGAACATGGCTCGCAGATTAGCAAACGGCCCCAATAGGTTTCCCCGCCATACTGAAAATCTGCTTCTTGACACAGTTGCTAGATGATCCTTGCATGCCAGCGCCGCCAGCACGCGTATAGATGCTTGAGTAGTATTACACGCTATTTTTCATCGGCCCAAGAGCCTTGGATGAAGAGCCTTATGCAGAAAGAGGGGTTCACACCAAGCCGACTGGCGCTAGCTGATTATCCGATATCCTGGGGCCATATGGACTATATGAGGCATGTAAACAATGTCCAATACCTCAGATTCTTCGAGTCTGCACGGATCAATGCGTTTAATGACTGGGAAAAGGAGGCACTGGATACTCAGCAATTCATGTCGGGGGTTGGAATTGGCCCTATTATGCGATCCTGCGAATTAGCATGGAGATATCCAATGAGGTATCCGGATACCATCTCGGTCGCTTATAAGGTCAGCTGGATCGGCGAAGACCGTTTCGGACTGAAAGGCATTATCATAAGCCATAACGCTCGTAAAGTGGCTGCCCGCATCGACGAAGTCCTAGTCACGGTCAACTATGACGACGGCGGCACGTATAAAGTCCAAGTACCGGAGCCGTGGCAACAAATTCTCAATAACAGTCTTGAGGAAAACAAACCGTATGTTGAGCAGTAGCTATAGACTATATTAGACCTCGATAGTACTGTCGATCTCAGTGAAATGGTTAAAGAAGCTGGTGAACAAGTCGACCGCATAACCGATATCAGCAGAGCCACCAGTCTCCCGAACAGAGTGCATTGACAACTGAGGGTTTCCGATATCAAGAGTACGGATGCCCAACCTTGAAGCCAAGATAGGGCCGATGGTTGATCCGCAGAGCGAGTCATTGCGAACAACAAAGAGCTGCAATGGAACCTCAGCCTTCTTTGCTACTTCCTGAAGAAGAACAATGCCGGGTGAGTTCGTGGCATACCGCTGATTGGCATTAATCTTGATGACCGGACCACCGTTGATGGCGGGTTTATGGCGAGCCTCATGCTTGGCGCTGTAATTGGGGTGGATAGCATGCGCCATGTCAGCTGAAAGCAGGAACGACTTGGAAAGAGCCTCGTAAGGAACATTAGTGCCTTCAGAAGCCAGGCGAGAGATAATGGCGTGCAAAAAGTTAGAAGCCGCACCCTGAGCTGATTCCGAGCCAATTTCCTCATGATCGAACAATGCAACAGCACGAATACTAGCGTCGTCTGCGATAGAAGCATCCGAGTTGATGAGACCCTGAAGAGAGCAGAAGGAAGAGTTAAGATTATCCAGACGAGCCGAGAAAACGAACTCATTGTTAAGTCCTCCAACGACAGATGGCTGGGTATCGAAAACGACCAGCTCGAAATCCTCAATTGCCGCGGGATCGACGTTGATTTCTTTGGCAACCTCCTGCAAAAGCTGGGGACAGTGACGAGAGGACATAGTGGTCACGCCGGCCGTGGTTGCCTTTTGCTCGGTCGAATCAGCCGGCTTTCCATCAAAAGAGCTTTTGATTAAACCAAGAATAGGCTCAAGGTGATCTTCCTTGTTAAACTCGAGCTTCGTGCCCTGTTCTCGGTGGAGATGAATGGCGATAGTTGGGATCCGAAGAATGGGCCGATCAATCTTGACCAGCTTGGGCACATGCTTTCCGTTCTCAGAAACATATACTCTACCAGCAATTCCCAAGTCACGGTCAAACCAAGTAGGCCACAAGCCACCGCCATAGCATTCAACGCCGACCTGAAGATAGCCTTCCTTCTGACGGTTACTTTCAGGCTTTACTCGGAAGCAGGGCGAATCGGTGTGCGCACCAATAACCGCAACACCATTTCCAGGCTGCCACTTACCGCCTACAGCGAAAGCAACGATAGAAGAGCCGTTTCTAGTCACAAAGTAGCGGCCGCCAGCCTTGAGGTTCCATTGGGATCGCTCAGAAAGCTCGACGTAGCCTGCATCGGCGAGCATGCGAACCGAGTTTTGCACCGCATGATAAGGTGATGGCGAGGCGTTGACGAACTTTAAGAAATCGTTAGTATAACGCATGTTGTAATGTCAAGTTGTTAAGCGTGGATCCCAAATGCACAATACGTATGGAGCATGCATAGTAATTTCAAACGGCGCTATGGCTACTGCAGTGGTTGATCGGTCGAGACTGCTACATGTTGAGCATATCCTTTTGTTTTGGACAGAATGATTAAAAAATAAATAAATAGGAGGTCTTTATAATTAGTTGAGATGCATTAGTTCTTCGCTCTCTTTGTACACTCTTTGGAACTCTTCTTGATCGTCTTTCACTAGCGACAAGAGCTCCTGTACATAGGCGCCGAAAACCAAATGGGCGAGCAGCTCTATTTGTTTCGAGCGACCCTTTTTCTTGCCGGGGCCGTCGACCCTTGCATTGTAGTGATCCAGCATAGCTTCATACACTTCTTTTGCCTGATCATCGGTAACGGGGGAGTCCATGGCGACGAGCAGTGGGTGATCGTTCACCACTTGAGCAACGCCTTCAAAGCTCTCGCCACGGTCGTATACAGTTTGTACCAAAACCAGCTGAAAAACAACCGGCCTTCCTGCCACCAGCACGCTTTTCTCTGCCGAAAATCTAGACAACATCGTTGGGTCAGTCACCGAGTGTCAAGAATGCCCAGCATTAGTCAAGCGATAGCTTCATTTGGGATCTAGCGACGGGATAAAGTAAACTCTAGTAGACTATTAAACAAGCTAAAATCCTTGATTGCGAGGCTGGTAGCATCGGTTATTACCGGTTCAAGCAATTGGGAAAATCAAGCGATCGGGAAATTCGGGCTACTAGCTTGACATCGCGACATAAATCGTTCATTCTCGTTGCAAACAACCCCGCGTGCGTTGGTTAATTCCAATCGCCGCTCCCAGTTTTTTATTTTATAGGCACTTTCCAACCTAAGAATTCCGCCCACGCCTGCCTGATCGAAACGCGACTTTGAAACGCTTTGTTGACTAGTCAGCGAGACGAATTGCATTAAGCATCCCTAGCATTCAAAACGAAAACAAACGGCTCATGGCTTCGCCAGAGCGACGGAACATGTCGCATTCGGCGCTTCCAATACATGGCGGCTCCTCGATGGGCTCGTATGTACCAGTGGATATTACGCCGCCTCCTCGATCAGCCATTCCGCTGCATATTGACCGGAAGGTAGAGCCAGCCCCACCAGTATCGAATCCACGTTTGCGGCAGAAGTTTTCTATGCCTAATTTATCGGGTTTGCGAATAGGATCTCCAAAGAGAAGAGAAAAACAGACCAAACCTACCGTGCCTGCTCCAAAACTTGAGGGCAGGAAGAACCGCGCTCTGGAGGCCCTCGATAAATTATTAGAACAAGAAGCATTTTCTCTTGCTGCGCTGGAGACAGACGAGTCAAACACATCTGCAGATCTATTACCACCATTTGAAGAAACTTCAAATGTCCCCAAGTCTGTGGATCGACGCCCAGGAACCCACCCAACGCGTACGGACAGCGCTGACCGGAAAGAGCCCATGCTTAAAGCAGGAATTCATAGGCTCAGGGCTAGTATATCAGTGCAATCGCTCAGAATACCGGTTGAACCAATGTCTCCATCCGGATCAAATGGTAAATTAACGGGCGAACGACCTCTTTTGGTTTCGCAAAAATCGAGACAACCAGAACCAGGTCCCTCATCCCACATCCCAAGGAGCACAAGCCAGGAAATCCCGAAAATATCCCGGACCACATTATCTGCTTCTGCGGAAAAGCTCAATAGGCCTCAAAGTGTCGCCCATAAACGCCTTAGCGCCGGAACAGGCGAGCAGAAGAGTCCGCAACGCCGAGCTTTGAAGCAGGATCAACTCAAGCCCCCAACCAGAGCTCCTCCTCAACCACGTCTACGTTTATCGAGCGGATCAACCGAGACCAGACGTACCGAAATCAAACCACCTGAGCTTCATGCAGATAGGCGAATCCAAGAGCGACACAATAAACTTATTCCATCAGAACCCAAGGAGCAAATGCGGGCTAGAGTTTCGTCTGCAAAGGTAGCCCCACCGGGCCCTGTCAACCCTCCATTCCATAAGTTCAGAGGGAGTCAAAGTATGGGTAACCTTGCAGCGGCTAAGGTGTCCCCCCAAGCCCCACCACTTCCAGACCAAGACAGGGCTCTAAAGCGCCCCGTCTTTCGACGAAAATACACACCTGAACCAGCAAGAGGTTATGATTCAGTGCCTGGCTTGAAGATGGCAAGCCATCTGCATATGCGGACCTTACCCCATTCTTCCTCTACGCAGCTTTCCAGCATGAGCAGTCAAAAAGGGGTGAATAGATTTCCATTAGATCTTGCTCCACCTAATTTCAGAGACTCTGGTAGGTCTACACCAGCGGCGCCTCCAAACAATCGATCGGATAGCCCGAACTCACGTTCGTCATCTGTGCGGTCGTTTTCGCGTAAACTTTTTAGTGCATTGAAAAGCACATCGCGATCGTCGGCGAGATCGAGTCGTCCAGCCACTCCTTCGTCGTCAAACTCCGCTCTTTCGAGATCTAACACCGAGCTTTCTCTGTCTGATGAACTCGAAGACTGGCCAGAGCCTGCCACCCAACTACCCCCGATCGAAGTTCAGCAAAATCTAGCTCGATTGTTTAAAGTTTCGTTGCCACTGGTCGACATTGACCCTAATATAACTACTATTCCTGTCGATGGTGCCAGCATTGTGAAATACGACATGAATTTGAGTGACTATGAGCGCAACGAGATCACCGATTTTACCCACGCCTACTACACTGGCAGTCCTGGCCTCATCAAGCCTCTTGAAACCGAGTTTAGGGATAAAGATGGCAACTATCAGTTTGTGGAGCGAGACCACATTGCATACCGCTACCGAGTTGAATCTCAACTTGGTGTCGGTTCGTTTGGTACTGTGCTACGTTGCCGCGACTATCGCACCGGGCGCCTTGTAGCTGTGAAGGTTACTGCGATCCGTAAAGAACTTGCGGGTCAAGCCAAAGTGGAGGCCGGCCTGCTAAGTACATTGAAACGAGCTGGATCCCCAGACCAATATCATTTTGTCCGCATTCTTAACAGCTTCATGTTCCGGGGCCACATGTGCATTGTCACAGAGCTGCTAGGTGCGAACCTGTATGAAGTGCTAAAGCGAAACAACTACCAGGGTCTCGCTATGAGCTCAGTACAGTATATCACGAAACAAATTTGTTGTGCACTACAATTTTTGGAGACTCAGGGAATTATTCATTGTGATCTCAAACCTGAAAATATTCTCGTGTCTGATGACGTGAACTGTCAAGTGAAGATAATTGATTTTGGTTCTGGCTGTCATGAAAATAAGCGGGTATTCACCTACATCCAATCCAGGTTTTACAGGGCCCCAGAAATTTTACTTGGAGTTCCATACACGCCGGCAATTGACATGTGGAGTCTGGGCTGTATGGTGCCGGAGCTTGCTATTGGCCGACCATTGTTCCCCGGAGAGGACGAAAAGGACCAGATCGCCCTTCTTTGTCAAACTCTTGGCCCGCCTGAAATAGCGATGTTGATGCGGTGCTCACGCGGCCGACACTTTTTCGATCCCCGCGGCCTACCCTTGACCCTCCGATCGACCAAAGGGGTCATGCGACGTCCACCGGGGTCGACTCCGCTTTCGAGTTTCCTGCCGCCGCTTGCAGCAGACTTTGTCAATCATCTATTACAATGGTCGCCTCAGCGTCGATTGAGTGCTAGTGGTGCTTTGAACCATGGCTTTTTATCAAGCGTTTAAAGGTACTATGGCCACGGCGTCTACAGACGACATTTAATACATTTCGCATTTTGCATTTAATATTCGTTTTTTTTTTCTTTCTATAGTCTAATGGTTGCATTGTTCATTCGCAATGATTGCGTCGCTTTTAGGTTCTCTTTCAATTCTTTTTGAATGACTAATCTGCCTGTGACAGGAACCGTGGTGGTGGGGGAGGACCAACCAGCAAGCGTGTATTAGGTTGCATATTCTGAGCAAACAGCCCCAGATACGAAAAAAAAACGCTCGTGAAGGCGGATGAAGATCAAGAGAAGCAAATCTGATTGATTAGCGCCATGAAAATACACGATTAATGCGAATTATGAAATAGTTGTTGTGGTGTGAAGCCGCTGACCGACTTGAAAGTACGTTAAAGCTACCTCGGTTTCATGCACTTTAATGTGGGGGTAGGGCAGAGGGTGAACGATCTGCATGTTATTAGCTAAGGGTCGCTATTTGTACGATACCTGTTTCCATTTTATCTCACAGTCTAAACATAAACATGTCTAAAGAAGGTGATTACGCTGCAGTAGCGGAGGCTATCCGCAAAATTATTCCCAAGGAGGGCTACGATGATGGCTCTGCTGGTCCCGTTCTCGTCCGTTTAGCATGGCACGCCTCGGGTACCTACGACAAGGCTAGCGACACTGGCGGGTCGAATGGCGCTACCATGCGTTACAAGCTTGAGGCTGACGACGGCGCCAACTCCGGTCTCGAGTATGCGCGTGCCTTCCTTGAGCCCATCAAGCAGCAATTCCCTTGGATCAGTTACGCCGACCTCTGGACGTTTGCCGGCACGGTTGCCCTTGAGTACATGGGCGGCCCCAAAATTCAGTGGAAGCCAGGTCGCGTTGACTACGCCGATGACTCCAACGTGCCCCCCAATGGCCGCTTGCCAGACGGTGCTCAAGGCGCTGATCATTTGCGCCACATCTTTTACCGTATGGGTTTCAACGATCAAGAGATTGTTGCCCTCTCTGGTGCTCACAATCTTGGCCGTACCCATGCCAATCGCTCTGGTTTCGATGGTCCCTGGGTCCCCAACCCCACCCGCTTCAGCAACACATACTTCAAGCTGCTTTTGAACGAGGAATGGTACGAGGGCAAGTCCCCCGCAGGTGTCCGTCAATTCTATGACGAAGATAAAGATCTCATGATGCTTCCTACCGATATGGCGCTTATTGAGGACCCCAAGTTCCGCTCGTGGGTCGAGAAGTACGCCAAGGATAAGGATGCTTTCTATGAGGATTTCGCTAAGGTATTCGCCAAGTTGCTCGAACTTGGTATCAAGCGTGGCCCCGACGGCAAGGCAGTTGTCAATGTTCTTAAAGCTGAGGCCAAGCTCTAAGGTGTATAGCTCTATATCGTTCAAAATTCCATAACTCTTTCTTTTATTGCGTCTTAGTCCCCTGCCGCCGCTCTGTCGCAGCCTTATCGCCAGGCCCTCCAGTCAGATCTGTCATCATCGGTACTCCACTTTATGGCGAATCTATCCAAGCTGGCAACAACGGGGCTGGGGGTGTACAAACAGCACCGTACGGCTGCCACGCGAGTCATGTACTTGTCGTATTTTTTAGTTTTGGGTTATCGGTTGTTCAAGCCCAAACCAGTTGACAAGGATGCCGCTGCGGGGGGGAAGCAGGCCGAAGTGCCCGGACGCAAGAAGCGAGTCGCGATTGACCAGGTATTTTTCAACAACCTGCTGCGTATTCTCAAAATCATTATTCCCGACGGTATCAGGTCCCGAGAGTTCATGCTTTTATGCCTTGAGACAGTGTTTCTGGTTCTTCGTTCGGCCATCTCGCTCTATGTTGCGTACCTTGACGGAAAACTAGTTTCGCATCTGGTCAAAGGTGAAGGTACTCAATTCATGAAGTCGGTGCTACTCTGGTTGCTTGTGGGGTTTCCTGCTTCTTTCACGAACAGCATTCTATCATACCTTCGGCGTAAGCTGTCGCTACGGTTCCGAAGTCGGCTCAATGGGTATATGCTCAAGGAGTATCTACCAGACAGCAATATCCCGATCTACTATTTGCTGCAAAACATGGATGATCGCATCAAGAATGCAGACCAGGTTATGACCTCAGACATCGCCCGGTTCTCGGCGTCTCTAAGTAACCTTTATTCCAACCTTGCCAAGCCAATTCTCGACATGTTCTTATATACATGGCAGCTTTCGAAAGGAATTGGTGGCGATAATGTCTTCTTCATTGGGTTGGCGATCCAAATGTCGGCTGCTATGCTACGGCTTTCCGCCCCTCCCTTTGGCGAGTTTGTTGCGAAGGAAGCGAACTTGCAAGGTGACTTTAGAGCAAAACATACTCGGCTTATTGAGTACTCAGAGGAAATCGCTCTCTATGGAGGCAATGAGGCCGAAAAGGATATCTTGGATACTGCATATTTCGCGCTCAGTAAACATGTTAATCGGGTTTTGCGACACCGGTTAATTTACAACTTCTCTGAAGACTTTGTGATTAAATATTACTGGGGTGCTCTGGGTCTTGTTTTATGCTCCATCCCTGTTTTCTTCAAAGATCTCGCCGGCCAGTCCGTCATTTCTACTGTAAGTCAGCGAACAAGCTTTTTCGTCACGAACCGTCGGTTCTTAGTTTCGGGGTCTGATGCATTTGGTCGTATCACGTCGTCATACAAAGAAATCTCACAGTTGGCAGGGTATACATCACGAGTATCCACGTTCATGAATGTTATGGATGATGTCAAGCGAGGCAAGTTCGAAAAGTCGTTCATGGCCAGCGATAGTGAGGATGATTTTTCGGATCTGCCACCACCTACAGTTCGCCTAGGCCACGACATCATTTTTGACAATGTGCCAATTGTCTCGCCTATCGGTGACGTTTTGATCCGTCAGCTGTGTTTCCAAGTGAAACAAGGCCAACACTTGCTTATCGTCGGACCCAATGGTTGCGGAAAGTCTTCATTATTCCGTATTTTGGGAGGTCTTTGGCAGATCAGAGCGGGATTGCTTGTGCGACCACCGGCATCCGATATCTTTTACATTCCTCAGCGGCCGTATATGTCCAAGAGCACATTACGCCAGCTTGTTATTTATCCCACAACCGAAGATAATAACACAGTGAGTGATGCAGAGCTGCGAGAGATTTTGGATATTCTAGAAATCGGTGAGCTCGTGGATCACTTTGGGGGATGGAATACTGTCAAGGAATGGCGAGAGGAGCTGAGTATGGGTGTTCAACAGCGCATTGCAGCAGCTCGTCTGTTCTATCACAAACCCAAGTTTGCTATTCTTGACGAATGCACATCAAGTGTCACATTAGATACCGAAACCGTGATTTACACTCATGCGAAAGAGCTCGGTATTTCGCTTTTGACAGTCTCTCATCGCGCATCGCTCTGGAAATACCATAATTTGATTCTGCATTTTGACGGCTATGGTGGTTACGTATTCACCGATTTGGATGCGGATGAGCGATTGAAACTGGAAGAGGAGAAGCTTGCAATCGATTACGAGTTACGACACGAAGAGGAAACGATTGAGAAGCTTCGAATTTTAGAGCAAGCCGCCAAAGCATAAAATTTACTGAAAGGTTTAAACTCGAGAGGGTTTTATAAATATTAACGTCATAAATATCTATGTAGTTGACTGTCTGCGACTCTTGGAAAACCGGTCGAACATTAAACGATGCAAAAAATAAATCACATCAACAGAGAAAGTCTCGTGGAACCAATATAGCTCTGGTTTTGGTTCCAGCATTCTACAATCGCGCTTGAAACACTGCTAGCGTAGGCGAACCCAGCCCGCTCCATAGTCTTTAGTCGCCGTAAATATGTCTTGCGCATTTCAGGGTCCAAAGCTTCACTGGCAGCAGTGACAATGATGAATGCCATATTGCACTGGATAGTAGAGTCCTCTTTGATATATTGGTCAAACATTCGTGTCATACGGGCAACTAGCCGCTGTACGTATTCGTGCTCTAGTTTGAATGTGAAAAGACGACGATAAATATGCACCTGGAGTGCTTGTTGAAACAGGAGACACATGGCAGAAATTTCATTAACTGGACGATACTCTTCAAACCAATAATCTCCCAGCAACTGGAAAATCTGCAATCCACGGCGATAAAGACCGGCAAGATCATGAAGAGACAACGCGCAGTATTCTCGTTGCTGGACGAGGTTCGCAACTTCGGCAAAGAGCGGTAAAACATTGAGGTCCACGCCTGTTAAATAATCAAATGAGCCTGACCAACGGGGCCACCATGATACTGCTGGAAGCTGGCTGAATGTGTTGGCCGAAAGACTGCCCATCACTTCCATAAAGGCGGTTAGTCTCATTACGAAAGAGTGCAGCTCACCATGGGGCCCCGAGAGGTCCCTTGGGTTTCTATCAAGCATCTCTAGAACCAATTGAGCATAGTACCGCCAACTGGGCCGGTTGCGATCCACGTCAAGAGAAGACAAAACCGCGGCAAGGGTCAAAGCCCCGTCCGAATCTGGATTGACTACTTGCATCACATCCAACGCTTGTTTTACCTTGTCAACCAGACTGTTCACAAGCTCTTCGCTCTGGTTTCCATTGCGCAAAAGCATATCACGATGAGCAGCTCCATAGGCGACCAAAAGATCGTACAAATTGTCATCACCTAGGGCAAGCTTAGGTAGAACGTTCGTAAACGGATTTTCAGCGTACGGAACCGGCACCAAATTTACCCCGGTCACGTTAATAAAAAATTCAAAGTGCTCTTGGAACTTCATCTCAGGTGTCGGATCCAACTTGGTAGCTAGCCGCGGATGGGGGCTTTCAACAAACGTTATCCGCGTTCGACAAACGGAAAAGTCTGGGGTAAAAATATGTGGCGACTCTGGAGTAGGCGGCAGTTTCGTCCTGCGTTTGTATCGAGTGACCTCAGCAGGCGCTCGAACTTGTGCCACTGATCCCAACCAGTTCAACTTGACCTTGTAGTCACAAGCGATTCCTTTCTTGCGACAGGCGCCGCAAGTTGGGCGAGCCTCGTCGCACTTCATTCGACGTGCCTTACAAGACTGGCAGCCATTACGGCTACGTCGCGGGGTCATATAAAGTTGCTGGGTTTCCTGATGTAAAATATAAAAAAAAATTGGCCTGCAATTAGTCTATGTGGAGATCTGTGTCATTACCCTAACCTGACATAAAAACCTCTGATCCGTCAACGAAAAAAATTTGGGTTTAGCCCGAGAACAGCCGAGCCGGGCCTTAGATAAGCAAAGGAAGGAGGCATCATGCAGCCGCATGCGACGCGGTCGGAGCGGGATTGTTGGTGCTGGCAAAAGTGATGAGTCGAGCCAACTTGCGAATCTTGTTTGAAAGCGTGGAAAACCCGAATTTTATCTCTCCCTGAGGATCAAGTTCAGAAATAGGCATTATCTTTTCACCCTGCACTAGCAATCCACCTCCATCTAGCATGTCGTCTGGTGCGTCTACTTTCACACCGGCATGGCGACTTTTCTGTAAGCCCGTCAACAAGCTTTTGGACTCTGAGCGGAAAACCGCAAGCGCTCCATAGTTCAGATCAATGACCGCAGACTGGTTTTCAAAAATCTGCAAGAGGGATTTTTTCAGGCCTGGGATTTGAAGATGCTCGGGCACTTTCAGGAGCACTTGTACAGGACTCACCTGGGGGCAACGAAGAAGCCGGATAACCAATTCCGGTTTGCTTGTACTATGCATTATGAGTGTATTCCAAAGCTCAGCCTCATCATGCTGAGCGGCAAACTCAACCGCTTGTTCGACTGCGTTGAGTTCATCCAGTAGAAGGCCCAGGGCTTTCTGGGTTTGGCCAACCCTGCCTAATAAATAAACCAGCTCCTCAGTATACTGTTTTGAATCGCAAACCTGTATTGCGACGCTCAGGTTGTAATTGTCATTTCTGGTAAGAAAAACCTTGAGTTTGTCTCGAGCGAACTCTCCATACAGCTTCACCAGCAGATCACCAAACGGTCTGATTAAAAGCTCGTTTTCAGACCCCAAGAGTTCAAGATACCACAACAACAGCTGGTCCTCTTTTGCATTTTGCAGCTCTTCAACGACTTTTTTTGGAGATACTTGCAGATTGTTTGCAACGAGCACAGAGAGCCGACTCTGTATGTCAGGCTCGCTGCCAGCCCGCAAAATTTTAGCTAGTAAAGGTAAAGTATCGCCCCAGAGATAGCACTCCGATGTCACTTTGAATGCATTGCTGGATCCAAGCTTCAAGTAGTCTTCCACCGCCCTAAGAGGATCTCCTGTTTGTCGATGCAGTCGAGCTCGAGCATCTATTATTGTTGGATCGGTGCTCGATTCGACTTCGCTTAGAACTGATTGAGAATCATAAAGTGAGAAATCCCAATTCTGAACATATTCCAAAAGCTTTTTAGAAGAGGTAGTAGCAGCGTGCTCCAGGATCGATGTTCGAACATCATCAAGACCCGCTAAATCACTAGGCAAATTATCTCCCAGCGAAAAATAGTGTGCGTGGTCTAGGAAGCGTTTAGACCATATTTCCCATTCGTTAGCGTCATCTGGGCCTAAAACAGACTTTAGCAATTTACCTGCATCTGTCCAAGACTGTAGTTCAATTAGGCTCTCAACTGCCTTTAGACCAATTCTCTTACGAGTCGGGTCATCACACACTTTCTCCGAGCTGTTATAAGCTTCCACAAATTGGCCCCGGCCCATGAGCCAGTCTACGTGATCTTTCACATCCCTTTCTCGAGCAATTACTGCGTCCTTAGCAGATACAAGATAAAACGGACCAGATCCTTGTAAATGGTAGTCATTGGGACCTAGCCGAGAATAATCCACCAGGGAGAGCTCATCAGCGTATGTTTCAGAGCCTGTGTAGTCCATCAAGCGCAGTTCTGGTTCCTCGGCAAGACGTGAGCAAAGTAGTAGTATATTATCGTGGAAAAATGTCAGCCCTGACAGCAGCCACTCGACATTGAACGATGAGAGAACAATGTCAGGACTTTCAAGATCTAGGATCCAAATACTTGATCCCCAGCCGACCAACACACGTGAATCTATACTAGAGGGCGTGATTTGGGGCCTGTAGAGATTTGCTTGAGGAGAGTTCGGTAGCCGAGAGATTCTTTGAAGAATCGTGCTCGAGGAAGTGTCGTAAACAATGATACCCTCCTCAGTGCACCAAATAGCTCGGGTACCACACCACTTGATAGCCAATACAGTGCTAGTGCTCTCATACAAGACAGTGTCTTTTTTTCCTCTTAGCCACCCTTTCTCTGATTTGATCACTGTGCCAGCAGTGCCTCCACTGAGATAGCATTTAGTATTTTTGTAGTTCGGATCCAATGCCACGCAATGCACAGGTCTATTGAAGCTTGCTGGAACAACATCCTGTGTGTCTGTGATAGACAAAATAACAACCGTACCATCAATTGAGGCCGTGGCAACGTACTGGCCATCGCACGATATATCTACAATTGAGGCTCTGTGATTGCGGACCGTACGCAGCGGCGTCATATCTGTGTTTGCTAAATGAACAATTCCAGAATGGGTGGCAAAAACATAGACTGATTCGTGTATCAAAACACAGCTAACAGCATCTTTGTGGAAGAATGTAGGCGGTAGCCCCGTTATGCGGCTATAACTGAACATTGGCTCTTCTTCTTCCTCATCGCCATCCGAACTCGATGTCTCATTATCAGTCACATTCTCTTCCGAGCCGCTGGTTTCTTGTTCCCACTTTGTTGATTCGCTTTCAGGCGCCTTTTCAACGTCCCCTTGCGAGTCTTCCATGACTAATGCCAAAAGCTATTCGAGGAGCGCTCATTGAATGCGATCCGTCGATACGAGCGCTCATTATCAGTATAGATATGCGCCGGCAGGATATTATTATCGAAGAACTTGATGATAGGCATTTATTTATCGATGAGAGTAAGATTGACATCTTGAAGCAGGAGCTCAGCGCACGCTTGGACCAGAACACTTATAATCCGGAAGTTTTACAGAACTAGAGGTTTTATACTGCCTAAAATGCTACAAATTTGTTTGGAACTGTCTTGTTAATTCACCAAGCCAGGCCATCATTGCATCTGCATCCATTACGCCGTCCAACATATCAGGACTACCAGTGTTGTAGATCAAGTGGTAGTACTCAGTATATTTTTTAACAAGATCGTCTTGTAGTGAATCCAGCAGGACATCGCAGACGCGAGGCTCCGAAATGTAATCGTGAACAACTGTGTTGATACGTTTAAGCTCAACGGCCACAGCCTCGCGGAAGTTATGGACGTCATGTTGGGCAGTACGCGCATCATTTTTGGAGATCGGGTCAATCATAGAGTCTGTAGCATATTCTGTGAATCTCGTAACAGCCAGACGCAACGCAGAATACAAACCTTCCATGGCATCGATCATGTGCTCGATCACATGAGGCATTGATGTTCGTGCGATGCCAAAAAGCTCACGAACGGAAGTAAAACGTGACCTATTTTGCCAGAATGCTTCAACAAAAGTTTGCAGTCCACTAAAGTCGACATCATGCTCCACCGAATGCTCCACATTGAAATCCATTATACGGGTTTGTAACAGTACCAGCTGCTGGATATGAAATAAGCTTCCCTCAATCTTTCCAAGACGTGTCATGGCCGACTCGCGTCCTGTTTCAAGAGACAGAATGCATTGATTAACGCATCGATAAGCAAGGTTGTTAAACACCTCGTTGTTCAACAACTCATACACCTGGCCTAGTAAATCCAAAGCCTGTGTCACTGTTGGATACACTGTTTTACCCCAGTCTTTAGGCGTTGGCTGATATTTTGAGATGCCATCGACAATCAAATCGGCTCGGAAAACAAGACGGTTTTGAGTATCCCGGTATATAGGATCGAAAGCCTGGGTATCGTGGCCCTGAATCGACATGATCAGTTGACATAGCTGTGAAATGTCCGTTTCCCTAATAATGTACCGCCGAAGTTGGTCGTAGAGAGGTTGACATAAGTCTGTAAGCCATTGCTCATACTGCTCATCAGGCTCTCCCATGACCTTGCGATAAGCATCGAGCTCTTTATTGAATAGTGTCATGAACTGCACCAAAATATTTTGCGCTCCAACAATAAAGTCTGGGGGTCCTGGCGGCGCCAAAGGTGCAAGGCTCCGCGAGATCTCTGGAGAAATGAGTTGAGAGCGGCACGTGAAATACTGCTTTTGGACCTCCATAAGAAGTGATTCTAGTTTTTCGTCATCGCGAGATTTAATAACAGACACAATTGGGCTAATAAACTCGGCGTCAGCTTCGAACTTGGTCCAGATAAGTGCATGCATAGCGCCAGTTGTGCTGGAAGTTGAAGACGCAACTAGTTTTTGCAGAATTGAGCCGGTAACCTTCCTTAGATGACCAACACAAAACTCTTGTGCCAGTGTAACCGCTCTTAAAATACATTGAGTGTGCCTCATTTCATATAGATCCATATCTTTGAATTCTGGATGTTGTTTGCAAAACTCGAGCCCTTCGTCAAGGTTTTGCAAAAGAGTTCTGAACTCCTGCACTTTGGAAACCAGTTTATTGCCGGGTTTATTCAATATTCTTGTAGAGTTGTCCAAATTGTCATAAATACGAAGATACTTGTCCAGATCTTTGTGCAGTTGGTCCAGCTTCTCTTGTTCATGAATACCACCATCAGAAACCACTCGCATTTCAACAATTTGAGTATTAATATTTTCCAGATTGCTTTTCGTTGCCTCAATGTTGTCAATTAATTGCTCTGATTCGGCGCCAAGCCGGTTATAAACTGAAATCGCCAAACGAGCTCTTTCTAAAACAGTTTGGCTCTCCAGAATCTGCGCAGAGAACAACGCTTCGTCAAAATCATCAATGCTGTATTCGGGACCTACCCATAGTTTCCAATCATTCATCTCTGCCTTTTGGGCGTCGAGAAATGGTGTGTCCAGCGGCCAACTTCGAGTTGTCACTTTCTCGCTTCGTGGCAAGCTGTTGGCGCGGCGCCGCAGCTCTACAACTGGCAGCACCCAGTCTTCTTCAGCACTTATCTGTGAAGCAACACTTTGTACAATTGATTTCGCGCGCTCACGACGCGGTGTATCGAAATGCTCTCGATAGGCCCAGTCGTCGAACATCTGACAAACCAGAAACAGAAGGGCCCGCGAAAAGGGCAATTTCAATGTAAAATCGCTGAAATTGCCCAATACATGAAAGATCTAAATGCGTTTCGGATGTATTAGCTTTCTTTAGAAACTATAGCAGAGGGCATGAAATGAGGTGATTCAGCCAGGTTAGTCACTTGCCGTTTCAACAATGTCTACTGTCGATAAAAGTAAAGTCGTTGGCATTATTGGCCTGGGTGCCATGGGCAAAATGTATGCCAGACGATTTTCTCAAGCTGGCTGGGCTGTTTGTGCTTCGGACCTACCTGCCAACTACGAAACGTTCAAGAAGGAGTTCGAGGATACTGCGATCGAAATCCTGTTAGATGGTCATCAGGTGTCGCGCAAGGCAGATTTCATTATTTACAGCGTGGAAGCTTCGAATATAGACAAAGTTGTTGAAATGTATGGCCCGTCTTCCAAGATCGGTGCAATTGTCGGTGGGCAGACATCTTGTAAGTTGCCTGAAATCAATGCCTTTGAAAAGTCTCTCCCACCCGATGTCGAAATCATCACTGTACACTCTATGCACGGCCCTCAAGTTGATCCCCGTGGTCAACCTTTGGTTATTATTCAACACCGAGCGAAAGACAAGTCTCGGGAATTTGTCGAGAATGTTATGGGATGCCTGAATTCTAGAATCGTGCATTTGACTGCTGATGAGCACGACTCTATCACTGCAGATACGCAAGCAGTCACGCACATGGCATTTTTATCTATGGGCACTGCCTGGAAGGCCAACAAGCAGTATCCGTGGGCACATGCTCGATTGGCTGGAGGGCTTGAAAACGCCAAGATCAACATTGCCTTGCGAATCTACTCTAATAACTATCACGTCTACGCTGGTCTTGCCATCACCAATCCCAAAGCACACGATCAAACCTTGCAGTATGCCTCCTCCGTTACTGAGCTTTTGAAGTTAATTGTAGCTGGCAAGCGGGAACAGCTGAAGGAGCGCCTTTATGCCGCCAAGGAATATGTTTTCAGACGTGTTAATGAGGATCCTAGTCACTCGATGCTTTTGCCGGATGAGCTTTTGGGTCAGTTTTCTCTCTCAAAAGACGTCACTGGCACCGCCAGAAACCCCAACTCTCATCTGAGTATTTTGGGCATTGTTGACAGTTGGTATCAACGTAAAATTGTTCCCTACGACCACATGATTTGTTCCACTCCTTTGTTCCGTGTTTTGCTAGGTGTAACAGAGTTCCTTTTCATGACACCTGGGTTACTCGACCAGTGTATTGAAGACGCATTTTCCACCACAAGCTACCGTGGTGACGACATTGAGTTCGTCATTGCTGCCAGATCATGGTCCACCGTTGTTCGAAATGGTGACTTCGAAGCTTATAGAATCATGTTCGAGGATACTCAAAAGTACTTCCAGCACATGTTCCCCGAAGCTACCAAGTTGGGTAACGAAATGTTCAAAGCCATCAATGAACGACAACTAAAGAAAGCTCTTTAAATACATAGATCAGTGCATTAACGACGTTTATAGATACAAGGCTTGAGCAATGGGCGCTCATCTTTTTCGGGCTCGATGAACTTTGTCTTTTCTTGTTTGGGGAAGAATACAAACTCAAAGCGCACAAACATCTTGTTAGAGTCGTCGGTAGCTTTATGATGCAGGCCATATCCTTTGAGGGTGTCTACAAATCGCTGGACGTCGGTGCCCTTGTCCGTGATGTCAAATCGGGACTTGATCTCGGCAACCCAGATTTCTCCTCGTGGCTTCAAAATGCGGAGTGATTCCTTGATAAAATCCTCCAAGTTAGTTCCCATCAAGGCCAGGCAGAAAACGACAACATGTGCAGACTCATCTGGAAGCGGCACATTTGCCATATCCGCAACAGTGATCCGATCGTTGGCTTTATGCAGGTCGAAGCTGTGGACCTGGAATCTTGCCTTGCGACTTTTGGGTCCACCACGCAATTTTGAGACTTTCAGGGCCAGTTTAGCTTCACCACAGCCCATATCTGCAACCACGATGTCGCCGTTATAATCAGCAGGAAGACCGCCAGGAGCATTCAGTGGTTTCTGCAACCGAAGCTTGAAATTTTTAACCATCGTATCAACGGGATTTTCTGGCCATGATTCGACTTGATGCTTGAATCCTTGGTGGTACTCGTCGAAAACGTGCGGCTGTTTCTTGAATAGGCTGAGAGCGTCTGACGAGGATGTGGTATATAGCTGCTCATTGATCCATCGAAACCGCGCACCACTAAGTTTCTGCTGCATTTTCAGTTGCATTGGTGTTAATTTTGTTCTTGGTTCGGGCGTCATCGCAGCAGGGGTAGAGATTTTTTCTGGCTCGGGCTCGACTGCACTAGGCTTTTGTTTCTCATTGCTCTTTTCTTTTTTCGGTCTTTGTTCTTTTTTGGTCTTTTTGTTACTTGATTCTTCTGATTCTGCCTCCTTGACAATATTTTTCTTCAATTCTGGCTTAGGATCAACCTCTCGTTTACGCTTGGGCCCAGCCTCGTCTTGACGACCCAGCTGGCCGAACAGCTCTTGTAGTCCATCAGCAGAAGGGTTTAGCTTCTTGGATCCTGGCTGAGGCTTATTTTTCTTTTTAGGTGCCTCTTTCTCGATCTTCTTTGGAAGATCAAATCCTGATATTTTGAACATTGGAAAGTATTTTTTTTTCCGTCTGACTAAAGTAGGTTGTATGCCGATAAGGAGAGGAATATGAATGAAATCAATAAAAGCAAAAGAAAAAGTTGAGAAGGAATACGGTACTAAAAAATTTATGGGTTGTGTCTGATCAGTTGACTCGATCGCTTCTCCAAAATTGATCAGCTGCAATGCATTCGGCGCACCCCGATAAGATTAGATAAAGCCTGCCCAACCTTTCATCCCCACACCATGTCTAGAGACTACATTACTTGCCACATTCTCGATACGGTTACTGGACTTCCTGCTCCCAAGGTGCGTGTTGAGCTCAGCCGTCTACAAAATGGCGAGGAGATCCCTATTGCCACTGGCCACACCGATAACGACGGTCGTATCTCGAACTGGGAGAGCGCCAGAGTGACGTCGGTAATCCCCGGTGCCCATAAAATCAAGTTCGAGACTGGTCCTTATCTTAGCTCTAAGACCAAAGGCGAAGTTTTCTTCCCGGTTGTGGAAGTTGTTTTCGTTGTTAGTGACCCTCCTCAGGCCCACTATCATATCCCTTTGCTGTTGTCCAACTACTCTTACAGCACATACCGGGGAAGTTAAGTAAACCAAGGCCCTTTTCACAGGAGTTATTGAGCCATTGAACTAATGGACAGCTAATAGTACTCACAGTAGCCAATTTTCTTTAAATCGGTGGTGAGATGGGAATGGAGCGCCCAAGCCGGTGGAAACTTCAGTTGAATATTTGGAGCTTTCCAAACAACTTGCGCGCTAGCATCCCGTTTCATTTCATCTCACCAATTTTGATATTACGTGCACTTATCGAGGTGGTGAATTATGCCAGTGGATCTGCAAGTTACATGTGACAACATACGACCTCATGAATAGCTGCTGACAGAGGCTGATGGTCCTTCATTCACGAATGGCGCCAGTAAAAGTAGATATATGGTCAGACTTTGTATGTCCATTTTGCTATTTAGGGTGGCGCAAATTACAAGCTGCTATTGAGCAAAGTGGCTTGGAGGTTGACCTAGAGTGGCATTCGTACGAATTAAACCAGACTGCTCCACCTTGCTATGAAGGCACTTTGCCGGAGTTTTTAGCCGAAATCATGGGGGGCGAGCCCGTAGAGCGAGTGGAGGCGTCGCTTGATATTCTATCCGAGAAAATGAAAGAATGGGGTATCGAATATAACTGGAAGGATGCGAAGAATGGAAATACTTTCAATGCACATCGCATGTCTAAACTGGCTTTCGAAAAGGGATTAGGCAAAGAGTATCGAGAACGCATGTATAAGGCGGTACACATTGACGGTCTTCCAATTGGAGAAAAAGAAGTTTTACGAAAGCTTTCTATTGAAGTAGGCCTTTCAGAAAAGGAAGTCGACGAGGTACTCGACGGCATCGTGTACACCCAGGAAGTACGAGCCGACGAGTACGACGGAATAGAACGACAAATTCAAGCTGTTCCACATTACGTCTTCAGTAACAATATTGTCATATCTGGCGCCGCAAGTAAAGAGCGTTTTCTCGCTGCGCTGCTGGGCAGAGACTGCAATGGAGAGGGAACTGAATGGCAACCGACCCCAAATTGTAGTGCCAACTTGCACAACACTGGTGGTTGATTTTAACTATTTTTGACAGTAGCTTGTATATGTTTTCCTAGATTCGATTATTATTCTTTTCGTCGTAGTTTTTTGTCGGGTCAGGGTGGGGCGACTCGCCCCTTCGGTCTGGCAGTATCGGGGTGCATTTAATCGACGCATGAGCCGCAGAGCGCATACGCTGCTCAATAAAGAAACACAGGCCGCCACGCAAATACTGTCCTATCGATCGAAACACCACCTTATCTCGTTTTGTTTGCTTTGATTTGCCCAAATCATTCTTCCCCCAAAATGAAGATCGCTCTACCGTTTCTTTCGACGTCTGATGCAGCCCTTGCCCCCCCATGCCCTTTCACGAAGTCCGATAATCACTTCGGCGCCCGACGAAGTGCTCTCACTCGACAGGGCCGTGAGAAAGTGCTCGACTAGATTTGGCTACTGTGACTTTTTCATACGACCGGAGTAGGTGGCTGCTCCAGAACTGCAACGATTTGCTGCGTGGCGTTACTAAACCAACCATGCCAACCATGCCAGTTGTTCAAAGAAAACCTTTACCCTGGCGAACGTCCGCGAGGTGCATGCGGGCTCACGATGCAGTGGCTGGCAAAAAGACGTTGCGTAGCAGTTAGGACATACACACAAATAAAAACCAAAAAAATAGCCCCAAAAGTGGCAAAATACTGCGATTAAGCGTGTGTTCGGCAGTGCTTGACTGTGTTTTGAGAGACTTCATCAAAGCTACTTGTAAATATCGCATCATGCTCTTGCGATTAGAAACCAGCACTGATCCCAACCTCGCGACTAGGTCAACCATCTTATATCCCCTCCTATTTGTCTAATATCCCCAGGAGCATTTTGCACTAAGGAGGTTTGGGCCGCTTGGGAGTTTTACCTTCTGAGAGCGGGTATAGTGAAAACCCCGGCCACCCGAACCGAACCGAAAAATCAAACTTTTTGACGACTTTTTGCCAAAATTAGCTTAGTACGCTACTATAACAATCCTTGGACTAAAACTGTACACGTCGAAAAATGGCTAAAAAAACTACCCGACCTAAGGGCACTATCAAAAGGGACACGCCCTTTCCCACACCAGAACCCTCGGTAAAAATCCCGGCGCAACCAACGCTATCAAAGGAGGAACAGTCTAAATACAACGAGGTTCTTGCCCATTTCAAATCCCTAGAGGGCGTCCACGAGAATGAAAAGTCCAAGACAATTGTTCCGCTCAGCTTGTCCGAAAAAGCGTGGCTTTCTAAGGAGTGCTTTTTGCGCTACTTGCGCGCAACAAAATGGAATGTACCCCATTGTACTAAACGTATCGAGGCTACCCTCGTATGGCGTCGTACTTTTGGTGTTGACCCCACAAAAGACCTCACCCCTGACATGATCGCCGAGGAGAACGAAACCGGTAAGGAAGTCATTCTGGGTTTCGACAACGATTCCCGCCCTTGTCTGTATTTGAAACCGGGTCGCCAAAACACCAAGCCTACTCATCGCCAGGTCCAGCACCTTGTGTTTATGCTTGAACGTGTGATTGATTTCATGGTCCCGGGGCAAGACCAGCTAGCCCTTCTAATTGATCTCGCCCCTCACCCTATTGGTAAACACAACAAGATGCCCTCGCTGTCTCTTGGTCGCGAGGTGCTGAATATCTTACAGGACCACTATCCTGAACGTCTCGGTAAGGCCCTGTTGACCCACATTCCGCGTCTCGCTCAAATCTTCATGAAGCTCATTTGGGCTTTTATCGATCCTTTGACTCGTGAAAAAATTGTTTTTAACGAACCTTTTCCTAATTATGTGCCCTCGAACCAGCTCGATGCCGAATTCGAAGGCGAAGTCTTATTTGAATACAATCATGAAAAGTACTGGCCGGCCCTCGTAGCCATGGCCAAGGCCCGACATGAGTACTTTTTGAGACGCCATGAAGAGTTAGGCGGTTCGGTTGGGCACAGCGAATCTGACTTGCGTGAAGGTTTCGTGGACGAGAAACTGTTCGAGTAAGGCAGCTTATCTAGCATTTCTTAAACTTATCACTGGTATACACAGCATAGTTGATAAATAGGGCTTAGTACCGCTAATAAACATGAGTTTCTGCCTTGATTACTTTTTTAAAGCCCAATCCAACATGTGCTTTCTTTCTTGTTTTTCTGGATCCACCGCATCGAGTTGAAAGCTCATGTCGACACGACTTGCCCACTTTCCGTGCAGATCAAAGCAGTCGGATATCTGTTGACCAGCTTTGTAATTTTGGAGTTGCCAAACTGTTCTAAGTACCCCAGAAATTCTTCCACTGCTCCCCGGATCGGCCAGCTGGGCTTAGTTTCATTTGGCCCGGAGGCTGCTGCGGGTGACTGCAGTAATTTCGACTGTTTGATGACGACAGCTGCAGGCGCTGACAAGTTATATAAACCGGATCCACGGCACATCCAGAAGATCATTTCAAATGCCTAGCCTAAAAACCGAGACCTTGAAAAAGTGGACCTCTGAGGTTCTTTCCAATCCTACCTTATCGCTTGCCGCTACTGTGGCAGTCAACGCAGACGTCCAGGAGACCCTGCTTCGCCGCGAGAGCCGTATCGCCAACACTACAGATGTCTTCAGCCATGTTGTTGAGCCATTGGGTGCTCCTATTACCAACCAGAAGTCATCTGGTCGCTGCTGGCTCTTTGCTGCCACCAATGTGCTCCGTATTGAGCTTATGAAGAAGTACAACATTGAGAAGTTGCAGCTGTCGCCTTCCTTCCTGTTCTTCTACGACAAGCTGGAGAAGTCTAACTTTTTCCTGGAGAATATTGTCAAGACTGCTGATGAGGATGTTGATTCCCGCATTGTCCAGCATCTGTTGACTGATCCCATCTCCGACGGTGGTCAGTTCGGTATGATCCAGAACATTTTGGAAAAATACGGCTTGGTTCCCAACGACATTTTCCCCGATACTTTCAATACAACCCAGTCCAACCGTGTTAACGAGCTGGTTGTGACTTTGCTCCACCAGTACGCTCAGGAGCTGCGGGAGGCCAAGAAGGCTGGAAAGGACACTGCTGCTCTCAAGGAAGAGCAAATGCAGCGCGTCCACCAGCTCTTGACCATTTTCTTGGGTACTCCTCTAGGTCCCAATGACGAGTTTGACTGGGAGTTCACCGATAAGGATAAGAAGTTCCACCGCATCAAGACGACTCCACTCAAGTTCTACAAAGATGTCATTGGTTTTGATGCTACCCAAACTGTCTCTTTGCTCAATGATCCTCGTAATGACTATGAGCGTGTCATCCACATTGACCGTCTGGGCAATGTTGTGGGCGCTCCTGAAGTCCACTACCTCAACGTTGACATTGATGTTTTGGCAAACAAGGCTATTGAGCAGATCAAGGAGAACAAGGCCGTTTTCTTCGGTACTCACACTCCTATTTATCACCACAATCCTACCGGTATTATCGACACCAAGCTCTGGGACTACAAATCTATTGGCTTTGACCCCAAGCAGTCCAAGGCCGATCGTCTGCGTTACCACGAGAGCTTGATGACCCATGCCATGGCCTTTGTTGGTGTTCATCTCGACGAGGACGGAAAGCCCGTTCGTTGGAAGGTTGAGAACTCCTGGGGTGAGGAACGCGGTAGCAAAGGCTACTACACCTTGACTCATGACTTCTTCAAGGAGTTTGTTTACCAGGTTGTTGTCGACAAGAAGCAGATTCCTGAGTATGCTGATGCTCTCAAGACTGAACCCATCACACTGCCTCCTTGGGATCCTTGCGGAGCTCTTGCTATGTAAATTTTGTTTCATCCCTTAGACTATTTAGTTGTGAAGAATTGACGGACCGGAATGACTCTGTCGACGATGATGCAAACTGGCGAACAGGTTAATAACCAGTGCGATAAGCAGGCCAATAGCCACAATCAGGGGTCCAACAGGGTTGTCAAAGTGACGCTCACTGCGGGCCTTGACAAGCTCAACTCGGCGGAGATATTGGGTGTAGCCCCAAATACCACTAAACAGTGTAAGAGCAAATAGAATATATGCCACAATCGTTGCAACAGCTGGCGACGTACTCTTCTCCACAGAGCTGTAGATAGTAAATGTCAATGCTGAGAGTAAACAAGTAATGTGGAGCCATTTGTTGAACGTGCGCTCATTGGCAAGCCACACTTTAGCTTCAACCTTCACAGATGACTGGTTTTTGATCCACTGCGAGGGCTTGTTGACACCTGGAGGCAGCTCAACCTCCTCATCCTCACTATCAGCATCGGCCAGTTTGGGGCCCTGATTAGTCCAGGTGGGAATGCCGACTCCCTGTTGAGATGGACCGGCAGGAGCAGCTGTTTCAGCACTGACAACAACTGAGTCGTCACTATCCTCATCCTCGTCATCCTGGCTATCAGTAAAGCTATAGTTGACCCGATTAGTCGGTCTGTTGGACGAACTGGGAACGGGCAGATCCTGGCGGAAGTCATGTTCCATATCGTTCAACCAAAATGGAAGGCTGTCAAGATGATCTTCCTCACCATAAAGAGTGGCAATACCATGAAGGAACTTGGTGAAATGGGGTACCGCTTTGATGAGCTGAGACTGAATCATTTCCTCAACCCAGGGAATCTTTTCAACCTTTTTGTTTTCCACACTTTGTCTCAGGCGAATTTCAAGAACAGCAGGAGAGAATCTAGCGAACTCTCCTTTCCGCAAAGCGTTGCGTAAATCTACATTAGGCTGGTCCAAATCAGCTCTGTGCCACGAAGACGGATCACGAATAGGATGCTTGCTGTCCAAAGCATCTTCGCGAATGAACAAAATATCCTGATCCAGAATGACACGAACTCTATCGTCGCCAGGGATTTCGAATGCCGACCTTTTATAGATCGTTCGAAGCATAGGCTGGAGGTCATTTGTTATAATAAATGTTTGCAGCTCTTCGGCAGCCGCCTTGTAGTCGTCAATTACAGCTTGAGTAGCATGTTTCTGCTTCATCTTTGCGATGTTTTTCTCAATGACTTGTTTGTTTCCCTCCATGAACTTTTGGATATTTTTGTCCTTCAGAGAGATACGGGTGATTCTTCCATCTTCCTCATTCTGCTGCTCGAGAGTGATGTCTGGCTTTTCATAAAGATGACCATGCCAACGGAAACGAAGAGAAGTAGGGACATCATCCTCACGACGCTTTTCAAGCTGAGATTGGTACAACCGGAAATCGGGAGTGTCCAGGTAAAGTGATGTCACAGTAGGATCGGCACCAAGTTCATCTTCATCCTCACGGTTATAGACTAATACAGGAAGACGACGTAGAATCTTAGCCTTGACCTCCATGAGATCCTCGGGGTGAACCCAGAATTGCAGGGTGGTGTATCCAGACAAATGGTTTTTAGCGACAGATTCAGAGAGCACAGCCGACTTTGTGGTGGCTGATTTGGCAACCGAACCAAAATTCTCCTTTAAAAAGTTGTAAATATTGGACAAGCGGTATAACAGAGGGCTATAATCCTCAGAATGGAATGGCAGGGCGCTCAATCGCACACGAAGTAAGGGACCAACCTGATACTTGTTGTGCAAGCGGTCGTGCTTTTTCACAATCTTGGTGAAGCCAGTATAGTTTATGCGGCGGAATTTATCCAAATGAGTGGCATCTTCAAGAATTGCCTCCAGCTTTGTCTCAAGCTCTTTGGCGTCCAAGTTTGCAGGCTGCTCAATTTGCTTTTCGATGATAGTCAATCGCTCACTAAGTTGATGATACTTTTTGGACTCGAAAGAGTAAACTTTCTCGAGTTCGGAATCGAGCGCTTCGACAAAGCGGGATTCGTCTTCTTCGGTCCATTTGCTCTTGTCGCTGATAACTGATTCCTTCAGATATTTTTTGAGGTAGTCGTATGCGATATAATGCTTTTCCCAAGGAGGATAAACCTCATTGTTGAGCTTCACACTAAACAGCATCGGCTAATTGGACACTGGAGCTTGTGAGTTGAGGTTACGAGATTAGGTCCTTCCAGGGCGGACAGCGTCAGACCTGCACCACGTGCTGGGAAGGCGTCGTGCCCTAACCCTCGGCTACAGAGCGTTGACTGGCAGTCGAGCAAGAAAGGTGAATGTTAATTAAATACAGGTGCTTAAATGTTTAGTTTCTTTGCAATGGTTCTGAGGCTTCTTGAGAATGAAGATACGAGCTCGCCGTAGTCCCCACCTTCGTTGGTAACTCCAACCGCGACCATAGCTTCAGACGAACCGCTATCCTTGCAGAAGAATTCGGTTTCCGAGTCGTAGCCGGCATCTATGTCTTTCATGGAGCTCCACAGTCGAATAACATTGCCCGCTTTTTGTCTTCGTTCTTTTCGTCGGGTTCGTTTTTCCTTCAAGAGAGTCGCAAATTCGTCGTAAATCTTTCTCTCCTTAGCTGTACGCGGCGTGGGCAGACTAACAGCATTGCTCTGATTGCTGGCGAAAATAGTTGGGCCTGCTCGTCGTCGAGGTGGCTGGGGCACACTTCCTTCGAGATATGTTAGTCTCTGTAATGTCTTTTGTTTGCCAAACGAAATCTCCGCCGGAGTGTCGATGTTTTCAAGCGCTTTCTCCTCGGCGGTCATGGTGTAAGGAATAGGCACAGTGCCTTCGCCGTCACCAAAGGGATTGAGTTTGAGCTGTTCAGGACTTAGATCAGATTCTAACCACGCCCACATGAGCCATAGAAACGACCTGGCTCGCGATGATGAGCTGAGGTTCTCGTTCATGAGTAAATCATAGAACTTTAAGGTGCTGTCGAACATCTGCTCTTCTATGCGGGAGTTGAAGCTGGTCAGCAAAAACAAGACATTCACTGGATTTGTTTTAGGTACCAGTTTGCTCGCTTTAAGTTCTTCGAATGTGCTTGGTTCGTTCTGGTTCTCGCACGCGCCTTTCAATATTGATTTCAGTCTTGGTGCATCCTGGAGTTGTTTATAGTCCGCATTAGTATTGCTTTGAAGACTAGGGATCGGATGGTATGTGCGCAATTGAGCCTTCATTTCAGGGAAAAAGTTCAGCGTTGTATTCATGCGCCCAATATTCACCAGCAGGCACACCATTGCAATCCCTATGCCAGCCTCTCTATCGGTGCGAAGCTTCTCGCCAAGAACTTTGGAGCACCGAGTAGACTCTGCCATTGCTTCAATATAAATATCTGCAAAGGTGAATCCAGGCTTCTTCTGGTAGGCACTCGTAAATACCTTTTGCTCGTTCCGGAAGATCGCTGAGAGGAAATCGTACTGAATGTCTGCTCTCCAAAGTGGCTCACCATCTTTCTTTTTGAGATGCCGCATCTTGGTCGCCATCATAGACTGGAAATTCTTTTTGTCTGGGCGCTTTCGTCGATTCGTGGTGTCCTTCGCTTCGGCTTCCATATATGATTAGCTAAGGACAGTCCGGACCTGCGAGGGCTAAAGTAGAATGAAATACATGATACATGCGGGTTTACAGTAAGTTTTCTGAGGGTCTATGATCCTCGACATGATCGTTGTTGTTTTGACGGGAATCATTTTCTGATTCCAACAGCTCGTCGTTTTCCTCGTCTTCACTAGAAATTGCGAAATCATGGAAATCATCGAGCTCAACATCGCTGGCGATCAGCGCGAAATCACCATCGTCAATTGTGAATCGAGACGTGCGCTTCATGCGCCAATAAGCAATGGGAATAATAATTACAGCTAAGATGCTTGTTCCAACAGCTGTGACTCCGAGATAAAACAAGATGCCATGGTGAGGAGATTTCTCGGTTTCTGAGTCGTCGTTAGTCGGCTCACTACTCGTAGCCGGCGGAGGGCTCTCTACCGTGCTTGGTGGTGGCGTTTCGACAGTGTCTGGCGGTTGCTCAATTTGGCTTGTAGGCTCAGGAAGCACCTCAGGGGGCTCCTGGCTAGTTGATGCAGGCTCGGCCTCGGCGGTAGACGAGGGCTCAGGCTGAGCCGAGGAAACTTGCTCATTGGCGGGGGCATAGTCATTTCGATCAATGTGGTTTTCATATTTATCCCAAACGTCCGAGAATCGCCTCACCTTTGTCGCGTCTTTGGCATGACCCCACAGCTTGAGCTTGACATCTTTTAAGGTTCCATTTTTGTCGTCCGTACCCTCGATGATCAAAGACCAGTTACCAACACCTTGTTCGCCCCAATGGGCAACACTCATGAATTGCCAGTCAACAAGCGGGATATTAGTATGATCATTTAACCGTCTCTCGGCCAAAACCGAGACGAATCCTGATGGGCTCCGCAGGGAGTACTTGATACCACCACGAGCAGGATAATCAACGCTAATGACTACATTGACGTGCTCAATGTGCTTCAAATTGGCATTGTCCCAATCTTCTTGGGATACTGTGTAATTGTACTCAACCGGGGTAGCACCCTTGATAGGTAAGTTGGCCTCTTGTTTTTCCCCAATGTGCCAGCTTTGGGGACCGACCAACTCCCAGTCCTTGGCTTTTTCAACAATATCATCAGCATCTAAATGACCGTATCCGTAATGGTTATGGTAGTGCTTGCCATCATGAGTAGTCTGCCATTCAAGACCAGGCTCCAGTTCAAACTTTTTACCGGTCTCGCGACACAAATACTGGAGGTCGCGCCAAGTGAGCTCAGGCCGCTGCTCGAGGACTAATGCAAATACACCAGCAGCTAATGGCGCCGCCGCAGAGGTTCCTGAATGACGACCAGTGCAGGCATCGCTAGGGGATCTGTTGCCCACCCGATCCGAGGTTGTAATATAGTACTGACTGTTTGAAGAATAGGTGCTGATCATATTGGCTGAACAGCTTTCTCCATAATAAGGGTGGCGGTTATACCTGTCAGTTGCGGCAACAGTAATAGAATAAATTGAGTTGGTGTAACCATCATAATTGCAGTTGTCACCGCTGCTATGACCATTCCCTGCTGCAAAGACATATACTGAACCTTTGCCTTGCCTCCCATTCTCTATACCTTCGAGAATAGCCCGTTTCACAATGAGTGGAGGAGCATCCACGGTTCTGCCGTTATCACTCGGGCCCCATGAGCATGAATAGATTGAGTTATGATCCATAGCGTGAATCATGGCCCTGGCTTCATCGGCGTCAGATAATGCACCCGACAAAATACGGATACCAGCAACTTTAGCGTCAGGAGCTAATCCCACTCCACAAAAATCGTTATGAGCGGCTGCAATTTCTCCAGCACAGCGCGTTCCGTGATTATCATCGCCTAGTTTGGGCTCGGGCAGGTTTTGGTGATCGTTATAATCCCATGAACCTTCTTTTGAAAATGCTTCTTTTAAATCAGGATGCGTGTAGTCCAATCCATCGTCGATAACTGCTACAGTCACGCCTTTTCCTGTAATATTTTTACGCCAAGCTTTGACAATATTGATATCATTTCCAGCATCCGCAGCATTGTAAATATACCACTGCGATTTGAATAATGGATCATGTATACTGAATTCGTCTTCAATTGCCTTTAATTCTGGGACTTCAGCCGCGTCCTCTCGAGGTGGAAGTGGGACGCGTTTATGCAGTTTTTTGACTTTTGCATCATAAATAATAGGAAGCGCTTGTCTCTTATCAATTCCTTGCTCTTTTTTTTGACCTTTAGGCACGCTGAATAGCCAATGGTCACGAATAGGCATAGGTTCGACTAGGGTCCAAGCGGGAACCCCGGTGGGCTCGGGCATTACAGCCACAAAATAGTCGCTGTTTGCATAGTTACGAGGTTGAGGATCTGGCTGAGCATCGAATGCAACCTCCCATGCAGACTTTGCCGTAGATTGGGCGGTTAAAAGCGCCCAGAGCACCCATTTGAAGACCGCCATTTTTCTACGACGTGTGCGAGCGCTGGCTTTTTTTGTCAGCCAAAAACCGTTTAAAACGTAGAGTTTTGCAACAGCTTCGAGTGGGCATTTTGAATAGTTGGCGGGATAACGCAAACCCTAAAAGAAGTGTCTGTTCTTTCTTGTTCGTGAAATGGTTTCTCACATCCCAGACTTGACGCCGTACATGAACAAACGCCTGAGTCTCCAACTCAATGGATCGCGTGTGGTAGTCGGTACTCTCAAGGGATTTGACCTATTTCTTAATGTTGTTTTAGAAGATTCCGTTGAAGAATCCAAAGGAGAGGTTATCAAGATCGGAACGGCGGTCATTCGAGGTGAGTCGATTGTGGCCCTCGAAGCTATTTAGTTTTTTTTTTTTTTGGCCGTGTACTTTATTTTAGTTGGATTCTTAGCTTTGACGATTTAATAGACTTCTACTTTGATCATATAAAATTTAGGCTTTATATGTGCTTTGTGAGCTTTGTGAGCTTGTCCATGGTGCCCTCAACGGACGAAGGTAGGCAAGTAACAGTCATAGCGAAGTTATATATAAAAGTAGATAGATAGATAGATAGGATAAGAAAGGAGTTGCTAAGGTATACGAAAAATAGTCGCTTCTAGACGCTAGGGACCTTATCAAGAGCCATACCGGCAGCACAAGCCGAAGTATAGGTAGTAAATGTGCCGACTAACAAGGCTGCAAGAGCGAACTGAGCCACACGACCTTTACGTTCAGGGGCGATCTGACCGAGCACACCAATCTGGATACCAATAGAACCCATGTTGGAGAACCCGCAAAGAGCAAAAGTAGCAAGCATACGGGAACGAGGTTCAAGGTCGGCGTAGTCTGGGCTTTTAACCAGAGCAGTGTAGGCGACAAACTCATTTTGAATCATTTTGATTCCCAAAAGTTTCGCAACAGGATAAATGTCCTTAGAATTGGTGATACCAAGCATATATGCCACAGGATAGAACAAGTAACCCAGGATCATTTCGAGTGTGAGATCGGGGGTGATGTTCCAGAAGCCGCCAAACCATGTCAAGAGTGCGTCAATCAAAGCAACAAGGGCAATGATACACAATAAGTTGGTGATCATGGCAAGGCCTACCTGGAGACCCACCCAGGCGCCATTAGAAAAGGCGTGGAGCACGTTGTGTGCCTCTTCTGTAGTGTCCTCTGGAACAACTACACGGTTGGCCGTAAGTGACTCTTCAGTCTCCGGGTAAACTAATTTGGAGGCGGCCAACGACGCAGGAATGGACATAACACAAGAAGTGATAAGGGCCGCTGGGTTAACACCCATGTTCACATATGCGGCCAAAACCGAACCAGCGATGGTCGCGAAACCAGAAACTAGCACCTGGAACAGCTCAGCATCAGTCATGTGAGAAATAAAAGGTTTAACAAGAATTGCAGACTCACCTTGACCGATGAAGGGAGATGCGGCAGCAACAACAGCTTCGGCACCTGAGACTTGCATAGCCCAGAAGAAGATAACCGCAAACTTGCCAATACACCATTGCAAAATTCCAAAGTAGTACCAGATGTGGATAAAAGCAATAAAGAAAATAATAGAGGGAATGGTGTTTGCAATGAAATATCCTTTGGCGACAACGTCGGCGGAGGTCAAGAAGGCGGCACCGTCACCAGCAAAGCTTAGAAGTTTGCGAGCCAAGAAAGAAATCCAGTTGAAGAAATCGTATCCGGCTTTAGTACGCAAAACGAAGAGGGCGACCACGTATTGAGCAAAAATTCCTACCCAGACGGTGTGCCAGTTGATACGATTCTTGTAACGGGAAAAGACAAAGAACCCGAAATAGAAAACGCAGTACCCAAGTAACGAAACAGCACGCTCGTTCAAATTAGATCCATCGGTGGATGGAGTAGCGAACGTTGCGACTAGAACGGTCATAATGGTCAGGAAGGCTTCACAGTAAGGCCAAAACCTTTTAGGGATCATGTTTCTTACAGGTACAAACGTACGCTGCCACACCCAATTTGCCCAGACAAGGAGATATCTTGTGGGTGTGTAGAATGTGATAAACCGAATCATCAGCAGAATCCAAAGGACGGTTGGAATCAGCCACATGTGACGATGCTTGTCCTGGGCAACGATCGAAATCCACCAAGCAGTGAAAAAGAGACCGAAAAACAGTACCACAACCCAACGGTAACGCTTGCTAGCCAAGCGGAACCGCTGCAGGATGTTTGGTCGATCACTGGCAGCTCCGCTCTCGACATCAACGTGTGACTTGTAACTATTCTTTTCCAGTTCGGAGCTTTGAGATGGAACTTCCTCAAGATTATTGTTGAAGTCGTCTTTCTCATGAAGAATATGATGAGCATTTTTTTCAGTATCATGCTGATGGCCCGGTGAGGGGTCATCTGGAACAGGACGAACTTCTTCTCCGGCATGGTGAAGATGTTTCGGGGTGCTTTCGAGTTCTATGCGTCCGCCCACACCAACGTCCGCATACCGGATCTCCGGACCCAAATGTTCACCGTGGCCCTCGTGAAACCGATGAGCGTGTTCATGTTGGTTCGAGGGATCCAAAGCAGGGTCGATAGAGCGAGGGACCTGACGCTCATTTAGGTTGACCTTGTTGAATATTTTTTTCACTGGCGAGTCTCGATGAGAGTCTTTGGGCGTATCCTTATTCTCCATTGTGGCTGGTTGAGAACTAAATTAAATGGACGAGGGGGTGAGACTCAGAAGAACAAAAGTTTGAACCAACCAAGTGTATCAGCTTTGCTTGTTTGAACTATTGAGACTATCCAAAGCCGAAAATAAGTTGTCAGAGCACTGTCGACCTGGGCAGAATTTTTGCTGTTCCGCTTTATACGGCACATTTTGGCCCTAAAACGCGCATGATCCTACTTTTTTCCTCTACCCTAAGCTCCCGGTAGTCACCAAATTATCCGAACAATGTACGGACACTATACCGCCTCAAGCCTGGGCATTCTATATTGGTGCTGGCTTTCTACTTGGGAACATTTTAAACAATTTCAACGGCCTGCTCAAAATGTAATTGCGTGCATCTGACTCAAGGATGGATCCATCAAGTGGCCTAATGCTGCACGTTATGCTCAAATTTGGGCAGCAGCCCGCAGCATCTGTCGCGCCGTGCGGATAAACTGGGCTTGGCAAAACCACAAAAAACTAGCCTTTCCACCCACTATTGTTACGGACCATGTACGCTAATAGAAAATAACAGTTGTCAAACATTTTGTTCTGTATCATTATAAGAACTAGCGGAAAGAACGGCTAAAGTGTCGATCTCATTTAGGATAAGCTGCGGAGACTCTTGTCGATGCGGGGGAGCCGGCACGCGCACTCTGCATGGTCTCATGGCTTCTTGAAAATGCAAGTATGGAGTGGAAAATATGATAAATCAAATTTCTAGCTCATTCAGTTTGCCTGAAATAGAGTCAACTTCTCCGGACTCGGAAGATTCAGAGGGTTCGGAGAATTCATCTTCAGGGCTTGACAGGTGGTTATCTTCAACATCACGAGAAGGGGCATCTCGGCTGTTGTTATCGGATAGGAGAAACGGCAACAATATCGAGACATCTGCAAGATCCCCAAGAACAAGAGCGTCTTTGGCGCGCTTCCCAAGACTGCCTACTTTTTCCATATTAAACAAAACTCTCGGGCAGCTTTTATGGACCATGTCAGGCAACTGGGCGAACGGTTGCACTTGTAGGGACGTGCCGGCGACTATAACCAGATCAACGTCGTTATCAAAGTCATCGTCCATTGCCTCGAAAAAGCGTGACGGAAGGCTTTCCCCGAAAAACACAATGTCCGGTTTAACAACTCCGTCACATTTTTCGCACTTCGGGATTTTCAGTTCGTCGCTTGAGAGCACCTCGTCCATTTTCTTGTGATCGAACTCCTCGTGGCACTCAATGCAGTGATTTCCATGAAATGATCCATGTGCTTCAATAATCTTTTCTGGCCTGACTCCAGCTTGCCTTTCTAGTGTGTCAATATTCTGAGTATAGCACCGCCTGAGGTATCCTTGATCGTCGACCCATTTGATGAATTTATGAAACGCTGTGGGCTCAAACTGCTTTGGGTTCATATCCTTGGCCAGTGTATAGAATGCTTCGGGGCGTTCTCGTAAATAATCAATGTCAAAAACTGCTTCAGCGAATGGCAGATCAAGTTTCTCCAGATTCGAGTATAGTCCGGTTCCAGGGGTTCGGAAATCTGGAATTCCTGCCGCAGTCGAGATCCCGGCGCCTACCATGAAAATGACGTTTTTGAACTCACCGTCAACCAAGCGTTTGATAGCATCTGGAACATCAGGGGCTAGTTTGCTCTCCGGTTTGCTCTGGCTGCCCTCCCTGGACCTCGAGAGCGGATCTTTTGTCGGTTTGCCCGAGTTTGTAGTTGCCATAAAGCGCAATAGCAAATGTAGTGATACCTAAATAGAGCCGAACGTTCCTGGGTAGCTTATTGTACGATTCCAGAATACCCATGGCAGCTGAATAAAACCCGCCGTGGCTTACTAGACTTCTACTTGTTTCTATGAAACAACGGTTCAGCTATTTAGATCTTCGGCTAGCGGTAAATGAGCTCGAAGGAATAATTTTGGGCTGCCGTCTGCAGAACATATACTCTTTGGAAGACAGCCCACGTCATTTTTCCTTCAAGTTCGATGCTAAATCAGAGGGCAAAACTCATGTGATCGTTGATCCGGGAATCCGCATCCACACGACTAAATTTCAGCATCCCACCACCCAATATCCTTCAGGGTTTGTTTCAAAGCTGCGCAAGCATTTGAAAACCAGGCGCGTGTCTGAATTACTTGTTCCTGCGGGGAACCGTTTGCTGGTAATGAGCTTCAGCAATGGGCTGTACCATCTAGTGCTGGAGTTTTTTTCGGGTGGAAATATCATTCTTCTTGACGAGAAGCTCAAGATTCTGGCAGTTTACCGGAATGTGAAAGCCTTTGGCGACCAGCCCAGGGTGGCTGTGGGGGAGTATTTTTCTCTCGAGTTTGATCAGAAATCGGTTTCAACGGTTACAGTAGATGAAGTGTCACAGTGGATTGGAGCTGATAGGCTCGGAAAAGTTATTTATTCAAAGATCTCCGATCCATCTTCGTCGATGATTGAGTATTGTCTAGCTCAACATGGGCTCGATCCGAAGAAAAATGAAGGCGACCCTCAAAACGTCGCTGATGCGGTCCAGGAAGCACTTGATTGGGCCCATAAATTGATTTCCCAAAACGTTAATGCTGGTTATCTTCTCAAGAAAGCTGGCGAGAGCTCTTCTCAAGAGTTTGAACCTTTTGTCGAGTATTTCGAAGGTGAAAAGGCCAAGAATCCCGATCTGGAGATTCAGAGTTTCCCAACTTACAACGAGACGGTTGACGAGCATTTCGGTGCTATCTTGACCAATCTTCAGACTTCTCGTGTGGACCAGCTGCGCAAGGTAGCTGAGGCCCGTCTTGAAGCGGCCCGAAACGAGAAAGAAAATCGGGTACGCGGACTCGAAGAGGTTCAAAGTCAAAACGAACAAAAAGGTTTGGCTCTTCAAATGAATTCAGATCTTGTAGACGGTGCTATTCAGGCCGTTTCCCAGCTTTTGGACCAGGGCATGGACTGGGTTGACATTGATAGTTTGATTAAACTCGAAAAACAAAAGGGCAACTCAGTCGCACAGCATATTTCCAAGCTCTCTCTCGAGCGTAATCGCATAACCTTGGATTTGCAGTACGAAAACGATGAAGGGGAAAGTGACCATATTTCTGTCCTCGTTGATCTTGCGAAAAGCTCTTGGGCAAACTCCCGTGATTATTTTAATGTCAAGCGAGCTGCTGGCGCCAAAAAGGAAAAAACACTCGAACACGCAGAAAAGGCATACAAGAGTGCTGAAATGAAAATCAAGCGTGATCTTGAAAAGAACCTCACCAAAAACGCCAATGCTACTAAAACTTTGCATACAATTCGCCAACCTTACTGGTTCGAAAAGTTCTACTGGTTTTTGTCTAGCGACAACATACTTGTGATTGGTGGTCGTGATGATCTCCAAAACGAACTTCTTATTCGTCGATATTTTGAAAAAGACGATGTACTTGTACATTCCGACGCCCCGGGCGCTGCCGTTCTTATTGTAAAGTTGCCTCAGGGCAAAGAACCCTCCCCACAAGTTCTGAATCAAGCAGCATCGTTCTGTCTGGCCACATGCGCTAAAGCATGGGATGCTCGATTCGGTGGGCCTTCGTGGTGGGTCAGTCGCAGCAAGGTTCCTCGTATCAATGCTAAAGGCGATCCCATCACGGTTGCCGATGTAGCCATGGGACCTCGGAACAATATGCTTCCTACTCCAATCGATATGGGTATAACGTTCATGTGGCAGACTCCTGATATTGTTCAATTGAGTGAGAATTTGCAATTAGATTCGGATGATGAATTCCCCGATACTCAGTTGGACTCTGATGATGAGTTCCCTGACACTCAAGTGGACTCTGAGGATGAGTTCTCTGACACTAGAGTGGACTCTCAGGATGATGCGAAGTCCGTAGAGTCCGCTTCACCTGAACCTGTTGAGCCGGGACTACCCACGCCGGAGTTGTCTGACTCGGAATTGCCTCCGCAGGGTTCCGATATTGCAAAAGCATCGGATTTGAAAGAGTCTGAAAAGACTCACAGCATCGAGGAAGCTGAAGAAGATTCAGACTCGGAGTCCAGCCACAATGGATCTGTTCGCGACACCTCCTCTCCGCAGCCAGAGTCTCGCAAAGTTCGTGGCAAAAATAAAAAGCTTAAGAAACTTCGCAAGTACTTGGATCAGGATGAAGAGGACCGCAGGGCTGCAATGGAGCGACTAGGCACTTTGAAGGGCTTAGCCAAAGCCGAGCAGGAGGAAAAAGAAAGGCAAGAGAAGCGGGCGCAGCAAATTGCTCAGCAGAAACAACACCAGGAGCGCAAACGTCAAGCTGAGCTTGATCGGATCAGTTCGGAAACTGTCGAGGATGTTTCTCTACCGACCAATCTTAGCGGCGTTCCTCCCAAAGACGAGAGCCATTTAATTGCTGCCGTGCCTATGTTTGCACCCTGGAGCTCGCTGCAGAAGGCCAAATATAAAGTCAAGATTGTCCCCGGAACCATGAAGAAGGGCAAAGCTACACAGGAAGCAGTAAGAATCATGGTTAACCAAAAGGATAACATGCCGACTGACAAGGAAAAGAAACTGATTGAAGCTATTCGTCCTCAGGATCTGCAAATGATAGTTCCAGTCAAGACCATGCAAATTGGAGGTGCCACCTCGAAACTTCCTGCCAAGAACTCCAAGCAGGGCAACAAGTCAACCGGCGGCAAGTCCAAAAAGAAAAAATAAGGTAAAAAAATATATAGTGCTGTTGTACTACGAATTTTATCTTGAAATACAATCAAGTAAGTTGTTGCTTGACCACCTGGCTGAGTTTTTCACGAGCAAATCCAAACATTGATCTAAGACCCTTTTCGGTAAAGTCGATGTTCTGTAGCGATGGCTCTTCGTTGGCCTCCTGAGTGACACGGGACGAGATGACGTTGAACTCAGACTCTAACAAAATACCGTTGTCAATGCTTTCATCAATAGTAATGGTGACCCTATCGTAATTAGCCATTAGCGCGTCGCGGTCAGTCTGAGACTCCAGCAATACGTCAAGGGCATCGCGAATACCCATGAGAGCCTGGAACATCATAGCCTCGTTTTCTTCCGGTGGGCAAACCATGTAAATTTTCGGGCCCATCAAAGCCTTGTAAACGACGAGTTCATTGTCGTAAATGAGAATGTCGTTGTTTTGCCGGCTGGTTTTCTCAAACAAGCCCTTCTCGAATTTGAGCTGCTCCGCCAAAGTGAGCTTGGGCACTTCGGTATCGTGTGGTGGAGAATAATACTTGGCAAAGATCCGTTTACCTGTGTGATCCAAAATCAACAGGGCCGTCACCGAATACAAGCTCATGCTGACGTGTGATGATGTAACCCGAGGGTGAGTAGGAGAAATATGTAGCCGGCAATGTATATAGTAGGAGGGAACGCTTAAACCACTAATCGAGTGAAGTTTGTGCCACCTGTGGCAGGGATCTGTAGCCAATTCTTGTGATCATATTTGGATGTGCTGTCAATCACATGGAAAGCATAGGCGAAACGGGACTTTTGAGACAAATTCGGGCTGGAGCGATGAAGAACCGAGTTGTGAATCAAAACCAAGCTTCCTGCTTTACACTCAAGTGGCTTGAATGCGGAAGGATCTGGCTCGTCGTACTTTGTAGTGCCCGGAACAGCTTCAAACCCGGTACCAGGGTTGGTGCGAACAAACCTCTGGTAGACTTGGCTGGTCTTATGAGAACCGGGAACAAACTCAAGAGCGCCGTTCTCCAAAACGCAGTCTTCCAACGCATACCAAAACCCAACGGCGCTTTGAGGTTCGGTATAAAGGAAAGTCGCATCTTGATGAGTGGGGACCTCGCCTCCAATCTCTGGCTGTTTGCAGATCAGCATGCTTTGCAGAATTCGTGGGTCTTTGTATCCCAGGTCTCTGACAATTGCCACATTTCGTTTGCTCAATGAGACGTTGTGAAAGACCGGATCCAGAGTATGTAAAGCATGTCCTATTTTGTTGATAGTTTGAGCCTTGGGTTTGGTCAGTTCGCCATTTTCATCGAATGCCTTTTCTTCAAAAAAGAAATGAACCTTATCGGAGGAGTTTAGAAAGTAGTCGCTACCCACATGCTCAGTGCCGTTTGCCCCAGTAAGGAAGCGGGTTCTGGGGTGATTGCGAAGGTCAAACTCATCCAACAGCATTTTACTCTTAGCCATTAAACTCGAAAGCTGCTCGCTACTCAATTCATTTGGGATTACAATGCATCCTTCGTTCCTGAACGTGTCGATCTGATCCTGCGATAGCCCAGACATTAGTCAAAACAGACACAAGGGCAGACTGAGTGAGCAAATGACGATTTAAGAAGCAATTCGGTGGTTTCGATATTCGGGATCTTGCCCCCGCTGCAGCTTTTTATTTTATTTATAAAACTACGCGTTACTTACCTTATTCCCTTAACTACTTATTTACATTACTTCCGGACCTTACTTCTTACAGTCATCATGAGTGAGTTCAACTTTGCCGTGACGAGGATCACAAGCGCACAAATCTGTCGAGCAGCTGGCGTCGATAGGTGCTCACCGATTGCTCTGGACAATTTGAGCGACGTCCTTATACATTTTATGATGCTATTGGCCCGTAGTGCCACGACAGCTGCCCAAAACGATGGCCGTGAAGAAGTCACCATGGAAGATATAGTACTGTCGCTCACTGGGCGAGGTATCATTCGGCCACCGCGGCGGGGAACCGATAACAGTGACATTTCAGAGTTCATGGCTTGGCTCAAGTCCGGAGGCTTTGAGCGGACGGCGCAGGTGTCTCACTTCCAGCAGCGTACATCATCGGCCCTAGGCGCTGCCCAGGGGGCTGCCATTGCTGCTCAGCAGGCTGCACATGATCCACAAGGCTCGGTACAACAGCAGTCTTCTAGGCGAGATGACCAGCAGTCGGACTGGCTGAACTCGTTGGTCCAGCAGCAGGCTTTGATGGGACAAGAAAAGAAGTTCCGAAACACGGTTTTGGGCGAATCCGTAGAAGAAGACGTGGTAATTGCCGGCGGCCCTGCGAGTCTCGAGGAGTTTTTCCAAACGTACCTGGAAACGACGGTCCCTTACGAGACCGCGTAGGAGTTATATTTATTTTAGTGTCATTGAAAATACATATTAGATATCGGTGCTTCGCGTTGCGGACGACGATTTAGGAGTTTCGAGCGCACTGTGGAGCTGATCACCACCGGCAACTTCACGAATGAGCTCTGTGAGCTCTCTGGTCGACATTTTGTCCTTACGCTTTTCCTTGACCTGAGCAAGCAGACGGTCGACTTCGGGGGGGATTTCAGCCACGATCATATGCTGTTCAATTAATATAGAAACCGCAGCAATTGCCTGGAAATGAATGTCGCTGCCATCCTCGTCTTTGGCGAGCATAATGTTCGGGGTTATGACGGTGGCCATGTTCTGGGCATCCATTTTCGAGCCGGCTTCCTCATCGAGATGAGCAAATGACGCAGCCCAATTCAGAAAATACATAAGAACTTCGAGCAAGTCGCGCTGGCTCTTGTTGAGCAAGCACACAACGAGCCGCAAAAAGGGAACTTGCCGCTCTTGCTCTAGTGAGTTCACCTGGACCCACAGTTTAGTGAGCTTAGAACCCATTAGCGGCTCCGGGAGCTCGCGCAAAAACTTCTTGAGCAATGCCGCCAGTTGAATGGGCTGCTCATCTGCCAAGGTAGACGTGAAGTCCGGGTTTTTGTCTACCGCCTCCACGAACTCTCGTATGCGCCGAATATTACCATTCTTTCGGAAAACACCCTCAACACTCATATCTTTTTGCCGCATGGCGGTCACACAATCATCCACAAACGACGGAATGCGAAGTTTATAGTCCCCAACTCCAAGCGTGGAGTCCGCACCATTGCGTTCAAGCAGCGCTTCAAGTGGTGCACCAAACACCCCACTAGAGCTCTTCTTCTTGGAGGCTCCAAATGCCTTGCCCATTTTACTCCAGAACGAAGAGTTTTTGCGGCCTATGAGCTCCGCGAGCTCTCCAAACTGAATGTTGGGATACTCGACAAGTAATCGTACAGCAGCAATATGCTGCACAAGAGTGTAATCATCCAGACTGAGATTTCCAAAGTAAGCAGTCTCGGACTGCGCATTCTTGCGGTCCTGGGGTGTACGTAACCACTCGTTAGCTGTCATTTCAGCACCAGTGCGATGACGATACGAATTAGGCATTTGTTCACGCGCTTGTTCAGCGGCAACAATGCGACGAATATCATCCAAAGTGAGCGAAACTTTGCTTTGCAAGAGTCGCGAAGTACGCTCAAGAGCAGGAACACGCTCCTGGTTACTGCCAGGCTGTTTACCAGCAGGCTTTGTAGATCTAGAATGAGAGCTCTCAGCGCTTGCCTTGTCAATAACGTTTTTGAGTGTAGTCACATCTTCTCCAGATGATGAGCGTGGATGAATTAACGCCGAGGACAACGATGACGAGCCAGGCTGAGGCAGCACCGGTGTAGATAGCGACGCAGTCTGCGAGGTGTCTCTTGCATCATACTGACCCAAAACAAGCTCGAGACGAGCCAGGGCAATATTCAGCAAAAACATGTACTGCCCAAGCCGACTCACGCGGGAGAATTCTGCAGGTTGAGTCTGGTCTGGTTTGCAGGTAGTGCATACAACAGTATCCGCCGGTGTATACTTAGCTTCATCAAGTGAATTAGCCAGTTCGCGATCGCATATGCTGCATTTCAAGCACTCGAAATGCCACAGTTTGTCGGAATATCGTAAACAGCCGTCCTCAACGCTATTATCACAATGAGCGCATCGGTCCGATGTCAATGCTGTAACAGGATACTTAACCTTGGGCTGTTTAACCGCCATAGCCGATAGAAACATTTCAAGAACCGGCCGGGAAGTATCCTCACGGTTGTGGGCTAAGGAGGCAGCCAGGCCAAACCTAATCAGCACCTTGAGATAGTGCGCTATAGATGTAGCCACATTCAGAAGATCGTCAGACATAGCATCTGAGCGCTCTTGGCGTATTTTCGACAACGTAGACATGTAGGAAACAATTTTACGACACAGTGTCTTAGGTTCTTTGGACAAACGTTTATCCTCGCGAGGTTCAGGGGGAAGAGTGTCGAGGGCATCAAAAAGAATCTGTACACGTTCCACCAGCTGTTTTGTGGCTTCTAAAGCGCTTCGGCAGGACTTTTGCACGGCGAACTGAACCATGTTGGATACATGACCAGCAGAAAGCTCTTCATATCCACAGAGAGTGCTCCAAATGAGCGTGACAAGTTTATCGATATCACGTTCACGGCTTGCGATCTCTAACCGAGTATTCGAGGGAACGTCGCCCGACTTGCCACTCATTTTCTCGTCACATCCCTGCATGATCCCTGTTCCAGCAAGTTTGACATTCCAAAACTTGAAAATCATATAGCATTCAGGGTGCCATTGCTGCTCACGGCCGCCTCGATAAGTTTCAACAAACTGCTTCAGAATGGCCGCCCGGCAGCCCTCGCAACGCGCAGCGTGCAATGTGGAATAGTGGTAGTGACAGTAGACGTCATTGTCGTGTTCGTAATAACTATCTTCGGGTCCAAATATCGTTGAACAGAGAGAGCACGTGAAATGTTCAACGTGGTACTTGCGATCTAAAGCTGTGATGTACGACCCGCGTAAAGCATCTCCACAGCGATAACAGAGTAAATCAAGCCGCTTAAAATAGCACCGTTCACACAGCGGAATTTGCAGCGGCTTATCAACCGATATAGGTTCAATATCCAGTGGGAAGAATTTTGCTGCGCAATGTTCACCACAATCACCGCAAGTAAAGCAGTCAAGGTGGAAGGCGGTCCCCAGAGCGCGGACAAATTGGCCAGAAATAGGACCGCCACACTTTGCACAGTTTTTCTTATGACCAGCTGGCTGCTGTCCCCCAATGGGACTGGCAGCGTTTGAAAGGCGCTCGGCGTCGAAGTTAGGAGGAGCCAGAGGAAGGCTATTCGAATTATTTGCACCACCTTTAGGACCAGAACGGGGAGTTGTGGGTGTATACCAATTCGAACGGCTTTCTTTCCTATCTGGACTGCGCATTGGCGGCTGACTCGGAGATCCAACGGGAGAAGCTCGAAACTGCGGGGCTCCTGGGGCCGAACCACGGTTCGCGTGACCGTTCGAGATAGGGCCTCCAAAATTACCCTCATTAGGGACAGGGCAGTCTACAAACTGTGATCCTTGAAGCGGAGTGAGGAAAATGTTTTCGTTGCGGGGGAGTTGAGGAGGTGAAAGTCCAGTGTGTGGAGAAGCGGCTATTGGGCCAGGTGAAGTGGGTGCAGAGAACCTGGGAGAAGACATGGAATATCCGGTTGTAGATTTCCTTGGCGAAGCAGTTATTGCCCTTGGAGATGCTATTACTTGTGAATTGGCGCGATTATGACCGGAATGCGTGTGGTCGCTTGCTATAATATTGATTGGGGAGGCAAACAATTCACGGTCATACGGCTTCGAGTGCACCGAGGCACGCCCTTTAGAATCAGAAGCACCAGAAGTCGCGTCCAGAAAGTCAAAGCCTGATTTGGACAATGCTTCAGGCGCAGAACACGATTCCATACTGTTGGGTGTCTCCTCAAAAGAGGTACTTGTACGCCCAGGAAGAGAAATCGAACGGACTGTAATTAACGGGAGCTTTTGTCCCTAAATTTCGCGTCTTTAGGGGTCAAAGGAAATACTTCTTGACTTCCTAGAACGTTGTAATTTTAGACACCAGGTCCAAGAGTCCTAGAGGAAGGTGTGTTGAATCAAAGACTACTCTAAACTTGCCAGCGGCTGTGAACCTGGTATTAGATAGAGCAAGGAGGTCTCGAGTTTTGCAACAAAAGCGCCGCGACTGGAAACAATTCCAGTTTCAGTTGACACAATTAGGAGGTTAGAAAAAGTGGGAGCGCTGGCTCTGAGTAACGTCAAGGAAACAGTTTACGCGATAGGGGGGGCCTTATGTCATCAGGTCTGAAGCCCCGGCGCGCGTGGTGGCTTCCTGTGTGGGAAATGCACCTATCCGTTTCTTTACCGGGTGTGTTTTTATCTTATGCGTATCAATTCCCCGCACTATAGCGTGAATTTTACACAAGACCTTTTTACTTTACATGCGTGATTATAGCCTTGCTCCTCAGGCCTGCTACGCTATTTTTTTCGAGGTGGTTCCCTGGTGCCAATGAAATCAGCATCAGCTGCCATCACCAGGGCGACGCCTACTTGTATCAGAACTTACTGTATCTATGACGTCTACTGCTCCAGACTGCAGACCATAACCCTAAACTCGAAAGCTTCACGAGCAGTCACGCCTGCGACGCCGCTAGCAAGCTATCCAACAACAGAGCATTACGGGGGCATAATGACACCTCCTCGGGAAAAAACCCGTTCTGGAATAAAAAAATTAGCGTGGAACTCAGCATCCCAGTTTTGAATGTGTCCCCCCGTTGAAATTTTTATGCCCAGTTCCTCTTTCATCATCACTGGGGCAGGCATACTACCCCAACCCCATGTTTCTCTTCCCCTCCCTTTCCCCCACTCGTCACCCCTGACATGAGACGATAAGGGTTTACCATTTATGGCTGGAATTATGTAGTGCTCTGCAATGATCGTTCTCTATTTTACGCATGTCGTTGTGAATATCATCCAAAATTTAGGGTTTATGTATATAAATTAAGCATGCAGCTCGGTTCCCCCCGGGGCGCGGTCACAAACGCTTCGGGACGAGTTCATGGCTGTTCAGGTACTACATCTTCCTCCAATGCGGCCTCCAATTCGGTTTTCTCAAGCCATTTCCTTATTTGCTTTCTGACTTGCTGAGACGTGCTTTTGGCAAACCGGGCTGCGCCTTTGTGCATGCCTATCAGAGCAGATCCGTTTTTGCTATATCCGCGAACAGGAATAATCACCATATCCCTAATAGTGCGCCCAATCTTGATCATAGGGCTCACAAAACTGAGCCCCCCCAAGACGTCTGCCAATTGAGTGTTTGCGATGTCTGGCAACCAGTTTTCAACCAGGGTTTGCGCTAGCCGTTCATAGCCGGGCTGACCATAGACCACAACGTGCTTAAAAACAGCTGAAGACCCGTCAATCACAAACAAGTTCATGAATTCCAGTGTGTGTCCACTGCGAATTCCTTCATAATCAACCTTTTTCGGTAGATAGGACAAAACAATTGGTAGATCAAATAGCTCAAACCTCTGTATGAACGGGGGGCTGTCGGGCTTCTTTTTGCCTCTAGAACCAGGCTCCTCTGCTGAAAGTTCGAACTCGAAGTATCTTGTAAGAAAGTCCAGTGTGTCTTGGTCAATGCTTATTTGAAGTGGTTGCACTCGAGCTTTCAGTCGCAACTCGGGTGCAGCTGTAACGGTCGTCTCGATGTTGAGTTCAATGAATGGTACCCGTAGTTCGCGCTGTCGTTTTTGATCGATACATAAGAGGGTATCCCACTTCGAAGTTGGCACATGATCCCAAACCACTAGGTCTTGGATACTCAAATTTGTCGTGGAAACCGTCACTCCATGATCTTCACACGGAGAAAAAATGGAGACGCAAATCTGCTTCGCAGCAATAGTTACTTTGGGTTTTTCTCCACGGCCAAGTTCTTGGTTGCCAATCGCTGAGTCCACCTGCCCCTCCAAGTCATTCATGAAACCTGGCTTGGTGCCAATGTAAATAGAATTGTACATGAAATCACCAATGTACTTTTCGGACAGTTCCGGATCAATAATGGCCTCAGCTTCCTGTTTCACTCTCTCAACCGCTTCTCTAAGCTCTTCTCGCGTTGATTTGAAATCGAATCCATCAAAAAGCTTCACTGATAGCGAGCTGATAACAATTTCATGGAGTTTAGAAGCCACTGTGGTGGTTGTTTTGTCTTGGCCACCGACATAATTCTCAACCAGCTCTACATTCATTGGCACTGTTTGAGTCAATTGCATCCTACTCACGAGTTTCTCGAGATCCTGCTCAAGAAATTCATCAGAAGTCGAGCTTAGGGGGCTTGATGTAGTCGTGTTAGCCTGCCCAAATGCTTCAAGGTCAATTTCAGTGAGCAAATTGATGTCCTCGTTAAGGTCAAAGTTATATTTGGGTGGACTGGCAGGAGGAACCAGATACTCCAAACATTCCGAAGAAGCGGCGAACGAGTCAGCACAAGCTCCTATTGATACTTGCTCGATCAAAGCTTTAACTGACAATGGGTTCCAGAAAATAGAGAACTGTGCATTTTCGAAACTAGCCACAGGTATCCGCGATGTATCAAGGGGATCGACCAAGTAAAGCTTTGCCAAGGTTCCGAGACGAAGGCTTCGATCGGTTCCAGAACCCTTTGCTGAAAACAGAATAGTGCATGTGTAAGGTGTGTGAACCGTTAATTCACCACCAATTTTGAGTCTGTAATCGACAGAAGTTGATTCTGCCTCTGCAACTGTTTCCTCGTTCTCCCTCTCGCTCAGATCAGTTTGGAAATGCGCCGGAAACAAATGACCAGTTAACTCTTCTGCCATGAACTCCCATGAATTTCTGTCGGATTGTGCACTGAACTTGGTCGACAGATTCAGCTGTTCGTTTTTACAGCTAACATTGGCGCTTATACCCCAAGAACCCGAAACATGCTTCGCAACAAGTCCTTCAGGAATTTCCCACAACGTCGAGTTGTGATGAATTTTCACATCCTTGACCCATAAAGAAATGTCCGGTGGTGAATCATTTGTTGGCGAGATTGAACGTTGTGTTATGGTATCCATAATAGCCTGCACATCCACCAAAAAATCAGATGTTGTTTCGGCCTGTATGCGGTTAATGGTTGTCGAAAGCTCGTTGAAGACTAGGTCCAAACTTTGGACCAAGATTCTACTGCCTGAAGCACTGGTCAAACTGATTTCCTCAAGGGCTAACGACTCATGATATATGTTTCCCGGGAAGATCATTACCGTTAGCTCACCAACTACCAGCTTAATTTCAGCCATCTTTAGATCGAACGGTGTTGGTCCCGGCTTTTCTGGAGTTTTGATGCTCATAAGAGCTGCACCCATTCGTTCAAACAAATGAGCTATACACGGTAAACTTTCGACTGCTATATCAATCGATAGCGCATGTGGCAAGCAAAGAGAAATAACAGGTTCCCACTCCATCACGAAAAACGGGCTTTCTGTATGAACTCCAGGTATGATCACACTTTTCAGAACAATTTTATCCGATGTTACTTTCAGGTCCTCTAATCGAACTTGAAGCAAAGAGGTCGGTTCAGGAAGTACGTTGATTCGGTCAATCTGCAAAGAAAATTTGAGTTCTTGACTCTGTTCATCTTGTTCGTATTCAGAGTCGTAAAACTCGTTGATCACCTTTACCATTGACACAAGCGCCGGTAGTAAAACGAGAGAGATATCCGGGATTTTGATAGAAACAGCATCGAATGGAATCGTATGTTCAATAGTTATCTCCTCAATTCTGAGAAGCTCAGGTGACTCCACTGTCTCGGTGATTGTCGTTAAAACTTGGGCTGGGGGTGCTATTGTGAACGTTGAGTTCGAATCAAAAAACATGCTTTGAGACATTGATCCGTATTCATTGTCATCTAGACTGGAATCCGACGTATTATCTGATAAATTGTGCGGCGAAGAAGTGCCCCGCCCAGCGTGAGCCACACTGCCTGAAGATGTATCTTTGGATGGTTCTGAATCATTCAATTGCTCTATTACCACACCCGACAAGCTTATCTTACCACCACGAGGAATATAAAGCCTATCAATGGTGACAGTCATTGCAGGCTCTTCCCCAACCAGGACCTTGATTTTTATGTTGGAAACATTGACGCTCAATTGATTAAGAATGGCGTTAGCAAGCCGTGAAACCATTCCTGTAGTATCCCCCATTCCATACCCCGTTTCTGCGTCGCTTCCTGTAGGTATATTCTCGAAGTCCTGTAAATCGGCAATATCATTTGGCTCAGCGAGCTCAGCAACAGACCGCGCCAAATTGTCAGCCGTTTGGTCGAAAAACGTCGAAACACTGAGGTCTGTATACGAATTCCCCAATTTAACAACCAAATCTGCCCCATTGCCATTGATTCGAATTCCTGAAGTGGACAATTCCATCTCAACCGCCCGTAAAGATGCGGATCGCACCCTTAGACCCTTGATGGCGAGGCTTTCTGTGTCGAGGTCGACATTTTCCAAAGTCAAAGAAGAGGTCTTCCAAATTGACACTTTAAGTTTATCTGGGCTTATATTTGAAAAGACCTTCAGTCGGTCTAGAACGTATATAAACACCCACTTGCCCAAGTCTGGGAGGAGCATGGTGAGGATATGTGACTAAGGGAGGTTGTCCGGTGATAATGGGCCACAATTACTGCTGTATCGTAGATTGGTTTAAAAATATACTCAGCATCTATACTACATTAAAACCGACGACGTTTGGGAAGGCGGGACTTGGGTTTGGCAATACGCTTATTCTTTGCCGGCTTTGTTTGCTCGTCATCGGATTCGTCGTCAAGTTCGTCCTGAGCCCGCTTACCGCGCTTGTACTTGAGCTTACCGCGCTGTGTGCGAACAGGTCCGCTACGAACAGCATCGACATAAGCAGAAATAGCAGACTTGGCGCTAAGTGCATCACCGTCATCTTCATCTTGAATGATGATTTTACCATCCTTTTCTTTAAGATGGTGTTTAAGCTGCTTTTTGGGAGCATTCAGCTGGGGTTTGGAAGATGAAATATGGCTCATGGCACCCTGATCTAAAAGATCCAAAGGCTCATCAGTGGTGACAATGTACTGCTGATTACCTTTCTTTCTAGACTGCCTGGTATCAGCGGATTTGCGAGATGGCTTCTGATCTTCTTCTGCTTCCTCGGAGTCCTCGGAGGAGCCATAGAGCGCTTCATCAAGCTCATCGTCGAATTTTCTTCCGCGGCCATTGCTATGGCTACCCTCAGTCGTCTTTTTCCGTTTTGCCCGTTCTTTACTCTTGTTGACGTTTTGAAGTAGTTTCATGTCCGCTTCAGGGAAATGCTGGGCTAGCGTGTCATAGGGGAATCGGCGAATAAGACGCTCAATAATGTGTCTGACCTTGGCCTTGAAATGATTTTTATGGTCCTTGCTCCAACCAAGAAGGCTCTCGAGAAGCTCACTGAGACGAGGTTCCAGGGCTTCTGTGGGCAGGACAAGAATCGATACCTTAACAAAGCCCAGAACTGACTTCACAATTTCACGATTTGGTGAAGTCAAGAATGTCCAAACGGTTTCAACAACTTCTAAAGCTTGCTCTTCATCCAATTCATCTTTGAACTCGTAAAATAGGTAGGCAAGAGCAGTAATGCTAGCCGAGATCATATAAGGTGTTGACCCCAAGAGGCCTGCCATCACCATAGTAAAGTATTCACCCAAGTTGGCGGCCACCTCTTCATCATCATCCAGGTCTGCGATCTTGCCGTGGTCGATAACACCACCCTCGGCCATTTTTTGGCCCATAACAATCAGCAACTCAAAACTGGCCTCTCTGGTTTTTTCGTTTACATCTTTTGTGGCAAGAATCACCTCGGATAAAACAGTGGGAATGAAGTGCAGGTCGCTCTTGGGAAGAGCTTGAACAACTAACAGCAAAGCTTGAAGACGTGTCCGTCGAGCAGCTGGCTGAACTAGCGGCGCAAGCTCAATCATAAACTCAGAAACCGCACCAAGATTAGGGATCTGTCCCTCATGAGCGTCGACAAAACGAGTGAAAGTACGGAACGCCTTCTTCTGCAGCAGAGGTGCATTAGACTTTTTGGAGACAGTCATGAATATGTTGAAAAAGGCTTGCTGGGACTCCTTAGCAAGATACGGCGCCATGGCGATAATAACGTCCATCATAGTAAGCGCAAGCTCGCTGTCGCCAGTCTTGGTGTCCAAGTTTTCAGCCAAAATGCTGGACACCATGTTGAACATTTCCTTGAGCGCTTCGCCATCAATAACCGCAAGATACACATTGATTGTGTCCAGGAGATAACCGCGAGAATCGTGGCTGGTCTTGGTGAATACGTTCAAAATGACCTTGAGGATATCAACACCAAAGTTCTCAGCGACGTAATCTAAGCTCTGCTTGGCATCCTTAAGAGAGAACTGAGCGAGCAGCAGTGGGTCTTGGATAGCACCTTGTGAATAAACGAGATTAGATTCAACCAACAACTTAAGACCTTGACAAATTGCCGGTCGGTATTCGGGAGATTCGTAAAGAAGAGACATGAGTTTGCCAACAAACTCTTTTGTCAAGGCTTTAGTGGTGTCTTTGGGTAAATCGCAATAACGAGGCAGAAGATTCCAGATCTGATTACGAACAGTCGAGATAATTTTGGCGTTCCTCGCATTTTGCATACTCTGTGCTGCTTCACCGAGCTCTTCGGCCAGAGGGACAAAGTAGACGATGAAATGCTGCAAATGAGCATGTTGGGTATTATCACGCAGAAGAGGCAGCATCCACGCTCTGCCAGCACCACCGTGATCCGAAACTGAAAGTTGAAGGGGAACAAGCTCAATAACTCTTTCGGGGCCAAGAGCCCGAATAGCCGCGGCAATAACTGAGTCTGTAGCATCACGGGCAGCTGAAAGTCGCTCATCATTTCTCAAAGCACCGATGACCTTGATTGCATCATCAGCGGGCGCTCTCCATTGTGCAGAATCTAAGAAAGCCACGAAAACCTCGCATACCTGGGCCCAAGCAAGCTGGTACTTGACTTGCAGAAGGCCGAACAGCTGGGTAGCAAGGTTTTTGAGAACCTTACTCGATCTGTTTACATTTAAAACGGCCTCAGGGGTCAAAGTGAGTGTGATTGCAGCAACCAAACATTGGCAAGCTGATTCAATTACCTCGGGAACGACGGATGTAAGGTAATCTTTAACGCGGGTAAAGAGGTCAGGGAGTGCCTCGAGAGCAGCTTCATTGTCAACAGCAGCATATGATCCGTAGGCTTGAGCCAAAACAGCGAACCATGCCGGTGTAAGTTGCTTGTCTGTTGTAGCAGGAGAAAGCTCGTTCAAAGAAGAAAGAATGGCCTGAACCTTAGAAGCTTCAACGGCTTCAGAGTCAAGGGAAGCAAACAAAGCATCAAAGACGTCCAGAGCAGCTACCACAACATACTGATCGTTTGTGCGGGCGCAACGCAAAAGAGCTTCGCATAACGGCGAAACCCTTGAAGATGGCCATTGGCTTTGTACGATGGATTTGATCAGTTGCAAACAATGCACTGTTTCAGCTGTCTCCTCAGCATCTTGTACGGCTTTCATTGCGGTTGCAGCAGCCAAAAGAGTTGCAGGATGTTCTGACTTTCCAGCAGGGGGGTTTTTCAAGATGTTACACACAGCTTCGACCGCCCGCTTGCGGATTTTGGGCCGAGAGTCTTGAGCCAGAGCAAGAATACCGGTCATTACTCGCATAGGACCAATCTCAGATGCACTAGCATGCCATGAACCAAGATCTTGGGCGATCAATGCAGACTCCAGGACACCGATGCAAGAGCGAACCGAGGCAGCATCTGCTTCAGGGTCTGCAAGATAAGGCGCCAGTTTTGAAACCAGCACATCAAGTTTTGAGCTCATGAGACCTGGGGAAACATGAGGAGAAATAATAGCGAGCAAATAAAGCGCTGATGAGAGTACACTGGTTTGATCGAGCAGCGAGATCAACGATGCAAAGTATGCAGCTGGCGTGAGGCTAGTGCCATCATCGAGAAGAGCCGACTCCACAGCATTGAGCAAGCCAGCTTGCTTAATCTGTGCTGGGATTTTACTCGAAGAGAGTACTCGCACTTTGGCAAGTGATTCCTCTAGCGACATGAGTAAAAAAAAAAATTGATCTGCTGACTGTTCAGGCTTTCCTGGTGCGTAGTGCTTTTTCATGACCAAATTACTAAACTTCGCAGAGGGGTGTTGAGGCTTTTGTGCAAGCGGCGTGTTTTATGCAGCCAGATGGTTGTAAGAGATGTGTTAAGACTGGTTGTAATGGATACAAGAAAGTATCTAGCTGTCATTGACTTTGGAAAATCGGTTTATAGTAGGGAAGTGAGATTATGTTACAGGGCGAATAATTCCCACCCGTCGGAAAACATATTCCTGTTGTAGACTTTGAAGTGCAGAATAAAACCATGAATATATAATGACGTTCAATATTATCTTGTCAGAGGCGTTATAAATGTCAAGCTGGTTTGTCGCACTGATGGTAACTTGTCATTTACTGGATGTGTCTGAGAAGCTGACCGCGCCTTGACTCTGCTCATCCAGTTGGATAGTTATAGTCGCAATTTAAGAAACTTTCTCCCCGTATTGTTATAAACTACCGTTCTATCATCAACATTTGAACTCCTAGGATACTTTCTCAAAAGCATTGGAGAAGGTACTTTTGATATAATACAATTCGAGTATGCTGGAAGTACTGATATTTAGGCCATTGGCTCATTTTGATACAGCTTGATAAACAATTTCCGCAGCTCATCTAGTATAAGTGTAATTAAACAACTTGACGTGTCGTTCAAATTTACCTTGATCTGAAAATCATCCTTAACCTGCCATCTTTGGAGTGAACTTCTCTATAAGTCTGATATCATGATAACAAGCTTTACGAAGCAATTGAAGAGTTTACGAGTGTTACAATCGGATGAAGGAAGGCTTTAGTAAATGGGCTTCTCTTCTAGTTGAGGGCAACAACATGGCATGCCAACTTCAACGTTTATAGCCTCACTGTTAATCCACCTAATTATTTTTTATTTCCGGTACATTGATCTGATATGGAGTGATCCCGGTACAACACAGCCAAGAACGATGCAACATACCCTGCAGCCATCTCCTGCAGAATTTGGTTTTGAAAGAGCATTATGCGCATAGATAAAAGTACTTCTGCAGTAACAAACCGAATAAAGCACATGATTTATTATCCAATATTTTTGTACACTTTCTTTGGAAGTACCAAATCACGTATAGCTTTGATGTGTCCAAGTTTGGAAGACCCGCCGGGATTGGGCAGTTATTCGTTGCCTAGAGCCAAACCAGCACTCTATATCAGCCTGAACTTCATGTTCAAAATTCAGGTGTCGCTCGGGCACGCAACATCAACTCTTTCCCCAACTGAATGTCACAGTCAGTGACAGACAACTGGTTCAAAAGTTTGTCTGATCTCCAGCCTGCAGTAAATGTCCACTACTACTTTCTATTTACCTATCATGGACCCCAGGTATCGATCCAATTGACATCTAGAAACGATTTCTATAGATCCAAAAACTTGAATATTATACTGGCCTTCCTTGCAAAAAGTGCTTTTGAGTCGGCTTTTGTAACAAAATATCATCGTCGCTAATTAAGTTTTGTTCGCCAAATATTGTGCCATAGTTTGGTTGTGTTCTTTTTCGCAATATGTTCACTTTGGCCATTTGTTTAAAAAAAACTTTATTTCTGAGGTGAATACTATGTAAATGAAAATTTCTTGAACCGGAGTGCAACTGCCTGCACCCACTAAACGTCGATTCCCTTTCTCCCACTACACAAATATCGCCTTTGAAGTACTGACAGGGCTACCTGAAATGAACCATTTTCCAAAGGTATTACATGCAATTTTTATCAGTGTCGGCCACTTTTAGAATCCGAAATGTAGATCAACCACCGGGCCGGTCTGTCGATCGACTTTATGAAATTCTAACTTCTTCGCGATTTGGTGCTTGGCCTTCACCTCTTTATCTTTGTTCCTCTACGTATACAAATCCCTGTAAATATTTCAGTTCTGTTTCTTCTAGGTCTCACCTGCTTTATCGAATCTCAAACACCTAGGGTACCTCTTTAAGCTTCTCATGTGCTGAATTCGATGTGATGGGGCAAGGGTATCATGACTGTAAAAATAGCACAGCTTGATTGTGAATGTGGCGCCCCATTCTTTGCATCGAGCGCGGAAATTAGTTATAGAAGTTATAGAGTTTTTTAACAATGAGCTTAGGATCATTTCAATACTGCAGTCCGCTGCATTCTCAAGATGCTAGTTTCATCCACCATCATTCCTGGGGCGCTTACGCGTCAGCTCTTGTCATCTGTAACTCAAAGCAATGGGACTGTTCAGTAAAAAAAAGAAGGATGAGGATGAGGAGCGCCATCATACGACGCACGAAGATGCCAAGGCGTTACATCCACAAATCCATGATCCCATTTTGACGGCAATTCAGGAACAGCAACCCTACGAGGTTGGTAGCTCTGATCCTACACAGTCAGTTTCCCCCTCAGGAGCTCTCCGAGACGTTTTCGGGCACCAAATTACGAACCCTGATATTTCGAACCCGGCAAGGTCCCGTGAGGAACGGCCCTTAGATACTATTAGGTCCTTCGAATACTCTGCAACTGGTGATGAGAGCTTGCGTGAAATGCAGGAAACCCCGCGCCTCGGGTTCCGTCCTCGCGAACAGTTTTCCTCGATGCCTCGCTTTGATACTAATCCCTATGCGCAGGACGAAAACATCATCAGTTTTGGCGACCCAAGTGCCGCTGAAGTTGAGAACGAGCGTAAGAATGTGTACTATCCTCCGACCCCTCAGTCAACAACCGTGGCGAAGCAGAAGAAGAAGAAAGGACTATTTCGTCGCAACAAGGGTGACGACGATAACTAGTTTATTTGTTAAAACGAACTACATTCGTGTGGCCTAATTTTTTTTTAAACCAAATCCAAGATGAAGTATAACTAAGAAAAATACATTATGCTATATATACATTGCAGTCTGCTAAGACGACGTTAAAGCAGACTTGGCGGGTTCGTTTGGATCAAGAGCTTTCAGCACTGCCTGGTAGCAAACGAGCATGACACTGCTTTGGATTGAGGTCCAAACCAAACGGGGCCCGACGCCGCTGAAAACACGCAGCACTCCTTCTTTTTGAGCTATGAAACGTAGACCCTGAACTGTACCGTGAATTTTCCCGTCAGTTTGGGTTTGGATGCGGGTTTTGATAACATCCAAGGGGGTGGTTATAACACCGGCCAAGCCGCCCGCAGCACCGCCGGTTGCCAATTCCAACCCAAGGCTGATATCAGAAGAGCCAGAGTATGTTTGTGCAGAAGCTCTAAATTTTTCATAGAATGCGAATTGTAACGCACTGAACGGCAAGTCTCGTATGAGGGTAGCCTTGTAGCCATAAAAAAACGTAGAGAGGCCTTCAGTTCGGGCGATTGTTCTGCATGCATGAGACAATCCACGGTAGTTGTAGCCGGATTTGAAATATGGATTGTTGTAAGGTCCTTGGAGCTGTAGTCTAGTCTTCAGGACTTCCGAAGGGACATAGACGACGCTTGAAACCAGGTCACCCAGGAATCCAGCCCCCAAGTGCACCACGGTCTCGTCTACTCCGCCATGGGGCTTGAAATATCTTTTGGTTGTCTCGTATACGCCAAAAAACATCATGGTAGAAGGGAACGAGCCTAACAAAGCAGCGGAGTAGCCCCGGTAAACGCCACGTATAAGGCCTTCTTCGCGCAAAATTGACGCTGTTGTGCTAGCCATAGTCCGGTACTTGAGCACGCCGGGTGCACCTTGTTGTCGGGTTTTGATGGTATCCAGTGGGTACATGACGGTGTCGCCCATGGCTCCACCAATACCACCTGCGAAGAGTACACTCATCATACTGGCCTCATTCTGCTGTATGTTGGTCTGCCCGCGATTTTTGTGTTCTGTCCGAGTACTTTCGACGCAGATAGCGGTCTCGGGCATTATAAAAAATGCTTATTGACGCTGAAAATTTCAGCTGACGAATGCTAGCTTGTCTACTACCCAAACGGCCGTCGGTTCGGGCGAGTGGGTGTTAGCCCTGGGGGTGTAAGATATACTACGTAAGCACAGTAGTTTCGCACTGGCTTGGCGAGGCTCGTAAGCCGACGGAGTTGTGCTCGCTTAGGCTGTAGGGCGTGAGGAATGGGCCGCTTGTACAACCTCGACGATTTGCCAAGAACCTTGTGTTTAGAAAGGGATGTGGTCAAGGGTAGTGCGATAGTAACCTTTGTTGCACCTTTAAAGACAAAATCAAGCGACTGCATATTTTTGTGAAAGGTTCAACTTATGTATAGCAAAAACATTGGTGGCCGAGCACAGCAAGATCAATTTTTAGATTCGTCATTCACATGCTCGTTTAGCGTAATCTAGTAGTTACCGTCGCAAACCCTTGCATGAGCCTGCAGCCGCACTAGCGCCTTCTTCCCACATTGTGAAACTCTGCACCAGAAAGAAATTGCGGGGCAGGATCAGAAAAAGAACTCGAAGCCAGACACGACCTCTGAGGAGTCTGTGCAGATCGATATGATTAGCACTGTAAGGCATTTCATGGGCGCACTATCTTTTGATTGTACGGCGATGTAATTCGGGAATTTAGAACCTCAAGGGATGGTTGCAGCTTATGGCTGGTAGGGTGTTCGGTGCGTACCCCGTCTTCGTTTGGAATGGGAAGGAGCATCAAGGAATTGCTGGGTAATGTAACGTATCTAGGCAGGAGGTGCAGGCCTAGACAATATACAGCACGGCGAGCTTACAACGATAATCGGCGAATATCTCGCAATGTCTTGTGTTTTGTGTGTTTTTATGTAGTTGTTTTTTCTTTTATCAAAGGCCGATTTTGCTGTCAACGCTTGCTAATACTATCTAGTTGTCATTATCTTACTTGCTACACATCGATTATACGGCAAAAAGTTTCACACTTTCGCCAAATTCTGTAATTGGTAGTCCTCGAACAAGGTTTGACCAGGGCTTTTTCCCCCATGGCTTTAAAGTGATAATGCAGCACTGGCCCCTCAGACCGACCTTGTACACAATTGAGTTTTATCTACATTTTTATATCTTGCACTCCAGCAACTTACATATCTACCTAAGCGTCTCAAATCAGCTAGGCGACTACACTTTGGATACTAGCCCGATGCTTGCAGAATCACCTGATGGTCACTTGCAGCATGGTCAGCTAGGCAACCATGCAGGTGTGGAAAGTGCCCGACCAACCTAAAAAAAACGCACACTTATATAGCAATGTAGACGATCAGAACGCACACGAACTCATAGCACATATATTTTAAGTCCTATTTTTAATTCGGGCGAACTATAGCTTGCAGGATAGCTAACTAGGGGCTTTTTTCATTCCTGGTGAAAACACGATAGTCCACCCATCTGACGCATAGCGCAAAAAAGAAAGCCCAAAGATGACAGAGTGCTTGCAGCCGCAGCCAAGTATTCAAAGTAGGCCACTGCGGCGCTTGTATATTAAGTGAGCGTTAAATGAAACGTCGGCTTAAAAGGTGCCCCTGGACTCAGGACGAAAAAAAAGCGGTTGATTTTGGTCAGCTATTTCGTATTAGGAATAAATTGTCCCTACCTTGACAGAAATGACTCCAGGGGCTCTATACGTGGATAGTATTTTCGAAGATAAATCGCAAAACCACAATGCGTTTTTAAATCCATCTGCCGGACAGCCTGGGCTCCAGCCTAGCTCTTTTTCGACGGCATTGTATTCTCAGTTCGCTCCTCGCCCCTCTGGCATTTCTGGTTTGAAGTCCTCGCGGCCCCATTCTCTCGAAAGAGTGTTACCTGGTCTTGCTCTCAGTGGTAATTCCAAGTTTTCGACTTGTGACACAACAAAACCACCGTTATCACCGCCCGGTCCAAGTGCGTCACTTTGGGGAGCGGCAACGCCCGCAGAAAGAGTTGACTGGCCCACTGAAAGACCGATAGATCGCACGCCTATCAGCAAAGCACAAGCAATCACTGGCAAACCAGTCAGGCCTCCTATTGTCAAAGTCATCACCCCTCCGCACGGTGTGACACCGATCCAGAAAAGCAGCGCTCCAACTCTTCGCTACCGGCAGCCACCCAAGTCAGATTTCGCGTTGTGGGTAGGCAATTTACCGCCCCAGCCGAGTCTGAATGAGCTGTGCAAAGTGTTTGCGTCGCCAGATATTCTTTCGGTGTATCTGATCCAGCGCACAGGGTGCGCGTTTGTAAACTTCCGGTCAAAAGAAGGTCTGGACGAAGCAGTTGAGGAGTTCAACAAGAATGGTGGATGTATTCGTGACCACAAGCTTTTGATCAAGGCCCAGCATGGAGAGTCGAACGAGCAAGCTGGCTCGACGCCTGCGAGCGCCGAAGCTCCCACCCCACCGCTGGGCGGAGCAGGCTCGCCAAATCGGTACTTTGTTTGCAAGTCGTTGTCTGTGAATGATCTTGAAACGGCTCGCAAGACATCTCTGTGGTCCACTCAGCTGCACAACGCTGAGCGATTCAATGAGGCGTTCCGCACCGCCGAAAACGTTTACTTCATTTTCAGTGCCAACCGCACGTCGTCATATTTTGGATACGCGCGGATGGAGTCTGAAATACCCGAGGAAGAAGTGCTGCCCCCGCCAGCTTCCACGGAGGAGCCAGTCGAGACGGCCATGCAGATCGAATTTACCAAGCCTATCTATGACCCATTGACAGGAAAAGAGATCTGTCCTGCCGGCGAAATTGTTGAGGATACTAGGCGAGCTTGCCTTTTTTGGCAAGTTCTGGATTGCCCGAAGGAAGAGGTTGAACAAGAAAGGTGGACGGCTCCCTGTAAGATACGATGGCTATCTGGTGGCTCGCCCTTGTCGTTCTCCCACACTAAGCATCTGCGTAATCCACTCAATGCCAACAAGCCAGTGAAGATTGCCCGCGACGGTACAGAAATCGAGCCTAGCGTCGGCGAACAACTGTGCTCACTTTTTAGTTGAATGCTATGGACACCCGGACATTGCTGTTTTACTTTTATTTATGATTGACGTTCAATAAACCTTCAGTAACTGGTTTTAACATATTATTTCTTTATTCATCTCGGAGTGTAATCGCTCAACGACCGAGGTATTCTTGGTCTGGGGCGTGGGCGCAGGTTAGGGCCGTGCCTTGCGTCGCTCGACGTCTGTGGGGGTGTGTACAACGACGCGGGCTTGTGGGGATCCCCCAACTCGTGCTCCTATATTCACTCATACCGTCACTGAGGTCTCGAAGCTTTTAAAAACCCAAGCATTTGCGGTTTTTGAATGAATTCCATGGTACTTTCCTGGGCATACTATACATGTCCATAAACGGCCAACCTGCATACCAATCAAAGTGGCGAAAGCGTAAGCAGTTGCTGGTACGTGAAGACGCTGTAGACGAGAAAACATTTCGAGTCGTGCACTTGGAGGCCTTAAAGCGGAGCATAGTTTTATAAACCGTCTTGACTATAGAAGCACTTGTTTTTTCTACGTGGCTTGGGCTAGTAACGATAGTAAACAACCCCTTTTGGCATTCACATGCTGGTTCAACCAACGCCGGAGTAATTACTTAAGTGTGGGGAATAAGGCAGTGCAGGTGAAATCATAAATATCGTAATTGGCCGGAATCGTAACCGACATCATAAACTAAGATCTCTACAATGTGGTTGATAGTTGGTCTGATTGTCTCGTTTGTGCTCTTCTATGACCTGAGTTTGAAGCTGGTCTATTTGTTCAAGGCCAAGAGAGCTGGTGTGCGACCAGTGGCCATGTACGTGAATTGGCCGTTTGGAATTAGAAACCTCTACATGTTCCTAAAGTCAACAAAGAATCGCAACGCATTGGAGCAAACGGTTATTACCATGCGTAAGAAGAAGGAGCGCACGTTTGCTATGGAGATTTTGGGTATGATGAACGTTGTAACCCGAGATCCAGAGAATGTCAAGGCGGTGTTGGCAACCAACTTCAAATCTTTCGATCTTGGACTGAGAGAAGCTCAACTCAGCTACTTCTTGGGCAGTGGTATTTTCACATTGTCCAGTCACGGATGGAAACACTCTCGCAATCTTTTGCGGCCGCAATTCTCTCGCGAGCAGGTTGCTCAGATCGAATCGCTGCGTCGTCATGCAACCAGTTTGGAGAAGATTTTGGACAAGGGCGAGTTCGTAAACATTCAGCACCTATTCCATCAGCTCACAATGGATACTGCGACAGAGTTCCTGTTTGGTGAGAGTGTTGATTCCCTTGACAACTCCCAGAGAGTTGTTAACGGCGTATCTGCTGCGGAGTTTGTCGAGGCTTACACGCTTTGTTTGCGTTGGTCGCTTATCCGCATTCAGTTTGGACCTCTTTATAGGCTCATCACTTCTAGCGAGTTCCGCAAGGCTATTGCTCGAGCCCGTCGCTTTGTCGAGTACTTTGTCCAGCAGGCCTTGGATCGTCCAATTGACAAGGACGAGTCCTCTTATGTTTTCACCCACGAGCTTGCCAAAGTAACACGTGACCCTGTTGTGATTCGTGATCAGGCATTCAATGTTTTGCTTGCTGGGCGTGACACCACAGCGTCTCTGCTCTCCTACACTCTGTGGCATTTATCCCACAACCCCGAGATCTATGCCAAGCTTCGTGAGGCCGTGAAGAACCAATTTGGAGAAGAAAGCACCGAAGAAGTCACATTTGAGGGCTTGAAGCGCTGCAAGTACCTGCTGAATGTCATCAACGAAACTCTCCGAATTAACCCCACTGTGCCTCGTAACACCCGCACTGCTACTCGAGACACAACTCTTCCTCGTGGTGGTGGCCCTAACGGTGACGAGCCTGTTTTTATCCCCAAGGGAATGCCTGTGGTCTACTCTGTCTATGAAATCCACCGCCAGCCTGAACTGTGGGGCCCTGATGTCGAGGAGTTCCGTCCCGAGCGTTGGGATACCCATAGTTCGCACGGTTGGGAATATCTGCCTTTCAATGGCGGGCCCCGTATCTGTTTGGGCCAGCAGTTTGCTTTGACCGAGGCTTCGTTCACCGTCATGCGTATTGCTCAGAAGTACGAGCGTCTCGAGCTTCTGGACGCCACTGCTCCTTTGGTCAACGATGTGAGCTTGACTTCTATGATCGACGGAGGTTTTATGCTCAAATTCCACCCTTCAAAAGTCTATCAGTAAACTATGTATTCAAGAACTAAAGAATTATTTGCTAGAATCGGGTTCTACCATGTACAAGTTAGCATATCTGACTGAAGCTATATTGGTGTGAGCTGTTAAAGATACTTTTCGCTCTTAAGTTTGTAAATATGGGCATCGCGTAGCCAACGGCGGTAACCGGAGAGGGAGTCGATTTTCTCACCGTAGTAGTCGGTAATTGGGTTGGTGTAGCTCTGCTTAGCGGGGTCGGGGCGGTTACGTTTGATGTGCTGCAAAAACGTAGTGTCCTTTACGGCGAAATCCGCCGCACGCTTGCCCAAAGATTGGCGGAACATAAAGTTACCTACACCGGGGCCAGCAAGGTATCCCAAAACACCAGCAAACACAATACAGGCGCCGTAGACAAAAATTGCGTCCACACCAAACAGCTTCTCTGTCATATCAATTTCAATATTTGCAAAGTAAGTCCAGGCGATGCCAACGCCAGCAAAAGTGGTCCCCACCGAGCAGATCTGGCCAAGACGTCGTCGGCGGGATCGCATAGCAAAGAACTCGTTCCAAGTAAGGCTCGAGCTATTAAGGCGTGCGCTAGTAGAGGCAAAGCTTCTCGTAGGAGCTGCCAAACGAAGACCAACCATAGGACGGATTCCGAACATTGTTAAAGTGGTGAGATCTGCTGAGGTAAGAGAGGGTTTTTAGGACATCTGGCTGAGGTCCCATTACTAAGTGTAACTAAGAGTATTATTAACCATTAAGTGAGATTGACTGAAGGCCATATTTGTAAGACAAAAAAAAAATAGGCTTGTCGTCCGTATCATGGGTAAAGCGAAGAGTAGAGCGGCAACTAAATATACTCCACAGGAGCTAAGAGCAGCTAGCAACCGAGTGATGCGCTCACTAAACACAGTGAACAAGCAGGCCATGAAAAACACAGGATTCAAACCTCAGATCACCAACTCTTTAGGTAAAGAGCGGAGCATTTCCAAGTCTTCGGTGCGACGCCAAAACCGCAAGCAAAAGTCTAATCTGGCAGGCAAATCAATGGACTCATTACTAGAAGTTCTGCCAGAGACCGAGGATCAGCCGCAAATTGGCGTAGATAAAAAGAAAGTTCTCAACCCTCACAAAATGAAATCCAACCAACGGCTGGCCCAGGTGGAAAGTAAACGGTTCACAAAGGTTGTGGGCACCTCAATGGCGGAGATTCGCAGAAAGTTGCTCGAGCAGAAGGATGAGATCAAATAAGAAACAAGTTATGCCAAGCTATGCTACTATAAATTAGAAAAAACCCCGATGATTCGACAATCGTGAGCTCCTTTACTCCCGAATGCGGTTAGGTAACTCGCTGATGGGCAGGCCATTGTTGATGATATCATAAATAGTAACCATAAGAGGGAACTCCTCCAAGCGGTTCTGCTTGGTCAAGAGCTCGTAAACCTCCTCGGCAGTCACCAGGCCCTGTGCAGACTGGCCATTGAGCAGATCTGCCTCGATCTGCTTGATTGACTTGCCGCTTCTGGCGAACTCACGACCGACCTTGAGGTTACGGCCGCCGGCACAAGAGGTGATCAAGTCGGCAACACCAGCACTGGTGGTCGAAATGGTCTCAGGGCGGAAGGAAGGGAAGTAGTCGGCGGCGAATTGAGACATTTCGATCAAGCCACGACGCATAACCGCAGCTTTGGCGTTGTCACCCCAGCCGGCACCTTCGACAAGTCCAGCACCCAGAGCGATGACATTCTTGAGGGCACCACCAATGGAGACACCAGCGGTGTCGTCGCTCATTTGCACGTGGAAGTAGGGACGCTGGAACAGCTCCTTCATCAAAGGAGCGTCGGGCTCGCCCTGCTCGTAGTTGGGGGCGACCGGAAAAGCGACCGTGGTCTCGGAGAACTTCTCACGAGCGACTTCGCTGGCAATGTTGGCACCAGACAAAACGCCGCAATGTAAGCCCAAGTGCTGGTGAATGAAGTCTGAAAGCAGCTTGGGGCCGTTGGGAGTGACATCAATACCCTTGAGACAAGAGATGGCGACCTTCTTGGAATAGTCAATGCCCTTAAGCTGGTCGGCAACAGACTTGAGGAACTGATGAGGAATGTTGATAACGATGATATCGGCATTCTTGGCAACGTTTTGCAAGTTGGGGTCGGCAACCAGATTTGTGGGAAGAGTGACCTGTGGGAGGTAGCGAACGTTCTCATGCTCGCTGTTGATGATCTCAGTCAAATTGCGGCCGTGGACGCTCTCTTCGCGGACCCACATGCGAACTTCACGCTCGAAGAATTGACCCTTCTCCGCGGCGTTCTCAGCAACAAGTTTGGCCACAGCTGTACCCCAATTACCAGAGCCCACGACAGCAATGCGGAACTTCTTCTTGTAAGAAGACTCAGACGCGCTAGAGGTGAGATTGCGCTGGATTTGTTGGAGACGACGGACAGCAGTAGTAGAAGCCATTTTTCAGAATGTGTATGTGTAAATGGACAATGAATCAGAAGGGGCCCGAATTGGTCACTTTATAAATGTGTCTTTTTTCACTACGGGTAGGGCTAGGGAATCTACGTCATTCCGGTTTCCAGGCCAATAACGAGCATGACGGGCCCAATAGTTGGTTGAACTGATTTATTCTAGGCTCACCGGGCATCAGAATTACGGGAAATTACAAGCGGGAAGCGTGCTCAATCTGTCCTGTGTAAATAAGTGCTATAGAGTGGGTAGCAACTTTTTTCGCCTTGTTGGGAGAGCTTTGCACTGCGACGCCTCGGCCAAGTGGGATTTTGTCTGTGTGCTTCCATGTGCGCCGATCTCGTCAATTTGATAAGCCCGCCCTAACCCATACCAGACTATTTTTCATCTGGGCAAGGGCAGCAAAGGCGACCACATGCAGGTATTCGTGCAGAATAATAAGAATAATGGTGGTTTTTCCGTTGATGTATACTTTGCTTCTCAAAGATTACTGGATTACAACTATCTAGGCTGAGGCGGGTTTGGTGGGGTGGCAATTCGGTCTCTGATCCGGCCTTATCGAAATTCCCACCGTTGGAACTTACACCGATGACAGTTTCGCATAATAATGTATGACGCTCCCCTGTTGAGCTGCAAAACGTAATAGTCTTGACCTACGTCATGGAGATGCAGGGGTCTGAAACCGTTAAGCATTTTTCGGGCATAGAAGCAATAGGCCCCTGAACGGCCACTGGATCACCTGGCTCGAATCAGGCCTCTGATAACCCGTACCGTTCTCGTGATGCCTTGCAGCTCCGGCTTCGGCCGAGTTCGGTAGCACATGGCGCCGCCAAAGAAACGCAGTTATCGCTGATGCGCATTGACAATTACATGAGAACCGACTATTTTCTGTACTTCTTTTTTTGGGCTCGGAATAAAGTAGACTTCTATATACAATATCTATACTTTAGCTGCCTTGATTTCATTTGTAGTTACTCATAGGTGTAGGATAAACCCTGGCTTCGCTCAAGACTTTACCTAGTGCTTCCTGGAAGGCAGGAACTAATTCCTCAATGAGCCGTGATGCTGGCCGATCTTTCATCTCCTCTTTTCGTCTTTCCATCTCAGAATGCTTGAACCGTCTAAATCTCTCACGAGTCACTGCATCTTGGGCCATATCCGTATTGAGCTCTGGAATAAATTCCTCCTGCTCATCAATTTCAACTTCTGCCATTGCGAATCCAACATCATCCCATGTGAGACCGATATCCTCGAGATAATCGCTGGCCTCGCCCATCTTCTCAGTAGGGGCACCCTTGAGATCTGGTTTCGCAGTTTCTTGTCGGTTTCGTAACCACTGCTGGAGAGTATCCAAGTCACTTTGGAGAACGGAAATGTCCATCCCATTCTCTGATGCTCTGTCGACAATCCCAAATAAATCAATCCTGTATTTGTTTTGTTTGCCGTCACGGATGAAATTAATAAATAGCGTCATCCATGAAATCATATCAACAAAGATACTATCCTCCCGAGAGTACACTCGATTGATAAACCTGAAGACTGAATTTTGATGCTTTTGGCAGATCGCAATCAATCCGTTTACCAGCTCATTAGCGTCAAGAGCTATACCGCCATCTGCTGCATCCACAAAGTTAATGATATCAGAGGCAAACCTCTCAAAATCGCCAAGAGACTCTGCAATTTTACCAGTCCGGAAAATCTCAATCAGAATATCGTACAAGATATCAACCGTGGCTCTAACAAATGCAATGGTGCCCGGATCGGCCCAAAAGTCTTTCATGATATCCTTGTCACGTTGCCGGACCGATAATTTCAAAAAGTCCTTGAGCTGAGAATATGTATCGATTTTTTCAACATTGTCATCAATTGTTTCGGGATGCTCAACTGCCTTCTGCCACAGATCATGATACTTTGTGGTTATGCGCAGTAACTTGGGGTCAATGTCAGAATTCTCATAGATAACCAAGACAATATCTTTGTTGGAGTGGTCAACCTGATAATGTATTTGTTCTCGCTCATGGTATCCCATTTGTGAGTAGTCCTTTAAGGGTTTTGTCAAAGCATGGTTGGAAATAGATTTTTCCAGCTCTTCGAGCAGAACCTCTTGCGAGCGCATATCATCATTCAGGATGCGAATAAACATATTCTGGAGAAGCGATTTACCACCAAAAGGGGTCGCCATAAACAGGTCTGTCAGTTTCTTCATGATCAAGGCGGGGTTTGAAAGCTTCAGGATGCCTTGCATCAGCTTGAAAGGCATGAGGTGGTAGAACCGTTTGACTTGGCTAAAAATCTCAGGACTATCGTCTCTTCCAAGCAAGAGGTTGTAAATGATTCCCGAAAACTCTACCAAGCACCACTCGACAAATTTTTGCAATAAGGGGGACATATCTTCGACCCGCGAATGGGTTTTCATCTCCATAAACAGCTTGGGAAGAGCGTCATCCATCAAAATCTCAGATTTGATTTCCCCAAGGTACTGCTCGAGTTTTTTGGCTCGTTCATTTGCCAGATCATAGAATTTCTCTCGGTTAGTCCAACGTTCACGGTCTAAACCTTGGCGAACCACAATATCGGCTATCTCCTCCTTTGTGAGTTCATTAACTCGCTGTTTGAACAAAAACTCGAGAAAAATATCACTCTGGCATACTTTTGGAATAGAAGTCAATCGATTGAGATATGCTCGCAATGTCACTCGTTGGCGTTCCCGGATCAAGGTGCGTTCCGAGCCGTCAACTTTGACAACAGTATTGGTAGAATTTTTGTGAGGCAGTCTGGCAAGATGCTTACCGGGGAATTCCTTCATCAAACGTTTGTCCAAAGCTACGAAATCCAAGTACGTTCGCTTTGTCCAGACGGGCGGCCCACCCCACATCTGGGCCTCCAAAATGTAATGTGTTTCTTTATTTTTCAACAATCTGGTCGAGCTTCCAGTATATGCACCAATTACTGTGGCAATTAAACCCGGGACGGGGCCTGGGGGCGGAGTTCCATTTGCTATTTCTGCGTCTTGGGGCGTGCCAGGCTGTTTATCGAGGATTCCGTCGTCGGTTTTGGGTAGGATTGCATCGTACGCCCGTCTTTTGGAGTACCGTCGTGATTCATTCGGTACATTAGTGCTAATACCGGCAACCATGAGCATCAAGATGAATCGTTTGGCAATACGGCCGAGTCGGCGACGCTTGGTTGCCTCGTCACGATCAGCACTGGACGAGATTTCCTTTGATGCTAGTCCTTGTATGAATGGTTGTGCAGTATTGGCCCAGAATTTGGCGTCGGCTCTGGCCAACGGCGGGAACGGAACGACAAAGTTCACCAAAATGTAGGACATGATCGGGAACGCCGATCCATCAGCCGGCATGCCGTCCGTGTCTATAAAAGGAGGCCCCAGCTGGTTAATGTTGTTCATATTGTCCAGCCGAGCAGACTCGTCTGCAATTGCCAAGCGCAAAAGCTCTCGCTTGAGCAAATGCACTTGATCGACCGAGAGAGACATGATGACAACGACCTTAGGTGTCGACGATGACGCTTAGTGTGTAAGGGGAGGGTGTATACTCTAAATAAGACTATTTCCAGCTCTATCGGTCACCTTCAAGAAATATTCAGGAGAAATTGTACCGTCTTTCCCACTAGAGAGAATAGCACCGTTTGCTGACCGGAAAAACTCGATGCCGTCCGCCATGGCCTTTGGCACATTGATATAAATAAGTACTTTGGCGGAATGCCGCATGCCTGAAATTACTTCTCCAGGCAACCCTGCTGCCATGTGGATGTGCAATCGGTTTTGTCGGCTGAGGCCCTGAGTCTTGATCGACTCCCAGGCGGTGGGATTGGTACCGTGAACAACAACGTTTGGCAGCGAGTCTGGAGTCAATGGAGTCAGCTCGACATCCACATTGATGCTGTGGCCCTGGCGAGCTCGGATTTTTGCGCCCGTGGCATCGAACTCGAATCTCTGTTTATCGTTAGACTCCACGACCTGCTTGATCTGCTCAGCCGTGGCCTGCAAGCTTTTGTAGCGGGAGTGAGTCAACAGGTCGCTCACCAAACAGTACCCATTGCTATCTATGGCGATGCCCTGAGACGCGGCAGCATGCCGCAACGTTTTTGAAAGCGCCCTAGATAGCGCAATTTGCTGTGCTTGTTCGGGACTAGCCGCAGGCCGTGCTCGATCTCGTTTCTGGCCGCCCATTTTGCATCGGCCTGCAGCACTCTGCCCTGGCTAAATAAGCAAAAAAATTTTCCCATCTCCCAATGTAGTCACCAACCAGGCAGATGGAGGTTCTGCAGCTTGGAATGACCACATGAAGACGATAAGAACTACATAATCAAGGGTATGATTATCTCACAACAGTAATCCCAGCGAATGATAAAACTAACTCAGCTACGTAGGTCCCATTTATTTAGCACATTACCCCCCTCCCCTGCCAGTGGCTTGTTTTCCATCTCATCCAGCCTGCATATCAGCCGCCCCTTTTTACCTTGCTTTCACAGCCCTCCAATCGGCTTTGTCCCAGCTTACTCACCATCTCGTCACACCTTGACATGCCGGACATGGACCACGTCCAAGGGATCGAATATCCCAAGTCGCGAGAGCAGCTGATGCTGCTTCTGCTGCGGTGGTGCGCGTTGAACTCAGCGGGCGTTGATCCCAATCGTCATGAAGAGTTTAGACACCTCACGGTCATTCTCCAGGCCGTGGGTGCTCAACAGCGCGAGTTTGTGGAACGTAAAGCGCGACTCGATGAAATTCGGGCGTCCCGCATTTCTAACGGCACCAGCCCACTTGAGCACACCGAACTGCAAGTGCCTATCACTGCTCTTAAATTGCTCACGCGCAATGTGGATCTGCCCGAGGCTCTTCAGGCCCAGCTAATTCAGCTTGCAGGTGAACCTGTTGATGAGCCCGCTACCAAGCAGCACGAAAACGGTAGCACAAAAAGATTAACTTTCAAGGAGCGCTCGGCCCGACTAGGTCTTGAGCCAGAGATCGGAACTGCAGCTGGCGGTGGGGCCGAAATGGTCATCAGAAGCCGTTTGAGCCACCGGTTAAATGAGCTGGAACGCTTGCCGGCAAACATCGGTGCCGTTGATGTCGAGACGCCGACCTCCGAGCCACCAGATATTGCCCGTGATGGTATCGATGAGCTCAAAATAAAGGCCCTTATTGAACTCAAACAGCTGCGCCTGTTGACGCGGCAAAAGTCGATGCGGCAACATATTGTCTACCATATTGCATCGACCCAAGACACCATGAGTCAAAGCTATTTGACTCGGTTATTTAACCGCCGAGTCAAGCCTTTGACGGCCCACGACCTGCAGCTCACTGAAACTTTGGAACGCGCTCAACGCAAAGAGCAGGAGAAGAAAGAACGTGCGCAGCACTTAAAGCTCATTAATGCATCTATCCAGCACGCTCAGGAAGCATTACAACAGTCGCAACAGCGTGCTTCTCGTCACCACGCGATGACCAAGGCCGTCACTCAGTTCCATGCCCTGGTTGAACGTGAGGAGGCCAAGCGGACCGAGCGGACCGCCAGGCAGCGTCTTCAGGCACTTCGCTCTAATGATGAGGAAGCTTATCTTAAGTTGCTTGATCAAACAAAAGATACACGTATCACACATCTGCTCAAGCAAACCAACCAGTTCTTGCAGTCTCTTTCCGAGGCCGTGCGAGTACAGCAAGCTGAAGTTGGTCCTACTGCAAAATCTGAGGAATCTCCTACTGAGGATAATGACAAGGTCGACTATTATGAGGTCGCTCATCGTGTGAAAGAGGATGTAACGGAGCAGCCTAAAATGTTGGTGGGCGGCAAGCTTAAAGAATACCAGGTTAAAGGTTTGCAATGGATGGTTTCTTTGGTTAATAATAATTTGAATGGTATTCTCGCCGATGAAATGGGTCTTGGTAAGACTATCCAGTCCATCTCCTTGATTTCTTATCTTCTCGAGGCAAAGCGCTGGTCGGGTCCGTTCCTGGTAATTGTCCCCTTGTCTACCATTACGAATTGGAACGTTGAGTTTGATAAATGGGCACCTTCGATCAAGAAGGTTGTTTATAAAGGTCCTCCGAATACAAGAAAAGCTCTTCAGGGAACAATCAGAGCTGGTGATTTCCAGGTGCTGCTCACTACCTACGAATACATCATTAAGGACCGCCCGTTGCTTTCAAAGATTCGTTGGCAGCATATGATTATTGACGAGGGTCACCGTATGAAGAACACGCAGTCCAAACTGTCTTCAACTTTGTCTAGCTATTATCACTCCCGTCACCGCCTGATTTTGACAGGCACACCTCTGCAAAACAACTTGCCAGAGCTGTGGGCATTGCTTAACTTTGTTCTTCCAAAAATCTTCAACTCTGTCAAGACATTTGACGAGTGGTTCAACACTCCTTTTGCTAGTACTGGCGGCCAAGATAAGATGGAGCTGACAGAAGAAGAAACATTGCTAATCATTCGCCGTCTGCACAAAGTTCTTCGCCCTTTCCTACTGCGTCGTCTTAAGAAAGATGTTGAAAAGGATTTGCCTGACAAGATCGAAAAAGTTGTCAAGTGCCAGATGTCGGCCCTCCAACTCAAGCTTTACGAGCATATGCTCAAGCACAATATATTGTATACCGGTGCGCCTGCTGATTCAGGGTCTAACAAGGTGGGTATCAAAGGTTTGAACAACAAAATTATGCAGCTGCGCAAAATCTGCAATCATCCGTACGTGTTTGAGGAGGTTGAGAATTTGATCAATCCCTTCCATGTTGACAACGACAACTTGTGGCGAGTAGCCGGCAAGTTCGAGCTTTTGGATCGTATTCTTCCAAAATTCAAGGCCACTGGCCATCGGGTCTTAATATTTTTCCAAATGACTCAGGTAATGACAATCATGGAAGACTATCTGCATTTGCGCGGCATCAAATACTTGCGTCTTGATGGTGCAACGAAAGCTGATGAACGCTCGGAGATGCTCAAGGCCTTCAATGCACCTGACTCACCATACTTTTGCTTTTTGCTCTCTACTCGTGCCGGTGGCTTGGGTCTGAATTTGCAAACTGCCGACACGGTTATTATTTATGACACCGATTGGAATCCCTTCCAAGATCTGCAGGCTCAGGACCGTGCACACCGCATTGGTCAGACGAAGGAGGTTCGAATCCTGCGTCTAATCACTGAAGATAGTGTTGAAGAGGCAATTTTGGACCGTGCACTGTCCAAACTTGAGATTGATGGTAAGGTTATTCAGGCCGGTAAGTTTGATAACAAGTCCACGGCCGAAGAACAAGAAGCATTCCTGCGCTCGCTTATGGAGGCAGAAGAGCAACGTCGTGAAAATAAGTCCGAAGAGGATGAAGCTGATGACGATGAGCTCAATGACATTCTGGCTCGCAACGATGAAGAGGTTACAATCTTCAAAAAAATGGATGAAGAGCGTGTCGCCGCCAACGTCAAAAACGAGCCACGTTTGTTCAGCAGTGAAGAGCTGCCAGAGATCTACAAGCAGGATATCAAGATTCACCTTGAGCCTCCTGCCGAAATGTACGGTCGTCGTGAGCGTAAACGCATAGTTTACGAGGATGCCTTGAGCGACGAGCAGTGGTTGCAAACCATGCAACAACAAGAGGATGAAGAAGAGGGAGGGCGGCGGTCCCGGCGGGCTAAGCGGTCGCCAGCCCCTGATTCTGATTCTACAGATTACGAGGCGAAGAAGGCCAAGGTTGACCTGCTCACCCCAGAAGAGCGAGAGGAGCTTAATAAAACCGCAGAGTCGGTTTGGGAAGCAATCTCAGAGAGCGTTGCCCCTGGTGACCCCCCTCGCGCTCGAGCAGGAATCTTCATGGAACTCCCTTCGAAAAAACTCTACCCCGACTATTACCGGGTGATCAAGCGGCCGATTTCGCTGGCTGAAATTCGTCGTTCAATTGATACATCTGGATACAACTCCGTTGAAGAGCTGAAGGAAAACTTTGATCTCATGTTTTCCAACGCTCGAAACTATAACCAAGAAGGAAGTATTGTATATGAGGATGCCCAGATCCTGCAAAGTATAGTCGACTCGATTTTGTAATGTGAATTAAAGCGCTTTTGTTTAATAAAAAAATTACTTGACTCAAACTACACAAAGTTCATAAATAACATGGTGAATTATTGTTGTACAGGGGCTTGCTGTGTCTCCTGTGTCTCCTGTGCCTCGGATTTTTTTTGTTTACGGCGACGCTTGGCCTCAAAATCATGCCATTCAGCGGTAGACTCCAGAGACAGGTTTACGGGCTGAGGGTCTTCTTTGAAGTACTCATGATTTAAAGCGTCTGGGGCAGATATTCTGTGGGTCGGGTTTAGTGCGAGCATTTTGGAGGCAAGGTCGTAACACGCGGGTGTGACATTAGTGAAGACCGCATCGAAGATACTTGGCTTTATTCGCTGTGTTCCATCGTTCAACAAGTAGTACCATGGCAAGTTGACGACTTCTGGCCAGACATTAGGGTCCAAACTGCCCATTACATTAATGATTTCGTCGAGCTGAGAAATCTCGGTAGATCCCTGGAATAAAGCTGATTTGAGAAAAAGCTCTACCAGCAAGCATCCGATTCCCCAAACATCGACTTCTGGGCCGTAGTTTGTTGATCCTAGCAAAAGCTCTGGCGGGCGGTACCACAATGTGATGACCCGGTTTGTGTAATGTGTATTTGGGTTCATGGTATTCATAGGTCGTGCCAACCCGAAATCAGCCAGTTTGATCTGTCCATCTTGGCTAACCAATATGTTAGATCCCTTAATGTCCCGATGCAAAATGTTTTTATGGTGGAGATACGCCAACGCGTGGGTTAGTTGAAGGAACACGGACTTGATGTTTGCAGGAGTCATTGTGAGTCCCGGGTTGAGTAAAAGACCAGCAAGATCGTGTTCCAGATACTCAAATGCCATGTAAGTATGTCTGCCTGAAACTACCATCTCGTACAAGGACACGATATTGTCGTGGCGAAGCGACTGGAGAAGTTTGATTTCACGAATAGCGGTAATCGGCATTCCTTCACGTTCTGAGTCGAGCCGAAGGCGTTTTAAAGCGATAATACGCCCCGTGTCTGTATTTTTGGCCTTGTAGACTTTTCCGTAAGTACCTTCGCCAACCTGAAGGATATGTTCAAACACAGGCGACTCCCTGTAGGTAATTCCTTCGCCTGTTGAGGCTGCTGGGGTTCTATCTTTTTCTGCTGGGGTTTTTGGAGTTGACTGAACTGAATTAAGCACTGGTTTCTTCGGCAAGGAGGACGGTATCTGTTCTTTTGGTTCGTTGGTGGCCTTTGTGCGGCCCTTGGCGGTTTTGGGTGCGTTCTGCTTTTGCTTTTTGTGCAGGCTTTGATCCTTCGACGGATTTTCATGATTTTTGCCCTGCTTGCGCTGTTGATTTTGCTTGTTCTGCTTCCACTTTTTGTTCTTGTTACCTTCAGGTCCTGGTTTGTTCCCATCGCTGGGCGCTTCCCGGCGTTTCAGAGTCTGCTGCTTCGACCCGTTAGGTATCTTGGCGCCATTCTTTTGTCCAGGGCGCACTGTTAATGACGTCGTGGCCACACTGGAGCCTCCAGACGGTTTTTCACGATCCGAAGTAAGAGGCATGGTGACAAACGGAACGGAAAGTGTAATTTGACGATTTGGGCCAAAAACTTAAGTTGCTGGTAGAACGGGTTGGTTTATTATTGGGTTCTTGTGAATCTCACTCCCACACCAGTTTTTTTGCGTACCAACCGTTACTAGTTGAATGTGCGCTGACAAGTCGATAGATTTATCATCATTCAATTAAAATGTTCCGCCCCCACATGATGCTGAGAAGCGGACTAGCCGGCGCCCGCCGCATGCTTTCGACTGAAATGAAGTCTGCATTGGATTCTGCTGTTTCTTCTGCGCCTGTCGTGCTGTTCATGAAGGGCACCCCTGAGCAGCCGCAGTGCGGATTCAGTCGGAACACGATCCAGATTCTGGGCTACCAGGGCGTTGATCCAAAGAAATTTGCCGCCTACAACGTTCTCGAGGACCCTGAGCTGCGTAACGGCATCAAGGAGTACTCGTCATGGCCCACCATCCCCCAGCTTTACATTAACAAAGAGTTCATTGGTGGACATGACATTGTCGTCAGCATGTCTGAAAGTGGCGAGCTGGCTGATCTTTTAGAAAAAGAGGACGTTCTGGTTGAAGAGTGATATATATAAGAGTATGTACGTTATCCCAGTCGGGCCATAGGTAGCGGTTTAGTTGAGACGGCGCTCAAAGTAGCTGCTGGTGGACATGAAAGAGCTGCTCATATCGAACACCCACTCGCCAACCTCCAGGTATTTGGCAATGAATCCCTGCGCGTCCTTGTTTTCAACATTATTGACCTTGAGGGTGAGGCCAGTGCTGCGGCGAATACCTGCAAACATTGCTGACACCAGAACAGCATCAACACTGTAGTGTATGAATTTTCCAAGCTTGTTAGTCGTCGTGATTCCTATTTCATGGAATGGCGCCACTCTGGTGACGCGCCCTTTGATATACCTACAACTCCCATCGTGAATAGTAACAATGACAAATCGGTGGATTAAATAAATACAGTTTAGATGCTAATTTCGTTCATGGTCATGCCGCAAGCACAGCGTTTGGTGGTTGTTCCGTCAGGCTCTGGGGTCCCTTCGTCCCATTCGTGAACGTGACGGGGAGTATAGTTGGTCTTGGTGATGGTTTGAGCACGGGTCTTGTTTCTGATCTCTTTGAGGCGGGCTTCGAACTTGACTCGTTTGCGGATCTTAGCTTGCGACACCCGCCGTTCGTACTCTGCATCAAGACCCTCTGGTCCACCCCATTTCTTGAATGAGAACTCCTCCACTTGGTAGCGAACATACAACATCATGTTCGAGTAGGTTGATTTGTAGGGATTCGGACGCTCCAGGTGGGGCAGCAGCTCTGCATCTTTGAGTTCGGGTTCCGTCAACAGATAGTCTGCTTTGCATTCGGTTTTCGTGAGCAGTGAGTACTTTTCTGGCAGCTTGTTCCTGCACTCCTTGCACACTCTGCACTTGTTAAACACGTAGTAGAAGCGAAAATCAAGCTCTCTGGTGCCACACTCGAAGCATTGGGGTGCTTTGGGGTCATCCAGCGCATACGGCGGGTTCAGATCTTTTAGTTTCCCCAGCCAATCGTCGGTAGCTTTCCCCTGGGTTGCTTCTTCGGTGTCGTTGACAATGAATCCACCGTTACTGTCCTTCATCGTGCTCAGATCGTACTCAATATATGGCTTGGCCAGCAGACCGCTGGTTCTCTTACCGCTGCGGTTATCTGCAGCTGACTTTTGTACGCCACGCTGCCCGCTGGTCGATGGTACATTGGGAGTGGGTACTGACGGTCCCTGCCTCGGGCTTAGTATGTGGGCAACCGACGAGTCTTTTGCAGTAGTTCCACCCTGTGCGATCCGTTTTTTGGTCTCTTCTAGCCGCCGTAGAGCTTTAGCCCTTCTTTCGGCTCTTTCCTCTGTGCTTAGCACCATGACTAACATGGACTGTGTCGAGGCCCCTATTCATAGGGAACCTCAGGCCAAACTTTTGCACAGTTTACTTTCGTTTTCGGCTCCTCCTGCGTTTGGAATTCATGGTCCGCCGAGCAGTGGTAAAACTTCAACGTTAATGCGATACTTGGAGGCATCTGGGATCAATTATTCAGTAGTGAGCTGCGACCAGTGCACGACGACACGAATTCTCCTCCAGCGGGCCCTGAGATCGATTCTCGCCAAGACAGGCACTGGAACTGCAGAAGAGGCAGTTGCAGAGAATGTCGAGATCTTTTCCAGTGTGATCTACACCCAATTCACCGGGAATAACTACACCACTCCTCATGTCTTGGTGCTGGATCGAATCGATCGCCTTCCCGATAGTAATGCTGAGATTTACTCCTGCTTGACTCGTCTACCTGAGCTCTATGGAATCACAAACCTTACAACTATTTTTGTTTACAGCACACCTGAATCAAAACAGCTAATTTCATCGCCTGTGCCTCATGTTTACTTTCCACCCTACACGCAGGACGAAGCCATTTCAATCGTCGGATCGACCGATCCAACCGTTTCTGCGCCCGTTCCTGATCCGCAAACGTATTGGCGGGAATTCGTTCGTGTAGCGGTACTGGCGTTGAACCCTCACACTGGCACGGACATTCGACTGATCTCGAAGGCATGCAGTCGACTTTGGCCATTATTTATTGAAGATGCCGATCCTAATTTCAACAAACAGTATGTGTCCAAGCAAAAGATTTTCCAGGCTGAGGACTTTATCAAGCAATTGGACTCTAGTGATGATGGACTATCGCAGGTGCAAAAGTATCTTTTGGTAGCTGCTTATCTAGCCAGCTACAATGATAGCCGATACGATGGCCGTTTTTTCTCAAGAGCAAAGGAAGCACATGCAAAACGACGAGATACGAGGCCTCGCAACACTGTTCAGATTCCTGCCAGGTCCCTGGCTCCACCCACTTTTGAGTATGAGCGCTGGTTGGCCATTTTCCACGCCCTTCTGCCTGATCCATTGACTTTTGTGCCATGTACGGATGTTGGTACCAGCATTTCTACCTTGTGCGCACAAAATATGGTTGTAATGTCGCAGGAGGATCCCTTGGACTCTCGAACAAAATGGCGAATTAACATATCTTGGGGGCTTGTTGAATCGTTAGCCAAAGATATTGGCATGTACATTGAAGAATATATTCTAGAATGATAAATTACAGTTCGATCAATACTGGCTCTGGCTCTGGTTCAGACTCGGCTTCTGGTTCTTGAGTAGGCGCCGAGGGGATCTGAGACAGGGCATCTTCCGCGGACAATGTCTCGGGACCTACAGCTGGTGCTACAGCAGCTGGTCCTGGTGCTGGTGGTGCTGATGGTGCTGCCACCGGCCCTCCAGCTGGCCCTACAGCTGGCCCTGGTGCTGATGGTGCTGCCGCCGGTCCTGGCGCTGATGGCGCTGATTGTGCTGTTGGCCCTGGCGCTGATGGTGCTGATGGTTCTGATGGTACTGCCGCAGCTGGTGCGTTTGGTGTTGATGCTGGCATCGGTGCTGGAGGGGCCGAATAGGTCGCAAATACAGGATTATAAGCAGGAGCAGAAGGTCTCAGCCTAATTGAAGTTCGCCGAGATTCCAACACCGGAGTGGATACCTGCGGCTGCATTTGAGGAACATGAGGCTGTATTTGAGGCTGCACCTGCGGCTGTACCTGTGGCATCCCCTGAACGGAACCGGCCGTTACTGGAGCTGTTTGAGGCATTGCCTGATGAAGTTGGATATCCAGCATTCTATCATAATAACTAGAAATCGCAGATAACCTCCCATGCAAATCTTCCAAGGTCTGAAGCTTGTTAGCCACAGAACCAAGCTCAGTGCTGACTCTTGGTTGGCAAGCTTCAGCACTAGCCATCAGGGCAGCAAACTTTGGGTTCAAAAATACGTCTTTAGGGTGGGCAGATTCCAACGCTTGACGAAGTTCCTCGACAACTTGTTTGTCGGTATGTGTAGAATATGTTTCCTGTTGCGGGGCATGCGACTCAGGTTTGACCCGCTCCATATCAGCTAAACTGGCAGCAATAGCAGCTTTCATGTCCTCATCCATTTCTTCAGTGTGCATGGTACTTGTGAGTTGTTCAGGAGCAGAATCTTGGAGAGACTGCTCCAGGGCTCTTCGTAGATCCTGATCAAATGAACCATTCAAGTCAACGTTGTTGCTTGAATGATAAAATCCACGAGTGCTAGAATCTCGTGGTTTCGATTTCGTATACTTATCGGCCAATTTCACTTTGCAATCATCGCATACTCGCACAGGCTCATTGATACCGAAGTGAGGCAACGGAATGAAATTGGAGCAATACTCTTGCAAAAAAACACCGCCACAATTTCTGCAATGATGTTTACGATTGTAGAACGTGAACGGGCGGCCACTTTTCATGCAAGTATCGCTATCCACCCAGTCGGGGGCGGTGGCGGAATCGGCAAAGGTTGAGGAGATCGCAGAGGGCTCCTGGAACACAATACCCGGCTTGGACTTGAGCGCTTGGTATGTCTTGTATATTTGCGACAGATCTGTGCGGTCCTTGGTCATCAATGCCCATGCTTGAATGTATTCGAGCATGAGATCTACCACCCCGTCATTTCGGTCTTGGTTGACCAAGGTTATTACCTGTGCGTTGTAGGCGTCCATGAACTCTTTAGTTGCAACCTCTTCCAAAAAGTGCGACCCGCCGTTCTTGACGCAAAGGTCAAGCAGGTGCAGCGTTAATACTTGTACATTGGGGTTTCTAACATAGAGCCGCTTGCGGAGCAGTTTGACGGCGTCTTTCGCAGGGACCCGCTTAGATCTGATCTCATCGCATATTTCAAGATTCAACGCAAGGTTCTGCTCTCCAGTAGGGATGTCCTCTGAAGTGGCCGCCTCAATTTGTTGCTCAATCGGCGATTTAGAGGACCACCATGACATAACGTGTAGCTCTGAGGGTTGTCGGGAGTTACTAAGGGAAGTAGGCATTTTAAGGTTTTAGTAGGCTTTATGTAAATAAGATGGTTAAACGACTGCGAGTTGAATGGCGCTGCGCTTTTGGATCAAACGCATGAGGAGAACCATATAGAGCTCGGCCTTGTCCTTGAATGCAAGAAGCAGACCCTGGACAATAATACCCTTGCTGATTTGCGGGCCCAAGCCCTTGAACATGCCCAGAAGGCCCTCGGTCTTGTACAGATAGACGATAGCGTCGACAAAAGAGTCAAACACGGGGACGGACTCGCCCTTTTCGTCGGATTCTTGGCTGGCCTTGGCCTTTTTACTAGTTTGTTGCATGATTTTGGCAACAATCATGGGTTGTGTAGCGATAGTAGCAGCCGCCTTGGACACGGCGCCCAGAATAAAGTTCTCACCTACAGACAATGAAATCTTGTCCTTGAAAAGAAGAGAACGAACACGCGAGGAAGTGCCGTAAGTAATGCTAGGGTTGATAACAAGGACAAGAGAGACTTTGAGTCCGCGCCACAGACCGGAAATGCCGTCTTGGCCAATGACATCTTTGGCGGTAGCGAAAAAGCCGCTGTCATTGTCGGAGGTCTGCTGGCGGGCAGTAATGACCGAGACAGGAATTGTGAACAGCTGAGCAAGAGCACCGGCAACTGCGCCTAGGAGCAGTTCGGTAGCGGTTGTCAAAGACTTGCCGGGGCTACGGCGAATGTATGCGTCGCGGACGAGTGAGTACCAATAGAAATAAGCAAAGTTAGTGCTGGCGGTACCGAGAAGGGTTCCACTCAGGCCAGCGTAAACACCTTTAATGCCCTTTTTGGCATAGACTTTCTGAATGACATCCCAGCTGCTGGTGTAGGTTTCATGATTTGGGTCGGTAGATTTAGTTTGCACCTGGAGACGGGTCTTTGCCAAATCCAAAGGATAGACGAGAGCGTTGGCAATCATAGCTGCTGCCGCACCAGCGACAGCTTTTCCCCACGGGGAGAGTATGGGGAGTTGTTCTTTAGACAGATTGGCCATGATAAGGTTGACAAAGTGCTGTCTCAGGAAGCGATAGGTCGGTGGGTTAGTGATCGATCGCTTCAAATAGGAAGCCGGGATGTGGGGAACATGGATTAGTCATACGACAACTTACTTGCTCACAAGCGTGAGGCCGAGGTGTTCGGGTAAATAACGGCGCTTTGGGGGTCTTGGGGAGGCTGGAGTCCACATTGAGGGAAGGGTATGCAATTTAAAAGGCCAGGCTAATTGGTGGCCACGGTTTAGCCACGCTGGTTTGCTGTTTTTGCGTACCGGTTATTGACGGGATTTCGCCCAGCTATAGCTTGGGGGAGAATTACATACCGCCTGCATACTGCACGCCGTCTGAGATCCCTCCCCACAAAACGAATGATGTGAGTTTACTAAGCCTCGATAAGCGACCTGGGCTAGGGTGTGTGTACTCCCGGGGCGAGGAACAGGGTGTGGTGGGTTTGGCTCACCACTGTTTCATCATTAGGGCTTTGCCCTAGCCGTCACGCCAAACTAACTCAATAGTTGTAAACCGTCTCGCGCGAAACACTCAGTATCATCAGCCATGCCCCCTAAGATTGATCCTAACGAGGTGAAGATCATTTATCTGCGTACCACCGGTGGTGAGGTTGGTAATGCCTCTGCTCTGGCTCCCAAGTTGGGTCCTCTCGGTCTGTCCCCCAAGAAGGTCGGTGAGGATATTGCCAAGGCCACCAAGCAGTACAAGGGCATTTCTGTCACTGTTCAGCTGACCATTCAGAACCGTCAGGCTACTGTCTCTGTTGTTCCTGCTGCCTCTACTCTTGTCATTGCTGCTCTCAAGGAGCCTCCTCGTGATAAGAAGAAGGAGAAGAACATCAAGCACAACGGCAACATCCCTCTCGACGAGATCATCAAGATCGCCCGCGAGATGCGCTCTAAGTCTTTCGCCAAGGAGCTCAGCGGTACTGTCAAGGAGGTTCTTGGTACTGCTCAGTCTGTTGGTGCCCGTGTTGATGGCAAGCCTGCCCATGTCATCATCGACCAGATCAACGCTGGCGAGGTCGACATTCCTTCCGAGTAATTTGTAAAAACAAAAACCATCATTTTATTTCAAAAAAAATTAAATGCATGTCTCCGTCCAGTCCCACCACGTTTGCCACACTCTGGTGCTATTCTTTTTCTGTGAATAGTTCCTATTTCAGTGCAAACAAGATTATAACGCCGTTACTCACCGGAAGGGATTCCGTATGAACTTTTCGGTCCATGAACGCGGACATGCATTTATAAACAACCTTTCTTAAATAATTTCAGCTAAGCGACTTCTTGTCGTACTTGTACCGGTTCTGACTGGACTCGTACGTGTGAGGGCCCTTGATAAGGCTCTTGCGGTGTGGGTCTCGCTTCAGGGGCATGCGCATGTCGAAAGCGTCCTGGTCTCTGCCCTGTCCATAGTAGCCGACTACCCGTCGGAACGGTGCAAACCCGAATAGCTTGTACATGTCGACGGCAATGCGGTTAGATGTGCGCACGTAGAGATCCATAAAGTAACAGTTCTGGTCGGGTGCTTCGGACGCAAGCTTGAGCAGGTCAACCAAAACACGGCCCAGCCCAAGCCTTCGGTACTCCATGTCAACCGTGACGGCGGTAATGTGAGAATGCCATTCCAGGCCGGCGCCCTCGCTCTTGCCAATCATATAGCCTACGTTGCGAGTTCGCGACACTGATTTGAACAGCAGGTCGGGCCAGTAGTACATGTACTCCAAATAGAAGCTAATATCGTAGTTTTCTGTTAAAACATCGAGGTTTATTGCATTACAATCTAACAAATCCCCTGCGTTAAACGGCAGTAAACTCGTCATGACAAAGCCACAAGGCCACGCCAAGGTAGGGCTTTTTGTGGTTTTTTTACCCAACCCGCAAACGTAATCGTCCATCTGTCCTATAAGGGTCCTCCTGATGTCTCAGTACGTTGGCAAGACCATTTCGCTAGTGTCCAAAAGCGACATCCGCTATGTGGGCACGTTGCATGAGATCAGCTCTGAAAAGTCCTCGGTTTCGCTGACCCAGGTGGTTAGCTATGGAACCGAGGGCAGACTGCAAGGAATGAACGAGATTCCGCCGTCTGCACGCATCTTTGAGTTTATTGTTTTCAAGGGCGACGATGTCAAGGATCTGCAAGTCATCGAGGCACCTCCTGCCCAAGTTCAAGCCCAGCAAATCCAGGCACAGATGCAGGCCGCCTACTACATGAGCCAGCCGCCGGCCCAGGCTGCTCCAACAGAGCCGCGGGCACAGCCCAAGGAAGAGCCCCGAGCACCGGCCAAGGAAGAGCCCCGAGCACCTCCCAAGGAAGAAGATCAGGCACCACCCAAGCAGAGCTCGCCGGCAAAGGAGCCACACCCCGAAAACGTAAGTGTTATGATGAATCGGATGTCTGAGTGTCAAAATGCAGAACAACAACGTTGCCTTCCTTCTGAACATACTAACAAGTCTAATAACGACGAATTTGATTTCGTCTCGAGTGGCCAAAAGTTCCAGGACGCTATCAAGTCCGACCGCCCCGCTGCGGAGGGCGCCAATGTGTACAATAAAAAGTCTTCCTTTTTCGACAATCTTACCGCTCCTGCCGACGAGGACCGCGATTCCCGCCGCCAGAGAGAACGCGAGCTCAATTCCGAAACGTTTGGTGAATCGGCCGAGCACTACCGGTCAGATTGGTCTCGCGGCAGAGGTCGCGGTCGCGGTCGCGGTCGCGGTCGTGGCTGGGGCCGTGGTAGAGGTAGCGGTCGCGGTCGCGGCCCCAATGTCCCAGATGATGCTTAAATGTGACTTATTTATATATTTATGTGTATGTATTCTACCGCAGCGCCTTCCGCAATCATCACAGCTCCCGGTGGATATTGGCCCTCCACCAAACAGACAGCCAATTCTGTATCTGCTCACCGGCAACATGGCCCTTGGTTGCCGCCAGCGCTTTGCCAACAACGAACCAGTCTTTGGCGAACGCCCACAGCAAGCCCTGGAAAAAGGGGTAGGCGATTTGGTCACGAATAACCAGATACGCTGTCTTCCAGACACTGCCTTGTGCCGGAGCAATACTGGCCAGAAAAGTGGTTTCGGTCCGAAGATCTGTTCTTCGCACTGGTATAGACATAATCGCCCCGCTTCTGCGATTGTAGTTTGAGATGTCGCGGGAAAATAGTTTGTCAGCCAACTTGAAGTAATGGAAGGTGGACCGAATATCACCGTCCGCAAGGTGGCGCGGGATGAGGTCGACATGGTGCTGAGCGGCGTCGACTTGTCTCTTGCAAACTCACTGAGACGTGTATTTCTTGCCGAGATCCCCACGATCGCCATCGACCTCGTAGAGATCGAGGTCAACACAAGCGTGCTGGCCGACGAGTTCATCGCCCACAGATTGGGCCTGATTCCCCTGGACTCGACTCTGACTGACGAGTTGGAGTATACGCGGGACTGCGACTGCGAGCAGTACTGTGACAAGTGCAGTGTGGTGCTGTCTTTGAACGCACGGTGCGAGAGCGCTGGCACAATGGAGATTTACACAAGCGACTTGGTAGTCGAGCCGGCAGCCTCACGCGATGAGAGTATTGGCCGTCCTGTGTTTGCTGATCCCTCTAAAAGGGGCGTGCTCATTTGCAAGCTTCGTCGCAACCAAGAACTTAGACTCAAGTGTGTCGCCAAGAAGGGTATCGCCAAGGAGCATGCGAAATGGTCGCCCTGCTCGGCTATTGGCTTTGAATACGACCCCTGGAATAAACTCAGACACACCTCACTGTGGTGCGAAGAGAGTGCCGAGGCCGAATGGCCAAAGAGTAAAAACGCAGATTGGGAAGAGCCTCCTCAAGAAGGTGAAGAGTTTGATTTCAAGGCCAAGCCCGCCAAATATTATTTTAATGTCGAAACCACCGGTCAGCTCAAACCGAACGAGGTGATTGAGCGCGGTATCTCGATTCTCCAAAAGAAACTCGCCGAAATCGTTCTGGCGCTTGACAAGGGCGATGAAGATGAGTACAAACAATGGTACTGAAAGTTGTAATGCTAGTTAGTTTACAGGAATGATTTTTTTTTGCTTAGTTCTGCGAGTTCCACGCGACCGCATCTTCAAATTTCACACCGCTTCCCCCGAAAATGTCGAGAGCGCTGCCGTAGGTCAAGTCGACTTTCCCCCCGCTGAGTTTTTTGACGAGCGCCAGATCATCCAGATTACGACCGCCTCCAGCATAAACAACTTTAATGGGTGACCACTCTGCAAGCTTCCGTACGAGCTCCTCGTCAATGCCTTGGCATAATCCCTCAACATCTGCTGCATGGACAAGAAACTCTGAACAGTGGTGAGCCAAATCTTCCAGAGATTGTTTGCTCAATTTGAACGAAGTGAGCCGTTGCCATCTATCCATAGCCACCACCCATCCGTCGTCTACTCTTCGGCAGCTGAGGTCGATAATTAGATTTTCTTTGCCAACTGCTTTCTCCAGTGCAGCAAGACGCTCGGTGTCAAGGTCTCCGCCAGGGAACAAATATGACGTCACAATAACTTTACTGGCCCCTTGAGCGATCCAATCGGCAGCATTTTCGGCATTAATTCCTCCGCCAACTTGTAATCCCTTTGGCCATGCTCGCAGGGCCTCCTTAGCCGCTTCATCGCATCCCGGACCTAATTTAATTACATGCGACCCTGTAACGTTGTTATCGCGGTAAAGCTTGGCAAAGTAAGAGCTGGGATGCGATGCGACAAAATTTGTTCTCAGGTCATTTTCGTCACTGCTTAAACTTCCGCCGACAATCTGCTTCACTTGTCCATTGTGAATATCAATACAGCCCGTGAATCGAGTCATGACTCAGGAAACCCTCTCCCACTCGTGATTTTTTTTTCTTAAAGCGAGGAGTGCTATGGACCCATTGAAAGCACTTTTCGAGAAACAATTCGGCAAACAATGGAGTGAGCCAGTTGTCAAAAATGCCGATTCCAGCTCTGAAGCAGAATCAGAACCAGAGGCACTAGGATCAGAGCCCGAAGAATCAAGTGAAAGTGAAGAGGACGGACCCGTGACAGCCAAGCACACTGAAACTTCTAGCTCAAGTGTGCTCAGTAGTGCAGAAAGAAGAAGGTTTATGGTTTCGGGAGCTCCCAAAAAGGCTGGAAAGGCAGACAAGCCCAAAAAGACCAAGGAAGACGAAGAGGACCTCAAAAACGACTTGGAGCTGCAAAGACTCATCGAAGAATCACACATTTTGCATGAACAACAGGAATTCACAGGTGCTGATATTTCAATAGGTGATCCTATGGAATCAATTGGGAAAAACCGAATCAAAATCCTCGAGGCCCGGCTCGCCAAAGCTGGGGGAAAGAAAAAGGCAGAAAAAATGCCAATGGCCATCGCTAAAGGTATTAAGGCAAAGGCAAAAGAGAGATCTGAAACCCATAGATCAAGAGCAAAAGAAGCTGGTATTGTTTTGGCTCATGAAAAGAAGGTCAGAAAGCAGCGGGTCCATGATCGCGGTCTGAAAATCAACAGCGTCGGAAAATCAACCGCACACGGTGTATCCGTGTCTCAAAGAGATATTGCACGGGTGCAGAATAAAACTCGACGAAGGAAAAGATAAATACATAAATTAGGCTTTTTGTGGGGATCCCGGATCCACACTAGGCATCCTCAAAACTGGAATTTGATATGATTTGAGCTCGCTGATGTGCAACAAATAGGAATTCCGCAGATCATCGTCAAACCGGCCGGTACTGAGATAGTAGAGCCCCAAAACCGCGTCGCATTTGGAACAATGTAACGGCAAGTACTCTGCACCTCGATCTATGCGAAATTGAGACGTCACCCTTACAGGTTCTTTCTCTACATATACTGAGCCCTCTGTTATATTCCCCAGGGCTATCGAATCAATATCCTTTACTGCCTTGAGCCAGTCAGTGGCATCTCCAACAATAGCGTCGCAGTGCCTGCACTGAAATACAACGAACATGCTTACTATGAGATTCGCGATCCTGAACTTTATATGCGAACCGCCCTCAATTGGAGGCTGGTTCTGAAAATCAACAGGATACCGTTTTGAAAAACGAACTTTTTATAGAGTTTTTTGTTTCTAGTACGACGAATATTTTTCCTCGCATGCACACTTCAGATAATGCTGAGGACTATGCAGGTTAATTCACAAGTCTATGCTACGCATATGGCTGAGCTTAGAGGACCAAACTCTAAGCCAAGATATTTTAGTAAAACAAATAAAGTTATCCAGCTTGGCAAACGTTTCCAAAACAGGAATATTGCTTAGTGTTACCACGTACAGCAGTCAGTTACAGTCGAATACTGGCACCACTAGAGGTTGCTATGCTCATCTAGTTCGACCGGGCGGTCAGAAAAGCCACCCTAGTGGAGCTGTCACCTCAACTACCTAAAAAATGCACGGTACAGCTCAGACCCTAGCCTATACATCAACCCAGCACACCATAGAGAGTTTAGGGCAGTGTTAATTAACAGCTGGCACTATGCAAAGCGATATGCCGGCGGTTAACTGATACCCTGTCAGATACCATAAATACAAGACTACCAGACACGAATATTTCTTCAAGGTACATGGTGAGCCCGTTCTTTTGCATCACTCTTATAACTGCTTTTTCTTCGGCTTTAGCTAGTGGTAACATCCAACTATGGCCCGATGAGCCAGATTATGGAGTACCTGTAGCTACAATTCCCCTCTTATCGAACGTTGCGTTCTTGAACTCGTTCAATTCTCCGCAGGGTGTCACATACAATCCACCCAACGTTGATTTCAATCGTGTCTCTTTGGAGCTTTTGGTCAACACCACCTCGTCGAACTATGATCGACTTGGTATGGCATTTTTCAACGGGATTGAAATTTGGCGCACGTCAACCTCGGAACCGGCAAACGATAACGCTCATTGGGATTATTCGAAAGATGTTTCAGAGTACCTATCATTATTCAAGCAAACAGGACATTTTGAATTCTTGATCAACAACATCGTGAACGAGCAGTTTCAAGGAACTTTTCAGGTTTCCATAACGGCGAATTTCTACAAGAGCAGTAACAAGCCCAACACAGACGATAGCTGGGCGATTGCCCTTGACAACCCTGCAACCAACATCCAGACATTCAGGAAAAACCCAACCAACCTATACTGGACCGCACCCTCAGATGATATTGAGATATCTGTACCCCAGCAGGCTAGCAATGTGAATCGGGCTCTCATTCAGGTTTTTGCCTCTGGTAATAGCAACGATGAATTCTGGTGGAACACCCACGGCGGCAGTGGTCCATCACGATTTGTTAATGCCTACATCAACGGGCAGCCTGCAGGCTATGCTGCACCTTTCCCTATCATTTACACGGGTGGAATCAATGCAGAGCTGTGGAAACCGTTGGTTGGAATCAGGGCCTATGACGTTCCAAGCTACTTCATGGACGTAACAGCCTTTTTACCCAAACTTTGGTCGGGGGCAAGTACCCTCAAACTTAATATATCCAACGGAATTGACAACAACCCTGTTCCATCTAACTGGATCGTCAACGTGAACTTATTCACTTGGTCCACACCAGGGCAAACAAATTCAGGGACAATGGACAACCCTCAAGATACCGTAAATACGCTCGACAACTCCTTAGGAACCAGTCCTCAGCATGTGCTGCTCACTAGATCCTACTCGAGTTCAGCAACTTTGACCATTGGCGGCACCACTCAAAAAGTGGGATGGAATCAGAATGCGACGTTCGAAAACCATCTTACTATAAACGGTGACGATACCAGTATTTTCCAAAAGTTTACTGGAACAGACTCTGTTATTGGAAGTAATGGAGTGTCGCGAACTTTCAACTATCCACTGACCGTCGAAATAGGCCCTACCAAGAACCATGTCCAGGAGTCGTATAGCATTCAGTCCCCAGTCAGCCTGTACACCTGGATTGACACTAACGTCAATTTGGATGGCAATGGTAAAGTCACAGACACCCAGTCAAGTCAATATCTGGAGGAGGCTTCGGTAAGTCACTTCAAGAAGGCAGTGAATGGTCAAATCGTTGAGACATGGTAAACGCTTACAGTCTATTAAGAAGAGAAATCAGTAGCTACATTTACTCAAGAACACCCAATAAAGGCGAGATAACCTACAGTTTATGTTTTCCAGGGGTTGTTTTCGCTTAAACTGACTACGGTCACCCACTTATATATTCAGCTGCCATCCTCCGTATACCCCGCGTCACGTCATCAATGTCTGGAGTCGACCAAGCGTTTGCAAAGGCGATTTCAATTATCAAGGTTTTATCGAGGAGCCCTAATGGCTTAGCGAAGCCACCTCCAGAAAGTAGAACTACTTTGTATGGGCTCTACAAGCAAGCAACCGAAGGTGACGTGCTGGGAATCATGCAGCGTCCGGTTGGCGACTCTCCCCAGGATGAAGCCAATCGCCGCAAATGGGACGCATGGCGTCAACAGCATGGTCTTAGCCGTGCAGAAGCGAAAGTGAAGTATATTGAGTTTCTGCTAGAGACAATGCGCAGTGTGGCTGTGATAACCCCTGAGTCGGAGCAGCTAATTGCCGAGCTCGAGCAAGTAGCCCAGATCGCCAAGTCTGGTGGGAAAATTGAGGATATGGTTCCCAAAAACATGCCTCACCATCGAACAGGATCCATTGCGAGCAACCATTCCGTTTACAGCCAGTTTTTGAAGCGGCCCACCTATTCAGAATTTGGTCTTAGCGAGCGAGATAGAACCGAGCGGATGAGCGAACGTGCCTTTGATAGCATGGATCAGGGTAGTATTGCCGGACTCAACCCTCTTATTGCTGGTATTCCTGGTCCGATTGCATACGAAGGCGACGAGGCTGCCATTGACGCTGCGAGCTGGAAACAAAATGTTGCTTGGCAGCTCGAAACTATATCCGAAGAAATTAATTCGATTCGCAGACAGTATGATCAGCCGATTGGCCGTCGGAATGACGACGACGGGTTGCCAATTAACCCGCCATCCAAAAAGGCAGATGTATGGGCCCAGGTACGATACCTTTTACAGCTTTTATCAAAGCCACTGGTTGCAGCATTACGTCGCATAGCTATTGATACCAGTGCTTTGGTTGCATTTCTGGTAATTGTGCGTCTTATTCGCAGCAACAAGGCAGTCATGCAGCGCATTCCGTTTACACGAAAACTGTTCACTATACTGGGCAACATCATTGCTATAGTGCTAAAGGAGGTCGGGTTTGATATCAAGACGCGTCCATTTGGTTCATCCGAGCTCAAAGAGTGAAATAAAATGCGTAGAGCTGTATTTAGTACCCAATACCCGGGGATAATATATATATTATGTGATATGGGTCCACTTTAGGGCTTAGGGCTATATGAGTAACCAAGACTCTAATACTCACAGTCGCCAGTGTCCGATCGTAAACCACAAACATGGGTCGTATGCACAGCTCTGGCAAGGGAATGTCCGCCTCGGCCATTCCCTATTCTCGCAAGAACCCCAGCTGGTTCAAGCTTACTCCTGAGGACGTTGAGGAGCAGATTATCAAGTACGCTCGCAAGGGTTTGACTCCTTCCGCCATCGGTGTTATCCTCCGTGACTCCCACGGCGTCCCCCAGGTCAGGGTTGCCACTGGTAACAAGATTCTGCGCATCCTCAAGTCTAATGGTCTCGCTCCTGAGATCCCTGAGGACCTTTACCACCTCATCAAGAAGGCTGTTGCCATGCGCAAGCACCTCGAGAAGAACCGCAAGGACAAGGACACCAAGTTCCGTCTTATTCTTGTTGAGTCCCGTATTCATCGTCTGGCCCGCTACTACCGCACCACCGCCGTTCTTCCCCCTAACTGGAAGTACGAGTCGGCCACTGCTTCTGCCCTGGTTAACTAGACTGCTTAATTAAGCTATAGCAAAAAATCATGACTTTAATCAAGTCTTATTGGTTATTTGATCGCCTGAAAATTGAGAGCCTGCGTTCTGTACTGGCAGCCTCTTTTTTTTCCGTGTTCTGACCTCCTCCTCCTCCCTCCCCTTTTTTTTTTTTCTTTTTTCCACATTTATAACTTTCCTCCCAAGACTTTCATATCACTTAAGCATGATAACCCTCCATGCAAGGCAAGGTCGAGTCTCGATAGTAATCCTGCAAGACGAGTCTAATAAAGTGTCGCAATTGATTGCGCAGTTGGCTGAGATTCTTGTAGAAACGAAGCAGGCCAGCTTCGAACAAGTGGAGCTTCTCAGGATTGCGTTGCAGAAAAAAGACGGCACGTGGTTCGAGATCACAGAGGCCAAGGCTTCAACGCTGGGAGAATTAGGTGTTGATGATAACACGAACGTTGGCTACGCGCTAGGGGATGATGATTTCGGGTTTGAAGAAGTAGATCCTGATTTGACCGAATGAGGAACGAATCAAATGCACCGTACGCAGACCCGGCAGTCTGCAGGGCCTGGGCATATTCTCGGCTCTGCATAGTATGGGAGGATTATTTACTTCAACGATTAGTTTTTGCAAATTGCCACCCTCTATTTGCTAATTTTATTTTCCTCTTAAAAGATGGGGAAGCGCTATGGATAGCCGTCAGGAGTCGCTCGCTCGCTAGCTGTTCCCTCGTAGGTAATCGCGGAGGAGGGGAAACCTCGCTTGGGAGTTCCATTCTAAGCTAAATTTCAGCGTCGTTCCCAGATACCATACAAGGTCAGATAGAGTTGAAAATATATAAACGGCATCAACGTTGAATCGAGAAATTTAGACGCGGCATCACAAACTACAATGACCGAATTGCAAACTCCAGTTAATCTTGACCATCATCTTAGCCAGACCGCGCTTCGTCGTAAGGAGAATATCTTCAAGCTGTTCTATCGCTATCACTCAATCCCCGGTTTAACGGACATTTCTGGTGGCCTGCCTCACCCCAGCCTGTTTCCAGTAAAGGAATTGACTAGTGAAGCAGTTGCGACCAACTTTTTATTCGACCCCGAGGCTAAGAACATTGTCGTCTCGTCCAACAGCGACGACCTCACGTCCGCGCTTCAATATGGCCAGGCCACAGGACAGAAACAGCTCCATGATTGGGTCACCAAGTTCATCGATGACCATGTTTCCAAGCCAATGTACAAGGGAGGCTTTGACCACGTAGCCACAAACGGAAACACGGATGGTTGGAATAAGGTCCTTCAGGTTTTGAGTAACGAGTGGTCCGAGAACGACCCCATTGAGAAGCGTCAGAGTTTACTTGTCGAAGAGTTTACCTATGCGCTTTCTACTGAAACAGCAAATGTTCGTGGTCTCAATATTGTCGATGTTAAAATGGATCGCGACGGTATGATTCCTGAGAATCTCCGGGACATCTTAGAGAACTGGGACCCAAGTAAAGGAAAGCGCCCTCATCTCATGTACACTATCAGCATTGGACAGAATCCTACTGGTGCTACTGTGCCGATGGAAAGACGGAAAGAGATCTATAAGATCTGCAGCGAATTCGATATCATCATCGTCGATGACTGCCCTTATTGGTTTATGCAGTATGCGGACCAGATGGAAAAGTGCTATCTGAGTGTCGACACAGAAGGACGTGTTCTTCGTCTCGATTCGTTTTCCAAGTGCTTTGCTCCTGGATGCCGCTTAGGATGGGTTGTTGGACAGCCCAGTCTTATCAAGAGAATTTACTACCATGCAGAAGAATCCACCATGCACCCTTCTGGATATTCTCAATTGATGGTGTACAAGGTTCTCGAGCAATGGGGTTGTGACGGTTGGATGAATTGGTTGGAAAACTTGACCAAAGAGTACAAAGAACGCCGGGACCTCATGATTACCGGTCTAGCGCCCTATAATAAGATTGACGGTGAACTAATTCTGGACTACTCGGTGCCCAAGGCAGGCATGTTTGTTTGGATCGATGTCCAATTCGATAAGCATCCCATGAAGGAGAAGTTTTCTCTTGTGGAACTCAGTCGGGCATTCTGGGTGTTCCAGACCAAGGAACCTCATCCAACTTTGATTTCACCGGGCTACTTTTATGCACCCTCACCCCATGCTGGTGATCATACATCGAGCTACTTCAGGCTCTCATTCGCACCCAGCACAAAGACCGCACTAGAGAACGCGGGTGAGTGCATGGGACGGAACACACACGAGTTCTGGAAACTCAACGAGGCAGATATCCGGAAACTCGTAGACGAGTATCCCAGTGATATTTGATTATGTATTTAATATACCATATAGAAAACCGTAGGTTTAACAATTAGATATCAATTGGTCTCGGGCTGCAGTTCCTGGCTCTACTCCAATATGCGCTGGACGATATGGATACTCAAAATTCATGCAAGTCATGTAGAGTACAATGATGCACTGAGGATTTGAGAGCTAGTTGGTGCTTATTGACCTGAAAGACTCGAGGCAGGGTTCGTGCGTTCGTCTCAGGCGGCAGGTTCCGAATTCTATGTTCGCAGCCATCATTCATATAAACCATCTGCTCGAACACAGGTACTGAATCTACCACATTTCAATGCTTTTAGCTAGCGAAAGACAGAGTTTTCGTCTGTTTGCACGTGATTGTCAAAGTGTTTCCCAAAGATAAGGAATAACACAGAGTTCTAGAGGTTGTCACCCAAAAACAATATGGAGCCCTCAAACCGGTATCTAACCTAGAAAAGGGAAAAAACACTACGACAAAGTCAAAATAGAGATGCATACTAGTTCTTTCACAAAAACTTTGCTCAATTGCTTCTTGGCTACGAGTATTTACATGCATAAAGCTCGGCATGCATGACTGCTGCGGCAGCACCACAGAGGCCCTTAGTCAGGAATCCCGACGCCTCGACTTTTAAGCTTCTCCTATTTATACCTGTGTACATCCTCAATTGCGGGCCGAAATCAAATGGAGGAACAGAATAACTCGGTGTGGCATCGCCGCTCCAAATTGGAGTTGTCTGTGATGGCAGGCATTTTCTTGTTCTTTTTCTACATTATTGTTTCGCTAATTCCAATTGTCCCCTCAGAATCTGAGACCAACTTCTGTCCCCAAATGGAAACACTATATCCAGATTCTTCATTTGCCAATGCAACAATGTTTTTCGAACAGGACTATGCCAAATACTCTGTCGACAAATTGTCCAAGGCTGTTCAAATTCCTACCGTTAGCTATGATGATATGGGGGTTCCTGGGGAAGATGAGAGATACGAGGTCTTCTACGATTTCCAGGCGTTTGTCGAGAAAGAATTCCCTCTTAGTGTCAAGCATGGTAACCTAGAGATTGTGAACGAGCATGGCCTCTTGTTCACTTTCAAGGGCTCGTCCTCTGAATTGCGACCCGTGCTCTTGATGGCCCACCAGGATGTAGTCCCCATTGGCAACCAAGAGTGGGATTTTTCTCCGTTTTCTGGATACTATGATGGAGAGTTTATCCATGGCCGTGGCACGGCAGATACTAAGAACACGTTAGTGGGTATTCTCGAGGCAACGGAGAGCTTGTTGAAGCAAAACTGGGTACCGAGGCGCACGCTATTGCTCTCTTTCGGCTATGATGAGGAGATCAGTGGCAACAACGGAGCCAGACCCATGGCTGAAGAGCTCGTGAGCCGTTATGGTCGGGATTCTCTCGAGGCTATTGTCGATGAAGGGTTCGGCTTCATGTCAGCCTTTGGCTCGACTGTGGCTGCTCCGGCCATTGCAGAGAAAGGCTATCTTGATGTTGGCATTGATTTGAAAACCCCTGGTGGACACTCATCTATGCCACCTGACCACACGGGAATTGGCATTATGGCCGAGCTTGCTAAAGTACTTGAAGACAACCCCTTCAAGCCTTCGATTGACAACGGGAACCCTACCTTGAGCCTGTTCCAGTGCCTCGCTGAGCACGCCGAGCACATGAACAAAGAACTCAGGCGTATTGTTTTAGACATTGACGGTGTTGGTCATCGCAAATTGTTTTTGAAGCTTTTGCAACGGAAACCTGAACTTCTCTACACGATTCGTACTACCCAAGCGTTGGACGTCATTCGAGGAGGTGTGAAAATCAACGCGTTACCAGAGATGGTTTCTTTGTCTATCAACCATCGCCTTGCCATCGACTCGAGTGTGCCAGCCATCATGGATCGCATTGAACACTTTGCTTCGCGAGTCGCTGAAAAGTACCAATTGGGGCTTTACAGCGACGGCGATGAAGTTCTCGTCGGCCCCAATGGTAACTTCTCTATCACAGCCATGGATAAGCGTGAACCAGCTCCTATTTCTCCAAGCGAAGGTCTCCCTTGGAAGTGGATTGGAGGTACCTACCGTCATGTCTTGGGTGAAACTGCAGGAGAGCACAAGCCTGAGGGCAACATTATTGTTTCTCCAAGCATTATGCCTGCTGCTACGGACACTCATCACTTTTGGGCGTTGACAAGGGCAATTTACCGCCTCAGCCCAGTCTACTTTGAAGACATGATCAACTTCCACACTGTCAACGAAAAACTACGTTTCCGTAGTCATTTGATCACTGTTGCTTGGTACTACGAGTTTATTCTAAACAGCACTCTTTAGTATTACAGTATCAGTTAGTAGCTATTTCTCTCTTTTTCCACCGGCTGTTTAGCCTGAACTAGGAGCCGAGGGCCTGCAGGTTACGTCAACTGTGATGTCCGTTCGTGGTGCCGTGTAGGTCAGCAGATGAGTCTCTCAACTCACCTTGAAACTTTCTGTTATCGATATGGCTGCTAACACGGCAACAAGCGTAAAACTCGTTGAGCCTAAAGATGCAACCTTCGAGTTGGCGTTAGAAATTGCCACTATTTTTTACGACGGATTCCAAAAGGATCCTCTAACGAAGCTTCTTTTCGGTCCTCGGTATGCAATCCCGACCCCGCCACCCTCTGGCACGCTCGGAGACTACAACAAGGTGCTTAAATTGTTGGCGTATGGTCAATGGTATCGTTTGATTGACCCAAATACCAAAACTTGGGTTTTGTATGAGGGGGACAGACCGGTTGGATTCTGCATGTGGTTCGTTCCCCGAGATAAGAGTGTGGCGCTCACACTTTGGCAACAGATCAAGTCGATTTATGCTTGTGCACTTGCTGTCTTCTGGAAAAATTGGTACTTTAGGTTCAGAAAGAATCCTCCCTTCAGCAATCCGGCATTCTTTGAAAATTTCAGGGAGGCTGAGGAATATGTCGGCTACAAAGAGCTGCTAGTTCCCGAGAAAGAACTCGCCCATATGTCGCGTGAAGAGTTAGCCAACGCTAGGTACTCTAAGAAAGAGTATAGCTGGTGCCAATTAGTGGCTCTTCGTTCAGATTGCCATGGCAAAGGTTACGGTGAGAAGATGTTCAAACACTCTATGGAGAATATGGTTCGCTATGAACCCACGTTTAAAGATGGTCAGGTGCAATCTAAGGGCCCTGCGAAATTTGCCCTATTTGCTACCCAGCCTGGCCGTAAACTTTACGAAAAGCTCGGCTGGAAGGTTGTAGATGTCTTCAAGAAGACCATGGACGATGGGTTTCTGATGGAATACCCGCTCATGGTATATACTTGGAACGATTGAATAGAATATTGATCTAACTATCCTCGAATATTAGGATTCTTCCTCTTTCTACTGAAGCTGGTTTAATTTATGGGTTAGGGTACCGTAGTCGCCTGCAGTCATCCCCGACGTGCTTGAACCATGCCATACGCACTCATAGCAATCAGTGGCAAGCAAGCTGATTCCAACCAGTCACATTTGATTTGAAATCAAGGCATCAGTGTATCAAGATTAGTTTGAGAATGATAACTTGAGTCGACAGCTTCTTGGACGCGCTACCAGCAGATTTACCGCAAGCAGTCAGAAAATAAGAAGCTTTCGATAGACTATGATGGGCTTGACCTCAAAAACTGAACCAATTGTAATAGGTTCTATTAGGAAGGCAATAAATTGGCGTTCTTGTCAATGAGTGTTGTCATTGAACGACGTCTGCCAGATCGTATATAATTCGTTGCATTTCTAATGTTGAGGCCTTACTTCGGTTTTCTAAAAGGCTGCTTCACACCTGATTTCTTCAGACGTTGAGAAGGCTAAAAGCTTAGAGGTATCAAAATTGCAAATTCGCGGAAAGGAGCTGGCCTATGAATTGGACAAAGCTTGATGTTCCATTAATAGTTGTTGGAATCTTGCTATCGAGTTAAGAACTACTCTTGACGGTACTGTATGACTTCAATTGAGTGATATGTACATAAGACTATCTGCTCACGTCAAGTCAACGGTTTAGTCGTGCATGCCTTAGTTGTAAACAGTACCTACCATGTTATCGGCATACACAGGCCAGTGATAAGCTACGGTTTCAACAGCAATCGTTTTGATTATTATACTGTATTGCAAGTTGTAGGCACGTACAATAAATAATATCCATTTATGAGAGGAATGAAACTACGCTTTCTTGCCCGCTCGTTAGTCCATGTTGATCGGCTATACAGCCATCATCGGATTATACTTTAGAGCTTCGAACCGAGCAATGCCCACGGGTTTCCCGGCAAGATTGGTTCTGTAAAGCGCTTTTATGCACTATCTGGTTGGGGTCACTAAGATTAGTCTTGTTCCCGGCAACGGTCACCTGCACGATAAGCACAGCCGAATACCCGTCGCTGCCGTATGTCCTAAACTGAGCGAAACGCTCGGCCTGAGACTCTAGGTGTTATAGTTGCACAGTGCTATTTTCAGGTTCAAATTTGATAAAGCTCAACCATTTTGAAGCTCACAATCGCGTTGGCGGCCCTCAACGCTCGTCCCTGCAGGAGGGTTAGACATGCCAGCCAACATCATATGCAGCTAGCTTATAAAAGAAGGGACCTCGCCATTTTTTTGAACCTAGCGACCTAAACTCAATTCGGATATTGTGAAAGATGGTCAGTGTCGCTGATAAATTCAACCGCTACGCTGCGGCGCTTGGCGTTGGATTGGTTCTCGCAATTGTGCTTTTCCTGACGACAAGCCATAAACCGGTCCTCGACCCCAAGCACCCATTGTGTGAACAGCGACCCTATATCGAGCCCGAGTATGGTCATTTGGCAAACTCCAGTCAGTTCGTGAGTGAAGAGTACAAGAAAAAGTCCGTTGAGCTTTTTGCTGGTGCGATCCGCATCCCTACTATGAGCTACGACGACCTGGCCATGGACCCCACCAAGGACGAGCGTTTCAACGTATTCAAGGATATGCACAATTACCTGTTCAAGAGTTTCCCCTTGGCATCAAAGCATGTCGAGACGGTTAATACCTATGGCTTGCTATATACTATAGAGGGAACTAACCCATCCCTTAAGCCGGTTCTGCTTATGGCCCATCAGGATGTTGTCCCCGTTAACAACGACACGATTGACCAATGGACTTATCCTCCATTTGATGGCCACTTTGACGGTGAGTTCCTGTGGGGTAGGGGTACTTCCGACACCAAAAACTCTTTGGTCGCTCAATTGGAGGCCATTGAAAGCCTGCTTTCCCAGGGTTGGGTTCCTAAGCGCACTGTGATCTTGTCGTTTGGCTTTGATGAAGAAATTACTGGCTTCCGCGGCGCTTATCCCATCTCTCGTCTCCTCCACGAGCGGTATGGAACCCACGGTATTGAGGTGATCGTTGACGAGGGCATTGGTATCGTTCCTTTCGGCGGTTCAATTTTCGCGTCTCCTGCTGTCACCGAAAAGGGTCGTGTTGATTTCAAGATTTTGCTGAACACCCCTGGTGGTCACTCCTCAATGCCTCCTGATCATACTGGTATTGGTATAATTTCTGAGCTTGCGTTCGAACTGGAGGCTAATCCTCTTAGTCCAGTTATTCAGAAAGGCAGTGTTGTCGAAAAGTTCTTCGACTGTATGGGTGAACACGCTGCTGATCTCAAAGACTCCGAACGTAAAAAGTTTTTGCGCTCCAGCACTCACGACAAGCTTTTACCAATTCTTGAGAGTGATCCTGCTACTCGCTTCATTGTCAAGACCAGCCAAGCTATTGATATTGTCCAGGGTGGCGTCAAAATTAACGCTTTGCCCGAGAATGTCGAGCTGCAGGTTGACCACCGTATTGCTGTTCACCAAAACCTGGACGACCTTCGTAGCCGCATGAATGAATTCGTCAAGAAGGTTGCCACTAAACATGGCCTTGGTCTTGAGTTCGATGGCAAGACTATCCTTAAAAAGACACCTCTCGGTAGCTTCAATGTTTCAACGTTTGGTGGCATGAACACTGCCCCCATTTCTCCTTACAAGGGTGAAGTCTGGGATTTACTTGCTGGAACCACTCGTCATGTTATTGACGATGTTATTGACCACCCCTACGGCCCTGTTTTCATGGCTCCTAGCCTCATGACTGCCAACACTGATACTGCGCATTTCTGGGATGTTTCAGAAAACATTTTCCGCTATTTGCCTGTCTTCATGTCGGACACTAACAACATTCACACCGTCGACGAGTCGCTAAACATTCGCAGTCACATTAGTTGCGTTGTATGGTACTATGAATTCTTAGTTAACGCTTGTAACTAGTTTGATAGGCCTAACCAGTTAAATATTTTGTCTTTGGGAACAGAGTTGACCAATTTGGCGTCAGGATTTGGCCACACCAGAGCAGCATGACGTCCTATCAGATTCATTGAGCCACCGATTTCTTCAACTTTGGATAAAAATTGTTCAATAGCCCGCTTAAGTTGGAAAGACTTGGGGGTAAGCTGAGCCATTTGCGTGAGCAACCACTCAATCAGTCCATTTTTGATATAAATATTCACAACTGAGCGGTCAATTAGTGCGTGCTTGTATGCTTCCACTAACCACAACATCTCACGAGGTTTGTGTTCTGTGGTGCTGGCTTGAATACTCTTGAACAAGGGCATATCATATTCTTTGATACTAGGTCCAAGAAGAAGCCAATCACTAGCTGTTTCGTGCAGGAAGTGTCCAGGTTTCGTGACAACATTGAGGATTTCAGCAGCCAAAATTGCCAAATGGCAAGGCAAAGGGCCGTTGGTCTGGATATACGTTAACACTTTGTTGACGACTAGCTGCGTGGAAATCTGCTCTCTGTAAATTTTCTCTTCACCCATCAAAGAAGTCGCGACGGCAGTAAGTAGTTGCACCGCTGTGTATACAACGTTTTGGTTCTTGCTTGCCAAGCAGCACAGAACGAACGCCAATGCGTTGCTCTCTACCAGAGCACGTACGTCCACCTTATCCTCTTTGATGATATAGTCGCAGCTGGCAAGGGCATTGACCAGGAATTCATCGTGATACCCGAAAGGCGGGTGCTCAATATCATGCTTTTCCAAAAGCCCTTGGAGTTCGTCAAAACTTAATCCTGCCTGGACAGCTTGAAGTTTAGCCTCTGAATCATAATTTTGGCATGTGGCCAAAATTTTAGCTTTTTCAAGAGTAACCTGCAAAGTGTTGCCAGCGTTTGTCACTAACGGTGGGATTTCGTAGTCGTCAACCAACTCTTCACCGCGCAATTCCCAAGCTGTAACTTTATCGACCCAGGAGGCGCTTAGGTTAGATTCAATAATCTCCAAAACCTGAAAAACAAGTTGAGATGAGCTTTCCCAAGATCCATTGTAGAAGCACAGAAGACCGTCTTGAATTTGGCTGGTGGAATTCATCGTGGGATCCACCATGAACAGCCGCCAAAGTAAAATAGAAACCATAGCATACTCTTGTTTTCCCTTCGGAACAGGTCGCTGCATTAAAGTCTGCAAATGCTCGGTGTGGTTTATGGATTGGGCGTTGCGAACAGCGAAAACTAATCGGCAAGCCAAGCTCACTAAGTCGACAGTAAACTCAGAGCCCAGAATGGTAGTAATCAGTGCATTCAAGGAGTTTGAATTCACAGCTGTCCAAATGCTAGCACGTCTCTTTGCGAGATAAATTGAGAACTCCTCAACAAACTCTCGGACGCTCGCATTTGATTGCGATAATGCCAAAACCTTTGTCAGTTGCAAAACACTGCGCTTTAGCCATGTCTGACTACCTGGACCATCAAGGACATCTGACAATCGAGCAATATCTGGATTTAAAGCGCGCCTGACAGTGCCAACGTACTCGTCGAGCAAGGAGAGTTGGTCCGAATCCAGTTTTGTTTTCCACATATTCATTAGTTTCAGAATAACATCCGGTTGATCTTCAATCCTTTCCAGTGCGGTTTCAATGAAGGAGGAAATGCTTTCCTCGGCAATGTAAGATGGTGCAAACTGACTTGCCGCCAAAAGAATCTTCGGGTCCAAAGGCAGTTTTGGGTTGTAAAAGTTGGAAGCCTCAATAACCGAGCAGATCGATTTGATGTTGTTCTCTTTCATGAGCTCATCAAATAGTTTCTCAGCTAGCTCACTGTCGATTTTTTGTAATTTGAAGTTTTCTGACAGCCAGAGGTTGTCAAGAGCCAAGTCCAAGGGTAATGGAACACCACGTTGAGTCAGGACTGCAACGATCTCTTCGTTCTTCGTCTCTAAAAACTTTTCAATCAGATACTCATTGCTCAAGAAGTCTAGGGCCTCCAGCCAAAAGGGAGTCCCTTTTAAATCTGCACTGAGCGCAGGCGAAGAAAGCTCTTTTTCCCGTAAGGTTTTCAAATAGATTCTGTAAGTATTGTCGCTCAGCAACAAATGAGAACACAAAGGTTCAACAAGGTAGTGGATTAATGCTTGTGGTAAATTCGACAAGAGAAAAGGTGCAAGTGTGGGCGTCGAGGCCGCTCGATTCACTGTCGCCATGAACTCTAGCGGGGTGCCAATCTTGAAAATAATATCATCTCGGGACAACACGTTGTCCACTGGAGCGGAAATAACAAACTCGAAGTAATCATCCAGTGGAAGGTTTAATTTGACGTCACCTAGTTCCTCCAGCAGATGCCCAACAGCTACAGTATCTTCGCCAATAATGCCCAAGTCCCGGACGAAAGATGCTATCCAGTTCAAAACATTCTTGTTAGGCGTATTCTTGTCAACGTGTTTCCACTGGTCAACGAGTGCCACTGCAAACGGACTAATGTTGGTAGCAAACCGGTCAACATACGGGTAGGGCGTCACTACACTGCGCGAGATACTTTCATCGATGATGGCCCAGAGCTTTTCCTGCTCTGTTTTTTCAATGGTTGGCAGAACAACCTCTAACGAGTACAGCAGGACATCGATAGGTCGAACAAAGGTAATATTTTGGAAAGCAAGCGTTTTTTCAACCAAAGACTGCAGCAGCTTGGCGCATTGGCCGGCTAGATTGGGGTTGTAGCAAGCAAATTTCACGAGCTTGGTGAAAAAGCTCATTTTGTCATTACCACGATTCCACCATTTGGCTTGTCCAGTCATAACCGTTTGTACCTCAAGGATATCGTATGCATTTACCAGCTCCAAACCACTGACATGCTCTTTATTAAGAACAGCTGTCAAAGCGGACGGCAAAATACTTGCTGGAGACGCAATTGAACAGTATTCTCGTAGGCATGCCAAACAAGTGGTTTGGAGAAGTTGAGGAGATGAGGGCTTCAAAAACAAGTGAACCTCAGGGAGTCTCTCCATAATCTCACTCAGAACTTTAGTACTATCCCAAACTCTCTGCTCATAGATATCGAGAACTGCCCGCAGTTTTCTCAATGCAAAGAGCACAATCTGAGCGGTTTGAAAGCGAACAAGCGAGGACTCGCCAAATGTCAACCCGCCAGTGAGGGTGGCCCTCGCAAGTGTAGGGGGCAGAATACATGCCGCGACTGCATCGTCCAAGGGGCTGTGGACCGAATCGAATTCTGGGACGGGAAGACTGATAGCTTTAGCGTGTAACACAGCAAAAGAAAACCAAAACATTGAAACCTTGGGGGAAAAAGAGAACGTCGCCTGTAACCCGGTGAAATACGGATAGAAAAGCTCCGTATAACTCTTCATGATGTTAACTGCAAGATCCATTTGGTGTTGACTCTCCCAAGGCTTTAGCATTCGAAGAAGTGAAAGGGCAAGCTTATTGTTTGGCTCGCCATAGCATCCACGATCTGAAAAGTGCACACCATATTCTGTGTCTGTTAGCATGAAATACAAAAAGTCAGCAATGGAGGCACCGACATCTGCACGGTTGAGTAACTTGACGAAATGCTTGAGCGTCCAGTCGTTGAAAAGTCTAATTTTGGCGGTTTTCGTAAAAGCCCTGTCTTTGACAACGAACTCTTTGAAAACTCGCAAAGTTTCCAGTACAATCTCCTCAGGATCAGTGTCAATTTTACTGAACCAGCCAGATACAATTTTTCGCTGGGAAGTGAGGTCTTTCCGAACAGCAGAAGGAGAGTGCTCGATGAATGCTAAGTAAAACTTGATAAACGGCTTGCGCAGCTCCTGATCTGCCAGGATTTTCGAAATAATTTTCAGCGAAAAGTCGAATGAGTTGTACAAATCTGATGCAGTTGATCCCCCAGGGAATATGCAAATAATACGCAATAGATCCAGCGCTGGTATGGAAAGTCGGGGCTTGGCGACAAATAGACTTCTGTAAATAACTCTTAGATGGTCTTTTACGATCATGCCAATTATCTTGGTGCCAAAAGGCTGTAAGGTAGTAGTTTGGCAGGCTTCAAGAAGACGGCACAGTAAGATGGTAGTGCTGCTCATTTTTGCCTGATTTGATATTCCTGCTGCGTAGGCCCAATCAGAAACAATTGTTTCTGATTTTTTTGGAGAAATTCAGCGAGCTCCTGAGCATCACCAGCTCTTTTGATAACATCACTGAGTTCGTCCATGCCTAATGGAAAAAAATTATCTCAGCAGACAGGGCCAAGTACGTTTATTGTTTTAGACAGAAACTTCAATTATACACATAGGCAACCAAAAAAATACAAAAAAATTAAGAAACAATTGAGAGGGAGTGGGACTATGCGGAAGGAAGCCAGAACGTGAGCGAGCTGTCTGCAGTGGCAAGAAGCATTGTCCGCGGGTTTACTGCGAGAATAGCGGGCTGCTGAGGCGCCTCAATGATTTTGGACGGTGTAATAGATTTTTCGTCCTTCAGATCTCCCAAGTCCCATACACACAAGGCCGGATCATTGGATCCACCGAATAAAAAGCGGCCGTCCATGGAGAAGCATACGGGCGACACAGAGGGAATGGGGCGTTGTAGGGATCTGAAACCTGTAACATTAGTGACATGATTGCCATTGAATCCATCAAATACTCCGTGAAACCCTGTATCGCCAGCAACAACCAAATGCTTAGAGTTATTTGAGAATTCAACCTTGTGCCAATTACCATCGACCTCGGCTCTGAATGAAACAAATGGCTCTTTATCGAAGGATCTGACGTCATAAAACGCGACAGTTCGTAGCTCTTGAGAAGCTACTGCAAAAACCAGGCCAGTCGCATCGAAAGCGACTTGGCACGGGGTCGGAACCGTTAACAGGCCCTGGCAGTGCTGTGATCTCAGATCCCAGATCCGCACAGATCTATCTAGAGCTGTTGATAACATCACGTCGCTCGTGGGACTGATTTCCAGTCCAGTGACCTTGTTCTTGTGGCCTCTGAAATATCTCACGTACTGGTTGTCATGTAAAGATAGATATCTGATAGTATCGTCTTCTTTTGTGGATGCATAAACACAATTTGTGGGTGAATGAGTAAATTTTGCCAAGTGAGCACCGTATTTCTTGCTCGCTACCGTCTTCGTGTGCTTTCCAGCATTACAATCGTACAGCTGGATCGCCTCGTCAGTGCCTGCGGTGATGCACCAATGCCCCGAGTCATCGATATCTACAGATGTTACCACCGCCGTGTCCTCATGGTTCCTTAGATCTTTTGCCGGCTGGAATGAGTACACAACATCTGACGTCAAAGGCAGTTCACGCCGGACCATTTCAAAGATGACAAATTAGCCTGTGGAAGGATCCTACTCAAAATACATAAAAAAAATCTATTATAGCGGTTGGAATTAATAGGAAAAGTCTAGGGATTCATGCTCAACGGTCGAGTCTGCCGGCAAACTCAGGATATCAAAAATGTCTAGCATATCCACGGGGTGTTGAAAGTTTGACGATTCAATTGAGTTGAACCCTTCCGGCGTGTATGTGCTGCCGGTAAGTTCGTGATAAATATTCTCCAATGTCTGTTTCAAACTATGCAGACCTAGCAAGAACCCCATATCAGGCTGTCCAACATGCGTTGGGGGTGCTCTTGCGCCGGTTGGGTGATGTTCGGCCGTTACACACTGGGCAAAATCGATTAATCTGATGGAAACGTCCGTTTTGCCCGTATTCTGGCCATCGTATACCATCAGCAGGCTCGATCCGTACAGGCGATAGTCCGTGAGGGTACGAATAATTGCACTAAGGCTTACAAGTCGTTTCAGGAGTTTGGGAATGTGTCGGATGATAGACCATGCGGTAGCTCCGTCGTACAAAAACCTCATCAAGCACCTTTCAAACTGTGGTCCAGGTTTCACTTGGCGACCAAAATACTTGTCGCGAAAGAAGGATGTCTCAGTACGGGTATTCCAAACAAGCATTCCACAGACGCGTACCCCCAACCTCTGGCTAGTAGTTTCATGACATTTACGGCGCTGGGAAAGTTGTTTCTTCTCTGTCGCGTTAACGCCATACTGTCGAGTGCCCATTTTGAGATCCAGAACACATGGCCTCTTCCTGCCCTGGGTTAAATCTTCCAGCACAATAAACTGCTCCGCCTTGTTGTACATTTTGTTACTGTCCATATGAAGAGATGGCGTGGAATTGGTGCGAGTCTCTTGGAACGGCCTTCCTGAATGGTGCCATGATCTAGATCCCGAAGACGGTCTTATAACCGGTGAAGCTGTTGCAGGCAATATCGGGGACGCCGGCATAGAATGCATCTCAGGCGTGGACGGCTCTGCAGCCGACTGTGGGCTGCTCGGCTGGCCCAAGTCCATTTGGAATACGGGAACATCTGCATCTGCATCAAGGGCTCGACAAAGGGGCGAGCTTGTTTGTTTGAATTCACGCTTGGGTTTGAACACTTCTTTCAGGACCAAATCGCGCAGCTGACGATTAACAGTGGTAGCTCCCCATGTCACAATCGACGGTCGCTTATCGTCCAAGGTTAACGAGCCTCGGGGGCTTGCTGTGGAGCCTCGTCTATCTCCTAATGCATAGGAGTGTCTTCTATCAGACGGGATCATAGAGTTGGGTAAAATGTGGACATTGTCACCAAGTAAGACTTCACTAAAACTGCGAGAGCTTTCATCAGGATTCGTGCTACCGCATGAATCGGCGGGCGCACGGTGCCGTACGTTCAAAACACCAATGTATTTTGGCATAAACGCTAGTAGCTCCTGGTGGAACTGTTCAATTGTTTCGTAGAATGTGTCCTCGTTGTTGACAAGCACCTTACAGACTGCCCGCTGAGAAAACTGGAAAATAGCAGTGTGTCCACCAACTTTGTGTTGGAAGGGAGTGAGCTCTACAGATAGTGGGTACCTCTGACCCTCGATGGCATCATTCTCCACATCTGTCTCATCATAGTCTTCGTCGTCACTAAAAACAACCGTTCCTTCCAGAACCGGCGTTGCACGCCCCGTTTGGGGCTTAGCTGCGTCCTCTACTTTCGAATGGTGAGGCACATACGTAGCTTCACTTACAGCGCTAGGTTTCTTATGAGTACGAGAGCTTGTTCTGGGGGAGCTGGTCTTCAATGTTGAGGGTGATTTCGACGTCTGCACTGCAGCTTGCGACGGCTGCTCCTCGAATACCTTGAAATATTGGCTCGCTTTACGGGCACGAGGAGTCTCCTCTTCGTTGTTCGCCTCCATTATAACCTGCTAGAAACCATCTAAACGCTAAGGTTATTTGCAGTCGATAAACCCAGCCAGCGCTTACATCATCGGATTTCTGCTGGGCAGAAATCTACGCCGTTAAGGTCCTAGCGGGAGCAAACGGTTGCAAAGACGAGAGTTGGTTAGATGTAGTTGCTTTTGGACATGTTATCTAATTTGTAGACGGAACGTAGAGCGTATCAGTAAAATTGAAGCAGTTGAATGTCCAATGGCTAGATGCGGTATATCTTGTTCTGTTGACGCACGTGGTGCATGGCTGCATTGACGGAGAACATGCATTGATTCCGCTACAGTAGCAGTGCCTGACGGCTTCACAGGATGCTATTTTGCAACATCAAGACGTGGCAATATGAAAATACCAAATTTTCTGATGGTGACTTTGCTCTTGTAGGAATTGACTGTGCCCACATGCCGCCGGGGGTTTGGGAGAACTCTGGAAGCCACTGCAAAGTGGGGGTGTTACAGTAATATTGTTGAAGTTCCCATATTTTATTTGGTTGATCTTAGCAAAATTGAGGCCATATTCCACAAATTCGCTTTCATATCCGCTGTCGAGCGAGCGATGTAGGGTACGGGTTGTATGTAGGCTCTTTGGGGTATTGCTTGGGATGTTGGGTGTGTTAAGCCCTGAGCCCTAAAACGTGACTGTCATACACTCACCTTAGCCCACCGGTGACAAGCCCATCTACCTCATCACAATGCAGAACGACAAGGGCGTCAACGTCGAGCTTTTCACTCCCCGCAAGTGCTCTGCCACTAACCGTCTGATCAAGCCTAAGGACCACGCCGCTGTCCAGATCAACGTTGCTAAGTTGGACGAGCAAGGCCACATCATCTCTGGTGACAACTACACCTACTCCCTTTCCGGTTTCGTCCGTGCCAAGGGTGAGGCTGACGACTCTTTGAACCGTTTGGCTCAGCAGGACGGTCTCCTTAAGAACGTCTGGTCTTATTCTCGCTAAGTTGCCCCACGACACGGTGCATTCTTGCATGTAGTTAATAAAACAAAAAACTATCAAAATTATCTTTTTCTCTCTTTGCCAATTATCTGGCGGATATTCGTAGCGACATTAGATATCTGGCTGAATGCGTTTATAAGACCTGCCAGCTTTTGGTCTTGGTTATTGAGAGCTGCAGCCAGATCGTTGGAGAAGGTCGACACCACCAATGAAATGTCAAACAGGTCTCTGAACAACTTTTGCGTCTCAACTCGATCGTTGGTTTTAATTGCATTCTGGACGGAAGTTTGCAGCTCGATTAGTATGTGGAAAATGATAGTCGAGTGATGCACGATTTCCGGTGTGAGAATCATATCCGCTGGTGCAGGAACAACGTATACAGGCGAAACCGGGGAGGTCAAAGACTTATCGTTAGGTCGTTTGAAGTTGAATATTACACAATGCGGCGGTAACTCGAGCTGCTCGATTGTGCGGATGAGCGTTTCCTTGACGGCGTCGGCTGCAAGCTCCCATTTGGCTGCATCGGATTCTTTATTCAGAGTCTCGATATTGTTTTGTAAAGATGCAAAAAGGTTACCGTTCTTCAAGCAGAATATATTGACGAGGATATCTGCATGGCCCTTCAGAGTTACAGGCTCGAGCTTATGCGACAGCATTTCCATGGCCGCCGCGTTCAGCACTGCATGGCGCTGTTCAATCGGCTGAACCAACGCAAACATGGCAAGCTCGGGATCTTTTGGTGTGCCATTGGAAATAGTTCGGGGTGGTGCGGTGTACTCGGAATCGAGATGGCCAGGGTTGAATGGATCAGAACTCATACCATAATTGAGCCCTAGAGAAGAGCTTGCATGAAAACACGAAAACCATGCAATAGGCAATTCAAGGCTTGGTGTCAAGTATTTCAAAATGAGTCCGCAGTTCAGACATTCAACTGCGAGCTGGGCTATACGTGAGGACATAAATTTGGGGAGTCGGGACGGGTCGAGAGCAAAAAATGGGCCCTGTCTCACGATGAACATGTCAGGCAGAAAGTCCGCTACCATAACTTCAGCAGGAATACTGAATATAGATGGGTCAGACCCTAGCATACGGTTTAGTTGAGCCAACCAAGGCTCGATGGTGCGGCCGACAATTTTCCATAACACAGCGTACTTTACCGGCTCCAGTTGAATGCGCAGCATTTCATTGTACGCCGTATTGAGTAGATGTGGAGTCGAAGGTAGTAATCGCAGCTCTGCTGCGACTGAAAGGTCCGCACAACCCACAACTCTGGCCAGCAAATAGGCCATATTCGCAGGCTCTTGGATGGACGAGAGCAGGCCAAGAGTGTGCCGCGTATCCAGCTCTATTTGAATGATCCTGTCAACTTCGTCCTCAATTGCACTTGCCAAGGCTAATAAGATTTGATTGGCCTGTGAACTTTCTATCCGGGTGACTACATATCGCAATCGGCGAACGTAGCTTCCAACATTGGCGCATTCTTGGAGCATGCCAGTTGTAGCTGCGCTTGAAATAGAGACCATTCGCACCGGTCGGACCTGAAGCCGTATTGTTTCATAGTCCCATAGAACAAATTGCGAGCCTTCTCCGCGTACCGCGTTAGCAGCCGCGTAAAGCACTTCCTGCGCTGGGTATGCGGGTTCCGAAAAATAAGCGTCCTGGTCCTTGAGGCTCTGTTCGGAAATCGGAACGTCTTGCATAATGTGGTTCTCATTGGGGATCACTTCATCCCATGTCGATACGGCTTTCGCAGTCGGAGATGGCGGCCGGCTTGGAAGCCTTGGTAAAGTTAACCTTCTCGGAACCTTGCCCGTACATATGGCCAGGCCACGTCTACATACCTTCTTTGATTGTCTATCATCAAGTGGATACTGTGTACTTGGCTCCAGGACTAGTTCGGGATAAACTGCTTGACTGCCCATATTTCAGGATAAACAGCGCAGAAGCCCACGGATGCGAATCCTCAAATATGCATTTTGACGATTAGTCATGACCGCTCTTTAACCGAGCCTGGGCAAGGAGCAGCTGCCCCCACCATGTTTGGTGGTTTTAAGGCCGATTATCTAAGTGGAAATGGCTCACTTGGTTAAGCGGCCCATTGGGTGGGCATATATTAGCGGTAATAAGCGCACTGGGGCGTACACCGATGCAGGTGGGATAAGGACTACAGGGGCATGTAGTCGGTGCAGGGGTCCCCGGCGATTTGGAACGGTGCAGGTATTTAGTTACGTAGAATTATGCACCAATAAATTGCCAAACAGCTGTCCGACGCCGCGACTCCGGCGTCGCCTATCGGGAAATTGCTTGGCGGTCTTAAGTTGGAGCCCGTACCCTGAAGTTTTTGTTTGTTTTGGGGGGGGCCCTGCCCCCCTCAGCGGTGAGAAAAAGGTCGGGAGATCGATGGCTGACAACACATCCCAAACTGCTCACGCTTTGAAGTAAGTCGTATTGGAAAGAGACACCCTTCAGCTATGCGGCTCACAGCCAAATCTTTACCAGCCGAGGTTGAAATGGAGCGTGATAGCCCGACGCCGAACATTGGGTTCCGAATCAGGAACCTCTTCCGAATGTCCGGCGGGGGCACCACCGCAGGATCCTCAAGTGGCCAGGTCATGGATCAGTCGTCCAAGGACTCTTCTGCTTCGCTTTCAATACCCACTAATGTAGAAGAGGGGCTGTCGGATTCCGCATCATCTCAGGACCTGGCCGTACCGGTCATTGTCTCGCCTCCAGCGACCCCCAATAAACGACGCCTAGGCGTGTTCAATCGCTTCCGGTCGGCCTCAACATCAAACTCCAATCCTTCCACACCCTCTCCCCCATTGGATCCGCAAGATCCTTTGTCTAATGTGCCAGCTTCCCCGGAAAAGTTGGAAGCTCCGAGTATGGCGGCGGCGGCTGCCGCTCAGGCGCTTCATAGCCGGGGCCCCGAGTATGGAGGGCTCGCTAATGAAAATCCCAAAGCACCAGAAGCAGATCGCTCTATATTCAGAAATTTGAGGAGAGTGGCTTCGGCCCCCAATACATCACGGGCGGACTCCGGAAGCCGGCGGGGCTCCGTCACCAGCAACAACTTTCCGTCAAACGGCTCGGTGCTTTCTCTAAATTTTAGCGATGGGCGAAATGATAGTATGTCCACCTACGGTGGCCATCTAGGATCACAAGGTAAGCTATATGCTGGGCGGTCCCGCAGCTATTCGCGGTCGTCGACCAAGATCAGTGCGGCCGAAGTGGGGCCCGGGAGCTTTGAAAAACTCAAACTCATTGGAAGGGGAGATGTGGGAAAAGTATACCTTGTTCGCGATCGTCGTACTCACGAAAATTATGCATTGAAGGTGCTCAACAAAAAGGAGATGGTCAAACGTCGTAAGATCCAGCGAGCGCTTGCTGAGCAAGAAATCCTGGCCACAGCCAACCACCCGTTCATCGTGACACTCTATCACTCGTTCCAATCCGATGAATTCCTTTACTTATGCATGGAATACTGCGGAGGAGGTGAGTTTTTCCGTGCTCTTCAAAGCCGAGAGGGCAAGTGCTTACCTGAAGCAGATGCTAGATTTTACGCAGCCGAAGTGACGGCGGCGCTAGAGTATCTTCATCTCATGGGATATATTTATCGAGATCTGAAACCAGAGAATATTTTGTTGCATGAGTCTGGACACATCATGTTAAGCGATTTTGATCTAAGCAAGCAATCAAAGATCAGTGGTCAGCCCACCATGGCCGGATTAAAGGGCTCTGCCAGCCGTCCGGCTATTGATACCAAGGCATGCATTGGTGATTTCCGAACCAATTCGTTTGTGGGCACTGAGGACTACATTGCGCCCGAGGTCATCAAGGGAAATGGACATACGTCTGCTGTAGATTGGTGGACGCTAGGTATACTGCTTTATGAAATGCTCTATGGCATCACGCCATTCAAAGGTGCTGACCGCAAGACCACCTTCAAGAACGTGCTTGTTAACGAAGTGGTTTTCATGGACTCGGGTGGGTTCCAGCACATCTCGTCTGCGTGCAGATCAATCATCCGCAAGCTCTTGACTAAAGACGAGAAAAAACGGCTAGGGTCCCGAGCAGGAGCCTCGGACATCAAACAGCATCCATTCTTCAAGAATACTCAATGGGCACTTTTACGAAACCAACGGCCGCCCATTGTTCCGGCCGAAGAACAAAGCTCCACGGGGACATGGTTGTCTGCACCGCCTCCGCCCTTGCGCGAGTCCGACTCGCTAGAATTGGGTGAGAGATGGGATAGCCGGCGGCCGTCACAAGCAGTGGAGACTGGCGAAGATCTCTTTGCTGGTTTCTCATCAGTCTCTCTCCACTATGAAATGGAATCACACTACCCCCTTGCAGATATTCCATCTGGAGATTTGGCTGCTGGTGCGTATGCCTAAACACTTTTTATGCTTTTATTTTAACTTCATACTCTTTTTTATTTTACAACTGGCATTATTATATTAAACATATGAACAGGAGGGGAAGAACCAGCAGAAAGGGCAAAAAAGAAAATAAAAATAAAAATAACTCTATCTGGTCCAATCGTATGAACCAATAATTAATACCGCAAAGCAGAAGCCTAATCCAAAAGTCGTTATTCCGTATGCGTAGGCGTGGGGTAGCGGGAGCTTGGACAGCTCGACAACGAAGCTGCTGACGGTGGTGAGGCTCCCACAGAACCCATCAATGAGGCCCTTAAGGACTTGGATTTGAAGGACAGATGCACCAATGTCGGGGTGCTGGAGAATAGTAAAAATACAAGCCAGGACCGTTCCGACCATATTTACAAGGAACGTTCCAATGCGGTATTCTGGTCTGTTCAGTTTGGACGCGTGAACTCGCAAAAATACACCAAATGGGGCAAACGTGGCCAGCAGAGGCCAATTGCGGTTCGACTCAACCGTGATTGAGATCACGAGACAGGCGATCCACGCACTCGATCCTAGTGCTGCTCCGATGTACTCTATAATCACATAGTTGGGCTTGATCAGAAGCTTGTAACTTCGAAGAAAGATTTCTAAATGTTGTCCTAAAAAGTAGGACGCCATTGAGCATGAAATCTCAGTTATTAGAAACGCCATGAAAGCCATGACTCCGTAGCCATCAGTCTTCCACTTGGGCTGAGGGGTGGTACTGAACAAAAAAAGGGATACAATTAGCGACGAGAACGACGTCAGGCTCCCGCAGAAGCCGGTGGCAATTTTTGGTGCGTACACAGGGTCGTGGACGAATTTTTCATGGAATCCCATGACGACGCAACCGGCAACATTTGCCCAAAGTGGTCCCCAACTCTCGTAGCCCGTGAGCACAATGAGACCCTCACGGGCAATAGCGCCGCAGATTGCCCAGAAGGCCATATCGAGGTGCCAGAGCACGGCCGCAAATGCCTTATTGTTTAGGAACGGCCTTTTTTCTGTTCTGTGCTCATGAGCGAACGGCCGCCGGCTTAGCATAATAAACTCGGGCAGGGTGTTGGGAGGAGGGATATTAGGCGGGCGCATAGCGGCAGCAGGGTAACTAAAGAGAGAAATTCCAGCGACCGACCCGATTGGTTAATCATCCAACATGGCCACCAAGCAAGTGACGACAAAGCTCGACTGGGGTAAGATTGTTTCGACCCTTGGTTTGACTGGCTCGACGGCATCCTCTCTGCTTGCTTTCCGCAAGCGTAACGAGGACGCCAAGACCAAGGTCAACCACCTGGAGCAGGAGGACGTGAGCATTGACTTTGCCTACTACAAGTCGGTTTTGAAGAACCAGAAGATTGTGTCTGAGGTTGAGGCTGCGTTCAAGTCGTTCAAGCCCGTGACCTACGATATTTCCAAGCAGATTAAGGTCATTGAGACTTTCGAGGCCAAGGCTCTTGAAAACGCCGAGTCTACAGAGTCCAAGGTCAAGGAGGAGCTTGGCGCCCTCAAGAGCACTTTGGACAACATCAAGTCGGCCCGTGCTTTCGAGGACCTTGTCGTTGAGGACATGACCAAGGCTGCCCCCGAGATCGATAAGAAGGTTGCCGAGATGGTCCAGAAGGGCCGCTGGAACGTCCCTGGCTACGAGGAGAAGTTCGGTTCCACCGTTGTTATGTAAATCGTATTTTTCCATAAAAATTGTCATTAGAGCTCCGATGTCTCCGCCGGCATCTGCCAAACCGTGCATCAAAAACCCCCTGTCGACCACCCGATGCATTTGTAATCTCATGTCTCTTTCAGACGGAAACGGGCTGATGGGCCCAGATGGGATGAATTTGGACCAGCATGGGGTTCCGCACGAGAGCTTTTACTCCCATATCCCGGTCGCCACGAATATGCCTGGGAATATGATGGGCGGGATGTCGCAGGGACCGCTGCAGCCTGGGTTTGCGGGATCGACCCCCGGACCCAACTCGAAACTATCTCCACCAGTGCCTCAGACGTCACGCATGCAACAACCGATGCGAAGGCCGTTGCCGCAGGACATGGTGAATGCACATTACACGAGGGGGCCGCCCGGATCCCAACCACCGCAGCCTCCGCAGCCCCAGCCTCCCCAGTCCGCGCAGCCTCCGCCGCAGCAACAGCAACAGCAACAGCAGTGGGATATGGCCCGGCAACGGGCCAACGCCGGAGCAGGACCGGGGCCCATGGGCCCGGCCACAGGGACTAGGAACGGCGAAGTATACAAGGCCAAGGTGACTGGGCGGGCTCAGATTATCCTGGACATTAATACTGAGTTACTGCGACAGGCTGTTTCAAACCCTAAGCAGTCGCAAATTTATGCCGAATGCATGAAGCGAGTACAGGCGAATATAAGCCACCTGTACGCTCTGAATGACTCCCGAAATTCCGCGAATATGCCGGTCTCTCCGCCTATTCTAACGGCACCGCCGGGCATTCCTAGTTTGCAAAACATGTATGCCCACCTCGAAGCCACATTCAACTGAATGGGTGCAATACGGCTCTATTTATTATTGTTTTAAAAGGATTAATGTCGTTTGTTGGTAGTTCTAGCATTAGCACTTTATGGTTAATATCTCTGTCTTCTAGCCATCAGTTTATTCAGCAACCCATGTCGCTACCACTGGAACTGGTGGACAAATGTATTGGAGAGCCGGTGTGGATTATTATGAGACATGAGCAAGAATACTCTGGCAAACTGCTGGGTTTTGACGACTTTGTGAACATCATTTTGGAAGACGTCACCGAGTACGCCGGCGGCAAACAGACCAAGCTCAAAAAGGTGCTTCTCCACGGCCGTAACGTGACCATGCTTATTCCTGGTGCTATTGAGGGCCCGGCTGCTCCTGCCACTCTTGAATCTGAATCGTAATTTATACATTTTACTGGGACTTGGCCAGCTTATTTCTTCGGGGCTTGGGCTCGCTCTGCTTTCGCTTCCCGTTGCTAGAGGTCGTGCGGAGCTCCACTGTGTCCATTACAATGTCACTTAGCTTCCACAGTATCACTTGCAAGGCGCTGCGGTGAGGGCTGAACAGGCTGGCCACGGCCTCCATGTGCTCCAACTCCTTGGCCAGCTTTTCACGCTTCCGCGCCTTTGCACTGGTTCCCGGCGGCCGGAAACGCGGATCTTCCACGTCCACTACTATTGTTTTGGCTCTTGCAAGGAGCTCTGGTCGATCCTGCACGTACCGTTTATAACCGCGTTGAACGCCCAAATCTCCCAGACTGAACACATTCATACGTTTTAACCAAAATAGCAAAAACATTTGAGCAGTCCATGGCCCAAAGCCCCGAATACTTACAATCATGTCGACTACCTCATCATCAGATGAGGTTTTCAGCTTTGCGTCTGACAGAACTCCGTCTGCATAGCTTTGGGCAAGTGATCTAATATACTCGGTTTTCCGGGTCGACAGGCCGGCCTCCTTTAAAGTGTCGAAATCAATCTCAAGCACTTGCTCCGGTGTAGGAAACGATTCGCCAAATAGTGCAACTACTCGACCACAGATGGCCTTGGCTGCATAGCCGCTTACCTGCTGCGATATCACACTCCTGGCAAGGTACTCGTACGAGCCGGGCACCACGGCCGATTCAAGAAACGATGGAAACACATGCTTGTCGACTGTAGGTCCCAGACTTGGATCGAGCTCAATTACAGCATCCAAAGCCGTTTGAAACTCTTTGATGTAGGTCTTGTCTTGAACCTCAATGTCCGGAAGATCCCGTTCAACAGACTCATCCTGCTGGGCACTCAATAGCGGGAACGGCTCTTTGCCTGTTTCCAATTTGAAGTCTTTGCCGTCCATAGTGGACAATGGCAACAACAACTGCTTAAATAAGGTTCTCGAGAACATAGTGCGTTGTCTGACCAGCAGCATATTGCTGCTGTAGTTCGGATTGGTTTCTGGGTTTGTCAATTGATATCTGTACGACAGGTTTTTTCCAATTTACACAGCCCCCGTCAGTCTTCTAATTCTTTCTTTTTACGCCTCCATTTTGATTTGGTCATCGCTTATAACAAGCGCGCGCGGCTGAACGGATAACCACCAAATGAACTTGACTATATCTTTTGCCAACAGCGATGTTGTGCTTGCAGTAGATGTAGATCCATCAATGAGAGTCAACGACTTCAAAGCGTACATTTTGAACGAGTCTGGGTTCCCCAATGACGGGGTGATTCTGTTTTATCGAGACGAGAGACTAGGAGGATCCAAAACATTAGAGAGCTATGGCATTCAGGAGGACGATATGATTCTTGCTAGTCATATTGAAGGCGCCGGTGAAAGAGCCGCTCAATCTGCGGTCGATTCCCAGCAGGTCGAGCAGATGCGCAAGGCCATCCTGTACAATCCAGATCTGTTTTCGGAATTTTCAGACAAAATGCCGGAATTGGCACAGAACATTCACGATCCCCAGAAATTCCGTGAGGCAATGGAGTCCACTCAGTCTGCAGAGCTTGCCAAAGTGCTGAATCCAGATAGCGAGGAAGGTCAGATGCGGATTCTGGAGGAAATCAACCAAGCCCACGTGCAAAGCAATCTAATGCAGGCAATGGAGGAAATTCCTGAGGCGTTTGCTCCAGTCACAATGCTTTATGCTCCATTGTATGTAAACGGTCACCTTGTCAAGGCATTAGTGGACAGCGGAGCTCAATCCACGGTCATGTCTCCAGAATGCGCAGAGAGATGTGGAATTATGCATTTGCTAGACAAGCGCATGAAGGGTGTGGCGGTTGGTGTTGGCAAAGCCACATCAATTGGTCGTATTCATATGGCACCAATCAAGGTCGGCAGCTCGTTTTTCCCCTGCTCCTTCACGGTTCTCGAAGGGTTGCCCACTGATCTACTGTTTGGGCTCGATATGCTGAAGCATCATCAAGCAACAATCCATTTTGGTCAGAATAAGTTATTACTTGGAGATGAAGAAGTCGAGTTTTTGCCTGAAAGCGAAATTCCCCAGTTTGCCCACCCAGAAGCAATCCCCCTCAAAGTTACCGCCCCGCCGCCGGCCAAGCAGTCTTTAATGCCGCCAGAAAATCGTGTTCGCAGATCCAGTAATCCATTCACACGATCCCAGGAAGCACTCAGTACGTCAGGTTTGCAATCAGGCTCTTCATCGGGTCCTGCAGCTGGCCTCTCCCCTGGTCCGTTCCCCGGCCCGCTTTCTCCGCATCCGACTGGCTTCGGGTCTGGCTCTGCAGCAGGCCCTCCGTCTGCACCTCCACCGAGTTCTGTGAACGCTCGCCCAAATCCCTCCTCTGGTCCGCCCTCTGGTCCGCCCTCTGACCGTCCACCTCCTTTCTCTTCTCTTCTGCCGTCCAATCCTCCTTCGGACACGCAGTCTACGTTTGCTGCTGGACCTCCGACGGGTCCTCCACCATCAGGAGGCTTTCCCGAAAGCGAGATCGCCAAATTAACCAACCTCGGCTTCAATCGTAACGAAGCGATCAACGCTATGAGACAGGCCAACGGTAACGTCGAAATGGCTGGTGCTATTTTATTTGGAGGTTGAGCCCCCCGCCCTCTATATACTATGCCTTATTCCCTATAGATGTATATTTGGCCCTTCCGCTTTATGAGCGGCAAGCCCCTCTCCACAATCATTTGTCATGACGCAACCTATGAGGCCCTGTGCAACAGATAGCCTTTACAAGGATCTTGAGGCAAAGTACGGGCTCCGGGAGGTCCAGTTACCTGAAAACATGCATTTGCGTCCGCTTAATGTATTTGATTTAGACGCTGTGGACGAACTCGAGGCAGCAGCGTTCTCGCCTTCGGAACGGGCCAGCCGCGAGCGGATCGAGTATCGGTTGAGGACGTGCCCCGAATTGTGTTTGGGTTTGTTCAAGCGTGAATACGTGTGGGACGAGGAAGCCAGCGAAGGTGCCGTAGGTGTCGCTGCTGCCAAGGCCACAGAATGCAAAGAGACGATCGTAGGGCACATCCTGGCAACAAAGATGCTAACCGACACTATTGTCGACGAGGCCATGGAAATTCCCGATCTGGATAAGAGGGGGATCCCGGTTAACAAATCCGACAAACGCGGCCATCAGGAAACCGGTAGATTCATTGGTATCCACGCTGTTGCCATCCATCCGGATTTCCAGCGGATGGGTCTAGGCTTTGTTATGCTAAAGGACTACGTGCAGAGTCTGTTCTCCCTCCAAACTGCCGACGGCATTTCCATTATTGTACACGACAAGTATGTTTCTTTCTACGAGCGAAATGGGTTTGAAAACCGCGGCAAGTCCGAGTGCCAATACGCAGGGTCCACTTGGCTTGATATGTACTTACCATTCGACACTTACGACGATCGTTCGTGGGAATAGTTGTTATTAGAGTTATTATATCACTATCTAGTAGTGTTCAAAAGTATTACGATGGGTTGAAAGCAAGATAGTCGAGCTGGAGCTCGGTTTGGTCCTGACGGTCAATATCAAAGAGCATTCCGGGCATGACCATGAACTCGTCGGGCAATCCACCCATTGCGGGTGTCATTGCACCGACGGGAAGCGGTCCACTCGACTGCAGGTCGGAAGAAATAGGCTGCTGGGGCTGTGGGGTCGGTTGGACCTGGGGTTGAATCTGCTGTTGCTGCTGCTGCTGCCGATGATGAGCATGCTGGAGCTGTGCTTGCTGGAGTAGTTGTGAGCTTGGCTGGTTCATTGCACTGTGCGGCCCAGGCGCTCGTGGTGCAATTCCACTACCACTTGGGGCGTATATTGTATAAATGTGTTGGTGAATGACGATTTTCTGCTGGTTTTTAGCAGCGGCATCTAGAACTTTATCAAGATCAAGTTCGTTAAGAGCATATTGCTGAGCATCTGTGCCAGAACCGCCGTCTTCGTACGAAGCGGGATCTTCGATAGACATCGTATATGTTTTCCCAGATTGCAAAGACTCATGATTGAATGGATGAATAGACTGACCCGTTGTTTGGTCTGTACCACCTCTATTAGATAAAAACGCGATTGTCGAAGGCGCTGGAGCATCTCCACTAGGCATAATAGCTTCCAGAAGACTTAGTTCTTTAGGCGGGGGCGGCAGGGGACCGTTCGCTTGTTGGCTGGCAAAATTGGCTTTATCTGCGGCTTGCTGGGCCTTTTCGCTCATTCGCACAAGCTTTCTCCAGCGGTTTCGACACGTTAATCCTGTTCTTCCTTCCATTTCTTTACTGATAACGCGCCATTTCGTGCCATATTTCTCAATAAGATCCAAGAGTTTACGGTCTTCTTCTTCGTCCCAGTCTCTCAATCGCATGGATATACTAGGGTCCAGAACATCAGACCATCGTTTGGCGCACTGATCGTCAGTACGGCCAGGAATCAGTTGGGCGACCCGCTGCCATTGGGGACCCAGGCGCTCGTAGGCTTCAATTAGCGTTCTATCCTCTGACTCTGTCCATCTTCCGCGCTTGTGGCGAGGGTCTAGTGAGTGAAACCACCGTTTGCGGCAGTCTTTAGGTGTTCTATTGTCGAAATGAGAGCTGATCTTGACCCAGTGGCCGTTCCGCCCGCATTGGTCACCCCAGTACGACACGAGCAAACGCAATTTCTCGTCTTCTTCTTGCGTCCATAGTCTTCTCTGTTGAGGTCCTTGCGTTTGATCCAACTGTGAGCTCGTTTCGCTAGCCGGCGAGACAATTTCTGGTCCGTCCATAGTTGGGACCCGTGTAGATTACGCAGGGAAGTACTCAACCCGGGTCAAGGGTAACTACGATTCGGTCATCGCCGGTGGGTTGGCTTCAGATCTTTGGGTTGTGTAGTGCTTGCATTAGGGCTCGTTTGTCTCGATCTAACGCCGAATTGGCGGCTTGGTTTCGCTAGGTTCGCCCAAGCCCGAGTGTATTGGCTAAATAAGTGGCGTACCTTGATGGGATACGCCTAAGCATGTTTAGGCAGGAAGGCGTATCTATCCTAACAGATCAAGCTACTTAATGAGTAACTATGCGATTTCAAATCGTTGGGCGTTTATTTACTATGGAAGACTGCCTGAGATCAGGAAAGGTGGTCTGCAAACAGCCCGACGAAACTAGCGCTTGGTGAGCTTTGGATGTCGGCCAAAAAGGTTTAGCATTCCTTCAATTGTTGAAACAATCTGTTGCTCAAATGTTGCGCAATTCCCGCAAGCGTAAAGAAAGCTGCTTGTCGGCAAGCTCAAAATGCTTCCCCGCGTTACAAATCGACCTTACCGTACAACTCTCGATGACCATCAAAAATTGTGTACAGGCCGTGTGTGACTTCTTCACGAACGATGTGAAAGGTGCAATGGGCGAAGTATTTGCACAGAAACTGCACGAAAACATGAAGGTGCACGATGTCTATGTGGACTCTGAGGGCACCCCGACGGTCATTTTTGAGCTCTTCACAGACCCCTGGATGCGCAACGGACACGACATTGTTCACGGAGGGTGTCTTTCGACGATCGTCGATTTCTATTCTACGCTTTCTTTGGCTGCAGAGCCGAGCTTCTGGTCCAATACCGACGAGCCCCCGGTGGACGATATTATGAACGTAGTTGGCCAAATGGGCGTTTCGCGGGCCCTGTCGGTGCAATTCATCCAAGCCGTTCCCATCAATACCACAGTCTATGTTGTTTCGAAGCTTGTTTCCAACACCAAGCGCAACATCTACTTTACTTGCACCATCAAGGACAAGTCAGGAAAGGTCCTGGTGACGGGGACCCACGATAAAGTCAAAGTCACAGCGAAATTATGAACAAATAAAGCCTACCTAGAATATCCGCATCGTATTTTGAGACGCCGTACTCGGCGGCCGCTCGGCCTGTTTAAGCTCCGCCTTCTGTAGCCGAGGTCCATGCGGGCAGCCCGACTTAATAATTTGCACGATTTCAGTCATATATACCTCCCCCACCACACCAATCAGCAGAATCCACATGGTTACGTTGAAGGAGAAAGTGCAGCACGCGCTTGATCTCATGTCGTTTGCACTGGACTCGGACCAGCAGGTTTTTTTCCATGAAATTCATGCCAACCCGCCGCGGGTGCTGGACGTCCGCACCAACGATAAGGGCCAGCCTGTGGTGCAATTTGAGTTTAACACCAAATCCTTTATGCGGAATCACATGGATGCCACCCACGGTGGTGCTCTCACGACCATTCTGGACTGGTACTCGTCAATGGCTGCAGTGGCTGATGAGCGGTACTGGTCCAAGGAGGATCGACTGCCGACCGTGCAGGAAATTATTAGATGTGGCGAGGACATGGGCCTTTCCCGCAGTCTCAAGTCGCAATTTATGCGGCCGGTACCGGTTGACACCACGGTTCTTCTCGAATGCAGAGTGCTCTCAAATGGCAAAAAGAGCAGCTGCATTTCGATGACTATTTATGACGAGGATGGTCGACCTCTCTACGAGGGCCTGCACGACAAAATCAAGCTGTACAAACCCATTGAAACCAAACTTTAATTCATAGACAAAATATCCATACTAGTTGCCCCGGCTATGCGGGGGTATAGGCACTGATTTTGTGGGGTACTTCACCTCATGCCGTATTAGCTCATCTACAGCTCAAGCGAGAGAGGCTATTGCCGTAAACCATGGACGTTTTGGAGAACTTGAGAAACTTCAAAAAGTGGTTCTCGGACCATCGTCTCCAATCCGACAGCTTTGCGGAGGACATCCACAGAATGGGCGACGAGATTGTCGATTGGTACCTCTACAAGGGAGTTACTCCGGTAGTGGTTTTTAAGATCAAAATTCTCGACTCAATGCGAAGCCACTACGACAATTCTCACGCTGGGGCTCTTACAACCCTTGTGGACTGGCTAACCCATATGGCCGGAGCCGCTGATCCCGCTTATTGGCCCAAGGACCGGCCGGCTACCGAGGAGGATTTCAAGCGGGTGCAGCGTTCGCTGGGACTGTCCCGACGCCTTTCTTTGCAGTATTTGAAGGAAGTCCCGCTAGGAGTCGAAGTTTTCGTTCAATGCATGCTACTTGAGAACACCAAGAGCCGCCAATATTTCGTGGTCGAGATCTACGATAAAGACCGGGTCTATGTGCGAGGAACTCACGATAAAATCAAACTATACAAGGGAATTAAAAACCGAGACTCTAAGGAATCTCGGGACGTCTTTGGCACCTCTTCTAAGCTGTAAGTCCAGGGTCATCGGTTTCGAGCGACCAATTACTATTTTCGGAACGACCGGACGAGAGGGAAAGGGGCAGGGGCAGCAGGAGCATCCCACGAGAACAGGCGGCTATCGCTTGAGTATTCCGGCCCAAGAGCGGGGGTGCGATCGGTTTTATTTCCAGCACTCGGGCTTTTTTTAGCTACGTAACCGACTATTTCCGTATTAATTATTGCTGATCGAAGTCAGGCCCATGAGTTATTTAGCCCTACGACGAGAGCACTTCCTTGGCGTTCAGGCCTACCACCAGATGCAGGATGCAGGATCTGAGATAACTGGCCAGGCACACCTCGGCAAGCCTGTGGGCGGGCGTAGGGAAAAGCATTGGGCATAGTGCAGGACAAACCAGAATGCCGCCTAGACGAACCCACTTCCAAGCCCAGTAGCAAGGCCCTATTTATCGACACACCAAAAGCATTCTCCCCTGACGAGATGAACGCAAAACACCTCATGCCTGCCGGGGTATGGGTAGGCACATGTCGCACCAGGATTTAGTCAGTTTGCTTCCGATCGCTTGGTTTTCTCACCTCCCCCGAGAACCCAAACCGTTGTTGGAAAATGCTGCGTTTCGCAAAAAGGGCAGCTATTCCCGTTGGTATATTAAGTGCCGGTGTTGGTGCGTTCCTTCTCTACGACGACCGTCGCTCCAACCACCGCCATAATGTACCTCATATCTCTGTTCTTCCTGAACCGACCTCCGCTCCGCGGACGCGCGCGGAAATTCTGAAATCGCTCGCCTCAAATGCCGAGTATGACATGCTTGTGATTGGTGGTGGTGCTACCGGTACTGGTGTTGCTTTGGATGCAGTCACCCGAGGCCTGAAGGTCGCGCTTGTCGAGCGTGAGGACTTTGCTGCTGCAACCTCCTCCCGCTCCACCAAATTGGTGCACGGTGGTGTGCGTTACCTCGAAAAGGCCTTCTGGCAGGCCGACTATGACCAGTATCTCCTGGTCAAGGAGGCATTGGCCGAGCGTCGTCGTTTCCTCGACATGGCTCCCCATTTGGCTTTCCCATTGCCCATTATGATTCCCATTTACAAGTGGTGGCAGCTTCCCTACTACTATGCTGGTGTCAAGGTTTACGATATGGTTGCCGGTAAGGCCAATCTGGAATCCAGTTATATTTTGTCTCGCAGCAGAGCTCTCCAGCTTTTCCCCATGCTTAATGAGAGCGAGCTCAAGGGTGCGATTGTGTACTATGATGGTTCGCATAACGATGCCCGCACCAACTCTTCTCTTGCCGTTACTGCTATCGAGAAAGGTGCGGACATTTTGAACCACGTCGAGGTTGTTGGAATCGTCAAGGATGCAAACGACAAGATCACCGGTGTCGAAGTCGTGGATCGCGAGCCGTCCGCTACCTCCAAGGAAAAGTTTGTTGTCAAGGCCAAGTGTGTTGTAAATGCTACTGGACCCTTCACCGATGCCATCCGCAAAATGGATAACGCCAAGGCCACTGATATGGCTATTGCCTCTTCTGGTGTCCACATTGTTCTGCCTGGTTGGTACTCTCCCAAAAACATGGGTCTTTTGGACCCTGCTACTGCGGATGGTCGCGTCGTTTTCTTCTTGCCCTGGCAGGGATCCACCATTGCTGGTACGACCGACCGCCCTACTGAGATTTCCCGCAATCCTACCCCAAGCGAAGAGGATATCCAGTTTGTTCTTGATGAGGTTCGTCATTATATTGATGGCAAGCTTGAGGTTTCTCGTGACGATGTCAAGGCTGCTTGGTCTGGTATCCGTCCTTTGGTTAGAGACCCTTCCAAAAAGGATACCCAGAATGTTGTCCGCAACCACATTGTCAACGTCTCGGACTCTGGTCTGGTGACCATTGCCGGTGGCAAGTGGACCACTTTCCGTGAGATGGCGGAGGAGACCGTCGATACTTGTGTCAAGAAGTTCAATCTCGATGCTCGCCCTTGCCAGACCCGCCTCGGTAATGTCCGGGTCATTGGCGCTGATGGTTGGAACCCCTTGACCTATGTTGACCTTATCCGCGAGTTCAAGATCGAGCCTGAGGTTGCCCGTCACTTGAGTGACAACTATGGCATGCGTGCTTTTGATGTTGCTCGTCTGTGCGCTCCCACTGCCATTGACTCCTCCGGAACCGTTGTTCAGCGCGACGCTCGTTTGTCTCCTCTCTACCCTTTCCTGGATGGTGAGGTTCTTTACGCTATCAAGTACGAGTATGCTACTACGGTTATGGACGTTTTGGCCCGTCGTACTCGTCTTGCCTTCCTCGATTCGCAGGCTGCCCGAGAGGCCCTGCCTAATGTGATTGCCATTATGGCCAACCACCTCGGCTGGTCCGTCGAGCGTCAGCATCAGGAGTACAAAGACAGTTTGAACTATCTCGTTGGCATGGGTCTCACCGAGCCCAAGCCTATTCAGGGTGTTTCTGTCGAGGATATTGCCCCTCAAGGAATCCAGGTGGCGGCTACCGGAACTTCTCTGGCCACTCCGGAGTCCAGAGAGTAAAAAATAAATGCATATGATGTATACAGATCTGATTAAATTCATAAAAATGTAGATAGCCTTCATCCTACGTGAATAATGTCTCGATAAACTGGCTTTCGACGCGGTCGTAATCGGTGTATCTACCAAACTCCGCAAGTACCGAGTTCAGTGACCAGCACTTTGTACGGCGATAGCAGCCTATAACCAAACAGGTGACTTGGGCACCATTCAGGCAATGCACGTAGACCGGCTGGCGTTCTGGGTCCTGGATAATATCCAGGGCCTGCTTTACAGTTTCGCTTGATATTGGCAGACCCCGTTTCTTTTTGGACTTGGACTGTTCTGCTGCGCTCTCAATGTGAATGTACTCGACGTTTTCTAACCCGTCCAGCGGTGCTAGCGGATCCGGAGCAATGGTCACTATAGTCTTCAGCCGGAGTCCTTTGAGAAAGTCTACATTCCTTTCCAATGGATAGGATCCACGATATATACCTTTTGTTACGCAGCTGTATCGAACTGGTGGAGCTATCAGCGAGACGGACGACATTCGTTCGCTTTTAGCTTACAGCATCCGCGCAGTCGTTGCCTGCTTTTTGTCCCGCTTGATAACATGTCAGAGAACGAAGGATCCTGGTCCAGTTGGTGGAAGTCAGCCAGCGATAGCCTGAATGAACAAGTGAATTCGATTGTGTCTAATTTGCCGTCCAACGAGGAGCTCAAAGAGAAGCTCGGAGAATGGGGCACCAAGGCGGGTGATTATTTAGATCAGGCAGACCGCCGGATCGAGGAACTGGAGAACTCGGCTCTGGAATCCTTTAAACATGTGGGTGAAGACATCAAGCATTTCATGGACGAGCCGCTGGCGACGTTAGAAGGCCCAGAAACTGAGCAAGCGGGCGGTGTGTTATTTTCGAGTGATCGAATCACCACAAGCCGTTTAGAGGCACAAATACGCTCGCTAAACAAGGCTAAAGATGTTTTCACAACCAAAGAAAAACTAGATGGCGATATCGAGAGCCAGACAGATCGAATTGCAGATTATTTATCAACTTACGCCGAGCTGCGCGAGACGTTCGAATCATTGGTGCCGGAAAAGGTTGAATACAAGCAATTCTGGCTCAAATACTTTGCCGCGCGGGAGGAAATTGAATCACAGGATCGCCAGCGGAAAGCTCTGCTCGCCAAACAGACTGAAGAAGAGGTCGAAGACTGGGGGTCCGATAGTGATGAGCCGGTCGAAGTAAACAGACCAGCTAGTGCATCCAAAGGCAGCCCCATGGAGCCTAAGGATCCTGAGGATCCAGGAGATAGTGATTCAGATTGGGAGTGAATAAATAAATTCTATTCTTTCTCTTAAATACGTTGATAAAATAACAAATACGCCTTGTTGGTTAAGGCTGCCTGCTCAGAAACTCGAGTGACGTGAATATCATCATAATGACACCAACCGGTGCCCGGTTTGCTAACATACGCAGTGTAGTGCCCACTCTTGAGTGATCCGTCATGCGCAGTGACAGCATAGAGGTTGTAGCGAAATGGTGGCTGCTGGCCTCGTTTCGGGAGCTGGTCTAATCGATTGCGGTGCTCGGGATCAGTGATCTCAGGGTTGGGCCAGTAGCCAGTAAGATCGAGATTGTACAGAGGGTACTGGACGGGGGTCTCGAGCTTGTCCACTGAGTGCATGGTGCGTTTGAACCGCTTGAGATGAATCACCAGCACGGGAGGCAGACGAGAAATAGACATGGTCTTGATCGTGCGCTGTTTGCGTTTGCAATGCGAGCAGAACCACGCATCATCTCCGTCTAATACCTCGGGTGCAACAAACTGCGCAAAACATTGATACAGATCAATTGATCGTCCCGCTGCGAGTGGTAGAGATAAAGTTGAGAACGCAGTGTATGTTGACGATGTTGTACCGCACACCATACATTTTAGCCGCGACATGTATTGGCCCTGGAACATGTCGACAATAAGAGAAGTATCTGATTTCAGATATCGTTCCCATTCAATTGTTGATGCCAGCCTCACATTGTACCGTTCACGTACCCTTTCCTCTCGCTCGTCCAATTCCCGCAACCGTTCCCGGTGCCCGTTTACATTCAGATCCTCGTGCAGCCCGTCGAGAACAAAAACCAAAAATTCTTGACAGTCCTGTTGATCTGTTCCTGCGAAAGTTTCATTCAAAATTCCTGCCAGGTTCTTCATGCCTCTTGCTGCGACGTAACCGCCTGTTCCCGCCCGCGCCATAGCCGTGGTAAGCGCGGCAAACTCATTTGCCATTCGACCTTGGTAGCCAAGCCGGCTCTTGACATTAACAAATTGTTTGTACGAGCGGTCGAGAAAGGGTACGGCTAGTTGAGGTGTACCCTGAAGACATTGAAGAATACAGTTCATGTAGCAAGTATTACCAAGGTTGACTAGGCCAGTCAAATAGGATAGCGCGACGTGATATTTCTGTGACTTTGGCCAGGTGACACGAATGCTGTCTGATCGAGGGCTTGCCGGTGTGCTGGGCCCCGGTAGCCCAGAAGGACTAGGCATGCGGTTGCGGGACGACACAGGTAGTATAGTGGGTACTGTTTGTAATGAAGAAGGCATTGACAACGGTGGTACTTGTGAAGAAACTGGTACCCTTGGGATGGGTTGTGGAAGCACTCTTGAGTGTGTTCTCATTGCGAATTGCTGTGTCTGGGGCAATTGATAAGAAGGTTCCTTGAGGTCGGGATACTTTAGGTTGAACGCACGATACTCTTCCGAGCTTGATGGCGGTTGAGGCGGTGAGTATATCGGTGCAGAAGGCAAAGATGACCCAGAAATTGACGATGTAGATGATACTACCGACAATTGTTCGTTTTTCGGTGGTGATTCGAAAGAGTGGCTCAAGGAGCTGATGTGTGAGCCAACTGCACCGTTTGAGACGACCCAATCTCCTGATGGAAGTTCATCATCCATTTTAAACGGCGATCGATCTCTGGAAACGGTGGTAGCTACTACTGGGAGCACAGCCTCTAGCCAGGCGTCGAACCCTCCATTGAGAAGTGTGGGGTGTATTCCAGCTGATTCAAGAGCCTGGAAGACATAACTAACCGGCGGCGACAATTCGCTTCCCGATCGACTGTTTTTGGTATACACAACCACATGTTTGACTGTCTTACGGGCGGAAAACGCAGCTGATTCACTATCTGGAGCGATGACCAGTGAATCTTCTAGATCCGCGTCAGACATATTCGCCCTAAGTGAGACAGGTTCCAAACAAGCAATCCAAGGAGCTTCTATATGACATCTGTCAAAGTCATCACGGTCTCTCACGTCTAAAATCACCACAAGATCTGGGATATATTTGAGCCACCCACGGAGGGTGTTCACATCGACTACTGCTGCGGCGCCGTTTTGGGGTTGTGACGGAGGCGGAGGAGGAGCACACTTTGGAACAGCCGGTATATTTGACAGTGGCGAAGCTAATCTTGACTGAAGCTGGGGCATTGCAGGCGGCTTGAACACTTTGGGGATGGGTGGGATCTGAGGAGGGGAATAGGCTTGTATGCCCGGAGTACCGGCATTCAGACTATTTTTTAAGCTCGAGTTCCGTCCTACCACAAGCAATCCATTTTGTAAACCTTTTAATAGATGCCCCGTGCCAATTGGAGGGTGTGGCGCCGTCGAGGCGGACGCTGAGTCCTTTGGAAGGGACCTGGCGCCCCGCAGTCGCTCGAATCTCCGGGTTAAATCGTCCTCGTTGGTGTCAGGTAAAGACTCTGACCGATTCTGGCGTTCTAATGGTAAGAGGGAGTTCACAACCGCGCATAGCTCATGATACGACTGTACAAATGGGCTCTTGGGGTTGGCACAGAACTGCGGATAGGTCGGCAACCCCGGTATTACGTCCTGTAAAACGTGGTTTGCTTGTAGTAACTTGGCACTAGCCTGCTCAATCTTGCCTTGGCCAACTAGCGCTTTGTGCGCTTCGACCAATTCCAAGGCCTGTCGCACATAGTGCTTTACAGGCTTTGAGTCTGACATGCATTAGGTGAAGTCCCAATCGTGACAGAAGAGAAAAGATATAAATGAGATTAATTATTTAAATGAGATGCGGGTCTAAATGAATTCGAGGTTGGTTTCCGGGTCCAAAGCGGCCTCCACGAGTCCGACTTGAGCCTCTTCGAACGATTTGCGGAGCCGTTTACCATCTTTGCCTGTTTGTTGGGAAATCCGGAGCCAGATCTCGTCGCCGACTTCCTGAACTTTCTGGAGACAGTAATCCAAGTCGGACTTCTTGAGAGCGGAAGACATGCAGAACCGAATACGGGAGCTTAAGAGTGGAGTCGCGGGGTATCCTACCAGCACGACAGCAACGTTCTTCTTCAGCAGGAGTCGAGAAGCTGCCAGCATTTTCGAAGGGTGGTATAACATCAGTGGAATAACAGGACTGTCAATATGCCCAGACACAACGAATCCCATGCGGAGAAGACCAAGACGGAAGTACCTGGTGTTGAATGCCAAGCGCTGGAGTCGTTCGCGAGCCTCGCCGGGGTTTATTTCTCCCATCAAAGTTTTCAGCGAGGCTTGAATTTGAGCAAGCACTGGCGGAGTAGGTGCTTCAGCATAAACATTTGCCATGTTGGCCACCTTCAATCGTTCAATTAGTTCTTTAGAGCCGGCAATGTAGCCACCGGTTGCGCCGAAACTCTTGGTGAAAGTTCCCATCAAAATATCAACATTCTTTGTGTCAACGCCAAAGTAATCGCAAACACCACGACCATGGGGGCCCATAGCACCAATGGAGTGCGCTTCATCCACGAAAAGGTAGATGCCATACTTTTCTCTTAACTTTATGAGCTCGGGCAGGTTGCACAAGGTACCTTCCATTGAATAGAGGCCCTCTACTACGACAAAAATTTTGAGCCATGGCCGATGAGTCTTGGGCTGGCCCTGAGCAATGTGCTCACGGATCATTTCCTCGAGATTCTTCATGTTGTTGTGCTTGAACACTTTTACAACCGCACCGGCTACTCGCAGACCAGTACGGATCGAGGCATGGTTAAGCTCATCACTGAGCACCAAACAGTGTCTATCAGCAATACTGGCGAAAAAATTGGCATTGGTCGCATATCCCATAGAATACAACATGGCAACTTCTTTACCGACGAACTGAGCCACAATTTTCTCAGTTTCCTCGTGCATGTCAGAACAACCACCATTAAAGCGTGTGCCACCTGCAATAAGGCCGCGCTCGTAAATGGCTTCCTCCGCAGCATCAGTGCACTGACCGACTGATTGAGCAAAGCCGAGGTAGTTGTACGAGCTGAGATTGATACAGTCTCTGACCTCGCCGGTGACCTCGAGCTGAGCAAACACCCTACGCTCAGCGAAGCGCCGCATCATAACCTTTATCAAACGACCAGGCACACCTGTGGTCGGCCGGCTGAAGCAGTCGCCGAGCCGGTCCTTGAGCCGGCGCGTGTAAAATGAATCGAATTTCGTGACCAAAGGGGCATATCCATCGTGCGGCAGCAGCCACTGCTGGTAATCCTTGTCAAAGATGCTGGCAAAAAAGTCCGTCATCTTTCCAATGAGGATCAGGATAAAGTACATGAGATAGGTGCTGAGGATCACTCGATAGGGAACGTTTTCATCATCCTCAAAGTGTTGGACGGGGATATAACGCTGCTCGTAGAGATACTTTTCCGACTCCAAATGACCAAACTCGGACTCGTTGAGCTGGTCGGTCGACCTGGCTTCAGTTTTGCCTTTAGCCATAGTGGTAAAAGTGGTGGAGACCGAAAAGTAAGGTCGGATTACAACGCGCTATAAGCACTCTTCTGTCGTCCAGTCAAGGGGGTGTTACCCGCCTGTTTAGCTAATCCGGGGCATCTGAGACGCAGATCTACCCTTGGTCCTGCGTGACGGATTGTTAAATGCACGTATACTAGTTAGAGAGATTTAAAGTGTTGTCACAATCCGGAATTTCCTCCTGGTTGTGACTGACAACTAAAACTGCACCCTGATAGTTATCTAGGACTTTAAACGCGGTTGTAATTTCGGCGCGGTTCAGGGTTGAAAACGCCTCGTCGAGAATCAAAATCTTTGGGTCGTTGACCAAAGCTCGAGCAAACAGGGCTTGCTTTTGTTTAGACAAGCTGCTTTGTCCAAACTCGGCGTTAAGATCTAATTCCAGCTCGTTTGCCAACGACTTGATCCGCTCTTTCTGTTTGTCTGTCAGGTTTTTCGGAACTATGAATCCTTCTCCAAACCCAGTGGCAATTGTCTGCTCCAGAGTGAGATGGCG